GATACTACAAATAACTCAAACAATCAAACTAGAAATCCAATTGCTCAATCAACTACAACTACAACTTCATCAGGAGAATCAACTCAACAGAAAATAATACATATAATAAAGAAAAGGAAAATTAATTCATGTCTAAATGAATTTATCAAAATAGATGTGATTTAAAATCAGTTGCAGGATCTAGGTGTATGAATCCTAAACATTATTTAACTCGTTCTCACCTTATGGAAGAATCATTTTAGCTCAAGCTACCATTATAGTGGATTGTCTTTACATTGTATTTCATATTCTGTTTAAGAATTTTTAAGTCTTATCAAATTTCATCATTTGTTTTACGAATATCGTGTATCACCTACAAATTTCAATTAAAGCTAGAAAGTGTTTGAAAATTAGTCAAAATATATTAAAATGTATTCTAGAAAAATATTTGAATGAGATGTTATTAATAAAAAATATTTCAGATTAAGGGAGGAAAAGTTGAAAATAGATGATAATGATACTGATTAAGGGTGTGAAGTTGTACAAGTTTAATCTAAAATATTTTTATTGGTTCTAGGGAGGATATGAAGTGGTCAGATTTACAGTTTTCAAATCATAGAAGGAGAAGCATTAACCAATAAAGGTAAGAAAGTACAAAAGAGATCAAGTGTTGGTTCTGTTAAATAGTTACTGCAGATGAATCTAAATTGGATAAAATTACACTTATTAGAACGACTGTTGGTTTAGCTAATGATATGGAAAAGTGATAAAACTCAAGTGCTATACTGTCAATGAGGATATATAGATAATTGGGGATTATTCAGTTCAAAGTTTAAAAGTTTAAAATGCTTGGATTAAGAGGGGATGTTGGATGATGTAATCCAATCATTCAAGTTTTGGAAATAGAAATCAAAGTTTATCTAGTGGATTCTATAATTACTAACTATATTTATTTAGCTTAAGAATTTGCTCAAAATATTGTCTGTGTGTCACTTGAGATTTGTGTGAAGTTACTATATTAGATTTAAGATAGATTCAAATTATAATTAAGAAATAGTACAAAAGTTAAGAATTAGTCATAAACATAATTGAGTTGTTTACAAGAAGAAGTCTTGAATTAAGGGGAGATGTTGTAAGGTATAATTCAAGACTTATCTTGAATGTTCTAGACTTCATAGTTTAGATTTTGTCTTACATGATTTTGTGTAATAAGTTAAGGGGTGTTAATATAATAAGGGGTTTTATAATAAGAAATTAGTTTACGGTCATACAAAAGATTGATATAGAAAAAGATAGAACAAAAAGATTAAAGTGAATGACTCCTTAAGATAGATCAGGAGATTATAATAGTATAGTATTTCCTAGAGCTTCTAAAGATAGTTGAGAAGAGAAAGGAACAATAGAATTTCTTAGAGCTTCTATAAGATAGTTGAGAAGAGAAAAGAAAGATAGTTAACTCCAAAAGATAGTATGGTNAATTTCTTAGAGCTTCTATAAGATAGTTGAGAAGAGAAAAGAAAGATAGTTAACTCCAAAAGATAGTATGGTGCAATATTAAAGATAGTGAACTCCAATAGATAGTATGGAGATTAGTTAAAAGTCTAAGATAGTTTAGTAGACTTCCAAGAATATAAATAGAGATAGATTGTCCGAAAAAGATAGATTTGTGTATATAGAAGTTAAGGTTGTTTTATGAAAAGATATTGAATATATTGTTAGATGATAAAAGCTATAGAAGTCAAAATAGTTATTGTTTAAGATATTAGATGGTCAAGTATTATGGATATATATTTATATATAAGATGGTAAAGATATAATAGATCATGTTATTTAGGTAATGTATAAATTTAGTTGTATGAGATTGATGATCTTCAGACTTGTAGAAAGTTCAGTTTCCAACATAAGACTTATTTTATTGTGTATGAAGTAATACTAAGAATATTTTTACTTTAGAAATTTTTAAATTTTCACAAAATTTTCACACCAATTTTAAAAAACATATAAGAAATTCTTAAATATATACTAATTTTTCAACGACAAAATAAGTCAAACTGATTGATCATAAGTCCAATATACTTGTGAACGATAGATTTAATTAAATATGTTGTTAATTTATACATTTTAATTATATTTTATTTAAAAAAAGTTTTGATAGAAATGTACTCATCAAAACAGTTCAAATTATTAATAAAGCTTCAGATTATTAAACCATCTTATAACATTTCATTTCAACTAATTAATTGATATTTTCATTAAATAAATTTATTGAATTTTATCTGTTTTAAACTTTTTATACTATCTCAATTTTATTGACTTAAATTTTTAAGACATATAAAACACTCACTAAGTGCGTAAAATAAATTTTGAGTTTATTACACTACTAACAAAAATTTATTTTTCCCTTGAGAATTGGATTTTTTTTCCCTTGAGAATTTTTCTTTTCCCTTGAAAATTTTCTCGCTAACAAATTTGTTAGTTTTTCTCTTGAGAATTGCGAAAATAATTTAGTATGAAATCAAAATTTATACCCCTTTAAAGTCAGGAACACCTGTTTAAAATCAAATACTTATTTCATTTTAAATAAATGATTATTCACAAAATTTTGTAGTGTTTAAATTAATTGAATTTGTTTTATCAATAATCAAGTAAAGATCACAATAGTATAAGACTGTTGTTATTTGAATTCGAAATATTTGTAATATTTAGCACTATTTATAAAATATTTCTATATATTGTCAACAAATTTGTCTCAAATTTAATTGAATTATTGAAAAAAAAAAGTAATTATTAAATATAATTTTAATGTTGAAGCTTTTAAATACACAATGTTTATTAGATATTCTTTTTAACTAAGTTTTAAAACTTTCTATGATTTCTATTACATCATGAGCTTTACTATCAAGTAAAATTATTTTCATAGTAAAGAAATTTGGCAAAATTATTTAAATTTCATAATTTATTATGAATTATCTGTAGTAAAGTCAAAGTCGCAATTAAATGTACGACTTACTCAATATTATATATAGATATAGAAAAGTAGTCTATTTTAGATAGTAATAAATTAAGGATTTTCCTAAGAATAATCTCTTCAAAGTACTAGTTATAGTACATTATCTTTTATCAATTTATTAAATTTTTTTTCTTAAATAAAATTTCAATAATAAATTTTTTTGATTTTTATCTCCTTAATAATCAATCGATGGTTTTAAAAACTTGAAAGTTATTCATCAAAATATCCTAAAGAAGTTAAATAATGAATATTTTATTACAAGTTGATGATTGTTGATTTAAATAATATAATCAAAGGATTCATCGATTTCATCATAAAAAGTTTTGTTTAATTATCAAAAACCGTATATGTGAAATTAAAATTTGGTAATTCAATTCAACAAATTTAACTATATTGATTCAACTATTTACAACTAGATTATATCTATAAAAGATGGAACTCATAGTAATTAATATTTCAAGTAATTAATTAAGACATTAAGATTAGATTATGGGGATTTTTAAAAATGAGAATTATTGATCATATACTTAATATATCTTGTACAAATTATTTCATTACTTCAAATTTTTGATTAATCAAGATTTATTCAAATAGTCAATAATTAAATTTTATTTCATAAAAGTATATTAATAGAATTAAATAGTTTTATATCTATATAAATTATACTTGATTAGTATATTTTGTTTGCCCATGTATGTTCTTTCATCAAGAAATATAGGTATTCCGGTAAATTTGTTTTTACTCTTGAAGTTGCAGGAATATTTAATCTTTGTATATTTTGATTTCTATGGAATTTTTTGTCTTAATTTTTGTATTAAAATCTTCGTTCAAAATCGTACCAATTTAAATTTTATTATTAAATTTTCTCATAAAAATATACTACATCTATCTTCTAATCGTAATCGATCAATAATGTAATAGATTATAGGCTTTAAAACACTCAAGCATAATTAAATAAAAATGTTGCAATTTTATGTCATAGTTAATTAAAATTTTGATTAATGTCAAAATCTTTATCAATCTAATTACTTTTAGCTGCAAATTTGTATTAAAATTTAGTCTACAATATGTTTATTTTCTATATACTTTAAGTACATAAATACAAAATTAGCTCAATGAAAAATGGTTGCTGCTTTTATGCATCTAAAGACGGTATATTTAAAGTTAGACTTTCTTAATAATGATAATTTGAATAAAATAATGTTTACTGTTTTCAATTTATCAATTCAATGTATTTTTTTTCAGATTTTTATTGATAGTGATTCTAGTTTTATATATATTAGATAAAAAATTATTTAATAAAACCAATTTAGAATAAGACTTTTTCTTCGAATTCAATTAATTAAAATCTTTTTTAAATAGATTAGTTAATAGTGTTAATTTGTTTGATTCTATTTCATTATGGTAAATCATATCTTAAATAATTTATCTATTAAAAAAATTTAAGATAACTTTGAAATTTAATTTGTTGACTTTACATAGCTTCTTCAAACATTTATACTTATACTTGAAATAATTAGTGCAAGATTCACACAACTTTGAATAAAATGATACTAAACATTACTATTTATATGAAATAAACATCTAATAATTCCGTGTTGTTAAACTGAATGATCTAAAGTTTATTATTTTTTTTACTTCATTTTTTTAATTTTGTTACTTTTCTAATGTTGTTAATCGATTTACTAGCATAATTCAACTGCCTTTTTGAACCACAAAGTTTCTGAAAAGATGAAGATTAGTATTTGAGTATGTAGTATCAATCATAATTATTATATCAAAATTTAAAATAGAAAATGTAAAAAACGCGCGTTTTAAGTACAACATTTTTTATCATAATTAAAAAAATACATCACTAAATTATTTTTGAACCAAATCATTATTATTTATGTTTAGATTGTTTATTACCATATTACAAACACTACCCTAATAATCAAAATTTCAATATTTTAAAAGGTATATATTTAAATAACAATATCATGTCCAATGATTCTGTTTCAACTATTGAAAATACTAACTTAAAAATTGACGAAGATGATAAAAATGAGAAATTGAAAAAAAGACGTGAACAGTTGGAAGCTTGGAGATTGAAAAAGCAACAAGTTGAACCTCCATTAGAACAAAAGCCATCAATGAAAATCAACGATACGATTGAAGATGAAACTCAAAGGAAAAGAAGAGAAAAATTACAAGCATGGAGGAAAAAGAAGCAGCAAGAACAACAACTACCAAAAGATATATCTTCATCAAAAATACAACAAAATACAATAATTAGTCATCAACTTTCAAAAGATAAAACCGCAATACCAATTTCTAAAAAAGCATCAACTGTTAAACCACTTCTACGAAAAAGAATAGAATTTGAAGGAGAAGAAGATCATTCAAATTTGAGAAAGAAACCAAAATTTGAAATACCTAAAACTGAGAACAATGTATTAATAGAAGATACTTCAGAAACTGTGGATGAATTGGATGTTTTCATAAATCAATTAAATAATAACAACAACTCAAAACCAACATTAATTGAAAAAGAAGAAGTACAAATTTATTCAGATACAGAAGAGGATGAAAAAGAAGAAGATTTACAAAATAGAATAGATTCAAAATTAGCTAAATTGGGAAATACCAAAACACTAAAAGAAATAGATCAGTCTAAAATCAATTATAAACCATTTGAAAAAAATTTTTATCAAGTCCCATTTGAAATGTCATTAATGTCACATGAAGAAATAGAACTTTTAAGATTGGAACTAGATAACATAAGAGTTAAAGGTGATAATATTCCTATTCCTTTTACAAAATGGTCTCAACTAATACTACCTTCAAATATGATAAATGTTATAAATGAGTTAAATTTTGCAAAACCATCACCAATTCAATCTCAATCCATTCCTATTGCATTATCAGGACGTGATCTAATTGCAGTTGCAAAAACAGGTTCTGGTAAAACTTTATCTTATGTACTTCCATTGATGAGACATATCAATGCTGCTAATACTGGTCCAAGTGCATTAATTTTATGTCCAACAAGAGAATTAGCATTACAAATTGAACAAGAAGTCTTAAATTTTTCCAAAAAAATGGATAAAAAAATTGTTTGTTGTTATGGTGGTTCTAAAATTGAAAATCAAATTAGTGAATTGAAAAGAGGAGTTGATATTATTGTAGCCACTCCTGGTAGAATGATTGATTTATTAGCAGCAAACAATGGAAGAGTTTTATCTTTACAAAATACAACTTTCGTTGTATTGGATGAGGCAGATAGAATGTTTGATTTAGGTTTTGAACCACAAATAAATAAAATCTTATCTCAAATTAGACCTGATAGACAAACAGTATTGTTTTCAGCTACTTTTCCTAAAAAATTAGAGGCATTGGCTAAACATATACTAAAAGATCCAATCGAGGTAGTTGTTGGTGGTATTGGTGTTGTTGCTAAAGAAATAGATCAAAAAATTGTATTGTTTAATGATGGTGAAGATGAAAGAAATTCAAAATTATATGACATGTTATCCGCCATTAATGAGAATGATAAAGTTTTAGTGTTTGTTGAAAAACAATCAGATGTTGATAAAATGATTTCAAATCTTTTACTTCACAAAATTCCATGTGTTTCAATACATGGTGGTAAAGATCAATTGGATAGAAAATATGCTATAAAAGAATTTTCATCACCAAATAGTGGAGTAAATATATTAATTGCAACTTCAATTGCTGCAAGAGGATTAGATGTTAAAAACTTATCTTTGGTAGTAAATTTTGATCCACCAAGTCATTTAGAGGATTACGTACATCGTGTTGGTAGAACTGGTAGAGCAGGTGCAAAAGGTGAAGCAATTACGTTTGTATTTAGACTGCAAGAAAAAGAAATCAATATTTTGGTGAAAGCTTTAAAATCTAGTTCAAAAGATATACCTCCAGAATTATTAAAAATATCTGAAAAATTTTCGAATAAAGTTAAATCTGGTGATGTTAAAACAAATTCTGGATTTGGTGGTAAAGGTTTAGATAATTTACAAGATGTTAGAGATAAAAAGTTAAAAATGGAAAAGAAAATGTACGGTGAAACAATTGAAGAAGAAAAAGAAGAAGTTTCAGCCAAACAACAATCACCATCACCAATTGGATTTGTATTACCTACATTTGAAATAATTAAAGGAAATTCACCAGAAACTTCAGGTCCAGATAAATGTAAATTTCATAGTAGAATTACAATCAATGATTTACCGCAATCAGTTCGATGGAAAATAGTTCAAAGAGAAAGTTTAACAAGGATTATAGATGAAAGTAGAACTTCAATCACAACTAGAGGTAAATTTTATCAATCTGGACAACAACCAAAACCCAATGAAGAACCTAAATTATATTTACTAGTTGAAGGATTAACAGAACAATCAGTTGAAGAAGCAAATACAATTATTAAACAATTAATGATAGAAGGTATTGAATCACTTAGTAGTAATAATATTAATAAAAATGGTACAACTGGTAAATATTCTGTTATATAAATAGATAAAGATATCTAAATAGTACTTTTTTTCCCCCACATTTTTTTATTTTGTGTTTAATGAATTAGTTCCACGGTACAAATTCAATTTAACATTTTTTTTTTTGATTTCTTTATAAACCTTTTCTTTTAACAACTCAAAACCACCTAATTTAAGATGCCATTTGATGCTAAAAGTTATGAAAAATATGAATTTTATTCAATTACAGAAATTGAAGAAGGTTTCATTCATGTTCAATATAATAATCCAAAAACTTTAAATGCTTTTAAAGATCAAAACTGGATTGATTACGGAGAAATATTTACAAGATTAGATAAAGAAGAAGATGTCACTTTAATATTAGTATCATCTGGAGTACCAAAATCATTCTCATCCGGTTTGAATTTAAAAGCAGCTACAGAAATGATGGGAAAACATGCAGATTTATCAGAAAAGGAGCAAATTAGTGAATTACATAAACATATTGTTGAATTTCAACATGCCATATCAACACCAGCAAGAATAAGTACACCAACTATTGGAATCTTAAATGGAATTAATTATGGATTAGCATTAGACATGTCAAGTTGTTATAGTATTAGAATCGCTGTTGAAGGTGCTAGATTTTCAATTGCTGAAGTAAACATTGGAATTGCAGCAGATATTGGTTCTTTACAAAGATTACCAAAGTTAATTAATAATCAATCTAAATTAATGGAGCATGCATTATTAGGTGATGTATGGGATGCCAAAGAAGCTTTAGATTTAGGTTATGTTAGTACTGTTGTTAAATCAGTTGATGAAGGGATTGAATTAGCTAAAAGTATAGGTGAAAGAATTGTTTCAACACCAGCATGGGCTATTAAAGGAACCAAAAAACATATTCAAGACATTTTAGAAGGAACTACACATGAACAAGGTTTGAAAGATATTGCTAAGTTTAATTCTGTTAATATTACACGTTCAAAGATGAAATTATAGATTAAGAATTAAGGAATTGGTTAGAGTAATTAATACAATACGTTTATTTTTATTTTTGTATTTAAAACCAGCTTCCAAAACACTTTTACATTTCTCACAAACCAATTGCTCTACTCGACATAACATTAATACAAATTGGACATTGTGTTTTATATATTTATTATGCATGCTGAATATGTTACATGAACTGAAAATACTTAAAGTTCTCTATAAAAGTTTTGAAAGCCCTTCCATTCTTCTTCTTCTTCTTCTACATCATCATCTTCACTTCCTTTTCCGTCATCTTCATCATCTTCATCATCTTCATCCTCACTGTCTACAACAGCCCAATCAACTAATCTTTCATCATCCATAATATCTTCTTTACATTTTTCCCTCAATGTTTTCAATTTTGCATTTTTATTCAATTCAGTAAATGGTTCTATTAGTTTTTCAACCGGTATGTCTTCTACTATTTCTATTTTTTGTCTTAGTAAATCCTGATATTTTTCTAAATAATCTGATGCATTTTTATCCAATTCCTCTTCCTCCATTTCTTCAAATATTATTAATTCTAATTCATCTAAATATATATCACATAAATGATATGGTAAAGCTACTGGTATTCTAGAATCACCACTTAAGATTGTTTCTTTCATCATATTAACCCACTTTTCAACCAAATTCAGATCCCAATTTTGTTGTTTTAAATACTTGAAATTATGTCTCAATATACGTCTAATTAATAAGTAATATTTGTCTATTCTCCATTGATCTATACTTGGCCATTCTTTAATAATTATTAAGTTGAAAGCTTTTGTGAATAGTATAAATGATTTATTTGATTTTAAAGTTGTTGAATATAGTAATCCCAAATTCTCAGCCAATCTTTCCTGAGCTTTTGATCGATCGCAAAACCACATTGAATAATATAAACCTTTCCATAGTTTCTCCATATCCAATAATGTAAGTGAGTTTGATTTAGATGATGTTTTTGATTGTAAATATTTTTTTAGCGATTCTAAAGCTGCATCTCTAGTTGGTTTATCATTTGACGCTAGTTTTTTCACAAATGTGGAGGTCAGCGACATAACTATAATCTGCTGTTTTAATTTTTTGATTTAAATTGGGTTGTGAACTTTAATTTTTCAAAACATAGATGTTTCAATAGAGATGAGAGACCTAACAATTTTGTGTCATTAATTATTCAATGTCGCGACATCAAATAACAAATTAATATTAACATTACTCTACATTCTTCAACTTTATAATCCAATTATTGAATGATTTATTCTAATGAATTTAAATTGATTTTATTTAATTTATTATACAGACTTGTTATCAAATTGAAAAAAATAAAAATTTGACGTTATTATAATACTTCACTCTCAAAGTTTCTCCATTCCTATCACTCTTAAAAACACTCCTTATCCACTCTTATACAATTAAATATCTAATTGGAATATGAATTAATTTAACAGCGTAACCAACAACTCCCATCATGACAAAACCTACACCAACTGCTTTTATAATTTTAAAATATTCTTTTTGATCTGGTTTTTGACATTTTTTAACAAAAGCTGATCCATCTTTGAAAAATTCTACTGGAACTTCAGTTATTTTTTCAATACCTTCTGCTGCCATTATATGTTGTGGTTTGATTGTCTTATATATGTGTTATCTGGAAAGTGTTATCTGATTATTTTTGGTCAACTTTAATTTTTTTTTCAATAATTTTACGTGGTCTACTTTTTTCGATATTTGAACTTATAACACGCATTTTTCATACTACAATATTTAATATGAATTTAATCATTAAATTTATCATTCATTAAATTCTATTCAAATTTACATTAATTCTAATAAAGACTCTTCTTCTTCTTCGTTTTTCAATTCATTCATAAAATTTTCTCTTTTAAATTCTAATTGCTTTCTATATTTATCAATTCTCTCTGTTTTAACCCATTTTTTCAAATCATTTTTCATTAAATTATCAATACTGTATTTCTCAATTAATGGATAAATTTGACCTATATATGTATTTTCTCCTTTTAAATCTATCAAACATCTCATTGCTTCCGAATATAAAACTCTTATGGATGAACATTTGTCATTAGATGGATAAAACCCAGACCCTTGTCTTTCTGTGAATGATTTTGAATCGACATTATGCCTTTCATATTCATACAATAATCTATTTAAAAAATCGAAAATTTTCATTTCATCTTTTTGTTCCTGTAATACGTCCAAGTAAGTTTTATAAATAAAATTTGAATAATTTACTGGTGGATCTTTTTTAACTATATTCCATATTTGATCAAATGTGTTAAATCTTTCAAGTTTTAATTTCTCCATAAATTGTAAATACCCTTCATAATCAAAGTTTACATCATTTTTAGCATCATCTAATGAGATAGTATTACCTCTTGAATAATTACTTTTATTTAAGAAGAATCTTAATGCCCTATCTTCTTCAAACATGGTATTTATGTTTGCCCATTTAAATATTTGCTCCCAAAATACCTTCTTATCCCTATCCGACTCTTTAAATTCGTCATACACTGATTGAAACTTATTAATATATTTAATTCCCATAAAAAACTCTCCATTTGAAGCTAATGAAGTAAATAATGCAGTTAGAAATTTAAGATCTGGATATAAATGATTCTTATTATCTATTTTACTTTCAGGAGAAGTCAAATCCCCTTTAGCATCAATACCCCAAATAGATTCAATATATTTTTGTAATACAGTTAATTGTTTTTTATAAGCTAAATGAAGTATTATTATGGTATGCATTTCCAAATCAAAATCTTGTATTTGACTTTGTAAATCCCCCAAAGACAATTCAATGGATGGTTCAAATCTGCATTTTATGGGTTGTTTATAATAGTCTGACAACTCTGTACCCCTTAAAATCCAAACCTTATCGTCTCCAAATCCATCAATTTTATATGCTAATTTCCACATTTCTGGTGTCATTTCATTCATCCAATTAGTATGATTATATAATCTGAATAATCTAAACCACCTTGATGCTAAGTCTAACTTAAAATTATATAATTCTAATTCCATCAAATTTTCATAATCCTTATTTGTCAATTTATGCCCCGTAAGATATTTACTAAAATAAATATCATTTCTTTTATCCCTTTTATATAGATTTTCTTTTTTACTAGAATATATCATGTTTTTATAAATATTTCTAACTTGCTTTGTTAATTGATCTTTTAAAATAGTTTCTTTCTGATTTAATTTATCTGTTAGTCTTTGAAAATTTGCTGATTTATTTACCGGTATCGTGCTATATTGTGAAACAAAATAACTTCTATTTTCTCTTATCATTAAATTTAAATACTCTGAAATCAAATCTCTACCTAATGTTTCAATCATTCCATTAATATCATGCATTGACCAAGTTTCTAATACTTGACCTAATTTTTCAATATTTTTTTGTTCTGCTAATATTATCAACTCATTTTTAATTTGTTTCTCTTTGGTCCCTCGTATGTTTGAAGCAAAGACTGAACTTATTCGATATGAATCAATGAGACTCTTCGAAGGTAGATTTATTAGTATATCTTTAATTGATGAAGATTTTGCTTGTGTAATTATTTCCGATTTGTTGGTAGTGGTTGAGGTAGTGTTCGTTTCATTTAATGGTATAGTGATTGAAGTATATGATCTATGACAATTATGTATTAGTCTCCTCTGTACGGATCCATTTTTTATAATATTCAGCATATGTTAAAGTAATTTCATATATATATATTTTGATAATTGAAACAAAATTTGGTCTGAAAAATTTTAAATCTTTTTAATTTTTTTATTTTTTTTAGTTAATTAAAAAGTATGCCAAAATAGCGCGCGTAAATATAATTAACAATTTTTCAATCGTACTATCTTTAAAGAATAGTCCATTATTTATCATAGTTCAATAATTATATATTATATCAACCACGATGAAGATATAATGTCAAATCCTACTGAAAAGGAATTAAATCCATATATTCCGAAGTTTATAATTTCAAAACCATGGTATAATGAGGAGAAACAATCCGAAGAAAAAGTAGACGAAGAACAACCTAAAGACTATTTATCACATCAAAGGAAAACATCAGAAATTATTGATCATAGTCTACCTAAAATTGGAGAAGGTATTAAAGACGAATTTACTGGTAGTGTTAGAACTTCGACTGAAGATAATGCAAATTATGATTCAAAAAGAGATCGTTGGTATGGTTATTCAAATGAACAATGGTTGGAACTGATAAAATCTTGGAATGAGAAAAATAATAAATTAACTAGAAAACCTATTTATAAAAATGATGATGATTCTGATGATTCTGATTATGATTTAGAATTGAATGAATTAGGATTACAAAAATCAGATATAATGCAAAATGTAAAAGAAGATCCAATGGAAAAAATGTTAAGAGATAGACAAGATATTCCAGCATATATTCATAATATAAATTCAAGATTATCAGATAAAATTAAAATAGAATATGATCCAAAATCAAGATTAGCAAAAGATTTAACTAGAGGGTTTTTAAATGATAAAAATCAATTTATTAAAAAAGTTGAAGGTGATGCAAAAGATTTAAAAATTCTACAAAATTTTGCATGGGATTTAGATAAAAAGGACTTACAGATTAAAAAATTAAAACAAATAGAGAATCAATATAACAATGAAAACTCCTATTCATATGGTGAAGATGATGAAAATAAAAAAGAAGAAAAAATAGGTTCTGATTTAAATTTAAGTCTTGAAGCTAGTCCAACTTTAATGATGTTAAAAGCAAATCAAGAAAAAGAAAAAGCAAAACAAAAATCAATTGTTAAGCGTAAAGCTATATTAAGTATGTATACTGATACTGAAACTAAATCAACAGAAGATCAAAAAGCACCCAAAAAACAAAAGATTGGTGAATAACAATTTATTTTCAACAACTATTTAAATTAATTCTACTTCTTCATCATCAATTCAATGTTTTAAAATCCAATTTTGCCAATTTTTCAATCTTAAAAATTTATTATTATCTAATAATTCCAAAATTTCAATTTCATTTATTACTTCAATAATTAAATAATTATATTTACCATTTGAAGTTAAAATTTGAAGTCTTTTAAATTTTAATAATTTTAATAATTCAATTTTACCATCTTTTAAATCAAATAATGATCTAAGATAAGTATCTTTACATAAATTTTCAGTTGAAAAATAATATTCTAATTGTTTTTTAATAGTTGATTTTTTAATAATTAATTTATCCTTTGATGAAATTGATAATTTTTTTTCTTGTGCAATATTAGAAGTATATAATAAATTTTGTTGATTCATTATATTTGATGGTATTGGAGTCAATGGTCTTTGTTGTTGAAAAATAGGTAAATTACAATAAATCATTTGTGGTGGGAAAATTGGAGGAGATTGTGATAAGTTTGGTAAATTATTATTATTTGATGAAGGTATTAAAAATGGTGATGGTAAACCATTTGATATAAAAGATATAGGTGGTGGAGGGGGTGGTTGCTGCTGTGATTGAATTTCTAATATATGATTATTATTATTAAATTCATGAATAAAAGGACTAAAAGGTTGTAATGAAGGTGGTGGGGAATTTGGCCACATTTGATGATTATGATTATGAGTATGATTTTGTAATTTTTTATTATTATTTAAATTATTAAATTCAGTAGCAGTATCATTTTTAATATTTTTATCTTTTGATTTTGGAAAAATTGGCTTTTTTATTTTTAAATTTTTACCAACACTTACTAACATATCTTTTTTGTTATTATCATTATTAATTTTAGTATCATTATTTAAAATTTTAAAATGTTTTAAATTTTGATTTTGACTATGATTTGATTTTGGACTTGAAGTTGAAGAAATAATTAAAGTTAAAGAATCATTTGAATCATCATTATCTTGATTATACGAAGAAGAATTTGAAATAGTAGGTATAGGCATTAACAGTTCCTGGAAATTGGATTTAAGTTCAATTGGATTATTAGTATCATTCGCAGAATTGTCATTGTTTGAAACATAATTATCTACTTGAGTTTTGTTACTAACATCATGAGTATTGATACTGTTATTCTTATAATTATTATAAATATCTCTTGATTTTTTATTTTCTTTAATTAAAGTATTTAATTCCCATTCATTAATTTGAGGAGGTGGTGCTGGTGTTTATCTTTTAACTCCTGACATTTTCTTAGCTATTTATCTGAAAAACTTACAATTTATTCAAAATTTGGTTGTAAAAGTAACAAATTATTAAAATTTTATGATTTATATAATTTTTGGTTGTAAAAAATTTAAATATATTATATTTAAAGTATAAATAGAATATAAACTAATATTAATAATTTTTTAGATATGTTTCAAAATTATAAATAAATATTTATTATAAGATATAAAGATTTCATATTAAATAATTAAATCTATAATCAAAAATACCCCAAAAACATTTAAATAAATTATCCAATAAGATTAGGATTGAAATACCAATACAATTATTATCAAGAAATTATAAATAAGTCTTAACATGTTTTTTTAATTCTTTGTTATACTTTAATTAATTAAAATTTGTTATCTAGTATAAACTTATATTATTTTACTTTTGAATATATTATCATACATTACCCCCATATAAAAAAAAGTGCTGCAAAAAAAATTAATAACATTGATAAATCTCTCTCACTTAAATTTAAAGGTAGTGTGATCTTTAAATTATTAGATTTTATATTACTGTACATATCATACAAAATATAAGTATCAATATAATCATATAATACATTCTTAGATACGAAAATATCAATATTTAGTAAATTTAATAAACCAGGTATATTTAATAAACTCAGTATATTTGACATTCGATATGATATTAAAACATCTATAATAAAATTATTATTAATTAGAAAGTAAATGTTTTCAATTCCATCAATAATAATTTCAATTACTAAATTTTATTTACTTAAAAATAATTTATTAATATTAATTACAAGTATTTTTATTGTCTTGTGATTATAAAATATTTTTCTAATAATAATAAAATTTAAAGAATTACTCTTTTATAAAATTTTACATTATTCATTTATTAATTATAATAAAAATTGAATATTTTGTTTATTAAATTGAAGTGATATAATTACAATCAAAACACCTAAAATAATTAATAAGTTGTTATTTAAGTATTTCATTGAATCGAATAATTGTGTTCTTCATAAAAATGATAATAATAATAAAGGGGGATAGATAAAATATATATAAAAAAACCCACATGGGTCCTGAAAATATAATTTTAAAGAAATAATTTTAAAACTCACACGATGTCTAAAAATTAAAAAAGTTTAAAATTTAAAAATATAATACATCAATTATTATTATTATTTATTATCCACGTTTTAACCAAGACAACGTTTTATAATAAAAACAATCAGGAAAACGGGTAAGAAATGTAAAGAATATAGAATAATAATTCATTTATATGTACAAGTTAACTAAATAATAATACGTTAATCCGAATTTATAGTCTTTTGACTACGTGGGGTTAAAAATTATAAAAATTATAAAATTTATTAAATATTCATAATTATCACTAATCATATATATAAAATTATCTAAAATATATCGATATTTACTTGATACAAGATACTATGTGGCTGTAGTTAATAGTATATTAAAATCATTAAATAATGCTGTTTACAAATTTATTACAATATTTTCTGAATAATTCCATAATTCTATTAATTAAATAACAGCTTAATATTAAATTGATACATTTGAAAATATATCAATTTTATACAACAAGGTATCTTTCCTTCTTGGATATGTCTACTATTGTATAAAGTAAAGTGTCTTGTCTCTCTTTTTTAATCTTTCTTTATGTAAATTCTATTTTTAAATTTTGAGAGATCAACGTGGGTTTTTTTATCATGTCTAATTTTGTGTAATATTACTTTTAATTTTTATATTTTTTTTTTAAAGATCAAAAGACATAATAAATTAAATTAAATTTTATAATTTTAATAAATACTTCATTATATAAAATGAATCTAATTTATTCCTATTTTTTTTTTTAAATTGTTTATATACAACTTATATTCTGTTTTTATTTTATCAAGTATCTATAATTAATTGAACAAGTATATCAAATTGATTCTTACAAATCGATCAAGTCGAATTTAATACAATCAATTATTTTATAATAACAAATCAGAAGTATTTTGTGAAACAAATTAATAAATCAAATTTTGCAACTATTTAATTAATTTTTAAATAAATAATGAGTTTTCCATCACCACCAGTACTTAAAACTACTATTATTCAATTAAATAAAGAATTAGATCCTGAAGATAATAATAATAATTATGAAATTTTAACTAATGATTATAATAATAATAATAATAATAGTAATAATAATAATTTAGGAAATTCAAATAATATAATTAATAATACTAATATTAATAATAATGGATCAAAATTTAAGAATTCAAATAGTAATGATTTAATTCCAACTTCACCAAATTTAGAAAGTCAATTACCAAATAAAAAGAAAAGAAGAAGATCAACTGCAAATATTGATTCTGAAGAATTAGCTAAAAGAAAAAATGAAACAAAACAATTACATTCAATAATTGAAAAAAGAAGAAGAATTAAAATTAATAGAGAATTTGAAGCATTAAAATATATTATACCTGCTTGTAGGAATTGTAATAATTCATCAACATCAATTACAAATAGTCCATCATCAAAGAAACCGAATATTGGATCAAATAACAATAATAATAATAATAATAATAATAATGGTAGTAAAATTGATGGAATGTACAAATTAACAATTTTAAAAAGTTCAGTTGAATATATTTTATATTTACATCATATTATTCAAAAACAACATGAATTATTAATAAATAATTCAAATGTAAACGATAACTCAAATATAAAATCATTTGATATAGATTTTGCTAAAATACCACTTGATGTTAATCAATATAGAAATATTGATATTGATTTTAATTTTAAAAATTTAATTAATGAAAATAATAATAATAACAATAATGATATTGATCAACAACAAGATCAACATCAGCAGCATCAACAACAACAACAACCAATACTACAAAAATTAAAAAATGAGAAAAAACCCAAATCTAAATCTTCTAATAGACTTCATAATAATCATCATCAAATAATTAAAGAAGAAGATGAAGAAAATGATGAAGATATAGATTTAGAAAGTGAAAAACAAAATAGTGAAGAAGATGAATTATCAATTAATTTTAATAGTAGATCATCAAGTTTAGCTCCAACAAATCCATCATCAACAACTTTACCAAATATATCACAAACTAATATTACTAAACCTTCATTACCAACACCAGATTTTACACCAGATATGGCACCAATATTATCAATGCTTAATAAATATTCAACTTCAACAGCTCAAGAAATGAGAAGTAGAAAATTATCAAATCCCATATCACCTCAAACTTTTATTTTAAAATCTGCAAATCCTTCACCATATACTCAACCATTAAAATCTACATTATTACCAAATTCTACTTCACCATCAATGAGAGGTTATATAAATCTGAATACAATTAACAATAACAACAATAACAATTCAAAGTTTTCTTTACCTGATCCAGCTATAAATCCTCAAAATGATATTCCAAGAGACAATATTAATAACACTAATAAAGTATTTCAAAATAAAATGTTTTTATCATCATCTAATTGTAAAAGAAATAATGATGAAGATGATGAAAATGAAGATGATAATGAGGAAAGAACTGAAGAAAATTTAAAATTAACTGATCAATATGCTTCAAAAACATTATTAGCTTTAAGAAAATCAAGTATCGATAGTTTACTTAATTAAAATTCCAAAACAATTTTTGTATTTGTATAGACTAGAAATATATATATCGCGAACTTAGATTGAGTTTAATAATTATTAATCTATACTTGTAAATAAGTAGATTATATATTACTACTTACTCTTATATATAGCTAAATTAATTCATTCTCATTCAAATATTCCATATATTCATCAATTTTACTTGGCCAAGCAGCCATTTCATCATATTTTGATAAATTTATTGGATCATTAATTATAATTTCAATTAAAAATTGATAAAACATTGACCAAGTATCAAAAGTAATAATTTTTCTTTGATCAAATTTAATTAAAAATTCATACCATTGATTAATTCTTTCTTCAATTTTATCTTTATTTAAATTTGATTCAGTTTCATTATGTACACTAATAACTAAAGGTAATAATAATTTCCAATATTCTGTTGCCAATTCAATATTTAAAACTTTTTGATTTTCTGTTTCAATTAAAAATTTAAATGTAAAATCATAAAATTTTTTAAAATTTATTGTTTGATTTGTTTTTAAATCAATATAATTATTTTTATTGTGTAGTATATCATTATAAAAATTTTTTATAAAAACTTTCATCATCAATAAATCATAAACTTTATAATATTGCCAAATTGTTAAGAAATCATCTTTTTTAAATATTCCAAGTTTTGGTGAATTTAATAAAAATGCTAATGATAAAGCTTTTGGATCATCAGGATCAATATCTAAATCTTCAAGATATTTTAATGTACCTTCAATATCTATTTGATTAGGATTTAAAGAATCTTTATATTTATCATAAATTTTATTTAATTTTGAATTTATCGTTGTTGTAGTTGATTTATTTAATTTATTATTATTATTTAATTCTTTTTCTGCTTGTTTATCATAATATAATTCAATAGATCTTGTTAAATCATAATTACTTGCTTCTAAATATTTAGTTGCAGTTGATAATGAAGTTGTTGTTAATTCACAAAATTGATTCTTTAATTGAGTTTTATTCACCTTATACAAGTTAGTATATATATATATTACATATTTTCTCTTGATTAAATTGAATAAATGTTCTATTCTATACATACCATCCCTCACTTTATCTTCTCATTCCATTGGACTATATCAAAATAGTAGTTCAGTTTGAATAATGTATATATAATTATCGTTGTGATAAACTTGGTTGTAAAAAACTAATAGTTTTGAATTTAAAATAAATTATTAAATTTTAAAAGTCTGAAACTTTATGTAATCCTTTGATTTTAATATTATTATTATTAATATGTGAATTTCGTTTTAGTGTAAATAATTTTATAATAAAAGATAGATATATGATAGAATTTATAATATATTGTAATATCTATTTAGTAATATGAACAAAAATCTAACATTTATGGATCAAATATACTTTTAAGTGAACAATTGAATTTATCAAAGATTATATCAAATTATCGATGAAATGGACAATTATCTTGTATATCATCACTTTAAATGACTTATCAAGTAATAAGTAAATCTTTTAAAAGTATCAAAAATTTGGTAGCCCCAACAATATGTAATAAATATCAAAAAAATGGTAAATAATATTATTAAATTTATTGAGTTCTATTATCATTTAAATTTATTTTACAACCAAGAAATCAATTTTATAACAAATCAACTTCAATTACCCTTCACAACTTTATTAACATGTTGATATGAATGATGAATTTCAAAAGATTTCAATTAATCAAATTAAAAATATTATTGGTTTTCCAACTTTAGATGATTTATCAACTTCACCATCAGAAATTGATAATGATATTCAGATACTATTAGATTGGATTCAACCAATTTTACCTGAAAGAATTATGAATAATAACAAAAATCACAATGTAACTGTAACTACTATACCTCAACATCGTTATAGAGTTTTAAGATCTAGAAAACATTTAAATTATGAAGAATCAATTGAACCTAAATTCTTATTACCAACTTATTCAGAACCATCAAATAGAATTAAATTAGCAATAAAAAGTTGTTTCAAAAATGAATTAGATCAATTCAAATTTATTGATCTTTATCTTAATTCATTTAGTAAAAAATTAAACGAAATACCTTCATCAATAATATCAAATTTATTATTTGCAGAATATATGGATATGATAAAACTTATTTTACATCATTATGATTATCATATTGATCATTTTAATTTTACAAATAGAGTTAAAACTGTTTTTAATAATAAATTTTATTCAATTGTTACTTCATTTTTATTTGATCGTACAGATTTTATAATTCAATTGACAAAATTCTTGGAGAATTCTTTATTTTATAAACGTACTTTTTCAGATCCTCATTCATCAAATATGACTTTAAATATAATTGATGTTATTTCAACATTGGTAATGATTAATTTATCAGATAAATTAAATGAAATTATAGTTCAATTATCAATATTCAAGATAAAAAATTACACTTTACAATCATGTTCAGGAATTTGGGATAAACCATTACTAAATTTAATTGATTCATTTATTCAAAATGAAATTTATCCTAATTTTTCAATATTTGTTAGTTATACAACTTCATCCAATTTAACTGATTCAATGAATAATGTATATTTATATGAATTAATGAAAATTGCTCATAATGAGTTAATAACTCAAAGAATTAAAGAAATTTATTCTTTAGTGTTGGTATATCCTACCAGTGAATATGCACTAAAAGAATTACACATATGTTTACTGAAAAATAAAATGGAATATCAACAAGAAAATCAGATAGACATATCCACAACTTCAATTTTATCAATGGTTGATGAAATTTCATCTAATACTCAAGCTGCTAATAGATTAAAATTAGTTGAGAATTTTATTTTTAAATGCAAAGAAAATTTACTTCACGCTGGTGCCAATACGGTTGATGTAATAACTGCATACACCAAAACAATTAAATCATTTTTATTAATTGATCCAAAGGGTGTACTTTTAGATAAAGTTGTAAGACCAATACGTGATTATTTAAAACTGAGAGATGATATCATTGTAAAATTAGTACATGGACTTTTGGATACGTCTGAAACAAATAAATTAAAAGAACTACCAAAAGAATTATCTAACCCTCATAAACAACCAAATTCTGCAAATTATATAAAAGATGTAATGGAAGATTCAATGGATTTGAATTGGTCTCCTGATCCAATTGATGCATTACCTGATTTTAAAAAGGATAAAATAAATGATATTATAGAATCGTTACTATCAATATTTGAATCCAAAGATATTTTCATAGAAGAGTTTACAAAATTATTTGGTGATCAATTAATTAAGTCAGATAATTTCAATGTTGGTGAAATTGAATCAAAATTAAATTTATTAAAATTAAGGTTTGGTAAAAATAACTTTCATATTTTGGATATAATGTTGAAAGATTTTCATACTAGTGCAATAATGGCCAAAGATCACAATATTGTAAATGATAAAATTGTAAAAAGTGAAATTGTTGTTTTATCACAACTTTATTGGACAACTATATTAGACGGTATAAGTTCAGATTCGGAATACAAATTACCTAAAGAAATTGATTTGATGTTCAAGAAATACCAAAAGAATTTCAAAAGGCAGAAACAAGGTAGAACATTGAAGTTAATACCAAGTTTAGGTAAGGTTACATTAGGATTAAATTTAAGAAATAAAAAAGAGAAACTTTATCAAGTTAATCCACATGAAGCATCGATTATTTCCTTATTCAATGAAACTGATAAAGAATTATCAGTTGATTTTATTTCAAAAACTTTAAATATGCCCAATTATCTAGTAACTGAAGGGTTAGCATATTGGGAAAAAGAAGGTATATTATCTGCATTAACTAAAACCTTATATATTGTAAATGAAGATGAAAAAACAGACGACGAACAAGTTGATGAAGATGACGATGAAGATGACGAAGATTACAATAAATTAGACGAAAAAGAGTCAAAAGAAGAATCTAGTGAAGAATCAGATGAAGTTTATGACGATGGAGACGACGAAGAAGTTGAAGATCTGGGTTTATAAAATTGAAAATGTTGTGAATAATACAATTAATGAATATATAAATGATCAAGGATACAAAAAAAATATTTCCTATAAATAACTTTTCTTAAACTTTTGATCATGATTTTTATTTATTTTTTTTGATCTGATTTCTTAGTCCATCTTCTTGCTGCTTTTATTTCATCAGACATATAACCAGGAACTTTAATACCCCAATTATTTTCAAGATTTAATTGAACATCTCTTATATCAACTTTATCTAATTTTCTATGTTTTGCTAAATTACATGAAAATTCCGTAACATTACGTACAAATTCATCAGCTAAATCTAAGAAAATTTCTTCAACATCATTATCAACTGCTGTTTTAGAATCACCTTGATCAATCGATATATTTGTTATTAATTCATTTAATTTACGTTTAGTCAAAACTCTACCCTCATTATCTGGTATATTGGTTGGAGTTCTTGTAGAATCTTGAAAATAATTTAATGAGTTTACTAGATTAGTAGTTGATGTCAGATTAATTGGGTTATTATTAAGTAAAGGACGCTTGATAGCTGAATTAACAGTAGATGTTGGATTCATTGGTTGGTTTGGAGTTGATAGTCTCACTGAACTTGCAACTCTTGATACAGTAGGAGTTTTAACATTGGCAGTGGATGACAAAATACCGGGAGTAGCTATTGTAGGAGTAGTAGTGGTGGTAGTTAATGGAGGTTTTGCTAATGAATTAATTGTTGCAGCTGGTGATGTGGATTTTTTATTTACAATGTTTGAATTTGCAATAGATGCAGTTGAATTTTCTGATTTTCCAGACAAATCAGTCAATGATGAGCTTGAAGTTATTTCATTACTTGTGTTTTTATTTGCATTTAATTGGGTTAGGGGAGTAGCTGATTGGTTTGCTGTATTTGTAGTCGCAATTTTAGGAGATGATACATTTACTGGAGTTGAATTTGCAGATAATCTCCCAGATTCAACTAAAACTGATCTCATATATATTGCACCTCTATGATATTGTTGAAGTAAAGTTCTATTTTCAGCTATTGATTTATCATAACTTTGCTTCTTAATTGGATCAGTTTCTTTTTCTTTTGCACTTGTTAAGTTTTGAACTTTTTCAACTAAATCTTTTAACACATTTTTAACTTGTTGATATTTTTCAATGGTTACTTTTTGATTTTCATTTGAGTTGGTAGTAGTGGTGGGCTTTTGAGGAACTGGTGATTGAATTTGCGATAACTGAGGTGATTGGACTTGACTTTGTGATTGTATTGGTGGTTGTGATGGTGGTTGTGATGGTGGTTGTGATGGTGGTTGTGATTGTGATTGTGGTTGTAATTGAGGTGAACCTCGAGCTTGTATTTGTGATGTTACTTGTGATGGAACTTGAGATGCTGATTGATGAGCTTGAGTGGAAGTTTGGCTTTGAGGACGAAATTGAGGTTGAGATTGAGGTTGAGATTGAGATTGAAATTGAGATTGTGAATGTGGTTGGGATTGTTGTTGTGTGAGACCAGATGGAGTATGAGAAGGAGTAGATATTGGAGTTTGTGATTGAGAAGTTGAAATTGAATTTGGACGTTGACTCACTTGATGATTCGCTATTGTAGAAGCTGAATTTAATTGATTTTCATTATTTGGTATTACTGTATTCTCTGAGTTAGTTACACTATTATTTCTTAATTGTTGTTGTTGTTGTTGTTGTTGTTGTTGTTGTTGATTTTGTTTCTTTTCTTGAAATGCCACCAAAACTCTTTTAATTTTTTCAACTACTGATAAATGTTCTCTAACTTTTACTGGGTCTGTTTCTGTTTTACTTGCTTCTAATTCATCTTTTAGTTTCTTCATAAGTGCTTTTACTCTTTGTGGATTAAGTTCTACTTCTGGAGTAGGGGTCGGTGTATTTGTATTAGGCGCCAGAGAGCCTGTTGAATTGTCCATTATAATGTGTTTGTTATTGGATATTGATTAGGTAACAATTAATGTTTTATAATTTATAATGTTATTATAAAACAACTTATTTATTTGTGCTTTGTTTTAAGTTTATATTTTTCAAAACAATTAACATACAATATTTTGGTCGTGTGAGTGTAAACAAATATTTTAAGAGGTTTTTTTATACTGAACATTTCAATTTTCATTATCATTACAATCTATAAAATAATTTTATAATGATAACACTTTTTCTATAATACTTATAATATGATCATCAAATTCATTAGGTTTTGAGTTTATTCTGGATAGCTTGTCATCAATTAACTTATCCAATAATTTTCTCAATTGTTTGACTAGCACACCATTTTTACACCAAGTTCTTATTGGTAACCAATTATCTAAAATAATACCTTTTGATGGTACACCATTGGTTGAACTTAAATCATATTCAAATTTCCCACCAAATAATAAAGTGGATAATGTACTTAAAGGTGTGATATTTCTAATATATAATTTATATGAAAGATGTGATGATCTGTATGTAATAAATGGAAATTTTGAAGGGCTATCCATAGTTTTGTTTGCAGTAGTAGTCAAAGATCTAGCTTTATCAAAAACCACATTACCGTCTTGATCAATTATAGTTGATTCATCAAATTCAAAAGTTTTATTGCTTGTATCAAAGAATACTGATGATGGATGAATAAATACTCTTGACGCTGGAAGTTCATTTTCTTCATTTTTTGGATCTCTTTTAACCCAATATTTGATAAGTTTTGCATCAGGATCAACTTCTAATGAGCCAACCGTCGATTTAATATACTTTTTAGCAGGTAATTGGACTCTTGAAATATTAGGATAAAACGCACCAGCAATGATAGCTCTAATCAAATTATATTTTGTTCTTGTTTCAAGTTTAACTTTGGTGTCCTCAAAAAATCCCATTTCTAACAATAACTGATGATACTGAGCTTTGGTGGTTTTAATATCTTTTATTGCATTGTACGATAAACAATTATCATTCATGAATTTTTTACTTGGATTGTCAATATATGCTTCATATATATTTGCCATTGCAATTAAATCACCTTGATTATCGGAATTTTGAATTAAAATGGTTTTGATTTTGTCTCTATTCTCCATGTTATGTTGAAATATACTTCCAATAGAATTTATTGCTGCCAAAGTTGCTGCAAAATCTAAACATTTAAATATACATCCCAAAATTAATAATTTGCCGGTGTGAGTATCAGTTGGTAAATATGAAAGATATTTACCTAAGTTTGTTAATGTTTCCCCGTCTAATGCACCTATATCTTCTAAATGATTCTTAGCAGAAGCCAAAGATTTTGAATCAGGCGAGTCTAATCCACTTGTAATAAACTTCTCAACGTCATTGATTCCCATTGATTTTACAACCAAGTATAAATTTTCTAAACGTACTCTTTTAATTTCAGGTATTGGTTCAACTAACATTGCATTTTCAGTCTCCTTTGTATATAAATGATAACATGTACCATTAGTTACACGACCTGATCTACCTCTTCTTTGTTTAATTTCAGCTTGTGAACACCATTCTTCAATCAATTTTGTGGAATTTAAAGAATTATCAAAAAACATTGACTTTGACCTACCTGAATCTATGACAACTACACAATCTGGTATTGTAATTGAAGTTTCTGCAATATTTGTTGAAACTACAATTTTCCTTAACCCTGATGGAGGTGATTTAAACACTTTCTTTTGATCTTGAGAGGATAAGGATGAATGTAATGGTAGTGTCCAAGCGTTTGTCAAATTTTGATTAATTTCTTTAATAGCCTTGTTAATTTCTGGAACACCAGGTAAGAAAATCAAAATTGATCCATTGTTTTTTTCAACCTTTAATTGTTCGTTGATGTGAGATACCAATTTGGCTATCAAATTATAATTTATGTTACCTTTAGCAAAAAATGCTGAATCAGCTCTAGGCCTTATCATTTCACCACCAACTTCCATAGTGTAGTCTGTCTCTTGTAGTATATCACCTAGATAAATATCTTTAATTGAGAAAGTTCTACCTTCAATATGTTCATGATCTAAAGTTTTACCAAAAAAATCATTAAACTTATCTAATTTAATTGTAGCAGACATTAAAATTACTTTCAAGTTCTTGAATTTTTTTAATAAATTTCTCAACATGATCAATAAAAAATCTCCATCAACTGATCTTTCATGAACTTCATCTATGAACAAATAACCAAGGTTTTTAAAAAACGAAGAATCATCATCGTTGTTATTTGAAATATTTTGAAACATTCTTAATAATATACCAGTAGTTAAAAATGTAATTCTTGTACTTGAATTGCTTTTTGATTCGCCTCTGATAATATATCCAGTTTCTTCACCAATTGAATCAGCTCTCTCTTCAGATACACGGCTGGCTAAACCGATAGCTGATATACGCCTTGGTTGAGTACAAAGAATTGTAGTTGAAAAATCACCTTTAGAATTTAAATCATCTAATATGAATTGGACTATTTGGGTAGATTTACCAGAACCTGTTTCACCTGTAATTAAAGTAATTTGATTATCGTTTATCAACTTTATCAATTGATCTTTTTTATTCCACGCTGGTAGTTTTTGTCTCTCTACTTCCAGTACTTTTAATTGCACTTCCCTTTTTTTGTATGACGATTCAATAGCATCAACATTCTGTAAAGCTCTATTTCTAATCCTCTTCACTTTTTCAGTGGAATTATCTGTAGAAGTATCATTATCATTTATCACTTTGCTGGTTTTATCATAAACCATTAATGGACCAGGATCTTTGATAATATTCGTCATATTAATTTCTAACCATTCAATAATTGAAAAAATCATACATTCACCTAAATATAATTCATTAATTAAATATCTTAAGATTGATAATTTAACATAACTTGCTAATTTATATTTTTCAGATACCACCAATTGAATTCCAGGTATTTCATTTGGAAAATTAGAACTTTTAAAAATTTTCACATTGATTACACCTTCATCAAGACCTTCTGGGTTTAATGGTATTATGACTGAGTTGTTGTCATGAGTCTTGATATCATGGGTCAGTTGAAGTGCTTCAATTTCTTGATCCCATAATTCTTGACTATCAGAAACAACTTCATTTAAATTTGATTTATTGGAAAGTAACTGAGTAAGTTTGATACTAGATTGAAATTCATCTTCATTGTTTTCTTTATATATCTCTAAAATTTTATCATCATCAAAACCTGAATTTTTTAATCGTTTCAAAGCTAATTCAGTCTTTAAATTTTGAGATATTGTAAACGTAACATCTGAATCTTTAGAAGATTTTGAAAAAAGGGGAGGTAAATCATCTTCTGGAATATGAAATATAAGCCATTCTAACGCATCAATAAAATTTGATGAAGTATATTGAAGTGATTCTTTTACATGACTTTCTCTAAACCCCAAATTAGTTAATTTGATGATGATATCTTGATTTAAATTTTGAAGTTCCTTTTTTTTCGTAAAATCCCATTCAAGATAAGTTTTAACTGAATTTTCAATATCTAACCTAATTTCTGAAGGTATATCAAATAATGTGGCATTTTCCCAAGCTTTTGGAGGAAATGCACTCCTGATAGGTTTAGTATAGGAATTATTATTTACAAGTTTTTGTTGTCCTATACTTATTGTAGGTTTTTGAATTTTCAAATCTTGATTATTTTTAACCTCTGTTTCCTTTGATTTTTTCAATTTAAGTTCTTGTTCTTCTAATAATACAGTAAATGGATTTATATTATAAATTTTATCATGTTTTAATTTATCTTCTTTTAAAATTTTTAATCTTTCAATTTCTAATTCATTCCAATAATCTCTAAAAAGAATTGGTAATAACATTTTCATATTTTTTATAAAATTAATACGATATAATACATAAGTTGCAACCATATGTCTTGCTTCATTTGTTGTTTCTTTTGGTAAATAATTTGGTTGAAATTTTATTGATAATAATTCTTTTGTCTTTGGATTTTCCCATGATAATGTTACAATTCCAATAAAACCTTTGGCTCTTTTAATCATATCATATTGTACTTTATTCCATTTCTGTTTCTGACAATGTTCATTTAATAAGGTGACTGGTAATTTACCTGTCCAACCAAAATTTTCACCAATATTTAATCCTCGAGATGGTTTTTTTAAGTCATCACTTGTTGACGTTGATGCATTTTTGTCAATCTTCTTTTTTGTATTAGTTGAATTTATAGGTGTAGATTTTTCTTCGACCTTTGACTTGGTCTTCTTAGCCATTAAATATTAATTAATTATTATATTAGAATGATTTAAAGTCATCTTTGTCATATAATTTGTATTGATAATAAAATTTGTGACAATGGAAAACGAGAAATAATATTATTAGACATTCTATTAAGTTATTGAATTTATGACATAATTAATTCGATGGGTTAGTAATATATAATAATAATTGTTAAGGAACAAAAGTGCTATTTATTATATAATATCTAGTATGTCAATACATATAAATCGTATTTATAAATTTGAAGTTACTTGATACTATTAAATTTATAGATATGAATAATTTAAATTATTTAATTTAATGAGAAAAAAAAAAGTGTTTCAGATTTTTCTTTATTGTTTTCTAATTAATAATAGTCTAACAGTGAAAAGCTTTAATACAGTCAAATCGGAAATTTCAAAGCTTTAAAGAATAGTGAACATTGATATATATTAAAACAATAATGTTATATTTAAAATTTTAGAATTCAATCTTGCACTTAACCGTAAAACTCAATAAACTAATTATCTCACAGTATCTTAAATAAACTTCAATTGAATATTTCTGATGCGTACTTCGCATGATCTTACAAGAAGTATTTTATTATTATTAATATTGTACTCTTTTTTGATTCAGTTTTTGTACAAATCAGCAATATTTAAAAAAAAGTAGGCTATACAAATTATTTTAAATAATTTAAAAGTTATAGTATCGAGAATTTATATATCATTTAAAGAGAATGATTTGGAAGTTGAAAGTATTAATATAATAATACTAATAAATCAAAGCTGAATATATAAAAATTTGAATAAATAAGTATTTAATCTCTTCTCTTATAATTGTATATAATAATCAAGTATATAAAATTGAATATTAATTTTTTTATTTGCTTGAAGGCAAAGTTACAAAATTTATTATAAACTGAAAAAATTATTATTCATTATTTTTTCAATGGACTATAAATTAATGTAAATATGGAAACAAATAAAAGTAAAATTTAATAATTGAATTTACAATGACCTTTATTATTCCAAGTTTATACTTTATATAAATCAATTTATACTTTAGATTGAATGTTATTATGATGATTAATAGTAATAGTGTTATATAAATTTTTTGTTCTTTTCTTTTTCGTAAATCAATTCTATTATTAATCTATTTGTAATTTGTCCTAATTAGGAAGTGTAATGATCTATAATATAGTTTTAACATAACCTTTAAATTGTATTCTATATTCATTACAAATTTCTTTAAACAACATCCAGCTGAGAATAGTTCTTCAACTAACAATATCTTATTAGTTTGAATATTCAAACTTATAAGTTCAATAAGGTAAATCAATATAAAAATCATATGTAAAAATATATAAATATAATATATTAAATGTATGTTATTACACGTAAGTTACAAAATAGATTAATTAATATAATATTTAATATAATATAATATACAGTAACAATATACAAAATAAAATTAATTCTATAAATAAATTTAATTAAATTTTAAAAATAAATAAATAATACAAAAAAAAATTTAAATTTAAAAGAAGAAGAAAATTTACAACCAAATTTTTTTAATTTTTATATAAATATTGATTTTACATTTAATTTCAAAATCAAGTTCATTTGATTACAGATAACTTAATTTTAGTATTAATATATAATTGAAAAGTAATTTAATATTTGAATCAATTTATATTTATTTATTTTTAAACAACACAAGCATATTACTTTAAAAAAAATCAAATTTTCATTCGCTTTTAGTATTTTTCATTTCAAGAACATTAATTTTATATATTTTATATATTTTTTATATTTTAACAACAATTTTTCATAAAATTATCAATCAATTAATATAACAAAGTAAAGAAAAATGTGTGGTATATTTGGTTATGTTAATTTTTTAGTTGATAAATCAAGAGGAGAAATTATTGATAATTTAATTGAAGGTTTACAAAGATTAGAATATAGAGGTTATGATTCTGCTGGTTTAGCAGTTGATGGGAAATTAATTAAAGATGGTGATGAAGAAATTATGAATAATATTATTGTTAAAACTCCTGGTAAAGTTAAAGTTTTAAAACAAAAAGTTATTGATGATAAAATTAATAGAACTGATATTTTTGATAATCATGCAGGTATTGCTCATACAAGATGGGCAACTCATGGTCAACCAAAAGAAGAAAATTGTCATCCTCATAGATCTGATTCAACAAAAGGTGAATTTATTGTTGTTCATAATGGTATTATAACAAATTTTTCTGCTTTAAGAAAATATCTTTTATCAAAAGGTCATATTTTTGAAAGTGAAACTGATACTGAATGTATTGCAAAATTATTTAAACATTTTTATGATTTAAATTTAAAAGCTGGTGTATCACCAGATTTAAATGAATTAACAAAACAAGTTTTACATGAATTAGAAGGTTCTTATGGTTTATTAGTTAAAAGTTATCATTATCCAGGAGAAGTTTGTGGTACAAGAAAAGGTTCACCATTATTAGTTGGAGTTAAAACTGATAAAAAATTAAAAGTTGATTTTGTTGATGTTGAATTTGAAAATAATGCAGCTCAACAACAACAACAACAAGCAAATGGTCATTCATCATTATTAAATAATCATAGTACTTCATTAGATTCTGGTTTCATACCAGTTGCACCTGGTGAACAAAATTTAAGAACTTCACAATCAAGAGCATTTTTATCAGAAGATGATTTACCAATGCCAGTTGAATTTTTTTTAAGTTCAGATCCTGCATCAGTTATTCAACATACTAAAAAAGTTTTATTTTTAGAAGATGATGATATTGCTCATATTTATGATGGTGAATTACATATTCATAGAGCTTCAACAAAAAGTGCAGGAGAATCAACTGTTAGACCAATTCAAACTTTAGAAATGGAATTAAATGAAATTATGAAAGGTCCTTATAAACACTTTATGCAAAAAGAAATTTTTGAACAACCAGATTCAACTTTTAATACAATGAGAGGTAGAATTGATTTTGAAAATAGTATTGTTACTTTAGGTGGATTAAAAGCATTTTTACCAACTATAAGAAGATGTAGAAGAATTATAATGATTGCATGTGGTACATCATATCATTCATGTTTAGCAACAAGATCTATATTTGAAGAATTAACTGAAATTCCAGTAAGTGTTGAATTAGCAAGTGATTTCTTAGATAGAAGATCACCAGTTTTTAGAGATGATACTTGTGTATTTGTTTCACAATCTGGAGAAACTGCAGATTCGATTTTAGCATTACAATATTGTTTAGAAAGAGGAGCATTAACTGTAGGTATTGTTAATTCAGTTGGTTCATCAATGTCAAGACAAACTCATTGTGGTGTTCATATTAATGCAGGTCCAGAAATTGGTGTTGCATCAACAAAAGCTTATACTTCACAATATATTGCTTTAGTTATGTTTGCTTTATCATTATCAAATGATTCAATATCAAAAACTAAAAGACATGAAGAAATTATAAAAGGTTTACAAAAAATTCCTGAACAAATTAAAAAAGTATTAAATTTAGAAACAAAAATTAAAAAATTATGTAATGATGATTTAAATGATCAAAAATCTTTATTATTATTAGGTAGAGGTTATCAATTTGCAACAGCATTAGAAGGTGCTTTAAAAATTAAAGAAATTTCTTATATGCATTCAGAAGGTGTTTTAGCAGGTGAATTAAAACATGGTGTTTTAGCATTAGTTGATGATAAATTACCGATTATTGCATTTGCAACAAGAGATTCATTATTTCCAAAAACTATGTCAGCAATTGAACAAGTTACTGCAAGAGATGGTAGACCAATTGTTATATGTAATGAAGGTGATGCTATAATATCAAATGATAAAGTTCATTTAACTTTAGAAGTTCCTCAAACAGTTGATTGTTTACAAGGTTTATTGAATGTTATACCTGTTCAATTAATAAGTTATTGGTTAGCAGTAAATAGAGGAATTGATGTTGATTTCCCAAGAAATTTAGCAAAATCAGTTACAGTTGAATAGATGAGACAATTTATAAAAAAGAAATAAAATTTTTTATATGTTAATGTTATTTAGTTGTGTTTATTTTGATAATTTAATTTAATTTGATCGGTTTGTTAATGAGACTTTTCGCTAAATGTAAAATTACTCTACTTCTTAGGTTGTAATTATAAATTTGGATAATTATTATAATTATTTTACTTGAAAAATATATATACACTAAGAATTAAACATACATTACCAGGAGAAAATTGCGAAAAAAAAATTGATTCGTCGGTAAATCTACTTCTTTCTACCATAATCTTGGAACCTTCTTATCCTCTATTTTCTAGTAAAAAATTGACTTGAACCTAAGAAAGCACCAGTTGAATCTAAAAATGATTCTCCAAAATTTAAATATTTTGAACTATAATATCTTATATCTTTATTTTCAATTAAATCTAAATTTGGTGTTACACCAGTTGATCTTTTTATACCTGCTAAAACTCCTGATATCAAAACTAAATCAACACCTATATGTGCTAATCTACCAATCATTTTTGTATTATGAAATTGTAATTATATTATGTTGATTCTTATTTATATTAAATAATTATTTTGAGATTTTGGTTTTCAAATCCAATAGAGTCTCGATTGTAAAAGCTTGATAATAACTTATGACTAATAATAATATGTAGTTGTATAAATCAGTTGATAGTGGCAAAAACTAAAGTTTTATAGAATAATTAAGTAGTTTCATTTATATTCTATTTTTTTTATTATCTTATTTCCTTTTTTGATAATACTAAAAAAAATTAAAAATTTAAACTAGACCAAATTTACACTCCCTTAAATTTTTTAAATTTTTTAAGTTTCATCTATATCTAAATTGTATTACTATACAACAAAACTTAATCTTAGGAGTAAAATTCAAATTACAAAAGGTAAGTGCTTTCATAAAAAAAATGGTATAAATTCACCTAAAAATTTATAGCCGTTTATACTGTTTTCTATTGAAACATACAAAACCGTTAGAGTTTTTTATAATTATTAAGTTTAATATGGTAGCTTAATAACAAATTTAAGGTCACATTATAATTATTTCATTTTACTACAATTTTATATTCTAAATTTTTTGAACATATAACATCTTATTTTCATTAATTAATCATTCATCTATACTTTATTATTATTAAATCTTTTTATTTATTCTTTATTATACTAAAATATGCTGCAACAAAAGCTGCAACAATTACTCCTGCTATAGCAGTTAATCCACCACCTGGTAAAAGATTTTTTATAAAATTTTGATTACTTTTATTTTGTAATAATTGTTGTTGTTGTAATTCATGTTCAATTAATATTCTTGCTCTATCTTCTGGATCTAATTTATCTAATTGTGAAAAATCAATCATTTTTTCACCACTTTCTCCTATACTAAAACCAATCATATTACTATTATTTGTTTTCATAGTATTATTATTACTATTATTTAAAAGCTCTAGTCTTTTAGCTTTTTCTTCTTCTTCTAATTCTTTTCGTTTAATTTCTTCTAAATCTAATTTATTTTGTTTTACAATATTTGGAAACTGTTTTATAAATCTTGGATTTTCTTTTATATTCCAATTTTTACTTGATTTTGCTAATTTTTTTTTAACATTTTCTGAAGTATTTATTGATCCTGTTGTTGATTCATTACCTGTCATAAAACTTAATAATCCTGTTAAAATTGTTGCAACACTCCAAGCAGGATTCCAAGTATCAGGATGATAATCAGACATTGATAAACATAATCTTGTATTACATGCAAATCTACCATTTGGTGTTATCATTGTTATTGAAGGAGGTTTAAAAGGATATTCTTGTGGAAATCTTAATATACCATGATATTGACCATTTTCAAATGGAGTATTTGTTGGACCAGTTATTATATAATGCCATTCCAAAATATTTTCATCACTTGGTTTTGCTGTAATATAAGGAGGTGGTGTTAATTGTATAGATTTATATTCTTTAGTTAATCGTCTTTGTGACTGTCTTGATGCCATTTGATTATTAGAAATTTGTTGTAAAATGATTTTGTAAAGATAAGTCTTGGATGAATTCTATTCTATAATTAGTATTAAAAAATAGGGGTGTGTGGAAGCAAAATTTGGAATGTTGGGTATCAAAATCTATTTTTTTCTATTATCAAGATCTTAAAGAAACTAAATTATAAACCGACCTTTCTGAATGTAATGTATGATCACTCCTGATAATATTAAATGGAATAATAGTAGTAATGAGTTGAATATGTAAGTATCTATAATATAAAATGTATTAGGTATAAATAGTTGTAAAAAAATTCTTGAAAAATGTAAAATATTTAAGAAGTAGTTAATCATTTATTATTCTATCTTTATTTTAGTTTTATATATTACATTATTAATAAATTACGTAATAATATATTTTAATAGATTATCACAAATATATTTTATAATGTAACAGTTAATTATAATTCACACGATATTTATATGATATAATGAAATCATATCATAAACTTATTAGTTAAGATAAGTATTTTTACAGATCTTTTGAAAGTTTGTCATCATTAATTCATATACATTCATATTTAATTTACAAATTTCTATTTCTAAAAATTTTTTTTACATAATTTATAACTTTAATCTTTTACTTTTAAAATTTATGGTTTTTGACCAACTGCATAAATTAAACTAACTTCAATCAAATAATTCATTTCACCATCAATATCTTTTGATTCCAATTTACCTTCTTTTAATTTATTAACTTGTTCATCATCACAATGATTCTCAATAAAATTTGCTGGTTGCCATAAAGTTGTTCTAAATTCTCTTGCACTTGAAACATTTTTTAAACCTGATAAATTATTTAAAACTTTATTTAAACTTGATTTTTTTAAACCTCCCATATGTTGTACTGCATCACTCATTTTAATATCTGTTTTGGAAAATTCTATTTTTTCAACATCTTCATTATAAAAATCAACTATAAATAACCAACCATTTTGTTTTAAAAAAGTTGATAATTTTTCAGTTACTTTTTCATAATTATGAATATGATGATAAGATATTGTACAAATTATAACATCAAATTGATTTTCAAATTTTTCTTTTAACTCTGTTTTTAAATTTGAATCTAATATATCATATTCATAAGATTTTATTGAAACTTCATCATCACTGAAATTTTGAGCTCTTTTATTGAAATAACTTAAAAATGCAGGACCAATATCAATTCCAACAATTTCAGATTTTTTTCCAGATTCTTTTAAATACGGAACAAATAATTCAGTAACCATTCCTGTACCACAAGCAAAATCTAATAATTTCATACCAGGTTTAAATAATCCTTGTGAGAAATCCTTTGAATAAGTTGATGGATTAGGTAAGGTATTTTCTTTAGTTAAACCATTACAACATTTATATGGATCACCAATAAGTTTTGAAGATTCTTCATCTGTTTTTCTAGGTTTTGTTGGATCAAATTCTAATAAATATTTTGCAAATAAATAACTTAATGAAATATGTGATTCCCTTTTTTCATATTTAGCAGCAAATTCATCATTAAATAAAGATTTGTTGGCTGCAATTGCATCTTTATGAGTTTCTTCAGCTGTCATTTAAATTGGTGAATGGTGGAATGAATGGTGGAAAAACAATTGAAAGTTATTAACATTATATCGAAGTTTATTATTTGATCTCATGTTTTATTTTTTTTTCAAAAGTTGGGGAAACTGAATTATAAAATATATGAAGTGATATGCTCAAATACTCTAATTTTACTACGATCTTTCAAAAATAAGACTAAGGATGAAAATTTACTCTATGAAAAGTTATCAAGCTTCTCAGATCAATCTTTTTACAGGTTATACGTATTAGTATCCTTTGAATTAAAGGAGGAATAATCTCTTTACGTTGAGCGGGCCTTGTTAAAATTTTTAAGCCGCTAAAATGTTTAATAATCCGAGTTACTTGAAACTTGAAAAACAAATATTGACAACCCTTTCAAATTTGATTTTTATGCCATTATACTGGCGTAAAATTGAGGAGAGAAGGATAAATTTAGTTGCGTTGTAGAAGAAATACCACTAGAGCTTGTTGTCAGCGAAAATAGGGTTATGTAACAATGAGCTTTTACATGGATCAATTGACCAAAAATAGCACATTAAATAAAGTAAATTTACATTACATCGCAATGATCAAGTAATTCCATATAAAAAACTATCTTCATTACATATAAAAATAGGGAGTTACTGTAAAAACAATTAAGGAAATTATATCTTATTTATATAAAATATTCAGCAATGGTCAAGTCTACCATGCTTGAACTATAAATTTCCAATTTTGATCAAATTTACCATAACAATTTTAAATTCATGCCCTATGACACATTGTGTTAATGGAATTTACGACCAAAAATAGGAACAAAATCAATTAAACAATCGATTGAAAATGTACATGGTGCTATCAATAACCTACGCTACTTCGAGAAAACAATAATAGAATTATAGAAATAATTGTTAATTTTATAGTCTTATCTATCAAATCTAGATTATATTTGTGTATTAAAATTTTATATTTCTTCATAATAAATTATGTCTTATCTATTGATTCTAAAACCACTGGTTTTGTGTAAGTTTGCAACAAAACTGTATCTTTTCGCAACTAAATTATTTATGAAAAGTATAAATATACAGATTTATGCCCCCTTTGATACTTCAAGAAATCCGATCAAATCTACATAACATAAAGTTATTCTTTTCAACAAATAGATCTACATATACACTCTTATCATTATAATTATCCTCACCTTCAAAATCTCAATACAGTATGGCTACAGCTTCAGTTCATCAACAAATTTTAGATGGTAACATTCACAAAAAAATTCCATTATCAACCTATGAATCCAATTTAGAACCAACTTTACAAAATTTAGAATCTTTGTTACCTGCAACAAGTACAGAAATTCCAAAATTTAAGCCAGATTTACATTTACAATATTATTCAAATGAATTATCATTAACTAAATATAATAATACAAGAAGAATTACAATGAAAGAATTAGGTTTAGAAAATCCAAAAGAACAAATTTCACCAATTGGAGTTAGTGATCCATTTCCATTATTTACTGAAGAAGCTATAAATATAATGAAAAAAGAATTATTAACTAAAGAAGTATTTATGGAAAATGCAAGATATAGTTTTAATTCAACTTCAGGTTTAGATTGTTGTTTAAGAGGTTATGTTAAATCTTTAAATGGTAAAATTAATTGTCCATTTATATATGATGCTTGGACTCATCCAAAAACAATGGAATTAATATCTAAAATGGCAGGAGTTGAGTTAGAAATTATAATGAATTATGAAATTGGTCATGTTAATATATCAATAAAATCTGATGATGCAGCAAATGAAGAATTAATTAAACATGAAAGATTAATGATTGATGAACCAAAAAGAAAAAACAGTGGTGATGATATTCCTGCAGTTGTTGGTTGGCATTATGATTCTTATCCTTTTGTTTGTGTTTTAATGTTAAGTGATACTTCAAAAATGATTGGTGGTGAAACTTCATTAAGAATGGGGACATCATGTGGTGAAAATCAAGTTGCTATTATTCCATCACCTCAATTAGGTTCAGCATCAGTATTACAAGGTAGATTAATTGAACATATTGCACCAACTCCATTAGGTTTATCAGAAAGAATGACAATGGTTACAAGTTTTAGAGCTAAAAATCCAAATTTAAAAGATACTTCAATTTTAAAAACTGTTAAACCTGAAATTAATTTTGGTTCGAGATATAATGAATTTTATTTTCAATGGATTAATTATAGATGTGAATTAATTAAAGAAAAAATGGATTTAATTAATGGAAAAGTTTTGAAAAGTGATCAATTTGATAAAGATTTAATTACAAATGAATTAAAAGATGTTGAAGCTTATGTTAAAAAGACTTATGAAGAAATGATGATCAGTAAAGAAGAAATGGCAAAAATGTTTCAAAAATGATTAAATTTTCAGTAGTGGCTAGCTTTTGATGATTGTTTTTAGTTTAAGTTTGTGAGGTATTTGTTTGATACAAAGTACCTATTGATTTTTCTTAAATAAATTGCTTTACTGGGTAATTGATTGTAGAAGTGAATCATTCTAATTCCAATTGACAAGTATGTCCTTCATTGATGGATTATTAAATTATTAAGACTGTATTATTATTAATTAATTATACTATATAATGTAAAAATTTCTAATGACAACATAATTTTGAAAAAAAACCTTTATTTTCATCACTTTCTAATTGATCTTGTTGTTGTTGCTGTTGTTGTGGATATTGATTCATATTATAACCTTCATATTTATTACCTCCATTTTGATCTCCTGTATTATTTAATAAATCACCTCCTTGTTGATTTGGTATTTGAGAATGTGATCCTTCTTGTTTGATTGGTGGTAATGGTCTATTAACTAAATGTTGTAATTTTTGTTGATGTAATTGAGCAGCTGATAATTGTTGTTGTGATTGCAGTTGTTGTGGATTTGAATTTTGATATTGATTTTGTGATAATTGTGGGTTTTGTGGTGATTGTGATTGTTGATTTTGATTTTGTTGTAATTGATTTTGTTGTTGTTGAGCTTGTTGCTGTTGTTGCTGTTGTTGAGCTTGTTGATTTTGTCTACTTCTTCTTTGATCTCTATGTCTTCTTTCACGATCATTTGGAGGATTTGGATGACCATACCCATGTAAATTTGGTTTTTTATTAATTTGTGAATCCCATCCTTTACCTCCATTCAAATGCATCCAATCATAATCTCCATCACATGATTGTCCTAAATCATCCAATACTGATATTAATAACATTCTATATTCTTCATAAGGTGGTTCAGCATCAAATGGTAAAGATCTAACAGAATCTAAATATTCAGCAAATTGATTTGGTAAACCATCACATAATGTTACAGCTGGTGTTGTTCTTTTTTTATCACCAATTTTTTCATATTTTTGTTTATTTGTTGGAGCTTTTAAACCTTGCCATGGTAATTGACCTCTTAAAAAATAAAAAAATACATGACCTAAAGCTTCTAAATCATCTCTTCTTGATTGTTCTCTACCTAAATGAGTATTTATTGACATATATCTTGCTGTACCGCTTAAAGATTTTTTTTCTCTATAAGGTATATGTTGTTTTGTTCTTGGATCTCTATATTGTTTTGCCATACCAAAATCAATTAAATGAACATTATTTTCATCACTTAAACCTTGACGACCAATTAAAAAATTATCAGGTTTAATATCTCTATAAATTAAATCATGACGATGAACTTCTTCAACTAAACTTAACATTTCAACTGCAACTTGTACAACAGTTTTAACACTAAATCTACGACCACACCAATCAAATAAATCTTCTAATGATGGACCTAATAAATCTATAACCAAAATATTATGTAAACCTTCTTGACCAAAATAATAAGCATTTGGTATACCAGGACACCCTTGTAAATGTTTATAAGTTCTATATTCATCTCTTAATTGTGGTGCTTCAGTTTTTCTTGGTTCAAATTTAATTGCAACTGGTACTCCATTTATTATATTTGTACCTTCAAATATTACACCAAATGATCCTTCTCCTATTTTTTTACCAATTTTATAATGTAATCCAACAACTGATGAATTTGAATTATTATTTGTAGTTGATGTTGATGATGAATTCACTATATTTGGATTTGTTGAACCATTTACTGTATTATGATGATGTTGATTAATCATTGCGTTTTTTGATGATATTATTGGATTATGAGATGCTTGAGCAGCCGCCAATGCTGCAGGATTTGTACTTGATGCTACTCTATTAGACATGTAAATTGGAAAAGTTGGATTTATAAAAACTGATTTAAATTCTCAGTCCTCTTAATGTTGATTGAGTGATTGTTGAATGATTTGGTTGGTTAAATGTTTTTAATTGCTATTATAGTAATATATGACTTCAGTAGTATTTAATTAGTTATTTCAATGATTGATTGATTAATTTCTTCTGATATCACTTTGATTGATTAATTGATTATTATCAAATATTAATTGAGTATAATAATAATTATCTTTTATGAAATGGAAGATTTTTGAATTGTTTAATTAAATTTCTTTTTTTATTATTTTTAAGGCAAAAGGAAAAAAAAATAATTTACTTTTCAATAATTAAATTATATTTATGTAATAGTAAAATAGTAAAATTGTAATAGTGATGAATAATTTGAATCTATTTAATAAATGAATCTGGTACTAGTAGAAAATAACGTTGATTATAATAATATTGAATTGAATGAATTATAAGTTATTTAATATTGTTGTTGTTGATAATATTTAATATTAAAACTTTCAAAAATTAATCATTAAATTTGAAAAATAAAGATAAAAATTGGCACTTTATTAAAAATATATATAATACTTTCGTAATTAATGAAAAAATAACAATACGATGAATTGAAATGAAATAGTTGTTGATAATATAAGTAGTTGATTAATGTATCTTTTAATTCTTTTAGAATTTTTGGAGTGTGTTGTAAAAATAAAAAAATCAAGTGTTAATAAAATTGAATCAACAAATTTTTTTTTTTTTTTGTTTAAAAATGAAAATGAAAAATGAAAAAATTAAAGAGTGAATGAGTGAGTAAGAGAGAAGTGTTGAAAATTTAAATCTATTAGATAATAATATCAACTTTAATTATTGATAACGATTTCTAATTAATTAATAAAGGTAAGAACTTTTTAATGATTAAATAACTCAAGAAAAAACATATATATTAATTGTTAATTTTACTTTATCATGAATTCAATTATTATATACTTATTCATTTAAAACTAAATCAAATTATTATCTACAGGTTAAATTAATAGTTGAACGTAGTAGTTGATAAAACTAGTGATGCGGCATCGCTGATATGTTAACAACATTATAAGTTTTACTTTAGTAGAAAATGTATCATTTAACGATGAGATTTGATTCTTTACTATACGATCAAATATTATTTAATCAGTATTATTATTTACAGGGCTAATGAAAGAAAAAAAATAAATATCGTACAGCAATTGATTACGATTATTTTATTAATAACTAGGCGGGGTTCAAAGTTACAAAATCTAATAATTTATATTTCTATACTATATCATATTCATATTCATATTTATTAATGCTCTGATATATAAACCGATTCTTACCAGTAATATTGTTTTAATTTGTGATCTAACATATTCTTTTCTTTGAAGGTAACACTTTAGAGTGATAATAATTCTAATTGCTTCTAATGTTATTATGTTAATTAAATAGTACAAAGTAATTCTTTTTTCTTACCTATTGTGGGTCAAAATAATTTGTATTAGGTTTGTTAATTCAATTTTAACAATAATTAAATGAAAAAATCATTAGATCAACTCTTTGACTTTATCACATATTGTATCACAAAGAGATTCGTACTTTACTACTTTGATAAACTTGAATGGAAGAATTTACGTTTATACATTAATTTATACATACAATGAACATTAATTAATTACATTTATTGAATACATCATGATCGTACTTGATTTAAAAATTTATTTTGATTTTTTAATTGATTTAATAAATTTTCATATTGTTTTATTGAATTAATTTGTATAAGTTTAGGTAAAAATTGTAAACCTTTTGAATTTAATTTTGAATTTAAATTTTCTAATATTTTTAATTTTTTATTTAATTTTGATTGTTTTGTAACTGCTTCTGTTGATGATTTTTGATAATTTATTCTTATTTCTTCTGTTTCTTTTATTAATTTATTATATTCTTCTAATAATTCATTTATTTCATTTTTTAAATTAGTAATTTGTTCTATTTGTTTATTTATTATTTCATCATTAATTGAATCTTTAATTTCATTTATTTCTTTTAATTGATTTTCTAATTCTAAATTATTATCATTTTGTTTATTTAAATCCAATTCATATCTATTTAATTTTTTATCAATTGTAGTTGCTTCATTATTTAATTTTTTTAGTTTATAATAACTTTCACAAATTAATTTTTCATCATCATCAAAATGTAATTGTTTTGAAGTTTCTAATTTTCTTTTCATTGGTAATTGATTAGTGTTAATATCATTAATTTTATTATTTAATGAATTTAATTTCAAATTACATAATTCGATAAACTGACGATTAAAATTTTCCAAATTTAATGGTATTGAATTTTCTAATTTACCAGAAATAAATTTATTATACGATTGATTTAATTTTTTTAATAATTTTTCATCTGAGTAATTAATTATTAAATTATCATTATATTTTTGGAACAAATTCTCCAATTTTAATGGATAATCAACACAATTGTTTATAAAATATCTCATATTTGCTTCATAATTTTCTAAATAAAAATCCAGATTTTTATTATTATCCAAATTAAATGAATTTACAATTAATGTATTTAAAATTTTTAATTTCCATTCGAATGATGGATTATTTGAAATTGAGTCATTATAACCATTTAATTTTGGTTCAGGAATTTGTAAAATTAAATGTTCTATTGAATAAATTGGAATTGGTATATAAATCGGACAATTTTTATTTGATCTTAACATTTCAATACTTGGATTTGTATAATCCAATTTTGAATCAAATGAAAAAATAAATTTATAATTTGTATTTGATGATAAATTCATATAATTATTATATAATTGTTGAGTTTGAATTAAATTTATAAAAATTCCATTTTGATTAGTTTTATTATCTTCATTATATAATTTCAATGTACTTGAATTTTTATATGAGATATTTTTACCTAGAATCATTCCTTCAATTAATTCTAATTCTTTATTATTCTTACTTACAACTAATATTGAGTAATATTTGGTTAAATTTAATTCAATTAATGAATCAATAATTCTATTAAATAATTCAAATTTTCCAGACATTGAAATTTTCATTTCATTTGTTTCTGATAATAATAATTTTTTTGGTATAAAATGATCTACCAATAAAGAAGGGTGATTATTTATTAAATTTAATTTATTAAAACAAATTGATATTAATTCATAATTTAAATTTAAATCATTTGAATTATTTGAATGATCTAATGAAGATGGTTCTAAAGTTGTTTGTAAATTTGAAACTTCTAATAAACTATCTATACTTGTTTTTTTCTTTTTCAATTTAAATTGATCTATTAATGTTTCACTAAATAAATGTAGTAGTATTTCAATCAATGATAATTGTATTCTTGTTAATTTCGTTGGTATATAATATACTCCTGATGCATTAATATATTCTGAATTAAATTGTACTTGTTGTTCTGGTGTTTCACTAAAATTATTAATAATTTCATTTGAGTAATTGTCATTATTAATATTTGAATAAGAATAAGAATTAATTGAAGATTTTCCATTTATTGAAGTATTATTTGTTGTTGATGTTGATAATAAAGTATCTTCATAAGGTTCATTTATTTTACCATATATAGTAGATGGTGGATCTACCGATAGCATATCCATTAAATTCATCTTGTCAATAATGTTATAATACTATTGTAAATAATAAAAATAAGTAGTTATGAAACCCTTTTTTTTGGTTTGTATTTGAATTTTGGTTGTAAAAAAAAAAAAGTAAAAAAAAAAAAATATAAAAATAAAAAATAAAAAATAAAAAAATAAAAAAAAATAAAAAAGTGTCACAAACTGAAAAAGAAATTAAACTGTAATCAATTTACGAAATTACATACATTAATTTTGGATCTGACAATTCATCTTCTTTAATTTATCAAATATGAGATCAAAGTACTAAATGATGTAGTAGAATATTAAATACTAGGATTATTTTATTGACAATTAATAAAAAGAAAGATGAAATAAAAGCTTTACAAGGTTTACTTTTTAATTAACTTGACAGCTTTAAAACAATTAAAATCTTTTCATTATTTCAAAATTCTTAGAGAATCTTAAAAAACTTTAATTCTGGAAGTTTAAACTTAAAAATACGTTAAACTTCATTTCTAAATTGAACTATCTTGTCAATCTTTTTGTATTTTAGTCAAAGATTTTATCCATTACAATTGGAAGATCTAAAATTTTTAGCATGATATGTGATCATAAAATTATTGTAGTAATATTATAATTGAAGAAAAAATAATTAAATATAAAAAAATTAAAAATTCTCTTCAAATTTAGCCGCATATTCAATTTTGTTTTTATTTACATTTTAAAATCACTTCAAATTATTATTATGTATTAAAGAATATTTCCAATTGTTACATATATACAACTTTATTTCATTTTTTTTAAATTTACATTAACTCCAATTCCACCTAAACTTTCCCATACTATTGGTTCTAATTTTTTTGGTAATTTTTTACCATAAAGACATTGATCAACTAACCACATACCAACAATAAATTCATTTTTATTTAATGAACCATCTCTTCTAAAATCAACTAAATTCCAAATTTGTTGTAATATATCATTTGGTAATCTTGATCTATTCCAAATTCTTTTAACAACACAACCTAATATTAATTGATTTATTTCAACATCATCTAAATTATGTAATTTATTTTTTGATTCTTGTTGTTTTGTTGAAATGATTTTTTTAGGATTATTTATAGTAAGATCTTCAAAATTTTCTGAACTTTTACTTCTTGTGTTATTATTATTTTTAATTACTTCTTCATTTTCATGATTTAAATTTGTTGAAATCAACGCAGCTTTCATTGAATCTTCATGATGTTCAGTCATTACTTTATTTGAATCTGTTATTTTATAATTGACTCCATTCAATTTTGTAACTACCGAATTCATGTATAAACCTTTATTACTTACCCAGACTCCCTCATATCTTTTTCTTTCGGAATCTGTTAAATAGTTTAATTCATTATGATTCTTCCATGGTTTATATTCATCAAATTTTGATTTTTTTTCTTTTCTTTTATTTGTTTTTCTCATTGTCTTTTTAAATTGAACTGGTGATTGATAAGTTTGCGAATGATTTAATTTTTGATTAGGTTGGTTTGATAATTGAGAAAGATTAATTTCTTCATCACTATTATCTTGATCTAGATCTGGAAAATTTGGGAATTCAGGACCTCTTTTTTTTCTGAACAAATGTTTTTCGTTATGTATATGATGGTGATGATGATGCTTTTTAACTTCAGGAAACTGTGGAAATTTCGAATCCCCTTTCAATTGTACTTGCTCTTCTTGTAAAGTTGGTTCTTCATTATCAGTTAAGGATATTATATCATCGGTTGATGACGGTAAAAATTCTCCACTTGAAAAAGTATCCGCTGATTTTGCATTAAGCATCATTTTTGTTCTAAATTCATCATTCTCGCCAGTGCTTGAATATTCTACATCTGAATCACTTGGGTATTCGGTATTAGATAATGGTGGAGGTTTCCTTCTTGCTACTTTTGAAGATACTGATGATCTATCAATGTCACTTAATTTTACTGGTACAATAATATCTTCCTGTCCACTAGGTGCTATTCTAGTTGTTGTTGTTGGATTCATATCATCATCGTGATCAGTTATATTAATATCAATGCCATGACTTTTGGGTATTTGACTATCTGAATTAGTTATTCTATTAATATCATGAGTACTGTGATTGATGTTTCTATCATTGTTATAGTTTCCACTTCGGTTTTCTAATTGTGATTCAAATGATGAGTACGAACTATTCAAACCTTCGTCAAACTTGCTAATACCAACTGGATTTTCAAATTCTAATCCAGGTGATAAAGTTAAGTTGTTTAAGTTATTTGAAGCTGATTTCATAGTATTATCAATTTTTTCTCTCATATCATTTACAAAATCTTGACCTTTATTTTCTTGTATTTTAGGTTTTTGAACTTGAGCTTTTGATTTATTATTTAAAGAGTTTTTCAAGTTTTTCAACATTTCTTGTGGTGAATAATCCATTGATAATCTTTTTGAGTTTGCATCATATATTATTGCTTTTGAATCGATCGAATTTTTGACATTATTGATCATGTCTTTAGGTGTATGTGGCAGATGTCTGTTTTGTTTTAGTAGGTCGCTTCTTGAATAATTATGAGGGGATAATGCAAAATAATCTGGTTGTAATTGTTGATGTTGTTGTTGATCTATATCTGATGATGAGTTTGAGTTTCTTATTAGATAATCTGAGACTTGCGGAGATAGTACTGATGAAGGTGAAGACATATCTGAGGCATAATTCCCATACTTTTTATGTGCAATTGAACTTGGTGTACTAATCCTTGGTGAGTTATGATATGAAGGAGTTCGTAATTTAATTTGTTTAGTTTGTTGTTTGTTTATTTCTTGATTTGATTTGGAATCGTCTTTTTTCTTTCCAGCATTAAATGCCGCTAGAGCAGCAGCATTTGCAGCAGTAGAATTGGCTGCCATTCAATTTGGGCTGATTAACAATTATACTAATGTTATTATTATTTTTATTGATTAGATTATGTATGATAGATTATAATTGTTTTACAATATTGTGGTGATCAGAGAGCTACCAACCACCTCAAACAATTTTATGAACAAGGCAGAACAGACAACTACAATTTATCAAATCTATCACCATCTATTTATTGATTATACTTATTTTTTACCCTTTGATGAATTAACATAACGACCTTTACCAACTTTTACACCTGAAGGTCTAATTGTATTTACAGTACCAAATGGACTTACATAATTATCAGCACTACCACCTCCAATCCAATCTTGTAGTAATTTTTCATTTTGTCTTCTTTCCCATTCATCATTTTTTAAAGCTTGTTGATATTCTTTTTGATCTTCTCTTAAAATTAAAGGATTTTGTTGAGATTTATGTCTATTTTGTACGTTATGTTGATAACCTCCTTTACCTTGTAATTTTTGTTGATTTTTACTTAATGGTGAAGGTAATGAATACTTTTCACCTCTTTTGATCCATTGGAAATTTTGTTTTAAGTGGGGTATTATTTTGCCGGTTTTATTATCAACAGATACTGCACATCTTATTAAAGTATCTCCACCACATTTCGGACAGAAATGCTTTGGCTTACCATCTTTGTTTATCGGTGTTAATCTGAAACATGCATGACATCTGTACATATAATTCCTCACTCTTTTTATTTGCTTTCCAGACATTGTGTTCAATAATTTGATACCCAATTGCATTGCTACATTTTGACATGCAAAATCTCCTGTTGCTAATGCTACTTTTATAGTAGGACCTGAATTTGGAGTATCTTGAATTGTTTCATTTTGATCCTTGCTAATTTCTTCTTTTAAATTTTCTGGTGTTATCCAGTCTCCATCATCATCTGATTCATTAAATTCTTCATCAACTTCTTGTTGCTCTGTAGTTGATGTATTTTCAGGTTGTGATTCTTTTGATTGTGATTTTGGTTGTGATTCTTTTGGATGAGGTTCTTCTGGCTGAGATTTTTTCGGTTGTGATTCTTCTGGCTCTTCTGGTTTTGTTTCTTCCACATTTTGGTTTTTCAGACTTATATCAGCTTCTTCTTCTCCTTCTTGGTCTTTACTTTCACCATTTGTAGGTTCACTTGATTGATTTGCTTGTTCTTCTTGCAATTTTCTTAATTCTGCTTCTCTTTTTTCTCTTTGTCTTTTCCCACCTCTTTTACGTCCCTTCTTAACAACTGAAAATCCATCATCATCTTTATTCGATGTTGATACACCAGAATTTTCATTTTCTTCTTCATTTCCTAATTTTTCTCCAGGAAAACTTCTTAAGATTCCACCATTTAATATTTCAAATTCATAAGCTAATGCAATTATATGTAAATCATTTGCTGATAAAACACTATAATCACCAGTTAATTTTGCAAATTTTATAACTTTATCTATATATTCTTGTTTTGGTTGTTTAATTTCTAATGATGATCCCCATAAAGTTAATTGTTGTCTTACGGTCTCATCTTTTAATTCTGAGAAAACTCCTGGAGTTGTGAAGAAGTTATTAGCATATTGTTGCAATGTAGTAGCAGGTTGAGTAATCAAAGGTCCGGCATCTAGTATGACTGTTTCTATTTGCTTATTTGACATTTTGGGTCTGTTTGTATTGTCTTATGAGGTTGAATATGCTAGATTATATTAATTTTAAATAGAAGAATACAAGAAGATGAGTTATAATTACACAAACTTGATATGCTACCAAAGTCTTGATTTTTTTAAGTTTCAGAAATTTGCGGTACGGATGTCTCTGACTGGGGTTGAATCAAAGGTTTATTGTTGGGCTAAAATGCATAACAAATGTCATTGAAACGTTGTAGCCAAGTTAGACCATATTTTTTGAATGAGTTTTATGCTCTTTTGAGTAGAGTATTCTTTATACGAGTACTTTTATGTATTATTGAAATTGTTAAAAATTTTGCATTGAAAGTCGATGAAAATTTTTGTAACTTAACTAATGTAAGAACTAAGTCAAGAGTCACAACAAACGTAAAAGTCATATACTACAATGCATTTGTAAGTAACCGTCTTACAAGACATTTAAAGTTTATGTAATATTGCAAAATAAAAATTCTCTATTAAAAATTAAAAAAATGAATTAAATAAAATTAATGACATAATCTATTAATTTATGAACAATCAATTAATTAATTAATTACTTTTCCTATCAATTACCTTTTTTTCTTCTTCTACTTCTTTCTAGTTTTGATATCTTTTGTAAATCATCTTCACTTGGTTCATAAATATGCCAGATTGTATAATGAGGTAATCCTCCTACTCTAAACCCCATTTCTTTTGCCATTTTACCAAATGCTTCAGTTTCCGCATGATTTAAGAATGTAAAAGCAGGAAAATGAACTCCTTGTCTAAAAATTTTTGCTCTTGCTAATATTGATACTCCTCCAACACCATCTAAATCAACAATTTCTCTTGGATTGCCACTTGCATCTCTTATATAAGCTAAATGAGCTCTCCAAGTTGGATATTCAGCATAACCTTCAACTATAACATCATCTTCGTCTAAAGTTTTTGCTAAATCTAATGCTGCATCACTTTCGATCCATGAATTTAAATCATAAGGTTGTTCATTACCTAAAAAAGTTGGTAATGGCCTCCAAACATTGGGGACCATTACATCATAATCATGAGACATTAATTCTTCTATAACATTACCAGGACAAGTCTCAATATCAGCATCTCTCCAATAAACCCAGGAATGATCAGCTTTTAGAGCAGAAGAAGTCAACCAATTTCTTGCTCTACCCATTAATTTTCTTCTTATACCTTGTACTTTAACAGCATGTCTATCACTAAAACCTTGACCAATGACTTGACCAAAATCTTTTTTATATATAGTTACAGATCTAAATGGAGTTCTATAATTTTTATGATGAGTTTCAGGATTACTATAAGCCTTTTTAACTCCTTCCATATAAGAAGGTTCCATATAAGATTGATATAAATCATTTGAACCTTTAACTTGTTGACCATTTTTGGAGTCTTCTTCTTGTTTTAATAAATCAACTAAAGTACTATTTTGTAATGCAACGGAATATCTAAATACAGTTTCTAAAGTAGTATCATCTGGTGAACAATCAGATACTAAAAATGCAATATCAATTAAAGAATGGTCATAAGTTAAATTCATTAAATTATAGAATGCCATCGGTAAAACGTGTTCAGCATTTCTTAAAGGCATTAAAAATAGTACATTATCTCCTTTTTGATTTCCATCAGATGAACCTGAAAAATCATTTAAATCATAATACTCAACATTACTCTTTCTTAAATCTTCATTCGATATTTCATCAGGGTTTAGTATGACTTGTTGTTGTTGTTGTTGTTGTTCCTGTTGTTGCTGTTGTTCCTGTTGTTGCTGTTGTTCCTGTTGTTGTTGTTGCTGTTGAATTTGTTCTCCATCTTGTATCTCTACTCCTTCCTTTGTTACTCTATATATTTCTGCATCTTCTTGTGATTGTTGTTGATGTTGTCGCTGTTGTTGTTGTTCACTGTTTACGTTTAAATTTTGACTTAGTGGTAAATTCGGACTTATTATGAATTTTGAATATATGGTATATGATATAATCAAAGCAATTATTATGTAAAGTATTCTTTTTAAAAGTAACCTACTTGAATGTTTCTTTGGTGATAGTTTATTAAATCTATATTTTAGTTAGTATACCTGAACAATCATATCGTAAAAATCTCGGGATTTTGATTAAGGGACAAAATGTAAAAGTATTATTACATACATTGGTAGATCAGTTTTCTTTTTCGAACCATATAAATCCGGTGTCAAAGTTCTAAATGACATTTATTTTTTCTTAATCTTGAATAATTGAATGATTGTGTAGTTGGTGTATTGTTATGCTAATGTGAAGGATGGATTATAGTAATTAATTAATCTAGTGATTCTAGTATATAATGATTGTTTGTTTTCTCAATTGAAATGTGTTGTTCCCTTAATTTTTTTTTTTTTATTAACAAAAAATAAAAATAAAATAATTTCTTTTTTGAGTTATTATATTTCAAATTTTTGATTGATTTCTTATTTTTTATTATAATAATTATAATTATAATTATAATTATAATCAAAATAGTTTAACAAAGGCTTATACAAAGAGAGAGAGAGAGAAAGACAAAAGAATAAATAAAATAATAAAGTCAAATGTAAGTCAATCTAATCTATAAGCTACCATTTTTTAGTCTGTTTCAATCTATTAATTCTATATCCACCTTATCACCTTCGTTAAACTTGATTGGTCATGGTTTCATTTCTTGTAAACCATATTCTTTTGGTTTGAACCATTCCTTTTTCAATGTTTCCCAACATTTATCAGCTATATTTATAGCATCTGATTCACTAATAGTTGATTTACCTTCAACATAAATTTTAATTTTTGGTTCTGTACCTGATCCTCTACATGTAAATCTAACTGAAAGATCTTTATCTTTATTTGATTTTTCTATGGGTTCTAATATTGCTGTTATCATTTGATTATGTGGATCTATTGGTAATATTGGTTTAGTATTTGATGTTGTTGAATCATATCCAACAGTTAAATCTCTCCATGTTATAACTTTAAAATCTCCAATTGCAATTGGATATTCTTTTGGTGAATATGATTCTCTTATGTTTTTGAAAATTTTATTAGTTAAACTTAAATCATTTAATCTATAATATCCATTTAAATCTTTAAACCAACCATATTTTTTATAACCTTCTTCTAATTTATCAAATACATTTACCTTACCGGAACTAAACCATTGTTGATATAATTGTAAAAACACTATAGCTGCAGAAACTCCATCTTTATCATGTATTAAATCAAACATAAACCCAATAGCTTCTTCAAATGCAAATGGAACTTTGTATCCTTCATTTGTTAAATCAATTGCTTTATTACCAATCCATTTAAAACCTGTTAAAGTATCTAAGTAGTGGAATCCATCTTTATTAGCCATTGATTTTAAAATTTGTGAAGACACGGTTGAATTCAATAAATAAGTATTTGATAAGTCCAATCTTGGAGTATTTTCAATTATATACATTGCAAATAAAAATCCAATCTCATTACCTGTTAATTGTTTATATTTTCCATTTTTATCAACTACTGCACAACTAAATCTATCAGCGTCTGGATCGTTAGCAATAACTAAAGAAATTTTGTCTTCATTTGCTAATTTAATAGCTAAATCCAAAGCACCTTTTTCTTCAGGATTTGGAAAACTAACAGTTGGGAAAGCAGGATCTGGATGTGCTTGTTCTGGTACAACTGTATAATCGGATTTATTGAATAATTTCATACATTTTGCAAAAGTATCTAAACCAACTCCATGCATTGGAGTATAAACAAATTTAAAATTCAACTCATTATGTTTTAGTAATTTTTCCTTGACTCCAGAAACATATTGCTCTATAATTTCATCTCTCACTACTTTCAATCTCCCATCTTCCAAGCCTTTTGTAAAATTTCCTGTAATATTCCAAACTTGATCATTCCAAGGTTTTAAGTTATGTTCAATTGAATCAGATATGTCTGAGTCTATAGGGGGAATAATTTGACATCCATTATTGTAATATACTTTATATCCATTATCATTTGCAGGATTGTGAGAAGCAGTAATCATTACTCCACCAGATGCTTTTAAAGTGTCAATTGCAAAAGGTACAAGTGGTGTATGTACATAATCTCTTGAAGCATTATTATCATTTTCATATTTTGATTGAGATAATTCAATTGATTCTTTGGATAAATTTTTTACTGATCCCAAGTAATAAACAGTAAATCCTTTTAATAATGCAACACTTGCTAATAATTCTCCGTATCTTTGTGAGTGATATCTATGATCATAACCAACTACAATTGAAGGATTATCAAATTTTGATTTTAAAAATTCAACTAGTCCTTGAGATGCTTGTAATACTGTAACATCATTCATATGAGCAAAACCAGACTCCATTGATGATCTTAATCCTGCAGTTCCGAATGCGATTCTTGGATATAGTTTTGAAGATAATTTTGCATATTCTTCATTATCAAGTAGATCTTTGATTTCTTTACTTGTAGTAGGATTTGGATCAATTGAAATCCAATCTTGAGCCAATTGCTTTAGTTTATCTTGCGATATTGACATCTAAGTAGTTGGTTGATTAATAGACTTTTTTGAAAGAAATGACGTATTGAATTTCTACGCACGGGTTTATTGAAATTGTTGCAAAAAAATAATACAGTTAGTTGAACTTTTATATTAAATAGTATTAAGCCTATATTTTATCTATTAATTTATATATTGCTAAATCATTTAAATTGAAGGATACTACTTTTAAATAACCATCTTTTATTAAGTCATCATATGTTGAGTAATTGTATAATTGTTCATCATTTTCGATTTCGAGTAATTCTTTAGGATCACTCCATTTTTTAAGCTTTTTATCATAAATTGAGTATAAATATGAAGTATCTTGTTTCAAAATTATAATGTTCGATGTTAAATCAATAGAAATATCACCAATTATATCGTCAACTTCTATTTTACTGAATTCTTCATTTTTTCTAAGATCGATTATTTGTAAACTACTTTTGTTATTATTATTTGATAAAATTAGAAACCAGTATCCATTTAATGCAAATTTTAGTTCAATAACATTTTTGTAAGTTGGTTGAAATTGAGTCAATTCTTCTCCATTGACTAAACTTATAATTTTGATTTCTTTTTCATCGTAAGCTGCAAATAATTCTCCATCAACATGTATATCTGATTTCTTTACATTGATATAGTCGTATGTCTTTAAAATTTGTTTGGTATTTGTTAAATTTATATGATTTTTGTCAATCAATACAAATAAATTTAAGGAAGGATGACATACGACTGATTGTATATGACTTTTAACAGTGATTGTATCGTTATTTGAAAACTTTAATTTCAATTTTGTAGCTGCTAGTAGTATTCCATTGTTGTTGATCGTGGCATGAGATATATTAGATAGTTGTGGATCCCATTCTTTTAGTTCATTCGTTTCAATATCTTGGGTGAAAACTTTTTTGGAGTTGAATGCTATTAATTGTTTTGTTGAGTAGTTGTAGGTGATGGAGAGCTTTTTGTTGTCTTTAAAGATTTGTTTGTGATCATCAGTTTTTTCCAATTGGAATGAACTTGATTTATTGTATGGAAACTTAGCTTTCTGTGACTTGTGTAATTGAAATAATTTTTCTCTCGCTGATTCTATATCTTCAATGACAACTTGTTTTGGTTCATCTTTACCATTAGAATCTTTGACATTTTCTACTTTCTCATCTGATTGTTTTACTTTCTCTTCTTCATTATCTAGTCTTTCATTATTTTTTTCTATTGAGGAGATAAGTTTTTCCAATGCTTCTCTTGCTTCATTTCTTTCTCTTAATGCTCGAGATGCAACATTAACAGCTGCGTCAACTTTATACAAGCTTGAACTTAGTTCCAATTTTAACAGTTGTAAGTTTTTTCGCAATGTGAAGATTTCCAAAACCATCGAATCATATTCATTTTGTAATGTTGATAACAAATTAGGAATTGACGTAATTGATACTGATGGCGGTACTGAAGAAACTTGAGATGTATTCTGTGTTAAATTTAATGGTATTAATTCTTCAATGGTTAATGGTTTATTATTTATTGGATCTGATCCGGTTGTTTGTACATATTTTTCAATATATTTCTTTTCAAATAATGCTCCTGATTTAGGTGATACTATCGGATTTTTAGTGATTTCTCCTGATATGGAACATATTAGTGACATTAGTTTGTATTTTAAGAAATTAAACAAAGTTGGTACTGTTTTATTTTTTTTAGTTTGTTTTGTATTAGTTTTTTTTTGATGTCTTTTACAAAACTACTAAAGGATTACAATACTGAGAAATCAATTCTTGAATTAGTCAATCTAGCTAAGTTTTTTGCGAGGAATTGAGATAAAGATGATAATGACCAAGCGGATTATTAAAAACTTTAGACAAATACTAATGTAAAAAATCATATAAAATTATATAGTAAATGCTGCAACTATAAATTTATGCAAAATTATTATATACAATCATAATTATTTTTTTTCACATTACTTTCAAAGAAATGAATTTTAACAACGTGGAGTCAACAAAAAGACATTTGATTATTAAATTCCCACAAATGGCGTCTTCTCCTAATCCCTTGGATATAGTAGATTCACAAATTGATTCAAATTCTAGAAAGAGATATTTGAAAAAACTTGAAAATTATCAGAATAATTCAAAATCATATTGGGAATATAGTGTTGTACCAAATATTTTCAAACAATCTCAAAAAGATACTGATGAATCCAATTTTAATTATCTAGATGAACATTTTGGTAAAATAGGAGAGTGGGATGATATAATTGCACAACTAAACAAATTAAATAATCATGCTTCACCAAATGAATGTTACAAAATATTATTTTTATTTCGTCATTATACTGGTTTTCATAATTTAGCTCACCTTAAATATGGAGATGATGCATGGAATAATCATTGGTCTAAATTAAATGGCGATGATGAATATATATGGGGACCTGACGCAAATCTAACGCCTGAAAGTATTGAAATAGCTAAACAAAATAGTATTAAAATTGCAAAAGAACTACAAAACAATTCTAAAAATGATAAAGAATTAATATTACCAAAGAAATTTTATGTATCACCATTAAGTAGAGCAATTGATACATTATATCATACTTGGAATAAAATTGTAGATTTAAAATCAAATAATCCATTAATTCAAGAAAATTGGAGAGAAACAATGGGAGTTCATACTTGTGACAAAAGATCATCAAGATCAATAATTGATGAAAAATTTATTTCAAAAGGTTTTAAGATAGAAGATAGTTTAACTGAAGAAGATGAATTATATCAAGATGATTATAGAGAAACAATTGATGAACAAGCATTTAGAATGTACAATGAATTACAAAATGTTTTCAGTGATACCTCCAAAAATGAAGATGTTATATTAATTACAAGTCATAGTGGTAGTATAAGAGCTCAACTAATGGTTTTGGGTCATAGATCATTTGCTGTTCAAACTGGTGGTATGATACCTGTTTTCGTTAAAGCAGTTAAAAAGGAGGGTGGTAAAAACAAGATGTAAATCAAAAGGAAAAGTTGAATTTTATTGATACACTTAATGAAAAAACATTTTTTTGCATGAAGCTTGAAAGTTTGCTCTATAGTTCAATTTTTAGATCTGACTATATAAATTGTCTAAATCTAAACTCTTTCGGATTTAAGAAAGTACAAATCTATCCCATTTAAAAGGCTATGTGAAGAGGAGAAAAAGTTGTTAGCAATATGCTTCGTGCCACGTTTTTGGCAAGGAGTCATTTAGAACATTAGTTCTCGTCAATTGTAAAAACTGTCTACGTTTTTGTTTGAGATGTTGAGCAATAGATATTGTACTAGCCGTTTAACAATCTGGAAAATCTAGTTCTACCGGATCTAAAGTATTTATTTTTAGATTTTGTGGAGAATGATTTATGAGGTGACTCAGTTATAACCGATAAAATGTGTTATAAGAACCAAATTTAACTGTGTTGTCAAACCGTATCATTTATTTTATCCTATAAGATCTAGCCCAAGAACCAGTTAAAGCTTTAATGGCGTCAAATGTAATAGTTTCTAGAAAACTGTATGAATATTACTTTAACGGTTAAATCAAATATAAAAAAAACACATGCGTTATTGTACAAAAATTAAATTATTATTCAATTAAATGCATATACCCTTAAATTTAAATTTCTAAAAACCTGGTGATGTCAAATACACTAAAAATTAAAAATTATGTGTGTTATATAAACAAATAAATATCCCTTATTTCATTTTTTCCAATTTTATTCTTTTTTAAGCTCTTTAGTCAAAATCAATTAACTCAAATAAAAGAAATACGATAAACTAAACGTCATGTCTCAACCTGATAGAATTATCGTTCATTGGTATGTATAAACTAGATATCAACCGCTGATTTAGTTCCTGTATCAAAACTTGTACTAACTTCCTAATAAAAGGTTAAATTATTCTAGATCACAAAGAATTGTTTGGTTATTAGAAGAATTAAATATTCCATTTGAATTAAAAACTTATAAAAGAACAAAAGAATTTAGAGCTCCAAAAGAATTAGATAATATTCATCCATTAGGTAAATCTCCAGTTATTGAAATTATAAAACCAAATGGTGATAGTTTAAAATTAGCAGAAACTGGTCATATAATTCAATATCTTTTACAGAATTATGATCCAAATCATTTATTAACTCCAACTGATCCAAAAGAATTGGAACAACTTGATTATTTTTTACATTATTCTGAAGGTACTTTACAACCATTATTAGTTACTTTATTAGTTCATTCATTTGCAAAACAAAAAGCTCCATTTGGTACAAGATTTTTAATGGGATTATTAGTAAAAGGTATTGATGATCAATTTTATTTACCAGAATTAAAGAAAAATTTAGATTTTTTGGAAACTGCTTTAATTAAACAAAAATCAGAATTAAATTCAAATTATTTTGTTGGTAAAAAATTAACTGGTGCTGATATAATTTTAAGTTTCCCAATTTTTACAAATATTTTTAGTTCAAAAGATGCTGCAAGAGGTTTAGGTGTTCATGATTTAGATAAAAGATGGCCAAATTTAAATGAATGGAGTGAAAATATTGCAAAAGAACCTAAATTTATTAAAGCAAATGAATTAGTCGCAAAATATGAAACTAGTACTCCAAATATATAATTTTATATAGTTAATATACAAATATCTTCAGTAAAGAACCATTTAAAATTATGGCTTATGGTTTTAATACAACAAGACTATTTTACAGCTTTGCCGTCTACGCAATGAATTTCGAAGTGAGGATAATAATACAGTTTTTTTTTGATCCATATTCATTATCTTAGTCATAGCTTAAATGTCAATCTAGGATATTCTAGACGTTGTACGAACTGAGACTAAAGTCTCAAAAATTGACATCAAAAAGGAAGTAAAAATGCAGGGATTAAAAATTGAATTTAAAATTGAGGGGATGAAAGATCTATTTAAAGTAGGTCTACTGGATAAGAAAATAGTTTTCCTTAATATTTTCAAGATTTTGACGATAAAGGAAATTATCAGGTACTTAAAGCATTAATCATTGTAAATTACTTCTCATTTAGTATTTTTGTCAGTTCTTTTACCAAATCTGTACCTTGGATCTTGCATCAATAACTCAGATTAACTTTGAAATATTTCTGCATCTAAAAAAGTATATAAGACATCGATTGAAGCAATATATACCCCACATCTGTTTTACCTATTTGGTCAATACAATTCACATCAACAATTGCAAGACATCCTTTGATGTACTTCAGGCTAATTATATGTTAATAAAGATTGTAGTATTGTAATATTACCTCGTAAAATTTAAAAATAAATTTAGATTTTGTGTTTGTTTCCGAATTAAGTAAAAAATTTAATATTACCTTAAAAAATAATTTTTTTTGTAGTTTCAGAATTAAATTTTATCAATTAACAAAAATATTAAATTAAATATCCAAACATGGTTATTAGATTAAATTAGAGACTTGGTCTTAGATATATATATATATAAGTTTAAAGAGTACATCTTATCATTTTTATAAAAAATTTCATGGCTTATTTTTAAATCTATTTATAAAATTTTTATTCCAATAAAACTAATTATATAGAATAATATGACAATGCTACGTCCAACAGGTCATCCAGAAGATAGATTTATATTACATTGGTATGTTAAACATTTATATGATAATTTTCTCGTTAACAAATACTAACAAAAGTTCTTTATAGGCTTGATGAATCTCGTGCTCAAAGAATATTATGGTTATTAGAAATTTTACAATTAGATTATGAGGTCCGTATATATTTAAGACATCCAGAAACTTGGAGAGGTCCGATGCAATTATTTGATGTTCATCCAACTGGTAAATCGCCAGTATTGGAAATAATACACGGCGATGGTAGACCACCGATGAAATTAGCAGAAAGTGGGTTTATTATGCAATATATTTTAAAAAATTATGATCCAAATTATATATTAACACCTACTGATCCAAATGAACAATTAGAAGTTGATTATTGGTTACATTATAGTGAAGGATCATTACAACATATTCAAATGACTTTATTAATAAATTCAGTTGCAAAACATATTGCACCATTTGGTTTGAAAGGAGTTGCCAAATTAGTTACAAAAGGTTTAAATAATGGTTATTATATTCATGAATGGAGAATGAATATGCAATATTGTGATGATAGATTAGCGCAAAATGGTACTGGATTTTTTGTTGGTAATAAATTAACAGCTGCTGATTTAATGTTAAGTTTTCCAATTTTTGAAAATATATTTGATAATCTAGAAGGTGTTAAAGATTGTACAAATGATAAAAGAGATTTAAGAAAAGTTTGGCCAAATTTAGCAAAATGGAGTAGAATGATAAAAAATATTCCAAGTTATAAAAAAGTAAATCAATTAATGGATGAAGAAGTTGAAGATTTAATTGCATTAAATCCAAGATTTGATTATGCAAAGAGTAATTAAAAAAGTAAAGACTGTGGTTAAGTGGTGTGAGTGTGAGTGTGAGTGAATATATGCATAAGATTTAATCATTTTGATAATGATTACTAATTGGTAAATCGGTGTTAATATGTATTATAAATTAATTAATTATCGTTCGTAGTTAGAAAACGAATTTTATACCCTTTAAATATTTTAATGAATAGTGATGAAACAATAAAAATAATCTAGTAGCCACAATCTTAGTTCAATTTAAAATTCCGCTTATCAAATTTATCAGATTGTAATATGTCAAATTGGATCCTTTTATGCAGTATTGTGTTCGGATCAGATTGGTAGCTTTCAAAATTTTTGCAACCATACCTTTGTTTGAAAGATCTGTGGCTTTTTAAATTGATTAATAATCAGAAAAGGGATCAACAAGGGGTAAAAAGTGGTATATAAATAAGCTAGAAGGTCTATAAGTTCTAAACAAGCTTTTTCTGAACAATATACCAAATAGATTACATTTCGTCTACTAACACAAAAATGGCTCCAACTTCAATTATTAATAAACCAGAGGATATTCAATCCTTCAAAGCTGAAAAAATAGCTGCATCAAATGAACAAGATTTCAATGAATTAGTTGAAAAATTAGCTTCAATTAAACCAATAGGTTGGGCAAAATCAAACAAGCAACCAATTACAGGACATGATCCAGTTTGGGCTGATAGATTACCAGAAACTACAAAAGAAAGATTTGCGAAACATGGAGTAGATATTTCAAAAGGTTATCCATATATTCCAACAACCGACAAAATTCCCAAATTTGTTGATGAAGCTTTTGCTATTAGAAATGAAGAATATCCTTATATTGATCGTGGTTCAAATGCTGATCCTGAAAAAAAGGCATTATTCGATGCTGCAACTGATATTATTCATTTAACTCCTTATATTGGTACTGAAATTGTCGGTTTACAATTATCTGAATTAAATGATAAACAAAAAGATGAATTGGCTTTATTAATTGCTGAAAGAGTTGTTGTAGTTTTCAGAGATCAAGATTTATCACCACAAAAACAATTAGAATTAGGTCATTATTGGGGACAAGTTGAAGTACATCCACAAGCAGCTCGTGCTGGTGAAAATTTAGATGGTGTTACAACTATTTGGCAAGAATATCAAAATGAAAGAAATGGTTTGAACTTAACTTTTAAAAGATCAAAATTAGGTAATTCAGCATGGCATAGTGATTTAGTTCATGAAAAACAAACAGCAGGAATCACACATCTTCATTTGGATTCTTTCCCAAAAGATGCAAGTCCAGGTGGAGAGACTACTTGGTCAAGTGCGTACGGAGCGTATGATAAGCTTTCTCCAGCCTTCCAAAAATTCTTGGATGGTAAAACTGCAATTTATAGAAGTGCTCATTATTATTTAGATCGTGAAAGACCATTATTTGGACCAAAACATATTGAAAGAGAACATCCATTAGTTAGAACAAACCCAACAACTGGTTGGAAGCTGTTATTCGTTAATAGATCAATGACTGATAGAATTGTTGGTTTATCAAAAGAAGAAAGTGATTTAATTTTAAATTATTTATATAATGTTATTGAAACAAATAGAGATATTCAAGTTACTGTAAAATGGTCACCATTTGAAGGAGAGAAAATCAAATCAGGAAAGAAAGGCTATAGTGGTACATCTGTTTTATGGCTTAATAGTGCAAGTAATCATAGTGTTATTCATTCAAATGAATCTATTAAAGGTCGTCATGGTACTAGAGTTACTTCATTAGCTGAAGTTCCATATTTTGATCCAAATTCAAAAAGTCAAAGGGAAGCTTTAGGTTTATCCTTAGACTAATTTTAGTAGTTGATAGAAATTTGGGTGCAAAATATTCTGTTAGAATTGATTTGCTAATGGTACAACTTAATTGGAATTTGTTTGTGATTTATATACTTTTAAATATAAGCTGGCTTTATTATTATTATCTTTCGGTACTTCTATAATATCTCTTGTATTAGTTACTGCAGATTCTAATCTTCTTTTTAGTCTATAATCATAGAATTCATTGATTTACGAGGAAAATCTAAATAAACTTCGACTTGAAAAGAACCTGAAATGAATTTTGTTCTCTCAAAATTACAAGAACAGCAGTCTGTGACTTATACCTAGTGAATCTTAGTACGGCACAAATCAAAAAAACCATTGCAATAAGCAAGATTTAATTCCGACCTTGCCTTAAATTAAAATTAAACTTCGATCTCTCTATTAAATTATTTTTCCGAAAGTTTAGTTCTATTTTTTTAATTACAAGCTTAAATATAATTATTAAATATATTAAATTAACACATATTCATATCAATTATATATTTAAATCTTAACAAATTATTTCAATTGACTTAATAGTTACATTAGTTGTATATATTCATTTTATCAATGCCACCAGTGGAAGTAGTATTCAGTTGGCCAAATAGTATAGATGAAATACCTCAAGCTTTATGGACTTTACGTCACCAAATTAAATTATATGTATTAATCAAATACTTTTCAGCAAATGATAAGGTATGGGGTTCATTTTTTTTAGTTAGAGATTTATTTATTATTTATTTTATTTATTCAAAATTGTTTGAAATTCTAACAACTATTTGGGGTTATGGTTTGTTTGGATCAATTAACAAATTATATAGATCAATTAGTTCATATATATCACCAAAAATTTTATCGTTACCATTTATAAAGTCAAAAATTGCTAAAGAATTAAATAATACTATAACCAAAATTGAAAAAGAGATAATAAAGAATAGTGACGATTTAAAACAATTTAAAGAATTACCAACAAATGGATTATCAGCCGACGTAGTAGAATCAGAATTAATTAAACTTCAAAACTTAAAACATTCAGATTGGAATAATGGTAGAGTAAGTGGAGCTGTTTATCATGGAGGAAATGAATTATTAAAATTACAATCAGAAGCATATAATCAATATAGTGTAGCGAATCAATTACATCCAGATGTTTTTCCAGGTGTTAGAAAAATGGAAGCAGAAGTAGTTGCAATGGTTTTAGACATTTTTAATGCTCCAAAAACTGGTTGTGGATCAACAACTTCAGGTGGCACTGAATCTTTATTGTTAACTGGTTTAGCTGCTAGAGAATTTGGAAGAAGAGTTAAAGGTATTACTAAACCAGAAGTAATAGCACCAATTACAATCCATGCAGGTATTGAAAAAGCTTGTTACTATTTTGGAATGAAGTTACATAAAGTTAATGTAGATCCAAAAACATACAAAGTTGACATAAAAAAAGTTAAGAGACTAATCAATAGTAACACAGTATTACTTTGTGGTTCAGCTCCAAATTATCCTCATGGTATAATTGATGATATAGAGGAGTTATCGAAATTAGCTGTCAAATATAATATACCACTACATGTTGATGCTTGTTTAGGATCTTTCATTGTTTCATTTTTAGAATCGTCAAAAGTTCATGGAGATAGAAAATTACCATTATTTGATTTTAGATTACCAGGAGTTACTTCAATCTCATGTGATACTCATAAATATGGATTTGCACCAAAAGGATCCTCAATAATAATGTATAGATCTCCAGAATTAAGAAAATATCAATACTATATATCCAGCGATTGGACTGGTGGTATGTATGGATCTCCAACATTAGCTGGATCAAGACCTGGTGCACTAATGGTTGGTTGTTGGGCAACTTTAGTTAATATAGGTAAAGATGGCTATAGAGAAAGTTGTTATTCAATAGTATCAGCAACAATGCAATTAAAAAAAGAAATTGAAAAAAATCCAATATTATCAAAATATTTAGAAGTAATAGGAGATCCACTAGGTTCAGTAATTGCATTCAAAGTTAAATCAAGTCAACAAAAAAACTTATCAATTTATGAACTAAGCGATTTATTGAGTAAGAAAGGATGGCATTTTGCAACATTACAAAATCCTGCTGCCTTACATTTTGCACTTACAAGATTAACTGTACCAGTACTTGATGAATTGATTGCGGATCTTGTCTCATCTACTGAAGAAGCAATTGAATTAACACATAAACATGGTAGCAAAACTGGTGATACAGCTGCAATGTATGGTATAGCAGGAAGTATACATACTGCTGGTATAGCTGATAGAGTAATTGTAGCATTTTTAGATACATTATATAAGACCTAAAATAGATAATTCCGATGTGATGGGAATGCATAATATAATTTCTGTAATCTAGCTAATAACTATCAACACTATGATCAATGCAAGAATAGATAGGGCCACCAATAAAATACATGTCCATTTGCCCTTTTTCTTTTGATACTCATTAGCTTTAGTTAATTCGTGAGATGCTTGTTGAGTATTACCATGCAATTGTAGTATATTATCTTCTATAGTGTTTAATTGTTCTCCTTGTTGATGAACTAGTTGATTTAAATCTTTAAAAATTGTATTAACTTCCATTACACTTTCGTGAACTTGTTCAATTTCTCTATTTCTTTCTTCTGTAAGCTGTAAATGATATTGTAACTCTGTTTGTTCAATTAAATCTGGATCAATTTGTTCTTGTTCTTGTTCTTGTTGTAATTGTAATTGCTGTTGTTGTTTTTGTACTGATTCATCCTCTTCTTTCAGTTTGTAAGTAGGGCTAGTGGTAATTGGCGTTATTTTCTTCTTTTCATTATATATTTTAACTAATTTTTTAAATTTTTTATCCAAATCATTGTATTCTCCAACTAATCTTTCTTTGATAACAACTTGTCTGTTTGTAACTTTCAACTTATCCTCATCTTCATTTCGATTTCTTTCATCAACTGATTTATTTATTAGATTAGATAAATTTGAGATTAAATGTTGTATAGCCTTGTATAATTCATTTATATTTTCAACTAATTTATCAATATTCGTTCTTAATTGAATAGAGTCTCTTTTGGAACCAAGCTGTTTTCTTTGTTGATCAAATTGTGATATTAGAGAATTAAAAGACTGCAATTGTTGTGAGGTTTTATCTATTATATTATCTAAATTATTAGTTTCATTGCTTGTTGTATCAATTGAAGTATAATTTGATTTTGATGATTTTTTTAATAAAGGTTGTTTTTGAGCTTCTAAGTCTATATTAGCAAATGACATAATATTGCAAATTGATTGGAAGTTTTAAGTAATTTTGAAGCTAAGTTATTTATTATTTTTTATTTTTAATTAAGTTATTTAATATTCTTTATTGGAATTGCCTTTAATTTTCTTATGTTTCAGACGAGAAAATTTGTATGTAACTTACATTAAATTCAAGAATTTGTTTTAAACAATTGGAAAGAATAAAATATCAATTTGTATATTCAACTATTTATCTTAAAAGTTTGATGACTTCAATGCTTGTTAATGTATGAAAATTTTTTTCATAACTATACTTGCCGAATTTTCTATTCCATTGTACTATATGTACTTGCGTCTGATCCGAGATCGAGATCTCTAATTATACAATATTATAAATATGATTATAACTCCTCAAAGCTCCTCAACTAAATTATTTTTTGTGAAAAACCCCATTATTCACTAATGAACCTCAGATTTATAATAATCTTCACACTTACCTCAGTTTGTAGTGTCTTTGCATCACCAACAACATCTTACAATGACACAATTGGTTTAGTTCAAGATCCAGAAAATTTCAATACAAATCAAGTTGAAAATATGTTAATGGCTTTACAAGATTTTAATGCACATCAACACGGTCCAAATTTTTTCACAGGTGCGAGATCAAGACCAAGATCAGAACAAATTAATAATTTAGAAGTAAGATCAAATTTCCCAATATTAGATAAGATTTTAGCAATGATTGACAATTCCGGTATTGCAATCACAGTAATTGATTTTGTATTATTAAAACCTGAATTATTAGATCTTACAATTAATACTACGATATGGATTATAAAATTAAGATTAATCAATTTAACAAATTTATTAATTGCTATTAAAAAATCTGGATTGGCAATAGATACTTTAACGTTGAGTTTAAACGATCCAGATGTTTTACCAGGATTAATCAAAATTACCAGAGAAGTTATACAACAAGGTGGATTAAAGATTGAAAATTTGAATTTATTTAATAAAAGGGAAGAAATAGAAGGTCAAGTTGATTTACTGCAGAAAAGAAAATTTAAAAAGTCAGATCAACCCACCTCAAAATTAGAACTTACACAATTTTCAAAAAGAGACAGTTATTTATTAGATCAATTATTTATATCATTAAGAGAATCAGGTTTAGCTATCGCAGTAGTAAAACATATCTTAACATCACCAGAATTAGCTTCAGCAAATGCTCATTTTGTTGTTTCAATTTTACAATCTCATGCATTAAATATTGTTGATTTAATTAATGCCCTAAAAGAATCTGGTTTACTTTCCACTGTTTTTAAAGATTTATTAGGTAATCCTCAAACGATTAAAGATTTTGCAGGCATAATTGTAGACAAAGTCAAAAATGGTTTAATACCTCAAAAATTCCTAGATCCATGAGACTTGGGTAACGAATTTGCTTGATTTTGACAAAAAAAGAAAGTATTATAAAGTATTAGTGATCATGAATTGATATAATTAATCATAAATATTTTGTAACAATTTGTTCTCTCTATTTCTTTTTGCAGCCAAAAAACAAAATTACAAAAGATAACGCGTCTTGATAGTTTTAAAATTAATTTGGTAGCTGTAAACACGTCTTTATTGTAAATAATAATAATAAATAAATGATTTTGTATTCTTAAGATTTCATTTGATTAATTATACAATTACATCAAATACCACAACCACAACCCTTCATAATGCTGTCAAGGGAAGCAAGGCGTGAGAAATTGAAATTATTGAAAGAAGCAAGAAGAACTGGTAGAAATATAATTATTGATTCAGATGAAGATACAAATTTAAATGAAATTTATGATGAAGTTGATGAAGAAGCATTTAGAGAACATAAAAGAAAACAATTAATGGAGGATGATTTTATAGTTGATGATAATGGAGAAGGATATGTTGACAACGGAGCAGATGAATGGGATGATTCTTCAAGACCAAATTATTATTCCGATGAAGATGAAGAAGTTTCAAGTAAGAAAAGAAAGAAGAATTCTAAAGATTCAAAACCAGTCAAAATAGCTAAAACTGCTCCAATTAATAATTTTTTCAAGACTTCAACTAGAATAGAACCAAATAAAAAAGTGGATGCAAATTTTGATGATATTCTTGATAATTTTCAGGACATAAAACCTCGAAAAAATAAGACATTTTCAAAACCAACCACAGAGGTAAAGAAGAAGAAACAAAATACCTCATTCACTTTTGCAACCATGAAAAAAGAAAAGAGAACTCCTAAATTTGACACTTTTAATGCATCATCAGATTACACGATAGATTTTGATGATTTTGAACAACCTTCATCACCAATTAATACCACGATAGAGACAGAACCAACAACAATCACAACCAAAAAAGACGAAATTCCAAATTCAGAACCAGATAAAGAAGAAGAAAAAATAGAATCCAGTGATTCTGAAGACGATGTTATATTTGCTAAAAGACCGAGAACTACTGCCGTGAAAAGAGAGATAGATACCAAGACAATTACATCTGTGAAAGCTAATACGCTATCATCATCACCTTCAAAACCAACATATGCTAAATTTGCAAATCATACGGATAAATTAGAACAAGAAAAAATAAGTGATGAATCAGGACTGTTTAAAATGTTTTGGATGGACTATGCAGAAGTTGAAAACTCATTATTGTTATTTGGTAAAATTCAAACTAAAGATGGGAGTTTAGTTTCAGGTGTTGTACAAATTAATGGTCTTTGTAGAGAATTATTCATTTTACCAAGAAAAACTACTGCAGATGGTGAAGAAGTTACGACAGATGATGTTCTTGAAGAAATAACTCCATTTTTTATGGATAATTACAAATTGGATACTTTAAAAGCTAAGGCTGAAACAAAGAAGTATGCTTTCGAATTAGCCGACATTCCTAAAGAAGCTGAGTATTTGAAAGTATTATTACCATATAACACCAATACAAATAAACAGATTTTACCAGCAGATGCTGAAGGTACAACTTTTAATCATATATTTGGAACTAACACAAACATGTTTGAAGCATTTGTAACTCAAAGACGTATAATGGGTCCTTGCTGGTTGGAAATTCAAGGCGGAGATTTTGATGCCATTAAAAATTCAACTCATTGTCAAGTAGAAGTAGCGATCAGTCTGCCTTCAAAAGTTTCTGGTATAGATAAAAATCCACCACCAGCTCCAAATTTAACTTGTACATCAATATCTATACAAACAGTAATGAATCCAAAACATAACAAGCAAGAGATTGTTTCAGTTTCATTATTAACATATTATGATTTACCACAAGATGCACCAATTCGTGAAGATTTAAAACCAAATGATGTTCTTACATTGGTAAGACCAGTTGGATCAGTTTCATTCCCACCAGGTTTGAGTCAATTAGCACAGAAGGATAATTTTCAATTAAAGATGTGTCCTAATGAAAAAGTATTATTAAACGCTTTAGCTGCAAAAATCAAAACTTTAGATCCAGATATTTTCATTGGTCATAGATTAGAAAATATATCATTAGATGTTTTAGTTCATAGAATGCATGACAATCAAGTAATTACTTGGTCAGCATTAGGTAGAAGAAGTCGAAAACAATGGCCAACATTAATTAATAATAATAGAAAAGGTTTTAATAACAATTTATTGATCAGAGAAGTATTTAGAGGTAGATTATTATGTGATATTGGAAATGAAATGGGTCAATCATTAACAATGAAATGTCAATCCTGGGATTTAACAGAAATGTATGATATTGTTTGCCATAAAAATCATACACCATTGGAGATCAATTATCAGAATTCAAAATTCTCAGAAGATGCTACATTATTATACCTTGCTTTGAAAGAAAATGAGTTTAATGGTAAAATCACTGGTGAAATAGCATTTGCAATTCAAATTCTTTCATTATCAAAACAATTAACTAATATAGCTGGTAATGCTTGGTCTCATACTTTAAGTGGTACAAGAGCTGGTAGAAATGAGTTTATTTTATTACATGAATTTAAAAAAAATAACTACATCGTACCAGATAAAGCTGATAGCATACACAAAAATGCAACTTATGAACAACAAGCTAAATTAGAAAATGTGGAAGAAGATGTTCAAACTACAACTTCTAACAAGAAACCTAAATATCAAGGTGGGTTAGTGTTTGACCCGGAAAAAGGTTTACATAAAAATTATGTATTGGTAATGGATTTCAATTCTTTATATCCGAGTATTATTCAAGAATATAATATTTGTTTCACTACAGTTAATAGGGATCGTTTCAATAGAACTATGGATGAAGATAAAGATATGCCTATGTTACCAGATAATGAATCAGATGTAGGAGTTTTGCCAAGGTTATTGAATACATTAGTTACACGTCGTCGTGAAGTTAAAAAATTATTAAAAGATCCTAAAAATACTCCATTTCAAAATGCTCAATATGATATTAAACAACAAGCTTTGAAATTAACTGCAAATTCCATGTATGGTTGTTTAGGTTATGTCAATTCCAGATTTTATGCAAAACCTTTAGCTATGTTGGTTACTAATAAAGGTAGAGAAATTTTAATGGATACTAGACAACTTGCGGAAACTTCAAGTCTAAGAGTTGTATATGGTGATACAGATTCTGTTATGATTGATACTGGTGCAAACAATTTAAAAGATGCTATAAAAATCGGAGAAGAATTCAAAATCCAAGTAAATGAAAGATATAAATTATTGGAAATTGATATTGACAATGTTTTCAAAAGATTATTATTACATGCTAAAAAGAAATATGCTGCAATGAATGTTTCGATAAATAAATCAAATGGAGAGGAAATTTCAAATTTAGAAGTAAAAGGTTTAGATATGAGACGAAGAGAATACTGTCAACTTTCAAAAGATATATCAACATTTGTATTAATGAAAGTCTTATCAGATTCAGATCCCGAAGAAGCATTAATGGAAATTTATACATACCTAGAGGAAATGAGAGATAAAATTAAATCAAATGAAATTGTTGTTGATAAATTTAAAATTAATACAAAATTATCAAAAGATCCATCTAATTATCCAAATGGTAAATCTATGCCTCAAGTTCAAGTTGCATTAAGATTAAAAGATCAAGGTAAAGTTATAAAAGCAGGGAGTGTGATAACTTATGTAATAACATCACCATCTGATGAAACTGATAAATCAACAGTTGCAGAAAGAGCAAGAGCCATACAAGAAATGTATCAAAAGAATTTGAATTTGACACCAGATTCATCTTATTACTTAGAAAAACAAATATTTGCACCAGTTGAAAGATTGTTAGAAAGAATTGAATCAATTGATATGATGAGAGTTGCAACTTCTTTAGGTATTGATAGTAAAAGATATATTTTAAGAGTTAAAAATGGTGAAGGTATTAATGGAGAAATATTACCAATTGAATCAAACATTTCTGATTCTGAAAGATTTAGACAATCAAGCTATTTAGTTTTAACATGTAAATGTGGTCATAAATTTAGATTTGGCGGTATACAAGCATCAAAGGATTATAAAGTTACTTTTAATGGTATCAATTGTAATAAATGTGATTTTACATTCCCCATATTAAAATTGACTGCACAATTAGAAACAACGATTAGAAAACATATAACATTATATTACTCAGGATGGTTAACATGTGATGATAATTCTTGTGGTATAATAACAAGACAAATCTCAGTTTATGGTAAAAAGTGTATTGGAGCTTCAGGAAAAGGTTTAGACTGTAAAGGTATAATGAAATATCGTTATTCAGATAAAGCTTTATATAATCAATTATTATATTTTAATTCAATATTTGATGTGGAAAAAACTAAGAACGGGAAATTAAGACCAATAATTGATGCATTAGAAAATGATAATAAGAAAGATGATGAAATAATAAAATTAGCTTCAGGTCAAGTTGATGCATTAGCTGAGCAAAATAAAGAAATGTTTGGTTACTGTCAAGATGTTGTAAACAAATACCTTGGTGAATGTGGTAGACGTTATGTTAACATGGGTTCAATTTTTGATTTCATGACTATATAGAATTACGGTGCATAGATCTAGTGTCAGTTAATTTAAAATTAATATATTTATTTATAATCTGGTAATTGATTGTTGCATGTATACCATTAAGATTTCTACTAACTCAGTTTATTTTATCTCTATGGTGTTATTACAATTATATTTATCAAGAAATGAGTTTTAAATATCTCGCTAAATTGCTACTAATTGAGACGGATTTATAAAATATTTAATTTTTTTTTTTTTTTTGTTTTTCTTTTGCAAACAAAAATAAAAATAATAAAAAAAATTATTACAACAAGTCCCTTCCCCATTTTCAATTACTTCGAAACAACTTAATAAACATCAATTGAACAATCAAAGGTTTTTCTTAATGGTTCAACTTATAGAATTATAAATCAATTGTATCAATTTAATAGACTTATAAATAATTATTCTGAAAAAGTACATCCATCAAGTTTTTTTTTGTATTTTAATTATTATTTTTTTTTACAACCAATATTATTTCAAACAATTTTCACTTGCATATATAACAAACTTAATTGAATGATTTATAAACACTTATAAACTCATTAAAACACATTCACTTAATACTATATCATAATATACATTCTATAAAATTCATATATCTTATAAATAATTATAACAATGCGATTGAACATTACATCGCAGTCTGCATATATTTCAAACGATTCTACAAAAGATGATGATGATACCAAAAAACTAGATTTAATAATACCAGCAAAACCAAATGATTATGAAGCATTATTCAAAAGACTAGATATTGAATCAACAGGTCATATAACTTTTAAAGATTTTACAAAAGCAATGAAAAAATTAAATCATCCAATAAGTCAAAACCCGGAGTTACTAAGAACAGTGTTTAATTCATTTGATTCAAATAGTGATAAGGTTATAGATTTCAATGATTTTAAAAGATACCTAAATACAACAGATGATCAAATTTTAAAAGGTTTTAATAAGATTGATGAAGATAATGATGGAAGACTAAATAAAGCAGATTTTGTTAAATATTTGAAACATCATTTAAATTTGAATAATGCAAGTAAAGTAAATGTTGATTTATTATTTAAACAAATTGATTACAAAAATGACGGATATATAACATATGATGAATTTAGAGAATTTTTAATATTAATGCCAAGATTACATGGCTCGAGAATACGAACTGCTTTTGAGTTTGTTGTGGAAAATTTCGATGTTAGTTCTGATGGTGATGTTACACTAATAAATCAATTTCTTAATGGATTTGGATTTTTTGTTGCTGGTGGTTTAGCAGGTGTTGTATCAAGAACTTGTACTGCTCCATTTGATAGAATAAAAGTTTTTTTAATTGCAAGAACCGATTTATCATCAACTATATTACATTCGAAAAAGGAAATAGCAAGAGAAATAGCTTCAGGTGCTGAAAAATCTGTAATTGATCATTTAAGAGCAAAATTAGCTCATGCTGAAGCTGAACAATTTTTAGAACAAAGTAAAGCAACAAGTTTAAAAGAAAAAACAATTAGATCACCCATAATACAAGCAGCTAGAACTTTATGGCTACAAGGTGGTATAAAAGCATTTTATGTCGGGAATGGATTGAATGTTGCAAAAGTTTTCCCAGAATCTGCCATAAAATTTGGTTCATTCGAAGCAGCAAAAAGATTCTTCGCAAGAATTGAAGGTAAAGATGATGTTGCAGATATTTCAAAATTATCTACTTATATATCAGGTGGTATTGGTGGGGTAGTATCTCAAATTGCTGTCTATCCAATTGATACTTTAAAATTTAGACTTCAATGTTCAAATTTAGAAAGTTCAGTGAAAGGTAATGCATTATTAATTCAGACTGCAAAGGATTTATTTAAAGAAGGAGGAATAAGAGTATTTTATCGTGGTGGGGTGGCTGGTGTAAGTGGTATTTTCCCGTATGCAGCATTAGATTTAGGAACATTTTCAACTATAAAGACATGGTTGATTAAAAGAGAAGCTAAAAAATCAAAAATAAGAGAGGAAGACGTTAAATTACCAAATTCTATAGTGCTATCATTAGGTGCATTCTCTGGTTCATTTGGTGCAACTGTTGTATATCCAATTAATTTAATTAGAACAAGATTACAAGCTCAAGGTACTTATGCTCATCCTTATACTTATAATGGATTCTTTGATGTATTACATAAGACAATTGCAAGAGAAGGTTATGCTGGTTTATTTAAAGGTTTAGTACCGAATTTAGCAAAAGTTGCTCCAGCTGTTTCAATATCGTATTTTATATATGAAAAAACTGTAAACCTAATGGGATTGCATAATGTAGTTAAATAGATTTAAGAGTCATTTTAATTTCAAAAAATTATTTATTTCATTAAATTTGTCATTGAAAATATTCATTAACTATATCAAAATTCATAATATCCAAATCTAATTGTGCTAAAGGTTTTACTGTCTCTATAGTAGTATTTTCACTCTGATTGAGTCTAATCCAATGCTCCGCTGATGCATAAATCAGTTCGTCCAAGTCCACTATAACTTTGAAAAATAGATCATTGTCAGGCATTGTTGAATTCATCGACATTCCAACTTCATATTGAATATCCTCAAGTGAGGTTTCTTTTTTCAATTCTTGTATCAATTTAAATAGTACTGTTTGAAATTGAGTGTATATTTCAATCCATGTTATGTCTGGTATATCTATTATTGCTGATGTATCTTCAGAATCTGTGCTTTCCTTCAATTCATTAATAGTTTTTTCCAAATTAATTACAAATTGATAGAATTTTATTGAATAACTTTTGATCACTTTATCAGATTTTGTATTATAAATTAAACATGAAATTTTATTTAGACCATTTGTTTGTTTTTTACCTATAATTAAATTATTTATTATGTTTAGTAGTAGCTTATCAACATACTGATCTAATTGAGGATGTCTATTCTTCTTAATAATTAATTCAAATGCTTTATATTCATCAAAAATTAATGGGTCGTATATTTTATTATAATATAATATTTGATTTAACCAAACTGTTAAAAATTCTTTGAAAACTATTAAAAAATTATTTATTGTTAATGGTAGATTCATCATTTCATCTTGATTCTTCTTCTTTAGTGACATGGCTTTGATAGTATTATTATCATTGTTTGTATGTATACTGCTAATTAGTGAGCTGATGATAATTCTAACCCCAGATTTCGATTGCAACATTATTTTTTCAAACTATATTTGAACCGCGTTTTATCTACAAATACAAACTACAAACTACTTAGATCAACTTTTTAAAGGTTATGTCTACTATACAAAATATTAGTGTTACTGACATCTCAAAGATTACATCTGGTCAAGTAATTATAGATCTACGATCAATTATAAAAGAGTTAGTGGAAAATTCAATAGACGCTGGTGCAACAAGAATAGTAATAAGTTTTGTTAATTATGGAATTGATACAATAAGTGTACTGGACAATGGTAAAGGTATAAATAAGGAAGATTTTGAAACTGTATGTTTGAGGAATCATACCTCAAAGATTAACGAATTTGAGGATTTGTCAACTTTAACAACATTAGGATTTAGAGGTGAAGCATTAAATTCAATATGTGCATTATCTAACAAAATAACAATAACTACTCAAACATTGGAAACTTATCCTAGAAATTACACTTTAAATTATGATCAACTAGGGAAACTAATAGAAGAAACTTCAAAATTAGGAGGAATGAGTAATAAAAGTGGTACATCAATTATAATTGAACAATTATTTAAATGCTTACCAGTTAGATGGAAAAACTTTGTTAAAACTTCAAAAAGAGAATTTCATAAGACTATAAACTTTATAATAAACTATTTAATAATATATCCTCAGATTAAGTTTGAAGTTACAAATAATAATAATGGTAGAAAACAATTAGTCTTGTCATCAAAAGGTGGTGAAAATAATACAATAACTGAGAACTTAATATCAATATTTGGAAACAATGGCAATACAAATTTATTAGACTTAAACATAGATGTAAATGAAGACATAATATTAAGAGGTCATATTTCATCTTATTCATTTGGCTTAGGAAGATCAACCCCAGATAGACAATTTTTATTTATTAATAAAAGACCAATAAATTTCAAAAAATTATCAATGTTGATTAATGAAGTTTATAAATCTTTTAATCATGTTCAGTTCCCAGTATATGTTATCAATATTGATATAAATCCTGAATTAATTGATGTTAATTTAATACCTGATAAAACTAATATTTTGATACATAATGAAGCTCTAGTCTTGGAGCAAATAAGAGAAAAATTAATTGACTTTTATGAAACGCAAGATAAAGTAATTATACCCAGAAGTACTCGAACACTGATTTCTGATAGTTTGAAAATCATTGATGTGGAAAATGAAGAAGAAGAAAGAACAAGTAAGAAAATGCAAGACACTATTTCAAAATTTATAAAAAAAGAGGTAAAAGAGGAAGAGCTAGAGGAAAATGAAGACCAAGATGAAAAAAATGAGGAGGATCAGAATGTAGAGGAAGAAGCGGAAGAAGAACAAGAAGAAGGGAAAGACCAGAATGAAGAGGTAGATGACGATATTAATGAAGGTGAGAAGCAAATTGACGTGGGGGCTTTATTTGTTGAAGAAGAAGAGGAAGATGATGAAATGGAGGTCGATGAAGAAAAAGACGCTGATGAGGAGGCGCCAGACGTTTCTTTTAAAGACAAGATTCAAGATAATGAGGAAGAATCTTTTCAAAATGTGAATAATGAACAAGTTGATGAAGAAATGATGGATGATCAACCTTCACTGCCTCAAACTGATCATTTTTCCGATCCAATAAATGAAGGAACTTCCACTCCATCAACTTTTGGTGTTGTTGAAACAATCAAGGAAAGTCCATTTCAAAAATCCCAATCAATATCCTCATATGTATATGATGGACAAGACACATTAGAATCAGATATTGTTGAAGATCAACATGGAGTCAATTTTTTTCCTGTTATTAAAACACTTGAAGATGAACCAATAAAGATGATGATTGGAGATGAAGAATTTGAAGAACGTCCAGCAAAAAGATTTAAACGTGATACAAATTTATTTTGTAGAAAAGCATATGTATCTTCTGAGGATATCTTAGCAAATTTATCAAATCTACAACAATACGATGAAGAAGAAGATAATAATTCACAAGATATAAGTGTTAATAAAAACCTTGACGATAAAGAAATTTATCATATATCAAAATCTGATTTTTTAGAGATGAAACTTATTGGACAATTTAATTTAGGATTTATATTAGTCAATCATGGATCAAACTTATTTATAATAGATCAACATGCATCAGATGAAAAATATAATTTTGAAAGATTAATGCAAGAGTATCATATAAATTATCAACCATTAATTACACCTCAAACATTAGAATTAAATGTTATTGATGAAATGTTAGTACAAGATCATGAGCAAGTCTTTCATAAAAATGGTTTCAAAATTACAATTAATAATGATTTAAAACCTGGATCAAAGATTTCATTAAATTCATTACCAGTTTATAAAAATATAATGTTTGATACAAATGATTTTTATGAATTAATAACATTAATTAATGAACAACCAAGTAATAAAAATATAAAATGTTCGAAAATAAGAAAAATTTTAGCAATGAAAGCTTGTAGAGGTAGTATAATGATTGGTACATCGTTATCAAGAAATAAAATGATTGATATTGTCAAAAATCTAAGTAAACTAGATAAACCTTGGAATTGTCCACATGGTAGACCTACTATGAGACATCTAATGAGTATATAGACCGAAAATCTAATATACGTAGATTCTTTAGTAGTTAGTTACGTCTTATTTGCGACCCTCGACTTCAGGCAATGGCATTAGTTCTCACATCAATCAATTAAAGATTACGAATCAATCAATCACAGACTCTTTCCATCACGTACAAAGATCGATTCGAAAACAAACCAAAGACGGGGATTGGCGATTGCAGTATGCCTCCAGCCAACAGACTCAAAATCAAAAGTGGATCTACTCAGACCCGATCCTTCACCTGCATAATCTGGCCTTCGGATTTTACCGCATATGCATCCAACCCCATTGGATAAATAATCAAATTTAGACTTAAAAAAAAGACCTTTTTCGATCATATCCTAGGAGCACCATCACCAAAACCCCTAATTGAAAGATGAAAACTAATATACCAATTGCCCAAAAGCTTGCACCAGAACAGATACCCAATAGCAAATAGACATCAACCATCAACCATCAACCATCAATTTCCATTAAAAAAAAATTATTTTTTGCACCAGTTACCCATTTCCCCTAAACCCATTTCCCCTAAACCCATTTCCCCTAAACCCATTTCCCCCAAATACCCATAACTAAAGTTCCATAACATCATATCCATAATAAACTATGTGTAGATGACTTAGTATACATGTTAGTAATAAGAATAAAAAAATAAATGAATAAATCAATTAATCAACTCACCATAAATCAGGTCAAGACTGAGTTAAACAATCTGATTGATATTGAATTATGAATAATAGATGATGATGAAAGCTTTGTGGAAAGGAAAAGGAAAAAGAAGAAAAAGAGAAAAAGTAAAACAAAAAATATTTTAAATTCAGGAAAATTAGGTCCTATTTATATTTTTTTTGAAACATAAAATATAGTAAATTTTTAGTACAGTAATTATTATTAATTCTTTAATCAAACGTATCAATAAAGTGAAAAACAAATTAAACTTTTAAGGGTTTTTTATATTAAATTTGTGTCATCTAATTTATCTATTTTTTCTTATCATTAAACTCATTTACCCTAATTGAGATTTTTTCATTTGTCATATACTTTTATATACTCAATTTTAAATTTGTATAAATTAGATTATAATCATTATCTTAAAACTTACCAATAAATGTTTTTGTTCCTTTACTTACAGTCCCACCTATCTGGATGTACTTTAGTAGGAAGAATAAGAATTATTTCAGATACTGTGTTTACTAATATATATCTAATACAAATGTTTTTTATTCTTTTCTTTTCATATTCTTTTGTGTGTAATAAAATTAGTGCTGGATCTAGATCTCATTATCATTACTTGTAATTCAATAAAAATCATCTTATCTTAATAATAATATGTATAGTTTATAAGAATTTTAAACTATATATGAATTGATGCATATACTAAAATGAATTAATACTTATAAGGAGCTAGCGTGTAAACACCAATGTTTTGTTTTTGATTTACTGATATTATCATTACTTAATTTGTCCATATTTTATTCCAAAAGAAATTAATCAAATTGCCGTTCGTGAACTTCATTTGAAAAAAAATTAATATTAAATTCACCTTAAATCTAATTATAGACTTTTAAATAACGTTGTAAATATGATGTATTTAAGCTTTATTCTATGTCAAATTTGACTATTGATGATCTAAAATACAAAAGATCTTTCTTAGATTGAGGATCCTTTAAATTTAACAATAAAAATAACCAGTTATTAATTTGAAATACGTAAAACATAGATACGATATTGTGGGGTCATCTTATCTTATCACATAATTTTACACTCTTAATTGTGGTATTTAATTTTACTTTAAGTTATCTTAAATTTTGTGTCAAAACCCTTATTCTGAAATTTTACTGTAATTGTGTGGAGAGATCTTTATCGTCCAATTAAAGATATTTTCGTATAATCCATTAAATAAAATATATACTGTATAAGAAATGTGTATAAAATATGAAAAATGTAATAAAGGTGCCAAGATCTTTATTTTATTGTTCTTGAGTGTTTCAGAATTTCATAAACTTTATTTTATTGTTTTTGTGACAATTTTAAATTTTAAATTCAATATATGGTTTAAAGAAATAAAATGAATCTAAAAACTAGATTAGTTTAATCCAAGAATATATTATTTTTTATTTTGAGAATAAGAACTATCCTCTTATTTTATGATAAACTATTGATTAAAAGGTTTTTAACATACAAAAAATCTATCATTTCAGTACCTATAAACTTAACTTTAGTTGAAAAAAAAAAAAAATTTTTGAAGACTTACTTATTCATATTTTATAGTGATGTGTTTGATTTACAATAATTTTTGAAAAATACAATTTGATGCATATACGATTTTATTAGTATTTCATCTATAGATCAAATTTCAAAGATTATCGTATTGAAAAAGGGATTAACACATGACAACGAAAGGAGTCTCATAATTTAGCAAACGCTAACAAATTTTTGGGTTTGCTTATTATGGGTTTAACTCTTTCTACATCATTAAATTTTGAAAATAACTCATGTCTTCTACTACAAAACTTTTAAACTGATTGTGGTAAAGTATTAAAAGCATGTACTAATTATTCACCATTATAATAAGATTCTTCATTATTTTCGTTTAACTTTAATTTTAATTTTTTTCTTTTTCTTTCTTCGTTTTTTCTTTCGTATTTTACTTGTTTGGGTTTGTGTATTTAACGATGATGAACTATCATCTATTAGTTCCTTATTTTCATTCATTATTGATTAATTGAACTGATTCATTATTCATTTATTGTAAGTAAGTGTATGTTGAAAAAAATAGTTGTGTATGGAATATTCATAATTAAGTCACATTCTATTTCTATATGGAGTAATCATAGATTGATTTGAACAAACCAGACAAGGATTGTTGTTTTTAGTCTTCTGGCCAATATCTCTAAAAACAAAAAATTTCTAGAATTGATCTTGGCTCATAGTTTGCTCTACATAAAAATTTTTGAATATCAGTCTCCCAAAGGAGGTTTGCCAGTTTTGAAGTATGAATTTTTAAAAGGACATTATTTGCATCCATAATATGTTTGGTATCCAAGAATCGACCGAAACTATAGGAGCGAGAATATAGTAATAATTACCGGGAAAGTGCGTACTATAATTGCCCCGAGGAGAAGAGATTACTTTATATAGACAAGTGTATTCATAGATATGTGTAGAGGGTGGAAGAGGCAGACATCTCAATATACATACCCGTGTTTGTATAATGCGAGTGATTTAATATAATAATAATACTGCATATAGAATAATAAAAAGAAATAACCAAACTGTTTTAAATTTATTTTTTTTTCTCTTGTAAAACCCCATTACGATAAGATAAAAAAATTTCTAATAAAATATCATATATTAAGATTCAAGAGTTATATGCTCTTTAAACGACTAGTCACACATACCAGTCTCAAGTCTATTTCAAAACCGACTATATCAACTAGACAAACATCACTTAATTCATTTGAAGATATCATGACAGTACCTGCATCATCACCATCATCATCATTAACTACAACATCAAGTAAACTACAAGGACGTGATTTATATAATTCAATAGGACAACCTAAAACCATAGTAGCACCAATGGTTGATCAATCAGAATTAGCATGGAGAATACTATCTAGAAAATATGGAGCAGAATTATGTTATACACCAATGTTTCATGCAAAATTATTTGTTACTAGTGAAAAATATAGACAAAGTATGTGGAATTTAAAAGATGGTGATAAAAAAAATGATAGACCATTAATTGTACAATTTTGTGCTAATGATCCAGATTATTTATTACAAGCAGCAAAATTAGTTGAAAACCAATGTGATGCAGTAGATTTAAATTTAGGATGTCCACAAGGTATAGCTAAAAAGGGAAAATATGGAGCATTTTTAATGGATGATTGGGATTTAGTACATAAATTAATTAAAATTTTACATGAAAATTTATCAATTCCAGTAACTGCTAAAATAAGGATATATGATGATTGGGAAAAATCTTTAAAATATGCTAAAATGGTATTAGATGCCGGTGCACAATTTATAACTATTCATGGTAGAACAAGAGAAATGAAAGGTCAACAAACGGGGTTAGCAAATTGGAAAATATTAAAATATTTAAGAGATAATTTACCTAATGATCAAGTATTTTTTGCAAATGGTAATATCTTATATCCAATGGATTTAAAAAGATGTATGGAAGAAACAAATTGTGATGCAGTAATGTCAGCAGAAGGTAATCTATATAATCCCGGAGTATTTTGGACTAAAAATGATGATATTGAAAAACAATTTCCAAGAATTGATAAAATATTAAGAGAATATTTTGAAATTGTTAAGCAAGTTGATAGTCCTGCTTCAAGGCATTCAATGAAAGCTCATTTTTTTAAATTAATGCATGAATTTTTAAATATACATAAAGAATTAAGACCAATAATAGGACAAACAAGTGTACATTCATCATTTGAAGATTGGGATAAAATTGTTATACAAGTTGAAGAAATTATTGCGAAAATTTATGAGAATCCAAAAATTAATGAATTAGATATTATAACATCAGGTAATACTGAAAATTGGGGAGGTCATTATAAAATTGTACCATATTGGAGATGTCAACCATATTTTAGAAAAGTTGATGGAGAAAAACAAAATACAAGATTATTAAAAGTTGCAGGAGAAACTGATTTAATGATTACTTCAGATATTGCAAAACAAAAGGTTTTAAAAAGAGAATTAGAAGACGGAATACAACAATCAGATGTTGCAAATAAAAAGCAAGCTGTATAGATCAAGGTTAATTGGATAATTTATAGAGAATATTAATAAAATTTTTAATTGAACGTAACTTGTAGATTAATTAGTTTGTAAGATTTTTTTTCTCAAGATTTACAGAGGTTTCTCTATCACAATCACGATCTTAATATATTTTAATAAAAACTATTTATAATGGTTCACTTAATTTATCACCTTCCCAACCTTTAAATCCAATACCATAACCCCAAGGATCATTAATATATCTTTTTGGATTTTCTTCACCAATTTGATTTAATTCATTTAATTCTTGTTTGGTTAATTGAGGTAATCCAGTAATTGATTTAATTCTTTCTAAATTTGAAGATCTTGGAATTATAACTCTACCTTCTAAAATTTGATAAGCATTTGCAATTTCATTAGTTGATACATTATATTTTTTAGCTAATTCTTGAATTTTTGGTAATTTTAATACTGCTGCTCCTTCACTTCCATAACCTGAATAACAAGCAACAACAATTTTATTTTTTTCACATAATTCAATTAAATCACGTTGTTTACTTAATTGTGGATGATATTCAATTTGATTTATAACTGGGATATGTTTAACATGGGGTAATAATTTATTTAATCTTGAAATTGAATAATTTGAAATACCAATTGATTTTGTTTTGGTTGTATTATCTAAAATTTTTTCTAAATTTTGATAAACTTCAATAAATTTTGTTCCATTAACTGGATCATCATCATATTTTAAATTTCCTTCATTATCTTTTGGTGCTGGTGGTTGACCATTTTCATCACCACTTAAAGCAATTGGCCAATGTTGTAATAATAAATCAACATAATCTAAACCTAAAGTTTGTAATGATTCATCTAATGATTTTTCAGGACTATGATAATAAGATGGCCAGACTTTTGTTGTAATAAAAACATCTTCTCTTTTTACAACACCTTCATCAAATAATTCTTTTAATGCTTCTCCAACATATTTTTCAGTACCATAATACCAAGCAGTATCAATCATTCTAAAACCTGCATTAATGGCTGTTTTAACTTGATCTTTTACACCACTTGGATCACCTGATGGTACAGTTCCTAAACCTAATGCAGGAATTTTATGACCATCATTTAAATCTAAACGAACTTTTGTGGCATCTGTAACTTCACCCATTTTTGAATTATTAATTGTATTTAAAATCGTAATTTGAAATTATTTAATGAATTTATAAAGATGAAAATATATAATTGATTTAAGGATAGTAAGAAATTGTTGAAGGTATTTATATTAATCGGAGTTCTAAGTTGTTTAATATTAATAGAGCAAACATTGATATATTTTTCAAGTAATTTGTTATATTTCCGAATTCCGTAATATAAAACAAAATGAGCCTCACATAAATATATCAAATTCTAAATTCTAAAACACAAATAATTAACAGAATAGCAATTGAATATTAATTGGAATTATCTTCATATTACAAATTTATTAGAAAGAATTAAATAAGGTTTCAAATATATAAGTTAAAGGAATCATCATTTCTCAGAGCTATTATAGTAAACATGTACCAAAATTCTTGATATCTCAACTAGAATCAGAATCAATTCAATGAATAATTTCGATACTATTCTTGCTATTATACTATTTATCGAATAATTTAATTAAGCCATGAGGACAAGATTTAATTAAGTTTAATTTTCGAAATGTTCTATCTAAAAAGTAAGGTGTAAGTTTATTATTTTTCAATTGTTGCTTTACATTGATTATTTCTTCAAAAATATAGTTTATATTTGCTTTAAATATTTAAACTGTGTAATTAAAGAAATATATTAATTGTATAGATAGTTTAATTTGTAAATCAAACCAATGACGTAAGTTTAATTATATAATTTGATTTACTGTGTAGTTGATTATTTAAATGTAGATAAAATTAATTGTTCTACAATCAAAAAAAAAAGGATCTCTGACAAAATTGTTTCAGATTAATTGATAGTAAATTTAAGAAGGAAAAAAAAGAAAATATTTGGTCAATTTTCATAATTTCATTTTCCACATATTAAAATAGACTTCTCTTATAACCATTAAATACCTTTAGCTATAGCTTAATTCATTGTGATAATAAACTTATTATTACAATATAAATTAAAAGTCAAATTATATTTAATTTTAATAATTGCTTTATAGTATAAAAATAAATATAATCTTTTATCTTTTGTATATTTGAAATATAAAATCAAAATCTGTGAATAGTAAAAGGAAAAAGAATGTAATCTATATATATATATATATATATATATTCATTTAATACTAATTCAACCTTAAGATATTAGGAAACCAAATTGATCTGTATCAAGTATTATATTTAAAAAAAAAAGTTTATTTAATTACAATATAATAATTATATTGAATTGGTTGTCAATTTCCACCACTACTGTTAGTTGAAGTTATTATATACATGAGAGTCAAACAATTAGCAGAATAATTACTACAACAAATTAGTAAAGATGAAAAGAATCAAAATTTCTTTGAAAGGAGATTTCTTAGTTATTCAAAATTACGCGTCTATATATTTTTATAAATTTTAATTTTTACGCGTAATATATAAAAAATAATTAGAATAATAATAATAATAATTAATAATTAATAATTAATAATGCGGTACGGATGTTACATTTGATGTTTGGTACAAAATCGTCATAACTTTACAATTTGACATCGATTATTTTATTTGGTCTCTATAAATATTTAATTTTCATTATCTTCCCCATATTATTACTATATTATTCTACTAATCTAATACATTATTTACTAATCATTGTATAGAGATCAATGAAATAATTAACTAGCTTTTTTTTAAAGAACTTCTATTACTATATTAATTTCAATTAAAATCATATTCAATTATAATTGTAGTTGATATTGATTCAAACAGTATTAAATGTTTAATATTATTTAATATTTACCATAATACAACATGAGCTATTAGAGATTAAACAAGAAATTATTTATTCTAGACTTGAAATTTAAAATATTTCTAAAATATGGTAGCATTAAAAAATTACCAAGATAAAAAATTATTTATTTATTCTATTTATTTTATTTATTTATTTTAATTTTAATTTTAAATTTCTTTTATCAAAATTTTTTTTTTAACGCTTTTCTTTTTTTTTTTTGACAACTTCATTTGAACACATTCATTTCATTTCATTTCATATAATTTACATTCATTTAAATTTATTCAACTGATATTATTGACTATTTCAAAAATATATCATACATTCGTTTCAAATACATTAAATAAAATTTTTTGAAAATCATTTATTCTTTAACTTTCGAAGGGAATATTCTTTTTTAAAAAATAATATTTATTATTGGAACTTTATTTCATCAAATATTAGAATAAAGTTTTTCATCAACATTTGGAAATACTTCATTTGTTTATATTTAGTATATTAAAGAAGATTAAATCTAGTACTCCTTTGATAAATTATTTGAATATTTTAATTTTACTTTTGTATTATTCATTCATTTTCAATAGATTATTGAAATTAAAATTATATTCCAATTTCCATTAACAACAACTACATAAATTATATATATATATTTTATTAAACATTCATTAATTTAAAAAGATAAAGTCATTCGTTATAATATTTTTTTAACAATATAAGCCATAAAATATACTTTTTCATAAATTAAAATACCAATAATGTTTTCAATATCATTTTTAAAATTTAATTACAATCATAATAATTATTCATTATTATTTTCATTTTTACTACTAATCAATTTAATCACATTTACAAATGCTGAATATTATCCTGCTGCTAAATTAGTTGGTTGTTATTCTTCTATTTCAAATACAAATAGCCAATCACAAGGTAATTATAATTTTCAATCTTCTGGTTATTGTTCTCATAATTCTTGTCCAAATAGTATGTATGTTGCTATAAAGGGAGAAGAATGTATTTGTTTAAATAATTTACCAAATTCAAATACAAAATTATCAGATTCAAATTGTAATGTACCATGTGCTGGTTATGATTCTGAAATGTGTGGTGGTTCATCATCTTATTCCATATTTTTTGGTGTTAATAATAATAACAATGCTGTTATTGTTAGTCAAGGTTCTTCATCTTCTCCTTCATCATCATCACCTTCAGGTACTGCCAATTCTAATAATGCTAATGCAGCTTCATCTTCAACAAATCAACAACAGTCTACATCAAATACTGGAACTACTACAGAAACAACAGCTCAAGCAACAAGTCAAACTCAAGAAAGAGTTACCAGTACAGTTACTTCAAGTGATAATAATGGACTGGTTCTTTATAAAACAATAACTCAAACTGATGATTCTACTGAAACTCATTCTTCATCGTCATCAACTACATCAGAAACTTCTTCATCAACTACAAACGATTCATCGAATACTACAAATTCAAATTCAGAATCAAAAAATAATAATAATCATAAGAAATCAGTAGCACCAATTGTTGGAGGAGTAGTTGGTGGAGTAATAGGTGCTGCATTAATTGGTTTATTAGCATTTTTCATTATACGAAAAAGAAATGCATACGATGATGATGATTATGATGATGAAGAAGAATTTTATGATGATAAAAATAAAAATAGTAATAAATCATATTATAATAATGCTAATTTTACAAATAATAATAATGGAAATAATTTAGGAAGTGGTAGTAATGGATCATTTAAATATTCAAGAAAAAATTCTAAAAAGACTAATAATACAAAAATATCACCATTAGATATGCCAATGGTAAATCCTTTCCAACATCCAAATGATGATTTAGTACTGGGATCAAAAAGTGGTAATAGAAATTCATTATTTGGATTAGGTCGTTTAAAAACTTCAAATGGTGGTTTTATTGATCCAAGATTAAATCCAATAATGATGGGTAGAAGAAGATTAAGTGAAGGATCATTAGCTGATGAAGCTGATTATTCGAGAAAAGTTTTACAAGTTGCAAATCCTGAGTAATTTAAAGCAAAATGGTTTTTAAGTTGATTATTTGAGAATATTTAGTTGCATTCTTGTCGTTTTCACACTAGTTTTTACTTCTTCATTTAAATTTGGTTCCATTTGGGTTTTTACCGGCGTTTTATTGTTAGTTTTATTTCTTTTACTGTCAGACAATTATTATTTTTTGTTTTGATGTTTATTTACCTATGTATATATAATGTTTTATTAGATTAATGTATTATAAATATATTATGTTTATTTGACTTTGACTTCAAGTTAATGATAATTTTATACAAAGGCGCAGTGTTTGATTTGTGTCGCTGAATCTTTTGTCACAAAAACAGCTTTTGAGTAACATTCTATTTTTAAGTGATACAAAATTTAATTTTGAAAATAAATAATAAATTAAAGATTAAAAAATAAATAATAATCCACATAAGATTTTCAAAATCTAATACATATTCAGTCAATCAAACATTAGACATAGATCTTGAAAAATTTTATAAAAACAACTCATTTAATTCATCACATATAATAATCAACAATAATGACGAATTATGAAAGGGTATGTCCAAAAATTAATGATTACTATTACATATTATTTTTTATACTAACTATATTTCCGGATTAGATAAATACACAAGAAGATGATTCAAATTTATTATCAGATTCACAATTAAATTCAAATATACTAATAGATAGTGATATTGAAGAAAATGAAACTACTAATACATCACCAAGCACAACTTCACAACAACAACCAACTTCATCATCATCATCTAATCCAATAAGTTCATCATCATTAGATTTAGAATCTCAAATCCCACCAAGATTAACTCCTAAACAAAGAATAATTCGAGTATTCAATCATTTATTCCCTTTAAAACAAACTTATGAAAGATTAAATAATGGTATACAAACAGGTAGAATGCAACATAATGCACCAGGAAGATTTATTGGTCAAGGTACTGATGGAGTTTTCCAAAATTTAATGGCAAAACCAGATACTTTATTAACAATTCAACAAAGAGAAGCAGAATTACATCCACCAACTTATGAGGAAGCAGCTCAAGATGCAAGTCCTGAATATTGGGAATCTACAATGATTAGTCCAATGTATGAAGATGAAGTATTTGTTCAAGGATTACCGGTTGGAAATATTGCAAATTTTATATGGAATGGATTAGTTACTATTGCTTTTCAATTTATTGGATTTATATTATGTTATCTTTTACATACATCTCATGCTGCAAAACAAGGTTCTAGAATGGGGTTAGGAATCAATTTAATAATGTATGGATGGAATATATTACCATTAAATATGGGATCACCTAAAGAAATACCTAAAAAATATATAATTGATAATCCAAATGATTTTAATGATATTGATAAACATTTTAAAATAGAAAGTAATAAAATTGATAATTATTCACCACTGGGATTTTTTATACAAGATTCAAACAATCATATTGATGATAATTATGATAATTATAATACTACTCCTTATATTGCTTATGGTCTTATTTCATTTGGATTATTCATAGTTTTGAAAAGTATTGTTGATTTTTATAAAGTAAAACAATTAGAAAGAAGTATTTTACGTCCAAATGGTTCTTCTAATAGTGGTGTAACTCAAAGTGCCACAAACCCAGTTGAAAATCATAATGAACAAGAAGAAAATAATGAATCACCACAAGGTACCGAACCGAATGAAGATCCAACTGAAATGAGATAAAATTTATTTATAATTAATTTATTATATATATTATTAATACAAGAATTATAATTATGATAAATAACAATCTCTAATGAAAATTTTAATTTAATATTACCAACATTTTTTCATAAATAGTAAATACAATACCCCCACTCAATACTAATCTCCCTAATCTTGGTGTAGCACCTTTCCAAAAAGTTAATAACCCTTCCTGTTTAAATATTTTAATAAAACAATCTAAAGTAGATTTATATAATTTTTTTGAACCTAAAGCTTGCATTCTTGTTTTAACAGTATCAATAGGCATAGTAGTATATACAGTAATTATACCAGCAAAAGCTCCAACTAAAAAAGTAGATGTTGAACTTAATGGTTGATTTGGTGGTGTACCAGTTGCTTGTTGAATCATTGTTTTTATTGCATTATATGAACCTAATCTAACTGCTTGATTTGCAGCTTGTCTTAAACTTACAGGTATAATTCCAGCATATATACCTTTAAACCCCATATCTTTAATTAATTTAAATGTACCACTCACCAATCCATTTTGATATTTTGGTTTTAAATTTTGTTTATCATCAATTAAACCAGTTTTTATAGCTTCAAAAGGAGTTACAGCTACAATACTTTCTAATAATCCAGCACCTAATCCAGCAATAACTCCTCTTGGACCACTTAATTTCCCATTTTTATCAGATAATAAATTTTTTATATAATCAAAGCCTAAAAATCTTACTGATGCTTTTACTGTATTACCAACTACAAAAGCAGGACATCCAACATATAAACTTGATATTCCTTGAGTTTTAGCTATGTTATATATTAATACTAAAGGGTTTCTTGATGTTTTTGTGGTTGTGGATTTATCTATTAATTGTAATCTGGTTTTAGCAAATTCAAAAGGATAAGTTATAACTCCTTCAATTGCACCTGCTGTTCCTCCTGCTATAAAAGATTTATATGGATCTACTTTTTTTTGCTTTTGGTAGTTTGAGTTAATATTTGAATTCTAGACTTTTCTTTTCTAATACTTATATACGTACTTGAACATTGGGCATTGTATATGTAATTGATGTTTCAGAATTTATTAATCTATATAAATTTTTCACAACTCCATATTTCAATGTAAAGTACACAAATAGCATATTTTGTGTAATAAAAAAATTTTACGAGTAAATTACTCATAAAGAATAGTTTATAAGATTAATTTCAATCTACAAGTGTAATACTAAGTTTCAAAATTAATATAATATTACAAATATTTTTATATCTATCTAATCACGATTTTTTTATATATATATATAACTTTTATCATTTACCTAGTTTTTATTGTAACCATAAAAGTCCCTTCTAACGGATCATGATCATAATCAACTCTATCATTATCAACTGGTTCAGGTAATGGAGGTTTATAATTTGGATTTCTAACTTGAATTTTATTTACAAATACTTCATCATATTGATAAATTTCTGGTACTCCTAAATCAATTGCACCTGGTAGAATACTTGATGGAGCAGGAGTTCTAAAAGTTTTAGGAACAGTATATAAATCTGGAGCTGTATTACCTCTACCAACATGAGCTGCATTTCTTCTTGATGATGTAAAACCTCTAGAACTTGTTGTACCTGAACTTGTCCCAATATTACCATTTATAAAACTTCCTGCACTATTTATAACACCACCATTAAGATTAATTTGTACATCTTCATTATAATTATGTCTTCTTTTTCTTCTACTTTCTCTTTCCATTTCTTTATCTTTTCTTTCAACTTCTAATTCAGTTAATTTTATTAATTGTGGACTAAATTCTGATACATTTGTTGGATTTCTTAATATGGAGAAAAAATCATCAACAACTTGATAATCTTTTGATACTAAACGTAATGGTGGTAATAAATGATTACGTATACTATCATCATTTATTGGTGTACCATCAAAATTACAACCTGACAAAATTAATGCTTTATGATACATTTGACTTTGTTCTCTTATACTATGAGCAATAGCTGTACTAAATTCTCCAGGTAAAAATAATTCATCACACATTGTAGTGGCAAATTCTTCAGGATCATTCTCATTTGAATTCAAAATATCCCATTCAAATTGATCCGTTAATTGAGTATTATTAATTACAATATCTATCTTTATTGGTATTCTTATTTCTCCAGTTGTTTTATTTGGTTTTTGTTGAAAATCAGCAATTTGTTCCTTTATAGAACTTAAGATTGTTTGATAATGAATTTTTGGTATAAATTTATAATCTTGTAATAATTGATTTGTAAATTCTTCAACTGATATAACTTCTTCGTTTAAATCCCATAAAAATGTATCACGTAATTTAAATTGATCTCTTTCTTGATCAAACTCTAATCTTATTGGTACATACTGTTTCCCATTTATACTTTGTTGTAAAATTTTTTCATTTATTTCTCTGTCAGTATAATCACGTCTTGGTAATATTAATTTTGTACTCGTATTAGTTACGCCATTCCCATATCCTTGATAACCTTCTCCCCATATACTATTATTTTGTTGATTTTTAGAGCTTAATTGGATTGAAGCCATTCTTAATTGTTTTACTTGATTATAATGTTGTAAATCTTTTGCTAAATCTTCTATTGATGATTTTATATCATTATTTTGTTTCGCAGAATTTGCTAGAAAATCACCGTCTTTTTTAATAATGTTTTCATAAACTTTTGTATCTAAAGGAACTGGTTTATTTTCACTAATTAATTTTGATGACCATTGATTAAAACTTTTCAATTGAACCATAGGCATTTTACTCGCTAATTCTTGAGAAGTACTTGATGCCAATGAGAGCGGTACACTTAAACTTGAATTTATTTTTTGAGCTTGACTTATTGATGGATTCCTTATTATATTTGGCAGTTGTTGATTGAAAAGTTGAGTTTGAGGGTTCATTCCAGCTGATTGACCACCAACTACTGGAGTAACACCATTAAAAGGTAATTGATTATTTTTTGGTTGTTCAGTTGTGAAATTTGGATTTGGATTTACTGATGTACCTGCACCATTTCCCATTGAAGATCTACTAGGCATATTATTTATTGGTAAACTTCCAGGTAATCCACCAACTTGTGGATGCATATTATGTGGTGACATTTGATTAGGTACATCTTGCCTATAAATGGCTTCTTTTTGACCTCCTTGATTTGGTAACGGTGGCAGATTTTGTGGGAAATTCTCCAATTGTTGTTGATATGATGATCCTTGTGATTGATTTTGTAGTCTTTGTTTATTAGCTAGCATTTGTTGTCTTTGATCATTGTTAAAATCCATGGGTGATTGTTGTTGATTCTGCTGTGGTTGTTGCTGCTGATGTTGTTGTTGTTCATGCTGAAATTGTTGTTGTTGTGCTTGTGGCATGTTCATTCCTTTATTTTGTTGTTGTTGTTGCTGTAATTGTTGTTGATGTTGTTGTCTTAATATCATTTGTTTAATCATTTCTTGGACTTGAGGATTAGCCCTCATATTTTGTAATTGTTGTGGAGTTAAAGACGCTAGAAACTGAGGAGTAATTTGAATTCCACCATGTTGTTGTTGTTGTTGTTGCGGAAACTGTTGTTGTTGTTGTGGTGGTGGTTGTGAGAATGATTGTTGTTGTTGGGATTGTTGAGGTTGTTGAGAAGGTAGATTAGAATCACCAGATGATAATGGAAAATCAGATTGTTGATTATCCATTATTTGAAATATTTATATATATTCAATTTCAATATGTTTTAATAATCTTAAATTGGTTTCAAAAACACAAATTCTTAAATTCTTAAATTTTATTTTTTTTTTGACATTCTATAAAAATTATTTGTTACTTTATACACTACCCCATGATTTTTAAATTCAGTTCATATCTGAATCAGAATTTATAATTTATAATAAGACCACTTTTTTTGATAATCATATCTAATCTTTGAGTGAAAGCAAGCTATTTATTCTTACTAAACTTTATTCTTACTAAATTTACATCAATTGCTTAATGATATAACAATTTACCAAATGCAATGTTCAAAATAGTATCACGATCTTGTAACAATTATATAAGATTTACTCAAAAGAGATTATTATCTACACCAAAAATTACAACTGCTGCAATAAGACCAAAAAATATTCCGAAAAAGAAAATTGGAGCTCAAAAACTACGAAGAACTGATCCAAAATTTCAAAATGAATCTACGAGTTATATACTATCCTTACTAAATGAAAATAATCGAGATGATGAAAAGACAAAAACTTTAGAAAGTCATTTATCAATTGTTACTTCAGTCACTGTTGGAGATTCAATCAATTTTGATAAAATTCAAGATGATTTGAACAGTAAGCACAATTGTGAGATTATAGTTCCTGAGGAGGTAATTAATATCTATGTATCACCAATAAGTAATTTAATGGTTTTATCAAATGGTACTTTAGTTGGGTGGAATTTATCAGAAGATAAAATTATTGATAAATTTTTACCAAATATAGTAAATTCAATAAACTCGAAATATAGTGAATATGAAAGTGAAGAAATTGACTGGATAGAATTAAAACAATTACCTGAACAACCTTTGAATAATGGATCTAGTTATTTACATGGAGAAATTTTAGTTGTTCAAGGTTTAAATCCTGATAAAAGATTATTAGATATGGCAGCATTTGCAATTGGTTTAAGTAGATCAACTAGACTATCGATTCTAGAAAACCAATTAGATGAATTTTTGACTTTAACAAGAAATAATTCAGAAATTTTATCATTAGGAAAAAGAATAACAGCTACTGAACATGATTTATTAAGAATCACAGGTAGGTTATTCTTATTAAGAGGAAAATTAAATTTGTATTCTGAATTAATTGAAACACCAGATTTATATTGGAGTGAACCAGATTTAGAAAAAATTTATAATTCAGTAAGTAAAATATTAGATATAAATTCAAGAATTTCAATAATGAATAGAAAATTAGATTATGCTACAGAAGAACAAAGAGCATTTTTAAGTGTTTTAAATGAAAAAAAATCAACTAGATTAGAATGGATAATTATATTATTAATTATGATTGAAGTTGGATTTGAAAGTTTTCATTTTTATGAAAAATATTATGAAAAAGGTACAACTAAAGATTTATATTAGTTGTACTTTAATCAGTTCGTATATATTTTTTTGGGTTTATAGAATTTATTTCTTTGTATATATTTAATTTTTACAGGACTACATTTACACAATATGGCGAAATTTTCCGCTAATTGTACGAGTTTTTTTAAAGTGTATAACATCCGCTACCAATTTATGTTTCAGAACATGTTCTTTTTTTTTCTAAAATAGGCATTTATTCTACATAAACTTATGCATGGAGAAATGTAGGATAGCTATACCTATGATATCGAATGGTTATATAAATGGTAAAGAACTTGCTAATGATAACAACTTTTCAAATTAACTAGTAAGTGTTTTGCCAAGCGTATTCATTGAATGAAATGTTTGAAAGCTTCAATAAAGAGGTTAATTCCCAATACTTTGATTGAAGACACTGACAAATAATATCGTTCTACAAATATTCATTGAAGACGTTGACATATCAAATTGTTCTACAAATATTTAATATTTACCAAAAGACTTAGATCTAAATCTATATTAAAGTTACAAGTTTTATAAAAAATTAAATACAAACAAATTATAAATAAATTAATAATGAATGACGAATGATTCTCCAACCAATCACCTTATGTAACGCTTTTCGATCACCCTACTTAAGTTAAAGCCAATGAATGCAAAGGCAAAGCCTAACTCAGGTGCGATATCACCTCCAAACTCACCAATTTGTCTTGCAAGAACTCCCGCATACCAAGTTTGATTCATTCCTATGACAACACCGGCCACACCACAACAGAAACCAAAAGTTCCTGCTAAACCTAATGGGTAAGCTGATTTATCATTATATCTTTCATATGGATAATCTCTGAAATTTCCTTTATGCCATATTAAATGAGAACTTAACATTAATGATTCATAAATTGCTAAATAATAAGAAATTAAATTCATAAAATTTTCCATAACTGATTCGAATTTATAATAAGCTGGAATACAAATAGCTAAAGTAGCACCATTACCTGCAATAGTCCAAGCAACTCTTGGAATTTTAGCTAATGGACTCCAGAAAGTTTGAGCACTTAAAGCCATTGAATACATATTTGGAATATTATTAGCAACTGTTGATAAAGCTAAAACAACACAACAGAATTGACCAAATCCATGTAATGAATCTTCAACTAAAATAGCATAAACCAACCCACCAACAGAATTAGTTTCATATAATTCAGACCATCTTGCATCAGATTTAATACCAGTCGCACAAGCAGCTCCTAAAATTAAAATAAATACTAATGGGAGAAATAAACCTGCAAAAATAGCAAAAAAGATTTTAGTTCTATTAGTATTTCTTGGTTGATAAACAGTATAATCAGAAGCATAAGTAGTCCAACCAGTTGCAAAACCATAAATAGTACTACCAAAACTTAAAACACTACCAGCAGTAGTTTCACCACCAATAAATCCATCACTTTGGAATTTACCACTCATTGCAAATCTAACTATAATAATAATGAAAATAATTAAATTTGGAATCCAACACCATTTTTCATAAAGATGAATAACATGATAACCAAAAAATGTAACAATGATGGTACAAAGAACCAAAATTAAACAACCAGCCCATGGAGGTAAAGCACCATTGTTGACAATATGTAACAATTGAGCAGAAGCCATAATATTAACAGCTCCCCAACCAACACAAGCAATGACATTAATAAAACTAAAAATTCTACACGTTATATCACCAATCAAAAATCTTGACAAAATCATTTGTCTTAAACCAGAAACAGGACCAAAACATGAAAAATAAGCAACTGTAAAAGCACCAATTGCAGTGAAAAATATAATAACTAAAACAGCTTGACCAAAAGCTAATCCAAAGACAGTAATACCTAAAGCACCTAATGAAAAAGTTGCAATAACTAAATTTGCTGAAAACCACATAGTTGCAGCATTCCAAAGTGAATCTTCAGTTTTTTCTTCATCGGTAACCATATCTATACCTTTTGTTTCAGCTCTTAATTTAGAAGCCCAACGATCAACAAAATTGACTTTTGTATCATGAACTTCAGTATCTGAAGCTGTTCCAGAACTTGGATGATCTACATCATCATATGAATATGCTTTTTCAGCATTAACTGTCATATTCTTTTCATCCATCTTTATTTTGTGAATTTTTCTATGTTTTTATTATATATCTATACTTTGTATTATAATAATTTATTATAATTGAATAATTTAATATTAAATTTTTCAAGTTGTTCCTTAAATTAATAATTTTTCGAAATATATATGATGAAGATGGATTGTTTATATTTACTTATTGATTAAATTAAAATTTAAAAGTAAATATATAGTAGATGATTTGAATTGGGTATTAAATGGTTTGATATTCAAAAATTAGATAAAAGGTGAAATTTGAAAAATTAAATCCAGGGTTTCTAAATAGTTTTTATATCTTTGAAGATATGTAGATTTGATAAATCCAAATGTATATCAGATAGAAAGAAAACAAAGAGATAATAGAAATATAAAATAAAAAAAGTAGATCTTTTCATTTATTGAGATTTGAAAAATTTTAATGATAAGAGAAAATAAAAATAAAAATCTCTTCTCTTTTGAATTGGCTCAAAATTTTAACAATATATGTTGAATTACTTAAATCTTTATATATAACAATCAAATATTCTGTATTAAACGAATAATAGAGAAGTTTCTTTTTTATTTATTAAATTATTAGTTAAGTGATGAAATTATAAAAGGCGTAAGAAAATAAAATCATTAACTGTTAAATGTGTTAAATGAGGGTCTGCCCAATATAAAAATGTAATTTAAGATGCATAAATATTTATTTAATTTTAAGATAGAGATAAGTCAAATTTAAATTTTAGTAAATTATTAACGTTTTTTTTTTAATCCGTTTCTTTATCTTCTAATCTAATTGCCTTATTCCATCGGAAGATGTAAAAATCAACTATTAATGAAGTTCTCTTAAATCAAAAAATACATTTCCTTTGAAATTGTTGTGAGAAAGTAAAAGCATTTTATTTTAAGCTTTATAAATAGTGTTGTCTAGAGTCTGTCTAATCTACTTGATAGGCATTAAATCTTGAATTACTTTCATAGTAAAAGGATGCAAAACTGAAAAAAATTGTCAAAAATACAAAAAAAAAAAAAAAAAANNNNAAAAAAAAAAAAAAAAAAAAAAAAAAAATTTAAAATTGCCGTAGATTAAATTGGCAATTTGACAGATAGGAAGAATCTTTACTACAATAGTTAAGTCACTTCTTGTTTCACTCTATATTCCTATTAATAATTTAAAAAATCTTATTGAATCAAAATTATCGATTGTTCTTAATATCTTGTGCTTAAAATTAGATATACGAATGTATCAAAACCCTGCAATGTTGATAATTCTTCGAATTGTTTAGTTCATTATTAATGTCTTCAAAGTCTTATCAAAAGTGGACTATATCTTCACAAAAAACAGAGCATAAAGATCTGAACTTTTGATAATTATTTATCAATAAATTTCAAGAAATTTTAAATATACTTTTGACGTTATATCAATTTTTCTTAATTTAATTAAAGTTTAAATTTGAAACTTTGACTAAAAATTTTCTTGGCTCTTAAGTTTTTGTAATAATTTGAAATTAATGATATTTTGCAACAACGCGGGTTGAATTCGCAAAATTACTAATTTTAGATATAATAATTTGATTTCGCTTACTCCGTTGGTCAAATTCTATTCAAACAAAATGTCTCAAGTTATTGTATTATTTACGAAACTAGATTTCATATCAATAGCGGCTTAACCCATGAAATTTAATTGTTTAAAACTTTAATCAATTTTTTTTAGATCGTTATCATTTAACCATTTATGCTTTGATCTCTACTAAAATCTAAGATTATGAAAAATTTGAAATTTTGCTCCTAACCCCACATTTCAGTCTCCATTCAATTGAAACCTGATTCAGAACTAGCATTTTGACTTCCAAAGCTCTGCAAGCAATGTGCTTAAAGGGTTCAATATTGGAATCACTTATTAAATTTTTGCAGAATGCTTCCAAAGTCAGCACGAAAAAACGCATACTCTGTTAAAAGAGCTACAATTTAAAAAAATCGAAATAGTATATAGTAAAGTAAATGGATCGGTGCGACACATACTCTCCATCTTGGTGATTTATTGAACTTGTAGAAGTCACTGAATACACATAGAGTTATGTATATATATTTTAAAACATTTTATATATGTGTACGATTATCCACACTATATTTCATATATCGCTTACATTTTAAGCTCAATTTGGTACTTTTAATCCTTTTTGAACTGCAGGGATTTCTTTAATTGCATCATACCATTTTCCTATTAATGGCCATTCATAAATATCAATATTTAAATGTTTTAAACTATCAGCCCAACTAAATAAAGCAAAATCAGCAATAGTTAATCTATCACCAACTAAATATTTTGAATCATTTTCTTTATTTCTACTTAAAATATCTTCATAAACTCCATAAATTCTTTTTGTATCATTTGTATAACGATTAATTCCATAAGGAACTTTTTCTTTTGCAAAATTTATAAAATGTTCAGCTTGACCTTGGATTGGACCATTTTCAGAAACTTGAAAAATCAAATATTCTAAAGTTTTATAATAATTTTTTGTACCAAATGGATAACTATATTTATGTTCTTTATCATAAGTATCAGAAAGATATTGTAATATAGCTCCAGTTTGACTTAAAATTAATGGACCATCTTTGAAATTTGGATCTTCAATAGTTGGAATACGACCATTTGGATTTAATTTAACAAACCAATCCGATTTACTTTCATTTTTTCTGAGATCAACTTTGATTGTATCATATTTTAAACCAAGAACTTCTAAAAAAATACTAGCTTTATGTCCATTTGGAGTTCCAAAAGTATATAATTTAATTGGTAATGACATATTTGCTTAGGATATCATTCAATTGATCATCCAAGAGCCCATAAATTACTGGAAAACTTGACCCAACTTATATAAATTTTTTCTCGTATAATTCCATTACTAATTTGTATATGAAATTTTATTTTTGTGTACTAGGAGAAACCTCAGGGGTTTTAGAAGAAGGAAGAATGATATAAACCTAAAAGAAAGAAACGTGTGGAGCAATTGCCCAATAATTTGACTAATTAATGTTCGTAGTTTTATATTGTAAACTTGACAATATACCGTCAATAAGCGAAGCAGCAATTTCTTCCGAATCTGCCTTGTGGAATTTAAGTAAACTAGTCCAAAAATAAATTGTTTTTGAATGGACATATACGGCAATTCGGAGATTTGTCACTTTATCATATTTCCACGTGAGTTGTTCAAATGTAAAGAAAATATTGAATTTTAAAGTCAAGCATGTGATTCCAGCTGGTTGATTCCCTTTTTCAAAACTTGAACATCTAGCATCCACTGCAAAAATAACATCCAGGTTTGTTTATCATCAGTGCTTTGAGAATAGTAAAATTTCATGATTCGTTGGAACTGAATTTTTAAGATTATTCTCAGTTATTTCAACACAATGTCTTGAACATTACAACCAGTAGTAAGTAGATTCTATAGCGAGTCCCCTTTGGGAAGATTGTGCGTATATTAGTCAGATTCGTTATGTTATTTACGTAAATGACAACAACAACTTGCTAAAACTATCCTATCCCATCATACCTAAAATATATACAAAATCTGAAACACCCAAGTGGTAGCTAAAAAATAAAAATCTATAATAGATTTTCACAATTTCCATTCACCATTTATCGCCTTTTTTCATTTAAAACTCAACCTGAAAATGGTATCAATATTGGACTCACCTATTAAAATATTCAACGAATCCGGTGTTTTTAAAGGTGACATTAATAAACTAACTCATAAGTTTTTAAACTGCTTACCAATAAAGCAAGCACTTGAAGTGATTCTAATGCCCTGGGAAAGTAACTCATAAACTGTGGTTATTCAAGAAAAAAAACCTTAGTATAGCATTGAATTATACAAACGGAAAACATTTTCTGGGCGGGATATCACCAATTTGCTAAGGAATGGAGAATTGAAATATGAGATATTAAAATTTGCACAAATTGAAAACAAGTCTCGAAAATTCCCGATTGAAATCGCTCTACTCTGAGATTAACACGCTACAACTAGATCTTTAATATAGACTGAGAAAATTGAAGTCACAAAAGCCACCATTGGAGAAGCTCGAGTCAAGTCTTTTAGTGGCAAGATTGAATCCAAAATTTTTAAGACTTTGGTTTACAAAGAGACGCCTAAAAAAAGTACAAATTTCATCGTCATAAATAAACTGTGGGTACAAAACTGCTTGATCCTAGCTTGCTAATAGATAGAAGACAATTGCATAAGCTAATTTTTAAGGTAAAAGTTGTAAACAAAAATTGTTAGCTTTCCTACACGGCTTTATCAATACAACTTTATTGTTCAATTTGTTTTTGTGTTTGTTTCAGATTTAAATTATTCTTTAATAAAATCGTCAAGATCAAAAAAAAAAAAAAAAAAGTTAAATTAATCTGTTATCTATAACACATTTATTATCTTCATTCAAAAACAAACAAAATCATGACAAGAAACAGAAGTGGTATATGTTCAGGTCAAAGTAGTTCAAGATTATCAAATGATGAATTAGTCGTTATAAGAGCTTCAATGATGGCTGAAGTTGTTAGTGAAATACAAGAAGAAAAGAATAAAAAGAGAAGTGTTAATATCAGTATTGAAAAATCAATTTCAGTTGAAACCAAATCTAGTAAAACATCACTGCAAAATTAAAAACTAAAATGAAAAAAAATAATACAAAGCTACAAAGTGCACTTAATTTTGCTAAATCAGAAGAGTTGAATAATCATTATTTCAATTTAACACGTAAAATATCATTATTATTAGCTACGATAGAGATTGTTAACAGTATTAAAGAAAATGAAAAAATTAATGCATTTGATATTACCGCAAAGGGATTTTTTTTGAAAGAAAAATGGGATAAAGCTGGTGAAAATTTTGCCAAATTGTTGTTGGAACAAAAATAAAATCAATAGGTTGAGTTTTATTCTAATGAATTTTCGTATGTTTTTAACTTACCTTCAAGACCAAATAATTTTAAGGCATTTAACATTTTACTCTTTAATTCTTCATCTATCTTGTATTTGTTGTCCTTAACAAATTCATCAAAAAATGGTAATATCCACATAACTCTACCTGGATCATTTGAGCTTATAGCCGCGTTCAACATGATTAAAAACAATTCAGTATCAAATATTTTTCCTTCGACTAAACTAGCTTCAATATAGTTCAATTCTATATTTGATTCGTCTTTTGAATGCAACACAATCTTATTGAATAATAAGTCCAAATATTCGTATATTTCTAAATCGATAGTTAGTTTCATTATTTCATATATTGTAGATCTCGGAACTGTAAGTAATAGTTTATTATCAAAGTTGAAAGTTGGAATATAATTAGGTAATTTATATTTTGATTTTGATAAAAGTGGAGACTTTATAACCATTATTTCACCAGCTAATTTGTCTAGTTTTAAAAATGATAATAATTCAATAAACATAAATTTATCCTGTCTTAAAACTTGATATTTTAATAATGACTCCAAGATTCTAGGGTATGCAATAATTAAATGTAAAAAATGATCAGGCATCAATTGTGGAAATCTATTACCAGAATCAGATTTTGGAGTTGCTAATAGTGTTGGCTGATGTTTGTATTGAAATAACGATAAATATATTATTTTCTGATAATTTAACAAATTCATGTCGCCAAATTTATCTAGTAAGAATGCAAATGTTTGAAGTGTGGGTATAGTGGTATGTGATGATAAAAATGTTTGTACTAATTTTAAGGCTAATGTTATATGAGCTAGTTTGTCTTTACTGGATTGACATTTCTTAAAAATGGAGTTTAATGAATTCAATAGTTCTGAGTTGTCATATTTATTCAGTTTGAATGTGACTACTTGTGGCTTCTTTATGGTACGATCTGTTCTATTCTCATTCAAAAATTGTGAGGATTTATAATAATTGAAATATTTTCTATATTGCTCAAGCGATACAAATTCGTCTGAATGTTTCAACTCATCAATCAAATCTCTTGAGTTCATATCATTATTTTTATCTTTCCTAAGTTTTATTTCTTGTAAAACATTTTCAAGCAATAATGAGCTTATCAACATCATAGTATTTCGCGTTTCTACTTCATTAAATGTCAATCCTTCATTCTCTTTACTTTTAAAGACTTCATCATAATTCAAATATGTATTGAATTTTTCGTTTCCAAATATTGCATTAATATTATCTTTATTACTTAATATATCAATCATATTGGTTCTATGTTTTTCATATTGATTTGATAGTTCAATCAAATTTTCGTATTCATGAATTCGTCGATTAGTTCTTTTAACTGCATCTTTGTACATTGTTTCTGATTCGAAATCTTTTAGTTTGGTTGATATGCTTGAAAACCGTGATTGAACATAATTTAACTTGAGGTTTCGTATTCTAAATGGTAGTTTCTTAGACAATTTTATAAAATCCATCATGTTATGCTATATTTCATTCATTGTTCGACTACTTCAGTTGTGAGATTGCAATCGAGAATTTACCTGTACTGATGTGATTAATTGCATTTTCAAGTTTGAATAATTTTTCACTAAATGGAATAGAATATTACACAAAATTTAGTACTAACTTTTATTTTATCATTCTTTTTTTTTCCAACATTTTTTAAAAGTGCTAATTTTGTTTAATTACCAAATCATCATCAACAATGAAGTTATTTACTATCATTACTGCTTTATCAGCATCAATTGCATCAGTTGTAGGTTATGAAACTACTGGCAAACAAACTGTTGATATTTTAATTGATTATAACATTAAAGAAACTCCTGAAATAACTCAAAAAGATGTTGCTAATTGGGTCAATGGTGATGATATTACAATTCAATATACTGTAAATAATAATGAACAAGAAGAAATTACTGTGATTGGAGTTACTGGATCTTTTACTAATCCTGTTACAAATCAAGTTGTTACAAATTTGACTCAAGGTAGAATTGGACCAATTCCAATTGCTCCAGGTGGATCAGAAATTTTTGAACAAAAAATTTCAGTTGATTTAATTCCAAACAATTATGAATTAATTCCTCAAGTATTTATTGTTCATGAAGAATTGATTAAAGTTTTACCATGTCGTGGTCAATTAGCTTCAATTATTGATAAATCAATTTCATTTTTTGATCCAAGATTAATCTTCTTAGAAATTGTTTTATTAGCTTCTTTATTTGGTTTAATTTATTTAGCTTATGAAATTTGGGGTAAAAATTATTTAAAAGGTACTGCTCCTGTAAAAGTTGTTAAAGTTAAAAAAACTGGTGTTTCAACTGATCCAGCTGTTTCAACAACTACTGGTGCTACAAATACAACTTATGATGTTAATTGGATTCCAGAAGGTCATATCAAACAAAAGAAAACTAAAAAAGTAGCTTAATTGTTTAAGTTATACTTTTAATGTTGTATAATTATTTAATGAAAAATATATTGCATTTCTTCAATTCTTCCTTTAAAATTACATTTTTATTGTCGTGTTACAAAATTGTATAATCTGACAAATTATATCTATCAATTTTGTATTATTTTTACAATTTCTTTTTATTATCAAATATTATGTTTTATGTTTTTAATTTGAAACTTGCAACAACTTTTCATATCAAAATTTAACAACAATAATTATTTCATCTATTCAATTCTAAATATTCAATTCATTAGTATTTCATGAAATTTATATAACTAAACTATTCAACCGCAAGAAATGAGATTATATCTCAAAGAAAAACCAAGAACTTTTATCATAACAACATCGACTCATGCATTAATTATAAGACATCCATTTCCAACATATAAACATAGAAGTATTCGAGGACTAATACATGGACACAAATCCAAGGAAAATGATAATGAAAATAGAGTCCTAGTGGAATTTGTAAGAAAAGATTATATTGATTTAAGTACTTATCGAGACGTAACTCCTAAAAGAAATAAATTAATTGGATTTATTGGATTATTAAGTTTGAAAAATAAAGTCTTCTTGGGGTTTATACGTAGAGACGAATTAGTTGCATCACCAACAATGGATGATCAAATTTATAAAATCACAGGAACTGAATTTCATTGTTTAAATAATGACGAATATGACTATATTTATGATAAAGATTATGACGAACTAAGTTATCAAGATAGTGAAAGAATAAAGTTTCCAGCAGCATCTGTAAGAAAATTGCTATCGAGTGGAGCATTTTTTTACTCTAGAACATTTGATATAACGTCAAACATACAAGAGAGAGGTATTGGAACATATGAATTTAAATTAGTGGCTGACATTTCTTACTTCACGAGATTTCTGTGGAATAATTTTATGATGGGTGAGTTGTTGGAATTTAGGAATAGATTATCAGCGAATGAACAAAAACAAATCGATAAATCTGGATTCCTTATAATCATTGCGAGAGGCTATGCTAAAACTGTAAATACGACAATAGCTAAAAATGAAGCATTGATGACTTTAATTTCAAAACAAAGTTGTGCAAAACAAGGTCCAGTATTTGGAGATTGGGGTTGCGATGGTAACGGCAGTGTAGCAAATTATGTTGAATCAGAGATAATCATATATACTGAAAAGTTTTGTTTATCATACATTATTGCAAGAGGTAATGTACCAATGTACTGGGAATTAAATATTAACTCAACGACAAAAAGTTTAATAGCAGGAAGTGGTAAAAAAATAGTTTTCCCAAGATCATTTGAAGCATCTCAAGAAGCATTCACAAGACATATAGAAAGGTTAGCATATCAATACGGGGATGTACATATAATCAACGAGCTTTCAGATAAATCTTACAAAGGAGTATTAAATATGTCATTCGAAGAGCAAGTGAAATATTATTTGAAACACAGAGATCTATCAAATATTGAATATAAACTAAAATATACTCATTTCCCCATTCCTCATTCAAGGATCAGAAAAGTTGGTTACACTGCTCAAAATCCTTCAGATATCGTTAATGAATTTTCTTCATCGGCTATTAATTTTGGTGCTTTATTTTATGATAAACCATCAATGAGTTTTATTGGTAAACAATTAGGAATTTTCAGAATTAATTCATTTGATAGTTTAAGTAAAGCCAATTTTTTATCCAAAATCATAAGTCAAGAAATTATTGAATTAGCATTTGGAGATATTGGTATTGAATTGGAAAGAGATCTATATATAAAGCATGCTAAATTATGGCAGGAAAACGATCTCATTTTAACAAAACTCACAATGAATTTCGTATCTACTACTGATAAGTTACAAACCAGTAATATGTCACATGCTTCATCTGTCAAATCTCATATAACTAAAAAATATTTAAATGGAGTTGTAGATAATACAAAACCAAATGAATTAGCATTATTGAAATTACTAGGTCGTTTGCAGGATCAAACACCGATCAATTTGCATAATCCACTTCATGATTATGTTGCTAGAGAATTAAGTAAACATAGTAAACAATTCACATCACAATCAGAAATAACTGTTTTTGCTACTACTTTTAATTTAAATGGTGAATTATATGATGGAGATATTGAAGAATGGATTTATCCTGAACGTTGTAGAACTAAATCATATGATGTTGTATTTGTTGGTTTACAAGAAATTGTTGAATTGAAACCTAATCAAATGGTAAATACTGACTCCAGAAATAAAACTCAATGGGAAAGAAAAATTCTAAATTGTCTATCAAAAAGAGATAAATACGTGGTCATGTGGAGTGGTCAATTAGGAGGACTAGTATTATTATTTTTTGTCAAAGAATCCGAGATGAAATATATATCAGATGCCGAGTTTTCATTCAAAAAAACAGGTCTTGGAGGAGTTGCAGCTAATAAAGGAGGAGTTGCGGTTAGTTTTTCATTTTCAGATACTTCAATATGTTTTGTATCTTCACATTTTGCAGCTGGGGTTACAAATAATGAAGAAAGACATCATAATTATAAAACTTTAATTAAAGGTATACAATTTTCTAAAAATAGAAGAATTCCAAATCATGATTGTGTTATATGGTTAGGAGATCTAAATTATAGAATAGCACCATTACAAAATGATCAAGTAAAACCTTTAATTTTAACAAAATCATATAATAAATTATTTGAATTTGATCAATTAAATCAACAAATGGCAAGTGGTGAAGCATTTCCATTTTTTGCAGAACAAGAAATTTCATTCCCACCAACTTATAAATTTGATAATGGTACAAAAATATATGATACAAGTGAAAAACAAAGAATTCCAGCATGGACAGATCGTATATTATATTTATCAAGAAAAAATTTAATGAAACCAATTGAATATAATTCTTGTGAAAATATTGTATTTTCAGATCATAGACCAGTTTATGCATTATTTAATATAACTGTACAATTAATAAATCAATCTATAAAAAAACAAATTTCAAATCATTTATATGATAATTTTAAATTAAAACATGGTGGTTTACAAGATATTTCTTCAATTTCATTTGATGTTGATACTAAAAATATGGATTTTGATAATGAAAATTTGCCTCCTCCAAGTTCTGATAAATCTAAATGGTGGTTGGATGGTGGTAGAGCTGCAAAAGTATCTATTCCAAATTTAAATGATGACAAAGATTTGGTGATTAACCCATTTCATCCAATTAATCCATTTGCTCCAACAAATGAGCCAGAATTTGTTTCTGTTAATGATTTAGAAGGAATGTTGGATTAATTTGTAGAATGTATGTAATATGTAATATGTAATATTGTAATAATTAATTTTTTTTATATATTCTAAAAAATTTCTAATTTGATTCTTCTATTGATTTTGAAGGACTCTTTGAATTGGTATTATCAGTAGAATCTGGTTTATTTATACTTTCTGCTTCTTTTAAAATTGAATCTAATTTTGCTTCAAAAGCATCTAAAGCTTTTTCCAAATTTGTTGCTTGATTTTCAGCTTCAGTTATTTGTTTGTACGTATTTGCTATATCTACTGGATTCTCTTGAGTCATGTCTATCTATAAATCTATAATTCAATATCTAATTTATCGTGGTTGATGTTGTGGAAAAAGTGCGTTGTACTTTTGTTGTATAGAAATTCTTTGTGTACTATTTTCTACAATACAAACCGTCAGAGCTAGGATAATTAAACAAATATTTACTTTTACATTTTTTTTACAATATATATACAATTAACAAAACAAACTTTTTAAATTGTTTATTGTATGTCTTTATTTCTTTTTAAACCATTAAGAATTGAAATTAATGAAAGGAAAGAAGCTTGTGAAACATCAGTATTTATACCAACACCCCATCTATTAATCTTCTTATTTACCAAAACTTCAATATAAGTAGCAGCTCTTGCATTTGAATCTTCACCTAAAGAATGTTCATGATAATGCTTAACATCGATTTCAACACCCAAATGTTTAGCTAATGCATCGTTAAATGCAGATAATTGACCATTACCTTTACCACTTATAGTTACTGATTTACCATCAATTGAAATTTCAGCTTCAATTTGTTTAATACCTTTTTCAGGTGTAGTAATTGAATAATCAATTAATTTATAGTATTGATCTTCAGATTCTTTATCATCTTCATCATAATCAATAAAATATTCTTGTTTAAATAAATCACATAATTCTTGATTTGTTAATTCTTGACCTTTAATTTCAGCACGATCTTGTACTATTTTAGAAAATGCAATTTGTAAACCTCTTGGTAAATCTAATTCTAAATTACGTAAAATAACCCAAGCTGAACCTCCTTTACCTGATTGTGAATTAACCCTAATAATAGCTTCATAAGTTCTACCAATATCTTCTGGATCCAATGGTAAATATGGTAATTGCCAATGTACATTTTTTTTACCTTCTGATTTTTTAATTTTATCTGAATGTGCAGCAAAACCCTTTTTAATTGCATCTTGATGTGATCCACTAAATGCACAAACAACTAATGATCCACCATATGGAGCTCTTGCATGAACTGGTATTTTATTACATTTTTCAACTATATCAATAACTGAAGTAATATCTGAAAAATCTAGATGTGGAGTTACACCTTGAGTATATAAATTTAATGCTAAAGTAACTAAATCAACGTTACCTGTACGTTCACCATTACCAAAAAGACAACCTTCAACACGATCAGCACCGGCTAATTGCCCCAATTCAGCTGCTGCAACACTACATCCACGATCATTATGAGGATGTAAAGATATACAAATTTTTTCTCTTTCACTTATATTTGTTGCAAAATATTCAATTTGATCAGCATAAATATTTGGAGTTGCCATTTCAACAGTTGCAGGTAAATTAAATATAATTGGTTTTTGTTCAGTTGGACCCCAAGCTTCTTTTACAGCTTCACATACTTCCACTGCATAATCTAAATCAGTATCTGAAAAAGTTTCTGGTGAAAATTCAAAATCCCAATCTGTTCCAGCAGTTGAAGGATCATCTTTTGTTAATTGTCTAACTAATTTAGTACATTTAACAGCTAATTTTTTACTTTCTTCTTTACTTAATCCAAATACAACATTTCTAAAACAATCTGATGTGGCTAAATATATATGAACTGTAGCTCTTTTAGCTCCTTTTAATGATTCAACCGTTCTTTTAATTAATTCTTCACGACATGGTGATAAAACTTGTATACTTACATCTTCTGGAGCTGTCTTTACTGCAAATTGTGTAAAATCAAAATCAATTTGTGAAGCAGATGGGAAACTTACTTCAATTTCTTTAAATCCAATATCAATTAATTTTTTAAAATATTCTTTTTTTTCAGTAATAGACATTGGATCAGGTAATGATTGATTACCATCTCTTAAATCTGTTGATAACCATCTTGGAGCTTTATCTAATGAATTATTAGGCCATTTACGATTTGGTAAATTAATTTGTGGAAATTTCCTATATTTTGTTGATGGATCTTTTAACATAGGCATTTTGGATTGTTGAAAATGGTAGTATTATGATGAATGATTAGTTTGATTAATAAATAAATAAAATGATCTAATAAATAAATTCAAATAATAACTAATGTTAATTTTATAATGATGACTCAAATTGAATTTTTCAAATATGACTTTAATAATAATTTGAAAATTTTCTATTATGTTTAATAATTTTGTGTAATAATGTATATTCACTCCACATAAAACAAATATAAATAAAAAATATTCCGATTCAGGTTCAAATTTAAATTGAAATTAACCGAATTAATTTCAACTACTTCAAATAATAAATAGAGATGTTTCAGTCTGCGGTTACAAACGGTATAAAGTTTTATGAAATCTGATTGTTTAATTTTGAAACCTCCAATTTTACGAATTTTTTGAATCTTAAAATTTTGCTTATATGGCAGAACTAGCGGTTAAGATGTTTGTAATTTTACTAAATCCTAGAAAACTTATTCAAATACTAAATCAAAAAATGTTTTTTACCTGCAAAGACTTATATATGAAATCATTATATCAATGTCCAAGTTTCCTTGTTGTTTTATGTCTGCTTTGTTTCAAATAATTGATTTAAATATAAGTAGTGTAAAATATTATCAATTTAATCTTCGTAAATTTATAATCTTTTTTTTTTTTCAATAGAAATTTTTCACTTTTTTTTACAACATTATTATTTACATATTTCAGATCATTTATGAAGATAAAGATTATAATTTTAGTATGTTACAACATTCTACGAAGAAAGTCAAGAATACAAATATATATATTTTTTTAACTACAATGATTAGAATTATACATGCGTTATCGTCATGATTACAACCACTTTATAATGTCTTCGGTTGTAATTTGAAATCAATTAACACCTACATGAATTAGTTATATATTTGACTATGCTTTAATTGAGGGAAAAAGAAGAAGTAATACTAACTTAGTAATCATAGAGATTCTACATTTTGAATTTTCATATATTATAAATTTATCAAAAAGTATAAAACGAAATACGAAAACCGAAATTAGACCTCTTTTTGTTGAAGGAATTTGAAATGGGTATGAAAGTTTTGAAATGAAAAAAATCAATAATGAAATAACGAAATAATGAGATTAAATGAAATATGCAAATAAAATTATGGCTAATGCAAATACTGGTTGTTTTGTTGAAGAACCAGAAGCTTCATATGTAGATATAGTATGAGATGGTGTAACTGAACTGACTGATGCTTGACCAATTGAAATACTTGTAGATTCTGAAGCTTGACTAATTGAAGGAACAACACTTTCACCAGTAATTTGAGCAGCAGTTGTAACTGAAACGGCTTCAATAGATGTTGGGACATTAGAACCTTGAGTAGTAGTAGTATCAATAGCAATATTTGAACCGACAGGAGATGGAGCAGTTTCATTTGACTCAGAGATTGATGTTGATGAAGCTTCAACACTTTCAGCTGGAACAGTATTAACAATAACTTGACCATAAGATGCTGTAGTAACAATTGGTTGACCACTTGATGCTGTTGTAGTAATAATTTGACCACTTGATACGGTATAAACTGATTCTACACCTTTAGCTCCAATTTTAGTAATTAAACTTTCACTTGATGCTGTTGTAACAATAACTTGAGGAGTTGAAGCAGTTGTAGTAATAATTTGTCCACTGGTTGCAGTAAATGAAACAACATTACCACCAGATGGAATAGCTGAAGTTAATAAACAGAAAGTTGTGTAAAATGTATTTCCTGATGAAATAGTAGTGACACCAGTAGTGAAAGTAGAAACGAATGATGATCCAGCACTTTGAGATGTAGTTGTTACAACAGTATGACTAACTTCTGGAATTGATGGTGATGATGAAATAGATTCAGTAGTTAATGGACAATAAGTAGTGTAAACTGTAGTACCTGATGAAATCGTGGTAATTCCTGTTGTGAAAGTTGACACAAATGATGATCCAGCGCTTTCAGATGTAGTAGTAATAACAGTTGAGCTTACTCCAGGAATAGTAGTTGATGTTACTTCAGTTGGTAAAATTGAAGTTGATGATGGAGTTAAAGGACAATAAGTAGTGTAAACTGTAGTACCAGATGTTATTGTTGTTAATCCAGTGGTTAAAGTAGAAACAATTGAAGATTCTCCACTGTATGATGTGGTAGTAATAATGGTGGAGCTAACACTTTCAATCAGAGTTGATACAATTGATGAAGGAACTGATTCTGTTGGTGAGATTGAAGTTGAATTACCACTTGTTGAAGAAGTAACAAAACTTGAAGCTGGAATACTACTTGAGCTGAATGAAATTGGTGTGGTAGATGCTGATGAAACTGAAATAGTAGAAGCTGATGGTGTGTATGAACTAGAAGCAACAAAGCTTGAGCTAACAATTGAACTAGAAGCTGATGATACAACAGAAGTTGAAACAGATGAAAAGCTTGAAGTAAATGAGCTTGATAAGGTTGAAATTGAAACTGATGAAGCAACTGAACTCGATGAATAAATACTAGATAATGATGAATCAATTGAGCTTGATGAATAAGCGCTTGATGCTGATGATACTAAACTTGAAGAATAAGCACTAGAATAGCTTGCAGATGATGATGCTGAACTTGATGAAGATGAAATTGTAGTTGAAATTGAAGAACTAAATTGGCTACTTGATACTGGAGCACTAACTGAGCTTGATGAAAATGAAACTGAACTAACAATTGAACTTGATGAATTTGGAGTAGTGGACGATGAAGATGAAACTGGAGTGTATGAGCAATCGGTAGTGAAGCACTTAGTTCCTTCAGTAATTGTAGTTATGCAGACATAGCTTGATGAAATTGGACTTGATGAGATTGGAGTTGTAGATGATGATGAGATTGGAGTTGTAGATGATGATGAGATTGGAGTTGTAGATGATGATGAAACTGCAATACTAGATGATGAAACTGGAGCACTTGATGATGATGCAACCGGAGTACTTGATGATGCAACCGGAGTACTTGATGATGCAACTGGAGTACTTGATGATGAAACTGGAGCACTTGATGATGCAACTGGAGTACTTGAGGATAAAATTGATGATGCAACTGGAGTACTTGATGATGAAACTGGAGTACTTGATGATAAAACTGGAGTACTTGATGATGAAACTGGAGTACTTGAAGAAGCAACCGGAGTACTTGATGATAAAACTGGAGTGTATGAACAATCAGTAGTAAAAGTTTTATAACCTTCAGTAACTGTAGTTAAACAAACATAAATTGATGAGCTTGAACTTGAACTTGATGGAGCTGGAGTAGTAGTTGTTGAACAAATCGGAGTGTATGAGCAATCAGTAGTGAAAACTTTTTTACCTTCAGTGACTGTGGTTAAACATTTATAAGTCGATGAGGATGAACTTGATGGGATTGCAGTTGTTGAAGTGGACGTAGTTGAAGAAGTTGTTGAAGTTGATGTAGCTGAAGGAGTTGTACAAGTTGATGTAGTTGAAGGAGTTGTTGAGGTTGATGTAGTTGAAGGAGTTGTAGATGTTGATGTAGTTGATGTGGTGGAAGGAACTGAAGTGAAAGGACAATAAGTTGTATAAACGGTTGTATCTTCAGTAATTGTCGTGACCCCCGTGGCATGAGTAACTTTTGAACAACGATTTTCTGAACAAGACGTAACTGTGACCAATGTAGTTTTTATATCTGTTTTTGTAGTAAATTCTGTACTTAATGGTGAAGTTGTTGCATCTTTACCATGATCTTTACCAAAATGAGCTAAAGCTATTGAAGATAATAAAGCAGTTGATAAAACACAAGAAACTTTCATAATGAATTAGCAAAGTATGTTTAATATAAGCGAATGAATAATGAAGATTAACTTGATGATTAAAAATTGTAAAATTGAAATAAAATATATTTTGAGGAAAGTTGAAGTATATTTATAGACAACATTTTTTTACTTCAACATGCTTGGAATATTTTTATAATTGCAATTATTCGTGTTTTTCAATATGATAATTTAATGATCCATTGTTAAATTTGTTTCAGATTTGTATTCTAGAATTATTAAATCGTCTAAATAATATTTACTATATTTTGAAATATTATAAAAGTTTGCAACCAAATTAAAATTATTTGAACTCTAGTTTTGTGTTCTAATTTTAAAGTTAAGATCTCATACATTTGTTGGACCCTTTTTCAAACGACATTTGTGGTTAATGAAATTAACATTAACAAATAATATAATAAAAATGTAAATTTCTTTTTCAGTGAGTTAATTTGTTGTAAAATTCCTTTCATTTTAAGCCAAAAGTGATCTGCTGTTTCAAAGTTTAGATTATTGTCTTCACTTGTTGTATGAATATCAATTAAATGAAAAATGCAAAAAATATATTTGTAATACGGTTTAATGATTCGATCTTACTTTGATATGAAAATGGACTGTTTTTCTGAATTATGATATTAATATTAAATATTCATCGTCTAGTTAACGATAACAATTTCATATGAAATTCACTTAAATAATAAAATTTTAAACGCGTGACACCTTATTAAAAATGAATAAATTATTTTGAAATTTGTACATAAATAATAATTGTATGTTGATCAATTCTGAAACAACTACTAATTGGAAAAAACTCAGTCCTCATGAATATTCATTGCTTGTTCTTGATTGGACAAAAGCATGGGTCAACAATTTATAGATTAAGGAGATGAAATTGCGGTTGTAAAGGCACCCATAACGATATATTGGTATAATGAGACTGAGGTTGAGATTGAATAATTGCCGTAACACGAAGATCATAAATTAAACGAAACATTATCTGATTATTCAACAAAGAAAAAAAGAACAATAGAATGGAGATGTTTCATAATTTTTTTTAATTTTATTTAAAAAAATTTTTGACGATAGAAAATAATCTAATTAATAAAATTACACTACCTGTATACTATATATATTAAATAAAAAATAAAAAAATAAAAATTTTGAGTGCATATGAACGCCTATGGACAACATGAAAAATGAAGTTCAATTAATCATTAATTTGCAGATTTCAATTTATTATGAAAATTTTGATTTGAAACGAATAAATCTTATTGTTTGTAATCTTTTCAAAAAATAAAAAATTTGTAAATTTACGAAGACATTTATTTCTATAGTCTGTACAAATTTATATTTTCATTATAATCATTTTAGACGAATTCTCTATCCAAAATCTCAGTCTAGCTTCTTATTTTCCAATTTGTTCGCTATTGAGCATTTCTTGTTGGTTCGTATATATATTGGCTTTAAATTTTATTTCATTTAATATATTGTATATTCAATTTTTAATAATCTATATTTCGTTCTCGTGGGTGCTAACCTGCTACTAATCTTTAAGTTATTTTTTTTCCATTTTGTTTCTATTTTTAACTTTATTGATTATTCGATTATAATAATTTATTAATATATTTCAGTTTGACGGTTCAGATTAGTTATAATAAATTATTTTAATTTAATTTCTCGTCAAACAACTGAAATTTAGGAGTTAATTTATGCACATAAATTAGTAAATTGTTACTAAAGAATAGATAGCAAATCTTGGCAAGCTAAATCAGTCTAACAATTGGAACAAATAGGAATTAAATTACTTCTCCTCTTTTAGTTTGGCAAGTTTATGCATATTTGCTCCAATTGTAAGCTTTGGAGGAAAGAATGTACACATTTTCAGAAACTGCCTTACTTTTTAAAAATTAATTATCCCAGATACTCACCAATTTTTGCTAGGTAGTTTAATTCTTTCACTCAAACGACCTGAAAGAATGGTTTTAGCTTTTGTTTGTAAAAGATATCAAAATAGAAATGATTTTCAGAATTTGAACATGAATTATACAAATCCGGATTTTAGGTTTACGGAAGAACTTAAATTTTTAGATCCAAATTGTATCTTAACTTCAACAATAATAATTATTGAACAAGGGCATTAACACTTGCATATTTTATTTGTGTATTTGTATTCACAAAATCAATTTTAGATTTCCGTTTATTAAAAGAACATAAACAATAAACAAAGAAAATAATTTTAACTACATTCACTCACTTCTCGTTAATTATACGGAACATTCTTTTTAAAATCGTTTAAGTGATAAAAATAATTGGAGTTGGAAGCTCTTCAATTCTAGTATTCAAATCATTTAAATTGTAACTGAATCTAGATTTTTCCTACGACATTCAACTTTGGAAAATTTCTCTCATCACTATGTATATGATTACGTAGACACATGTGCCGAAAAGGCATGATTTACAACTAATCAATCATTCTTCTTTATAACACTTCAACTGTACATACTAATAGAATATCTAAAATAATTTAAATGCCAGTCAAAATTTTCGAGTATTTGAAATTCGTAATGAGTAGTCAACTTTTAAAAAAATCTCAATTTCAGATTCGTAAATAATATTCTGTCATGAAATTCCGTATATAGGTTCAATTCTTACGATCTGATTTTCTTGATTGTACAGTATGGTTAGGAAAATGCATGGAAGATTAAGACCAGAGTTCTTCACAATTATAATATTTAATTCTATAATATTTTGTTGTTATTTGATGTACTCTTAACATTTTGAATTAACCGAAAAGGAAAACAGAATAATAAAAATATACTATAATAATTGTCCTAAAACAAATTTAGCTTTTGCTTTACTCTTGAACAAGTTTGAAAGTTCATGTCTCATAAGCAAGGACGATGGACAAAGTATATCCCTAGTAATTTCTTACTATTTAGCTGAGCAGAGATATACAATACTAACATATTATGAAGAAGCTGATATTGAATTCTGAATAATATTGCACATTTTAGCAAATTCCTCACATTACTGACTTTTGTTGTTATCACCAATATACAACTAAAATCTCAAATGCTTACTAAACTTAACATGAGCCAAAAACTTTGAAGTTCTAGTTGCTTAGCATCTTGCCAATCATACACACCAAACTAAGCTATAAGAACGAAATAATCAAAGCTAAGGATACAGTGAAAGAATTGTTGCTAAAAGTAGTATCTTTATGTTATTACCACGGGTTAGGCTTAAAATTTTGGAAGTAAATTCACGGTGAAAAATGCTAAAAAACGCTCTCTCACCTTCAATTTCAGTTTAACTAAAGAATTATAATTTACGAGATTTTGTAAAGAATTAAGGGGTAATTAATTTTTATTGAAACCCCATCAAAATCTACTTTATTCTGATTGCAAATTCCAATAATAAAATTTGCAAATACATTAGAAACTCTTCAATAAATAATATTAGACTCAGAAAAAATGCAAGAGACATATAATAGCTGAGAATATTCAAAATATGGGTATAAAATATATTTAAAAGAAGAACTAAAAAATTATAAAACAGCAAAACTAGTAAATGAGCTAAGAATTGAATAAGAACTTATATAAAATTAATCTCTTTATTTAATTCAATTGATATTTATCTCTTTTTTTTTTTGAAACTTTGAATAATATTAAACATATATTACATAACAAATAAAATTAAATAGTTAATAGTGTGACGAAGAAATTTGATGATAAATCTTCCTTTTTCTCTGTAATGTTTGTTGTAAAACCGAAATTTATTGTTACATTATGAACTAATGCATTAGTGAATTTATTTGAAGTTTTTTGTTGGAAGTATGATGCAAAATAATTACAAAAATTAAAATTAATTTTTGAAAACGAAATAAGAAATTTATTTAGTAAATTTAGTATAACCGAATTTGTACTATGGTGGTTGTAGGAAATTGGATGAATGAATTAAAATATTACTTCATGAGGTTGGTTGAATTAGTTGATGATTTTTATGACTATTAGTAAATGAATTCAAAACTAACTTACTTAAATGAAATAAGCTAATGGAACTAAAGCTAAAGCTAAGTAAGTAGCACCGTTTGATGAAGCGGCACCAGCATAAGTTAAAATAATAGCTGATGAGTGAGCACCTGATGATTGAGCAGCAACAGTTGGAGCACCAGAAGCGTGTGAAGCAACGGCAGCACCAGAAGCGTGTGAAGCAACGGCAGCACCAGAAGCGTGTGAAGCAGCGGCAGCACCAGAAGCGTGTGAAGCAGCGGCAACTGTAGCACCAGTGGCGTGTGAAGCAGCACCAGTGGCGTGTGAAGCAGCAGCAGCTGGAACTGAAGCAGCGTGAGTAGCAGCACCTGAAGCGGCTGAAGCTTGAATAGTTTTGTAAACAACTGTAGTAACAGTTGAAGCACCTGAAGTGTAAACTGAAGTTGAAGCAATAACTGAATGACCAGCTGATGGAGCACCAGAATGAGCAGCACTAGCAACGGTAGTAGCAACACCATGGCCAACAGTGGCGGTAGTGGTAGTAACACCGGCGGCATGACCTGGGGTAGTTGAAGTTAATGGACAATAAGTAATGTATGAAGTGACAACACCTTGAACTGTTTTAGTGGTCCATGAAGCAGTAGCTTGAACGGTAGTTGGAGCACCATGAGCGTCAGTAGTAGTTAAGGCTTTGGTTGATGGTGGTGGGGCAACTGATGATAATGGACAATAAGTTGTGTAAACGGTTTCAACTCCATGAACGGTAGTAGTACCAACTGAAGGAGTAGCTGGAACAGTTGTTAAGTGACATTTGTTTTCATGACATGATGTTATGGTTACAACTTGAGTGATAATAGCGGTGTGAGTTGATAAAATTGGAGATGATGAAGTGAAAACTGAAGTTTCTCCACCAGCTAAAGTTGAAGTACCAGTAGTAGTTGAACATGAAACAGTTTCAGTAATAACAGTAGTTGAGTGAATAGTAGCAATAGGACCAGTGGCAATAGGACCAGTTGATGAGGTAGCATTAACATCAACAACTTCAAAAGCACTTGCGCCAATGAAAGTTCCTTCTAAAGCTTTTAATGATTCAGCAAAATCATCAGCTTCATCTCTTTTAACTAATGGAGTTGATTTCATTAATCTTTTTCTAATACCAGCTGTTGAATTTGAAGCTGGGGTTTGTTGAGCAGCAACTTGATATAATGGAGCACCGCTTGTACCATATAAAAGTCTAGCTGGAATATTAATAACATTACCAGCTTCAACAATATCAGTAAAATATTTAACTAATTCAACTAATGAGTAATAAAATAATACATTGTAATCTTCAGTTGAAGTAAATTCAAAAATTGGTTGTGGTAATGAAGCTGGAATTGTGAATGGACAGACACCAGTATCTAAATCAACAACAGCGACTGCAACACCGTCTACCAAACATGCAACATCTACAGCGGAAACACTGGCAGTTAATAAAGCTAATGAACCAGCTAAAATATTTGAGAATCTCATTTTCTTATATGTGAATTGGTTTTTCCTAAGCGAATGTAAAAGGTTTGAGTTGTAAAGGTAAATAAGATTTCTAAAACTGATAAACTGATAAAAAATATAAATCAAAAAAAAAGGCAAATGAATAGAGTAAAACAAGGAATATTATACTGGTTTTATACAATTCAAAACCTATGAATTGAAATTACAATATTTAAAAAAAGTTAAGAATACAAAATAGAAATTGCAAATTTTAAAAATCTTGTACAAAATTAATTTAAATTAAATTTAAATTTTACAAACTTAAATTAAATATTCTTTTTAGTTACAAAAGTAATAAAAGTATAATTGAATTATTAAAAGTGTATTTGTTTATATTGTTGTTACGGAATAAAGACTTGATTATTGTTGTAACTAGTGTAATGCCAAATTTATTAAGTTTCATTTAAATAATTGGGTTATGAAACAATGCAAAATAAAAAAATTATGGTGTTTTGTTTTAATTTAAAACTTTATTTTGTGTAATATTTTTTGTTTGTGTTTTAAATTAATATTGCTGAACAAACTAAATATAAAAAGTGATAAGTGTTAAATACGACGTAATAATACTAAATTTTGAAGTATCAAAACGCCAATTTCTTGTACATGGAATGTTGATAAATTATTTTTAATGCTTATTTTAACACACAGTAAAATCATCACTTTTGTTTCAATGATCTAGTGAAGTTGTTCATAAATTGATGATATTAAAGACCTAAAGAATATTATTGCCAAAAAAAAATTCTACAATTTGACAAATACGAACAATTAGGATGTAATTACAAATGATTAATTAAATTAATTAGTTAAGTTAAAATTCTGTTCGAAATTTTTCGGGTGAAGTACCACATGGTAAGTCGATCAAACAATTTTTTTTCATTTTCAGCAGTATTTACAACGAATCTGTACGATATATTGCATATACTCTTTATTTGAAAATCTTGATGCACTCTTTGTTCTAATCTGATTTGCTTGATTCATAATAAATCTTTCGTTTCAAATTTAATAGAAAGTTTATTATTTTTTAGAGCTTGATTCACGAAGCAATTAATTAAGCTTATAATTAGTTTAAGATCAATAGCCAATAAGTTATATTTGAGTTTTTTGAACAGTAAGAACGCGCTTCAGGTTGTATTCAAGAGCTTCCAATAGTTTTAACTTGATAAATTTGATTTTTAAGTTTAAATGAAACTAAAGTTATACGAAAATTATTTATCTCAAATTAGAGTTGATAAATAAATACCAAGATTTTTTGTCTGTAAAGTTCACTACAATTAGCTCTATCTTTTGGGTTTTGCTATTGTAATATTAGGATTAAGGAGAACAACTTTAATAATTTGGTAATTAAACTTCACAAGTAAGATTGGTTAAATCTAAATTGTATAATTGGCTTAAATTAGATTTTTATATACAAAAGTTAATTAATTGTCTCAAAACTAAAATAGAATGTTTTTTAAATATTTATAATTAAATCCCCCATTTTAAAATTAAATTAATCCACTTTGGGAATTTGATTTGTGATTTGTATTTATTATAAGTCTGAAACGAGATTGTGGTTCTCAAATGATCTACAATGCATGATTAGGATTTACAATATAATTGACTACTTTACAATTGTCAATTACGAAAGTACGATGTAAGTTACTTTGAGGTAATGCAAAAGGTCAATGTAGTTTAGGTTTTAATGAACGTATCGATGGTACGTGATATATCTAATTTAACTAATGCTTATGCGTATGTTTACAGTTACATCAATAACAATTTAGGTAATTGATATTACCAAAATGATAAATTTCAACCAGCAAATTTTTAAATTTAAATTTAAAAAAAAAAAAAATACTAAATTTCATGTTAGAAGTTTAGAACCAAACCAAAAAATAAACTTAAACTATAAAGGTTAGATTAGATTGTAAAGTGTGGTCATCATCGGTATCACATGGTGATTAGAAAGCTTAAAATCTCGAAATTTAGAATAATTAAATATAACACAGCGGTGATTTAACTTCCTCTCCTCTCAAGATACAACGTTAAATTTTGAGATTTAAACTCGAGTCTAGATCTCAAGCAAGCTCTACAGCAAGTAAAATGTCTTAGATCTAATAAATTGAAAGCTTTATTTGGTTTGAATTATGTGTGAATTGTTATTTGGAAGACAAATGGAGGTATTGAGAATAAAGATTATTAGAAAAACTTTTTTTTATTGTACGAATTTTTTAGTACAACTTACATTTGTCATGTACAGATATATTTGACCACTAGAATTCACAAGGAAATGCGGAATTTATATCTGGTATGATGCATAGGGCAAGACCTCATTATGCTAAATTTAAACTGAAGAGCACAAGTACAGATGTTCGTATATCTGAACTTGATGTTTTTGCAAAAGTCAAATTCACTATCACTTCAATACAACCAAAGAAAAACTAAAAGAAATAGCAAAATATCACAAACAATAGGAAACCGATTTTGGCATATATCAATCCCAATGTTGATCTCTCTTAGAATTTACAATTTGAAATCTGTAATATTGTTAATTTTTCTCCTACTAAATTATATAATTGTGTAATATACTGGCATGAAGTTTCCTTCTCCCAACAATTTATTTATCTCATAACCTCTTTAACATGAATGTATTCCATATTTACATAGTAAAAGTAAGAGAAAACGTTTTTTATTACTTACATAATTTCAAGAACAATAGAATATTTGTTTATCAATTTTTGGTTCTAGTCAAATTGATTGATTGAATTGTGTTCCTATTCTTTTTTTCCTTCCTCACTTTGTATTCCCCCCTTTTTTTCTGATATTGTTTTCATTTTTTCAACGGAATGTTACATTTCTTTATTTGATTTTGATAAGCTTATCAATTCTTTGTTTAAATTGTTCCATTTAATTTTATTAGGGGGTAGCAATTGATTTTCAAGTTTATTTTAAAGTTTATAGATCTATTTTTGCATCGAAGTTTAAAAATGTTAATTCTATTTTTAGCTATAAACTATATTTACAGAAGTCGTTTAATGAGGTATTAGGTTTACACTGCCTTCTCTGTTTATATCAAAAAGATTCAATACAGCATATCTAGCTGATCAATAATAATTTTTATCGATATGTGTATCTTTGAGAGCAAGATCAAATATGATTTTGTGGTTTGATCTTACATTTGATTTTCTACATAATTTAAATGAATGTCAAATTAACAATACAATAAAAATTATAAAAAGATCAGCGATAAAGTTTATCCACGCCTAATTATGAAACTGTTTTTTATTTTTATTTTAAACCGTTGCAACGTGTGGTTATTAGTAATTTATGAATTTTAGAAACGTAAACACCAAATTGCATATACTGAAGATACTGAAGTCCGTTTTCATGTTATTGATAACGATGACAATTGCTAGATCTACAGTAGATCTAGATGAATTGAGGTATTTTGCGAAGTAATTATGCCATCGTTTTAAAATATACGACCAAATGCGAAGATATCAGATATTGACGAACGTGTGTACATTAGATTCACAAAATAGAAGGTACAAAATCAATGTGAAAAATATGAATTTCTCAGACCTTGAATCATTCATAACTTAACAGACTATCAATTTTGTACCCCCTTCAGTAACCTTTAAAGTTCTTTGTAATTTTAAATCAAATTAATTTATTTTAATTTAATGAAATTTGAAATAGTCAAATTGAAAAATTTAGTTTATAAAAATTTAAATAGTTCCTTACACAAAGAACGTGTGAAAAAAAAAAATTATTTGTTTGTATTATATTAATTTGAAATTAAATTTTGCATCGTAGATCAAATCAATTTAACTCAATTGGGTCAAATTAGTTATTTACTACTGCTATCATTAAAGATGAAAAAGATCAGTTAAATCATCATTTTGTAATCACTCTGTGAACTATTCCAGATTTAATTCAAAAAGGTGCCATTCACCAAAAAAAAAAAAGTTTTTAGATTGAAATTGCAACAACTAAAACAACAACAGAATACATTCCAAATTCTCTTAGCCTAATTAACATACTAAAATTTTAAACAAAATTTCTTGAGGTTGTATTTGTTCTATAAAGGGTTGTCCAAGTCCCTAATTGAGAATACAAACTTAGACTTGTGAAGTTAAATTGCTTCTATACGTTTCTTAATTCCATAATTAGAACAAAAATATTGATTGAGAAACACTACAACGAATACTCTATCTAATCTTATTATACCAAACTGAATGAAACGTGGTAATAATGCGCTGAATCTGAATATGATAATGAAAACTTGTGAATGAAAAGTACGCAAAAAACGAACTATATGAGCATAACATCCGTACCTCCGTACTTCGTACTTTTAGAGAAAAACCATGTCATAAGAGCCAAAATTGACGGCAAAAACAAAGAAGTTCCAGCCCACTAAAGCTAAAACCTATTTTTCAAGTTGTTACAATGTATAAAATAATGGTTTAAACAAAATCTCTTTGAATCGGGTGAGTTAATTCATTTTAAAATTTTTACAATTATTTCTGATCTTGTAGAAATTGCAAATTAATTTTGGTGCAAATTTTTTGAAATATTTGGAAAATCCAGGAAAAAAGTATAGTAATTCCCTAAAAATCCTCGATCTCCATACTTTTGTCTCAGAAACTTGAAGAACTGTTACTCTACTTTAGACTCTTTGTTTAGTCTTCAGAGTCTTATTGCTCGTTAAACCTGTAGTAAATCTATAGCTTTAATATAATAAACAAAAAACTTATATACAACACAAAATTGTTAAATTTATTAGATCAAAAACACATATATAAATTGTGAAAGGCAAGTAAGAGTAGACTCTTCAATAATAGAGTATGTATAAAACATGAAGGTATTACAATACATCTCTTAGAATGACAGAGTGTATCTCATATTTGACCTTAATCTATCTAGGGTTCTTTCACTTGCATTATCTAGCAGAATCTTACGTCAAGAATGCTATGAAGGAGAAGTAGAATTTTAATTTTAGAATTTCTAGGTGTTACAAAATTACTACTGAAAAACAAAATAAATACAGCTTTTTCTAATTGTGACAATTAATTAACATTATATTTACTTTAACTATGCAAAGATATGATTAACTCAAATTATTTAATTACGGATTAAAATCAGCTAATTTTTTCTCATCTTTTATATTTTCATCAATATGCCAATCATCAACTCCACTCCAATCAACATGAATTTTTCTATGTTTTGACATATCAGTATTTTTTAAAAATCTTGATTTTTCAGATTGCCAATCTTTTTGAACATCTTCAAAAGCTTTATCCCAAACTTTATCATAAACTTTTTTAATTTTAGCTTCTTCTTGTTGTCTAACTTCTTCTAATGCCATCCATTCCATATGTTTCAAATCATCTGAACTTGGTTCATATATATGCCATATAACATAATGAGGTAATCCCACTACTGAATAACCCATTCTTTTACTTAACTTACCAAATGCTTCAGTTTCTGCATGTTTTTCAAATGAAAAAGCTGGGAAATGAGAACCAGTACGGAAAACTTTTGCTTTTGTTAAAATTGATACACCCCCAATACCATCTAAATCCATTTCAACTTCTGGATCCCCATATGGATCTCTTAAATAAGCTAAATGTGGTCTCCAAGTTTGATATTCAACATAACCCTCAACAATACATGCATCTTCATCTAATGAATCAGCCAATTGTAAACCACCATCAGATTCTTGCCAACTGTTTAAATCATAAGGTTGTTGATTACCTAACCAATCTGGTAAAGGTCTCCAAACATTCGGTACTATAACATCTTTATCATGATGCATTAAATCTTCCAAAATTGTTGGAGGAACAGTCTCAACATCAGCATCTCTCCAATAAACATATGAATGATGAGGTTTTATAGCAACACTCCATAACCAATTTCTTGCTCTTGCCATTAGCTTTCTTCTTGGACCTTGAGCTGCAAATCCATGTCTATCACTAAATCCTTGACCAATAACTTGACCAAAATCTTTTTCAAATATTTCAATTTCTCCAAATTTTAATTTTGAATCTGATTGAATTTCATTTAATTGTTTTAACAATTCTCCCATTGTATCATCTTTTGAGTCACTTACCAAAAACGCTAAATCAATTAAACTATGAGGATAAGTTAGTTTTTTCATATGACCAAAAAACATTGGTAAATGAGCTGCAGCATCTCTTAACGGCACACAAAATAATACTCTTTCATCATATTGCCAACCATTTGCCGAACCTTTTGAGTTTGATAAATCAAAAAATGTAACATTATCTAAACCTGATAAATTTGGTGAATATAAATTCGATGATAACCCATTTATTATAAATAATGAAATAAAAAAAAGTAGAAAGATGAAACAAATTATTATATTTCGAAATTTATATATTATGTCTTTTAGTATTCTTAATGTATTAGATAGTGAGAAATTTAATGATGATGAAGTTGATTTAAATTTGAATTTTTTATTGAATTTATCATCATCCTCCTGGTATTCGTATGGAGTTACCTGTATTGATTGAATTTTTGGTGTAGGTGATTTTGAAGACATTTATGCTAGTCGATTCTATGAGATTTTTATTATGCAAAGTTTAAATGAATGAAAGATAGGATGAAAATATATATGATTATTAATGATTGTCTTTTTCTAGTTATTATGAAATGATCAATTGAATTCTTTTAGTCTATAATTATATGTATAATACTATCTTGATCTAGTGTTGTAAGTTTCTCTAATTATGATGAAATTGATAGAAAAAAAAAATTTGGTTGTATATTATATTGACTTTGAATTAACCATATGATAATTGATTAATTGAATTTCCAATGAATGATCTCTGATGCTGATGTTTTTTACTAAGATAGTATCCTATAGTCTGATCTTAATATAAGTAACAAATCTTATATGACTTAAGAGATTCTTGGTAATGTGATTTAAAAACTCCTTAATTAAGATTTAAATATTTTAGAAATTTAGTTCTAAATATTTTTTTTCTTTTTCTTGAATAAATTTTTATTTTTTATTTCTTTATTTATTTATTATTTTAATTTCTCGATTCAATACGTGTATCATATTTGCATGTAAGAAATATATATAATTAGAATAATTGTACATTTTGATATATTATTTAACAGAGAAGATATACTTTGTAACTACTTTTCATTAGTACAACAAATTTTGATCACAAATATTATATTAGCATCACATATACATATATATAATCATAATTACATTTAAAGTACCGATACAACAGAAGTACCATCTTGAAATCTTGTTCTAAATACTCTATTTGCATTTGTAAACATACCTTCTTTTAATGAAACAACTATGAATTGTGAGCCTTTAAATCTTGTTTTTATTAAATGACCAATATTTTGAGTATGAGATAAATCTAATGCAGCATCAACTTCATCTAATATATACATTGGAGCAGGATTGAATTGTAATAGAGCCATGATTAATGATAATGCAATTAAAGATCTTTGACCACCTGATAATTCTAATAAACTATTTTTCCAAACAGGTCCTAATTTAACTTTAACTTCTAAACCTTTTGTTACATTTAACATATCAATCGGTACTAATTTTGCAAATGATCCTGGTAATAAATCAGCAAAAATTTGACCAAAATCTTCTGAAACTTTTTGATATGTAGCATCTAGAGCTTTTCTAATTTCTCCATTTAATTTTTCAATTGTTGAATCAATTTTAGTTTTATCTTTTTCAATAGTTTTAATTTTTAATTTTAATGACGCTTCCCTTTTTTCATTTTCTTCAATCATACTCATTATATTTACATTTACTTTTCTTCTTATACTTTGAAATTTTTCTTCTAATTGATGTAAATGATCTTTTGCTTCTTCAAGATTTGTATTATTATGTTCTGAAATTTCTTTTTCAACAGCTCTCATATCTAATACCCATTCATATTCGCTCATTAAACTATCTAATCTTGATTTTAAATTACTTGTTGCATTTTTAGCTTGCTCTAATTCAATTTCTATAGATCTTATTTTAAGTTTTGCACTTTCTGATTTTTTATTTTTTGTTGATATAACTTTTGTTAATTCATTCATTTCATCATCTAATCCAACCAATCTTGTTTTCTCTTCTTCTACTTGAGTTTTAATTACTTCTAACTCTTTTTCTAAGTTTGTTTGAATTTGTTCATTATTTCTCTCTTTTTCATTCAAATCTTCTATCAGCGATCTAGAAGTTTCAAGATTTTGTATAATTTCTTTAATTTCATTTTTTTGTTGATCTATTTCCCATTGTAAAACTTGAAAATTTTCAACTTCCAATGCCATTTGTTTTTCACCTTTTTCAACTTTTGATTTTAACGTCGAAACTTCCTTTTTTAATTCATTAATTTTGGTTGATTTATCACTACTAAATTCTTTGATATCTTGTTCAATTTGTTGTATATCTAGTTCGTATTGTTTGCATTTAGATTTGTTCTCCTCAATATCTGTCTTTAAAGTTTCAATTTCCTTAGTTCTTTGTTCATTTAATTTAATTATTGACGATGCTTGATTTGATTGTAATTTTCTTTCTTGTATTGATAATTCGTATTTGTCCATTTCAATTTCTTTCCTCATACCTGCGGTAGCTTTCATTGTATTTTCCCAAGTTGATATTTGATCTCCTATATATGATAATTCTTCTTCTATACCATTTAATTTTTTTAAAACTTTATTATAATCTCGTAGTATTAAAAGTATTGCTGAATTATTTCTTCTTGATCCACCAGATACATTACCTTCTGGATCATAAGTATCACCTTCAATAGTTATAGATCTAGTTCTGACCTGTGGATCAAAAGTTACCTTTTTAGCTGCATCTGGATCAGCACAAATGAAAGTAGTTCCAAACACATATTGCATAGCTTTATGAATTTCTTCATCGTACAAAACTAAATTTATTGCCAATTCAACTTTATTTGGTGCTATATTACGAGCACGCTCTATAGCTGCAGCTCCGACAAAATTTGGATTAATTTTATCCAACGGTATCATTGTAACTCTTTTTCTTAATCTACCTCTTTCTAATAATTGAGAAGCAACATCAGCTGATTCAACCACAACATTATATAGTCTACCTCCAGCACATGTTTGTAATGCAATAGCTTTATCATATGAAGATTCGGGTAGATCAAATAATTGGGCAACAACCCCCTTGACTAGACTATCATCAAAATTATTATAAGGTCGTTCATAATAAAAATCTAGACCTCTCAAACTTTGTTTCATATTGCTTAGTTCATTTAATAAATTGTCTTGTTGATATTTTAGTTGAGCTTCTTTGTCTCGAAGCTCGTTAAGATTTTGAGGGTTAGATCCTAATGCAGAATCAAGATTTTTGTGTTTACCCAGAATGGCATCTTTTAATTTGGCTATGTTTTTCATAAATTCATCGTATTCTTGTTTTGCTTTTAATAGCTTAGGTTTATCAGATTCTAACCCACTTTGTAAATGATCTATCTTCATATTATGTTGTGTTATCAAATTTTTGGAAGTACTTAATTTGTTTTTAGCTTCGCTTAATTGAGATGTGTAACCACTTGATGCATTACCTTTTGTAGATAAACCAGTACTTAATCCGGTCAATAGTTCTTCTTTTCTCTCAAATTCTTTCTTTATTAGTTCCACCTCTTTTTTGAGGTTTTCCAATTTGCTTTCATTATTAACAAATGCTTGTTCACTTTCTTTCAATGATTTTTCTAGCTGTATTTGTTTCTTTTGTTGCAGCTCTAATTTGTCAGTTTCATTAGTGATTTCTTCTTTTGCTAAACTTCTGTTGGTTTTCAATCTTTCCAATTCATTTGCTAATTTATTCTCTTGTCTTTCTAATTCACCTAGCGTACCATCTCTTTTCAAATTTTCATCTCTCGCAGCTTTTACTTGTTTTAAATCCTCGTTTAAATTATTTATTTCGTGAGTCAATCTATCAACTTCCAAATGCAACTGGGAAATTTTTTCTTCATGAGTTGTGACGAATTCAGCATTATTATTAAATAATTGCGACAATTTTGAGTATTCGATTGCAATGACAAATCTTCTATGTTTTTCTAAAGCAGTTTCGGTATTTTTGAATTCAACATAAACACGTTTATCATTTCTAAACTTTTCGAATTTTGGTTCAATTTCTTCCAATAGTAAAGTTTTGATTTCCGCTAATTTTTGATCTTTTTTAACCATTATTCTTTTGGCTTTGATTTTTTTCTCTTCAAATGTTCTTGTTCCAGCTGCTTCTTCAATTAATGATAATATTTCAGTGGCTCTCATATTTAAAACCTTTGTGATTTTACCTTGCATAATTAAAAAATTTGGATTATTTATATTTAATTGAACACTTTGGAATAAACTTAAGACAGTAGTTTGTTGAGCTTTATGACCATTTATCAAATACTTTGACGTTCCTCCTAATATTATTTGTCTTGTAACACTTATCGTGCTACATCTTTCAAATCCAATTGGTGATTTAGTTGTTTCAGAATTATCAAAGACTATAGTTACACTTGCTTTTGTTACACCAGCTTGACCTCTTTTGTATATTAAATCCTGTAGATTTGAGGCTCTAACTGTTTGCATTGAAGATATTCCCAAAACAAAACATATTGCATCCAATATATTTGATTTACCAGAACCATTTAAACCCGTTATTGCATTAAACAGTGGATCCCATCCTGATATTACTGTACGCGTTGCATATGATTTAAACCCGTCAATGATAAGTTCATCAACTTTCATTAAAATGGAATTTGGTTTTGAATTTTTCTACTTGAGTGATTAATATTTAAAGTTGGTTGTAAAATTAATATTAAAAAGATCAAAAGATTATTGTTTACATTTTTTTATTATTATTTGATTTTGTGTGATTAAAAGTGCGCGTTATCAGGACGCATTTTAAGTGCGAATTTTTAAAAGATCTTTCATCAGATGAATAGATTAGTTGCAAAAAGACATCTATATCAATATCAAACAATAATTACAATGCTAAGAACAAGACGACTACTAATTCATAATAGTAAACTACGAAATAAATTACTTCATACATGTTGTATACGGCATCAACAAAAACAGACTACAACTGATTTTCTGGCTATACGATCATTAATAAATGAAAAAGGAAAACATTCATCAAAAAGTAAATCACCAAAAGTAATAGATAGATCGTTTTTAAACAATTTAGTCAATAAAGATGATAAAAAATACAAAACTGACTCAAAAATAGACTTATCAAAATTATCAAATATAATTAAATCCAAAAAAAGAATATACGATATTGAACAACCTGAATTTGATTTAGATAGACCAAATAAACTAATTTTGGAAGGTATCAAGAAAAAAGCAGAATTTTCAAACAAATTAAGATATAAAGAGCCCTCCAACAATTGGAAAGAGAATGTTACCAATTTTCATGGATTACGAAGTTTATTTGGTCAATTACCAAAAAATTTAAAAGTGAATGGTAAATTAATGAATAATCCCATAAAAGTTGGAGATTTAGTCACATTAGGTACTGATAGCTTAAGATTATATATAGTTGCAGGGATTCCAAAATCATTTGATTCAAAAATTGCCACTTTTCTTTCTGATAAAGGTGAAATAATATTTGCAAGTTTTTCAAATATTGGATATAGAATACCTGAAGCAATACCTGAAAAGTACTCATCAATTATTCAAAATTTTATCAAACTCGAGCATAAGATCTTAAATACTCCACCTATCGGTATACCTGATGCAAAATTTTCTAAATCTGAAAAAGCGTTGCCAAAAGAATTACAACAAAATGACGTTGAAAATCAAAAGGAGAAAGACGAGGAAATTGAGGGAGATGAGTCAGATTATGAACCAAATAATTTGATAGTTGCACAAGCTTCTTCTCAATTGTTAACAAATTCAAATGTTCAAACTTTCATAATTCCAAATTCTGCAAGAGAATTATATCATAAAGCATTAACTGAAATTTCAACAACAGCTTTTAAAATGGTACACGAAATGAATCAAAAATTGGAAGGTTTACATAGAATATTACAAAATGACATAACTGGAGAAATCAATGCACCTAGATCAATATCAATATTTGAAATAATGCACAAACTACAAAATGGAACTTCACAAGCTGAACACGAGGAAGTAGATATAAAGTTAGGTCCCACTCCATCACAAATGATTGATTACGATTCTCAAAATTTCCCTGTTTCTAATTATTTAGCCGTTTTATTTGCATTAAAGAAACAAAGTAAATTATGGACATTACAGAAGAACAAAGTATCTTACTCACCAACCAAACTTATCATATGGCCATTAGCTCAAGTTGCCCATGAAGACAGGATAATTCAAGATTTAAATGATAAAGGAATTGATGTTATTGCTAAGTATTGTGTTGACCAAGTAACTGAAAAAAACAAATTGACGAAACCAAAAAATTATGATGGTGTGATCAATATATTAAAACAATATGTTAATGGAAAATATGAAAATAATCCAAAGATCTCAACTGTTCTTGTTTCATTATTGAGAAAAATTGATAAACTATTAATAGAAAAGGGTGTTGTTCTAAATGGAGATTTATACAAATTCGAATATTCATTTGCCAAAGCCTATGACTTATTAACTAAATTAAATGAGAATAAAATTGAAAACCCTAATAGATGGTCAAGTGAGGCTGAATTACCTGGAGAAGAAATTTCCATGAAAGCAGATTTGAAAAAGAACTACTACAATTATATTGATAAGATAACTGACGCAAGAGGTAAGGATATCGTTCAATCGAATTCGTTAGGTTTGAATTTTTATGAACAAGATCCACTTGAAGATATCAGAATTGATATGAAAGATATTCCTGTATATTGTATTGATGATCCAACAGCTCATGAAATTGATGATGGTATATCTTTACATGAAGAAAATGATAAATATGTTGTATCTATTCATATTGCTGAACCAAGCTCTTATATTAAACCAAATTCAGCTATCAGTTCAATAGCATTTGGTATGTCATCAACTTCTTACTTACCAGAAGATGTTTTCCCGATGTTACCTCAAATTATATCAAAAGTAGCAGGATTAGGTATTAACGGTCAAGAAACTAGAACTTTTGTTATTCAATATAAATTAAATAAAACTGAAGTTGATGAATATGTTAGACAAAAAACCAATGATTCAGATTTTAAAGCCAATAAGGAATTTGTTAAAAAGATTCAAAAACAAATATATAAAAACAATGATGTCAAATTTGCAACTGTTAAAAGATTCCGTCAAGGTTTTACATATGATGCAGTTAATACTTTACTTGCAGATGAAAATAAATTAGAAGAGTTTAAGTCAGGTAATTCAGGAGATGCTGATTTTAATAATTTATATAAACTTGAACAAATTTCCTCATTACTTTGGTCAATAAGAGACGCCAATAATGCTTATTCAAACAATCAAAATAATAAATTAACAATTGGAGATCAAAACCCTTATTCCACTGCTCAATATGAATTAAATTTACCAAATTCAAATCAATCAATTAAAATTTCATCTACGACAAATCAAGACTCAAAAAGATCAACAGTTTTAGTTACTGAAAATATGATTATTGCAAATCACTTAACTGCAAAATTTGCAAAAGATAACCAAATTCCAATTTTATATAGATCATTAGATCCAAATTTTTCACCTGAATTATTAAAGGAGTACAATGAACTTATTACTTTATCAACTGAAACAAATCAAGAAACTTTATTAAATTTTTATTCATTTTTGACTAGAAGTATGATTGATAATACTCCAAATAAACATTTCCTTATGGGTTTAGATATGTATACTAATATAACATCACCATTAAGAAGATATATAGATATGATAAATCAATGGAAATTTCAAGATTTCTTTTTAAAAAGAGAAACAATACCTAATGAAGCAATAAATGGAATTATATCTCATTTAAATGCACAAAATGATATTGTTAGAAATTTACAAAGAAAATCAATTACTTTTTATCAATTATTATTCTTAAAATTATATAATGATCAAAATCAAGATTTAGCATCAAGTTTAAATTTGAAATTAAAATTGAGAAACAATCCCAAAAAAGGTCAATGGTGCTCAGTTACAATAGAAAATTTCTCAAGTATACATTCTCACGTTGAAGTTAGTTCTGCATTATTGGACGATGTTAACAAGAATATATTGAAAATTGGGGAATATTTTGATAACTCAAGATTACATTTAAAAAAGATTGACATAATTGAAAACGAATTAATTTTTGAATACATATAGTCCACTTTTCAAAAATTTTATTTTAATGACGTTTACGATAATTGTACATATATAGATTAAATAGTTTAGATTATAAAACTTGTATATAAAGAAATAGATTGATAACTTTTATTTATTAAATGAAAACAAAATACGGGTGTGCTATACAAAATACGAAGTAAAATAAAGTCTATATAAATGCATTTCCGAAATTTATGAATAATTTCGATTAATTAATTATGCCCATTTACCAATAAGTGCCATTGCAAAAGCACCCAAAGTCAAATAAAAAAATGCAATAAGGATTTTTGTAATCAGTTCATTTTCAAAATCTCCTGAATACATAAAATCATAAGCCATTAATTCAGCAATACTATTATAAATTAATATACCAGCACAAGCAGCATCAAATACACCAGTTGTAATTAAAGCGGTTCTTGAACCTGGTGGATAAGAATTTCTTACTATTAATCCTATACCACATGCAAAAGGTGTTGTAAAACTATAAGCTAATGACATTACCCATGGTATATATCTTTTATTTTTAGGCCATGGAGTTGTTGCAAATCTTGTACCTAATCCTAAACCTTCAAAACATTGATGAAAACAAATTGCGACATATAATGTTATAAACTCATCACCTGCTATTGCTAATGATAATCCAACAAATATAGAATGGAATATAATACCACATTCTAAAACTATACAATTCAAAATTTGTTGATATACTGATTCTAAATTTTTATAGTTATTTTGATGAATTATTGCAGTGCTTTGTTTTGAATTTATTGACAGTGTTGAAGATGAAGATTTATTATATAAATTGTTCTCTAGCGTTACATCATCTTGATTATTATTGTTATTTTCTGAACCATTTAACGCTTCAATATCCCTATTTTTATTTTCAAATTCATTAACCTTATTTGTATCTATTCCAACATTGGTAGTAGAACTCACCTCACTTATCTCTGAATTTGCAATTTTTCTTTTAGCTTTTTGACTTAATTTATGATGAGCAATAACATCAAAGAAAAATATAATAAATAATGCAATTAATGCAATACCTTCAGCAAAAGGATAATCAATAAATGGTGAACCTAAACATTTCATTGTTAAATTTCTTGATGATTCAGCCATTAAATGAATAAATCCAGTCGCTATTATAACTCCACTACCAAAGAATTTTATTGCTTGAAAACACCAATTTGGAATCTTAAACTTTTTATTGTATTTGGCAATCAATGGAGCGAATGAACCTAAAGCTGATACCACGAATAATACGGGAACTGCTGTAATTCTTGCAACAAAATATTTCCCATTATATGGATTTGAATCTAAACAAACATCATCTTCTCTAATAAATATTAGATGCTCAAGTACATCAAAATTATTCTCCATCTTATTTGTTTGCAAACTTTAGCTTCGTTTGTAGGAGGTATTCTTGATAATTTCAGGACTTTTTTGATTTGAAAAATTTCTATTTTTGGTATTTCAGAAATTTGATATTTACATCGACTGGTTTTGGGAATGTGATAAATAACTTTATTATAATAATTAATCTATTTTGGAAAGTCTATAACTTAATTTGATTATAAAAATTATATAAAACTTGTTTGTTTATAAAATGAGTTAATTTTTCTATAATGAATAATGAATGAATTAAAAATTATTATATAATTTGAAATATTATATAAAATGTATGTATCTCTTGCAAATTGATGTGTGTGTTAGCTAAATTTCAGATGTTAAAAAAGAAATTGAAATTTATTATAATTTTGTATATGAGAATATTATTATTTTGCTTGGCTTTTTTTCAATCTATTTATATTTGTAATTTTATTGACCATAGCCCGAAGATAGAAGAGGTTCCTAGTTTTGTTGGTATCAAAACTTCAATATTTGAATGGTTTTTCATTAACTTTGTATTGAGATAATTGAAGTAGTTAACTAATAAGGTAGATATAACTATTATTGTTTCAAAAATGATTGCAAAAAATTTAATTGTTATCGTAAATTTGTAACCCTTTTATTTTTTGCAACCTTAAATTTTTATTTAGACTTATAATTTGCATAGAAAGTAAATCTAGATTTGAATTTTAAATTTTAAGACGAGTTTTTGGCAGAAGCTAAAAAGGTAAACAACACTCATAAACTGAAACCTAGAGACTTCTATCAATGTATGAGAACTATGATACAGCGTTTTCTTTCCCATTAAAACCATCTTATTATAATTCTAGTCTACTAAATCCTCTAAAATAAAAATAGATTGATCATATGACTTTGATTTTACGACACTTAAGATCAGACACAAAAAGTTTCTGTGACGCGTAAAAAGACTGTGACAATTTTTATAATTTGTGTCACAAGATCAAAAACTTATATTATCAAAACAAATTTTTGACACAAATCATACATAATTAAGTCTTATTTTAATTCAATTAAAGAATGATAATGATATTGAGATAATGCTGGGAATAGAAGAACTACTGACTAATCAATTTGATCAAGCCAAGGAAGTACAAGATCAAGATAGAGAAAGCGATGAAATAGTTGAAGAAGAAGTATTAGTATATCCATCATATTCATTACAAAATTCATTTATATCAACCATAGATCATTTACCTTGTGATATTATAAGATCATTGTGGCTAATACAATCATGTAATATTAAGATTAACACATATAAAGAAGAATTGGAAAAAATTTTGGAAAAATATCAATTAACAAGTCAAATACTGGATGATGAATTATCAAGAATATATAATTTAAAACATCTAATAATACAACTATCAAATGAGACAATACAAGAAGCAACAACTTTGAATAATCAATTAATTACTCACAAATTATATTTACATGATGAAATTAATCAATTATCTCAAATAAAAGATAAGAAACAAGAAGTTACAAATGTAAACAATTTTAAAAAATATGATCAATTAAAATCTCAATTAAGACAACATTATATGGATCATCCATTAAAATCTCAAATTGAAGCAATTAACGAAGGTAAAACAACACCAAAAAAAATCTCAACAACTACAAAATCAGGTTTAAAATTAATTTTAAAATTACCTAAACAAGATAAAGTTATAAAACCAAAAATTAATGGATTTTCTTCTTCATCAGCAATTGTAAAACAACAAAATCATCCTAAATTGAAAACGATAATCAAACCAAAATTACAAAATAAAGAAGAACCAAAAAAAATCAAACATATAAAGAAAGTAGAAACTGAAGTTGAACTAAAAGAAGAACTAAAAGAAAATATAGAAGAAGCACAAAAAGACGAAGAAATAGAACAAACATATTGTTTTTGTCATCAACCTTCTTTTGGCGATATGATATCTTGTGATAATGAAAAATCATGTCCTAATGGAGAATGGTTTCATTATAAATGTGTTGGATTATTAAATAGAGTAGATGCTTTAAAATACACAACGGGAAAAATATCATGGTATTGTTCAGATCATTGTCGAGAAATTGGTGAACAAGATAAATTAAAAAAATTAGAAATTTTGAAAAGGAAAAGAAAACGGAAATGGTAAAAATTAAATATCTATATATTTGGTAATTATACAGTTAATAAATCTAACATTCCATTAATTTCATTAGCTTCTGTACATTTTTTAATTTCTTCATTTATCTTTTTAAGTAAATTATTAAAACATTCTTCTAAGACCACACTCTTGTCAATTAAATTTCCATACATTTCAATTATTATAGCCAAATAATCAACTATTAAATTAAAAGATCTTATATCTTCTATATTTTTAGTAAACCATTGTAATATTGGTAATAATGCAATTTCATCTTTTTCCATAAGTGATATTCTTATTTTACCTCTTTTTTTCAATTCATTTAATATTGTTATTGTTTGTTCTTTTGGTAATCCTGATACAAATGCAGAATCTAAAGCTTCTGACCATTTAAAAGCGTTTAAACATTTTTCAAATTGTTTTAATTTTTTAGTTGTTGGTCCACTTGTATTATTTATAATTTCATATTCTTCTTCACCTTTATAATCTCTTCCTTTCATCATTCTTTGATATGCATTTGATGTTTCTTGTTTAATTCCTTGTTTGATTTTTGGTTCGGTTTGTTTTGTTCTTATTGATATTAATCCTGATGTTAATCCTGTTACGAAATGTTTATATGAATCAGGAGATACTGCACATGATAATACTCCTCCTGAACCAAATTTCCAACCAAATTTTACATCCCAATTTGTAGTATTATAATCGAATATTTTGACATGACCATCTAATGAACCAACCATTAACCCTTTTTCTTTAGTGTCATATAAACAAGTAGTAGTTTTAGTGAAATTATTTAATTGATGAATTTGTGAATTTCTAGTTAAATCCCATATTTTAACATTTGATCCTCCAGAACTTACTACAGTGGTTGAATTTATTGCTAAAACATCTTCAACTGGATTTTCTTGATTAAATTGAGTTATAACACCATTTGGATCTCTTGAGTCAAATAATCTAACTATCCCATCATAACAACCAGTAATTATTAGATTTGGATCATTAGGTATGAAATTTATACTTCTTATATAATCTTTATGTTGTGATTCATCGAATTGTAGTATTGGACCTTTTGAAGTTTGTGAAATATCCCACAATCTTAATATTCTATCATCTGATCCTGTTAATAATTGTGTACCAATAGTTGGATGAAATTTCGCAACATGAGTTGGATGACTTGATGGATTTATTGATACTAATAAGTTTCTTGGTTGATAACTATCATATATCGATACCAAACCTGAGGCATCTGATGCAACTAATAATTTTCCATCAAATCTAAAGTTTGAAGAATAGACAACATCTTTAAACCTTGAAAAAGTTTTTATGATTTGTCTTGTTTTTGATGAAAAAATTTGAATTCTTGTTGATGAAGTTATGGCAAAATCTTGTGGTGATTGTGGATTGAACTCTACATGGTTTATTGGATGATTTTCTTTAATTAATTGAGGATTTATATAACTTCTCCAATATCTTTGTTCAGGAGTTGTTTGTGATGCTAATGTTGGATTTCGTACTTGTGGTATTCCTTGTCTCGCTGATGACATAGTTGTATGTATATATTAGTTTTATGAATGAATGGACGAAAATGAGCCTTGTATGAGTTGTTGATGTTTGTAACCAACGTCTTGTCAAGTCCAATACAATTTTTTAAGAATGGTCTTCTCATTAAAAAAATTCTGTTACACAAAATTATCAATGTTTGGTAGCTTTGCTGTATCAGATTTTGTTTTTTTTGCAGTCAATTTTACAATAACATTAAAGTGCAAATTTTGGTCAAAAATCTTATTAATCTCTCGCTTTTAAACCATATTATAGAAATATTATAAAGTCCTATTTTGTCTTCAAATTTTCAGTGTATATGATTGGTAGTTGTCGAATTAGATCTCGAATAGTTTATACAAAAATCTGCCAGATGAGAACTGCATGGCTAGATCTAATAAGCAGTAGTAATTGCACTCCTGATTTTTCCACATTGCAGTGCTATTAACATTCTTAACCTTGACGTAGTCATTAAATTTATGATTTTTTTAAAGACTTCAGCAGGCTAGCCATGATGGAGATTACTAAGAACTAAAGGAAAAACACTCGAAATATAAGCTTTAAATTTCATTGTGATAGTAACTATCATAGATACGTGCTTCATCATTCCAATTTTAAAGTTTTTTTGTTATGATAGATGAGTCCAATAAAATGCTAAATTTTACTTAATTGACTACATGGAAGAAACTCAAAATAATTTTTGAGATCAAAACGATCCGAACATAAGAGTTACGTATAATTTAGGATCTTAGTTGATCAAGAGAGAAGCTTGCCTTTGAATAAATTTATATTTTTTCAAGTTTCTATGCAAATTTCACATCAACAGTTAGCCATTCAATTAAATTTTTACAGTAACTCATCATAATATGTCATTTTTTAGCAAATTTAATCATGTTAGAAGAAAACTCATCAAAATCCAGTAACTACACTAACAATGATAACACCAACAATTCACACAATAATAATAATGATATTCATATTAAAAAACCTGTAGTTGATAATTTAGTTCAATATCTTCCATTAATCAATACTAACACAATTGACAACTCCCCAAAACCAGACCAGTCAGCCAAAGAGGAAGAGTCGAAAGAGACTAAAGTAACCATTATGGTATGATTTCTTAACTTCAGAGCTAGAACTAGATCCAACAACAAACATCAAAAAAATAATTAATGATTCTCAACATTTAAATGATTATGAAAAGACATGCCTTCACTCATGGTTTCACCTAACGAAAAAGATAAGAAAAGGAGAAATTACTACCACAACTTACACACAAGAAGAAGCTCAAAAACTAATTAATGAAGGTCGACCACCTACTCAAATGGATTTAGATTTATTAGACAAGACCTTTTTTCAACAACAATCTCGGAAATATCAACTTACAAGTAGATCATGCCTCATACCAAAGGGATGGAGTAGAGAATTACATTACCAAGAAGACCAATGGAAAACATTTTTTAAGAAATTAAATGAAGCTAAAAATGAATACCCCTACGACTTAGATTTTTATCACAAATTTAACCTCGGTATATTCAGATACCATACAAGAGAAAGAATAAAATGTACTCAATGTGGTCAATTATTACCTGCAAGAGCCTATAGCACACATCAAACTTTCAAATGTCGCTATTCAAATATTATTTGGCTGATAGCAGGAGCACGAGAACTTCGACTTAGACTGAACTATTTAATATGCAACTCCGACCTAACACCAATTCAAATGATTAAATCCAACAAGTACCTAAAAATATTATTTAAAGTATCCGCATATCGACGATCGAGGCCGGAAAGTGATGAACTTTCCGACGAAGAATTTAAAAAAATGGTACTTAAAATAATGCATACAAGCACATAATGATAAGAATTCATTATGAAAACAGAACAACAAAAGAACAAACACAAAATATATTAAAAATGGGTTTTGGTTATAAAGAGCTATGAACAAAGAAGTGAATTATATATATAACTTTTCTCTCTCTCAAATTTAGTTTATTTCTTTATATTTAGCAAGCTAGATGGACACTTAATAAACATATAAAGTATTGAAAAAAAAAAAAAACAAAGAATGAGTAACTGATTTAACTATTGTTGAGTTTGAGGCTTAATAATATTCCCATTTTGATGTTAATTATTTCTAAACCCAACAGTTTACAAACCGTATTGCACGGGTGACAAAGATGTTGTATTGTTTTGTTAGCCATCACAAACTAAACAACATGTTTCATTATTGTGACTATTATTAATCTATGTTTTACTAAAAAGTTCAAAGTACAATAGGAAAACAAAGCTAGATAAACACAAAAGTAACAAAAATCCGGGGTAAAAATTAGAAAAATATACCAAGCATTAGGGATGAAATATATAATCAATTTTATTTTAAGAAACGTTTAAGTTCTTAATTACCCCAGAAAATTAGTGTCATTCTTTTAATAAGTTGTCAAGAAATATGGGAAATATGGGTTTAGTCGGTAATACTTCAGTATTTTGTTATTGGGATTATAAAAATATATTGTTTAACGCTAAAGTATCAAATACCAAACAATCTAGAGCTTTTGAGAAGTCGCAATCGGATGATATTGTACTGAATGAATACAATTATCTCAAGTTTTAGAATAATTTAATAAAAGAAAAAAGTCTTTGAGAATTTATGACTCTGATGACAAAAAAAAAACATTTAATTTTTATTATCGTAAGACTCTGAAAATTAATTTCGATCAATAATAAAAAGTTTAATAAATTTATTATAACCAATTAGAATGAAAAAAAAAAAAATTATCATCAAAGTATTCAGGGACATACAATTTTTTCTTTGAATACTTCAAGTTAGTGTAACTTCATGAATTTTTCTTTTTTATTATTTGTCGGAGTTTTATTTTTTTTGCAAATTGATTGGTAAATATTATATAATAAATTTGTTATTATTATTCATATTTATTGTTTTAGTCATTACAAAGGATTAATTGAATTGAAGTAGAAAATTCGGACTTTTATTCAATTTCAATATTATTTAATCTTAATTAATTAAACATACTATTAAGAGATTGAGATTAAAGAACAAACGTTTTAAGATGGTTTTTCCCCCACAATATAAATTTTTCGATAAATAATTTAATTACACAAAATACTTCGGAGTTTTTTTTTTTAATTTTTTTTAGTTTCTTTGTTTGTTTATTTTTCACTAAACTACATTTAAACATTTACAGTAATGGATATGGCAAAGACTATCTAAGCTCAGTAGTTCTTTCATGTATCAGCAGTGGCGTAACATGGACATTGAAGTAGATCCAGTCAGCGAAACAGTCGTGAAGAAATGTAATAATTTGTGCTAATTTTAGATTAAATTATAAAACTAACGTAAACTAGTAAACTTTCTCGAGAAACGATTCCTATTCAGACTAATATTCATTACACCACAAATTTATCAACTCCACCAACAACTTTACTGAGAAGTTCAAAATTTCTTATGAGTGTTGACTAAAACCAAAATTTTGATGGTTTTTCCAAATTAAATTCTATCGACAAGAAAAAATTATGGACTTTGAAGAATAATAATAATAATTATTTTTAATCTCTAAATTATTATAATACCTGAATGTATTAATTATTATTTCAATTATAAACATTTTAGTTCTATTTTTCACAAAACTGTGACTTTTGCAAACTTTTAATCTATGCATAAATGGAATTATTACTTGTCAAGCAGTTGAACGAAAATTTATATATGTATGTATTAATTACTAATTTAAACCAATAAAAAAAAATATTCTTAGTTGATGAATTGAAACACAATAATTAAATTAGATATCGTTTCATAATTCTCTACCCCACAAAAACCAAACAAATAATGACGAAGCCAATGAAATTATTTTTGTAATATGTATGCATTGCATAGATTTTCAAGACATTTTTATATTACAATAAGAAACATAATGTATATAAAGAAAATAACAAACATGAATAGGATTTTTAAGGGATAATACCCGATTTTGGTTTGAGTCATGGTTAATTTATTCGTAAATGAGATTATTATAAGTTAATTTATTCACATAATCTAATTGTTGGTCTCAAGTTTTAAATAACTTTAAATTCATAATTAAAGTATTTGAGTCAATGATGAAGTATATTTGACAGATTTTAATTTATTCCCGTTTTAATTATATTAATTATAACTTGAACCATCAAATGGAAAGATCGAGTTAAAATTATTATACTTACAATAATAATTTAAAAAAGATAAATAATAAATCTATATTATATAATTCAATTTAGAATCTAAAAATTTTCTTGAATTCAAAAAGTAATTTTTTTGATCGGTTAAAATTTTGAATGTTACATTTAATAATTGAACTAAAATAATAAATAATAAATAATAATTAACAATCTATACATGTATTAATATGAACTTGTTAAAAAAACATACCATTTAATATATATTTTTAAATTTTTTTCTTCATGTTTGAATAAGTAAGTCAAAGTAATTAAAACTTAAACCAGATCACAAATATAATTAAACGACTAAACAACTTTAGAAATATAAATAGAAGTTGAAATAATCTTTACTTTTTTGAATAACTCTTCATTTTGTAAAAAATTGTATCAAATAATATTAAATAAATAATTATCTTTCGATTTTTAGTTTTACAAAGAAACTATTCACCTACATTAAAACATAGAATAATACCGCTCATTGAATTTCCATTGATATAAATTTTAAATTAATAAAGGAAATCTCATCATTCAAATTTAACTTATTAAATTTTAAGACAATTACCAATTGAAGAGATTAGAAGAAAGTATCATAACTACTTCTACTAACTATTACAAGTCACTCAAATTACATTCGGAGTATCCATTAATAACAAAAAAGTTCATACGTTTGAGTATACTTCTTTAAACTTTAGGACTCAACAATTTTAATAAAATAAATTATTATACTTTAATAATATTATAATAATTTAAGAATTCATACATAACTTTAAAAATTGATTACTTTAATAAATAATTTTTTTAAAAAATATATAAATAAAATGCCAGAATCAACAAAACATTCTCATCTTTCAATAGATCATGAAGATATGCAACAACCACCAAAAGGATTTTTTGAAAGATCAAAACATTCAACAATTTTAAAAGATTTTACAAATTATCAAAAATTATATAATCAATCTATAGAAAATCCAAATGAATTTTTTGGTCAACAAGCTAAAGAAAATTTAGATTGGTTTAAACCTTTTGATTTAGCAAGATATCCTGAATCTTCAATTGATGATTTTAAAAATGGTGATTTACCTGCTTGGTTTATAAATGGTGAAATTAATGCTTGTTATAATGCTGTTGATAGATGGGCTATTAAAAATCCAAATAAACCTGCTATTATATTTGAAGCTGATGAAATTAATCAAGGTAGAATTATTACTTATGGAGAATTATTAAAAGAAGTTAGTAAAATGTCTCAATCATTAATTAATTTGGGAGTTAAAAAGGGAGATTCTGTTGCTGTTTATTTACCAATGATTCCTGAAGCTATTATTACTTTATTATCAATTGTTAGAATTGGTGCTATTCATTCTGTTGTATTTGCAGGATTTTCAAGTGCTTCATTAAGAGATAGAATTTTAGATGCTAATTCAAAAATTGTTATTACTGCTGATGAATCTAAAAGAGGTGGTAAAACTGTTGAAACTAAAAAAATTGTTGATGATGCTTTAAAAGAATGTCCAGATGTTAAAAATGTTATTGTATTTAAAAGAACTGGTAATTCTCATGTTCCATTTACTAAAAATAGAGATTTATGGTGGCATGAAGAAATGGCTAAATATGGTTCGTATTATCCACCAACTCCAGTTAATTCAGAAGATCCATTATTTTTATTATATACTTCAGGTTCAACTGGTAAACCAAAAGGTGTTCAACATACTACTGCTGGTTATTTATTAGGTGCTATGTTAACTACTAAATATGTATTTGATGTTCATGAAGATGATATTTTATTTACTGCAGGTGATATTGGTTGGATTACTGGTCATACTTATTGTGTTTATGGTCCATTATTAAATGGTGCAACAACTGTTGTTTTTGAAGGTACTCCAGCCTATCCAAATTTCTCAAGATATTGGGAAATCGTTGATAAATATAAAGTTAATCAATTTTATGTTGCTCCAACTGCTTTAAGATTATTAAAAAGAGCTGGTACTAAATATGTTGAAAATTTTGATTTAAGTTCTTTAAGAGTTTTAGGTTCTGTTGGTGAACCAATTGCTGCTGAAGTTTGGCATTGGTATAATGATAATATTGGTAGAGGTAAAGCTCATATTGTTGATACTTATTGGCAAACTGAATCTGGTTCTCATTTATTAACTCCATTAGCTGGTATTACTCCAACTAAACCAGGTTCTGCTTCATTACCATTTTTTGGTGTTGAACCAAAAATTTTAGATCCAACTACTGGTGAAGAATTAAAAGGTAATGATGTTGAAGGTGTTTTAGCTATTAAATCAGCTTGGCCATCAATTACAAGAGGTATTTATCATGATTATGCTAGATTTATTGATACTTATTTAAAACCATATCCAAATCATTATTTCACTGGTGATGGTGCAGCAAGAGATTTAGATGGATTTTATTGGATTTTAGGTAGAGTTGATGATGTTGTTAATGTTAGTGGTCATAGATTATCTACAGCAGAAATTGAAGCTGCTCTTATTGAACATCCATTAGTTGCTGAAAGTGCTGTTGTTGGTTATGCTGATGATTTAACTGGTCAAGCTGTTGCTGCTTATGTTTCATTAAAGAAATCTACTAATGGATCAAGTAATGGTCATAGTAATGGACATTCAAATGGATCAGGATTATCTACATCAACAGATGATTTAGATGCTATTAAAAAGGAAATGATTTTAACTGTAAGAAAAGAAATTGGACCATTTGCAGCACCAAAATTAATCTTGTTAATTGATGATTTACCAAAAACAAGATCAGGTAAAATTATGAGAAGAATTTTAAGAAAAGTATTAGCTGGTGAAGAAGATCAATTAGGTGATATAAGTACTTTATCGAATCCTCAAGTTGTTAAACAAATTATTGATGTTGTTCATGAAGCTTTTAAAAAATAAAAAAAAATTAAAATAAAACTTTAAAGTTGTTATTAGTTTGTTTTTATTTAATATTTGATTTATAGTTCTGATTATTTATTTATTCTATATTAAAATATAAAAAAATAGTGTTATAATAAGATTGAAATTTGTAAAGTCTGAGCTTGAGTTAAATTAATCACTAATATTTACTTGTACTATTTATCACTAATATCACCTCTCAGTATCTTCTCTCAATTAAGCAATTTGATCCACAAAACTAAAAAAAAAAAAAATTGAAAAAAGAAAAATCAAATTACTGCAAAATTCACCAATGAATCAAACAACATTACAAATCAACCACTACATATAAAATACCAAAACTAATTTTATAGTTCATATCTCATTCAATAATGACTCAAAAGGTTATCCTACTAAAAAATCCAAGCACACCAAAAGACCCCTACAATGACTTATTCCAATCCCAATCAAATTATAATCCTGTATTCATACCTTTATTATCTCATACTCATTCACCAGAAAAAGAAACCACTATAAAATATCTACAATCTTATGAATTTTTGAACGATATCTCAATTTTTATAATCACTAGTCAAAGAGCTGTAGAAATGTTAGGAGAATGTATATCTGAACTATCATCAGAAATTAAGCACAAAATATTTGAAAAAATAGGGTATACAGTTGGACCAGCAACTTATAAAATTCTAAAAGAAATTGGATTCACGAATGTGAGAGGTGGAATTGATGCAGGAAATGGATTAAAACTTTCAGAAATTATAATTAACGAAATTTCAAAATCTACAAATATTGTTTTTTTTACAGGTGAAATTAGAAAAGATATCATACCTAGAAAATTAATTGAATCAGGATATTTGAATTTTAAAGAATATGTAATGTATAAAACTGAAGAACAACCAAAAATAATTGATAATTTTATTGAACAATTTTCAACTAGTTCAAATGGATGGATTGTATTTTTCAGTCCTCAAGGTACTTCTAAAATCATAGAATATTTAAAAATTAAAGAAAAAGAAGAGAAAATATTTCAAAATTGGAAATTAGCTAGTATTGGACCAACTACTGAAGAATATTTAATACAAGAACATGGATTGGTGCCTAAAGTAATTGCTAAGAAACCTGATGCTTTTAATTTAGTTGATGGGATTCTAAAATTTGACAATCAAGAGATGAAAACAGAGTAAAATTATTGATAATTTTAGAGTGATTTTGTTGCGTTGTTCCGTTGTTTTAATTTTATGATTTATTTATTATACATTATACTTATTTATTATTTATTATTTATAGACAATTTATTCATTTACGTTTAACCTACACAATTTGATCTCTTAGTTGTAAAATTTGAAAACTTTTTATTTGTAATTTAGTAAAGAGTATATATAATACAAAATTGGCTATTTAAATTAATGGTTCGGATTACTTTAGTTTTGTCATTTAGAATCCTGGTGATCTTTCTCTTGATGGTGATCTACTGTATCTACCTCTTTCTTCTCCTCTGCTTTCTCTACGATAGTCACCTCTACCTTCATATGAACTTCTCTCCCTACCAGCTCCTGATCTATATCCTCCTTCACTTCCACCACGACTTCCTCTATAATCTCCATATCCTCCTCTACTACCACCTCTGAAACCACCTCTTGAATATCCTTCATCATATCCACCACCATACCCACCTCTTCCATAACCACCTCTTCCTCCGCCATAACCTCCTCTACTATAGCCTCCTCTACCACCACCATAACCATAATCATCATAACCTCCACCGCCGTATCCTCCTCTATAGCCACCTCTTGGAGCATAACCACCGTGACCTCCTCCATAACCATAGCCTCCTCTTCCTCTGAATCCACCTCTTGGTCTGGTTTGATAAGGATCTGATCTTGCAACTTGAACAACTAATCCAGTTCCTATAGTAAATGGTAATTTTTGACCATCTAAATCTAAAGCTCTTTCACAACTTTCAGCATATTTATATTCTACAAAAGCATATTTTTCTCCATCATCTGTTCTTGGTGGTGGAATATCTAATCTTACTAAATCTCCATATCTTTGAAGTTGATTATTTGTTAGTGATTTGAACATTATATGATGATATTATTTTGAAAATGATTTTGACTTTGACACATTGATTATTCTTTCTATTCTAATTATTGAAATTGATTTATTGAAATGATTCTGAATTGTTCCAATGCTTGTTTCTTTTGATAGTTCAATGATATTTATTGTTTTTTTCAAGTAGTAGAAATTAAAACTAGAAAATGAAATATGAGACAAATTTTTGACTATAGTCTTTAGAGCTGGGCTCAATAAATTTTGTAATATGGGGTTGAAATTGATGTATTGAAATTGACAAGAATTGAATAAAATGATTTGAAAAAATTGGTATGATTAGGAATTGAACAGTAATGGGGTTAAAAGGGACAAATGACTGAACATTTTGATTTGACACTTTCATTGTGATCATGAATTGATGAAAATATCCTAGAAAAGAAAATGTTGAATTGAATCTGGGATTAAATGAATAATAATTGACTTTTTGAGGTTAATAATCTGATGAGAAACTTATAATGAAGTTCTTGAGCTGACTAGTGGTTTTGATCTTGAAATCGTATGAATAATATTTCAATTGAAATTAATGAGCTTATAAATTGAACTTGATTGAAATTTGGTGACATTATTTGATACGAGTGGCAAAAATACTAGCTATATAGCTTGGAACTGATACTATGTGGTAACAACATAATCATTGACTGTGATTGAACAAATCTTTGAATCTTTCAATGAATTTAATTTTATTTTTTCAGTTGCATGAATGAATGAATGAATGAATGAATCTAATCGAAAATTATTTGATATGAAAATTAATTTGTTGATACATACTTTTCAAATTCTGGTGCCAAATCAGCAGCTTTTGATTCTCTTGTAAACCCAGTAACATATAAAGTATTTTTTGGCATTGTATATTGATTGATTAATAGTTTTAAAATTTGGTTGTAAGAATGAAAAATTAGTTAATTTGTTAAACGTTGAGATTAATTTTCGTAAAAAAATCGATCTGTTAAATTGTTAAATTGTACACTACCTATTTTGAAAGTTATTTCTCAATTTCTCATTTCAAGACATTAATTCAAAAAAGTGACAGAAAAATTATTTTTCAATTAATATTTATTCTTAATTAGGAAGTCTAAACTATTGCGTGACTATTACGTAACAACTACAATTTGAATTACATAATCTGATATTAACCCCAACATTTTTTATTTTTAAATTATTAATTTTTTTATTTATTTTTTTTTTGTTGAGTGTTTCAAATTTTAAATTTATTTGTTTGTTCTCTTTATTTATTTTGCAATCAATTTTAAATATAATTAAATATAAATTATAATACATCATTTTTAAGATAATTGAAAAGATAACAACGCATAATTTCTATTCACATTTCTTTGTGACTAAATGGATTATTGTACAGTAAATCTTACAAATAATTTCAGTTAGTTCTTTAAAATCCGTGATGGCATTTTACAAAAAGTTTAAAGTTATTGCAAAAATAGGAGCTTAATTTAAATTATTAAACAATTTTATAGTTGTGATATTGTAAGTAGTAACTATCTGATATTGGGAAACCCAGTGTAGTAATGAACCTTCCTCAAATCTATTAAATATCAATCGTTGTAGACTGCAGATTTTAAATAGAAAAGCAAATGAAAGTTGAAGTATGTTAAAGAATTAAGTAATGTAACCACTTATATGACCCTTGAAAAACGACCCTAAACGTTTTATAATAATTGATTAATTTTACAAAATGACAACTTTAAATTAGAGTATAATTTCTTTTTCATTTTCACCTTCTTTTAGCTTAGTACTTTATTACTTTTTAATAGAATAGTGAAGGACCTGATTTCGTTAACGAACAAACAAATATAATTATAATTGTAACAACACAATTATTAAAGGCTTCCGCTCAATAAAAAGTAATTTATAAAGAAGATATAAAATTTTAAAATTATAAAATTATAGTAACACTCATTCTTCGATTTCTAAATTCAATATTGATCTTTATCTTTTTGCCCTTGAATTATTAATATTCTAAAACTTTAAAGTTATATTTCATAATTATAAATTTATCCTATTTTAATTACTTTGGTATAATTAATTAGTTTAGATAGAATTAATTTAATTAAAATTAAAAAATAAAAAATTTTTTGTTTCTTTAATTAAAAAAAATTAATAGACAACCAAAATAAATTTTATCATATTAAATTAGAATTAACTTTACAACACTTTATTGAAACTGACTATTATTACAACCACACATTAAGATTATTGATAATTGAAATATTTTATCATATATATTTGCAAATTTCACAAGCTCATCGTATCAAAATTTTTATTGTATAACACATTCATTCTATATATTAAGAGAAAAGGAGACTTGTATCAATAATACAAGTATCAATCAGATTTAGATATAATGACTTTTGTTATCAAGGATGATATTAAAACTACTCCTTTTGCAATAAATAATAATATAGATCATAATCAAGATGAAAATGATAATTTAACTTCAAGATTTTTAAATGATGATCATGATATATTAGATGAATTTTTAGATCAAAGAGTTTATGATTCAATTGGAACTAATACTCCTATAAATAACAATAATAAAATAAAATCAGATAATGATGAAAATTTATTAAATTCATTATATGCTTTAACGAATGATCAAACTTTAGAGAATGATATAAATAATGATAATTATCAACAGTATTCAGATTTTAATATAAATAATTCTAGTAATAATAACAATAATCAGAACATAAATAATAATACAAATCAATTTAATAATAATGACACTAATGGAGTATCACCTAATGATCAAGATTATTTATTCATGGATATACCAGATCAAAATTTTTCTCATTTACCAGTAAATTTAAATTATGACTTGAAATCAACTAATACTAAACAAGAACCATCACAAATTTATAATACTTCAGTTCATACCCCTAATTCAATCAATTCACCAGAAAATGTAAATATAACTTCATCAATAGTAAAGACTGAACCATTACGTCTAAACAATCCATTATCAGATTATGAATTTATCAGAGAAGAATTAAATAAATTAAAATTTGGTTGTCATAGAATGAATGCAGTTCCCAAATCAGTTGCAGTACCTGATTCTTCATATTTAGATTTCTCTCCTGAAGCAATATCTAAATTACCTTTAAAAATGGGATTATCAAGTTTACCTACTTATTCAAGAGTTGAAACTCAAATCAAATGTGATATAACTTTAAGTCCTGCTCCAAGTCAAAGTTTATTATATGTACCACAAGATCTAATATCAAAGAATAAATTTTGTCTTTCGGACCCTGTGGAATCATTACATCCAAGATTAAAAGAAAATTTATTATTTTTAGATGCTTATGTTTTAACTTCAGATTTGAAAAAATCATGTAATATTTGTTCAAGATGTATTAAAAGAGAACAGAAAAGAGCATCTCGTGGTAAAGCTGCAGGAGAAACGGAAGATAATCAATTCACAAAACAAAATGGATCAATCAAAAATAATTCAAGTAGTTGGTCAGATGAAAAAATGATGAAAAAAGCAATAATTTTCAATTGTAAAGAAATAGTTTCGTTCCCATCACCAACTGGATTGAACAATGACTCGAAATCAATTGAATTATCTGCAAGAATTATTTGTTATTGTAGACATCATAAAGAACTGGCTGGATTTAAAATTTTAGTGGTTATTAAGAATAATAAAGGGGAAGTAGTTGGTAAACAAATATCTTCACCAATAATGATTATGGATAGAAAGAAAAACATACCACTAACAAAAGATTCTTTACCAAACTCAGTTGCTGGTTCATCGTTGAATTTACAAGGTCTTGGTGAATCACAAAGTAATAGCAAGAAGAAAAAATTATCAACTTCAGATTCTGAGAATGATCAAAAATCTTCTAATGATTATTTAAATCAATTATCACCTAATTCTTTGGATGAATCAAATTCAGAGATACAAATAAATACTGATGCAGAATCAAGTAGAGGTTTGAAAAGGAAGAAATTATCAGTTGATGATTCATATAATAATTCATCTAATCCAATGTATAATGGAAGTATTAATGGTTATTCACCATTAAGTAATAGTGATACAAATACGTCAACAAATATTCATTTAATGAAACCATCATTAAACTTTGGTGGATTTTCACCATTAAGTCAACATCATCATCAACCAACACAACTACAAACATCTCAATCTCAACAAGCATTAAATCAAAAATTACCCTCAATACAACGAATTATACCAGCTCAAGGTCCAATAAGAGGTGGAATTGAAATAACGTTACTAGGTTTTAATTTCAAACCTGGTTTACTGGTTAAATTCGGTCCAAATTTAGCATTAGCAACTCATTGTTGGTCCGAAACTACAATCGTTACATATTTACCACCAGCTTCACAACCAGGACAAGTTTTAGTCAGCTTTGAAAATGATGAAACAGCAATGTTGGGTGGTCCACAACAACAACAAATTTTCACATACACTGATGATACTGATAGACAATTAATTGAATTAGCCTTACAAATTGTAGGTTTGAAAATGAATGGTAAATTAGAAGATGCAAAGAATATTGCCAAAAGAATTGTTGGAACTGATAATAATAATACAAATGGTCGAACTCCATCATTAGGAAGTAGTACAACTGCTTCACCAAATAATCATGTTCAACAAAATCAAGCACATGCTGATGAATGGTTTAATAGTGCTCATGAATCTTTGAAAAAATTAACAAGTTCAGGTTTATCCACTCAAATCGTTTTAGTTAGGTTATTATCATTAGTTGATTTACCAAATTGCCCAATTATAATTCCAAACTGGCAATTAACAAATAAACAAGGTCAAACATTATTACATTTAGCCACTTTGAAGAACTATAACAAACTTATTAAATTTTTAGTAACTCATGGTTGTAAAATTGATGTTCAAGATAATCAAGGATTGACTCCATTATTTATGGCTTCAATGTGTGGACATCGTAAATTAATTGAATTATTTGTTGAATGTAAATCAAATTGGAATTTAAAATTATCAAATGATAAATATTTGCAAGATTATTGTGATTTGAATGTTATTGATATTTTTAATAAATTAGAAGAAGTGCAAGAGACTGAATTAAGTGAAGTTGGTGATGCTCCAGTAGCTAAAAAATCTAATTCATATGATTCTTTGAATTCAATGTTTGAGAATAATTGTGGTCGTCATATTTCAAAAATGGTTCTTGAGAGTGGACATAATGAAACTAAAAATATAGGTGAACATAATGATATTAATTTTACAGATGGTATAGAGGGTAAATTATCTTCGGGTAATGATAGAAGTTATTCATCAGAATTTGCAGATTCAGAATTTGAATCAGAAGATGATTATGATGAAGAAGAAGCAGATTATTGTGATGATGAATTCAGTGAAAATGATTTTGCAGATGAAGAAATTATGAGTGAAGATGAATCAGAAGAAGTGCCAAAGATTGAAACACAATCTATAAATGCTTCACAACAAAAAGTTCTAGGAGTACCGCCACCATCACCAGGATTATGGCAAAAGATGAAGAATGTATTTAACAAAGAAGAAGAAAGTGATGCATTACCCAATTATGATGATTTATTCCCATTTGGTCCAGCTTCACAATTAACAGCAAAACCAAAATCTACAATTGAACAACATATGAATAGTACATCAGAAACAAAAGCAAATGATGTTACCACAACAGGTTCGTCACTCACTGCCAGCACCAACACGAGAACAAAAGATCATGAAGATATTGATTCAGGAATAGCATCAGATTCATCGGAGGATATGGTTATATCTTATATAAATCATCCAAGAAAATCAGTTGAAAATGATAAAATGTTGGTATTCTTTTGGATTCCTTCGTTAGTAATTATTTTGGGAACATTTTTAATGATTTATGTATTTGGTTATAATTTTAAACAGATTGATTTTATAAAAGATTTTGTTAGAAATACTTTGGGTAATGTTATGGTTGGCAATGATAGAATTGGTAGAGTCTTTGCTAGTGCTACTACTACAGTAGCTAGAAGAAGTGGGGTAGAAGTGGGATAGAAGTTTAGAGTACAAAAAGATAAGAGTTTTTGGATGAATTATAATGAGTATTTAATGTTATTTTAGTTTCTTTTAATAGTTTAATTTTAAAATAAATTTTTTTCAATAAAAACGCTAAACCAGTAGTATTTATTGACTAACTAATTCTTCTAATTTAATATCATCAAATTTTTTAGTAGCTTCATCAACACTAATATTAGATTCAACTAATTCTTCTAATTTAATAACATCAAATTTTTTAATAGCTTCATCAACACTAAAATTAGATTCAACTTGATGCCATCTTTCATGTAATCTACCATACATCAAGACTAATTTTGGTTCTTCAGTATTTGTATCATTAACAGTTTTTTTACCAAATAATCTACCTTTTTCATTATTCCAAGCTTGAAAATTTATTTTATCCCAAATTTCAGGTTTATTATACCCTAATCTTTTTAATTTGGGGGATTTTAATGGTTCTGGATCAATAATTGATGTATTTTTAGGTTTAGAAAAATAAATTAATACTAATCTCTTATATTCACTTTGATCATCTGGTGGTGCAACAACTCTATGAATTGAAGATTTAAAATATCCACCAGTTATAAATTCCATTGCATCTCCAATATTTACAATTAATCCATTAGGAGTATGACCAACATAATTCCATTCTCCAGTGAAATAATTTCTAATTTGTAATGATAATATAGGTTGTGATGTTATGAATGTAAAACCACCACTATCTGAATGACCTCGAAGGGTAGTTTTTCCTGTTTTTTTCAAATCTTCTGGGTCCATTGGATCATACATCATCATTCTACCAGTACCACCACCAGAATTATTATAATCACCATCAATTACTGAATAATAATTTTTATATAAAAATCCTTCAGGAATTTCTAATGCTAAATCAGTCAAATTACATATCTTTCTTAAAGTATCAGAATGTAAAAAACGATAATATTCAGCAATTTTATCTAAGTATTCACGTACAATTTCAGGATAATTATTTTTATCAGTATCGAAAAAACTATCATGATTTAAATTATTAAAATTATAATGAGTTATAGAATCTTCAACTCCATTTCTCATTGACCAATATTTCTTAGGTTTAAATCCTGAACCATTTTCACCACCTGATGATTTAGTTCGATCTTCTAAATCTGACTTCCAAGCTCCTGCTAAATAATCCTTTTGCTCTTCAACTGGTAATTCTAATAAAGATTGAGCTATAGATTTCAAAAATTCTATTTTAGATAAATCAAATCCATGATTTGTTACTGATATGAAACCATAAGTTGATAAAGATTTTTCTATTTTAGAAGCTAATTGTTTTCTAGACTCTAAATTTTCTGGCCCTTCTTTGTACAATGACAAATCAAGGTGTTCTAACTCAACTGGTTTTATGTTTGTTTTAGATAAGGGTGCTTCTTTAAATGGTCTTAAATTGTATTTGTTTGTTTGAACTGGCATTTTATATATAAGTTGATTACATTCAGATTCAGTGAAAAATTGCAAGATAAATCAATCGTTTGACTATATATATTTATACAATATCACCCCTTAGTTGTGGATAAATCTATTGTTTATCATTTACTAATTGCTGCATTAAATTAATTAATCGGGTTTTGTTAGGACTACTGTGGCTGCAAAAAAAAAAATTTTGCGGTACGGGAAAAATTATGAAACAACCTCTATTAATATACTAACAAAATATACAAATTATACAACCGATTACGAATTAAAATTATTTTGAGAAATTTTCCTTTAAAGTCCTTTCAAATTTCTTCTCAAATTCTTCTTTGGATTCACCTTCTAACCATCTTAAATTATAAGCAGGATGATTCGGTTTTAAATAAGTAGGATCAAATGTACCATCCCCTAATCCAAAAATATTTTCTCTAAATGTTAAATTTTCAGTTTTTGGATAATCTTTCCATACTAATCCTCTTTTTTGTAATTCTGGGATTATTAAATTAACAATATTTTCAAAACTACCTGGCATAACAGCATAACAAAAATTAAACCCATCAATTGTTGAAATATCAATAAATTCTTCAATTTCATCAGCAATTTCTTGTGGTGTACCTACAAAAACAATACCTGAACCACCAATTGCTAATTTTTCAGCTATATATTTTCTTGTCTTTTTTAAATTTGGTGGATCTCCAGGAAATGGTTTAGTCATCATTTCTGCCATTGATCTAACTGCATTTGATTCAACTTGATCTAACTCTTCTTCATAATCATAATTATCTAAATCTATACCTGTCCAACCACCAAATAATGCTTGTGCTCCATCTAAATCTGTATATTTTTTATAATGTTCTAATTTTGCAATTGCTTCTTCATGAGTTGGAGCAGTTATGATTGTAGCCAATTGAACAAGTTTAACATCTTCACGCTTTCTACCGTATTTTTCTAATAATGTAGTTAACTTGTCAACTTTACTTTTTAAACCTTGAGGAGTTGTACCATTAATGAATATACTTTCAGCATTTTTAGCAGCAAATTCTAAACCTTTTGTACTTGCACCAGCTTGTAAAATGGCAGGAATTCTCTGATATGGATTTGGTTCACAAATGAAAGGACCTGGGACTTTATAATGTTCACCTTCAAAATTAATTTCTCTAATTTTTTCAGGATCAGTATAAACTCTTTTTATTTTATCTAATTTAACAGCATCATCAGCCCATGAAGATAAAAATAATTGATAAACAATTTCCAAATATTCTTGAGTTTTATCATATCTAACATCATGATCAGGTAATGGTTCACCATTTAATAAATTTTTACACGCAGTATTCAAATAAGAACTAACTATATTCCAACCAATACGACCTTTTGTTAAATGATCTAAAGTAGCTAATCTTCTTGCAAAATGATACGGTGCTTCACTTATAGTTGCAAAAGTTATAGCAAATGATAAATTTTTAGTAACTGCTGCCATTGCTGAAATATATGCACTTGGTTCATTAATAGGCCATTGAGCTCCACTTAAAGCTACTGGACCTAAATTTGAATTATTTGGAGTACCACCAGATTTATAAACATCATATGGTCCCAAGACATCAGCAAGAAATAATGCATTAAATTTCCCCTTTTCTAATAATTTAGCTAATTCAATCCAATAATCTAATGAATTATATAAATGAGCTTGATTTTCTGGAACTGCAAATGTATTACTTTGTAATATCGGAGTTAACATTGCAAATGCATTGATAATTAATGGCTTTCTTTCTTTCTTTTGTCTTTTAACAGTCATTTTGGGTTTAATTGAGTGAAAGTTGTAAACAAATTAATGAATTTAATGGTGAATCATGATTTTAATTGGGATCTTGATTGATTTTTATGACCGATTTCCAAATTTTTCAAAAATTGTGGCATCATTATAACTTTTCGTTTGGTTTAGATTCCGATCCAAATAAATAATAATAAGTCTTGGATCCCTTAAGTTGTAATTTTGAACATATTGTTTGCAATTTAGTGTAGACTATTAGTAAATTTATGCGAGTATGATGAACTAAATTTGAAAAAATCGTACAACTGTCTATTCTGTTTAATAAATTTAATTAATCCTTTTCGATTATACGCACATTATAGATTTTTCCTTATCTTATCAGATTATAATATTTTTGTCACAATTTAACAATTAATACCACAATCAAAAATGTTGAATAAAAGGTAAAGTAAGACTAGCGGGATAAGCCAATAAGGCAGTGTCAATCTAACAATCATAGAGTTTCAGATTTAAGGCGATCTATTAGATCGGAAGTTCAATTCAACAATGCCTTGAGAGATACAAATTTAGTAGCTCATGATTCAAAAACTGATAAGATATCAACATACATGGTCAATTCTTGGTCAATTATCGAAAAAAATAGAAAAACATCAACTAAATCCAAACAACGTGAAGCTAAACCAAGCACAGTTACAAAACCTATTACACGCTCAAACTCAGGATTAACTACAGTTTACAGTTCAATTACTAGTTCAAAACCGACGGTCATAAGTCCTTTATCATATTCCAATATTGAACAATCTTCATCTATTGTACAAAATAGATCAACAGCTGGACCTTTAAAATTACGGAAATTACCTAATGATCATAATCGTAGATCAAAAAGAAACAAACCAATTCGAAAATACGTGGAATCAGATGAAGAAGAAGAAGTTGAAGAAGAAAATGAAAACAAAGAAAACATTAACTCAATCACAACAAATACAACTAAGAATAAAGAATTCCATATAAATTATAATGATTCAAATACTCCAAAATATTTAGGAAAATTTATAAATATTAAAATTGATAATAAATTAAGACGTCAATGTAAATATTGTCCTAAAAGATATAATGATTTAAAGGGATTCAATCGTCATTATGAACGTAATCATTTATAGTCAATAGCTAGATAAAAAAACTATTTATAAATAAGTATTACAATATTAAATCGACATTCTTTCTTCATGTAAATGATCTACAATATAAATTCGTATTAGATCTAAAATTTTAGTACTAAAAAAATAAAGTTTCAAATAATTTAATAAATTATGCATTAAATGTGTCAAAATCTTTGATTCAAACTTACATATAATTGCATCTAATCTTTGATTGACTTGTTTTATGAATAAGAGTAGACCAAACCCTGATTGTTCAACTGATGCTAGTTGAATTTATTTGGATCTTACATTATCAATGGTATTAGGTATAACATATTTTATTCAAAACTTGAATTCCGAAGATTTGAATAACGACATTTTCAGATTATACTTTTTAATTCAGATCTAATTTATTGACTAAATAACTTTATGTTCTTGTCATAGAGGATCATATCAATGACTCGAATGACCTCCAATATCTCCCAGTTTTTTAGCCTATATCCAATTTTTAATACTGAAAATGAGCCCTATTTTTCAAATTGAAACATTTTTACTAGCATTTTAAATGCGTATTTTTTTTTTCTGAGTTTTTAATTTTATGGATAATAATTTATATATTCTAGAAATTAGCCGTATTTTCAAACGGCTAAGACAAGTTGAAATATATAATAATCATTTTCATAATAAGTTAAGAAAAAAAAAAATATCAATGAAACACATGTTACACTTTAAGTATTTGAATGATCATCAGAACAATCTTGAAAATGAAGGATAAAAAACTTGAAGTACGAAGAGTAGGATAGGATAGTAAATCTATCTCAATATAAATAAATTAAGTAAGCGGATGTTTCAAATAATTTAGACGGTGATTGCTAAAAGATTAACGGAATTTTAATAAAAATCTATTGTTTTTTAATTTATACTTAAGTAACTAATTTACGATTTGCAATTCAAGACATTTGATTGAAATTTTTTGTTCGTAATATTTTTTTATTTTTTAATGAACTGAATCAAATTTTTGTACTACTTACGACATTGTAATTTTCTTTTGAAAAGAAGAGGATAATATTATTCCCACTGGAATTAAGGCCTAAATTGGAATATAAATTATATGCACATGTTTTGTTTGTTAAATCCGTATATAATATTGGAGAAAAGAAAAAAATTAGAAATTGAAATAGTCAAGTTAGTTTAACCAAGTAAAATTAATAAATAATATTAAATGGTAATTATCAATTGAATAAATGATTGATTTTAAAATAAGAAGCAATTAATTTAAAGTATTAAATTACTTCATACAATATAAAATATGTAGATGACTCAATTGAAATTTGTAAATCAAAATAAATAAAGATTATAATCAACTATCATATATCTAAACAAGGCTGAAATTAGTTGAGATTAGTCAATATTACATTAGATAAATTTAAGATTATTGTTCAAGAGAGATAGATACAAAGTATTACTTCAATAAAATGAATCATATAATGAATGTAAACAAACAAACGAGTACTAGACTAATACAAAATCATATTTAAAATGGTTTTTAATTAAATCCGCATCCTCTTTATATTATCATTTCGTACGGCCCTAACTAGAATGCAAAACGACTTTTTTGTACTACTAAAATAAAATAAAATAAAATAAAATTAAATATTTTTCACTTGCTTATAAGAACATATAAATATATTCTTTATATTCTATTCTTTTATATCTATCTTATATTATTTGAATCATTTTTAATTTTTTATGAATTCAACAATATCATTCATTTAATATTATTGATAATATATATCCTTAACAGTTTTTAAACAAAAGTTACTTCAAAATATTTTATTTATTTGTATTAATTTTATTTATTTCATTTTATTATTTATTTATTTCATTTTATAATTTATTCAATTTTAAATCAAAAATTTCAATCCTATTAACTATTAGATCTAATCAATCAAATTTTTCAAAATGACTTCAACAGAACTAGAAGATCAACAATTAAGTCTACAACGACAAAAACGTTTATTAAGTTTTATGTTTTCAAAAAAAGTACCTCATATTCCAACTCAAGATGAAAGAAAACCTTATCCACAATCAACTGCTAATTTTATATCACAATTATTTTTTTGGTGGTTATCACCAGTAATGAAAACTGGTTACAAGAGAACTTTACAACCTGATGATTTATTTTATTTAACTGATGATATAAAAGTTGAAAAAATGGCAAATGATTTTTATGGGTATATGATAAAAGATATTGATTCAGCAAGATCAAAACATATTGCAGAAAAATGTAAAGAAAGAGGTCAATCTTTAGAAAATTCAACAGTTGATCCAGAATTGGATTTAAAAGATTTTAAACTAAGTAAATTTATAACTGTTTGGGCATTAGCTAAAACTTTTAAATGGCAATATTTATTTGCTTGTACTTGTTTAGCATTATCAAATGCTGCTCAAACAACTATGCCATTATTAACTAAAAAATTAATTCAATATGTTGAATATAAAGCTATGGGAAGAGAATTGGGGATTGGTAAAGGTCTTGGTTATTCATTTGGTGTTACTGCATTAATATTTGTTGTGGGTGTAACAATTAATCATTTTTTTTATAGATCAATGATTACTGGTGCACAAGCAAAAGCTGTTTTAACTAAAGCATTACTAGATAAATCATTTAAATTAAGTGCTGAAGCAAAACATAAATATCCAGTTGGTAAAATTACTTCAATGTTGGGTACTGATTTATCAAGAATTGATTTTGCTTTAGGTTTTCAACCTTTTTTATTTGTTTTCCCAATTCCAATTGCAATTGCCATAGCTATTTTGGTGGTAAACATCGGTGTTGCTTCATTAGTAGGTGTAGCCATTTTATTGGTTTTCATGGTTTGTATTGCAGCAGCTACTGGTAAATTATTTGCATATAGAAAAACTGCAAATTTTTTTACAGATTCAAGAGTTAATTATATGAAGGAAGCATTAAATAATTTAAAAATTATTAAATTTTATTCATGGGAACCTCCATATCATGAAAATATTTCAGATATTAGAAGAAAAGAAATGAAAATTATTTATAGAATGCAAGTTTTAAGAAATATTGTTACATCATTTGCTATGTCATTAACTTTATTTGCATCAATGACTGCATTTTTGGTACTTTATGCTATTGCAAATGGAAGAAGAGATCCAGCTTCTATTTTTTCATCACTTTCATTATATAATGTTTTAACTCAACAAGTGTTTTTATTACCAATGGCTTTAGCTACTGGTGCTGATGCTTTCATGGGTATTTCAAGGGTTGGAGAATTCATGTCACAAAGTGAGATTAACCCTGAAGAAAATTCAATTGTTGCACCACCAAGTGTAAAGGAAATTATGGATAAAGAGCATTTATCGATTGAAGTTAATCATGCCGATTTTGAATGGGAAACATTTGATGATGATGATGAAGAAGAAGAGTTTGATAAAGATGGAAAACCAAAAAAGGAGGGGAAAAAAGATGATAAGGATCAGAAGAAAAGTATTGATGAAACTGATTTATATCATGAAGAATTAAATAGTGAGAAATTATCTTCAAAAGGTTTAGATGATTCTACTACTGATGTATCAAGTGAAGAAGAAACTAAATTTGAAGGATTAAGAGATATCAATTTTAAAATTAAAAAGGGAGAATTCGTAGTTATTACAGGTTTAATTGGTTCAGGTAAATCATCATTATTATCTGCTATGTCCGGATTTATGAAACGTACAAGTGGTTCAGTTTATGTTGATGGTTCATTATTACTTTGTGGATATCCATGGGTTCAAAACACTACTGTGAAAGAAAATATCTTATTTGGTTTGGAATATGATGAAGAAAAATATAATCAAGTCATTTATGCATGTTCATTAGAATCCGATTTAGAAATTTTACCGGCTGGTGATAGAACCGAAATTGGTGAAAGAGGGATTACATTATCTGGTGGTCAAAAAGCCAGAATAAATTTAGCTCGTGCCGTTTACGCAAATAAAGATATTATACTATTAGATGATGTATTAAGTGCAGTTGATGCTCGTGTTGGTAAACATATAATGAATACATGTATTATGGGTTTATTAAAAGAAAAAACTAGAATCTTGGCAACTCATCAATTATCATTAATTGGAGAAGCTGATAGAATTATATTTTTAAATGGTGATGGATCAATTCAAGTTGGTACATTTGAAGAATTAAAAGCTAATAATGAAGGGTTTATATCATTAATGGCTTATAATAATGAATCTAAAAAGGAAGAAGAAGAAGAACAAGTTGAAGAATTTGAAGATGTTGAAGATCAAGAATTAGCAGAAGAGAGAAGATTAATTGAACGTCAATTAACTCAAAGATCAACAAGAACTTATAAATCTGGTGCAACCACTGTAGATGGGGAAGAACCAGAAGATGAAGAAGCTCGTCATAGAGAATTCAATGTTGATGCAAATGCAAGTGGTAAATTAATTGATGATGAAGAAAGAGCAGTTAATGCTATTAGTTGGAATGTTTATTCAAGATATATTACTTTAGGTTCAGGTAAGTATGGACCTTGGGTTATTGTTCCAATTTTAGTTTCACTTATGATTATTACAACTTTTACACAAATTTTTACAAATACTTGGTTATCATTTTGGACCGAATATAAATTCCATAGACCTGATAAATTTTATATTGGTCTTTATATTATGTTTACATTTTTATCATTTATTTTGTTGACTATTGAATTTGTTATATTGGTTTATATTACAAATACTGCCTCAGTTATGTTGAATGTTTTAGCAGTCAAAAAAGTTTTACATGCTCCAATGTCATTTATGGATACTACACCAATGGGTAGGATTTTGAATAGATTTACAAAAGATACTGATGTTTTAGATAATGAAATTGGTGATCAATTAAGGTTTTTTTTGTTTGTATTTTGTAACATTATTGGTGTTTTGATATTGTGTATTATTTATTTACCATGGTTTGCTATTGCAATTCCATTCCTTGGTATGTTATTCGTCGCAGTTGCAAATTATTATCAATCATCAGCAAGAGAAGTTAAAAGATTAGAAGCTATTCAAAGATCATTAGTTTATAATAATTTTAATGAAACTTTAAGTGGTATGGCTACTATCAAAGCATATCATGCAACAGAAAGATTTGGTGAGAAAAATAATTATCTTATTGATAAAATGAATGAAGCTTATTATATCACAATTGCAAATCAACGTTGGTTAGCTATACATATGGATTTCATTGCTTGTTTATTTGCTTTATTAATTGCATTATTATGTGTTAATAGAATTTTTAATGTTAGTGCAGCATCAACTGGTTTAATTTTATCTTATGTATTACAAATTGCTGGTCAACTTTCAATGTTAATAAGAACTTTTACTCAAGTTGAAAATGAAATGAATTCAGCTGAAAGATTGAATTCATATGCTTCTAATTTACCTGAAGAAGCTCCTTATGTTATTACTGAAAATGCTCCACCACCAAATTGGCCATCTGAGGGTGTTATATCATTTGATAGAGTATCATTAGCTTATAGACCAGGTTTACCTTTAGTATTAAAAAATATAAATTTTAATACTAAACCAATGGAAAAAATAGGTATTTGTGGTAGAACAGGTGCAGGTAAATCATCAATAATGACTGCTTTATATAGATTATCAGAATTAGAAACTGGTAAAATTGAAATTGATGGTATTAATATTTCAAAATTAGGTTTACAAGATTTAAGATCAAAATTAGCTATAATCCCACAAGATCCTGTATTATTTAAAGGAACTATAAGGAAAAATTTAGATCCTTTTAATGAACATTCAGATGATAAATTATGGGAAGCATTAAGAAGAACAGGATTAATTGAAGAAACAAGATTAGAAGCTGTTAAAAAACAAATAAAACCAGCAAAAATTACCACAACCACAACCACCAACAACACCACCACCAAAACCAAAGATAATGAGAAAAAACCAACCACAACCACCACATCTGATCAAACAGAAACTTCAACATTACATAAATTTCATTTAGATCAATCAGTAGAAGATGAAGGATCAAATTTTTCATTAGGAGAAAGACAATTAATAGCATTTGCAAGAGCATTAGTGAGAGATTCCAAAATATTAATTTTAGATGAAGCAAGTTCAGCAGTTGATTTAAAAACAGATTCAATGATTCAACAAACTATTATAAAAGAATTTTCAAATTGTACAATATTATGTATTGCTCATAGATTGAAAACTATTATAAATTATGATAGAATTTTAGTATTAGATAAAGGAGAAATTAAAGAATTTGATAAACCTTGGAATTTATTTAATTCAAAAGGTTCAATTTTTCAACAAATGTGTGAAAGATCTAATGTTACTGAAGAAGATTTTGTAAATGCAACAAAGTTTTAATGTGATGAGAAATAGACAATAATAAAGTGGTATAGTGATTGTTAATAATTTGTGAATAACGCGCGTGTTTCATGTGTTTAAAAAGTAACTTAAAATAATGTTTTAAATTTAGTTTCAATATCAATTAATGTAAAAATAATAATCACAAAATATTTAGATACAACAGTTTAATAATATTTATAGAGAATTTTAAGAATAATAATTTATTATTTATTAAGAATATCAACAATCTTGTAGATAACACTTCACTTCTTGATTTTTGTAAATTTTGGAATTTATTAAGATTACGTGTGACTTTTAATTTAAATCATTTAAATCATAGTCATTTAGTTTTTTAGATTAACTTTGAGTAATTATAGTCAATTAAAACATTTGCAATTTAATTTTACTTCAAATACCTAAACTATAATTATAATCGCAAATAAATACCAAATATAGATCGACAAAAATAAAATCGTATATTAACATGGCTATGTGACCAAAGTAAAAGAAAAAATGATTAAAGCCTTGCCATCTTGAAATATGAAAATAGACTATAATACGCTTCACATTTAATAACTTTTCAAATTTGGAAGAATGTTTTAAATTAAATTTATGGTTATGAAATTCCCAAATATAAGATAAAAATAGTAACAAATTATTCTTCGTTTAAAAATATCGATGTAATCATTCTCTTCTGGTGAACTTTATCTATAAATCAAATTGAAAACATCAACATTATTATACTCTAACTTTTTTATAGAATCAAAATAAAAAAGGGTTCAATATTATTTACTTACTTCTTTCTTTCTTCTTCTAATTATAGAAGTTGATAATTTCTAAATACCAAAAAGTTAATAATTAAGTATTTAAAATAATAATAAATAATAATTAAGGAGAAAAAAGCGCAACAGATTAAATTATTTATAATTATCTACAATTTATATTTAATCTAACTTTTAAGAATTTCATATTTGATAAATACTATTCATAAATATATTGACAAAATTCAATTAACTTCAATCTTTTTCAACGCGGCAGAACCTAACTAAATAATATAACAAATGCCGTCAGATTCAAAAGATCCTTCATTACATCCTCATAAAGAACAAAGTTTCAAACATTTTGTAAATAAATTAAAAGGTCAACCAGATTCATATGAAAGAAAAACAAGATATGTATTTGGTAGAACATTAGGAGCTGGATCGTTTGGTATAGTAAGATATGCAAGAGATCGTGAAACTGGAGAAGATGTTGCAGTTAAAATTATATTAAAAAAAGCTTTAAAGGGAAATGAAGAAATGATTTTAGATGAAATGAAGTTATTGGAACAATTACATAATCCTCATATTGTTGGATTTAGAGATTGGTTTGAAAGTAAAGATAAATTTTATTTAGTAACTCAATTGGCAACTGGTGGGGAATTATTTGATAGAATTATTAAACAAGGGAAATTTACCGAACATGATGCTTCATTAGTTGTTATACAAATGTTGGAAGCAATTGAATATTTACATAGTAAAAATATTGTTCATCGAGATATTAAACCTGAAAATGTATTATATTTAACTGAAGAAGACAATAGTCCTATAGTATTGGCAGATTTTGGAATTGCTAAAAGATTACAAGATGCAAGTGAAAAATTGACGTCTTCTGCTGGTTCATTTGGTTATGCTGCTCCAGAAGTTATATTGGGTACTGGTCATGGGAAACCTTGTGATATATGGTCTTTAGGTGTAGTTACATATACATTACTTTGTGGTTATTCACCTTTTAGATCAGAAAATGTATCAGATTTTATAAGTGAAGTTAAAAATAATAATGCAGTAATATTTCATGCTGATTATTGGAGAGATGTTTCAAAAGATGCAAGAAGATTTATAATAAAAACATTACAATATAATCCAGAAAATAGACCAACAGCAACTCAATTATTAAATGATCCATGGTTAGTATCTATAGCTCAAAAACATAAAGAAACTGACTTATTACCTAATCTTAAAGAAGGATTTGATGCTAAAGCTAAATTTAGACAAGCTATTGAACTTGTTAAATTACAAAATAGAATTAATAAATTAAAACAAATGCAAACTGAAGAAGATGATGATCCAAGTGAAATTAATTTATTTAATGAAGAAGGTAATGTTACTAAAAAAGATGATGAAAAAAATATTGATGCATTATCAAATTGGTCAAAATTTAGTGATGCTTTAAATTCTTCTAATCAAAAACAAGATCCAAATCGTTCAAAAGCTTCTTTGTTAACTCCAAGAAATACTAAACCAAATGCTGCTTCTAATGCTTTTGTACAATTAGTTCATGCTGCTTCAAAGAATAAAGAAAGAGTTTCTGATTATAAAGAAGAAGATGAAAAAGAAGAAGAAGAGGAAAAAGTGTGATATACTTCTAATCTGATGAATCTTTGTAGATGAAGAAGGTATGACGTCAAATGATGATCTAGTTATAATATACAAATACAGGTTACAAAACTTTTATTATACTATATGGTTCTATTGATCTCTGTTTGCTGGTCGCTTCCTCTCCTTTTTCTTTATTTTCTTCGTGAAAAATTTTCCATATTTTTTATTCCTTTCCTTTTCGGACCTTAATTTCCGATAACTTCATCACTTCCCTGAATTTTCAATCATTGTTTGATTTAACATTCACTCTGAAGTTATATTCCTTCCTGTTTAATAATGCTCCCTTCATTTTGTCGAATCCCAACTGCCCCAATTGTTTGGTGAAGGTATCAGCTATATTGTCAATAGAGTCAATTCTATTTATCTCAATTTCTCCAGTATCTAATTTCTTTTGTATGATTCTTAAGTCTATATCGATGGATCTTTGTTTATGACCTAAATTGTCTTGATAGCAGGTACTAATGACTGCATTATTATCTTCCCACACTTTTATTTTACCTACAGTTAAACCCAATGATTTCAACAATTTTGTTATAAACTCAGCTTCTGTTAAAGCACTATTTAATGCAACAAGCTCTGATTCAAAAGCACTTTTGGTAACTTTAGTCTGCTTTTTTGTACTCCATGAAAGCAAATCTTGGTTGACAAAAATTGCATATCCAGTTACTGATTTCTTGTCCAGCATTGGTGCATATGATGCGTCCACAAAAATTTCAATTTGGCAATGTTTGTCTTGCTCACCTTTATCTTTTGCAAACTTTAGTTCTAGTTCAGGATTGATGTATAGATAACCCAATGCTTTTCTTGCTCTTAGCATATCTAATTGGCTAGGATTGGCACATTTACTTCCAAGTTGATTTGTACTGAACAGTATATCTGGCCTAGAATTTCGACTGATCCATAACATCAGCCCGACAATTGACTGATACCTGGTGGTGTCTTCTTTTGATAATTTATTGTCATTTAGTTTTTGTATAATTTCATCTATTTTTTCTTTATCTATTTTGAGGTCCTTGATTTCAGTATCCGTAATCTTTGAGTTTCCAAATGAAAATTGTTTGTTGTCATTTATTTGATCCTTAAGATTTTGTATCCTTAGTACTAGTCTATTTTCCTCACTGATGATTTCATCTTCGTCTTCTTCTCTAACAAATGATGGTAAATTAGATATATTATTTTCACTGATATTTTCTCTCTTTAATAATTCTCGTACCATAGCATTCTGATTTATCCTTATTTCCTTTTCATCATTAGTAATAGTTAGTCCTAGGTAAGTTGTAATCTCCTCGAAATATTTTATTTCCAATTTCTTTTCTAACTCCTCTCTAAACCATTTTAAAGTTTTCTCGTCCTTTGACAACAAAATCAAGTCATCAACGTAAACCCCAATTATTAGGGTTTCGTGTGCATTAATGATTTGAAAAATACCAGCATCTATCTCATTCTGAACTAAACCAATATTTGTAAGAATCAGTTTCAACTCATTATACCAGTTTCTTGATGAGGTAGGTAGCCCATATAACAGTTTGTGAAGCATCCATACTTTGTTCTTTTCTATTTTTAGTTCTTTAGGTGGATAAACTAAAACTGGTTTGTCAATATCTGAATTTAAATAAGCCAGCTCCACGTCCAACATATGACACTTGAGATTTAATTTTGCAGCTATTAGTAATAATGTTCTTAAAGAACTTAAATCTATAACTGGGCTATAAATGTTTCGAGGATCATAATCTTCGAAAGCTGTCATCTTGTGACCTTGAACGACAAGACGCAGTTTAAAGAATTTGCCTTTAATGTCGTAAGGTTTATATGTATTCACAAATCTCGTTGTGATAATTTTTGTATTTGGTGGTTTATCTATGATCAGGAACACCTTATATTTGATTAGTTTGTTTATTTCGTCCTGCATTGCGTCCTCTTGACTGTATTCTTTTATTGTCGATACTTGATTAATTGAAAAAATTCTTCTTTGTTTATGATTATCATTTTCTAAAACTTTAGCTGATCGCTTGATGCGTCTTCCCCTTTTTGATATTGCTGTGGGGTTATCAGAAAGTTCTTCAAGTGTTGTTGAAGTTTGTGAAATTGATATAGGAGAAATTGTTTGGTCTGAAACACTTTTTGGATGAAGCGAAAAGAAACAACAGCTTAAATGTTTATATAGCAACAGTGTATTATTATTAATGATATAATCATTACAACTTTCGCCACTTTTAAAAAGGAAAGCTTTGATGTACTTTTCTGTTTTATTGATACTTGGAAAAGTGAAAAAAAAAAAGAATTTTTGTGAACCAAAACATACAAAAAAAATTTATTAGTATAAATATTGATTGAAAACACAATATTTACAATATAACCTATTGTTTTTGAATGTATTATTATAATTACATCATATAGAAGAGCTTGAATGAATGAGACTAAAATAAATGGAGACTATACTCCACAACTATATCTAGATAAAGAAGACAAGACAGAAGAAGCTTTAACCAAATTCGAAAACTTACCGGCCTGTACATATATAAGAAAAGAATTAGGTTCCTCAGCTAAAACTAATTCAAATGATAAAAAAACCAAAAGGAAAACAGAATATATAACGTGTGATTGTGAAGAAGAATGGAATAGCTCTTTACAAAAAAATTTGGCATGTGGAGAACATTCAAATTGTATTAATAGAATTACATCAATTGAATGTACCAATAAACATTGTTTATGTGGTGAAGATTGTCAAAATCAAAGATTTCAAAAAAGAGAATATGCTGATGTATCAGTATTTCAAACAGAATTAAAGGGGTATGGATTAAGAGCAAATTCAACTATCACTGAGGGTCAATTTATTTATGAATATATTGGAGAAGTTATTGATGAACCAACATTTCGTAATAAAATGATAGAATATGATCAAAAACAATATAAACATTTTTATTTCATGATGTTGAAACAAGATTCATTCATAGATGCCACTGAAAAGGGATCATTAGCAAGATTTGTAAATCATTCATGTAACCCAAATGCATATGTTGATAAATGGGTAGTTGGAGAAAAATTAAGAATGGGTATTTTTTCTAAAAGAAAAATTATACCAGGTGAAGAAATTACTTTTGATTATAATGTAGATAGATATGGAGCACAATCACAACCATGTTATTGTGGTGAACCAAATTGTTTAAAATTTATGGGAGGTAAAACTCAAACTGATGCTGCTTTATTATTGCCTGAAGGTTTTGCTGAGGCTTTAGGTGTGACATCCAAAATTGAAAAAGGTTGGTTGAAAGAAAATAAACATTTAAGATCTAAATATCAAAAAGATGATTCTACTATAAATGAAATGTTTGTACAAAGTTTGGAAATTGAACCAATGCAAGAAAATGATGTTTCTAAAGTAATGGCTGCATTAATGAAAGCTCAACAACAATCAATTATACAAAAATTAATTGGTAGAATGGAATTAACAGAAGATAAGCATGTAAATTCATTATTGATTAAGTTTCACGGGTACAAGACCATGGCTGGAGTTTTACAAGATACAAATGATGATGAATTAATTATACTGATTTTAACAATACTATCTAAATGGCCAGCAATGACAAAAAACAAAATTTCATCATCACAAATAGAGGATGTAATAAAGGAAATAAAAGCTATAAATGAAAATGAAGTAATACAAGAACTAATCAGTAGTTTGTTAGATCAATGGTCATTATTAGAAATTGCATATAGAATCCCTAAAGTTCAAACAACAGATAAATCATTAATGGCATCTTACGGAAGGATTTCAAGATCACCAGAACATCAACCAAATGATGAATACCAAAATCAAATTCAACAATCGGATTTCCAATCATCTAGTTATCAATTTGATAACAATACAAGTGAGTATAATGAAGATCAACCACAAACACAAGACAATACATTAGAAATCCATGATGGTCATAGATTACCAAAAGATTGGAGATCAACATTTGATGAAAATACTCAAAAATTTTATTTTTATAATATAGAAACAAAAGAAACAACTTGGAATTTACCATATGGTTCAATCCCAATTAGACCAAAATTACCAATAGGTCCAAGTATAGAACAACCACATTATCAAAAATCAACATCACAAGAATATCAACAACAACAACAACAACAATTTAAACAAAATTATGAAGAAGAAATTGCACGTAGAGAAGAAGAAAGATTACAAACTGAAAGAAAAGCAAAAGCAAAAGAAATTTATGATAGAGATTTAAAATTAAAAGAATTGATTGAATTAGCTAAATCTAGTCAACCTGAAGAAAAACCTAAAAAAAATGGTCATAGTCATCATAGTCATAACCATCACCACTCAAAACCAGACCACAAAAAAGAACATAAACATAAGCATAAAGAACATAGAAGCGACAAACCAACAACATCAAAACCTAAAAAAGAAGTATCAATAGAACAACAATGGAAACATATATTGGCAAAACATATCCCTAATTTAATTAAAACATATGAATCACAAATTGGTAAAGATAACGTTAAAGGATGTGCAAAAGAAATTGTAAATAATTTAGCATTGAAAGAAATCAAAAAAAATTCAGAGGCTGATACAATACCAAAAGATTTAGATAAGCACAAATTAAAAAAGATTAAAGATTATTCTACATCATATATGGATAAATTCTTAATCAAATATAAAGCCAAAAAGCAAAGTAAAAGAAAATTAGAAAATGGTCATACTAATGGAAATATAGAATTCGAAAAAGAATACGATGATGGATCTTACGAACCTGAGGATATGGAAAAAATAGAATTAAAGAAACCAAAACTCGAATAAAGTAAAGTAAAAATTTCATTGATAGAATCAAATAAAAAATTTATTGTATTAATTATTATAAAATTAAATTATTAAGTTTAAATCTATCGTTTATTCTCTCTATAAGTTTCTAAAAATTCTAAACAGGTATAAATACAATTAATACATAAAAACCGTCATTGCCAAAATTAAGCATTATTATTCAATAAATTTGGTAAATTTTCAATTGATTCAGAACCATAAATAATTTGATAAGTAGCTTCAAATAATGGAAATTCATCTAATTTATCAGTATTTTCTAATAATTCATGAACTTCTTTTGCAGTAACAATACCTTGTGATGATTGACCATTTAATAATTTTTTTTCAGCAACTTCTGCTGATGCACCAGTTTGTGCCATATATCTACCAACTTTTACATTTCTACCTCCTGAACAAGTTGTAATTAAATCTGCTACACCTGCTGATTCAGCAGTAAAAGTTTCAGCTTTTGATTCTGGGAAAAAAGTTTCTGAAAATTTAATTGTTTCTAAAAGACCAACTCTCATTATTGCTGCTTTTGCATTATCTCCCCATCCTAAACCTTCAACAAAACCAACAGCTAATGCAACAATATTTTTTAAAGCACCAGCTACTGATACACCAGCAACATCTTGTATAACATTTACATGGAAATAAGGTCTATGAAAAGCTGCTTTTAATACATATTGATCAATATCTTTACCAGCACCTCTAAAATCAGAAGGTAATTTATAACCAATAGTAGTTTCTGACCATTTTTGTCTTGCAACTTCTGGTGCTAAATTAGCTCCTGATAATGCACCACATGTAATACCTAATTCTTCAGTAATATATGTACTTAATAATTTACAACCATCTTTATTTACTTCTAAACCTTTTAAACATGATATAGCTCTTGCAGTAGGAGGTACATTACCTTTTAAAGTTTTTAAAATTTTTGGTAAAAATTGATGAGGTAAATTAAAAACAATTAAATCAGCACCTTCAACAGTTTTTAATAAATCAGGTTCAGCAATTAAATTACTTGGTAATTTTACTCCTGGTAAATATTTTATATTAACATTTTGAATATTTATAATATCTGTTAATTTTTTATCATTATCAATTCTTTCTTCAAATACCCACATTTTAACATAATGACTAAATAAATGAGGCCTTGCTAATGCATTTTCAGCTAATACTTTTGCTATTGTTGTACCCCAATTACCTGATCCTATAACACAAATTTTAAAAGGATGATCTGGAGTTAATGAAGTTTTTGGATTTGGTGATGTTTTTGGTGTTAATATATTAGCAACTTGTTTTAATCTATTTTGAGCTGATGACATTGTGGAAAAAGAATTGATGTGTGTTGATAAATTGTACGAATAGAACGGAATTGAATCAACGGGGAATATATAAATTTTTATGAATAATTGAATATGAATATGTATCTAAATTATATGAAATACAAAAATCTAATCTATAAATCTAATATGATAATAAAATTCTGAGATAAGAATTTCAAAATAAAAAAGTAAAACTTTGTAATAAGTTTGTGAGTATTGAAAATAGAATTGAAAAAATTGAAAATATTTGAATATTTATAAAGTTAGTTGATTCGATATCTTTTTTATATATTTAAAATTAAGCTGTGAAATTTTTAGAAAATGATTAAATCTTTTTAAACTAATTAATCGATTGAACTGCAATGTATCTTTCCTTAATTTAATTTATTAACTTTTTGTGTTGTATTTTTTAAAACTCTTTCTTTAAGAATTTTTTTGTTAGTTTATTGAAACCGAGGAAAATTTATATGATTGAGAATTTAATAGTGAAAGTAAATTTTGATTTTCTAATTTTGTTTAATTTACCGACTTGTTGTTGTTGTTCATCTAGTGAAGATTGTCGAGCTTAGATTTGAGCTTAGATCTACTCTTTACCAGTAAGAGGAGATTTTATAAATCATTTATAGAATTTCTATTTAGTTCAACAAATTGTTTTTTTTTCTTTTCTTCCTTAAACTTACCGGTCCAACGAGATCCAAATCTTGCCTGCCTTAATGCAATTTCTTTTTTTTCAGTGTAAGATTTCAAAACTACTACATCTAAAAGAATTATGATATAGATCATATCTTAGTTAAAGCTCGATACATCATACTGGCAACTATATTCTTTTCGTTCTGATAAATTGAAAGTTTTCTCCAAGTATTCACAATACAGCTTAATTTAATGATGCTGTCTCGGTTATATTTTGAAAACTTATAATTAAAAATGTTACAAATATTAAAATTAATAATTGTTTCACAATCATACATACATGAATAATTTACTTTCAATAAAAAAATAAATAAATAAATAAATAAATTAAATGTTACCCCAGATTTTATACTCGAATATACTACTGATACGAACAATTTTGAGGGTAATAAATAGCAATCATCTATTTGCTTAATAATACTCGAGTTGGATTCGGTGTGATAAATTTTTTAATCTTGATTGAATAAAGCAATTAATATTTTTTCTAAAATTTCAAAATTATGCATTAATCGGAATTAAAATTAATTTTTAAAAAGATTTAATTCAACGGTTTTGTCGTTAAAAACTTTATTTTGATTAATCCATTAGTCCATTAATCCGAGTGGAAGATTGACTTAATTGAATCATCTGGCCCTTTTTCAAGAGTCAATACGTCATTTATAATTAGTTCTATAAACGGGCAAATGTGAATTAAAAAAAATGTTAAAAATTTTTCTATCGGCCAAATTAATTAGAGAATTCAGTTTTTTTATACAATGTCAAATTTACACAAACAATTATCGAATATTTGTTAAAGCTACTGGAATTTATGCTATTTCTTTAAAAAAACTAGATATTTCAATAATCTACCAATTTTCTTTTTGGTAACCATAAGTTGGGAATTTCGGACTATCTTCGTTATTTTTAGTATTATTTTTTTTAGTACTGGTGGTAGAATTATTAATATTATTGATTTTATGCTTCTTGATTTGACGTTCTTCATCTTCTACATCTTCCATTTCTTCATCTTCATCCTCTTCATCTTCGTCTTCTTCATCTTCATCATCTTCGTCTTCATCATCACCATCATCATCCCCATCATTTGCTTCATCTTGTTCTTGTTTCAGCAGTTGTTCTTGTATTTGTTGTAATTGTTGATGTTTAATATATTGTGGATTACTCAAACCTTTTTGATTATTATTAATTTTATTTTTTAAATAATTTAAGTTATCAACGTATAATTTCTTATCAGCATTTCTTTTACAAGTCAATGTACCAATATGTCTTTTTAATGCATCTTTTCTTGCAAATCCTTTACCACAATGTTCACAAATATTTGGAGGAATACTTAAATGTTGTTTTTCATGTCTTTTTAAATCAGATGATCTTCTAAATGACATTTGACATTTATTACATAAAAATTTTCTTGATGGATCATTAGCTTGAGTTATTGGTTGTTGTTGTGATTTAGGCTTTTTGGTTGGTTTGGTAATTTTGGATTTCGGTAGTTGTTGCTTTTGTTGTCTTTTTTGATCTATTGTTTGAAATTCTTCTGATATATTATTATTATTTTGGTTTCCATTATTTAATGGATTTCTCTCACTATCTGCTTTTAATTGTAATGGTTCTCCAATTAAAAAATTCCAACCTGATTCATTACCTGATGGATGATGTCTACTATTTAATAATCCACCAATATTACCACTTGAATTATTATTTTGAGGTATTGGTTTTGCTTTCTGATTATTATTATTACTATTATTATTTTCATTTAAAAAAATATCATTGCTTAGATTTGGAAACAGCTCATAAAATTCTTGAATATTTAATTGTCCAGCTAAATTAGTTTGTAAATTTTCCAGTTTTGATATAGGATTACCATGTGGTGATGATGCATATTGTAATCTTGTTAATAAATCCAGTATTGTTGGATCAACTAATCCTCTATTTTGTTGATTTATACCTCTTGCTGTTGCAACTAATGCATCTCTTGCTAGTCTTAAGAATCTTTCATCTTCATTTTCATTTTCTGGTGTTGTTTCCTTTTTTAGGGGAGTTGTGTTTGAATTTGACGACGATGACGATGCTAGCAATGGATTAGATCTTCTTGTGTAACTCATATTTGGTTGTAATGAGGATGCTGCTAATGGAGATGGTGGTAATGTTGATGCATGATAAAGATAATCATCCTGTTTTAGTTTCTTAGTAGTAGGTGGTGAATTTACATTATTTGTGGAGTTATTAATATTATTATTATTATTATTTGATCCCCTTGTATTTGAAGTAATTGGATACAAGGGACTTGTAGTTGCATTAGGTGAAAACATAGTAAAACTCATTCTTCTTTCATTTATTTGTAATGGGGTTCTTTGAAATTGTGGTTGTAGTGATATTTGATTTTGATGTGATTGTAGAATTGGAGAATGAGATAAATGTTGTCTTATGAAAGGTAATGTTGTATTTCTATTTCTTTGATTTCCTGTTTTCAAAAGATGATCTTGAGACGGTAGTATAATTCTATTATTAGACGTATCTATTTGATCTTGATTTGTAATTAATGGTTTTCCTTTATTATAATAGTTAGTATTTCTATTATCTTTCAATTCTTGATTATTCATATGACATTTGATGTTTATTTTATATTTTATAAAGGTTTTTATTCTAAATTCGGTATTTTCTTCTTTATTTTATTAAGTTTTGTTGATTATTTTAGGCTCAAGTTTCAAAACATAATAATAATTTTTAAAAAACAGCCACAGTAAAGATGGTAGAAATTTTGACATGAAAATATGCCTAGAATTTAGTTGGAAACCTCGAGAATTTGGTTACGTAAAATTTATATGTTTGAAGCCGTTTGAAATTTAGTTTTAGTTTTATGAATGATGAAATTTATTTGGAGTTCTTTGCATACTTGTTTTAAATGTTATTATTTTCATTATTAATGGATGATCTTGTAAATATATTACATGTTATAAAAAAATAATTTAAATCAAATGTATATGAATAATAATTTTAGACATTGAATACGAAACTTACTTCTCTAAATCTCTTTTGGTATTTGATTTTAATGATATAAATTTGGTGGTTGCCAAATTTTATTAAATGAAGCTGATGTTGTAATTTTTTTTTATAATGTTTAATTAAATTATAAATAATTAATTAGAATTATATAAACATATAATTTTTTTTTTTCTACTTAGGCCTAATATAATGATATAAATTTCAAATACAACTTTGATTTCTTTCTCTATTTTCCTCTTTAATTTACTACTATTATTTTGAGTAAAAATTCAATATAGTATTACAATTAATATATATTATTATGTAGTATTGAAGTATTAATATGATTATATAGTAAATCAATATGGCAAATTAATAATATTGATTCCACAATTTTTTATATAAGTAGCACGTGATTGCGGATTTTAATGCACGAAGTTACAACTTTAATAGCATAATTTAATAGGATACTTTGATAAATACTTGTGTTAATGTAATAATTTTCATAACGAAGTTTAGTGTGTACTCTTATTGAGAACTAAATATTAAAAAAAGGCTGAAGTAGGTTCTATTCTAAACTTTTTAGTTTAGTATTTAAAAGTAAATTTAAATTTGCGTTAAAGTTGTAGTAAAAATTAAAAATTTCAATTTCTCTTCAAAAGATTCATGATTTGAAAAGTCTTGTTTCAAATTCAATAACTTGTTGCCTCATCATGTAGCAAATGAAAAATGTATTTTTGCAGCAGTTTATGCAAAATGAAAAAAGACTAAATACTGATTTTTGCAGTACCTGCATATAAAATCTATGTTTCAGAATTGAATATCTAATCTACCCCGCTGCTTTTCAATTGTATACTAAAATTGAAAAGAGAATTTTTGAAAATTCATCTTTCCGTTGTTTCATAAGGTTAATGAGCCTTCTGAGTTGAGACAACAACTTTGTTGGAAGATTCAATTTCACAAAATCGAGCACTTCCATGTAGAAAGTTGAAATCAAAATCTGGATACCAGAAGTATACTCCAAGCTACATAATTTGAATACTACTTAAGATTTAACAATATTCTCTTTTATGAAATCTGTCAAACATCTAATTTAATGATTAACAGAATAATTCCGTTTAAAAATGCAGAAAATAAATTATAGGGGAACAAACTTCTGTATTAGGAAGTTAGCGTATTTTCGTAAAATCAATAAACTTTTACTCGTTATATGACTCAGACCATCCAATTGATGAAATTTTATTAGTGATGTCTTTATATCATTGGAATCCTATGAAAATTATCGCTTAGCAAACATCCAATCACCTTTAAATTGATTTAGATCAATTGACTTTAAAAAATATGTCAAAGTCAAATAATCAAGAAAAACAAGAAGAAATAATAATTTCAAGACCGTTGAGTAAATCCGAACATTTTTTTAGATCAAGAACTGCAACAAAATGTTTTAACAGTTTTCAAGTTACTGCAATATATAATCAAAACCTAAAGAAGAACTTGAACTTATTTTTTAATGCATTAAGGAAAACTATAATAGATTATCATATATCAGTTTCAAATGTTCAATTGGATTCAAAGTTAAATTCATTTGTGTTCCATCCTTTGAATTCAGTCAAATTAGGAGATGTTTTGGAATTTTTAAATCCTGATGATTATATCACCAATGGTAGAATTAATGAAAACTTTATGAAATACGTCAATGATACAACCATATTTGAATTGTATTCTCAAAAACCATTATTTAGATTAATTTTAGTTGGAGAAAATACATTATCTTGTTCATTTGAACATACAATAGCTGATGGTATAGTAACAAATTATTTTCATGAGATTTTAGTGGAAAATTTAGCATTTGTTGAAAAACAATCAAATTGGGACATTTTAGAATCAGAGTATGGTTGCTACAAAGATGCAACAGTTACATTGGATTCCGAATTATTTACTTTTTCAAAAGATAAAAAATACATCAAAAACTCATTGCCACCACCAGTTGATCTTTTCATGGAGGATATTGAATTAGACTATACTCATGGAGATCCAGATTATCATGAAAAAATCATACCAAAAAAATATCCAACGAAATGGAAAGGAAGATTCCCTGCAAAATTTACAAAAGATATTGCTTTCAAATTGATCAATTTTACACCAGAAGAAACCAAACAAATTTTGAAAAAATGTAAAGAAAACAAAGTTTCATTAACTTCATATATTCAAATCATTCATGCTTTGACAATGCAACCAGTATTTGGTGATAAAAATTATACAACTCATAGATGTGCAATGGCATTAAGAAGACATTTTGATTCTTCAAAAGCACCAATAGAATATAAGAAAATTTTAGATGATCCAAATTATAAAATTTTTGGTACACTGGCAAGTATGGGGTTTTCAAATAATTTACCACCAATTAAAGAATTTTCATGGGATTTGGTGACGCAAGCCAATAAAATTATAGTAGATGGATGTAATAACAAAAGAGCATTAAATGCATTGAAACCATTTTTGGATAAAGCAGACCCAACAGATTATAAAAATGAAGAATTATTTTATTCACAACTAGATAAAGCAAAAGCTGATGCTGTAAAAATCTCAAATTTAGGATTAATCAAAACTCCCACATACAAATCCGATAACCCTGAAAAAAATTGGCAAATAAAAGATATGATTTTTTCTCAAGATATGGCTCCTTATGCTTCTGATTTTATGCTCAGCGTTGTTTCAACTTTGCCTGGTGGTTTAAATTTTGTTTTGAGTTATTTTGATTATTCCTTTGATGATTTTGAAGGGTACGATAATTTTGATCATTTGATTGAAAGTTTACATGACAATATGATTAAGTATTCACTAGAGGTTAATTGAGATTTCGAACTTGAAGATTGGTCAAGATCTGATTTTAGAACAGATACAGATTAAGAGGAGATAGATTTTTATACAACTTTTATAGATTATGTTGGATAGATAACCAACTTTTAATAACTAATAATTATTTCAATTCAATTTATTCCATTGAATGTACAGGGATTGATCAATCAACTCTATAAGCGTAATTAACAGATAAGATATATTTTTGGTCTAAGCTTTTTTTTCAAAATAATATTTCAAAAAGCCTCTCCAGATTAATTTATTTTTTTCGATCTCCAGATCTTTTAGATATATGAAAATCAAAACCATAAAAGATCATGATTAGATAATAGAATGACATCTTCTTTTCAACAATTTGATGAATCATTTGATGACACATTAATTCAACTGACACCAGAATCAACAATTATAAGAAATACCAGAACAGGAGTATGGATTAATCAAGATAAAATACAAGAAGTTCAAAGATTTAATGATTTTAGAACCATTGATTGGGTTGAAGATGAATTAGATGAACAAAAACAAAGACTACTAAAGCTAAAACATTTTACTAGTAGATCTACCAATATAAAAGATAAAGTTTTATCTCAGATTTTAAATTGGATTATCTTGGGTATAATGGGGATCATAATTGGTTTAATTGCAGGTTGTTTAAATATTATAACTTCGTTTTTATCAAGTTTAAGAATTGGACATTGTAGATCTGGTTTTTACTTAAATGAAAGATTTTGTTGTTGGGGTGAATCCGATGAACATTGCGAAAATTGGTCCAACTGGTCAAATTTTGAATTTTTAAATTATTTAGTGTTCGTCATGATTTCAATACTAATGTCATTTATTGCTGCTAAATTGGTTAAATTTTATGCTCCATTTGCTGCTGGATCTGGTATTTCAGAAATCAAATGTATTGTTTCAGGATTTGTAATGGATGGTTTTTTGGGTTGGTGGACCTTATTAATAAAAAGTTTAGGATTACCATTAGCTATTGGCTCTGGATTAAGTGTTGGTAAAGAAGGTCCAAGTGTTCATTACGCCGTATGTGTGGGGAATTCTATTGCCAGATTAATTACAAAGTATAGAAAATCAGCATCAAAAGGTAGAGAATTTTTAACTGCTACTGCTGCTGCTGGAGTGGCTGTTGCATTTGGTTCACCCATGGGTGGTGTATTATTTTCAATTGAAGAAATATCATCTATTTTTCAATTATCAACATTATGGAAATCGTATTTTTGTTCATTAATTGCGGTTACTACTTTAGCCGCTATAAATCCATTTAGAACTGGCCAATTAGTACTTTTTGAAGTTACGTACGATACAAATTGGCATTATTTTGAGATCCCAATATACATTATACTAGGAATATTTGGAGGTGTTTATGGAATAATTGTATCAAAATTTAATATCAGAGTTGTTGCATTTAGAAAGAAATATTTATCATCATTCGCAGTAAGAGAAGTTTTACTATTGACTTTATTAACTGCTAGTTTTTCATATTTCAATCAATTTTTAAGAATTGATATGACTGAATCGATGCAAATACTATTCCATGAATGTGAAAAGAACTTTGAAAATCCAATATGTGATCCCAATAAAAATAAGACAGGTATATTGGTGTCATTAATATTTGCAACTTTTGCAAGAATGGGATTAACAATAATAACTTATGGATGTAAAGTCCCAGCTGGAATTTTTGTCCCATCAATGGCCGCTGGTGCAACCTTTGGAAGAGCTTTAGGTATAATTATTGATCATATTTATAAACAACATCCAAACTCATTCTTTTTTTCAGCTTGTGAAGAAGGTGAAAAATGTATTATACCAGGAACTTATGCATTTTTAGGTGCCGCTGCTGGACTTTGTGGTATTACTGATTTAACTGTTACTGTTGTTATTATAATGTTTGAATTAACCGGTGCAATTCGTTATATTATACCAACTATGATAGTTGTTGCTATTACAAAGAGTATAAATGATAAATGGGGTAAAGGTGGTATAGCAGATCAAATGATTAAATTCAATGGATTACCATTGATTGATTCAAAAGAGGACTTTTCATTTGGTACAGTTGTATCATCAGCAATGACATCAGTGATGGTTTGTTTTTCAAGCGATTCAAATGACTCACTAACTTTAGAACAATTGAAACATACGTTAATAAAGACAAACTATAGAGGATTCCCAATCGTTCAATCAGGTAATAATCCAAAAATTCAAGGATATATATCACGATATGAACTAGAGTATGTACTAAAACAACAAGATGGAATTGTTAATGATGATATAATATGTAATTTCAACACCAAGAACAGAAACCCACTTGATCAAATAGACTTTAGTAAATATATCAATAAATCACCATTAACAGTAAATGTCAACACAACATTAGAATTCATACTAGATATATTTGTAAAACTAGGGCCAAGGTATATATTAATAGAAGAAAATGGATCATTAGCAGGTATAATTACAAGAAAAGATATACTAAGGTATGAATATTCAATACACCAAATACACAAGGATTCAAATTTACAAAACAAACAAGATGAAACTGATGCTAAAGTTTGGGAATTTATGAAATTGATTAATTTATCAATACGGAAAAATATAGGTAAAATATTTCATAATGACCCAAATAGATACGTAGCTTTATAGATAATTTTTATTGCAGAAAAAGTTGTATATTAATGATTCTTCTACTGATCCTTCCATTTCCAAAACTCATTATAGTTGTGATACATTGTTTTAAATAAAGCCTTACCACCATAATCCAATGAAGAATTGATAATTTGCAACTCACCTGACGATAACAAGTCAAAAATCAAATAAATACCATCAATTAAAATATCATTAACTTCTTTATTATAATTGTATTTCAAACTAAAATAAATAAAATTATTCATTAATATAGGTAGGTGATTTCTCAAACTCTTTTTGAAAAAATTTGCCGAAGTAGTCAAATTATTCGAGTCTTGAATTTGTTCATTGATCCTTTCCTGTGGTTCACATAAGTTGGTCATTAATCTTGCGAATGCTTTTGCTGATGCTATATCATTACCTAATGGAAACGAACTAGCTAATAATTCCAACAAAGACGACATGATATTGATCAAAAGATGATGACGAGTACTTAATTTATATCTGTGATGTAATAAAATGTTTGAAATAACTTGAGTTGATTTGATATAAACTTTTGAATCAGTGTTTGGTGAGGTTGCAATTTTTTGTACTAACACTAACGTCATTTCCAACAAGTGCTGATTAAATATGTATTGATTTTCAGTTAATAAAGTTTTGATGGTAACTAAAATTTCATTTGAAGCATCTGCTTTTACGATTTTTGATGAATAAGTTATTAAGACTGCAAACAATCCAGTAATTATAATAGAGCTAGTTTCTTTAGATGATTTTGACGAATAAGCCGAAATTATTAAACAAATTGAATTAACATAAATCCTGTCCTCTTTCAAATCAATTGACGAATGTATTAAATATTCACATAATTGATTGTAAACTTCCCCTTCCTCTGTTGCAATTTTTTCAGCATATGCGACCAAATTATCGTAATAAAAGTCTAAGTCTGTATCGGATATATTAGTATTGATTATAAAAAGACTCATGACATACTTAGCAGCATCGATATCAAGATAAGCCGATTTACAAACTAACTTGAAAATAGACTTTCTGATCTGAGCGTGTTCCAGCAATTTCGAGTCAAGCTGTTTTATGATATTTTGTACTGATTCAAAATTTAGGGTATAAAATTCATCAATCGAAGCTAAAGCCCATAAATACCAATACAAAGTGGATAAATTTTGATTTTTGATAGATGTAGTTATAGCCAGTATGCAATGTGAATTAAATTGATCTTGAAATGATTTATTAAATTCTATTGGGATATGCTGTGATAGTATAATGGAACATAACTCAACTTTCGGACTTACTTGAGTTGCTTGATTTTGTTTTAAGTATTTGGTCAATAGATCAATGGAGTTTTCAATATATGATTGACTTGACGTATCTTTGACTCGCTTACTATCAATATGAGATTTCCAGATTTTTGTAGCAATTTCAAATGCAAGATTTTTTAAATTGTCATCCTGTGAAACTTCAAGAACTTGTATCAAAACTGATAAATTTTTCTCAATGTCTGATTGATATGATGGTTCATTTAATATTGACAGCAATGATTGGAGACTCTCTATATTCTGATCCTTAAGGTAACTTTTAGTCAAAGAATTTACTAAATCTTTCCTCATTCCTTTATGGTAACAGTTGACTGGAATAAACTTGATAGCTGAGTAATTTAGTTTTGGATTTTCAATTAATAAATCAATTAAAGTTGTGGTTAGTCTTCTTTGTTCATAGAATTGATTGTTGATTGAGCTGAGTAATTCCTCATTGTCGTTATGATCGTCCCATGAACAAATTAACTCCAAAATTTTGGTTTGATTGACTCTACTGAAATAATTATTGAATATAATAAACCATCTTTTGAAAACCACTGGAATAAAATTTTTATTATCGTTTAAAAATTTGAGAAATTTTTGTTGTTGATCTTCTTTAAACTCTGTTGCAGTACCTAATTCCAAAAGTCTAAAAAGTGTAAAATAATAGTATAAATCATAATCTAATTTTAATTTATCTTCTGGTAAACTGAATTCAGAGCCATATAAAATTAACAAATTATAATGAACTTGCCAAAATTCATCCTTTGAATCAACAAATGATTTGTTCTTCTCAAATACACCTCTTAATGATTCAACAATTCTTGTTGATGAAAAAGCTAATCCAATAGTTATAGCGACAAAGATAGCACGAGTAATTTCAAATTCAAATCCAATTGAGTCTTCAATAATTTTCATAATTTGTCTTTCAGATAATGATTTGATTCCACGAGATACATCAATTATGAATTCTTTACTATCCCATAGTTCATCTTTCAAAATAGCTTTTGGCCAAACTTTGGTAATAAATTCAACTAATTCTCTATTCTCGATATATGATGCCAATATGACTTTACCAACTGGTAAAACTTTTTCGTCAATTCCAAAATCTGAGTTGTATTTTTCAAATAAAAATCTTGATTTTTTTGATGCTAGTTCACTATCTATTTCAAAAATATATTTCACCATTGACCAATTTAGGTCTTTGAAATTCTTTTTATCTACTTCTTCATTGTATAATGATGCTATGAATTCTGGTGATATTGGTTTCTTGGATTCTGTTAATATTAATAACATTGGCTCAGACAATGATGGAAATGTAGTTGTAATTAAAGTATATATTTCTTCACAAAGTTTCATGTTTTTGGTGGATAACTCTTGAACTGCTATTTTATAAAAGTATAGTAATGAATGTTCACTGGTAATTTGTTTTTTGAGTACTTTTTCCAAATTTCTTCTTAAATGTTGTATATGATTTGAATTGAAAACTATTAGCTTGAAAATATCTTGTAATTTCATTTTGGAAGATGTCTGTGGTTTGATGGTTGGTGATGATAGCACGCTAATTAAAGGATTTAAAACTTCATCCATAAAATTTGAATATGCTTTTTTTGATAAATCTTGAGTTTCAATCATGCATGATCTGTAATATAAATCTTGAATTATTTGAGTCCAAATATCATCGACTGCAGTGGTATCTTGAAGATATGTTAAATAAGATTTGAGCAATGACAATCCCGACGATTCATCTATCTCTATAAAAGTACTATTTTCCATATCTTGAAGTAAGTCGAATATGCTTTCAAGGCATTTCCTTGAGGAATTATCGTTATGATTTAATACTTGAATCAAGATGTCTATGGTCTTGAGATTACAGATTGTATCATCTCTAATTTTGGAATCTGCTTCAAGCTCACCCCAAGTTTTCATTAACAAGCCCCAGACATCTTCATTGAATTTCCATTTACCAAATTGAGAAGTTGATTTATCATTTAATCTATCAATCAACAAATTTAGTATGAAAACCTTATAATTTGGGAAATATATATTTAATTTTTTGTCTAGCACCTCATGAGCTAATTTTATTATGTATGAAAGGCTTTCATCCTTTGATCTTAGGTATTTAGTGACTGCTTCAGATGAGCTTTTTTGTAGTAGTTGTTGCTGATCTGACATATACTGGACTTCACTGAATGTTTTCGTATAAAAAATTTAGAGCGGCTTTTTGTAAATTATATAGGAGCATCGAGATGATGGAGATGTCTCAAAACGATTTTACTTTAAGTATGCCATTAAAAGAGTTGAAATATATCAAAAAGTTCAAAATTTTATATTTTATATTACTAATCTAGTATACATTAAATTGTCAAATTGATAATCAAAATATAAAACCTTTTGAATTGACCACTCTTAAATTAATAAAGTTTCAATCTTATCTTTGATACCATAAATTTGGTTTTTAATAGATGAAGCATCATTTGAAGTGACTGAAGCAGCAATAACTGGTCTTGATACACCACAAGCTCTACCTAAAGCGGCTTTTGATGGAACAAATACATATGGAACATTTTTGTCTTCACATAATAATGGTAAATGTAATAAAATTTCAATTGGTTCAGTATCAGCAGCCATAATGATAAATTCAGAAATACCTCTGTTTAAAGTTTTAGTTGCTTCGTTGGCTCCTTTTTTTAATTGTCTTAAATTTTGTGATTGTTGAACAACATCTAAAATTTGTTGTGTTAAAGCTGAATCAGCTAATGGGAAAGCTTTTGGGTTGGGGGCAGACATTGTAGTACTCGATTATTGAATTAAATATAATTTGATGTGAATAAGGCTCCTTGCAAATATGTTTATAAGCTCGCCAGTAAAGTTTTGATTTCGTTGTTTAAATCTGTAAAACTTGTAAAAATAAAAAGAATTAAGGAAGGTCCTCTTCTAAGATGAGATTTTTGTTTTAAATTTTTCAATCAAAATCATTTGGTAGTTCAAGGCGAAGTGAAATAATACTTTGTCGTAATTTAGGCAGTGATTCTACATTTTACTTACTAAATAATTTCAACTTCTCTACCTTGTGAAAGATAGTCAAGTTCAGTGCAACTATCGGTTATTTGGTTCTAGACATGAGGATAATACATGTAGAGGTTGAAGTTTTAATTCATGGAGTAAACTTCACAACAATGCACTAAGTATTAATGTGAGTGTCGCATTTGAAAATATAATGACATATAAAAGAATGGACATGCATAGGGTAGTGCAAGTTTGTCGGTACTCTCAAATTAAATTTCAATAGCAAAAATTACATTTGGAATAAAGATCGTCCATATCTTATAGAGATTATATAGTTTAATCAATTTCAAATCCATATTAACTAATAACAATACATTAAATATAATATGTCAGATTTATGGTATGTTCAACAATCTTGAGAAATCACCGTATATTGTGGAGGTATAATGGGAGTAATAATTGATTGAATTCGAAGGACACTTTTCAGTGGGTTGCTTCAATCAAAATTTATTTACAAAATAATCTTGACTATGACAATCAATTTTGAAGACAATCTACTAAGAGAATCATCAATATAAAGCCTTATTTCCACTCGATTAAATTACAAGCACCTTTACTGGACTAGTATGAGAATTTATTACTAACTTTAAATTTGTAGTCCAGTTTATGCACCATTTTTTGGTTCAATTGGGTGTGCAGCAGCTATAGTCTTCACATGTTTTGGTGCTTCATATGGTACTGCTAAATCAGGTGTAGGTATTTGTGCCACTTGTGTAACAAGACCAGATTTGTTAGTTAAAAATGTTGTTCCTGTTGTTATGGCAGGTATTATTGCAATTTATGGATTAGTTGTTTCAGTTTTAGTAAGTGATTCATTGGCTCAAAAACAAGCTTTATATACTGGTTTCATTCAATTAGGTGCAGGGTTATCTGTTGGATTATCAGGTTTAGCTGCTGGTTTTGCCATTGGTATTGTTGGTGATGCTGGTGTTAGAGGTACTGCTCAACAACCAAGATTATTCGTTGGTATGATTTTAATTTTGATTTTCGCTGAAGTTTTAGGTTTATATGGTTTAATTGTTGCTTTATTATTAAATTCAAGAGCTTCTCAAGATGTTACTTGTTAGAAGTATTAACAATAAATAACAACAAAATTTGTATTCTTTAAACAAAAATCGATAGTACTTTGATTAGGTATATTTAAAGTTTTTATTTAAAATTAAATTTGAATTAACACAATTTTATTGTTAGAATTTAGTTCTAATTAAATGTATAACATTTGAACTTAAAAAATTTGTTACTTATTGTAAAGACAGTTGCCATACATGTAGAATAATTTAAGTGATTTAATAAAGTATATTACAGTTTCATTTCTCTATAAATGCCTTACTTATTTTGACAGTGACTTTATTTCTCAAAAACTTTAACAATGACTCAACATCTTTTGGTAACTCCTCTACTACTTTACGCCAATCATATGCATCAAGGTTACTCTCATCTATGTTAGTTGTTGAATATGCATAAATTTGTTCACCTTCATCTTTCTCTTCTTGAGTGCTTTCATTCTCATAATTATCTATCATCTCAATAATAGTAATCAAATCAGGTAATTTTAATGGAGAAACATCATTCAAAAATAATAAAAGTTGACTCAATAATAGTGGTTTAAATTTCTTTGGTAAATATTCAAATTTCAATAAATGAATAACTCTTGAAAAGTTTAACATTTCATTCGTTGATTCATTATTTGCTAATGAATTGTAAAATTCTTTTAGAACAGCGTATGGTGATATGCATTGTTGAATAATAGGATGAATATTAACTTCCATTTTTTGATCAACTATGTCGTTTATCAATTCATCTTGAATTGGTTTATTGTTAACCAAACAATCAGTGAAAATTATATCCCATATTATATAATGTATTTTTTGAATACCTTCTTTATGATAATTCCCGGAGACCTTTTCTGGATCATAACAATTTACAAAATCATTTAATGCATCATATAAATAGCCGTCTTCTAATGCTTGAATACCAGCTTGATAATATATATTTCTTGCTGTTGATACTAAAGCCAAATCTGCACATATAGTTAATGCCCATTCTAAATCATCATTCGATTGAAGTTTATAATGTGGTAAAAATTGAGCTATGGTTGATTTGTTTCTTTCCATTTTTTTGGTTGATGTGTTTAATATTTCGTTTGATAAAAGACCTATTCCAATTGGAACTAAACTTTGTATATTTAAACAATCATACGCATGACGTAGTAAAAAATATTCTGATATTGTTTTCTTATTGAATAAGTCAGTTATATTATCACTCACATTTATATGATCAAAATAATAATTGTTTAATACTCCTTTAAATTCTAATAGTAGTGAGATATATGCAGTTGTGGCAGGATCAAATGTAAATAAAGTTTCCAATACCTTTACGTATTTTTTCTCCAAAATATTGATAAAGCATGACTCTGTTAAATCATCATAATTTTTATCTTGACCTTCAGTTAGTATTTGAGGTGTTGGAGGTTTTTCAGTGATAGCTTTTTGGAAAAAGTCCTGATAAATTTCTTTATTGTCTCGTATTTGATACAATGAAAATGCTAAATATACTTCATACCAACTATCACAATAATTCGTTATAGTTTTTGAGAAGCCAGTCATTATACAAGCAATATCATATATTTGACTCAACATAATTTGATAATTACTGGAATCTTCATCATCACCAATCTGTTGTTTCGAAAATGCAATTGAATCTCTAAATTCACAAGCTGATAATTTCCATTGAGGGAATTGACCTTTTAATGCAAATGTAGAATAATCAGCTAATAATTGTCTTAAATCATTTATAACTTCAAATAAAGTAATATTTTTCTCTTCTAATTCATAATAATTTGAATGCTCTAAGGTTTCATCAACTTGTTGAAATAACCCTCTGCATACCATTTTAGAAACTAATGTATTCCAGAATGAAGGATGTGTATAACTCAGGGGATGGTTTATCATGATTTCGTCAATTAACTCCACTGAAGGTTCAGGATCAAACATATTCACCCATTCAATAATTAATTCTGGTATTCCTTTCATATCTGTATAAAATTCTGAAGATTGTAAACATGAAAGTATCATTAATAAAAATTGATTTTTGTCATCTGAAACTATTGACTTATCTTGCCGATTAAGGTTTCTTAGATTTTCTAGTATTGAATGGAATGACTGGTTTATGCAATTGATTTTGGTCTTTTCTGCAGTTGTATTCGAATTAGTTATGAGACCTATTGGTTGGGTAAATTGATCTTCATCTTCAATTGATTGAATGTTGGTTATTAGTTGTTCCACCACTTTATAATTGTTGTTGAGGTATGAGATATAATTTTGATCTATTTCTGATTCCTTATTCACACTTGATAAGTACCTTTTTTGATCGTATTGATAATGCAAAAGTTGTTTGGAATTCAACCATTGTGATAAATCTGGATAATCATTCTTACCGGTGAAGAATGCAGATATTGTAATGTTGGAATTAGAAGACATATTTGCATCTTTTTGATCTTGTGATTGACTTGCGCTTGCATCTATTTCATCTTTAGTTGAGTCTGATGAATCACTTAATATACCCTCTGTTTCTGATGATGTTGAATAATTTCCCTCTTGTTCATCATCATCATCAGGGACTTCCAACATCTCTATGTCCTCAAATCTTCTATTCAACCCACTTGCCTCTGCCATTACTGTGTGATATATTTATTTGTTGTTGCAATTGTGTATAATGATTCTTGTTTACTTTTTTTTTTTCAGTGCAAAAATGTTTAATCATAATTCAATATCTTTGCAAGAGTTGTACTTTCTAATCAAAAAATGCCATTATAAGTATTAGAAAAAGAGTTTTGTAGAGTTCTAAAAGACAGGCTCTAGCTAAAAATCCGATTCCAGCTACAAAGTCGTACACAATTAATTTATAGTTATTTGCAATGGTCTATAAGATCACTCAATTTATCTTTATACTTGGCTAATGTTTCAAATTCCGATGATTTCAGTATCTTTTCATAATTTCCCAAATATGATTTAATAGCTCTAGCGTCAATTATATTAGAATACGCAGAAGTTTCAGGTATTAAGATGTTACCTGCATCAATTTCTTTGTAATCCATATTCATAATTCTAAATTTCTCTCCGTAGTTATCTAATTCAAGATCACACAGTATTAAAATTTGTTTCATTTCTTGAGATGTGATATCATATAAATTGTAAAGTCCACCTGATAAATTACCAATTGTAGCTAAATGTTGGCCGTATTTGAATGGACGGTTCACGGTAGTAATTGCGTTGATTTGTCCAAGATCAATATTGAATTTGGAGGTAAGTATGGTAACGCCAGTATTAGTATCTCTGTCAAATATTCTGATATTTCCAAGTGAATCTCCTGATATTAAAATATTTGAGATTTCGTCTGATTTAGCAACTGACAAACAAGTAAGTAACTGGTTTAAGTCACTATAATTCTCCTCGGGTGCATTTTCAATCTTAGCTTTTGACAACGATATATTAGGTGAAATATTGTATTCAAATATACCATCTAAAGCATCAGCCAAATATGCTACTTTATTACTAACACATGACTGAGCAACTGTAAATGAAGCAGCGGGTTGAATATCTTCTGTCTGATGTAATACTGCTTTGTAGGTACGATCTTCAACTATTAATTGAATTTGCATAATTATATTTCCTGATAGTAAAAAAAGTACTCCATTATCCAATTTATTTGGATCATGAGGAATTTGACTTATGCTCAGAAATTTGACTTCGGTATTTAAATCCACTTTTGGTATAGCTTCTTTATTTATCAATTTTAATTTCAGATCTTGAATTGAAAATATATATAAAGAACTTTTATCTGATGACGTTAAGCAAACAAACTTTTTGTAATCAGTATGCACTAGATTTGCAACTTTACCTTCAAATTCACACAAATCGGACACCTCTGCATTATTGTATAACTTAAATCTATCCACAACTGTGAAGGAATGTAGTTCAACGAGTAAAAGTTCACTTGTGAAATCTGTATTAGGATTATATTGATCATAAGAGACAGCAACCATGTATTCACCACCAGACATGGGTAAACATTTTACAAATAATTTGTTTGAAAATATTGATTGAGGCTCGATTGTACGAGAAGTTACTCCAAGAAAATCGATTCCCCATTTTTCAATTAAACCATTTTCAAAGAAAACAATAACTTGGTCTTCTTCGCCTTCGACAAATTCTATATTTGCAATACCCTTTTTGGGGATTTTAGTGTAACAATAATTTCTAGAAGGACAGAGAATTTGTGGAATATAAACCATTTTTGAGTTGTAAATTACTATGTCATCAAATTTTCTTATAATAAGTAATGGTAAGCTTTGATTCAATACTGATAGGTTTGAATAAATTAGTTTAAATGTATTTGAATGGAAGGAAAATAGGAGCTGTAAAAGTGAGCCATTTAAGGACATCAAAAACACTCTAAATGTGAGACTGTCACTTGTTTTATCCTTCGCGATGCAACATGAGTAAATAGCCGATGGACTTTCACCCTTTATTGAATCTGAATGTTGTAATTGTTTGGAAGTTTCATTGACATGCCACACTTGATATAAACCCGAATAAAAAGTACTGATAATCCAGAATTCATCATTTGAACGATATGCATCAATACTTGAAACTTCTCCATCATCTACGTTGAGCTTAATTTCTTCAATTTTACCTTTGAAATAATCATATAGATATATTTTTTCACCAGAAACCATAAGAACTACACCATATTCAGGAATTATCTTTCCAAATTGTATCGGAGCTTCTAAAATTGTATTTGTGTTGTGCTTTAACGCTTTAGATGTAATTATTAGTTCAGTTTCAGGTGTACGAAGCATATCCAAAACTTCTAAGTCAAATTCTTGCTCTTCAATACTTGCTTCAAGGTCATCATTAATATAAATCGCTTTACGGGGAGTGGTGTTTTTTAATAGATCTCCAAAGACAAATTTATTGTCTACTCTACCAATCTTAAATGGTGAATAACTTTCAATTTTGTTTGATTTTAAAATCTTATAATCACAAATAGGCTCTGCATATTTTCTTAATTCACTACCTTCCCAACCACCTTGACAAGTATAAATTTCTTCTGGTTTGTAGCCGGTTTTAATATCCAATACGGGTGGACTAGATTCAATATAATCAAGAATATTAATATTTGGTCTATTTGGTAAAATTTCAAATAGTACTGACCTAGAAACTTTTGAAAATTGAATAAATTTATTAGATCCTAAATGGTGTAAACCACCATACAAAGGAATAGTCAAATCTCCCAAATCTATCATATTTATTTGATTTATGACTAATGAATTTCTTGAGGATACTTCAACATCCATATATAGCATAAAGCATTTACCATCAGCAGTGACTAATAAAGTTCTGTATTCATCAATATATTCAAATGATTTATATATCATAACGTTTTTACCTCTACTCGGTTTACTGACTGTTAGGACCAAGTAATTATCTTTTGACTTGGTCAGAATGAAGACATTTTTAATTAGTTTTGATGATGATACGTATTGATAATGTTCGGGTGGAAAATAAAATAAACTTGAATCTGTTAAAGCAAATATCCCACCTAGTTTTTGATGATATGAAAATATTAAAGATGGACTTTCATCAAAACTTGAAAATTGTCTACTTATGTTAAAATTATTCTCTTTTGGATTGTATTGTAGAACTCTTATGTAGTAAGATGATGTTATATCTTTATATAATGCAGCAAATGAAGGGCTCTTGTTCTTTTCTGAGCCATCATTTAATGATACAATCTGTTTAATATCAATATTACCAATCGGTGCAGAAAGAATGTTTAATGGTTCTTGTGAATCTGAAGCAGATTTAGCTATATCAGAGACTGGTATCATTTGAATATTAGTTTGGAATAAATGGCATAAAATAAAATTAGGATCTGTTGGACTCAGTGGTATCATTATTGGCTTTTCAATATCTGGTGCTTGTTGCTGACCTTTAGTTGAAAGTTGGGCTATACATCTAATCGTGACAGTAAGATCATCAACAATTTTGGTTGAATTGATATCCATTACATGTAAGTAGTATATATCATCAACTAAAAGGATATATTGTTTAGATTTATAAGTAAAATTTGTCCATGATAGTATATTTGATCTTAGATTGGAACTCATTTTAAAAACTAATTCATTATTGGCATACTTATAAAATCGTACTGAATTTCCCGCATTGACCAACAAAAATTTGTAATCATGAACATTTAAGCTAATTGAATTTGATATGGCTTTGAAATTTGTTACCTCTGTTAGTAAATACATGATGCGTTAAATACTGTTGTGACCCTAATTGTTCTGATCGTTTCTTGATATTTTAAACGAGATCCTTTGAATAATGAGTTGTGAAAATCTTATGTTATAGTATTGTTCAGCAAAGGCATTTGATTTGTCTTCTACGATTGAATTGAATTAATTATGATGACACAAGGTCTAGTTGATTTCTTCAATATTTAAAAGATTTGAATTTGGTTGTAAAAAATTTAAAATAGTATTGAATACATACAAAAAACATTAATTACACAAAAAACTAAAGTAAGATCTTTAATAGTACAATAAATAAATTATAATTTTAAATCTCGTAAATTAAAGGAAATGTTTAAATATGGCATAACAAAATTATTTTTTAGATTAGCAATTCAATAATAATAATTGATTGTTCTGCTGTTAAATCTGTTTTGAAAATTTTCATTTAATATCTAGAGTTAATAAATAAATACACATTAAATTCTTCACAAGTTCAAAAATTCAGATTAAAAAGCTAATTCACAAATTCATATTTACATTTTTCCTTACAATCCGAAACAATTAATTCAGTAATAACTCCTTTAAAAATTTGATTTCAATGTATTTATGCTGAGTCTGACTAAGATTAAATCCAAAGAGAAACAAACCTCGATCAAAAATTCATGGAGTCTAAAGGGGATATTAAATTTAAGCGACTCATATGGTGAAAAATCAAATGATATTAAAAAATCCTCAATCAAGTTACCTAATGCAATTGAAACTGAGATGGTAAACGATACTAGTATTAGTAGCCCCAATAGCTCCAGTAGCTTCAAAAGTGTGAATAAATGTTTTTGTTGTGGTACTATATTAACTTTTCCAAATCAAGCCAAAAAATATAAATGCTCTATATGTCATACAACAAATATAATTGAAGTCATACAACTGGATAATGATCTCGAAAAGCACAATTTAATTTCGTTGAAAGATGTTAATAACCTAGTGGATCAATGTTTTAAGACTGCAGCATCAGCTCAGGGACAATCTCAATCACTACATGAAATATTTCAGCCATTGTCAAAGTATTTATACGATAATTTCAAATCTTTCAAAATATTGAATAATTCATTTAAAATACGGCGCTCTAGTCATCGACCTCACTATCATAGTTCTAACATTAACTACCAAGAAATTCAAGATTTATTCACATTATTAACAAAATTACCAACTAAAAGACCTTTATATTTAGCATTAAAAGGAGCAAGTGATAGTTTGAAAAGAATTTATATCAATTCCAATGACGTTTTATATTATAATTGGATTTATATTCTACTTCATATCCCTTTTTTGTCAAGTTCTTTAGTGTACGATGATAGGCATAAATCAAAGAAAAAATTAATGAAAGACGAACCAGAAATCAAAGTATTGTGTTATGACATTTTGAAAAGATGCTTGGGAATTGTTTCATGCATTGATAATGACCTTGTATTGAAATATTGGTCAGCTTGGATTTCAAATTTGGAATTATCATATTTCAATCAAAGACTAGACATAATAAATTTGTACATTACATTTCAACTAAAGAAGTATTTTTATTTAGCAAATAATCCACATATCAAATTAGCACCATCTCCATCAGCATTATCACCACCAAGTTCAGGAAATGAAACTGAAACGGAAGATCAAGAATATTTTCAAAATGTAAATTTAAAAGATCAAATTGCTTCATCGCCTCTGTTTTCATTAGCAGAACCTTTGACATTTCCAAGAACTCAAATTTCAAGTGATCCATTTCCGTTGAAAGCTAAAAAAGGAAATTCAAAACAAGAAAATAAAATCAAAGTACATCAATATGGTAATGATTGGAGAATCAAATCAGCATTAAAAGCATTAACATTCTTTGTTAAAGCGAATAAATTAAGAGGAGAATCTCAATTACCAGTTTCTATATTTTATAACTCATTAGTTGATTATGTTAATATTAAATTAGATTTTGATAGTTGGCAAAGCAACAAGAATGTACAAAATTCCAAAACTTCAAGTCAAGCTGAGTTGAAGTCCATCATTGGTTACATTCATGGTACAAGTAGGAACAAGAGTTTATTTAGTGATGCATCATTTTATTTATGTCAATACCCATTTTTAATTTCTTTAGGGAGTAAAATATCAGTATTAGAATATGAAGCAAGAAGACAAATGGAGAGGAAAGCCGAAGAAGCTTTTATTAATTCATTAGATAAAAGAGTTGTCATTGATGTTTATTTACGCATAAAAATTAGAAGGGATCATATTGTACAAGATTCTTTACAAGCAATAAAACAAAATATGGAAAATTTAAAAAAGAGTTTAAGAGTTCAATTTGTAAATGAACCTGGTGTTGATGCTGGAGGGTTAAGAAAAGAATGGTTTATCTTGTTGGTTAAAGAGATCTTTAATCCTCAAACGGGAATGTTTTATAATGTTGAAGACTCTAATCTTTTATGGTTTAATACTGTACCTATTGACAATCAAGATATGTATTATTTATTTGGAGCTGTATTGGGCTTAGCAATTTATAATTCTACAATATTGGAGTTACAATTTCCTACTGCATTGTACAAAATTTTATTAGGTAGATCATTAAATAGAGCTGATTATGCTCAATTATATCCAGAGTCTTATAAAAACTTGATGAAGTTGAAAGAACTATCAGAGTCAGAATTTTCAGAATTAAGAATGACATTTGAGGTAAGTTATGCTGATGTATTTGGTTCATACCATACTAAAGAATTAATTTCCAATGGTGACAATGTTTTGGTAACAAAACACAATTTAGATGCATATCTTGATAAGTATATGATGTTTTTCATGAGAGATGGAATACGAAGACAAGTTGAATCATTTATAAAAGGGTTCAACAATGTTATAGGAGGTAATGCAGTATCATTATTTCTGCAAGATGAAATTCAACTTTTGTTGTGTGGTAGTGATGATCATAGAATAGATATTGATATATTAAAATCAGTTACAAAATATATAGGATGGGGATCAAGTTCAGAAGCCATAAATTCAAAAATAATTATGTGGTTTTGGGAATACATGAATGAGTCAAATGATCGAAAACGTAAAAAAATATTAACTTTTGTCACGGGGTCAGATAGAGTACCAGCAACAGGATTACAAAATTTACCTTTCAAAATCAGTTTACTAAACAATGGGTATGATAGTGACAGATTACCTTTAGCTCATACATGTTTTAACGAATTGGCATTATACAATTATGGTAGTAAAGATAAATTGATTAATAAATTAGATAAAGCTGTTGAAGAAAGTTCAGGGTTTGGTATTAAATAAGGAAATTTATAGATATTAGAGTAGTAATGAACAAATTAAGTACAAAGATTATCGTAGTTCTTATTTGAATGAACCTGAGATTGTATTAAGTAATATATGGTTAAATGTGTGAGCTACCAAATATTATATAAAAATTAAACCAATAAAAAATGTTGAAAAAAGTATTATAATAATTTAATGTATGTATATATAAAGTTAACTATGTACCTGTATATTAAATTATATTATTACAATTGAAAAAAACTTAAACCTATTATTAACGATTGAATTAATTAATAGCACATATATATATCAATATACCATCATCATACCACAACCATGTCATCACTTACTTATAGATCTTTGAAAAATGGTTTGAATTTAAAAAGTATGTTTTAATCGATTCGAAAATCATACAAAATATCGAGTTCCAAACACCAAGAATTGTCAATTGCCATGAGATGAATTTTTACAACCAATTCTATAACAGCAAAATTAAGTACCATTATATATCAACGAGAAGCTCACGTTTGAACCATATGGACCAAAACATGGTCATTTCATAAACTTGGAATAAATTCCGGAACCCAGTGGTTCCTAAACTCATATTTTATTTCAAAATTGTAACTTAAATACTAACTAATAATTCTTTAGATTCCATTAGAACCTTATCGTCTACTTCATCTCAATTATCAAACTACCAACAACCAGACTTTTCATCATATTTAAATCACAAAACTCCACAAGGTAGTAGAAATTTCACATATTTTATGGTTGGATCAATGGGTTTATTATCAGCAGTTGGTGCAAAATCAACAGTTGATGCTTTTCTTTCATCATTTGCTGCATCAGCTGATGTTTTAGCTATGGCTAAAGTTGAAGTTAAATTAGGTGCAATTCCAGAAGGTAAAAATGTTATTGTTAAATGGCAAGGTAAACCTGTATTTATTAGACATAGAACAGCAGAAGAAATTGAAGAAGCTAATGCAGTCGATGTATCAAAATTAAGAGATCCACAAACTGATGCTGATAGAGTTAAAAAACCAGAATGGTTAGTTATGTTGGGAATTTGTACTCATTTAGGTTGTGTACCAATTGGTGAAGCTGGAGATTTCGGTGGTTGGTTTTGTCCATGTCATGGTTCTCATTATGATATTTCAGGTAGAATTAGAAAAGGTCCAGCTCCATTAAATTTAGAAATTCCAGCTTATGATTTCACAGATGATGAAACTTTAATGGTGGGTTAATCTCATTAAATATTAAAACAATATATATATAATAAATTATTTAATGTAATTAAAAATTAATAAAAAAGGTCAAATAAGTAAACTCAAAATGTAAGATTAATAAAGAAGTTATTTGTAGAAAAACAACGTGTATTGAATATCTATATAATAAAGTACAATATTAAAAAATAATAAAACAAAAACAATTCTAAAGAAACTTCTAAAGACATTTTGATACAATATTGCTGAATAAATTTATTCATGCTTCAAACACTTCAATCTTAGCTTTTGAATGATCAGTAGCAGTAACTATACAATAAGCAGCACCTAATGAATTACCAGCTGATGGTCCACTAGCTTTATTAAATCCATTTCTTGGATTGATTTCACAACCTAAACCATTACATTTACTTGGATCATCACAAACAATTTTAACACCAAAATTAATTTTTTGATTATTAAAATCATCAATATATTTTGGATTCACACCAATTTTAATAAATGTATTTCCTGATTTATCCATATTCATTCCAGCAATGTATGGTGCCCAATTACCTTTTGATTTATCACTTGAACCCCAAACACAAGCATCTTTTTTGAAACACCAGGATGATTTATATAATAATGAGCAGCAGTACCTGCATAATATTCAACACCTGGTACAGCCAAAGTTTGTTGTTGTTTCCCATTGCAATTTGTTGGAATTAACATAGCTTCATTACCTGGTAAAACAGTTTGACAAAATGCAACATTTTTTTCCATTTTATTTGAAATTGATACAGTACCTTTACCATCAACACATAAACCTCTGTCATTGAAAGGTTTAGTTAGTTTACCATCATTACCACATTTCAATCCACCGTTCAATGAACCTGGAAACGAATAAGTTTTGGATGAACTATCCCATTGATTCATTAATTGTCCAGGTGGACAAGCATAAGGACAATATTTACCTGGTACGCATGATTCGTCAGGACTCATTGCCCAACCTTTATTGGCACCATCTTTTGCTACTTCAACTAAACCTTGATCTTTTGGAAATGTACATTTCCCAACTGGATTTGCAATTGTTGATGTTATGAAAATAGTCAAATATGAAAGTATTGATATAGAAACCATAATTGATACAAATACTAATGTTGATAAGAGTTAAGACAAAAATTACATCTAGAGTGACCTTATATGTGTATTTATATTACTTTTTTCATTAAAATTTTCATTAGATTATTGATTTATAATTTGATTCATTATGGAAAGAAATTTTATAGTACATTGATTGTTCGAAATATGGTTCAATAATACAGTTTATGATTTGGAATGAATCTAGTTTTGAATATTATAATTTAATTGAAGATAATTGTACTTGATTTGTAGTAAACTCTTATCTAACATTCCAGACAGTATCAAACGATTTTAGATAGTGGTTGCAAAAAAAGTAAGACAATTCGTAATATGCAGTACTTGATCTAAAACTGTAAATTCTTATATATGCCCTCACGTTACAAAATTTCTTTTCATATTGTAATCTAATAGTGTCGAATTAAAAAATTTTCATGAAAAGTAATTTAGTCAAGTTATTATGATTTTTAGTAGATCTAGACTTTTGGTATCCATCACCTGTAAAACCGTTTAGATGTCCAGGATATAGCAAAACGATGTTGGTGTAACAAAAAGAAAAGATTTCTGATTATTCTTGATTACACCAACCAAGGAGATGGTAAATAGTTGTACTTCATTACGTACTGATAATGATACGGCTTTAATGATTAAATTTAAGGGAATTATATGTTATCTGTATTCACCGGTATGGAATTACTCGAACAAATACACTGTATAAATGTTTCAAAGACGTTGAAAGTCAGATTTCTTATTTTCTGACATGCAATGTCGCATTTTTTATTATTATTTTATATACAAACCGATTTATATTTACACATTTATCACCTAAATCTATATCAATTAAACTTTGCAATTAAACAAATAAATAGAGCCTTCACTTGAAAATCAAATGGCAGGTTCAATAACACGAGCCCTTAATTGGGATAATGTGTATGAACAACAATTTATTGCAGTCACACCCCAGGGAGATGAAGTAATATTATATCAAACAAACCATGAAAATACAACATCAGAATCGAATTCAATGATTCAATTACTGTCAAGAACTGGGTTTGATAATATTTCATGTTCATCTTACTCGATAACAAAACATGGTATTATTGGAGTTGGTTCTCAACATGGTTCAATTTCAATATTTGATATAAATTCACCTACTTTACCTACTTTACATCTACGACCAAAACAAAGTAGATTATGTAATTCAATTTCATTTAATAATTCTAATAATATTGTTGTTGGATATGAAAAGGGTAAAAATGATAATGCATTACAGATATGGGATATTGAAGAATATTCATCAAACACTTTAAATAATATACATGGTATATCTAATGATAAACGTCCCGTGTCGTCATATATTTCAAATGAAAGTGTATTGTCAGCAATATATTATACAAATAGTTCATCAAATATACTATGTGGGACAAACAAATACTTAAGAGAAATAGATACAAGGATTGAACAACCAGTATTTCAATTATCTACAAAATGTACAATGGGTATAATTATAGATCCATTTCAATCTCATTTTTTCCAATCATATAGTGATGATGGATCATTATCAATTTGGGACAGAAGAAAGTTAGGAAGTAATCAAAAACAAAAATCATCAAGTTCAAATTCATCAAGTACTGTTGAAAGTCCAGTTTTACATTTTAGTAAATTATTAAATGATTCTTCATTGAACAAAAATATTAATCCATGTGTAAGATACTCAACTACAAGAAGAGGTGAATTTTCTGCTATTTTCAATGGAGATTTAATAAGAAGATGGCATACTGGTGTTGTCCCCGCAAGTAAATCAAATTTAACATCAACTTCTTCTTCAACTGCAAATTCAAAATCAGCAGATTCATCAATTTTACAAAGTTTAAATCAACAATCATCACAATTGTATAAACCAAATGAAGAATCATTATTTGTGTCAATGGTTCTAGATAATAAAACTGATTATGAAAAAGTTGTTTCTTTTGATTATTCACCAGATATTTTATCATTAACTTCAAATAATTTTGTTTGTATGAGACAATCGGGTACTGTATTTAGAATGCCAGTGGTTGAATCAATTGAAGCAATGGATTTCAATCCTAGAAATGAATTTACTATTGTTGGTCCAGAGGGACTCATGACAAATTTTTTATCAACTGATGATAGTAATCAAGATGATATATTACAAAAGACAAGAAAAACTGATACACAGACTAAATTTGGAAATTTATCATTAGATGATAGATATAGAGAGAACAGTAGCAACAATGATGATGAGAATTTAGATCCTGCTACAAGTACAATTGAAGATGGTAGTATGATTGAAAATAACAGAATAAATAATCATAGATTATCATATGATGATGGTTATAATTATCCATTAAATGCATATGTTGATTCTAATGCAATTTATAAAAATGATATATGTGTAATAATACGAAAAAGAGTTTCAATGGGTTATGGGATAGATCCAGATAAAAATATTGAAATATTAGAAGAACTAGATCCAAATGATAACCAACAAGCTTTAAGACATGCATGGAAATGGCTTTCATTAGCTAAAAAATCTTTGGAAAAAGGAACAATGATTTCAGAAGGTATTGATTTGGGTTATCAAGGAGTACAAGGAATATGGAATGGAGTTGATGCATTAAATAATCAAAGTAGAGTTATATCAAAAAGTGATAAAATTAATGAAGCTTGGTTTACTCAAGCTGTAAAATCAATAATTTCTAGAAAAGGTAAAAAATTTATAGGTATAAATATACCAGAAGATAGTGAAAAAAAATCTCAAAGAAAATTATGTTTAATTGTATCAGGTTGGTATTTAACTGAATCAGAATTTGAAGAAAAATTACAATTATTAATTTCAATGGGATTTATATCAAAAGCAGCTGGTTGGGCAGTATTTCATGGTAATGTTAATAAAGCAATTGAAATATTAAGTAATTCAAAAAGAGAAAAATTAAGATTAATGGCAACTGCAGTTGCTGGTTATTTAGCATATAAAAATTCTCATGTAAATAGTCCATGGAAAGATCAATGTCGTAAAATGGCATCAGAATTAGATGATCCTTATTTAAGAGCTATATTTGCATTTATAGCAGATGATGATTGGTGGGATGTATTAGATGAACATTCATTACCATTAAGAGAAAGAATTGGGGTAGCTATTAGAAATTTATCAGATAAAGATTTAACAGTATATCTTAATAGAATAGCAGATACTGTTGTTCAAAAGGGAGAATTAGAAGGATTAATATTAACTGGTATAACCCCTAAAGGAATAGATTTATTACAAAGTTGTGTTGATAGAACAAGTGATGTACAAACAGCAGCATTAGTTTCAACTTTTGCATGTCCAAGATATTTTGTTGATGATAGAATAAAACATTGGATAGATTGTTATAGATCAATGATGAATAGTTGGAGTATGTTTAGTTATAGAGCAAAATTTGATGTAAATAGAACAAAATTATCTAAAACATTTGATGGTCATATATCAATAAAAGCAACTCCTAAACAAGTTTATTTACAATGTATTAGATGTAATAAAAATATATCAAAACCAAAAAATATTGCACTAAACAATAATTCAATATCATCATCATCAAATTCAAATTATCCAAATTCTTCAACACTGGTTTCAAATTATAATACAGTTAATAATCAAGTATTATTAAAACAATTTTCAAAAACTAATAATAAAAAAAATGAATTATTAAATCTGTGTCCTCATTGTGGAGCTCCATTACCAAGATGTTCAATATGTTTAATGTCATTAGGTTCAGAAATTGAAACTGATACTGCATCATCCCCTATAATATCATCTTCATATATCAATAATAATAAAGAAAATATTAATAAAGAAATTAATAATAATAATAATTTAAATTCTTCATCAATTATAAAAAAAATTGATAAAAATTTTAAAAATTGGTTTAGTTTTTGTTTAAGTTGTAATCATTGTTATCATGCATTACACGCAGAAGAATGGTTTTCAACTCATTATGTATGTCCTGTACCTGATTGTGAATGTCAATGTAATAGTAAATAGTTTAAGATTATAATCTTATGTATTATATATAATTTAATGAAAGGAAATGAATGATAAACAAATTTATATTTTTTTGCAACTTTTATGTAAAATTTTTACTACATGATTGCAACAAAAATAAAAAAAAGCAATTACAACGAACAACCAAAAAAATATACGAGTTTTTTATAAATAAACATTAAATTCAAGTAATTATTTACGAGAATTGAATTAATCGATAAAGAGAATAATTGTATTTTAATTTAACATGAAAATCATTGATATTTAATATCAAAATGAATTTATTAAATAGAATTATTAATTGAGGATAATAATATGAAGAATAAAACATATGTTTAAATTACGAACTATTATAAATTACATAAATCCGATCGCACTTAAATATATTATTCACACCATATATATATAATCTCTTTTTATTTACTATGTTAATTACATATTAGTACATCTAATATATATAGTTGTAACTTACAAAATTCAACTCAATTATAATTTAGGTTAATTCCAATCGATTAAACTAATGAACTAATGCCTTCATTTAATGTATATATTTCTCTATCTTATATTTTTTCGTATGTGATAGTCTTTTTTTTTTATTTTTTTTTATTTAATTATAAATCAATTTAAAATAAAAAATATCAACAACACTATTTAATATTTTTTATTACTTACTAAAAATTTGTTATTTTAATATTTTTTTTTACAACCAATAATTTATATATTTACAACCAAGATATTAGTCAATTCAAATATTACTATATTGATTATTTCAGATATTAATACCAGGGGTCAAACAAACATCATTTATCAAAATAATTACTTCAGATCAAAGTTCTTTCGTTTACACAAAAAAAATTTTAAATTTTATAAATTGATCTGAATCAATTAAAATTTTGAAAGACTCAAAAATTTCATTAAAATAAAATTATATTAGAATAAATCTTAATTGAATCTTGATTAAAGTAAAAACTATTTCCTAAAATTATAAGATGTCACGGCAAGGACAAAATCAAAATAGAGGTAATAATAAAAGTCAAAATATTGTGAATCAAAATCAAAGTCAAAATTCAAATCAAAATTTAGATGATGTAATTAAAGATATAAGAGGTAAAATCGAAATTGAACAAAATATTATACAAGGTTATCAAGACGTTAAAAAGAATTCTCAAAATTCTGAAGTTATTCAAAAATGTAAATCAAAAATTATTGAATCACAAACTTTAATTGACTATTATCAAGAATCTATCAATAAATTAATTAAACAACTGCAAAAATTAAAATCAAGATCAAATAATAATTCATCAGATGATAGAAGTTCTGTTATATCTGAATATAAACCAAATTATTCAAGATTTGATTTAATTAAATATGAATGTCCTTCATTAGGTCATAAAATTCAACATATGATTCAACAATTACAATTTAAATTACAAGTAGAAAATCAATACAGAGAAGCTAATCAAAAAATTTCTCATTTATATTTAATGGATGGTGATAAATCTTCATCAAATGCAGCAGAAGGTGGTAAAGCAGAAAGTGATCAAAGAATTCAATTATTGGAAAAAGCTTTGAAAAAATATCAAAATTTTAATATTAATTCTGAAGATTTTAATAGAAATTATGAAATTATGGATAATCCAAAACATGCAAGAAAACCTTTAAGTGGTAAATTAAGTATTGGTATTACTTGTGTAAGAGATGTTGATCATATAGCTACTGCAGCTTTTAAAAAAAGAGAGACTGTTATTATAGTTAAAATTGATGATGTTGAAAAAGCAAGAACAAAACCTTCAAAAAATGACAATTGGAATGAGGAATTAATTATAAATGTTGATAAAAGTCATGAAGTTGAATTATCAGTAATGGATAAACAAGGATCTTTATTAGTTCCAATTGCTGTGAATTGGCTTTCATTATTTGATTTAGCTGAAGAAATTCGTAAGAAGAAAGTAGCAAAAGATCAAGGTGCGAGTGGTTGGTTACCAGCTAGTAATCTACCTCAAACTAATGGTGCAGGTAATGGTTATCAAGGTCCAAATGATGGTTCAAATTTACCTTTACCTTATCAACAACAAAATAATATTTCGCCATCAAGATCCCCCAATAAACATGATTCCAATGGTGATCATAATGACAGTAACAACAATCAAAAAATTTCAGTTAATACTTGGATAAGTTTAGAACCTTGTGGACAAATGCTTATTAATCTTAATTTCGAAAAATCAATATCTCAAGGTAAACAATTTAGAGGTCCATTAGGTCGTCATGGTGCTATTCGTCAAAGGAAAGAAGAAGTATTTGAACAACAAGGACATCAATTTGTACAAAAACAATTTTATAATATTATGTGTTGTGCACTTTGTGGAGAATTTTTACGTTATACTGGTTTCCAATGTCAAGATTGTAAATTTTTATGTCATCGAAAATGTTATCAAAAAGTTGTTACAAAATGTATTTCAAAATCTGGTGCAGATTATGATGCTGCTCAATTGAAACATAGAATACCTCATAGATTTGAAGCTATTACAAATCATGGTACAAAATGGTGTTGTCATTGTGGTTATTTATTACCATGGGGTAAAAAAAATGCAAGAAAATGTTCGGAATGTGGTGTAATGTGTCACGCTCATTGTACACATTTGGTACCTGATTTATGTGGTATGTCATTACAAATGGCTAATGAAATTCTCGCAACTATTAAATCAACGAAAGTATCACCAAAGAAACCAAAACAAATTTCACAAGAAACATCTTATGGTTCATACGAAAATAAAGAACAATTACCTTATCCAACATATCAACAACCACCAACAAAGGCATTACCACCTAAACCTCCAGTAAATACTAATCCTTCCTTGGATTCAACTATATCATCAAAAAACTTATCAGATGATGAAGCTGAGAAAGATTATGAATCAAAATTGCCAACAACAACTCAAAAATCATATCAACAACCAATGACTGAATCATATGATCCAACGGGAAGAATGAATAGACGTCGTCCACCTGTTGATGAACAAGTTTCATCCTCACAATATGAAACAGCCCATACACCAGATTCACAACAACAGTATGATCCTTACGGTAGAGAAATTGAATCACAGAAATCCCAAGTTCCAGAAATTGCAATTACAGGAGATGAATTTAATAATTTTGATTATCACAATCAAAATACTGAACATCAAATTATATCTCAAGAAGACACCAAGGAACTTGTTAGTCCATTTATTGATCAAAACCAACTGAAACAACAACAACATCAACATCAACAAGCAATTCCCGATTTACAAAACCAAGTCGATCAAATGCAAATTGATAATCAAGTTGAAACAAGACCACAGCATCAAAAGAATCATTCATCAGCTACTACTACTTCCATAGGTGGTAAATCAAGTAAACAAAAACGTCGTAGAAGAAAAGTTGGATTAGATGATTTCCAATTCCTTGCAGTGTTAGGTAAAGGTAATTTTGGTAAAGTTATGTTGGCAGAATCAAGACATACAACAAAATTATGTGCTATAAAAGTTTTGAAAAAGGATTTTATTGTTGAAAATGATGAAGCAGAAAGTGTCAAGAGTGAAAAAAGAGTATTTTTAACAGCAAATAAACAAATGCATCCATTCTTATTAAATTTACATTGTTGTTTCCAAACAGAAAATCGTATATATTTTGTAATGGAATATATTTCAGGTGGTGATTTAATGTGGCATATACAAAAGAATAGATTTAGTGCAAAAAGAGCTAAATTTTATGCATGTGAAGTATTATTAGGATTAAAATATTTTCATGATAATGGTATAGTTTATCGTGATTTAAAATTAGATAATATTTTATTAACAACAAAAGGTCATATTAAAATTGGTGATTATGGATTATGTAAAGAAAATATGTGGTTTGAAAACAAAACTTCAACATTTTGTGGAACTCCTGAATTTATGGCTCCTGAAATTGTTGCAGGAAAACATTATGATCGTAGTGTTGATTGGTGGGCTTTTGGAGTTTTATTATTTCAAATGTTATTATGTCAATCTCCTTTTAAAGGTGATGATGAAGATGATATTTTTAATGCTATTGAACATGATGAAGTTAAATATCCAATAAGTTTATCAAGAACTACTGTATTAATATTACAAGCTTTATTAACAAAAGACCCTTTACAAAGATTGGGGTCATCTAAGAGAGATGCAGAAGAAATTATGGAACATTCATATTTTCAAGATGTTAATTTTGATGATGTTTTAAATTGTCGAATTCAACCTCCTTATATTCCTGAATTAAGTTCAGAACATGATTATTCAAATTTTGATCAAGAATTTACTTCAGAAACTCCAAGATTAACCCCTGTTGAAACTGTTTTAACTTCAGAAATGCAAGAACAATTTAGAGGATTTAGTCATATTTCTGAAGGTGCCCTGGTTTAGAAAGGGAGTTTTTGCTTTGTCTAGAAAACTTTATATGTAATTCTATGAAATTTTTTAATACATAATTAGTAATTGAGAAAAGTATATTCTACAGTTTTGAACTTTATTCATAATAGTCTATCTATATTCTATCCTTTATAAAATCTATAACCCAAAAACAAAACTGAAATGTCAAAAAATAAAAAAACATAAAAACTCATTAATAACGTCATGAATAATAATAATACATCATTAAATAAATTAAAAAATCATTAATTCAATGAAACAAAAATCGTGAACAATATCTAAGTGATGATACAACAACCACTTTTTATTAATTCATCTTTTCCCGATTTTTTATATTGTTTATTTCTTTTCGAATTTGATGATTTTTCAGAATCCGACTTCTGATTTAAAACAGAAATTGGAGTATTAGCTAAAGTTGAAGATTCAGAATTTAAATTTAAATTTTTTTGATAATCTTGAATATTACTTGATAATCTAATTAATGAAGAATTTGATTTTATTGGATTTGGTCTTGGTTGTTGTATATTTGTTGATGTTGATGGGATTAAAATTTCTTTTTGTTGTTCTTGTTGTGGTTTTAAATGAGTTTTATCTTCATATATTGAAGGTTCATAATCAATACTACTGTTATCTTCTGAATTATTAATCTTACTTACGTCTTCGTTACTTAGTATATCTTGATTTTGATTGTAATTGTTTAATTTGTTATTTAATTCTAATAATTCTTCAAAACATTCATTGACTCCAACGTTTAGTTTTGAAGAACATTCAAAATATTTTAATCCCCCTAAACGTTTACACATTTCTTCTCCCTGTTCATATTCAATAATTCTTTCATTTTCTAAATCTGATTTTGATCCCACTAAAATAAATGGCGGTATTGTATCTTCTTCATCAGATGATGAATAAATGGTTTTAATGAAATTCAAAAATTCTTCAACCATCATAAAACTTTCTAAATTATTTATAGAATATAATAACATTAAACTTGATGCATTTAATATTGAAATTTTTTTAGAATTTAAATACATATCTTCATGAAAATCAGAATCATATATAATAAATTGTTTAATTTGATTTTGATTTTGATCATATTGTTTTTTAATATATATTTCTTCATTTTCTAATTTTTCATTTTCATCAAATTTTCCATACATATATCTATTTATTAGTGATGTTTTACCAACATCTGAAGCTCCTATTACACATACATCATATTTCGTTGTTAGAACATGAAGATTATCTCGATAATTCTCCATCACTTTGAGTCGGATGATTTATATAAATTATTAATTAATTCGTCTGTTGATTTGTTATAGACGCTTGTTATCTTTAAATGATAAGTTGCTATATGTGACAAAATTAGGAGGTTTTCTATAGTCAATAGTTAAGGTAATAAGTGGGTGGAATTCTCGATAGTAAATTTATTAGTCTATTGGTATCTTGAATATACTTCTTTGATATGGTTTGATTATTTTATATGGCTACTTTGTAATTTATAAGAAAAGGGTATACATATGTAAATCTTCTATATATTTATATATTTATCTTTAAATTTAATTTGTGCAGAAGCGAAATTTCTTTTTTTTATTTTTTTAGTTTTTGAAATAAAACGGTTTTTTTAAAAAACTTTATTATATTTTTATAAATTAAAATATTTATACACAGTTTAAAAGAGAAAGGATAATATATTATAATAATCACAAATACACTAATACTCTTTTACAATTTATAGAACTTTATAATGAGAATGAATATTATAAAACAGTTGAATTATAATAAAATAATTAAATGATATATAATTGCTAACAACAAAAAATAGTAGCTAATAAAATACTAATATTCAACAAATTAGTTAACCAAGAGATTTTTAACATTGAATGTTTTCTCATGCAAAGTATAGTCTTACTACAACACGATTTCTTTCTCTAATCATATTATATTCCAATAATTACTGATTAAATTTGTATATACTGTTCAAAATCACTAAACAAATAAAAATGAATTATCAACTAGTCCCCCTCAAGTTCATGGAATATTTGAAATTAAATATGACGACATACTTATTCAACAACTAAGAACTAGCTTCCCCATGGCCCCTCAACGTTATATTTCTAACCGACCGTTGTAATTAAAAGCCAACTTCAATCACCACTCTAGTTACACAGCAATTTTATTAATAACTGAATACAAATCATTTGGTTATGTACACATAAGCTAAGAGTGATCTATATACATTTATATGCAGATGAATAACGGTGGTAACAGTTATTTTTGAATGCACAAAACCCCAAGTACACAAAACGGCTTTATCACTTCTTTTTTTTCTTTTTACTTTCCCTAATAAATGTTACAAAATTATTTCCAGTTACGGGATTCCTTGTTTCAGAAAATACACGAGTTTTTTTTAATAAATCGTATTATTCTTATATATGAAACCTTATCCGGAACAAAACTTCGGAATATTCCTGTATAGTAAAGTTTTTAATCTATAATATATTTGTTTCATATATTAGAGTTTCATGCTAGACTTCTTATCTTTTTGAATAAAATATATGCTGTTACAAGTATTACTCGGAAAAGAATTGTTAATCTAAATCATGCAATTAAAAACCTATTTAAAATGCTATTCATAATCTTCAGCTGGTGCAAATAATGGCAAATCTTTTATTCTTTGTCTTTTTGATTTCTTCTTATTACTATTATCATCGGAATTTGAACGTTTTTTACTTTTAGATGATTTAGATTTTTTGGTTTCTTCCTCGTCTTCTTCATCTTCGTCTTGTTCATCAATTTCCAACTCTGAATCAGATAATTCATCGTCATCATTGACACTGAACATTTTGAGTTCTTCTTCACCAAAATCATCTTCATCATCTTCATCTTCGGCAGCTTCTTCTCCTTCTTCCCCACCTAATGGCATATCAAATTCATTTATTTCTTCAGTTCTAAGTGGACCTTCTCCATCATCAAAATCATCATTATTATCGTCTTCTTCTTCTCCAATTTCTTCATCATCAATATCTGAGAAATCTCCTTCGTCAAAATCTGAAAATCCTTCATCTGATATATCATCTTCAACATCTGGTCTTGATTTTACTAATGCATTCCAAACTTCTTCATCATCCATACCAGCTCCATCTTGCTCATCTCCATCTTCATCAATTTCTTCATCTTCGTCTTCTCCATCACCTGCTTTAACTGCTTTCTTATTCTTTAATTTATTAACTTTTGTGGTAAAGTATTGATGGAAGAATTTTTCATCAGCTTTTATATCATCAACTTTCTTATTAAGCCAATTTTCTGTATTTGCTGGTAATTCCTTGTAAATTGAATTTGTCGATTTAACTAATAAATCACCAGTATGAACACCTCCTAAAGGTTGCATAATTGATGAACCTTTTGTTTGTGGTTTTGCTTTTGCATTTTTATAAACAAATCTATCCAAGAAATGGGCTAATGTATATAATCCTAGATCTGGTTTTTGTTGTGGTGTATTATCTATAAATGATTGTGCATAGATTTCAATTGTTGGATGATAATGTTTTAAGAATAAATCAATTTCCCATAATGAAGATTTATTAGCATTTGCAAATTTCGGATCTCTCTTCTTTGGATCATATTCTTCATTGGCTTCCTTTGATGGAGTTGATTCTGTGGCTTCAATTGTTTTTGTTTCTTCGTCTGGTCTTGAATTTACATCAATTAGCAAATCACTAATTTCCGGCATTGATTTTGATAATTCACTAAGCAAATATAACATACCAGCAATAGCACCAATATTAAGCCAATGAGCTATAACTTGCAATATTCTTTTGACGAATGCTAAAACTCTCGGTATATTTGACTTGTCATTTTTCAATGATTTATATAATAAGTTCAAGTAAATTCCTTGTTTTGAAGTATTGACTAATCTAGAATCTAATAATGATTCATATAATGTTCTATAATATCTATCTGAATTTAAATTTTGTTGAGAAACAATATGATTGATTAAAACTAATGCTTGAATTGCGGTGTTGAAATTACTACTGTGTGTAATTTTAAACAATGTATCTAAATGTTGTTGAAATACATCATTTGGTAAATTTGAAAATGGAAATGCACGATTTAAACCGGTTAATAAAGCTGAAAACATTTTAGAATTTTTTTCTTCAATAATTTCTTGATCAGATTTGTCTTCAACCTTAACTGATCTGCCTCCTTTTTTACCTTTCTTAAAGTTTTTTCTATTATTTTTTCTACCTTTTTCAGATTCTCCAATAGTTTTATCTTTGTCTTCCTCTTTGATCAATGTATTACTTTCAATCAAAACTTTCTCAAATAATGCAAAATATGTCTTTACCAATGAGTTAGCTAATTCCTCTTCTTTTCTGGTTATGATAGTTTGATTCAAGGTTGTGACACCATAATATTTAGAATGATCATCATTATTGCTTTTGAAAATGACATCTATAACTGCATCTGTAATAATTTTTTTCATTGCAGGATGCTCTTGTTCTAGTTGTAATATCAAGTATGAAGCTTTTGCTGAAACTTTGTTATCAGTATCACCTAATTTATTGACACCTAATTTCAAAAGATTGACTTCTTGTTCTGGTTTAGCTTTTAATAAATCAAATACATGATTTAATGTATTCATTCTAACATGAACAATTGGATCCTGTAATAATTTCTCTAATATGACAATTAATTTGAAATATCCTTTTTTCAAATGATCTTCGTATAAATAAACAGCTAATTGAGCATCTGGTGCATCTTTGACTAAAGGTTGTTTATCAAAGGCAAATAATTTTCTATCTGGTAATAAACCATTTAATAATAAATCCTTGAGTGCATTAATTGATTGTAAAGCTGCATTTCTTGATTTTTTATCACAATATCCTATTAAAGTATCTAAAGCTTTAATATTATGTAATGGAGCTTCTTGAACTAATAATGTTAATGCTGAAATTTTATCATTTAATGTACCATCTGATAAAATTTGTGATAAAAACTTTCTTTGTGTTGAGTTTGAGGAAAATTCTTCCAAATATGTTTTATTATCTTTATCTAATGTGGCCTGACCTCTATCTAATAATCTTTCTCTTGCGAATCTATCTAATTTTGGAGGTTGATCCGATGGTATTTCATAAATATTATACCAATCCAATTGATTTGGAACTATTAATTTGTCACTTGAAACGGTTGTAAAATCAGTTATTTCATCTTCATTTGATGACGTCGTTGGTTTTTTGGGTTTTTCTTTTTCTAATTTGGCTTCTTTCACTATTACCTCGTCATCTATGTTATTGTAATTGTTTTTCTTTTTGTCATCATCAAAAACTAATTCAGGGACATTTTCTTCTTCCTCTTCAAATTCTTCTGGTTCTTCCTCAGACTCTGAAAATGATGTGTATTCTTGCTCCTCATCTTCCTCTATCTCTTCATCATCGACTTCATCATTCTCTGGTTCTTGTTCATCTTCTTCATCTTCCTCAATCACAAGAGCTTCTCCGTTTCCTAATCCAATATTTTTCATAAAATTGTTTAAATCATTTCCAAATGTCAGATCTACTTTTGAACCATTTGCTTCATCATCATTAAATTCGATTTCACTATTATCATCACTTTCAAAATCTTGTAATAATTTTAAATCTTCCTCTGTTGCACCCAATTCTAATGCTTCTTGACGTAGTATCTCATCTGTTACCTTTGCTTGTTTCTTGTTATTCTTTGAAATTGATATTGGTGTTTCGGTATTCACATCTTTTTTAGGTGGTTTCGAATTTTTTGTACTAACTGATTTATGCTCCACTTTATCTTCTTGTTGTTTTTTAACTTGTTTCTGTTCTTGTTTCTTCTCCTTTTTCGATGGTTTTTGTTGTCTTAATTTACTCGTTATTTTATCTTTCAACCCAGAAAGGTTTAAGATTGAACTCATTGTACTTGTTGATTGTTATAAATTTAAAATGGTTGCAACTGATATTTAAATTGGTTTTAAAAATAAATAATTTTTTAATAGTAAGATGAGATTTTAGTTTATATACAGGAAATGATGTCTGAGTTGACCATCTTCAATAAAATTTATAACTTACCTAATTAGGAAGTCTACGCAAATATATTAAATCTAGGAACACTATAAAATTAATTTAATACATCTTACATGAAAAGGTTAAAGAGAATACTCCGAAATATCAATTGATAGCAAAGGTACAAAAATGGTTTGATTTCAATTTAAAATCATATAAAATGTTCGTAATAGTTCTTCTTTAACTAAAGCAAGATCCTTTATGGGTAACTCAAACTTCAAACAATTCACACCATGGGGTAGATCATCAATTTCAGATCCATCATCTACAACAACAGTTACTACTAAGACTTCTGAGTACATACTATCGAAAACTCCAATAGGTGAGGGATCATATTCAGTTGTATATAAATGTCAAAATAAATCAACTAAAAAGTTATGTGCTTCAAAGAAATACAAGAAATTAATAATTTATGGAATGGAGGATTCATTAGTTAATGAGTTTGAAATTTTGAAAAGTATTACTAAAAATCATCCAAAATTATTATCATTAATAGATTATTTTGAAACTGATAAAAGTTTTTATTTAGTTACTGATTTAGCAAAAGGTGGAGATCTATTCAATAAAATTGTCAACGAATCACCAAATGGTAAATTAGATATAGACACATCACAAGAGATTATAGTACAATTAATTGATTGTTTAGCTTTTTTGCATGAAAATGGAATAGTTCATAGAGATATGAAACCAGAGAATATATTTTTCAAATCAAAAGACTCAAACTCAATACTACTAGGAGATTTTGGATTAGCGAGATCGATTAAATCTAATCAAAAACTATATGAAATACTGGGAACTTTAAGTTACATGGCTCCAGAAATGTTTGATAGAGAGAAAGGTTATAGTAAGGAAATAGACATATGGGCAATGGGGGTTGTATTATATTTTATGTTATCTGGCTACTTACCATTTGATTGTGAAACTGATGATGAAACTAAAGATGCTATTACAAACAAGAAATATTTATTTGAACCTGAAGAATACTGGGAAGATACTCCAAAAGAAATAAAACAATTTATAAATTCATGTTTTGAAAGAAATACAGCTCGAAGGCTGCTTGCAACGTTAAAGAAAGAACCATTTGTTAGTCAATATATGCCGCCTTCAATTTCAAAACTAAATTCGAATTCTAAGTCAACAAATTCATCCTCGTCTTCCTCCATAAGACCAAATATTTCATCGTTACAAAAAAAGCAAATCATGGATATACTATCAAATAATAAGAACTCACGTTTAAAGGCTGCTAATCCAAAAATGAAAAATTTCAAAACTGATGAGAATACTCATCAAGGTGATATGTGTCATTCGCCGGAAACTGTCACGGAGTTGAATACACCTCTGGCGTCAGTCCAAAGTTCAAGAGAGCCTTCTTCATTGAAAATTCCCCAGTATATAGACGAAATTAATGACTCTTAATTTAATGATTTAATCTTTTCCTTCTAATTTATAGACTTTTTTTCAAATGCACTTCATAAGTAACATTTTGAAAGTATGTCTTGCCAGTTGTCATATCTGAAGAGCTTTGAAAGAAGGTAATTTATAAGTCTAATTGACCAAACATTTGAAAATACAGATACAAAATAAAGTTATACATTTAACAGATCCAAACAAGTTGTAGCAAAAATGTGCAACTATATTCGAAACACTCATAATCCGACTGATGAGACCAACCCTATTGAAGTTTCAACTTTTTATTATGATTTTGTATGAAATCATAAAAAAAAGCTCCATGTTCAAACCAAAGAAATAACATTATAACAGCCTGACCTTTTCGAGAATAATAGATTAACCTGGTCTTTCACAACTAAAAAAGCTTTGTTATCAGAGCCAAATATTACTTCTAGACCGATTTTATGATATTGAAAAAAAGAAGATTAGAAAAGTTCTCTTTAAATTTATTTTGATTTAATCTTAATTGTACCGATGAAGAAAAGACTAATAAAAAAAGAAAATTCATCTCTATTTAACTTACTCAATTTTAATTTAAATAAGCTGACATTTGTGTTGCCAAAAATAGGTAATACAGTAAGTATCAGATAAATCATAGCAATGTTACCTTAGATAAAAAGTGGGTATTGTTCAACATTTAGTGTATTGTTCTGGTTGTAATATGAAATTTGCAATATAGATTTGAAACAATATGATAGTATTTAGGGGATTACTTTATCATTGTGTTGCAAGTAAAAGTATAGCTGTGAATTTGAATCGTTTTAAATCAATCTATTTGATGAAATTTAACCTTGTGAAATACGGGCAAAATTGTAGGAGTTAAGTTCTACATAAAATAATTTTAAGATACACCAAATACAATATTATTTAAATTTATTAAATTACATAGCAAAACCACTCTGCACGACATGTTTAAACAAATTACAAACTTGGAGTAAAGCCAAAGCAGAAAAGATTCAGTAGCCATTTTTTTTGAAAACTTGATTAAATAAAACTAAAATTCTTAAATTTATCATCCATGTGTATGTTATTGCAGTATAGCTAATACATTATCGCTGTTAATTATGACGGTATTAGCACACAACAATGTAAAATATATTTAGATTTCCTTCTTTAGCTGAAAATTATCCAAAAACTTGTATTGTTACAATACTATCTTCAAAAATTTCTTGGGTCACAAACTAAACAAAAGATACCAATGTTTGATTGATAATTTCGTAATAAATGATCTTAAATTTTCAAAAAGTATAAGTATTACTAGTTCTAGGCTTGTGCATGAAAAACAGATCAATAGATAAACACAGAAAAAAGAGAAAATATGAAAATGATCAAATTTCAAAGAAAATTAATCACTATTTATATTTTCTAAAAATTCATGCTTGTCTTTGTAAAACTTTCAAGTAAATTCACAAGACTAATTTTAGAATGAACATATGAAATTTGCCTGAATAACAATATGGATAAATTACTTTAATGATCTACAATTTTATTTAAATAGACTATAATATTTTCTGAAACACAATTTTAACAATTAAAAGCTTATTTATTTATTGCATACTGCACAATAAAAAAATGTTGGGCATTAATAGAAGTAAGAAATGTAGAGTTAATTGGCACCAAGAGAGATAAGTCTACAAATGGGAAAACCCAAATTAAATACAAAATACACATAAAACTAACATTTATTAAAACACAGCAACTTTCTTCATACACAAAAACCCTTTAGCTAAAAACTTTCATACTGGGAACTAAATCATTTAGTAGAATTAAACACATTTGAATTACTGTATGCTGGTATATTTATAATATAAGATAAAAGCAAAGGCAACCAACAGCAAATTATAAGGTTTCTTATTATTTGCAGTTAGTGAAGTTTTAATCTTTGCTTCATTACTCTGAGCTTAAATCTTAAATATTGATTAATCATATTCAATATAATCACATCACATACTAAACAAATAATACTTTTGGAAAAGTATAATTCGTAAAAAATGCAACAAATATCAATATTCAAGTATCAAATGATGATAGTCCTATTCAAGCCTTAAACTCATCAAAGAAAAATCAAAGATGAAGATCGAAAATAGTCATATCGATCTGATAGAAATTACTTAAAAGAAAAATTAAAAAATTAAAAATTTCAAATTTCGGAAAATCCATTACTATTTATACTACTTTCAGCCTTAGAGAAAATCCAAAAACTAAATTCAAAGTTTTTTTTTATTCTTGGGGTTTTCAAACTGAATGTACAACTAATTTAAAAATAAAATCTGAAACATTAAAAAATACAATAAAAAGTTTAAACTGCCTAAAATTCTGCATATAAATTTTGTCGTGTAGCTCTCAGATTTAAAATACAAGATCAACTTCTCAATTGTCGCGTGTAATCGTTAAGCTAAAAATTCAGTATTATGGGCTCGATAGTTCTGAAAAATTTGATAGTACAAACATGAAAAGATTGAAATTAACGTTTTTCTAAAAGTATTTTCAAGTGAATTCATCTGAGAATACAAAGATGAAATTTGCCTGAAACTAATCTAAATAAATTGCCTTATTGATCTACAATTTTATTCAAATATAATATTTTTTGAAAACAATAAAAACTTTATTATTTATTCGATACTGCACAATAAAAAAATGAAGGGCATTGCCAATAGAAGTGGGAAATTAGAATTAATTGGCTGTAAAAGAGTTAATTCTACAACTGGGAACTCCCAAAATTAAATACACAATAAAAACATAACTCACATATATTACAAATACAAATGTAGAATTAAAAAATAACGAAAAGTATCCGATCTCCAAAAGAAGAGCAAAAAAAATATATTAAATTAAATCTTGAATATTGATCGATCAGATCCAATACAATCACATCACAAGCTAAACAAAATAATACTTTAAAAAAATATATTTCGTAAAGAATGCAACAACATTCAATTTTCAATTGTCAAATAAAATGTATTTCAGTACATATGCAATTTATTAAAGGAGCATACAGACGTTTAAAACATGATACCAAGTTGATCTAAGAAAAATTATTAAGAGAATAATTAAAAAAATTTTAAATTTGGTAAAAACCATGACTATTTATACTAACTTAGACTTAAAAAATAATCATAATTCAAATTCAGAATTTTTCAATTGTGGAATTTCAAATTGAGCAATTAATTTAAAAATAAAATCTGAAACATTAAAAAATACAATAAAAAGTTTAAATCGCCTAAATTCTTGTATATAAAAATTGTCGTATAGCTTTAATTTCAATAAACAAGGTTAATTTCTCAATTGTCGCATTTAATCGTCTACTGAAAAAATCGATATTATGGGTTCGATAGTTATGAAAAACTTGAAAGTACAAATATGAAAAGATTGAAATTAACGTTTGTCTAAAATTACTTTCAAGTGAATTCTAGTGATAAATCTGAAATAAAAAGATGAGATTTGCCTGAAATAAATATAAAATTGCCTTAATGATCTACAGTTCTATTAAAATATAAACAATTCTGAAACACAATTTGAATAATAAAAACCTTATTTATTTATTGCATAATGCACAATAAAAAATTGTAGGACATTGACAATAGAAGTAAGAAATTGAAATTAATTGGCAACATAAGAGTTCAATCTACAAGTGGGGGAACCCAAAATTAAATACAAAATAAAGATACAATTAATGTTCATTAATTAATATAAAGCTACTGACCAATGAATTTTCAATCTAAGTTTCAAATTGGCATCTGCAAAACGAAAATGGTAAAAATTGCATCTTGAATATTGATTAATTAGATCTAATATGATCAAATCACAAACTAAACAAAGTAATACTTTTGAAGAAGTATACTTCGTAAAGAATGCAACAAAACTCAATATTTAAGAATCAGATGAGTATATAGTTTGATACTTATTCCACAAATCGCAAATTATAAATGGTGTATTGAAATCTCACAAAAAAACTGTAGGAATTGGCTATGGAACATCTAACCAAAATTGATAAGAGAATAATCAAAAAAAATTTGAATATTGTAAAATCTCATGACTATTTATACTACTTTAGAATTTCAAAAAAAATCATAAGCCAAACTCAAACTTTTTCTTTGTGGGGATTTCCAAATTAAATGTACAATTTAAAAATAAAATCTGAAACTTTAAAAAATACAATAGAAAAAGTTCAAATTGCCTGAAATTCTGCATATAGAAATTGTCGTGTAGCTCTAGATTCAAAATGCAAGATCAACTTCTCAATTGTCGCGCGTAATGGTTAAAGCTAAAAAGTCAATATTATGGGCTCGATAGTTCTGAAAAATTTGATAGTACAAACATGAAAAGATTGAAATTAACGTTTCTCTAAAAGTATTTTCAATTGAATTCAAATGATATATCTGAGAATAAAAAGATGAAATTTGCCTGGAAATTATATGGACAAATTGCCTTAGTGATCTACAGTTTTATTTAAATATAATAATTTCTGAAACACGATTTAAACAATAAAAACTTTATTTATTTCTTGAATACTGCACAATAAAAAAAAATTGTAGGACATTGATTATAAAAATAGAATTAATTGGTACTTAGAGAGTTCAATCTACAAGTGGGAAATCCCAAAATTAAATACAAAATACATATATGACTAACGTTTATTAAAACACGAAAAATTTCTTAATACAGTAAAAACACTCTGGCTAAAATTTTTATCCTGGGAAATGAATCATTCAGATAGAATTGATGAAACGAAAATGAAAGTATTCATTGCATCTTAAATATTGATTAATTGTATCTAATATAATCACATCACAAACTAAACAAAATAATACTTTAAAAAAAGTATAGTTCGTAAAGAACGCAACAAAATTCAATATTCAAGTATCAAATAAATATATATATTTATAATCATTCATAAAATTCTAAATACACACCTAGATGGATCAATAAATCAAGAATTTCAGATTGATTAATAAAAGCAAGGATTTTATCTAATGAGAATTGCTAAAAGAAAAAGTCTAAGTTTTGGAAAATCCATGACTATTTATACCTCTTTTGTCCTTTAGAAAAAGTCATAAGCTAAATCCAAATTTTTTTTTTTTGTGGAAATTTCAAATTGAATGTACAACTGACTTAAAAATAAAATCTGAAACATTGAACAATACAATAAAAAGTTTAAATTGCCTAGAATCTTGCACATAAAAATTGTCGTATATCTCTAGATTTAAGATATACAAGATCAACTTCTCAATTGTCGTGTTGAATCGTCAACCTTAAAATTCAATATTATCTGTTCGATAGTTATGATAAAATTGAAAGTAAAAATATGAAAAGATTGAAATTAACGTTTGTCTAAAATCATTTCCCGGTGAATTCAAATGATAAATTTGAGAATAAAAAGATAAAATTTGCCTGGAAATAATATGGACAAATTGCCTTCTTGATCTACAGTTTTATTTAAATATAATAATTTCTGAAACACGATTTGAACAATAAAAACCCCATTATTTATTGCACACTGCACATTAAAAGAATGTAGGACATTTATTATAAAAATAAGAAATTAGAATTAATTGGCACCAAGAGAGTTCAATCTACAAGTGGGGAATCCCAGAATTAAACAAAATAAATTTAAAACTGATATTTATTAATTGATACAGAAATTCTTCAAATTATATTCGAGTTAACTTTATAATCAGCAGAACGAAGATGGTTATAATCGCATCTTGAATATTGATTAATTAGATCTAATATATTCACATCACAAACTAAACAAAATAATACTTTTGAAAAAGTATACTTCGAAAAGAATGCAACAAAAATTCAATATTCAAGTAATAGTTGATAAAACTTTAGATCTTAATCTTAATTCATTAAACAATTGAAAAGGAAGATTTACCTTATGAAGTTTGCAAAAAGATTAACTGAAAAAATACTAAATTTTGGAAAAATCATGACTATTTATACTACTTTCGACTTTAAAAAAAATCATAAGCTAAATTCAAAAATTTTTCTTATTTGTGGGGATGTCAAATTTTAAACGTAATTACAATTAATTTAAAAATAAAATCTGAAACATTAAAAAATACAATAAAAAGTTTAAATTGCCTGAAATTCTGCATATAAAAATTGTCGTATAACCCTAATTTCAAGATCAACTTCTCAATCGCGTTTAACCGTCTACTGAAAAAATTATTTATATAGTTTTGAAGATTTGAAAATACAGTCAATAGTTTAAATATACTTTAAAAACCAAATTCTATGAATATATATATTATTATATTTATTAAAAAAATTTATCCCTATAAAAAAAAACCCCATCATCTCAAAACTTTGAGACTTTTAGTATTGTCCAATTTTTTGGTAAATTACATTATTATACAATCTTTTTCTTGAGCAGCAATACCTTCAGAATTTTTAACAATTGGTTTCCTTTTTAAATTTTTACTTATTGATTTAACTAATTCTTTATCATTAATTCTTGCTAAAGATTTTTCATCACCATTTTCAGCTGCTTTTTTATACCATAATTGAGCTTCTTGTGAATTTTTTATACAACCTATTCCTTTTTCATAAAAATTAGCTAATGCAAATTGAGCTTTTGATAAATTACATGTTGCTGCTCTTTTAGCCCATTCAAATGCTTCATTTTCATCTTTTGGTAAATAAGGTTCTGAACCAACTAAATACCATGCACACATTGATAGCATTGAATTTGGATCACCTGCTAAAGCAGCTTGTGTATAATAATGTATAGATAAATTTGAATCTTGAGGTAATATTTCTCCAATTTCATAATGATGTCCTAATATTGAAGCTGATTGTGTATGACCTAATGCAGCAGCTTGTGAATAAAGTTCTAAAGCATATTTTTTATCTTCTATTATAATATCTTCAAATCCATTATAATATAATTTTGCTAATTCAAATGGAGCAGCAGCAGTTAAATCAGTTGCAACATTTGTTGCTCTTGTTAACCATTTTATACCCATTTTTTTAGTATTCATATCTATTGGTAATCCCATTCTACCATAAAATGAATAAACTCCTAATTTGTACATTGCAGCTGGATGATTTCTTGATGCTGCAATTTTTAAATATTCAACAGCTTTTCTTGCATCTCTACCAGTACCTAAGCCTTCTTCATAACAATAAGAAGTTCTATAAGCACTTTCAACATGACCATGTTTAGCTGCTGCTTGAAATAATATAAATGCATCTTTATTATCGATTTTATCTAAAGCTCCTGAACTATAAGCATCACCTAATAAATATTGAGCTTCAACATAACCTTTATCTGATAATTTTTTTAAATAATATATAGCTTCTTTTAATAAAGCTTTTCTTAATTTTTTTTCATTTCCTTCAATTGATTCAACATTTGATAAATCAAATTTTTTTGATGATTGTTTCTTCATTGGTGAATTTTCAATTGATCTTTGTGGAGTATTATTACCTGAAGATTGTGATGAAGTTGTTGAAGTAGATTCAACTGCTAATAATAATGCAGTTTGTAACATATATTGAGCATATTGAAATAAAACATTTGGATCATTTGATTTTTTAGCATTTTTACGATATAATTCCAAAGTTTTAATTCTTGGCATTAAAGTTGAAGAATTTGAACCTAAATACAGTTGAATAACATTTTGATTGAAATCAATCATTGAACTATTATCATTCCTATCATAAAAAAAGGATGAAGTTGAAGAAACTGATCTATTATGACCATATTTTGAAACTGATGGAGTTGTTAAATTTGTATCTGATTTTGTAAATAATTGATTATCTATATTATTGGTATTATTATTATTATTTAAATTTAAATTAACAACTGATGAAGTTGTCGATAAAGGATTTGAAGGTGGTGATGCAATAACACTATCCTTTGATGCAAATGCAGCTGGTGGGGTTGATGAATTATATACTGGATATGGAGCAGAATTTGGTGATTTAACAACTCCAATTTTAGGTGAATCTTTATATTGTTGTTGTTGTTGTTGTTGTTGTTGGAAATTTGATGATTGAAAATATTGTTGATTATTTGGAGATAATTGTCCTTGAAATTGTGGTGATTCTTGTACAGTTTGTTGTTGTGGGGATTGATCTGGAAAATTTAAATGAGGAATTAAATGTTCTGGTAAACTTGAAACTCTTGATGTTTGTCCATTACCATGATTGTTGTTATTATTGTTGTAATTAGTATTATTATTATTATTAGTAGAAGTAGTAGTAGTGTTTAGTAAACTTCTATAAGGTTGTTGTTGATATTGTTGTGATTGTGGCTGAGAATGAGATTGATGCTGATATTGTTGTTGCTGATTTGGTGGTGGTGGTTGTTGGTGTTGTTGAAGATGAGGAGATATTATATATTGTTTATTAAGATTTGGAGGTAAATGTAAATCTTCTAAACCAGAAGTAACTTCAGTCATACTTGGTGAACTATCAGATCTATCACTTTGACTAATTTGATTAAAATCCAGTAAAGGATATGGAGTTGATGATGATTGTGAATTATTACTATTTGATGAAACTTGACGATAAGGATGTGAATGATGACTAGTATTAGTATTAGTTGTAGTAGTAGTAGAATTCATTATGCAAATATATATATAATTTAATTAAAATTGTTATTAGAAATATCTTTTAGTATTAGTTCATTTAGTATATTAAAAATTTGTGAATAATTGAATTAAAAATAAAAATTTTAATTTGAAACAAAATTGATTTCGGTTAAAAAATATGTCTGAATTAATGAAACAAAATAATTAATGTTAATAAACGAGTGATTGATTGATTGATTGATTCTTATTCTATTTGATACTTAGTATCTGTTGTGGATATTATTAAAAAACCAATATATAAACAATAAAAAAAAAAGAATGATAAGAATTGAATCTATAAAATTTTCTTTAATTATTAGAAAATAAATTTTTTTGTTGAAAAGTTAAATTTTTTTATTTTTTTATTTTTATTTTTTTAATTTTAATTTTCGTTTCTACGTACATAAAATAAAAATTAATAAAATAAATTATGTCTGTCTTAGAATTATTATAAATTAATATAATAATTGAAAACAAACTCTTGTCTTTGGAATAAAAATTGGTATTAGATCAATTTCCAATCTCTTAAGTAATCAATGTAACACATGTAACACTCAATTTCTATCTAATAATTAAATTTTAAGGATCTAAAATAAATTTTCATAATTAAATCAAAAAAAATTTTATAGACTAAAAAAAAAATCAAATTTAGAATAACGAAATTAAAAAAAAAAATAAAAATAAAAAAGAAAGAAAAAAAAAAAAGTAATATTTTTTTTTTTTGTTATGTAAATATTTAAATTTAAATCTGTTTACTTACTACTACTACAACAACATTTTATAAAATAATTAATTATCTGTACAATTTCTGTAATTTATATTTATATATAACAATCAATTCAATTGATTACAACAATTTGAATAACCCAACTTTGTCTGTTGGATATTTAATGTATAATGTATATATAAATCAAATACTTATAAATTGCATTTAAAGATGGATTTATTTCAAAGGAGAGAAGAAGATTTAATTCTGTGGTTGAAAAAAAATTTTTAAAACAAAGAAAAATCAAAAATTTAATTCTTCTCAAGACGTGTCAATTCTTAAATTAATTGACATTTATTATATAATAAAATTTAACAAAGTTATTTATAGTATAAAATTAAATTACTTTTAATGGTTAATTAATTAATTAATTAAATTATTGATTCAGGTTTCAATTTAAAAAAAAAAGGGTTTATTAAAAGATTAATAGAAAAGTAAAAGTATATAAAGTATATGTTTTGATATTTATCTATTGATATCTAACATTGAGTTTTTTGAATATTATATTACGTCAAAGTATCAACAATCGAATTATTTATTAATAATACTTAAGAATATGCAATACAATTTATTATGCGCTTATTTTTTGTTTATTTTTTTCTTCTTTTACATGTGGATGAAATAATATTATAATTTATAATTAATAGATGACATAAAATATTGAATAATCAAAAATAATTATACGAAAAGCAAGTATTGTACATTCTACTATTTCTCGAGATTATATATATACACGGATATTAATATTTTTAGTAACTAGAAATAATTTCGATCTCATGCCGTAAAGGATTTTCGAAGGACATCTTCAATTTTAAAAACGTTTACTATTAAAGAAACTGCGGTTTAATAAATTAAATTTATTTACTTTTTTTACGAATAATACACAAATATTAAATTAAATATGAATAAACAAATAAATTTAATTTCTATTAAGTAACAAATTTGAACTGGAAACTTCTGGAGATTACGGTTAAAGTATGGCAAATCGAATACCACTTCATTTGTATACAATAAATGGAAAAAATTTGTTTGACTTGTTGTTGAACTCGAGGAGGCTGAGGGTTAAGCTCCATCTCACTTTATATAATTATAAATCCGTATTACATTAATTAATTCATTCACTATACAATTATAATAAAATATTTATTCTCGAGGAAATAATGTTAAAAGTTTAATTATTTTAAAAATTATGGCGTAGTTTAAATTTTTAATCTTGGACCAAATTTTAAAATCTTGGTTTACTAGAATAGTTAATATCAATATGTATGAACATGCAAATGAAGAATATACTTAAAATCAAAATTCAATAACATAACACTCATTTAGACGGTTAAAGTTTGAATTAGACTGAAGGGAAGATTATTAAATACGAGAAAGATACTTTCTTATTAAATGTTTCTAAATATAGATTATTTTTAACTGACTTATTTTGTGTCATATATTTTTATAATTTTTCAAATTTGAATCAATCTCGTATTTTTCAGATTAAATTAAAAATTGCTGCAAAAAAAGTTCTCAACATTTGTGGATGAAACATATTGCTAACTTTTTCTAAATGTTCATATTTGTAGTTGACAACCGTTATTTATTTGAATTACCTGTGGCATTTGTTCACACACATTTATAATTCTGCAAATCTTTTGGTTTTGAAACCCCGACTTATTCGTAAATTACGTTTGCTCTATTGACTATTAATTCTGAAAGTTTATAGAATATGAAACGCCATTTGTCTTAAGTTTACTCGGTGATCTGATCTGACAGAATTGCTGACAGAAAATTTTAGTATAAATTCAAAAATACGAGCATTAAATGATTCTTAAAAAAAATAACTTTCTGAACTTCATGTTATTGGTAATTAAAGAGAGCAAATTCGCCCTCTAAAGACTGAGAATCTCGAAATTTGAGATTTTACGGATCTATTTCAAATTCACTTGCCTTGCCTTTGAAAAATATAATGTTGAGGGAAACGATGGTTGTAACTAGCATAAATCAGACTTTCTTTTCTTCCATTGAAATTAAGCATTCTTACAAAATAAGTCAAAATAGATGTACAATTTATCAAGAAGTTCACTTACAATTTTTATTTTTGAATATTTTCACAACTTAATTGAAAAATGAAGCACATCAATGCTAGTTCAATCAATTCATAGAGAATATTCATACAAAATCGGGTCTAGATGCTACCAATTTTACTCCACATTTTTCCGGTATTTTTTCGGTTTTACGTACAATGTTTAAAATTAATAACCCGTGAAATTAAATAACTTATGATTTCAAATAACTCAATTAATTCAATTGATTCAATTGATTCTTCAACCGCAAATTTGACAACCAAATCCATCAAAAAAATGTCATATAATCCAATAAAAATAATAAAACCATCATACTTAAAAACTTTAACGTCATTAACCAAAAATAGAATTATACCAATTGATTCAACATGGTTTATGCCAAATGTTTCAAGAAATGCACAACAAGAATTTGACAAAGAACATATCCCACAAGCAAAATTTTTCAATTTAGATAAATATATAAGAGATTCAGCATATCCTCATATGTTACCTACTCAAACTATAATTAATCAAGCGTATAAAGATTTAAAAATTTCTCACACTGATTCTTTAATTGTTTATGATAAATTGGGGAATTTTTCAAGCCCTCGTTGTGCTTTTACTTTTAAATTGGGTGGTCATGAAAATGTTTATTTATTAGATAACTTCAATACTTATAAAAAACTGGGTTTAGAAACTACATCAATTGATGAATCGCAACCAAAAGATGAAGAACCAATTGAATCTAATTCAATTGATCAATACGAAGAAAATTATAATAATCAAGTAATTGAATATGAAGATCTCGTGTCTTTGATAGAAAATGATCAAATTAAAGATTATTTAATTATTGATGCAAGATCAAATGATAGATTTACTGGTAAACTGCCAGAACCAAGACCAGGATTAAGTTCTGGTCATATTCCAACTGCTAAAAATTTACCATTCACTAAATTATTAGATTCTAATAAAGATAATGAATTTAAAACTAAACAAGAAATTACAAAGGAATTAGAATTTATTGGGATAAATTTAAATACTTTAAATAAAGATTATCCAAAAGGTTTAATTGTAATGTGTGGAACTGGAGTAACTGCATGTATTTTGAAATTAGCATTTGAATCAATTGTTGGTATTGAAGCACCAATTAAACTTTATGATGGAAGTTGGACTGAATGGGCAATGAGAGCTCCTGATAAGTACATAGTTAAAGATGTCTGAAGAATTATTTTTTTTCAAAATTTATTTATTTATTAATTAAAACAGTAGGAAACTAAAATAATAATAAGAAACTTATACATATATATATAATCTTTTATTTATAATACAAGTTTCTTTTTCTTTCTTTGATGTTGTTGTTTTTTTCATTCATTATTTGGTTCAGGTATTGATAAATATTTATATTTCTTTTTTGTTATATCATATAAATCATTTAATGCAGCATCATCAACAAACCAACTTACTCTTCCAGCAGCTCCCTCATTAACTATCGAGGAAGGTAAACCCTTTTCTGGTCTCTCCATTATTGTTTTAATAATTGGAGCTTTTGTTAAACCTTCCACTACAAAAGCAACTCTTGCTGCATGACATATAACTGGAATAGTTAAAGTTATTCTATTTGATGGACCTGAAGGAGCATTCGATACAGGTATACACCAAGCTAATTTTTCTCTCAAACTTTCACCATGTTTTGGAAATAATGAAGCAATATGACCATCTGGTGCACAACCTAATAATAATAAATCAAACATTGGTAATTTCACTGAATCCTTTTTGGCAAAATTTTGTATCAATTGTTTTTCATAATCATCTGCTGCTTCTTGAGGATCATCAATTAATGATTCATCAATATGAAATATCCTTGGTTTTTTATCACCTTTTATATGATCAAAAAGTTCAATTTTTGCTTGACCATAATTTGAATCAGGACTATCGAACGGTACTAATCTTTCATCTGCAAAATATATATCCCATTTATCCCATTCAATATATTCTTGTCTTGGTAATAAACCTTGATTTAAAATTTTAATTAATGAACCACCACTTATAGCAATTTTAAATCTTACTTCTTGCTTTTTTAAGATTTTCTTTTCCTTTTTAAATTTGTTATTATTTGATAAATTTGTTGATGATAATGAAGATGCATTAGGGTTTAAATTACTTGGATTATTTATATTTAATCCACTTTGACTATGACTTGGTGAATGATTTGGTGTATTTATATTTGAAGCTCCATTACTATTGGTGTTACTTAGACTATTGTTTCCATTTGTTGCTTGATTTAATACAGATATTGAACTATTAGTTTTATTTACCAGTGGTCTTTTTAATTGACCAGATTTTATTAATTCAATTTGTTTTTGATCAGTCGTATTATATAAAGTTTGATTTTGAGCTGATATTACTAAATCTCCAACTGCATCTGCAACTCCTAGGAATTCAGGGAATGAATAGATTAAAGGAACAGTTGTAGTCATTATATATAATTGATAATGTGTAGATATATAAATGTATTTGTTATATTAATTCAATACGGAAAACTGACGATAATGATAAGGAAAAAAAAAATAAAAAACAATTATTGTTGTTGATAATTTATATGTTTATAATTTTATATTGAATAAAATGATTAATCGTTAATGATAAATTATGAGTTTATTGAATAATAATGTAAAAATGAATATATAAATTCAATTGATGAATAAATATTTTAGTTATGCTTGTTATATAAAATGTTATGTTAATTAGTATAAAAAATTTGGAAATAGAAAACTTAACTTAAAAAAATTTTTGTTGTTTTAATAATTAAAAAAAAATTTGATCATAAAAAATAAAATAATAAAAAATTAAAAAAAATTAATTAAAAGGGACAAAATTAAAAGGTTACGCCTAAAATCACTAACTAACAAAAATTATGATATAATAATAGTAATCATTTAAACAGAACAATTAATATTCTATTACTATTAATGTTGAACTGTAAGATACTAAATCAATAAGACTAATAAGAATTATCAAAGACTTTTCTTTAAATTTAAAAGAAATTAACTCGAAAGAAATTTATTCTACTATTCAACACTAGAATTTTCGTTCAACAAATTCTGATTTTATTTTTTATTAAGTTTTTTAATCAATAGATAAAGTAGCAATTATAATAATAAAATTAAAATTTAATTTGAGTAATCAATACCAGAAAAATTATCTAAAACAGAATAGCATTCAGAGTTAATGGAAAATTAGTCGAGGGATGTATTCTTTGTAAACGTAGGTTCACTGGATTAATTCTACTTGACTAAATTCACTTAAACAACAAAAAAAAGGAAAAAATGATAAAAAGGCGGGGAAAATCCTTAACTTTTTTAGTTTTACATTAATAATTAACAATAATTTTACACAATTGGTTTCAAATTAATCTGTGACTAGTTTTATTATTGTTGCAAACTTCAATAATTTATCCCCAGCTAAACTATCACTTGTTACAATGAATTTGTTAAAATTCGATGGTTAATGGCTTATAAATTAACGATAGATCATGCAAATTGATGAAAACAATAGATATAAAAATTAGGTCCTAGCCGATTGATTCTAAATTGGTCATTTTAAATTTAAGCATCACACTACATTTATGGCTTAATTAAAATTAGGGATAAAATTATTAAGTATTAGTTTGTATTGTTACTCTTTAATTAATAATAGCTTGTTTCGGACATCTATACATTAATACTCTTAATAAAATTATCTCAGAACGTTCAAAGCTACGCATTTGATTTGGACTTGCAGTTTTATTAATTTACTTATTAAAGACTTACCTTATATTATTAAATTAGTAGCCGTATACTTAAATTTTTAAAATTATAGATTGTTGGTTGATTGTAAGAAATAACGTGAGCTTGTCAAAGTCGTGATATCTAATTCTGCGAAACTGTCAAAGTTTCTTATTCATTATGATAAGGGGGTTTATTTATTTTAAAAAAATAAAATTAAAAAAAAATAAATTTATTCTAAATAATTCTATTTTGCCATAAACTAATTTACCACATTATAATATATTTAACTCATTACAATAAATATTTAAAATATCAATTCATTAAATTATAGTATGAGTATTTAATTAGTTTGAAAATTAAAATCTAAAAGAAAGATCAATTCAATATCGAGATATTTATATCTATTCAAATTATCCACAACTAGCTTTTAATTATCCTTTATTTTAATTTTTACATCAAATTTCATACACAAAAGAAAATTGTGAAATTCAAAAATGTCAATTGATAGTTATTTTCAATTAACTTTTTATCTTGTTTCAAAATATGTTGATTCAATTTATCCAAAATCTTCTGGATTTAAAATTATTCAAACAACAGATGAAAATAAATTAAAACAATTAGAAATATATTTTAAAGAAGAAAAATTTTTGATATTAAGTTTTACAGAAATTAGTAATGTTCAATCATTAGTTAATTTATTAAATCTTGATGGTAGATTAGATAATGCTTTAATAAATTGGGAATGGTTTGATTTAGATGAAATTAAATTTCCAATAAAAGGAGTAGAAGATTTATCAAAAGATTTAGTTGAAAAATTTAATAAGAAATTTAGATTAATTGTTGATGATGAAAAATTAAGTTCAATATTTGATGATCCAACTAAATCAAAAAATATTAATACTGGTCCAATAATAGAAGAACATACAGATACTGAAAATGATGCAAGATCTCCAACTCCTGAAGTTCCATATAATCCATCAAATCCAATAATATCTGGTGGTAACCCTTCTGCTCCAGCTGCAAATAATTCAGCTTTTAAACAAAATAGACCATCAGATATGCCAGATTTTGAAGATGAATATGAAATTAAAGATCCTGGTGCTCCAACTCATGATACTTTAGGTCATTCAAATTTACCACCAATTGGGGCTGATGATTTAAATCCTCCAGGTATACCGTCAAATCCAACTTTAAGAGGTTATTTGGATCCTTTACAACCTCCAAATAGTTCTGGTGGAGATGGAATGTATCCAACTTCAAATCATCCAATTTTTGGATCACAACAAGGTGGAAATAGTGGTAGAAGAGGAGTACCACCAGGTGCAAGATTTGATGATCCTTATTCAGAAGATAATTTAGATAATTTGGGTCAAGGTTTACCACTGAATCTTAGAGGTCCAAGTGGTGGTCCGTTTTATCCAAATCAAGGTCCAGGTGGTGGTAATTTTGGAAATTTTGGTCCTCCAGGTCTTTAGAGTAAAATCTCTTTTGTATAATTTATATAGCAAAAATTTAAAATAAAAAATAAGTTACAATGAATTCTTTGTTTTTTTGAACACCTTTTTCATAGCTTTTGTCGTCAGAATGAGTATCTTAAAGAGAAATTCTCTACATTCAAAATCAAATGAATACATACATAATACAAATTTTATACATTAAAAAAGATCCAACAAAAAAACAAACAAAAATTCAGAATTCTTAATGGTTGGAATAAACCTTCTTTTTAATTATTGACTTTTTTGTTTCATTAAAACTTCGGAAAAATGTAAATATGGTTGTTTTAAAAGAGTCTAATAGGACGACTGTTAGACTGAAATTAGTAAATGCTTGAAACAAACAAAAATCGTAAAAATTCGCCTAGGGCAAGACTTTTTTATGTGGAAGCTTCAAAAATGTTGATTGCATTAATAGGTGGTACAAGAACATTACTTATTAATCCCAATATCAGTATCACAATTCAAAGAACGGATAAACGACTGTTTAATCAAAATTAAAAATCCAGAGAAGATTATACATTTAGTAAATGTTTATCCACTTGTTCGAAAGTCGTCCTTGAGTTTGACTTCAATGCAATTGACTTGCAAAAATAAATTTTGGGTCAGTGAACCTGATCAGACAGCTGAAACTATGAGTATTTCAACCATAATATTATGAAAATCAAATGCCATAAATCAAATTTATCCTAAGATGAATATGACTTTGATGAACATCCAACAGAAATCTCATTGCCTCTTTTTAATCATTTTTGGAAATTGAAACCTTAACGAGCTTATGGACTATAATCATAAAAACGGGGCTATAAAAACATTTAAAGGCCACAAGAATCACCATATCTTTTAACATTCAAATCCTAGCGATATTAAATACAATTCATATTGTATAAATCGTAAATAAAATTCGAACTCTAAAAAGTAACATTCTTGATTTCTTTTCAGGATGAAAAAAAAAAACCTGAAGAATATTATTCTTTAATCAATTTGGTAAACTTTGGACCTTTATGACCATGTCCTCAATGCATACATGGAACTTCATCGTATATACCTGTCGCTCTTGGAACGCTTTTTTTCACTTTTGAAAAACAAATTTTTAAAAAGAAAAAGTGGTAATAGTTGAATTCTAAAGTTTTTTTTTTGTTTATTTCGCTAACTTATCTCATATTTATAATCTTCACTTAAAATCAATACTTTAATTTGTTTTTGGAGATTCTATACATTTGAGTCAAATATTATTTTTGCGTCACTTGGGTCTTCTCTAAATTTTATTCTCAAAGATCACTCTGTTTAAATTGTAGTATCAAAAGTTGAACTCATTAGTACAACAAATTTTTTATAAAATTAAACTTGACTGTGAGCTTTCTTTTCATTATTAAAAAGCAGTGTAGAAGAAACAATCTTTAGAGACAATAAAATAAATACACGATACACAAGAAATATACATTAAAAAAGGTATTGCTAGCACCTTTCCAAAAAATCATATTTTACATCGATGATATCATTATCATGGGTCCACTTTTTAATGAAATTTTAATAAAACCTAGCAATTAATCATTGACAAATTCATAAATTTATTCGTAGATAAAGATATGAAAACTTCATCAATCATAAATTGCAATCAAATGCCATAATTCAAACTCTTCAATTGATGAATTTGACTCTAATGAACATCAAACTTAAATTTTATTCCAGTATATTAATAAACATATTCGGCAACTTCCCATTTGTAAAAGCATACCTACATGATATCTGATCAGTTTCATGAATACCTGCCACAAACGGGCTTTGGTACATCAAGCTCTCAAAAAAATCAAAAATTTGGGAACATCGCTTAACGCAACATTAAATTTTAAACTCCAAACCCATTGAAAATTGATCCATTTGGACAAACACTGTAAGTCAATTTAGTAACTTAATTTTATCACAATTTCCTTAACACGTAAACTCCCAAAAATGACCAATATTGAGTTGAAATCAAGTCCTAACAATGTTAAATACAATCTAGGTTGTACCAATCGCAAATAAAACTCAATTCCTTGAACAACACGTCTCAATTTTTATCCTGACTAACGGAAAAAATTGTAAAGCTTTATCCAATTATATTGACCACTTCTGGAAATTTTACAAAAACATAAGTTGTAATATATATGGATGATATCTTAATACATAGCAATTCAATAGAAGAACATAACACTTTGAACAAATTATGTGATGTGCTTGTTGAGGAAGAATTACAGGTTAGCGTAAAAAAACTTAAGCTATTCTAAAATTCAACTAAATTTATTGGTTTTGAGCCTTTAACCCCTACAAATTTTTTCCATGTTTATGACAAAAGTTTTTCAAATCACTGAAAAATTAAGGAAGTTTAGTTTTAAAATTAATTCGCGCACATAGGGTTAGATTAGTTTCTCTGAAAGCACTTAAGTACTTTATATTGATCGTATAATATTTTTGCAAAGATTAATCATGTCTTCAATGTAAGTGTTTTTGAACTCTTGATGACTGAATTTAAAAACTCTTATAGATCAGCACGGTTTTGCCAAAATAGACCAACTACTTTTAATTTTTTTGGTTTCAAAATCAAGCTTAATTAAATTCAAAGGTTTAAAAAAATATACAAACTTCTCGTGTTTCAGCGTTGCTTAGTCACCTTTAGAATCTAAATACAAGAAAATTTAGCTTATAACCCATTCGTCCTTTTTTTAATATCTTATATGGTATAAAATATACAAATGCATCTGATAAAAATTACACTGGGGTACGGATGTTGAAATAAATCACGAGATAACTTTTTACGACATGCTCTTTCTTGAGACAAAAGATTAAATTTGTTTTAAGATGCAGATGAGATAAATATATAAATTTATCTACAACATTTTGCAACCATCAAAGAAATAATGTCAGAAGAAGAAGAATTTGATATCGCAACTTCATTAGTAGCCAAACTGGATGATGAGTCAAGTGAAGAACTATCTGAAAGCTCTGACGAAGAAGGAGATTACCAAGATGAAATAATATCACTGGATGAAGAAGAAAAAAAACTGAAAGAACCACCGAAAAAGAAAACCAAATTAAATAATTCAGAAGCTGCATTTCCAAGTCTAGAGTTATCAGATGATGAGAACGAAGCTGAAGATGATAATAAAATAAGTTCATATTTTGCAACAAACAACCCAACAGCTAAAAAAGCCAAAAATGGTTCATTTGCATCTTTTGGATTATCAAAATTCATTTTAACAAACATTGCCAAAAAGGGATATAGACAACCAACACCAATTCAAAGAAAATCGATCCCATTGATCATAGATAATAGAGATGTTGTGGGGATGGCACGTACTGGTTCAGGTAAAACAGCAGCTTTTGTATTACCTTTAATTGAAAAATTAAAAACTCGTAGTACAAGTGGAGTAAGAGCAGTTATATTATCACCATCAAGAGAATTAGCATTACAAACATATAAACAAGTTAAAGAATTCAGTCATGGAACTAATTTACAATCTATCGTATTAATTGGTGGGAATTCATTAGAAGAAGATTTTGGTAAAATGATGAGTAAACCTGATATAATTGTTTGTACACCTGGTAGATTTTTACATTTAAAAGTTGAAATGCAATATGATTTGGGGAGTGTTCAATATATAGTATTTGATGAAGCTGATAGATTATTTGAAATGGGATTTGCAGAACAATTAAATGAATTATTATTAGCATTACCACCAAATAGACAATCGTTGTTGTTTTCAGCCACATTACCAAGATCATTAGTTGATTTTGCAAAAGCAGGATTAAGTAACCCAGTATTGGTACGATTAGACGCGGAATCGAAGATATCAGAAAATTTACAAATGGCGTATTTTACAACCAAAAGAAATGAAAGAGAAGCAAATTTATTATACATACTACAAGAAGTCATTAAAATGCCTTTAGGTACACAAGAAGAAATTAAAAAATTAGTAGCTATGGATAAAAGACAAATAGACGATAGTGATGATGAAGATGAAGATGGGAAGAAGAAAAAGTATAAATTCAAAAAGGAGAGAATGCCTTCAGCTAATCAATTACCATCAGAACAATCAACAATCATATTCGTGCCCACCAAACATCATGTTGAATATGTCACAAAACTTTTAAGAGACGCTGGATATTTAGTATCTTACATTTATGGTACATTAGATCAACATGCGAGAAAAAATCAATTATATTTATTCAAAATAGGTCTCACCAAGATCCTCGTGGTTACAGATGTTGCAGCAAGAGGTATTGATATACCCGTTTTAGCAAATGTTGTTAATTTCACATTACCAGGATCATCAAAAATTTTCATTCATAGAGTTGGTAGAACAGCAAGGGCTGGTAATAAAGGTTGGGCTTATTCAATTGTCAACTCAAAAGAACTACCATACTTATTAGATTTAGAATTATTCTTAGGTAAAAAAATACTATTAACATCAATGCATGAAGCTAAATGTGAAATGTTACAAAAGAAACAAGGAGATTCATACATACCACCAAGAGTCAATTATACAGAAAGGTTAGTTGTTGGATCAGTACCGAGAATAGATATTGAAACCTTTCAAGAGCTTTATGAAAATTTATTAAGAAACAATTACGAAATAAAAGTATTAAAAGATGTTGCAGCAAAAGGTGAAAAATTATATCATAGAACAAGACAAGCAGCATCACATGAATCTTTAAAGAGAAGCAAAGAAATTATGGAAACTGGTTCATGGGATGATCAACATCTTTTATTTGGAGAAAATTTAGAAAGGAAAAAAGAAGAATTTTTAAATAAATTACAGAATAGAAATGTTAAAGAAACTGTATTTGAATTACGTAAAAAGGGAATTAAAGAAAATGATAGTCTTGCTGAATTTATGCACAAGAGAAGAAGACAGATTGCCCCGATTCAACGGAAAGCCCAAGAACGTCGTGATTTATTACAAAAAGAAAGATTAGCAGGCTTAACTCATGGTATAGAAGATGAAATATTAAAAGCTGATGATGAAAGAAACGGTTACAATCAACAACTGGTCGGTGAAGATGAGTTACAAAATACCTTTGAAGATGGTGATAAAAAGAAATCTTATAGAGATCCACAGTTTTTCATGAGTCATTATGCTCCAGCTTCAGTGATTCAAGACCAACAGTTATCCATAAATTCATCATTTGCAAATGATGCACAAGCAGCAACTTTTGATTTGGATAATGATGATAAATCTCAAAAGAATACACAAGTCATGAAATGGGATAAAAAGAAAGGTAAATACATAAATTCTCAATCAACTGATAAAAGATTCATTATTAGTGAAAATGGTACCAAAATTCCAGCATCTTTCAGATCCGGTAAATTCGATGAATGGAAAAAACAAAGAAACTTTAAACCATCAACATCACTTAATTCATCAACAACATCAGAATCTAATCAAAGATTTAAACATAGGAAACAAAGTACTCCAAAATTACCTGATAAATTTAGAGACGATTATCATAAACAAAAGAAGAAAGTTGAAAAAGCTATGGATTCGGGTATTAATGTTAAAGGATATCATAAACCAGGTCAACAACAAGAAATTAAATCAACTGAACAAATTAGAAAAGCAAGAGCGTTAAAAGAGAAAAGAAGAGCTAAAAATGCTCGTCCAAGTAAAAGAAGGTAATTTAATTTCAATAGTAATATACACAAATAAATTAAAAACTAAACTAATTAATATCTTCCTCTTCCTCCACTACCACGATATGGATGGAATCCACGACTTCTTCCTCTATAACCACCTCTTCCTCTGAAACCTCCAGATGGACCATTTGGTGGCAATCTTTTTGGACCTCTTGGAATATTTGGTCTTGATGAAGCTGGAGCAACATTTGAGGAATCAGGAGAAGCTGATGATCCATTACCTATATCATTACCATTACCATTAAAATGAACATTTGTAGTAGCATTAGCTTGTTCAGTATCTACATCCGCTTGTTGTTGTGGATTAAGTGGTTGTACTGATGGTTGTTGCTCTACAACACCACCTGCTTGAGCTTGTTGAGCTTGTTGAAACATATACCATTGTTGATACCATTTCATATAATCTTGTGGATTCATTTGTTGGAAACCATATTGAGCAGCATAAGGATTATAAAATTGACCTTGTTGAGCTTGTTGAGCTGCAGCGGCTTGTTGTTGTTGCTGTTGTTGTAATGCAACTTGTTGATTATGTTGACCTCTTGGTGCTGCTCTTTTAACTTCCATTGCTTTACCATTAAGAGTTAAATATTTGTTTACACATACTTTATCAACAGCATCTGGTGAACTAAAAGTAATAAATCCAAATCCTCTTGATCTTCCAGTATCTTTATCAATCATTAATTGACAATCAATAATCTCTCCAAATTTTGAGAAAAAGTCATTAAATTCAAATTCAGTAACCATTGGATCAATACCACCAATAAATATTTTACCAACTCTATCTTGATCTTCTCTTGATATAGCTCTTTTTGGATCAATTAGTTTACCATCTAGTTCATGAGTCTGTTTAATAACTGCATCAACTGAAGCTGGATTTTTAAAAGTTAAAAAACCAAACCCTCTTGATCTACCAGTTGCATTATCTTTCATAATTGTGTAATCAATAATTTCACCAAATTTCCCAAAATATGTCAATAAACCTTCCTCTGTTGTATCCCAATTAAGACCACCAATAAACATTTTACCACCTGAATCAGCTACTGTATTTTGTTGAACTGGAGGAGGAGGCGGTGGCATCTGAGTAGACAATTGAGGCATCTGTGGCATTTGAGACATTCCAGCAGCAAATTGAGCATATTGAGCTGGATCAAAATTAAATTGAGGTGGAACTGGCATTTGATTTGTTGAAGCAGCATCATTACTTCCAGCAGTAGCAGCTACTGAATCATTTTGATCTGGATCTGATGGTGGTGGTGGTGGAATTGATTCAGTTTGACTTGAATCATGTGTTGAAGTAATTGGTGGAGGTAAAGGTATTGTCAGAACCTCAGGGGTGGAATTTAATTGTTGTTCTAATTGACTTTGTTTTGGACCTTCATCTTTAGCATCATTTGTCGCTTCTTCTTTAACTTCATTTGTATCCTTTTCATCATCTCCATATAAGTCTTCGAAAAGAGCTTCATCGTCATCTAAATTCGACATTATTTCTTTTAATATAATTTATAAACTTTCTTTGTCAAATATACGTTTAAGTTACGAAACTAAACAGGTACAAACTAAACACTGGGGAAAAATTAGGGTAAATATGAATTGAAATTGTTATTATAAGGATTTGATAAGTTTATTAAGGAAATAAACACACTATGTATAAATTATACAAAATATACCTATTTGAAAAACTATTAAATGTACTCTCAAAATCTCAATCAGTCAAGTTGAAATCTTCTTAAATCCTAAAATATATAAACAAAAACTTAATTTATGAAAAGTTATTTGAATAAAATCAAGTGATAACACCTGTAGAAGTTAGTATTTGTTGGAGTAGATTATTTAATGATGTATAGCTGAAAATCTAAAATTATTTTTGACAACCAGAAAAGTTAATAAAAAGGAGAAATGCAAAAAGTAGTGTAAAAGACAAAAAGGTGATTTAAATTACGAATGCGTTTAATTTGGAACTAGATATGAAATTAAAATATTAATTGGAATCTATACAGTGTCTGTTTTCTTTAACTTCTTTCTAAAAAGTAATTTTCCATTATTTGATGACTTTGATTGAAGGGCTATTTTATTGCCAAGTTGACTATTATCCTTTTCGTTATTTCTCAAATTTAAGGTTTCTATTTCTTCAATTAATTCATCAACAGTACTTTTATGATCCAAGATTTGGTTATTTAATTGATAAATGATTTTTTCAATTTTTGTTATAGTCTCCAAATTTAAAGAATTAGCTAATTTTAAGGGCATTAGTTGAGAAATCAATTTTGCTTCCAAATTCTTGATATTTGATAATTTTGAATTTAATTTATTTTTAGTTTCTAATTTTGAAATCTCCAATGGTCTATTTCTTAAAAATTTTAAGTTCTTGGTTGATCCTTGTTCCAATGATTTTAATTGAGTAAACAATTTATCAATTTTTACTCTTTCATTTTGATTTGATACTACCGTTGAGTTTAATGATTCAGTTTCCTCTTCTATTTGTTTTAAGTAATGTAACTTGTTTTTGTATTGTAAAGTATCATATTTCAAATTTGATATATCTGATAATTTGAAATAAGAACTACCTGGTGTTGCAGAGTGTTCCGCGACAAAGTCACCTAATAAGTCAACATTCATTTCCAAAATTTCAACATTACCATCAGTTTCCAACATCATTTCTCTGATTTTATTTTCAACTTGATTATCGGTTTTAGGTATTGACTTACTATAACCATCAAATATTAAAAACTGGACAGGATCAATTGGCCATTCTTCTTCCTCTTCGTCTTCTTCCACTTCATGACCTTGTACTTGCTCAATTTCTTTTTTAGTTTGAGCTATTTCTTCCTCGGCATCATAATCATCATCATCATCATCATCATCAGGTATTTCAATTTCTTCAATATCATTTTTGCTTATATTGACAAATGAATCAAATTTATCCAAGTTCTTCTCAAATTGAGATTTTTCCTCTTCCTCTTCATCATCAAATGACCCTGTTTGATCTTGATTTTGTTCACCATATGACTTTTCTAAATAACTATCTTCTGCTGATACCTCTTCAAATTCATCTGCTTCCTCATCGAATTCGTTTTCATCGTCTTCATTATCATTTTCGTCATCAAAATTTTCTTCTTCAGCTTCTTCCTCTGAAGAAAATTTGTCAGAAAATTCAGTTGTTGGTGTTTTGGGATTACTAAATTGTGCAAATGGAGACGGTTCATTTGCTTTTTTTAAATTGTCAAATGGTGAGCCAAATGTTTGAGGTTTTTGAAATTGACCAAAAGGTGATGAATTGGTAGTTGTCTCATGCTTGTTGAATCCAGAAAATGAAGTTGAACTGGAGGATTGTGATTGTGATTGTGATTGTGATTGTGATTGTGATTGTGATTGTGATTGTGATTGTGATTGTGATTGAAATTGCGGTTGTGATTGTGGTGGAGGCTGTTCAACTTGTGATAATGGTGGTGGTGATCTAAAAGATTTTGAGAAAGTTTCAGGGGTTGGCTCTTTTGAAGTCTCTACTGATTCTGCAAATGGAGTTGATTTAGTTAATGTGCCCATTGTAGTTTTTGGAAGTGGTTTTGATCCTCCAAAAATTGAAGTAGCTGTAGTTGATTTGTTATCTCCAAATATCGAATTTGTTGCTGTAGATTTATTGTCTCCAAAAATTGATTTTGGTTGTTGATTCGAATTATTATTACCAAGCAGAGCAAAAGGTGATGGTGAAGAATTATTAGAATTGCCTAACCTTGCAAATGGCGATGATTTAGTGTCAGTGTTAGTGGTGTTTGTATTACCAAATTTGGCAAATCCTGATACTTTAGTTTGAGGTTGTGATGACTGATTTCCAAAACTTGTTGAACCAAATGAGGTTTTACCAAATCCTGTTGAACCAAACCCACCTGATGAGCCAAAAGCTGTTGAGCCAAACCCAGTGGAACCAAATCCACCTGCTTGTTGTGTTGTCGTTGTAGTTGATAACTCTGATTTAGTTGATACTGATGATCCAAAACCGGTGGCTCCAAATGCTGATTTTTGTGTTTGTGATTCATTTGAAGTGGTAGTTTGTGGTTGAGATTTGAACACATCTGCAGTAGTGGACCCAAATGGATTACTTTTAGTTTGAAACGGATTCTGTGGTTGCGCTTGATTTTCCTCAGCTGCTTTGGCTTCTTCCACTTTTTCATTTGAGACAGGTGCATCTATTTCATCTACGTTTGAAGCATCCAAAGCTCTCTGTAACGATAACTCATCATTCAAAATCCCCAGTTTATGATATACTAACCAACTTTTCAATTTCCCATTGCTTAATAAAGTATATATTTTAGGTAATACATTACCGGAAACTTCTTCAACTCCAACACATGGATTAATAATTTTTTCATCATTACCTTTTAAGAAAACTGCAAATCCTAAAGGTGATACATCATCACCTGTGTCTTCATCGATTGGGAAATTAGCTCTATTTGAGTCTTCACTTGGACTCATAACTTCTAAGTTTTTATCAGATTTTAAATAATCTAATATTCCTATTTCTGTAGATATTGACGATGTTATAAACGTCAAATCATTTTTGGGTAGCCAATTATTTATAGTTGATGTATAATAAGTTAATGATCTAAATCCTGAGCCGAAAGGAGGTGCAATATCAATTTGATATGGTGTATATGACTTCGACTCTTTATCAAATTTCAATAAAAAAGTTCTTGAGTCATGACAATCAGGTTCAGCAGTTATAGAGTCATATATCAACAACAAAAACTCATTTTGTAATACTATGATATCTTTCAATTCATGTTCTTTTAATTCTTCAATAGTATCTTCAGAAAGATTGACTGATCCGTTGGATAATTTGAACTTTGAATTCGACGTCAAATGGTATAGTGGATAGCCATTGAACCAAGTATATGCTGATACTTTTATTTGGATTTCGTCTGAGTTATGATACAAGTTGTGATCTGAATCCAATGCTAGATATGTTGTAGAACTTATTGGTTTAAAACTTATAAATTTGTGACTATCATTTAATGTATTGAACGTGTAGTCTTTATTTTGAATCTGATGTAAGGACAAGGTTTGGATTTTTCCATCATTCAATAAACATAATGTAGAGTCAACAAAAAACAATTGAGTAATTTTAACATTATTAATTTCTCCTAATACTTTGTATTCGTCTTGAACTGAATTTTCAATTGACAAAAATTTTAAGGTGTTGTAATTTGAAACTGCAGCAATTTTGGACTCATTATGAATGGAGAGTAAATTTAATGTATTTTTGCTGAATTCATCACTATTTAAATTAAATTGATCCTCAAACACTTGATATTCATTGGAGCTAGCTTTAAATCCAAAATCTTCTGATATTACTTCTTCAATTGCATCCATATTCTCTCTTTCGGATTTTTCTAATTATGAATAGCTACTTAATCTGACTGTTATAAATGATTTTTAAGTAGTGTGACCTATTGTATTAATTAGTAGATTGATTGCAATTGACAGAATTAATTTAGTTTAATATTTAATTAATACTATCTAAATTTATTTTTTGTATAAGAATTTTGTAAAGTGAATAATTTAATATCACAAAAATCATTTTTCTCTCTACAATATTGATAGATAGATCAGAAAAACCATTGTACCAAAGGGAATAGATAATCATGAGAATCTAAGAATATTACCATACCTTATAGGATCCTGTGTAAAGAGAATGAAACATTTGAAAACAGTATGAAAACTCCAGACAAATCAAGAAAAGTGAAATTTCACTATGCATTTATTACTAAAAAGGAATAACAACATTTGATAAATTGTATTAAAAGTATTATCATCTCTAGTAATGTTGACTACCAATGTTTATTGATTGGGTTACGCAATTTAATTTAACGAAAGGAATTTTAGGTGAGTAAACTACTAATTTTCAAAAGTAAATTATGGTATTCCACAATGAAGATTCAAAACTTTGATTTTATAAAGACGTATTAATTATAACAATCGATTCTTACTTTATCTACTAGACTATCAATATTTAATCATGAAATAATAATTGTGAAATATTTGAATCGTGAAAGAACCAAAATTTACAACGGTGCGGCTTTCTTTAAACGCGTTAGATCAATAAAAAAACTAAAAAATATTTATTATCATAGATCAAAATTTAACAAAAAAGGTAAACAAAAACCTTTTAAATTTTACAACCAATTATACAAATACTTGAATGCAACCAACGACAACAGCATCTAATGTACCGACAATTACATTTTACAATTATGTTTCAGATATTATTAGATCAATTCATATGGATGAAAGTGTGATTTTTAGAAATGACGAGTTACTTAATTCTTTTATAAACAAAAGTAATCCAGACTTAATTTATATACTAAAATGCACGGATGATGATTCTTTTCAGGTACTCAACAATTTGGCTACCATTGTACCAAACCAGCTAATTCTGTTGACACTAATCATTAAAGGTAAAGGAATTTTGAATGAAGAGGTTTCATTAAAGTCACAATTAAATATTATCAATCTACCCATTAACTCAAAAAATGTTGCCAACAATTCAATAGATACGATAAAACTGACTATAAATTTAGGATTATTGCCATATTATGAATTAACCAATGGATCAAATGAAGATTCATCAAATACAATTAAAAAGTTCAGAGAATTATCATCGTCATTACAATCACTTAGCATACAACCTCCAGATCTAATAATTTCAACGCATCCTAAAATTAAACAATTATTAAATTCAAACGATTCAAGAATTGAAGGACTTAATGATATGGCATTTTTTAATGAGTTAACTTCAATAACTAACGATTGGATAAAACAAATACAAAGCATTACTAAAATAAATCATAAATCCAAAAGTCTACAAGAAGAAATTGAATTTTGGAACTCTATTGATTCAGCGATATCGTTAATTCAAAAACAAATGAAAAGTCCAGAAGTTGAAAAAACATTGGAAATACTAAATCAAGCTAAAAGATTTCACGTTATTTTAAGTTTTGAAAATGATACTGGTTTAAATGATATACAAAAAATTTCAATCACAAAAAATTCATTCTTAAAAGACATACCAATGAAAGAATTGATTGACATAGATGAAGAAGTGAATTTTTCAAAAATTTATGGGGCAGTTTCGGATTTATTTTACCACTTGAAACAAAAAATGGGATTGTTGTCCGTTTCAGATGCTGTTGAAATGACTAATCTACTATTAAACGATCTGGTAATTAAATTTAAAAATGCATATTCTCAATTGAAAATAATGTCTGTTCCATACAGTAAATTTCAACACGTAATACAAGAAAGTTTTGATATCATTCAGTTAGTAGAGGAAAATGTAAAATACATACTGAATATGCTTCGAGAGTTAGCAAGAAAGAAACAAGAAAAAGTAAGATCAATAATACATCAAACAAATTTGACCAATCTTATCGCACGATTGTCAGAGGTTAAGCAATTAAGAAATAATTATGAGAACCTTAAGACTAGTTTGCTGAACACCTTACAAGGAGAAGAAAAAAATAGGTACATTCTGGACCTTTATGAAGCATATGGTACCTATCTTTTATCAATTAATGCTGCCGATTTTTCAGATGAAGCTCAAAAAAATTGGCTCATGAATGAAAGTTCATACATGAAAATTTACAATTCAGTTTTCACTTACTGGTTCACAAAAATAAATTTATATTTTGACAATGCTAAACTGTTTTCTGATTATTTAAACATTTTCAATAAATTTTTCCCAAATCGAAAGTATGATTCAAATTTCATGCCCATAAATGATACTTACAAATTAAAATTTTTGGAATTTGCATTAGCAGAAATTCAAATATTAAAAGATTCTGCTACTACAACTATTAATGATGATTACGAAAAAATTATTATTTACACAGAACTAACCTACAAAATTCAATTTTATACAGAAAATTTACAAAGGATATTAGGTAATGATTGGCTAAATTATTCAATTGGTCAAAAGATTGACACAATCACTAAAAGTTTGTTGACAACCATCAATTCCAATTTAGCATTTGAAAGTTGGATTTCGAAAATTGTTGATTTGACACCAATGAAAAAATCAGGTGTTATTATTAAAGTTTTAAACAAAGATGGAAAATATAACGTCACTTTAAATGTCGATTTCTCAATATTTAACACCGCAGAGAGTATATATGCCTTGGAATCATTAGGTTTTAAATTCCCGATCAGTCTCAAGTTGGCCCAAAAAAAGAATTTGATGTTACTTAATATGGCTTATGATATTGCTGATCAAATAACTTCATTTAATAAAATTTTTCAAGCAACTCCAGAAAAATTATTGAATTATATTCCAGACTCAATTGAAGATCTAATTGAATTGATATTACTGATTTCTAATATTACGTGGTCTCACTTATCTGATGCCATAGATTTAATAAATCAAAATGATGCTTTATTACTTAGTAGTGAAAACTTAATTGAAATACAATCAATTAGACAATTGCAGAAATTAAACGAAAGTTTAACTCAGATAAATGCTCAATTGACAGACTTACAGAATTTTCATAATTTTATCAAAAAGCAATACCACAAATTACAACTTTGTTTTTATGATTATGAGGTTATCCGACTAATAATGAGGACTATTGAACGAAAATTTGAAATATCAAGTTTGGGAAAGTCGGGATTTAAAGTAGTTCAAAGTGTTAATGATGAAATAAAATTAATTTTAGCAAGCAGATTAGAAACTCAATTAAAAATTTTTACAAATAATTTAGATCCCATAGCTCAAAAGTTGGAAATTGTCGAACTTGAAGGTTATCAAGTTAAGTTTGAAAAGATAACTCATCAAATAATAATCGTAGATGGTTCTTTAGAGATCAGTCCAAACTTGGTTGACGGCAAAAATCAATTGTATTCAATTATCAATCAGTTAATGAAAATAGTTGCACAACAGAAATACATCTCGTTGAATAGAACTTATTCAGATATTTTGTCAGTTGAAATAGCTAATAATGCGTGCAATAACGTGGTAGATCAAATTACAATATGTTACGATGAAGCTCAAGCATACTTGATAAGGTGGAAAACTTTTCAGACAATTTTAGTGTTGGACACTTTTGAGAATTTATTTGTTGATGATCTAAGCAAGTCATTTGATATTTTGAAGGAATGTTGTGGTTACGAAAAGCTCTTAGATGAACCTGAAAAACATATAGGTGGTTTAATCCTCATTGATACGAAACAAATTCAAGCCAAAAGCTCAATTTTGTATGCTTCATTCAAAAAATCTATTCTCATCGAATTTTCAAAACTATTTACTAAGGAGGTTAAACTATTTAGCAATGAACTTTTACAAATGAGATCAGTACTTGAGAAACCACTAAGATTCCATTACGAAGTAAGTCAAGTGATCAAATATATTGGAAAAATATTTGATGGAAGAAACAAAGTTGAAATTTGGGATAATTTATTAACATCATTTTCAACAATACAGAATTATTTGACAAAACAAAAATTCGAATTTCCAGAAAACTGGTTATTTATTGATCAATTAGACTTAGATCTTTCCAAGGTGAAAGTATTACTAGAAGAGAAACAAGTTTTGATTTTGAAAAACTTAGAATTTTTGTCAGCCAGTCTAAGATCAGAATTCAAAGAGTCAACAAGTTCTTTAGTGAAATTAAAGGAAGATTGGAACATTAGCAGACCAATCTCTGGTGAATTAAATCCCGCCGAAGCGTTAAATTTGTTAAATAAATTTTACAACAAGCATGAAGAGTTAGTCTCCTATATAACTATTATATCTAATATTGCAAGTGAGTTGAGAATTGAAGATTTGAGTTTCAATAATTCTTTGAAAACATTAGACGATATTAAAAATTTAAAAAAAGTTTGGGCCTCAGTAAATTCGTTTTGGGAAGATTTAGAAAAATTGAAATGTATTACATGGTCTGACTTAGAACCCTTACTGTTACGTAAAGAATTGAATGAAATTCTAATATCTATTAAGAACTTACCTTTTAGTATGCGGCAATATTCAGCTATAAATGAAATTCAAAATTTGATAAAAAATAATTTAAATGATCATTCAACAATTGTTGATTTGAAGGGTGCTTCATTAAAAGAAAGACATTGGAGTAAATTATTTGACCAACTTGGTCTAAAAGTCAATAAAGAAATAACACTTGGTGATGTTTGGAATCTCAACCTAGCACTAAATATTCAATTTGTTACCGAAATTTTAGAGCAAGCAAGAAATGAGAAAACAATTGAAGAAAGCTTGACAAAGATCGAGGAAAACTGGTCAGAGACTTATTTCGAATTATTCAATTTCGAAAACAAATGTAGGTTAGTGAAAAAATGGGAAAAGTTATTTGATCAAATTGAAAGAGATTTAGATACAATAAATTTAATGAAGAAATCAACTTATCTGAGCAATTTTGAAAGAAAAATTTTGGAAATTGAAAACAAACTAAATTCACTAAATATGATTTTAGATTCATGGGTTGATGCACAATCAGAATGGATTCAATTGGATGGAGTATTTGGAAATGAAAATAATGAAGTCAAAAATTTACTACCTATTGAATATTCAAGATTTATGAATCTAAGTTTTGAGTTCATGACACTTTTAAAAAGGATATATAAATTTGATAAAGTCATTGAGATAATTCAAATAACTGACTTGCAAACATTAATGGTGAGATTTTTGAAAACTTTATCTACAATTCAAATTTCATTATCAGAATATCTAGAAAAACAAAGAGATTTATTCCCAAGGTTTTTCTTTCTTGGAAATGAAGATTTACTAGAATTAATTGGAGCTTCAAATGATGTTAGTAGGATTAACAGGCACATTAAGAAAATGTTCATTGGTGTTGGTGAACTTAAATTTGATCAAGATAGTCATTCAATAGTTGGTGTGATCAGTGCAGAAGGTGAAACACTTCAATTCGTTGAAAAGGTGTCACTAATCGAGTATACAATGCTCCATGAATGGCTTACACAATTGGAGATCCAAATCAAAAATTCTTTAATTGATTCATTCAGCAAGAATTATCCAAAATGGTCCAGTATAGTTGAAAATCTTGATGAAAACAAGCTTATGAAATTGTTGGATGAAGTACCTGGTCAATTATCTATTTTAATTTTGCAGGTGATGTTTACGGATCAAGTTGAAAATGATTTGGTTAAAAATTATGAAAATAACATAAAATCCGTGCTTCAAATCCTTCCAAGTATTTTGAGAACTACAAAATCTACTTTATTACAGAAAATCGTTCAAAACATGATTATTGAAATTTTGCATCAATTAGATACCATCAATCAACTTGAATCATCAGATTTAAATCTTATTTGGCAAGTTCAACAAAAATTCTATCATAGTGGGAGAAAAGTAATTATGAGACAAGCACGTTGTGAATTCGAATATGGTTTTGAATATTTGGGTGTGACTGAAAAATTAGCTTATACTCCATTAATTAATAACTGTTACTTAACAATGACTCAAGCATTAGCCTTAAAATTAGGTGGATCTCCAAAAGGACCTGCTGGTACAGGTAAAACAGAATCTATCAAAGCATTAGGTCATAATTTGGGAAAAATGGTTATTGTATTCAATTGTGATGAAAAATTTGAATTTGATTCAATGGGTAGAATATTTCTTGGATTATGTAGAGTTGGAGCATGGGGTTGTTTTGATGAATTTAATAGATTAGATGATCATAATTTAAGTGCAGTTTCTACACAAATAGAAACCATTCAATCTGGATTGAAAAATGTCGAAGAAGTGATTCAACTATCAAGTAGGGATTGTAAAGTTAACTCAGAAACAGCTTTATTTGTTACTATGAATCCAGGTTATGTTGGGCGAAATGAATTGCCTGAGAATTTAAGAAAATTATTCAGAAGCTTTTGGATGTCAAAGCCAGACATTCAAATAATAGTGGAAGTCTTACTATCTTCTCAATCTTTCAATTGCTCGAAAGAATTGTCTCAAGTAATCTACAAATTTTTCAGAGATATATCATTAAACTCCACAGAACAAAAGCATTATGATTTTGGATTGAGGGCAATAAAATCCGTAATTAATTTGTGTGGTAAATTGATACGAGATCTGGTTGCAGTTGATTCAACCAAAGAAAGTGAGATTGTGTTACAAAGTATCGAACAAATGATATTACCTAAATTAGTTAGTTCCGACTTGAAATTATTTGAATCGTTGCAATCAAAATATTTTCCAAATATAATGAAGCCTCATGGTGATGCAACTACCTTATTGTATCAGCTTGCAGAAAATCTTAAATTGGATGGATTAGTTGAAGGCTCGGCTTTTATGAAAAAGTGTTTGCAGTTGATCAACATTCAAGCTTCAAATCACGGTATTATGTTAGTAGGTGAGTCTGGCTCAGGAAAATCAACTGTTTTAAAAATGGTAATGAGGACCTTATCCAGTGTTGATGAAGTAGAGCATTTGCCAATTTTCATTGATCCAAAAGTCATGTCAAAAGAACATTTATTTGGTAAATTTGATAGTCTTACCAAACAATGGACTGATGGTCTTTTCACGAGTCATTTGAGAAAAATTATTGACAATGCAAGAGGTGAATTAAAAAAAAGAATTTGGATTGTGTTTGATGGAGATATTGATCCAATTTGGGCTGAAAATCTAAACAGTGTTTTAGACAATAATAAAGTTTATACTTTGCCAACTGGAGAAAGATTAGTGTTGCCTCCAAATGTCACCATTGTATTTGAAACTAACAGTTCGGAATATACTACTCCTGCAACAATTAGTAGATGTGGAATGATTTGGTTTGATGAATCTTTAGTACCTTTGGAACATCTACATCAAAAAATGATGTTTAACTTGATGAATCACCTTCTGCAAATTAATGACGAAAATGGTAGACTAATACAAACAATGAGATTGCAAAATCAACTAGTTGATCAAATGAAGGAGATTTTAACGTCATCATTAATGGAAGAATTGTTTGTTGAAAGTACTAAATTGAATCATATTATGTTATATCTGTTTCAAAGGGCTAGTTCATTTTTGGAAGCTATGTTGAAAACGTTTATTGACAGATTAGTAAGCATTGAAGTAACTATAGACACCTTAAATTTCGATTTTAAGAAGTATGCTGCTATGTCCATAATTAAATCCTTAGTTTGGTCTTTCGCCGGTGATTGCAATATTAAAGAAAAGTCGGATTTTGCAAAAATTGTCTCATCTAATAACGCCTTCATGTTCCTACATATTCCTAATGGTGATATATTAGATTATGATATTAGTCTTCCTGATTGTGAATGGTTTGATATTAATTTAAAAGTCGAAGTATTAGATTTACATCCACATGAGATAAATAATCCAAATATTATTGTTCCAACAATTGATACACTCAAACATGAAGATCTTATCTACTCGATGCTTAAGCAACACACATCAATACTTCTTTGTGGTCCACCTGGTTCGGGTAAAACGATGACTTTATTAAAAGCACTCACAAAAGCTAAAAATTTGGAAATGCTTGCACTTAATTTTTCAAAAGAAAGTACATCCAAGTCACTAATTGATGCAATAGAAAATTCATGTCAATATGTAAAAGCAAATGGTAAATTAAAATTACGTCCTAAATCTACAGGTAGATGGTTAGTGGTGTTTTGTGATGAAATTAATCTACCAAAGTTAGATGGTTATGGTTCACAAAATATAATTTCCTTAATTAATCAAATGATCAAATTCAATGGGTTTTGGAGAACGAAAGATATGCAATGGGTTACATTGGAGAATATTCAATTTGTTGGAGCATGTAATTCACCAAAAGATCCAGGTAGACATGATTTAAGCTCAAGATTTTTACGTCATGTATCGTTGATAATGGTTGATTATCCTGGTAAGAATTCATTATTTCAAATTTATCAAACGTTTAACAATGCTATTTTCAAATGTGCTCCTGATTTAAAACCGTTTATTACGAATACAACTCATGCAAGTATAGAAATTTATGAAGTTTCAAAATCACACTTTTCTTCCAAAGCTCCTCATTATGTATATTCTCCTCGTGAGTTAACTAGGTGGTGTAAAGGTTTATTTAATGCTTTACAAAGCGATAATTATGATGACTTACACAAGTTTTTACGATTATGGTATCACGAAGGTTTGAGATTATTTCATGATAGACTTTCTAATGAAGATGATAAAAATTGGACCAAAAATTTATTTCACGATAATGCCAGAAAACTTTTCCCAAGTATCAATCTTAGTGATTGTTTCAAAACCCCAATTTTTTTTAGTGATTGGTTAAGTTTGAAGTTTCAATCTGTTGATGAACATTCTTTAAGGACTTTTGTCAAAGAAAGACTAAGGGTATATAGTGAGGAAGAAAATACTACAAATCTAATTTTACATGAAGATATGTTAGACCATATATTGCGTATTGATAGAGTGCTTAAGCAATCTCAAGGTCATATGATATTAATAGGTCCAAGCTCGAGTGGGAAATCCACACTTTCAAAATTCGTCGCTTGGATTAATGGTTTAAAAGTTGTTCAACTAAATGTCAGAACTGGATATACAATAGATACTTTTGATGATACTTTGAGACAATTGTTGTTACGATGTGCAGATGGTGAGAAAATTTGTTTATTGATTGATGAATCAAGCATAGTAGAAGCTTCATTTGTTGAAAGAATGAATATATTATTAGCTAATGCAGAGATACCTGGATTATTTGAAGGTGATTCGCACCAGTTATTAATGAAGAAATGTTTAGAAAAATCCCAATCTCAAGGATTAGCACTTGAGTCGGAAAGAGAGTTAAATAATTGGTTTACTGAACAACTATCACAGAATTTACATGTTATTTTCACAATTGGAGAAACTCCCACAGGTGCAAGTGGTAATGTTATATCATCCCCCGCTTTATTTAATAGATGTGTTTTGAGTTGGATGGGAGATTGGTCAGACAGTTGTTTACAAGAGATTGCTTCTAGTGAGTTGAATAAGGTACCTCTCGATGCTTCACCAATGGAAATTGTATCAGGTTCTACAATTGATCATAAAGAAGGAATTGTATCATATATGATTTATGTTCATCGTAATAGTCTAGAAACAGCTACAACTTTTCCAAAAGAGTTTTTAACACTACTAAATACTTTTATTGAATTATACAAACAGAAACAAGTAGAATACGAGGAAAATCAAAGACATGTTATTATTGGTTTAAATAAACTTCGTGAATCGATGATACAAATAGATAAGTTAAAAGCTGATCTTGCCACTAAGGAGCAAGCTTTACAAGTTAAATCTAATGAAGCTAGATTAATGCTAAACACAATGTTACTTGATCAAAATGAAGCTGAAAGAAAACAAGAATTTTCAATAGAAACTCAAGCAGAATTAGAAAAACAAGAAATTGAAATAAGAAAAAGACGAGAGTATGTCTTGAATGAATTGAGATATGTAGAACCGGCAGTTCTTGAAGCTCAAAGAGGGGTTCAAAATATTAAGAAGCAACATCTTACTGAAATCAGAAGTATGATTAACCCTCCAAATGGAGTTAAATTGACTATGGAATCTGTTTGTATCATTTTAGGTTATAATGTTTCAAATTGGAAAGAAGTTCAATCAGTAGTTAGAAGTGATGATTTTATCGCAAATATTGTTAATTTTGATTGTGAGACTCAATTACCACCAGAATTACGTGAATACATGGAACAGGTATATTTATCAAGAGATGACTTCACATTTGAAGCTGTACATAGAGCAAGTAAGGCATGCGGTCCTTTGCTAGAATGGGTAAGAGCTCAATTGGCATATTCGAAAATTCTAAAAGATGTTGGACCATTACGTGAAGAAGTTCGTCACCTAGAGAAGCAAACTTTGAAAACAAAAGCTCAATTAATTGCAATTGATGAGATGATTCAGGAATTAGATAAAAAGATAGAAGAATGTAAAAATGGTTATAGTGAATTAATAAGAGAAAGTGAAAGAATTAGAATCGATTCAGATGTTGTCAAACAAAAATTAGACAGAAGTGTGAAATTAATTAAGAATCTTGAAACGGAAAGAAATAGATGGAAAAAGTCAATTGTATCATTTGAAAAACAAAATAGTCAATTAGTTGGAAATGTTTTGCTATGTGCGTCGTATCTTACATATGCTAGTAAATTTGATGAAAAAAGACGTGAATTGTTGATGCAAGATTGGAGTCAGCAATTGAAGAAATTAGGAATATTCTTTGATTCAGCATTATCTGTTTCAAACTTTACATTTAAGAGAGAAGATATCAAGCATTGGGTTGAAATTGGACTGGTGAACGATGAAACATTTACTTCAAATATACTTGCAATTGAGAAAAATCAAAATCCAATTTTAATAGATCCAAATAGCACAATTGTTAATTTAATCCAAAAAAATAATTCGAACAGAATGATCACTAGAACAAGTTTTAAAAACTCAAATTTTATGAGTAATTTAGAAAATTCATTGAGATTCGGTGGAATGTTGATTGTCGAAGATTGTGAATATTATAATCCAATATTAGATAATTTGTTTAGACTGGGTGTACAAAAATTAGGAGGAAGAATGGTTATTAAACTTGAAGAGCAAATGGTTGACTATAATCCAAGTTTCAAATTAATCATGTGTACTAAACGATCTACATTAGAATTATCAGATTTTGTCAAGGCTCGTACTACAACTGTTAATTTTGCCGTCACTAGTGGTAATTTAGAAAACATTGCTTTGAATATTGCACTCAAAAAATCAGACCCTGAATTAGAAAGTCAAAGATCAGAATTGGTTTTTAGCAAAAGTGATTTGGTTTATCGTATAGAAAATTTGGAAGATGATTTGTTACAATCATTAAATACCACTACTGAAAATATAGTTGATGATGATAAAGTATTAAATACTTTGGAATTCTTGAAGAAAGAAGGTAACGAGTTGAGTGAAAAATTAAACAACGCAGAAAGTATAATATTAAATGTTAATCAAGTGAGGGAGAAATACAAAGAGTTGGCATATCAAACTACTAAAGTTTTTGAAATTTTACACGTTTTAGAAAACATTTCCACATTCTATCATATATCATTGAGTAAATTCATTAGCATTTACAAATCTGTTATTGAATCTGAAGACTTGGACAAGATTGAATTGTTAATTGCTTCTTTATATGCAAATGCGTTTGAAGTTGTAGCTCCATCATTAACTAAGGAAAGTAGTTTAATTTTGGCTGTATTACTATCAATATTTTTGAATATTTTTAAATATGGAGAGAATTATGCAAAGAATATTAAAATGCTATTATCTGGTAATTTTGATGAAGGTAATTTTTTAAGTGATTGTTCTATCGTATCAGAACCTGAATTATCGTTTAATGACTTGGTTGAGCAGAATTTGGGCAATGAATTGTTAAATCAATTTTCCTTTTTAAAAGAAAAGTATACTTCAAAATCATTAGTGAATCATTTAATTACAAATGTGGCTGCTAAAGACTATAATTTGGGACAATTGCTTACTACAAATAATAAATTTATCATAATTTCTCCTCAAGATTATGATGCTACTTTCAAAATTATGGATTGTGCCATAAAAGATGATAAAACTTCAGTGGTAATCGCAATGGGCGCTAAAGAAAGTACAAAACTCGTTGATCAGCAATTAGAGGTTGCTACGAATTCGCCAGTATGGCTTGTTATTGAAAATGTTCAAATGTCCCCTAGTTGGCTTATTAGATTAGAATCATTAAATTTTCAACTACACAAAGATTCAAAATTATTTTTAACATGTAATGAAACATCAATTATTCCACCTACGTTAATAGCTACTAGTCAAGTTCTTCATTTTGCAAATGATAGATCATTCAACAATAACTTTTTAGAAACATTCAAACTCATACAATCAAAGTATTTGAAAGGTGCTATACACTTGCATATTTTTGTGTTGTATACTTGGTTTCATAGAATATTGATGGAAAGTGGTAAATACTGTCCTTACACTTTCAGCAAAAAGTATGATCTAAATGAGTCTGATTTCATCTGTGGTGTTTATATTATTGACAAAATATTAAGTGATGTCACAGAGGATGAATCGTTAGTTCAATGGAAGGAAATTACATTTATGGTGTGTGTGATAGTTTATGGTGGTAAAATTGATGAACCAAAAGATCAAGAATATATCAAAAGATTGGCTTCCTCGTTATTTACAAAAGGTTCACTAGATCTGGACTTCAAGTTAGTTGAAACTCTTCATTTACCAGAGGGAAATAATATTGATAATTATATTAAATGGATAAATGAATTACCAGACGAATTGTCTATTACATGGCTAGGATTAGACAGCAGCATTAAAGAATCTTTAGATGAGAAAATGGCCGAAAATGTAATAAAGCAAGTTTCAAAATTATTAGAGCTTATTTGATAGAAAAATAAAATAAATAAAGTTGATCCCAAAAATGTAAACCTATCGTTAATTACATATATTAATTTTATCTATAGTACAAAAGTTAAAACTTAGTTAATTAAATTATGCTTCTTCGTTTTGTTCTAAAGTTTGAGCGGCAATACGATCTAAATCTCTTTGACCATTTTCTGAAATTTTTCTACCACCTTTTGGTGAGATTTCCAAGACACCAATTTTTTGTAAACTTTGAACACATTTTCTATTAATTGAACCTGAAGCATCAACATGTTTATGTGGTCTGAAACCTCTGTTTTTAGCACCACCGTATAATTTGTTTAAAGCACCAACACCAACTTGTTTTCTTAAGTAAATGTGTCTAGCAATTGAGGCAGCTCTTTTGTAAAACCAAGTTTCAGCTTCTTGTGGTGGTAAATCATTACCAGCTGAAGTTTTGACTAAATCAACGTAACCTGGTACTTCTAATTTACCTTGTCTTTGTAAAAAGATAGCATAAGCGTTTATGAAATCTTGTGCTGGAACGTCTCTGATATTTTGATTGTTAGTATACTAGGAAAATTTTCATTTGGTTAGTTCCATCGTGAAAGAATAATAAGTCAAAATCGATTTACAATCTGGTGTCTTGGAAGTTCTCTTTTCAATCTCAGCAAACAATTTTAGAAGTTGTTGTTCAAATTTTGAATGCAATATCAATCGAAAAACATATTAAAATGTTCTTCCTATCCACCACGACAGTTTAAATCAATTTTCTTAAATACTTTCCCCAAATATGAACTAAACCCAATTATCCAATGAATATTAATTCATACCTTACTGAAGTCATTGTTATTAATGGTTTTGATGTATTGATTAAAGGTAAAGATTATATGAACTTACATTAACTAATTCTTTTTTTTTCACTTTTATTAAAAATAATCATACATGAGTTTTGTGTAACGTCAAAATTTACGAGCTCCATCAAATAGGTTTATAGCCCTACAAGTCAGAGTTATACAATTGAAGACACGACAATTTATCTTTTCTTATCTTATCACCAAAATCCACTGTAGTGTAACACATTTATTTCTATACACTGTATATATATTTTCTAGTTCATGGAGATAGTAAAGTTTTTCTTTGATGAGTACAATACTGTTCAAAATCACATAAAGAAGCTTCAATACTCCAAAAATAATCACCTTTAAGTCTTTGATCCTTTTTGTCATTTGAGGTTATAAAATTAGCTTTATCAATCGATTGTTGTGATGTTCCAACAAAATAGCCGTTATTATCCATTACTGAATACCCAGACAGTTTCCCATAACTTATATCATAAGAATCTTTAATTCTATATCTAGGTGAATTGAAAGCTGTTTTTGTCCAGATTGTAGATGCATTGATTTTATACTTGTATTTCTCTTTATCAATCATATCCATTAGATATTCTCTAATAATCAGATCATCTGAATAACTCCAACACTTTTCGATCAATATTTTATGTAATCCAAAATATCCTACATTTTTATTTAGTATAGGATTGACCATCCATTGAACAAAATCTGTAACAATTTTTAAGACATGCAAATGACTTTCTTCTAATGTCTCACCATATTGGAAAGATAATTGATTTATTCCAGATAATCTTACTATTACTCCCAAGGTTTCTCGAAGATTGAAAGACATTTGTGGACCAGTAACTGTACGATCTACTATCGTTAATGTTTTTGATATAGTTGAGTCGAAATATTCTGAATTATTTATAGTATCAGGATGGAATTTTATAAATTCTAAAATAGACACATCAAGTAAGATGTCTATTGGTTGCAGGAAAACTTTTAATAGTTCGTCACCGGCATAACCAGGAAAAAGTGCATGATCATTATCATAATGAGTTGGTGAAAGTTTCCTTCTGTTGACTCTTATCGTCAATTTCTTCAAATTTAGGGTGACAATCAGTTCCAATAACCGTATTGTTTCGGTATAAGCAATCGTGAAAGCATTATCTAAAAACAAAACAAATTCCTCCAATTCAATTTGATTTGAGTTTATGAAGTCAATTAGTACATCAAGACCTTGTTTAGTTGGAATATCTCCATAGCAAACAAATAAATCTAGTCGTTTTAAGCTTGGTAATGTATGTAATAACATTGGTGTTAATTGTAAAGTTTGAATATGAACTGCAAGATATGAAAGTTTGGGTAAATTGAATTGTAATGGTATAGTAGTAACAATAGCTTCATCTAGTATCTTCAACTCGTTCAAGCTCGGAAACATTTTTAAGTCTTCATTAGATAGCATGGAATTATCACACTCCAAATACTTCACATAGTTACATAAACATAAAACTTCTTGATACCTACTCTTAAACCTATGATCGCCAATATAATGATTTTTAAACCCAGATTTCGCTAGTTCGCTATTATTACAACTTTCAATATTCTTATTTATTAATTCCGAAAAAAACTCTCTATGGTATGTCATTTTATCACTAAACAATTCTTGAGTTTTAGGGCTGCATAATAATGAATCAATTTGATTTTTACGAATTATGCTAATATTTTGAAATAAAACACCACTTAAATACTGTCTCAAATTACTATTTACTGAAGATAATGATAACAAATTTTGATAACAATCTCCACATCTCTCTCGATTTATAATATATGTATGTTCTGGAAACCTAGATGAATTTGAATCTAATGAAATTTGACCATTTGAAAGCCAATAAATTATGTTATTTAATATTTCCAGTGGTAGTTGATCAAATTGTAGTAACTGAGTATTAGATATTGCTTTAGGGTTGTTTAAACCATTTTCAAATGGTACATCCATGAAAATAAAGTAATGAAATTTAAATCTAATTTGATAACAATCATATGAATTTGCTTTTAGTTTTAAAGAATATAATAGTATATGCTTATCGGTTAAATATTATTTATTGGTTATTTTTTTTCTTCTAGAAATGTCAATATTTCAAATACGATATAAGAATTGTTTCAAAGTAATGTTGTTTAATCTACTTCTTGATATAACTAATGAACATTATGTAAGTGAGTCTTTTCACTTGTTTTTGGGAATTTCAAATTTGCAGTAAATTCACCTTCTCCAAGACAAAGAGTATTCTGTTTCAAAACTTTCAAATTTGCGATTAGTGGCTTATTAATATTAAGAGATCACTTAATTTGAGCTAGAGAAGTATAACGATAACTTACAAAAATCATAACCTAATAAAATCACTAAAAATACATTATCATTAATTGTTTATTCAAAAAAAATGAAGAAATTTTATTAGAAAGAAAGCTATAAAAATAACTAAACCTAAACTTTGAAACCTCTTGATCTTCTTTTACCTCTAGCTCTTTCGAATTTTCTACCTTTTGAAAGAATTCTTGGAGCTTTACCTTTATGAGGACCAAATCCAAAGTGTCTTACGGCTTCTCTAGCGTTTCTTGGTCCTCTAACAATTAAAGTGTTTTGACCTTTTGGCGCACGTAAAGCTAATTGATCAAGAGTGATTGCTTCTCCTCCATTTTTGACAATTCTTGCTTTTGCACCTGAAGTAAATCTTAAAGCAGCAACAGTAGTTTTTGGGAATTCTAATAATCTGTTGTCATCAGTAACGGTACCAACAACGACAATGGTTTTTTCTGAAGCACCTTTTTGATTTAAAGCTCTTGAGATTCTTGAAACTGAAACTGGTGGTCTATTGATTTTTGATAAAAATAATGATCTTAAGATAACTTTGTTGAATGGAGCATCGGTTCTACCTGTAAAAAGAATTGTTAGTATATTAAACAAAGCTTTAGCATACAATATCTGCTCAGAAGACGCACATCCAATGGAGTACTCGCAGATTATACTTTCAATCACACTTTTAAAAGTGGAGAAACATTCAACATTTCACTAGCCTTTTAGGAATACTTATTGATTCGATAGTCTGTCTACTATCCAATAGAATCCACAAAAATCCGTAAAACATTTCTTTGGGGGTATGGACTTTGTTTGTACCAATTCTTAGATGACATCTTCTGATAATTTTGTTGTAGTTGATAAGTACATACGAGCTAAGAATGAATATAATTTGACTAATAATTTTAAGTAAACATTGTCTGATTTTGGAGCGGTTCTGTGACCTGATCTGATATGTTGTTTAGTGGTGTGATCTCTACCCATTTTTAATGTTTTATGTTGATGATGATGATGATGATGTGAAAAAATAATTAAAAATAAAATTTGAAAAATTTCAATAAATTTGTTTAATTGATTGTTTTTGTGTTACGAGGTGTACAATTTGTATGTGTTTGGTAGCTCTTTTTTTTCGAATTAATCTTTTATTAATTTGTGACTGTTTTTTTCTTTAGTATGATAAATTATAAACTCGATTTAAAAGCATCAATTATAATGATAAACTTGTTCTCAAAAGACAAGGAAACACTTCTTGACATTAGACGAGTTCACCTATACAAAAATCATGTATTTTTGATGACTTTTGATTTTTGCTAGTAATTTGTATGTAGGTCATGTGAATCGCACATCATCTTCCGTGAATCTTTATCTTGATTATAATTTTGTGTAAACAGTGTCATTGAATCTTAATCTAATCATCTAGTAATAATGGCTCAATTAACGCCAATAAGAGGATTCACTAATACTCCGGTAACGAAATCAATATGTTTAATATCAACAATTGTGCCCATCCTATTATCAATTTTATCAATCAAATACTATGTGAATTTAAGTATTGATCCATATATAATAGAATATCACCAATTCTGGAGGCTAATAACGTATCAAATGTCAGTTATAAATGAATCGGATTATTTGTTAATTGTATTATTGTGGTTTCAATTCAAAGTCTTGGAAAGATTTTATGGTTCAAGAAAATATTTATCTGTAATAACATCATTTGCCCTTGCAAATGCTATAACTTGTCTATTTGTAATGAGTGTTGGTCAATTATTGATTTATTATATATCATTTACCATAAAAGTTTATATTTTCAGGTTTGGTCCAAACTCAATTCATTATGAATCGACTATATTAAACACAGTTACTCCTGGTCCATTAGGTATTCTTTCATCATTATACGTCACTTATGGTGTAAATATTCCCATATCATACTATTTCAAAATTTTACTCAAAAAGCCAACTGCAAAAGAAGAACCACTCGGTTTTGGAAAATCCTCAAAAGAGTTAAACTTAAGTAATAAATTTCCTATTCATATACTATACATCTTGTTGGTGTTAAATAATGGCACTAAATCAATTATCCCGTGTATTGTTGGTCTTTTAATTGGTAAATTATATACATTCGATTTACTTTTTGGAACATCATGGCTTTTACCAAAATCAATATTTCAGTTTTTTACAAATCCAGCTAAAAAGACAATTCAAATAATTCTGTCAATACGATATAGATTATTTAGCAGCAGCTATCAGCCACTACCATCCAGAGGTGAAAGAATAATGAGTGAAGAACCAGATGATAACGACGAAGTTTTAGATGAAACTCGTCAACAAGAAAGTCAAATAAGAGCAGAAACCCCAGTAAGACCATTAGGTAGTCAATTTCTAGATACATTTCGTCATTAAAAATTCTATACATGTTTTTATTTACTTTTTTCTTTCTTTCTTCTTTCCACGTCCCAGTTATATAATCTTGCTGTATTGACTTCCATTGTTGTTATATTTTCTTTTAAAAAATCTAAGTCTTCCTCTACTATCTGCTTTTGTTCTTTGTTTTTATTTAATCTTTCATTTAATAATGTGACCGCTTCATCTAACGGATACTCTAACATTACCTCTGCTCCGAGCCACAAATAAACTGAGTTTAAATTTTTGACATCAACGGTTGCTTCATTATATAATGTATCATTCAATTCATAATTAAAAGTCACCTCATCATTTTCTTCATCGTTCTTACTTTCTTTTATTTGATCAATAACGGCTAAATTTTTCTCGATATCTGGAATTTTGATATTCAAATCAGCCAATTGTTGTTGTTTTGATAATTCCATATATTTATATTGCTGTAATCTCTGTTGAAATTGAGACATTATTGATTGAAATTCATTTTCCGGATCTTTAATTATGTTATCAACTTTTTCAATAAATGGAGCTTCTGGAATCCCACGAGGATTTGTATTTTTAGGTCTATCAATAATCAATTAGTAATTGATCAATATTATTTGAAAATGATCGTACATACTTTAGTATTTCAGCCATGATATGTGAAAGTTGAAGCAGCTTGGAATATCTTCTTTGAAACTAATGGTTTAATTATTGATAATTATTAGTGGGAGATAGTGCTACCAAATTTTTGCAAGTCAAGAGAACCATGTAGAGTTTTATTCAAAGTTGTAGCTATTTTACGACGTGATATAATACTTCAAAATAGATGCAATTTAAAATTAATTTTTAAAAATTTTTTGCTTCCATTTATCAACAAGTAAATCGAAAACGACTTCTAAATTGTTTACATTTTTTTATCTAAAACTAAACTGCCATTTCTTTCATTGCAAACACATCCAATTTGACACTTTTCGTGTAAACTTTCAAAAATGATTTGCAGCCAAAAATTACAGCCTAATACGGAACAAAGTCAAATCATTGACTACAAAATTTAGAAGAATACAATAATCGCAACACCAAAATAACAGAAATAGATATATTATAAAACCTACTATATCTTACATTGATTCTAATTAAAATCACCTGGTCTCGATCTTTGTCACTAAGTCGCGTGAGTTCTACCTCCGTAACATTTTTCATTTTGAGCCCTACGCTTGTCATAAACATTCAAAACTGATTCAGCAGCTTTGATACCAGAAACAATCATTCCTGAAAAAATCTAATTCAAAAGTTAGTAATTTATTTGGATAAAAAGTATTAAAAAAAATTATAACACATACCGGACCCATTCTGTTACAACCCGAAATTTCTGCAACCTCCATTCCTGCAAAAACAACACCAGGAAACCATTCTTGGGAACCCTTAACAACATTTTTTTCAGCTAAATTCATATCTAATCCTCTCATATTGTGTAATTGAAAATCTGAAGACTTTGTAGCAGTTGGAATTTCTTTACCATTGAAATCCTTCACTGGTTTAACAATCTCTGCTAATCTCTTGGCACTAAAGGCTCCAAACCTACCATCATGTCCCGACAGCGAGAGAACAACGTCGCAATTGATTGTATTAGGATCCATACAGCTTTGATCGTCATGATGCATCGTAACAAGTGTAAAATTGGTTACAACTCCCGTAACTCTAATTTCACCAGTAACTTCATCACGTCTAGTAATGAAATCCTCAACCGTAGTAGCATTGAATAATTTAATATTTGGAAATTGCAAGACCTTTGAAATTAATGTTGAGATAAATAAAGCAGCATGTTTAACAACAACATAATCACCCTCATCTTCATATTCCACATTGATTTCATCCAAAAATTCATGTGAAGGTTTACGAAAAACTTGTGCAGAAAGTAATTGACCTGATACCCATGATCCACCACCACAGCATATGTTACTTTCTATGAGGGCTATTTTTAAGTCTGGTCTTGCCTTTCCCAATACGTAAGCTGCAGTTAATCCACTTGATCCAGCACCAATAATGACAATATCAGATTCTGCATAGGTATCCATATCTTGAAAATATCTTCTAGTCATAGCTCTTGAAACAGTTGATTCCCTAATCGGAGTGAAGTCAAACTTATCCCAATCTGCAAATTTGACATCACCATTGGAGGCATTTGATGATAAATTGATGATATTTTTCTTCATCGGACTTAAGTCAAAAGTATCAACTTGAGCAGTTTGTAACATTGTTGGAGGAGTCATCTTTGATAATTAATTTTGTTCTAGTGAATTAATTGAGTTGTTTTATGAGTTATAATTTAATAAAATATTTTGAATAATTTCAACTAAATCGTCCCCAATTTATAGTAAAATTTTGGATCTCATTGACCCGTCAATTTCTCTACAATTTAAGTGCATACCCCTTTCTCGATAAGATTTATAGGTTATACTAATTTTCATTCAGGTTTTTTTGACGCATATGAATCTGGTATTGTTGTCTTAAATTAGAAAAGGGTTTTTGCTTATCGAAAAAATAAACGCATAAAGAATTCTCGTTTTTGTGTTTTAAAACAATTTGTTTTACTTGTCAAAAAAACCTTTATATGCAGGTGCTAACTTGAGGAAAGGAATTTTAAAAGCATAAGGATAACACCTTCATTAAAAACTTCCCTTATCTGTCAAAATATATCAGTGCCTCTCAATCTTTACAATCTTTACACGTTTATTAAAAAATCTAATCTATTTACAAAATTTATTGCTTCTCCACTTTTCTTCTTACCGACTTTGTTCACTAAATTTTTTAAAATACCTTTCTCTAAAATTTTTAATATTCAATTCTTTTAAACCGTCAGTTGTTTCACCAATATACGATTCATCCATTTTTATATAAACTAATAATCTTCTTGACCACTTATTGAAGTTTTGCACTAAATTGAAATTCAATTTTAAGTTTTGATGTTGAGGTATAATTGTATCGTTAAAATCATCATCAGCTGTTGGCATCCAAAATGCTAATCTACCCCCAATTGGTAATCTTTTGCTTGCAAATTCCAACAAGTCATGTAACATATCAGATAATTCATAAGGTTTTTTAGGAGCTACAAAATCTCTTCTTAAATGTGCAATTTCTCCCTCGACTATATTATGTTCTCTACCAGCTGCTTTTTCTTCATCTTTAGCACCTAATACTCTAAGTCCTTCTCTGACACCATATGGAGGATCACAAACAATTGTATCTATCACAAAATCATCTCTTAAAGCATTATGAGTGAAATCCATCGTTAGTATATCAAGAAATTGTGAGTATAAACCATAATCTTTGAAGTTAGTCTTAATGTTTTGAGGTCCATTTTTACCATTTAACATTCTTACATCTATATCTGATCCAATCGCAACTCCACCAAAATAAGCAGCAGTCACCATGAATGAACCAGTACCAGCAAACGGATCGTACACTATACTTCCTTTTTGAACTTGAGCTAAATTACAAGTAACTAAAGATAATTCAGCTTCAAATGATGTAGTACCAATATAACCTCTTTTTTTCAAATCAAATACTTCAACAAGATTATTCTTGGTTCTTTCACTTAATTCAACTTGTCTACCGAACCAAATATATATGGGTTTCTTAGATTTTCCTTCTTGTATTACCTCATAGTCCTCCAACACTGTGAATGTTTCATCTGCATTTTTGAGATCAATTTTACCTTTAAAATCTAGATATTTGAAAGACTCGATGGTTTTTACTTTTGATGAATTGGTTTGTTTTCCTTTATATCCCTCAAATTGAAACTTGAATGAACAATGGCTATATATTTCAATGTAATCTTGACAATTTTCTTTGATTTGCTCATGTAATTCCTCATAAGTGGTTCCCTCTGCCCATAATTCATAAATGGCTCTTGTCAAAATTGATCTTGATATTAATTGCTTTGCTTCATCATCGTTGTTTAGTGAAATTTTTAAAAATGGTTTTGTCTCGTCATGATGTGATAAATCTACCGATATTTTATTTATACTTGCAAGTGATTCTAATTCTGCCTGCCTGAAATTTGGATGAGCTTGTGCAAATAGTATTAAATATTCTTTCATATATATGCGATGGATTCATTTTTGTTTTAATTATTTTTTTGCGTTGCAAATTTCAAACACAACAAATTTAAAGGTGCTGAAGTGACATGCTTATTGACTATTTGCAAAAATTGCTAAACGTAAAGTCGGAAATACAAACTGGCCAATTCTATAAAGCTCGTGTTGCACTGATGATATTAATTCGAGATGGGTTGAGCAGAAGGACTTTAAGATCAAAAAAGTTGATATGAAGATAAAAACAAAAGCTTTCTTGATACAAAGTCAAGTTTACTTTAATAATCATTTCTTTTGATCGTTTAAAAGAGAATTGGGAAATGAGCTAAATGAACTACCTCTTCAAGATGTAATGATTCATTCGTAGAAATTACGAAAAACCGTATGTATATTCTGGTTACTTACACAAAATCAATATAGTACTATTCAAAATAATAAACAAATAAAAAATGCATAATAAAAATTCCAACTGATTAAATCATATCAATTTAATAACCAGAAAGACAATCTATGAATTGTGATCTACTAGGTCAAAAAGTTGCAGTACCAGGGGCAGCAGGTCAAGGGTATATCAAATACTTAGGACCAATCCAAAATAAAACCGGATTATTTGTTGGATTAGAATTAATTGGGACAGTAGCTAAAACAAGAGGTAAAAATTCTGGATCAGTTGAGGGAATTCAATATTTTCAAGTTAATGTACCAAAAAGTGGATTATTTTTGCCTTATGAAAGAGTTAAAAGTTGTAATATAAAATTACCAGAATTAAATTTACAAAATTATGAAACTAAACTACATACGAATACAAATGTTATAACTCCAATTAGATCACATTTCAATCCAATATCAGAAAATAGGAGTCCTACAAAACATCCACATCCACATCAACATCAACATCAACATCAACATCAACAACATCAGCAACAAAATACCACCCCTATAAGATCACCCTTAAGTCCTATCAATACATATCAAAATGCTAAATTAAATCTACTAAATAATCAATTAATCAAATCGGAAAATAACAAAGATTATGAATTAATAGTTAAAGATTTGAATTCAAAATTAAAGGACAAAGACAGAAAACTAGAAAATTTTGGTAAGCAAAGAGAAGAATGGCATATGGCAATGGATGATTTAATTGCTGTTCAACAAGAAGGTATACAAGTTTTTGAAGAGAAAATTTTGGAGTTAGAAGGTATAAATGAAGAGCAAGAAAAAGAAATTATAAGCTTGAATTTACAAATAGATAAACTAGTCAAGGAAAAAAATACAATTCAAAATAAAACAGATAAATCAGAAGTAGAAGAATTACAAAAACAATTACAACAAGCAAATGAAGAATTGAAAACATTCAAAAACCAATCTTCCGAAATTGATGAACTCAAAAAAATAATAAAACAATCGGAAGATAGAATCTTACAATTAGAGACTCAAAATGTTACTAAAAATATAGAATCAGTAGAATTAAATCCACCATCTACATCATCAAATTTATTACAATTAAATAGTCAAGAAGATACTATACAAAATTTACCAATCTACAAAAGTGACAATTTAACAGATCCAAGTTCTGGTAAATCAGATTGGTGTGGATTATGTGAAAGAGATGGTCATAGTTCTATAAATTGTCCTTTTGAAAATGATATCTTTTGAATAAATAATTCCCTCTGAAATTCTAAATTTTTTTTTTTTCCTTTATCACATGCGTAGAATAAACAATACCCCATATTTTATTAACAAACCAATTTTATAACTAACAATGAAACTGACAATCAATGTTTTAAAAACTGTCTTTTTACCAAATTAAAGATGTCTCTTGATCAATTTGATATCAAATTACATAGTGAAGATAATAAAGAATTTTCAACCTTAAGTAATTTATCATCAGATTCAATTAAAAATCAAAAATTCGATAGACTTATAATTTTACTACATGGTTTTCCAGATATAAATACAACATTTAACAAAGTATGGCCAATTTTACTTAATCATTATCAAAATGAAAAAATATTATTAGTTGCACCAAAATTAAGAGGTTACGAAGAATCAAGTATTAGTAAGGAACAAGATTATATGATGCCTAATTTAGCAAAAGATGTTAAAGGTTGGATTTTAGAATTAGTACCAAATCAAGATAAACCAGTACATTTAATAGGTCATGATTGGGGTGCATTGATTGCTTTTAAAACTGCTAATTTATATCCCGATTTAATAACATCAATGTGTTGTTTAGCTATACCTTATTTAACAAATTTAAGATTATATGAATTATTATGGAATGTACCTGAACAAATTTATTTAAGTTCATATTTTTTAACAATGCAATATCCATATTTTTATAAAGATAAATTAACAAATGATTCAAATCCATACCTTAAAAACATTTGGAAATATTGGTCACCTGATTATGAACCAACTACCACAGAAATTCAAGAATTAAAAGATTCATTTAAAAAACCTGGAGTAGGTGATGCAATAACTGCTTATTATAGACATTTATTTAGACCATTATCACTAATAAAATCAAGATGGCCTGTAAATTTTCAAAAAGTTCCCACATTAATAATGATGGGAGAAAATGATGGATGTATGTCATTTAGATTGGGATTATTAGAACAAAAGAAACTTAAAAAGGATTATCCACAAGCTCAAATTAAAATTATCCCAAATTGTGGTCATTTTTTACAACGTGAACAACCACAAATTGTAAGTGATATAATAATAGACTTTTTAGAAGTTTTTAAATAAAATTTAAATTTTTTTAAATTCTATATATATATTTATTTTTGTGTGTCTATGCAATTGTAGTATTTGTATCATCAACTTCACCATTTGCAAAAATTATACCATCTTCATCTATTGTTGTTGTTATATCATTTGATTCTTCTTGTGGTTTTTGTCTAATTTCTGATTGTAATTTTAATAATTGTAATTTACCTTTTATTGAATATAAACTTGGTAAAATTTTAAGTCCATTTGATAAATTACTATGTAATGATTTTATTTCTAGGTTTGTATTTTTGGCAATAAAATTTCCATGAACTAATAATATCCATTTAAGCCATATGGTTAAATTGAAATTTTTTGTTGAATCTTTTGATATCTCTTCTGATATAATTTGATATAATTTTTCCATTTGTGGAGTTGATAATTTTATGACTAATGTTTTAATAAGGTCAGAATCGTCTGTTGATGAACATGATTCAATTAGGATGGTTGAATCTAATTTTTCTATTGAATTTATATTAGATTCAATTTCTTCTTCTGTTTGTTTTGTTATAGGTATTGATTCTTCATAATCTATAATGACTGGATGTGATTTAGTTGGTTGGGTTTGAGGTTGATTCACCACAATGTCTTTTTGAATAAGTGTAAACTTTTGAAAATTAATTTCATTATCTATATGCCAGATGATAAATAATTCATCTTCTATTTGTAATATTTCATCTATCGATTGTGTTGTAAATATTTCATTTAATAATTTCCCATCCAAAGAAATTATTTTGATTGAATTTGATGTAATAATAAAAATATGTGGTTCGTCGTAAACTTTTAGTATTTGAACTTTTATAATGTCATCTCCTTTATAGATTGTATTGTTGGTTGAATTATTAGATATAAGGTTAATTTGATTATTTGATTCAATTAAAATTTGATCTTTTAATGGTTGTATTTCTTGTACTCCTTTTTTATATGCAATTTCATTTTGCTCAACAAATTTGTTACTCTCTATTTGACCAATTTGTAGGTTACTTTTGGTTCCAATATATACTTTTTCCTCATTTATAAGAATTGATTGAAATTTGGGTACTTTTATTCTGTTTATTTCACTATTGGTTAAGTTTAAGGTGATTATTGTATCATTCTTGGCGGTGTTTCCCCATACTATCCCATTCTCTGCTTTCACCAAACTAGAAATATTGCTGTCGTTAGATTTATTCTCTATTATTGAATTTGATGTTGGTGATATAATTAGTATTGATTCTTTAGTTAATGCTATTAGTTTTCCATCAAAATCTTCATGTGTATTTGATTTTTCTTCACCATTTAAGCTCCTCTTTTTTAAAGCTTTATGACCATTACTATGCCCATTACTTAAATTCGCTATTTGTTTTGACCATATAAAATCAATTATTGGTTCATCTATCAAAACAGTACCAGTTAAATTTAATTCACCATTTATGTCAATAGTAAAAAATTGAATTTCGTTATTTTCATCATTACGTGAAATTAGCTTTGCTATTCGATCTTTTTGTATGCTATATTTCATTAGGTTTTGGTAAATTTATTAGTTAGTGGTGATGATCTTAATTAAAAGTTTCAGAACGGTAAAAGAATATTCGGGATGAGATTCTGAAAAATTCGTACGCACGACCTAGAATCTAAATATTCTAACGTTCTTTAAGCGGCTTTGTTTTACAGTTTATAATTTATTTAGGGGGTAATTTATATGACTTATAATTTGCTATGTTCAAATTTTATTCCAACGCAAGAGAATAGAAACTATCCCTCGACATTCTGAGCAGTAGCTTAGTCTATTGCTTTGCTCTAGGTACATGTTTGAGTATAGTTCAGATGCTGGTTGTAGCGAATTATAATTTTACAGTTTAAGTTAGTAATTAACAAATTTTGTAAAAAATTGGTTGCCAAAATAATGACTTTTGTTTAAAATCAATAACTTCATAAGCACCTCAATCTGATAGAAAAATAAGTGCAAGCAACCAAAGATACTTCATTAATCTCTATTTGCTCTGTCTGCTGAGCATCAACTTATGTTAAGCTTTTTTAAAAACCAACTTTAACTCGATCTTCGACCACTCTCGTTTAAGCAAGATTTCGTAAAATAATATTATTAGTTAAACCAGCTTACTTTTTGAGCATCAAATAAGCCTGCGTGGCGAAATGGTTATCGCTTTTGACTTCTAATCAAAGGATTCCGGGTTCGAATCCCGGCGTGGGTTCTATATAATTGCAGCTTTAGCTCACCTGGGAGAGCGTCAGACTGAAGATCTGGAGGTACTGTGTTCGAGCCACAGAAGCTGCATTGAAGAGGTTTAACTTTTTTTTATTTTATTGCAATCAGAATCGTTATGTCGCTATCTAAAGCAAATCTCTAATTTTAAAAGTCTCAGAATGAAACTATATAATAGATGTAAACACAAGGCATAAATTTTCATCAATCTAATCAGAAATAAAGTTTTGAGTAAGGATATGAAAATGTGGTTGCAAAATTAAATTCAGTAAGTAATATCACCTACTCTTTGTTACCTATATATTGTCTTTGCTATCTAATTTTAATACATCAAATACAATTGATCACCATCATTTTCAAAAAAATCCAGTTCATTATTATATTCTTCTAATTTAAAAACATTAGTCCAATTTATATCTTGATTTAAATCTATTAAATTTTGATCTGATGTTGTTTTTTTAATAGTAGTTGATAAAAATATAAAATTTTCAATTATTGATATTTTTGAATTATAAATTTCACTTGATTCATTTAAATTTTCATTTAATATTGAGATTTCTTTATTTTCTAGTTCCATTGATTTTCGATTATTTGTTGAATTATCATGTTTTATTTTTTTAATGAAATCGTTTAAATTATATAAGTTTGTTGTTCTATGCAATTTTTTAGTTTGATCATTATTATTTGAAATATTATTTGATGATTTTGAATTTGGTAAAATTTTGGAATAAGTATAATTTGAATCTTTTTCAGTTGAAGAAATAGTTGATGAAATATCTTCTTCTATATCACTATCAATATAAGTTATTGATGATTGATCGAAAATTGAATCTATTTGAGAATTTATTGTTATTGGACTTATATTATCTTCTTTTACTGGTGAACCTATATAAGAAAGTCTTTTCAATCTATTTGCTGCAGTTGTTGTTGTTGATATATTTTTTGTAGAAGTTCTTGGAAAATTATTAGTTGATAAATTGGGAGTACTTGATCTTGTTTTCAATCTTATATTTTCTTTATCTTCATCGTTACTAATAATATTAGAATTACTTGAAACAGATATATTTGAAGATTGAAGTATTGGTGATGAGATTTTTAAATTTATTGCAGATATACTTGTACTTAAAGGTCTTGATTTTCTTTTTTCAATTGTGGAAGGTGATGAATTATTTGACAGATTATTTAAATTATTATATGATGATTTTTTGAATGGATTAAAAAAATTTGAAGATTTCTTTTCATTTATATTTGATATACTTTGTGAACGTAACATGTTTTGTGTAGTTTGTAATTGAAATGATTGTAAGGAAGAAGTATAAAATTTATAAGCTTGTAAAGGGTATTATGTAAAATTATTGAAGATGAAGTAAAGTTTAAAGATTTATAAATCTAGTCAAAGATTGAAAAAAGGAGATGTTATTCTATTTTAAATTCATTTTTGAAAATTGTTTCATTTTTTATTTATATTAATTTCAAAAGGAGTTTCATATATAAATTTTGACGCGATTATGAAATAATAAATAAAATAATTATTTAACTAATTAAGTTGAAATTGTAAACATTCTAATTATCATTACATAACAACCACTCACATAATTACGTAACAATTTATGTAATAATCGAGTTTTATTATGTAATAATTATGTAACAATTATATGTTTATTACGTAATATATATGCAGATTTAAAAAGATCTACAATTTTAATTATAATAATTTCGAGATACGATTATTTTATATTTTTTTCTATATTTCTTAATCATTTCATTAGATCTATTTAAAATATCTTTCGTCTATGACCATACCCCGCAAGAATGAAATATATTAAGAGGAAGTGATAAGATAAAAAGAATGTTTCAGAAGACGACTCTTTGACGAAATGGGCATAACACTCTTAACTTTTTTAATTGTAAATTCCTTAACTTTGAAGTTTTAATAAAAATTGAAGTCCGTTATTAAGCTTTTTATTACATAACTTATACATTTTTGATTCTGACGATTATGATACTTATTAGTTTTTGCCATGTATCATTTTGTTCTATATACATTTTTAAATTTTTGGGTATTTATATACAATTTTATTCTTTCCAAAATTCATACTTATTATCATTATCAATTATTATTTCATCATTATAAAAAAATTTATTATTACCTTTTAACCAATGGTTTAAGGCTAAATATTCTTGATTTTTTATATGTTCATGTTTCTCATCATCTGTCAAAGCCTGATTTGAGTCTCCATTATCAAATTGATTCTCGCAAGGTACTAAATTACTATAAAATGGTGATTTACCATTGAATTTTTTCAAATTAAAAGTACTCTTCTTAAACAAATTTTCTTTTCTTAAAATGTTTCCGTTTTTATCATACCCACTGAAACTTTTGTTGATATAATTTACTATAGGTTGACGAATAATTGAATTTAAACCAGGATATGCAAAAAATTTTATTAGTTCATTTGTTGATTTTGAACCAACTGGTTTTATATTTATATAACCAAAGTTTTCAAATATTAAATCAATTGGACCATAAAATGGTGGTATGACAAATTTGTTGTAATTACCTAATTGATTGTAGACTATGAACTGATTGGATAGTTCTTTTGGTGGTGTTTCACCAGAAGTAATTTGTTTGATTTTTTCAACGTTCTTAAATGATGTAATTTCAATATTTGTTACATTTTTAATTTGGTACATTGATCCAATTGGTAATTCCAAAAATCCCAATCCTTCAAAATTTAATACTTGTGGTCCTTTATAAGTTTTATATTCTGATTTATATGTACCATTTTTATACGTTTTTGAGCCTTTAATTAACCTATTTATATTTTTTGAATTAGTGATAGAATCATATAAATTATGTATGTTTTGATTATTTGAATCTGTGAACCCCGGTACATCATATAATGTTTTTAAACCTATATTTATTGGAATTAGATCTCTTGTAAAACCAGGCAAATATGATATTCCAGGACCAATTTTTTGATTAAATGATTTAATATATTTATTTTTAGCATTTTTAATTAATGAATTTGATAAATTTATATTTAATTTTTGTTTTTTAGATTCTAAATCTTCTTCAAGTAATAATGATTTAATTAATGTAGATTTACCACAATTTGTATTCCCAATAATATATGAACCATTTGGTAAAAAATGATATAATTCTTTTAATTTCCAATTTTCTTTACATGAAGTTATGAAAATATTTTGTGATGGAATACCAAATTTTTTACCAAAATAATCATTTAAAAATTCTTTTGTATAATTATAAATTGCATTATTTGGTTTATTTATTAAGTTATCTAATTTGGTCATAACCAAATAAATTTCATTTGGATTTCTAAATTTCAAAATTTGCGGGTTAAAACCTATTGGAAAATCTGATGAATTAAATAAATAAACTAATGGTGCACTTTTTGGAATATGTGATAAAACTTTTGATAATTCATTGATTGGGAAATTCTCATTATTCATTTTAAATTCTGAGTTATAAGTTGCATTTCTACATCTAATGCAATCAAATTCTTTTTCTTTTGGATCTATTGTATATGTTTTTTCAATGACTTCACGAACCGATTCTCCTTTATTGTTAAGTGATTGAGGTATTATTAAATCATTTTTCGATACATTAAAGTTATTTGTAGTCAATAAATCTTGATCTTCTTTATTAAGATCTTGCATTAGTGAATTATATACTTGATCTTCATGTTTTATGAATTTTTTGGTTGTATTTGAATTGTCTAATGTTTTTATATAAAACCCTGCTTTTGCAGAGTCTGTATCTTGCAATTTGATTCCACAAGATCTACATTTAGGATCTAAATTATATAAAAATGGTAATGCTATACTAGATTGGTATCTTATAAATGAGACAAATCTTGAAGATTTTTGTAAACGTCGTAGCAGTAACATTAGTCTGTTTAAAGTGTATGTTTTATAGTTTGGTTGTAAAAATTATGTGTAACGATGTTTGAAAGAAACAAAATACGCATCGGATTTAATGATAGATTTTTTTTTTAGCGGCTGTTTTTGTAATACAAGATTTGATTTACAATTGAACACTAATTAATTTAATATCTTATTCTTTTATGATTTAACATTAATTGCATATTCTTCAATAAGGAAATTAACTACTATATTTGAAAATTTCGTTAATCATAATATAAGGTTAAATATTCTTCAAACCATTAATGACGATTTTATGAATTTACAAAAACTATATTTTCAAAAATAAGTTTAAATGGTCATGTGCTAAATATCAGAGTTCTAATAGATCGATCTTAAAAACTCACCATGACAATTTTAATACTATTGAACCTATCTTTATCTTAGATTAAGTAAGCTTTACAAATCACTATTTTACGGCCCATAAATATTCAACAAATATCTTGTTATCTACAATATTGATGGTGCAACTAAATTTGTAAAGTTTTACATCGTTTTTTTTCTTTTGTTAAAAAAAAAAATAAGTCAAAAAAAGTTACAAAGCAATTAAAACAAACAATCGATTGTTATTTTTCTAATTACTAAAAATTTCATGTAAAATCATACATTTTGTTCAAAGTTTTCTATTTTTATCTTTTATGCAAGTTTAAATAAATTTGAAGTAATTTTATTTGAATAAACAAATCGTCATCGTCTTTTTTTTTGTTTGAATATAGAAAATATAAGAAAAGCTTTTAAATCCTTTTAACTTTCTATTAGTAAGGTTGAATGATCAAATGAGTTTTAATCTTTTTTATTGTCAAAGCTCATGTTGAATTGGCTGTTGTTGATGAGATTCTAGCTTTATGCTTTACTTGGAGGAATAAAAATTTTCAATACAACAAAAAAATGTTAGTTTTATTTAAGTTTGAGATCAACAATTTAAATTTTATGATGATTTACATAAAGCATGACACAAAAACTACTTTACAACCAGAAAATAGAAAAAAAGGGGGTCGCGAATCACTCTTAGGGGGTTATCGAATATTAGCAAATTGTTGAATTAAATTAGCTGTGCTTTGGTATAAAAAAATTAAATCTAGCTGAGTAGATATTTTATCACAATGTATATGTAACAAGTTACGACCTATCGATGAATTTTGAGAATTAAAGAAAATCACTAGGGGCCCGTGGATATTGAATTATGAGACAACAATTAAAGCATAAACAATTTGGATAGACCACCTAAAACTCAGCCGGGACTAAAACGCATTTAAACATCTATTGACTACACAAGAGGTTAAATATAATAAAATGATTTATTATTTACGTACGTGGATTATTTTGTGTAAATAATTATGCTGGAGAACAAAGATAAAAAAAATTATTTTTACCATTTTATGCGTAAATTTAAATCATTCACAGATGCACGTATAATTTTTTTTTGATGAGCTGTTCTTGAGACAATAATATTTCGTTAAAGAAAAACAAAATTACCAAAAGCAATTTCAAGTACAATTTTGCTTGATATAAAAATGTCACGATACTGTCCTGCTAGTGAAGAATCTAAAAATATGTAGTAAATAAAAGAATAATTTCTGACGTATAGGAAGATTTTAGATGATTTATAAAAGAAAAAATGCTGGATAAGATGGGAAAAATATTTAAAGTTTCATCGGCAATTATTTATAAACTTTTTCCTTTGTTCCAATATAATTATTTGCTCAAATAAATTGAACAATTTATTACTTATTGATTTACTCGCAATAAACTCATGAAAAACAAAAAAAATTTAAAAATTAATTTTATTTACTTAGCAATCATTTCGGTAAATCTATATTTATTTATGTATTTAAAGTTAATTAGATCCAAGTAAAAAATTATAAATGATACATTTCTTTATGCATGATCTAATAAATAATTTAGATTTAATCAATTGTTTAAGGAGAAATCTAAATTTTTAAAAAGATTAAAATTAATAATTCTGTTTGTTTTATTGTTTATAATGTTTATTATATAAATATGACAGTTTATTAAAAATTTTTATTTTTTTCAAGATGAAATTTTGAAAATACGTATTTTTCAAAAACATCTTTATCGAAGTAGTTGAATCATTAATAATTTTGGGTGTTATTGGAAACATGTCAGTAAACACTTCAAACACTAATTCTCTTTGCCATACGAGTAAGTGGAGTTCACATGATATTGTAATCAATCTGTGATTATGAATAAAAACAATTTATAAGATTGTCATGAATTAATCTCACAATTATTTTTAGAATTTTTGATAATAATCTATTTTTATGTTTAAACTAATAAATATTTTAGTAAGAATAATACATAATATTTTTTTTTTNTTTTTTTTTTTTTTTATTGTTTCATAATAATTTTAATTGTTTTTTTTTTTTTTAAATTTTTAAATTTAATAAAGAGTGCATAAATTAATAATAAATGAATTTACGAAGGCTAATAATAAATTTGCGGTGTAAATTATAGGAAAAATAATAAATTATTACATCTTTGATTTTTATTTTTAATTTAGGATCATTTTTTGATTTTGTTCTCTATCTTTTTATATGTTTCAACTATTAATATGTGAATGATAACAAGATAATCTTTCCAATTTTTAGATATTGAATCAAGATTGGTTTTTAAAATCATTTCAATATGTGACCATAGTTTGTACCTCATTTTTGAATTCTAAAGCAATAAGAATAAAAATCATGGAAAAATAGTTTGATTGAATAAAAATGCATGACAAGCTAATTTTTATTTAATTAAGCTTTTTTAATAAATTTAAATTTTAAAATTTAAAATTAATCGTAAAAATTATTTTTATTAAATTATTAAAATTAATGATGTTTAAATATATAAATAAGGTAAAGTATAACTTAAATCCTGTCCTTAATTTTTAAAATTTAAAGCTAAAAATTTTGGAAAAAGAAGCAATTGTCAATAATGGAGTGAAGCAATTTCAATAACTTTAATTTAATTCTTCTACAATAAAGAATATGAGAAATTAATGAGATAGAAACACATGGTTATATATTTTGAACGGTATTAGATCAATTTTTTCCATATATGCGTTTCTTATCATTGCATATACTCACACCATTCTTTATTTAATTATGAACGATAGAAAGCTAGCTTGTAATAAGGAACAAGTAGACTGAGTCCCCAAAGATTTATCCAACTATTAATTATTGACATTGTTCTGGCATGTAACACATCACAATACCAGCAATTTCACCAGATATTGATTTGGGTTTTTGAGACCAAAAAAATTTAAAGTATTTAAAGCTTGATTCAATAAGTAACACACTTTCAGTATTGAGAAGAAAAAGGAAAGAATGAAATGAATTAAATAAAGAATCACATATTCGTACCATTTTAAGTTGTAAGTTGTCAATCTTGATAATTATTTGTGTAAATTTGTGGTTACATAGCTCTACGTACATACCTAGACATTGCATTTTGAATGTTATAATAATATTAAATAGAAGAAAAAAAAAAACGATTAAGAAATAAAATTTCAATAGAAAAGGGGGACAAGATTTATTCATCGGATAATAATAAAATTTAGTTAAATAATAAAATATTATAATGATTATTGTTTTACATTTCAAAAATTATTATAATAGTAACTGAAATCAAATTATTCGAGATTTCAGCAGATTATCAGTATAAATTTGATTTGATTTAGAAGCTATGAAATATTTCATCAACACGTAGATTTTTACATTTTATGATCTTTTACTATTTGTCTCAATTTCTTAGTTACGATGTCTTGTTAATTTCATAATCTTCAAATTAAATTATTAAATAACATAAATAACATAAAGTTCGTTTCAAATAACTTAAATTACATAAAAATCAATTAACGATCAACTATTTGTGTAGTAAAGTGGTATAAATATTAAAACATTAATATATTTAAATAAATAAATAATTAAAAAATAAAGAATTAAAATAATAAAGTACAAACTAAAAAAGCTTAAAATATTATTTTTATTGTTTATGCATATTTTCTTAAATTTTATTATTAATTTAATTTTTAAAACGAAGTCTATGACACAAATAAAAAAAATAAATTTAAAAAAATAAAAAAATAAAAATAAAAAAACTTAAATTGGATTTTTTTTTATTATTAAATTAAAATTATCAACAATTTTGAATTGAATTTTTTTTTTCCAGCTGATAGATTTTTCTTTCCAAGATATTCACTTTTAAATCATCAAGTACTTGGTTAAAACAACCTTTACATTAAATTATTAATCAAAATTTTATATATACACAATACAAACTATAATAATTGATTATTCAAGTTTTCATTTAAACTTACTATTTAATATATTAACATATTAATTTGAATACTTTAAAAATCAAGTGACTTATTGAAATTGCTCAACAATCATATACAACCTATCACTTGCCTTTAATCACTAATTAATAAAGAGTTCATTTATTACTTTGTCATTTTAGTAATTACGAAAACTTTCAAGATCTTCCACATCGGGTAAACTAAATCTACTAAATCTACATCCACTATTTTAAAAAAAGATTTAAACAATTACCACAAAATCTTCTCGTAATAATAATGCCAAAACGATCCAAAACTCCCAAAGCTTCACCAATGGTTAAAAAACCTACTATAATGAATAGTTATGATATAGCAGCCACTGAAGTTTGGGTAAAATGTGGTGAATGTGCAAATACCTTAGGCTTGAATGAAGCTGCAATAAAATCATTTGAAAATGCTGTAAATAGAGATCCTTCAAATATAGCTGCATTATGTGGTTTAAGTTTATCATTAAGATTAAATGATATTAATAATAATGAAACTTTTGGTTCTCAATCATCTATTGAAAGATTAAACTCATCAATTGAATCTTTCCCAAATTTATTAAAAGATTCAAATATTTTCAAAGAATTATCAGAATGTTACTTATTGATTGGTTTAAATGATCAAGCTCATCAAGCTATTCAATCAGCTATACTGTTGTCACCACAGGATGCTTCATTATGGTTATTAAGTGCTCAAACATTAATTAGAGTTGGTGCAAGAGCTCATGCAGCAAATTCATTAACTCATTGTTTATCTTTATTACCACAAAATGGAAAATATTCTCAACAAGATATTGAAACCGCAAGAGCTGCTCATGCAGAATTAGCTGCAATAGCAGCAGCTGATGGAAATATAGAAACATCAATTGCAGAATTAAGTTCAACATTATCCTTACCACCACCACCATTATCAAGAATAGATGAACATATAGCTTTATGGTGTGCATTATCAACAGCAAAGGAAAGAGCAAATGATATAATAGGAGCTATAAAAGCATGTGAAGATGCAGAAGTTGCAGTTGGAGATTCTCCAAGAATTATAATGACAAGAGCTTATTTATTATTATTATTAAATCCAAAAGAAAATTCAGATTTAGCTATAAGTTTATTAAACAAAATAATAAATTTAGACGATGAAAATACTATAAATGAAGGAACAGATTTTTTACCATGGTATTTATTGGGAAGAGCTTATTCATTAACTGATAGACCAAGATTAGCATATGATTCTTATCAAGTTGCATTAAGATGTGCATCAAATTCTCCAATTACTTGGTTAGCAGTAGGAAAATTATATTTAGAATTAAAACAATTACCAGATGCATTAGCAGCTTATAGTCAAGCATTAAAATTACAAATTGAAGATGGATCTCAAGGTACAGCAACAGCATGGGATGGATTAAGTTGTGTTTATGAGAGATGCGACGATCATTTAATGGATGCTTCAGATGCATGTGGCAGAGCAGGTTTATGTTTTAAAGCAATTGGAGATTTGAAAAATAGTAATTATTTTGAAATAAGATCAGAGCAATTAGCAAAAGCTGCTAAAAATGAAGGTCCAATACCCGAATTAAGACAACCACCAGATGTTCCAAGTTTCTTGCTTAGAGATTTAGTTGCATTAGCACCAAATGAAAGAATTGCATATACACAAACTCAGAGAACTCAACATGTTAAACAAGAACAACAACAACAACAAGCTCAACAACAACAGCAACAACAACAAACTCCATCATTACAGCAACAACAGCATCAAATCCATCAACCACCACCACAACCTCATCAACAGCAACAACAACCAATACATCAACCTCAACATTATCCGCCACAATATCAACAATCACCACAACAAGTACAACATATTCCTCATCAACAACAACCCCCAAGTTCACAGCAACAAACCCCATCTCAACCACCATATAGAGGAGCACCAACAAATCAACAACCTCAGCCTCAACAAGCACAATATTATTATCCACCATCTCAACAACAACAACAGCAACAACAACAACCAAATCAACAATATTACTATCCCCCTCCACCACAACATCAACAACAGTCCCAGCCACCACCTCAACATCAACATCAACAATCTCCACCACAACATTCTCATCCACAAATGATTCCAAATATTCAACAACAACAACAACAGCAGCAACAAGGACCACCAGTCCCACCACCAGCTCCTTATTCAATCGCTGGAGCAGCCCCAGGAAGTTTACCACCACCAGCTGGTCCTTATGGTCAATATTTACCTATTCCAGGTGGAGTTGTACATAATGGACCACTGCAATATTCATCACCAAATTCATGGAGAAGATAATTTATTTAAGATTTTTGTTAACGAAGTAATGATAAAAAGAAAAGTGACGAAGAACAAAAATCTCATTTATTAATATTTAATTCATAGATTTATTATCATCATATATATTAGTGTATTAGTAAATATTTAAAATTGAGAGTAATTGTTTATGTAGAGAGCATTAATACGAATACTAATTAGGTAAGTTTGATTTATTAATCTATTAGATCTATAAATTCTTTCCAATCTCCACTATAATGATCAATCTTGAAATCATCAAGAATTGTATCTAATTTTGAATCTTTAATACAACAAGGATAATCAACTTCTAAAATTGGTAACAAGTCGTTTGTACTATCACCTATATACATGATATCATTTTTGTCAGAGTCTTTCTCTATATATTGTTGGACAAAGCTCAATTTGTCAACTGACGTCCTAATTTGATCTCTAGTAGTGTCCCAATTTCCGGTGGTTTTACCATCTTGGAATACAAAGTCGTTAGTGATTACACCAGCAAGTTCTAAATTGTTTTGAGTCGTTAAAATATCCTCTATAATTAAACTTGTCCAATTTGTGCTCAATATATATACAGGAATGTTTAGTGAGTTGCATTTTTGAAAAAATCCAATCACTGAAGGTCGAAGTTTTATCTTAGTTGACTGATTCAAAAAGTCTTGTTTTGATAAATTTTGGAAAATTTTATGCTGCTGTAACTGATCAATTGAGCTTGATTCTATAGGGTTCATGCCCTCTAAAAACTCCACATAATCATCAATTGTATCTAATTTATGTTTAGACTTGTAGTTTTTGTATGAGTTGTAATATATTTCTGAAAAATGTTTAAAAGGTGGTTGTAAATTTGGATTCTTTAAGTATGGTACTTCACCAACATATTGGATTGTATCTTCTGTAGTTATAGTTTCATCCCAGTCGGATATTATATATTTTGGTCGTATTTTGTCTGCTAAATCTTTAATTGACATATAATGTGAGTAATTAGTGGTAGTATATAACAATCTAATTGTTGGTCTAATTGTCATAAAAGAGTTATTATATTAGATTATGTCAAAATTAATATTTATTTTTCAACCCCGAAATTTTTAAGGGGAAAATTAATAATTTTTATATTTTTAGCAAAGAACTCTAGTCAGTTCAGACTTCTTTAAATACAATTATTATCAATTGCCGAACGGTATAAAGCATTCATGAATTCAAACAAAGAATTTGGTCATTTGGGTGATGTATCTTCTCAGAAGGAAAAACTACAACAAGTAGACAGTTCAAACAAATCAAAATTTGATCAATTATCAGATGAGGAGAAGTTAAAATTAGGTAAAGGAGAATATGGGAAATCCGAAGGTAAAACAGAGGGCAACCTAGGTAAAACAGAAGGTGAAACGAAGGGGAATTTGGGTAAATCAGAAGGTAATTTAGGTAAATCAGAAGGTAATTTAGGTAAAGCTGAAGGTAATACGTTAGGTAAAGTAGAAGGACAATCAAAAGTTGAAGGACAAACTAAAATAGAGACCAATTCAGCTGGTAAAGTTGAAGGTAATGCTGGTAAAGCTGAAGGTAATTACGGAAAAGTTGAAGGTGATAAAAAATAAATTAATAGATGATTGACTTGACATGATGTTAAATTTCGTGAGGTATGTTTGTAATTTAGACATTAGATAGGTAAGTAATAGGAATTTCAATCTTAAATAGAGCTGAGTTCAATATAGTAGCCGAATTGATTATGATTTTCATATTCAATTCAATAATAAATTTACATCATACATTTTCATAAAGTTCTGTATATAACAAATATGCATACCAATTAATTTATTACCGTAAACTGAAATATTCATTTAAACGGAATCATTAAGAATATTATTAATAGAATAATTAATTTTGACAGCATATCATTTATAAATAAACTATAAAATTTATGACCTCTTTATTCTTGTATATATATTTATAATTCGATAGGCAACTTGTTTTTCATAGATACTTTCCATTAACCTTGAATATATCAACGTACAATTATTAAATACCAAATGAGTTCAGAAAATTCAAAACCACAAGAAAAACCAACTGCTTCAACAGAATCAAATTCTACAACAGAACCAAAAACATACGTAGAAGAAACAAACGAACTCTTGAAAAAAGATGAATTAGATAAACAAGACTTAAATAAAATCGAAGATATAGCAAAAAATATATTAAATCCAAATAATGAAAATCCTCAAATGAATGAATATATTAATTCAACGATGTCTTATATTGGTGATGTCATACAAAAAATGCAAAATACTAATGATAAGGATGCAACTGCAAAAGAAATTGCTGATGATTTAACCAAGAGATTTGAAAATTGGGCAAATAATAAGAAAAAGGAAATTGAAGAACAGAAGAAGAATTCAACTGAAACTAGTTCTTCAACCACTGATGAAAAAAGTTCAGTTTCTACGGATGACAAAAGCTCAAGTACTATTGAAAAAAAATAATATCTATAAATTTGATTAGATATGTTAAGTTCATAGAAAATGTATACAATCCTTATATCTATTAAAAGTATAAAATTTAGCTTATAACAGACTCAAACCATGTATATTACTAATTTAGCAAAAAGTATGAAAGTAAAATGAATTTACTCTATTGACTTAGTTATTGGTGATAAAATTAAATCAACTTTTTTTTGCACATTCTCTACATTGGAAAGTTAGTTTAATGAAGAACAATTTCGTATATTCTAGTTAAAATATATAGTTGGCTATGCTTAACTCAATTTTTATTTGGTAAGTTGTTGGTATAAGAAAAGTTGATCATTTATGTCTTACAATTTTTTTTTAAAAATGTTTCTCTGTATAAATTTTATTTAGTGTAATTATCTAATTTGAGAAGAGTTAGATCAAATTAATTTGATAATTTCACATCACGTCAACACCACAATGAGTTCAATTCCCGCTTGGAAAAGAGCAGGTTTGTCAGTAAATAAAACCGATAATAATAATGAAGACGATTTACTAGAAACAAAAAGAATTGATTCAACAAATTTATCAAATAAAGAAATTAAAAAAGTTAGTAATAAACGTAAATTACAAGATGATTTATCACATACCAAAAATAAAAAACCTCCAAAACGTATAAAGTTACCAAAATCAGAAAGAAAACCACCACCTATAAAAGATCAACTAGTGTATTTAAAAACATACCAAGATGACAATTCAAATTGGAAATTCAATAAATCTAAACAAAATTGGATTTTGAAAAATATAAAAAATATACCACAAGATTTTGAATCTGCTTTAATTTTATATTTGGGAAGTTTACAAGGTGGTTCAAGAGATAGGTTGGTTGAAGAATTGAAAGAAGATATTCAAAAATGGAATACAAACTATGAAGAAATGGAAAGAAAAATTGAAAAAAAATTGTTGCATGGAGATGACAGTAAAGAAGAGAAAGACAAAATAGATGAAGAGAAAGAAGATAAAGAAGATAAACGTGGGTTGAATTTGGAATATGTTACTAGGTGCAAAGCTATACTACAAACTTTAGTGGATGATGAAGTAATTGTTCAAGGTTTAGAGGAAGTTGATGACAATGAAGCACAAGAACAAATAGTGCCCGAGAAAAATGAAGAAATAGAGGACGAGGAACAAGATGAGAACAGAGTAGAAGAAATTAAAGTGGAATCTGAAGATTTGAGAAAAGAAGAGATTAAAAAAGATAAGAAACAAAAGAAGGATAAAAAGGGAAAGAAAGACAAAAAAGAGCAAGAAGAGAAGGATAAGAAAGTAGACGATAAAGACAAAAAGGATAAGAAGGAAAAGAAAACTAAGAAAGACAAGTCTGAAAAGAAAGAAAAGAAAACAAAAAAATTGAAAAATGGGGAGGTAGATAAAAGTCCAACTTCGAATTTAATAATAAACGAAATTGAAGTTTAACCAAAGCTTTCATTTCAACAACAATTAAGTCATTTGTAGCTAATTGATCTCTTTAATTTGCTAGTGTCTTCAAAGTCTAAAATCTGAAACATAATCAAAACTGATCTCGCACTGAATTTTTAATTTTTCTGATTTTGCTATTAATTATAATTTCCACAACAAATTTAATTTTGGTTGTAAAAAACTATTCATTTATATTCTTCATCTTTATTTAACTATTTTACCACAGTAACAATGCCAGATGTGAATTTTAATTTATTACATGATCAAGTTCTAGATGTTGATCCAGATATTAGATTTATGGCGTTAGAAGATTTACGTAAATCTTTAACTGATGAATCCATAACTATTAATAAAATGTCAATGAATAATCAATTAGATAAATTGATACCAAAGATATTAAACATGTTAAATGATGCCAATCCAGATGTACAAAATCAAGCTATAAAATCATTTGAACCAATGATAAAGTACTTAAATAATGAATCAATTTTCAAATTAGTAAAGAAATTGTTTCAATTAGTTCAATCAAACAAAAATACGAGTAATGATTCATCAAACCGATCAAATTTAAAAAGCTTTACGGTATCAGTACCAAACATGGCATTAAGATCATTATTTGCACAGTCTAACTCACGAGATAAATCTGATTTTATGTTGGATAAACTATCATCTTCAAACTTTAAGTTTGATAGACAGTTATCAAAATCTTTAATGGATTACTTGACTCCTCAAATATTGGATGGTGAAACGACAATTGATAATATCGAATTACTCATTGATCTAGTTAATGAGTTGGGACACATATTAAATCAAAATGAACTATTAAAATTGGGGTCATATTTCATTAATGTAAGTTTTGCAGAACAGGGAATTATTGGTAAGAAGGCAATTGTTGGAGTAGAAAGAGTAATAGTGTTGATTAAAACGACTGAAGCAATTGATCAATTATTGGAGTTAGTTTCATCAAAATTATCCACTTCAAATTCTAAAAACAAAGTGTATGTATTACTCCAATTATTTTCCGTGATATTACAAAGGAATATACGTCCATCAAATATAGATCTAATTTACAATATCATCATTGATATAATCGAAGCACCAACTAGTCATGAAGTAGATGAAGATCTTGATTATGATTTATTGGAACAGCAAAATGCATTAAAAGATGAAGCTTTCACAACACTTTTAGATCTTATCCAACAAAATTTTCTACCTGCAGAACACAAAAACCAAATAATTTTAATAATAAAGAAATACTTGAAATATGATCCACTAAATTCAGAGGATGATGATTTTGATATTGATGAAGATGATATTGAATTTAGTGATGATGAAATTGAAGCAGTAGACGAAGAAGACTATGATGGTTCATGGAAAGTAAGAGCTAAAGCTGCAATTTTGATAAGAGCTATATTGAAAAGTTTTCCTGATACTTTAGATGTCTTATCAACTGAAATATTACCATTATTAAATTTTCAAAATTCAGACGATCAAGTTACTTTGGAAAGTATAAAATCTTGCATCTCCATCATTCAAGCCACTTCACCAAGAGATGCACAAAATTTACAATCATTATCACCAATAATACGCAATAGATTGGCCGATGTTAAAGAAGATCAATTACCAATATTTTTGAACCTTGTTGAAAGCCTAAACAGATTCAATAATCAATCATTAGTTGATACTACATTTAACATTTTGAACACCAGAGATATCGATTCATCAAGTTCAACAGATTACTTACAGTTCTATTCAAGTGTTTTGAAATTTCATGATAATTTGAATGATGAAACTATTACTAGAATTGCGAAAGATCTTGCCACAAATCTTAATGATAAATCCTTCAATATGATACAAGAATCATTAAAATGTCTTAAAATATTATTTTCACATACAAATCAAGTTCAAAAGATTTCAAATTTGGATGAGATCATAGATCTTTTGGTTGACAAAGTTAAAAATAGTAAAAATTATTCAAGTGATTTGGTTAGACTTTCAATTTTATGTCTTGGGGAAGCATTATCAAATAACTTACAAAATGAACAAGAAATACTTGAAATATTAAAATTATCATTAGTATATGATGGAACAAGTAAAGTCACAATCGATGTTTTAAATAATTTATATTCTATAAAACAATTACCATCTGATTATTCTTTATTTATCATTGACAAATTGGCCGAAAGTTATATACTATCAAGCAACGAAGCAACTTCATTATCTGCTTTGGTTTTATTAGACAAAGTGGTGAAACAAACTCAGCCTCAAAACGATGAATTGATTATTAAAAATTTGATTCAATTGTTGCCTGTTACAAGTCCCTTGAATTATCAATATGTATTTGAAATTTTGAACAACTTATCATCATCTTCCCAAAACGAAGCTGGAGCTCATTTACTAGAGATAATTATTAAACTAGTCAATGAAAACAAAGTTGAAATTAATGATCAAGCTTTTTTCAATTTTATCTATAAAATATGTCAATCAGATTCATCTATTTATCAACAATTAGAAGCTTCATTAAACAAATCTTTAGAAATTACACCAAAAATACTAGCATTATGTGCTAATGATAGTGATAAACAAACCTTAACAGCACAAAGATTTGATGAATTAAAAACTTTCAAAAATTATAACGATTCTCATTTTGCATTTATTATTCTATTTTTGGGCTATTCCCAACTTCAAATCAATGACTTAAGTGTTACCTCAATTATTGAATTATTACAAAAACCAGATTTTACAAATGAAATCAATATACAAGCTGCATCAACTGCTTTAGGTTTAATCGCCAAAAGAGACATCAAATCAACTGTTCCAACAATTTTGGATGCCTACACTAAAGAAGATAATACTATTGTACGTGGATCATTAGTCAAATCATTAAAACAATTAATCTCATCCTGCACCCCACAACAAAGCTTACAGATATGGCAAACAATTTTCAATCTACCTACTAAATTTGATCATTCATCAATTCCAGAGTTAAGATCATCTGGTGAGCTTTTAGGAACTATTGCTTTTTCAATTGGTGAAGAAACAATCAAAAAAGTTGTTGAAAATCAAACAGATGAAAGAAGAATTTATTTAATTTTAGTCATATCCAAATCTTTAATAAGCAATTTAGAAATTTCAAATCAAAATGATAAATTATTGACATATTTGGTAAAATCATCAATACCATGGATGGACATAGTCGATGTTGATATAAGACAAATTGTTGTTGGAAATTTATTAACCGGTATTCATAGTAAACCTTCAATAATTGTACCAATTTTAAATCAATTAGTTTTACCAAGTTTATTTAAACAATTAAAATCAGAAGATAAGTTCAAAAAGATTATTACAATGGGCCCTTACAAGTATGTTTTAGATCAAGGTTTAGAAATAAGAAAACTTTGCTATGAATTCATATACTCGGTAATGGCTACAGATCAAAATTCATTAGATAAATTTGATATCGATTTACAATTAATAGCACAAAAGATTGTTGAACGAGGATTGTTGGATGAACAATCAGATATAATAGTATTAGCATGTATTAACTTGATAAATTTCTTTGACTTACATGAACCAGAAGCAAGAGAGCTAATTAAAAATGACAATGACACAGTAACAAAGTTAATATCAGGTTTAAATACTCAACTAGCTAAAAAGCTATCAGCGAAAGCATCATCACAAGATACCGAAAATCATCAAGAAAGAATAAAATCAATAATAAAATTAACCAAAAAAGTTAATTTAGTATTTGAAAATATGTCAAATGATTATAATGAACATCAATTGAAATTTGATTCTTGGAATAAATATAATTCCGATGTTAAAGAAAATTTCAACGTGTTTTATAGTACAACTAATGTTTAAGTATTAGGTTATGTATTGGAAAATAAATAATTATTTATACTTTGTAACGTACTTCTCAGAGGATTTACTTTATATAAATTTGATATTTTACTTAAATGTTGCTTGACCAATGTCTTTGAAGGTTTAGTAGAATCTAATGCTTTTAGCCTATTCCAATCAAGATCAAATTGAGTACATAATATTGCTAGTACTACACCAACACTAATGTCTTTACCCGAACCACATAGTAATACTATCGGTGTATTTGATAAGTCAATTCTGGACATTATATCTGGTAAAATTGTTCTCAACAAATTTGAACCTTTTTTATTACTCGGCACATTATACTGTAGTATTTTTGAAGTCTGTTCCTCTTTATTTCCTGGAATAGAAATGACTTTGTACTCATCACTAAGAATGATAGCAGTTTTGAAGCTCAGTAATTCACTAGCCTCGATATTTCTATTAATTGACCCAAAATAAATACCCGTATCTCCAATTGGTCTAGGATCCAAGTCAGTTGGCCCGTCTTGCTTTGGCAACAAATTTTGAACCAGTTCTTCTAGTTCTCTTTGATTCATCCATGAAGGAATATACCCAGTTGATTTATCTACCAACTGATCGAAAATCTTCCAAAATTGAATTGGTCCAAAAGATGACTGTAGCGATTTAGGAACCCATAATTCATGATCGTCCGCTGACCCTTGAACGTAATCAAATTGAATTACTGAAGCATTCTTAGTCTTCACATTCATAGTTTTATGTATGGGAACTTGTTTGGAAGCTGATACTAAACATATATTATATACTGAATCGTCCAAATCTTGAGATGAACATCCTGGGTAAAACCATCTGGGTAATAAAGGTTTGTCTAATTTATGAGTTTCTTTAGTGAATAAATTCATTGATCTTATAACCTCTATAAACGACGGTATTAAGTTTAATATTGAATTGTACTCACTTTTAGGAACTAAATCAGGTAACCTTAACCAATAATCTTCTTTTGGTTCGTATAGAATTGTATTCAACACGGCGCACCAAATGGGAATAGTCTTTGATAATGCATCAGGTATTGGTTTACCTCTTCTTGTAGAATCCACAATCATAATCCCACCATTATCTTGAATTATAGGTAATAAATGTAAATTTAATCTCCTAGTGGAAAAGCTCCATACATTAGTATGACCATCAGTTGATTTGAAATAGCAAGTATCCGAGTTGGTGGGGGTATACCATAATCCACACCTTTCATTTGCGATTATTGGATATTCTAAATTTTCATGAACTAATTGTACAAATTTTGAATCGTATATAATTGATTGTAATCTATTCTTAAAAGACAACAGAGATTTTTTCAATTCCTTGTTTATTAAATTAATATCATTATTTTTATTAAATATGATAGTTGAATCCATTCATTTAGTTTGAAACAAAATTGTAGTATATAAAACTATACAGTTTAATTTATCTAATTTTTTTTCTTTTTTGTTTTTCTAAAGCTCTTCTTTTTTCATTTTCTGCTTCTCTACGATCTTCCCTTTCTGCATCCATTTTTGATCTGAATTCTTCTTCTAAAATATCTGCACCAGTAGCTTCCATATCATCATCTGAATAATCATCATATGTGGCGTACCCTCTCTTTTTACCTTTATTAAACATTGCCCAGATTTGCTCTCTATCATATCCTTCTTCATCGTCTTCCTCAATAATTTCTTCATCCGATACGAGGAAATCGTCCAAATCGCTATCTTCTTCTTCTTCTTCTATTCTGTGTCCGTTTTTATAAGGCATTTGTGTTTGTTTTGTCTTTTTATGTTGTTGAATTTTCTCTTGTACTTTAGCATTTGGCTGTCTAGACGGTATTGGAACTTTTGATACTACTTTTTTAATTGGAGGTGTGGGTTTTGAAAAAGCCTTAGATTGTCGATTAAGTAGTGGTTTTGATTTTGCAAGTGGTGTTGATTTGTTATTTGTAAGAATTGATTTTTTTTCAGGTACAGCTGAAAATGGTTTTTTTGGTTTTTCAGACTCTGGAGATTTACTTTTTTGTGGATATTTTATAGATAATTTATCATGATCAATTTCATTTGCTTTTTTCATTAATGCATTGAAATTTAATTTTGGTTTGACGGGGGGTGGTTGAGGTCTTTCATGATATGTAGGTTTTGGTTGTGATTTTGGTTTTGATGTAGTAGCTGAGCTTGATCTCGCTAGATTGTTGGAGTTGGTACTTTTTGATTTAGCTGCTCCATTGCTTTTACTCTTTGCTCCCTCCAATTGTTCTCTTTCTAGTCGTCTTTTCTCTTTTAATCTTGCTACAACTGGATCTATAGGTTTATTAAATGATGATGTGTTATTCTTAGATAAATTCGTTGTTCTAGTAGATGAAGCTGATTGTTCATTTTGTTGTGGTATAGATAAATTAATTGGTTTTCCTCTTTTTTCAAGTCGTTGTAAAATGGATGACACTCCCATAAAGTTTTGATAAAGAATGTATTTATGATAGGTGAATTATTATAAGTTACTTTTGTTTCATGTTCTCAGAATTTTATAGATCTGTCAACTTTTTTCCAAATTTAGGTATTATGCGGCTCACTGGAAATACCTAATTAGTTTCATGAGATACTCTACAAATAATAGATGTAAGAGTTGAAAGTCATTTTTCAAGTTTACCTTTTGACACAGCGTGACCATTTTTTCTCTATTAAAAAACATCTCTATAAACAACTAAATACTTATTTTGGTCCAATCATATCAGCTGGTACAACATATTTATCAAAATCTTCTTCACTTAAAGCACCAAGTTCTAAAGCTGATTGTTTTAAAGTTAAACCTTTTTTATGAGCATTTTTAGCAACTTTTGAAGCCATATCATAACCAATATATGGATTTAAAGCAGTAACCAACATTAATGATTCATGTAATAATTTTTCAATTTTATCTTTATTTGCAACAATTCCGTCAACACAATGTTCTCTAAAAGAAGCAGCCCCATCAGCAATTAATCTTATAGATGATAATAAATTAGCGATCATTACTGGTTTAAAAACATTCAATTCAAATTGACCTGAAGCACCTGCAAAAGTTATAGCAGCATTATTACCAAATACTTGACAAGCAACCATAGTTAAAGCTTCATTTTGAGTAGGATTTACTTTACCAGGCATAATTGATGAACCTGGTTCATTTTCTGGTAATGATAATTCACCATAACCACATCTTGGTCCAGAACCTAAGTATCTAATATCATTTGCGATTTTGAATAATGAAGCGGCAATAGTGTTTAAAGCACCTGAAGCTTCAACAATTGCATCATGTGCAGCTAACGCTTCAAATTTATTTGGTGCGGTTTTAAATGGAAATCCAGTAATTTCTGAAACAGTTTCAGCAACTTTAACATCCCAACCTTTTTTAGTGTTAAGACCTGTACCAACAGCAGTACCACCTTGAGCTAAATATAACAAATTTGGTAAAGCTTTTTCAATTCTTTCAATACCATTGGTAATTTGTTGTGCATAACCCGAAAATTCTTGACCTAAAGTTAATGGAGTTGCATCTTGTAAATGAGTTCTACCAATTTTAATTATATCACTAAATTCATCAGATTTTGCTTGTAATGAATCACGTAATTTAGTCAATTCTGGAATTAATGAATTATTAATTTCTGTCACAGCTGCAATATGCATAACAGTTGGGAAAGTATCATTTGATGATTGTGACATATTACAATGATCATTTGGATGCACTGGTTTTTTTGATCCCAACTCTCCACCTAAAATTTCAATAGCTCTATTTGATATAACTTCATTAGCATTCATATTAGATTGAGTACCTGAACCGGTTTGAAAAACCACTAAAGGAAAATGTTCATCTAATTTACCTTCAGAAACTTCTGTAGCAGCTTGTTGAATAGCTTTGGATAATTTCGGATCTAATTGACCTAACTCTTCATTAACTTTTGCAGTTGATTTTTTTAATATACCAAAAGCTCTGACAACTGGAGTTGGCATACGAGCAGCTGGACCACCAATTTTGAAATTCATTTTGGATCTAGCGGTTTGAGCACCATAATATTTATCATTTGGAACATCAATTTCACCAAAAGCATCAGTTTCAACTCTTGTACCATTTAATGCAACTGTTGAAACACTAAAGTTTTTGAACTGTGAAATTGATTTTAAACTACTTGAGTTTTTACTTATTGATCTTAACATTGTGAATATAGTAAATTGGGAAGAGATTGAGTTCAATTGTATTGTTATGAATTGAATCTTTTCAAAATTTAATTTTTCAACAAACCCCAGAGTATTTATGAAATCTAATTAAACATCGGTTTTGTGATATATAAATATTTATTTTCATGTAACTTAAATTTTTTTAAAGAGTGTTTCGGATTTTTTAGGAATTTAAATATTTTGATTGGTTCAATGAGACTATACCCGGGTACAAAATTTATGAAACAACTTAAACATATAAGCTCATATCATTAATTTTTTTTTACTACAATACCACAGAACAAACTATCAATAATTCTCTATAATATTAAAAATTTCGTAAACTTCATTATTTGAACTTAATTCTATTTACAGATGAGATTTCAGTTCTTTAAAATTATTATATTCTTCAACAGTTGGCCAATCCCAATCATTTCGCAGATTTGCAATTTCATGATGTTTTATATGTCTATAAGAAAAGTCTTGTGGCAAAACATAAAGCAATTGCATTAATGTAATTTTTTTAGGTTGAAAATTTATATCTAACCACCATTTTAAAATTTTTGATAATTCGGAAATATTATTAAATTTTGCCAATAGTGAGATATAATTAAACCAAAGTAAATTATCTGGTGTAATTCCGGTTGAATAATTATCTTTTTTAACATTTTTTATAAATTCATCTATTGCAAATTGTGTGTATTGATCAAATTTATTTAATTTTTTTGCCGATTTTATTAAAGTTCCAAGACAAAGTGCATTTGGTGAATGGTTTTTGTCTATGATTTCTTTTTCATAAAACTCAAAAACTTCTCTTGGATTATTTATACTTTTCATATATGATGCTATGAATTGTATTGACTTATTTGAATTTTTGTGGTAAAGCTCATCCAAATACTCTTGCACTGAACTAAATCCCTTGAATTTACCATTGGCGGCTACTTGTAAAGGTTCATCCCATGGAAATATAGTTTGAGGAAGTGATTTGTCATTTCTGAATTTTTGAAGTAACTCAATGTATTTAGGAAGAAATATTTTACCACATTCATTATTGAGTTCATTCTTTGTCAAATGATAGATTTCTTCCATATGGTAATAATCCTTGATTGGATACAATATCTCCGATATCAATTCGCTTGTTACTTTAACTTTGGAATCTATCAATTTTTTGAAAAGTAACATAGCTCTTGATTCAGTCAAAATATTACACTTTTTTAATTTCTTAATAAAAATCGACCACAATTTTGAAGATGTAATGAATTCATCGATTGCAAATTTGAAATTGTTAGTAGCTTCTTCGGGATCTTTAGCTAACCAAATTTTTGTCATATTGTAGTTTACTAAATCCTTATTGGAATTTGTATTACTTAAAAATTTTCTTTCAGCAACTTCTAATAACTTCAATGCTTTTGCTGGAGACAACTCGGACATTACCAATGCAATTCCTAAATACCCATTCAAAGTTAATTGAAAATGTGACAGCTTTATACGCCCAACTAAGACTTCTTGAGCGTTAGCTATCTCCATATAATCAATCTTTTGGTGCCTTGACGCAAAATACGCTAATTTCCATATTAAATCGGATAAAAACTTTGATTCTGATTTCGACCCACCACTTTTTGTATCTAATGTTAATTTGATCAATTGTTTTAAATCACTTGGTTCGTACATTATAGCGAAATATATTAAATTCTCAAAAACTGACTTGACTATGTAATCATCTATTTGTCGGTCTCTTAGCAAAATTCTCAAATTATGAGTCCATAGTTCAAATTGAGTCTTATATTGCTCTTTGAAGGGAGAGTTCCTTGAAACGACATCCAATAGTACAAATGCTGGTGTTGTCTTCGAAAGAAGTGGTGTACTTTTAGAAATTGAAGAGGACATAATTGATTCTATCCAATCACCCAAATCTTTAATTGTGTGAGGTTTTTTCAACAAGCCCGAAATTGATTGAAAACACTGAACTCCTAACTCCAAGTCTTTGTTGACTTTAACTTTAAATCTTGTGGCTAGCTCGTTGCAATTAGCTTGTTTTGGCTCCTCAATTTTGCTCAATAAATGATTGAAAAATTCCCGATGATATGATGACAACGACTTCCTTTGATTTGAGCTTTCAATTACGCAAACAATGTGAAATACAATTGGTTCTAATGCTCCCTTTAATTTTTCTTGTGAAAATCGAAGTGAATATTTTGTCTGTATCTTCACATTTTTACCAAAACTTTGCAAGGATTTCGCAAATAGCGGTAAATATTGAATCTTAGGCTGTAATCTTAATTCACTTTGACCTTGTTCTGTAATCTTGTTGTATAATTTGGTTGGCACTCTATCTAAACTTCGTCGAAATAAGGTGGAATTGTGCCGTAGTGAGCATGAATTTGTTGGGTAGATTCTAGACAATAGACCAATTCTTTGTCGTGTTAAGCATAATGTCATATCTTATTCATTTCTTTCAATATATTTGATGTAGTTGTAGGTGTAATTATGAACTGTTTTAACTTGTTTACATCACAAGAGATTTAAAATAAATTTTTCAATACAAAATTTAATTTGAAACTTCTGAAATATTTTTTTTACACAAAATTAATGAACAAGCAAACTATTTATTTACATCATTGATTGACAAACTCTTTTAGGTGTATCAAATTATAATCCAGTTACTTTTAAATAGATAGCAAATGCATTACTATTGGTTGTACATTCTATCACTTACGTTTATTAAAAGGTTGCACTAAGACTGGTTCAATATATTACAAATAAATGGTTGACTTTCCTAGTTTACAACATAAACAGTTATTTAAGGAAAATAGACACAATCAAACTAATGGAAATGTGGATTCAGAGGAAAGACCATTAAAAAGAAGGAAAAAAGAACTGCCAGAAGTTATTGTCATAAGTGATGAAAGTGAAGTCCATGAAGTAAACGAAATTGATGAAAATTCAGATGATTCAGATGATTTTGAAGACGTGAATTTAAGTGCGCAAGAGAATAAAGTAGAAACAAATAAGATTCATAATTCAGACGACGATTCAGATGATTTCGAAGATGTCGAATTTGACGTTTCAAACGCGTCATATGACTTAAATCAACCAAAACCAGTTCAAGATGATATTTTATCCATCCAAATACAATCAAAAGATGAAGAGTCACCTCAGAAGAAGAAAAAAGTGAAATTCGTAACAAATGAAGAAAGACATAGAAGAGTATTGATACATAAATTGTATCTTATTATGTTAATCGTTCATGGAACCATTAGAAGTTCATGGTGTAATGATAAAGAAATTGGTAAACACTTGAAAAATGCTTGTGTAACTCCTCAGATATCAGAACTTCTCAAAGACGATAACTCTCTGGATATGGTCAGATCACGAAGGTTATTAGATGGTTTAAAAAAATTAATGACTATATATCTCTCAAAATATAGAATTACATCTCAAGGTTTAATTCGAAAAAATTGGAAGGAATTAGAAATTGTTCAAGATGCTGCAGAAGTTGTGACTAAAAAGAAATTTAAAAAATTGGTAACTAATTTTAGGGGGAGTCGAGATGTAGCTGCTCAAGGTTTTGTTGCATTATTAAGAGCATTAGGTTTGAATGCAAGATTAGTGTTGTCGTTACAACCACCTGATTATACACTTATAACGGAAAATGACACTAACGAAGATAAAGGACATGGGAGGAAATTAAGTCTAGAGGACTCAAATTACCCAATATTTTGGATTGAAGTTTGGGATAAATTTGGTAAAAAATGGATAAGTATTGATCCAATAGTTTTAAAGTCAATTGAAGTTTGTCCGAAGAGAAAAAAGTCAGCTTTTGAACCTCCTAGTACTGATGAAAGAAATCAACTATTATATGCTATTGCATTTGACAAATTTGGAAGGGTAAGAGATGTAACTAGAAGATATTCGTTTAATTATAATGCAAGAACTATAAGAAAAAGAATAGAATTTAGATCCAGTGATGATAAGGAATGGTACTATAGTATATTGACCAGCTGTGAGAAAAAGAAATCCAAAAGTGTTCCAGATATATATGAACTGAAAGAATTTCATGAACGAGATTTAGCAGAGGGTATGCCGAATAATATTCAAGCATTTAAAGATCATCCATTATATGCATTAGAATCACAATTAAGACAAAACGAAGTTATTCACCCAAAAGATCGATCAAGTGTTTATGGAATGTTTAGACCTAAAAATCATTCAACAAAATTGATTGAAGTTTATAAGAGATCAAATGTATATAGACTAAGGTCAGCAAGAGCTTGGTATATGAGAGGAAGAGTCTTGAAAATTGGGGCTGTTGCATTGAAAGCTAAGAAGGGAAACAACATTGAAGAAGGAGAAGATGTTAGATTGTATGCTGAATTTCAAACTAAATTATTTATACCGCTAAGAATTGAACAAGGTAAGATTCCCAAAAATCAATATGGTAATATAGATATATATACCAAGACAATGATACCTGAAAACGGATCGTTAATTGAGGTAAATGACCTGGTGAATATGAAATTGTTAATTAGATGCGCTACATTATTAGGTATAGATTTTGCCAAAGCTATAACATCATTTGATTTTAAACAAAAAGGAAGGCACGCGCCAAACGCAAAAGAAGGTGGTATAGTCGTTTTGAAAGATCATGAAGAGGCAATGAGAATTACAATTCAACATTTGTTAGAAGAGAAAGAAGAGCAAAGACGTTTAATGGTTGAAATAAATGCTCTACAAAATTGGAGATATTTCTTATTAAAGTTAAGATTAAATCAAAGGTTGAACAGAACACATGGTAAAATTGATGGAGAAGTAGATGATGATGAAGATGAAGATGTGGAATTAGTAGGTAATGAATTTGCAGAAAACGAAGAGGCTGAGTATGAAGATGGTGGTTTCATGGCTGATAGTGCTCCAGTCTACAGTGGTCAGAATATCAGTGACGATGAAGATGATGACGATGGTTTTGGTGGTGGGTTTATTGTGTCAGATAATGAGGAAGTTGGATCAGAAGTTAATGAAGATAAAATTGAAATAGAAGATACTGATACAAAGTCAAAACGAGAGGCGAGAAGAACTAGAACTACTTCACCAAAATATACAGATGAGCAATTTGAAGTAGTAGTAGATGATGATGACGATGATGAAATGAAATCCAAGAATCAAATAATTTATTCCGATAGTTCTGGTTCAGAAGCTGAATATGTTGACGATGAAAATGTTGAAGAAGGTAAGGACGACGAAGAAGAAGAAGGTTTAGAATTTGATTATGAAAGTGAATAGAGTACTTAAATTCTTTTTTTTTTTTATAATTTTATGCAATACTACAACCACAATTTCAGACAATAATACGACTTGAAACTAAAATGATCTACTAATATAAACTCAAAATTGACGTATGTAACAACAGTTTTTAGCAATTTTGACAAGACAATTAAAGCGCAAAAATTTACGTTCGAACTGCCATAAGTGTGGGATATTTGTTATCAGTCTAAATAACGAGAGAAATAGAAGAAGAGAAAAAAAAAATTTTGATTCTGTGATTCTATGGGATCGCGGCTAAACTTAAAGAATTAAGTCGAATTTACCACCATATAAGAAGAGTAGTTTACCACCATATAAGAAGAGTAGACCAAAGATAGGATATCAGATGATGAGTATTATTATGGATTGAAACAAGGTCGCACTAAAAGCTTATTGAATTTCCGTTCTTAAAAAAGTAGACGAATTGTTTGAAATAGAATGATTTTTTTAGTAAAATGTTGTATAGGGCGTAATTAACTTCCCATTTTAGGTTAAGTTGTACTGAAAAATAAAAATTGATTGCGCAAATATGAACTATAAACTTTATTTGTGTCATTGTCAATTATATCCCAATTTGAATTAATTTAGTATTGAAAATCATGTAATGAGATCAATAATTGGGTTTTTATTTGCAAAATTATATTTAACATGACCATTTAGAAGTATTATTGTGATTGTATTATGACAAATCTTTTGTAAATAGTATAAAACCTACTTGAGAAAAAAATGCTACCAATAATTTTAGATCAAAAAAGAGAAAACGCAAATTCAAACTTAAAATTATAATAAAATGTAACGGTTACTATATACAGGAGTTATATATTATAATTAGAGAAAGTAAAAAGGAAATATAAAATAAATATTTATTTTATTTATAATAATAATTTTATCATCATCATTTATAAAAATTATTATATTCAAATTAGAATGATATATAAATAATTTAAAATTTCTGATATTCATCTTAGTGTATTAATTCATTACTAGAATTACAATCCTATAAATAATCATATATATTCCTAAAAATATAATAAGAAGTTTATGTTGATCTTTCTGATAATTGGATATATTATTTTGATAAGAAAAGCATTAGTTGAACAAGAAAGAGTTATATAAGAGTTATATAAGTAATTTAAAGGTATATTTATATTCATTTGCAACTCATTCGTCTACAAAAATTCAAATTCATAGAAAGTGTTGTTGATATTTTAAATTTGTTGATTTCATATTAAAGTAGATAAAGTTTTATTAAAAGAGGTTTACTGATGTATAACGAAATTGTTGAAAATGTGCTTGGTTCACTAGGAGCTGTTCTTTGGTCTATTCAATTAGTTCCACAAATTATAAGAAATTACAAAGTTAAAGATTGTACTGGTTTACCACCACTAATGATGTTTTTATGGGCGGTTAGTGGTGTACCTTTCAGTATCTACTTTTTGGGAATTGATGGTTCTATACCATTAAGAATTCAACCTCAATTGTTTACTGTATTTTGCTTAAATACTTGGTTCCAAACTTTATACTATCCTCCTCATCATGTCACAAGAAAAAAATTATTATTAATAATATCTGGCTTTGTATTAATTAGTGTTGGATTAGAACTTGGATTAGTTTTTGCACTTAGACCATTACATAGAAGAGGTATTACATGGCCAATGTTAATAATTGGTATAATTGCTTCAATTTTATTAGGTATTGGATTAATTCCACCATATTTTGAATTGGGGAAAAGAAGAGGTAGAGTTATTGGAATAAATTTTATATTTTTATCAATGGACTCATTAGGTGCTATAGTTTCATTATTAAGTGTTATTGTTGGTCATATGGATGTCATGAGTTGTGTATTATATGCAGTTGTACTTGCGTTGGAGGTTGGTATTTTTACAAGTCATACAATTTGGTATTTTAGATATGGTAGAAAAATGACAAAAGAAGAATTAGATTTAGAAGTAGAATTAAGTAGATCAAAGGCTAATTCACATGGTTTAGAGAAATCAAATGATTTGGAGAAAAGCATCAATGAATACGACGAAGAGCGGGAAGGAAGAGTTGGGAATGAAAGCTCCTCAGTTGATGCTATTGAATATGTTGGTGAACATGTTGATGATGGCGAACAATTAATTTCAAAAATTGAATCAAAAAAATCAAATGAAGTTATATGACATTTAAAATAAATTTTATTTCTAGATCTAGAAAAATACAAATCAATGTTATGAATATACTGATGATCCGTATATAAAGCTTATGCGATGTATAGACACTTAAATTAATAATTAATCAAAACAAACAGTAGTTATTAGTTCAAATGTATTTTCTTCTAAATCCTTGTGACGCGCGCGTATTCCTTAATGTTGCAACTTTTATTTTATTTATGTTTATTTGAAACATTTGGTTGTCAAAGCTAAGGATTAAAATACTCGACCAGGCTATGACAAAATATTAATGGTATGTTAATTATTAGATGAGAAACTAATTAAGAATTAGCTACTAACTTCTATTGCTAGTCTACTTTCAAACCGGTCAATCTACTAGATGATATCAATTCTAAGAAAGATTTAGAAGAAGAACATACAAGAGAATTACAAGTTGAACAAGCATTTGAACTATTTAATAAAGCATTACAATATCAAAATCAAAAAAAGTATATTGAATCTTACAAAACTTATGAAGAATTGTTTGTAATAGACATTATTGCCAATTATTATTATGAAGAAGTAGATTTTACTCGAGGAATTCAAAATGGTTCAATGAACACAATAATAGATGAATTGTCTACATTATCACCTAACGTTAAATCATTGAGATATCTTATATTCAGAAATAGAGGATTTTTGTACATGGATATACTAAAGCAATATGATATTCTTGAACAACTAATAGATGAGGATACCACTGTGGAGAAGAAGTTTAAAAGTTTATTCTATTCGATGATTGACGATTTTTGCGTTGCGTTATTATACAATGAAGCAGATGAAAAATTATTGGAAGTATTATATAACATTTATAAATACCTTGGAGAGGAAAAATTAGCAAAATTTACGTTAGAATACATACTAAGTAGTAAAATTGAAAGTGATGATTTATCTGGTTTACTACCTATTGATCAAGATGCAAAATTTAAACTAAAGCAACTAAATGACAAACTAGGTTATATCAAACAGGGCAAAAGTCTGAATAATGAAAAGTCATTGAAAAAATTCAATTTTCTAGAAATCATAAAAAATGAATTCCACAATGAACAGATCAGATTGGCATACAAAAATCAAAATGAGATAGAGTATAATGCATCATGGAACGATCTTATAAAGTCAATCAATAGTAAGATTAAAAAGCATCAAGATGAGAGTAAGATTGAAGATGTTCACAGACCCAAAATCAAATTTACTGAACCGTACTTACTTACAGACGAACCACTAGAGTTGATATCCTTGAAGGGTAAAGATACTGATTTAATGAAACCCGAAGAAGAGGTACCAAAACCAATAGAATTTGACATGGAGAATGATGAAAAACCAGAGCAATCTGAACTAACAACAACACAAGCAACAGAAGAAGAGGAGAGATTAGTTGAAGCAGATACTAAACAACAACAACAACGAGCATCGAAGAGGTTATCAAGAGTTGAATCTGAGCCAGAAATACCAGCAATTTATCTTCAGAAATCACATTTTCTTGGTTTGGATTACTCAATCTCAGAACTAACTTCGTTAATTCCTGATTTTAAAATTGCAGAAATTTCAGACGTTTATCTTGATAATACAGTACTGGAAAACTCATCAGTACCCCATTTTGTAAAAGATTACATCAAAATTATAAATGATTGGAAACCTAATTATACAACACAATTTAACTCATTCAATTCAAAGAATTCAAAATCTGCGGACGATAATTCAAAATTGTCTCAATTACTAGAAGGTTTCAGCAATAATTTTCAAAAAGATTCACATTCGAAAAATGTTCCAAATTTATCTATAATAGAAAATAACGACTTAATGATTGCAACGACTCAAACTAATGATTACATAACCATTAAAACAAAAATTATTCATCGCTTATTAGCATCGGGATCGCCTTTGATATTAAACTACAAATGGGACAATGAATTGGTGTCAAATTTCTATGACTGGATTTTTCAATTTGAAAATTATTTATCGAGTCTGGTACGCGATTCACAAGCTGCAATTGGTGTCTTAGAAATATTAATTGATTCTTCAATAACTTTGGAACGTCAAATCAAGGACTCAATAAATTCTAAAAAGTTCAACAAAGCAGTTGTTAATTCCATGTGTCAAGATTTAATGAAATTCGATGATAAAATCTCGAAGTGGTCAACAATCGTGGAGGAATTACTCAACGCAGATGAAGATGATGAAGCTAAATTTATACTACAGTGTAGATTCAAATGGAGTAAAATATTAAAAGTAAAGTCACAAGCTGGTTCGATGGATGAAACTAAAACTACTCAATTATATTTGAGGAAGTTTTTGAACTTCATCTCGGAATCTCCTCACAAGGTAAATATAAAATTTCCAAATTATAAAAATTTTCAAGATATAACGTTAGAAAACATCCAAACACAATTGACTATAGTATCAGTATCAACAATATTTTGGCAAATATTAGTTGCAAACAAAAAATCTGGAAATTTAGAAGCAATTAATTTACTAGAGGACATTTTATTAGACCTGAATAAAGTTGAAAATGAAGCAATTAGTTCAATTAGATTATTTATGAAAACAAGTTCACTTGATATGAAATTAAGTTTGTGGAATATTTTATTACAATTTTATAAATCACTGGACATGAATGATCAGTTGATTGTTGGATTTGGTGAAAGTTTAAAAGTTTTCAACAATTATTTGTTAAGCAATGATTATTCAAATCTATCTGGTCAATTAAGAAATAATGTTTTATGCAAGATATTGGGATTTTACAATAACAATCTATCAGTTATTGTTGAAGTTTTGGAAAAACAAGACTGGAGAATGAATCAACTGATATCTATATCTTCATTGACACCATTATTTGAGATTTGTTTATTCTTTGAAATTCATGAAGAAGCTTGTAGCATTAGTTCTTTAAAAACATCGATCAAATCACAATCAGAAATGTCATATAATTCATTCAAAGATTTATTTTTGAAGACAGTTGTTGTAATACTAGCAATTATTGCAAAAGATTATTCAAAAGACGTATTACACAAAGCTATTAAATTATTCCATGCACAATTAGGAGCCAGTGGTATATGTGATGCAGCTGGTGGGATATTTTTGAAAGCTTGTCAAGAGTATTTATCGCAAATGAGCGAAGCTGATCAAGATATTTGTCAATTAATTAAATGTAGATATCATTATAATATTAGCATTGATGGATTTGTACCTTTCGAGCATGATACTCAAGAGAAAGAAGATTTAGCTGAGAATGATTGTCAAGAATTGGCAAAATTTGTTTTACCTATTTGTTTTAACACGAACACCATAAAGAGTGTTCCAAAGCATGATATGAAAATATTAATTGAAGAAATGTATGAAGTTTTTGGTGATCCAGATTATGAAAAAGATTCAAAATTGGGTAGAAATAAAGCATTTTTTGATTATTTCTTGGAAAGTACCAGACTTACTCCCCGATTTGTTCGTGATACATTTCATGGCTTGATGAAACTAGAATTGGATAAAAGTGATACAGGCATTAGTTCAAGTGGATTATATTATCTTCAAGGTTTATTAATTTTTTCATCTTACAAACAACGTAAGAAAAATATGCAAGGAAGAGCAGTTGAAATTGAAAATGCTATTACTTTATTTACAAATGATTTAGTATGCGGTAGCAATAGAATGGAAAGTTGGTTTTTGATGGGTCAAGCTTATGGGTATTTGGTGGAAGATGATTTAATTTGGACATCTGATAAATTAACTGTCGCGGACAGGAAAAATGGTACAGCAAATTTACAAAGAAAATCCTTGGTTTGTTACCTTATGACTATTAATTGTACATTAGATGAAAATATTAAAAATAGAGTTAAGCCAATAGTTGGGAATCTAATGTCTTCTTTTGCTAAAGAATTATTTGGAGCAATAATGAAGCCAATGGACATGTTGGCATTAAAAGTTCAGTCACACCCAAAGTTTGTTAATAGACCTGGTGGTGCAAGTTTCATTAACGTTTCCGAAAAAGGTACTTTATCCAAAGAATTTTGTTTCAAATTAATCAAGCAAGCTTTACATTTAGCTATAAAATCAAATGACAAAGATTGGACTGACTACTATTATTTATCTAAAGTCCAAAGAAAGTGTAGGGAATCTCCCAAACTAGTTCTTGATACCATGAGTAAGGCTTGTGCTATGGCTCTGAAAATGAAAAATAATGAAAATATTCTAGAGCCATTTTATAGTTTGGTAACTTTGTGCATGAAGTATTTTAAATCAGATCGAATTACACTTGACCAAGCTAAATCTTATTTGAAGAAAACGTCAATTGTTGAATTAGATGTTGATAAAATCGAGGATAATCTACAATTTTATGGACTTGTTGTTTCTGCTTTGAAACAAATTGATGCAGCAGACAAGAAAAATTGGCAACACAAATCCACCTATAGATTGGCGAAGATATTATATGAAGAATTTAATGATGTCGAGGGTGCAGCTGAACTCATGTCCAATTTCATATCATTGAAATCAACAAACAAACAGTTAGTGCTGATTTGGAAACCAGAATCAGAAAGACCAGGAAAGCATTTCTTATATACGTTTCAATATATCAAATTTTACATTGAACTTTTGAAAGAGAAGAAAGATTTGAATAATTTGATAATAATGATTCCAAAACTACGTCGATCAAGTTCAATTATGATAAATTTATATGGTGCATGGGAATATCTATGTTCTTCAATTTGTAAAATAATAAGAGATTCAATTAACGTTGAAGATTCATTTGAATATACTGAAAATTTCATAAACAATTTACCATACCTGACGTTCTCATTGAATCAAAAATCTATGTTTGATTTTTTGGAACATAAAGAAATCCCATCAACGTTAATACCAATTTTGTGCTTTTTGTATGGTATAAATGACTTGAAAAAATCAAACAATGGATATGGACCAACTTCATTAATAGATGACACGATAGTTAGTTTATTTTTCAAAGTCTATACTTATTATCATAGCGACACAAATTTTGCAACATCAATTAATTCACCAGGTACTAAAAAGAAGATTGCTAAGAAAGATATTTTTCCATTAACTAATGATTTATTAAAGTTAAGTAGAAGAGATGTTGAATCAAAATTAAAAGATTCTGATAATGGTTATAATGCTGTTTTGAATGAAGTATATCAAAAGAAAGCTGAAGAGTTAAGAAAACAGCAGGAAGAGTTGGAGAAGAAAAGAATCAACGAAGAAGCTAACGCAATGATTGTTAATGAGGTTGAGAATACGAAAAATCATGTTGACAATCAGAAAGACAATCAAAAAGACAATCAGAATGACAAAAAGAATGACAATCAGAATGACAATCAGAATGACAATCAGAATGACAGTCACAATCACAATGATAATCACAATGATAATCACAATGGCAATCACAATGACAATCACAATGATAATCAGAATGGTATCAAAAGTGCAAGTCAAAATAGTATCGAAAATGCAAGTCAGGATGAAATCAAAAATAAAATTTATAATGATGCTCAGGATCAAATTCAAGATGAAAGTCAGAAGTCTTTTGAGACTGACAGTAGCAATGGTATTGTTATATTGAGATGTACTGGTGATATACCTAAAGATGATGAAGTCGAAGAAGAAGAATCAAGCGATGATGGAATTATAGTATTGAATCAATCATCAAATAAACTACTTGATAATAGTGGTACTAGAAGAACAATTTCAGATAATATCCGTCCAATTGATGAAGAATTTAGTGAAAGGCGTACATTAATAGAGACTGGACCATCTCAAATATCAAGTCAAAATGTTATTGCAGAACATGAAATTATAAGACACGATCTTTCTGATCCAACAGAACCAAGTCCAGCAAGACCAGCTAAAAGGAGTTTAGAAAGAACTTTTGCATTCAATCCACATAATGATGAAATCATAGTTATTGATTCAGATGATGAACCACCAACCAAGAAACCTAATAATTAGAATTGCAGCATATAAGATATAAACATCTTTCCATTTAGTACCTTTATTCTACTTCTCCTGATGTTGTAACCAAATTTCGAAGTGACAAATCGTACACAATTTTATTTAATCTCTGAGAATTATATTTCAAACTATCATATCTTTTTCTCAAAATGTCATTTTTCAAATCCAACAACAGAAATCCATTTTGAATCTTGGAGACAATTTGTGAATTAATTATACCTAAAGTATAATTTGATGATTTTTCATTTGTTGATCCAATTGATTGATTGATGACAGTTGTAGTTGTGTAATTCACAATTATATCAATCAATTTCAATAATGAAATTAAGTAAGTTTGATAATTTATGTTATCTAAATTTAATGTGGTGAATATTTCTTTTGGAGTTTCTATAATTCCAGTTTCTTCATTACTTGAAACCAATCTTATGTGTATGGGATCATTAGTAAAAGATGATGATAAGATCCAGAAGTATCTATTGACCAACAATATGTAAATTGAATCTTCAATAAATTTATTTAATAATCTTTCCTTCTGGCTTGATTTACAATCTAAATTAGATAATTCTGTCAAAAAATTGTTTAAATTGAGTTGTATTTCCTTTTCAAAACTAGTGGTATTTTGGAAGTGTTGATTCAATTGATTCGGACTGATTGACAACCATGAATTTATTTGAGATTGATACGGTATGATTGATAAATCAAATTTATTTTCTAATTCTTGTATTAATGCTTTCTTATTTACACTATTAAATGTTAGAAATTGATGTATAAATAAAGTGAAAATTTCATTTCAACACGTACTCTTTTGCTATTTCTTGCCTTATATCTTCAAAAAATTCGTCTAAATAAAATAACTTAGTCGACATTAGTATTCACTTATTTTATAAACAAGATGATATGATAACATATATTAATTGTTTATAGAAACTATAATTTTTCAATAATATTCTATTTTGTGTTCTGCATTCAAAATTTTAAGTTTATACAAAAATCAAATCTTATATAAAAAGAAAAAGAAAAATGTCTTCAATATCAAAAGTTTTATGTTTACCAGGTTATTTACAAAGTGGTGCAACATTTGCTAGAAAATCATCTGGTTTACGTAAAGTTTTATCCAAGAAATTAAATATTCAATTAGATTATATAAGTCCCTGTCATAAGATCAATTCAAAACATGAACTAGGATTTCCATTAGCTTCAACAGAAGAAGAAAGTGATAAAGTATGGGATCAAGTAGTTGAAAATGAAAATAATGTTAGGTGGTTTGCCCATTTAGGTCCAAATGACAACAAAGGTTTAAGTCAATCAATCGATCATATTATAGACTACATTGACAAGAATGGTCCATATGATGGAATAATAGGTTTTTCTCAAGGTGCTGCAATGGCAGTGATGATTACAAATTGTATAAAGAACAAGTTACCAGCACACCCAGATTTTAAAATAAGTATGTTTGTATCTGGGTTCGTGTTAACGGAAGCTAAAAACGGTGATAATTCTGCAACTAATAGAGAAAAGATTAATAGTCTAAGTAATCTAAACCAATATTGCGATGATGTTAAAATTTCGGAAGAACCAGCTAAATTTTTAATAGATCCTAAAACAAATGAAAGTTATGGTAAAGTATTAAATACTGAAATCATACTAGTTTATGGCAAAAATGATGCAATTGTAACTCCAGTTAGATCGGAGTATATAACAACATTATATAATTCTAAAAATATTCATGTTTTTCCTCATGATGGTGCTCATTTAGTTCCAAATGATAAAAAATTTGTTGGACCTATATCTGAATTGTTTGATCAAAAGGTCAATCATGGCAAATTATAGACATTTAGATATTAGAGTATATAGATGAATAGACTAGATTAAAATTAATGTATGAAATGAATAAATTAGGCTTACTTCTTCTACTCTAATACTTTGAAAATATTTTGTGTAATAAAATAATAGATGAAACAAAAATTTAGAATTTTGAATTAAGTTGACAACTAATTTTACAACATTGATAACAATACTAATTATTTGAAGACTTATGTCGGAAGTGACAGATTCATACGTACCGAAAAGTCAACAAGATGATATAGATGGCAGCAATAAAAAATTCAGAAGTGAACGAAATAGAGAAAGATCAGAAATATCTCGTCGTGAATTTATATCTGGGGTTAAGACAACTTCAACATTTAGTAATGTTGAAACACCAGGATGGATGAAGAAAGAAGAAGATAAAAATTTGAAATATGAAAAATACGGAACTAGAGGGGATTCATCAATTAATTCCTCGTCATCAATAAAAGAAAAAGAGAAAGAACAAGATTCAAGATTAGATAGATTGAAACGTTCAAGAGATAAAATGGAGGAACGACATGAAAGAGATGGAAGAGAGGAGGAAGAGGAGGAAGAAGATCCATCAATACAGCCCTACTTACACTTAGACGTTGCGAATCCATCAAATATACATTCACAAGGAAAAGATAATTATCACACGTTTCAAAGTAAAATAACAAATAGGGAAAACCGTGATATCAATAGTATTGTCAGGCAGCATTATAATCAAAGAACTCAACAATCGAAGAGACAAGGGTCAAGAGTGAATTCTCCAATTTATAAATTAAGAAATTTCAATAACACAATAAAGTATATCCTATTAGCCAATTGGGGCAAATATGTTAAAGATGAATCAACTCCTTCCAAATTATTTTCAGTACTAGATTTATGTTGTGGGAAAGGTGGTGATTTAAACAAATGTGAGTTTATAAAAATAGATCAATATATAGGGATAGACATCTCGGACGTTTCAGTACGTGAAGCTTATGATAGATACTCAAAACAGAAAGCAAGATTTAAAATGCAACAAAGGAATGAAAATAGATATAATTTCGAAGCTTGTTTTGCTACAGGTGATTGTTTCACTCAATTTGTACCAGATATGTTAGAACCAAATTTTCCAGGAATTATAGATAAAACTTTCCCAGTTGATCTTGTATCTATACAATTTGCATTACATTATGCTTTTGAGACTGAGGAAAAAGTTAGGACTTTATTAACAAATATTTCAAGATCTTTAAAAAGTGGTGGTAAATTTGTTGGAACAATTCCTTCTTCAGATTTTATACAAAGTAAAATTACAAGTAATCAAGTATACAAAAATCAAGAGGGTAAATCGAAATTTGGAAACAAATTATATTCAGTCACATTTGATAAACTGCCACCAGAAGATGGAGTATTCCGACCACCGTTTGGCAATAGATACGTATATTGGTTAAAGGATGCAGTAGACAACGTCCCAGAATATGTCGTGCCGTTTGAAACTTTAAGATCATTATGTGAAGAGTTTAATCTAATATTAAAATACAAAAAGAATTTTGTTGATATTTTTAATCTGGAAATTCCTCATTTTTTCAATCGATTAAACAAAAATCTAATTGATGGATTGAAAAGAAGTGATGGTAAATATGGTGCCGAAGGTGATGAAAAAGAAGCAGTTGGATTTTATATAGGTTTCGTCTTCGAAAAAATATAAGTTAACTTTTATGTTTTTAAATTTGTATTGCGGTTTGGATGTTTTACATTTCTATAGCAATTTCACAAAACAAGAAACTTATTTTAATGGTATTTCACCAATTTTTGAACCTTTATAACTAGCTTGATTCTTAGAGCAGTAAAGGTTCCTCAAAAAAAAAACTAATATAGATATTATTTCTAATTTTTACATGTAATTCTTCCTTAAAGTCTTGTTTAAAAGACTACAAAATTTTTACATAAATTTGCATCAGGACTTTCAAAATATACGAAAGACTTTTTTTCTGATTATACATACTGTAAGAATTCATGGAAAAGACTTAACCAGTTTGGGTAAAAACAGACTCAAAGATAAATGAATTACAAGTTTAGTGAATTTTGAGCTTCTCTAGAATTAGTGATAATTTACTAAATCTCAAACTGACCACATCTATTCTACAAATATATATCAGTTTTAAAAGCAATTATAGTCAACAAATAGTCGTGACACTTTAACTGATTCAATAAGGTCCAAGGTCCCAAGGTTTGTTTGTTAAGACGCTTGATCAATCAAGAGATCAAGTTGTAAATATCATCAAAATTTCTTTTTCTTTCTTTTCGAGCAAAAACGTTGATCAATTACATCACTGACTCAGTATCTGCAATGGTTTTATATTTTGAGGCAGCAGATTACATTTACTAAGTAAATGCAATCTTAAGTTTTTTGTGTGTCAATGATGAGCTTTGCTGCATTGATGTAAGCTTACTTATTTTTTTGCTTATACGTAATTTGAGTCCTCCTTTTAACAAAAGTGCACCGCTTTTTTATTACATTTGATGAGTTATAAGTATCAAGCTCAGTTTTACCTTCGGATGACTCCGTGCTCTTCAACTCACAATAACTAACACCCTGGTGCAAAAGCTTTATTTAATAATGCTCGAAATGATGGGAAGATGATTATTTTGAAAGTTGTGTTACCTTCTTATTTGGTACCCCATTTTTATCAAATACCACTTAATTAAATCTTTGCAGCTTCTAATGTCTAATTGATTAAGCAGAAACTTAGCTAGTTTTGAAAATATGAAACCTGACTTTCTCAAGCTTTAGTATAATAGTTTTGCACAAGCCCAAATTCACTGTAAAGTAACGTTTTGAATCAACAAACCTGGTGAACGTCCCGATGATACTCCAAGCTCAACAACTAAAACAAAAATTTAACAACAATTTTTGCACAACTTGAAAAAAATAATTCTGACCACCTCGTGAGTACGCTGGCAAGTCAATACACAATTTCCAATTTTTTCTCCAATCCAATTGAGTTCTTAAGCTATCATGTCATTAGCAAATTACTTTTATTTATTGAAATTGAATTTTCTGATTTTGAATAATTCTGTTCAACTGCATCCTTATATTTTTGTAGCTCTGACAGCATTGTTGAGTTTGCGAACTAATGCAGCTGTATTGAATTTAGATGAATATCAATAAATATCGCTTGAATTTGCTATACTATCAATTTTGTGCTTTTAAGTGAATGAGAAAGTAGTAATTGAGTGGTGATTTCAAGGATCTTAAGTTTGTTATTTTAGCTTTTAGTCCCATTCCTAATTCTGAAAAAAATGTCTTTATTGCTAAGTCATAAGTCTTTAACAATTATTTGAATTGCTCCAAAATAATTAAACAATAACTTTGGTTGCCTTATAATTGTTTTTTGTAGTATTTAATTGACCTGGATTGAAAAGAAGATCAAGAATTTTCAAGATCCTACAAGATCAGAATAGGAATTCAAAACTGTATAATGTATTGCTCCCTTCTAAATTTGTCAACTAACTAACTGACTGTAAACTCGATAAGGAATACTGTTTTCTGAGTGTCCATGGTAGGTGGTGAGTGATTTTAGTTAAACGAGGGAGTTTTTACTTAGTACCTATTTTTAGTATCGGTGTTTCGAATTTTTTGTCAGAGACTCTAAAGCTATAAATCTTAAAAATCTAAGTCAAATGCCGAGCAGAAACATTAAGTTTGAGGCATGGATTATAATCAAGAGTTACTAGAATTTAAGAAATATTAAATAATTTCGAAAGATTGAGTCAGCTCTGAAACATGAAACAGAGAGCCAAGTATTAGACTGGAAACCGAAAACTGCTCAACTGTGCATGACTTGCTATAGCTTTCAACTCTATATGAATTTCAGGGAATTCAACGAAAATACAACCTCAACTTTAAGTCCTTATTCTGCTGATAAAATTGAGAGAATTTGTTGTTACATATCTTTTTATTTTGCAACCCCGATTTTTTCTATTATTTTTCGATCACCGTTTTCTTAAAGGCGTTTGTAAAGAAGACCCTTTCGGCAAGAAAACTTTACCCACATATCCGAGTCGGCATTAAGCGTTAAGGTTCAAAATTGTCTTTTGTTTTCCATTGAATACTCAACTTTGCATAAGTTTGTTCAAATTTGATTGGTATTATTTACTTCTGTTATTGGATTATCTCAAAAAGTTTGAATTAATAAAAAGAATTATAATAGCATCAACTAAAACTGAAGACTAACTTATTATTTAAATTCGATTTTTCTTTTAATTGTAAAGTACAAAAGTTTTAGTTTAAAAATTTAATGTTTGATCTAAAATTATAGTTAATAAAATAAAGTTTTATAGATTAAGGTTTAAAATTTTGATTTTTTTTTTGCCTTTCGATTCAAACATTTCTTTACATTTTTCTCTGAAATTTGATATATTTGTTTTTGATTTTGAATTTCATGTTGGATAATTGGAGTAATTGAACAAATTTAAATTCTTGAATTCTTTGCCACATCAATTGCTCTCGTGGTGATAATATTGCAACAATTTTTTTTTCAAGGTCTCAGTAGAGTAGGTGAAATACCCCTTAAGATTCTTGTTTTAGATTAATACACGGTCTATTTCGATTTTAAAGATCGTACTAATGTTTATAATCATTAACTAATTTATTAGCATCAAAGACTTTAATTCTTGCAGTTTTGGTTGAAGCTGGTTAAAAACTTGAATATAGTCCATTTATAAAATGGCACAGCTAAAAAGCTATGATTAAATTCGTAGTATTGAAACACTAAATTTTTTAAAAGACTAAATTCTTTTAATTTTGCTAAAAACTACTATAGTTGGATACTAAAAATTTGCAGTTGTGTAGGTTCAGCATTTCTTTTCAACTCATTAAAGTTTATCTAAAACATCTTTTAAATATTTCGGGAACAATTGATTAAAAATATAGTTTAGTCTGAAATTCTAAGTAAAAACTAGTAAAATTCTCACTATTTCGTGATTAAAGAATTTAAATTTTATAATCTGTTGAAAAATTTAGAGCTGTAATTCAGTTTAATTAGTTTAACAACATTAAAAGATAACAAGAAACATAAAGAGCATAATTGAATTATTTTATAATATATTTGCAGTACCTATAGTGATTGCACATATAATTATTTTCTCTTGATGTTGTCGCAATTGTATATACTACAGTTGTTTAGCCGATAATGCGTTGATTGAACCTATATGGCGGCTTTAATTTAATTGAAAATACAGAACAATTGTAACTAACAATTTGACCCATATGCTGCAGGGAATAGAACAAGTTTTGTAATTAATTTTCTTCCCTCCTTAATCCGTTCGAAAATTAAAGGTTACGAAACTCATTTATTTTTTGTTTTATTTTATTTCAATATTTAATGAAGCATACTTTTGTCTAAATTTTAGATCATGAGTTTTACCAACAAAAATAATGCAAAAACACGAAATGTTTTTTTCCATTTTCTTATTCTTTGTAAGATTAATTTTGCTAAATTTAGTTTTGTATAAATTTGTATGGCATAACATTGCTTCCACTATTTTTACTACTAGTTAATTGTAATTGCGTGGACCGCTTGATCAATTTTTATTAAAAAATTTTAGTCACCTTATTTAGAAATTTTTTAGATGACATACTAAATATGCAACTTAAACTTAATGGAATGTTCTATAATATTTAATGTAAATATTAGATTAGACCTGATACAATCATGTTAGACCACATTACAGATGAAACAAATTTATAATAAATTCTCAAACTAAGTGCTTCTTTCAGAATTATTTGTAATTCCAAAATAAGAAAAAAAAGGGATTCAGAAGAAAAAAAAAGTCAATTTTCTGAAACTATTGTCATTTGAAACTCAACAAATTTTTGTAATATAAAAGATTAAGTCGTGTTATCTTTGAAATTTTATTGTTGTATTTTAAAGTTTGTGTAATTTTTTAAGTTTTTAGTTAAAGCTTATTTTTATTTAATTTAATGAGGTGGTGGTGGAATATTAATTTTAGTTAACAATTGAATTTTTATTAAAACGCACTAATCACATGCATCTATTTTGTTGATATGAAAATTCAGCTCAGTATTTGGCTTGTCAAATTTACTCAAATTTTGAAGATTAGATTGAAAACAGAGTAGTAAGACTTTACAATTATTATTTAAATGCAAATTGCCCAAAAAAAATGTTGAATAAATGAAGATACATAAAAAAACAACTAGCGTATTTCAGTTGATTGTTTCAAACGCTTACTAAAGATATTACATCATGTTTATGTAAATCATTTAAGAACCCCCTTCCTAATTGAGTATAATTTACGATCGCTTAAATATTGTGGTTTCAAATTTACTGAAGATACTGAACGGTAACATCAGCATACTGAGATTCATATGATCTCAATCGCTCAATTAAAGTCAGTCTGAGGTAACTTAATTACGAGGCTGTTGTTGCTACAAGGTGCAGGCAAAAGAAGTAAATAATTTGCTCAAGTAAGGCTTAGCACCTGCTATTATATTCGGGTGAAGTTAACTCGTAAAATTTATTTTCAATTACAAAGACTCGAACATGTTTGAAAAAAAAGAAATTAGATTTATATAATAAATAGGCGAAAATATCGCAAAAAGATTGCAATAGGGTTGTTTTGATCTTGAGACGTTAAATCTCAACAAACAAATCTAAATCTTTAATTAAAAGAATGAAATCGAATCTTTAATTTTAACGTTGACGAATGATTTTAACAAAACATACCCCTGGTTCTTTAACGAAATTTTCTTTAATTCATTTTTAGATTCTTTCGAAATTAGTTCAAGCATATTTTACCTAAATTAAGTTTTTAAAGACAATATGCAAGTTATAAGAAGACTTGAATTCATACCAGTGACGACTGCCTTAAAAATTTACAAATGAAATTTAGCATGAAATGTATTTTTGAAGAACTTGAGGCAATACAGGCGCACTAAAAAAATTTGAAGTTTCATACATGATTGTAAATGTGAAAATTGATCAATAATTAAAAAATAACGGAAATTACTGATTATTGAAGCATTTTACACTAAGTTCACTACGTATAATGTATTACATACTATAAAAGTGATTTGTGTAAGACTATAAAACAGAAAAACTCTGCACAAAAGTTGGAGTGCAACTCAAAACTTGGGAGAAATTAAAAAAAAAACGTTCGAGAATTTGCAAAGTGAATTTCACGTTGTTATAAAACAAAAAAACTTCTGATTTTTCATGGCACTTTTGCGTAAACTAATACGTTAAAACAATAACATAGAACGGAATTTTTTATATTCAGTCGAAATACAATTAGGTTACAATAGACGAAAAGTTACACCCAAACATGATGTCATATATGATTATAAATAATAAACATATGAAGTAATGAAAAAAAAACTGTATCTTGATAGCCTCGTGTTGGGCAAAATATATTTAATTGAATGAAAAATAGGGCAACACTGATACAAATATCCTGCGGATTTATTTATTTATTCTCAAAACTTAAATTTTTGATTAAAATTAGGAAATCCAAAACCGTTGAAAATTTTAACTTTATTTTTAAGTTTTGATACCCCCTTTTTGTACTCGGGTAAAAGTGAAATTTTCAAAGAATAAACTTTAAATGCAACATAATTTTTTTTTTTTTTTTAAGTTTTTTATTTGCAATTTTTTTCATCAACGATAGGATTGACAGACCAAATGAAATTATTCTATATTGGTAGCTGATAAACTTGATAAGGATAATAAAATTTGTTTTAGTGTTTGGTTTCTCCCTAAATTTAGTTCATTAGTTTGATCGAAAATGTAAATAATTGAGAGACTAAATCTTTTGTAAATAATTACTAAATTTAGAAATATGGTCTAATAATTTGGAAAATTATTTTAGTTGATAAATTGGACTTAAATTTTTTTATTGTATGTTAATTTCAAACTAAAATTAAATTTAGTTGAACTAAATCAATATCAAACCTATTCATTATTCTGGTTTACACTAATTCGTAGATTATAAATATGCCACTTGTCTCACTTTAGTCTATACATGGCTCAAATTAACAAATATTTGCGTTTCAATTCTTAATCTAATCAATCTAAAAAGATAAATGTAGTTAAGATCTAGGTAACAAATCTTGAATCTTGATTTTAAACTAATTAAAAATAATTCGATCCAAAATATCAAATAATAATAAATTATTATATTGAATCATAGAAAAATAAAATAAAGGGTACCAAGATCTAGGGAACAAAGCATTTACAAATATAATATGTCAATAATGATTTTTTACGAGAGGAAGTAAGTTAAGAAAATCACAAGATCCAAAAATTTTTAATTTTAATTTGAATATCATTTATTAATAAAAGAGTCGTTGATCAAATTCATCAAATTTTTATTTATATTAACTCGAATTTCATAAATTCAATTTTCCAATTAAAAGTAGAATTGATTAATTAAGTTTTTTAGATCAAAGTATAGCGAGTTAATTTTTAATTTTGTACTTCAAATTAAACAATTATTTTGAGTAAAGTTACACTACTTTTCTACAAATAAATAATAATAAAATTTTTAGTATATGTAACACTGCATATAATTACAATTTTATTTATATTAACGAAATAATTATTATAGTTTATTTTTTTATTTTATTGATTAATAATAATAAATTTTCTTATTACTAAAAAATCTAAAAAAATTAAAATTATTAATAAATATTAAAATTTTTAGTCCAATTAAAAACTAAAAACTAAAATTAGTTCTAATTAATTAATTAACATAATAAGTAATAATTAAAAATATTGAAATGAAATCACAACAAACAATTAAAAATTCATCGCTGAAAATGTTTAAGGTTTTCTAATCAAACTACTTTCATTAAACATATATTCTTTAATATATATTACATCTATTTTGTACTTGAATATATAATAAAATATTATAATTGTATTTTACGCATCAATTCATCGTATTAATTTTTATTATTATTATCATTATAAAATATTTAGTCACACAAAATCTTATTAACAAATTTTTTATATATAAATAGAGAGCATTAAAGTTTTTTTTTTTTAATTTTTAATTTTTAATTTTTAATTTCAACATGAATTTGAACTATAAATTATTTTAGTAGTAAAATAAACAAACTAATATGAATAAATTAATACTATAAGATTAGTTAAATAGACTATAAAGAACTAATTTCTGATAGTATATAGACTATATTCTAATGTACTCGTAAATCAATAATTTCTATAAATATCATTAATACTTCAGTAGTGGTTTTGTATTTTTTAAATTAATTAATTTATAAAGTATCAAATATTAAATTTATAAAATAAATTATTATTATATATAATTTTTTATTTTATTTTTTTATTTTTTAATATTTATAAATTAATTAATTCTGTATTATAAAAAAGTCACATAAATTTATCAGTTTTTTTTTATTAAATAAAAAATTCAAATTTAAATAAACTAAACTAACAACAACATATTCAACTACTTTCATTCCTTTTATCAACTACCTGTTTTCATTGAGGTTTAAACTCAAAATTCATTTCAACACATAACCTTAAAAGAATTAAATTAAATTAAATTAATTAATTAATAACGGAGAAAGAAATTGTTCAATCCTAAATTTATTCATAATAACACTTGAATTAATCATATCATTCAAAATTTTTCAATATAACTTTTTTAATCTTAATTGCATTTTATTCCATCAATTTTATCGTGTTTCTGTTTAATCAATATATCTTTTAAAAACATTTATCCATAAGCATAATATAATTAATTCCTTATTTCCTCACCACATTTCCTACTTTAAAGTTTATATCCCCAGTTTGAAGAACAAAAAATCAATATAGGGTTCCATCAAAAAAAGTTTATCAAATAAGCTTTTCCATTCTTAAATTTATTGAAGGCAAATTATTCTTATAAAAAAGAAATTTTGATTACATTTTATAAAAAAGAAATCTATTTGATTATTATCACAAGTTACTGGGCCAAAGTAAATTGTTTTTGATATTTGATCTTTAATAAAACTTTTTCACAATTTCACTTAATAAATATCATTAATATTCACTTGAAAGATTACCAATTACAAAAACTAATACAGGTACAAACGTTCAAATAACAAAACTACAATTAAAATAAATTTTCATAAGCGATTTTATAAAGTTTATTATTCAATAAAAATAAACTTTAAAACTTAAAAATTTCTTTCACCTCAAAAATTTTTAATTATATTTCAATCATATATAATCAAAAAAAAAGTCATCATAAGAGTATTGTTTTTTAAGGTTATCAACCCAATAACTACCCGATACAGTTACAATATTTTTCATAAACTCAAGGCGAAGAATTGGAAAGTATTTATCCTAATTAATATAAATCGGAAAAGTAAGTCATTTTTAAATAAAAAGAAACTGTCATAAGCATTCAAATAAGAAACAAGCTACCTTATTGCAACCTTGACATCAACGTCTTCAACATAAAATTCAGATATCTTATTAAGGTCCTAATTCGTTAAGACTAAAAAAATATAAGTTCATTATTTAACCAAAGTATTTCCCAACCTAAATTTTACAAGATTTTAAATAATTTTAATGATTCATTAAATATAATAATTTAATCTTCAACTAAAAATTATTACTTAAAAAATTACTAAAAAATTAAAAAAAAAATATTATATTATTTTTATATTTGAAAAATTATACAAAAGGTAAAACGTTATACTAAAAAATTTCTTAAGTGGTTTAATTTAATTTTGCATATTATCATTACAAATATTCATATTATGGGAGTCGAAACTGATAAATTAATTAATGATCATGATGATCAAAAAAATAGAAATCAAAACTTAGGCGGTTTTTCAGCAGTTAATGATGCTAAAACTTTATTACCACCATTAGGTACAATGAAAGGTGATCAACAAGAGCAACAACAGCAACAAACACAGCAATCACAACCCCCACAAGCTTATGAGTATAATCCACAACCTTCAATGTATTCTGCTTATCAACAATCAAATTATGATCCATATTTACAACAAAGAAATATGGTACAGCCTCAAAATACTTATAATCAAATACCTCAATATACAACCCAACAACAATATCAATCAAATGCAAGATCTTCTACTGGTGGTTCAAATATACGATATCAATATCCTGCTAATGTACCGACAACAACTACTTCAATTTCATCAAACAATCAAACAGATAATCAACAACAACTTCAAAGAGAGAATAAAAAGGGAAGAAGATTTAGAAGACGATATAATCAAATTAATAGAAGATTTCCATGCTCATATCCAAATTGTATGAAAAGTTATGGATCATTAAATCATTTAAATACTCATATTGTTTCTAAAAAACATGGTCATCGTAAAGCAAAAGCTGATTTTCAAAATCCTCAACAACAATCAAAGGACGAAAATAAAATTGATCAGAATTTTAATCAACAATCCCCTCAACAACAAAATCAAAATGCTAATCTTTTGAATTTACAGCAACAACCCCAACAACCCCAACAACAACCACCTCAACAACAACAGCAACAATATATGGCTAATGATTATTCAGGAGCAGCTTATTGGTATGGCTACCCAGCTGCACCCAACTTGAGACCTTCAAATACTTCATCATCAAATGAATCGTCATTTGGTTTAAATAATCAAATCCCTCCACAACAATCATCAACAAATATGTATTATCAAGGATATCAAGCCGGAGGAATACCACCAAATAATTTACAACAACAACAACAACCATCATCATCAAATCAACAAACTCAACAGAGATCAAATCAACAAGCTCAACAAAATCTACAACAACAACCACAATTTTATCAACAATCTCCTCAACATAATTTACAACAAAATTTTTATCCACAACAACAAGGTCAAATGTCATCTTCATCACATTTTACGCAACTGCAACAACTGCCTAAATGAAAAATTCGAGAAAATCTGTTGCTTTTAATTTAATTATTTTTTTTTCAAATGTATTGTTTTAGTTTTTTTTCCAAATTTTCATTAATAGTATTTATTTTAATGAGAATTTATTTATGTAATTTTATATATACCACCCCCCCAAAATATATGCCCCAATTAATTAGTAATAACGAATAAAAAGGAACTAGGTGTAGTTGAGACCCTGAATTTTCTGAATTTTGAATTTTGAAAATTATTTTATTGTGTTTCTTGTAATTTGTTTGAATGAAATAAAGTTTTTTTTTCGCAACCAAATATAATTTATTGCGATTTGTTTCATGAAATACGAGAGAATTAATTCATTTAAAGTTTGTACTAAGTTCATTTTTGGTCTTCTGATCCGTGATCTGCTGATCAAAATTATATTAAAATTCTTAAATTGTATCTCAGTTTCAAGTTTAAAACACATAATAAGGATTGACATAATGATCATTAAATTTATGTAAATTTCAGCCTTACCAATATTTTCAAATCGATAATGTTTCCTGTATATAATCTCGTGATTATTATAATTCTATTTAGATGAATCTTTAAATTTTATAAAAGAATTATTGATTTAATTAATTTTTTTAGATTTTTACAACCAAAATAAATCAAATATAAATTTTTTGAATAATCAATAATTTTTTTCAACCTAGATCTAATGGAAAAAGGGAATGAAGTAAATAATGCTTCGAATACATCAATAGACATTCAAGAGAAAGTAGAGGAAAAAGTGAATAATGAAGATTTAATCAATACAATTAATCAAGAGTCCAGTAATGATAAAGAAGTATCTTTTCAACCAACACAACCTGAAAAAGAGCCAAATAATAGTAATAATGGAAGTCGCATTACTGAATTGACGCCAAGGAGCGAGGAGGAGGCTAATATGGACCCATGTTCGGTGAATGAACAAGAAACAGCCTTACAAAAAGATCCAAATTTGAAAGTAATTAAATCGAATGAATCAACGAATGAAAATAACAATGAAATCCAGAATTCAACTATAATACCAGACCCCCCAGCATCTCCACAACCATCACAACCAAAGAATAAAAAGAGATTGACGTTACAAGAAAGATTAGCATTAGCAGCGAAAGGCAAAAAGAAATCTAATAAACAAAATCAACAACCAATTGAAGAATCAACACCATCTCCAATCATATCATCACAAAACGTAAGCACAGACGATATACCAAGTATTAAAGCAACAGAAAAGGAGGAAGAAATAAATAATGATGATTTAAACGAAGATGTAGAACGATATAAACAAGAAATTGCAAAACTAAAACAAGAGAACAATATACTACTACAACAAATTGAAAATACAAAAACTAGCTCAACAGATAAGAATCTCTCCAAAATCATCAAGAATAAAGATGAACAGATTGAACAATTATTGAAAGAAGGTGAGGCTTTGTCACATAAAGAATTAAAATTAAATGAGTCAATTAAGAAATTAAAAACAATGAATTCGGATTTAGAATATGATTTAAATGAATTAATTAAAAAAAATGATGAATCATTAATTAGATATGAGGAAGTTGAAGATTTTTTGAAAAATAATAAACTCAAAACCAATCAACAATTATTTAATAAATTTAAAGAAATTAATGAAAATTTAGAATCTACAACTCAAAAATATGAATCTTTAAAAAACATAGAAAATAAATACAATGAATTAATTAGATTAAATGAAGAAACTAACGAATCAAAAAGTTCAACCACTAGAGAATTGAGTAATCTAAAAATAGAGCATGATATGCTAAAGAAGCAACAAGAATTAGAATTATCATCAAAAGAAGATACAATAAATTCTCAAAAAAATGAAATTTACGAATTAAAGCAAAATTATAATGAAGAATTAAGAAGGTTGGAAGATAAAATAGAAAATTTAAGAATTAATAATTCGTCAACATTAAAAATAAGTGACAATAAAGATTCAATTGAATTTGATGAATTTAAGAAATTATCAGAAACTCATCATAATTTACAAAAACAATATTTGTCATCACAAGAAAATTTCAAATTAATTGAATCTAATTTAAATATGAAAATCGATACTTTAACTACATCTTTAGAATCATTTAAGAAATCAAAAAATAAATTAAGCAATGATTTGATCAAGTCAAATCAATCTATAACATTACATCAAAAGGACATTAAATCATTAAAAGATGAAAATTCAAAACTAAAATCTGAAATAAATGATTTAAATATTTCAATAAAGCTCAAAAACAATGATATACAAGAATTAAATGATAAGTTAGATAAATTTAAATCTATACACAATAACGAAACAAACAAATTGAATACACAAATAGATAATTTAAATGAAACAATAGAATCATTAAGAAAAAGACCAGACCCACTAAAACTTGATTCAAGAAATAGAGATAATTCAATGGGATCAGGTTTAAGTTGGAATGATATAAGGTTAGGTGAATCATCGACTACTCCAGCAATACATAGAGATTATCCAATGTTTGAGTCACAATCTTCATTCACGGAAGTTGGAGAAGATGAAGAACAAGATTATAGTGATCAAATATCATATATGCATAATAATTCAAGTCAAATAATAACAAGTAATAATAGTTTTGTTGGTAATAATGGGAACACTAGTATACCATTAACATTACAAAATAATGGAAATAATTTACAATTAATAAATAAAATGAGTTCAAATATAAGAAGATTAGAAATTGAATTAAATACAATGAAAGATGAATATTCAAAATTAATGAATGATAAACAACAAATTGAAGAAAATCTTTTAGAAAATTTAACAAAATTAGATGAAATGAATAGCTTACAATCCAAAATAAATGAACTAGAAATTGAGATATCGAAAAAATCGGAAAAAGAACAAACAATGTTAGAATTAATTGGTGAAAAATCAGAACAAGTTGAAGAATTAAAAAATGATGTTTTAGATTTAAAAGAATTATTAAAAACTCAAGTTCAACAAATGATTGAATTACAAGGTCTATAAATTAATTACATTACAAATTTATATAGTTTTAATACCCATGCATTTAACGTTAATGAAATCGACTTTTTTTAATACAATAAAATTGTCTACTGTAGATCTTAAATATGTGCTTTTTGTAACTTATTACAACAGGTTTTTGATTATCGTAAAAATATGTAACACATTACACAAACTTTTTTACTTAAGTGGACCAAATAAATAGAATTTATCTTTTTTGTGTCGTATTGACTTTGTATAAGTTTTAGAAAGCTAAGAGCACATCAATTTGTGAAGTTGAAATTACAGTTAAAATCATTGAAGAGGAAAAGTTTGACCGTTCTAATTGATAAAACCATTAATGTACTGATTGAGGTATTGATATAGTTACTTAATCGAGTACGTTTGACGGAATAATTCCTTTATTAATTATTATTAATACATACTATCAAATAACTTTTTTTCAATTACAATAATTAGGTCATTTTCAAAATATAAATGATGTATGAATATATATACAAGTCTATGAAAGCCTTAAAAGTATTTAAAAAAGTTTGTTTCGTAAGTTTTCGATAAGTAATCAAACCAATCCAGTGCTATTAATCAATTGTAGTAAGAAACAATAAATTAATTAGAAGAAATACCCCTAGTGCTAAATAATACTTAAGATAAATCTAAATAGATCTTAAACGGTATACTAAATTATATTCTCTTTGATCTTCTTCTTTAATTAAAGCGACAGTAATGAATTATTCTTTGACTCATATAGTTTTGGAAATTAAAATCATGTAATGTTTCACTATCTATTTTTTATCTCTCTAAATCATCAGAAAAATTTTTAACTTCTTCAAGTCCTTTTCATGTTTCAAACAAACTCTTCACTTATTTCTAGATTCTCTTTCAAATTCTCGATGTTACACATTTCTGGTGTTGAGTATTTAATTCAACCTCATTCTTTATATGAAAAGATTTGCGGATTGTTTGGAGTGAAGTACTGATGATATATTGTTGAGAACATCGGATTTCACAAATCTTTGAAAAAGAATAAGCATACTTATCCTGGATATTGTTTAGATAAGTATTTTGGAGTACGGAGAAATTCTGACATTTTAATATTTTCAACGACGAAAAAGAAAAATGACTTACCTCATGATGAACGTTTAAACTTACTTAATTGTTCAAGACAGAGTTCAAATCAAAGTGAAACATATTTTTTTAACATGGATCATATTACATTGATTTTTTGCTGCATAATTTAAAAAAGAAAAGGAAATTAAAATAAATAATAGTACACAAAAATTAATTTGTTTTATAGCGATGCCTTTGCTTTATCTATTTGAAGTACTTCAAACAATGTCAAAGAAAGAAGAAAAATCCGAGTCCAGCAGAAAAAGAAAAGCAGAAGAATCACAAGAAGAATTAGAAATTGATCTTAATGCAGAAACACCATTATCTAAAAAGCAAAAACGTTTAATTAAAAAGGGAAAATTAGAACCAAAACCAGAACCAAAAATTAAAACAGTACAAGAAGAAGCTGAACAAAAACCTTTAGAAAAATCAAAATTTGGAGTATGGATTGGAAATTTATCATTTGATACAACAAAAGAAGATCTTATAAGGTTTATAGTGGGGAAATCAAATTTAGAAAAAGATTCAATAACTAGAGTTAATATACCTAAAAAGGGTACTCAAATTAAAGGATTTGCTTACGTTGATGTTCAAAATGAAGAACAAGTAAGTCAAATAATAGAATTAAGTGAACAACATTTAAATGGAAGAAATTTGTTAATTAAAAACGCAACTTCATTTGAAGGAAGACCAGAAAAAGACACCACCACGGAAACAACAGAATCAAAAAATCCACCAAGTAGAATATTATTTGTAGGTAATTTAAGTTTCGACACAACTCAAGATAATTTAGAAGAACATTTTCGACATTGTGGAGATATAACTAGAATTAGAATGGCTACTTTTCAAGATACTGGAAAATGTAAAGGTTTTGCTTTTATAGATTTTAAAAATGAAGATGGTGCTATACAAGCAATGAAATCAAAATTAACTAAAATGATGCTTAATAGAAAATTAAGATTGGAATATGGTGAAGATAGATCTAAAAGAAGACCTAAATCTCATATGAGAGAAGAATCAAATGAAGTTGAAAGTTTTAAAAATGTAGAAAGAGAATCAAGACCTCAAGTTCAACAAGAACAACAACCACATCCACAACCTAAAAAGATTTATAGAGAAAGACAAGAAAAACCACAATCAAGACCAAAATCATCAGTTGCTTTAGCTTCTGCTCAAAGAGCAAGTGCTGCTATAGTTCCATCATCAGGTAAGAAAATTACATTTGATTAAAAAAACTTTAAAGTAAATATTTGATTAAAATTAAAAGTAATAGATATAAAAATACAAAACAAAACTAACTAAATGGAAAAACGAATCTTTTTTTTTTTCTCATTAATTGAATTTAAGCAATTTCTTCAATTAAAGTAACTTTTTCTTCCAAATTTTTATGTTTCTTATATTCAGCTTCACTGATTTCGAAATAATCTGGATTGTTTTTATGAGCTTCATATTCAGCATCAGAAATAATTTCATAAACTGATTGAACTTCCCAAGATGCATCATCACGACGAGAACCTGAATTATAACCAGCTGCTCCTGCTGCTCCAATTACACCAGCTGCTCCAGCAGCGGTTTTGGAATTAGTATGATCTTTCTTTGGTTCAACATCTTTTGCATTTACTCCACCAACTGTTTGATCACCTTTTGGAACAACACCTGAAGCAACACCAGTGTTTTTATTAGTTGTTGATGAGCCAAAATCAACATCTTTACTTTTACCTATTCCTTGATCAAAATTTGGAACAGCATCATTTGGATTATATGCTGAAGCTATTTTACTAGAACTATAATCTTCAGCTGGATTATTATGACCACCACTTAAAGCTGCTGCACCAGCACCTAATCCAGCACCACCAAGAGCACCAGCAGTTACATTTTTACCAACATTTCTACTACTAGTTTGTTTTTCTTCTTCTTCAGCATTTGGATGAATTTGTTTTGATGGTTCTTGATAAGTAGCATCTTTTTTAACAGGTTTGAATTGAGATTCATGAGCAGAATCAAGACCAACAGCACCTGAACCACCCAATGCTTCATAGTTAGCAGCGTTTTTTGAAGCAGCTAATTTTTCATCTTCAGCTTTTTTGGAAGCAGCTAATCTTTCATTTTCAGCCTTTTTAGAAGCAGCAGCTTTTTCATCCAAGATTTTTTGTTTTTGTTTATCAATTTTAGAAATTGCTCTTTCTCTTTCATTAATTAATGCATCAAGTTCAGAAGATTTTGGATCTTCGCCTGTATAAGTAGATCTTTCTTCTCTTAAATGTTTAATTTTTTTCAAATTAACAATTTCATCTTCTAATCTTTGTTTTTGAGCATCTTGATATTTAGTTTCATCACCTTCATATGAACCCTTTTTGTAAAGACTATCATGTTTGTTTCTTTCTTCTTCTAAAGTTTTTTGTTTAGCTTCTCTATCTTTAATAGCTGAAGTGACTGAAGCTTCCTTTTTTTGTTTTTCTTTCAATTCTTTTGCTTTTAATTCTTCTTCTTTTTGTCTTTGTTCTTCTTCAAGTTTTCTTTGTTTTGCTAATTCTTCTTCTTTTGCAATTCTTTCTTTTTCTTCAGCTTCTTCTTTTAATTTTCTTTGTTTTTCTTCTTCAGCTAATCTTTCTTCTTCTTCTTTTTGTCTTTTTCTTTCTAATTCTTCTTGATGTTTTCTTGTTTCATATTCTTGAGTAGCTTGAACTCTTTGTTTTTCATGTTCTCTTGCTGCTTCTGCTGCTAAACTATCTTTCTCAGTTTGCCAATCATTGTATTTTTGTTTAGCATCAGTTAATCTTTGACCTCTTTGTTCTTTATCAGAATGTAAATCAGTTAATTTAGCACCATAAGCACCAAGAACAGCACCTAATGCAGCAACTTCAGCAGTTAAAGTTTTATGAGTTGATTTTTTAGCTTCAAGATCTTTATCATAACCAGATAATTTATCATTTAACTCTTTAGTATGAACATCATTTGAATCAATAGCTTTAGCTTCAGTTTCATATTTGGTTTTAAGTTCATCCAATTTTATTTTATCTTCATTTAATGAAGCTAATAATTTTTCAATTTCATCAGATAATTCTGAATTTTTATTATCTAATTCAACTTTTTTATCTTGTAATTGTTCAATTTCTTGAGTTGTTTTTTCTTGATTAGTTTTTGAATCTTCTAATTCTTGTTTTTTAGTAGCAAGTAATTCATCATGATTTTTTTCAAGAGTTTCTTTATCAGTTTTATGTTGTTCAACTGCTTTCTTTTCACGATCTTCAAAATCCTTTTTAGCGGTTGCGATTTCCTTTTTAGTTTGCTTGTCGAAATCTTTAGCTGTTGTTATTGAAGTTTGTTTTTGTTTTTCAATACCATCTAATTTACGTTTAATTTCTTGATCAAAAGTCTTTTGTTTGGTACTAACTTTAGCAGCATATTTTTCAAATTCACCTCTTAATTTGACTTCATGTTTTTTAACTTTTTGATCTAAAATATGTTGTTTTTTAATTTCATCTTCTTGTTTAGTTTTGGAAACTTCTTTATTAATTGATGTAATAACTGGTGCAACTCTTTTTGCTGCTAAATCTAATAATTGTTGTTGAGTCATTCTTAAACCTGAACCTAATTCAATAACTTTTTTTGGATCATCAACATCATTAGCAATTGAGCCAACTGCAGTAGCATTCAATTCTTGATAATGTTTTAATAAAACTGGTTTATCTTTTAATTTTTCTAAAATTTCTTTGTTTGGTCTATCAACTGGTTCAAATTTAGCTTCTGGTGCAACATTTAATTCAATTGGATCTTTTTTAACTAATTTTTTGATATTATCATCACCATTAAGATCTTCTTCAGCCTCTTCTGCTGATTTTTTAATATCTTCTTTTACATCACTAATTAGTTTATCAGCTTTTTGTTCATGTTTATCAGCTGCTTCTTCATATTTCTCAGCTTCAGTTGGTTTTGATTTTGATACCGCGGGTCCATCAGTTAATAATTTTTCTTTTGAGGTGTCTTCCAATTCATCTGCTTCAGCTTGAGCTTTAGTAGTTGATGGTTCATCAGTTAATAATTTTTCTTTTGAAGAATCTTCTAATTTTTTTTCTTCAGCTTCACCATTTGTTACTTTTGGTTCATCAGTTAACAACTTCTCTTGTGGTTCATCAGTAATCAATTTCTCTTGTGGTGGTTCATCAGTTAATAATTTTTCTTGTGGTTCGTCGGTTAATAATTTTTCCTTTGGTTCATCAGTAATTAATTTTTCTTTAGATTTATCATCAAGATTTTTTTCAACTTTTTTAGCTGTATCAGCGGGTTTTTTAGTTGTAGTTGTAGTGGTGGTTGTAGTAGTTGGTTTTTTAGTAGTAGCAGCAGTAGTAGTTTTATTAGTTGTTGTAGATTTTTTAGTAGTAGCAGCTGCTTGTTTCTTCTTTTTAGCTTCAGCTTCTAAAGTTGGATGATGTGCAAATTTAGCAGGTACTTTAATATGTTCCATTTTATTATCTTCTCTAAATTGTTGATGTAAATTTGATTTCTTTTTAGATTGAGTATTTTCATCTTCTCCAGTACTTCTAAAAGGTGATACCCAACTTGAACCAGAAGTCAATTGTTTTAACCTACTTTGTGGTGGTTGCTTTCTTGAATCAATTGTCTCTGACATTGTATATAATAATTATTCAAAAGTAGGGGATTAATTGATAGAATTGAAATAAAGTAGTAGTTAAATTGAAATTGGAATTGATATTAAGTTGTAAAAAAAAAAAGAATTAAATTAATAAATTAAAATGGAAATTAAAATAGAAATAGAATTAGAATTAAAAATTTAGTTTAAGCTTGCCTTTTCTTCATTTAATTATTGATAAATTTTATTTAATTACTTTACTATTGAAATTAAATTAAAAAAAGGATGAAATTCTATTAAAGAATAAAAATTAAAATTGAGCCGCATTATTATTTTAATTTTTAATTTTCTAATCATGTAGCCAATTTGAATAGAAGAAATATAAATAGATTAAATATTTTAGATTGAAAATGAAAAATGAGCTCATGATACTCAATTTGGTCAACAACGACCAAAGATTTTTAATATTAGATTGTTGATAATACTATAAATTGTTTGATATATCACATATAAGAATTGACATATTATATTTCATACTATATTTTTTAGTTTGCTATCTTTATTAATTAGTACTCTCTCTCTTTTGTAGTTATTTTGATTATTTCCAATTTAGTTTAAATATTTAATGTTTTTAGAATTTTTAAGTACACAAAAATTATTGATTTTATTACATTATTACATATTGTATTATTGATTGTAGACTTTTAAATTTGTATTTTTAATTTTGGTTAGATTAAGTTTTATTAAAAATTCGATAATAACAATTTGGAGTTCTAAATCTACATTTATCAAGAAATTAATTAATAGAGGACTCTCTCGGTAATTCTTGGCTACGATGCTTGAATCTTTAGTTCTACAATATTTTACAATTGTTTAATTGACGTCAGTATTATTTAAAGTAGAGAAAAAACTAAATTTCTCATAAGTTGTGGATATATCTACAAGAATAAAGTTGTATTTGTAAAAATAAAAAATGCTGGTCATAAATCTCATAATTAAAATTAAAGTTTTTTTTAAAATCTTGAGACTTTTAAATTTTGAAACTTTCTTTGAGGGAAAAAAAAAAGATTCTAGAGAAAGAATGACACAAAATTAAATGGTTGCAAATTTCGTATTTATTTTTTCATGTATTGATTTATTTATGTCTAAACAGTTCTATAAATATAATCATAAAATTATTTATTTAATCATCATAATTGTTGAATCCTGGATCATTAGTTCTTTTAGGACCATCTTTTTCATTAATTTCATTTAATGCTTTAAAATCTTCATCAGATAAAGTAAAAGTTTCAATATTTGATTTAATTCTTTCTTCATGAACTGATTTTGGAATAACAATTGAATTTCTTTGAACAGCCCATGAAATTAATACTTGAGCAGGTTCAACTTTATTCTTTTTAGCAATTTCTAAAACAGTTTCATTCTTAAATAATGGTGAATCATTTGAACCTAATGGTGAATAGGCAGTAATATAAATATCTTTACTTGTTAAATATTTAACTAATTCAGGTTGAGTTAATAATGGATGAGCTTCAATTTGATTAATAACTGGTACAACATCAACACCTTCAGCATTTAATAATTTATCTAATTTTTTAATTGTAAAATTTGAAACACCAATTGCTTTAACTTTTTTACCTTCTTTATAAATTTTTTGTAATGATTTCCAAGTTTCAATATAATCTTCATATTGTGAAGGATCTTTAATATCTTCTGAATCAGTATTTACTGGCCAATGTATTAAATAAAGATCAACATAATCTAATTTTAATTTTTTTAATGATTCATCTAATGCTTCTTCAACTTTATTATGATCAGTATTCCATAATTTTGTAGTTACAAAAATATTTTCTCTTGGAACTTTTGATTCTGAAATAGCTTTACCAACACCTTCTTCATTACCATAAGCACTTGCAGTATCAATATGATGATAATCATTTTCTAAGGCTAATTTTGTAGCTTTATAAGCATCTTCTGGTTCTGATCTCCAAGTTCCAAGACCAACTGCTGGAATTTCAACTCCATTATTTAATTTAAATTTTTTAGTATTAACTTTTAATTCAGCCATTTTATGAATTTATGTATTTGTTTTTGATTGAATTATTGAAAAGAGTTGAATTATTGAAAAGAGGTGAATCTTGTTAATAAGTTTGAATCTTTGTCGACTATTTATAAGCTTCAATGTGGATCCTCCACAGCAACATATCAAACTTTAATTTCTTATACATCATGATTACAAATAGCAAGTCTACTATGATTTAAATTAATTGTATATTTTTCACACAATTCTGAGTCCACAATAGCAATTGAAATCCGAAAAAGCAATAACCATTAAATTACGGATCAAATCTGAGACATCTTTTTTTTGACAAAGGTTATATTCAATATAATTACTATTACTTTAATATGTCATAACGTATGAAACCTCCTAGATCTAGTGAGCTCAAGAGATTGACAAATGTTGATAAAATCGGATCGGAATCCAAGAATTAGAAACACAAGCATTCTCTTACCATATAAAAAAGCTACCATCTCGTAATTTTTACTTGTAACAAAATTCCATATGTTAATTATTAAAATAATTTCAACCAGTATTTAATACATTAAATAATAATACTACAGCCTTTTAATCAAAGATTATTATGCTTTAATCATAATGAAAGATAAAGTACATCAATTTTCAATATCAGAAACATCAAGTATTCATTCACGTCCACTAAGTAAACAACCAACAAGAAATGCATCAGTTCCTATACATACAACAATATCATTTGATGATTATGTTCATTATGCAGCACCAAAATCTTCAAATATAAAATCACTATATCCACCAGCAGCAGTAACTTTAGGTAGAAATGCATTTGATAGATATGGAGATCAAGTATCTGATTTTGAAGTTATTTCATGTAATGGAGATAGAATTCCTGTATCAATGGCAGTATTATTAAAAAGGTGGGGTAAATATTTTGCATTGATTTTAGCAAGAAGTTATGTATTAGCTGCTGAAAATTTTGAAGCTGGACTTTCAAATAATTTAAAGGGTGATTGGACAAAATTAACAAATGATTCAAGTGAGGATTTAAACAAAAAATCTTATGGTGAAGTACCACATTTTAGAATTCCATTTCAAGAATCAAAAGAATCCTTGGATAAACCAACAACTAATAAAACAGAGAAGAAAATTACTCAACCTCAAATAAATGAATTACCACCTCAACCACCAGTACCCACTGAGCCAATACCTGCAGTACCTTCTCAAACTACTTTTAAAAATACATCAAGAGCTGGTTCTCAAGATCATAATTCACCTAGATCATCTTTAATGCATACATTATCAGTTTTGAGAAATATACCAACTACAGGAAAATCACCAAGAGAATCACCTTTTTCATCTCCAAGAGCTTCATATTCTGGTCAAGGTAGTGTCTCAAATGAATTAAGAAGTTCACCATTTCCTAACTTAAGACCTAATTTTGGAAGTGCATCATCAGATTTAAAACTTTCTTCAATAGATTCTGGAGTTGGTAGTTCTGAAATGAGTGATTCAACAAGACATCCATCAGAAATTGATGTCGATGATGAAGAGGATGAAGAAGAGGGAGCTCACGAAGAGGAAGAAGAAATAGAATCAGATACTGAATCAGACATTCTTGATTATGAAAAAAAGACATATCCAATGGAACCAGCATTAGTGCCTCGAAAATTATATCTTCCGTTTTCAACAAATAGTGTGAAAGCATTTTGTGAATTTTTTTATACTGGACAAATTGGAAGTAAATGGTCATTAGCTCCAACATTATTAGATAATTTTATGATTTCAAAATTTTATAAAATTCCATTACTTTATGATTCAATATTAGAAATTTTAATTACTATTTTAAAAAGAAAAGAAGATCAAATATTATCAAATCTAAGCTCGGAACAAAGATTGGAATATGAAGAATTCATATATTTTATAAACAAAGGACAAATAAAAAAAGAAGATTTACAAAAATATTCAGATTTAAATATTGTTGAAGATAGAGAATTTGATGAAAATGATCAAGAACAAATAAATTTAGCTTATCAAGAAAGTGAAGATTTATCAGCACCAAATGTTGGTCCCAGAGTAAGATCTATTTTTGATAGAAGTTCAATAATAAATAAAGCTTTACAAGATGATGAAAATGAAGATAGAAGAAGTAAATTAAATTTTATAACTGTTGAAGAATTGGTTGATCCAAATTCTATTAATAGTATTAATGATATTGTAATTGAAGCTATATTAGATGCTGCTATATTGGTTAATGAATTGAAATTAGTTATTAGGATTAATAAGCTATATAATTTAGTTAAAAGTTAACACACGATTTAATGATTGTATTGTGATTTGTCTAGGTCTCTTTCAAATGATTTATAAGATGTTTAACACTTTATGCTTACGGAGACAATTTAAAAACTCAAATCAAATCAATTCAGTTTAGATAATTCCTAGAGTGACATTATTTCCAATTCTGCTACAATATTTACAAAACAATATATTTACTAATTCATTTTAAAATTCGTTACTAAACAAACCTATATTTATTCAATGTTTAATAACGATCACCACCTCTACCACCTTCCATTCTATTTCCATAATCAGTAGAATAACTTTGACCACCATAATTTCCTCTATTTTCCATACGATCACCATAACTATCTTGATTTCCTCCAGCATAACCAAAATTACCTGGTCCATCATTACCATATCTTCCTTGATTTGTATCATTTTCCATTCTTTGACCTACATTAGTATTCCAATTTGAATTATGACTGTTTTCATGATGTTTATGGTGTGATGAACCAAATCCTGCACCTTGTTGACCATAATCATCGTTTCTACCTCCAAAGTTTTCGTTTCTTCCACCACCATAATTATCATTTCTACCACCACCGTAATTGTCATTTCTTCCTCCTCCGTAGTTATCCATTCTATCTCCATAATTATCATTTCTTCCACCATAATTATTTCCACCATAATCATTTCTACCACTATTTATATTATCATATCTTTGTTCTTGTGATGATGAATAATCATTATATCTACCTTGTGAACCATAATTTCCTTGTCCTTGTTGAGTATATTGTCCTTGACCTTGTCCATGTTTTTTATCTCCTGATAAATAATTTGAAACTAAACCTTCAACTTTGTTTAACATACCACCTTGTTGATTCCCTTGTTGATTTTGTCCATAATTATTCGATCCATGATTTGATGATCCTCCACCCAATAAAGATCCTGCAATTGCTCCTAAAGCTCCACCGGAACCATGACTTTGGTTATTATTACCTCCGCTAAGCATTGATGATGCAATTGAACCTAACATTCCTCTTTCACCTTGTTCACCACCTTGTTGATTTGAAGTTGATCTTTGATTGGATTCTAATCTTTCATTTGGTTTGTTATAAGTACCTTGATCTCCTGATGAGTAATATTCGTTATTTGACATTTTTAACTTTAATTGATATGCTTAAGTGTAAATTGTTAATAAAATCTTGCGTTAATTGATGTAACCTATTTTTTGATGTTGAAATTGTACTTATATATATATAGTATACTATATATTATTAGCATATTAAATTATTTTTTTCCATTGCCCCTAACATGACCAAATAAACTTGTCACAAAAGGGGGTTCGTTTTAAAATTGAACGGGGTAAACTTGAAATTTCAATTTACACGTTGTTTTTCCAGATTAAATTATTATGTATAATAAAGTTAATTTCTTAAATTGCTAAAAAAACAATTTTATGTTAGTTAGTGGTAGCATTGACAATTGATTACGTAGTATTTCTTTTTGCAATTTATGACTTTTATGATAGCCTGATTTTAATAAAAGCTTTACTCGACTTACTTAAATAAGCTATCGTGAAAGTTTTGGAATTTGATCATTAAAATATTGTTGCAAAATAAATTTCTTATTCATTTCAATCAATATGCAGTTTTACATCATTTATTATATTTCAAATTTATTGTCTTGAAACATATTAAATTCTGTGACACGACATTGAACTGGACTCTCGTAAAAATATAGTAAAATATATTTGTATTACAAAATCAAAGAATCAATAATACGTAAACAACAGATCGAAATACACTTATCAAAAATTTAAATTTATAATCAATAAATTTGTTATATGATATCAAATGGATCAACGAAAGTTAATTCAGTAAAACAAGCTGATTATACAATACCGTATCATTTACAAAAACCAAGAGAAGAAAGAGACTTAGATGAATTATATCCAAATCTAGATGAAAATGCATTATTACCAGTATTTATAATAAATAATGAACCTCAAGTACAACCTGACCCACATCCACAATCACATTCGGGTTCTCAACAACAGTCACTATCAATTGAACAAAACGATGAACCACCTTCCACAAATACTCATTTGAAAGCTCCAACTTTTGAAAAAATACAACCAGTAATACCCAATCCAAATATCAAATTCAATAAACAACTACTAGAATATGGATTTCAAGAACCTACGAGAAATAATGATAAAAATACCCAAAATACATATATACGACCATTTCAACTACCTATAAACCTAATCAAAAATTCAAATGATTTAGAGTCAACAATACAACAATTCTTGAATAAAAAAAAACTACTAGTAGATTATGATATGGATGAACAAGACTATTTATTTTTAAAAGATCGTAACTCCAACCCTAGAAATGTTATCAAGATAACTCCAGAAATTTTTGAAATCTTAATAAGTCTATTAGAAAATGAATGGAAAGTATTAGAAAATCAAATGAAATTAATTAATGTTTCACAACATAGTCAAAAAAACGATATTACAAATAAGAAATATTTAACTATAGGTCATAACAATTCAAAATATGGAAATGATGATGGAATAGTACCTGGATCAATATATGATCAAAGATGCGCTGTTTGTAACGATAGTGATTGTGATAACACAAATGCGATAGTATTTTGTGATGGATGTGATATTGCAGTTCATCAAGAATGTTATGGAGTTGCTTTTATACCCGAAGGTCAATGGTTATGTAGGAAATGTATGATCAACAAAAACAAAACTACTGAATGTGTATTTTGTCCAAGTACAACTGGAGCTTTTAAACAATCAGATAGTAGTTTATGGAGTCATGTTATATGTGCATTATGGATTAATGAATTATATTTTGCAAACCCTATTTATATGGAACCAATTGAAGGTATTGATAATATCCCAAAAAGTAGATGGAAATTAACTTGTTATATATGTAAACAAAGAGTTGGTGCTTGTATACAATGTGCAGGTAGAAACTGTTTTCAAGCTTATCATGTAACATGTGCCAAAAGAGCTGGTTTACAAATGGAAATGACAAAGGGTATAAAGGGTGCTATAAATGACAAATCCACTATACGATCATACTGTGAAAAACATAGTTCAACAACAAGTACAAATTTAATATTAGAAGGAATACACAAGACAAGACAATATTTTAAAGATACAAAAGTTCTTAATGAACAAAATGAAAGAATAAGTAGTAATGAGAAAGTAGCAAATAAATTAAATATTTTCAAATGGCAAACTGAATTAAATAGTCCTATTGCTCCAAAATTATTTAGTGATAAATTAATTAATATAATGTATGAATTAAAAGTTGAAAATCAAATAAGTTTACCAGAAGAATCAACAAATCAATTATTGGATTTGAAAGTATTACCTAATAGATCAAGAGAACAAATTTTTAAAGATTTAAAAAATATTGCAAATGAAATATGTAGATATTGGTGTTTAAAAAGAGAATTGAAAAATGGTGCATCATTAGTTTCTAAAAATAATAACCTAATATCAGCAAGTTCAATATTATATGATTCATCAAATTTAGAAAATGAAATGAGTGATGTTAATGAAACTCAACAAATTAATGAAAAATTGAATTTTGCAAATAATTTAATACAAGATTTAGATAAATTGATTTCAATTAATTCGTTAACTATTGATAGACAACTATTACAAAAAGATTCAATGGAACTTGATTTGGATATAAAAGATTTGGAAAATTTTCCAGTTTCTAAAAAGGTTGAAAAATTACTAGATAATTTAAATATGAGGTACGATAAAAATCAAACAATATTAAATTATCAACCCAAGACACCTCTGGTCAAAACTTTGAAAGAAATAATTCAAGAAAATTTAAAATACAAATACAAATCAATAGAACATTTAACTCAGGATATCAATAATTTAGGTCAAGCAATTTTATCGGAAAATAAATTAAGTTTTAATATTGTAAAGAGATGGAAAATTTGGAAAAAAAATTATGAATTAGAAATATATGATTATAGACAAGTATTAGAAGATAATGATTTAAGTGAAATTGAAATTGATGAAGTATCTACAAATGATGAAAATCAATTAATGTTTAATAAATTTTTAAATAGGTAATTTTAGATATAGTGAGGAATAAATATATTGTTTGTGGATTTATAAGTATAGCACAAGTCCGTTTATAATTAGTGAAATTGTAAATAGCACAAATTTGTCAAATGTTATAGCTCAAGATGATGGTTTTCAAAAAATACATTTTGTTCTAGATTTAACGAAGATCATATATGAATTTTTTTTTTAGTTTAATTCTTTATTCTTTATTTATAGCAAAATAAATTTGTGGTACCTTAAAATAAAAAATAAAAATAAATATGCAAGTCTAAAAATGATAGATGTCAAAATTCAAAACTTTCTTTTTTTGAAAATATTAGGAAGTAAGACTTAAAAAACAGCATCCATACTTGTCAATTATAACTTCAGCGTAGAGCTATATAAATAAGCTCTTATCTCTTATCTGTATCTCTAATCTTGAAATATTCATTCTAAAAATAATATTCAATGTTACATTTGGTCTTATAATAAAATTATGGTCTGTTTTTAATTTATTTTTCATGGTAGTCCTATGCAGTACAACAAAATATTATTTTTTTCAAAATTCTTTGTAAAGAACTTTTGAGATGTTTCAAATAAAGAAGGAATAATTTATTAATAAGGTACCTGACTAAGCCAAGCAATGAATTAAACTTTGAGTAGATTAGACAAAAGAATTCGGTACTTCAATTTTAGTATATATCATTACGTTGTAATAATTAAAAGATTATCATAAATATATATTAAATCTAGACCATTTAAAAAATAAAACAAAGTAGTGTAAAAATCAAAATTTAAGGTACAACAAAATTTAACTAAAATAAACAAAACAAAACAAAACAAAACAATAAACACGCCTGTTTTTTATTTGTAAAGAATAAAATTGAAAAAAAAGCTCCTTCTCTTGCTAGTAAATAAAATATAATCGAATATTATAATATGATGATTAACCTGATTTCGACTTAATTGGAGTATTCACTTTACCTTTAGATTATTATATTTTCCAATTGCTTATAATTTGTATATATAATATGTAATGTTTACTGTTAATAATAAATAATAATATGCAAGGCACGAAAAAATAAGAATAAATATTTATTCTTATTTTCTTCTCTAATCAATAATAAAATAAATATAAATTAATTCTCCTCTTTTTGAATTTATCAAATAAATTATATTTGCTATAATACTACCTCTTGTTTTAAACAACCAAATTTTAATAGATTATTAATTATATATTTTACTCACCCTTATACATTCATTATTAAAGATATATATTATTAATAATTTAATCAATTTTCTTTTCAAAAAATAAACAAACTTCATACGTTCATTACAAGACTGATAAAATTCTCACAAACAATTATTTAAATATTACAGCAAAATTATTAATGGTTATAATGGATCCCAATCAACATTCATCATATACTCAATATTCCATACTTGATAAATTTGAAAAACAATTTCAAAAAGATATTGAATTGGAAGAACAAATGTTAATTCAATCAAATAATAATAATCATAACAACCAACAACAAAGGCCGCCCAAACAACTGACTTCTTTGAACAACAACAACAGTAAATTACCATTAATTGTTGATGTAGCATTAGATCAAAAGGGTAATCAATTATATCAGATTCATGAATCTTCAAATTCAACTAGAAAAGAAATGCCTAGATCAACTAATTTTACTGAAAATCCAGAATTACATAATGAATTAACAGTTTCAATAGAAGATGAAAATGAAATTCAAAAACAAAATTCAAAACAATCGAATAACGACGTTGGAAATTTAAATATTGATAATGGTGATGATAATATTTGGTCAAATGATGTTGAACAAGCATTCAAAGAAGCATTAAATATAATCCCCAAAAATGGATTAATTAAAATCAAAATTGCAGGTAGATCATGTGGTAGAAATGAATTAATATCAGATTATATAAAATGTAAAACTGGTAAATTAAGAACAAGAAAACAAGTTTCATCACATATACAAGTTATAAAAAATTTACAAGATAATTTAGAAATTATTAATTTAATAAATAATGGACCATTAGCTAATTCAAAAGAAGAAGAAAATCAAATAAATAAAAATTTTGAAGAAATTTTCCATAAAATTAATTTAGAAAAAACTTTAGGTGGAATTAAAAAATCATCAAATATAAATAAAACAACTGTTAGTTACAACGAAAATGAATATACCAATGTCAACTTTTCAAAGGGTTCAAATAATTTATTAGTAAATACAACCTCACATAAATCAAGAAAAAGAAAAATGGCCGTACCATTACAAGAAAAATCAAGAAAAGAATCAAAATCAAATAATCAATTATCAGTTCAACCAACTCAATTACCTATTTTTTTCAATTTTGTGAAATTTTTCATGTCAATAAATAATCAATGGGAAAATAATTCAATAATTTTATCTATTCAAAAAAATAATGAAAAAGTTTCAAAAGTTAAATTAAATGAAAGTGCAAATATGTCAACTAGATTTCCTGGTTTAAATTTATTTAAAAATTGTTCTCATATTACTATTTTACATAATATGGTGAATTTAATTTTCCCAACTAAATTTTTAACTTCAATTCATAGTATTGAAACTGGATTTAATTCAAATTATATGATAAAATTTGAAAATCCAAATGATGAAATATTAAATAAAACTTATAAATCATTTGTATTTATTTATTCTTATGGAGTTGAAATTTTTAAATATGAAGAACAAAATATAAAATTAAATCAAGATATAGAATTCATACCACGATTTTGGAAAATCTTTTTAAGTAAATTAATAAATAAATCAGAAATAGAAGTTATAAACGCTTTTAAAGGGTTAACAATCAAGCAAATCATATATGATCCAAATCAATCAACTTCTGATGAAGTAAATTTACAATTCCAACAACAAAGATTATCAAAATCAGATATAAAATTATTAATATTATGGGAATTTGCTAAAATTATTGATTTAAATGATGCATTAACTAAAACTACTCAAATTATTATACCACAACAATTAAAATCTAAAAAAATTATAAGTGATGATCAAAATGAAAATTTTAATTTTATAACTTCATCTAATGATAACGTTATAGCTCAAATGATTGAATATGAAGAAAATATCTTGTTACAAAATCAACAAAAAGTTTCAAATAATGATGTATCTCAAATTAATAGCTTAACTACTGCTTCATCTATATCAACTAACAAGTCAAATTACTGGAACGGATTACCATCAACTTCTTCAAATGCAACTACAATAAACAATATGAATTTTGACAATGCATCAAGTTATAATAACGATTTACCAATCAACAGTGGATTCTCTACAACAAATGATTATTCATATTACAACGAAGTAGTATATCCAAGTGTACATCCCCAACAACAACAGCAACAACAACAGCAACAACAACAAATGTCACAACAACAATTTCAATATCAAGATTACAATAATAATTCAATTATGCCTATGTATTTATAACTTTCTACTTTTCAATTCTTTTGGCCCTCATGTATTTTATGTATTTTATGTATTTTTAATAAACGGTTTATTTTACTTCATTATCATTATCATTATTACTATCATTATAATTATTCTTATTTAATCTTTTCGTAAAGTGCTTCTTCCTTAAGATACTTCTTAGGAGGTAAGTGATAATAAATTGATAATATAATTTTTTCTGACTCTGATATTGTGTCTCAAAATAAAGTATTTATCGCACCAAATATTTTTCAAGTCAATCTCATCTTTTATTTTATTTTACAACCCCAAATTATAACTACTACATCACAACGAACAATGGAAAGTAAAACAATTGGAATACTAGGAGGTGGCCAATTAGGTCGTATGATAGTAGAAGCAGCTCATAGATTAAACATCAAAACAGTAATCTTAGATGCACCAAATTCACCAGCAAAACAAATAAATGCATTAGATTCTCATGTTGATGGATCATTTACTGATTATGAATCTATATTAAAATTAGCTCAGAAAGTAGATATTATAACTGTTGAAATTGAACATATTGATGTTGATGCATTGAAAAAAGTACAATCACAATTTCCTAACCTAGAGATTTACCCTTTACCTGAAACTATTAAATTAATTCAAGATAAATATTTACAAAAAGAACATTTAATTTCTAATAAAGTATCAGTTATAGATTCACAACCAGTTGTTGAAAACACCATTACAAATTTGGAACAAATTGGTGAAGAATATGGTTATCCTTTTATGTTAAAATCAAGAACTTTAGCTTATGACGGTAGAGGAAATTTCGTTGTAAAAGATAAATCAACAATTCCAAAAGCTTTAGAATTTTTATCAAATCGTCCACTTTATGCAGAAAAATGGTGTCCATTCACAAAAGAGTTAGCAGTAATGGTAGTTAGATCAATGAAAGGTGAAGTATTTGCATATCCAACAGTTGAAACAATTCATAAAAATAATATATGTCATTTAGTATATGCACCAGCAAGAGTTACTGACACAATAGCTAAAAAGGCATCATTATTAGCTCAAAATGCTGTAAAATCTTTTCCTGGTTGTGGTATATTTGGAGTTGAAATGTTTCTTTTAGAAAATGGTGAATTATTAATCAATGAAATTGCTCCAAGACCTCATAATTCAGGTCATTATACTATTGACGCATGTGTAACATCACAATTTGAAGCTCATGTAAGAGCTGTGGCGGGTTTACCTATGCCAAAGGGATTCACTGATTTTTCAACAACTATAACAAATGCAATAATGTTGAATGTATTAGGAGATTCTAAAATTCCAAATAAAGAATTAGAAATATGTAAAAGATCTTTAGAAACTCCTCATTCTTCAGTATATCTTTATGGGAAAACTACAAGACCAGAAAGAAAAATGGGTCATATAAATATAGTAACTTCATCAATGGATGATGCAGAAAATAGATTATCATATATATTAGGTAATTCATCAACCATACCAGAATCTTTAACCACTCCAAAAGAACAACCATTAGTAGGAATAGTAATGGGTTCAGATTCAGATTTACCAGTAATGTCAGTAGGAGCAAGAATATTGAAAAACTTTGGTGTTCCCTTTGAATTAACTATAGTAAGTGCTCATCGTACACCACATAGAATGTCACAATATGCAATTGAAGCTCATAATCGTGGATTAAAATGTATAATAGCAGGAGCAGGTGGAGCTGCACATTTACCAGGAATGTTAGCAGCAATGACTCCATTACCAATAATAGGAGTTCCAGTAAAAGGATCAACATTAGATGGTGTTGATTCATTACATTCTATAGTTCAAATGCCAAGAGGTATACCTGTTGCTACTGTTGCTATAAATAATAGTACAAATGCTGCTTTATTAGCTATTAGAATTTTAGGAAGTTATGATAATCAATGGTTTGATAAAATGAGTAAATATATGAGTGATATGGAACTGGAAGTTTTAAGTAAAGCTGAGACGTTGGAAGAAATTGGATATGAAGATTATTTAACTGATAAATTGAAAAAAGCTTGATTATGGAGAGTGAAAGTTTGTATAGACTAAGAAATAAATGTATTAATTATGACCTTTTTCGTAAAATTAACTGTGTAAAATAATGTACAAATTATAGAACTGAAAATGCTATGCCGTAACTTTTGCTTATTCGTCTAGTATAGTGTTTAAGTCTGATTAATTTATGTCTCCTTCAAGAAGCAATGTAGCTAAAATTAAATCCTTATGAATCCGTTCATTGAGTAAAGTACTGTCCTTGACTACTCAATCTGTCTAAATTTCTTGAAACTTGTCAACCCTTCGATTAAAAATGAACACCTTAATACTAGATTAAGATAATTTTGAGGTAGTTTAACCTCTTTTTCTAATTTTACCACTTTTTTGTTTTCTTTGTTTATATCTTTGAGAATTTGAATCTCTCCACCCAGATGTACTTATTTTTTTGTTATCTTTTGTATTGTCAACATCCATTGATTCTTCTTTTATTGGTTCTTCTTCTTCAACTTGATTTACTTCATTGGCTTTCTTTTGTTTTTTAGCTTCTTCTTGTTTTGCAGTCTCTATTAATAATTTATCTGCTATTCTTTTATTTCTATCATCTACAAATTTTGAAAATTCTCCTTTTCTCTTCACACTTTTGGCTTGTAACTTTGATTTTGATCTTAATGATTTAGCCATTTCTTATGTTGGTATAGATGAATCAATTAATTATGTATTAATTGAATGGTTCAATAGATTTGAGATGAGATGATCTTGTGATACTTTAATGATTCTGATGATATTTGATAACTCGTATATTTTGGTCTCGTGCAAACCACGTGCATTTGCTATTTAATAGGGCTTAAAATTTTTATGTTCAAGTAATAAATTACATAATCACATACAAATTAAACTCGCACATAGTTAATAATTTTATTTGTTAGTAAGAGTCATTATTGTGTAATAAAAATTCTTAACTATTGTCTCTCTCATTCTCTCTTACTCAAACTCAGTGAAAAAATTAATCTTCTAAAGAGAAAAAAAATTTCAGTTAAAATAGTATTATTACAATACATTAAACCAAGTAAAAATGTATGTTTGAAATAGATTAAATATAAAGATTGGACGGGATCTTAATGGGAAGATTACATGGGAGTGAATAAGATTAATCAGAATGTTGAATGTTTCTACAAAACAGTATTAAATGTTTGGATCAAAAACTCAAGATAATTATTCAACTTTCAATCAACGGCAAAAGTCATCAAAATGAGTATTCAGCCGATTAGCGACTAATAAATGAAACAAATCATAATGTCAAACTTAGGATCTGTGTATTCAAATAGAACATAATTTGGGACATATTATATATTCTCAAAAGTCATTGAAATTTCACCCATCCCAATTCATCTTTAATATCATCTTATTTAAAACTTTAAAATACTAACATTTTTAATTTCAGGGCTAATTTAAGAACTCAAAAAAGACTTGCTGCTAGTGTCATTGGTGTTGGTAAAAGAAAAATTTGGTTAGATCCAAATGAATCATCAGAAATTGCCAATGCTAATTCAAGACAAGCAATTAGAAAATTATATAAAAATGGTACTATTGTCAAAAAACCAGATACTGTTCATTCTAGATCAAGAGCAAGAGCTTTAAAAGAATCAAAATCAGCTGGTAGACATATGGGTTATGGTAAAAGAAAAGGTACAAAAGATGCTAGAATGCCATCACAAGTTTTATGGATGAGAAGATTAAGAGTTTTAAGAAGATTATTAGCAAAATATAGAGATGCCGGTAAAATTGATAAACATTTATATCATAATTTATATAAAGCTGCTAAAGGTAATACTTTTAAACATAAAAGATCATTAGTTGAACATATTATTACTGCTAAAGCTGAAGCTTTACGTGAAAAAGCTCTTAAAGATGAAGCTGAAGCAAGAAGAGTTAGAAATAGAGCTGCTAGAGAAAGAAGACAACAAAGAATTGCTGATAAAAGAGAAGCTTTATTGGCTGATGATGCTGAATAAATTTCTTAGTTTGTTAAGTAAATATTATTCATTATTGTTATTGTTTTAAATATCATTTGAGGAGAGTAGTACTTGAAGAGAAAGTTTTAATATGAAATACGATGTTTTGGTCTTAACAGACTTTGGGGTAATTTTTTTCAACTGGGGAAATATGTAAAATAGCATTTTATCTTAGTTATAAATACAAATAGTTCATTCTGAAAAATTATTTGTTGTTGTAATTCATTACTCTGATACTTGTGTTTAAAATTTATTAGTTGAATTGTTAATTCACAAATTAGATGTGAGAGAAAGATAATATAACCAAAAGATAATATAACCAAAAGATGGGGTTGATAATAGACTCATAGATGAAAATTTCGAAATTTCAAATTTTTTTGACTTACCTCCAATCAGTTGAAAAGTACTCTCACATTGATAATGATCAAATAGTGAATGTAATTTGTATGAGAAATTGGCTCTGAAAGGTCACTTCTTCGTCAGTATAACTCGATTACTGCTAGGTCATAGTACAACAGGATTTAGAAGCGAAGTTCATCAATTACAGACTAAAATTGAAACTCATTCATAAAACCATATTACAAAATTACATATATATTAAAAAACTAAAGATTGAAATTATAAACGATGACCAGGAACTAAACTAAACAAAGTAGTTAAAATAGCAGTAAATAATAATATTAAAAACAAAACCCATAAACTTCTTTTTAATATAAATTTATATATGAATTTTTCTCTTATCCTTAACAATGACTTACCATTACTTTTTGAGAAAGTTTCCAGTATACCAAACCAAGCCATTACTGGATCAACTAAATATATGGATGACATTATGAAATAAAACCCAATTAAAAATGGTACAACTATAACTGGTCTTAATCCCTTTCTATAATTTAAGAAAATGAATATAAAACTTATCCAAAATCCAATGAATAAAAAGAAAAAACCTAATACTATTCTTATAAAGTTGGAATGATTTATATTTCTTGTTGCCATAAAATCCAAAAATTTAGGTAAATGATCATTTTCCAACTTGTTGAAAATATAATTTTTAACATAATTAAAAATATCAGGATCATCTCTACCATCAATTTCAATAGATTTTATAATATATGAATTCAAATTTGATGGGAGGTTTAAGTTTTTTTCTGAATCTTCTACAAAATATTTTAATAATAAATTATGTGAACTTTCTTTTAAATTTTCTCTTGTTATAAATGATTTATTATTTGTTGATAATGCAGGTGAATCTTTAATTAATTTTTCTAAAAGTGATGGATTTATAGTTGATTCTCTTTTTTTATTTAGTTGTATTTGTTGTGGACTATGGTTTTGATGATTTTGTAATAAATTAGAATTACTATTTTGTTGTAATGAAACATAATTTGATGCATTAACTACTCGATCAGCTTGTCCAATATCCAATTGATTTTCATATAATGAATCATTTGAATGAGGATGATGATCAATATCTGAATCATCATAATCTGTAAATAATCCAGAGTTTGAACTTATTCTTTTTTCAGGATTATATTGTGGTGGCTTATATGATGTTGATTGTAAAAAACTTGGTGATGATCTTGCTAAGCTATTATGAGATGAATTAAATTGTGAATTTGATAATGGCGGTGTCTTATTTAAGTTTGGTGGTGATGACACATTTTGATGACTTGTGGCTGTTGCAGGTTGATCAATTTCTGTATTATATTGTTCAATTAAATTTTTTAATTTTGGATCAATATTATCTAAATTTATATCACCTCTTAAAAATGCAGATAATCTATGAGAATCATTTTCTTCTAAAATATTATCATTTATAATAAGATCCAATAATATTGAAGAACTTAAAGATTTATGTTTTTGAGATTTTTCACTTATAGGATTTGAATTTCTTATATCATTTGGAGATTGGAAAAATGATTGTCTGTTATAATCAGATGATGAACCAGTTGTATTTTGTTGTTGATTTGTAGGGTTAGTTAATTGTTGATTATGTAGATCTGAAGAATTATTAAAATGTGAAGATTGTCTAATAATTGAATCTCTTAAACCTTTAACATAATGTTTACATAAATTTAAATGATTAATTAAATCAAACCAAAAATCTAAATAATCAACTTTTCCTTCAACATCTTGCATAAATTGATAAAATGTAAATAAATCAACTGGTGTCTTGGATTTATTAGCTAATATTTCTCCTAAAGTAGGTAATCTATTTAATTGTATTGATTGATTTGTACCATTTAAATTATTTAAATTTGATAAATAATTTGAATTTGGAAAATTCAGTTGATATTTTTCATCATACATTATTTATAAAATTGTAGTTGATATATTTTGAAATTGTAAATGAATTATGACTGTAAACCTATATAATAAATGAATAATAAAATGAACCAATTAAAAAAATGAAATATTTATGAAATGAAGACGTAATAAAAAGTGATGATAAATTGTGTAATTAAAAGAATGGCTAGCTTAATAAAACTAAATAAATGGAAACAACAGTATTAAAAGATATGATGAAGATGAATAATAAGTATAAATGTAGATGATGATTGATTAAGTTGATTATATTCGGTCTGTTATCTTCTAAATATGTTTAATGTCTTAGACAAAAAAAAAAAACTTTTTATTGATTTCGTTTATTTTTATTTTTTTTTTTTTTCGTAACTAATTAATTTTTTAAGATTGTTTACATTCTTTCTATTTAATATTTTCTTTATTTAAGTTTATTTATTTACATTTTCAACTGAAAATTATTATTATTTTATTACGAAGTATAATTTTAGAATGTAACATTAGTCTTATTATGGGACTATTCAGGATAAATAAATACTAGTAATCAGTAAAAGATTTTGAGATAATGTAGTGTTTCACCATCGCTTCAAAGTTCTAAATTTTTATTGATCATGTTGTTATCAATAAATTGATTTTTTTTACTACATTTCGCAACACATCTTGAATCGTGAATATGTAAGTATGTTCTGGTAAACCCTGTAAATGAAGTAATAGCAATGTAGTTTTGAGCTACTTGATGCTGCTCTTATTGAAAAACTTTGATACTTAGAAACTGTAAAATTATGCAATTAAGCAACGAGCATTTTGTTGCAAAATTTAAGCGAAATGAAGAAAACTTATTGAAGCAACTAAATTGTCACCATAAAGTCCCAGGAGTGGAAAAGAGGAAAGCTTTTGAATAAATTGAGGGTTTTTGACTAAAGTAAATAGTCTTAGAGATGTTCTCTCGTCAATCTTTTGCAGTTAGAAATCACTACTTTGACAATTTTGGCAACCAAATTTAGACGAAAAAAATCAATTAACTTGTAACGAAACTTTAAGAATGGACAAGTTTAGTTCAAATATTATGACAAATGCTTTTTATTGGGCCTAAGCTTTACTAATCTGAATTTATGACTTTCCTGTTGAGAATCTGTTACAAAAATACGAGGGAAATCGAAAATTTGATTAATATTTAATTCATTACAAATACAACATCGTCTAGAAAATGAAAAGCAGGGTAATGTTACTAGATATTAATTTATTAAATTTGAATATCTTATAAAACGAATCTTACAAATCAATAATTCTTTAAAAATCGAACTTCTTTTATTAAATTTCAAAAAAAAAAAATCTATAAATAAAAATTATTACTATTATTAATTAAAATTAAAACATTTTAAAAATATTCACAACAAAGCTTTTAAGAAATTATTATTAAACAAAATGACCAGCATTAAACCAAACAATCAATTTCAAAACTTTTATAAATCATCTTCATCTTCATCATCATCAACATCATCAATTTCTTCTTCATCATCTCCATTATCTTCCATCAATTCAGCTAAATCATCACTAGTAGTAGAAGAAGAACAAGAATTTAATCTTTCATTAATTTGTTCTTTTGATTGTACTGTACCTTGACATTGACCAGTTTCAATATGTTTTTCTAACCATTGAAAATTATTTTCAAAAAATTGAAAACATCCTGCACATCGACCACTATACATATTTCTTTCATTTGATTTTGTACCTGGTGGATAAATGAAATGTAATGCTTTTAAATGAGTTTTAAAAGTATCTCTTCTTGAAAACCCTCCTGTTGGATGACATTTTGTTCCATTTTTACCATTTTCTTGATAAAATGGACACATAAATGCTTTTGATGAATTATGTTTTTTTAAATGTCTAGTTAAATATCCTTTTACTTTAAAATTTGCTTCACAATGAGGACATTCAAAAGTATGATCTATTTTACCAGTTTTTGTAGTATATGATAATTTACGAACTGTTTGATTATTTGTTCTTGTGGTTGTTATTGTTGGCATTTCTTCGTTATATAATAAGGTATCTTTTTCCTTTTTGATGTGTATTTTTTTGGTTTTTGGTTTTGTTGATAATTTTACTTTTTTATTAGTTGGTGGTGATGGTTTTTCGGATTTTTGTTTTGGTTGTTTGTAGATTGTGTTTGTTGGTGAAATAGGTAAATCTGAATCATTTGTGTCATTTGATGAGGATGATGACATAGTTGGTGATGATATTTCTAACTTTCTCTTTTTAACTTTTTTTGATGGTTCTTGTTTAATTTGATATTGTGCTGGCAATGATTGAGATTGATTTTGATTTTGATTTTGAGAATGTAAAGTTAATTTATTATTATCATAACTGAAAGATTCTGGAGAAGACTTCAGGAATTTACCAAAAATTTCATCATCCAAGGGACTTAAAAATGAATCAGCTGAAGAAATAGATGAAGTTGTACCACCAATACTTTGTTGTAAATAATTTTCGTAACACTTTTGATTTTGTTGGTGGTTATTTAATTTTGGAATTTTGATACCATTTGATTCATTTTCTGGTTTCTGAAAATCATCGAAATATGGTGGTTGTTCATATTCTTGATATTCTTGATATCTTTGATAAGTTTCTTCATATGTTACATTATTTAATTGATCTTTACTTAATTTACTTGTCTTTGGTGAAAATGAAATTGTTGATTTATTCATTATATCAAATACATCCATTGTGTTTCTTTTTTTAGTTGATGCTTCAAAAATATTTTCATTGAATTTATTTGAAATGTAATTGTGATTGTGATGTTGATGAGCTTCAAAGAAATCATCAAACATTGGTAAATTTTGAATATGGTTTTGTTGATGATATTGTTGTTGTTGGTGGTGTTGTTGGTGTTGCATTTGTTGTTGATGTTGTTGTTGCATTTCATATTGATATTGATGTTGGTATAAAGGAGTAACAATATCATCATTAAATCCACCTTTGGTGTTAAAGCCTGGGTTATTAAAATTTGAAGAATAATTATTGTAATTTAAGTTATCATGATGTAAATCATTTTCTGGATGATTATTTTGTATATCAGTTATATTATTATTGTTGAAAAATTGAATTTGATCACCACCATCAAAACCTAAATCTAAATCATCAGCAGCACAATTTATTGGAAATGCTGAAACAGGAAATAATCTTTTTTGATTGTTGATATTAGTTATCTTTTTAATTGATGGAAATAACTCATTAATTCTTTTGGTACCATAAATTAATCTATTTAAAAATTTATGGATGTTGAATTGTAAGTTTAAGATACTTTTTGACGTAAATGGTTGATATATAATTGATGAGTTTATTGGATATGATTTTGAAATAGTATATAAATCCTCATTTGAAAAGGATTTAAATAATCCTATTGATAATATTGACATTTTATTGATTTGAATAGAATTAAAGTCGAACTTGATAGTAATAATTAGTTGAATAGGTGAATTGAATGTCGACGAGTTAAAGTGTTTTATTAATTAACTTTTTTAAAAATTTTGCAGTTATAATTGTATAGCGATTGATTCAAATAATAAATTAATTTCTTTTTAATATGGGAAAAGTTTCAAAATTATTATATATGAAATATGAGAATAAAATATTCTTTTAATTATACAGTTGACATAAAGTATATGGATGATATATATTAATGATCAAATTTATTTAAATGATAAATTCTAAAAGTATCTCCTCTTTTTTCAAATAAGATGTTGAATGAACTGAAATAATTAAAGTTCCAAAAAGGTTTCAAATATAAAAAAATATTTTATATAAAAAATTTGAAAAATTGATTTATATTTATTATTTATTATAAATTTAATCAAATAATAATAATTGTATTTAAATTAATTAGATATTATGTGATAATGGATAATTAAATAACAAAGAGAAATGATAATTCTTTAGTTTAAATTTGACTTGAAAGATTATGAAACTTTTCTTTATTCACAATTTTATTCTTTCTATTAAACCCTCCTTTTAATTTTAAATTTATTCTAAATTAATTTTGAAAGATAAACTAAAAATAAAAATCACGACAATTAAAATAACAATACAAAATCAAATTGAAGAAGAAGAACAATAAAAGGAAATTAAATATTTAATACAATTAACATCAAGTTGATCATCAAATAAAGCGAATTTAACAGAACAGATTATTGTTGTTTGGATGTTTAATTTGATTCATCTTAATAGATAAAGTATTATGTTAATGTAAATAAGGTTATAAATATTATTATAAATTTAATTTTGAAAAAGACCAAATTTTTGATGCCGTACGAAAAATATTTTAGAATTCTTTAAAGTTTTATTTGAAGTATTTATTTTAGACTTATGAATTTAATATTGAAAATAATCAAGCCAATAAAACTGTCAAAATTACTATTAAACACTTTTCTATTGATATCCACCACCACAGTTTAACTTTGAATTTTTATTAGTTAATATTATAAATATTAATATGCATCGGATTAAAGAAAAGTATATTTTATCCGAGATGACAGATTTTTCAAATAAGTTTCTTTTTTTTCTTTTATTCCAATGGGAAAAAAATTGTTTTATTTTTAGAAGTAATAAAGAAGGAATGAATTATAAAATGAGATAAAGATGATCACTAGTCATCCAAATGTTTTAACAAACCTTCAAAATAGATATAGTCTTATGACTTATAAATTAATTTAATCAAAGTGTTTAATAGATAAGAAGGTTATATTCTATTGAATCACCATTTTTTCGTAGGGCATTTTGAATTTTTTTACACAAAATTAGTAATTGAATAGAATAAATTTTATATCTCACCATTTGATAAGCCATCATACATGTAAGCCTAATTGTGGGTTAGAAGAATAAGTATAACGACTTAAATCTTAATCATTAAGAAAAACTAAAAATTGTAGAAGGTTTCAAATTGTAAATTATCATAAAAAGAAGGGGGAATTGTTACAAACCATTTTCATCAATAGATATGTATCGTAAAATAGCAATAATATAAGTGTCTTATCTTTATATTGAGAGTAATCTAAAACGAAATCTTGAAATCAATTATAAAGAACCTAAGATGATTTAAAATTCAATTGAATGATTAAAATTCTAAGATCTTGAAGTCCTATATCTCGGGGAATATCGATTCTTGAATTTCCTCAAAGATCGTTTAGGAAAAACTAAAATAAGTGTGGATAAATTTTAAGCTTAAGTTATTATACGTCTAAATGAAAATACAAATTTTAGTCGAGTTGATGATTGACGATTTTAATTTTTTTTCAAAAGAGAAGTTGTGAACTTTGGTTTCGGTAAACAACGTCAAAATTATTCACTCCACCATAATATTTTTGAGCTACTGGTTCTATGATCTCTAATTATCAAATAACAGTTGCTTTATTATCTGATTGAGAAAATTAGTGTTTCGTTGTCAATTATATCTTTCCTATAAAGGCGGTTACAAGTAATGACAATTACATCAATTGGGAAATAGTTCAAGCACAAAAACTATTGAAAATTGTCTAAAATCAATTTTGTGGATTTAGTAGACTTGTAATAAATCCGATTGTTCTCTTAAATTCTCGATTATTAAGTAAAATTGCGTCTGATCAAAATACAATAAATATTATTGATTGTCAATTTTCAAGGACAGTGTGTATGACAAATATCAATACTTGGTCCTATTGTTTTGCTGAGTTTCAAGGAACCAGAGATGATGTAGTACATAAGTAATAACATAGTGGAATATTGTTGGGCAATAATTGAGAAACCATATTTGCAATTGAATGGTGGTTGTTAGAAAAAATAATTTTGAGAAGTTATTCATCAATAGCGCAAAGAAACAATATTCTTGTGTCACATAACCGCAGCCTAAACTCAAAACAAGTCAACGTCAAATACTTAAAAAGTTGAAAAGTGACAAAATTGCTTTACTCCACAATTTTAAAAACTCTAAATTAATCGAACAAAATTCTTTCTTCTAACGTTTATTGCCGATTGAGTGATTGTTACTTCTTATGCAAAGACGCCCTTCAATAATGCAATATATTACATATCATCAAGGTACTTATTGTCCTGGTGGAACACAATTGATGTTGTAAAGTAAATACAAATTTTAAGAACAATTAACGATGTGTATAGACGAAGTGAAGAGTAGAAAGGATCCATCTTTTCAATTAAATAGATGCGCTTATTGAAAAATTCAGAATTATATTGAGAAGTGTCTTAACCAATTGCAGCTGAGGTATATTTGATGACTTGTAGCTATTTTGATGGAGTTAGGTTTTAATAACCAAACTAATTAAGGTTTTTTAGATTCAAGGTTAAAAACCCTAATCAATGAGCTTGGTGTGGTTTATATTTTGTCAATCTTTAAGACATATAAAAGTTTAAATTATTTGGACTAAAAATTGAAAAATTTTTAAATTTAATTTTGCTTCTATTTTTAAATTTGACATAATATCAATTGATATTTACGAACTTTTTCTTTTTCTTTTCTTGGAATGTTTCAAAATCTTGTGCTACTTTTATTTTTTAACTTTTAATTTTGGTTGCAAATCTTGAAACATATGAACAGATCCAGCAGATCAGTGACTTGTATTTTTGCAGGATATGAAATGAATGCTCGTACATATTCTGATATGAAATTTCGAAATGTTCATTATATACCCTCGGCTACTTAATTTTCAAATTTTTAGATATTTAGATTAAGTTTAATTTTTTAGTTTGGAATTTTTCAAATTACCAAATATTTTAGTCATCTATCGAAGATCCATTGAAAAGCCATTGAAAATCTTTTGTAACAACGTTACAATCATACAGATCAAAGCCCTCACTAAGTAATCAAATCTAGAGAATAATAAGGAGAAGCCAAAATTAAACAATATAATAAGTAATCGCCAGATCATACGATGTGTTTCTCCATTATCAATTGAGATTTAGATTGACAATGAAAGAGTTTTTAACTTCGAAACAAAAGGTGTAAGCAAAACCGAATTTTGTAAATTTTTTTGACTCCTGAATATTTTCTTATCTTTTGATCCTTAATTTTTGCTTTCGGTTTCAAGTATAATTTTGCATCAATAGATAACAAAATCAGAAATTGATTAATAAACAGAAATATTTAAAGATACGAAATTTTAATCGAAAAGGTAATAGGTTATGTTAATTTTGTCCTTCTATTTCCCCCAAATTCAAGAAAGATTGATGAGAAACATTAAAAGCAGAGTATCACAATCAGAACTGAGAGGTCAATACGTATATTCTCCAAGTTTCATACTTATGGTAGTTTTTTAATTTTCTTTCATGTCTATCACAATGTGTAATTAGACGAGTTAAATACGGGTTTTGTGTATCCAATTCTCAAGCATTATTTTCGAGACATAATTTTACACCAAAAAATGAGAGTTGTTATGACCCGTCGAGACTGACAATTAACAATTAATTGACATGACTTAAAAAGTAACATAAAGTATTGAATAATGCTATTGAATACTAAGAAAAAAAATTGAAGGTTTTGGGTAAATGATTCCGCCCAGGATCGAACTGGGGACGTTATGCGTGTTAAGCATATGCCATAACCAACTAGACCACGGAACCAATTTTTAGTGTAAAAAATTGCATGGTTTTCTAAGTCATTTACTGCTACCGCAAAAATTAAAGGATTCACCATTGACTATATCAAACTCTTGAAGCTTCTGCCATCGGGGAAACTGACCTAAATTATGATTGATGACTTTTTTTGCCTCTTCTTCTTTGCTTAAGCTAGTAAACTTTGACTTTTCTTCAAATTTTCAGAGCAATTAAAATTTCAAAAATTTGCAGCAAATTTCATTCAAATTGAACAACTTGCTGCGAAATAATAAATACAGAAAAAGCCGATGGACGTAGTTCTCAATTGAATCGAGGTCAATACCTTTACGATTTGATACGGGCTAAGGACTTTGTTGAGCGCGATGTTGAAAGTAGAAGATAATAAAACAAACTATAGTGAAAGATGCTAAAATCTTATACTTTTATAAATAAGACAAGAATTATCTATTAAGTGCTATCATTCCAAATAGAATCATCAACAAAGTATAGCCAACACATACCGTTCCAACTGCTTATTACTCCAATAGCGGAGTAAGTTGAATATATCATCAAATTCAAAAATTCAAACTTCTTCAAAACATGATATTTATTTTTTAATAAATCAATCAATGTAGTTATTGTAAGTACCAATATAAAGCTTAGTATGTATCCATTAACTATTCTATCAACAATAACTCCACTAGTCTTGTTTTTCGGTATTCTTGTAACTTTTTTAAAATTGAAGTAAAAAATAATGTACCATAAAAAGGTATATATCACCTTAACTAGCCATTCATTACATGTGAAAATTAAAGGAAACAATGACGCATACCCACAAGCGACTAATAAATTATAAGCAGGCAATAATTTAACATCACGACATACTATTAAAGTCATTGGAAAATTCACTAACAATATGGCTTTTTCATGTACATGCCATCCAAACAAAAATGAAGCATACCCACATAATGTCATTGCTCCTATAAATCTTCTATATGTTGGTTGTAAGAATAAGGGGATTAATGCCATGATTTGATAAAATAAAGTTAATAAGAATGTTAGTTTTGCTGTAATTTGAGGTAATATGAAAAATTCAATATCTCCAACTATACCTCTTGTTGAAGTTTTCAATAATTCATCATTTTGTAGTAGGCTTGAATCAAATTTGAAAATCTTAAGAAGAAAGAATCGACTGACTGGTATTTTCTTGTAAACTTGGATTAAAACTCGATCAACGAAAGAATAAATCGCCCACATATTTGGAGCCCAATATGCATGAGTTAAACCACGACTGAATGGGAACAACCTGCCAAATAATTCAGGTAATGTATTATAAAATGGTAGAAATGCAATTGCGAAAACTCCAATCACTACCACACCCAACTTTATTGAATTTCTCCACTGTATCAAGTTCAATAAATTAATGAAAATATTCTTCCTCTTATTCCATGATAAATTCAAACAATAAGATCTTAATAAAAATACAAATACAGCAGGTGCCAAATATAAATAAATATGTTTAAAACAAAGCAAAACAGAAAACCAAAATCCACACCACAAATACTTCTCTAATCTTGCACTATTTAAGCAAAGAAATAATATTCCATACATCATTCCATTGTACTGAAAATGGATATGATCAATTATCAAAAGACCAGGTGATAGTGCTAAACTTGCAGTAGCTACATACATTCTTCTCTTCATTGAATATGAAGATGATGTATCTATTATCCATTGTAATGCTAAAAATAATACAATTTCACTAACAATAACTGTAATTCTTTGGAAATATATAGTTGGTAATCCATATTGACCTTTTGATACAATGTCTAAACATCCATCATTTTTGACAATAGTTGGTACAAACTGTGATAGTACCCATTCAAAATATGCAAAAAACGGAGGATAATCCAATGTCCATTGTGAAGTATTTTCAGTATACCATTGAGATAGTGGTAATTTATTAGTTATAGCTAGCCAATTCCTATGTACATCAAAATCAGTTGAATGATAACCAACCATTAATAGTAGTTTTAATGCTAAGGAACATATCCAAATGTTTTTTAGACTATATCGTCTTTCTTCACTTGGATTTATTTGAGATATGGGACCATTCTTGGCCATTGTTGAAATAATAATCCAAAATGTTGTTAACTAAACTTGACTCTAAATTTGTTTGGTGAAAAATAATTTACAAACACAAAATCGGATACGCGTTTTAAAGAGGTATCAAATATTTCAATTAATTAATATACATTAAGAATTACCAATCTATTTCTTCTAAAACTTTATCTTTTCTATCAAATAATTGTCTTGATTCTTGATTAGCTTTGACCTTATTGAAGTACACGGAACAATCTCGATTAACACAATTGTTAGTATATTGATTCATTGACCCACCAGGTAAAAAAACATTTGAAACACATTTTCTACAAGTATTTTCAATTTCAATAATTCTTGATTCTGTTGTTTTACAACTCATCATTACATTAGTCGATAATTGTTCTTTGTCAAATGAACAATTTGAGCATACATATTCACTTCCATCTAATCTATTACCACAGATTAAACATGAATCATTATAAATACTTATTACATTTGTTCTTGTGAATCTTGGCATTTCCTTGTACCAGCCTCTTACATCTGCTCCAATTAAATTGAAAATTCTTTCTAGTGGTGGTATTAATACTCTTGTGATGTAATATTCATAATCCAACATTAATGGTTCTGAAGTACTCAAAGTTTTGATAAAGTCTTCGGGAAACATAACACGATCTTTGATTCTGTTCTTTGTTGAATCTCTAATAACTAAATATGGGACTCTTTCCTTATACTGTGGTTCTTTTCTTGGATCTTCTTCGGCTGCTTTACTTGAAAGTAATGCACCAGGTGGTAGATATCTTTCATCTTTATAATCACCATATTTGACTGCTTTTGCGAAACAAAAGTCATTAATTGAGATCTTGTTGAAAAAAATCTTATAAAATTGCTTTAGTGAATACTCTTTAACTTTTGATAAATCTTTTGTTTCAAATAAAATTCTTAGGGCCTTTTCAGTCATTTTTGCTTGTGCAGGTACACCATCTCTTCTAACTGTTTCAATACCCTTGGCATCAAATTTAGGTATTTTTTGATTTTCATATTCATATGAATAGCCAACATAACGCTTTTTAGCTAACAAAACACTGGGGTGATATACTTTTTCAAATTTTAATTGTAATGGATCTGGAAAATAGTCAGTAACAAGATTGGCAATTTCTCTACCCAGTTTGAATGCTTCAGCTTTTGACTTACCTGGGAAATAAACAAATAAAGAATCTGTATCACCATAGACAACTTTGGCACCATATCCACCACCTTCAATTAATTCAATTGATTTTTCTAAAATTTCTCTACCACTTGATACAATTGCATCCGCAATATCTGAATTGGGCATTCTACCACTAAATGTGGCTGAAGTATAACCATAAGTAACATTTGCAATTAATTTTAAAGCTATCTGTCTTGAGTTATATAATTTTTTTAATTCTTTATCATCATTAAACATTTTCATGACTGCTTTTGTCTTGATTCTAATATTTAAAATTTCTTCCAACATTTTGGCTAAAATTGATTTTCTAACATGACTCTTAACAAAAGCATATCCATTTGGTGATATGTTTATAGCATCGTCTTGGTTTAGTAAGTCTACTATTCCAGGTGGTAGATTCAAACTTTTTAAATAACCAATGTTATTCTTCTTCGGTTTATAGTTATGTAATTTCCCAATCAATGTAGAATAACAATAGTTGTAAGCAATCATAATTGAAGGGTATAATGATTGAAAATCTAAAACAACCAAGGGAGACTTATAAAAATTCGCTGTTGGTTCCATCACCAATGGAAGACACTCAATAGGTCTTAATTCATGAACTTGAATTTTAGAAGGTGAATTCAATAATATACTTTCTGGTTTTGAAATTCTGCATAAAATTGATTCAACTTTATATTGTGAACCACGATAATAATTGGAATTAAATTCAATTCCAATTAATCTTGAGTGTTCCACATTTCTAGTGATTAATTCTTGTACAACAATAATTTTCAAAGTTAATTCAATTCTTTTCATATAATAAGATAAAGCAACGTACAAATCTTGGAAATTACCACTACTCAACCAATTTGAAATTTGATGAAGCAGATACCTGGGTAATGATTTATGTAATAAGTGATAGCACACATTCTCCAAAGTATAACTAGTCAATGCTAAATCAGATTTCACAATTCTCCAAACATTTATAATATGTCTGCCACTTATTTCAATATTTGCAGTATGTGTATATCCCCATCTATCTCCAAATTTACCATTTGATCTATGTGTGCCTCTACTTAAATCACTCATAATATTAACTTCATAAACTTCACGAAATCTCTCGACTATATAACCCCAAGACATTGAATTTACTTCATAACCAGATAAAATATCAGGATCAAAAATTTGAACTAATTCAACTAACCTTTCAACCATTTTTTTCTCTTCATCAAAATGTTCAACATGTTGACCTAATGATTTACTTAAACTATTGAGCAATTTCAAATCAAAAGCACCATATACCAAAATACCTGACTTAATTTTAGATTTATCAAACATTTCATTAGCATCTTCAAATGAATAAAAAATAAAAGAAATAGGATCTCTTAAAGGATCAGCAGCTAATTTTGAATTTGGAGGACTAACATGTATTTCGACATGAAAATCACTTAAATAATTGAATTCATCAGGTTTTCTCGTAACTTTTTCTGAATTATAACTAAATTTATAGTCATTTGATTGGGTAACTCCCGGTTCAATTTGAGATCTATATTTTAATTTCTTCTTGATAATTTTAGATTCTTCATTTTTGAGCCAATCTAATATACTTTTCTTACTTGGTGGTTCTAATTGATATTGCCAAGTTCGACAAGAATTGACTATAGGAGATTTACCACTAATAGTAGGGTCTACCATGTCCAACTTTGGTACTGTATCTTCATTCTTTAATTGAACATGCATTCTTTGATTCGCAAATATAAATGGCCTTAATGGTATATCATCTTTTTTACTATAGTAAGGATCTGTATAATTGATTTCTAAAATACCAGAATCTTGAAACAGTTTTGCATAATTTTCCTTTTTTAACAGGTCAGGAATTACCACATCATATTCATTTTTACCTGGTTTCATATTTATCAAATTTTTGGTAGTTGGTTGAATTGGAGTTGGAGTGAATGAAAAATCTTCAATAGATGATAAAATATCAATACTTGGCTTTTTAGTAGCTTTTATGGCACCATTTCCATTTCTTTGAGTCTTAAACTGAGTCATTGTTTTCATTATTGTTTCATCAAATTCTTCAGCAGAGTCAAAATCTTCAATCTCATCATTTTCATCTTGTAAATTATCTGTTTTAGGACTTCTACTATCTTCTTTATCTTCATCTTCTTTGTCTTCATCTTCTTCGAAATTTACATTCCCTAGGTTTTCTTGATCTTCTATTTCATTAACATCAACTCCAATTTCACTCATTAAGTTAACTTCTGCCTTTTCTGTATCGGTATCTGAATCATCAAATATTTCACGAGATACTTCGGGTTTGGGATTTAATTCTGGTGATGGTATACTTGTTATCAGTTGCAGCATTTTAAATAAATCATTATATTCTCCCCAAATTAATAAATTGTCTCCAAATTTCATTCTTTGATCATGAAACTGTTTATTCTTCTCAATGTCTACCGTACTAAAAGAAGTATAAAAATCTTCCAATATATCAAAATCGAAAGCTTCTTGAGAATGTCTATCTTTTATCACTTCTTTAGAATATTTGTCAAATCCCATTGAATTCAGTGATCCATTAATTTGTATCAAATAAGCTAATAATTCATCTAATTGTTGTTGATTTGACCATTTAGTTGAACCAGTTCCAAAATAATTTCTTGTTTTTGACTCCAAAACATCGACTGACACATCATACTTGGAGTTTTTCAAATGACATTGATATTTTAAATCATTGTAAATATGTTTTAAAGAGGACAAATAAATTTTAGGGTTCCCATCTAATTCATGTTTATAACCATGCTTGGGATAACCAAAAACTTTTAAATCTCTCTGATATTCATTAAATTCATTTCTCTCAGTGAAATCATCATGTAATTCTCTAGCACTTAACCAAGATCTATTAACAATAGCACTAGTTGTTATATCCATTTCCAACATTGACTTACCAATTCTTGTAAATGTTTGTAAATTACCACCATCAATCAACACATTATCTGATGTTATGAAATTTTGTAAAAATTTTATAAGTGAATAAATTTGAGATTGATTATAAGCTTCACGGCTTACATCTGTGAATAAGGGAGTTCTAAAGTATAATCCACGGGTCTCAGGTCCTTTGTTAATGTGATCTTTGTCAACAAGTAACCAACCACAACCAAATAAATTAAAATCGGTCAAAAATTGTAAAAGGATAGGAATATGAACCTCGTAAACGTACGATGGTGGAGGTTTCCCTTTGTTTTCGTCATTATCATTCATATCAAATTTGTGTAAACTTATTTTATTTTCTTGAAACATTCTGGATAGTCTGTTTTTATATAATGGAGACAACACTGATACCTTATAGAATATTTTATAACCTAATTGGAACCCATAAATTGGTACACCTTTACACATAGAAACATTTGCAATATATTTTCTTAATCTTTTCGGTTGCTTTGCCTCTTCTACTTTTTCATCTTTCTCATCATCACCTTCCGCTTCAACTTTATTCTCCTCTTCCTCTTCATCATCAATCTCTAATTCTTGTTCTTCAGTACCTTTCCTACCGCGTCGTTTTTTAAAAGATTCTTTCATAATGTTCTCCAAATAATTTGTAACTTTGTCCAAATATTCCTGACTTTGCAACTTAACATAATCCGTTTCATGACAATCAACGTAAAAATAAGGATAAAAATTATGAACATGAATAATCACGTTAAACACAGAAGATTTTGTGGCTGGTGTATCATTATTTAATTTCCTTCTTTTACTTGGTGATAATTCAAGCCCTGGTGATTTATGTTCAACATTTATAGAACCATATATTCTAATTACGGGCACTTGTGAAACTTTAGTATATAATTGATCTAACTTTGTTGGAAATGATTGATAAGTATCATAATCATTAATTTGAATCTTTAAATGTGATGACGAAGTCGAATGATTTGACCAATTTATTGAACTTACATCAAATGTTGAGTTATTTAAAGTTGTATCATCATGACTTTGTTTAGTAATCATATATATTAATCATCTATATCTTTTTTTTATATTCATTAATTTTGGTTGCTTGATTGATATCTTTACTGGCATTAAATATTTACACATACATTTTTTTTCCTTATCAAAATAATTCTCGTTTCAAATAAATTATTATATTCAAAATTTAATATTTTGAAACACTTGAAACCAAGTAAAGTATGTAAAGATCAAGAGCTGATTTACTTAGCTTGAACTGATATCTCCCTCATTGTTTTACAACTGTTAAAATAAATGCTTTAAAGTTGAGAATTTGAGCCCTTGATCATATAAATTACGAACTTACTAAGTGTACAATAGTTGAATACGAGCACATGAAATTAATCGGTTGCACAACAAATATTTCAAGCAAAGATCTCAGAGTAATAAGTTTGTAGAGCTAATTTGTTGGCTGGAAAGACAAAGTCTCACTTGAAAAAAGAGGGAGAATTACTTAATGCTTATCTAACACTTCAGTTAATTCCCATATTTTAGTTGTAAATTATTATAAGTTCTTTCAACTAAAAAGAATCTCATTCAATATTTAAGATTCATCTTTTTGACATCAAATTATTCAGAGTTTCAATCGGAGATAAGTATTTCAAAACAAAATTTGATAATTGCTAGATACAGACGATTGAAAAGTATCATTAAGATATCATGGTTCCAATAATACATAAAATAAAAATGATTTGAAACATTTAGATATATATATGATTATGTGTAACGGATTTCGGAAGTTTCAATCAAATTGCAGGGGACAAAAATTATTAATTTTACATATAATACATCTGTGAATTTATTACAATAGCTTTGAACTAAAAAGCTTTTCAAACCGTTTCGAGATTAGTCTGACAAAGACGGGCCAATTCAAATTTTTTAATACAATTGTTCATCTGTAAAAATCTCCACTTTTTTTTTTCCAATACTTTATATATTTATTAACACTTGATACTCAAACACACTATTTTTTGTAAAAAAATGTTATTTAAAAAAGCTCTATTTAGGTATTCTGGATTAGCACCGACTGCAAAATTAATTCAGTAAATTTAATTTAAACATTATTAATAATTCTTTGTAAAATTTCAATTCATACAAGTATTTTTTATGTATTCTTTAAAAAGCGCAAATAAAAATAATGTTTCGTTTTAAGACCGGTCTTCGTAAATTTAGTTCCAAATACCGTATATACTCAAGTTTATTTAATAATCATCAAACAGCTCAGAACTTTTACTACAAAGATCATTGGGAAAGTGAGTCTTTTCGATAAAAAATCGTATATCATTACATGTATAGTCGGTTGTAATTTTTAACATGAATTTAAGAAGGTATATAGCTCTAAGGTTGGTAAATCTTTCCTTTTACTTTTCTTTTTGCATTTGTACAAGTATTGGAACTAAGGCGGTTTTTATATTATTTATTTTGCTTTGAAACTTCATAAAATTTTTTCAAATTTGAATTGGATTAACAAAGAGAACTATTATTTACTTTGACATGTTTAAAGCAAGTTTAGTTGTTGCATTCCAAGAGATGATGTCAAAGAATGTAGTCTTGATTAAATATGTTCGGTTTTATTTAAAACATAGGCTTCAACTTGAAACCATCACGGAGTTATTGATAATAAATTGATTTTGCAACTTCGGTATTCCTTTTTGCATACTTTATAATTATTCTCTCATATACTTTTCTATTCGTATGTTTTAGATCTTTAAATCAGGTTATATAATTTGAGTAAAGGTTATGAACTGATGGCTAATGATTTCACTCGACTAGCATTTAAAATTATTATCTTGGTGGTCTATTTCTCAATTAAACCAACAGATTATAAAATAAATTCCTCTTACATTTAGTGGAGAATCAAAGAAGTTTGAATGAAAATGGAAAAGCAATTGTGTATTAAGGTTGTATTCTCGAAAAGAAGACCTTTATTGTTTCGAGTAAGTTAATTTGCCTCAAAAACGAATTAAGTACTAATTGTTATATATTAATCCAAATTTTAAGGAGATTATGGAATGTAAAAATTATTAATATTCATATTATAATTAATTATTAAAGTAAGATGTATTAAATAAATAATATCTAATGTACCAATTACTGTATATGACCTTTTAATTTAATTTAATTAATTTAATAGAATAATATATTCCTTCTCATATATATATATATTTGAAGAGAAAACATCTCTTGATCAATTTAAATATAAATTTTCTTTCTTCTTTCAACATTTTCACTATTTCTCATTTACTTTAATTATAGATCTTAATTTGCTTTGTTAAATATTAACAATCAAATTATTATTAAGTAAAAATAAAGTGTGAGAAAAAGAAAGAAAGAAATAAAAGAAAGGAAATCAACAAGATTTAAATAATTATAATATTCTATTGATAAAATATTATATTATATATTCACTAGACTAAAATTATTATTTCATTAACATTATTATATAAATAGAAAATTATTATCATTATATTTATGATTATTCATATTAAATCATAATACAATCAATTATATATAATTTTGAATGTTCTTTTAAAATACGAAAAGAAATATATTAGAAATCATATAAATTTAAATTTATTCATTCCTTTTACAAATTAAGTTTATTGTTAATTGATACCTATATAAAGATCAACAACCCTTTAATTATGAGTGATATAGATAACATTAAAGAAAAAAATGATATTGAATCACAATTTGATCATTTTTCATTAGATGATACAAAGAGCGATTTGTCATCATCATCATCTTCAAAACCATCAAGAAATAATTCAACTTCATCGACAAATTCAGATAAATCATTGAATTTAAATAATCAACCACCAATTGCATCTCCCCCTATATCATCAGCAACTACCCCAGGTTCAACAACAACTTCAGTACATACCCCAATAAATGGTGATATTCAAGCAAGATTAATGGCATTTCAACAAAGACGTTCAAAACCTGCATCTGAACCATTAAATGTATATAAACCAAATTTACCATCAACTCCAAAAGCAAATCCATTAAAACCTGGACAGTTCAATAGTGATTCTATACTTGAAACAATTCATAGTAATAATTCATCACTTGATTCAGGAGATAACCAAACGAATGATGAAAACTTAAATACACCAGCATCATCATCATCAACAACAATAATAAACAATAATGCAAATTCTCATCCATCAATAACTCCACCACAATTAAATATGCCAAATAGATACCCGTTATCAAATAGATTTGCTTCTATTAATGGAGCAGGTCCACAACTATCTCAACAAGGAGGTCAACAACAAGCACCAGCTAAAAAATTACCATTATCTCAAAGAAGAGGCATGAAACTAAATACAAATGCATCACCAATGAATCGATCATCATCTCAACCTTCTAATACCCCATCATTATCATCAACAACAATTGCATCACCACCACCATCAAGTCTAAATTTAAAATTAAATACTTTAAATCCACCAATAAATTTTGAATCATCAGCAGTGGGATCACCGGGTGAAGAACCAACTCATTCATCAACTTCATCAAGACAACAATTATTTGCAAATCATCAAACAAATCCAAAACTAGGTACCCCTAATGAATTATCAAGAAGATTATCAGAGAGAAAGAAAAAACCAAATTTAAAATTAAATTTTGATTCTTCAAATAGTAATTTACCTTCAAGAAATAATAGTTTAAGTAAAAGTTCAACACCTGGTTCAATAAATTCTGACCAAAATAATGATAACACTCCAGGAAATAGTCAATCAGAACCTCAATTGCAAGGATTATTTGCAAATTACTCAAAATATATAGATATAAAATCAGGACAATTAAATTTTGCTGGAAAGGCAAGTTTACACTCAAAGGGGATAGATTTCTCAACTGGATCATCATTTAGAGTATCATTAGAAGAATTTGAATATTTAGATGAATTAGGTAGTGGTAATTATGGATCAGTGTCAAAAGTTTTACATAAACCTACTGGTGTTTTAATGGCAATGAAAGAAGTTAGATTAGAATTAGATGAAACTAAATTCACTCAAATTTTAATGGAGTTGGATATTTTACATAAATGTGATTCACCTTATATTGTTGATTTTTATGGCGCCTTTTTTGTTGAAGGTGCTGTTTATATGTGTATTGAATATATGGATGGTGGTTCATTAGACAAGATATTTGGTAATAATATTGGAGTTAAAGATGAAATTGCATTAGCTTATATGACTGAATCAGTTGTTAGAGGTTTAAAGGAATTAAAAGATAATCATAATATTATACATCGTGATGTTAAACCAACAAATATTTTAGTGAATTCAGCTGGGAAAGTAAAACTTTGTGATTTTGGAGTTTCTGGTAACTTAGTTGCTTCATTAGCTAAAACAAATATTGGTTGTCAATCATATATGGCGCCAGAAAGAATCAAAAGTCTAAAACCAGATGACGCTACATATTCAGTACAATCAGATATTTGGTCATTAGGATTAACTATATTAGAATTAGCAGTGGGACATTATCCTTATCCAGCAGAAACTTATGATAATATATTTTCACAATTGAGTGCAATAGTAGATGGAGAGCCACCAAAATTAGATCCTTCAATTTACTCAAAAGATGCTCAATATTTTGTGAAATCATGTCTCAACAAGAACCCAGATTTAAGACCTTCCTACTCAGCTTTATTACAACATCCTTGGTTAGTTAATTCAAGAGGTAAAGAACAACACCTAGACAAAATGGTTCAAGAAAGAATAGCAGAATTGAAAAATGAAAAATCTGGTGGTGCTTCAAACAAGGCAGCAGTTTCAATTCCTCAAAAAGCCAACAAGGATGAAAGTGTTCAATCATTATTAAGAAATAAAGTCAAAGCCCCTGCTTTACATAGAGGTGGGTTACAACAAGTCAACAAGAATTTCCTCAATAGTCGTTAAATTCCTAAAATTCAATTCATTATCATATTACTACTTCACATTTATTTTTTGCATTTTGTATAATTTTATAGACTTCATTTAATTAAATAAATAATAAATATATTATCAACTATTTAGAAAAATACATACAATAAAAACTTTATCATTAAATTTTAAGCACTTTAAAGCATTTTAGACATAAAAGGACCATCTAATTCATAACCTAATTTAGCATAATAATTTCGAACTCCAACTCCCGAAATAACTGAAATTTTTTCTGATCCATGTTCTTCTTTTGCTATTCTTGCTGCTTCTTCCATCAACAATGTACCAAAACCTTGATGTTGGAATTTTCTTGGATCTCTTGAATGTAAAGGTACAACGGAACCATAAACATGTAATTCTCGAACTATTGAAGTTGGTTGTTTTGTGAATTCTTTTCTATATGTATATTTCTTACTTGCTTTTCTTAACCTTAATAATCCAATCAAGATATCTTGTTTTGGATCTTCATAACTCAAAAAGGTTTCCCATCCACCATTAGCATAATAGTCTCTTCTTATTAATTCAACTTGATCAGGTACAACTTTATGATGAACTTCTTGTATACCAACTTCTCTTGTTCTTACATCTCTACATGAAGTACCAAAATCTTTCATTCTTGCTAATGCTAATTCTCTTAAATTACCATTTTCAACACCTGAAGTAACGAGGGGCATGGGAATATCTCTTTGAACTCTATATATTCTTGTCCATGGTGGTACTAAAGCTAATATTCTTGCAACTAAATCAATTAATGCATTTGCATTATAACTCTTGTACAATCCCTTTTTCCATAATTCATAAAGTCCCGTACCTCTAATGACTAATGTTGGATATAACTTTAATCCATCAGTTCTAAAATCTGGATTATCAAAATATTCTTTAAATTGTTCTAAATCTCTTTCCATTCCTACATTAGGTAAATCAGGCATCATATGACTAACAACTTTATAACCAGCATCTTTAGCTACTGCAAAAGTTTCACACACAGATTTAACAGTATGACCTCTATTTGTATCTCTTGCAACATCTTCATAAACTGATTGTACACCAATTTCTAATCTTGTACATCCATATTTTAACATATCACTTAAATGAGTTTCAGTACAATAATCTGGTCTTGTTTCAATAGTTATACCAACACATTTAGTTTGTGATTGTTGACTGAATTCAATAGCTTCATCTATATTAGTACCATTGAAACCAGTTAATGCATTATGTAATTGTGTTATAAAACCTTCTCTATAATCTATTGGTAAAGACATAAAAGTTCCACCCATAATAATATATTCAACTTTATCAATAGAATGTCCTAATTTTCTTAATTGATCTACTCTACCTCTTGCTTGTTCATATGGATCATACCTTGCTCTAATAGCTCTCATTGATGTTGGTTCATAACCAGTATATGATTGAGTTGAATATTCAAAATCTGAATCAGGTCCACCAGGACAATAAACACATATATTCCCAGTGTATGCGATATGAGGACATCTATGAGGTTTACACATAACTGCTACGACAGCTATTCCCGAGGCTGTTCTAACTGGTTTGGCTTTTAATTTAGGTATAAGATATTTCTTGTGTTGATCTGGTATTGATGATATTATATCTGTTAATCTTGGTTGATTTTTTAGTTTATATTTTTTGGCATATCTTGTTATTAATCCATTTAAATTTATGTCCTTTGAAGATTTAAGAGATGATACTAATTCTAATGATATATCTGCACAACATTGTATGAATCTTTCTTTTTCTGGTATTTGTTTAGTTTGTGCTGGCATTATAAGTGATTAATGATATCGAGGTTGATTAAATAATAAATGATAGTTAATAAATAAGTATAAATTAAATGAATATATGATAATGAATAAATTGGTATTTGGTATAAAGTTGTATGATACTCCAATATCTGTTATCTAAAACAAAATATAGTCATCTTAATTATAATAAAAAAGATTTAAATAATACTTGATTGTCATGAAACCTATAGATTAGACATATAAAAGTTACGACATGAATCAATGTATAGTTGAATGAATGAATTATATTAGAACATTTTGAAATAATTTTTGATCAATTTTTTGTTATCTTCTGCAAAAAGCTTGAAAGAAGCGGTTTATTCGAATGACTCTACTTTGCTACACCTAGTCATCATATTTTTATTTGTATGATCAATTTGATAATTTTTATTGCAAAAAAGAGATCAAACAAATAAAAAAAAATTAATTTTTCAATTTTTCACTTTCTAAAACAAGTACTAAATCAGTCAAAAATAATGATTGGAATAAGAAGATCAATTAAACCACTTCCAACAATATCCAAGTCACTCCTCACAAAACCATGTATTCATCCTATACTAATACGATCATATGCAACCACACCAACAGATAATGAAACACCAGAACCTAAAAAGAAAAAAAAACAATTAAACATAGCACAAGTTCCCATTTCATATATTGGAGTAATGTCAGATTTATACGTATCTCCCAAATTAACAAAATATTCACCATTAAAATGGCCCAAACTTGTATTACGTAGAATTATGGTATTTGCATTTAATACATATAATGTTATAAAATTCAAAAGAGAAATTGGTCAACCTTTAAATTTTAATAAATGGAAAGATCAAAGTATTGAAAATTATATCAAGACAAATAAAATATTTGCACAATCATGTAATAAAGCTTCATCATTATCAAATAATAAGTCAAAGGAGTTGTCAAAATTTGTAAATTTAAAATTAGATCAATGTTGTGGTAAACATCTTATTGAAGTATTGATTAAAAGATCAGAAAATTTTAATTATCCAAATGGGAAAATCAATTGGGAATTAAAAAGTATTGATTCAAACCCTAAAATCACTATGTTTAACGTTATACCAGATCAAGATGGAATTGGTTGTTATGTACAATATATAATGAATTTAAGAACAACTCAAGTTGTAACAATTACAAATAAATCTACAAATGAAATCATACAAGAAAATGAAACTAAAGTTGATGATTATTTAGTATATACAATGAATCCATTCAATGATAAAATTTTGTTAGTTGGTAAATTATTTGAAAGTAATTCAGAAAGAGGTTTAAAACCTGATTTAGACGTTTTTAATCCTTCTGAAATGCAAAAATTTGTATTAAAAGCAGCTGATATTTATCGTGAAGATCCAAATAATTTAAAAATTAACAAAACTGATTAAACATGTATATAATGTAAATAGATATAACAGTATTTTTTAAATTTACTTAATAATTTAGAGTTCTTTATTTTTTATACTCATTTTTTTTCTATACAGAAATCTATCCAACCTAAGATAAAGAACCTAACTTTTTGAAGTTAAAACTAAAAAACAAACATTTAACAAATTTAAAATTTAAATATAAAGAAAGCAAAATTAACTGAATAACCAAACAAACCCACCTGAACCAAGAATCGAAATTATAAAAAAATCATTTACCGAACTAACCATAAAAACCAAAATCTGAACCTTTTTAACCAGCTAACAAAAGTCTATTTATTTCCTTTACTTTTTACTCTATCATATATTAAACAGCGCACCTCTAGTACAACCAACCCTATAAATGAGTACAACCTTTCCAAATGTACTACTTTTTTAACTTTTTTGCAAGTATTGTCTTTTTTATATCTATTTATAATACAGCTATTTTTCTCTTCATTCCATTAAAAATACATCTTCATGATTTAATATTTTATCATCATCTTTAACATTACTATTGCTAATATAACTTTTTCTAAAGTTATTGAAATTTGGTCTAATATTCAAAGTACCACTTTGAGATCTTGAATCTCTTCTTTGTAATTCTTGTGGTGTTAATAATACATCAGCTAATGAGCTTGGTAAAAAATCTTCTTCAAAAATATTGTTGTTACCGTTTTCAACATTGTTTGTTGATCTACTACCATTACTATTGTTACTTGTACTACTTGCTCCTCCATTATCCTTGTGTAAATCGTAATGAGTATCATCGTCATCGTCTTCATCATCATCGTCTTCATTTTGGTTTGTATGATTATTGTGTGATTGATCTTCATCATCTTCATCAAACACAGCTGACGAACTAAAATTATACTGTTGACCTTCTTGAATTGAATTCTTAAATGAACCAAATTCACCACTATAAGTTTGAGAGTTGAAGGAATATCTCGAAGTTGGAGTAAAATCTTGCAGTTGTTGAGTATATGATGGAAATTGTTGTTGTTTTAAACTTGAATTAAAGAATTGATTTGGTGGTGATATTGAGTTTGAATTATTCAATCCAGTTGAATATGATCTACTCAATTTTGCTAATGGTTGATTCAAAGAATTTGTTGGAATATTTGAATTTGGATTTAAATTGTCATTATTGAAAAAATTAGAACTATTGAGATTAAAACTATTTGAATATGAATTTGAAGTTGAATTTGGATTAGAACCAAACGGTTGATAATTATTTTGATGAGTTATTGGTTTATATTGATTAGTATTAGTTCTTGTTTGAGCAACAGGTGACGAATTTAAACTTGAATCTTTATTGTTATTACTATTAGAAAAACTTTTAAACGAACTTGATCTTGCAAGACTATCATTTGATATTGAATTGAATGTAATTGGACCTTGACTATTATTTACTTGTGAATCATTCTTAAAAGATATATGATTATAATTTATAGTTGGCGAAATATTTATTGGATTATACTCTTCTTGAGATTGTGGATAGTGATCTGGTGAAGTACTACTAATATTTTGTTGGTTATAAATTTGTGGTTGTTTTTGAGAGATTTGCAGTTGTTGCAAAAATTGTTGTTGCAGATATTGTTGCTGCTGTTGTTGTTGTTGTTGTTGTTGTTTATGAGTATAATTATTATAACCATTACTATTTTGATTCTGATTGAAAATATAATTTTTTGGATTAACTCTTGTACCATCAGGTAAATAATGAGCTAAAGCACATTTCAAACCAAATTTACAATTCCCCTTTAAAAAATATTTACATGGAATTTTATCAGCAGCTAAAGCACCTTCAATATTATGACTAAAAGGACATGAATCACCAGCTTGACATATACCTTGTTTATAAAATTTACAAGGTACATGACTTAAATTTTTATTATTTGAAGATTGTAAACCATTTGTAATTGGTACTGAACCTGGTGGACCAGTGTTTGGGGGTAATTCTGCACTTAAGGAACTAAAATCAAAAGATTTCGAAGAAGTATGACGAGGTTGTTGAGGTTGAGATTGAGTTGATGGTGGTGGTTGTTGTTGTTGAATATTATTACTATAAATTTGTGAATTTGAAGGAAGTTGTTGAGGTGAATTAATAAAATTGTGGAAATTATTATTATCTTGATAGTATGGCGTTGCTCTCATTATTTTTTATGTAGTAGTTATATTGATTGATACGAAAAAAAAAAAGGAAAGTAATTATAGTAATAATTTTTTTTTTGAAATGAAGGGAAGGTATAATACCTTCAATATTAGTTTACTTTTAAACCTTCCAATAGATATGTTAAATATAGATCTTGTTTAATATTTTGTTAAATTTAAAATAAAAAAATTTGGTTGTAAATTTAAATTCTTTTTATATTTCTAGAAATCAAATTCTATTTATAATTAATGGAATCTTTAAATTTTAAACTTTTTTTTTATTTTAAGATTTATTTTATATCAAAACTTAGATCTGAATATGAATGTAATAATATATTTATATTTGATTTCTTTTAATAATGAATAACTTATTATAATTGAATAACTATTGACAATTATGATAGTCAGATATAAGAATAACTCGTGTGATTAATATAAATATAAAATTGAAAGAAAAGTTGATAAAACTTGAAATTTGAAATAAAATTTTGGATAAGGAGAAAAAAGAAAGAGAGATTAATAATAATAAAAAATTTAATAGATAACGATTTACACAATAAATTTTATATATATTCAATTTTTAATTTTAATTGTAAGAATAAGAATAAGAATATATACCTCAATTCAACAGAATGTTAATAATATTGAATCAATAATTAATGTATAAAGTATTATATCATAATAATCAATGTTACTACACTCTTTTGTTTTATTGCATTTTATTTGATTTGATTTTAATAGATGAATTATTTCTTTAAAGATAAGAAATTGTGGAAAAGCTTACGTAATATGTTATGTAACACAAGTAGTTTGTATTAAGTAATGCTTACATAATAATAAACGTTTTATTACGTAATACTTTTTTAATTTTGTAGATAAGATAAGTATTAAACTGATTAATATTTATTTATATTTACAATAAATATTGTGAGTCAAGTAGTAGAATTTATAAAATCGAGGATTGTAGTGGCTTAATTATAATCGGGGTTTCAGTCTCTTCATATATTAATTACAGTCAATACCATATTATGATAATTGATGAACGATTGCACTCAAAGGCGTGAAAATATAACTTTTATTAAGTATTTTATTATTACCTCTGGATTGTTAACTAAACCCTCCCCCCCTTAAATTAGATTTACAATTTTAACTAGATATTTATTCATTATATGCCCTTAATTTTTACTTGATTATTAATGATATTGAGCACATTATTGATAGAAGGAAGGCAAAAATAGGAGGGGAACAATAAGTAACATAACCATTTTTGTTTGTTGACAGAACCGTTGAAAAAAACTCTCTACTTCTTATTGCGCAAACTTTATGCAAAATTATTGTCCTGATCTCCATATCCTTGTTTGGTCGTCAGAATTTAGGTCTATTGAAGCTTTTCAAGTTATAACTAAAAAGGGCTATGTGTTCCACACTAACTTTGTCATTAAAAGATGGATCAATTTTTAACGGCTAGAAATGCCACCTAAGAAGAATGCTTTTAAAAAACTTTAAATTTTATAGTTATAAATACTTTAAGGGTTATCAGAAGAATTAATTAATAAACCCCGAATTTTACTAGTTTATACAAATGATTTTCAAAAAAATTTTATCTTATTATTATTATACAAATGAATATGCGAATTACTTCTAACGACGATCATTTGATCCAATACCTCTTTTACCACTGAATAAATGTTTTGGTAAAGCAGCAGTTGAATGTCTATCACCTTCACCTTGTCTTGCCATTCTATTTCTTTCTCTTCTTTGAATTTTAGCTAATCTTTCAGCTTGTGATCTTAATGCACCATCACTTACACCATCATTCAATCTATCTGATTGTGTTGCTGCTTGTTTCTTCTTAGCTAATTTTCTTGATTTTATACCTTGATTTTGTCTTAATATATCAACACCTGAAACCGAAGAATCTTCTGATTTTCTTTTTTTACCAATTTTTAATTTATCAGTATCATGACCAATATTATACATATGTTCTTCAAATTCTCCATAAGATTTTTTAATTTGATCTCTTGGCATTATTGCTTTATTTTTCAATGATTTACGATTTCTACCTTCAATTATCATTGTCTTTTGTTTATTTCTAATCCAATGTGCTTTATCTTTTATATCTTGAATTTCTTCATTATCCATATTTTCATCTTCTTCATCATCATCAGAATCATAAAATCCTTCTTGTTCTAATCTTTCTTCTTCTTCTTCTAATGCTTGTAATTTTGCTGCAATATCTGGATCTAAATAATCATAAACATTCTTACCATCCAAAAATTCTGGCATTGTATCATTTTTCCATTCTTCATTATCCAACAAATATTTATCTTTTAAGTTTATGTTGAATACACCTGCTCCACCATTTTCTGATTCATAATCTCTTGCTAATCTTCTTCTTTCTGGATCATTTACATCATATTTACTTAAATCTTTAATACCATCTGGTATATGCGGTAATCTTTCAACGTCATCTCTTTGTTGTGGTTTAGCAACATGAATTTTGTTTAACACATTATTTACTCTAGCAGTTCCCTTTAATTTTTGTTCAATTCTTGCAGTCAATAATTTTTCACAAGCATGATTACGTACTTGCATAACATTTTCTTCTTCGTAACATGAAGTATGCATAATTTCAACACCAGGAACTAATTTTAATGTTTCTAGTAAATCTTGTTTTTCTTGATCTAAATCTTCAATTTTTATAATATCTGATTTATTCATTACAATCATAACTGATTTATTTGCAAAAAGTGGTTTTATTGAATGAAATAATTTAACTTGAGCTTCAATTGAAAATCCACATTGTTCTGATAAATCCATAAAATATAATACACAAGATCTTAAATGTGCTATAGCATATATACTTTGCATTTCAATATTATTCATTTCTTCAGTTGGTCTATCTAATATACCAGGAGTATCAATTGCTTGAAATCTAAGATATTTATAATCAAAATGACCAACATATAATGATTTAGTTGTGAAAGCATAAGGTTGAACTTCAACATCAGCTTTTGTTATACACCTCAAGAATGATGATTTACCAACATTTGGATAACCACAAATTAATAAAGTTCTAGTATTTGGATCAATAGATGGTAATCTACTTAAATGTTGTCTAACTTCTTCTAAGTAAATAAAAGGATCTTTTAATTTTTTGGTGATGGTTGCCATACGACCTAAAGCAGCTCTTTTCAATTGTTTACATTGATATAATGATTGACCAAATTTTAATAATCTATTATAATCTCTACTAACTTGTTCAATTAAAGTTTTGGCTTTTGAAACAGCAGCTAATGAAACTTTATAATGATTTTTTTCATATAAGGTATCCATTAAATCACGATGAAATGGATGAACATCATTAATATTTGGGAATCCACTTAATAAATCATTAAATTTTTCAACAAATCCTTCAGCTGTGAATTTAACTTTTCTCATATAAAAAGCTCTAATACGAGTTATTTTAAAACCTGGTCTAATAACTGTTGGTGTTTTTCTTTGAGTTCTATTTAATATTATATCCAACATATCATTTGACGTTGGGACAGGAGGTATATCCTTCCACGATAATTGCATTTTTGATATGATTTGTTCAAGGGTATTGGTTGTTCTATAATATTTGATTAATATGGGAATAAAACTTATTTTATTTTTATAAAATTTAATATAATTTTATCAAGATGAGATTAAGTTGAAAAGAAAAAAATATTTGCACACAAAAAGAATTTAAGGGGCTACCACTTAATACGAGAAACACTCTCTTCTTCTCATCAATTATTTGAATATAAATCACGAGCTCAACAAAACCGCTTAGCAATTTACAAAGTTTTTTATTAAATTGGTTGCGTGGTCTAGTTGGTTATGGCATATGCTTAACACGCATAACGTCCCCAGTTCGATCCTGGGCGGAATCAGTTTATATCTTCTTTAACACATTTTTTTTTACATCTCACATTGTATTTATTCATCGTCCCGATTTAACAAATAATTAGCATCGTCTATATATCATTATCTATGATTTGTAACTAGTATGTATTAAAAGTTCTAAATATATTAAATTTTTTGCTTGTAAGCTATTATTCATTATGATGATAAACTAAATAATTTGGTAACCCAAAAACTTCATAACCTAATCTTTTAGCCATTTTAGCAAATCCTTCAGTTTCAATTAAATGATAAAATGGAAAAGAAGGAAACATTGCACCATCTCTATGAACATCAGCTTTTACTAATACAGCACCTCCTCCAACACCATCTAAAGCCATTTCAGTATTTTTATCAGCATTTGCATCATAAAAATGAGCCATTAATGGTCTATAAGTTGCCATTTCTGAGTATCCTTCAACAATAATTTCATCATCAGCTAAACCATTTGCGATTTTTAAACCTTCTTCACTTTCTACCCAATTATTAAAATCATAAGGTCTTATTGAATCTGCATTCAATTTATCATCATAGAATCTTTGATAAACATTAGCAGATAATACTGCTTTATCATGAGATGTTAAATCTTGAATTAAACTTGGTGAAGTTTCAACAATATCTGCATCTAACCATAATACCCAAGAAGTTGAAGGATCCAAACATGTGAACACCAAAGAATTTCTAGCTAATGCCATCATTGATCTTCTTTCTTTTTGAACTTTAAAAGCATGTCTATCTTTTTCTAATTGACTATTTAAAGAATTTGAATCTTGTCTCAACAATGTAACTTTTTTGAAATTTAATTTATTATTAGTTTTTGAAACTTTTAAAGCATGTTCTAAACTTTTTAAAGCTTCATCACCATCATTATTTCTAGGGAATATAAAACCTAAAGAAATTAATGAATGATCATAAGTTAATTTATTTAAATTTTCCCAATATTCAGGTAAGAATTTTGACATTGGTGTTAAAATTAATATTTCTTCCTTTTTAGCTAAAGCATCAGGTGATATAGTTAATTTATTTAAATCAAAATGTTTTATATGATTTTTTGGTAAATTTTTTAATATAAGTGAAGAATCTTTATTATTTGAAAACCAACCTTTTGATTTTTTGTTATAACTATATTTTGGTTTTGGAGTTGATGATGAAGCTGATGAAAAATAAAAATAAATTATAATTAGTAATGTAATTGGAGCTAGTAATGCCAACGGTTTTCTTCGTATGTAATTTATATATGGATTTTTATAATGCACCATGATTGTCTATGAAATTTTGAGGCTAAGTTTTCACAGGACTGATAGAGTTTTTGTAGTGATTATTGATATGAAGATGATACAATTGTTTATGGATAATAAAAGTGAATGAATAATTGATCTTATAGATTGAAGTATAAAACCTTTTGTTCTTTAAATTTTGATCTTTCAACCGTGTTTTTTTTTATCAAGATTTTTTCTTTATAAGTTTTCGAAATATAATATTTTTTCTGTCAAAATTTATTATTTATTATAGATTAGTTAGACTTAATAATAGTAGAGTAGAGGTTTTTTCTACATTAGATGAATTCTAATTTCAAGTCATAAAACGAATCAAATCAATTGATCATATATAAAGTAAATCATAAAACTATAGAAGTATATATTAAACATCATAGTAACTAGCTTATTTAAATACTTTACCATCAGCAATTTCTCTTTTTTCACCATTAACTTCAACTGGTTCATCCCAAGCAAACATATTATCAACAAATTTTTTAACATCATCTTTTGAACCATCTAATTTGGTAAATTCATAAGATTCCCAATCTGGAGCGACATCAAATGCTGGTTTATAATCTTGGCCCCTGACTAAAAAGGCACCAGTAATACCATTATTATTATTTTCACCGTAAACAACCATACAACCAAACATATATTTAGTTGAAGCTGATAATCTATTAAAGAATCCACCAACTAAATTATTTGACATAAAAGTTAAAGTTAATTCATCATTATATTTATAATCAACTTTCCATAATGACCATTCTTCTGGATCATATTGATTATTCCAGAACCATGGGATAGCAGTTTCTCTAGTTTCCTCGTTTGAATAAACTCTTTTCCATTCATCTAATGGAGCTTTTGGTTTACCTAAAGCTTCTAATGGATGTTTTGGTTTTGGAGCAGCAGCTGGTTCAGCATCTTCTTCGGCAGCAGGTTTCTTTGGAGCAGCTTCTTTCTTAGCAGCTGGTGCAGCGGCAGCAGCTGGAGCTTTTTCTTTCTTTTCTTTCTTTGGTGGTTGATATTCAACTGGTGCATCTCTGAATTTAACTTCTGGTACAATTGATTTTAAGAAATCTGATTCAATTACAGTTTTGTACCATCTTGTGACACTTGGAAATTTAGCTCTCCATTCTTTACCATATAAAAATTCAAAACCTCTGACATAAGTAGTGGCAACAAAATAATCAGCAAAAGTTAATCTTTCACCAACTAAGTAAGTGAAGTTTGATAATCTTTCTTCAAAAACTCCATTAAGTTTATCTAAATAGGCATTACCTTCATCAATTTGTTTTTTGTTGTAAGGTGCTTGTCCTGTTAATGGTCTGAAAACTTTAGCTTCAGTTGGTAATAATTCCATATTTGCAAGTGATGACCATTTGAGAATTGAAGCATATTCAGCAGCGTTTTTACCTAATAATTTAGATTTTGGATCAGCTAAATTGATCACTTAAAAATTTTGTTAGTATTTAAACATTTGAAGATATCAATTGATCCATCAATTCAAGTTTGTCAGATTAAAAATTCTCGACATAATTTATTAAGACAGGGATAACTGTATAATAATATGAAAAATTTTCTCATCATTGTAAAAAAATGCGTCTCAAAATCAATCAATTGATTCAAATGAGTAAAAGTCTATAACATACAATAAAGACTGATAGCTAAAACTTCAGTCAATTTGAAACCTTTTGGTCCAATAAAAGCAGGAATTTTATTTAATGGAAAATTTGAATGATATTTTTCATCTTTATCACTAAATTTAACATCTAAATTAAAATGCTTAACTATAGCTTTTGGGACCCAACTTCTTGTTTGTTGAGTAGCATATAAAGTTCCTAATGACATATTTGCTTGAATTGAAATGGATTGAAAACTGGAAAAAATTTTTAAGTGAAAGTTTTTAAAAATTGAAATTGAATAAACGCTAAATTTGATGAGAAAATTGCTACCAGTTCAACACAAGTAAATTATTTACACACTTTTGAAACTGAGTGGTGTGTACAAGTTACAAATTTGAATCATGTTTAATCATATTCAGGAAGCGGGTGTAAAATGAAATGTGAATGTCTCAGATACTTACGGGGTATCCAATGTAACTTTCTGTTAGCAAAAGCTGCACAAAATGCAAAATACTCGCATTTCATTAACAATTTTCACCACAAGTTTTGTAAGGTCACTCTAATTTTTTTATTAATACATGTTGTTTCAAATTATAAACTAAAACTATATACCAAAAAGCAGTGCAATAAATAATATTTACTTATACTTCAGTCTAACATGTCTAGTAATTATGAACTTATGTAACGTTCAGTCCATTCAAAAAATTTATGCCAATAAAATATCATAATATCATTATTATCACCAAATAAGTGATTTAAATTTTGGAAGAAAAATTGTAATTTCAAATTTAAATTTTGTAATAATTGTAAATTATTTGATTGATTCATATTAATTAATTTTATTAAAAAATTTTGTAAAATCGTTCGAACAATTACATTTGGGTGTATTCGAAGTGGTGATTGTAAATTTTCTAAATCTGGTGTTGATTCATCTATTATAAACAGGTTTAGATTTGTGAAAATTGAGTTTATGTTTAATTGATCTAGTGGGTTTGTTATAATGTAATCAATTGTAATTAAATGCCAGATTAATTTTTTTAGTTTTTGAGTTTCTGTCGGTGTTATTGTTGTCGTTTCATAATATGATTGATCCAATAAAGCTATCTCATGTTTATTTAATGAAATGAAACTTGATGTATCAACTTGTTCATAAATATTTTGTTGCTGCCTCAGAGAACCTCTTAGTTTTTGTTGTTTAAACTCGTATGAAAAATCAAACGATTTCGAAATGAAAAATTTTAAAATTGTAATTGATTGAACTATTGTTATGAAAACATTAGATAGTAAGTTGAATGAAGCTGAGTAGTTTACGTAATTTTCTACTTTTCCCAAAACTTTTTCAAATAAAATTGATTGAGTTTGTAAAATGGATTTCAAAAAATTGTTTATTGAAAATTTATTAAATCTTAGATAAATTCCGAACATTATTAAGTTAATACTTATAAGAAAGTTTTGAAGCAACTCTAAATTCGTTTTGGCAAATTCTTCATCCTCATTTTCGGTAAAATTTATATTCTTTATTTGATCCCAATAATAGGATTGAAGATTTGTTAATGCCATTATATCAATATTTGAGGACTTTGAACAACTCATCAAGCTTAACATCAACAAATTTTTATTATTCATTGAATTATTTAAACAGATTGTTGGTATAATATTTTGATAGATTTTTTGGCCATTAAACAAGTCCAAAAACCAATAGTAGTGTTCTTTTTGTACAAGATTCTCAATATTAAGTGTGTAATTGAAATTATTTGATTGATCAATTGGTTGAATGTGATGTAGAATTGGTATGTGTTGATCGGGGTTTGATATTTCATGATAATGCTGATGTTGTTGTGGAATTAATGCGAAAGGAAGAGTGCCTGGTGGTTGTAAAGTTGGGTTGGCCGCAAGTTGTTGTTGTTGATATGTTTGATGAGGTAGTGGCAGATGAGATTTAAGTTGATTAGAATAGGCCAGACTACTTTGTTGTATATATGGTTGATCATAATGTAATAAATGTTGTTGTTGCCCTTGATAATTTTGTGTATATTGTTGATGAAGTTGTTGATGCTGTAGAACAGGTTGTGAATAAATTGTTTGTTGTTGTTGTTTCGGTTGTGAAATTTGTAAATGCGGTTGGTTTGTTAAATTTGGTTGCAAAAAATTCATGTAGTTGAAAATTTGATCATATTTTCCTAAATCAGGGTCATTAGTAGGTAATATTTGAGATGTTGATTTGACACTACCAACACTTGATTGAATTAATAATTCTTCATTAGTATGAGTGCCACTACTAATCCCTTCTCTTGATGCAGCTATTTGAATTTGTGAAGCCAATTCTGATGAATTGATTGAAGATGTAGGTAGTGGCAATTGTGAGAAATAAATATCATTTTGAAATTGAATATCAGACTCTTTTAAATCTTCAGGTGAATGTAGATGAAAGTATTTGCTATATTTAATCTTATGATTGTAAATTGATGCAACAGTTATTGAATGATCTAAAATTCTGAAATTTTCTAAGTTATAGTTTAATTTCAACTGTCTTTTATTTTCAGTTGTTAAATTTTCTAGTGGGTTTAAAAAAGTATATTGGGTAAAATTCAATCTAATGCCTCTGAAACATTTTCTGTTTGATCTGAGACAATTATTGCAAATGGGTTTTTTTTCATCACATTTTATATGTCTATCTCGACACGTTAGGCATCCAGATCTATTCCTTTTAAACTTAGTATGAGGATTTTTTTTAGCCATAATTGGTTTATTATTTTATTATATAGTATTTGCCGGTAGTAGTAAGTCATGAATTTCTTTGATGTTTTGAAAATTAGATATGTTCACGGATTCAATTAATTTTTTTTTTTTTAAAACTATGCTCCGAGATAAATATAAATTACATATAATAATCTTTGAATATTTAAAAGACTTGATAATTTTATTTATTGATATTGTAATTGATTAACTAAATTAGTTTGTTATAGATCCAATTGTAATATAATTTTTTTGAGGTACAGTTTTTAAAAAATTGTTGTTGTTTTAAAATTAAAATTCCAAGTTTAAAATTTGCAACAAAAAAATTTGGAAAAATTTAAATTTTATTTTTCTCTTTTTCTTCTTTTGTTTGGCAACTATAAAAAGACTCGATATAGTTTGTTATTTGATGCAATGTTGTCAATGTAACCACTTACTAGTAGTTAATTCGAGTGTAATTGATGTGTTTGATTATGATTGAGTTACAAATGAATAGTTATATAGTTATTGAAGTTCTAATTTTTTTTTTACTTGAAATCTTAAATAAATTTTATTAATGATCCTTTAATAATTTAAATCGTATTGTAATATCACTAAACTTATTTAATAATAATTAAATTTTTTGTTATCAACTAAAATAGAATTTAGTTTGAAAATGTTTAATTAAGTATTTGTATTTAATTTTTAGTCCAAAAGACCTTATTTTATAGTAAATGAAAGAAACAATGTATGTGATAATTATTTCAATAATTGTTTTATTAATTGATTTGTATGAAATTTATAGTTTTTAGTTGACTTTTTGATTTGATATATTAATTTATTAGGGGTTTTATGCTTATAATTTATAAAATATTTATTATTGAATTTTCTCAGTGTGATAATGAAAGTGTCGAATAATTAAGTGATTTTAGTATGCTAGTATTAACAAACTTGTAGTAGAATTATAAAGATGATTTGTGAAATTATAAATTATTAATCTTTCAGAATTTTTAATAATTAAATAATCAAAAATTCAAAATAATTTAATGAAATATAATATTCTTTATATATTTTAATGTATATTTAAACAGTAAATTTAAATTAATAAGAAGAGGATTTATAAAATTATCAAAATATTTAATTATTGAATATGTTGAATAAATTCTTATGTTGAATGAAGACAAAATTATTTAAATAAAGAATGATTAAGAGAGAATAATTACTAAATATAAATACATTAAGTATACTTTCTAAATACATGATTTAAAAATTGTTTAAATTTTGTTAATAGAAAGAATAGCCTTTAATCATTTGTTTTGTTTTAATTAAAATTCATATTTCCTTATTCTTCTATTATTTTTTTTTTGAATCTTTAAATTCTATATCAGTTTCTAATGCGCCTCTCGTATTGAATAAAAAACTAATAATAAACAATTAATCACAATACATTATATGTCAATTTAAGTAAAGTTGCACTTAATAAAAGAAAGTTTTCGATTTCAATAAACAATTCTTCGAAATTTTATATCAACAGAAATCAAAAAAATAATTAAAAGAATTTAAAGTTACAAAAAAGAAATTAAGGTTTTAGAATTGCATATAAATGTTACACAAAATTAATTTAAATAAAATAAAAATAATTGAAAAAAAAAAGCCATATAAAATGATTTGCATAATTGTTTAATGCTTGATTTAATAATTGCAATTGCAGAAGATCTTCCAAAATAATCATAAAATGATGCTATTTTATACCTTTTAAAGCCAATTGACACATTCTAGATTATATCTGGTAGGCAAATTCATTCTTTGATCAGTACCGCTAAAACAAAAGTCTCATTTTTTAAAATTTTCTTTTTCTAAAATATTTAAATTCTCGCTTATTAAATTTAAAATAAATTTAAATGTGGAAAAAAAAAAAAATATGGACAATTTTTTTGTTTCTGAAAACTGTTCCGAGTTAGCAAATAATATTTTGAGATCTGATTGACAGATCAATTTAAGGTACTTCTAATCTCTATTTTTATCCGGTATCTTTAAATCATACTATTATTATAAATCATCTAACATTAGATGATGGAATTCTATGAATAGTCCCTTGATGAAATGCCCAGTAATTATGTTTTTGCTTGTTCAAAATTATACATTAATCCGAGACATTTTTCGATCTTTTTCATTGAGTGTTTCATATCAAGCATTGGTATTCTTAAAAAGAAATTTATGCATAAACAGAGTGATGGCCCTCAAGTTTTGAAAACATTCACGATTAAGCGTCTTTTCAATATATGTAGAATCGAAAAAAATGATTTAAAAAAATAGACTAAATATGAAAAACACAATAGCATAAAGATCGTAGAAGTTTCTATGCGCCTTATACTTTTAAAGTTTTGGAATCGAATAAAATATGTTTTCTAGAATATATTCTGATTCACAGCAACAAGCTCATAACTTACAAACTTTAGTTTAATTGCGATGAGCTAAAAAAATAGGTCTAACTTGAGATAATTTGGATGTTATTTTGGCTAATTCACTCGGTTAGTTGCATTTTTAGCTGTAAAAAATCAATCTAATTCTTTTACACAAAATCATATAACTAGAATAGGACCAAAAACTAAAAAACTACATCACCGAATTAAATCTGTTTAACAAACTTTGCATGTTGAAAATTCTATTATTCTATTGAAATTTTAGATTTTACCTAACATTTTGATTTAAAACCGATAACAGTTTATGCAATTATCTTTCATAAGTATAATACTATGTTTTGCCTTTATAATTACTATGAAAATTTTTGATCAAACTCGCTAGTAATTACACCCTTGTTCCTAATTTTACTAAAATTAAGGTTTTAGATTTAAGAATCGAATTAAATCTCGAGTTTAACATTCTAGAATTTGCTTGAAAATTTTTTTCATTACTTAATTAACTTTCATTTTTCGTGGTCCGAGTTATTATAAGTAGATTTGTATTATGAAGATCAATAATTGCAAATTGCTTTTTCCATTACGTAGTGGTTGTGTTTACTTCGTTTACAATTGTTATCCTAACCTTTCGACTAATGATCAACATAAAAATAATAATATTTCGTAAAAAATCAAAAGCAAAGTATAAATGAGAAATATTATAATTCAAATGATAATAACGCATCGCCACAAAATCAAGACTTCGTAGTTGCATTAAAAAAATTTTAAGGTATTTGATTATTGTCAAAGTTTATCAGGTACTGCTATTCCAAATAAATTTACTAAATTTATTTTTAGTCTCGAACAAATGGAAAGAATTAACGAAACTTGTTATTATTTTCGATAAATCAGGTACTTTGGTCAGATCAAAAAATACAGTTTAAAAAATTAAACTTCCCACAATGATATTCATTTGTCTTGCAGAGTTGGCAATAGCAAGGTTTAATTATTTTTTTTAGCACTTAAACAAAGGTAGTCAGGGATTTTTATTTTTTAACAAATTATTTTTAAGGGGAGAAGAGGCAAAAAAACAAAATGTGAAAGATTCCGGAAATCTGACATTTTTCCGCATGCTCTTTGAACATTTATAATTTTTATTTATATGNAAAAAAAAAAAAAAAAAAAAAAAAAAAAAAGTAAAAAACATTTTTTATTTTGGGTTGAACATCAAAGATTTGAATATTGTTATTATTAGGTTGTCATGTGAAGTTAAGTGAATTTTTTTGCAGCGATTGTTGTCTTTATTGCTAAACGTAAGACAATAGATTATGAACGATTTTCATTTCTTGAATATCTAGAAATTATATATTTCCCTACTCTATTATATTTGTTCTTGTTTGCTCGTAATACAATACTTTTTTTTGTCGATTTTTTCAATTATTTGATGACTCTAACAATATTACTAAATAAACTTAACACCAAGCTGAATAATACGTGCGTTCTCTTTTACTTGATTATGATTTCAAGCTAAAAAGTACATGCGTTCTCTTTTATTTGATTATGATTGTACCAACATTTGTCCCATTTTGTAGATAGATCGTTTTGACTGCAAGCTCCATTAGTTCCTAATGAAGTAGTATAGAGGCAAATATCAAACATTGAGCTTCAGCAGTATCTGTTACAACAGACTGATATGGAGTTGTTTATATAACCTCAATCCTAGGTCTTTGTCATGTTTACATGGTTAATAATTGTATTGATGATCCACAATAAGCGGCTACCCCTCATATATTTTTTCAAGACTTATCTGTTTATGAAATGTCCATCTAGCTTGCTAAATATAGAGAAATAAACTAAATGTGAGAGGTAAACTTCTGTCCTATGACTTTTGTTCTAGATCCAAGAAGTTGGTAACCCAAACCTAATAGTACAAATCCTCCTTGGTGTTTAAGGCTCGAAGTGTGTTCAATCTGATACCTTTAAATTGCTTGTGAATCGTCTAATTTAATGCTTAACGACTAGCATTGAGATCATTAGCTATTTGAATGAGTAATAGAGATTTGATCTGAAACACAATTATGTAAACCACCAGAGTCAAAGGAATATGCTCTCTTAAATCGGGGTATACAATTCACAATTTGTAATTTCTCATACATTTGCTAGTTATTCAACTTACTTACTATATATAACGAAATATACTTAGTTGTGGGCTTCTCTTCACAATTTGTAATTTCTCAGTAGAGTCATACATTTGCTAGTTATTCAACTTACTTACTATATATAACGAAATATACTTAGTTGTGGAGGGAGAAAGGTCATCTACTTATTTATCGCATGATTAGCTTCTGGAAACCAAAACCAAAACCAATTTTATGGTCTGAAAGTCAAAGCCAATTTTAAAGTATTCTGTTTTTGTCCTAATTGTTACCACTTGTAGTAAAAGAAACTAGGGTTTATTGAATTAAGAAGTGCTCTATTTGTGTACATTATTAGTTCAACGATTTCAAGACCGTCTCCAGAAAGAAAGCATTGCTCGTTTTACTTTTTAAATAAAGGAATTCCATTTAAAGTTCAGGAACAGACTCGTAAATATAATTTTAATTATTTAAAGTTATTAAAACTCCATAATAATAAAGTTTTACCTTCGCACTTCAAAAAACTTAATTTTTTTTATACAAAATTGAAAAAAATTTTAACTTTATTTCTATAAAGTTGAAGTAAGTTGAAAAATTTTATGAAATTTTGATTCAAATCTTATCAAACTCTACTTAAAGATTTAATAATCTTAAAAAATTACAAAGAAAGGTAATAACAAGCCTAAAAGAAAATCGTTTAAAGAATCCAAAACAAGCGAAAGCCGTGGTTCTAACAAATTTTATGTGTATTGGACCAAAAAAAAAAGCAGAAATTTTTGACTCCCTTATTTGTATTTGTGTAACTTTATTCGAAAATGAAAAACTCCTAAAATTTTGCAACATTTAATCGAAACTTATTCGTCTAAAAATAAAAGAAAAAGTGAGACCACTAACTTTTTTTTGATAATTCCCTGTTTCTGTTCTGGTAATTGCGTAGATTTCTCATCACCGTCTTAAAATTTTTTAAAATTTGCTTTTATGGTTAGTATACGTATTTTTTAAAAAATGTACCACAATAAGTACAATAAAAATGATACATAGAGATTCATTTAGTATTTTACTAAATTTCACACCGTTTTAAGAATTTAAATTTAATTTAGTTTAACGTACCATGAGATCTATATAATATATTTAATCTAAAATATCAAAACAATTTCGTAAATACAACCTACCAAAGCATTGTTCAAAAAATTTAATCCAAATTTCTTCTCATAATTTGAATGTATTAATCAAGCCATTTCACGCCCAAAGTAAACTGGTCTTTACATTCTCTTAAAAGCCTATTAATCTCAATTGGGCTATAAACTTCAAGGTTTTGAAACGTATAAGAACAAATTGTTTTAATATAATTTTACCAATTAAAACTAAGCGAAATTACATAGATCAGCAAGCATCTATAATACAAAAACAATTTAGTACTAGAATATAACTTTTCTTTTTATTGATAATAAGATTGTTTCTATATAATATGAGTGACGATCACTGAGACAAATTATTGTTATTAATAATACTTAATGTTAATTTTTCCAAGACAAAAATTACATTACATCATTTATAAAAACTGGCAAATTTAGTAGCAAAATAATTTTAGTACATGTGATATAATTGCCCTTCCTTTTCATTGACATTAATAAACTCTTCATTAAACTGACTCTAAGCTCGCTGGAATAAAAATTCATAAGTCATATTTCCAACATTTACTAATATTCAAAACTATAGTTATCTTTTTAGGAATTATAAAAATTTGTTCAATGAAATTTAAAGTTTTTTGGTAATTAAGAGATTTTCAATAAAAGAGAGTAATACATTTAAACTTTTGTGTAATTTATGTAATTATTATTATTATTATTATTATTAAAAAATAAAAATAAAAAAATAAAAAAAAATTATGAAACTAAAAAATTTAATTTGAAAATTTATTTGAATTATATCTTTTTTTTAAATTGCTGTCAGTTGAACTTATTTTATATAAGTTTAATTTTGAGTTTAATCATTGACTGATTTTTGATTTTATATTAAAAAAACAGTTTAAAAATATAGCTTAAAGTTGTATAATTTAAAGTAGAAATTAAAAATAAAAAATAAAGGTTAATTTTATTTATTTTCAAAACTTTTTCACTATTATTATCAAAAATCTTACTATTTCAAACTATTCAAATCTCCATTAACGCATTTAATGTCAATTTAATTCAAATATTATCAAAAATTATGTATATATAACTAAGAAAATCAATTTGACATTATTATATAAAATTAGAGGAATTAAAATTATTATTAAAGGAAATATCTTTTCTAGCTAAAAATAAAATAGAGGAAATATGAGAGAAAGAGATTTGTCAAAGGTTGATGCAGAATCTAGCAGGAAACGACATAATAATTATAATAATAATACATTTAAACAACAACAAGATAATCAAACACATTCTCAGAAGACTAAACCTGAACCACAACGAAGAAAATTATCCTATAACCAAGATGCAAAACCATTTATACCTAAACAATCTTTAGAATCTTCAATTTCATTTAATAATAAAACTGAAAGTCAGCCGCAGCAAAAGCAACAATTTAGGCAACAGCAATTTCAACAACATCAACAACATTCAAAGCAACAAGAAGATAAACCACAAATAGAAGAAGAAGCCATAGAATTAAGTTCTTCAAAACCTCCAACTTCAAAATTTGTAAATAAAAAACATACAAGTTCATTATCACCAGGGAATTCCGAAGTTACTCCAAAACCTTACGTAATCGAAATTTATAATATACCTTCAAAAACTACAGAAGAAGATATTGATCAATTACTACAACCATTAGTGGATTATGATTCTTATAAAATTGTAAAATTTGTACTAAAAGATGATAATAAACCATCTAAAGTTTTAATTAAAATTGAAAACTTATCAATTTATCATAAGATTTCTCAAGCATTAAATGGGTCAAAATGGCAAGAAAATGTATTGACAATAAATTTAAATACAACTCATGACCAACCTAAATCATCATATTTTTCAACTCCATCTTCCGCAAGTTTACGAAGAAACACAAATAGTCAAGCTTCATCATCAGCTTCATCATCGTCACTAGAATTTAATAAATCATTTGTACCGAACCAATATAGACATCCATCACTACATAGAAATTCAAATTCTTACTACAACAATAATAGATTTAATCACTCACATTCAAAACAACAACCTTTTACATCAGACTCAAGAAGATCGACAAATTCAAGTTCAAGAGGAAGTTCAATTAGTAGAGGTAGTTCAATATTCTCAAATCATAACTACAATAGAGATAGTAGGACTAGTTCATCTGGATCATCTATAGGTTCTCGTGATCTGACACTGGGTAAACAACCTGTTCCATCTTTTATAATGAACATGGTTCATGATAGACACGATCATAAATTTAAAGAAGAGGAAGAGGAGACTCACGTCGAGGAAAAAGATGTGGAAGAAGTAGTGGAAGAAGAGACTGCCACATCAAAACATGAAGAACAGACGCCTCAAGAAGAGGAGAAGGAAGTAAAAGAGGAAATACCCAGTAATTACCCTGAGGAAGAACCAAAAGAACCAGATCAGTATGATGATGATAATGAGTATATTGAAATTCCAATTGGAGAAGGAGAAAATCCAAATGAATTAATAAAAGTTAATGCAACAAGATTATTTGTTGGTAATGTACCTTATTCATCAAATTGGGCATCTCTTAAAAGATTCTTAATTGAAAAATCAAAAGAAATTGAACCAAATAATAAAATTGAAATTTTAAGAGTTGAAATTCCAATACAACAAATTAATTTTAATGAAGGATTATTTATTAATAGACAAGGTATACCACAACAACAAATTGTATCAAAAAGTAGAGGATTTGCTATAATAACAACAAAAAATAAATTTTCATCTTTAAAATTAATTAAAATGTTTGATAATATTGAATTTGAAGGAAGATCATTAACTGTTAGATTTGATAAATTCCCACAATATAATAATTATACATTACAACAATTAAGTTCAAATAATAATAACCCAACTAATATAATTAATAATAATCATAATGTAAATAAAAATATTAATAATCTAAATACTCATTCTGCATATTCACAGAACCAACCACTACATAATCAACAACATACATATCCTCAACAACCAATAAATTATATACCACAACCACAATTGCATCCACAACCCATTTTAATATCTCAACAACAATATCCAACACCTTATAGTATATCTAATCAACAACAGCAACCACCACCACAAACACAACAATTACAATCTTCAAATATATCATCAAGTTATCCACCAAATAATCCTGGAGGTCCATCATTATTAAGTAATTTAGCATTTGAAAGAAATTCATTACAACAAAAGTTTTATTATGGAAGTGGTCCATCATCAATTCAAAAACAGTCAACAAATTTTATACAACAACCAACTACTACTTCACAACAATCTCAACAACCTCCACAACAACCACAACCTCCAATAATGACAACAAATATAAATCAATCATCACCAGGTTATTACGTAATGCCATATTATTTTCAAACAACTCCACCAACAGGTCCAGGATTATTTTCCCCAAACCCATATAGTTATCATCAACAATTACCACCTCAACATCACGTCCAACATCATGTTCAACATCATCATCATCATGTTCAACCACAATTAGCAAACAATTTTTATAATTATCAAGATTTTGAACCAAATTATCATACTCCAAAATTTGATGAATTCGAAGAAGAAGAAGAAGAAAAAGATTATGTTGATAATGATGATAATGATAGGAAAAGCTTAAAAAATGTTAAAAATGTTTTAGGTACTGATGATACTATTGAAAAAGATATTACTGAAGAAGATGAAAAAGCAAGAGAATTATTTCAAGATTTATCAATAAATCCAAGTAAAACATGAATAATGGATTATTATGGCTGGATATTTTATATTAAGTAGATTTAGATAGAACAAATCAATCATGATACTATAGAGATATAGAATGCTGATATTACTCTCTATCATTTCCTCCAATTATTCGATCATAGTTTTGAATTAATTGCAACTTTACTCCAATACTCTAGCTACCTTTAATTAATATTTCTTATTATAAGCTAACTGGCTATAAAAATCACCAAAAATTCAGGAATTTCTTTTTATGTTACAAATTTGATGTATTTTATTAAACGAAAACTTTAAATTAATATAAACAAATGCACAAATAAACAAATAAACAAATAAACAAGAAAAATAAGCCATTCGGATAAATCCCATTGAAAATTAGACGAATTAGACAGATAATACTAGAATTTGACGAAAGTCCAATATAGTAGCAGTTATAGTAGTCAAAGCTAATATATTCGTTCAAATTGGCTAGCCATTCTTACGAGTATCTTAATCAAGTAAGATTATAATAATTTATTATATAATCACTAAATAACATCATCAACTACGTAATTGATTTTTAATTTTTTATTACCACAATAAAAAATAAACAAAATTGTAAACTAAAAACCCTAAATCGTAATTTGGTAGCGTAATTTTTTTTATAATTTCAATTTTTTTTCTTCCTTTTCTTCTTTTTCATTTACTTACAAAAATTAAGCAACTAAAAAATTATCATATTTGAGTAGTAAACAGAGTTTTCAAATAATATACTTACAGTAAGCGTTGTTGTTTGACTGTTATTTTAGTAGACCATGACAACTGACTTTTTCCATAAGTGATTGTTTAAAAGATAACAAGTTTAAAGTTTTCATTTTTTTTTCTCTCATATTTAAAATATCTCTTAGTATCTCTAAGTATCTTTAGTAATAAATAATAAATAAATTCTTCTTCACATTTTAAGTAATTTTTTTTTTTTTACAACCAAATTTATTTTTTTATTATCTCATAATAAATATTAATTCAAATTTCAACAAACAAAACTCAATCTAATAAAGGGCAATAGATTAGAAATTTATCTTTACCTTCGAGAATATATTAATATTTAGATCGATATTAAATATTGATCTATATTTTTTTATTCTTTGAAAAATAAGGTAATTAATTATTACTAATTGGAATCATTTCATTAATTCATCATCATTATTCGAAAATACTTAATCTTAGTTTATCATTTATATTTCGAGAATCATCAAACAAATTCTTTTTTAAATTAACCTCAAATTGATAAAAAGTATAATAATTGATCAAAAAATGCCCTCAGATCCAGCAAATTCTTCCTCAACAAAAGAAAAGAAACTACAATTACAATCAAAAAATGATGATAAAGAAATGCCACCTTCTATATTAACAAAAAATCCTTTACAACCAACTAATTCAAATTCTCAAGTTCATCAATTAAAACATCCTGGTATTTCACAAACTGGATCATTACAACTGTTACCATTAAATTCAAGAATAAATTCTTCAAATAGTATAATACCTAAAACTTCAAATGATTCAATGATTCATCAAGAAAATCACCATCAACATCATCAACAACAACAACAACAACTACCACAACAACAATCACAAAACAAAAAGGAAATTGTAATGGCTGGTGGAGCTTATCTAAAAGATCAAATAAATTCTGATTCAAATTTAATGACATTGAATTCACTATCTACTCAATCATCACCGAAAATTAATATTGAAGATAAAAATAATTCAAATTTCTCATTATCTTCAAATTCACAACAACAAAATCATTTGATTCTGCCACCAGAAGACCCACAACATCATAAAGCACCATCAGTTCATGCACATTTTTATGTAGATGAAGCTGTAAAACCAAATAAATTAGGTAATAGATCAAGAAGTGGATCAGCATCAAATCATTCAAATCCAAGTAATCCAAATTCTAGTATATCAAATCAACATCAACAATTACCAGGTTTCTTGAGGGAAAGTAGTAAAAGTCAAGAAAGTCTTAAAGATACATCTGTAACATCACTGAAAAATCAAATACCCACGATAAATAATATATCAAGTAATAGTATCAGCAACAATAATATTCTCGAAAAACCACCATTAGGGAATCAAAGATCTTCATACTTAAGTAAAATGCAACTGTCTGAACAAAATTCAAATATAGATCCAAGATTACCTCAAGATGATGGTAAAATTCATGTATTATTAGGAGTTTGTGGTGCCTTATCAACTGGTAAAATAAAATTGATTATTAATAAATTATTTGAGATACATACTCCAAATAAAATTGCAATACAATTAATTTTAACAAAATCAAGTGAAAATTTTTTATTACAAGAAAGTTTAAATATTTTAGAAAATGTTAAAGGTGTTAGAGTATGGAAAGATAATGATGAATGGACAACTTGGAAATCAAGACTGGATCCTGTATTACATATTGAATTAAGAAGATGGGCTGATATTTTAGTTGTTTGTCCATTAACTGCAAATACTTTATCAAAAATATCTTTAGGTATATGTGATAACTTATTAACAAATGTTATAAGAGCTTGGAATACTTCATATCCAATATTATTAGCTCCAGCAATGGTAAGTTATTCATATAATGCTATAACTACAAAAAGACAATTAAGATTAATTGCAGAAGAAATGCCATGGATTGAAGTTTTAAAACCTTCTGAGAAAGTTTTTGGTAGTTATGGAGATATTGGATTAGGTGGTATGATGGATTGGAATGAAATTGTAAACAAAATCGTTATGAAATTAGGTGGATTTCCTGAAATTGAAGAAGAAGATGAGGAAGATGAGGAAGAAGAAGAAGAAAAAAAGACAAGTAAAGAAAATGATGCCAAAAATTTGTCGGATAAAGAAAAAGATTCAGCTATTGCAGATGATGACGATGATGAAGAAGAAGATCAAGATGACGACGATGATGATGATGACGATGATGATGATGATGACGAAGATGACGACGAAGAGGAATTTGAAGATGATGAACTAGAAAAAGAAGAAATAGATGATAATGAAGATAGTCAAATCCAATTTAAAGTAAAAAGACCAATCGAAAGTATTAATAATAATAGTATCGACAAACCAATAAATTCGTCATCAACGTCTAATTCAAAACATGAACATGAACAACCCCAATCAGTACAATTAGATTTAAGTTCTAAAAAAGTTTAATACTAATAGTAAGTAATATTCTAATATAATAATTTAACTCAATTTTTTTTTTTTTTACAATAATTGAAAGTTGTAGAAGTCAATACGGAACTAATTGCATAATCAGGTTTTATAATATTACAACATTATTTATTCGTAAAACTATTTAATTTTCATTATTTAATTGTTTAATTTTTTCTTCTCTCCAATTTAAGTAATCTTCAGTCCCAATCATAGTTGAGAAAGTAGTATCATTAGCATTAACCTTAAAATTCGAACTGAAATTTGTAGTAGATGATGATGATGAATTTGAAGTTATTGATTCATTTAAAATATTATGAGTTGGAATGTCGTATTTTTTCGTCATAAAAACAGGATTTTCTTTATAACTTGTTCGTTGGTTTGGAGATTTGTTAATTGGTGAATTTTGTCTAGTAGTGTTAATATTGTTGGTTGATACTTTTAAAGGTGATAATAATGGTTTTAATTCGACATTTTTAAATTTTTGTGAAGAATTATGTGAATGATTTGATACGGTGGAACTACTTAGTAATGTTGATGTTGATGAATTCATTGTTAAATTTGGTAATGTATTGTATTTAGTTGAGTATGTTGATGAAGATGATGCGTTGAAACATTTTTGATTGGATTTGTAAGTTGATGAAGTTATTGTTGATGATGACGATGATGAAGATGTTAGTCTTCTTGATGTTGGAGATTTGAAGACTTTTGACTTGGTGATTGAGGAATTGGTTGAGGAAGTAAACGGTCTTGAGTTTCTTTCTGGTGAGTTTGTTTTTCTTACGGGTTTTTTAGTTGGTGACGTTTTGTTGAATTTTACATTTGATGATTTATATTGTTGTGATTCTAAGTTTAAAACGTCTTCAAAAAAATCTTTACCATTTATCATTATTATTTTTTTACCTTGAGCTAAGGATTGGTTATTGTATGATTTAATTTCATTTTTAAGGGCAGTGAAAACTTGAGGCATTCTTTTATTTATTTTCTTTCTAATTTTTTCTTCATTTAGTAAAATCTTACATGAATTCTTACTTAATAATCTTGATGAATCTTTTGAACTTTCAATTAAGAATGTTTGATCGGCTATTAATGAGTTTAATTCGTTATATATTTCAAAGATTGGGGATTTTTCCACGAATTCATCTTCTAGTTGCTTCAAGTATTGTTCATGTTCTGATAAGATTGTTTCTTTATCTATATCCATATCATTCTCATAATTATAATTATAAAATTTAAATTCTTGTCTTTGATCTAGTGAGTAATATAATTTATCCCAATTCTTTTCAATTTCTGATCGAGTGTCAGAGATGAAATTCTCTATATACTCCGACCTCTTGATGTATAGTTTATTTAATTCCATTTTGAAATTGAGTAATGATAAATCAGATAAGTTGTTGTTTTTTGACAAAAAATCAGAAATATATTCTTCGCTTTCTCCCAATTTTGACCATAATGTTTTACAAGTTTCTGAATAAGAAGTCCATTTTTCCCTTTTTTCATTAATTTTTGATTCTAACAAGTGTTGGAGCTTTATCAATTTTTCTAATTTATCATCATGTAATCCAAACTTATATGGATTTTCCAATATGAATTTTAAATCTTCTATATATAATACGTCGTGTTGTTGTAAATCATGTAATTGATCATTACTTAATTGTAAAAAATCAATACTCTCCAAACATTTTTCAATAACTTCAAACATTGTCGTCTTTCTAATATCTAACAGTTCTTTACCAATTTCGATTTCATTTTTTATATTCTGTATAAAATCGGTAGTTATTTTGGTGAATTTCAAACTTCTTATTATTCTAACAATCTGGTAATTAACTTCTCGTAATCTTTTAATATCGTTTTGTTCTAATGTATCATCCATTGGAATATCTGGTGTATCTCTTGATGAAGTTTTAACAGGACTCGCTAGTATAAACACATTATCATCATCTGCTAATTTTTTCGAAGTGTTTATTTCATTCATTAGTGATTGAAATTCATCTATTATTTCCTTATGTTGTTCAGCTACATCAGTTGATGGTATGACTTTTATTATCTCTGAGTCAAATTCTGAGAATCCGATAAAATCAACTAATGATGAATATTCTAGATTTAAAGAATTAAATTGTTTGTATAGTTTAACAAATATTTTAAGTACGTCAATGAATATGTAGTTCAATTTTGATCGTTTCTCGAGTAGTGTTGGTTGTGGTATATTTCTGACCATATAATCGTATTGTTGTTCAATTGTTAATTCTTTATCATTAGATAATTTAAAATTTGGATTCGACATAGTTGATAATATTTGCTCCTTATATCCATCTTCATATTGTTGTTGATTATTAAACACCATTCCCTTTTGTAATAGATTTAAACATTTATCACCACGAATATCATTAATCATAGATAATATAATTTGAATTTGTTGTCTTAACCATTCACATTCATTATCAATATTATTCTTTTCACGTTGTAAATTGGTTGCAAAATTATTTATTGTATCTTGTATAATGATAAATATTTCTGATTTCTTTTGTGAAGTTTCTGAAGATGAATAACCTATAGTTTTATATATGGAGTTTAATTCTTGAATTGCTTCATTTATATTATTTTCAATTGAATCAAATTTTGTAGTGGATATATCGTTATGATCTGACACTAATGTTGCCAGCAGTATTTCATTGTCGTAATTGTTCATTGTTGTTGTTGTGCTATTTAGGTCTTGAAATTTAAATTGATGTTGATGATTGTGGTGATTTTGGTTTTGATGAAGATGATTATGATGTATTGTTGATTTAGGTTTTGGTGTACTTTGTAATGATTCATTCATTTTATAATTGTTCTGTCTTTGATATAGTATATCATTAGGTAGATTTCCAGAATGACCCATAGATCTTTGGTATGCTCTTTTGATAATGATTATTTGATTTTGTCTCATTTTTCTATTTTTTATAAATGATTAAGAAGAACATTTTGATGTTTAAATTAGATTTCCAAATTGGTTTAAAATGTAAACAGAAATTATACACAGAAAAAATAATTTTTAAGAGGGTTAAAGATTTTGTTTAAGGGGTAAAATCTATGACATTAATATATTTATTTCATTAATCATTAATTATTTCTTCAGTAATTTCATCTAAACTATTATTTGTAGTTTCAAACATCAAATTATCTTTATTTAATTTTACTAAAGCTAATTTATCATTTCTTTTCTTTTTAGTTAAACTCCATTTATATAAATATGCATCTTTTGAATCTAATGAATTTACAATTTTTCTAGAATTTGTTCTTTCAATACCAATTAATTTTAATTGATTTAACCATAACTCAACTTTTGTTTCATCTCCATCTTTAGTGAATTTTTCAATAAATGATATGATTTGATTTGACGTGAACTGTTTATTGCAAGTTCTTGTGTATGCCATCACTTTTGATGCAAATTCTACGTCATTGAATTGTTTTAAAGCTACTTCTATTAAAAGCTCGAAACTCTGCATTGAAATGTTCCTAATTTTGAATTGCTTGTAGTATTCAAATATATGTTTAGCATATTGATAGTTGATTGGTATTTGAGTTGAATGTTTCTCATCTCCATTATACAATAAATGATTCAAAAATACTGTAACGGTTCTATCATTTGTATGTAATTCACTGTCTGCTAAAACAAATTTTTCATAATATTTCATAATAGTTGAAGCATCATTATTCTCATGTAAAGAATTCAACAAAACATCATAAACAGGAGCAAGATGTTCTGAATTTATTTTGGAGCCTTTTAAATTTTGATCAATATTCGCAATTTGAACAATATCCACAGTAGAAATCTTGTTGGCTATAGTTGACTCATAAGGTAAACTTAAAATCCCCAAATCGTTTAATGTCTCAAGTCCATTATCAAACAATGCCCCAATATACCCAATTATAACTTTTGAAGATGACGGGAATTTTTGTTTCATTAATAAAAGAATCTCGCTGGCCAATAATTTTTTGTCATTTGGTTTTAAATCCTGCAAGTTCATATCATTTAATATGGAAATAAACTCATCATATTGATTGATTGACCTTAAATGACGTAAAAATGTCAAGTATATCTGAAAATCAATTTTTAAATTCTCAGAAACCATGTGGTTCAATATTTGTATTCCACTTGATGCATCTTTGAATTTTATTACTAACTTTATTACGGTGTTTAGAATTCTCTGAATTTGTTGATCTATGTAAAGTTTGTTTTTAGTGGAACTTATTTTTTCTAGCTTCATTAACATGAAATTTAAGAATAATGAAGATTTTGCTGGTTCATTTTGTAATATGAAGTATTCAGTTGATATTTCCAATTCTTCCATTGCAAAGGACTCTATTAATCTTAAAGTATGAGTTTGACCAAATTCGGTTTTGTTTAAATCGAGCCATTTTGGATTAATGTAACCTGTATGTGCTATGAATTTTGATCTTATTGAATCATTTAGTAGTCTTTGTTTGAACTCTTGAAACTTTTTCGATGATTTTGGTCGAAAGTTAATTTGAATCATGTATGAATATAATAATGGATAATCTTTTCCATCTATGATATTTAGTATATTTTGAAACACTGATGTATTTATTTGTATTAATTTTGTATTTACCATTTCTGTATTTGCAATGCTTGAGAATAAGTTAAGTAGTCGATCTGATTTATCTGGTTTTCCATCATTCGCTATTGTTATGATTAATTTTGTAAATTCTGAATGAGTTATATGACTAGTAGAATCAATTATAAAATTTAATGCACATGACCTTTGGGATATACTTGTTGATATTACTTGTTTTATTTCCTCATCATTTATTGAATTATAAATCCAGGACGCTTGTTTCGTACTACTCAACTCCTGAAAAATATTTGATAATTTGAAACATAATTCAGCTTTTTCATTTATGTCTCCATAGTTGATTTGATTCAAATGGTTTAATTCTTTCTTTGTGAGTTTACTTATCGTCTCTAAATTCATTTGAATTAAAGGATGTGGTTTTGTATTTAATGGAATTTCCAATGGTTTAATTATTGAATTGAATGGATCATGCCGTATAGATGGATTAAATGTGTTAAATGTGGTTGGTTCTTGTATAGTTGCCAAAGTTGCTAAGTTCCGCCTTAGTCGTACTTGTTTACAACTTATAATATTAGTTGGTCGTAGCATTTTGGATTGATTTACTATTGCATATTTTATTCACTTTATTATATTAATTTTTCAAATAAATTTTTTTTTACAATATTGTGTTGCAAAAATAGAGTTGTTCCAAAACATCACCAAATTTTTTACAACCATTCAATGAATAAATATATTTATATTATTAAAATCGTCTAATCTATCAAAAGTATGTATAAACTCTATACTGTATGATCATCATTCCAAGGTTCTAAAGTCATAGTAGAAGTATTAATACCACTATTTCTATATAAATATTTTTGATAAAAATAAGCAGCATCGAAAATTATAGTACCTGAACTACCCAAAATATAAGGTAATTCTTCCCAAATAAAAGAGTATCTGTTTTCACCTAACACAAATGAACAACTTGTTAAAATTGATATTGTATATGTTAAATTACCTAATAATGCTGAACCAAATAATAATGGTGATATACCTTCAACTGATTTTCTTTTATAATTTTTATATAATTGTGGACATCTTGAGCTACAATATACTATAGTACAACCCCATGCTAGTATTCTACCTATCGGAAAATTACTGAATAATGTTATAGTTTGTGTATTTGTAGACAAAGCATTAACTTTACTAGCATTCATTAAAACAGCACCTGCTACACTTTTAATTATTGGAAATTTACCTTCATCAGTCGAATTATAACTACTTGGAGTACTCGAAGTCCCATCTTCTGAATTTAATCTTTGCATTGGAGTACTATGTTTTATAATATCAATCCCATCATTTTGATGAATTTCAATATCATTTGTGGTGACATTATTAATATCAATCCGATCTATTGGAGTATATAATTGTGGTAAATGTTTTGGATATATACTATTATAATAATAATATTGAAAACATAAAGTAATATCATTACATAAAAAAAATATACTTAAATATAATTGAAATTTTAAAGTTTCCTTGTTAATTAAACAACTCGTAAAAGATAAAAAATCTCCCAAGAACCATAATAATAAAAACAGTGGTGATATACCTTCTGCTGATTTTAATGTGTAATTAGTTATAATTTGTGGTAATTGTGCAAATACCCAACTTATACATGATATTATACTAAATGAACTTGATATAAATGATATATCAGAGCATGTGACCATATTTTATTGAATCAAGTGATAACATATATTAGTTTGATAATGAGAAAATGTCAATTAAGGAATAGTTATCAAATTATCGGTTGTTTGTTCTTGTCCTCGAGATAATGTTGTATTTGTTTAAACGGCATAAAATATTATTATAAATATTTAAATAAATATATATTATTATTTTCTTATCTTTAATTCTCAAATTTGATCTATCAAATAAAATTTATAATTTATGTGTCATTCGTAAATTTGTGTCATTAAATACAACGGATTTATATCAAATATTATATGTATTGATTTACAAGATAAGCGCTTAGTTATTTTGAGAGTTGTTGATTTACTTCATGACGATAAAAATAAAGGAATCCTTAATTGAAAATGTATCTCTAGAATAAAATCTTTGAATTACTACAAAATAACTTAACCTGGCTTTATATAATGATATCAACAAAAATAAACTTTAATTCAAGATTTGTTCTACTATCGATAAAGTATAGTTAAACTAATTATTGCGAAAATTGTCCATTCATTCTTTGTTGTTCTAGATGATTTTTAATTTTCATCCTCCTTTTTCTTGAAGTATTTGAATATTTACCCATTGATCTATTGCTTGGTCTGTGAGAATTTTAAATGTTCTTAACAATAGAAAAAATTGTTCAATATCCCACATTTATTCGTTTCAATAATACCGAAGAGTGAGTTTAGGATTTCACTTTTGAATCCACTCTCTTTATATTTTCACTTATTTAATCAACTAAGTAAAAATCTACTATCAGTTGACCCTCATTATTGTAAACTCAATATTTAATCATCAATGATGAGATTCAACAATCGTCTTCTTCATTTAATTTCTGTCATTATTCTTACCAAAATAATCATAAAACGGTAAAAGTTCATCACCAACAATGAGTTTAATGAATATAACTAAAAATATCATGGTAAATAAAATCAAACATTTAACTAAACCTTTTTTTTCAATTGAAATTGAACCATTTTGACTTTTGTAAACAAGATATAGATCTTCTTCTTTGTCTTGTTTTTCTTTTTGAGGCATATTAATATCCAATTGTGAATAAATTAGTTTTATCGATTGAGAAGAATATACTCTTTGATTATATGTGTATAGTTAAAAGTAAGAATTTATTTGATGATTAAATCTTGTCGTAAAGACAATCAAATGATTAATTTGTTCTCCTTACTTAATTAGATTAAATTTTAATTGTAAATAAGTGGTTACTAGGGTAAAATAATCCAATACTCTTGTACCACGGAGTAATACGAGACTAAACTCTCTAACAAAAACATTTCAAAATGCAGAAATTAGTTCAAAACTCAAAAATCCGTTAAAATTAACAACATTTTATTGAAGTATAGTATGTAAATAAATTAATTGAGAGTGAAGAAAAACAATAACCCTAATTTCCAGAATACCAAAAAAAAACCAAATACAACCTATTCCTTAATCTAAACTTGCGACATCCAGATTAAAAGCAACAGTTTCACTATCGCTATCATTATCTTTTTGATTTTGTTTGTGATCAAATCCCTCGTCATCATCATCATAATCATTTGGTTCATAATCCGTATCAATTTCCAGAAAATCAGTAGTATCAGGTGTACTTATATTTTCAAAATCACTATCACCATCTCTTAAATTTGAACTAGTTGACTTACCATAACTTTTTTCTTCTTCATGATTATTATTACTAAATTCATGATCTTTTAAATCATCAGCAAATTTAACTTCTCCATTTTTAATCTTAGATTCTTCTAATTGCCTTTTACAAAATTCAGTAGCTGATTCAAATAATATTATTGATTTTTCTAATATTGTTTCTTTATTTTTCATAATTGCAACTGCTGTACCTGCTGCTATTGCCACTTTAACTGTAAATGGAATTGCAGGTATTGCTAGATGAACATTGTTAGAATGGTACTTCGATATGATGATACAAATAACCTAAAAACTTGACTTTTGATTTACATACTAAAAAAAGGCATTATCTATGTGGATTCTATGTAATGGTGATCCTATTTCTAAGTTTTAAATTGTCCCTTAAATATTGATGATAATTATTTTTAATTGATTTTGTGCGTTGTCACAAGTGATAAGATAAGAGCGCAGTTATTGTTGCGCTTTAACGCGGACCTTTTGTTTTTAGTCATTCTGGTACCGTACAAGATACATCAAACAAAGTTTTATTATAGTTGAAAAGAAGTGTTAAAGCCAATGAGTTGATAATATGTCATTACTTTTCTAGCTTTCAATACTAACATCTACACAGGTCAGTTATATTCTAGTACTAACTCAACTCGCCTTAAAGAGATTGATAGACTTAATGAAACAGACAAATATTGAAATACACCGTATAACAAACGAGTCAAATTCAAATTTTAATGATTTATATTACAAAATATATATAGAATAAATGTCTGAATCATTAATATATATGCAATTAAAATGTACTTTTTAAATAAATTTTTCAATGTTCATCATTATCATTAACAACAATATTATCTCTATACATATAAAATTGTATAAAAATAATACTATCTTCTAAAATTGTACCTAAACTACCTAATAACCAACTTAAATTTAACAAGATATAACTTTTATCAAATCTAAAAAATAAAATTTGTAAAGCATAAGTTAAATTCCCTAAAGTTGAAAATAAAAAAAATAATAAAGATAATCCAAATACTGATTTTTTCTTGTAATTTTGTAAAATTTGAGGAATTCTTGCACCTAAATATAAAAATGCAGAACAATAACCCATAATTTGTGGACCTAATTTTATAGGATTTTCAATTGGTAAATCATCAACTGGTTGATTATCTGACATTGATGAAGAAGATAATAAAAATCCAATAACTCCACATGATACAACAAATATAATAGGTAAGATATATTTTATAAATATTGAATGATATTGTGGTTCCATTGCAATATCAGTTAAAGTTGAACTTCTTCTTCTTCTTCTTGTACTGGTACTATCAGTTAATGGAGTTGTTTCATTGACATCAATAAATTCTCTTTCTCCCTCAAGATGTGAATGATGATGACTATGATGATGATGTTTTTTATGTAATTTCTTCTTATATATTTTAGTATAATAAAAATAACTAAAAATCATTAAAAAATCAGCAATACAAAACCAAATAGCTAAAAATATAACTTCAGGTAATAATCCTGCCCATATGGCTCCAATTAAATTAAAAAAATCACCCAAAAACCAAATACTTATGAATCCAATAGCTATACCTTCTGCTGATTTTAATCTCCATTGTTCAATTAATTGAGGCATTAATAAAACTATCCAACACGCTAATGATGTTGAACCCATTAATCCTGATATTTTATAATGTAATGTTTGTGACATTTCTTTGGTAGTTATTAAATTTGTTATTATTAGTCCCAACATTTTCTTGTTATTAGCTAATGATACTATCTTGTCGAAATTACTTTGATTAAAAAGATGCTGATGCTTTTCTATTGATAAATTAGTTTTAAAAGCAACAAAAATTTTTTTTTTTTCTTCTTCTTCTTCTTCTCTACATATTTTAAAAATTTACCGCGCATTACTATCTTCATCGAACAATTTATGGTTTTGTAACTTTAAAAGTTTAATTAATTTGACACATTCAGATAATGATTATCGATTGAATGGATCAAGATAATAAAATACGAATAAACAACTACGATGGGTAAAATTATTTTAAGAAGTCTAATAAAATATACATTTATCACTCTTTCTAATTTAAAAAAAAAATTTGAAAATTATACACTTTGTCCTATGTCCTTTTGTTCCCATTTCTAATCCCATCCTAAAACCTTTTTTTTTCTAAATTTTTAATGCTATTGAAATAAATAATTAATGTTGTAATGCAAAATGTAATAATAATAATAATATATTATAATGAATGTATGCTTTTCCCACTTCTCTTTTCTAAAACTAAAACTCTCTGATAAACCAATCTAAAAACAAATTAATAAATGAAATAAAAATAATATCATGAAAACACCAAATAAAAATATATATGAAATATGAAATATGAAATATGAAATTGTTGAACCAAATATTGAAAATCCCAAAAATAAAATAAGTATAATTAACCACCACATAATTATTTAATTATATTTATAAATATTTTTCAAATAATTCATCATTTAACCAACCAACTTTTTCAAAAGCTGCAAATAATCTTGAAGCTTTATTAACATCTATTCTACAAGCTTTTTGTGCATCAGTTCTTCTAAATTGTTTACCTAATTTTATTTTACTAACTTTTTCAAAAAAGAATCTCCTTTTGGAATCCATATAAACCGCTAAAGGTAATCTTAATATTGAAGCTAATAAAATTTCACCTTGATGTAATTTAAATTTGTTTAGGTTTGGATCTTGTGATAAATCCATTGGTTGACCTTTCCATTCAATTTTAAGACATTTAGCGTTATTTGTTGGTAATGTTTCAAATGCATTTGGTGAATAATCTGGAATTGATTCATCAATTAACATTTGTTGTTGAATTGCAATTGGAATTGAAGGTGATGATGGTGGTTTTGGTATTGTTTTTCTTTTTTTAGGTGGTGGAGTTGAAGAACCAGAATTAGTTTGTTGTTTTTCAGAATCTGAACCTATAAATATTGAATTATCAAAATGTTTTGGAGTTCTTCTTGATCTTGTACCTCTTGTAGATTCAACTTCTGAATATTCATCATCAGTTGAATTTAATAAATTTATTTTTTTCTTATATTTTCTAATTGGTAATCCATAATTATTGGTTATATAATTTTTATTTTCTATATTTGATAAATTTGAATATTTATCTAAAAATTCAAATTGATTTTGATAATAATTTTTTGATGGTTTTATATTTATTGATAATTTATAATTTTTATAATTTTCTAATTTAAATTCTAAATTTGAATTATTCAAATAACTTTTAGTAAACTTTTTTGGTTTTGTTACTTCTTCTTTAGTTGGAAATGGTGGTAATAAACTTTTTGTAGTTTTTAAATTAGCTATTGAATTTTTATTATTATTATTATTATTATTATATGGTATAATATTTAATTCAACATTTCTTTGAGCTGGAGATAATGGTGGTGATAATGGTTGTTGAGTTATTGTAGTTGAAGTAGTAGAATCAAATGATGAAGTTAAAGATTTTGTAAATTCATTTTGATTTAAGGTATTATTAGTTTCAAAATCTAATGTATAAGGTGGATGATATTTTGGTATAATATGATCATCAAAATTATTTGGTGTAGGACAATTGGGTATTATCTGTTGATTATTAATATTATTATGATTGTTAGTTATTGAACTCATTGGATGATATAAATAAGACATAATTAATAGTTGTAATAAATTCTAATATAGTAATTGATAGTAATTGTATGCAATTGAGTAATAATAAGTCTAGTATATGAAATAATTGATATATTCAATTGATTGATTGTATAAAAATATGGAGAAAGAAAAGTTTACAAAAAAAACAAAAAAAAGATAAAAAGATAAAAAAAACTTTTGTGATTATTTAAAAAGGGTTTTATAATATTTAATTAAAAACTTCTTATTGAAGATAGTATAATGATGATGATGATTTTTAAATAAAAAAGTGATTCAATTTTTTTTTATTTTTTTTATTTTTATTTTTATTTTTATTTTTATTTTTTTATTTTTATAAATAAATTTAAATTAGAAATAACACAATATGCGTAAAAATAAATTTTGGTTTTATATACAGTATTTATGGTCACATTTATTTATATACAGTACTGATAATATTATTAACAATTAAAGAAAAAAGAAATTTTAATATGTAAATATTGTTTTAAAATTTTTTAATTTAATTTGAATAAAAATAAAAATACAAACTATGAAAAAGAAATTAACTATTATTAGATAAGTGTGAGTAATATAATGTTAGTAATAATTGAAAAAAAAAAAATTAGTAATACTTTATAAAGTCTAAAAATATTCTGAAGACGTGAATGAATAGTTGTAGTGAAATCTTAAGAATATTATTTAGTAGTCAAGTAAACCTTAGTAGATTCAAGATTTGAAAATCAGTTTTATTATAAATTGTAATATAACAATAATTTAACTTAATTAGGTTGTTAATTGAACTTTACTTTCCTACAATTATTTTAAATAGACCAAATAAATCAAATTTAAGTTTTATTATTTTTTTTCTTTTATTTCCGCTACTTTATAAAAAAGAAATTTGACAGATTTTGATTAGACTAAATAATCTTTTAAAAACTGTTTAAATGGAAGCTAAATTGTAATATGACTAGATGAACGATTAAAGTATAATCTAGCAATTTAATTGAATATTTGAAATTCCTGGTACTCAGTTATAATAATCGTAGTTCCCTTTGTTATGCCAAAAACGTATCGGATTTAATAAATATTTTGTTTCATTCAATTATTTTATTAATTTAATTTGAAACAACGTATATGCGTTTAAGTATAATTATTTAAGTGAAAATAGGAGAAAGGAAGGCAAATCAAGTATGCATACGTTCTTCTAGCCTATTCGTTTATTATTAATATCATATGTTTCACATAATAATTACTTCTTTTTCACCATTGAAGATAAATTTTAGAAATTTCAGATGATAAAAAAAAATTTTTAATTTTTAGTATACGCAAGCCGCTTAAACAAAAAAAAAATTTTAATTTTTTGNTTATCGCCTTACACAAGATAAAAAAAAAAAAAAAAAAAAAAAAAAAAATTATTTTTGGTGGGGTAGATAATTGATAAGATAAGTAATGGATTAATGATGAAAAATGAGATTATTAATTTTGAAGTGACTACCTTAGGCATTGTTAGCAACCTAAATACAATTGAGTATTTGAAAAAGCTCAATTCCTAAAGATTAATAATTTAAATCAATAATAAAAAAGAAACAATAATATTTCAAGTTTACTGATAAATGAAAAAAAAAAAATTTTAAAAAATGTTTCAGATGGAAAAATAAAAAAATTAAAAAACTTAAAAAAAAAAAAAAAAAATTTCATTTGTGATGACTTTAAATTTTCTAAGTTATATACAGGACCATATACAAAAAAATTCTTATTACATTCAAATTATTCACTATTGGCTGTATTTAAAAAAAGTAATATAATTTAAGTAGTGCTCTTATTGTTTATTATATTTCCGATTCAATTGTCTAATACTATTACTTTACATCATGTACACCTTTTTATTTGTTTATGTTTCACTTTAATTACTCAAGGTTTCCGATTTTCCGATTGATACCAATGTTAAACTATTCATGATGGCAAATATTGTTGTTTCAGGGTCGATTCTGATCTTTTTTTACTTCTTTCACAATATGGTGTACTTCAATTTGGCTCGGAAAAAATTTTTTAACTCTTTTTCATTTTGATTAAAACTGCTTACAAAAGTTTACTTAACCAAACAATAAAACTCACCAAAAATTTCTTTTTTTTCTTTGGGGTTTAATTTTAGTTGATTTTTTTACTGTCAAAAGAGTAAATTTGCAGGATAAAGATCACTAATGAAAGAAATGAGGTCAGGTTGCTACGACGATTGATGATAGATCACTTTTCGATCGTTTAGTAAATTTTTAACGATATCAAACGAGTAAAGATATGCAGCTTCACTTACATATTAAATTAAATTTGATAGAAAACGTTTACTAAAACTATTGTGTCGTAAAGTATAATTCACACATAAATTAGATGTCTGAGACATTGATTTAATACATTTAGGAAATCACTTATGATTAAAGTTATCAATTATTAATAATGAAAACTAACTTTTTGATCTACGGAAATTTATGTTCAAGAAGGGTTTTCTATACTATAATATATATTATAATTTTTATACTTATTTCTTTTAAATTTCTTTCATGTTGAAATTTATTTCATAAATTTATCAAACCATTCGATTGCAACTTCTGGATTTTTACCTAAAAAGTTATAACCATCAAATCTTCTATCAGTACCAGTAATCCAATATAATTCTTTTTCCTTACTATCAATTTCATCAAATATTTTTTCAACATCTTCAGGATAAGTCCAAGTATCAGCTTTAACTTGTAAAATTTTAGTTGGTAATTTATCAAATTTAGCATATTCCCAAGTTTCAAAATTATCCAATGTTAAACCATTTTTAGATTTTAAATTTTCATTAAAATATATAATAGCTTCATCAACATTCATACCCATTGTTTCTGCATTTTTTTTAATATAATTACCAAAACTTATAGGTTGAACACCAACTAAACATTTTATATCCTTAAAAGCTTCTGGTTTATGATACATTGCAAAAAATGTTGAATTACAACCTAAACAAATACTTAATAAACTTTTAATCATATTTTTAGTATCTGATCTTGAATTAGCATAATTAATTGACCCAATTACATCTCTCCATTCTAATGTTCCAAATCCAATTGTATTACCATTTGCTGAATCACTTAATCCATGATTTCTTAAATCATAACATAAAACATTATAGCCAGCATCAACTAATGCTTTATATTGAGGTAAAAAACTAACTTCAAATCCTCCAAATGAATCCAAACCTGGTAAATGTCCAGCAAATCCATATCTATTTCCTGGCATAAAATGATTACAGATTATTAATTTATTGGAATTTTTATCTTTTGCAGGAATATACCAACCTTCTAAATTAACACCATCATCAGATGGGAAATATATTTCTTCTTATTCTAAACCAATTTCTTTTGGTGTTCTATAAACTGGTGATCTTAAACCTTTCCAAGAAAATTCAACAAATTGATCTAAAACTTTTTTATTATCTGCTGTTAATGTTGATGATGACATTTTTTTTTACTTAAGATTTTAATAATAATTGGATATTTATATAGTTCTTATTTTAATTTCGAATTGTATGGAAACTTGGAAATAATTTCAAAAATCAATCATGGGATTTTGGTTGTTTATATATCTTTTCAGACTCAAAAGTAACCGCTTTTGATAAAGTATGCAATTGCAATTAAAAATATCCGATATTTTTCATCTTTCAACTCTAAAACTTGATTGAATTGCTGTCAATTCTTCAAACAATCCCCTTAATTATTTTATTATTACTTTTAATAACCGAAATAAATTTTTAAAGTAAGAAACTTTTTTTTTGTTCTTTTTTGTTTGCTCGGCTTTTAACTCATATCCGCTACTTGGAATTACTACATTTAGTAAGTCCGCTTTATTTTTTAAACCAGACACACCGAATTTCTACTAATTTGTAAAAAGCGAAACCGAACTTTTAATTACCACTCCATAACTTGAATCTTTTAATGGCTGCTGTAAAAACAATGGAAGGCTTAATTGACTCATTTTCCTTTTTCTTTTGAATCATTTTCTTTTTGATTAAAGAAGATCAATCAACTAATATAAGAAATGTTCATGTTTATCCGAGGTTTTTTGGTTTTGACACTTTTTTTCTCTTTTTTTCTGCGTCAATTCTGAAACAAATATTAATTTTTACAAATTTAAAGTCAAGTTATATATTTCAAACCAACTAGATTTGATCAAAAGACTAAAATAATAAATTTTGACAGTTTTAATTGATTAACAAATTAGTAGAATTTGTAAACACCTGTTAGAGATAGATTGAATTAAAACCAATTACTAAACTATCTTTACTCTACTACAATTTTAAATGCGAATCTTAAATTTGAAAAAGGGTTCTCGCACTTATAGATCCGAATATTTATTAAAATATAACCTGAATAGAACCTTTTAATAGACAAATTTTACTTTTAAAATTCAAATAATCAAAACTCATACTAGTCAAAAACATAATTTGATGATAACTTTCACCTAAAATTGTTAACGATCAAAAGTAAATGATGAATTGGTAGCAGAAAATAATATCAGTAAATTTCTTATTAATTTTGTAAATAGAAAATGATGATTCAATTAACAACTATCATAATTTGATACAATTTCTCATTTAAAAGAAAATTTGATCACGACTTATACAGAATGAAGCAGAAAGGGTACAACATCAAGATGAAGATAATGACAATTCTCTACTTGATTTTTTTACCGAAAGGAAAAATTAACCAGTTAGTGGATTAAAAATTATTTAGCCTTGTTAGGAATTTCAAGTAGTTTTACAATAGTTCCAAGTATTACAATTTGTAAATTGTAAGTTATAATGCAAGTTGACCCCCACAAATGTTTTATGATAAAAAAACGATTTGAGAATCACTTGTGTCGTTGATCTCTTAGTTACACAATTTAGTTTTTTGAGACACTGATTAGATCAGTTCCATCTTTAAAAAAAAAATTTAAAGTATGTTGCAAATTTATACTTTATAATCCATCAGAGTGTTATGATCAAAAAGATGATGCTTGATTATACAAATAAAGTATGTCTAGCTCCAATGGTTAGAAGTGGAGAACTACCTATGAGATTAATGGCAGACAAATATGGCTGTGATTTATTATGGACCCCAGAACTAATTGATAAAAAGCTAATAACTACAACAAGAATTGAAAATAAACAATTAAATACAATAGACTTTGTTGCAGCAAATAATAATCATCAAAATTCCAAGAAACCACCAACCGAAGCAATAATTTTTAGAAAACATCCACAAGAATCGGGGAAATTAATACTACAATTAGGTTCATCAGATCCAGAACTAGCAGTTGAGGCAAGTTCCAAAGTTATAAAAGATGTAGATGGAATAGATTTAAATTGTGGTTGTCCAAAATCATTTTCAACACATTCAGGAATGGGGGCAGAATTACTCAAAACTCCGGAATTATTATGTTCAATACTAAGAAACCTAGTTGAAAAAATTGGTAAACCAAACAACAAACCAATAAGTTGTAAAATTAGAATGTTAGCAAATTTCGACAAAACTTACAAATTAGTGGAGCAAATAGTCACTACAGGAATATCAAATTTGACTATACATTGTAGAACACCTAATATGAGAAATAGACAAAATCCATTTTGGAATTATTTACCTAAACTTATACCCTTAATTGAAAAAAATGGAGTTAGTGTAATACTAAATGGGAATTTCCAATCAAAGTCAGATTTAATTGCAATACAAAAAGCATTAAATAACGATAAAATAAGTATAATGATGGCAGAATCAGCAGAAGCAAACCCTTCAGTATTTAGTGAAGTTCCAAAATCTCAAGATCAACTAATTACTGAAATTTTTGAGTTAGGTAAAAAATATCATCTTTATTCAGGTACGAAATTTTTAATAATGAATATGATCCCAGGTAAATCAAAATATTATCAAATTTTTTCACAATGTAAGAACTTCGAATCAATGGAACAAGAAATCATAAAAATGAATGAAAATAAAACTATAGAACAATGGAAAAATGATAAAATTTACAAGATATTAAATAAAAATTGTCAAAAACTGAATTCTTTCAATGAGGAAGAATTTGTAAAAGAAATGGAAAAAAGAAGTGTAGAAGTTGAGAAATTTTTTGGTGCCTGGAAAGAAGACGCTATGTTATTAGATTTGAATGACTCCCCAACTAAACGAACTATGGAAATACCTAAACATAAATTAAAAAATAATAGAAATGGTAATGTAAATAAACGACAAAAAATTGAAGCTGTATAATATTAATAGATAAAGGGGATTTATAGAACTGGTTAATGAATTGATGAGTGAACAAAAAAGATTTATAATCCTTCAAATAACCTCTGTTTTTCTCCAGATGTAAACTACATCACAAATTTTCTCTTCATTTGCCCTTGATTAAATTCTATATTTTATATACAAATAACATTAAACATAATTATAATTACAACACCATCAACCCTACAATAACTTGACTTCATTTTCTTCTGGGTTTATAACTCTTTTTAAACCACACCATATTCCAGAAGCACCAGCCATCATAACACTTGAATAAATCATTGGTTTTAAACCTTTTGAACTTCTAAATAAAGCACCTGCTAAAGCACCTGCAACAACTGAATTTAAATCATCATGTTTTTCTCTAAAACCATCTAATGTTGAATCAATTAAATTATAAGTTAATGCTAATACACCACATGAATTACCTAAAAATGGACCATTTTTAGTAATATTATTCAATATATGATTTAATTTAACTTTAGATGGGACATTTTCTGGTAATGTTTTTAAACCTTTTGCTAAACCATTAAGTCCACCAATTCCTAAACCTAATAAATATACAGCACCAGTTCCATAACATAAATCATCAGTCCATGATCTACTTGGTATAAGACCTTTAGAACCTTCAACAGTATTTAATTTTTCTTCTTCTAAATCTAAATATTCAACACCTTTATCTAATCCTGCTAATGGATGTAATTTTGATGCATAAGAATTTGTTAAATTGGGTGTTGGTGATGATATTATTGTTGAAACATCAGATATTTCTTGTGGATCAAAACCTAATGTTTGTTTCAATTGTTCGTTTTCTTGTGTGGTCGTGGTGGTTTGAGTAGTTGTTGGTTTTCCAAATATCCAAGACATCTTTGGTTTTATATGTATATGATGGGTGAATTAGTTATTTAAATGATAATATGTACAGAATGAACTAATTATGATAATGATATGTTAAATTGATAAACCTATTATTTAAATGATTATGACTGTCTTGGGTAGAAGGTCTATTATTGATGATGGTTGTCAAATGATATATAAAATAATGACGTTTATTCTACTTATAACTTTATTAAAAATTTTATGTATGTTAAGAAAAAAAAATCGGTTTTGAAAATTTTTCTTTGTGTTATAATCTGAATCTATTGAAACAATTATTAAATTATTGCAAAAAATCTCATTAGGAACGAAAAATGATCATACATTTGATACTTTAGTGTCTCGGGGTAGCTATATCCTTCGAGAATTTTGTAAATGAATCCACTTATTGTACTTTGGTCGGTGTTTGAGCTGAATTATTTTGGTAGCATGTTTCATTATCCTCGTAAGTACCAATGTGATGGCAAATTCAAATTTTTGAAGTAAAGTTCGCAAAAATTACCTACTATTCGATCAATTGATGTCAATTCTAAGTTTCAATTCCAGTCCTTGATCTGTTGTTTTTTACAATGGCATTTGTCACATGAACTATTTTTAAAATAATTCTACTCTCCAGAAAGCTAGTCAGCTTATGACTTACAAATTCAAGCAATTGAGAGCTCAAAAGAGGTCAAAAGAGGTCAAAATTGTTTCAAGATATAATGAGACTATGACTTGACAAATTGTCAATTGTAAATTTACTACTGTCATTTGTTTGATTGACATATTCGTCTTACGATATCAATACTCAAAAGGACTGCATATAAATCTTTTTTGTGAATATCAGGATTTCAATTACTAAACAAAGAATTTAGTATCCTATTCTTCAAACTGAATCAAGTATATACCCTAAATCATGTCAGACATTATACAGGATAATTCCAAAATACGGCTGAATCAAGAAGAAGCTCAACAAAATAAAGTCATAATCGAACCACAAATATCAATAAATCTAGTCCCACCATTAAATTTTGCATTGGTTGAAGATGGAATCTATAGATCTGGTTTCCCCATGGAAATAAATTACCCATTTTTGCTGCAATTAAATCTTAAAACAATAATATATCTTGGAGATTTAGGTCATAATTTAGATGAAAATCCAAAAAAGAAAAAGAAAAAGGAAAAAGATGGATCAATTGAAATATTAAATCAATATCTTAAATGGATAGATAAACAACAAAATATAACTTTCCATAATTTATTAATAAATTCATCACAAGAACCATTCAACAAGAATTCAGAAAATTTACAAAGTTTAAAATCATTAACAATAGCATTACAATTAATTTTAAATCCTAAAAATTATCCCATTCTAATACATTCAAATAAGGGGAAACATAGAACTGGATTATTGGTAGGATTAATGAGAAAATTATTACAAGGTTGGTGTTTAAGTGGTATCTTTGAAGAATATGAAAAATTTGCAATGGGTAAATTTGAATATGATTTAGAATTAATTGAAATTTGGCAACCTGAATTATGGATTGATGATAATAATAAACCAAATTTTGTTAGAATCTAGAACTATTAAAAAAAAAGTATGAATAATAAAAATTGTTTGTTCAAGCTATTAAGCTTTGTAGAAACTGTACTCTACCTAATATAATTTGATCAATAGAAAGAGATTAGTTAAAAGATCATTAGTATTCATCCAATTATTGTTCCATAGAAGAAATTGAATTGAGAATGATTTGTTTTAGAGTAATCAAACATTTTCCTACAAATCAAACATTTTAACATACAAATACAAAATTATACATTATGAAGTAAAAATTTGTCAATAGATAGTGTCTATTGGAGTTCACCATACGAAATCATAACCGACAAAGACATTCGTTTTGCACCAAACTTCAATACTATGTTTAATTTACAAATTTTTCGAAATACCTTTCCCTTAGTAAATGCCAACAATCATATTCAATGATATTGAAAATGATTTAATAACATCCAGTCAGTAAACAAATATCGCCAATAATAATATGATAAACCAACGTGTTATCATACTTTACCAAATATTTGAAAAAGTAAGTAAAATTTGCTTCAAAATGTTATTGTAATAATTTCCATTACACTGTTAACAAATCTAATTCCCTCCATTGCGACGCTTCAAAAGGTAGTTGGGCAGGAGTTCTCCAAACGAACCACGAACAAATTGACTCTCGATAATAAAACTGACATAATTAAGAAATGATCTTTTTGCAGCACAAGAAATTCAGGAACGTACAAAAGTTCGGTTTAAAAAGTGCATTATAAATCCCAACAAATATCTTAATAGTATAAAGATATTTTCATATTGCATGACATGACGTTCAAGTAAGCTAATGCCTCTAATCACAAATCTGCTATAGATGTGGCTGTACCTTAATTAATTCACAAATTAAATAAATTTTATCATATCTAACAAAAACTAACCAATTTAAATACAAGCCAATATGATTGTAAAAATCAGATTAGGAATCCATTAGTATAATGATGATAATTTTATTAAAATTGTAATATAACATCGAATTTTCGACCAATAAGTATAACTAATTGCACACTTAGACTAATCACCTGATTTTGCAAGATATAAAGACTTCTTCATTTTTTGTTTTTTGAAAAGTTGTACAATATTTTTAATTTTTGAACATGTCCTAATATTTTGAACTGTTTTACACTACTTATATAATTTTAATATTAAAGTTACTATTTAAATTTCAGGCAACATTGAACTTTGACGTAAATCAAGACTCTCAAATTCAGTTCTTATATAGACAATTGAAATTTTATAGTCTTATACATCAATGCTTTGATCATATTTGGGAATGAAATGATAAAAGTGATAAAGATAAATTTATAAATGTAGAGTTTGTTCGCCAATAGAGATAGTAATTTAATTTTCTGCTACAAGATATAATATCATACAAATACAATTTAAAATATTTATTAAATACAAAATAGCTTATTTCTCTTATAAACTACTAGTAAGTAATCGTCTTGTTTAAGTTTAGGATTATATTTAAACCATTAATTATACCAAGCTGATATCAAAAGCGCGTACCTAAATGCTGATATCCATATCATCTACCTATAAGTAACACCTTAAAACAGAATGAACTTTAATTCAAGAATGAAGACTTAATCATTAAGGCACACTTCATTATTTAGATCCTAAAGATCAAACATCAATAAATGAATATTGATATTGACCTTATAAAAACCCAAATGTTATACAAGTATCAGCAAAAAACTTTTATGGTTAACTTGGTAAAGAACATATTTGTAGATGTTTTGTTGCATATGGCTGCTTGAATCAACAGTTATTTAGAAAAACACAATAACATAATACCAAAGTACACATTTTATACTATAGCTTTCCCTCATTTATGTGGTGATGCATAATACATCGTGAAATCAAATTAAATTATCATTTTTAATTAAAAACCAATCAATTCAATTACAAATATATAAATTGTTTGTAAGAATCAATATAAGGATCCATTAATATCATATAATGATAAATTAATCAGAATAACAGAACAAAAAAATGTAATGAATTAATAAGTAAATTGAAAAGAAAAAGTTTCTTCTCCAAATTATCCTTAAATGTAAATTTTATTATTATCTATATTAATTAATTATATAGACTATTTGATTTAATATAACACTTAATTTATTTTTGTAATAATTTACACTACTTACCATATTTAAGTATTAATTTATAATTTTGCATTCTCAACATTTTTTTTACATTTTAATACTTTCTTATCAACAAAGAATTATATTTATTTACTAAAAGGTTTTAAAGGATTTTGATTAGCTTTAATCAATAAGGTATTATCAATAATGTATCGCTCAACTTAAACCTTGATTTCATGATAAAATTTAGAATGTTACAGGTACAAGGATTCATTTGTTTTAATATAGACTGCACAATTTTTTTTTATTAGTTCAAAATTATAAATATATTATGGGATTAATGATGCATAAATTACAATCAACAACCAAAACACTTTTTACATAGAAAGTACTGATTGAAAAATTAGACAAATGAGTAAGACTAAGTCAAAAGTTTGTTTTTTTTGTGCATGTCATTTCAACAATTTTGTCATTCAACTGCTGATTCTTTGTTGCTCAAGGTAATTTTGGACTTTTATACTTGATCATCTCTACTCTTGTAAAAAAACGTCTTTATTACTCTAACCTCTTTTTTTACAAAATGCGAGAGATAGGGATGGTCAAGATTAATTCATTTTTGATTTGACTTTGAATATTTAGAAAAAAAAAATTATAAGAAAAAATTACTTTATTATCAAAATTTTAAACTACAACCAATACATCGAAAATCAATGTCTAATAGACCAAGAGGACCTAGACAACAACAACCATATCAAAACTACCATCACAAACAATCACGTCAAAGACAATCCGATTATAGAGATAGAGATGAATATTATTCAAATAGTAGAAATTATAATAGTGGACCACCAAAAGGTCCTAGAAACTTTCAACAACCACCAAAAAGACCTCTGAATTTCCCAACTGGTCCATCAAATAAAAGAAGAAGAGATGATTCATACAGCAGTAGAAGTTCATATATTCCAAAAGCACCACCAGAAGAAGATCAACTTGAACAAAGACAAATATATTCAATAACTTCAAAATCAACATCATTTGAAAAAATAAAACAAGTTGGACAAGGTACTTATGGTAAAGTTTATAAAGCATCAAATACAATCACCAAGGAAATTGTTGCAATGAAAATGTTAAAACTAGAAAATGAAAGAGAAGGATTTCCAATAACAGCTATAAGAGAAATAAAATTATTACAATCATTTGATCATCCAAATATAGTAAGTTTATTAGAATTAATGATTGAAAAAAATTATATATATATGGTATTTGATTATTTGGAACATGATTTGACAGGGTTATTAAGTCAAGTCGAACTAAATAATGGTCATAGAAAAAATTTATTTCATCAACTATTGGAAGGATTAAATTATTTACATAAAAAAAGGATTATTCATAGAGATATAAAAGGTTCAAATATTTTAATAGATTCAAAAGGTAAACTTAAAATAGCAGATTTTGGATTAGCAAGAACTATACAAATTGGAGAAGTACATGATTTTACAAATAGAGTTATAACATTATGGTATAGACCTCCTGAATTATTATTAGGTGCAACCAATTATAGTACTGATGTTGATATATGGGGTATAGGTTGTTTATTATTGGAATTATATACTAAAATTGCAGTTTTCAGAGGGATGGATGAAATAAGTCAACTACAATCAATTTTTAATTTAGTTGGAACTCCCACCACTGAAACTTGGCCACAAATTGCTTCCCTTCCATGGTATGAAATGTTAAAACCGAAAATTAATATAACTTCAAAACTAAAAACAAAATTTAAAGATATTTTGGGAGTTGACGCTTTTGAATTAGCTGAAAATTTATTACAATTAAATCCAGAAAAAAGATACAGTGCAGAAGAAGCTTTAGCACATGTATATTTCAAAAATGATCCTCAACCACAACCTTTGGAATTCTTGGCTGATTTCAAACATGAATGGCATGAATTTGAAACAAAGGAGAAAAGACGAGAAGAAAGGAAAAAACTAAAAGAGTTGGAAGATGCTGCTATTTAGATATATATTAATAAATTATTTTAGCTCTTTCAAAATTTTGCCTCGACATTTTAAAAAGCTTCACTCTAAATTGGAAACTAATTTTTTTACAAGTCTAACAATGTTTTTGATGTATTTTTTACTGGTGGCCAAGAGTTTAACAATAATTACTTCGGGTTATCTGCCAAATCCTCCATCAACAGAAACTATAACTACAACAACAGAAGAATTCATATACACATTACCATTCAAACATTTATTCAATAAAGATGCAATTGCATGTTTACAAAATATAGAAATTCAATTTTTACAAAAACATTATAGTTGTTCTAAAAAAACCAAATATTGTGATTGCTTATTTCTTTCATATATTAATGAAAATTGTTTTGACTTAGTGAGTGATCCAATTTGGTCTTTAGAGAAATTAAATCATTTTGAATGTAAAAATTATAATTTAACTAATTTGTTATGAAGTTTATTTTTACAAAAGAGGAACCATTTACGATTTACACAAAAAGATGCGGCTTATTTGCTTATTTGGGAACTTTATAAAATTACATATGATTTTTGGTAGAACTACAACATTGATTAATAAGCTACTAAATTCAGACTTCCATAGCTCCCTTTTCTCAATATATGCTTAATTTAAGGTATAATATTTCACAAACTTTTTACAATCTTCCGGCTCTTGCGATGAAAAATTTCAAAGAGGATTGATTTAATATATAAGAAATATCAAATTTATTCATTCCATATTTCAATGTCAATTAATTAAAGTTTTCAATCTTTGTTACCAAATTGTCAAAACTTTAATCCTTTAAACCTAATATAATAAATTAAAAATATCAAATGTAATTAATAATTTAAGTTTGTTTCTTACTTTTCATTTGATTTACAATTGCTTTGAGATTTAATTTGTAGCCCCGGTAATCTGACAATTTGTTCCCTTTTCATACGTTCTTCTTCAACATCTAGATAAAACTCCCATTTTCATTACATTTTGAGTTAAGAATTTGCCTCGGCAACCTGCTGGTTAATTTACTCAAATAAAGATATTATTTTATTATTACTCTGTTTTGTTTTACTTTTCTAAATACTCTTTTTAATAATAATAAATTATTTTTAAAATTTCATTTTTTTTTTATTTTAATTTTTTATTTTTTATTTTTATTATTAATAAAAATTATGTTAAAACCCGCTTTTTAGAATTTAAAAACTATTTCCATTACTATCCAACAATTAACATGGGATCTTGTACTTCAAAAGATTCTAATCCACCTTCACAGTCACAATCACAACCAGCACAATCTCAAAAACGACAACAGCAGCAACAACAAATACTACAACAACAACAGCAAGATCAACAACAGCCACCACCTACAGAAAAATCAAATGGTTCAACTATATCACGTAATAATCAATCAATTCTGAATAGTATAGTACCAAATGAAAAACAACCACATTCAAATCCAATTGATGCAGCAATTCAATCAAATTCAACTAAAAATGTTAAAATATTACTCTTGGGTAGTGGAGAAAGTGGTAAATCAACTATAATAAAACAAATGAAAATATTACATACCCAAGGTTATTCAGATGAAGAATTAATTGAATATCGACCTTTTGTTTATAAAAATGTTTTGGATTGTATAAAAAATATTATAAATGCAATAATAGATCTAGAACCATCACTTATAAAAGAAGAAAATTCTTTGGATTATGATAATTTAGATCAAATTTTAGATTATGAAATAGATTTAGATCAATTTAATAATCTGTTTGATGAAAATATTGCAAAAAAGATTTATAAACTTTATGATTCTAAAATTGTTAAAGACTTTATAATACATAATCAGGGGAAATTTTATCTTATAGATTCAACTGACTATTTTATGAACAACATAATGAGAATAGCTGACCCAAATTATATACCATCTACAACAGACATTTTAAGAACTAGAAAAAAGACAAGTGGGATATTTGATTTTAATTTTGATATGGGGAATGGCTTAAATATACATATGTTTGATGTAGGAGGTCAAAGATCAGAAAGGAAAAAATGGATTCATTGTTTTGATAATGTTACTTTAATAATATTTTGTGTTGCATTAAGTGAATATGATCAAGTTTTATTAGAAGAAAATAATCAAAATAGATTGGAAGAATCATTAGCATTATTTGATTCAGTAGTAAATTCACGTTGGTTTTCAAGAACAAGTGTTGTCTTATTTTTAAATAAAATAGATGTATTTGCTGAAAAATTACAATATTCACCATTAGAAAAACATTTCCCCGATTATCAAGGTGGTAATAATATAAATAAAGCAGCAAAATATATTTTATGGAGATTTAATCAAGTAAATCGACTGGGTTTAAATATTTATCCTCATGTGACTCAAGCAACTGATACAAAGAATATTGAATTAGTTATGGCTGCTGTAAAAGAAACTATTATGGAAAATACTTTAAAAGATAGTGGAATAATTTAAATATTTAATTAAAATTTTATAAGTTTTATACATGTTATTTAAATAAAATAAAATTAATGTCAGGACATGAATATCAATACTCTTTGATAGCACTTTAACTATTAAAACATTATTTGATGAGGATTGTGATATATGGAATATTTATTCACTTAAACCCAACTACCTTGAACCACACTATGAGTCAATTTGTAACTTGGAAACATTGAGCACATCCCTGAACTCTTTTAAATATAAAGGTATTAAGCATTGCTTTAAAAGTACACTGGGTCAGTGATTTAGTCTTTCGGACTGGAAACCCGGGTTTTTGTGCAAAAAAATCTAAAAGTTGCAAAAATATGAAACAAAAAATCTATATGACGGAAGAGTTTAAACCCACAGAGCTCCAAAGTTATCTTTTTGATCCACATATCTAGCTAAAGTTGTTGTTCTGGCCCTCGATCTGAATCTTGTACAACCAATACAGAATCTTGTGGAAGTTCACGCACCGCCAAATTGTACTTCAAGACTATATTATTATCTGCGTAGAACTACCCCCTGTTACCTTATTATTATTAATATATAGATTATTTTACTTTTGGTCAAAGCCTCCATCACTTTTGAAACTATATTAATTTAGATTGAAATTAAATTTGCGCCTCTCTTTATATTCTTAAAAAAAATCAGCAATTGTTTTGAAAGAATTTCAATTTTTGTGTGTATGTGTCTATTTATGTAGGAGAGACTAATATTAATACTCATTATTTTATTTTTCGGGGGGTAAGTTCACTAAAATTGAAACTAAGTTATTAATTTTAAGATCAAGGATTAATGAAACTCAAAACAAATAAATAATAGGTGAAATATCTCAAATATCTCAAAAATCTCAAATAAGATTTTCTATCAAATTCAAATAAAGTGACAAGCGTATGGATCCTACTCAGATTGTAGTTGGTATTTGCTGTATCATTGCTGGAGCTAACTGTGATTACAGAGGCTGTACAGCTGAGGATTTTGTAACACATGGTGATGCTATTGATAAAAATGTTTCATTGGGAAATTCGGATGATGCTATTCTAGTGGATATGAATTAATCCAAATGTAAATTTGGAATCGAAAGAAGGAATTACAGGTGAAGAATTAGCTTATTTAATACCTGAGCAATTATTTAATTCGAATCTTACACAGTTATCAATAGATTTTAAAGGAAAAAAGGTCGATCCTGGTTTGGTTATTCCTGGTTGTGTTTTATTCGCTGCGGGTGCTTGGGCTTTCACATGGCTTATCTTGATGAAGTTTGTGATAAGGTTTTTTATCGAAAGATTTTCCTTTTAATGGACTTATATAAAAATCATTTTCTAATTTAATTTTGAAAGTTTTGTTATTGATTTTATATTGATGATATTTAAATTTTTATTATGTAAAAATATAACTTTTTTAAATTGATGAATTAGAAACGTAATATTTATAGAAATTTTGCGGCAATCATTTTAAGAAAAAAAAAAATCTAAAATTTTACGAAATTTACGAAATTTAGTTTATACTGAAAACGAATAAAATTTGGTCCTTCTTTACGCGAAATAATTCTCTATGGAACCAAAATTAATTCGGCCTTGACGAAAAAAATTAATTTCATGGAACGAAAAAGAAAAAGAATCATTTGCAAACTTTAGAAAAACGACAAAAACATTTTGAAAACGACAAAAAGTATTTGTTAAGTTGTATATTTGTAAATGTAGTATAAACTAGTTATACACTGCAGCATCTCTGGTACAAGCTCTAATGATACAGGCAACACCACCGATAATACAAGAAGCACCAACAACTATTCCACCTGGATCAAGCCTTTTGTCAACTAAAGCACCTTCAATATCAGCTGTAATCACACTGTAAGCAGCCAAGGCTAAACTAAAAGTGAACGTAATAGCTAATATATATTTTGATAACGACATTTTGATTACAACTTGTGATAATGTTAGGGTATTCTTTGTGGTACAAAAGTGTGAGATTTTGTAGGGTTTTTATATCTCACAAATGTTTAATTTTTTAATTTGTAATAAAAACGTTGTTTAAAATCTTTTATTCATAATGCAAATTGATTATATAAACATAAAAAAATAAGATAAGAGTATTTAATTTAAAATACTTGATGATTGTATAATATATATACAGTTTATTCATCATATTCCTGTGTCATGTACAATTTCTTAAAAATTAAACACTGACAAGTTTCATCAAATGGCTCAAAATTGATTCCAAAATAAGAATAATTTGGAAACTTCAAAATCAGATTTTAAAATTAGACTTTAATTCCTTGGCGCTCTAATTGTATAAACTTTTTGACATAATTCTTCTTCTTGTACCTTAGACTTCTGTTTTAATTTTTAGTTTAAATTCACTTAAACACGCAAATTATTATATCATTTTTGCTTGTTGTTAAAAAAACAATTATCGACCACTCACAAGTATTCAGCACCCGTAATGATTCATAGGCTTAACTGATGATTGAAGTGATTTTGAAAATCACAACTAATAACAAAAACATCAAACAAAACGGACTGAAAAAGATAAGATTTAGACTACTAAATTAAAAGTTGCATGTGTGGTTCAGCTTCCTTTTATCTAAAATCAATTTCCATGCTATGGTGAGGCAAAAACGCATTTCTCCCATAATAATTGCTAAAAATAGATATCGAATAGCGACAAAGTACCATAACCAACATTTGTTCTTGTTTAATTTAAAACGCAACTAATTTACCTTTTTATGCATGAACATCACTATTTTATTTTAGATCAGATAGTAATTACTATCAGACTAATTATATTCTATTGTGTTGATCAGTTTAAAATCAAAAATAACAATTGGAGCCTATCTTTCCACAGTTTTACAAGACTTTGGATTTATGCATTATATAAATATTAAATTATCGACGTCAAATGCAAAATTTTAATTTGCACTGTAAACTATGGTTCAAAAACTTTTTATTGTCAAGGCTTCATTAGCCGTCACTTCTTTAATTCCTGTTGTATTCATGATCGCGGATAAATTTCAAACTAAAGATGGTGTAGATTTAAAAACTATTTTCATTGGTATCTTAATTTTTGTGTCAGGTCTTTTACTTATCTTAAACAGCTGCCGAGATAAAGAGAAGTTAGAAGTTGATTAAGCTTTGTGGTTTTGAAACCCTATTAAAGTTAGTGAAATTTTATATAATTTACTGAATATACAACCATTATTCCTTTAATCTCGTCTAATTTCAACTCATTGGTTGTATTGCATAATATCAGGATTATTCTTTATTATCTAACTGCCTCTGAATTTGCCTTGAGGGAATATTCTCCAATTATATCTTTTGTGTGCGCTCGTCTTATTGTCATATGAAAGTTTCAGAATTTTTGAAGTTAAATAAAAGATAAGAATTTTTAGGTTCGACAAAATATGTCAAAAACTTTATTAGTGAAGAAATCACTCGTATTTTTGCTTTTTCTAATTTTACGATAAACTTTTGATGATAGTCATGGCTTAAAAATATTTTGAAATTTTTTCTAAAATCTCCCTCCGCTAGAAATTTAGAATTACATTATCATTCTTCAACACAAATTCAGAAACCACAATCTCATTTAAACTAAGGTTTTTAATTAGTATCCGTTTTATATAAGATTCAAAAACTATGGTTGTAAGGTAAAGTAACATAAAAAGTGGATTCAATTTTCATTAATTAAAGTACAATAAGTGTAATTTATTTTAGTTTTTTTTTGATGCCGTATGCCTGTCAGACAATTTTTAATTTTCTAATAATTCATTTTCCTGTTTGGGGGTATTTTTAAGTTTTTTTTTTAAGTTTGGCAACCAAAATTTGTTTTATGTAATTAATAATTAATAAAATTTGATTGTACAAAAAAAATGGGTGCAAAAAGATAAAAATCACAGTTTTGAAAATCTCAAGATCAATATTCAACAATTTAAAACTTAATATATAAAGCATGTATATTCACGATTTTATTTGTTTAATTTCTCTTACTTGGTTTAAGTATAACAATGTCAGAAAAAACACAAGGACAAATAAATGTTACAAGTATTGCTTCTCATACAAATATAGAGAATCATGAAGTTGATTTAGCTGCTTTAAACTCAAATCCATTGTCTATTGGTGAAGTTGGTACTACTTTGACTAATGCTCAAAAAGATATTGTTTTACATAGATTACATTTTGATGTTTTAAATTCATTTGAAAAATTACCTCCACAAGTTACTTTTATTTTTGAAAAAATTGAAGAAATTAGTATTCCAGAAAGTATTGAAATTTTAAAAAAGGCTATAAAAGAACATGAAAATGATGTCAATATTATTGACGATGATTTAAATTTATGGAAGGCATTAGTTGCTTACCATGGACCAGAAAGAGAAGATTATGATGATATTGATGCTACAACAGTTGAACAATCAAGTGGTATTACCAAAAAATTAGGTTCAGTTTTTCATATCAACAAAAAACAAGAAAGCACCAAGGAGAAATCTGGTCAATTTGTTCACACAGTAAAACCTGTTTCAAGCAACGATAAGTCATCCGATGATGAAACAAACGACATTCATGAACACAAAATTGATTACTATAAGATCACTGACTGGAGTTTACAAGTTAGATTAGAAGCTGTTATTATTGCTTATTGGTCACCATATCCTCAAGTTAGAGCTGTTACAGACCCATTTGATGATCCAACTATTCCTGTTGAAACCATTAGAGTTTATCTTATTTCATTAGTTTGGGTGGGTTTAGGTGCTGTTATTAATCAATTTTTTTCTGAAAGATTTCCAAGTATTACTTTAGGTATGTCAGTTGTTCAAGTTTTCTTGTATCCAAGTGGTAAATTTTTAGAATGGTTATTACCAAAAAAGAAATTAAAGTTATGGAAATTTTCAATTGATTTAAATCCCGGTCCATATAATTATAAAGAGCAAATGTTAGCTACAATCACATGTGGTGTTTCATCTGGTACAAGTTATGTTAGTACAAATATTTTAATGCAAAAATTATTTTATGGTAATACTTGGGTAGATTGGGGTTATCAAATTTTATTAACTTTATCAACTCAATATATGGGTTTTGCATTATGTGGTATATTGAGAAGATTTGCAGTTTATCCAGTTAAAGCAATGTGGCCACAATTTTTACCAACTTTGAAATTAAATAAAGCTTTATTGACTCCAGAAAAGAAACAAACTATTAATGGATGGAAAATTTCTGGTTATAATTTGTTTTTCATAACATCAGCAATATCTTTCGTTTATTTTTGGGTACCAAATTATTTATTTGCAGCACTTTCTCAATTTAATTGGATGACATGGATTGCTCCAGAAAATAAGAATTTAGCCATTGCCACTGGAAGCTTTGGTGGGTTAGGTGTGAATCCAATTCCTTCATTTGATTTCAATATTATTGGTACTGCTGGTTTTTACTATCCATTTTATTCAACCTTAATTAATTATATTGGTATGTTGGTTTCATTGTTGGTGGTTGTTGCTGTTTATTTTAGTAATATGTACTGGACTTCATATATTCCAATTAATTCAAATTATTTATATACAAATAAAGGTGAAAGATATAAAGTTTCTGCTGTTGTTAATGAGCAAAGTTTGTTTGATCAAGCAAAATATGATGAATATGGTCCACCATTTTATTCAGCTGGTAATTTGGTAAATTATGGTTCCTTTTTCGCTATTTATCCATTCCATTTTGTTTATGAAGTTGGTACAAATTTTACAACGATGTATGATGGGTTTAAATCATTATTTGAAGGATTGAGAAATTGGAAAAAATCGAGTTATGAGGGATTCGATGATCCACATTCAACTATGATGAGAGCTTATAAAGAAATTCCAGAATGGTGGTATTTAGCTATATTAGTTTTTTCATTAGTTTGTGCTATTTTATGTGTTAAAGTATACCCTGCTGAAACTCCTGTTTGGGGAATCTTTTTTGCATTAGCTATCAATTTTGTATTTTTGATTCCTTTAACTTCAATTGCTGCAAGAACTGGATTTTCATTTGGATTAAATGTCTTGGTTGAATTAATTGTTGGCTATGCTATTCCAGGTAATGGATTAGCTTTAGCATTTATTAAAGCCTTGGGATATAATATTGATGGTCAAGCCAATAATTTTATCAATGATTTAAAACAAGGTCATTATGCTAAAATCCCACCAAGATCAATGTTTAGAACTCAAATATTATCTGTTTTGGTGACTGCTTTTATTCAATTAGGAATTTTGAATTATCAAATTACTGGTATTAAAGATTATTGTGATCCTTTAAATAAACAAAAATTCATTTGTGCTGGTACAACTACTTTCTTTAATGCATCAGTTTTATGGGGTGTTATTGGTCCAAAAAGAGTATTTGATGGTTTATATCCAGTTTTAAAATATTGTTTCTTAATAGGATTTTTAGCTGGTTTATTATGTATTGCTATTAAAAAATACGCACCAAGAAAATGGACAAAATATTTTGAACCAGCTATCTTCCTTGCTGCATTTTTTTCATGGGCTCCAGGAAACGTATGTATTTTTCAAAAAACACTACGAAAGTAGAACTTATACTAACAACTTTCTCAGTTATCTTATTCCACTGGTGGATTATATTTAGGTTATGCTTTCATGCATCATGTAAGAAGAAAATATGAAGCTTGGTTTGGAAGATATTCATATCTTTTAGGTAGTGGTATTGACTCAGGTATTTCTTTTGCTGCAATTATTATGTTCTTTGCAGTTCAATATAAAGAAGTTGATATTGATTGGTGGGGAAATAATGTTCCTTTTGAAGGTTGGGATTATGCATTAAGAGTTAAAGGAGCAAGGTACAATGCTACCTTACATGCTCCAGATGGTTATTTCGGTCCAAGAATTGGTCATTATCCGTAGTTAAAAAATTTATTTGTAATTCTATTTTTCTGTTTTATCGTTGTGTACAAAGTATAATTGGATAATAAATGTTTCATATTAGTTACGCTACCAAAAATTGTGACAGTAGGTCGCATTATTTAATTTACAAAAGACAGGTAGTGTCACTATAGACTTTTCCTTTCAATTCTTATTAAAATGTTTATTAAATAAATTCAATTGACTTTTAGTTCAGTTACTTGACGTCAAAACAATAATTTTGCTGAGTTATGTCTTTAAAGTATGCACACTTTTTTTTCTGTGATTGTTTCTTGAGTTTTCAAATGTCTGATTATTTACATTCGTACACACATATTTAACATCGTGTGTCATACCCTGGAAATACTTTGAAACAAAATTTGACGTATAGCTGAGCCCTCAAAACAAAAATACTGACTTTTAACTGGCCCACTTGCACTTCCGCTTTATGTTCTAGCTATGTTCATAGTACCAAAAAATTCTCAAAATAAAAAATATAATTTAATCAAATTTTGCAGCAATTTTCAAAACAAGATTTTTGCAACTTTTTGTAACTCCATCGAAATAAATCATTAAAAAATTTGTTTTAATTATTTATCATTAATACATGAATAGCTTAGCACTAAAGGATTTCTGAGCAAAAGCTTACAAAAATTTAGCAGCACGGTTGTAGTAAACTGATATTTCATTAGAGAGACATTAATTAGCGATATAGTGAGCCTTTATACTATAGCACTTTTGTCATGTTTAATGCTTTTCCTAACGCTTTAAATTGACTTTTTTTTTTTCTTGTAATCAATATATATTTTTGTATACAATTATAAACATGTAATTATAATACTAAATCTATATAAGGGACACCTGATGCACATGGTGTCTTAAGCTCTGGTGGAAAAATTAAAGCGTAAGAATTTTAGCCTAAAAAAACCACATAGTGTTGATTTTTGTTTTCTTTAGTGGATTTTGGGATGTTTTTGTAATGAGTCAAACTTTAAATCAACTTACATTTTTGGGCCGTAGTTGCACAACAAAAATGGTTGTTTGACGCAACTGTTCAGCCTGGCTAGCTCAATCGGCTAGAGCGTGGGACTCTTAAGAACATATTCCCACTTATGTGGAATGTGAGACTTTTAATCTCAAGGTTGCGGGTTCGACTCCCGCGTCGGGCTGTTTTTTTTTTTTGATTCTTAAAGCTAGGTGAGATATCAGTTTCACTGTGAAAAATAAGTTTTTTTTTTTCTTTTTTTCCTGTCAAATTTAAGTTTAATTCATACAAAAATATGAATCATTGATATATCTGTACAAAATAACAAAATAGTGAAAAAACTATGGAAAACATCAGGATGTTGACTTAAATATTTTACTAATCATATGCTATAGATTCAAATGTCATTAAATCTTTTTATGTATGGAGAGGTTGGAGTGTTGCAAACTTGATGTTAATCAATCTGTTTGTAAACATTACCTTGTACATTGTGTAATTGACCGCTCAAATATTGCACATTGGAATTGGCCATGTATTAAGAAATCACTTTGCTCAGTCCTTCGTATTCTAATGATACATATGGCTGTACTAATTATGGCTTGGGAACACCAAATTGTGTCGGTATATCAAATTCATCAAACATTGATTTCTATATTAAACTTTTTTATTTTGTGTTATATGCTTGTAATTTTTTTTTTTTTTTTAAGTTAAATTTTATATTTGTCTTATAGATCCGAAAAGATAACTTTTTTATTTATTTTGTGTAACTATAATAAGAAACAATCCGAAACGGATTATACAATTTTAAGTATAAATACTGACACTGGTCGAGTTATGATGATCATGTTAAAAACATTAACACCAACTACAAATGTTGTCAAACTTACCACAAGAAATCATTGAGAAAATAGGAAATCATTTATATCAAAATGATGTGTTGTCATTATTACTTGCAAATTCATATTTTTATAATATTTTGCATACAAGATTATATACTGTGATCAATGTTGATTCCACTCCAAAATTATTTCAACATGATTCGGACCTGCTAGAAGAATTTGCTTTTCATTTTAATAACTACAAATTGGGTAATAAATTTATAAGAGCAATAAATATAAGTTCGGTGTTCAGTATAAAATTATTGTTCAAACAAGTTCTCAAGTGTGGATATGGACCTAAAGTTAAGATATTGAGTTTTCTGAAGATGCCAGATATACCCGATTTGGAGGTGTTTGAATTGATCAAAAATGCTTTACCTTTTATGACTCAGTTGGAGGAGTTTTATTGGAATCATGCATCAATTCCATTAAGTTATTTGGAGCATAATAAACAACTAAAGAAATTGAACGGTCATATTGAAACCGATATAGCTACAATTTCAAAAAAGCTGGAATTGGTACTCACTAAACATGCTAAAACTAATGCATCAAAATTATTATTGAGAAATATGGACCTACAAAATATTGATTTGGAGGAGGTTATAGATTTGACTATAGACAATTGTACATACAAAAAAGATTTTTTGGTAAATCAACATTTCCCAAAATTAAGACACTTACAAATCAAAGTTGAAGATGATCCAACACTTGCCAGATTCTTATCAAAACATCAGTTGAGCACCTTGAAAATAAGCTCACCGTCAAAAATTCCATTACAACTCCTCAATAAAAACTTAATGCTGCTACTGATTGACTCAAAATTGGAAATTTCAGATTTCAAACAACTACAACACTTTACTGAACTAAAGTACCTACATATCACAATTTTGGAAAAAGATATACTCGAATTATTACCGTAAATTCCATCATCATTAAGATTTATAAATTTCAATATTTTAGAAGTAACAGAAATAAATAATTGTCTAATTGCAAATGAATATTGGGAATGTTCAAATATAGATCAAAAGCAATTGAAATTTCAAGATTTTGTATTAGAATATAATCGTCGTTATCAAAAAAATTATTGGATAATGTTCAACAACAAATACGTTTTTGAATGTGATGGTAACGTGATATATAGAGATGGGTTTGAAGTATATTTTCTAAAAATAGTAAATGCATTAATGTAGATCATTTAAAATAGTCCTAAAATAACATTAACTCTGGTTTTTTCAGGGTGGAGGTGATCTGATGGTTGTTTTTCCAATATGCAAAAGTGTTCTCTTTTACCATTTTAAACTGAAAATAAACGAATATAATCAGGGTAGACGAGAAGGCAATAAGCTTTGGGTTTTTTGAAACTACATATATAAATTGATTAATCGAGATGGTCGTATATTAATGAATTCTATACTGATGAGTTTTGAATAAAGAAAAGTGAATAAATTGAAAAAAATTTTAATTTTTCAAAATGTTTGATTTGACTAAGCTACCAAAATATTAAAAGTAAGCCGCACGAAATATTCACATTCTGGTTCAAATAATCTATAAGTTGAGACTTAATCAATTCATAAGTCAATTTATCAAATGTATCTAATCAACTTTATCATAAATAAATTATGGCCCTATTTCTAATAACGATAAAACATTGTGAAATCGCAGAATTGAATTTAGGCAAAAATTTATATGATAAAGTCCAGAATGTAGATTTTTGGGCCTTATGTACCCAAATGGCTCTTCATGTGAGGGATCATATTCTCCAATATCCAAATCTTCATCATCAGAAGGGACACAATTAGCAAAATAAATCCAATTCGGGGACAACAGAACAGCACGAACAAGTGCGAGATTTTCCAATAAACATTTTCTAATTTCAGAATCCTTTCCATTACCTTCAAAAGACCTAATTTCCCAAGGTTCAATATGGACAACTTGCTCACTAGGACCTTCAGTTGTAGTTTCGGAATTCTCTAAAATGGTTATATTGTATTTGTCATGTATATTTCCAGATTTGTAGCATTTTTGTAAAGCTTCAATTAATTTTGTTGCGCTGAATTCAGCGGCAATTGAAAAAGTAAGGGATGAAAGTAAAACCAATATCGACAATAACATTGAAAACAGTAGCTGTCATACACGATGATGGTCAAATATATGACATAATTAAAAATAGTGCATTCAAAAACGTTACAAATTCATGACATTTAAGCCTTATATTTATATAATCAATGTTTCAGCGGAATAGATTAGTTGTGAGTCATTAATGTAAATATTACATCTATTTATTATCCTTTGAGAGCCTCTCAAAAAGTAACAGGGCGTCTCGAATTGTCATTCGATACCTCGCATGTTTTAGAAAATACCATATATTGCACAACGAGCCAGTTAAGTACAATTTCAATATATAACATTCATAGATCATAAATCATAATTCTCTGTACATGGGGGCCTATTCACTCTAAAATTTTGCACACATCAAACAATTGGACAATCGATTATCATTTTGAATCTGCTCGAGACTGACATCACATCGAAGAGCAATAGTAAACCTTTTTTGAAAAATTGAATTGAATTAATAATCATCGTCTTTTTTTTCGAAACGTTATACGTTTATTAAGACTTAAATTTTGTCAAAATCAACTTAGGTTAATTTAATTTGACTAAATCACAAATTATATAAAGGTAAAGTGATTGCGAGAGAAATTTCAGCGATTTGATCTTGAAGTTAATAATTATTTTCAAAGTTAATAATGTTTTTCTACTAAATGTGAGAGTCCTTTGCAAGAATATTTCGAGAGATTAAAAAATCAGATTCCTTGCAGTTTTATTTTGACGAGGTAAATCGATTCAAGGTAAATCTATTGTTCAGATCTTCATATCAGTGGTATAAAAATTTCTGATAAATATATTAAATTAATGGAATCATTCACGTTAGTGCTTTGGATTCGAAACATCGTCACTAATAAAAACTCTTTAATTTTCCTTAATAGCGTAGACTCTTTTTGATAGAAAATCTTAAATTTTTATCGTATGCAGAATTTGCAACATTGAGCGTTTCTTCCATAAAATCGAATAAAGAGTAACTTAGATGACAAGAGTACTTAAAAAGCAGAGTATATAATAAGCTTTATTTTGACTTCTTTGTACAGAAAAAATATTTTATATTTTGCAACAATCTGAAACAGAAAATAACTAGTATAAATAATTTTTGAAAATTTGATAAACTTGTAAGTTAATTGCTCTGTTTCAAGGCATAATCTATATTTGTGATAGAATAATCGTAAATGCTTTAATCAAAGTTTGAGTTCCTTATTTTATCTATGAAATTTCTTCATCTTTATGAAACTTTCTGATTTCATTTTGTGCCATGTTGTCTCAACTCTTATTTTCTAATTCTTTGTTTTTTATTTTTTTTTCCTTTTGATCTTTCTCGTAAAATAATTTTTTTTTTTTTGTTAACTCAACACGTTATACTTTTAATATTTTTTGTTGGTTGCAAAATCGTTGGGATTGAAATAAAACAACAACACTAGATGAATTGACTCATGTTATTGGTATCATTGAAAAGGTATTACCCCCAATCAGATATTTAATGGGCCTCTGAATTAATCAAATGTAATTTTAATTTTTTAAATCAAATTATGTACTTTTCTCTCGGAGTTTGGTTTTGTGTCACTACTAATTTTTTTGGGTAATCATTTAGTAAATAAAATATAAAACAGAGCCTAAATCCTTAAATCTCTTAATTTAAATAATTCTTAATTAATTTTATTTTACAACTCAATTCACTTCACCAAAGCAAAATGAAACCAGAGATTGAACAAGAATTATCTCACACTTTATTAACTGAGCTTTTAGCTTATCAATTTGCTTCACCTGTTAGATGGATTGAAACTCAAGATGTATTTTTAAAACAACATAATACTGAAAGAGTGGTGGAAATTGGTCCTTCACCAACTTTAGCTGGTATGGCTTCAAGAACTATTAAAGCAAAATATCAATCATATGATGCAGCATTATCTTTACAACGTCAAGTTTTATGTTATTCAAAAGATGCTAAAGAAATTTATTATACCCCTGACCCTATTGAGGAAGTGACAAAAGAGGAAGCTGTTAAAGAAGAAATTCCTCAACAAGTTCAACCAGTTCAAGTTCAAGTTGCTGAACCACCACAAGCTGGCCCTACTGCTTCTATCCCAGATGAACCCGTTTCGGCTAAATTATTGATTCATGTTTTAGTTGCACAAAAATTGAAAAAACCTTTAGAAAGTGTTCCAATGTCAAAAGCTATTAAAGATCTTGTTAATGGTAAATCAACCGTTCAAAATGAAATTCTTGGTGATTTAGGTAAAGAATTTGGTTCAACACCAGAAAAACCAGAAGAAACTCCATTAGAAGAATTAGCAGAACAATTTCAAGATACATTTTCGGGGGTCTTAGGTAAAACTTCAACTTCTTTGATTAGTAGGTTAATGTCATCAAAAATGCCTGGTGGATTTTCAATTACAACTGCAAGAAAGTATTTAGAATCAAGATATGGTTTTGGTAGTGGTAGACAAGATTCTACCTTGTTAATTTGTTTATGTAATGAACCAGCAGTAAGATTAGGTTCAGAAGCTGATGCTAAAACATTTTTAGACGGTGTTGCTACAAAATATGCAACTCAAGCAGGTATTTCCTTGAATTCGGAAAGTGTTGGTGCCTCTACCACCTCAAATTCGACAGTAGATTCTGCTGCATTAGATGCATTAACTGCTGAAAATAAAAAATTAGCTAAACAGCAATTAGAAACTTTAGCAAGATATCTTCAAGTTGATCTTAACAAGGGGGAAAAATCTTTTATCAAAGAAAAAGAAGCATCTGCAGTACTTCAACAAGAATTGGATTTATGGGAAGCAGAACATGGAGAATTTTATGCAAAGGGTATAAAACCAGCTTTTTCACCACTAAAATCAAGAACTTATGATTCATATTGGAATTGGGCAAGACAAGATGTCTTATCTATGTGGTATGATATAATTTTTGGAAAATTAACTTCAGTTGATAGAGAAACTATTAATCAATGTATTCAAATTATGAATAGATCAAATCCAACTTTAATTAAATTTATGCAATACCACATTGATCTTTGTCCAGAGTATCGTGGGGAGACTTATAGATTAGCCAAGAGATTAGGTGAACAATTGATGGATAATTGTAAACAAGTTATTGGAGAAAATCCAGTTTATAAAGATGTTACAAGAATTACCGGCCCTAAAACTACTGTCAGTGCTAAAGGTTCCGTCTTGTATGAAGAAGTAAACAAGGATTCAGTTAGAAAATTTGAACAATATGTATATGAAATGGCTCAAGGTGGTTCAATGACCAAGATTAAACAACCAACTATTCAAGAAGATTTAGCTAGAGTTTATAAAGCCATTACCAAGCAAGCTTCAAGAGATAGTAAATTAGAATTACAAAAAGTTTATGAACAACTTTTGAAAGTAGTTGATGGATCAAAAGAAATTGAAGTTTCTCACACAACAAAAGATGCTTTAGCTATTCCAACTGGTACAAATACTCCAGAAGACGAATTGTCAACTGCTTCTGATGATGATGAAATTGCCTCATTACCTGATAAAACTTGTATTGCTCAACCAGTTTCATCAACGGTTCCACCACAAACTATTCCATTCTTACATATGCAAAGTAAAAATTTGGTACTGGGACAATGGGAATATGATCGTAAATTATCTTCTATCTACTTAGATGGTTTAGAGTCAGCGGCTATAAACGGTCTTACTTTCAAAGATAAATATGTTTTAGTTACCGGTGCTGGTGCTGGCTCTATTGGTGCAGAAATCTTACAAGGTTTAATCAGTGGTGGAGCTAAAGTGATTGTTACAACTTCACGTTTTTCCAAAAAAGTTACTGAATATTATCAAAATATGTATTCAAGATATGGTGCTGCTGGATCTACTTTAATTGTTGTTCCTTTCAATCAAGGTTCAAAACAAGATGTTGATGCATTAGTAAATTATATTTATGACAAAAAATCAGGTCTTGGTTGGGATTTAGATGTTATTATTCCATTTGCTGCAATCCCAGAAAATGGAAATGGCTTAGATAATATTGATTCAAAATCAGAATTTGCTCATAGGATTATGTTGACCAACTTATTGAGATTATTAGGAGCTGTTAAATCTAAGAAAACTACCGATACAAGACCGGCTCAATGTATCTTACCATTATCTCCAAATCATGGTACTTTTGGATTTGATGGGTTATATTCAGAATCTAAAATTTCTTTGGAAACTTTATTTAATAGATGGTATTCTGAAGATTGGGGTACTAAATTAACTGTTTGTGGTGCTATCATTGGGTGGACAAGAGGTACTGGTTTGATGAGTGCTAACAACATTATAGCAGAAGGTATTGAAAAATTAGGTGTTAGAACTTTTTCACAAAAGGAAATGGCCTTCAACATTTTAGGATTGTTAACTCCAGATATTATTAAATTATGTCAAGAAAATCCCGTTATGGCTGATCTTAATGGTGGATTACAATTTATTGATAACTTGAAAGAATTCACATCCAAATTAAGAAATGATTTAACTGAAAATGCAGATATTAGAAGAGCTGTATCTATTGAAACTGCAATTGAACAAAAAGTAATTAATGGTGATAATGTTGATGCTAACTATAGTAAAGTCACTGTTCAACCAAGAGCAAACATGAAGTTTGATTTCCCAGGTCTTAAATCATACAACCAAATAAAACAAATTGCACCTGATTTAGAAGGTATGTTAGATTTAGAAAATGTTATTGTTGTTACTGGGTTTGCAGAAGTTGGTCCATGGGGTAATTCACGTACAAGATGGGAAATGGAGTCTAAAGGTGAATTTTCTTTGGAAGGTGCTATTGAAATGGCATGGATTATGGGTATGATTAAATATCATAATGGACCATTAAAAGGTAAACAATATACCGGATGGATTGATGCCAAGACTCAAACTCCCGTTGAAGATAAAGATATTAAATCCAAATATGAAGAAGAAATTTTAGAACACTCGGGTATTAGATTAATTGAACCAGAATTATTCCATGGATACGACCCTAAAAAGAAACAAATGATTCAAGAAATTGTTATTCAACATGATTTAGAACCATTTGAATGTTCAAAGGAAACTGCTGATCAATATAAACATGAACATGGAGATAAATGTGAAATCTTTGAAATTGAAGATAGTGGTGAGTACACTGTTAGAATATTGAAAGGTGCTACATTATTTGTACCAAAAGCTTTAAGATTTGATAGATTAGTTGCAGGTCAAATTCCAACTGGTTGGGATGCTAAAACTTATGGTATTCCAGAAGATACTATAAATCAAGTTGATCCAATTACATTATATGTACTTGTTGCAACAGTTGAAGCATTATTATCAGCAGGTATTACTGATCCATATGAATTTTATAAATATGTTCATGTTTCTGAAGTTGGTAATTGTTCAGGTTCAGGTATGGGTGGTGTTAGTGCACTTAGAGGAATGTTTAAAGACAGGTACGCTGATAAACCTGTTCAAAATGATATTTTACAAGAATCTTTCATAAACACAATGGCTGCTTGGGTTAATATGTTGTTGTTGTCTTCTTCAGGTCCTATCAAGACTCCCGTTGGGGCTTGTGCAACTGCTGTTGAATCAGTTGATATTGGTATTGAAACTATTTTATCAGGTAAAGCTAAAGTTGTTATGGTTGGTGGTTATGATGATTTCCAAGAAGAAGGTTCTTATGAATTTGCCAACATGAATGCCACATCAAATGCTGAAGAAGAGTTTAAACATGGTAGAACACCAAAAGAAATGTCAAGACCAACCACAACCACCAGAAATGGATTTATGGAAGCTCAAGGTTCAGGTATACAAGTTATTATGACTGCTGATTTAGCTTTGAGAATGGGTGTTCCTATTCATGCAGTTTTAGCTATGACAGCAACTGCCACTGACAAAATTGGTAGATCAGTTCCTGCACCAGGTAAAGGTATTTTGACAACTGCAAGAGAACATCATGGAGATTTGAAATATCCATCACCATTACTTAATATTAGATATAGAAAAAGACAACTCACTAAAAGATTAGATCAAATTAAAATGTGGGAGGAATCTGAATTAACTAATTTACAAGATGAAGCTGAATTAGCTAAAGAAGAATTTGGATCCGAATTTATTATTTCCGAATTCCTTAAAGAAAGAACTGAAGAAATTTATAGAGAATCTAAAAGACAGGTTTCAGACGCCAAAAAACAATGGGGTAATTCATTTTATAAATCTGATCCAAGAATTGCACCGTTGAGAGGTTCATTAGCTGCTTTTAATTTAACTATTGATGATATTGATGTTGCTTCATTCCATGGTACTTCAACAGTTGCAAACGATAAAAATGAATCAGCTACAATCAACAGTATGATGAAACATTTAGGTAGATCCGAAGGTAATCCAGTATTTGGTGTTTTCCAAAAATATTTAACTGGTCATCCAAAAGGTGCAGCTGGTGCTTGGATGTTAAATGGTGCTATACAAATCTTAGAAAGTGGTATTGTTCCAGGTAACAGAAATGCGGATAATGTTGATAAAGTTTTAGAACAATATGAATATGTATTATATCCATCAAGATCAATTCAAACTGATGGTATAAAAGCAGTGTCAGTAACATCATTCGGTTTTGGTCAAAAGGGTGCACAAGCAGTCGTTGTACATCCTGATTATTTATATGCTGTATTAGATAAATCAACTTATGAAGATTACGCTTTAAGAGTTTCAGCAAGGAACAAGAGAACTTATAGATATATGCATAATGCTATAACTAGAAACACAATGTTCGTTGCAAAAGATAAAGCTCCATATGATGATGAATTAGAACAACCAGTTTATTTAGATCCATTAGCAAGAGTTAACGATGCTAAAAAATTCGTTGCAAAGGATATTCAATCAAATAGAACCTATGTTAGTGAAATATCCCAAAAGACAGCAAAAGCATTATCTGAGCTTAATAAATCGTCAAAGGGTGTCGGTGTAGATGTTGAATTATTATCAGAATTAAATTTAGAAAATGAAACATTTATATCAAGAAACTTCACCCAGGAAGAAATCACATACTGTAAAAACTCATCATCCCCACAAGCTTCATTTACAGGAACTTGGTCAGCAAAAGAAGCTACTTTTAAAGCATTAGGGGTTCAATCTCAAGGTGGTGGTGCAAGTTTAATTGATATTGAAATTTTGAGAGATTCAAAGGGTGCTCCAAAAGTTAACTTAAAAGGTGATGCTGCTTTAGCTGCTAAACAAGCTGGTGTTAAGTCTGTTAATGTTTCTATTTCTCATGATGATTTTCAAGCTACTGCTGTTGCATTAAGTGAATTTTAAATACCTATAGAGAGAATATTGCAGAATTGAATATATGAGATTGTTTTCATTTTTAAACACAACTGTAGGCCGTGTCTGACTTGAGATTGTAGCATATATGAGAGTAGTCACTTTATAATTCAAAATTTTGTTGTAATATCTATTCATAGCCAAGATCTACTCTAATAAATGCGGCACAAAAACTAATCTTATAATTTTCAACAGAAAAAAAATAATAAACAACAAATCTAATATTAATAGTATCGAAATACAACCAAATTTAGATTCAAAAACAATCACTTCCCATATATCAATGACGGAAGAAGAAATAAGTAATGATCAATTGCCCGAAGTGCTAACTAAGCAAGAAGAACAAGTCCTAGAATTAAATGTTAATGGAATTGATAAAGATCAAATAATTAGAGAATCAACGCCCGATAAAGGACCAATTGAAGAATCAACGGAATTAGAAAGAGCAGAAGAACCAGAAGACACAGAACAACCCACAGAAGAATCTAAAGAGGATATTACAGAAGAATCAATATCAGAACCAGTAACAGAACCACCAGCACCAATACAACCACAAGAAATTGAAATTTCTGTTACTTCAACCCCAACTCCAACTACTAATGGTTCACGTCATAGTAGATCATCAACGCTATCGTTAAATAACAATGCAACCGTTGACAACACCCAAATCTTTAAAAAAACATTTGAATTAATTCTAGCATCAAAAGAGGCTAAAAAAAATGAAGCATTCAGAAACAAAATACAAAAAGCACTTGATTCAATAAATAATATAGATGATAGAAACCCCCATATAATATTCGACTCCCTTAAAACATGTTGCGAAACAAACAATGTCGATTTGAAATCAAAAGCAGTTGATTTATTCGCAAAATTATTTGATTATGCTAAATTTAATGATCCTATAGAAAAAATTAAATTAACAGATGAGTCAGTAAATGTTATATCAAAATGTTTTGATGGAGAAGGTACAGATCCAGAATTGGAGTTACAAGTAGTACGAGCATTGATGCATTCTATTTTATTAATGCCATGTCATGGTGCATCATTATTACAAGCAGTTAGACAAATTTATAATGTATTTATTTTTTCATTAACTGCAAGAAATCAAGCAATTGCTCAGGGGATTCTAACACAAGTTATTGGAGCAATTTTCCAAAGAGTTCGTGATACAATGAAATCAAAAAGTAAAACAAATAGTTCAACTAGATTAGTTTTAGAGTCTGCTGAAAACCTTCCAGAAACGAAATTAACATTAACTGAGTTGGAGACAATTAATACGTCTATAAATGACACCGACAAAGTAAATGAAGCTACATCTGCTAGTGAAAGCGATGAAGACTTGGCGGTTAAAGATGCATTTTTAGTTTTCCGAGCTATGTGTAAATTATCCATTAAATCATTAGATTCAACAACTATTGATATGAAAGCTCATTCAGTAAGGTCTAAATTATTATCACTTCATATAATTCACACAATATTAAGAGAACATATTGAAATATTTTTAAGTCATGATGTTGTACTTTTATCATCAAATTCAAGTGAAAGACTAATCAATGCAGTTAGACCTTATATAAATCAAGCACTTTCTAAAAACGCAGCATCTGCTTTAGCTCCAGTATTTGAATTATCCTTGGAAATTTTTTGGATTATAATATCAAATTTAAGATCAGAATTTAAAAGAGAAATACCTGTGTTTTGGGATGAGATTTATTTTCCTGTTGGAGAAATGAAATCTTCAAGTGCTCACCAAAAGAGATATCTTTTATCAATTATTGAAAGATTGTGTAACGATTCAAGATGTATTATTGAATTTTACCTCAACTATGATTGTGACAGTAACATGCCCAATATTTGTGAGAAATTAATCGACCACTTAACAAAATTATCTTTACAAAGAATTGAAGTTACTACTCAACAAAAATATGCATTTATAGAAAATAGGAGAAATGGTATATCGGTGTATGATGTCGGTAAAATTGCAAATTTAACATCAAGTACAATGTCATCAAAACCACCAGATCCAGAAATTTATAACTTATTCCCCGTAGAGTATGCATTGAAAATGACATCAATAAGTTGTTCAGTTGCATTTTTACGTTCTTTATATTCATGGGCTCAAAAGGGACTTAATTTAAAACTGCCAGTCAATGGATCATTTTTATCATTATCAAGAAATCGATCAGATTCAAATACTACTTCCACAAATGTTACTAGAAACCCTTCTTTCATCAATGGTGACGATTCTTCAAAGGAATCAGATAAAATAGAACAATTTGAAAATCAAAAACAAAGGAAGAAAGCATTACTAGAAGGTATAAAACAATTTAATCAAAAGGCCAAAAAGGGAGTATCATATTTCATAAATAACGGGTTTATTTCATCTGATTCACCAGCCGACATAGCAAGGTTTCTTTTGGAGACTGACGGACTTGACAAAGCAGTTATTGGTGAATACCTTGGCGACGGTGATGAAAAAAATATAGCCATAATGCATGCTTTCGTTGATCAGATGGAATTTGATAATGCAGAATTTGTTGATGCAATGAGAAAATTTTTACAATCATTTAGGTTACCTGGTGAAGCTCAAAAGATTGATAGATTTATGTTAAAATTTGCTGAAAGATATACTATGGGAAACCCAAATTTATTTGCCAACGCTGATACAGCATATGTCTTGGGTTATTCTGTAATAATGTTAAATACAGATTTACATTCACCACAAATAAAAAGCAGAATGACATTTGATAGTTTTGTTATGAATAATTCAGGAATTGATGATGGTAAAGACATCCCCAAAGAATTATTGCAAAAAATATATGATGAGATCTTAAACAATGAAATTAAATTACAATCAGAACAACATGCCGCTTTATTGGCGGGTGATTTAACAGTTTCCCCATCAGTAGGATTCTTCAGTGGTAGAGATCAAAATCGTGAAGCATATATCTTTGCATCAAAAGAAATGTCCCAAAAGACTGAAAAGTTAATGAAAAATTTGGGCAAGAAAACAAGAGCTGATGATGATGGGATGTTTTATGCAGCTACAAGTGTTTTGCATGTAAAATCAATATTTGATACTTTGTGGATGTCAATATTAGCTGGTTTAACTCCGCCATTTAAAGAATATGATGAAGATTATGTCACAAAAGCATGTTTAGAAGGCATTAAATTATCCATAAGAATTGCTTGCATGTTTGATTTAGATTATGCAAGAACATCATTTATAGGAGCATTAGTACAATTTCAAAATTTAAACAACTACGAAGAAATGAAACCTAAAAATGTTGATGCTATATATATTATGTTAGATTTAGCAGTAACTGAAGGTGATAACTTAGGTGGTTCATGGATTCATATTTTAAGATCAATTTCACAAACTGAGCGATTACAATTAATTGCACAAGGAGTTGATCAAGACTCGATTCCGGATGTTACAACAGCTAAATTGATTACAAGAAATTCAATTGAAAGTACAAGGACAAGCACCAGCTTTTTTAGTTCATTTGCATCACAAACACCTGCACAATCAGCCGCAAGTAAATTTCATAACCAACATCTTTCGCCAGAAGTTGCAAGATTATTAGTGAAGACAGATTTAGAAGTTTCAATGGATAAAGTATTCACAAATAGTGCCAATTTAACAGGTAATAGTATAGTTGAATTTGTTAAAGCACTTTCTGAAGTTTCAAAAGAAGAAATAAATTCATCAGGCCAAAGTAGTAACCCAAGAACTTTTTCATTACAAAAATTTGTTGACATTTGTTATTATAACATGAATAGAATTCGTGTGGAATGGTCACATCTCTGGGCTACTATGGGTGAAACTTTTAATGCATTAGGTTGTCATTCAAACCCATCAATATCATTTTTTGCATTAGATTCATTGAGACAACTTTCAATGAGATTTCTTGAAATTGAAGAATTAGCTCATTTCAAATTTCAAAAGGAATTTTTGAAACCATTTGAATATGTAATTATACACAACAGGTCTTTGGAAGTTAAAGATATGGTTCTTGAATGTATGAACAATATGATATTAGCAAGAGCAAGTCAGATTAAATCAGGTTGGAAAACTATTTTCAACGTTTGTACTGCTGGTGCTAAAGAAAATAAAGAATCATTAGTGATGAAATCATACAAAATGGCAATTTGGATCAACAAGGAATATATTGAAGAAGTTAGAAGACAAGATTCATTTGGTGATTTGGTTGTGTGTTTCACAGCACTTGCTAAAAATGAGAGATTTCAAAAAATTAGTTTACTTTCATTAGATGTATTATCAAGATTAATTTACGAAATTGCACAATACAGTTTCTTCAATGAAAGTGAGGAACAAATTGAGCCAGAAGAAAAAGATGAACATTTAAGAAAACTTTGGTTCCCAGTATTAAATGGATTTTTTGATATTATAATGACAGGAGAAGAATTAGAAGTTAGATCTAGAGCATTAAATTCATTATTCGATTTACTCATGAAATATGGTAAATTTTTTGATCAAAAATTTTGGGATTTAATTTGTAAAGAATTGTTGTTCCCGATTTTTAAAGTATTAGGAAATCACTGGGAATTGAGTTTAGATGAATTAAATGATAATTTATCAGTGTGGTTATCAACTACATTAATTCAAGCTTTGAAAAGTATGATCAATTTATTTAGTCATTATTTTGATGAATTAAATCATTTATTAGATGAATATTTGAAACTTATAATATCATGTATATGTCAAGAAAATGATACAATTGCAAGAATTGGACGTGAATGTTTAACCAATTTATTATTGGACAATTGTCAAAAATTTGAATCAAAACATTGGAATGAAATATTGGAAACTTTCGCAAGTTTATTTGAATTAACTACCGCCAAGGAACTTTTTACATTAGATCCAATGAGAGAGGAAGAAGAAGAAGAAAATACTACAACTGAATCACTTGATGAAGATAGCAACAATTCTGAGTTTCAAAAACAAGTAATTGATGATAATGAAATGAGATTGAAAAAATCAAGAGAAAAATCTTCCATAGTAGTGAAAAGTGTATTACAATTATTACTTATCCAAACATTATCTGATTTATTTGAAAATGAAACATTTTATGAAAGTATACCTTATAAATATTTAATCAAAACAGCAGATCTTTTATATAATTCATATGATTTTGCTAAATCTTTCAATGATGATTATGATTTGAGAGTTCGTTTATGGAATGCTGGAGTTATTGAGAGATTACCAAACTTGCTAAAACAAGAGTCTACATCATCAGCAGTGTTTATAAACATAATGTTTAGAATATATTGTGATGACGACAAATCAAATTCAGAAGATAAACAAACTATACTAAGTAAAATCCATCCATTATGTATATCAATCATTGACAACTACTTAAAATTTGATGAAACAAATCAAAAAAGAAATATAACATCATGGAAACCAGTAATAATTGAAATTTATGAAGGCTATGTTGAATTAGATGATGATGATTTTAGAAAATTTGGACCACTGATGTATAGATTAATATTGGAATTATTAACTAAAAACATGTCAAATGATTTAAGAGTTGCTATTAAAACCTTTTTAACAAGAGTTGGAGAAGAATTTATAAAAGAATAATTTAATGAGTTAGTCTAGAAAATTAATGCATAATAATAATACATAATAATTAAATCAAAAGTTTTTTAAAAATGAAGGTTCTTTTAATTTTAAGATGTCTGGCCCAATCTAAATCTCTTGACAGTTTATACCTTTTTATACTAAGGTACAGTTTTAGATCATATTGTACTTATAAAATATCCTGTATATAAACCATGTCCTAGAAAATTTTTTTTTTTGCAAAATTATTCAACGAAACCTTTTTGCTATTTTTTTTTTTCACTTCAATTTCAAGTTATTTTTGGTAAAAATTTTTTATTTAAATAAAGTAAATTTATATCAGATTGAGAGACAAATACTTTAAAAAATGTCATTCCAAAACAAAGTATGTTTAATTGAGATATCAATGTCAATTGCGAGCTGTAATTCGGTTAGTTTTCGGAGTATGAATTAATTTGAAAATTGTGGAATTATAATGAAATTGCCAAATTTCGAAGTGGGGAGTCTACTTGCAAGTACAAATGATGATTGAATTATCAAATCCAGTATAGGCTTGGATAGTCCTGATCACAAATACACTAATTTTTCAATAATTTTTGATCAAATCTTATATTTTAATTGCTCGTGTGACAGTAATTGTGGTTTATCAATACCTTAATACTAACAATGTTCTTTAGAATTTATATGATTTGTTAGGTAACGACGTTGAAGAAGATTCTGGAGCTCAATTACCAGTTAAAGAAGTTGTTAAAAAAAACACTTCATCAAAAAAAGCTGATGTTGCTCCACCTTCAGCTGATCCAACTAAAGCTAAAAAAAAATCAAAACCAACTGGTAATGAAGGTGCTTTAAAAACTCAAATCAATAATAAGGAAACTCAACCACCACAATCAACTGCTACTAAACATCAAAAAAAACCATTTGATCGTCATTCAAGATCTGGTAAAACTGATTCTCAAAAGAAATTAAAACAAGGTTGGGGTGATAGTGATAATAGAGAATTAGAAGGTGAAGTTGAAGGTACTCAAGATGCTATTGCTGAATTAGATGAAGAATCAACAGAAGATTCAGAAAAAATTGATGAAACTCCAAAAAAATCATTACAAGAATATCTTGCTGAACAACAACAAAAACAACAAGATTTAGCTGGTGCCAAAAAATTAAGACAAGCTAATCAAGGTGCTGAAGAAAAATGGACTTCAGAAGAAAAAATTGAAAGACATCAAGAAGAATTTTTTGCTTCAACTCATCAAAAGAAAAGTAAATCCAAAACTCCAAAAGAAAAAGTTTTCTTAGATATTGAAGCTACTTTCTCAGATGAACAACCACAAGAATCATCAAGAGGTGGATTTAGAGGTGGTAGAGGTGGTAACAGAGGTAGAGGTGGAAACAGGGGTGGAAGCAGAGGTGGATTTAGAGGTAATAATGAAAAAAGAGGTAATTTCAAAGGAGGTAAATCATTCAATGAAAAAGATTTCCCATCTTTGTAAATTAATAATAACCATAGTATTTAAATTATAGTTGTATTTAAAATTCTTATAATTATGTATCGTATTTCAAATTAACTGACGATTTACTTTTCAAAAATAAATGACATACAAAAAATTTGATATCACATTGATTAACTTATTATTCTTTATTGTAGTTTTGTAGTAAATTTATAAAACTCTTTGATTTGATATTTGATTGTCATATGCCTTTATTAAAAATTTATTTTGTACAACATTTATTTTTTTTCTCTCATACATTAATCTCCACATTTTAGCTAAATTTTACAACCAACCAACCAATCAACCAATAAATAGATAAATAACTTACATAATTAATGTCATGAGTAAAGAAGATCTGACTGAATTTGTAGATAATTCATCACCTAATTTTCAAGATCATCAAACAAGAGCCTACTATAAAGACTTAGCAGTGACATTAGTTAATAGTGCAGTTCAAAAAGGTAATACTTTAGCACAACAAAATCCTGGTAGTAAACGAGCTATAGCAGCAAGTACAGCATCAACTATTTTAGAAATGGGATTAGATAGATATGCAAAAACCGGCTTTTCATCAAGATCAGGATCAATTGATTTGACCGATGAACAAATTAGTCATATAGCTGCAATGGCTGATTCAGCAGGTGACGATGAAATTAAAAAATCACAATCTTCAACAACAAATCATTTTGCAGATCGTATGATTGAAAAATTAATGAAATCTTCATTACCCCAAGATATACCAGAAAGAGAAATGTTTGAAAAAAGATTAAATGATCCCGAAAGAAATAAAAGACCTGGATTATCAGTTGGTACTTTAACTTCAAATGTTAAAAAATTAGCAGGTAAAATGACAAATTTCTTTGCCATTCAGTATGAATTAATTCATATAATTACTTGGAAACAACCAAACAAAACTTTATCTGTTTTAGTACTTTATACAGCTGCATGTCTTTGGCCACATTTAATTTTAGCATATCCATTAATTTTCATCTTATTTGGCATTATGATCCCCGGTTTTGTTTATAGACACCCACCAATGAGGTCGGATTTAATTAAAGTTAAGAAAAGGGGTCAATCATTTTTATCCTTCTTGAACGCTACTCCAGAAACAAGTATAGTTGAGGATATGGTTGATGAAGAATATTTAAGAGAAGATGCAGAAGTTGCTTCATCTACCTATTCCATTTCAGAGGAAGCCTCAGATGTGACTATTTCTTCTTCTCAACCACAATCAGGTAAATCGACAAGTGGAACTGGTAAAGATGATAAAAAGGATACTTCAGATAGGAGAAAGTCAAATATTGCATTATTAATTAATTTAAGAGATTTTCAAAATTTAACAACTGATTTAATTCAAGCTTTAGATAAAACTGAAACTTTTTATTATGAAACTGCAGGGTTTAAAGATGAAAGATTATCCACATTTATATTTTATGGAGTACTAGTTGCAACTTTTGCTACATTGTTTTTTGGACAATTCATTCCATGGAGATTAATTTTCATTAATACTGGTTGGATAGGATTAATTTTATGCCATCCAAAAGCAAAAAAATATTTATTAGAAATGAGTAAATCAAGAAAAGAAAAAGCTAAGTATGATAAAATTAGGAAAGAAATAGAGAAAGAAGCAGAAGATGAAAAAAAAGGTAAAGTGGAAGAACCAGAAGTCTCAACGGCTGGTACAATTACAAAAGATATCAAACAATTTGATCGTAATGATATCATAGTTGACGATAAACCAGAAGTTAGAATTGTTGAAGTTTATGAATTACAAATTAAAAGTATATTAAAAAATAATTGGTCATTTTATAGATATTCAACGACAATGTATGATAAAGAGAACAAAAATAGAGTTGCAGGTAAAAGGCCAACAGGAGTTGATCATTTAAATAAAGTATTACCACCAAAAGATTGGAAATTCGATATGGGATTTGTGAACAAATGGGTATTAGATTTAAAACCAAAAGAATTTATAAAAGAAAGATCATTAGATCCTGAACTATTTATAGTTAAAAACCGAGAAGAAGACGGATGGATTTATGATAATATGAAAGATGTTGTTCATCTGGAAATTATTTATGAATTTAGAAGAAGAAGATTATATAGAGAATGTTATCGATACGGTAGACCTCATAAAAAGCCAAAAAGTTTTTAGAATAAAAATTTTATAGTAGTAATTTATTAATTTTAATTTAATCTTCTACACCTGCCATTCCAAAAAATAATAGTCTATAACATGGGGATGTAGGATCAGAAAAATGATCATAAGTATTATCTATTTGAACACCACAATTGAAACAAAAACAAGTACGACATTCACTACATTTCATTCTGTTACAACCATCACTTTTTTCAATAACTGCTCCACAACCAGGACATTCTTTTAATTCAGTTCCTTCCTTTAACATTTGTTCAAATAATTTATCCATTTGATATTCATCAATAGCTTTTAATACTTTATTTCTACCAAATTTTGCATGTAAAATTTTTTTCTCATGAGATCCCTGAGGCATAAATTGATAATTTATTAAATCTTCTATAGGTATACCTTCATATTTTTCATTTTCTTGTAATTTAATACATTTTTTAAATCTTGCATGATAAGAATTTTTACAATCATTACAAAATGCATATTTACATTTTTTACAAATTACTAATTTTTCATTAAGGTCTTCTCTGAATATGATTTCTTCACATCCTATTCTTGGACATTCTACTAATCTGTTTGGTAGTAATTTTTTAAGTAATTCAAATTGAGATTTTTTAAATAGTTGTAAATATTTATCAATAAGTTGTTGTGATAATAACACTTTTAATTGACTTATTGGAACATTTGGTGTAAATAAATTAATCACAACATCTTTTAAGTTTTTATCATTCAACATCCATGACTCTAATTTAATTAATTCATCTCTTTTTTTAGTATATTCTTTCATACAATTATATTCAGGACAATGAATTTTATTTATATCACCTTCTTGAATTGTTGAAGTGAAAAATCCAGTTAAACATTCATTGCAAAATACATGATTACATTCCTCAAATTTTGTACATACAAGTCCCTTATTTTCAGTTTGACAAATTTCACAGGTATAAGTTTGAGAATTGAACTCGTCCGTTTTGGATTTACTATCAAGTTTTAATATTGTGTTGAATTCTTCATAATCTTCGACGTCGATTGTGGAGGGCAATAATTCGTCTAATGAATTTTGAACTATATCTTGGATATGATCTATAAAGTTGAATATGACTGTGTCTTTGATGTCATCCCACAACTGTATTAGGCTGCTTTTCAATTTAGTGGCATTGTCTATGCTTAAACTTGAAGAGCTAATTGTTATACTTGGCGGAACTTCATGCGGGTACCCATTTGGAAGTTTAAATTTCAAGTTGATAGGTGGCAAACTATGTATCTCCTTAGTCGACAATAGTATTAATTTCTCGTTTTTCGGATCTTTCTGGTACAAATTTAAATTTTTACCTTGTTCAATCTTGATAGGAATATTTATGGATCCACTTAAATTCTCATAATCTACTTCCAAATTCTCATATATTAAACAGCAAGATTGTAATTCTTGAATAGTTGGATCATCTGAAAATGTAATATCTTCTGTCATATCATCTGGACCTATGGCATATCTTTAGTGCTGGAAAATATGACATCGACTTCACTAATTGTAAAGATTAAAAACAATAAATAAATTAAGCGAAGATCTCATGCAAAAAAATACGGTGGAGTTCTAGCTACCAAACGACAGTCGGTTTCAGCTATACATAAAAGTTGTCTTCTTAGGGGATACGTTTTTATTAACAAGTACCGAGACTCTGTTTAAATGTCTTGATTGATTTATTGTTTTGGTAATGAAAGTCTTATCAAAGTAATTTGGTTGTATTATTTTTGGTTTTTGCATTCAATTTGTTTAGTACAAGAGATCAAAATTCATTTAGTAATAAAATTAAATTTACGAGAATCTGAACAAAAACAGCACATATTAATTAATATATTAATTCTACAATAGATAGTCCATTCAAAAATTAATGGATTCGTTCTCGAATAAAGTGAAAACTTTTGATGCGTTCCCAAAAGTAGATCCCCAACATCAAGTACGATCTCAAAGAGGTGGTTTATCAACATTACTTACATATTTTTTTGGACTTTTAATACTTTGGGTTGAAGTTGGTGGATTTATTGGAGGTTATATTGATAGACAATTTATAGTTGATGATGTAATACGAAGTGATTTATCAATAAATCTAGATTTAATAGTTGCAATGCCATGTGAATTTCTACATACTAATGTTGAAGATATAACGAGAGATAGGTTTTTAGCAGGTGAAACATTAAATTTTGAAGGTGTTAATTTTTTTGTTCCACAAGGTTTTAAAATAAATAATCCAAATGATTTTCATGATTCTCCAGATTTAGATCAAGTTATGCAAGAAAGTTTGAGAGCAGAATTTAGATCAAGTGGTCAAAGAGTAAATCAAGGTGCACCAGCTTGTCATATTTTTGGTCAAATTCCTGTAAATCAAGTTAAAGGAGATTTTAGAATAACAGCAAAAGGTTTTGGATATATGGATAGACTGCAAGTGCCATTAGAAGCTTTTAATTTTAGTCATGTTATACAAGAATTTTCATTTGGTGAATTTTTCCCATTTTTAAACAATCCTTTAGATGCAACTGGTAAAATAACTGAAGAGAAATTACAAATTTATGGATATTATGCAAAAGTTGTACCAACAATTTATGAAAAATTAGGACTTGAAGTTGATACAAATCAATATTCATTAACTGAAAATCATTTAACTGTTACAATTGATGAAACAAGTAAAAAAGCTCAAGGTGTACCTGGAATTTATTTTAGATATGAATTTGAACCAATAAAACTAATGATTAGAGAAAAAAGAATTCCCTTTTTACAATTCATTGCCAAATTAGGTACAATTGTTGGTGGATTATTAGTTGCAGCTGGATATTTTTTTAAATTATATGAAAAATTATTATTAATATTATTTGGTAAAAAATATGTTGATAAAGGTAAAGAAAAAAAAGATGCAGGACTTATAAATTAAAAATAGATAACTTTGTAATATAGAGAATAGCATAAACTTGTACTATAGTTTACTTATATCTCTTCTAATACTCTTCTAATATTCTGATATTTGGACTTTGACTTTTAATCATGTTACTCTCTTAATTCCGCTCTTTTATTTTGTGTTAATTTGATAGGAATTAAAATTTGAAAAACAAAATAAAATTTAAATTATTATAATAAGATTAAAGTCATACTTCCATTTTACAATTAAAGGCCATATTTATTATTATATATTATACACTTACATATAAATTCACCATTCATATTTGCACATTCTATTACAAGTCAAAATAGAAGTTTAATTTAGTGTTACAGTTGCATCTATTTCCGATTCGTAATTACATTGAAACTTCAAATGGAGAAAAAAGCTAAAATTACTAGAAGTAGATTTGGCTGTAATGTTTGCAAAAGACTTAAGAAGAAGTGTAATGAAGGGAAACCATCTTGTGATTATTGCCTCAAAAAAGGATGTCCATGTGATTACTCAAAAACTTTAATATGGGGTGGAAGACCATTTAAATCAAAGAAAGTGAAATCAGAATTTGAATCTCCAGGTAATGGATTTCATGAATATAATAATCATAAAAATAAAGGAAATCAAAGTATTAAATTTGTTCATCAAAATTTCACGACTAATAATCAAAACTATTCAGAAACTTACGCAACACCAATATCAATAAACGGGTCCATTGATAAGAGGCGACGGGAGGAAGAATTTGATGAATCTCAACCACTAAAAAAACAAACAACCGACCAGCAATCAATGGCTACTTCACCTCAGAATTCATTTCTCACGCCCAGTGGGTACTCAATATTACAAGATGATTATACAACTAAACCTCAATATGAATATGTTCAACAAACAAGTACCCCAGTTACAGATCAGTCTCAATTTTTCACGTTCCCTCCAGGCTTTGATCAACTCTCGAATGAAATTGGAAGAATAACAGCAGGCGAAATACAATTTCAACTTCAAAATCTGGACATTTTTCAAGATTACCTTCAACATCCGCAAAACAATAATGGTCCTACTGAGAATTCATTATTTGATAACTATTCACAAGATTTGGCCAAAGTTGAAGAATATATGCCTACAACAACGAACATATTAGATACAATGCCTTTGATAAACCGTCCATCTTCCGTTAGACATCTAGATAATGAGTCAAACGATACATTAACTGAATATGAACTTATAGAAAAAGTTCTCAACAATATTCCAACGCAACTCGATCCCTTGCCGTCGTTGTTATTAGACATACCTTTTTATAGAAATTTATTACATTTTTGGGTTAATATTGCATCAACTCATTTTGTTCCAGTCCCTACAGAGATTTATACTGATAATCCATTCAAATCTATTTTACCACAAATGGCTATGCTGGTTCCTTCTATACTTACAGTTCTATTGGCATTTTCAGCCAAAATAAAAGCACAATTAGTTGGTGATAGTGGAATACCAGAATCAATTATCGATGTGTTATTATCAAGATCATGTAATGAACTACTAAAACTACTTCAAGATAAGAAAACCGCCACATCAGATGAAGCATTAGCTACGGCTTTATTATTATCTTGTTTTGAAATATTTAATTCAAAAGATTTTAGTCGACATAGAGCTCATACTGTTGGAGCTAGACAAATTATAAAAGCAAGATCATTTGAACCATTAACTAAAAATAAATTATCAAATAGTGAAAAAGATATTAAATTTTTTTTATTAAGGTGGTTTGTATATATGGATGTTATCGGAGCTTTATCAACAACCAAAAATTCAGAAGAATATTTATTGATTTCCGATATAAACAATTATGAACCAATAAATTCATTTAATAATATACTAAAAGTTGAAGACGTACATGCGGCTGAGCAAATAGATTGCTTAACAGGATTTGATTTAAAATATTTATCGCATTTTGCTAAAATCACTTTAGTTGCAAGAAAGACTAAAGAATTTTTAAATAAACCAGGAGCAAATAGAAAAGCAATTCCACTGGAGATAGTATGTCAAGCATTAGAAATAAAAGAAGCATTAAAGGACACCTGTGTAAAAGATCATGATTTTTTACAAATGAATCAAGAAAAATTATTCATCAATAATGAATTAAATTCCAAAATTCAAGAAATTGAAATATTAAAGTATACAAATAAAATATTTTGCGATGCAGGTATTATACATTTATATAGAAGAGTGTTGTTAATCCCTAGAGAATCTCATTTAGTTCAAGAATCAGCTACAAATATTGGAATATTAGCAAAACAAAAAATTCCACCAAAATCACCAACTGAAATATGTTTAATTTTCTGCTTCTTCACAGCAGCTTGTGAAACTTTAAATAAAGATTTACAAAACTTTTTTGAAGAAAGATTTAATGGATTATGTGAATTAGGTAATATCAATGCAAGAAAAAGTTTACAAATTATGAGAAAATGTTGGGATTCGGGAGTTGATTGGATTGAAGCTGCTAAAACTTTAGATCTTGACTTTGCATTGTTTTAATAGGGTATTTGATAGATATATTAGAATAAATAAAAGTATTATAATGAAGTAAATTTCTTTTGAAGTTCTTGTGATGGTAATTCAAGGTTTAAAAGGCAAGAATTTGGTAGCGTCTTGATCTATAATATTATTTTTATATAAAACATCACGTATATAATAAAAAAAAAAACATTATATTATACATATGATATTTATTTAATTTGATCTTTATCATAAGTGTTTAATCAATCTATAAATACACAAATTTTAATTAATAAAATACCTTTAGGTATATCATTAGAATAAAAAACCCTATTAATCAGATAGAATTATTAAAATAATCGTTCTAATCGCTCATTTGAGTTTATAAATGTTTATACATTTTATAGTAAAAATTAGATTCTTAACTGTACCTTTTGCTTTTAATATAATTTAAACATCTAATTTTGATGTCTTCAAATGTCGATGAATATAATGCATTGGTTACTTTAATCAAGAAGTCGCTAGCGGGTGATGTCGATGGACGCGTTCATGAACAAGCAATAATAAAAAGTCATAATTATCTACTACAATATCAATCAGAAGGTCATTGGTTTTGTAATGATCATTTATATCCAATATCAATTTATTCATTAATTCTATTTTCATTTCCAGAAACAACTTATAAAACAGATTTACTACCTCATTTCACAAAAAGTCTTACAACTTGTACAAATTGTCTACGATCTTTTAATAAGGGTAAAGCTGAATTAAGATTAAGTTTTGCAATTCAAAAAAAATTACCAATATCAAATGTTCAACAATTTATCAATGCAATTACCCAATGGGAAATAACAAACTTAGCTCCATTGTTGGATACTACTTGTCAACAATTTTCAGATGGGGATTTAATAGATGAAGATCAAGCTAATATTGTGATACATTGGTTATTAAATAATACAGATATATTAATACAAAACGGTCATATAAAAAAGCAATTTGACTACATAGTAAGCCAGCTTAAACTTGGTATAATTAGATCCAAACCAAAATCATTATTACCTGGGTTAATATACATTTTATTTGAAGGTACAGCTGATGCAAAAGCATGGGCTAATCAATGGATAAATAAATTAAAACAAAGTCAAGTATTATATGACAAAGTGGGACTAAATGAATCAGTAATTTTAGAATTTTCAAAACATTTATACAGAATTCAAGACGCTGAATATTATAATAGTCGAAGGGCTATAAGATTCTGGGAAGTTTTCAACACAATAATAGATTTTATTGATGATGATGCATTTGTTTCAAGATTTAATTCCCCCAGTGATATAGAAGTGATGAGTAAACATAACAATTTAAGATTCAATTCAGTCACCAAAGTACTTGCGAACACTTTAATGTCTCAAGTTGACGAACCTTTACCTATTTTATTGAAAGTATTTACAAAATTGTTAAGAAAATTACAATCAACTTTTTGGTCGTTAACAATTCCTACAAATCATTTAGAAATAAATCATGCAATAATAAGTAATCCGGCTTATCATAAATTACTAGAACAAGGATCAATGGAAGAACAATCAATGTATGACTGGAATTTAAATGACATAATTCAGTGGATGTTTGCAATAGTAAAATCAGTTCCAGTTTCTCAATCACAAGCATTAAGTTTGAAACTATTTTCTTTTTTGATCAAGTTCTCATCAAATGATGTTAGATCTTTAAATGATCTGAGAGTACACAGAGAAAGGTATTTACAAGGTTTAGGTTGTAAATTTCTAGACATAGCATTTGATTTTGTTGATAACGGTGACGTGGCTCTCGATTTTGTTGATAATGGTAACGGATCAGATTCGAATTTTGCCGTAAAATTGATGGCGTTGAGAGATCTTAGAGCTAAAATTGAACATGTTGGTGATAAATTGGTAAGTTTAGCAATTTCCAATACTGGTGATGAGTCATCAACTTCGTCACATGCTTTGAGCGTTATTATTAAATGTTTGAAATACGATGTTGCACTACTATCTCACAATAGTATATTATTACTTGATTTCAAAACTCCTGTCATTTACGATACATTTCCGATGCTTTGGGCTGCTGTTAGTAAATCAAAACTTAATGCCAACATTTTCATGGCTAAAGAAATAATCAAATGCTTTAGTGGACTAGTTGTTGCAATTCGATTTTATCCAACTAAAAATCCAGACACAAATAAACAATTGATGGATAGTAGATTACAACATAATGAGAATATTGATTCAATAATTAAATTTGTGAATCTGATTTTTGGTAATATAAGTCTTGCATCCTCTTCATCATTAAACGAAATTATCAAGGATACTAAATGTTTAGAATCAATTTGGTCTTGTATATTTTTCCCACCTACAGCTCAAGCAGCATTAGATATATTGGATGGTATTTTTGATGGTGGTGGTAGATTTGAATCTATTCAAGAGTGTTTAAATAACAATTTGAATGGAACTTTAAGATCAATAAATGGACGTGTCACTATTTTAACTAAATTAGAAGCTTTTGAACCAACTCCAAGAGCTGTTAGAATATTAATGGATGTCGTAAAAGCATTAACCGATCCTTTGAGCTCGATTTTATCTTCAAGTGAGGTATCAAAAGCTTATATGGAAATACAACAATTTTGGAGTTCATGTTTATCATTTTTGATTATGATTTATGAAAAAGCTATGGTTTGGGCCGGTAAATATCATATGCATGAATTGGTTGAATTTACAAGAGATACTTTGGATTTAAGTCATTCCTTGTTAGAATCATTTCGTTTGATTGCAGACGGAATTGCTCCATATGCTGGAGAAGATTCATCAATAAGATTATTTGGTGTGTACATGAATGCGTTTAAAAATATTTTAGCATGGTTAAAATTGGGTGACACTGTTCTTTTGAATTATTGTGTTGATTTGGTTTTTAAAGTGATTGATTTAGCCGTTGAACAAGGTTTTCCAATAGATGATAGTGTAATAGAAACTTTTGCAAAATTTGGTGTAAAAGCTAAAAGATTTAATAATAAACTATCAGAAAGTCAAAGATCGCAAATATTAGCAAAAGCCAGGGAATTTAATGATGCTTTAGTTGAATCTATTGTGCAAGCTAATCATGATCACAAATCACGAAGTAAAATTGAACTTATTGAAAAATATGTATCACCAGAACCACCAGTGGTAATTCCAAAATCTTTTTACAGGCCCCCACAACCAGCTACATCTCATCAAAAACAACAACAAACTTTGGGTAGATTTGCTCGAACAACAAGTGAACCACCGGTTGCACCACCTCAACAAAAAGATGCCAAAGGTACAAACACTATTGCTTCATTGCGTCAAGAATTACAACAATCAAGACAAGCAGTCAAGACTGAGAAAGTTCCAGCACCTGCTAGACCAGCAGGTTTCAATTCCAAAAAGACACCACCAGTTATTGGAAGGTCGTTAAATTCTTCTGCACATAAACCCAAAAAAACAGAAACAGATTCATCATCAGAAGAAGATGATTCGGAGGTGGATGAATTATTTGGTCGTACGAGAAAGAAAGTTAAGATTACGGAACTTGATTTCAATGGTAAAAAAATAAGTTCGATCAATAAACCAAAAGCATTAAAACCAGTTGATCAAGAAAAACTAGATAGGGACAGAATGAGAAAGAGATTAAATGTTAATCTTAATCCATTATATCAAATTGTTTTAAAATGGAACTATAATTCCAATTCTGAATTTCCAACAAAAGATAGATCAGCTTATGAAAATACAAAACCTACTTATAAAGATGTTAAGGAATATGTCAAAGTTACTGAACCTTTGCTAATGTTGGAATGCTGGCAAGGTATACAAGCTGCTAAAAAAACAATCGATGAAATCCCATTTGAAGTATTTATTGGTAGTAGAACAAGTGTCGACAACTTTTTTGACGTTTTCACATCAATGAACAAAAAAACAATTCAAGATAGAAAATTAACAGAATCCGATTTAATAGTATTAGCATGTAATAATGAAGCCATAACTGATCCAGCTGAACAAAGACGTTACATGAAAGCAGAAGGTAGTTTAACATGTTTGGCCAAAATCAGACTGATCAAATCAGCAAATCCAGAATCTTGTGATGTAACTATAAGAGTGTATCCAACTGGTGCTATGATGGGTGCATTAACTCCTAAAATGACTTTACTTGGTATGAAAGTAATGCAAATGATAACAGTTGAAAGAGAATTTTCTTCATTGAAAGGATTAGAATACTATGATTTAGCCGATTCAATAATAAAAGCTGAACCAAATAAACCAGTAGAAATGAGAGATGAAGAAGTTGATCATATGTACAAAGTTTATGATGTAAATAAATCTCAAGCAAAAGCTATTATGGGAACATATAGAACTAATGGATTTTCATTAATTCAAGGTCCTCCTGGTACTGGTAAAACTAAAACTATTTTGGGTATTGTTGGTTATTCATTATCTCATGATAAAGACGCAAAAATACTTGATGCACCAGAGAAGAAACCGACACCTGCTTCTGAAAAGTCAAAAATCCTCATTTGTGCTCCTAGTAATGCCGCTGTTGATGAATTGGTTCTAAGATTAAGAGATGGTGTAAAAAATTCCAAAGGTCAACATATGGATTTGAAAGTGGTCAGACTTGGTAGAAGTGACGCTATCAATGCCGCAGTAAAAGATTTAACTTTAGAAGAATTAGTCGATAAAAGATTACAATCAACTCAAGTTGATGTCAGAGTTGATCCAAACATTAGAGAAGAACATACTAAAAAAATACAAGAAAGAGATCAAATAAGAAAAAGATTAAATACTGAAAGTTTAAGCGCTAGTGAAATTGAAGAATTGGAAACTAAATTACGCCAAGTAAATAAAGAAAGAAGTGATTTGGCAAAGAAATTGGATGATCAAAGAGAAAAATCTTCTATTGCTTATAGAACTAGAGAAATTGATAGAAGAAATATTCAAGCACAAATTTTAGCTGACGCACAAGTTTTATGTTCCACATTATCAGGTTCAGCTCACGATTTAATTGCTAATCTTTCAGTAAAATTTGATCAAGTAATCATTGATGAAGCTTGTCAATGTTTAGAATTGTCAGCAATTATTCCTTTAAGATATGGATGTAAAAAGTGTATTATGGTGGGAGATCCAAATCAATTACCACCAACTGTATTATCTCAAGCAGCCGCATCGTATAATTATGAGCAAAGTCTATTCGTAAGAATGCAACAAAATCATCCAGATAGTGTTTATTTGTTGAATACTCAATATAGAATGCATCCAATGATTTCAAAATTCCCAAGTGCAGAATTTTATAATTCAAAATTAATCAACGGACCAGGTATGGAACAGAAAAATTCAAGACCATGGCATTCAACTAATCATTTAACGCCATATAGATTTTTTGACATTGTTGGAAGTAGACATGAGAAAAATGAGTTAACTCGTTCATTATTCAATACAGAAGAAGCAAATATCTGTTTACAATTAGTACAAAAATTAATGACAATGATACCACAAGCAACTTTTGCTGGTAGAATAGGTATAATTTCACCATATAAAGAACAAATTAAAAAGATCAAAGATGTATTTATTAGAAGATATGGTAAAAATATTTTAGGTGAAATTGATTTTAATACAGTTGATGGATATCAAGGTCAAGAGAAAGAAATTATTATAATGTCTTGTGTAAGAGCAAGTTCTACAGGTAATATTGGATTTTTAAGTGATATACGTCGTATGAATGTTGCACTAACTCGTGCTTGTACAACACTTTGGATTCTAGGTAATAAAACATCATTAGAAACAAATAAAGTTTGGAAAAGATTATTAAAAGATGCTGAAGATAGAAATTCCGTTACTGAAGCTACTTCTGGATTTTTAAACAGCTATGATACTTTTAATACACAACATAAAAGAGCTAGTGAGAGCACTCCAGTTCAACCGATGAAAAAGACAAAATACAATGGGACAGAATCCGAAGGCAATGATATACCAGCTTCATCTGGTACAATACCGAAGACACCAACAAATGTATCATCAAAGAGTCTGAATAACAACAACCTTTCCATACCTAAAAAACCAGTCAATAACAATCTTGCAATACCAAGAAAGCCATTGATGAATGATTATAAATCTTCAACAAGCGGAAGTAACTCAACTCCAATAGCTAATTCAAGATTTGATAAAGAGGGATCACCTTTAATATCCAATAAAACCACCAACATTAGTGAGAGAAAACCAACATCATCAGGTACTTTACCAAACAGAAACACCAATTCATATACAAACAATACAAATTCAGCTGGTCCCAACAATTTCAATAATAACAAACCTAAGCCATATGTTCACAATTCAACTACGGCATCTACTGGAACAAAACAATACGATAATAACAATGTAAAGAAGTATAAATCAAAACCTTATATTCATAATTCAACTCCACCATCACAATCTAATCAACCATACAAACCTCCATCAACTAATACTACAGAGAGGAAACCTACGTCATCGGGAATGGTATTACCACCAAAACCTAAACCAAAATCAAGCTTATTTATACCAAGAAAACCATTCAATCAAAGATGAAAACGAATAATAATGATATATATATATAAATTAGTATTACAAAAAATTGCATCTATATATATAATACTATTTACAATAATTAATTCTTTTTCTTACTGTTAGCAACATGATTTGTTTCTTCTGATATCAAACTTATACCTTTCTCTATAGCTTCAATTTCATCATTTATAAAGTCTGAAAAAATAGCATCTTCATTTATATTACAAAGTTTTATAAGCAGTTCTTTTGTTGATTTTAGAATTTTTAATATAGGTGTTTTATCACTATTTGTAGTTGATTGACTTAAGATTGACTCGAGATTTTCTTCTTGTGATGTGAGTACTTGTTGTACATTTGACCATTGTTTATCGTATTCATTAAAAATAGCAGCTTGTCGAGATGTAGTCAAAACTTGATCATTTAATGCTTGAAATCTATGTAGAAGATACGCTTTTATTGTATCTATATCCAATTGAGACACTAATGTATTTGAATATTCATTAAGTTTTGAGTTTGTTCTATTATTGGCATTGGGAGTTGATGTATGTACAAATTTGTTGAGTATGTCTTGAATTTGTTGCTTTAGTATTGATGAATTTTGAGATCCTCGTATATAACCTTTTTCGTATGCTGTTGGTCCATGATCATGATTCATTTCTGATGGTGGAGTTGTTGAGGTATTAGGTTCTGGATTATACGGCTGCATCCCCATGACTGGTCCGGGAGCTTCCTGCTTAGCTTCTGATGCTGATATTGGGTTTTCTTTAGTAACATTCACAGGTACCAGGAATGAAAGATCTATTGGTGTTTGTTTAACGAGTGTGGCAATTTGAGCTTCAGATATACCATCGTTTTGTAAATATGTATATAGCACGTCTTTTCCTTGACTTTCTAGGTTCTTGAATCCTTCTATATATGACGATGTCTTACTTTCAATTATACTTGTGGCACTTTCAATTTCTTTATTTAGCAATAATTTTTTCTCTTTCATCATTGATAATTTCATTTGTAATGCATCTATTTCTTCATCTAAATCATTTGATTCATTTATTAATTTAACTAATTTAGATCCATATTGACTTTGATCACTTTTAATATGTTTGATTTTTTTCAAAACTTTTTCACGTTTAATATCCCAAGATTTGAAATAATCTTCTATTGATCGAGTATATGTTGCATCTTTTAAATATAGTTCGTTTAATGAGTAATGACATTCTGATAATTGATGAAATATTTGTAGTATTGATTTTCTTAATTGATCTATATTATCCCCAGTACTTAGTGAGTTAGGGTAATTATGTGACTTTTCCAATAAGTCTTGTTGCAAATATTGGATTCTTTTAGCTAGATGCTGTATTGGTTCATTGTAATTTTGATTCACTACCGGCGGTTTGGTAACTGACTCTAATACGCTACTTAATGAACCAATAAGTTGATCTTCGTCTATCTTATCTTCTTCTTTACTCGATATAAATTCTTCCGGATCTAATTCATATTCATTTTCATCGTTTGCAACTGACACTAGTAGATTTGAAGTTGGTTCATTATTACCTAAATTACTTATTATTTGACTTTTAACTGTAGATGCTAAATTTATTGAATCATAATCATTTTCCATCGAGTTTGTGTGGTTTCTTATCTTATCTATATAATCAAATACATACACAATATATATTTTTTTTTATTTTTAACGCTTGCGTGGTGATGATGATCTATCGATCTTGACACAACAAATTAAAACTATTACTAGAGAAAAATTGGTTACATTAATTTGATGTCATTAATAACGTCTGATTGCTAATTCTGTTGATCACAGAAAGGCATGTGGTAAATACTAAACTAGATTATTCAAATGATTATAAATTGTGGGGAATCCACAATAAGTATAATAGTAAGAATAACAATAAATCACTCAATACTTACAAAAGTGTAGTTTGAAGACCATTTAATGTCATTCAGTCATCAGATACTTATCATTTTCTTCTTATCTTTACTTAGTTATGATGATATTAATTTATGATTAATGTATATTAATATCTAAAACACAAAACGCGTGTAGTAATATTTATAAAAATTATTAATAATAATACATCATATATTTAAATAGATCTGTCATCCTCTCAATAATCAACCAACCACCCATTATTACATGAAAATCTTATGTGTGGCAGAGAAACCATCAATTGCAAAAGAAGTTGCTAACATATTGGGTGGTGGAAATATTAGAGTTAGACAATCAAAAAATAAATATATTAAAAATTATGATTTTAGATTTTCATTTTCAAATACTGGTTCATGTGATGTTACAATGACCTCTGTATTGGGGCATCTAACTAATCTTGATTTTCCTAGTTCTTATGCTTGGGGTAAATGTTCTCCAAGTCAATTATTTTCTGCAAATATTATAACAAAAATTACTCAAAAAGAAGTATTTGACAATATATCAAATGAAGCTAGAAATTCAGATAAATTAATGATTTGGACTGATTGTGATAGAGAAGGTGAATATATTGGTAAAGAAATATTCGATGCAGCCAATAAGGGAAATAGAAGAATTACTATCAATAATGTTTGGAGAAGTAAATTTTCACATTTAGAAAGAAATCATGTTGTAAGAGCAGCCAATTCACCAATTGAATTAGATATGAAAGCTGCAAACGCAGTACAATGTCGTATGGAAGTGGATTTAAGAGTTGGATTAAGTTTTACAAGACTTTTAACAGATAATTTAAAAAGATCAAGTATAATAAAAGATAAAGAAGTTGCATCTTATGGTACTTGTCAATTTCCAACTTTGGGGTTTGTAGTTGATAGATTCAAAAGAGTTAAAAATTTCAAACCGGAACCATTTTGGTATATAGAGCCAATGGTACGAAAAGAAAACAAAAAAACAAATTTTAACTGGGTTAGAGGCCATATATTTGATAGATTATATGTAATGCTACTATATGAAAAATGTTTAAAAAATGAACATGGTACAATTACAAAATTAGAAACAAAACAAACAACAAATTATAGACCATTACCATTAACTACAGTTGAATTACAAAAAGATTGTGCAAAATATTTTAAAATGTCAGCAAAGGCAACATTAGAAGCAGCTGAAAAATTATATAATCGTGGGTTTTTATCTTATCCAAGAACAGAAACTGATAAATATCCATCATCAATGAATTTTAAAGAAATATTTGAAAAACAAAAACAAGATTCAAGATGGGGATTATGGAGTACTAAATTAGTTAATGAAGGTCATCAACCACCAAGATCTGGTTCACATGATGATCATGCACATCCAGCTATTCATCCAGTAAATTATGTATCAATTGATTCTTTAACTTCACAAAATGAGAAAAAAGTATATGAATATGTTGTTCGACGGTTTTTGGCTTGTTGTTCAAAAGATGCAATAGGAATGCAAACACTGGCAACTTTAAAATGGGGTGATGAATTTTTCACAGCAGAAGGTTTAATGGTTACTGAAAGAAATTATTTAGATATTTTCATATACAAGAAATGGGAAAGTTCCAAACTGTTACCAAAATTTCAAGAAGGTGAAACTGTAAAAATAAGTAGTGGGCTAATGAAAGAAGGTAAAACAAGTCCACCTCAATTAATGACAGAAACTGAATTAATTGCATTAATGGATGCTAATGGTATAGGAACAGATGCAACAATTGCAGAACATATTGATAAAATCATAAGTAGGAAATATGTTATTAAAGAGAAAAAAGGTAAAACAGATTATATTATACCTTCTAAACTAGGTATGGGATTAATTGAAGGATTTGATAAAATGGACTTTAATGGAATTTCATTGTCAAAACCATTTTTAAGAAAAACTTTGGAGAATAATTTACAAGAAATTTGTGATGGTACTAAGAGAAAAGAAGAAGTTGTTGAGGAAATGAAACGTATATATTCAGATGCTTATAAAGTTTGTAGTAATAATATAGCTAATATACAAATAGTTCAGTAAAAAACCATGTAACGCTGAGTTGATAAACTAAAAAGCCTCCTAAAACCCCCTTAATTTGTTTCGTGAAAAAAAAATAAATGAGAAAAATAAATAACGATCTAGATTATTGCATCAAAAACTCACCTATAATCTCCTAATCAGCCAAATGTTCGGTTCACTGGGGTTTGGAAGCTCAAACCCATTTGCCACGGGTACAAAGACCGGCTCAGCATTTGGAAGTAGTGGATTTGGCTCATCATCTAATAATAATCAAACTTCATCAGGTTTTGGAAATTCAGGCTTTGGTAGTTCAGGTTTTGGATCATCAGGATTTGGCAATAAACCTCAACAACAACAATCAACTAGTACAGGTTTTGGTAGTTCTGGATTTGGAAGTTCTGGATTTGGAAGTAGTCAAGCGAAACCATCACCATTTGGCTCACAACAAACATCATCAGCATTTGGATCACAAACAAACAATAATCAATCAAGTTTTGGAAATTCTGGGTTTGGAAGTTCAGGTTTCGGTAAACCAACAAATACAACATCAGCATTCGGAAATCAAACAACTACATCATCAGCATTTAATAAACCAGCATCAGCATTTGGTTCACTATCTACATCTCAACCATCTGCATTTGGATCATTAAATAATCAACCACAAACCACATCAGCATTTGGTTCATCAAATACATCAACTACGTCTTCTGCATTTGGAGGGTTTTCTGCTCAAACTACAAATACTTCTAATCCGTTTGGAACACAGAAAGCCAATCCTTTTGGACAATCAAGTTCTAATGCATTCCAACAAAATAATAATAGTAGTAGTCCATTTGGTCAAACAAAAACAGAATCTAATAGTATATTTGGACAACAGAAACCTAATCCATTTGGTCAAGCTCCAGAAAAATCTAACCCATTTGGACAAACTCCAGAAAAGCCAAATCCTTTTGCACAATCATCAAATAAACCAAACCCATTCGGTCAAACTACAACAACAAGTACTTTTGGTCAACCAAAAACTACTTCTTCAACCTTTGGTCAACCCTCGACAAACACAGCTGCATTTGGTCAACCACAAACTAACCCGTCACCCTTTGGTCAAGCTCAACCATCACCATTTAATACAAAACCTACAACAAATACTCAATCAGATACTACTACTGCAGTTGATATTGCAAATTTAAGTGCTGTGGTAATAGAAGCTTTCAAATCTGCTCATTTTGAGTTGGGTAAAGTGCCTGATATACCACCACCACCTCAATTTATTCTGTGATTAAATGATGTAATTTTTATAGAATAAATAGTTAATGATAATTTACGAGATCTTTAAAAGTACACACAAAAAAAAATACTAAAACTATTTCCTTTTCTTTTCTTTTCTTCAATTAATGATTTGTATAGAATGTGGTCAACCAAATATTCAAAATCTATATTCAAAATATAAAAGTGAATACGTTAAATTAACAGTTTGTCCCGCATGCAATAAAGTTTGTGATAAATACATTGAATACGATTCAGTCATTTTATTTTTAGATATTTTGTTATTGAAAAAACAAGCATATAGACATTTATCTTATAACTTAATTGAAATTGATTTTAATCAGAATCAAAAATGGTATAAATTAAATCTTATCAAGTTGGTGGTTTTGATTTTGTTATTTGAAGTTTATTTAAACTGGGCTGTTTTTGAGAAAAATTATACAAAGTACAATAAATTCAATAATGATGAAATTAAATTGTTTAGTAAGAGTATTGTTTATCAGTATTGGTTCTTCATATTACAAACGATACTAAAGAGTATAATTTTTAATTTCATAGTTCAATTTAATTTGAGAGTGTTTTATGGATGGGGATCGAATTACAATTACAATTTTATTGAAAAAACCTTAGTACTTTTGAAAACAGTCATAGTATCAGGATCAATTAAACTATTTAAAATTCTAATATTAATTTGGTTAAATGATATCCTACTTATACAAAATATATTTGAAATAATTGCAATATTTAATATCGTGGAGTCTTTACATATTATCACTAATTTGAATTATTTTACAATTAGTTTCAATATTGGATTAGGTTTATTGTCTCTGAATATAGGTATTAATTATTTTAATAAATTTATGACTTAATGATTGCAATAATGATAAATGATAATTTTTGTCTATTACTTGTAGCTTAAAATTTAATTACTAACTTGACGATAAAAAAAACCGTTTTACATTTTATCTACAATACATCTACGAAACTTTATTTCTATGTACAACTAATAGATGAAATCATCAATAATTTCGATTTCATTCAATTTATTCTCACTAGCAATATGTTCAAGTGGATTATATGATTGTTTTAATCAACAATTACCACCGTATTTGGTACGAGGTGGTCATTTCCAATTTTTGACTAATATTTCATTGATTTTAACAATAATTTATATCATAACGGTACTATTAAACATTCAAGATACAATTATACTATATAATATAGTAATAAATCTAGAATTCATAGTAACATCGGGGTATTGGACATTACATTACATCCTACCAAGTTTATTAAATACCAAATCATTACCATCAACATTCACATTAGATTTTAAAATTCATTTATTCCCTTATTTATATCTTTTACTAGTTAAAGAAAAAAGAAATAAATTAGGTTTATTATATACTGGATTAACTATTGGGTTATATTGGTCATACATTGAATTGATTGTTGGCACAGATCCTTCAGGTGTTAGTAAATTTGCATACCCGTTTTTGAATAGAGGTGGAATTGTTGCAAGATGTTGTTTTATGATTGGATTTTGGACTTTAAGTTGTTTAAATTATATCTTGTTAGGTTATATAAAGAAATAGAATTTTAGATTAATCTATTGTAAAATACATATTTAATGAAAATAGTATTCTCATTTAGTAGTCTTGTGATAATTTCAATTAAATCCCTCTCTTTTAAAGGTAAGACGTTTGGTCATTTGAAATTTGTCTAATTTTAATACTATTAGTGATCTAGATACCGAGATCTCCAAATTTCAGTGATTAAATTTACGAAAAATTAAAACCATTTTTTCTATTCAATTTGAAACCGCAAATGTCGTATATATCTGATACAATCTCATATCAAATTGCCAAATATATCAAAGATAAGAATAAGTTTTGAGATCATTACCAATTTGTTATTTTGGAAAGTAAATTATGTAATTAAAATTGACACTCGTTTTATAGTTCTTCTCAAAAAATAAACAAGCCACCTTATCGTCTAACATTTGATAAGTATCGGATTCTTTTGCAGCCCTTTATTTACAAAAGATAAATGGCTTAGATAAATTTTGGGCTATTAGAGTCGAGAAGGAAGAAGAATATCCAAATTAATTTTAGACTAATTTCTCACGAATCGTATAAAATTTTTGGTCCAAGTCATCGAGTATAACATGATAAAAATTCACGGCTTTCAAATTATATTGTACCTGAAACCTGCATTTTATTGATCTGACGTTGACAAACTACATAACATCAAGTCTCCGAGAAACTTTTATTTTACCCCAATATGACGTCGATTATGAAAAATTGATTTGATCAATAGATTAATAATTTTACGAATAATTCGTAGTGATTATTGAAATTAGTTTACAAAATATTTAGTTAGTGCTGGTCACGACTTTTTATAGGTGTTTTATCAAATAAATATGTCGTAGTTTAATTTACGCAAGTAAAAATATTAATTAAATAAAACTTAATTAATTATTATTATAAATACTTTAATTAATTTCAACAAACCAAATTTTAATAATCTTTTAATAAACTAACAACAATCAATTGATAATTCAATTATATATTCAATTTATCCAGATTTATTTTTCAAAATTAATTGGATTGAACTTATTCATTAGTTGTCACAATATAATTTAAAAAAACGAGGATGAATTCAGAAAAAATTGTTGCTGTTATATTAGCTATATTTTTACCACCATTAGCTGTTTTTATGGTTAAAGGAATAAGTGGAGCTTTTTGGTTAAATTTAATTTTATGTATTTTCATCTGGTTTCCAGGTATTTTACATGCTTTATATGTTGTTTTATCTGATCCCACTGCTTAATTACAATAAGTGAGTTTTTTGGTTTTAAAAAAATTGAGGAGAAAGATATATCGACAAAAATTTGGATTTTGTATTCATTTAGTTTTTTTTCAAGTTTATGTTTGTTTAAGGATTGTTTTTTGTATCATAATGAAGAGTAAGATTCATTAGATGTATATGTTCCAAGAATGATTTTATTAGTTAAGTTTTATTTAGTTCCAGTGTCAAATATTAATACCAGCATTGAAAAGCTATATCATTATCAGTTCTAAAATTCTATGGTATTTTATCTCTGAGCTGTAAGCTATATGCTCTTATTGATCAATGCTTCGTATGTCAGAGTACAAGTTCATCTGAAGTGCAACGCAGTATTTAGCTTTTACTTTGTACAATTAGTACTTGAATAATCTGAACCGAAAAGAAAGTTATTCTATTATACAAAATTAAATAGTCACACGTTGCGGATTTATTTCAAACTGCTATATCTGTCGATATGTAGATAGCTTTATAAAGTAAATTATATTCAAAATTTGGTCAGTCCAATCATTAGATAAGATCAAAAGGAATTTATTATAAATATTTGAACATTCAAGTTATTATTACTAAAAGGGCTTAGTAGATTAATCAAAACAATTAATTCAATTGATAGACCAAAGTATATAAGTTTCTTAATTGGTCTAAACTTTATAATAAACTCACTAAAAAACAAATCTAATTTTTAGTTTAAATTTTTGATAGTTATCACAATATAATATAAAATGATAAATGTTATCTCTTAAATTTAATCGTAAATTTTTAAGAGAGAAAAAAGAAAAAAAAAATCATTAAGGGGAATTCAGGGGTTAAAGAAATTTAAAGAAATTTGAATTTTAATTAAATTTGAAATTAGGAACATTCTTTCCTTGCATTAAATATAGAAAATCAGTTCAGTAGCTAATGATATATTTTCAACTATGTATTCACGCCTTGTTGAATCGGATGTTTTATTCGAGATCTATGAAGCATTGCAAATCATTCAAGACAACTTTGAAACGGAATAATAATAAAAAGAAATAGCAAACAAAAATAATATTTGAATTTCTTTTTTCTAGTCAATTTATTATATTAATTATATATTTACTTCGAGGTATAAGTTTTGAAATAACAATAAGAATAATTTTTAAACATGATCATAGTTATTTTAATTCATGCAAATTGAGATATCTTTAACATTCTAGACTTTATATTAAAAATAATAATAAATAATTTAGTTGAAAAAATCAAAATTTAGTATTTTTATTCCATATCGTAATTTTAAGGGCTTCATTTTTATATTTTATAAATTAATATTTTTATTTTATCACAAGAAAGTAATAGATAAATAATTTTTGGAATTTTTCCAGAATATTAATTAAGAAAAAAAATTTAAAGTTGTAATCTAGTCGGTTGAATTAACCATTTGGTTAACTATATTCATAAATGATAAAAAAATAGAAATCCGATACATAGAGTATAGAAAATTTTTCAACACTAAGGTATAGGGTATTCTAACCATTTTATTAATCAATTTGTCGAAAGATTTTGACTTGCACCCTTAACTTAAAAATAAATATCATTGTCCAATTAAATCTTTCTATTTTATAATTGTTATAAAATGTTTAATCAATTGTACATTCAATAATTAAAGATTCTGAAAATTATTCCATACTAAAAAATAATTTGTGTATACTAATTTTTAGGGAAAAGTTAAGATTTACAATATTAAAAATTAAAGATATCAACTCGTTAAATTAACTTCTTAGATTTTGTGATAATTATTGAAAGTTTATCAATAGTTCAAATGTCCAATTTTTACATTTTGTTACTACTTTTATCTCTATAACTTTGTTTAATTTTATCCTGTTGTTTTAAATTGTAGATTGTTATTATAGCGGGGAGAGATATTAAATTCACACACTATTTAATAACTTATTCATTACTTTACAACAAGATCAACATCATTTCAATCAAAATTTATTTTACTCTTCAGGCGTGAGTACATATGAAAATTTATTATTATATTAATTCTACTTAATTAAATAGTTATAATTATAATGTATAGAAATAAAAAATTTCTCTCTTAATTTATTAATTAAAATAAAATAAAAATTTAAGTAATACAACATTTATATATTATTTCTTATCTTTAATTAATTGTTTTTAAAACAATTCAAATTTTATATATAATATATTTCAATTGTCTTCTTTTATTCAACAAACAATTTTATTATTGGATTTTTCTTAATGATACACATGATATAACTTTAAATAATCAATCATATTCTTATATCAAAATCTAAGATGTCATCAACAAAACTACTATCACAAAGTTTACAATCATCAACTAATCAACAAAAAGAAGAATCATCAGCAATTACTCCATCTAAAATATTACAACAATTTAAATTAAATACAAATTTATCAAATAATTCTAATAATTCCAATAATTCAAATAATTCAAATAATTTAAATAATTCAAGTAATTCCAATAATTCAGATAATATAAATACTGCCACAACTACACCTGATGATTCATTACCTCCATTTTCATTCTCAAAAAAACCATGTACTTTATCAAGTATAAATGAAATTTCAAATATCACCTCCAAGATAAATAATAATAATAAAAATAGAAGGTCAAATAAATCATCAACTAATAATAGTGTTAATAATAGTCCCAAATCAGATCATCAAATTGAATTTAAAGATTTTGATTATGATGAACAAATTAGATTTCCAAGAATGAATAGTAAAAACTATACTTATACTTATTCAACTAAAAAATCTTCTTTTAGTTCAAATGAAGATAAAAATAATATTTTACCTAAAAGAATAGAATCGTTTGAATCATTAAATAGTAATAAATCAGCAAAAAATACTAATAATAAAAATTCAATAATACAAGAAGAAAATAATCATAATACTAGCAACAACAACAACAACCATAACAATAATCATAACGATTATACCCCAGCAATATTTGACTTAAACCAACCAATAAGAAGATCATCAGAACCTCAAAAATGTGATAAATCAAACGATGAATTTAAATTATTATCAGAATATACCTCCAATAATTGTTGCATATATGAACCGAATCCAAGTACAAAAAGATCAAATACTCTTACCAATTTACCACTTACTCAAACACAAACTCAAGATTTTAAAAAACGACCAATGATGACACCAGCTGTTTTAAGACCACCTCCAATATTAAGTTCAACAAATAAATTAAATTATCAAAAAATTTTCACTATATTAAACATTGATTCTAAATCATTAGATTATAAATCAGAACCAACTCATATACATTGGAAATCAAATAATTCAACTCAACAATGTTATGGATGTTCTACAATTTTTTATTCAAAATTAATAACAATGATTTATGATGTACCAAAAAGACATCATTGTAGATTTTGTGGATTAATATTTTGTTTAGATTGTCTTGAAAATTCAAATAATGTATTACTTGATAAATTTGCAAATTTTATTATACCCATTAAATCACATATACCTAAAAATGTTACTAATGAATCCATTAAAATATGTAAAAAATGTTGTTCAATATATGATATATTAACTACAGAAATAACTCAACCTAAAAATTTCAAAAATTTAAAATTATCAGATATAAAACAATGGTTTTTACTTGTAGAAAATCCAAATTTATATCATTCATTTAGTCAAGCATATAATGATTCAACAATTTTAAGATTTAAACAATTTAGTTTGGGATCTAATGAAGATGATGAAATTAATGATAACAATTCTTTTAATGATAGAAGAGATTCAAATGGTGGTAGAAAAAGTAGTTTTGTTGTTAATGATTTATCAAATGATTGGAATTGGAGTTCATTTTGAAAGTTTAATAAGAATTAAAAATTACTTTTGTTTGATGTTTTACTTTGAGTATTTCAAAATGTTATTAGACTAAATTTCCGTCATAAGGTTTATTTATTTATTTATTTATTTATTTATTTATTCATTTATTTATTTTAATTGTTTTAGTTGTTATTATTTCAATTCTGGGTTATTTTAGATTCTTTTTATATTTTATTAAATTTGTATAAATTTTATAGAATTCATACTTATATTCGTACTTATATTTTATTCATTAATCATTTTTGACAGATTGAAAACGTACTTCGTAAATAATCTAGAAGTAACAGAAGTTTAATACTTACTTTATCTCTTAAAATCCTATTCATGTAATTAATTTAATCCGATAAATCAATTATACTCTTTTTGTGTACATAGACCAATTAATTACGCGTATATTGATAAACATGGCACGACTCTTTACGTGATTCTAGCCCTTTGTTTAAGACATATGGAGTAAAGGTACAAATAAAGTATAACAAATTTATCTTCCTAAAATTCTGTTTTCCACCAAAATTGAAGACTAGATTAATATCATTAGTCAATATGCTATTATTTGGCAGGTTTGTAATTTGATAACCAATAAACTCATAAATTCAATTGAATAGTATTATATAATAAACTATAAATAATAAATTAATAAAATTAGCCGTGCGATAAAAACGCGTGTTAAATTTCGATTCACTTTTCAGTTAATTCAATATTTAATTTATTTAATAGTCAATTAAAATTTTTGACGATTTATATTATTTATTCTTTTATCAATTATAATCAACAAATTTTTCAACATATTTACTTTACAACCAAAATATTAGAGTTCAATCAATCTAATTTAATTCAAATTCAAAGTTAAACACCAGAAGTATCAATTTATTCAATTTTGGGGATTTATTATACATAAATCAATATTATTAACTTATAATAAAATATTATATTTATAAACCAAGAAATAATTAAACGTTTCATTATTTTATTATAAAACCATTTTTGAAAGTAATTATTACAAATTTTTAGATTATTTGACTAAAATTTTAACGAAAAGATATAAACACATAAACAAACAAACAAATTAAAATTAAAAATTATCAACTTATTATCAATAATATTTTTCATCAAATATTTTTCATTCCATTAATTCTTCAAATATTATTATTTTAATACAAATATATACTTTTCTATCTTTAACTTAAGTCAATATTTTTATTATGTATCAACAACCTAATCATTCATATACTTCAACAGATTCATTACGAAGATTATCATCAAATAATCCATTTAGACAATATCAATCATCACAAATACAATCACAACCTTCATTAAATTTACAACCTTTACAACCTTACGCAAATCAAAATTCAAATCAACAAACAAAACATCTTTCTTTTAATAATACTAATACAAGTAATACTAGTAGAAATAGTAGTACAAATAATTTTTTAAAAAAATCACCAAGTTTAAGTAGAAGATCAACAAATTCAACTTTAAATACATTAAATACTTCAAATTCTCATTTTGATGATTGGGTTGAAAAAAATAAAAATTTTATGAAAAATCATTCAAGTGATGATGATAATAATGATGATGAATATTTCAACACCAACAATAATAGTTATACTGCTCAAGTAGTTAATAGAAGTAGTAAAGATAATGATCAAGATTCACAAATTAGTCCAAACAAGATATTAAGTTATTATCAAAATAATAATACTTCAATTGATAGTATTAATAATAATATTAACAACAATAATTCAAATAATGTAAAAATTCGAAGAAAAAATTCGAATTTATCAAGACCAGTTCAAATGCAAGCAATGAGAGCTGATAGTGATTCAAGTGTAAATTATAATTATAATAACAATAATAATAGGTATGTTTTTTTTTTTTTTCGTTTTGAAAGCAATAGTATTACTTATATACTATGAATTTAATGTTTTATATTAGAATGATAAATTCAATAAGTCAGGAATATAATGGAATAAGGCTAGTAATAATAATATGATTAATGCAGTTATATGACTTCATAAAATCATAGCCTTCAATAAGAGAGAATTAAAAAAAAGGGGAACAAATTGTTTATTTACTATTTACTATTTTATTTTCTAGCGAATGTTTAAAAGTACAATGAATTAAATAAAATTAAATCTAGTATTGCAATTTGATTGTTAAATTGTGGTATTAGTCAATATTAAATATTTAAATATAAACAATATAAAAAATGAATTATAGCAATTAAAAACATGGAGAGGAAAAAAAAATCAAAATAATAAGAGAGAAAGGAAATTAAAAATTTAAAATAAGAGAGAGAGAGAGAAAGTTTAACAAAACAAGAGAAAAAAAAAAAAATAATCATTTAATATTTGAAGTATTATCTTTAAATTAACAACCGGATTAATATTAATCATTTTATTCTTTTTAAAAATCTAATATAAAACATTATTCATCATTACAACATATAGTAAAATACTAACTAATACAATTACAGAAATATGAAATCTAATAATCCATTTGCATCTGCAATTAATGATTCAGATGATATATATTCAACATCAGAGAGAGAACCGTTATATCAACCACCAGTACAGCAACAACAACAACAACAACAACAACAACCAAGATCTACACCACCAGCAAGACCTCCAAAACCACAACAAGATGATTTTGCTCCACCATCATATGAAGAAGCTGCTGGAAAAGAAGCTGCAAAAAGAGAATATAGGAGAGAAAAAGAACATAATGGAAGTAGTAGTTCCAGCAATAATAATCCCTCCAGTAATGGACGTTCAAGAGAACATCGTTCAGGTTCAGATCCAAATAAACATCGTTCATCATCACATCATGCATCCAGAAGTCATCGTAAATCATCAAGTTCAAGAAATAAATCACCATCTAAAAAAAGAGTTGAACAAATACCTGCAAAAAATTTAGATACAATTGATAAATTAGATGTTACTGGATTTTTCGGAGGTGGATTTCATCATGATGGTCCATTTGATGCATGTACTCCTCATAGAAATAAAAATGTAAAACAAGCACCAGTAATGGCTTTCCCAGTTGATGGACCAAATAATTCAATTGCAGGATCAGGTGGTAATGTTAGTAAAGATGCACAAATGAAATTAGCATTTGGAAATTATGATGAAAATGATAAAAATGAAATTGTTGGTAGAAAATCTTCTATTGTGGAAGAACAAACACCTGCAATAAAGACAAATAGAGTATCAAATGATCCTTCAAGTATATATACTCCAAAACATAATCCATCAGTTATAAATTTTGATGCAACAGCAAAAACATTACCAGTACATGGTTATTCAACTGAAGGGTTAGGTTCAACTACTTTTATTGATGGTGCACCAGCTCCTGCACCAATAAGATCGAAATCTTTAAGTAGATCAGCAAAAACAAATTATAAAGATGATGAAAATTCTCCACCATCTCAACAAAATTCATTCCTTCGAAGAGTTAAAAGTTTGAAACATAGAACTAAATAAGAACTAAATAAGAGAATCTACGTAGTAACAGTTATTTTATAAGAAATATACAATTTATTTTAATTTAATAAACAATTGTGTTTGTATGTATTATATTTATCTCTTTAAATGTACATACTCTATTTTTGTACAACAACTTACTGCAAAAAAAATTATATCTAACAAAATTTTTCAATTTTTACAACCAAATTTAAAAAACCTAAACATCAATATGTTTAGATCACTAATATCAAAACGAAGTCTATCTTCACTTCCAGTAAACAAAACATTAGAAGTCTTAAAAGCAACAAACGCAAATTTCGAAGGTTTATTTTCAAACAAAGCTCTTACACAATTATGGTTTAATCAAGGTCAACAATTAATACAAGATTTAAATCAATATATTTCACAATCTTCTATACAAAAAGATGGAGAAGAATTAAATTTAAAAGAAATAATCAAATTAAGTATAAATAAATCTGAATTATATCATATAAATAAAAATGCTTCTAAATTATATAATTTAATTCAATTTTTCGAAAATATAAGACCATCAAATATACCAATAGAAATCAATAAACCAACACAATCAGACTTATTAAAAACTCCCACATCTCAATACGGAAACATCCCTACTGATGAAAACTTATTAGATTGGATAAATCAATCATTTGGATCATTAACTGAATTTCGTAATTTATTTTTAAATATTGGTTTATCAATAAAAGGTGATGGTAATGTATGGTTAGTTGCAGAATCAACAATGTCACAATTTCAAAAACATTTGGGGTTGGGAAATTCATTTGCTCAAAAACCAAGTTATCATAATTTATCAGTTTTAGCTACTTATAATGGTGGAATAATTGATGATTCTGAAAGATCAGGACAAATTAAAAGATTAAAATCATTACTTGATGAAGAAAAAAATGAAGAAGAGCTAAAACAAAATCCACTAAAATTAGGATCGATTGAAGATTCTGAATTTGAAAATTCTTATTTAAATAAAAATTTAATACCTGTTTTATGTATTGATGTATCACCAAAAAATTATTTATTAGATTATGGAGTTTTTGGTAAACGAAAATATTTAGAAAATTGTTGGGAATGTATTGATTGGGATATTGTTTTAAATAGATTACCTCCTAGATCTAAACAAGCCATAACTGTATAAAGAGATCATAAAAATTGTAAATAGAGTTTAAATTTAAAATAATTTACACTTATTTTATATTAACTATTCCTAGTTAGCCTCTTATTTTTTATTTTTAATAACTTTTGTAACAATTTCTTCAACTTCATCCCAATCATTAGTTGGTACTCTAGTCATTGTAATTTTGAAATAACCACATATATCATTCAAAATTTTAAAATCTTTTTTGTTTGAAACAAATGAAACTGATACACCAACTCTACCAAATCTACCAGTTCTACCAATTCTATGTAAATATGTAGAAGGATCAGCTTGCCCCTGAGGAGTTGTTGGTAAATCATAATTTACAACCATTGAAACTGATGCAATATCTATACCTCTTGCTAATACATTTGTAGTTATTAATACTTTTGATCTACCTTCTCTAAAATCATCAATTAATCGATCTCTTTCTGAATGTTCAAGACCTCCATGTAATAAACTTACTTTATGACCTGCATGTTTCATTTTTAAATAAACTTCATCAGCTGTATTTTTTCTTTCAACAAATATTATTGATGAACCAATAGTTAATAATCCATATAATTCACATAATACTTCAAATTTATGTTGTTCAGAATTACAATCCATATATAATTGTTTAATACCATCAACATTTAATTCTTCTTGTTTTAATTCTAATGAATTAGCATTAGGTACCATTTTTTCCGCAAATCTACGAACATCTTGTGGGAAAGTAGCACTAAATAATATTAATTGACATGTTTTTGGCATTTTATTTTTAATTCTAATACATTGATCACCTAAATTTTGTGCATCTAACATATTATCAGCTTCATCTAAAACAAATACTTTAATATTTCTTGTATCAATATATCTTCTATTCACAAAATCATTAACTATACCTGGTGTACCAACAATAATTTGAGAATCTACTTTATTTCTTTCAACTGATTCAGGTACAACTAATTGATATGTAATTTTAGAAAATTTCCCCATTGTTGTTATAACTTCCATAGTTTGTCTTGCTAATTCTCTTGTAGGAGCTAAACATATACATTGTGGTGCTTTAATTGATTCATCAACTCTTGATAACATAGTTAATGAAAAAGCTGCAGTTTTACCAGTACCTGATTGAGATTGACCAATCATATTTGTAGGAGGGTTTGATATTAATAAAGGTAATGCTTTTTCTTGAATTTTGGAAGGTTTATTGAATTTCATTGAATATAAACCTTTTAATAAACTTTCTTTTAATCCTAATTCTTCAAATGATTTTACTGAATATAATGGTGAATTTGGATCTGCTTGTAAATCAGCTAATTTAACTTGAACTTCATACTTGTTGGATATTAAATTTGTATCTTCTTGTTTTGGTTCTTCAGTTATTGATTCTGAATTTGTATCTGACATTGTTTCTGATTTAGTTTCTTGTTCTTTTGATGGTTCTTCTTTTGATGGTTCTTCATTTTTTATTGAGTCCTCTTTTGATGTTGCTGGTTTGTCTAATGACAAGCTGGCAAATAAGTCTGAAGCGACTGCATCTGCTTTCTCTCCTGCCATTGTTGTTGCAAGTTCAATGTTTGATCAATTGATTGAATTCGGAAATTTATAAGAGTAATATTATTTTTTCTTGTTCTATTGCATTTCGTAATTTTTATTTTCGCTTGATCTGAAAAATTTCTAGCACTTTGAGAATTTAGGTCGAAGAGCCGTGCGAGAGTGTATACTACGATGTTTTTTTTACAACCATTAATAATTTTAAATCGTTACTAAATTTGTGTGTTGATTAACTATGAACTATAAATTACAAAGTTTTAAATGATTATATATAAATCAATTATGAGTTCTCTAGCGTCTCAATTTTTAAATTATATATTTATTGTAGGTTGTATGAAAAATGATATGATATTAAGAATGGTGGAATTGTAGGTTTTGTTAAATTGACTTATCTTAATGGCATGAATCTTGATGAAGCATTACCAGCTCTACCGTGTCTAACTGGAGTATAAGTAATTGAAAATTCACCTAAATAATGACCAACCATTTCTGGTTTAATTTCAACAGTATTGAAAACTTTACCATTATAAACACCAACAACTGATCCAATCATTTCTGGAACAACAATCATATTTCTTAAATGAGTTTTGACAGTAGCTGGTCTTTCATTTGGTTCAGTAGCAGCTCTTGCAGCTCTTAATTTTTTAATTAAACCCATTGGTTTAGCATCTATACCTCTTGAAAATCTTCTTCTTACTCTAGCACCACATAATTTGGTGAATTCTTCAGTTGGCATTTCAACTAAATCTTTTAAATCAACTCCTTTGAAGGAAAATTGTTTGAAGGTTCTCTTCTTTTTTTCAGCTATAAAATTGGTTAGTATTCATATGTTTAGTGATTTGTCATATGTCTGATATGCTGAACTCTCTTGATGATGTTTTGAGTTTCTTGATATTTTTGAGTAGTTTGTAGTAACCTTGAGTGAAAAAGTATTTGGTGAACGGTAGTATTAAATTTTTGATGTATTCTCCCAATACTTAATTTAACATTAAACAGTAATAATCCCCAAATGATCCTTCTTGTATTGTATTACATTTATCAGTTCTGATATCATTGACATATTTAATAATTATTTAAAGTTGATTAAACATACTAGCATCAACCATGTTCTATAATAATTTTGTTGTTAATATATGTGAAAGAGGTTTAAAATTGAAAATTATAAAAATCTTTTTCTCTCTTTCTCTTTGTTTTGTTAGTATTGAATTTTTCACTTAATTTACCTAATAATTTTATTATTATTATTTACTATGTGTAAATTTCTCTCTCTGTAATAACTTTGTACTATCAAAACGGCTACCACCTGTGTTTGTTCTGCGTAATACTTTACAGTACTAAATACTGTATATAAGGTAATGTTTTAATAGTCACATTTAGCCCTAACGTGTTGCACGTGAATGTCACCTGTTTTGTAAGTGTAATAAATATTTTTTTTTTTCATCACGAGAGACATTATCAAAAATTGAAAAATTAAATTTAACTTAATTTAATATATTAATACAACCAAAGGATAGTCTGCCGTTTGTTTGCTTAAAAGTGATTATTCTCCATAATATTACATTAATAACATATAAAAAATGAAATATTTAGCTGCTTATTTATTATTAGTTCAAGGTGGTAACTCATCCCCATCTGCTTCAGATATTTCAAATGTTTTAGAATCAGTTGGTATTGAAGTTGAAGAATCAAGATTAAATTCATTATTAAAAGATTTAGAAGGTAAAGATATCAATGAATTAATTGCTGAAGGTAACACCAAATTAGCTTCAGTTCCATCAGGTGGTGCTGCTGTTTCATCAGGTTCAGGTGCTTCAGCTGCTGCTGGTGGTGCAACTGAAGAAGCTGCTGAAGAAGAAAAAGAAGAAGAAAAAGAAGAATCTGATGATGATATGGGTTTCGGTTTATTCGATTAAGGATGCTATTAAAATATAAAATTGTTTTTTCATTTTAAAATGTTATTATACTATTTGAATATTTGGATATTATTCTATAATCAAACAACTGAATACAAAAAACTAATAATAAAATATTGTCTTTCTTATGTAGAAATGTTTTAACGCGAACTCAAAATGGTATCAAAATTGAAATAAAATTTCAAGTTTATAACAGAACCAAGTTAGGAAGAGCTAAGATTGAGTATAATTACGGTCAAAATAAAATATGAATTGCGTAAAAAGTTTGTACGAGCAATGCTCTGAAAAGATCAAATTAATTACCCAAGATATCACTACTTTATTTCTTTTTACATTTTTCTCTAAGATCATATTGGAGTAAAACGAAGTCATAAAAAGAAAGCTTTACTAAAATACATGGGCAAAATTTCTGAAAATTCTTACAATTTCAAGTTTAGTTGTTTTTGTTATACTCATTTCTGGTGCTTCAGTTCCAAATATTTCAGCTTTATTCCAAGATCCTAAAGCTTTGCTGTTGGGTTGGATTTTCTATGAGCAAATTTATCAGGAAAATAGACAGAAATTTCAATGTCCAAAATAAATTCAATGACTTACAAAAAGATGTGTTATCTCACATTTCGGTTGATAGAGACGCTACTCATATGTTTCGTAGATATTCTATTTATCAGCAATTATGTTGATACTTATTATATAATTCGTTTATACAGTAAATTTGTTTATCATATTATAAGTTTTAGAGGTATTAATACTACGAAGCATTAGAAATTCAATCCGTTAACAAAACAGGTGTATAAGACTCATTCTAAACAGGTATACCAATCATCAAAGTCAATTGTTATAATTTTGTATAATACCCCCTAAGATTTCTCAATTAGTATCATTTTAATTAACTAATTCACTGGACTATAAATTGTCTTAATATAAATTTAAAAAACGGGATTCATTATTCGAATCCGAATTTAAATTAAGTGATATAATTTTAAGTACATATGGTAATTAGTTTTGGCGAAATTCTAATAACTAGTAGGTTTCATAACTCAATTTTTATAACTCATGAAAGAAAAGAAATTAAAATTGAGAGAGTTAAAAAATAAAAATGAAAATAAAAAAAACGAAAATAAAAAAAATAAAAAAAATAAAAAAATAAAAAAAATAAAAAAAATTATCATTAAAATAAAAAATAAAAATAAAATTAAATAATATTAATTTTATAAAACCGATCGATGCAACCGTTATCCTTCAAACTAATTGTTCTATTATATTAATTATATGGGGTATTCAATATATATATTCTTATTGACCCTTTTTTAACCGTACTGGCTTTATTCTAGTGATTAACTCCTATATTTTTCCCAACATCTATTCAATGTATAAGACTTTAATTTTCCAAGGTTTTAATAGTATGCAAGTGACGACTAAATGACACAAATACAATTCAAATTTATTATCATTTTGATCAGTATACTTCAGTGAGGCGGACAACCAAGTTGTTCAGTACTTCAATTAACAGTTTAAAGCATCAAATTCATATCACTGGAAGACCCTTACATATTTAATTAATAAATAGGTCATCAATTAATAATGTTTCATAAATACTTTAAATTGTATTACAAAATCGGTTATTAATTTATTATTAATATTATTAATACTTAAATATAATTATACTCGTAAAAAAAAAAAATTATTAAATTGATCATGCCCAAAATCTAAAATTTTATGTCATAAACTAAATTTATGATAGTAAAATTAATAGCGATTAAATCTGAATTAAGATCTCCAAGTATTCTTGAGTAGAACTTAAAAGTATTTATAACCCTAATTAGGATTCTACAATATCCTAGAACTTTATGTCATATATTAACTTTTTCAAAACATACCAACAATGTGGTCCGCACTTTCGTTTATTCCCCATACTAATTGGAACAATAATATCGAGTTTGTAACCGTCCTACCGATTACTTTGTAATTATTAAACATTAAATTTTTGAGTATATCTCCAGTTCTCAACTACGGTAAGAAATATCTTCCTTTTCATATTTCTTATGCCTAAACAATGACATTTTTGATCAATCGGTACTTTTTGTTGCAGTTACAGGTCAGAGTGGAACCCATAAAGTGTATTTCAAAGATGCTTAAAGAATCAGGAACATGTTGAAGTTTAAGCGGCTTTTAGCAAATTAAAGCTTATCGGGATCTATTTATTTCTTTTTGATAATTTTTGTAGTAGATCATTTTTATTTTTCAATACTTTCATGTTACAGACTTGTCCATCTAGCTTGCTAAATGTAAGTAATCATTCTGATTTCAAACACTAGAAGGAATAGGTCCTGAACTTTCATAATCAAATCAGTAAATACTGCAAGATTCACATATAGAAGTAATTAAGAAAAATAAAATTTAATAAGTAATTACTCAATCGGAATTAAAATTAAATAAAAACATAAAAAATTTTAAATTCTTTTTTTTGAAACACATAGTTAATATTTAATTTTAATTTATTTAAATTTAATAATTTGTACATGATACAAATTTAACTTTTCAACAGTAATATAATACAGAAAATTAATTAACGTTTAGATGGTTTGAAATTTTCATTTTGCATCATAAATCATATACTTAAACTCACATGATGCATAATTCTTATTTTTTTTTTAGTTTAATTATTTAATATTGTTATTAATATTATGATGTTAATAAGTATTTTTTATACTTAATAAATTTATATGGAAAAGTAAAGTATTTAATTATTAAAATTGATAAATCTACATATATATTGTTTCACTTTTTCTCGATATATTTTTAATATTTCACTATTTTACTTTATTTTCATGAATTTTGAAGCAATTGGGGACAAACATAGTCTCAATTGTAAACGGGACAACAAAAAAAATGAATCAAAATGAAGTTGATTCATCTAATACAAATTCAACTACAAATAAAAGAAGTAATTTTCAATTCACTTATGATTCAGAAAATTTTTTACTTTCTTTAATTTATAAATATAAAGAAGATATTTTCACAAGGGGTAATAGAATCAAAACTTGGGAAAAAGTACTAAATGAATTCAATTTGAAATTTAATTCTAACATCATACAAAGCAGAACTATCAATCATAGATTTCAAACATTAAAGTCAAATTTAAAAAATAAATTAATTCATGAAAGCCATCCTATACATCAAATTAATTTAAATGAAAATGAAAGACTAGTACTTAATATTTTGGAATATATGTACACAAATAATTTTTGTTCAACAAATCCATATTATTTAAATTCATCATCGTCATCATCATCAAATGTTCAAGAGAACAAAGACCCAATTAGTAGTGGAGATAATCAACAAGATTATTCTAGTGAAAATTTATCAGGTACTACTTCAAATCAGAATCAATTTTCAAGAATACCTACAAATGATCAACAAAATCAATATGTATTGCATAATTTGGACTCAGTGACTGAAGCTAAGCTACCCCATAATTTATTTCAGCATCAAGTCCACAATCATCAACATCAACAGCACCAACAAGAACAGGAGCATCACCACCAACAACAACAACAACAATTTGTTGAAACTCCTCAATTGACCACTCAACAAATTGAAAATTTTAATTCATCAATAAATCTTCCAAATAATAATGACAATTATCAACAAGATATTTTTAAAACTCAATTTTCTTTAGCTTCTCAATTCAATTCAAATCAACAATTACATCAGGACGAGCCGAGGCAAATAAGGTCAAGGCATTTATCAATCTCAACTCCAACTTTCGAACATCCAAGATACGCGTCTTCTTCATTATCATCAAACCAATCTTTGCAGCAAAATCAACAAAATAGTATGCAAAATGATCCAATACTAGAAGGGCAAGCGAGACAATATCAACAACACGATCATTCAGAGAAACAAAGCAAATCTCGATTTATACCTCAACAACTGCAACTGCAACAACTGCAACTGCAACTGCAACAACAAGTTCCACCACAAAATGCATTACAATCAATATTAAAACAAATGATAAATTTACAAAACCAAAACAATTTACAAATTGCGAATTTAAATCAGGATTTACAAAGTTTTAAAACTGACATTGTAAATAAAATTGAAAATTTGACGAGCTTAATAAATAATCAACAGTCAATAAACATTTCACAACAAGGAAGATCATCATTATCATCATCAAAGGGAGCTAGATCGAATGACGATATGACAATTGATAGGGAGTCTTTAAGTCATCAAGATACGATATCAAGTGATTCTGGTTAAAACGTTTGATTATTATTTATTTAAAATGATAGAATGATTCATTAATAGAGAGTTTTTATACACAATAAATATGCCTACTTTTTTCTTAACGTTTACAATAATCCAAAGTAGTAATTTTCACTTCAAAAATTTTTAAAATCGGCTAGAACTTACTCTAAAACTCCCAATTATTTAAAACGTTTTTTTTTCCCAATACTTTATATGTTTAACTGTCTATTTAGCTTAATCTTATCTTTTTTCTTTTCTGATTCAATATCTATTTAATTGCATAAACTTTATCCATATAACTATATAATTATAGGTCATATGACTGCCTTATTACTGTGACATTGATTGATTGTAAAAGACTATTAATTTAGTAAAACGACCATCAGATTGTAGCAAATTATGGAACAGATTTTGGTAGCATGATTATAAATTCTAAAATCGGATGCAAACTAAGCTATTCGGTGCACTAATAAGCCATAATGCGTGGGAGAAATCCATCAACTCGATGTAGAGCCGAAACGGGCTCTACACGAAGCTAAGAATCGAGCTTTTCCCGAAGATGCTTTTTTTTTACTTATAAGTACTTCACTTGGAAAAAGTATCGAAGAAAAAGATAATTTGAAGGAAAAGTAAATGATAGAAGAACAATATGGTCATTAAATTTCAGCTCGAAAGTATGAAATTTCATTACTTTAATATCACAAATTAGTTTCAAATGAAATTATAAACAAGAACATTTAAGTGGTTTTTTCAATATGTAACAACAAACTAAACTTTAATTTTGAATTTTGTGTTATCGTAATTAATTATAATATTCTTAAAAAAGTTTATTTTTTATTTTTATTTTTTTTTTAATATCTAATAATAAAAACAAAAAGATAAAACATAATATTAAACAGATCAGAACTTATCACATAAATCAATTATTATTTACTCAATTCATGATATCAATAACATATGAACAATATAAATTTATATGACAATCAAAGTCATAATCATGATGATGATCGACTATATAGACCACATTCAACTAGAGTAGCTAGTTATCAAGTTTTAATTGCTTCATCATTAGGTTTATTTACTTTATTTACATTTTCAATATTAAGAATTAAATATCCTAAAATATATATTGCAAATTTTAATAATTTGAATTTTAGTACTCATTCAAAGACAAGAAGAAATTTACCTAAATTGTCAAATTCTCTTTTTGGATGGATTCCAATTGTTTTTAAAATTAATGAATCAGAGATTTTGGAACATGCTGGATTAGATGCTGTTGTGTTCTTGGGATTTTTCAAGATGTGTATTAAGATTATTGGAGTTATGTTGATTTTAGCTATTACAATTATTTCACCAATTAGGTATAAATTTACTGGGAGATTAGATCAAGATTATCCAGATGATGATGATGAAAATAATGGAACCTCAATTCATTCAAGGCAACTACTACATGGTACAAGTTTGAATGAAAATGAATCATATCAACATTACTTGTGGCTTTATACAATATTCACATACGTTTTTACATTTGTCACTGCGTATTTTTTATTTGATGAAACAAACAAAGTTGTAAATATGCGTCAAAAATACCTTGGTGGCCAGAATTCAATTACAGATAGAACTGTAAAAATATCCGGTATACCTGGGATACTAAGGGATGAGATCATATTGAAAAGACATATCAACAATTTAAATATAGGGGAGGTGGAATCAATTTTAATTGTTAGAGAATGGCAAAACTTAAACAAACTTTTTAGATTAAGAAATAAGATCTTGAAAAAACTAGAAAGTTATTGGGTTGAATATTTTCAAAAAAATGGGATTGAGAATAAGTCAGATTTATTAACTGCTGATTTACTGCCAACTTTAGGAGAACTGATAAACTTACCAAGTAGTAATGGACCAATTGATGATGATGCAAGATCAGTTAATTCAACAATCTTACAACAAATTACAGAGATAGTGGAAGCTACTTCAAATTCAAATTCAATAAATGACTTGTACTTAGCTGAGAGTAATATTATGACAAGACCAAAATTTCGTAAAGGTTGGTTTGGTTTATTTGGTCCAAAAATTGATGCAATTAATTTCTTTACTGAGAAGTTAAAAATTGTTGATACACAAATTGAAAAATCGAGAAGAAAAGAATATGCTCCAACCTCAACTGCATTTTTAACTATAAAATCAGTAGCTCAAGCTCAAATGTTGGCTCAAGCTGTATTAGATCCAAAAGTCAACCATTTAATTACAAGTTTAGCACCTGCACCTCATGATATACGATGGGATAATTTATGTTTAACAAGACAAGAAAGAAACTCAAGGATTTTCATAGTGACTTTACTAATTGGATTGATAAGTATTTTATTGGTATTCCCAGTAAGATATATTGCAAGTTTTTTAAATACAAAAAGTATAAGTAAAATTTGGCCATCATTAGGTGAAGCAATTAAAAATCATAAATGGGCCAAAACATTGATAACAGGATTATTACCTACTTATTTATTTACAATTTTAAATATAATTATACCATTTTTTTACGTTTGGATATCAAAAAAGCAAGGATTTTCATCTCATAGTGATGAAGAATTATCTTCAATTGCCAAAAATTTTTTCTATATTTTTGTTAATTTATTTTTAGTTTTCACAACTTTTGGTACTGCTTCATTAAGTGATACAACTAAAATAGCTTATGATTTAGCTCAATCTTTAAGGGATTTATCATTATTTTATGTTGATTTTATAATTTTACAAGGGTTGGCTATTTTCCCATTTAAGTTGTTATTGTTGGGAAACTTAATCAAATTTTCATGGAAATCTTTATTTTCATGTAAAACTCCAAGAGATTATTTAAAATTATATAAACCACCTGATTTTAATTTTGGTTTACAATTACCTCAACCTATTTTATTATTCATTATAACTTTAAATTATTCAATTATTTCATCAAAAGTTTTGATTAGTGCTTTTATAACATTCATTATTGGTTATGGAGTGAGTAAATATTTATTACTTTATGCTTGTATTCATTCCCCTCATTCAACTGGTAGAATTTTGGTTATGATTTTTAGAAGAATAATACTCGGACTTTTAATATTTCAAATCACAATGGTTGGGACTCTAGCATTACAAGAAGCATTCATATGTGCAGCATTTCTAGCTCCTTTACCAGTGATAACAATGTATTTTTTATGGTGTTTTGAAAATCAATATATACCATTATCAACATTTATAGCTTTAAGAGCAATAGAAAATAATCAATCCGTTAATAATTTATTAGATATAGAACAACAACAAAATAATGAAAATAATCAAACTTTAGATGAAAGAAGAGAATTTAATACAAATTATGAATATCCGAATTTAATTTGTGATTTAAATGGTCCAATGATTGCTTTAGATGGTTCTGATGTTTTATTTATTGATAATGATGGTAATACAATATGTAAAAAACAAAATTTTAAAGAATTGGAGAGTTATTGATTAAATAGTTTTATTGTAGAAGATATAAAAAAAAACCGTTTGAGATTTTATTGTAGAAAACTTCCTGAGATTATTTCACTTGTATTAAAGTATATATCACTTTTGATTGTATTACTAAAAAAAAGATACAAAATTCATCTTGAATTCTCCCGGGGGCGAGTCGAACGCCCGATCCCAAGATGACTAATGGGAAAACATATTACAGTCTTGTGCTTTAAACCAACTAAGCTACCAGGAGTAATTTCTAGAAATAAAAATTTTAGTATTGTTATAGAAAAAACCTACACGCAAAAATTCGTGTATTTAATTCCTTCTAAATATGGCGTGGAATTTTGAAACAATGAAAATTTACTCAGCTCCAACATTTTGCAACCAAAAGACAATAATCTTGACATCAATCTTTAATATTTTAGATTTCAACCGTAAAGTAGTTGCCATGTAAGTTCAATTTCAAGTTCCAGCTGACTCACCCGTAATCTAGTTTTCAGGAATGATTTTGTAGAGTCATCAATCGTGTATAATTACTGTGTATTAAAAGTAAGGAAAGTCTAGCACTCGTATCTTGAACTAATTTTCATTCTTATATCTCTTTTTTCTTTCTCAATATAACAGTTTTAAATAAATTTGATAAATCTAACACACTCCATCGTAGATATCATCTAAAAATTATTTACAAGAATTTCAATGTTAAGATTAATTAAACTTTTGTTAACCATATACCTTATAATTTATACAATTTGTCAATTGTTTGAATTTTGCGAGTATATTTCAAAAATTGAGTGTATTTCAGAAAGCGAATGTTTTACAGAACTTGATTATATTTCAGAAAGCGAGTATATTTCAGAAAGTGAGTGTGGAACAACAACTCAACAACGTGAATATGTAATCAAAGATATTACCCATTTCGACTTTAAAAAAGTATCTTCACCGGGTAGGCATGTATCGAGAGATACTTCAACATCACAATTAGAACAAGTAAAATCTCATTCAGAATTAGTATTTCGTGTTGATCTAACTACAGTCGATGGTTGGATTAAATTGGGTTTTTCAATATTTGCTATTTTGGTTATGGGATTATTTAGTAAAAGTGCAGAATATGCAATTAGTGCTTTGATGGGATAGTATATAAAAACCCTATCGTTAATTTAGTAAGATAAATTCGTTAAAACTTTTTGTTAAAATTTAGCATTAATAAAAATCTATAAATTTTGCAGCAAAATGAGACAAATAAATAAAAATTTCAATAATTTTGTAAAATGGTATCGTAAAAAGAAATAGAAGTACAAGCTAGTGATATATGTAGAATAGACTGATGACTTTTATTGATAAGTTCTTAGATGCGAAATGAATATGATGTGAATTGCATAAACCTCTTTGCAAACTTATTAATTCAATGTTTCATAATATTTCCCCAGATTTCAAAAACGCATCATTTTTTGCGCATTTTTTTTATTTTTTCAGACATGGTTTTTAAAATAAATTTACCGAGGAATAAAGAAATAGATAAAAGATTCAAATCTACTGTTTAATATCCCCGGTAATTACAATATTTTCCTCGACCTAAAATAACGATATAAGAAAGAAAGACGATTTAAGCCATATTTACTTTTTCAATAGTACAAGATATCAGACCCACTAAAAATATTAACGTGAAGTAAATTTTGAGTGCAGTTTAAATTTACATATGAAAAAAACAAAGGATAATATTAGTAGTAAGTCTCATTGAAAGTTTGAATAATTACAAATGAAACTTTCAACCAACATTTAATCGTATGATTCAAAGTTATAGTTATGAAATTTGAATTTGAATCATACCATATTAATAAATCTATTACATAGATAAATAATTTTTATTATATCTTGATCCTAATTTTGTAAGTTATTAACTATTTTTTCATTTTATCGGCATAAAAAAATTTAAATAAAAAATAAAAAATAAAAATTAAAAATTAAATAATCTACCCCACAAAAAAATTAAATATTAAATTTAATAATACCCTAAGAGTATATACTTAATCAATCTATTGGTAACTTATGAATATTAATACAAAAGTATTGATGATTTGTTATAAATAATTCAATTAGAACTTATAAATTGATATAAGTGATTAATTGGCGGGAAACTAAATGCTTTATTGTTTGTAGATCATCATATTCTTTTTTGTAGATTAATATTTAACTTCTTTAACTCCTTCAATATATGCATAATTATTTATTATTAATTATTTAATTTATTTAAATAATAACCGTAATAAAAATTTATTCACTCCTTATTCAATTTAAGTAGAGACACACAAATTATATTAATATTATTGTTACAAATAAATTATTTAATAGAATATTTTTAACTTCAACAAATAATTTTTGAATTTTTCAATTATTTAGTTTACTTTTTTATTTATTCATTTTGCCAACCACTTTTATTTTTATTTTATTTTAGAAATTTATATATTCAAATCATCAACTTTCAAATAAGATTCAAAAATGGCTATTATATCAGATAAATTACTTAATAGAACACATAAAAAGGATCCTGATACTAATCCAAAAATTGCTGAAAATGTTATAAGTTCAAAATTACCACCAAATCCTGCTAAAGATATTGCAAAAGAAAGATCAAATACTGATTGGAATTTAAAAGAAATGCATGAATTTTTAGAAGGTAGTGAAAAAAAATCAAATGAAGTTATAAAATTATATCAATCAATTGAAAGAGATCCAATTTTACAAACAAGACCTGAACATTTTAATATTAGTATGAAAGATGAAAGACAATTAGTTGCTGAAAGAATTGAACAAATGTCTAAATATATTGAAATTGAACCTTATGCAAAATTTAGAAGAAGATTACAATTAATGACTGTTATTGATCCTTCTTTAGGTATTAGAATTTTAGTTAATTTAGGTTTATTTTTAAATTGTATTAAAGGTAATGGTACAACAAAGCAATATAATTATTGGGCTAAAACTAAAGAAAATGGTATTATTAAATCTATGTATGGTTGTTTTGGTATGACTGAATTAGGTCATGGTTCAAATGTTGCTGGTTGTGAAACTACTGCTACTTTTGATCCAGAAACTGATGAATTTATTATTGATACTCCTCATATTGGTGCAACTAAATGGTGGATTGGTGGTGCTGCTCATTCTGCAACTCATACTGTTGCTTATGCAAGATTAATTGTTAAAGATATTGATTATGGTGTTAAAACATTTGTTGTTCCATTAAGAGACTCTCAACATAATCTATTACCTGGTATTGCAGTTGGTGATATTGGTGCCAAAATGGGTAGACAAGGTGTTGATAATGGTTGGATTCAATTTACTGAAGTTAGAATTCCAAGATTTTTTATGTTACAAAGATGGTGTAAAGTTGATAAACAAGGTAATGTTGTTTTACCACCATTAGAACAATTAAGTTATATTTCATTAATTGAAGGTAGAGTTGGTATGGCTACTGATTCTTATAGAATTGGTGCAAGATTTACTACTATAGCTTTAAGATATTCTATTGGTAGAAGACAATTTGCTAAAGATGGAGCTTCAGAAGAAACTCAATTATTAGATTATACATTACATCAAAGAAGATTATTACCATATTTAGCTTTAACTTATGCAGCTGCAGTTGGTACTGATAGATTAGAAATTGAACATAATCAATTATTATCTAATTTAGATGAAGGATTAGCTAAAAATGATAAATTATTATTAAAAAATACTATTGCATCAACTAAATCAATGTTTGTTGATTCTGCATCATTGAAATCCACATTAACTTGGGAAGCTTCAGATTTAATTAGTGAATGTAGACAAGCATGTGGTGGACATGGTTATTCATCATATAATGCATTTGGTAAAACTTGGAATGATTGGTCAGTTCAAACTACTTGGGAAGGTGATAATAATGTTTTAGCTATGTCAGCTGGTAAAACTATTATTAAAAATGTTCAACAAATTTTAAATGGTAAAAAATTAAAAGATTCAAGTTTAGAATTTTTAAATGATGCTCCAATTTTAGCTAAAAATAAAAAAGCAGTAATTAGAATTAAAGATCATGTTGATGAACCAGAAAGAGTATTAAAAGCTATTGCTGCATTAATTTCAAAATCTGCTGTTGATTTAATTCCAATTAGTCATCAAACTTGGGATGCTATTGGACCACAAAGAGTTATATTATCAAAATTAAGATGTCATTATTATTTATTAGAAACTTTTATTGAAAGATTAGATACTCACTTAAAAGCTAAATCTCCAGCAAGACCACATTTAGAAAATGTTTTAAAATTATATTATGTTACAAATATTTTAAGTCCTTTCATTAGTGAATTCATTAGATATGGGGTTATTCAACCTAACGTTGCTAAATATATTACAGCACAATATCCACAAGAATTATGTTTAAGAATTAGACCTTATGTAATTGGATTAACTGATTCTTTTGAACAACCAGATAACTTTATTCATTCATTAATTGGTCATTATAATGGTGATATTTATAATAATTATTTAACTTCAGTTAAATTTGTAAATAATCCAGCAACTACTAAAGCTCCTTATTCTGATGCTTTAGAAGCTATGTTAAATAGACCATCAATTGATGTTAGAGAAAGAAATGAAAAATCTATTGAAGTTGGTAAAATTTTATCAAAATAATTTAATTTGAATTTACATAAAATATATAAATTTATAGTGTTTACTTTTATTACTTGAATATAAAATAAAAAACTTTAAATAATCATTAAAGCAGATGTAAGTAAAGCTAAACATCTGATTTGCAAATCATTCCTTTCCTTTAATTTGCAAATATAAAGAAATTTGGATATAATTTTACTTTTGTAATGGCAAATCTTACCATTTAAATTTTGCAGCCATTTTACACTAAATTCGCTCAATTTGTTAATCTATATTTAATTTATCAGCATATCAAACTTAAATTAAATTTAATATAAATACAAGAGAAAAAAAGCGATCTTTCAATTTCAATTTATATTTTTTCTATTTTATTTGTTCTACTCCTTCATAATAGATTTCTTATCTATGATTTCAATCATTGAATTCTTTGAATCTAGTATTTAATCTAGTTCTTCAATCTAGTTCTTCAATCTAGTTCAATCTAGTCTTCAATCTAGTTCTTCAATCTAGTTCATCAATGGTGGTAGAAATTAAAATCTTTCAATGTGAGTAATTTTCAAATTGGTTTGTTTTGTCTTGAATAATTGTTCAATGTATAACTTTCTAGATTTGGGACTTCAAAAATACTTCTAAATTTGAAATTATTCACATTTTTGATTATCACCGTATTTAAGTTGAGTTTATTGTTTGATAATTTGGGTATTCAGCTTGCATTCACAGATTTTATTGAAGTAGATACAGCTTTTGAGTTTTTAAGAAACACTTAGAGACTTATGTTTATATAGAATTTATTTTAATGTATAATTGTATAAATTGTATTTATTGAATACTAAAATTTGTAACCTATCTCAATTCTGAATAATAAGTTCTTACAGTTAATGTAGAGTTTAAAACCATCGTAAGCCAGATAAGAAGAGGGAACCTTACTATGAGGCTTTCAAAATTTACAATAAATTACCATTAATTGATGTTAGCGAAAGAACTGAAAAGTCTATTGAAGTTGTTAAAATTCTAACAAAATAATTTGAATGTAAAAAACTTGAATGTAAAATTATATAAATTTTTATTATTAACCCTTACTACTTAAATATAAATTTATAATTCTTTCTTTTAATTTGTGATTTTAACGATAGTTTTATGCTGCTCAATATATCAGATACAAATTTTTACTCTTGTAATAATGCTAAATCTTGTTATTAGAATTTTGCAACCTGATTGTACTTTAAATTTCAAGTCTAATACAAAAAATATCAGCATATCAAAAATCAAAATTATTTTTTTATAAATAGAGAGAAAATTCCCAATTTTTGAAATAAATTTTATACATTTTTTTACTACTTTCAGTCCTGGCTTTTTTGTTCTTTTCTAGTAAAGATTGTTGATATATTTAAATATTTGATGAATTCATATAGAATTGTTCATAAGCATTAAGCTTTAGTGTGTTAATCGTGAATAGTTGTCAAATTGGCTTGTTTCGTCCTGAATGAAAGTGTAATGTATAACTTTTTAAATTTAGGACTTCAAGAATTCGTTTAAATTTGAAATTAATCACACTTCTGATCATTATTATCGTTTGATACGGACATGTCGAGTACTCCTTAAATGTTGGCTTGTTTGGTTGCAATTATAGAACTTTTCTTGAAATGTGTATGTATTTTGTCAGTTTTTAAGAGATACCTATATATTTTTGTTTTTTTATAGAATTGTTTTTAATGTATAACTGTATGATTTGTATTTTGTTGAATACTAAAGTTTGTAAACTATCAATTCTGAATAACAAGTTCTTACGGTTGTTGTAGAGTTTGAAACCGGCGTAAGCCAGATAAGACAACGGGACCTTACTATGAGGTTTTAGAAGGTTATGTTAAATAGATCATCAAATGATGTTAGAGAATGAAAAATCTATTGAAGTTGGTAAAATTTTATCAAAATAATTTAATTTGAATTTACATAATCATATAAAATTATAGTGTTTTTCCTTATTACTTGAATGTAATATACAAATTTAAACAAATATTGAAAAAGATGTAAGTAATATTAAAAATGGGTTTTGTAAATCCTACTTTCCTTTTTAATTTAGAATGTAACGAAATTTTCTAGCTCATTAGCTACAGTTTTACTTCTGTAAAGCCCTTATCATAATAATTTTGCTACAATTTTATATTAAAATCGCACCCTTTGATAATCAGCATATTAATATCTCAGTTAAATTTAATATAAATACAAGAGAAAAAAACCGATATTTTAATTTAGTTTTATATTCTTTTTGTATAATGGGATTTCTACATTGTTTAAAAGGCTATCTACTTCGTGAAATTTTTTTGGATGATTTAATTTGAACATTCATCTATTATATCAGTTGTGTATTTTAAAATCTCAAGGTGAATAATTTTCAAATTGGCTTGTTTCGTCTTGAATGAAAGTTTAATGTATAACTTTTTAGATTTGGGACTTCAAGTGTTTTTCTCAATTTGAAATTATCCACATTCTTGAAAATTGTTTCTGGATTCAAAGTTATTTGTCATTTTCTGAAATGTTTTTATTTTGATTGCGTTTACAAATTTTATTGAATTGGATTCATATTCCAATCTTAAAAAACTTATGGATTTATATGTATATAGAATTTATCTTAATGTATGAATGTATGATTTGTATTTTGTGAAATGATGATTATTGTAGACTATTTTTAACTTTAAACATATATCAAATCTTACAGGTGCTTCAGAGTTATGAATGTAAAAGCAGTTGGAAAAATTGTTCAACTATACATTATGAGTTTATAAATTTACATTAATCTTCGAAGATTTAGTACAAACCAATTCAAACACCCAATAAAAGCAAATATAAACATGCACCAAAATCTACTTACCAAATTTTTGCCTTTTAAAAAAGGATAAGGGTATCCACTCACACCATCATTTAAATGTTTACCACATTCCCATTCAAAATAGAACCAATATATTAAAACATACAAGCAAGTCAACATCGAGGAGTTAAATAAACCGAGACTAGGTTGCGAGTCAATTATTAAATATAAGTAAGGAAATGCATGAACTTGTAAATCCATAAATAAATTTCTATCAACTTCAGCTTCACCAACCATTTGTGGAAAAATTAGAGCCATTGACCAATACGACACTATGACATTAAACTCTAAATTAGATGATAAGTTATATAACCATAGCGGAGCTAATCCAAAAACTGATAATGTTAAGTAGATAACTGTAGTGAGTAGGGAACAATTAGTTAAAAATTGAAATTGACCCGATTTTGCTAAGTGAGGTGGTAATTTTGTTGTCAATGATTTGTATAGTCCATTGCCTAATAATACAAAGTTAAAGATCCTAAAAATTGTTAACAACATCTTGCACCAATGAACATTGATGATAGTGGACCATAAATTTTTGATTGTTTCGACAATTTTCGGAGTCTTGTTGAGTTGGAATGAAGCCCTGTAGTTTTAGTACAGAAATTTTTAAGCGGTATTTTGATTTTGCAATCCTTATTATTTTTGATTAGTCAGTCATGTTTAGCTGAAAATATTTACCAGCTTGTGGAACGACTTTATGATAAATTAACTTCAATTCTTCTTCTCTAAAGTTTATTTAACTTCATTCATCAAATTTCTAAAAAACACATTTCTTGACGACAAGTAGGACAAGTTGTTGAATATTGAGTCCAAACATTTAAACAATCAATATGAAAATGATGCAAACACGTTAAAAATTTTACTTGATCCCCAAAATCATCTAAACATATTGGGCATGAATCATGAGGTGAATGTTTTGGTTTGGGCATTAATTTAAAATGAATTTTGAATTTTAAAATTGATGAATGAAGTTTAAATTTGAGGAATTTAATTTTGGAGAAAATTTTGAATAAATTGATTTATTGAAACTAATAACAAATCTGTTTACTATGAGAATGCTGTTGTTGTTTAGAACCGCTTTTTCGGATAGGTCTTGATAACCTACTCAAAGGTTGATGATGATGTGTGATGTGTATGCACAATTTTTTTTACATTCGTTCATTAAATTTACTGACTTGATTACAAGCTAGTTTGTTTGAAGCATGCAAGTTATACATATGAATGAGAACCCAATTTTTTAAAAAAGGCAAAATTTGGTTGTAAAAAAATTTAGGAAAGTGGTTGCAAAAAAAAAAATTAATATCATGTGCTTGATTTTTTTTGTGGAGTAAATTCTCATGATATCTATAAACTCAGATCTTTACTAAATCTTACAAAGACTAACTTTAACTACAAATCTTAGATATAAGCATATCATTGATCTTAACGCCAATCAGATCAAATTTTCTTATTTTTCTTGTATAACGAAAAGATCAAAGTAAATTAGTTCTTTTGGTATAAGTTCTTTTTTTTAAAATATGTCTCATCTCTTTTCAATTAAGAATTTAAAACTTAAATAAATATTTTAGTAAACAATAACAAAATTAATATTAATAGGAAAGAAAATGGCCCCACGACAATCAAAACAAGCTAAAAGAAATAAAACTCAAAATAAGACAAGAGAAAATGAATCAGAGGTATACTCTGATTCTCATGCAAGAAATTTATTAGCAGATCAACCAAAATTAACCCCAAAATCAAAAGTTAAGAAACCATCAAAATTACAAGTCAAAAAACAACAAGCTAAAATAAGACTATATGGGGCTAAAAATGGTAAAGAATATAAAGAAGAACAATTAAATATACCCGATTTGAATAGAGCAATAGTACCTGGAGTAAAAGCCAAACGTGGGAAAAAAGGTAAAAAATTCGTTGATGATAATGATTCATTAACGATGAATAGATTAGTTAAAAGTATAAATGATAAATATGATCAAGTAAATGAAAGTAAATTAGAAAAATCAAGAAGATTAGAAGAAATACGAGATTTGAAAAGACAAGAAATTGAGAGAAAAGAACAACAAAAGAAAGATAAATTAGATGGTAAAAAGGATGAATTAAGAAGTAAAGCATCAGTTGCAAGAGCTAATAGAAGAAAAAGTGCAAAAGCAAGAAAATTTGAGGAAGAAAATGAAGATTCTTCAAAACCTAAAAGGAAGAAAGTTTCATTTGCCTAAAAAATAAGAACATTCTGTAAATATTTCAAAAAAATAAAAGAATTGATTCTATTGTGGACTATTTACATTCTAAAAATCTAAAATTAATCTTCTTCTCTTAATTTGTTCTTTTCTTTTCTTATTAAAATAATATCCATAAGCTATTCCAACTAATGAACCACCTAAATGAGCAGCATAATCGAACGTTCCCCACCTCAATACAGTTCCAGCAGCATTCCAAATAACAGTTCCCAAAAACAAAACCCAAGCCCCACCTGGTACAGGTATGAAGAATAATCCAACAGGAGAAGCAGGGAAAAGATATGAAAAACAACCAAAAACACTAAATATGGCACCTGATGCACCTAATGATGCAACTGATAATGAACTACCCAATAACATTGGAATTGCAATTGATGCAAATGATGATATAACTGCTGAATTTAAATAAAGTATAGTAAAGTTTGATACTCCTAAAACTGCAACTAAAGTAACTGCAAATGATTGGAAACAAAGCATATTTATAGCAAAATGTGCAAAACTTTGATGTGAAAAAGCTGATCCTAAAAGAGTCCATGGTGATTGAATATTATCTTTAAATAATATACCATATTGCATTGTAAATTTTTGTAATTGAGGTACTCTCCACAGGAAAAATACTAATGCATTTATACCAATTATTGTCCATACAATAGATTGAGGATATTGTTTGAAAATTGACATTGGTGTATAATCAAATAAATATGGAGTTGCAAATGTTGTACCTACACAAAATGCAACTGTAAATAATAAAGGTTTCTTCAATTTATCCCAATTTGATCTATTATAATATTGATTGTAACTTTTCCAAGTAGATGAATTGGTTAATGGTGAGTTTTGTAATTCTTGTAATTGTTTAATTTGTTGATTCATTATTTGATTCATTCTTTCCCATGGATTCATTGATGATTTTAACAATTGTACATTTTGATTGGATTGTGTTTGTTGTCGTATCTTGTTTAGTATACTATTGTTTTGAAAAAACTGTTTTCTTGCTAGACTTGTCGTTGGTTTTAGAAAAATTCTTAACGATTGATACATTTTTAAGTGGTCAGGGCTTTATCTTGGAATTGTAAGTTTTAATGGAAATGTGCCTACTATTATATATAATAATAAAACAATTGTACAATTTTTTTTTTAATTGTTGCGAAATTTGATAAAGTTTATTTTGTACTAGATTATTCTATAAATTACTATTCAATAATTTTCATCTATTTCAAAATTCATCAAATTCATTAGTTTTCTCTTCTAGTTCAATTCTAGATTTCCCAGCTAATCTAGCAGCAGCTAAATTTTGAGTACCCATTTGTTTTTTAACTTTTTTGGTCATTTTTTCAATCTCTGCTTCAGCATTTTCAGAATCCTTTTCAGCATATTGCATAACTAATCTTCTACCTAATAAATGAACACCTTCTAATTGTTTCATTGCATTTTCTGCTTCTTTAAGTAAATTGAATTCAATGAATGCAAACCCTCTTGCTGTTTGATCGAATTTTTTAGGTACTCTAACTGACTTCAATTGACCGAAAGCACCAAATAATTCCAAAAGATCTTTTCTTGTAGCTTCGAATGGTAAATTTTTGATAAGTATTTTAGTAGATTTGTTTGATTTTGATGTGGTGGATGAAGTTGATGAGGTTGATTGCTTGTGTGATATTTTTAATTGTAATTTATGACCGTCTAATACATGACCATCCAATGTTGAAATTGCAGCATTAGCTTGAGCTTGTGATTTGAATTCAACAAATCCAAAACCCATACTTAAAGTTTTACCGGAGTTTTTTGGATCTGGTTTAGTTTTAACTGTTGCATTTACAAACCCTGGTAATGGTTTGAAAAGATCTGATAATTGTTGAACAGTAGTTGAAAAATTAAGATTCTTAACGAAAATAGAAACTGAAGATCCTTGAATTGCTTCTTCTTGCTCGGTTTGTGGTTCGCCCATAATATCATTGACCGAAATTTTGGCTTCAACAACATTTTCAGTCTCTGGTTCTTTAACTTCCACACTCTCAACTGATGTTGGTTCACGAGTGAATAAATCTTTTGGACCTTTTTCCAAGTATAGTATACTTGTACCAAATCTTTTATATGCTAATTTAGTGAATGCAGCTCTTGCACTTGGTGCATCTTTAAATTCTACGATTGCAATTGTACCTGCCGGTGGCATTATCATTCGTTTAATTGGTCCATATTGTGAGAATGTTTCACCTAGTTCTTCTATAGTTGTACCAAATGCAAAATTCTTCACCAATATAATTTTATCATCTCTATCTTTATTGTTAAAACTTGTTAAATCAACTCCTTTATCTTCAAAAAATTTTCTTACATCACCTATAACATGAGCTTCTGCTAATGCTTGTTTAACTGCTGAACTTGAATTTTCTGGATCAATCAATTGAGATTTGGAAACACCTAATTTTGCAGCCATTGACTCCATCACTGCATCTGTGTTCATATAAAGACTATTCCAACTAAATTGTGTTTTGGCAGCTTGTTCTTTCTTTTTCAACTCTCTTTGTTTCTTTAAAGGTAGATTTTTCAAGTCAAATTCATCTAATCTATGACTTTTCTTTTTATCAGCTGGCAAAATATGTAAAAGTCTACCCTGGAAAATTTGTTTATCTTGTGATTCAAATGCATTTACTGCATCTTCAGTGTTATTGAATTGAATATATACAAAACCTTTTGATTTACCTGTTCTTGTATCAATTGCAACATGAACTTCTTCTAACGATCCATATTTCAGAAATAGATTTCTAAAATCTTCTTCTTTTGCATCATACAGTATGTTTCTGATAAACAAACGTCCAGTCTCCTGTATTTTTTCAAGGGATTTTTCTTGTTCACTCTTGGGTATTTCGACTTCTTCTTGTATTGATTCGTCCACTTGTGTATCTTCTTGATCATCTTTGGCAGCTTCAGCTACTTCTCCATTTTCTTTTATACGTATACTTTTAGATTTCAACCAATCCAAATCTGAGACGTTCTCGTCTTTAGCAACTTCATTTTCTACTTCATTTAAAGGTATCATTTCTTCTTCTTCATCCTCCTCAACTTCATCTGCTTGTGGTTCATTGAAATCATTATATTCATCATCACTTTCATTTTCTTTTGTTTCTATCACATTATAAGAATTATTTACTGGTTCAGATACTTCACCATTTAATGCCTTCTCCAATTCTGCATTTGAAGGTCCACCAGATCCATCAGCTATTGTATCATTTGCCCAAGATTTAACTTCATGAGAAGGCTTCATCACTTCCATATATTCTTTAAATTTAGGATCGTTTTCCATTTCTTGTTCTATTATTGATTTAGGTTTTGTCTTTTGTTTCTTAGCCATTCTTTCTTCTTGTTCTAATATTTGTTCTTGTTGTCTTTTCAATCTTTCATTATCTCTTCTTCTTCTTTCTCTTGATGAAATTGGAACATCTGGATCCGAAAATGATTTTGCAATTTCAACATCTATTCTTGCTGTATCTATAAATGATCTATTAAAAAATTTAACTGCTTTCTCAGCTGATTCATTTGATTTATAACCAATAAATGCAAATCTTCTTGATTCTCCATTTTTCTGTTTAACTAATTTGACATCTGTAACTTCTCCTTGCTTATTGAAATGATTTCTCAAATTATCTTCAGTATAATATTTTGGTAATCCCCTAACTATCAAACGTGACATTTTGAAAATTGGTTTTGTTAATTGATAATTTAATAAATTAAGTTATAAATCAAATGTATAGAGATGAGTTTTATATTTGTACTCTATTTAATTAATCTTGCATTTTTGTGTAATGATTTTTATTTTTGTCAATTATTTTTATTTTACAACCAATTTTTTCAATTTTTGTTAAGGGGTTGTATCATTAAATTAGTTTGGTTATCACAAGATCAATTAAAATAATGGAGTTGATAGATCATTTAGGTTTAAGAAGAGATCAAAGAGTTAATTTTAAAATATGGTTTAAAGGATTTACAACTATTTTACTATTAACTAGTTATTTAATTGTTTATCATATGATTGCATTTTTTACAACTATTTTGGCAACCATTTTTCCAGATTCCTCAAATTATATCAAGAATAGATTTGGTAATTATTTTTGGGATTTAAGTCTTTATTTAATTGTAAGTGAAACAAAATTAAAGCAGTCACGGCAAAAAGATATTTACTAACTCAAGGTTTTAGCATTTAAATAAAGTTAGAATAAAAGTTTTAGGTGATGAAATTAGTCCAAATCCTGCAATATTATTAAGTAATCATTCATCATTAGTTGATTTTTTTGTCATCCAACATTTATCAAGGTTATCAACAAGATCAGATAAAGACTCATTCATAGGATCAAATCAAAAGGATTTATCATTACCAATTGTAAATTTTTTTTCATGGTTCCTAGTTTGGAGAATACCAAATATTAAAATTCTTTTCAATTTATTAAAAACTGATGAAAATTGGGAAATTGAAGAAAAATCTATACTTTATATTTTTGCACAATTTTTAAGAAGTAAATTTTTTGAATGGATTATTTTATTTCCTGAAGTTAATATATGGAGTGAAAATAATTACAATATACAAAGACAAGTTGGTCATAAGTACTTTCTACCAAAATTGGATAATTTATTGTACCCCAGGTATTCGAGTTTTTATAATATTATTACTGCTTTAACTAAATTCAAACCACATCCGTTTTCAAATTTATATGATCTAACTTTAATTTATTGTCGTCCTGGTGAGAACTCCACTGAATTAAATTATCAGCCTCCTACATTATCAGAGATTTTTGCTTCTTCAAAACCAATTACTATTTTAGTATATGTTAAAATTAGATCATTAGGTAGAATACCTCATAAAAGAAAAAAATTAGAAAGGTATTTAGAACATTTATGGGTTCATAAGGATAAAATTATTACTCAAATTAAAACTGAGAATAATAATTATAATAATTCAAGAGTTTCTGCTGCTACAGGTGCTACAGGTGATAATAATAATAATAATAATAATACTAATAATGAGCTTAACATTAAAAATTCATCAACTTCATTTATTAGATTACATAGTAAAAAGAAAAAACCGACTAAATAAACACAACCATTTAAATTTCTAAAATTCTTGAATTCTACTAATTGGTATCGAATAAATTCTTGATTTACTTTTTTCATCTCTTTCAATTCTATAAAAATGATCAGTAAACCTATCACCTTGAATATGAGTTAAAAATTTTTCATCATGAGTAATAACAATTAATTGAAAATTTGATTGTTGTTTCCTATATTCAATAATTTTATTTAATGCTGCAGCTAATGCTTCTGCATTTTCATTATCTAAATTTGTTGTTGGTTCATCCAATGCAATCATACCACAATTTGCTCCAAAACACTCAGCCAATGCTAATCTAATTAATATACTTGCTAAAACTTTCTGACCAGCAGAACATCTACCTCTCATATCTAATTCGTTTGAATCTTTAACCATTACAACACGATAATTATATGATCTATTACCTTTTGCTTGTAAATTAACATCACTTTTTATTGCAATTGTTGAAATATCTGAACCTTTATAAGTTTGAGACCACAATTCATTCAAGATTCTATTTATATCTTCCATTTTAATACTATGAAATTTCATAATTGCATTATCTAAAGCTTTTGAATAATTTTGTATATCATTTGAAACTAATAAATTAGTTTGTAATTTAATCCATTCTTCACGATGTAAATTATCGACGTTTTTATATTCTGTTGCTAATTCTTTATTCATATTTGCAATTTGATCTTTAATTTGTTTAACTTCACCAACTTTACCAGCATGTTGAGTATTTAAATCGGTAAGTTCACCTCTAATTTTATTTGAGTTTTCTTGATATTCTTGTTTTTTCAAATGTGCATTATCAATATCCAATGCATTCAATTGAAAATCTGTTTCATCTAATCTACTTACTTGAGCTCTATAATCGATATTTGCCATTATATTATGTTTAATACGTGAAGAATCCATGACTTCTTTCTCTAATGATTTGATGGTACTTGAATTATCAGTAATTTTTGATTTGATTGATTCACATTCTTTTAAAACTTTTTCCATTTGTAATGTATTCTCTTGAAGTTTTGATAATACATTCATTTCAAAACCTTTTATAGCATTATCAAGTGATGAGAATTTGGATAGCAAGTCTGAGAAAAATTGTACTTCCTTTTGAATTTTATATTCTTGCTTATTATTTTCATCTTGTATTTGTTTTAATTCATGAGACTGCTGATCTTTTTTATCTTTTCTATCTTTCAAACTTGATTGAAGTTCATTTGATTTTGTTTCATCGTTTGAGATAGTTGAATCCAAATCAGAAATATTTTTTTTGATATTTTGCACATCAGCTAATGATCTTTCGAGATTACTTATGATTAATTTAGTATCTTTGACTTTATTTTCCAACTTTTGTAACTCTCTTTGAAGTTTATTTTTCTCTTCCATTGAAGCATTTAAATCATGTCTTAAATCTCTAATTTTTGTATTTGCATCTTGTTGTTGTTTTTGTAATTCTCCGATTGAAGCTACAGCAGTTCCAAAACCTCCAAGATCATCATTAAGATCATCAATTTGTAAATCGAGATCATGAACTTCTAAATTTAATCTAGTTGCATCTGCTAAAGGCTTTTTCAATATTGAAGCTGAATCAAAGGACGCTTTTAAGTTTTCAAGTTTTTTAACTTCTTTTTTAAGGGTGTCGTTCAAAGCGTTTTGCTTATTATTAAGTTCGACAAGTTGATTATCAAATGTAGGTTTTAATGCAACACATTCTCTATAAGTTATAACCTTTAATCCAATTTTTTTAACTTCATTAAGTTCTTTACCAATTTCATCAGCCCTTGATTTAACTTCTTGAATTTTAGATTCATCAAACCCTTGTTTCAATTCTTCAATAAATTTTTTCAAAGCTGGATTATCAAACATTCTTTTACACAATAAACAACATTTATTTTTTTCAGCCATATCAATTGCAGATTGACCATAACTTTTAGTAACTTCAAATGTATTGACGTCTTCCGTAACATTTCTATAATCATCTTCCAATTCTTGAACAATACTTTCATATGCATCAACATTATCATCATCAATAACTTTGGTAATTTCATCTTTCAAAGAGGATATTTTAGCATCATTTTCAGATCTATCATTATCTATTTTGACTCTTGAACTTTTCAATGATTCTAGCTCACTTTGTACACTAAAGACTTTCTTTTGTTGATCGTCAACATCAGTTGAAAGTTCTGAAAATTTATCATTATATTTAGCTTCAGCTAATTCAATTTCAATATCTTCACCAATCAATAATTTATAATCATCATTTAATTTTTGCAAAGTTTTTACAATTTCTTCATTTTTAGTTTTCACTGAATCTTCTAAAAACGTCAATTTCGATCTTAATTCTGATTGCTTATTACTAGTCAGTAATTTTTTTGAAATTTCATCTAATTCAAATTCTAATTTTGAAATTTCTGTATTTGAGTCCATCATTTTTATATCAAGATCTTTTGATTCATTTTTAGATTTTTTATCATTTAATGCCTGAGTTGCTTGAGTTAATTCTTCCTTTTTGGCTATAAGTTCTGATTCATCATTTGTACTCGAATCTAATTTTCTCTTTAAAACATATAAATTTTGTTTATTCTTTTGTAAATCATTATTGACAAATTCTAAATTTTGTTCTTCTTTCAAAATGGAATTGATAGTTTCTTGAAGTTGTGATTGCTTTTCAGATTCATTTGCCTTGTTTTGACGGACCAATTCTTTTTGACTATTTTGAATTTGAGTATTTTGCTTTTCAAGAGCATTTTTGAAATTACCTCTGTTGGTTAAATCATCTTGTGTCAATTCTACTTTTAATTTATCAGAATTATCAGAGACTACCTCATTCATTTTATCAACATTAACATCATATTCTGCCTTTTTAGCTTTTAATGAACCGTCCAACCTAATTAATTCATTGTAATGATTAGTTTCAACTTTCAAGTCAGACTCTAAATCTTTACCAACAATTTGATATTTTTCGATCGAATTATTTTTTTCATCAACTAAAGATGCAAAATTTTCTTGTTTATTATATAATTCTTCGTTAGTATCTGGTAGTATATCAATTGTTTTTTCCAAGTTTGAAATGTTATCTTCTAATGAAGATTTTTTCATTAATAAATTTTCGTAATCACTTAAAATTTTTTGAAATTCTTGGTTAGTAGCAAATAAATTATCAGCTTCTCTTTGCTTTTCTACAATTCTAAGACTTAAATCACTAATTTCAACTTCAAAAATATTTGCTGATTCTTCCATTCCCGTTAAACGTTCTTTAATCTTTTTTGCACGATCTTTATCAACTTTTAAATGATTTACACTTTGTTCAATCAATTTTATATCAACTGCCATATCTTTTCTAATAGTTTTTAAATTATCAATGACTTTTGTGAATTTTGAAGCTTCAAAAATGTCATCAAATTTCTTTTTCAATACTGATGCTTCACTTAATGGCCATAAACTATCATCTTGATGACAAAATATAACATTATCTAATATAGCTGGTGATGCTCCAAGAAATGCGGGAATTTGTGAGTCTAATTCCGCATTCTTTGATGATATACTGATCTTTTGTCCATGCTCAATAGAAGCTAATTGACCTTCTAAGGTCTTAAATGTAACATTTCCTGCACCTGCTCCACTTTTGGTATTTTTATTACTAGCTTGAACTGTTCTTGTTGTAATCATTGATCTTCCTTTTGCATCTTTGAAAGCTAATTTTACTTGACCGGTAGTTTGAACACGAGAACTTAAACTTGGATCATGTACAAACGCTCCACCTTTTGAGTTTGGTGGTAAATTACCTGTAGTTGCATATTTTAAACATTCTATAATTGTAGTTTTACCACAACCATTTTGACCACAAATTAAAGTTAAAGGAAACCCAAATTGTATAGTCTCATCTGATTCTGGTTCAAATGCTCTAATCCCTTTTATTGATAGTTTGTAGATACTTGACATGCAAGAATTGACTTTGGTTGTAAAAAGATTGATATATATAGACGTGTAGAGATTTTATAAGAAATTAAATTTTCGCATTATAAATTTAGCCCTCGTAATTTTAAAGTGTGCGTTTCAGATTTGTAACAATAGAAATTAATAATGTTCATGGGGAAAATAATGTACGTATGTATTATAAACAGTATCTATATAACTCTATCTATTAATCAATATGAGTTTTGGATAATTCATCAGCAATTTCATCAACTCCTTTATCTTTATTTTCAAGTGAAACTCCAGAAAGATCAAGTTCTAATTGATCTAAATCAAGATCTTCCTCTAATGCATCTGCTTCATCTTCATCTTCATCATCTTCATCTTCCTCCTCACTGTCTAATTCTTCTAATTCATCTAATTCATCTAACTCACCAAATCCTCTTTCTTCAAATATATCAGTAATTGTAGTAAGATGTTCAGAATCTTCTTCAAATCTATTACCATTTAACTCCAAGCTTTTTAAATTTGGTAATTTATCACTGATTAATTCAGCTAATACAATTAAACTATCTGATTCTAATTCATTATATTGTAATTTTAAGATTGTTAATTTTTCCTTTTTATCTTTTGAAAGTGCCCTTACAACTTCTAATGAACCTTTGTTTTTCAACAATGAATCATTTAAATTTAATTCTACCAAATCTGGCCAGTTAGATATTGATTCAGCTAACTTTATAGCACCAGATGTAGTAATTGTATTATCTTGTAAATCTAATACTTTTAATTTTTTGTTATGACTTAATCCTTTTTCGATTAATTTCGAAATACCTGCTGGTCTGATACCATTTTGATATAATCTTACAGTTTCTAAATCTTCGTGATTTCTTAATCCAACTGCTAAATAGTTTATTGAACCATTCTCCAATCTATTTCTTCCACAAATGAATGTTTTTAATGAGCTGTATTTCTTTTCTTTCTTAGCATTTGATAATTTAAATAATGATCCACCAATTCGAGCACCAGCAAATGGACCCATACCATTATTAGATAAAATTAAATGGTCTAGAGTTACAGCTTTGGCAATATACTCTTCAATTGGATCAATAGTTTGTAAACCAAATGCATTATCACTTAAATTTATAAATTTTAAATTTGGTAATTTTAATAATGCAGGTAATAAATATTGTAATGATTGTGGGATTTCAGTATTTAATCTACCGGTATATAAGTCTGAGAAATTAATTTCAAGGATATCCTTATGATTAACTAATGCTTCACTTAATTCTTTTGATGCTTCAATACCAATTGTATTTCCTGAAAAATCTATTTTTTGTAAATTGGAAACTTCATTCAATTTTTTGATGTATGGTTCAATATCTTCTTTTGTATTAAACTTTATTTGCTTTCCTGCAATAGAAAATGTATTTTCTGGTTTGATATCAAACTCTGAGTCAAACAATGACATATTTATTCAGTACTTGTTGATATACTAGTTTGAATAGAATTTATTTAAACATTGACTTTGTTACCAAAAACGAGATGGTAGTTATAATAATTACTTATCACGTGAACTACATACCATACTAGTATATATATTCTTGCCTACCTCTTCCTCCCTCTGTTTTTTGTATCCTTAGTCTATGTTTACACACATCGGGTCTTTAATAGCAATTTTATTTTAATTATCATTTTTACGTCATTTCGTCATTTAATATATGCTGTGGTTGTATAACAAGTCTTCTAGTATTTTATTATTATCAAATACCGCAATCACGTGCAGCGTCACGTGAATTGTATGTAATTCTATTATCATATATGTGATATATTTACATTAAATATGATAGTTAATTATCTAAGCATTTCCTATGGCAGAACTTCATGTTATCTTCTCAAATATATATACTGATCTTGGGTATAAGACACTTCTTTATTCTTTCCACGTATATTATATTATTATTTTCTCTTCTGTGTATTACTAACAGACTTTGATATTTTGATGATGTGCAAAAAGGTCAAAAATACAAAAAAACTTTCATCACGAAACATTAAACATATTTAATATTAGTACGCAACAAAAAAGTACTATTAGTTAATATATCACTTCACAGCAAATAATTATGAATTTTCAAGCAAGAGCTCCACCAGCAGCAAAAAAAGAAGCTTCAACTTTTGAAAAAATCAGAAACTCACCAGCTTTTACTATTGGTACACAAGTTGCTTTATTTGGTTTAGGTGTTTTATTTATTCAATCTCCATTAATGGATATGTTAGTACCACAATTATAGGACAGTCATTCATATTGATTGTCTTATCATCATAGAAGAAAACTCGTGTTTTAATGGGAACTATCATTGGAAGAAATGGATAAATGCTTCTAAATTTGAATTTATCAACTAATTATACCTAATTATACCGGAACAATCTCAATTGATAAAGTCATCCATCATACATTCAAACGTTGTACATAGAGAATAATAAATATTTAATAATTGTTAGAAGACATGTTTTATTTAAAATGCACCAAAGAATTCCAGATTCTAATGCTGAATCTCGATTCTTTGATTCTTATGTGAGCTGCAAAATCCATGTTACTTTTTTTGTGATTAGATGGAACGATTTTTATAAGAATTGTGTTGTAATCAACAATCTACCTTTGATGAACTTCGTCGATAAATTTCTTGCAACCCATTCGTTGTATTTTACTCTATCTTTGTTTCTTGTGATGGATAGACTACTCACACATCTTTATATGAGATTTAAAAGTAGGGTAACATCTGATACAAATTTTTCTATCAAATAGTGGATCAATTCTTACCACGGTATTTATTATGGGATAATATTAATGGACTCTGCTCTTGATTTTGTTAACGAATGTACTATAGGTTTGACCGACTCAACTGTTTTATATCAATCTAATAAAGCCCAGAATCAACGCCAAATGAGCTCTCTCCTGAACAAATTCTATTAACACCATACGAAAATATAGAAGTAGATTATAAAATTATTCTTAGACAATTATGAGCATATTTAAATAAAAAAGTTGAAATTTAAAAAAATTTTATTTATTTACAAGGTGTGTTTTCAAATAATAAAAAGATAATTAATATGAGAAGACAAGAAATAGACTATACCACGTCTCAACAATAGATAAGCCTCATAAGGGTGTATGATGGATCTTTTTAATACCTCCTGGTGAAAAGTTGTTAAATATATAAGCGTAATGATAAAAGTTCAGTCAGTCGCAAATCACTGACAAACGGCTGGGTTTGTCAAGAGATTCAGTACTTCATCATCAGCGGCTGTTTCAGGTTCTCTTGATAATATTCGGTTGCAAAAAAAATGATCAAAAGAAATTCTGTAATTAATTTTGAACGCAATTTTTTATTTAATTTACACTACTGACTTATAAAAATATCTACTTAAACGGTAGGTAAATTTTAACGAATAATTGACAGGACAATTTTTCATATACCGCTAAAAAATTATTTTATTTGTTTTTGATTTTTGTCTCCATACCCTATTTGACTTATCTTCAATTATAAATATATTTAAGGGATAAGTTTTTAATATGATTCAAATGAATTAGTTCATGATTTGACTTTATTTCGATTTCTAATTTTTCAAATAATCTACGTTAATCTATAATAATGTACCCCACATTTCAGAAATTAGTACATTGTATAATATTTAGACAATTTTAATATTAAGATGAATTTTATTATATAATAAACAAAATTCTAATATATCAAGTAATTTATCAATAGTTAGAAACTAATATCTATAAGACAATTAAATTATTAACATCAATAAAACTGATAAAAATAATTATGACATATTTAAGAATTTAAAAAAAAATTCTTATTTTAAAATGAAATAAAATAAAACGGTTTTTTTATTTTTTTTAAATTTATTATTTTGAAACCGATGAATTTTTTTATTTTTCTTAGTTTAATTTTTACTTTTTATTTCATTTTTGCAAATCATACCACCTAATTGAAAGATCATGCTTACATCTTAACATTCTACAGAAATCCAAAGATGATTCTTGAGACCATCAAAAGGTGTGATGGGTCATGTCTCACTCTCTGACCGAGGTGAGTGATACTCAAAGTATTCAGTTCTATTTGCCTTCGATAATTGTGAGACACTTTCTGTACTATTGAAATTTGAAAATTAATAAATTTAAACAACTATTGTCGCGCATTCTGGAATTCAGTACAGAAACAAAAATGAACAAAATACACTATGAATGTGCAGTCACGTGTAAAATTTACCGAGGAAAATTGATTCCTCGGTAATAAGATAAAAATGAAACTTATATTGTTATAAAATCCTCCCCTCTCTATTGGTTTTGATTGAAAATAATACGAGAATGACTTTATTAATTCATTCGGACTTTTTTTTCATTAGTATGGTAACCAATTCAATATAAGCGATCTAATTAAAATTCAACTCTTAAATCTATATCCTAAACTTACATTGATTTCTAAGATTAATAAAAACAGGTGATTTAATTTACATATGATCAATATTGGCATGTGCATTAATTATTACTATATAGTAGATTAATTGTATAGTATTCGATACCGCTACTTGAATAATTATCAAGGTTTTTGTAGACAAATTTAGTAGTCAATTTCATACCTCGTAATGAAATGACAAAAAGTGTCAGTTTGAGATCAAATTCAGTAACATTTCATTATTCGTACTAAACTGCACTACAAATTAATCTGTCTGAAACGGAGTTAAATTGAATATTACTTTTTCAATGTGATATTTAAAAATTAGTGGAGTATTTTATTATATATTTAATATAGTTTTTGTGTATCATATTATTTATAAATAATAATCCTATGGAACAATAATATTATATAAGAGTCAGATGCTACCAAATTAGTACATTATTTTTAAATTTCTCCATAAAAATTAAATATTCCCCTGTGAAAAATTAAAATAAATGTTAAAATTTAAATATTAATTATTCTACTTATTAAATTTATATAAAAATATCAAATTATTCCCCCAGATTTTCATTTCAAATTTTTCATTTTTTTTTTTTTTACTTCTTTTCTTTTTTTTCATCATTAGTTTTACTTATTTATTTTATACATATATATAATTTACAATTTACAATCTTAATTTAATTATTACACACATATTAACATATTCACAAATATAATATAATATAATTTACAAAAGTCAAAATGGTATTTACACAAAAAAATGTTAATTTATCAAAAGGACCTGATCCAAGAAGTTCTATTCAACAAGAAAGAGCTGCACAAAAAGTAAATGTTCAAGAATTACAATATTTCTTAGAAGGTTCAAAAGAAAGAGCTGAATTAGTTAAATCATTACAACAACAAATGGAAAGAGATCCAGTTTTATGGACTGATGGTTCATATTATGATATGTCAAAAGATCAATTAAGAGCTTTAACTGCTTTAAAAATAAATAGAGTTTCAAGATATTTAGAAACTGATTCTATTGATACTTTCAATAGAAGATTATCTTTAATTGGTGTTTTTGATCCAGCTGTTTCAACAAGAATTGGTGTTAATTTAGGTTTATTCATTTCATGTATTAGAGGTAATGGTACTTATGAACAATTAAAATATTGGGCTTTAGATAAAGAAACTGCTCATATTAAAGGTATTTATGGTTGTTTTGGTATGACTGAATTAGCTCATGGTTCAAATGTTATGGGTATTGAAACTACTGCTACTTTTGACAAAGAAAGTGATGAATTTGTTATTAATACTCCTCACATTGGTGCAACTAAATGGTGGATTGGTGGTGCTGCTCATTCAGCTACTCATTGTACCGTTTATGCCAGATTAATTGTCGATGGTGAAGATTATGGTGTTAAAACTTTCGTTGTTCCATTAAGAGATTCAAATCATGATATAATGCCAGGTGTTACTGTTGGTGATATTGGTGCTAAAATGGGTAGAGATGGTATTGATAACGGTTGGATTCAATTTTCATCAGTTAGAATTCCAAGATTCTTTATGTTACAAAAGTTCTGTAAAGTTGCCAGAGATGGTGATGTTATTTTACCACCATTAGAACAATTATCATATTCAGCTTTATTAGGTGGTAGAGTTATGATGGTTTTAGATTCATACAGAATGATTGCAAGAGTTGCCACTATTGCTTTAAGATATGCTATTGGTAGAAGACAATTTAAAGGTGACAATGTTGATCCAGATGATGAAGATGCATTAGAAACTCAATTATTAGATTATCCATTACATCAAAAGAGATTATTACCATACTTAGCTGCTGCTTATGTTATTTCTGCAGGTGCATTAAAAGTTGAATCAACTATTGGTGATACTTTATTAGAATTAGATGATGCAGTTGATGAAAATGATGAAGCTGGTATTATGAAAGCTATTGATTCAATGAAATCATTATTTATTGATTCTGGTTCATTAAAATCAACTTGTACTTGGTTAGCCGCTGAAGCAATTGATCAATGTAGACAAGCATGTGGTGGTCATGGTTACTCAGGTTATAATGGTTTTGGAAGAGCTTATAATGATTGGGTTGTCCAATGTACTTGGGAAGGTGATAACAATGTTTTAGGTATTAACATTGGTAAACCATTAGTTAAACATATAATAGCTATTGAAGAAGATGGAAAAGTTGTTAAAGGTTCATCAGATTTCTTAAATCAATTAAAAGAATATACTGGTTCAGGAGCTGATAAAGTTATTTTAAATAATGCTTCAGATATTGGTGATATTAAAAAATTCATTAAAGCTATTGAAGTTACTATTATAAGATTAGGTTATGAAGCTTCTAAAACAGTAAGAAAAGAATCATTTGATTATGCTGGTGCAGAATTAGTTATTATTTCAAAATTAAAAGCTCATCATTACTTATTAACTGAATATACTAGAAGAGTTGATGAAACAGAATATACTGATATTAAACCATACTTATACCAATTAGGTCAATTATATGCAGCTGCAGTTGTTTTAGATAAATACTCAGGATTTTTCTTAGCTTTCAATGTTGCTTCAACCAATGCTATTGCTGAATTAGCCAAAGACCAAATTCCAAAATTATGTAGAGAAATCAGACCAAATGTTGTTGGTTTAACTGATGGTTTCCAACAATCAGACATGATGATCAATGCTCCAATTGGTAATTACGATGGTGATATTTATGAAAACTACTTTGATTTAGTTAAAAACTTAAACCCACCAAAGAATACTAAAGCTCCATATTCAGCTGCATTAGAAGCTATGTTGAATAGACCATCATTAAATGATAGAGAAAGAAACGAAAAAACTTTAGAAGCTGGTGAAATTTTATCAAGATAAGTTATCTAAAGCTGGAAGAATAAATCAGTTTGATATTGATTATTTCTCTTAGTTTCTCAATTTTTATGTATATTTTAATGAAATAGTTTTGAATTTGTTTAATTTTCAATATCTTGTAGATTTCTTCTTTTTAATCATAAGAAAAAAATTTTATTAGTGCGGAATTTTGACATAATATTATTTTATCAATGGAATATTAAATTTCCGCGTTTCTACTAAACAAAACTTTAAATAATTTTTCAGTTTCGATTAACACTAAATAATCTTTTATTTTTTGAAAAGATTAATTCATAAATGTCATGGAAGAAAGTGCCGTTTAGACCAATATTGGCGAGTCTCACGGGGGCAGCAGTGATTTCAACAATAGCATATAAATATGGTCAACACTCTACAAATGCAAAATCTTCATTAAATCTATTTCCATTGACATCAACAACAAAATTAAACTCAATTGAACCACCAAAATATTGCAAAAATATCTCAAGTCATATACAGGAGTTCAAAGATTTAGGAATTGAAGTGTCAAATAGTAAACCAGATATTGAATTCCATACTGGTAATGAATTTACGACTCATAAACCATTACCTGGTGAAATCCCACAATATATTTTATATCCAAAAACAACTGAAGAAGTATCTGAAATTTTGAAAATTTGTAACAAATATTCAATTCCAGTGGTGCCATTTTCTGGAGGTAGTAGTCTAGAGGGCCATTTCCATTCTACAAGACAAGGAATAGTTGTAGATACTTCTAAAATGAATAAAATTTTACAAATTAATGATAATGATCTAGATGTAGTTTTACAATGTGGAGTTAATTGGCAAAAATTAAATGAAGAATTAAAACCCTATGATTTAATGTTGGGAACAGATTGTGGATCAAATGGACAAATTGGTGGGATGATTGCAACTAATGCAAGTGGAATTAATGCTTCAAGGTATGGTGCAATGTCAGCAAATGTAATATCAATAACTGCAGTATTAGCTGATGGAACCATTATAAAAACAAGACAAAGACCAAGAAAATCAAGTGCTGGATATAACTTAACAAATTTATTTATTGGTAGTGAAGGTACATTAGGGATTGTTACAGAAGCAGTTGTTAAAGTTTATCCTATTCCAAAATCAGAAACTGTAGTTGTTGTACAATTCCCACTGATTAAACTGGCTACTGAAACTGTTGAACAAGTATTTCGTCTGGGAATGCAACCATCAGCTATAGAGATGTTAGATGGTGATATGATACATTGTTTAAATTATAGTGGGTATACAACTGAAAAATGGTTAGAAGTACCAACTATTTTTTTCAAAATTGGAGGTATTAACGAAATAGTAGTTAATGAAAATGTTAAAATTCTTAAACAAATAACAACTAAAAATAAAGCTGAAAGTTTCATATTTGCTAAAAATAAAGAAGAAGGTGATGAATTATTTTCAGCAAGAAAAAATGCATTTTATGCAATGATTGATTGGGGTAGGAGTGAAATTGATGAAGATGTAAGAATTTGGGTTACTGATATTGCAGTACCTATATCAAGATTATCTTTTGTATTAGATACAATAAATGGATGGATGCAAAATTCCGGATTCAATTCTATAATATTAGCACACGTTGGAGATGGGAATTTCCATGCAGATATTTTCTACAAAAAGGAAAAAAGAAATGAAGTTGAACAATTAGTTAACAAAATGATCCAATTAGGTATAGAAAATGATGGGACATGTACTGGAGAACATAGTATTGGTATACTGAAAAGAAAATTTTTAACTTTGGAATTAGGTGAAGATACTATTGATATGATGAGAAAAGTTAAAATGGCTTTAGATCCTAAAAGAATTTTAAATCCTGATAAGATTTTTAAAATTGATCCAAATGATGAAGGTGCATATTGAGGTGAAAGATTAAATCAAAAAATATTTATACATATATAGACATAGAATAGACGCTGATCATGCATTCGTAGCTATTAAATTTATGAGTGTATTAATTTTATTTCTAGCCCAACTTTTATGAAGCGGCAATTGGAGAATATTTATTTCATACATACCTAGAAAGATTATGTATTAAATCCAGCTATACTGATTTGAAGAAAAATAACACGTCTATTTTTGAATTGTTAAGTGATTGCATCAACTAGGAACTTAGACTGAAACATGATTGAAATTCGACTTTATTTTTGTGAAACAAAATAAAAATTATAGTTCTGTTTCTCGAGTTTAATATAAGAATTTATATAACATGTTTCAACGTTCGTAGATATAAAAGAGAAAAAGATCATTCTGTCCTCCTTTGACCATCAAGTTAATCTTAGAATTAACTTAGTCTGAAAAGTCCTCTATTGTCTTTTACAACGGGCCCGTGAAATTCGACCTACAGCCATTATAAACACATTTGTTGTATCTAGAGATCAATCTTTCGATGTGACAAAGATTTCGAAGCATTGTAAATAGTCCATTCTTGATACAAAGAAAGAATAACTTATTGATGATGCGATAATTTCCGTCTGTAGTGGCTAGATTTTAACGGTTGACATTACTAAAATGACAAAAAAAATCAATAACTTAAAATAATAAAGAAATTTAAAGATATTGAAATTTACATATTCTTTCAGAAGGAAAGCTTGCAGAATTTATAAATCAAATTATCAAATATCGCTATTTGAAGTTCAGAAATTGTTCATCCATTTTTGTTCATCATGAAAATACATAAACTTTTTTCAATATTTTCAAAATGCTAGTAGCACGAATCGATCTGGGTATCTAAGAATCTGAAACGATTGTAGTGACCACCAGAGCTATTGGCACAAATTTCATTAAAATTCCAAAAATAGCCACCCACTTCTGAGGAATTTGACACGTGATTTATTATTAAAGTTGCTTATTCATTGAAATGTTGTCAAAAATCAAATTGAAAACTTGAAAGGCTGAAACTACCTCGGTGACCAACATGAATTCATAAACTCCGCAACTAATAGACTCTCAGATTTCATTGAATTATAATGCTGAGTCCTTCAAAAAATGGAGAAAATTAAAGTATTTGTAATTGGATAAGTTTTGTTGAAGTAATAATTTTGAATTTTGTTATCCGTTCCGTATATCATAATTTTTTAAAATTATTTTGCAACAATTTAGGAATTTTAAATTTCTCCGCAAAAGTATTTATACTTATTTGAAGTATATTATTTTTCAATTTTAAATATCCCACTCAAAAAATTTTCATTAGAACTTTACCAATAAGCTAAATGTCACAAGAAGATATAATAAAACTTTATTGGTTACCATATTCAAGAGCTCAAAGAATAGTTTGGTTATTAGAAGAATTAAATTTAAATTATGAATTAATTAAACACAAAAGGGTTCAAAGTGTAAGAGCTCCAAAAGAATTTGAAAATGTACATCCATTAGGTAAATCTCCACTTTTGGAAATTATAAAACCAAATGGTGAAAAATTTACATTGGCTGAATCTGGCTGGATTGTTCAATATTTAATTGAAAATTATGATAAGGAGAACAAATTTAAACCTGAAACTTCTCAAGATGCTAATCAAATTGGTTATTTTTTACATTATTCCGAAGGTACCATACAACCAATGCTCGTTGGATTATTAGTCAATCATGTTGCTGCAACTACTGCCCCGTTCCCAGCAAGATTTTTGGTTAAACCAATAGTTGGACAAATAAATAAAGGTTATTATGGAACAGAATTACTTAAAAATTTAAAATTCTTGAACAATATTGTAGCTGAACAAAATAAAAAAGGTTCAAATTTTTTAGTTGGTGATAAATTATCAGCTGCTGATATAATGTTATCATTTCCAATACTTAGTGCTTTTACTAGAGATGATATGTCTGATAACTACACAAGTTTGAAAAATGATTATCCTGAATTATATCAGTATTACCTAAATTTAACAAAACTTGATGGTTGGAAAAAAGCAGCAGAACAAGTCAAAGATATGCAAAAAATAGCTATTGATGGTAAATTATGAGAAATATAAAATGAACAATTGCTTATAGATTTTAGAAGGTTTTATAATTACTTAATGAAAATTTAAAATAATTTAGGTTTTAGTTGTTGCCTAAAAGTATTAAAATAATTTTGTTTCTGCTTGTTCTCAAAATGTGCTACTGAATTTTGTTTAAATGGTTTTGCAACCAACATTTCTAATGCTCAAATACATGAATAACGGTATTATTTGGTCCAACAAAATGCTATGTAGATCCCCCACATTTTAAAAATGTAAATAAGGACTTAAGAATCTCCATCGATGATATTCATGGAAGAGAAATAAGCATGCTCTTACTATTTATTATGCATTGTAACGGCAATTCTTTACCTTGTCTAAATCAAGGGTTTTTTAAACTGCAGAAAACAGTTTTGATGAATGTCCGTTCTCCTATTTATAAAAACATACTGAATTTAGTGATACATTTAAAAAAATTGAAGCTATCGAAGTACCGTTATTCGCTTACGAAAAAATTCAACGGTTTTATAACATATTTTGGATAAGTACATAAGCGATTAAAAAAATATCAAAAGTTACAAACTTGAGATGAAGTTACAAACTGCATCAAAAGTAAAAAAAAAAAAATTTAATAAAAGATGCATTTTGTATTATCAAACAAGTATTATTATCACATGCTACAAAAACCAGCAATAAAAGTTTGTGAAGTTTGTTCCAAGGTTTTGATTCATCTCAAAACGATATGTATCAGTAAATGTAGCCCTTGAGTAATTGGCCAAGATCTGAATGTTTTTAATTGTTAAAGTTTTGTTCCATGAATATTGTTTTAATTCTAACAAATCAAAACTTTAATTTCAAATATGATAAGCATCGGTTCTATGCAAGTTTGCGCTTTTTAGTATAATTCACTAAATTTAGCTTCATGTTCACCCCCTAAATCCAATTTTTTTTTAAATATCTTTACACTAACCAAGAGTCAAAAAGGTCATCTTACTGATCTTACTTGTTAGATCTTTTTATGGCTTATGTCAATTTATAACAATTGTTTCGATATTGTCGGTATTATAATCCAGCTCATTTTCATTTTTTACTCACTGGTCCAAATTTCTTCTATTTTCTCAAATTTGATAAAAACTAAAACTTTGATATTTTTTCTTGGGTCAAGAACTAGTTATTTTTTTCTTAAGAGGATGTCAACTTGTTCTGTTTGAGATTTTCTAAAAAATTTTTACAGGGAACAGTATTTTAGACTCTAAAACTTTATTCAGTTTGTATAAAATTGGGGGTCGAGTTTGAAATAATATTGAATCAAAACTCACACGAGCGTTAACTATTCTATTGTTTGACTATAATACTACAATTTAATTGTGAGAAAGTAACTTCCTTTCATCTGTCTTCAGAATGGTGCACAAAATATAAATTAGCACAAAACAAACATTTACGAACTAAAGTTTCACACAAAAAAAAAATTGTTTTTGTTTCCTTTATTTCTTTGGTCCTCTTTTTCGATCGAGTCAAAAAGATATACGAAAAATATAAGGAAACAATCACCTACAATTAACAGAAATAAAATTGGATTTAGTTTACCTGGGTATCATCATCAGATTGTGTCATTTGCAAGCGATCTCAGATCTACATTATTTTTACTAAATTTGAACAAAAGAAAAGAAAAGACATTTTAGAATAGAATTTATATTTCATCTGTTCAAACAATTATTCATCAAATTAAAACTAATAGCGAAGTGGAGAAAGTTTTTCAATATAAAGTTTTTTAATACTAAAGTTAAGCTACGTTTAACCACATTAGCTAGTGCAAGATTTTAAGATTTTATCTTTTCTCTTCTTCAACTAAACAACTTTGACTAAAAAGTCATTGATGTCTTAAAATTAAAGTTGTCCAAAATTTTACTAAAAACAACTTTAATTCAGTGAACTAGTTTCTCAAATTCACCTAATGAGTATCAACTTTTTTAGACAATTTTGTTAAGATGTAAAAATAAAGGAGATTTGATAACCGAAATTTTGAATAAAAAAGTGTCAGAAAATACTTCAAAAAGCCATAGTCCTTCAATGATTTAGTTGAATATATTTTACAAGATGTAAATCATTTTGATGAAGGGGCTCTTGAGCGTACATATAGTTTTCAATCTTCAATTAATTTAAATTTCGTATATGACGAGCTAGACCAATTATCAATTAACACACACAAAATGAATATATTAAAAAACTTAATATCAATTTAACTAAAATAAATTTAAAAACAATTTCGAAACTTTATATTTTAGGGTTTTCGTATTATTGTTTTAAAAAAATAAAAATAAATAAAAAATTAGAAGTCAAATCTATAAAAAACTATTACTTGAATTTGCGCACTACGGCACATCCATTTTGGAACTGTAATAAATTTTAATTCTTGAATTACTAAAGAGTAAGGAAGGAGATCCAACATTTATCTACTGAATTTTGTCTTATAATGCCTACCAATAAATTGCTAAGATTCAGTGTATGGATTAGTGACTAATTTTGCCATTCAAATTTTGTAATGGTTATTTGAAACTTTGATTTTAAATCGATTCTATATTAAGATTAAACTTTTTTAATAAAAAAATAAAGTAATAATCTTTAATTGAAAAAAAAAAGTATAATTTCTAAATTTATAATCACTCACACGAGCTTTAATTTTTACAATAAATTAGAAATGATAAACTCTATTGTTTTCTATTAAATGAATTAACCTAAAATCCCTTTTTTTAGATTTACACAGTTATGATATTAGTTAATAGTACGTCCAATATTTTAGTACTTGTTGTTCTAGAAGTTCTAAACTTTAAATTCGCATTAACATATTTAATACACTGGAAACAAAGATCTACACTATAATACCAATATTTTTCATTTTTACTGATTTAGACCATTAGGTACTTTAATGCCCTGAATGTTCGTTATTTGTCTAAAATAGTAGTTTGCCAAACGTTTGAGTTTCATTTATGATAAGAAACAAATTATAGTATACTTTTTTTCTGTAAATGCAAATTGAATTAATTTAAATTTGTAATTTTAGTTTTATAAATTCAAACTAAAAATTTGAATTTCATAACTAATTTAATAATTGTGCATTTTAGTAATAAATAGAAAAGCGAAATTCTGATTCTTTTAATAGCTTAAAACGTAGATCTGATCGATCCTTATGAAGAAACTGCAATTTTGACTTCAATAAATGATTAAAATCTCCTACAATTGTTTATTTGTATATTTATAAAGATTATCTGGTTATTAATGTTGAAATTGAGCTAATTAATACTGAAATTTATTTAACTGATAAAGTTGAACTAATTGAATATTTCTTTCAAGGTTACATTTTTTTTTAATATTTAAATAGTGAGAGATACTGTATATAAGTAGAGAAATAAAAAAAAAGAAATAAAAAAAAAGTTTAATTTAAAAGTTAAAAAAAAATCTATTTAATTACACAAATTCCAAATTAAGTAATTGATATTGTGATGATAAAATAAAAACTAAATTTAAAATGATTTTTCAATGGGGGGGGATAGTTAAATATTCATAATAACCATAACCATTAGGTATCTAAACTTAGAATCTTAAAACTCTATATTATTTGAAAAGGTTAAAATTAATCATTAATCATTAATATAAATACAAATGATAATCCTCCTAAATAATAAAACTGGAAAAAATTTATTAAAGATCTATCCCAAAGCGGACCAAAAATTAATCGAAAGCAAAATAAGATCATATTTATCTTATCTGAAAAAAGAATATATACGTTGAAAATAATTCATTTAGTTGGTTCCATTTAACATTTTTCACCTTCTGATTAAACATAAATTCTACACATTACAAAAAATATTCAATATATTAATTGGTCAATTTAAAAATTTAATAACTACTATCCACACCATAACTTTTAGTGAGATATACATAGGAATATATATACAACATCATATTTTCAGTTGTTTTCATTATTCAATAAATCAAATCAACCTTTGAGTATTCTACTGATTATTTAAAAATCATTTGGTTTAGTATTCAATAAATTTAAATAAACAATATTAATTTAATTTTAATTAAGTTGTGTTACATTTATTTTTAATTTATATTTTTGTGTACATATTAAATATTTTAAGAATATAATTTTACATTTTTCCACCTGAGTTTAAAATTATTTATTTATTTTAATAATCATCAATTTTTGTTTTTTTTTTTTTTACAACCACCATCAATTTATATTTTATTATTTAATTCCAATAATTATCTTTTTTATTTTGTTCATTTCAAATATTTCAATACCCCTTCTACTCAAGTTAGCTCATCATTACATAGATCAATATTAGTAAACCGTTTAGAACCATCGTTTGCTTAATTATTTTATTTTCATTTCAACTAAATTAATATTATTATTATAATAAATCAAATTCTTGGTATCATATTATTATTTTATTTTCTTCTATTGCATTGACACATTTGACATTTACTTTTTAATATTTTCATTTCATTTTAATTATACATAATCATTAATCATTAATTATTAGTTTCATAACATTTTTACTACCTGCTTCAATTATAATTATCTTTTACTAAGTCTTATCAAATTCTTTAATACTGGAGATCAATAGTTTTATACAAATTATCTTATCAATTAGCATTCATTTTTCAATCATTTATAGCATTGTATCAAAGTTTTACCTTTATCAAAACATTATTACTTTTTTCATATTAAGATTTACATTCCTTACTTTTAATTAAACACTATTCAAATTGATTTATTATACACATTATACACATCATACACATTCATCTGAAATATCAATAATTCAAATTATATATAGATGAAATTTGGAAATAACTTACAATATCTATCTATACCTGAATGGAAAAGTTATAATATAGATTATAATGACTTGAAATTCAAAATTAAAAATATAACTAAATCAAATTCGAAAGACTTGAACAAATTGAACAAAAATTTTATTGAAAATATTGATTATATAAATTTATTTATTCAAACAAAATATGGTGAATTAAATAGAAAATTTAAATATCTTGAAAGATTTTTTAATAATATAAGATCAAAAGTTTATAATGCAAATAACAATAATGCTATTGCTAGTAGTGTTGATCACAAGTCTGAGGGAGAGCGTCCCATTGCAAAATCATATGAGGATTCAGTAGATATAAAATCAATTTTAATTGAAATTGATGAACTATTTTATCAAGCGATAGAATTATCAATTATACTAAAAAATTTATCAAAATTTATATTAATTCAAAAAATTGCATTGAAAAAGATATTTAAAAAGTTTTTAAAATATTATAAATACAAACAATTGGGTACTGAATTTATTTTAAATATAAAAACCTATCTTTTGACTAATCCTCAATCATTTATAAATTTTGATTTAACCAAATTAACTTTAAAATTAACAAACTTTATTAATTTGATTGAATATGAAAGAAAATTGCTACAACATTTTGATCAAGACTATAATAGCTACAACAATCACACTCATTCTAATCAATTACATAGAAAAAACTCATTATTTTCAATAACTTCAACTTTAAATTCTTCATCAGATTATCAAAATTCCATATTACCTTCAACAAATTGTGGTAACAATAGCAACCAACAACAATTACCTACATCCCCCGGTTCATACTTTGATTTATTAACACAACTTAAGAAGAACTTTCAATGTCACTGCCTAATTCCAAATGATTTAAATAATGATGTAATAATAAATTTTAATATCTACTTAAACTTGAAATGTATTGAAGATGATTTAATTTCAGTAATTTATTTAAATCATGATTTATTAAAAGATCCGGCAAAGATTATAACAAGTTCTAAAAATTCACAATCTACAATTATTGCACCAACTGGTGGATTAAGAAAAAATTCTTATTGTATATTGGATAATGAAGTAGTAGAAACATTTTTATTACATTTACAAAATAGATCAAATGAAAATTACAAAAATAAATTATCAATAGCATTTCAAGATTCTACTCAATTAACTAAAAAGACAATCAATTTTATAGTTGCAAATGATTATTTACCAACTTCAAAATTAATTTGTAAAAGATCAAGATTTAAAATTGAAAAATTCGAGGACGAAGAAAATGAAGAGGAAGAAGAAACTCATAGTACAACAAATACAAATTTTCAAGAGGAAAATGATTATTTTATTACACTTGATAGTGAGATTTACACAACTAACAAATATAAATATATCAACACTATAGTTCTCCCAACTGATGTTGAAAAATTCGATGTTTTCCCACATAATCATTTAGGTATCTACTCTAATGATACTAATTTATTTGACTTTGAATCGTCATTAAATACAGAAGTTAATAAAAATGGTATAATCAATAATACTTTCAATCTATCAAGTTTAAGAAGATTTCCTAGAAAATTAAAATCAATATTAAATAACAACTACATTAACTTGTACAAAAAGTTTGATTTTTATCAATATCAAGTAAGTTGTTATTACAATATCATCCCAAACAATGAATTCATAAACAACCATTATACAAACTTGCTCAACTTAAATTTATTAAAAAACTTCGAAAATGTAGATATAATAAATCAACAATTAAACGAAGAAGATAACATCATAAAGAAAAAATCAAACAACATAATAAAACACAAAATGTCAATTCAATCAATTCAAAACGAACAGTTATCAATATCACAACAATGTCCAAATCAGCAAAATAGTTTTGGATCAAGTATATTTGAACAAACTCAACATGATTCTGCTGAAAGTGTATCACCACAAGAAATGAATTTTACAGAAGATGAAAATACTAATGATTTACATGATAATCAAGTTAATAAATTTTTGATTTCCATTTACAACCTTAAAAAGAAATTTTTCAACACTAATCAATCACCAGAGGAAAAACCATTACCAATTTATGAAAACCCATATTTTTATACATATGAAAATGAAGATATTGATCCATATACTAAGTTATTAAGTATAATGAATGTTAATCAAAATTATCAAAATCAAATATTTAATAATTCGACATATGATTCAATTAATGAAGAACCAATGAGTTATTTACAACGAAATGAATTCAAGAAGCAATACGAATTAAGTTATGACAAGACATTATCATATATTTATTTTGCATTAAATATCATTTCTTTATTTCTTATGGGTATACAATTAGGTATGATCTATTCAATATTCAACAATATAGATGCTGTTACTGGATCAAAGTTTTTAATTCGTGATAATTTAAGTATTTTCATTATATTAGTGTTTGGGATGATTATAAGTTTATCATTCTCTTTAATTTCAATAAATTTATTATATTATAGATTTAATTATGGTGAAAAATTTCATTATTGGATTATTTGGTTTGGGTTTGGATTTAATTTAATTGGATGTATTTGGAGTTGTTATTTATTATTAAGTCATTTTTAATAAGTTTCAATTAGTTTACAAGATTGAAAATTAGCACGGTAATAGACAATTAATTCACTTTTTATCATCAATAATAATAATTGTAGTCTTTGAAATGAATTTCTCTACTCGTTTGGCAACCAAAATATTACAATTTTCCAAAAACGCTTTCAAAAAAAATAACCAAAATTTTAAGTAAAACAAAAAGTAATACACTAGTTTAAACAAATATGACTTTACCACATATTCTCAACTAATCAATCGATCATAATGAACCATATTTGATTATTCAAATCAAGATTTCTTCAATTAGACAAATAAAATCAAAAAAAATCAAAAAAATCACTTAGACTAAAAAAACTCTCCCGGGGGCGAGTCGAACGCCCGATCCCAAGATGACTAATGGGAAAACATATTACAGTCTTGTGCTTTAAACCAACTAAGCTACCAGGAGTTAATTTCTGCAAAAAAAATTTTAAGAGCTTTCTTGAGTTTACAAACAACGCAACAATTACCGTTGTAATTTTGGCTATTTACTCATTATTATTGTACCTTAGATCTTCTCGTTTTTGCCCAAACTACACTCATACCGGAATTCATCATATTAAAAACATTAAATTTAATAATATAAATATATACTTTCATAATCAATATAAATTTTATCATAAAATTGAACTAAATTAAAACCAGAAAACAAATGAACAATGCTATTGTAGTGAACATACTCAAATCACCAAATTTTCAAACACCAAAAACCATTAATTACTCACAAACTTTATGCATCAACAGATCTATTTCTTCTCTTATTAATAAACAATAAACTGTTTCCAGAAGTATTATTTAAATTATTATAATATAAATCATTTTCAATTAATTTATTATGACCTTGATAAAAAATTTTAAAACATTGACCAAAATTAATAAGGATTGATTTAAATCCATATTTTGAAGTTGATACAATTTTTGAAGACGATGATGAATATGATGATGAGTTGGGAGTGGATATATTATTTAATGGGTAATTATCCTTTTTACCATCTGTTAACGATATTATAAAACCTTCATATTTTTCTTGTTGTATTTTTTCTTTTGAAACATTTCTTAATCTTATTGATTGTAATCCATGAGTGTGATTATTTAAATTTGGTTGTTGTTGTTTGTGTTTTTTTGGCGAGTCTTGGTTTAAAGCTGATGACGAAGTACATACTGTTGATGATGATGATGAAAATAAATTGTTGTTTGTTAATGCTTTAGGTAATTTTGATTTTAACAGTGATTGATTAATTTTGATGTAATTTATTTTTTCAAATCCAATAATCATATTTACATCTGTAACTTGCCAACATTTTAAATTTTCATACCAATATTGAGATTCATTAATAGAATTAAATCCAAGACATCTAATTTCTCTAACATCTCTTTCGACTCTTAGACATATACTATTTTTTGATCTTTTACTTTCAATTTTGTAAGTGTGTATTATTAATATACCCGAATCATCTTTATAAATTAATGATAACGAATTGATTGAAACACAACCACAAAATTTACAATGTGTTGGTTCGGAATGTGCAACTTTAAAAGAACCAGCTTTGAAATATCCAATATTGAAAGTTTTCAAAACTACTCCTGTTTGAACATCAATTAGACTTGCTGTAAAATCTTGAACTGAAACTATCATACCTAAAAAATCAAGTGGTATTAATGCAGGAGTATTTAAAAATTTTTGTGTTGGTGGTGGAATTTGTCCATTTATGAATTTTAATTTTAATTCTTTGAATATAAATTTATTGTTGATTGCTGTCCCTATTATATATTCTCCGTTTTGCTTTTTACATAATATTTTGTCATTAATTCTTGGAGTTTTTATTTTAGCAGCAGCTGATAATTTGGGGAAATTTTCAATTTTCATTGTTCCATCATCACATGATATGACTATTATTTGACCAGTTTCTAGCACTAGTATATAATCATTATTTGAATGTTTTATTTCTTTATTTACTTGCTGTTGTTGTGGTTGTTGTTGTAGTAGTGATGGTAAAGGTGGTTGTAATTGAGGATGCAGTGGTCTTCTTGATGTAGCTCTTGGAATTGTAAATGATGATAATGTAGATGGAGCTAATATTGGTGATGGAGGAGCCGGAAAATTCCCAGATTTATGATTATCTTTCATTATTTTCCTTGTTAAATAACCAGCTACAGTTTTTTTTCTGAAAAATGATTCTAACACCTTTGTTTCACGATTTAAATCATTATATATTTTAGTCCATTTTAACTTGTAGTTTTGAAAACAATAAATTATTTTTTTATTAAAATTTATTAATATTATATCAAACCCATCATCACTTATTGATATATGATTTACTGGCCAAATATTATTAGTTAATATATGTTTTTCTTTAGTGATGGGAGACCAAGCTGTAATATTATGATTGATTTCTAGTGATACAACAATTTCGCATAATGGATTGGTTTCTATCTTTATAAAATCTGAAGCTGTTGAAGTTGAAGTTGAAGATGAAGATGAAGTAGAATTTTTAAAATTTCTTAATTCAATTGAATTAAATTTTTCATTCTTTTGAAACAAATAAGAATTTTCTTCTTGATTTGATTGAGATTTTAAATTTAATCCAATTAATATTATAGATACAAGGAATATAATTGATAGTATAATTTCAATATAAAATATATTAACGGGTATATCCATTATAAAATCATATTTTGATTTATTCTATATTTTGTTTTTTTCAATTGGGGTTCTATAAGTCTTTTATTTCCTTGGTACTAGTAATAGTAATATATCTGAATGAATAATATTTAGTTGAACTAATATTTAAATGATAATTGACCTGATTTATTGTATTGAATAGTTGTGATTGATATAAAAGTAATGAATGAATAAAGAGTTTTTTCTTTTTCAATTTATATAATATTTTTTTATTAATATAAATATTATAAATTTTTTAATAATAATAATCATATTTTAATAAAACATACATTGTGCATTTCTCAAATTTAACCTTCCATTCGTTTACAAATTATCATGATACAAAGTCATTAATAATACTAATATTCTATTGTTTTTTGTTTGTATTGTGTCGACGGAAATGACTTAAACGTATGTCATGTTTGATTAGAACTAGACTAAGGCGAACATCAATTTATATTTTTATTTAAGCTAGAAAAGATTACTTAGTATTTATAAATATCAGTCTTTAGTTTAAAATGTTTTGTTATTAATCGTATAAGAATTTTAATGATTAATAAAAATTAGGGTCCCCTTTTTCTATTCATTATCAACGGATAAATTATCAATCGGAATATTAAAAATAACAAACAAAACTATTATACTAAGCTTAAGGGGCAATTAGACTAAAATTTTTTATTGTTATTAATTTGATCATGGTTATAATTAATAATATCAAATTAGAATGATGATTATAAAATATTATTTATGATTTAGTAGGTGGAATTATAATAAATCAAGTCCGGAATCATAATACTAAGATTAATGAAATATTTTATCATCATGTTTAATAATTTATCCATTGCTCTTCATGGTTGCAAAACCATCTCTGATATATTTTATTTTTTATTAGACGACGTGGATTAAGCGCTTGACTTATACTTTCTTTACTGTTTTTCAATTGCCGACATATGATAAATAAAAACTTCCATTTTATTAAAGTATGACAGATCATTTCTAATTTCTATGACTTACTTGCCTTGAGAACGTATAAAACTTTGATTTAAGATCATGTGGTTTTTCTACACTTTCTTTGATTAATTGATTTTTTACTCGTAATTGATTCCATTTGGATGAGATTTTTAAGTAAGCAAGCTGCCAAAATTCATAGGTGATAACCTACATGATGAACTTGCTACATGATAGACTTGCTACATAATGCTCAATAGTTGCATTATTGTTTAATCTCCTGATTGCATCAATTACTGGCTAGGGCTGTCATCAAAATCTACATCAATATTAATAAAAGTCTTAATAAATCTATTGTTCTATAATAAAATCTATATCTATAACCAGATCTAAACTACGGAAAAACCCACTAAATCTAATCATTGAAATTATTAAAATCTGGATCACAAGTTCTAACAACACCATCTTTTTCAGATAATTTATTTAATTTTTCAAAATCTTCATCTTCTAAAACAAATGTCTTATTATTTGAAATAACTCTTGATTCAGTTACTGATTTAGGTAATACAACTGTTTTTCTTTGAATAGCCCATGAAATTAATACTTGAGCTGGTTCAACTTGATATTTTTTAGCAATTTCAACTATAGTTGGATTTTTAAATAATGGAGAATCTGATGAACCTAATGGTGAATAAGCTTCTAAATAAATATTTTTTGATTTTAAATAATCTACAAGTTCTGGTTGAGTTAATAATGGATGAGCTTCAACTTGATTTACAGCAGGTACAATATCAACTCCTTCTGAATTTAATAATTTTTCTAATTTTTTTATAGTAAAATTTGATACTCCAATAGCTTTAACTTTTTTACCTTCTTTATAAATTTTTTGTAATGATCTCCAAGTATCAACAAATGTATGATCATCATATGGTTTTTTGGTTTCTGGATTTGTTGAAACTGGCCAATGAATTAAATATAAATCAACATAATCTAATTGTAATTTTTTTAATGATTCATCTAATGCATTTTCAACATTTTTATGTTCTGAATTCCAAAGTTTAGTGGTGACGAAGATATTTTTTCTATCAACATTTGCAGCTTTTATACCCTCTAGAGATGTAAGTGTTAGTAATTTGAGCTAATTAATCTACAAATTTTAATATTCCCAATTGATTATTCTTCACATACCTCCTACTTCTTCTTCATTACCATAAATAGCAGCAGTATCAATATGTCTATAATGACCTTCAGTTAAAGCAGTTTTAACTGAGTTTTTAGCAGCATCTTTTTCAGTTGCTCTCCATGTACCTAAAGCAACGGCTGGGATTTTATGACCATTATTTAAAGTAAATTCTGTAGTGTTAAATTCTAATTTAGCTGCCATTGTGTATTATTAATTTGTTTAATTGAGTGATTGAAATTGAACTAAGTGATTGAAATGTAATTGAGTAATTCTGTTGAAAAATGGTTAGCCTGAAAATTGTGGGAATTTGAACTATTTATATAAAGGTATCAAACGGAATAAACTATAAAATGGTGGGGGATTTAAGCTACCAAATTCTTGCATGTGTGGCAATAGTTAACTATTGTTCAGTTGTTGATTTGTAGTGTATAATTCAACAACATAGCAAATTGATATATTATTCACTAATTACATCATTGAATGTAATTAGTAATCGATCAACCGTTGTAATTACTCCGCGTAATGTCTCAAGTTTGACATATTTAAATTGTGCTATTGTTTTTGCTCCAGCTTTGAGCCACTTACTCAATTGGCATTTGAATCGCTCTGAGATTGAACAGGTATTTTGGTCAGTAAAGTGAAAGCTAATTACAAATGAGTAAATACCAGGGTCAATTCTGCTAGCTTTGTCTTTCCTCACTCTAATGATGTAAATGGAGTTGAAACACTTGATTTTGAGCAATTCATTGCTTATCTTGAATATCAAACAGCCAATTCTAGCGAACTGAGCCACAAGGAAAATTAACCTCAAGCTATAATTCTATTTATATCACTCAAATCTCAAACTTTGATATAATTTCCTTCAACCATTTCGACTTCTCAATTTTTTGCAACCATTTTCAAATTTTTTAATAGTGTCGTGTGAATTTAATTAAGAAAAAAAGGTTGAAAAAAAAAATAATTAAAGAACTTTCAAATTATCATCAAAAAATCGAATCAATTCCACAACATGGATTCACCCTTGAAAACTACTTTAAAAGCCCGTTTGAGTGCTTATTTGGTTACTGCATCAGATTACAAGCGTCAAAGAAATAGAATTAATAAAAAATTATTAAAATTACGTCATGATTTGAGTATAATCACGAAGAATACTAAAGAATATAAACCAAAATCCATAACAACAGACCAATATAAGGATAATAGTAAATATGGATTAATTGAATTATATTTAGCAGAGAGAGATTTATTATACGCTTATGAAATTAAAGCCAAATTAGATATAAATAATGAGAAATCATCTTCATATGCAACATTATTGAAGACTAAAATCAAAAGAGCATTAAATCATGCTGATAATTTAATAAAATTAACTGAAAATGAAACAAACCCAGTACGCATTGAAGTCTTTATATATGCATCATTAATTGCCGGACAATTATCAATCACAAGAAAACAATGGTCAAAAGCATTAAATGCATACTCAATTGCAAGATGTTGTTTGGAGTATTTAAAATCAACTAACACAGACTATACAGATTTATCTAATGAATTAATTGAAAATACTATTGATCCTGCATTGAATTTAACAGCATCACAATTGGATTTAGGCAGTGATTTGAAATCCTTGTCTAGAAAATACTGTCATGAAAATAATTTTCCAGAAATATCACCAGTACTTCAACTCATTGATTCAAATTTTACAAAAGAAATACCAACTACGGAATTACAAAAAGAAATTGAATGGAGAGGTCATACTGCAGAAATTTATAATGATGAAGTAGCTTACAAAATTCAAGAATTAACAAATAACAAAGAATGGTTAAAATCAAATGATACAAATCAATTTGACCATATTATTGCTGCATGGATCGAAATTTTGGAGTTGCATAAACAAGATACTGAAAAAAACCAAGATGATGATGACTTAGATCAAGTACAAAATAGAGCTATATTGTTAACTTATTTAAATTACAATTTATTGTTTACAAAATTGAAAAGAGATTTGTTATTAATTGGTCAATTAGTTTCAAAAAACAATATTGAAGACAAGAGAGATATAATAAAATTGTTTTTGGGAGTTATTAAGTTGGTTGATGAGTTAAATGAATTACCAGGTGTTTACAATGATGAAGATTTAAGTTATTCATTACAACACTTGAAAGAATTTTTCGAATATCAAAAGGATTCAGTAATAGCGGAAGCATATCAATATAATAGTAAATTTGCCGAGAGTTTGAAAATATATACATACATTGACAACAAATTATCAGATGACGATATTAGAGAGTTTTATAAAGTTGATTTCCCATTTGATGTAAGTACTAAAGAAGAAGTTGCATTTTTCAAAGTTAATCTCAAGAAGAAAATATTACAATCACAAATAAGTTCACAATTTGAAGAAAATAAAAAATCAGCATGTTCTAAATTTGCAATTGAAAATTTAAATAAATATCCTGAAGGTTTAAACATATTTAATATTAATGAAATTGAACCAATCTTGTGTAAACCAGTATTATTTGATGTTGCATTCAATTACATAAATTATGACGGTGAAGTCAAGGGAGCTATTGAAACTAAGCCAGTACAACCAGTGAAATCAGAGCAAGCAGTTGAACATGAAATTGAAGGTAAGAAAAGTAGATTTTTTGGTTTATTTAGTGGTAATAAATAATAGTTGACTAGTTTGTGTAAAAAATACGTAATAAAATATAATTTTTCAACTTTTTTCTCTGTAGTGTTTTGAATTTTTTAACTTAACAAGTTATTTGTTGTTCATGAATAAATTAGTAACATTAATAATATGTGTTATTGGGTTATATAGTACATTTTTAACTTGGTCAATATTACAAGAACGTATAAACACTAAACCATATGGTAACAATGAATATTTCAAATCACCATTAATTATAAATATCGTCCAAGCTTTGTTAGCTTCAATAGTGGGATTAATCTATAATAATGTAACCACTAAAAAGTCACCGTTCGGAGTGCTAACACAACCTGGAGTTTTCAAATCAATGATTTTGATATCAGTATGTTCAAGTATTGCATCACCAATTGGTTATAAATCACTAAGACATTTAGATTATTTAGCTTACCTTTTGGCAAAATCTTGTAAATTAATTCCAGTTATGTTAGTACATTTCATATTGTACCAAACTAAATTTCCATTTTACAAATATGCAGTTGCTGGGTTGGTTACTTTGGGAGTTACAATTTTCACATTGGCTCATTCAAAAGAAACAACTAAAATAAATGATGGAAACACTAAATTAGGATTAATTTATTTAATTGGAAGTATGTTACTTGATGGATTTACAAATTCAACTCAAGATCAATTATTTAAAAAGAATAAAAATTTCACAGGTGCAAATTTAATGTGTATTTTGAATTTATTCATATTTGTAATAACTTTAGGGTACGTTGTAATTTTCCAATTTGATGAAATTACAAAAACTTTAACATTTGGTTCAAATTATCCAGAATTTGTATATGACTTGTTAATATTTGCAGGTTGTGGAGCTATAGGTCAAGTTTTTATTTTTATAATTTTGGAGAAATTTGATTCAATCATATTAATTACTGCTACTGTTACTAGGAAAATGTTAAGTATGATATTAAGTGTTTTCTTATTTGGTCATTATTTAAATGTTAATCAATGGATTGGAGTTTTGTTAGTTTTTGGTGGGATTGGATATGAAGCTTTTGTTAAATTAAATCAAAAGAAAAGTAAAATTGAATAGATATTAATAGATTTGTAAAACAATACGATTTTAAAATAATTTGTATATACAAAGTTCGAGATCTCTCGCTAATTTTATTTTTAATTATATGAATTAATGCCAAAAAGCATTAGCCACCAATGCCAATACAATGACTATTCTTCAACAAAATACGTTCGTACTATCATGTGAAAAATGGTGTTGCATATTCGCATCCTTATTTCCCAAAGTATTTTGTACTTTGGTGTTAACTTGGTCAGCAATAGCAATGATGATAACTATGCCAAAATATATTGAATCCAAAATTTTATTAGTAATTGAGTTCGTTGTGGTCAATTCACTTTATTTATTGAGTATTATAACATATTATAGAATTATATACAACGGTCCTGGATCTCCTTTAGACTATCCACAATTAAGATTAAATAATTCAGAAAATCCATTTGATTCAAATCATCAACCAGCACAAAAACCACCAGAATTTATGACAATACACACATTAAAATTAAATCAAGGTTTTAGATATTGTAATAAATGTAAATGTTGGAAACCAGATAGAACTCATCATTGTTCAAGTTCGGGGAAATGTATACTTAAAATGGATCATTATTGTCCATGGTTTTCTACATGTATTGGGTTTTTCAATTATAAATTTTTCATACAATTCTTATCATATGTTGCTATATATTCATGGATTATATTGGGCATTACGATATATATAATTTATAATTTGTTGGTTACTGAAAAATACAAAGACGAATACTTAACTATTAATTTAATATTATTATGTGTTATATCGTTTACATTTGCATTAGCAGTGGTTTTTTTTGTATGTTTTTCATTATATCTAGTCTCAAAAAACTTATCAACTATAGAATTCCAAGAACAAAGATGGAATTATAGAGGTGGAAACGTTTATGAATTTGATAGAAACGGTAAACAAAAAAGATTGGCCAACATTTTTGATTTAGGTGTTAGAGAAAATTTCAAACAAGTATTTGGTGATTCTATTTTGGAGTGGATTTTACCAATTGATATAAATTATAAAATTGCTAATGCAGGTTTTAAAAATGGGATTAACTTTAAAGTTAATGAAGATGTTTATAAAAGATGGTGTGAGAATGCTGAATTACAAAATCAATTAAATGATCAATTGGCTGAATATAAAAATAGAGTCAGAAGAGAAAGGGAAGAATATGTAGTATAAGAGTAAATTGAAATCCATAATAGGTTCAACATTTCAAGAGTTTAGTTTACATTTCAAATTCCTTTAAATTTGTCATTATTAATACTACTTATAGCTCCATTTCTTCAGCACCAAAAGCACCACTTAATTCATCATCACTATCTATTGCATTATCACTCATGTTCTCATTATGTTGTTCTCTTAAGGCCGCTAAACTTGTACCTGAACCTCCACCGACAATTCCACCAATTACTGAAGATCTCTTTTGTGGAATTATTGGTTGATTATTTCTATCATATTCATCTTCTTCATCTTCAAAATCAACATCGAAAAAATCTTCGCTAGTGCCCGTTACTCTTTGATATATTGATTTGACATCAGTTATTATACCATCATAAGATAATTCCGCACTTGGAGTATTTGTGAAAATAATTTGATCTTGTGCATCCGGCACATCTTTCAAAACAATGTTATTTTCTTTAGTTGGTTTAAAAATATTTGATAAATCATTTGATATAAATGTCTTTTCAACATATCCTAGTTTACAAACAACTTCAAGTTTTTCATTTGGTACAAAATTTTGTAAATGTGAACCTAATTTGAATGAGTTGGCTAATACTGGAGTTCCTTGTTGATTCAATATAAAATCGGTTTCATCCAATAGATCATCTATATCATTTGAAGTTTCTCTTAATAGTGATGCTTCCATTTTTGAATAAGCTGATTCTAAATCTCTTTTAGCACGGCTTAAATCCTGTTCAACAGTTTGACTAAACCATATGGATTGATTTTCAGGACAGACCCCGGAATTACCATTTTGGATCATTACTTGTACTGAATACTCATTATCTGTTGGTAAAGAATGTGGTGGAAATACAACTATTGCCAGTGATTCGTTAGGTGACATCCATTCTTTACAGTCACGTCTAACAACTGTGACTAATCTTGTTACATAATGAGGTTTTAATTGATCCGTTATTTGACTATAACTTGAACTCAAAAATTTTGGTAATTGTGTTGGTGAAACTATTATTTTTTCATTAATTTTAATGTGGGACCCATCATCAAAATGAGCGATTTTTGATACCGGATCAAAATCAACTAGACTAGTGTTTAATTTATAAGTTGTACCTGCAACTGCTGCACTTCGACAAAATCCTTGTGCTAATTCACCTGGCCCACCATATTTTGATACCATACATGGGAATTTACCATAAACATCAAATGATGAAAGAAATCTTTTGATTTTTATAAGTGCTTCCTTAGTGCTTATTTGTTCTTTATATGATAATCCAATTGAATATACTAACTCATTTATTTGAGGATCTTCCAATTTAAATTCTTCTTTTAAAAATTGTTGTATTGGTTGATTAGGTTTTGAGATTTTTGACTTATAATCTGGATCCATCAAAATAAATTTTAAAAACTTCATCAAATTTCTTTTAGTTATTAAACTTAAGGACTTATCAATGAAAATATCTTGTTTTGTAGTTGAATTAATCTTTTGCTGGAAATCATCATTTTCAAAAACATGGAAATTCGATAATGATTGAAATTCCAAATATCTATAAACTCTTGATTTTACTAATAAACTTAATAAATCTGATTGACAAAACATTATCTTTGGTGTTAAATCAATACCATAATCTTTTGAATGAAATTGATTATTTAATTTACCTCCAGGTATATATATTTGAGCTTCTTGAAAATGTGGAATTTTATTTGTATTTACATCTGCACACCATTTTTTCAATTGTTCGATTGTCATTGTTGAAGTTGAATCTCCATAATATGGTTTATTATCTATATGTAATACTTGAGTATTTTGCCATGATAAAGAAGCTGCTAATATACTTTCTTGTAATCCTGTACCTATGATTAATACGTCACAATTATCCATTTTTAAATATTGGTCTTGAGGTTTCTCCAATCCGGCTAGATGTGGAATAACTGGTGGTGTATATGTTGTTGATGGTCTACGTTCAGCCATTGACTTTCGTCTTTCTGATCTTTGAAAACTCATTAGCTGGTGATTGTGGTTGTGTTGATAAAAAATTATTAAAAAATTTTTTTTTCTTTTATTTTATTTTATTAATTAATTTTTTTTATAACGTTTTTTTCTTTTCGGGAGTCATGATATGAAGGGTTCATTATTGTTAGCTTGGCAAGTTAAGGATAAACATTGTTTGGTAATTGGGTCAGGAGATGTTGCATTATCTAGAATAAATCATTTAGTAATAGCTCAAGCAAAGATTACAGTTATATCAGGTGATGGACACATTCATAAAGAGATCTTAGATTTAGCTAAAACTGGGGAAATTACATTGCACAATAGAAATTACAAAGATGAAGATTTGAAAATGTATGAAAAATTGGAACCACAATTGGATTTTAAAAACTTAAATACTACAGCTTATTCCGCTATAAGTCAATTAGTTGACGAAACTTTTGCTTGTGTTTTATGTTGTATTGATGATTATGAATTGAGTGCAAAAATTTATTATCAATGTAAATTGTTGAGGTTACCAGTTAATATTGCAGATAAACCACCATTATGCGATTTTTATTTTGGAAGTATGATCAATCAAGAAAGTTTACAAATAATGATAAGCACAAATGGTAAGTCACCAAGATTATCAAAACTAATAAAAGATAATATTGCAAAACAATTTGTTGGAGTAGACTTGAATAATGCTATAGAAAATTTGGGATTAGTTAGAGCTAGATTAAGGGAATTAATATTGGTAGATGACGATCTAGTTACAATAGATACAAGAATGAACTGGATTAAAGCATTGACTGATTTTTTCACAGTAAAAGAATGGAGTTTACTACATTTAACTCAAAATCAAGCTGATAAGATCATAAAATGTTTTCCTGATTTTCCACCTAAACAATACGATGAATTTCAAACCTATATATCTTCATGAATAAATAGTTTAGAACCACCACCACCAACATACTCTCCGACTATATGCCCATCACCCTTTAATTGATATTGATAACTCATTAAACCTTCTAATCCCACTGGACCTCTTGCATGAATTTTATTTGTACTTATTCCAACTTCTGTACCAAAACCGTACCTGAAACCATCAGCGAATCTTGTTGAAGCATTCCAGTAAATACCGGCTGAATCTATACTTTTTAAGAACTTGTTGGCAGTTGGTTCATCTTCCGTTATTATACATTCAGTATGTTTTGATGAATGTTCATTTATATGTTTAATAGCTTCATCAGCATCATCTACTAATTTCACGGATATATCAAATGAAAGATATTCTTTATCAAATGAGTCATCTTTAGCATCTTTTACATATTCTGACTCTATAAGTTTTAAATCTGGGGTAACATGAGCTGTAACTTTGTTATCGATCAATGTCTGTAAAATTTCTCTCTGTTCTTCTTCTGGAATATTTTTATTGATTAGTAATTGTTCCACAGCATTACACCCAGCTGGATAATTTGTTTTAGAATCAACAATAATTCTTTTAGCTTTTACTATATCATAATTTGAATCAACATAAATTGAGCATATACCATCAGCATGACCTAATACTGGAATTTTTGTATTTGATTTTATATGACGCACTAATTCATTTGATCCTCTTGGAATTACCAAATCTATGTATTTATCCTGATTTAATAAATCTGCAACATCCTCTCTACTTTCGATTAATTGAATAGCTTTTGATGGAACTTTAGTATTTGATAATGCTTTATTTACAATTCCACTCATAACTTTGAATGTTTGATACGATTCTTTACCACCTTTCAAAATTGCAGAATTTCCTGATTTAACTGCTAATGCGGTAATATTTGCAATAACTTCTGGTCTACTTTCAAAAATAATTAATAAAACTCCAATTGGTGCAGTAACTCTATAAAGGTTTAATCCATCATCTAATTTTTTAGCTAATGTAATTTTTCCTACTGGATCTGGTAAATTTGCAACATCTAATATTCCTTGAAGCATAGAATCAAATTTTCCACCCTTTGATAAATCAAGTCTCTTGATAAGTGATGATGATAAATTTTGAGTTTCAGCATTTTTCAAATCGATTTCATTAGCTTGGAGGATCTGTGACTTATTTTCTTTTAAGGTGTTGTAAATTTCTTGTAATGCCTGTGATCTTTCTTCATTGGAAAGTGTTTTTAATTTTGAGAAAGAAAGGTTAGCATCTTTGGCAATAGTTTCACTTGACATTTTGATGGTGTGTTAGTCATAAGAAAGTGACAAAAAAAAATATAAAATCGCATATTTGACAGATCAATGTTTAAGCTTAGTCTCAAAACAACATATTAAATTTCGTTTCGAGGTTGATAAGAATTAAAATGTACTAAAGCATTCTTGTAATATTCTAACCTCTTCGTTCTACAATTACACTTCTATTTATAGATCTTCAAGTACGGTGATATTTTTTTGCAACACGAATTCTTATATTTTTATTTTTCTGCAACAAAAAAACAAACAGTAAGGCACAGTTAATCAATCAAATGTCAAAATCAAAACCTAACCCATTTGAAGATGAAAGTGCTCTAATAGACTTGGACCTAAATAGCTTTGATCCTCAACATCATTATCCACAACACACGCTAAATAATCCATTCAATGATCGATTTGTAATATCAGACGATGAAGACGAAGAAATAGAGGAAAGACCAATAATTACACCATCAAAACCTAGACCTACAAATTACAATCCATATGGAGATGAACCTTCTAAACCTACAGAAAAACCACGAGATTTTGACATCACCCATTTGTATCAAAAAATCAAAAGTAAACTAACGGGCAAGAAAACCCCCAAAATAGAATCAAGAAAACCTAGAGAAATATTCATAATGGATCATGCAGCCAACTCATCTTTTGGATATTTTGGAAATCATATATCAACTACCAAATATAATATAGCAACTTTTTTACCCAAATTTTTATTTGAACAATTTAGTAAATATGCAAACTTATTCTTTTTATTCACATCAATTATACAACAAGTTCCACATGTATCACCGACAAATCGATATACAACTATAGGTACATTGATAGTAGTTCTATTTGTTTCAGCAGTTAAAGAAATATCAGAAGATTTGAAAAGAGCAAATGCAGATAAAGACTTGAATAATACAAGAGTTTTAGTGCTAGATCCAGCACTGGGTGATTTTGTGCTGAGAAAATGGGTAAAAGTTCAAGTTGGAGATGTTGTTAAAGTAAATAACGAGGAGCCATTCCCAGCAGATTTGGTACTTGTGAGCTCTTCAGAACCAGAGGGACTCTGTTACATAGAGACTGCAAATTTAGATGGGGAAACAAATTTAAAAATCAAACAAGCCAAACAAGAAACCTCCACCCTAAAAAGTCCTTCAGAATTGATAAGAGGATTAAGTAATGTTGAAATTTTATCAGAACAACCAAACTCATCATTATATACATATGAAGGTAATTTAAAAAATTTTGAACATGGTCCTGATATTCCTTTGAGTCCTGAACAACTACTTTTGAGAGGTGCCACATTACGTAATACACAATGGATTAATGGTATTGTAATATTCACAGGTCATGAAACAAAATTAATGAGAAATGCAACTGCAACACCTATAAAAAGAACAGATGTTGAAAGAATTATAAATTTACAAATTATTGCATTATTTTGTGTTCTTATTGTGTTAGCTCTAGTTTCATCAATAGGAAATGTTATCAAAACAAAGGCCAGTAGTAGTGATTTGGGTTATTTGTACTTAGAAGGTACATCAATGGCAAAATTGTTTTTCCAAGATTTATTAACTTATTGGATTTTATATTCAAATTTAGTTCCAATTTCTTTATTTGTTACTGTGGAGTTAATCAAATATTATCAAGCTTTCATGATTGGAAGTGATTTAGATATGTACTATGAAGAAACTGATACACCTACTGGTGTTCGAACATCATCGTTGGTGGAAGAATTAGGTCAAATTAATTATATTTTTAGTGATAAAACAGGTACATTGACAAGAAATGTTATGGAGTTTAAATCTTGTTCTATTGGTGGTAGATGTTACATAGAAGATATTCCAGAAGATGGTCATGCTCAAATTATAGATGGTATTGAAATTGGTTTTCATACATATGATGAACTCAAGTCAGATGTAATGAATACAAATTCTCAGCAATCCGCAATAATTAATGAGTTTTTAACTTTGCTTAGTACTTGTCATACAGTCATACCTGAAAATACTGAAAACGGTACAATAAAATATCAAGCTGCATCTCCGGATGAAGGTGCGTTGGTTCAAGGTGCTGCAGATTTAGGATACAAATTCATAATACGTCGTCCAAAAACAGTAACAATTGAGAACACAATTACCAACAATCAATCAGAATATGAATTATTGAACATTTGTGAATTCAACTCCACAAGAAAAAGAATGTCAGCTATATTTAGATGTCCAGATGGTGTTATAAGATTATTTTGTAAAGGCGCTGATACAGTTATTCTAGAGAGACTTTCCAAAAATGAACCACAACCTTTTGTTGAAGCTACCTTAAGACATTTAGAAGATTTTGCTGCTGAAGGATTAAGAACACTTTGTATCGCTTCAAGAATTATACCAGAACAAGAATACAATGAGTGGGCTAAAAAATATTACATTGCCTCTACTGCATTACAGGATCGTGGTGATAAAATGGATGAAGTTGCTGAAACAATTGAAAACAATTTATTTTTGTTAGGTGCTACTGCAATTGAAGATAAATTACAAGATGGAGTACCCGAAACAATACACACATTACAAAGTGCAGGCATCAAAATTTGGGTTTTAACTGGTGATCGTCAAGAAACTGCTATAAACATTGGTATGTCTTGTAAATTATTAAGTGAAGATATGAATTTGCTAATAATCAATGAAGAAACTAAAAATGACACCAGATTAAATTTACAAGAAAAATTAACTGCTATACAAGAACATCAGTTTGATGCTGATGATGGATCTTTAGAATCTTCATTAGCTTTGATTATAGATGGTCACTCATTAGCATTCGCTTTGGAACCGGATTTAGAAGATTTGTTTATTGAATTAGGTTCAAGATGTAGAGCAGTTATATGTTGTCGTGTATCCCCATTACAAAAGGCATTGGTGGTAAAAATGGTGAAACGTAAAAAGAAACAATCTTTGTTGTTGGCTATTGGTGATGGTGCGAATGATGTTTCAATGATTCAAGCTGCTCATGTTGGAGTTGGTATCAGTGGTATGGAAGGTATGCAAGCAGCAAGAAGTGCTGATATATCTATCGGACAATTCAAATACTTAAAGAAATTATTGTTGGTGCATGGTTCTTGGTCATATCGTCGTATTTCGAACGCCATTTTGTATTCCTTTTACAAAAACATTGCATTGTACATGACTCAATTTTGGTTTGTTTTCACGAATGCATTTTCAGGTCAATCTATTGCAGAATCATGGACTTTAACTTTTTATAATGTTTTATTTACTGTTTTACCACCGATTGTTTTAGGTGTTTTTGATCAATTTGTTAGTGCGAGATTATTAGATAAATATCCACAATTATATCAATTAGGTCAACAAAGAAAATTTTTTAATGTTCCAGTATTCTGGAGTTGGATTATCAATGGATTTTATCACTCTGCTGTTATTTTCATTTGTTCATTTTTTATTTATAGGTATGGTAATGTTATGTCTAATGGTTTAACTACTGATAATTGGAGTTGGGGTGTTGCTGTTTATACAACTTGTACTTTAACTGCTTTAGGTAAGGCTGCTTTAATTGTTACTATGTGGACTAAATTTACCTTGATAGCAATACCTGGATCTTTTATATTTTGGTTATGTTGGTTCCCTGCTTATGCAACTATTGCACCATTGATTAATGTATCTGATGAATATAGAGGTGTTTTAAGTAAAACTTATCCTTTATTAACATTTTGGGCAATGATATTTGGTGTTTCTACTTTATGTTTACTAAGAGATTTTGCTTGGAAATTTTACAAGAGACAAATGGACCCAGAAAGTTATCATTATGTCCAAGAAATTCAAAAATTTAACATTCAAGATCATAGACCAAGAATGGAACAATTCCAAAAAGCTATAAGAAAAGTAAGACAAGTTCAAAGATTGAAAAAAATTAGAGGTTATGCTTTTTCACAAGCTGAAGGTCAAGATCAAGATAAAATTGTTAGATTATATGATACAACGAAAAGAAGGTAAATTTTATAGTGGTATTTATTTAAATTTAATTTATTTTAATTTATTCAAATTGAATTGTTCTTGTATTTTCAATAGAACTTCTTCATATTTTCTAGCCATCTGGGAAGCATTAGAGCATCATATAGAAAGCTCTGCTCAAATTAGTTTTTTTAATGTTTTCAATATTGTCAGATCTTAATTCCCATTTCTAAATCACACTTTCATATAATTATTATATCGTTCTCCTTACATTGACCTTCCACAAAAATAGTCTTAATTGTATAACAGGTTTTGTTTTTCTCGTTGAGTAATTGTTGCAAAAGATTTTAAAACGCATAAATAAAGTAATGAATATCATACGTATTTCACATTATTTGTCCCTTCAAAATAGTTCTCTGATAATTTTATTTTTTTTTAAGCACATACAAGTACCTCGTAACTACAGCCTGCATATAAGAAACAATCTGAAACACATGATTTAACAGTACAAACTTTAAGATTCAGTAAAATTTTCAATAAAGTTATGAAACAACTTGCCTTATTATTTCACTTCTAGCTTTTTTTTGTGAAAAAAAAACTAGATGCAATGATTTTTTCATTATCATCAATTAATCGTTTGTAATGAATAATTCATTCTTGCAAATATAAGTCAGTCTTAACAACACTCGAATGAAAATGTAAGTGAAATTGTAATTTATGTCCATTGCTCTTAATTTTTTAAGCAAAATACTTCAATATTTTTAGATGCTAATTAAGAACCAATAATATTAAATTATTTTTCTTTTCAAGTTATCAGATCCAATTTTATAAGTATCCATGATTAATAAAAACACTATACATTAACATAAGACTATGAAGACACAACTTAAAACAAAGAGTAATGAACTTAATAATAGAGCTTGTAATTAAATACTTAATTATTTATTAAAAAATAACTATAGAATCTAAAAATTAGTTAAATTAGTTTGAGAAGGATTCTAATAAGATGTTTCTTTCATCAGAATCTGAACCCCAGTTTTTGACAACAACACATGAAGCACCAACAACTTTTCTAGCATTACCTTCTTGATCTAATTTACATAAACCAGCCCATTCACCTAATTGTTTAGCATCTGAAACTTTGATTAATGGAATTTTTTCTTCTGGTTCATTACAAAGAGCTTCAATTAATTTAATAATTGAATCTTCAGTTACAGCATCACATAAGACACATAATTGAGCTTGACCTTGAGAAAGAGCTTTTGAGGCTTCTCTTAATCCACGAGCAAGACCATCATGTACTAAAGAATTTCTTAAAACAACTTTAAGAGCATCTTCAATGCTGACTGAAGAAGTTTCAACTGCTGGTGCAGCTTCTTCGTGTTGTGGGATTTCTGAATCTGACATTGATGAAGTTAATAATAAATGATTTTAAAAATGATATTTAATCGAAATAGTTCAAAATATAACTATATATTTGTCGTTACTATCTGTGATGATTTAAATGTACTAAAAAAAAGGTATATGAAAAATTTCACTGAGTCTTGTAGACTTAAATTACGCAAATATCGAAGAAGCACTACCAAATTGCGCGATGATGTTTACCGGAAAAATATCAAGAAAAATTGATGTTTGAAACAGTTCAAGTCAACATATTCCATAGCTAGCAACAGCCGTAAACTGTCTGTAAGCATAACCACACTCAACATGAGCATTGTAATAGTAATACAAATGCTACTATGTCTATACAAGCCCCTGAATAGCTCTTTTACTTACTTGTTAAAAAATCACGTGCAAAGTACTAGTTTTAGGGCAAAGCCTTTTTTTGAAGTCGTGAATTAAGAGTTACAACATTTAATGTTTTGACAACACTTTTATGAAGTAAATGGCTGCTTTTAAGAAGTAAGTGAAAGGCATATTTAATTTGTTTTGTCCGATTTCCAGATATTAGAGGACGTAAACTTTCTTATGGAAGGGCGATATATAGAAAAGTCACCTTGTAAAAGTAAAATATGTAAATTTATCATGAGATGTTTGGTATTTTGCAGCAAAACGTAGATAAATACTTCTAGACTCTATTTTCAGGAACTTGAAGTTTAATAAATAGCATCTACCCTTATTAAAAGCGAAAGTTTTATTTATTATTCTCCAGATACATTGCATGGAAGACGGAAACTAATGTAAATAACCAGAAAGAGACGGAAAATGAATTATCAAGTCAAAGAAAATACAAAACATGAGGCGAATGCTTTACATAAGGATTTAAGTTTTTAATTCCAATTGGGGCTAATACATTTTTTGATTGCTTTCAAATCGACACTAAAATGTTTCCCCAAATTGTTTTAGTACGGTGATTTAAAACAATGTACGTAAAAATAATTATTAGCGTAAATAATTTACTATATAATTTGGACTGTTTTAACATTTCATACAGATTTCTATTGTCAATTATGCATTAAATCTAGCAACTTACTTCAAAAGTTATTCCCTGATTTGGATAAGTCATTTAATCCATATATGATAGAATAGAATAACATGAAGGGTTCCAAGTTGTATAAAACCGATTCAAAAATACGTTTTTATCTAGTTATGCTTCAAACCAAAAAAGGTCCACATTAATCGTAATGAGGTACTTACATATACTAATACAATTTTATATATTCTCAGTAGTGTTAGCATTATGGCCATTTCAAAACGAGGATAATACAGTTGGTGCAACTCCAACATCAGCATGGTGGGAAGGATTATTTGGAAGTGCAACTACAAGTTCATCAGAATCAAGCTTACCAACTGCAGCAGAAACAACAACAGCACTAAGTTCATCATCAGCACCATGGTATTTAAATTTTTTCGGAACAGCTAAAAGTTCTTTGGGTGCAGCTTCAACTACAGCACCGCCACAAGTTACAACTACAAATTCCAGAGCTTTACTGGTATTTTCAGAAATTTCAAATACTTTATTATCAATAAATAGTACTATAGCTTCAATCACATCAACAACTGCAAGTTCTCAAACAACTTCACAAGATGCAATTGAAAGTTTAATTGGTGGATTTTTTGGTGGTAGATCGAGTTTAGTAAGTAGTTCAGCTACTCAATCACAAAACTCAACAGCCAAAACAACTGATGAAACAGAAAGTAATACTGATGGTGATGGAGTTGCCAATCCATATTCTCCCGTGAATGTCACATGTCCAAGAGACCCCATAATTCGTCAAGCTGATGGATTATCAATTAATGAAATAAATTATGTAAATGCAAAACATGAACAAACAAATAAATTTTTAATTAGTTTTTTAAATAATAGAGCAAATTTAAGTGATTTTGATGCTGAAAAATTCATTAATGATAATTCAGCTAAACATAATATTAGTATTGGATTAGCATTTTCTGGTGGTGGTTATAGAGCAATGTTAGCTGGAGCTGGAAATATTTTAGCTTTGGATGGTAGATTTGAAGATTCAAATACAAATGCGTTGGGTGGATTATTGGAGTCATCAACATATTTAGCAGGATTATCTGGTGGTTCATGGTTAGTTGGATCTTTAGTTTTAAATAATTGGTTATCAGTTGAAGAAATTTTAAATGGATCATCATCAATTTGGCAATTAGAAGATTCATTTATAAATCCAAGTAGTATGAATTTACCAGAATTAGCTAAATATTATACTGGCATTGGAACTGCCATAAAAGCTAAAAATGATGCTGGGTTTGAAACTTCAATAACTGATCTTTGGGGTAGAGCGTTAAGTCATCAATTTTTTGAAGATTCAAGTGGTGGATCAAATGTTACTTGGTCAAGTATTAAAAACTTAACTTCATTTAAAGATCATAGTATGCCTTTTGCTTTCGCTGTTGCAAATGGTAAAACAGTTGAACAAACCACCATCATAGATCAAAATTCTACATTTATTGTTGAAATTTCACCTTATGAATTTGGTAATTTTGATAGTGTTCATGCATTTGCAGATACTGAATTTTTAGGATCAAGTATAAATGATGGAAACACACTGAAATGTGTTAGAAATTTCGATAATGCTGGATTTATATTGGGTACTTCATCTTCATTATTTAATCAAGTTTTTGCAAATTTAAGTGAATATTCAGCAAGTTATTTACTTAGACCAGTTATTGAATTAGCATTAAGTGATTTAAGTGATGAAAAAACAGATGTTGCAATTTATAAACCAAATCCATTTTTTGAATTAGAAGAAGCACAAATTGATGACATTGTAAATAACGCTACTTTATCTTTAGTGGATGGTGGTGAAAATAAACAAAATGTTCCATTTTATCCATTAATTCAACCAGAACGTGAAGTTGATGTTATTTTTGCATTTGATAATAGTGCTGACACTCAAAATAATTGGCCAAATGGTACTTCAATGGTTGAAACTTATAAATGGCAATTTACTGATCAAGGTAGAGGTAAACCATTTCCATTTGTACCAACTATTGATATTTTCCTTAAAGATAAACTTGGAGATAGACCATTATTTTTAGGTTGTAATGCTTCTTCATTAGGTCCAATTATTGATTTCCATGATCAAGATTTGAATGAAACAGATGTTCCTTTAGTCGTTTATATGTCAAATAATCAACAATCTTACTTGTCAAATTTTACAACATTTAAATTAACTTATGATAATGCTGAAAAATCAGGTACTATACAAAATGGGTATGAAGTTATGTCAAGAGGTAATATGACAGAAGATGAAAATTGGGCAACATGTGTTGGATGTGCAATTATAAGAAGACAACAAGAAAGATTAGGTGAACAACAAAGTGATGAATGTGCTAAATGTTTTCAAGATTATTGTTGGACAGGTTCAATTGAAAGTGGACCAGAAGTTTCAGCTTTTCCAAATGCAAAATATCAAAATTCAACTACTTCGGGTTATAAGAATTCTACATCATCAACCACCTTAAGTAATTCAACATCAACAACTATGAGAAATTCAACAACTCCATCAACTCCATCAACTACAATTTCAATAAATTCTACATCAACAGCAAGAAATACAGTAGATGCTGTATCAATGACAAGTTCTGTTAGTACATTAACTTCATTATCTGCCACTACAACTACTCAACCAGGTACAACATTTGCTGGCATAGGTTCTTTCATTTCTTCACCTTCAATTACAATTTTAATTTTAAGTTATATCATTTCTCTTGTATAAAAAATATATATTAGTTTCCAGGTAATTGATTGTATATAAATATTAACTCTTACTATTACAACAACAACAACAATAACACTTGACCTCAAATTAGTTCTGTACCAATCACTGTGTATATTCTACTCCTCAATTTCATGGTAAATTATTTCTTCCCCCATTTTAATGTTCATCATTAACTAATGCCATAATCATTCTATATAAATAAAAGAAAAACATAACCAAATGAAATCCCAATTTCAAAAAACTTTCCTTTTTATGTTTTGATAAAGTTCTAAAAATTTCAGTAGCATCTAATAAATGATTTTTTGTATAAAATTTATTAACATTATAAGCAAATAATGGTAAATTTAATAAGAAACAAAACCAATAACCATTAATTAAAAATAATGTTGTTAAAAATCCATTTAATGAAGCTTCTGGTATAAACCATGGATTTAATTTATTACATAATTCAATTGGATTAATATAATCACATTCTAAATCTGAATACATTATTGTGAAAAATACTTGTGAAAATAAATTAACAGCATTGACAACTACTGCAAGAATAAATAACCTTTGGAATAAGTTAGTAAAAATCGAATTAACAGGATGTATGTTCTGGTGATTTTTCGTACATACCATGCTTCTCCAGTCATTTTTGGTTGTTGTTGTCACAAGAGAGTTTTGATAAAGAGATTCAATTTTTTTTTTTTTTCTTCTAATTTGGTTTGCTCTAATTATTTTTTTCTATACATTGCCAATTATCATCAAGATTAAATTGAGTTATATCACCAAATTCTATAAGATTTATCCATTCAGAACCATTATACCAACTTCTTAACACTATAAGGTCATCTTTCAATTGTATCAAACCTTGTTTCCAATTATCTAACCTTACCAACATACCTAATCCTGATTTTAATTTATAAGTATAATAAATTTTTGGATCCACACTTGAATCTTCTCTAACTTCTTCACTAGGTGAATGTTTAATTGGGTCTAATGATCTCCAAATTTCAATATATGGAGATACTACCCCCAAAGAATTTTTCATTTTACCAACTTCTTTACGATCTAACCCTATTTGAGAAAATTCTCCAATATCTGAATCAATTATCAATTCTTTACCATCCAATGATTCTTTTAAACTTTGTGAATTTATGAAGCTATCGAATTTAATGGTTGTAGGAGATAACTCAATTTCTTTACCTGCTAGACATAATTCAAAAACTTGGTAAAATTTGGAACCTTGTTGAGTTTTGTATTTTCTAATATCAACATAATAATTAGCTGGAGTCGTCAAAACTAAAACATCCGCATCTTCTTTCACATCTTCTGGAGGCCATTGAATACTAATTCTTTTTGAAAGTACCATTCATGTTTATTAAAGATTAAACTATTTAGCTATATAACATTCATGTGCGGCTATTTTAGCAGCAGCAGGAATTTTTAATCCGTCAAGTTTTTTCAAATGTTGAAAATACAAAATTAATAAAACTTTATAATCAGTTATTTCCATAAATTCATTTCTTTTTTGCCATTCACCACTTGTTGAAAGTTCTTGTAATGTAGTTGCTAAATTTTCAAGATCTTCAATATTATTTAATTGTTGTATTGGAGTTTCTTCTGGGAAAAATACATAGGAATATAAATCTTTAGTAAGTGGATTTAATCTAAGATCTAAAACCATTAATGAATCAATTAGCGATTTCAAATGAGCCATAATTTCATAAACATCAGTTAAATCATTACTTACTAATAATAAACAATATAATTTTTTCAACCCAAACAAAGGTTCTACATTTGTGAAATGATTAAAATTTAGGTTCAAATATTGTAAATTTGGAAATTCTTCAGCAAAATTATTTGGTAATGACTTGAATTTCATTGAATTCATTGTTAAATGAGTGATATTATCATTTCTTGGTAAAAATGTACATCCAGAAACATTTAAAACCCTCAAGTATAAACAATCATTCAAGAAAATTTCATTTGGTTGGAATTTACATGAAATTTTTTCAATTCCATTAATTTTATTCATTAAAAATTGTTCAACTTGATTACCATCAAATTTAAGACATCTCAAAGATTTTAAACCTCTAACATCTAACACTTTTAATTGGTTTTGGTTTATTGATAAATTTGTCAAATGTCCCACAGCATCAAATTTTAGCAAATTATTATAATCACAATTTAAAACTCTTAACTTCTTTAGATGACCAATACCAGTAACCTTTTTAATATTGTTATTTGAAACATTTAATTTTTGTAATTCAAAGAATTCACACGAACTCAAATCTAACACTTCTAAAAGATTACCAGATAAATTTAATTCATTTAAATATTTCAACTGTTTTAAACCTTCAAAGTTAGTTAATTGATTATTTGATAAATTTAAAGAAGTTAATTGAATATTTGAACAAAGATTTATTCTTGAGATTTGATTGTTTGCTAAATTTAAATATCTTAAACTTGCAAAATCTTTAAAAGTTGTTCTATTTTCAATTTTATTAAATGATAAATTTAATCCAATAATTTTTCTTGGAATGCCTGATAAATAAGATATGTGATTATGTGAAGCATCTAGCTTTTTTAAATTTGGTAAAAATTTATCCAACATTTTTAATTTTATTAAATGTTTTTTTGCAATATTAATTTCTTCAACAACTTCCCAATCAATAATGCTTTCTTCTAGTAAAATATCATTTAAGACCGACACCAAACTTTTTTCAGTTTCTGAAAAGGTAACTTCTTCAATGTCATGTACATTTGTAACATCCCTTGCATTTGTAATATTAGCCGGTTCTTGAAAAAATGATACTTCTTTTTTAGGTGGTGGTGGTGCTTCATCATTCAACTCGGACAAACCATCTAAAGTATAATTTTCATCATAATTAATCCATTTTTGATTTTCACTATCAAATACCATATTACCAAGATTATCTGGCACCTTTAGGTTTGGTTGTCTTTCCCCATTAATTATTGGTGATTGAAATTCTTTTTTCAATTTTGATGGGGATTTCCATTTTATATTGATGGTGGTATCAGCCAAACTTAAATTTTGAATATCTTCTTGAGTTAAACTTTCATTTGTATAACTTGAACCATGATCTTGTTCAAAAGTTAATTCCCTAAGTTTATCAATTACTATTTCAGATGATTCTTCTTCTTCTTCTTCTGATTTTGAAATCATTGTATAATCATTAGATTTTGGATTTGGTACTTCACTTTTTTCATCAGAACTATAACCAGTAGTATACGATGCATATTCACTTTCAACTACTTGTTCTTGTCTTGGAGTTGAACTTGCAGAAACTACTCTAAAATCACTTGATTTAAATTTTTTTTCTAAATTTGAAAAAACTTTATTTGCATGATTTTTATAAGATTTATCATTATAAGAACCAGTCTTTGTAAAATCTTTTATAACAGCTCTTGGTTGTATTGGTTGTATTGGTTGTTTAGAGGTTATATGAGCAGGAGTGTTTTTATTTGATGCAATATTTTTCAAAACTCCATTTAATTGTTGTTTTGTATAAGTATCATAATTCCCACCAAATATTTTCATTGGTGAAGAAGTAGGTTTTGTTAATGGTGATGAAGTATCAGTAATTTCATTTGATTCACTGAAAATATGTTGTAGATTCTTTTGAGCAGGACTTTTCTGTTGCCATGGTAATTCATTGTGTAACTGAATATCTGAATTATGAACTATAGTGTTGATAGTAGTTGGTTCAATTTGTTGTGGTTGTTGTGATTGTTGTTGTTGTGGTGTTGGAGGTTGTTGATTTTCAATATTTAAAGATTGCGGCCAATTTTCATTTAATTCTTCTGGCATCCAATTTGGAGTTTTATTAATTTGATGATGATGTTGATTATCAGTATTATTTGTATGATCATCATTTATAAAAGTTGAACCTAATTCTTTTGATTTTGCATTTGGATGAGATTTATGATGAAAAGTATTTGGTACTAATAATGATTTATTAGACAATTCAGTTTTATTAATATTATCTTCAATAAAAGTACTTTTATTACCAGAAAAATTATAATTTTGAGTGTATCCAACTTTTTTTTGATACATTGATTGTTGTCTCGGTGCTAGAAATGTATTTTGTTTAATTGATTTTTGTTTGGTTAATTGTGGTAATTGTTTTGGTTGTTGATTTAATGAATGATTTGATAATTGATCCGATGAATGATGATTTGGTAAAGTATTATTTAAATTACTTATAAACTCTTTATTATTATTAATATCAATATTATTATTATTCATATTAATTATAATACTACTTTTTTCATAATAATTCAAATTGTTGGTTGTAAAAAAAATGGTATAAAAAGAGTTATAATAATATTATTAATATTTGTTTACATTTTATATAATACTTTTAAATAAAAGAATAACAAAAAAAAATAAAATAATTTATTAAAAAAGAAAAGTTACAAAATCAAATCAATTTTGTAATCAAGAATAGAAGTAGATAGTGTTAAATTTAAAGAGATGATATTAATATACATATATATATAATAAATTCTAGATGTTGTCAATAGTTATTTGGTCCAAGTATAATCATTACAAAACTTAAGTAATGATGAGAATAAGTTTTGTAAGTTTCAATCCCCAAAATTTACTTATTTCAATATAGTTAATACTTAATAGTTATATAAATTTGTAAATAAATATAATTATATAATACTTGAATCTTAAAATTTTATAAGTCCGGAATCATAATTTTAATTTAATTTAAGTACTAATTTAAATATTAAGAACAATTTATTTATTAATCTATTAATAAAATTTCTTATAATTCATCAATTACAATTTTAATAAATTTGATCTTTTCAGTAAACTAGTTTCACTCATGAATTAATCATCATAATAGTTGAATACTTCTATCAAATGTAAATTCTATACATATCATCATATAATAATAATTAATACACAAAATCTTAAGATTATTTTATTGTGAATTAATTATAGAAAGAAAGATGGAAATAAAAACCCCCTTTTTCGAAATGTATCAAATTAGTTCATTCATTACAATTGACATAAAAAATCCTTGTTGATGTAAGTCAAATAACTCTTCATTAATAATCATTTGATAATTAATTGACTTACAAAAAGAATGATTGGAACTAAAATAATTGGTATTAAATTATTTCCAATTAATTGTTAATATTGTATATATATATATATATCATAATTAATCAGAATCTTAGGATTAAAATTTTAGTTAGAAATTATAGAATTGTAATTTGATAATTTAGTAAAATGTTTGTAGATTATCTAATTCATCAATTATTTTCATTGTTAACAACAATTATGTTATTCTCTATTATAATAATTTATTAAATCAATTCTTAAAAAAAGGTTATAACTTTTCAAAACCTTTTTAATTTACCCCCCCAGTTTTACATAACTTTTATTAACTATTATATTGCGTTATCATACTAAAAAAAATATTATTATTAGTAAAAAGGAACTTATTTTAATATATTAGAGACCATTTGAATATTTATATTATATTATATTAGTTTTTAATTTGTCTTTTTTATAAATCAATTTATTATAGAATGGCATATCCACCAACCAATCTTGATTCATATCAAGTTGGAGGTGAAACTAATACGCTGGATCCTCCTGATTATCAAATTCAATCAATAAATTATGGATCAATTGCTTCACAATCACATTCACAATCACAATCACAATCTCAACCACAACCACCAAATCAAAAATTAAATCCTCATACTGTATCAAATACTGCTAGTCATCAACATAAACAAGAACAAGAATTATTATCAAGTTATACTGTCCCGAATCCTCCTGTTTCTACAAAACAATCAACAAATGCTATAATGACCGAACAACAACAACAACAACAACAACTGCAACTGCAACAAGAAAATATATCAAATACTACCACTTCAACAGATCAACCAAGGACATTATGGATGGGAGATTTAGATTCATGGTTAGATGAACAACAAATTACAGATTTATGGTGGAATATTTTACAAAAAAAAGTTGTAGTTAAAATTATAAAACCAAAATCTTTAAAATTAAGTTATCAAGGTTTAACAAATTCTGGTTATTGTTTTGTTGAATTTGAAACTTTTGAAGATGCTCAACAAGCTTTAAGTCTTAATGGACAATTATTACCTGATATTGCAATGCCTTCACAACAACATTTTCCAATTAATCCTGATAATCAAAAAAAATATTTTAGATTAAATTGGGCAAGTGGTGCAACATTATCTGCTCCAATTATACAAATGCCTGAATTTTCATTATTTGTTGGTGATTTATCAGCTTCAACAACAGAAGCTCATTTATTAGCATTTTTTCAAAAATCTTTTCCTGATTCTATAAAAACAGTAAGAGTTATGACAGATCCTATTTCTGGTAAATCAAGATGTTTTGGATTTGTTAGATTTACAGATGAATTAGAAAGACAAAGAGCTTTAACTGAAATGAATGGGATTTGGTTTGCTGGTAGACCTTTAAGAGTTGCTTTAGCAACACCAAGAAATAATAATAATCGTAGATTCAATAGTAATAATCAACAACAACTGCCTTTTTTACAACATCCAAATGAATTTAATGAAAATACTAATATACCTCCTGAAATGATGTTTATACCTCCTCCAGGAAGTCCACTTTATGGATTTTATAATCAATTAAATAATCCTAGTGGTTCACAAAGAGATATTGAATCAAATTATTTAGATACTCCTCAATTACAAAGATCATTACAATTAGGTATACCTCCACCACAACCAATTCAACAATCTCAAATATCTCCACCATTGCCACAACCACCACTACAACCACCACCTCAATTACATCAACCTCCACCACTACAACAATTTTCAGATCCCAATAATACTACAGTTTTCGTTGGTGGATTATCATCAGAAGTTACAGAAGCTACATTATTTACCCTTTTTAAACCATTTGGTATAATACAACAAATTAAAATTCCACCAGGTAAAAATTGTGGATTTGTTAAATATTCAACAAGAGAAGAAGCAGAAGAAACTATTGCTGCAATGCAAGGGTTTATTATAGGTGGGAATAGAGTTCGATTAAGTTGGGGTAGAGTATCAATGAATAATAAAAGGTTTCAACAACCACCTCAACATCAACAACAATTTCAACCACAACCATATCATCATCAACTACCTCCTCAAGTTTTAAGTGGTGGTGCTCCACAATTGAATATTCCACCTCCACCAATACATCCATTAGGTGTTCCAATACATCTGTTTCATCAATATCAACCATTTCAAAGTCATATACAACAACAACAACAACAACCACAATCATTACATCAAACATTACATCAATCATTATCATCAGATGAAGCTGATTCAGCTGAAACTTCTACAAGTAAACCGCCTGGTGCAGAAGAAAGTGAGTCATCTTTTGATACCTCTGTTGTATAGAATTAAGACATGGATTCAAAAACAGTCAATCTTACAAAATCAATTTGCCTCTGAAACTGATCTCTCTACAATTTCTATTTGAAAAAAATAACGTAATATATATTAATTTATATAAAATTCAAGAAGCAACATAAATAAAAAAAAAAAGACCCAAATCAGAAATGAAAAACCCCCAAACTACTAATCTAAGTTCTTTCACCTCTTAATCTTCTAGCTAATTGAATATCTTTCTTTTGAATAGTAACTCTTTTAGCATGAATAGCACATAAATTAGTATCTTCAAATAATCCAACTAAATAAGCTTCAACAGCTTCTTGTAATGCACCAATAGCAGATGATTGAAATCTTAAATCAGATTTAAAATCTTGAGCAATTTCTCTAACTAATCTTTGGAAAGGTAATTTTCTAATTAATAATTCTGTTGATTTTTGAAATCTTCTAATTTCTCTTAATGCAACAGTACCTGGTTTATATCTATGAGGTTTTTTAACACCACCTGAAACTGGTGCTGATTTTCTTGCTGCTTTTGAAGCTAATTGTTTTCTTGGTGCTTTACCACCAGTTGATTTTCTGGCTGTTTGTTTAGTTCTGGCCATTTTTTGTTGTTTGATTGTATATGAAGTGTAAAAGAAAAAGTTGTGTCTAAAAGGGGCAAAAAAATTAAATTAATAGAGATATTATAGACAAAAAAAAATCAAGGAAATTGAGTTTGAGTACTAAAATTTGGTGGGTGGTGCGAGATTTTACAATGAGAGAGAGAAGAAAACAATTAATTAAAATTTAATCTGTTCTAATTAAAATTCATTATTGAATCTCCTCTAGGAAATTTTTTTTTTCTGTTGGTCATTTAATAAGGAGATTTTGTATGTAATTAATTTTTTGTATTGTACTGGAAAAAAGGAGAGAGAGTTTCAAACTTGTGTCTTGTCTTTTTCAAGTGCGATAAGAAATTTTTAAAGGGTAGTGTATTCGACACAATTTTTTAATTAATTGGATCAGTTCAAACAAAGTGAATTTTACAACATTCTACTCAGAACTTCTCATTACAATTAAATAATGTATTAAATCAACTTCTATACCATAACCTAGTAATTCTTGTTTGCATCATTTTCTTTTGTAATTGGAAAACACCATACATTAAAGCTTCAGCAGTTGGTGGACAACCAGGTACATAAATATCAACAGGTACAATTCTATCACAACCTCTTAATACAGAATATGAATAATGATAATAACCACCACCATTAGCACATGAACCCATAGATATAACCCATTTTGGATCTGGCATTTGATCATAAACTTGTCTTAATGCTGGTGCCATTTTATTAGTTACAGTTCCAGCAACAATCATAATATCTGATTGACGTGGAGATGCTCTGAAAATAATACCTAATCTATCTTGATCATATCTTGGTGCTGATACATGCATCATTTCAACTGCACAACATGCTAAACCAAAAGTAACTGGCCAAAATGATGATTTTCTTGCCCAATTGGCAATTGTATCTAATGATGTTAATGCATAATCTATTGGACTTGATGCAGTTTTTTCAGACATTAATGGGAAATCAGTTGGTAATTGTTGTGGAGTTAATTCTTTTGATGAAACATTACGTTTTGATATATATGATGGGGTTGTGTTGGCTATTATTAATGATGAAATGTTTGGCCTTATTTGTTTAATTTGGTTTAAAGCTGTTTTTTTACTTAAAGAATACATTTTTTAGATTTTTAGTGTGTTGTGATTTTATGTCTATATATATATATGATTTGAATATGTAAAGATGCAATTAAATTGTAAAATAGAATATGTTGAGTTCAGATGTGATAATTGAATGCCCGAATTAATGACTAAAACTCTTTTTGGTTAATATTTGATCGTTCTTGGTGTTGATGAATTGGAAGGATAGATGGTTGTAAATAAACTCTTCACTTAAAACAACTAATAAAACAATTCTCTTAATTAAAAAAAAAAATATTAAAATTTGTTAAGCAAAAAAAAAGTATTGGTGATTGGATAAAAAAATAATATATACAATGTCTTGTCACAAAAACAAAACTTATTGCGACAAATAAGCTATGTATCTAACAACAACAAACCTTTATTTAAGAATAAGTCTATATCTATATAAGGACTTTGCATTTAAAGTGCATGGGTGCTCTCTAGGACTGTAATAGCCGCTTCAGGTTCCTTTAAAAATTTAAGGCTTTTTTCTCGAGATTCATGACTTAAAAATTTAATCGATGTATTTTATCTCTAACACCTCAGTAGTCAACAGGCTTTCTATCATCGTTTTTTTACTCATTAAGGATTGTTAAAGGTCTTCTCATCAATCTATAATCTCATTTAGATATTGTTCAATTTTTTTCATTATATTTTCTTTGATATCTTGAGGTACTAATTCTTCAGCTTTCGGTTTTACAAATGCATACAAGTCACCAATATTTGAAGTTTCTTCTTGTTTATTATTATTATTTAATTGTTTATTAGTGATTTGAGCTACTTTATCATACCAACCACTTTCATATAATTGTAATTTTAATTGTTTATTTATTAATTCATACTCTCCTGATGCTATTAGATGATCTTGTATTTTAGATTTTATTTGATCTAGCTCTGTTTGTTGATTTGATTCATTTTCTTGTTTTGTCATAATTATGATTAGTTAATGATTAGTTACTAGTTAATGATGTTTGATCTGTTTGATCAATTCAAAAAATTTGTCCCAACATATCGTACAAAAATCAAAGCCGCCGCACGGAATTTAATTTTGTTATTTGAAACTCCAATTATTCAATTTAGCAATATTATAATTACTTTTAAAAAACTAGTTTATGTTAAAAAGAGCTTTCACAACTTTCTCAATACTACGTCGAGCAATGTCAACAAAAGGATCACCATTTGACGCAAAAGTCACATCTATTGAATCTTTGAAGCAAGGTAAATGGATCCAAACAAAATTAATAAATTATGATGATCCAAATGGTAACCATAGACAATGGGAAATGGCTGTAAGAACGACAAGAACAGATACTACTAATGTAGATGCTGTATCAATCGTTTCCGTATTGGATCATAAAAATAAATCAAAAGAAATAGTTTTAGTAAAACAATTTAGACCACCTTGTGAACAAGTAGTTATAGAATTACCAGCTGGATTAATAGATCCTAAAGAATCAATAGAATCAACAGCAGTAAGAGAATTACATGAGGAAACAGGATATCATGGAACTTTTGAGAAACAATCAGTTATAACGTATAGTGATCCAGGTTTAACAAATGCAAATATGGTATTAGCTTATGTAAATGTTGATTTAACAAAAGAAGAAAATCAAAATCCAAAACCTCAACTTGAAGATGGTGAATTTATTATAACTTTTAGTTTACCATTGGATAATTTATTGGAAGAAATTGAAAAAATGTGTAAAGAAGAAAAATGTACTGTTGATGCAAGATTATATCATTTTGCTATGGGATTAAAATTGGCAAAAGAGTTGAATTTGTAGATTCAATATAAATTTTAGAAATATAGAAATACACATAGAAGAGGAAATAAGATGTAAATGACTTATAAACGTAATATCTTCGTACTTATTGTAAATCTGTTTGAATAATATCTTGCACATGATAATGTATCAATTACATAATATAACACAAAATTAATAAAGTATTATGATAACTAATTTTTAAAAGTTGGAGTAAAAAAAATATATTATGTCAAACTTCTAGAACCCTTTATTTCAAAACTTTATATACTTAATGACAGACCAAACAACAACTCCTACACTATGTTGTTTCTGTCTTGGTGACGATACGGAAATACCATCTTTTGGGTCTTTAAAAGATGCTCAAGATATGTTAAAACCATGTACAACATGTTCATTAATTTGTCATAGAAAATGTTTATTAGATTGGTTTAATTCTATACCAAGTGATCAGTTACATATTATACATGCCAACAAAGCAATAAATTTAGCTTCTATATCTAGAGGTTCCCATGATCATATTGGTGATATTGGAATTGGTTCTCCACCAAATAATCAGACTACTAATATTAGAATTGATTTATCTACTCAAGCTTTGGAGAGTTGGTTCACTGGGATAACTCAACAACAAAGACCAAATAACGAAGGACAAGAAGTACAAAATACCACTAATGAAAGTAGTAGTACGGAGAATACCACTAATGAGCAACAGCAAACAGTACCACCATCACCACCACAAAATCAACATCAACATCAGCATCAACCATCATCTAGTAGTTTAGCAACATCAGTTTATATATTCGCCCCTTGCCCACAATGTAAAAAAGATATTATATTTACCATGAAAAGATCAATCATTCTATCATTAAATTCACATTTTAGATCATTTATTTCTAAAATTATAAAATATGGAGGAGTGTTTTTAGGTTTAACATCTGCATTAACTGGAGTTTTATCTATGGGATATATTGGATTAACTACAACAGGTTTAAAAATGATGGATTCTATAATCCCTTCTGCATTATTAGTTAGAATGTTAACTAAGAAAAGATTAATAAATTCTGCAAATTCTTTTTCATCACTTTCAAAAATTTTATTTGGTAATTCAAGTTATGCAGTTGATAATTTAGAACAAGCATTAGTTCAAGGATTAATTGATCCTTTGAAATTTTCACGTATACCTGTATTACCTATAGTCATGTATAGAGCTAGATCATCATCATTTATAAAATTAATATTTGGAGAAAAAGGTGAAGATTATTTAAGTTCATTAATTACTGAATTTATGATTTCTGGGTATATATCATCAATTGCTGATCATTCATTGTTTAGAGCTATATATAAGAACATCAAGAATAGTTTACGAAATGGAACATTAACAAATCCTTTGAAGGGAATAAATTTTTTAACAATTAACAATATAATATCATTAATTATTCCGTTACGCTGGTCATATGATTTGATTTATAGATTAACTTTCAACAGAGCTTATTTTAATCTCACGATGAAATCAAGACCTAGAGCTATTGCTAATAGTTTAAGTGCTGAAGAAATTGATCAATTGGAAGATTTAAATGGTCAATTGAATGAGTATAAACAAAACCACCAGAAGTTATATCAAAATATTAGTAAACGAGTTGATGCTTCAAAAAGGCTCGATAATATTCCATTTTCAACTTTTGCAAAATATATCTACAATAATATACTATTTTTCAATTCAATACTTAAAATGAATTGGCTAAATTACGTTATACTAAATATAAAAGCTAATTTCAAGTTCACGTTAGCATGTTTAAAATACGATTATTCAAATACTTTAATTCATCAAAATACAATTTTCAAATCAATTACTACAATATTATGGCCATATTTTGGCTCAAAATTAGGTAATTTATTAATTTTACAAATACTTACTAAAAAATTCTCTACTAGTTTAGTTTTGGAAAAAAGATTATTAATTGCAAATATTTTAGGATTAGTAGTTATTGCATTCATAAAAGAAATAATTAATTTATATTTATCTAAAAAGAAAGTAAATCAAATATTACAAATTGAAGCAGTTGATTTTAAAAATAATAAATTTTTAAATAATTTAGCTAATAAGATTCTTAATCGAGATGATAATGAAGATATTTTAAATTATTTAACAGATGAAGATTCTTCAACTTCTGGAGAATTTGAAAGAATTTTAACTGGTAGATCAAGTATGGATTTTGTTGATATACCTGGAAATTATCCAAACTAGTAAATAAAGTAGGTAGTGTTGTAATATGTATATTTTAAAAATTTATTTATACAAAAAAATTAAATTAAATTAAATTAAACAAAATAAAGGGGAGTTATAGAAAACTTAATAAAAAAAAATTGTTTCTAAAATTTTTTGGGAATTGATTCTATTCATCGTCATAATTTTCATCCTCTTCAACTTTTCTCATTGGTGGTTCAACATTTTCATCCTTTTTAGGCGGTTCTTCTTCATCATCTTCTGGATTATCATCTTTTGGATCTTCTTCTAATTTTTTAACTGGTTGTTTTTTTTCATCATTTGACTCTTGTTGTTTATCTTGTTTGTTTTGTTCTTCTTGTTTTTCTTTTGATTCTACATTTTCTTCATTCTTATTTACTTCATTAACGTTATTAGGTTTATTTTCATTATTTTCATGTACGTGATGATGTTGATGATGATCTTTATCGGTTGATTCTTTATTATTTGTTCCATTTTCATTTTGTTTTTGTTGTTGATTTTTGGCTTCTGATGGAATAGCTGCAGATTCAACATCATCTGGTTCATCTGATGATTTTGTTTCTCTTTCAGTTACATTTGTTGAATATTGCGGTACAGGTGGGACATCAGCTGAAGATGGAGTACCAGGATTTGGTTGAGCTATTGGGGTTGTTGATTCAGTACTATGATCAATTACTGGTTTTGAAGATATTTTGAGTTCTGATTGAATTGGTTTTTTTGGTTCTTCTTCACCTAATTTATCTGAATCTACATTTGTTGATGTAGCTGGAGTTGATGCGCTATTTTGTTTCTTCAATATTTTACCCTCATCAAATTTATTTTCTAAATCATGTTTACCATTATTTTCAACAACTGGTGTAGTTTCAGGTAAAGGAGTTCCAGTAGTTGATGGTTTTGTTGAGATTTGCTCACGTTTCGGTACATTTTCTTCTTGTTGTGATTGTGATTGTGGTTGCGGTTGTGGTTGTTGCTGTTGATATTGTTGTTGATGGGGTGGTTGTAATGGGGTTGGAGCTGGTGGTTGTTCGTGATTTTGAGCTGGGGTTGGAACTTGTGAAACAGGAGCTGGAGTTAAGGCTGGTGATTCATTTTTTGGCTCTTGTTGATGATTCTTTGGTTTACGACCTGGTCTACCTTTTGTATGTGTTATAGCTGGTAAAGCTGGACTTTGTTGAGTTTGTTGTTGTTGTTGTTGCTGCTGTGGTGGTTGTACATGAGGAGGTTGAACTAATTGAGGAGGCAGTTGCTGATGTTGTTGTGGTTGTTGTTGAAGTTGTGGTGGTTGCTGTTGTTGAAGTTGTTGGTGTGGTGGTAAAGGTTGATGATGAGGTTGTAAATTAGGATTAGAACCTTGATATTGAGATAATCCTGCAGCTATTCCTGGTTGTTGTTGAGGTTGTTGCTGCTGTTGTTGTAAATGAGGAGGCTGTTGTTGATGTTGAGGTGGAGCTGGTAATTGAGAAGTTGGTGGTTGTTGTGCCATCAATTGAGGTGGAGGAGGTGGTGGTTGATTAGAATTTAATTGACCCATCATATGTGGTGGTGGAGGTTGCTGTTGTTGTTGCTGTTGTTGATGAGGTGGCAATTGTTGCTGTTGTTGTGGTAATTGTTGTTGTTGCTGTTGCTGTTGTTGATCTTGTTGATTACTTTCTAAAACCATACCTTGTGGTAATCTTGGTTGTTGAATAGCTGGTGGTGGTTGAGGTGGATGAGTATTTCCCTCTTGTTGATATTTTATTAATTGATCTAATCTTGCTTTAATATGAGGATTACCAGGATCTAATCTTTCAGCTTGTCTATAAGCATCTAAAGCATCACTTATTTGATTATTACAAGTTTCATATAAAGTACCTAAATCATACCAAACTTCACTTATATAAGGATTTAACCTTATAGCTCTTGTATAAGCATCCAAAGCATCACGATATTGACTAATTTGATAATATAATACACCTATTGAACACCAAAAAGTTGGATTTCTCGAATCTCTATTAACAGCTTGTTGAAATGCTTCATAAGCTGCATTAAAATCTCCCCTAATCATATGAACTCTACCTAAATAATACCAAGAATGTGCATCACTCTGATCAATTTCTAAAGATTGTGTTAAATATTTAAGAGCTATATTTAAATCTTGTTGAAATGGTTCTTGTTGTTGCTGTTGTTGTTGCTGACCAGTAGAATTTCTTGGAGTTGGTGGATTCAGTTCAGCTTGTGAATATAGACAACCTAATTGTTGTAAAACTTTTGCATGTTGAGGATTTACTTGTAAAACTTTTTCATAAGCTGATTTAGCACCACTCCAATCTTTTTGTTGTTCCAAAACACTACCAATTTGAAACCAAACATCAGGTTGAGTTAAAGGATGTGGAGGATTATTTAAAATATATTGAAAACATTCTAATGCAGGTTGTAATTTCCCTTGATGTTTATAAATTATTCCCAATCTAAAATAAATTTCATTTGCTTTATCAAAATTTGGATCTAATTCTAAAACTCTAACAAAAGCTTCTTCTGCATATTCTAATGAACCATATCTATCATATAATATACCAATACCATGCCATAATTTAGGAACATTTGGATTTTCAAGATAATATAAAGCTCTTTGATAAGCAGCATAAGCTCTTTGTAAATCATCCAACATTAAATAACAATGACCTAATAAACCCCAAGTTTCACCATTTTCTGGATTAAAATTTAAAGCTTGTTCATATAATTCTGCTGCTTTAAAATAAATATCTTTTGATCTATAAACATTTGCTAATTTTATTAGTACATCTGGATTATTTGGTAAATGTCTTAATGCAGAATCATAAGAACTTAAAGCACGATCAAAATCTCCTAAACTTTCAGCTAATGAACCTATTGCTAACCAAGTTGAAGCAGTTGTATCACTTAAAGCATTTGCTGCAGGATTATTTGAAACTTGTGATTGTGATTGTTGTTGAGCTTGTGCTTGAGCTTGTGCTTGTGCCTGTGCTTGAGCTTGAGCTTGTGCTTGTGCTTGAGCAGCTGCAGCCACTATAATTCCAGGTCCTGCGTGTTGTTCTTGTTGTTGTTGTTGAGGTGGTGGAGGTTGTTGATTAGATTGTATTGAACCAATAGATTGTTGATTATTAGGTTGTTGTTGTTGTTGTTGTTGTGGAGGTTGTCCTTGTTGTTGTAATGGTTGGATACCTTGATTAGATTGATTTAAAGTATGAGAATGTAATCCACCACCATTTAAAGCTGGTGGAGGTTGTTTATTACCCACTGCAATCAGATGAGTTGGATTATACATATGATTATAATATTATAGTTGAAAATTATTGAAAATTGAATTTTATTGAAAAATGATTATAAATTATAGACACTCCAAAATACGAATTTGTATGTGAACTCAATGTAATAATAGTAAATAATCAATCAAAATTATAATCAAATATTCCAATATTCCAGAGTTTAATATCTAGATAGATTTATTTAACAATTTATTAATGAATAGTAATAATATATACAGATGTATATATATATTTTATTTGGTTGTAAAAAAATGATAGTTCCAAAAATATTTGTGATGTAATACAGGAAAAAATTTATAAAAGATTGGTGGTTTAAATGGTGAATTTTTTTTTCTCTTTTTTTTTCTTTGAGTTTTTGAGTTTTGAGTTAATAATAAAAAATAATAAATAATAAAATTTAAAACCTTTTTTTTTATTTTTAATTTTTTNTTTTTTTTTTTTTTTTTTTTTTTTTTTTATTTTTTTTTTTTAATTATTTTTTTTAATTTTTTTTTTTCTGGTTGTTGAATATTAGAAATATATTATTTATATTGTCAGTTTAACGAGTTATATTACTCTTATATATATATACGTAAATTAGGTGTATTCTTTTTTGTTGAAATACAAATTAGTTCAATTTAATTTTGAATTAGAGGAAGTAGACAATTGGATTAATTGAGGATTATCAAATACATTCCAACATCATTTGTATACTAAAATAATCTATCATTTTAATCAAGACTGTTCAAGATGTACCTTAAATAAATGTTGATCTTTAACTTACGATAATATTAAAAGATTATATATACCTGTAAAAATTAAATATAATACTGTAAAATTAAATTTAAGAGATGGAATATAGTAGAAAACAAATAATTAAAGTATTTACTATTAATGTTATTATCTTTAACCTCAATTTATCATATAGTTGAAGTTTCAGAAATTTATGACATATTTATTATTATTATTATTATAAGATATTAATAAGTGTACTGTTGGTTAAAAATTTAATCTTAACTGGAAAAAATAAAAATAAAATTATAATTCTTCGTAAATAAAAAATTAAAAAAGGAATTTAATATGCAGATACTAATAATATTAAATATTAAAAAATTAAAATAACTTGTGTAGAAATTTGAGATAATTGGTAGTGTAAATTATGATTAAAAATTTGCCATTTATATTTACTCAAATTTTATGATATTATTATTTATTAGTATCTAATAGACTATACTCCTGTAACTACAAATAAATTTATAGATTCCAAATTAGATTTTAATTGAGATTCATTTAAAGATTTTATAGATCTTTATTGCTGAAAAAGATCGTGGTACAGTTTACTGTTATCAACCAAATTAGTTGAAATTATATAGATATATTTAAAAGATTAGATCTTTTTACTAAGATTTAATTTTTTAATTTTACTAGATTAGATTCTTTCTGTTTAAGATTTTATTTATTTTAAACTTACTTAATTTTGAGATTTTGATGGATTTTAAAATGTTAAGTCATGACGCTTATTGTTTCACTCTCTTAATTATTCTATTAATAAATTAATTAATTAACAAAAGGAACGCATGAAACTTTCAACCTAATTTACATGGTTTTTTCCTTATATCTTAAAATCACTGACTCTCTATTTTAATATTACACACTACAGAATGTTTTTAACGTATTAGAACAAGATCTTATTATTGAACAATTATATATATATATATATATATATACATATTTTCATAATACTATAAATGCAGTTTTTTACCCTTTTGATCTCTAAATGAACTATTAAAACCTAATAAACTATTTAAATCTTTTGCCCATTGATTTTCATTATTTGCAACACACCATATACCATTTTGATCATTATTATTATTATTATTAATATTATTATATATATTCAAATTATTTTTAATTTTATCCTTAAATGATTTTTGTTTTCTAATTTTATGATTTTCTAATATTATTGTTTCTGAAGTTATATGTAATTCATCACCTGGATGTAAATCATCTTGACTTATACCATCAATTGTTAATTCTATATAATTATTTCTATTATTTTTAGATAATTTTATCATTATATCTGATGTACATGGTAATATTAATGGTCTAAAACTTAATGATCTTGGACATATTGGAGTTAATAAAATACATGGAACTGATGGATGAGTTATTGAACCACCTGCTGATAAAGAATAAGCTGTTGATCCAGTTGGGGTTGAAAATATAACACCATCAGCATAAGTTGTTGTAAAAAATTCACCATCAATATATATATCTAAAGAAGTTAAATTGGGGGAACTGCCTCTATGAATAGTAACATCATTCATTGCATGAATCATTTCTCTTCTTTCATTACTTTTTTTTTCTGAATGTTGATCATCATAAATAGAATCATCATCTTCATTTCTTATAACATGACATTCTATTCTATTTCTATGTAATGCTAATGCTTTATTTTCATAAACTGTTTTAAAACATTCCATATTATTTTTAAAATCAAAAGGTAATAAAAAACCTAAAGTACCCATTGCAAATGATAATACAGGTGGTACTTTACTATTAGAAAATAATGAAACACCTCTTAAAATAGTACCATCACCACCTAAAGTTATCATTAAATCAACTTTATTTATAATTTCTTTATATTTTCCAGTATATATAATATGATCAATATTAGAATTTAAAATTTTATCTAATGTTGTTTTTTCATTTTGTAATTCATCAGCAACATCTTCAGTAACTAAAACATTGACTTTAGGATAATTTAAATGTAGATGATTAATCATTTCAATCATTGCTTCTCTAACAGTTGAATCCCATGGTTTTTTAATCATTAATACATTAGTCAATGGTTCTTTATATTTAATATTATATAATTTATTAGTTGGTGATTTTTCATATTCTGGTAAATTTGAATTTTTTAATTGATTTACTGATTTTATTATTAGTTGTTGTTGCCGTATTTCTGACATTATTGAAAAATTTTGTTTGAAACTTAATTTCTTTAGTAGGTTGTGAGTTGGTTTAAACATATAAGTATTTAAGAAAAGATGTAAATTGATAACGTTCTTTCTTTTTTGTGGAGTGATTCTTTTTTGCGGGAGAGACTTAATATATCGTAAATTTAAAGTAACGTTAACTAAATTAGATTTACACTTTTTCAAAACAATACTTTTATAATGATCTATAATAATACATGCTATACAACTTCATTCAATTCGTTCAATTCATCTATTTGTTTTTGTTCTTCTTCAGTCAATTTTGGTGCTTCTTTTGGTGCTTCTTTTGAATTTTCTTCTTCTACAGTTACATCTTCCATTTCAACTTCTGTTATATTTTTTTCACCAACATCTTTATCATCTTCTTCATAAAATTCATTTTCTGGTTGTATTTGCGAATCTCGTTGAATTTCTGATCCACCTTTTGTATCTATAGCGTCTGGTAAATCTTCTTCTATATCTCCTAAATCTTCAGGATCATTTGGTACAATATTCATTTGTACTGATGGTGCATGTTTTGTATTTTCTAAATTTGATATTATATTTGTTAAAATTTTATCTAAAAATTCTGGTGAATTTTGGTTATACATATTTGATGGTCTAACATCTAAAGTATAATTGGGAGCATAATATTCATAATATTCATTATATGGTAATTCAGTTGGTAATTTAACATTATTTAGTAATCCAGATTCATAAGCCCAAGTTCTTGCAACATTTCTCATAGTATATCCACCACCACCTAAAACCATTAATGGTATATTAAATGATTTAACAAAATTTATACAATTTGCATGACCTTCCATTGATAAATTAAAACAACCTAATCTATCACCACTTAAAGAATCACCACCACATTGTAATACTATAGCTGATGGTTGATACCATTCAACAATTTTACTTATTAAAGGTTCAAATATAGATTTATATGTTGAATCATCTATACCATCTCGTAAGGGAACATTTACTGCATGATATTTCCCTTTACCTAATCCGATATCTCTTAATTCTCCAGTCCCAGGGAAGAATTCACCATATTTATGAAATGAACAAGTCATAACTCTATCAGTTGTATAAAATGCTTCTTCAACTCCATCACCATGATGAACATCAATATCAATATATAATACTCTTGGATGATACCTTAATAGTTCTATTATCCCCAATACAATATCATTTAAATAACAAAATCCAGAAGCTTCAGATTTTTTAGCATGATGTAAACCACCAGCATAATTTATTGCAATATCACATTTCCCTCTATTTAATCTTGCTGCACCTTCCATTGATCCTCCACCACTTATACCACAATATTCAAACAATCCATCAAAAACAGGACAATCATCCCCAACATTAAATTTAACACTTTCTTTATTAAACATATCTAAATTATCTGGTGATACTCGACTTATAAAATCAATATATTCATCGGTATGAAACTGACACATTTCTTGCTTTGTTGCAGGTTTAGCTCTATATATTTCCATCTTTTTATATAATCCATAATTCATTATTAATGAATGTGCCATTCTTATTCGATGAGGTTTCATTGGGTGACCAGCACCATAAGCATAATTACCTATATCAGCATCATAAAAATATGCTATTCTTTTCTTTTGATTTGGATCAACTTTTAATTCGTCAAACGGAAGTTGAACATACATTTTTGGGAGTGAGTTAGTGGATTGTTGACTGATTTGGTTGTGAATTGGTTTCAAAATTTCAACACATACATTTCGAGATTTTTTACGAACTGATTAGCGCTACCAACGAAACTCGGAAAATTGGACTAAGTGATTTATAGAGTTAAATTGTCTAGTGGTTTTAACTGTACCTTTATTTTTAAAGTCTATGTACTTTTATACTCTCGTAAGATAACAGGTACTGATGAAGGAGGTAAAGCACCTAATTCTGTAACAACTTTATTGATATATTCAGGAGGAGTCAAATCATACATTATATTTAAAACATTTAATGCAGGTATTTTTCTCCAATTTTGTAATGGTTCATCATCATTATTATTTTCCTCTTTTTTACCAATAAATTGTTCTAATGCAAATGATTTTTTTGTTGGTTTCCTATTTATTAAATCTTCTGGATCTGCTAATTCATTATTTGTAACTGAATCTAATTGGACTTTATCTGAAAATTTTATTGATTCACAACATGTTAAAACTGGTATATTTCTTGTATGACACATCATTGCAATCATTGCTGTTCCTACTCTAGCAAATAATCTACCATTTGATAACATTGCATGAGCACCTAAAAATACACAATCAACATCTTCTAGTAATGTTGAAGATAATGCATTTAATAGAACATAATGAACGTTGATATAATCTGGAAAATCATCTCCTATTTTTTTCACCATATTGTTTAATAATTTTTTACCCTCAAATAAAGGTCTTGAATCCACTATCACTAGTGTAAAATTTTTCTTTTGTTGTTCTGCACAATATATAAATAATTCCTCCAAAACTTGTGAATGTCCATATGTTAAGATTGTTGAGCCATTAGCTATATGTTTTGATGCGTTTTCAACAATTAATTGATCTGATAATTCAATTTTCTCTTTTATAAAATCATCTATTTTTTGACAAAGTATTTCTTTAGCCTTTTTTTCTGATGTATCAATTGAAATCAATGAAATTTCTTGTTTCAACCACCTTATAGCATTTCCCATTGAAACTGATAAGGGACGACCTGATTTAAGATACTCTATTTGATGTGATAAATGACCAGTTAAATGTCTTGTTAGTGTTGTATTTTCTGGAGTTTCGTAATCTTGTATAACTTGTTTAAAAACTTTTAGCATATTTGTTAATCTCGCCACTGATCCAACTATACTATAACTTGAATATTTTAAAGTTAATGATAATATTGCAGGATGAACAATGTGAGATATGGTAGGTGATGATGCATTTCTTTGTTCTCTAGTTTCTAAATGACCAAATAAATGTGGGATTTTTCTGTCATCTTTAATAACTGCTTGATTTAATTGCTTTTTGAGATTGGTTGCAGTATTTTGTTTCTGTTTCTTCTTTTCAATCTTTTGTTCTGCTATTTGCTTTTGTTGTTCAGGTGTTATACCACTTGCTTCTTTTTGAGCTGCTCTTTTTGCTGCTTTCTCTTTCTTTTTAAGTTCCTTTAATTCTTTATTTGACAATTTCTTCTCATCAACAGGAGCTGCCTCTGCTTCCGTCATTTTCTTAGTAGTGAAGTTCCAAAACCTAATCGGAAATTATGATTCAAAAATTTTCAGATTCACATTTTTAATAAATCTCGCTTTTTAATACAAATTAAATTTGACTGCAAAAAAAAATAAATTACATTACTTTTTGCCACAAGAGTTTAACTAAAAAATGGCAGATCAAGAACTATCTTTGTTGAACAAAGTGGAATTGAAAATAGCATTAGCAGAAAGTGATACTCAATTGGAAAACTCATTAAAACTTTACCTTTCACCAATATTATTAAAACTTGCAAGTCCTCATGCTGAAGTTCGAAATTCAGTTTTAAAAATCATTCAACATATCATACCTAGAATTACAGCTGCAAGAAATTTACAACTACCCATTGACTCATTGATAAAACAGATTCAGAATCCAAATGTTAAAGAAGGTCTAAATTCGTCATCAGTAAGGTTGTATTCTGCATTATTTTTATCAAGAGGAATAGATAGGATAAATGATGAAGAAAAGAAGTCATATGTTCCATCAATTGTAGATGGTATTTCAAACTTACCACCTTCAATTGCATCAAGAATGTTCAATATACTATGTAAACTGTTAAACACTTGGAAAGCACCAGGATATAAATCCGACGATTATAAAGAATTAAGAACAAAATTACATTTGGAAAAGAATGAAAAATATTTGGCTTTCAAAATAAGTCAGTTCCTTTTATTAACACTAGATTTATTAAACTCCCCTTCTTCTGGTTTAGGTCCAATGGATGTTAAGTTTTTTACTACAGATGCTGGAGTCACATTCAAAACCAATACTGAATTAATTCATTATAAACTTATACTTTTAGAATTTTTAAAATCTGGATTTAGTGACGAACAATTAGTATTGCCCTTATTAATTGCTTCAGCAGACCCATCATCTTCAATCAATGAATCAGAAAAGTTGTTTAAAAAGCTTGAAGTAGATTTTGAAACTATCCAACTAGATGGTGATAAATCCTTTGTTGATTATTTAATTAATATTTATTCACATAGTGGGAATAGTACTTTTGACACAAATCTCAAATTAAAGATTTTACAAGTATTTTTAAAACTTGAATCTATAAGATCTCACAGAGAATTAACCAATATTGTATCAATTGCATTGGAATCTCCATCCACAAAATTAAGAAAATTAGGAACGGATCTCATTAGTTTGGTAACGACCAATAAAAGTAGCAATTTACAAGAATTTACAGAAAACATTGCTATCAAATTAAGATCAAGTCTTGGTGATAATACTACCGAAAATTATAGTCCATCAATAATAGCTGAAAAACAATCTAAATATGAGACTTTGGGAAACTTATTACTTGCGTCACCTCAAATTTTCATTAACGATTGGTCATATATTACATTCCTTCTTCAAGCATTAGAAAATGAAAATGTGGAAGTCAAAGTGTCCATTCAAAATGTCTTATCAAGTTTAACTGTACATTTCAATAAATTAAGTGAGTCAAATAAAAATGAATTAATTGCATCAGCTTGGAGTTCCACTAATGCAAATTCAATGACAAAATACGTTTTGACGAAATATATCAATTTGGCATTCCCGTTTGAGAGTTCTGCTGCTAGGTTATTGACAATAATTGGAACTGATCAGAACAACCCACCTGAAATTATTGAAGAATCAAATAAGGGTTTGCATCCATATTGGTTCAAATTACTTAAAGAAAACAGTTCAACAGAGTTCATTTTTACAAGTTCAGATCAAGCTGTGAAATTCCCAAATTTTATTGACTTCGTTAACAAGCTTTTGTTAGAATTAGAGAATTCTGAATCTCCTGTTTGGAAAGTTTTGCCAAGAGCAATTGAATTTGCAGAACAAGTTTTAGTAATGGAACCATTAAATAACAAGAAAACAGTCATTGAAATGGATGAAAATTGGTCAGTTAGATTAGAAAAAGCTATCGAGATGAACGAAGAAGTCAAAGAATTAGTAATATCGAAATTGAAAAATGATCAATCTATTCAACCACAAGTTGTAAAGCTTTTAGAACTTTGTCTTGATGGATTAATTGGTCAATTCAAAGGTGCTAATATGATGAATCCATTTTATGCTAGAATACTGGCAAAACTACTTTCATTATCATCAAATAACATAGTAGAGCAACTATTACCAATACTTGATGGGATAGTCAGCTCATTAGCCTCAGTTGACAAAAATAATTTAATTGACATTTGCAGGATAATTGGGATAATGGCTAGTCATCCTTCATATAATTCAATTGCAAATCTTTTACAATCTACAAATGAAACTGAAAATGTTACAATAGCACAATGCTACATTATTTCTAGAATATTTGCTCGAAATATAGACACTACATTAATTTCAAATGAAAGCGTAAAAGGCTTGTTGGAAAGGTTAGTAAAAATCTCAAATACTCAATATTCTTTAGCTTCTGAGGGTGTTTCGCAATTGGCAATGTATGGAGTTTTGAATAAATTTGAATCTCCCGAAATTCGCTCCTTAGTTGATGAATTAAAGGCAATTGCAAAAGCTAAGATCAAAAAATTTGATGAAAAATCTGTTCTGGAGTTAGGTTACTTAACACTAGTTGATGAAAGAACAAATGATGAATCATTAACTGATGATGAACAATCAATATTTGAATTTCACAACTCAAAGGGAATTGAAACAATTTTTGCATCTGCTGAAGCATTTGTAATAACTTCTGCTGGTTGGAAGTCAAAATTATTACAAAAAAAATTAGATATACCTGATGTCAATATTGCAAATTTACCTCAAAGCACCATAAGATTACCAATCATATTAGATAAGATAATATCAGCATGTAAAGATACAAAACCTTCACTAAAAAAAGCTGGTTGTATTTGGGCACTTTCAATGGTACAAACTTGTGGTCATTTACCAGAAATCAAAAGTAGAGCTACTGATTTACATTTTTGTTTTATGAGATTTTTAGCAGATAAAGATGAATTAGTTCAAGATTCTGCATCTAGGGGATTAGCATTGATTTACGAATTAGGTGATACTGAATTACAGGAATATTTAGTTAAATCATTGCTCAAGTCTTTTACGCAATCTGATACAACTTCCATAACTTCTGGTTCAGTTGAACAGGATACTCAATTATTTGAACCTGACGTATTAAGAACTAATGATGGATCTGTATCTACATATAAAGATGTCCTTAATTTAGCTCAAGATGCTGGTGATCCGAGTCTTGTTTATAAATTTATGTCATTAGCTAAATCTTCTACTTTGTGGTCATCCAGAAGAGGTATTGCATACGGATTAGAATCAATTTTATCACAATCTTCATTAGATCAATTATTGTCAACAAACTCAAATTTTGCCAATAGATTATTTCCAAAATTATATAGATACAGATATGATCCATATACATCAGTTTCACAATCAATGGACTCAATTTGGAATGCAATTGTTAAAGATTCATCAAAGACTATTGCTGACAATTTTACGTCAATATTAAATGAATTATTATCTGGTATGGGTAAAAAGGAATGGAGAGTAAGACAAGCAAGTGCAGCAGCATTAACTGATTTATTACAAATGGTGGATATTTCAAAATATGAATATCGAATTGAAGAAATTTGGAATATGAGTTTTAGAACTATGGATGATATTAAGGAAAGTGTACGTAAGGAAGGGTTGAGATTAACTAAAAGTTTGTCGACTACTATGACCAACACTTTAAAGAAAAGTTCAGGTTCATCAAATGAAGATCTACTAGGTAAATTAATTGAATTTTTATTGGGCAACAAAGGGATATTATCGGATTCTCAAGATATAAAAGATTTTTCAATAGACACGTTATTAAAACTTTGTAAAACTAAAACAAAAGCATTAAAACCATATATATCAGTGTTGATTGAAAATTTTATTGGACTTTTCTCATCTTTGGAGCCAGAAGTTGTTAATTATTTGGCATTAAATGCTGGGAAATATAATATTGATAATAATGAATTTGATTCCAAAAGATTACAAAGTGTCGGAAAATCTCCATTAATGGATGCAATAGAATTTTTATTAAGCCAATTAGATGATGAATCTATTCCTCAATTTATTTCAAAATTGGAGCATTCAATAAAGTATAGTGTGGGTTTACCTTCAAAAGTCAGTGGCTCAAAAGTTTTGATCTCCTTGGTGATTGATCATAACCAACAAATGCAACCATACAGTTCAAAATTATTAGAAATTGCATCAAGTCAAATTAAAAATAGAAACGATACAGTAGCTTCTTGTTATGCAGCAGCAGCTGGATATGTCTGTCGAATTGCATCAGTTGAAGCTATAATAAAATATTCAGAAAAAATTACTAAATTATATTTCGAACCAAAAGAACCAGGTGATGAAAGATCAAGAATTTTAGCAAGTATAGCAAGTGAATGTGTCTCAAAATATTCAGGGGATAAATTTAGTATAGTCTCGTCAGCTTTTTTACCATTATCATTTATTGGAAAATTTGATAACTTAAAATCAATTTCTTCAAATTTTGATAAAGAATGGACAGAACATACGAGTGGTGATTCGGCTATAAAATTATATTCAACTGAAATTTTAGAACTTATTGAACATCATATAAAGTCAAATGATTTTAATATTAGAATTACATTAGCTAAATCTTTATCACATTTATGTAAGGCTTTTAAAGACTTACAACATTTTTCACAACAATCAATTGAAAAAATTACTAATTTGTTAGTGGAAGCAAATAAAGGTAAATCTTGGGAAGGTAAAGAATACGTATTTGGAGCATTAATCGATTTTGCAATATTATCTAAAAATCATATATTAGATTTACTTCCCCAAATTGAAAAAACAATCATCACTGAAATAAACAGAAGAAATAAAAGGTATCAAAGATTAGCAATTCAACAAGTAAGTAAATTTATAAATCAAATTCATAATGATGAAGATCTTATAGATGAGTACATCAAAATCATGAGTGAAATTTTGACTAGAGATTTCAAAATTAAAGATGACGATAGTGATGAAGAAATGGAAGAAACTTCGAAAAATTCAACAAAGGAAAAAGAAGAAAATGTCTTGAAATTATTGGATAATTTAACTGATTCATTTTATGATCCTGTTAATTTCAAATTGTTTAAATTTATTTTGGAAGATTACAGAACCTTGTTCAGTTCTAGTATAAATATTACATGGAGGTCAAAAATTGAAGTTTCAAAACTATTTAGAAAATTATTGAAGTCGGTAAAAACTACTACAATTGAAATTGAAAAAGAATTAATGGAAATTTGGACTGTTTTGAAAAATAATTGTTTGAAAACAGACTCCTTAGAAAACGTTAAAATTGAATTTATAAGATTATCCAAGGATTTAATACCTCTTTTAAGTGATCAAAGTAAGGACATAATACAAACAGACCTAACAAATTTCTCAAAGCTGGAAATGTCTAATGTTGTAAAAGTAGAAATAGAAAAGTAATTTGTATAGTTTAATAGATGTCTTAATTTATAATATTAAAATAGCTATAAAAATTAAACTTTTAAAATCTATAAAACATCTATTGACCACCTCTTAATCTTAAAACTAAATGTAAAGTAGATTCTTTTTGGATGTTATAGTCAGATAAAGTTCTTCCATCTTCTAATTGTTTACCAGCGAAAATTAATCTTTGTTGATCTGGTGGAATACCTTCTTTATCTTGAATTTTTGATTTAACGTTATCGATGGTGTCTGATGATTCAACTTCTAAGGTAATGGTTTTACCAGTTAAGGTTTTAACGAAGATTTGCATACCACCTCTTAATCTTAAGACTAAATGTAAAGTTGATTCTTTTTGAATGTTGTAGTCAGATAAAGTTCTTCCATCTTCTAATTGTTTACCAGCGAAGATTAATCTTTGTTGATCTGGTGGAATACCTTCTTTATCTTGAATTTTGGATTTGACATTGTCAATGGTGTCTGATGATTCAACTTCTAATGTGATGGTTTTACCAGTTAAAGTTTTAACGAAGATTTGCATACCACCTCTTAATCTTAAAACTAAATGTAAAGTTGATTCTTTTTGAATGTTATAGTCAGATAAAGTTCTTCCATCTTCTAATTGTTTACCAGCAAAAATTAATCTTTGTTGATCTGGTGGAATACCTTCTTTATCTTGAATTTTTGATTTAACGTTGTCGATGGTGTCTGATGATTCTACTTCTAAGGTGATAGTTTTACCAGTTAAGGTTTTAACGAAAATTTGCATACCACCTCTTAATCTCAAAACTAAATGTAAAGTAGATTCTTTTTGAATATTGTAATCACTTAAAGTTCTTCCATCTTCTAATTGTTTACCAGCAAAAATCAATCTTTGTTGATCTGGTGGAATACCTTCTTTATCTTGAATTTTGGATTTAACGTTGTCAATGGTGTCAGATGATTCAACTTCTAAGGTGATAGTTTTACCAGTTAATGTTTTAACGAAGATTTGCATACCACCTCTTAATCTTAAGACTAAATGTAAAGTAGATTCTTTTTGAATATTGTAATCACTTAAAGTTCTTCCATCTTCTAATTGTTTACCAGCAAAAATCAATCTTTGTTGATCTGGTGGAATACCTTCTTTATCTTGAATTTTGGATTTAACGTTGTCAATGGTGTCAGATGATTCAACTTCTAAGGTGATAGTTTTACCAGTTAATGTTTTAACGAAGATTTGCATACCACCTCTTAATCTTAAGACTAAATGTAAAGTAGATTCTTTTTGAATATTGTAATCACTTAAAGTTCTTCCATCTTCTAATTGTTTACCAGCAAAAATCAATCTTTGTTGATCTGGTGGAATACCTTCTTTATCTTGAATTTTGGATTTAACGTTGTCAATGGTGTCAGATGATTCAACTTCTAAGGTGATAGTTTTACCAGTTAATGTTTTAACGAAGATTTGCATACCACCTCTTAATCTTAAGACTAAATGTAAAGTAGATTCTTTTTGAATATTGTAATCACTTAAAGTTCTTCCATCTTCTAATTGTTTACCAGCAAAAATCAATCTTTGTTGATCTGGTGGAATACCTTCTTTATCTTGAATTTTGGATTTAACGTTGTCAATGGTGTCAGATGATTCAACTTCTAAGGTGATAGTTTTACCAGTTAATGTTTTAACGAAGATTTGCATACCACCTCTTAATCTTAAGACTAAATGTAAAGTAGATTCTTTTTGAATATTGTAATCACTTAAAGTTCTTCCATCTTCTAATTGTTTACCAGCAAAAATCAATCTTTGTTGATCTGGTGGAATACCTTCTTTATCTTGAATTTTAGATTTGACATTATCAATAGTATCTGATGATTCTACTTCTAAAGTGATTGTTTTACCAGTTAAAGTTTTGACGAAAATTTGCATTGTGTATTAATTTATTAGTTATTAAGTTGATTGATTGATTGATTGATTGATTGATGTAAATTTGAAATTGGGTTGTATGTGATTTATTATAAATATAAGTATCAAAAAGTGATAGATAAGTGGCAAACTTATTTTATACCCTTTATATATTAATAACTTTTATAATGTTGATCAAATTACACTACCAATCAATTCTCCTATCTTTTAAAATTATTATTTTTACTTACATGACTTTTTTATTAGTAGTATTATGTAATCAGCAATAATAGAAGTTACGTAATCCACACTAAATTTTGTAAATTTCTTTTTTTTTGTTTAGTTTGTTTCAAATTTTACTTGCAAATTAATGAAATTTTATTGTGAAAAGATCCTCCAATTTGTAAATGATTGAGTCAGCCGTTTTAGTCCTAAACTGATGAATTTATAAACATTACCTTACAACTTAATTGATTGAAGAAATAAAAAGGAAGAAGATGATTATAAACCATCGAAGATATATGGCTCGACAGACTTCTCTCTATTTAATCTCTTTAAAAATTGCTCTTAGTGCTACATGTTGTTAATACCCATATTAATGAATATATTCAGCATACTCAAGCTCACATCTTGATCTTTATTTTGCAAGTTGATTAAATCATTGGTCGAACTTTCTTTTAAGAGGTTATGTTCAGATTGTGTTTTTATTTTAGTTTAGTTTCATCATAGTGGGAAAATTCCTCGTAAAAATATAAAAATAACTCAACTTTTAATTTCTTTTTTTTTGTTTTTATTACCTTAAATTTTGCGCAATGTTTTTCTTATTGAATTCGCTTAATAAATTTATAGAGTAATACTGAAACTATACAGAATTCTAATGATTGATCATTTAGTTGTGATTGACTGTAGAGAGATTGTTATTTTAAACTCTAATTTACGAAAATATCAGTATTGAAGCCTCGGGGATCAAAATTTTAGAAGTTTAAAGACGAGGAGATGCAAAAGTCCGAGAATATTGATTATCTCCTATTTTACTAGTCGTAGCAATCGTTCAAAATTTGAGGAGAAATTTAAATTAAGACTTCAAACATTATCCATAGTTTTAACAGTAAATATTAACTACACTTATGCGGTTTTTAAATACGATATGATTTTCTTTTCCATATAATTGTTCTCCGGAAAAATTATGTTGTCAAATTCCACAAATTTGGTTGCAAAAATTAGGTGAAAAAAAAAATCTAAGGTAAGTAAAGTGAGACATACAAAACTGTTCATACTAATGCTAATTGAATTTTCAATCAAATTTGAATGAATTAAGTGACCGAAACAGTGAGAGAAAACGGTATATAAAAAACAAAAAAATAGAAAGAGTTTTTCAATAGTTTTTAAGACTGTAAAAATGAGAAAAAATGAGAAAATATGAGAAAAACGAAATTTACATACAAAAATTAAATTGAAGTTTTTCCTCATTACCTTTTGAAAGGTGAAACTGTATTAATGTTTTCAATATGAATTCATCTAATAAAACCTAATAAATAGTTGGTTTCTAGCCAATCAGCGAACTACATTAAAATTAAATTTTAATTAGGTTTTCTACCACTACCAAAAATTTTTTTAATTTGGTTAGTAATATTTCTCTCATAACTAAAAAAAACTATTTAAAAGTCACATTACCATTAAAATTGAACATAATAAAAAGAGAGAGATTAAAAAATAAATATAAATATTTTTAGGTTAATAAAAATCTTTTTAAAAATACAACAAAAAATTATTAAAATATTGTAAAGTCTTGAGGCAAAATCCTTCATTAATATAGTTACATTATTTTTACTTTTTACATGATCAATTCACTTGGTAATCTTCTGAGTTAATGATTCATAACTTTAATCTCAAGTATCAAATAAAGTAAAGAATAATATAATTTTATTTTATAGTTTATTTTTTTTTTTTAATTATCGTGTGCAAATTGTTGTTAAAAATAAAAAAATGTATTTTTTTATTTGCTAAAAATTAATTATACTACAAGTTTAACCACAGTTTATAAACAACAATTGTAGCTCAACTACAAGAAGTTAATCATCATAATTTCACTAAAAACTCAAAGCATTACTCTAGAAATATATCAAAGTAAAATAACTTATTCATTTTACAATTCTATTTAAAAGAAATTTAAGTTTATTTTTAGGTTTCAATTTTTTTTTTTTTTTTTTTTTCTAGTTTAATTTTTTCTCTTAAAATTAAAATCAATCAATATTGTATAAAAAATATTCTAAATCATTTTACTAGATTTTTTTTTATGAAATTACATATTGATTTAATTTTGATCATTTAGATCTTTACCTGTTTTAACAATCAAAAATACTTATCATCATTCCTTGTATTTAGTATTAATTAATTCAAACAATTACAATTACATAAAACTACTTTTAACAAGGTTTCAACTAGAGAAATTTTCAAAGTTTTTCACGTAAATTCATTAATCTTTAAATAATCCGTTTTTACTGCACCGCAATTTCTCAGACTTATCGGTTTTAGAAAACTATCCTATATTCCCATTGCATACCCTAATATTTGTTTAATTACTTTTCAATTTCAACAATTCTATTCCAATAATCATTACCTCAAGATGTTTTAGTATTTAATTCCAATTTGTTTAAATTAATTCATAAATTTAAATTTTGACAAGAAGGTTTGTCAATTTTTAATAAATTATCATTAATAAATTATATATCAGTTAGTGATAAAGATTTCGAATATCAAATCCAAAAGAATATATTATCAAGTTACACAATAATTATAATGACAGAGAGTTCAAAAACATCCCTATCAAAATTAAGTATACCATCATCTTCATCAGCATCAATATCATCTACTGCTACATCAACAAGAACATCACCATCAGAGTATTCAGAAGTAGAGCAAGTCACATTGAAAAATCATATTGAACCAATACCCAGTCCTGATCATACAAATAATTCGCAAATCCCCGAAGATCATAAACCATCATTTAACTACGACTTAGAAATATTTAATTTATGTAAAGAATATCTAAATAGTAAAAATCATCATGGATTAGCATTAGTTGCAAGACAGAAGGGAATACCTCCATTTTTAAGATTTAAAATATGGCCAATACTATTGAAATATCATCCTTTCGTTTTAAATCCTTTTATTCAACCAGATAACGAAATTATTGATGAATCTTCCAGTGATCTGGAAATTAGCTCTATAACAAGTAAAAGCACATCATCCACTAAAAGTTTTTCAGAATGTGAGAACGAAAAAGAACTTGATTCATCAAAAGATATTGAAATGAAGATTAAAAAGGATATTTCAAGATATATTCAAAGACTTTATTATTTACACAACTATCAACTTTCGGAGGTGGAAAAAGAACTCATATCAGTTTTAGAAAGTGCAGTATTAAAATTTGCATTAAAATGGAGTAAAATTATAAAATATGATTCCTCATTATCATGGATGGCTTTGAATTTGGCGGAGTGGTTACCACCAGTACCAAAAACACCTTGGGTGCTAGTTGGAAGAGATAATTATTCATCTGGTGGTTCTATGACAACTAGTGTATTTGAAGATTATTCAAACTACATTGATAATGTTCCAGGTTTAAAAGATTACCTCGATGAGTTAATATACAAAAAAGAAAATCTTTCAAATATGGCCTTTCATGAAGTTTATGAGAGATTAGCTTTGGTGCTATTGCATTGTCCAGAACCAACTAAAGAAGAGTCAGAAGAAGAAGTTGATAAGAAGCAGCAATTAAAAGTAAACAATAGTACATTACCAATTAAAGGAGGAACCATAGAAGAAAGAGTTTCATTTTTTATATTTTGTCTTCGCAAATTATTACCTGAATTATCACAATGTTTTCATGAAGAACAAATATTAACAAAATTTGGTTGTTCAGATGATGAATGGTTAATATGGTGGTTAAAATTTGTTGGTACAAAAGTTTGGTCAAAACATGATCGTGGTAGAATTTGGGATTTTATGATGGGTTGGAGATTGAAAAACCCCAAAAGGAATTTTAATCACTATTATGAAAAATTAAATTATGTTAATAGAAACACTTTAGAAAAATTAGGACCCGATATTTTTTGGACAGTTAATGCAGAAGAAAATGATATAGTTGATCCAAAAAGAAGTTCATTCAAAGATTTGATTTCTGAGTTAAATAATGAACTTAGTATATCAAAATCAGAATTATATCAAAAAAATACAACACCACCAACTACATCATCTTCGTCATCATCACCAACAAGTCAACATTCAACAGACACTCCTCCTTTACTTTCAATACCTTTTTCAAAAATAGATCCTCACATAGCATTAATATTCATATCAATATCATTATTAAAATCCAAAGAAAATACATTAGTTGAATTAGATCAACATGAAATTAGACAATTTTTATCAAGATTACCATCAAAATCTTATAAGTATAATCAAAAATCAAGAAAAAAATCAAGCGACCCAAACTCCGTGGTAGAATCAACTTCATCATCTCCAATAAATACACCAATTGATAAATTACCAATAAATAATATTATAATATCTAATGATTCAAGAAATAACAAGCATAAAGTAAATTTTATAGATCTGATTTTATGTGAGGCTGGTGAAATGTGGAGGAAATGGTTATGGTCTGAACACGAGCTGTGTAGCTAAATAAATGAACTTGATAATATATTGTGAATAATGTAGTATTCTCTATTTAATTTGAATGATTCGTGATATCTATTCTCTATAAATATCTTATCTAAATTATTGTACTTAAATTGTTAGAATCTCGTTTTGCTAAATTGATATAAATGTCAGAACTGAAATACGACAAACAATACAAAGAGACAAGAATTATTGTATTAAGACAATCTAAACATTATAATTATTATAACAAGAACAGTATTTTTTCTTTTTTTTTGATTAAAATAAATCAATTATATATAGAACGAACAAATGAAATGAAACGAGTAAAAATATTGACTCTTTTTTTGATAATTTTGGTGTTGTAACTTTAAATGGAGTTATTAATGAAGGTTGGATCCGACACGGCTGAATAATCGGATTTTGTACTAAAACATACTTTAGTATAAACAATTTAGTATGAGTCAATAAAATTTAGACTAACAAAATTAATAGTTGGTAACAATTTATCTTCTTGAAAATTGCAATCAGAAATATTACTGTCAGTGTGTCTATAGCTTTCATACCTGAGGCTAGACATTGGTAGTATCAAAAGCCTTAGGTTTATGATCTGTATAATTAATCACTCGTAAACCTATTACTTTTAAGATAAGCCAAAAAATATAAAAACGTTACAAACGTTACAAAATATAACAGTTACTGAAATCTGTTTACTAATCATTTTTTAGTCATTTTACATATGATTTTATAAAAAAGGAATATAAAAAATTATAATATATAAAGGACTATGTTTCCCTATTTTTTTCTAATCAAACATTATAGAACAGATTCAAATTACAAACGATTTTTCATTATTATTATTAAACATCAAAACCATACTCATTTTTTAAGAGGGGTTTCAAATATTTCATATCACCTAACATCAAACATAACTTTATTTGCAACCAATAATGTCACAAAAACCTAGCACAACCAAATCAAAATCATTTGATGAAACAGTAGGTAGTATATTACCATCATATTTGATGTATACTCAAACTATTGGAATGAACGTGACAGTTCCGGATGAAACAGATAATAGACCACCACCCATATATTCAAACGAGGAAATTGAATGTTCAACTTCAGTAAATAGTTATCAATTCTCAAATTTACAATCTGCTACTTCATCATTTACAAATACTATAAGTAATGAAAGCAATATAGGGGCAAACTCTTCCGATAATAATTCATTAATTGTTGCTAATGAAAATACAAATTGGAGAGAAACAATACTAGATAATGTACATCAATTGCCAAATATGACATTTGTAAATAACGAATTATCAAACTCCGTCAAAATTGAAATATATTATACGAAAGAAATTGGTGAGATGAACAAGAAACCAGATTTAATCGATCCTTCAATATATGAATATACTCAAGGTGATTTATTAAATGGTTATATAATCATTAAAAATACATCAAACAAACCTATCCCTTTTGAAATGTTTTATCTTTTATTTGAAGGTAATTTTATGGTATTTAATTCAAAAGATTCTAAGGATTTAACACCAGCTAAGTCAAAAAGATTTTTGGAAATGTTTGATTTTTCAGGTAGTTGGAATGAAGCACACATTAATAGATTAGTTTCTCAAGATGAAAATCCATATTATTGTACTAAAGGCGAAACAACTGATCCAATTGATGGGACTTACTTATATTTTGGTTCAAATAAAGTTATACAACCAAATAGAACATACAAAAGGTTTTTTTCATTCAAGATTCCAAACAATTTATTAGATTCTGAATGCAATGAACATAATTTATCAAACCATGTGGAATTACCACCAACTATTGGAATATCAAGATGGGAAACTAATCACTACCCCGAGAGAGAATCTACAAAATTAAGAGATTTTTCTATAATAAACTCTTCAATAAACTATGGAGTTATGGCCAGATTCATAGGGAGAAAATCTACATGGGAAGCAGAATTTGGAAAATTTGAAATTCCTCGAAGTAAAGACACCACTAAATTAGTAAATTCAAAGGGAGATGAATATATTATTTTAAAAGAATTGACCAATTTTGTTAGAGTTATACCTGAAAGTAAAGTGCTTACAGAAAATGAGAAGTTGATGAAACAAGTTGAGAATAAATTACTTTATGAAAATTTTGTAAAGAGAGTTAAGGAGAAGATTGATGTTGGTAAACAATTACTTGAATCAATTGAGGATTCAAACTTTAATGATGCTATAGAACTCAATGAATCTTTAACTCACCTAGAAATTGAAGCTGCTAAATTTACACAGTCTTATAAACAAGCTGATTCAATAAGGGATTTAAAAACCAATATTAAAAATTTAGAATATTATGAATGTGCATTACCATTAGTTAAGAGATCAATAACGGGAGTTAAAAATTTAGGTATATTGCTGATCAAAACTCCAAAGCAAGAATATGCTATAAAATATATACCACCTCAAAGATTTAGAGATAGCTCAATTGATGAATTAGCATCTACTTGGAAACTAGATATACCTGTTGATTTTTCAGTGCAATTACCTTCAAAAGATCCATCACATCCACCGACTATAAAAAACATCACTAGTGAATTAGTAGTTCATACAATAAAATCAATGTCAAAACCAATCCCATTAGAATTCAATCATGAGTTAATGTATTACAACCCTTCAACCAACACTAAAGGATTTCAGGATTTAGATACTTTCCATCACAATATAGTAAAACCATTACAAGATCAATCAAATACTTTGTACCAACTTTTGAAACAATTGGGTACTTCAAATTTCAAAATAGAAAAACAACTAGTTGATGACATAAAATCAATATGTCAATTGGATGAAAAATGTATGAACTTGGTATGCAATGATGTGAAAATAAATAATGAAAATTACAACCCTAAAAACTCATTAAATTGGACCTACAACACCACTACAAATTCAATAAATGCATCAATTAATTTACAAATCAACTTAGATAAATTATCATTAAAAGGTATACCCAATGGTAATTCCAATTTAAAATCTTTTGATAAATTTAATTTGGTACCTGATTTTCAAAATTGTTTTATTGCTAGATTTTATCATTTGAAACTAGTATTTGAATTGAGTAATGGTGATTGTGTTAGGTTTAAAGTTCCTGTTAAAATTGACAAATGATTCTATAAATTTTGTATACTGTGCATTCAAGAAAGATTTAGCTGGCTAATGGAGAGAATTAATAGTTAATAGTTAATAGTTAATACTTAATAAATTTAATAGAAAATAGCTTGTAGATTTTTTGCGAAATTTAAATCTTATAAGACTGGCGAAACAAAACATGCAACAAGTTTCAGTGAGCACCAAATTGTTCACATGCATGAACCTACGGCCAACAAGCTCTGAACAAGGACCACAAATTAAGCCTCCAATAACTGCAGCAATTCCTTGTAACACAATAACCACTGTTTCAATATCTAAACTCATTTTATATTGTACTGTTAATAAAGTAACATATAGGTCCTGAGAGGCCTGAGTTGTGAAATTGAATAAAGCATACATTATCACCAAATACGAAAAAACAAGATAGTCAGTTTTGAGGGTCTTGAAGATACTTGCATTTGCCAATTTCTGAAACATATTTTGATTGGTAGTGCCATTTAAATTTTTTTGTTTCAACTTTAATTTTCTTTTCTTAATTCTTAAAAATTCTCTAGTCTCAGGTGAACAGAACCTCCAAATAACTAGTAGAACACTCAATCCAGCAGAGAACCAAAATAAGGACCTCCAAGATTCTCCCTTTTTGTATGTGCCAGAAAAAGCTCTTGCAAAAATCATTGCAAACATATAACCAACTGAATAACCAGGCAAAAATAAACCTGACAAAGTAGCTCTTGCTCTCAAAAATTGACCTTCCATTGATGTAATGACTGATACCAGGTATGCACCGCCCATGCAGATCCCGAATAGTGCTCTAACAGCTAGGAATTGTTGATAAGTTTTGACTATTCCTGTGCAAGTTTCAATTATAATAAATAATAAACATAAAATAATATAAGGATATTTTCTACCAATTTTATCAGACAATGAGCCAAAGATAATAGCACCAACTGATCGAAGCATTAAGACTAACGTCATACCCCATGTAATTTCATAGACTGAAACCTTCAATGTAGCTGCAATATCCGTTGCAAAAACGGAAACACAAAAAAAATCGAAACTATCCAAAACCCAAAGTGCCCATCCCATAAAGTACTGGTTCCAATGGTAAGGAGTCATCTCTTTTAACCCAGGGATTGGATTCACAATTTCATACCATCTTCTTGTCTCATGATAAATTGGAAAATCTAATAATGTTGAAATTCTAGTAGCAAAGTAATTTTTTATTGAAGGTAATGATAAGTCCGGCTTCTCATTATATAAGTTAATATCATGATGATGTACTTGACTTTTCAGTGTGTTTGATTCAGATGAATAAGGTGAAATATGTTCAACTTCTGGTTTATCTTTCATTGAAAAAATTATATATCAATAAACGATTGTGAGGTAGTTGATAGTTGAAATGAGTTCTTGATTATTGTTAGACCAGATATCAATAACTAATTGATGTTTTATGTGATAATTAAAGTGAGTATATGCTATGGAATAGAGTTTTAATATTTTGATAAATAACTCAATTCTGGAACAACAAGGTTATTTATATATTCTTTTTTATCGAAGTAACTAATCACAGAAACAATAGTACTGTTTAAAAATGAAACATATCTACTTCCCCCTTTATCTTTTTATTGTTAAAACTCAAAGATAACAATTAGTTCATACGTTTCTTTGTGGACTATTCTCGGACTAGACGCATTATAAAAACAAACAATAGAATAAACATTTTTACATTGTGGGGAAGAAGATATTCTTTAAATTGTCTAATTTACGATTAATTCTAAATCAATACTTCTTGCTTTTTTTGAATTTCTGTTTGCTTATTCAGTTCATTTTGATCTAATTCTGATGGTTGATAGTTTCTAAAGATTTACTCATAAACGTATAGTCAAGTAATTGAATTGGAAAATATTCAAAGGAATTCGTCTCGCCTCTTAGTGTTCTCAAGAAAATTTAATTATCTAAACGGTTTGTCTTGCTTTAAGTTTGAAAGCAACCAAAACCAACTCACTACTTATAATTCTGTAATTTTTCAATAGATAATACTGAGATAAGTTCAAACGCGGCAGAATATTGATTTTTTTTTTAAATCTTTTTCTAAATATTTTGCAACCATTTAGCTATTATATATACAGGATTAGGTACTAGTTTTTTTTTCTTAACTATTGTATTTAAGATCTTTGACATAAAGTTTAAATTTTGTTTGTAGAATTTGTGGGGAAAAATACTCTGTCAATTTTAAATATTTTAAATTATTTTACATAGATAAAACGTTTTTAAGTGAAATTTAATATTTATCCACTCAAGATTACTGATCCCCCAATTTAATAAATTCAAAACCAAAATAGTTATCAAAAATTTTATAATTCTGATTGTTCATTTTTGCTAAAACAGAATAAAAATTTTATTGTTAAGGTGGGGCTACATACAAATATCAATCTCTTTTATCAAATTTAATCGATTTTCAAATTGTTGAGCAAAGTATGTATTTACAAAATTTATGGTAAGATCTAAATCTTAATAGAAGAAAAGAAAATTATTGAAACATGAATTTGAGGCTATTTTCCCCAATTTCAAGTTTTCCTGCCAATTATATTAAATCTCTAATTTTTTTCGATAATTTTTGAACTTTTGTATAAAATCGATTTTTACCAAGTTTAAAATTGCTATTTGTTGAGAAATATTACTGGAAAGCTCTTCAGAATCCGGGTATAATAGTCCACTTACTTTATAATCATAGTTCAAGTTCTTTTCCGTGCAATTTTCTAGAATAAAGTATTTGACATAAACTAATATTTATACAGTTTCTCGTAAATTAAATACATGTCAAACGTACACAAACACAAAATTCAATTCCATAAATAATTGTGTATAACCGAATGCTCTTATCCTTCGAAATTCCTCAGCTAATGTTCAGTTCTTCACTATGGCAACAAACTATTTCTTTGCACGAACTTTACTATTTGCATATTATGAGACTTTGCGACGAGAATCTTTGGATGTTGATTAAAAGTATTTAGTGAAACCCATACTACGATTTACATTGCAATTAAATGAGTTTATATTAGTAATTGTTTCAGTAATCTCGGCAATAAACCTAAAAGCTTAATAGTTTCATTGTCGATCTCTTTAAAATTCATATTTTCTTGCAAAACGAAAAATATAATTCATTAAAGTTAGAAGATTTTTAGGTTTTATACTTTTCCCCTCAAAAGAGTTCAATAGCGAATAATTTAATCCCACACAAAGTTCATGATACTACATCTCAATCCCCGAATTATTTTGTTATTTCAATTTGCACTATCAATGGAGATGTAAACTACTTTTCATTTTATTGACTCGAACTTTTATTTTCAGACACATAAATCTACGACAATTTTTATGATTGACTCATTTTTAGAAAATGCCTTTATCTAACGGAATCTTATCTTTGTGTCTTAATTCAGACTGAAAATTCTGAAAAATTTACCGCCAGGTTTTATCAAAGCAGAATAAAGAAAAAATAAAAAATTACACTTTCAATTAATTTTTCAAAACTAATTATCAATTCTCAATCGATCAAAACAATGGTTCAAAAAGTTTTATTATTAGGTTCAGGTTTTGTTGCCAAACCAACAGTTGATATTTTATCATCAGATCCAAACATTGAAGTTACAGTTGCATGTAGAACTTTATCAAAAGCAAAAGAATTAGCTAGTGATAAAGCTCAAGCCATTTCTTTAGATGTTACAAATGAACAAGCATTAAATGAAGCAGTTGCAAAATTTGATTTGGTTATATCATTGATTCCATATACTTATCATGTAAATGTTGTTAAAGCAGCTATTAAAAACAAGAAACACGTTGTTACTACATCATATATAAATCCTCAATTAAAAGCTTTAGAAAAAGAAATTGAAGATGCTGGAATTACAGTCATGAATGAAATCGGATTAGATCCAGGTATTGATCATTTATATGCTGTTAAAACTATTGAAGAAGTTCATAAAGAAGGTGGAAAAATCAAATCTTTCTTAAGTTATTGTGGTGGATTACCAGCTCCTGAAAATTCAGATAATCCTTTAGGTTATAAATTTTCTTGGAGTTCAAGAGGTGTCTTATTGGCTTTGAGAAATTCTGCTAAATATTGGTTAAATGGTGATGTTGTTGATGTTAAATCTGAAGATTTAATGGCTTCTGCTAAACCTTATTTTATTTATCCGGGTTTTGCTTTAGTTTGTTACCCAAATAGAGATTCAACAACATATAAAGAATTATATAATATTCCAGAAGCTGAAACTGTTATAAGAGGAACTTTAAGATTTCAAGGTTTCCCGGAGTTTGTTAAAGTTTTAGTTGATACTGGATTTTTAAAAGATGAAGAAACTGAAATCTTTACAAAGGAAGGTCCATGGAATGAAGCCACTGCCACTTTAATTGGTGCTAAATCATCGTCTCAAGAAGATATAGTAGCTAAAATTAAAGAATTAACTAAATTCAAATCTCAAGAAGATGAAGAAAGAATTCTTGATGGTTTCAAATGGTTAGGTTTATTCTCAACAAATCCAATTAAACCAAAAGGTAACCCATTAGATACATTATGTGCAACATTGGAAGATTTAATGCAATATGAAGAAGGTGAAAGAGATTTAGTCATTTTACAACATAAATTTGGTATTGAAAATAAAGATGGTACAACAGAAACAAGAACTTCAACATTAGTTGATTATGGTAAACCAGATGGTTATTCATCAATGGCTAAATTAGTTGGTGTACCATGTGCTGTTGCTACAAAACAAATCTTGAATGGAACTTTAAATAAAAAGGGTTTATTAGCTCCAATGAGTTCTGATATCAATGATTCAATTATGAAAGAATTAAAAGACGAATACGATATTTACTTAGTTGAAAAAACTCTTTAAAATATATATATATAGTAGAGTAATATAAAATAGTCTAGTCGTAAAATTCATCATCTTCTGATTCAAATCCAGTTGAATAATTCAGGATAATATTTGATATGTCTTCAATCATTTCTTCCTTTGTATCTGTATTTAATGATCTAACTCTTTGCAAAAACTTTTTATGGTCTTTCAAATAAGTTTTAATACCAGAATGAATATTAAACTCAACGTGAAATTGCCTTGTTTTTAGTACTTTTGGGAATGTATCAACATTTAGTATATCTGTTATAGTAGGATTATTAAAAATATTAGTTTCATCAATCTCCATATCTATTTGATTAGTAATTATATTCTTGGAGTAATACTTGACTTCAATTTGTGACAGTGATATACCTAAATTAATACTTGGTTCCAAATTCTCAAAATTGTCTATGTCAAATGAATTTATATCAATTGGTTGGTTAAAGTCTCCATCATCCACAATTTTAATCTCATTTATAATTTTTTTTGATTCATCTCCTTTTGTTATTAAGCTAGAAAATTCATACATCTTAATTGGATCATCTTTTGAATTATTTAACCCCCATATTGAGTTTATAAAAATGGAAGGAATACAAGAAGTTTGCCAAACTGAATCTTTATTTAACTCGATTAATGGGGAGTCCAAATTTGGAGCTATTGGAAAGAATAAATTTGAATTCTTGTAGCACTCCAAAAATGTTTTAATTTCGGATATTTTACTCAAAGATGTTTTTGGTTTAGCAAGGAAATTTCCATAAATCCAAAAATTCCCCTTACTGTTAAAAAATTCATCTTGAACAAATTCAATCATTGAGTTAGTGAATCCACCCCAAGAATCATTTAAATTTGTCCCCACTTGAAGACCTTGTAAAAAATCACATTTTTCTAACCAATACCTGAAATTTTCATCAACTTCAGTTTCACAATTTTTAAATTCTTCTACTCCGTTTTCGAATAATTCATATTTCAAATTGGGAATATTGTAATGGCTACCAAACTGATTATAGTTGTGTATATAGTTTGGAGTAGTTATTAATGATTTTGGATCATAAATCAATTTATTGAAATCAGTCCAATATTTCGTGTTTGTAACATTTAATAAATTGGAATTTGAATTACCTGTATCAAGACTTTTCTGGTATTCATTTTTAGTAATGCTTGGTTTATTTATTATATTCATGTCATAATTAGGCATACTTTCTGAGTATTCATATTTATTTAATGAGCCTAGCCCACTTCTTAATTCAAATATTATGGATCTTGGGTAATAATTGACTGTTTTATTTTGTTGTAAAGATCTGTATAAGAATATATTTAGGTCATTTTTTTGTTGTTGCTTTTGTTCATTCGTATACGGTATTAGTGACTCCTGATAATTATATAGATGAGTTGTTATATTATTTGAGTACTGTCCATATGATAAATTTAGTATTTCACTCATTGTTATCTGTGCAATTGATAAATGTTGCAATTGTATTATACAGAATATAGATTCAATTAATAGATGAGATCTCAATATTTGTACTACTTTTAGTTTTGTGTAAGTATCATATGGAATCTATTTTGTTATTTACACAACTAATTTTGCATTTCAATAAAGGTTTGGGAGTTAACAGAATATACGCTGGCCAATATCAGGAAAGCTTTATGAGATGCATTAAAGACAGCCTGGGACCAAATCTACTTGATTTTTTTCCAATTTTTCGTTCGTAAAATTAGATTATTAGTAAATCCGTGGGAATTGAAGCTCAAAATCTACAGCTTAAGCATTACGGGCTACAAAGTTCTTAAGTCTCTCTTATACAGCAATTTTTAGCATGAATTTGTTGCAAGACAATTTGAATTGATCTAGCTGATTTGGCCCCACCCGTAGATCAATTCCTTTATTTAGGCACAACATATCATATTTGGGTCTAACTGATGATTAAACAGCTAAAGAGTTAAAAGCTATTAAGCTCTCCTTGTCATCTTTTCTTAGTTTGTTCATTCTCTAGATATGCAATCCAATTTGTAAGTTTTGTTCAATTAAGTCCAAATACTTATCTCTATATTTGGCCATTTGTGTAAACTCGATTATAAATAATACTGTTTTATACCTGTATATAAATTTAATCGGTTAAGCTTAAAAATAATAGGACGCGTTTTTTCTCTTTTTAATAAAATTATTATGTAATTAAAAGAAAAATAATAAACAAATTTTTTAAATTCATTAATTAACAACCGACTGTTTGAACTATCATTATTATATAATTACTTTACAATTTATCATACAACATACCCATTAAACTACTTAATTTAAATAGTCAATAATATATTCAAATAGGAGAACGTATTTATAAATGACAGAAGTTGACGAAGCAAATAATACTGTTGTTTCTGTTTCATTAAATGACCCAATAAATGAAGAAGAATTAATTTCAACTAATGATATATTGGAAAATATTAATACATCAACTACAAAATCACCATCCATATCATCAATATCATCAATAGAGAGTAATTCATCAACTGATAAACTTATAAAATCCTTGTCATCAACAAAATTAACAACTAAAGATGATCAAACCAGCACAACATCAGGGACAGAGTCATCAACTACTACAATCAGACAAGTATTGGCCACTACAAATGATAATAAACCAAATAGATTACCCCAATCAGTTGCTTCCAAAACTAATTTTTATAATGATTTAAATGAAAAAAATAAAAATCAACTACCTCAAAAAAAGAAACCAATTAAATTTACTGTTCGTAAAGTCTCTCATGAACCAGTAAATATAAATTCAAGTTCCAATTCATCATCACCAACGACTTCAAGAAATCCAACTCCAACTTCAGCTACGTCATCTAAATTTTCATTCACAGACAAAAATATTGAAAAACCTAAAAATAATGACATAAAATCACCAACTACTACAGATCAACATGAAGTAGAAATAATAAGTAAATTAAAACAATCACAACAAAAATATGATCAATATGAAATTAGAATTATTAAAATTGAAAAAGAAATTGAATTCTTATTACAATTATTACCACCATATAATGTTGAAATTGATTATAATACAAGAACAAAAATAAATAAAGCTATCGAGAAATTGAAATTAAAACAAGAAGAAATTATAATGAAAAAATATAATTTGGGTATTGTTATAAGTAGACTTTGGAGAAATCATGAGAGTAGTGAGATTTGGGTTAGAAAATTTGATTGATAGAAGAAGATAATTGATCAGAAATTTATTTATAGAGCTTAAATACTAATTACTTTAGTAATAAGATCAAATATATGATATAATGAAATGACTCAATTTTAAGCCCTATTTTTAAATCCACCCAAAAGATTTAGAAAAGAGCTATTTCTTAAATCGAGATATGTAGATACTAGATCTAATAGATTTAATAAAATCAAAATTTTAGATATGAAATTAGACTTATTGATAAAACAGTACTTGAAAAAAATTGAAAAAATGAGCTAAAATTAAAGTATCGTACCACTTTCTACAAATATATATATGTTTGTAGTAGAGTTAAATTATAATTAACAATATCTATTGTTGAATACAAATTTAGATACTAAAGTGAATGAAAATAAAACTGATCAATACAAATAAATCACAAGCAAGTTTGTAGCTGTAGTTAATTAATCAATTATTGTTTAATTTTTAGGGGATATCACATATTTAATAAAATTGTATTGTTTCTAATTTACTGACGTATTAAAAAGTACGTTTGTGTAGTATTGCATGTCCTAAATGCTACCAATTCGTATTGATTTAATTCGAAAATTTAAGTAAAAAAGCAGTTACGTAATTTATAATTTGTAATCTAATCTATTGATCTAACAATATAAAAGGAAATTATTCACAATTTCGTAGTATTGTGAGAAGTTCATAACTATTATTAATTTAATCAATCGATACTACACTTATATACCCCAAAATAAGGAGCTTTTATTAAAGATTTTTAATGTTCAGCCTTATCAATAAAGAAAACTAAAATATATTGAAAAATTATTTATCTAATCAGATAAGATCTTTGAAAAAGTCAACTTTAAAATTATTAAATAGATTACAAAATCGTGATTTGAACTGATTGTTACAACTTTAAATCAATATATAAGATTGTAATCTCTTTTAGCTTCACTTGGTTATTTGTAATATGCTTTTCTTTTAATACTCAAATTATTGTCTTAAGATTGTAACATAATAAAATTTAACTAATATTATAAATAATTCTAGTAATTAATTTTAATATTAATTTACGATTTTGTATTTAAATATTAGTATTTACATTTTATTTTTATTTATAATCATTTAATTTATTAGATTTTATTATTATAAGATTCTCAAAATTTTTTTGAGATTAACAACAAGTCTCTATTCATTAGATTACAATTAAAAATTCATTATTTATTTGGTTGTTAGTTGAAAACATCAGCAAAAGCACTTACTAATTATTTTATTTCAATTTTGTTACTATTGAATCTTTAATTTATTAACCAATTTTTTTTTTCTTCAGAAATTATTATATCTACATTTTTTACATTTATTATTTTTACAACTCATTTTGAAATTAATGACTATACAAAGAGTTCAATTAAATAATGATAATTATATGAGTTCAACAAATCAACAACAATCATCACAACCACAAATAAATAAATCTTTAAGATCTAAATCACCAAGTTTTCAAAATATTCAAGATTTACAAGATTTCAAAATTCCTATACCAGAAAGACCTGGTTTACATGTAAAAATCCCATCATCAGCACAATTTGCTCCTTCACCAATACCGAGATCTAATAGTAAAGGAATATTTGAAGATAAAGATCAGTTTAAAGAAGATATTTTAAAATTTCCATTTGAATCATCGCGTGCTTATTCTTATGCTCATTTATCACCAAATTCTTTAGCTTTAAGATTAAATGTACTAAAAAGATCTTTGGAAATTTTAAAAGATAGACCAGATTTATTCAAATCTATAACAAATCAAAATGAAGATGAATTAGCACTAAACAGATCTATATCTATTGATGGAGCATTTTCAAATCCACCTACAATAAAGTCAAGTATATTTTCTCACTCAAATCATAGTGCAGATTTTTCAGATTTAACAAGTTCTCCAAAAGATCAAAAACAATATAAATTACAATCAAATGCATCATCAGCTGCTTTAGCTGCATTATTTAGACCAAGTCTACAAAGATCTGATAGTTTACCACCAGAATCATCAGAGGTTAGAAAAACTTCTGCACCACCAGCATTACAAGAAATAACTCCAATCACCAACACCACCACTACCAACAATTCAAAAGATGATTTTAAAGATATTATAAATTTATTGGAGAATGACTTGGAGTCTGTTTCAGAAAATTTTGATATAGCATCAACTATAAAAGATTTAACTTTATTCTCAGCAGATGAACAACATCAAATAAAACATGATATACTAAAGAAGAAATTGATATATGCATTAGCCATGCCATTTATAGAAAATTCAGTCTTGACATCGTCACTACTAGGAAATGATGATCAATCACAAAGTTTGGCGAGTGCAAAATCAAGTTTAGCATTAAATTCCTTAAATAAACCAACTACGAACAAAAGACCTTTCCATTCAATGCTTAATAGTAAATATTCATCACCACAATCTGTATTCACAATAGAATCCGATTTGCCATGGTCTGTAAAAGCAGCCAATGATTTAGCGTGTCTTATGTTTGGTTTATCAAAACAGATAATAAAATCTTTAACTTTAATGGATTTGATAGCTCCACAATTTAGAGATTTTGTACTAGGAAAACTTACAAAGTATACATTTGAAAATAGTAAAAAAGATAGTATAATTTTTGCAGGTGAAATAGTTGCTATAGTACGACCAGGTGATAAAAATTATAGTTGGACTTCATTATGGGCCAAAAAAAAGGGTAACTTAATAATTTGTATGTTTGATCAAATTCCGTGTGATGCATTTGACATTATAGTAAATGAGAATGGTTACATAATTGATAAAATTAATGAAATTGCGGGGAATTTTATACATGATTATAATATTAATACAAACAACCTAAAAGAATTAAGTGAAACATTAAGTGGTGACTTGGTGAAAGATGATGTTGAGTTTATAAATCATACAAGATATTATACATTACAAGTTGATAATGGAAATGAAAATTTACCATGTGCTATTACTTCAGTGCCACTTGATGGACAAATTAAACTTAAAATCCATACAATGCCGTATATTGCTGGTATCTTTGTTATAAATGCAAGCAATTTTAAAATCTTGTCTTGTAACAATGCCATAGCTAGAAATTTATTTGGTAAGTCACTAGAAGATTTGAAACATCATTCAATTGATGAATTGATACCGAACTTCACTAAAATTTTAAATGTTGGGTTGGAAGAAAATATTGATACATTACAAGTTGAAAACGGGTTGGTATTACCGGAACATTTTTTCAGAAAATATGATGCTGTTTTAAAATATCAAAATCAAACTAGGTTGGTAAATACTGAAGAAGATATTTTTCTCAATTCTTTAGGTATTGAAGGTATACATAGAGATGGTAAAACGTTATTTGTTGACGTACAAGCTCGTGTATCTGCCGATGATGCATTAATAGTCTGGGTGACATATTCAAGAAGTCAACAAGATAAAGCTATAGCCAATGAATTAGAAAAACTTCAATCAACAAATTCTTCAGCTATATCATTAGCATCAACAATGTCACAACCACCAATAAAACAATCAAGAGTAAACAACCTTAAAAAGAGAGTTAAAACAAGAACAAATTCAGCAAATAATTTACCATCACAGCTAAAATTATTTGACGATGAAAAAGAAAAAGACCTTATGGAATTTTCACCAAGAGAAATTACAAGATCACTGAGTACAAGAAGAGTTAAAACAAAGTCATTTGCAATTCCAGTATCACATTTAGAACCTTTTATGTTTAACAAAACCAATAAATTTGATTTAAAAAATGATGTTGAATCAATAGAACTGAAGGATATTACTCAAGAAGATATTGAAGAACATGAACAAAATTTCAAGATACTACTTTCAGAATACTCAGAAGAAGAAATACTAAAACTAGAAAATGACTCTCTTGAATCTATAAAATCAGAATCCAAGAAATGGCCAACAGAAGTTGGATTGTATAGACGATCCAAAAAATTTTCAGAATTTAAAATTATAAAACAAATGGGAGAAGGTGCATATGGTAAGGTAGTATTAGCTCAACATAAAGAAGATCCATTATATAAAATTATAATAAAATGTATAGACAAGGAAAGAATTTTAGTTGATACATGGGTAAGAGATAGAAAATTAGGTACTATCCCTAGTGAAATTCAAATAATGGCATTTTTAAATTCCGAACCACACCCAAATATAATGAGAATAGTTGATTTCTTTGAAGATCAAAAATATTATTACCTTGAAACTCCCATTTTTGGAAATCCACCAGCTATAGATTTATTTGACTTTATTGAAATTAAAAAAGATTTAACCGAATTTGAATGTAAATTCATTTTTAAACAAATTGTTTCTGCTGTATATCATTTACATAAAGAAGGTATTGTTCATCGAGATATTAAAGATGAAAATGTCATAGTTGATGAAAAGGGACTAATAAAACTAATTGATTTTGGTTCTGCGGGGTATGTGAAACAAGGACCATTTGATGTGTTTGTTGGTACAGTAGATTATGCATCACCAGAAGTTTTAAGAGGTGAAAAATATGAAGGCAAACCACAAGACATATGGGCGTTAGGGATATTATTATATACAATGTTATACAAGGAAAACCCATATTATAGTGTTGATGAAATAATGGAAGGTGAATTAAGAATACCATATGTTATCAGTGAATCAAGCGTTTCATTAATAAAAAAAATTTTAATTAGAGATGTTAGTAAAAGACCCACTATTACAGATATAGTAGAAGATAAATGGCTACAATTTTAAATTAAAATTAATAGAGTTTAATAATTTATATATTTATATATTTATTTATGTGTTTAATAATTAGGGATAGTTTTTTTTGGAGATTTACTTCAGCTTTGTATTTGGAGGATTTATGAACTTAATTTATACCTATTTTTATAACCAGATTTTAATATTAAATATTATTAAGTGTGTCGTGTTTCAGTATTTGCGACAGTCGCGAGTCTCAAACGCGTTTTATTCTATGCCGTTCATAAATAAATTGTTATACTGTTTTTACAACCAAAGTTTAACCAACCAAAATACTATGGATCAAGATGATACCAAGTTTGAAATAATAGATCAAAACAATATCCCCATAATTATCCACCTACTATATACAATAAGTCTAAAATCAGTCCTAAACGAAATTCCCACCGAGAATTCACTAAATCAATCACAACCAAACCTACTATCAGAAACATCACAAGTACATTTTTTCAGATCTGGGGTGAAAATACGACGTAATATATACTTAGTTAAATTGAAATTTGGTCAAGATGATAAATTTGAAAAATTTGGAGTATTGTATCCCGTTGTAAACGATATATTTGGGATTTTCAGAGTTGATTGTGAGATACCAGAAACTGATGATTGTGAGGAAATGCCAGAAATAACAAATTCTGAAGGGTTATTTACAATTACTAAAGATATGGAATTGAGCAGAAACTTGAATTTACCACAAGTTACAAGTTTTTCAATGAAACCACCGAGTAAAGTTATAAGAGAAGAATTTCAAGATCCCTTACATTTTTTACAAAATAGATATTATCAATCACTTTATTCATTAAATGAACCATTAGTATATTTCCCAAAGACTTCAATTTCGAGATTTAGAAATATCTGTGTTAATGAAGATCGAATTATTGAAATTTTATCTAGTATGATTATGACTATTGAGAGTTTTGATTTGAGGTATGAGGTCAATTTTTTAGCTAATTCGAATACAAGTGAAATTGAATTAACTCATAAGTTGCATTTCATGGACAAAAACGGAATTAGAGTGGTTGATGATAAAATTGAAGGAATAACAACTGATCAGCTACAGAAAATTCTTCTAGAGTTGAAAACTAGAGAAGCTCAATTGCAAATTATTCTCATTTTCGAATTACTTTTAACTAAAAATATAAACGAAGAAGAATTTTTATCTAAAAACTTAAAGAAACAAAACTCAATTCAGAAAAAGAGTCAAGAAAGTCAAAAAATAAATTTAGTAAGATCAAAGAAGAAGAAAACTGTAAAACCAATTGTAATGGAAGTTTTATCAAACGAGTTCTTCACATACATATATATGAACAAAATAATAGATAGATTAAACTTATGGGAAGTATTAATCTCAAATAAAAACAAAGACTCAAAAAATATTTTACCTCATGTTTTAATATTATATTATCACAAAAGTTTACCACATTTGACAAAATACGTAATTGAAAATTTAAAGAATATAAATATGAAACTAACAACGAGTTCAAAAAAATCAAAAGCTGATCTTCATAAAGTAGAGAAAAAGATAGATAGACCAAAATTGACAAAGAACAATGACAATGACCAATTAATCAAAGACATTTCAATAAGTTCAATCAAAAGGTCGAAATCAAACTTAGGACAATCAAAAGATTTAGACAAAAGGCAAATTAATTTAGATTTAAAATCACCAAAGACAAAATCAATAATTGAAGAACCATCACAATTAATTTTTAGTAAAGCTAAGAAATCAAAAAGCATCCCCAATCTATCATCCAGCTCAACTACATCCACAAACTTGGCTCAATTCCAATCATTTTCACAGATTCAAGCAACTCCAGCAAAACAAAGAACAATAGATTTAGCACTAGAGGTATTCACACCAACAACCAACAAAGATAATGAGTTTGTAAAACCAACAACTAAAAATTCAATGACTTCAAAATTACAATCAATAGCTCAACATACTGAAGAAACTGATGATGATGATAATGAATTAGGTTTGGTGGTGAATAGTTCACCTCAAAAATCAATAGTTAGTGTTGAAGCTACTCCCCAAAAACCATCAAATTCTTCCAAAATGTATCAAACAATTGAAGCAACTCCACAACAAGGCAAAAATATAGATGCAACTCCCCAAAAATCGAAAGTAATTGAAGCTACGCCAAAACAAACTAAAATAATCGAAGCAACACCACAAAAAGTTTTAGCAGCAACACCAAGGAAAAGATTAATTAATGGAACTCCAAAACAAGTTGTAGCTACACCTTCTATTAAAAAACCAACTTCAACACCAAAAACAAAACCAGGTGATCCAATCCCATTATCAAATTCACCAATTTACAACGCATATAATTCTTCCAAAAATTTATTTAATGATGATGACTCCAATGACGATAATGACATTAATGATAATGACAAGAGTAATAACAATGATTATGATTATGAATATGATTCTGATGAAATTTTAAATCCTACAAAGAAATCAAAATCTACGTACTTTAGAAAATAGCCATTAGATAATTATAATAATACAAATATTTTATTACGAATTTAAATAGATATTTCACCGAAAAATATACCTTTTACTATATCTTTTGAATCATTCTTTTCAAGTACGATATTGGCTAATGGTTCACCTATTCTTTCTTTTAATTTCTCTCTTATTTCATCACTAAGCTCTTCTTCATCAACATTCATTTCATCCTCATTATTAATTCTTCTATTATTTGAAACATTCAACTTTCTTAGTATATCTATCACAGTATTTATTAAAATATTTCTTTCATATTCATTATCATTTTCTTCAATTACCGATTTATACCAAATTTTTAAATTACCAATAAGTACTAATTTAATAACTTCATTACCTAAATTTTTCAAACCTAATAATGCACCATAATGAGTACCTATCGGTTTTGTTGAATCTAGTAATGCTCGTAATAAAGTTCTTGTAACTCTTGGTCTTAATGTTGAATAAGAAGATCCATAAACTTTTATAATATGTTCTAATAAAATTGATGCAAATTCTCTTATAGTTAATTGATTTTTTAAATTTTCTTCATATTCTTCTGAGTTCTTTTCATTTATTACAGGACCAATTCTTTTAGCTAATAAAAGTGTTAATATACATGGCATTAATGCATGAACATATGGGTCCAAAAATATTGTCTTGTTATCAACTAATGATGATATAACTTCTAGCATTGTTGACAAAATTTCTATATGTCTTAATTGATTTGTTATTTGTTCTGCTACAAATTGGATAAAATATGGAACTAATTGATGTAATCCAGGATCGGATTTTAAGGATTGTAATGCTGCATTTTTTAAACTTTCTTCTTCTGGATCTGTTGATACTAATACTTCAACTACTTTATCGAAATATAATTTTAATTCTTTTGATAATACATGTTTTACTAATGGTTTTGTTTCAAATCCCTTCTCGATGGTTGTGGTTGTTGGTTTTTTGTTCTTGTTTGCATTTGTTGTAGTTGTTGATGAAGTTTCTTCTTTCTCTCCACCTAATGATAATATATCATTACCTAACATTGATGAAGTAGCACCTCTTATTGCAGGTGGTAAATTCTTAATTTCTGAAGGTAATGGATTTTGAGGAACCATTGGTTGTATACCTTCAATAGCTAACCAATGAGCTGTAAAAGTAGTTTTTCTAGGTACTTTAGGTAATTCTTGATTAATCAATTTTTCAAATTCAATTTCATGATCATCAACATAATATAAAGTTTGACCTCCAGCACCAACCATAGTTTCTTTAAATGTTAATGGTTGTGAATTATCATACCCGTATAATGGTTCAACATTTAATACTTTTAATGCATAATCTATATCTGAAGTCATTAAAATCTTTCTCTTGGAATGACGCATAAATTTTATAGCTAATTCTAATATTTCATGAATTCTATATTCAACATCCATTGCTAGATTTTTTGCTGGTTCATCTGGTAAGTTTATCCCCAATGAATCTGCTGCATCTTTTACGGTGTCATAAGGTGACCATAATGAATGAGATAATGGGACCCTTGCGTCCATTTCGGGATTGTTGTAGTTTGATCGGTATATGAATTGGTTTGGTTGTAAAGTTATATTTTTGTTTACTTAAACAAATTTTTGTGCAAATTACCCGCGACATAAAGTTCACGACATCACTTTTTTAATAGTAATTTTTTGCAACCATTAGCCCCATTATGAGATAACAATTCGGAGCAATAAAGGTCGGATTGTAAGACGTCGTTAACTCGGTATAAATTCAAAAGCTTTTATTTTTGTTCACAAAAAGTACAGTATTATTAATTATTCATTAATTTAAGTTTATTCTATATACATTTATAATAATTTTATGATTGTTATATTGTTTTATTTTATATATTGTTTATATTTACTTTTTTAAATCTATTCCATTAATCTTGGATTAGCATCGGTAATTTTTTGAGTAATTTTTGGATAGTTTACATTTTCTTTTAAATATTTGAAATTTGGAATTTTAATATCAATTTCATTTTCAAATTTTGGATTTGTTTCGGTGGTTATTCTTGAAACATTTTTGTATATATCTGCATTTTTAATCCAACCACGTAAGAAATTTATACATGCTTTATCATGTTGCATATAATTTTTATATTGTTTTAAAAGTGAATAATATAATGCATCTCTTTCTTTTGATTTAAAACTTTCTGAAAATACAGTAGCTGCTCTTAATGATGACCAATCTGCATTTGCAATATATCTATAATGTTCTTCATCTAATTTTAATAACAAGTTGTTCCAAAGTTTTAATATTTCTTCATATGAATAATCAACTGTACCTGCTTGTTTTAAAATTACACGATTTGAAATTATACTTTTTTCAACATTGAATTTATCAAATGCATCTATAACATCTTGAATTAATGATTTATCTTTCCATGTCATATTTGAAATTAATGTATTTAAAAACACTTCATCAATTTTTGGACATTTTGTGAATATTAATTTTAACAATTTTATAGATTCTTCATCCGGGTTTGGATATTTACCAAAAAATATTTTGAACAATCCAGTGTTAATTGTAGCAGATTTTGATGAAAGGTCATTAACATTTTCAGTATAATGATTTGCAATACGACTCCATAATTCAATTATATCTTCAGTTGAATCACCTGCATCTGAACAATTTTGTAAAAATGAAACCATATAAGGAGCTTTTAATACAACAACATAAGGTAAACCATCTGAATTATCTATAGCTTTTTCAAAAAATCTTTTGGCAATAACAGTATCTTTACAATTACCAATAAAGGATAAATGTAATTGAGCTAATCCACCTAAAATGGATCTTTCTTCGGGATTAGTTTCATATGAATTCATTAATGCTTCTAATGCATCTAAACCTCTTCCATGATCACCTTCACTTATAGCCACTTGACCAATTCTATCAGATAAGAATGGATGTACTGGTTCATTTTCATTAACACTCATATTATATATCGATTTAATTTCTTCATAAGAAAATCTCTTGGTTTCATAAGCAACCTGTAAAACAATTGATAATACATCATGACTTAAATATAATTGACCAATATTATTTTCATTATTATTATTTTCTTTTTCTTGTTCTGATTGACTTACTCCATTTTCCCATAAATTTAAGATTTCATTATATAATTTAAATTGTAATAAAGTACCAAATACTTTGAATAATATTCTTGTTGATAAAATTTTATTGAAATCACCCAGGGCAATCATTTCTGATAAATTTATTATAGCAGTTTGATAAGTTAAATCTTCATTAAAAGCTTCTGCTTGATCTTTATCTCTATTTCTTGATTTTCCTAATCTTGATCTTCTTGATGTTATAGTTGCACTATATAAATTTGCAGAATATTTATATAAATTTAATTCACTCATTTGATTTTTAAAAGATTCATCTTGTATTAAATTTGATAAATTATCTAAATCTTTATATTCTTTATCATCTTGATTATTCCAACGATTTAAATGAGTTGGTTTATGATATTTATGATGATAATTTTGAAATTTTTCTTTATATTCATTAGTGATATTTCTTTCTTGTAATTTAGGCGATATATTATTATTACTATGACTTGTTGATATAGTTGCATTATTTCTAAAAAATTCTATATTAGGATTAGTTGTAATTGATGATGATGATGGTGTTATATTTTGATTTTTAGCTAATTTTATTTTGGAAATTAATGTTGGCCTTAGACCTTGAGATGAATTTATTAATCTAAACATTGTGTGTTATTTTGAATATTTATATATTTTTATATGTTATAGTATGAATAGAATATTGAAATGTTTAAGATTAGTTTCATAAAACTATATGAATTTAAATTTGGTTGTAAAAAAATGCAAATTACTTCTAGTTTTATATTACTATTAAAAATTTTCTTTTATTGTGTAATATAAATTTCTTATGTATGGATCATTTATTATTTCTACTTAATATTTCTTTTACTGTTAGGGACGAACAACTACCAAATGAATTGTTTTAAATTCCATTTTAGTAAATCTTTGTTTTTGTAAGTAATTAAATCACCTTATAAATTTAACTAATAATTCAAAATCAACAAGTTGAATAAATCTCTTAAAAAAGTTAAAAAGTAATTAAACAAACCCTTATAATATCAAATATTATTAATATAATATAGACAGCTCTTTTGAAAATATAAACATACAAAGAATGCTGGGTTATTAATATTTATTATTTCTTTGTCTTTTCTGTATTAAAAGAATTATAATTTTATTAAAAGTGATTAGATAATAAGAAATTTACTTTGATTTTTATTTCAAAAATATATTATTTTTACTTAAAAGTTTGGCGTTTTTGACATTGTCCTTAGTTTCAAGTGTCAACTATATATATAAGAAGAGAAAAACAATTAACGGTTTGTTTAGAAAATTTAAAGTTATTATATAAAAGAAATTTTGAAATCTGATGATTTTGTGAGAGTGACTGTTTTAGATTTTTTTTCTTTTAAACAAATGATTTTGATTTGGGGTTTGTTTTTTCTTTTATTTTATTTCATGTAATTATGCCGTTATTTAAATTAGCCAAATAATACTTCAGTTCCTTAAGTGGTTAAAATAATATTTATTTTGTTAAAAGACTTCAATTATAAGATTTGTAGAAATTCTTGAATTGAATGCAAAGTGATTCGATTTAACAACCTTATAGAATTCTAATTTACAATATATACAGTATAAACATTATCACTCTATTCTACATTCTGTGTAATTTTTGAAGCTGCCAGTGTATTCAACAATGGTAATTTCAGTTCAATCATATTAAATTTTAGTACATTATTAATTTGTGAACCATTCATATCATTCAAGTCAATGTTATCATTCTCATTTAACTTTTCACTAATGTGATTCTTTCTCAAATTTTTATCAACATTCAATGAAGTGCTTCTTAATAGTGGAGGTGGAGGTGGAGAATCTAATTGCAAATCTAATTGTAAATCTAAATCAATAATATTATTGTTTATTGGGGATTCTTTTTCTTCTTCATCATTATACATTACAATATCCGAATTATTATGAAATGTTATATCATCCATTGAGGAATCTGGTTCTAATGTAGTTGATGATGGTAAAATTAATGAATGATGTCTACCATTAGTAGTATTATTGTAGTTATGATTATTAAGTAGTTTCGATTTTCTTGATGGTCTATGATTTGGTGAACTTTTCATTCTTTTAATTGATGGTCTTTTAAAAGTAGTTGTGTTAGTTGTTATTCTTGGTGGTGACATTGTAAATTTAGGTTTTTTTATTGGATGTTGTATATCATCCTCAAATTCTTCCCATGATCTTGCTTTGAAATATTCTATGGCATGATTTTCAATAGCTGTTTCAAAATTACCATTGACCAAGTTCTCCAAACCTTGAATTAAATTTTGGAGCAAAGTTTCATTACTATCGTCGTTATTGATATTTGATAAATAATTTGCTATTGCTTTCGAAGGATAATAATAGTCATATAATGAATGAATTAATTTATCGTATAATGCTGATGATTTGACTAATATATCCATTTGTATTTGATTATGTAAGGATAAAATAAGTTGATTAAAAATTTCAGTATGATTATTGGTCCAGCCTTGGTCATTCTGTATTCTTTTTAACGTTTGTTTTGCTGATTCTCCTAATATGTGGTCTATTTCATATGGTTGACTATATTGTGACTCTATTTGAATAATTTGATGCTCTATTTTGGAAATGATTTGATCTCGTAGGTTATAGATTGTGGATATGTATTGATTTTGCTGATGATTCTGATCAATATGTAAAAGTTGTTCAGTTTCAACTTTTTGTAGTAGTAGTAATTTTCTTTTAGCAAGTAAGAATAGTTTTTTGAATTTCTCTTGACTATATTTGGCAATATTCTTCCGTATTGAACTGATAGTATCTTGTAGTAAGTTGTACGTACTTTGCTCCACTTTCTTTCTTTTTTCAATTGCAATATCAACAATTTTATTCTCTCTAGCCCTTAACTCTTCGATTTCTTGTTTTTGTTCAGTAATCATTTTTAAGTATGATCCAACATGACGATTTAAGTTATGTTGATTTCGTGTTAACTTAGTTTTTATTTCTTTTGCTCGATCTGCATATTTTAAAGTATTCAAAGTTTCATCATAGTGAATACTACTTGGAGCAACACAAACTATCATAACAGTTTTACAATTACCTCCCAAAGAAAATTTTAATAATCTTGTTAATTTTGAATCTCTATATGGTACATGATTTCTTCTTTTTGGATCACATAATGCATTTATACAATTTCCCAAAGCTAATAAAGATTTATTAATATTTGCTCCTTCATTCAATCTTACTCCTCTATTTTTTGTAGCTGCTGCTCTTTCACTACCTGCTAAATCTATTATGGATAATGTTGCAAATGTGTGTTCTTCTTTTAGATCACCAGTTCTATTCTTTTGAACAACATTTATTTGTAAAACAGCATGAGATCTACTAGAAGTTGCATTTGCTTCAGTTGGACTTGATGTTCTATTTGCATTACCGGCCATTATTAAATGCATAACTTCATCTACTGAGTCTGGTCTATGAGTTGATAAATTCGATACTGTAATTTTATTGTTCGAATCTTCCCGAATTACTAATTTTTTATAATCAGTTTCTGGGTTCAATAAATCTCTTATTGTTTCATTGTAAATTTCCAAATATGATAAACTTATATCAATTAATTTTGTATCACTCAATTCCTCGATTTTTTCATATAATTCCTTCATTGTTAAAAATATGACACCAGGATTATCCAAAGTACCCAGAATAGTATGTGTTTTACCACATCCAGTTGCACCATATGCAAATACAGTAGCATTATATCCATCCAATACTGATTCCAATAGGGGTCTAGTGGTATTTTGATATACATGATCTTGAGTAGAATCTTCATCAAATAATTTATCGAATACAAATTTATGTTCTCTGATTCTTGAACCTTTTGGAAATAAATTTTTTTGCATTTTTACTATTGGATTAGTCTCTGGAGGATCAAAAATTAACATCTTATCATCAACAACATTTATAATTTTTCTAATCCCCACTTGAGTTAAGAATTTTTGTTTCATTGAATCCTTTTCTGTTAAACTTCCATCACTTAAAAAAATATCATCTTGATCAGTCTTGATTAATTTTGTTATTTCATTTTCCGTAAATGGTCGTACTCTAACTGCAACTGTTATTGATGATTGTTTAGTAGTTGGTGTAGGGACTGTTGTTGTTGTTGAAAATGGTGAAGCAGTATTTATTTTTTCATCTGCCATACCATTTGGTTAATTGATTCCTTGCTGTTGTATTATAATTGTATAGTCTATAACTTTATTAAGTACTTCAATAAAATAAATTTAGTTCTTAGCTAAATAAAAAAATTGGTTTGTTTACAAAGTTACTGAAAAAGAAATTTCTTTTTGTTTTACGCGTATGGAATCAAAGCTACCAAATTCAACATATCAGATATGTCAAAATTGATGGATTTTTTAATCAACTATTCTTCCGATTTAGTTCAACACGATCGTAATTACTTATACTAGAGAATTATAAACTTTAACATGAAACAAATTTTCCCAAAAAATATAATAATTAAATTAATTTATTAAATAATTAAACAAATAAAATAATTATCTTTTAAAAACTTATCCAATCTTTTTATCGTCTATAATTTTCTCATCTTCCAAATCTTCAATATCAGTATCATCTTCATCACTTCTTACATCTTCTGCTCCAGAACCAATGATAACTTTATAAGCAACTTTTAAAATTAAATACATCCAAATACAAGTAATAATTTGTAAACCACCTAATAAACCCAAAAAGGTATTTATAATAGTTGGAGTCCAACATCTTTTTTGATTTAAACCTTCAACACATCTACCATTTTCCATTAAATGTACAGATTTATGCCATGCATGATAAAAAATATAATTATAAACTCCATGTCTTAAAGCAATCCAACTAACTAAAAACAAAATAAACATTCCATCACAAGCATTATTAAAACCAGCGTACTTTAACATTTTTGCAGCTGCTAAAAAGATATCAACTGAATCCATAATCATTAATATTAAATGTCCAATTCTAAAATAATAGTAGTAATAAGAACCAATTATTAATAAACAAGTTATAATATGATGACTAAACATTTGATAATGATCTTTTCTTGGTTTTTCAACATTTAAAACGAAAATTTGTTGTAACCAAAAAGCCATTGAAACCAAATAATACTTTTTAAATTTATTATCCATTAAATAATTTGGCCAATTTATATAAATTTGATCCAAATTATTAAAATAAGGAGCATCTAAATATAAATAAACTCCATAAATAAAACTCAAACTATAATAAACAAATGACCAACTTTGTTCTGCAAATCTTGTTTTAGCCTTTTTTGAATAAATATGACAATATTTTGACGCAAATGGTTCAAAACAATATTTCATTAAAAATGATCTTAAAAATGTTACTGTTATTACCCAATTTATTACGTAGTATATGTCATCAATATGAATATCATAAATTGGTAAATTATTTTCTGGATTTGTTCCTACTCTATTCTGCAAGTGAATAAATTTATTTGTAAAAGAAATCACTCTAGGATTTGAACTTAAAAAATTTAATGAATATAATAAAATCATTAAATTTCTACTTATTGGTATTTGATTTCTTTCAACTTTTGCTAAGAATGAATCATGATATTTTTGGTCTTCGTTTGTTTCATTTTGTATTATTTCTTCTTCATTATATCGTCTTTTCTGTTCTTCTGGATTTTCATCTTCTGTAAAATCTGTTGTGCTATTAATATTATTATTATTTGTTGTTGTGGTGGTTGTTGTAGTAGTTAATTTAAAACTTTCATGTCTTTTTAGATTACTTGATCCCAGTCTATTCTCCCTCTTCGTTGTTATTCTTGTCAGGGTAGCCATAATTTTTAATTCTGGAACATCAATTGATATTACTTTTTTATTCGAATAATAAAAATTACAAAATGATTTTGTTTAAAAAAAAAAATTAATATTGAAAAATTTGTAAAATAAATAAAACACAACACAGTAATAAAATAATTCTAGTACTAATAATAATTATATAGTCTAGTCTAATACTATTAATAGAAGATAAATAATTATTAAAGAAATTTTACGAAATTAAAATTTAAAATTTTAATGAGAGAAAAGAAAAAATAATAAAAAAGAAAGAGAAGAAGAAATAAAGAAAAAGGCAGAAATTGAGAAAAACTTTATTAATTATATAATTAATTGATAACGTGGTTAGGATACTAATTAATTTATTGATTATTGAATCAGTGTTAGACGTGTTATATACTTATTAATAATTGTTAGTTGATAAGTCTTAATTAAGTAAAAAATTACTCTTTAAATAAATTAAAATTTATCCCATTGCATCCTATCAATAAATTGTATGAAACTTCTTTATTTAGAACACGTACTAATTCTGACAATGCTACCAAACAAATTTCTAAAACAAGTATCATTATGTGTGAAAGCCTTGATATATAATTAATTCTAATTGGCTTCACAGATTTTGAACAAACAGTAATATTGAGTAAGTTATAATGATGAAACGTTTACACTATATTAAAGCCACTTTATTATATATAGATTTAACCTTATTTTTCACCTCAAAATCACATTCTTTTTAGTAACATATTCAGTAAAGCCTTTTTAACAATTTGTTCATTATATCTATTCCATAAAACATAAACATTCATCATATCTCTTACTGCTTCAACAACTTCATCTAAATTTATATGAGAATGCTCCAAGAAATTCATGAATTTGTTTATTTTTATTGTATCTTCATCTAAAATATCTAAATCAAAGTTTACTATATCATTTGATGAAGAACTTTTCGTATCTTGATCGTTACTATTCTGGTTTGAGTTTGAGCTTAGTTGGGATTGCTGTTGTAGTAGTTGTTTTGTTTGGGGTGATGTATCATTAGTGTCAGTAACACCAAGATCATTTTGATCTGATGTCTTGGATAGATTCATTAATTCATCAATATTCAAATCTTTACTATCTTGTTTATCATTATAACTATTATTAATGTTTGCATTAGTCGTTGGATCATTCGTTGACGTAACATTATTACCATTTGTCTTATTTCTTGTATGTGATAAATTCTTCTTTAGCACTATGGTAATATAAATAGAAGCAACTGCAATAATATGAGGTGGTAATAACAAGTGTAAATCCGTTATATAACTATCATTAATTAAACTCCAAGAATTTTGAAATTCTTCATCAGTTAATTTGAACCCATATTTATCAAAATTTAACTCAAAATATTCCTTGAATTGTATTAATGACTTGTATGGATGATGTAAAAATAAATATAATTCCATTTCTTCAATTAGATAAAATTCAAATTCTGCTAATTTTGTTGCATCGTGTGGGATATATTCTGGCCAAATGTTTCTTGCTTCCAGTATTATTAGTCTTATATGTTGAGGACATTCTTCAATTTTACATGACACATATAAACATGTTGTAATTAATAAATATATATTGATCTCCTTTAGACTAACTCTTGTTAAAAATCTTGTTAGATAAATTTCAGCAGTAGCTAATGCAATTTGTCTAACGTTTAATCTTCTACCTAATTTTAGTAACAAATTATGCAAGTAAATTCTCATATTATAATCATATATTATATTGGGATAATCTTTTATTAAACCATTTTGAATCATTTTACGTTCTAAAAATATGATTTTCCTTCTTGCTTCTAGTAGTGAGGCTCTTGTGAATTGCCATTGAGTTCTTTGTGTTGAATTCCAATAATCTGCTGACATATGATGTACAAGTATCGATGTTTTGATGACTTTTTAAGTGTATCGTATTTTGATGGTTGTAAAATAATACTCGATAACGCAAATGGTTTGATTTGTTTAGTGTAAGATAACGGCTCTGGTATTAGGGCTACCAAAGTTTTTGTACCAGAATTGAAAGATGACGAAGAAGTTTAACTTGTGCAGAGATTTAAATTAGGTGGTAAATACCAACTGTAGTATACAAAGAATATTATTGAATAACAACGATATATAAACTCTATATGCTGAGGTCTTAAAGTATAAATTATTTTAACCGAACAAGAACTGAAGTTTTGTATTTGAATTGATCTCTATGCAGTATGATAGAAATATACCAACCAGTGGTTTGAAACATGTACATGAACTGTATAATTCCTACGATATCTTAAATTAACCCATCATCCAGCAATATAGTTTCCTTTTTAACAATTTCGTCAACACTTTCTTTAGACTTTTTACCATGAGTATAAGAACCTAATGTTTCTATATTATAAACAAATATTTTTTCATTTGGATCATTTATATCATCTAATATTTTACCTTGTGGGTATTGATTTTGTAATTGTTTGAGGTTGGTTTGAGTAGTTATAGTTTCAAATTCATTTAAATCAGTTGGAATAAATAATGATTGAGTTGAACTTATTAATAATGAAATTATTGAAACGAGCGATAATTGATGCATGGCTTATTTGAAATGGTTATTTTGTGAATAGTTTGTGAACCTTTTTCCAAAAAAAGAAAAGTGAAGCTCAAAAGAAATTAGAAACTGGCTTTTACTTATAGTTTTATATATCAGAACCATCTGTAGAATTATTGTATCTTAAAGGGGTGATTAGAAGATTTAATCTGTATAGAATTAGATTGATAGAAAAAATTTAAAATAGTGTAGTAATTTGACTTCCCAAAAGGGTAATTTTGTGTCTCGTAAATTTTAAGTTTTAATTAATTTAAATTATTTAATGTAACAAATTAAAGAGACAAAATAATATAGCAATGCGATGTGAAGCAATTTACAACTAATATAAATATCGTCTAGATCTTTTAGTACAAATATGTATCAATCATGGATGCATTGATCGGCGGTACTACTATAATTTCCTAAAACGAAGAACGCTAGTTTTCCATCTAGTTGATCATTTGAGGATCTTTACATTATTCCAAGCAAAAAAGCTATTTATGGGACATCTGGGAAACACAAATGACCAGCATTCAATATCCTGGCAACGAATCGATTACATATTGTAGCTGTTAAATGAAGTAGAATAATCAAAAGTTGTTACCCCAGATTTCAAACTTTAAGTGTCATTTTTTCAACCCTCAGTTGGTAGCACAAACACATACTGACAGTCAATTTTTAATAGATAAGTATTCGGACTTTATCTGGATCTAAATTCAAGATCTTATTCGAATGAAATCTCTCAGTGGTACCGAGTAGTTCCGATTTCTCAAAGACTCAGAAAGTCTCGAAAAAATTTATTAGAAACATAACATAATCTTAAATTCGGAACTAGTTGATCTAAACAATTCTAAACACTATAAAAAAGAAAAAAATATTGATTTAAAAATGGTCTCACTCTAAAACCTGTCTCGAAAAAAATGACTATTAAATAAAAATACGATATTATAAATACAATTCAGCCAAACTAATTCAATTAACTAACTCAATTCATCGGGTTTATTCATTCATTTTACTAATATATTACCTACAATGACACCGCCAGCACAGCATAAAAACTTCCACACTTCCAATCCAGAAACATCATATGCAATTGATCGTTCATTACCTGAATTTGCAGCAGCTGAACCAACAGATGAAGATAATTATTTTGCAAATCATCAACCACCAACTTATTTACCAGAAATTGAAAAAGAAGTACAACAATTTATCAAATATCATCAAGAAAACACGGGTAAAAGAATTGCATTAGTAACGTCGGGAGGTACAACTGTACCATTAGAAAATAATACTGTTCGATTTATTGATAATTTTAGTGCTGGTACAAGAGGTGCAACATCAGCTGAATATTTTTTACGAAATGAATATGCTGTTATTTTTTTACATAGAGAATTTTCATTATTACCTTACCTGAGACATTTCAGTCATTCAACAAATTGTTTCTTAGATTTTATGATTGAAAAAGATAATAAAATTGAAATTAACCCAAAATTCAGTACAGAGATGTTGGAAGTTTATAAAAAATATCACCAAGCACAAGTTTCCAATTCATTACTATTAATACCATTCACTACAGTTAATCAATATCTTTATACTTTAAAATTAATATCAGAAGATTTAAAAATTTATTCAAATAAAGTAGTATTTTATTTAGCAGCAGCAGTATCGGATTTTTTTATCCCACAATATAGAATGCCACAACACAAGATCCAAAGTTCAGCAACTCAAGATGGTGAATTACTTATAAGGTTAGCTCAAGTTCCTAAGTTTTTATCTAGGTTAGTATCAAATTGGACTTCAGGTGCAATGATTATAAGTTTTAAATTAGAAACTGATAATGCTATATTGATCAAGAAAGCCAAGAGTGCATTAGAAAGGTATCATCATCAATTAGTAATTGGAAATTTATTACAGACTAGAAAAAAAGAAGTTGTGTTTGTATCACCTATACAAGATGATAAATGGATAAAATTAACTGATGAAGAGTTACAAAATGGCGTTGAAATTGAAAGCGAAATGATACCCGCTGTTATAGCATTACATGATAAATGGATAGAGAAGACATCAAAATAAATTGTAAATAATAGACGATAATATATGTATGTAAATACAAATAAAACTCATGCATAATAATAAATTTTTCGAATCTACCGTACTCTATTTAACTTATTTACAAGAATGAAACTCCAATACCATACTGTATACCTTTTCTTATATTATCTTTCTCATTAGCCACCAATGGTAAGACAAAATTTAATTCAAATCTGGCCATGGGATGATTATACAAAATACCAAAACCACAACTAACACAATAAGAACCACCTAATTTTTTTAAATTATCATAAAAACTCTGATTCTTATTGTAAGTCACTATTTTACCCCAATTTAAAAAATTATGAAATTTAAAATTTGATTCTTTGTAGTATGGTATATCAATGAATAGTGAAACACCACCAACTGAGAATAAATCTCCACCAAGGTACGAGTTTTTATCTTTTGGTCCTAAACCATTTAGCGTAAAACCTCTAACATCATTTGGTCCACCAATATAAAATCTATCTAGTATTGAAGTTTCACCATTTTTAGCTAACGAATATAATAAACCACACTTGTTTGTATATAATAAATGAGAATTTATCCATGGTAATGCATAAGCTGTTTGTGATAATTGTGCTATTTTAAAGTATGGATTTTTATTAAATTTAAAAAGTCCGTTATATTCTATACCTAATTGACATAAAGTTCCCTTGAATGGTAGATGCTTGTTATCTCTCGAATCATAAATCAAATTATATGCAATTGATGTTTTTAGTTGCTCTCCACATTGTTTCATTACTGCAAATGATTTCGATCCATAGTTATCTAAATTTTTCAATGAATTTTCCAAGATGATTTCATGATTCAAGAAGGAATTATTATATTGTGTATATATTTTATTTATAATTGACTTTGAATGTAAATTACTTTGAATCCAATCCAATTTTCTAGTATTTATACTGAATGAATTATCCCATATGTAATCTGCATCATTATTTACAGGTTGATTATAATTAACTAAAAATGAACTTGATGTCCTTGATCCCGTTACAGCATCAAATGTTAAATTTTCGGCCCCACCAAGAATATTTCTCAATTGAAATTGAATATATCCATCCCCTTCTCCATTGCCTATATTTGTACCTGTCTTAGCTAGGAATTTTTTGATTGGTATTACATTGAAAACGGGTACAACATTAATTGCACTTTGATTTGTGGTGGTAGGTTTTACACCGAATCCAAAATTAGGCTTTGTTTGTTGATTTATTTGATGAGTGTTGCATAGTATATTTTCCACTATACCTAACTTCAAGAAATTTTTAGATATTGAATCAATGGTTTCTAGATAATTAGTTAAAGATAGCACTTCACCAGTCATTAATGGTTTGAATTGTTCGACCAAGAAAGAATCTCTGTATTGTTCTCCATTAGTCAATTGAACATTTTTAATACGTATTGGTTGAGTTGCATTATCATGGAATAAATCTTTCAAGAAATTTTGATTTTGGTCTATTAATTGTTGTTGTTTTTGAGATTGTAGGTTCGATAATTCTTTTTCTGCCTTTGTTTGATCTGTTGTGGGTGCTGGTGGCTGTTTTTTCATATTATCCATGAACTCTTCATCTTGGCTAAATACTGACATTTTGTTGAAGTCATTCAGGTATTTTTTTTTATTTGTAGGTTTTGTTGCAAAGAGTTTGATAGATTATTTATATTTATTTTTTTTCAGTATTGATCTAAAACTAAGAAATTTAACACAATAAATTTTTAAAGAACCTTACGTTTAAATAATTGTACATCTCTATTTCAAATTCATATATAATTCATACATATCATACTATTCATAAAATCATAAACTCATTCTGGTGGTGATATAGCTACTTGAGGTATAGAAGTAGATTCAGGACTTAAAAACACTTGATTTGAACTATCACCACCTCCACCTCCATTTCTTTTCTCTTCCTCTTCTTCCTCAATTAATGATCTTATACATTCTTTACCAGCTTCAGTTTGAAAATGTCTCCTCAATGCATCAGCTCTTGCAAATTTTCTACCACATCCATAACTTTCACCATTTTTTAAAAAACCTTTACATTGAAATTTTTTTTCACCACTATGTAAATCTTCATGTCTTTTTCTATCATGTTGTCTTGCAAATGCTTTACCACATTGACTACATATAAATGGTCTTTCATCTGTATGAGTTCTCAAATGAGATTTTAAATTATATGGTCTTGTAAATCTTTTATCACATAAATGACAAGCAAAAACACTTGGATGTTTTTGAGTTCTTCTTGATGATTGATTTGGTGATGCTAATTCCAACATCTTCTCTCTTGAAGATACTTGTAAAGTTGAATCTTGATTTTCGTGTTCTTCTCCTTCTTCATCGTCATCCTCAAAATCTTCATTGCCACTAATACTTCCTCCACTTCTTGACTTAGATGATCTTGATCTTGGTCTTGGTAATAAACTATTTGATGATTTTGAATTTTTGCTTCTACTTTTTCTTCTACCTCTTTTTATTGATTGATAATCAAGATTTAATAAATCTTTGTCTTCTTCATTGACTGAATTTGGCGAAGACGGTAGAACTTGGGAATTGGGAACCAAGTTATTATTATTAGGCAGTTTTTCATTTTGTTGATTACTATTTTGTCTTGATAAATTATTGACTGAGGAATTGGCTGATGAATTACTAAATAATGAAGGAGTTCTTGCGGCGATTTCTTCTGGTGCTTGTTGTATGGATATTACAATACCTGATGGATCTTTTTTTATATATTCTTGCTTAGTTTGTTGATCGTTATAGCTTGATAAATTGTTTTCAGTTAATTGGTTTTCTAATTGATTTTCAAATTGATTTTTGCTGTTGTCAGGTTGAGCTGGTGGTGTTATAGTAATATCAAAGTCAAATCCTAGTTGATTATTTGTGAAGGTATATTGATTTTTTTCTGCTTTTACTTTGATATCTTCTTGGATACTCTGCTGTTGATGTTGGTTTTGTTGCTGCAGTTGTTGTTGTTGTTGTGCAAACAAAGAATACTGGGGATGTGAATTAAACGTTATACCTTGTTGGAATTCATCATATTGATCCATTGATTGCAATTGCATTTGTCGCTGTTGTTGTTGCTGTTGATGAAGTTGTAACTGTAGTTGATTATTTTGATAATTTGAGTCCGGCATGGATGCTAAATTAGTTGAACTTATAGATTCTCCCAATGCAATTTCAGTTTGTAAAAAGGTATCATTGTTATTGTTATTCTCAGGTTCATAATTACTTTGTACTAAATTTGTTGAAGAATGGCCACCATGTATGGAACCTACATCGGAAAATGCAGTAGGGACTTCTGGAGGAAACAAATTATTATTACTAAATTGAGATGTTGCATCAAGAAAAGGTGAAGCTGGTTGTGATGAGTTATCTGAGTACAATGATTGAGTTGAGTATTGGTGAGGTGAATGTGGATTTAAAAAGTTATTATCATGATTTACTTGTAAAAAATTACTTTGCTGTAGAATATCATTGTTATGACCATTGTTATTGTGTTGATTGTGGTTATTGTAACCTTGAATATTTTGAGTATTTAATGAAATCTCAGAAGCATTATGACTTATATATGGATTCAAATTGTTATTCTCGTAATTATCGTTGTTGATGTTAATATTATTGTGTGGATAATTATTACCATTAAAATCTTGATCATCAATTTGAGATTTGAAAAAATTTATTTGATCATTAAAATCACTATTATTATCATCAAAATTTCTTAGATTTTCCATTCCAATATCATTAACTTCATTATTATCATAAAACCCATTTGGAAATTGTATATTAGTATTTGAACTTTTATCAAAATTATTATTATTATCAAAATTTATTATATCAGAATTTAATTGTTGACCATTATAATTATTTATGTTATTCGTATTTGAAGGTGGTGATAGATTTAATACATTAAAAAAATCTTCTTCTTCTTGTTTTTTATTTAAATTGTTTGACATCTTTGTATCTAATTTCCGTATGTGTATTGTGAAATTATGTATGATATATTACTTGTATTTCTTGCAATAAGAAAATTTGATAGTACAAATTGAAGTTTTCAGTAACAAGTTGAAATACTAGATAGATTTTTGACTACTTATAGTATAATTTTTAATTTTAATCTAGGACAATTTATGTAATAGTTATTTGAATATAGATATCTAAATTGGTTGTAAATATATTTTAATTTATTATATGATTTTTATAAATTGTTTAATTTTATTTCTCACTTTAAATTTTTTTTATTTTTTATTTTTTTTAATTAATATTTCCCCTTACACTTAATAAAATTTAATTTAATTTAATGTATTATTGTGTGTCTTTTGTCTTAAATTTAAATTTTATGACAAATGATTTATTATGAATTTATAATGTAATATAATTCAATTGATATGTGAACAAATTTCAGGTTGGTAATTGATACTTTAAATTATCTATCAACTCCACAAAAATAAATTCCAATTTAATTAAAAATTGGGACATTAATTGTCAAATATATAATAATATCTAATGTTCATAATGTATTGTAGATAAACATATTGAAATATAAATAAAAAGTATTAACCGATCTTGTGTAACCAAATTGATACATATTGTGCTTTAATAATCTAAATTAATTTTATAAAACTAAACAACTTTTTAAAAGATTTTGAAGTATGGAAACTTAATTAAACTAGACTAAAATCAAAGTATCATCTTTTGAAAATTCACGACTATATAATACGGCATTAGCAACAAAGGAATTATTACATTAGCTATGATGGTATTAATCAATTTAATTTGTGCATTCAATAAAAATGAATCACTAAATAATCATAAAATAGTTAAAACGTAAAAATAGGCGCAGTACAAATTGATACATTAAATTGTCAATCAATAATCTATAAGCAAGAATACATAGCAGGTTATGATCATCATTGAAATGGTTCTAAATCAACTGAATTTATTCAAGGATTCAAGTATTGAAGTTATTTGAATTGTTGACTAATATTACTAATTTTCATTCATGTGTTTAAGAAAAAAAAGCTTAGAAACTTAAGGGGATTTATTTCTAATGCCCAGATTTAAAATTTAAACAGTTTTACAATTCCAATTTCTTATTTTTCAATCTCTTTATTCTTCTATTAATAGAATTAAATGTCTTTATACATTTTCAGTTATTCCATATAATAAATGAAGTAGAATTGTGATTAAAATGACATGTAAGATTACTAATTGTTTTTATATTTATACTGTATAATAATAATAATTGTTAAATAATTTATTACGATCGAAAATTGACAATAATTAATAAGTACATTAGGCTATAATTTATCAAGCTATAATTTATCAAGCTATAATTTATCAAGCTATAATTTATCAAGCTAGATTCCAATTAATTATAAAATACAGTTATGAATGATCAAGTTATGAACCAACAACTGGAAGTAATACAATGGAAAAAACTCAATACGACTACAAATTATTAAACTAATAAACCCTTACCAAATAAAAAGAAAAATTGTGTAAAAAAGTGCATTTAAAAATTCGTATTATTTTTTTGACTATATAATGCAAAGTTTCGTATTTTTAAACAATAGATGGTAGCATTGAATCATTCAAAATCATTTTTGATTCAGCCTCAATCATTAAATTCAATCAAAATAAACTTATTCTTCTATAGGCTTATCATCTAAAATAGAATTCAAAAAATTAAACTTAATTACGAGAATTATATAACCAAGAGAAAAGCTTAATGTACGGCAATAAAATTATCCATTCAAGTATTAATATTTATTCTCCTACATGATTTTATGAAAAGATTCTTCAAATTTATACTAAAATAACTCCGAGATCAAGTGCCATAATAGATTATAAAATTTGCTCCCTATTTGCATCTGCATAAACAAATTTTCCCCTTTTTTTCACATTTCGACATCAAAAACAACATGCCAAATATCAGGAGCAAAAGTTTTAATTTTTTCAATATGAATAACTTTACTACTGAACTCTTTCTCTATTTTAAATTTTAAATTTTCAAATTCATTTATATGAACGTTTTCATGTACATGTATAATTGTTGATACACCATTAACTTTGTTGATCTTGGATTTTTGTAGTACCGTTTTTTTAGCAATTGACCAACTTGGTTTTGATGTTGGCAATAAACCTAAATTTATATGACTTATATTTAAGCTATTGCTAGGAACGTTATTCAATCGTATTGGAATATTCTCATTACTCTCTAGAAACAAAAAAGCATCATAATTATTAATTTCATTATTAATTTCAAATTCCTTTTCATTTTCCTTGATAATTTTATATTTATATCCTTTTTTCTCCAAACTTCTTCTAAATCCTTCAATTGACCAAGGATTCAATTCCCAACAAAATAATTTCCCACCATTTTTTAAATAACTTAACGAAAAATATCCAATACCACAATAAAAATCAATCACTACCGTACCTTTTAAATTTTGGAAATTGTCAAGAATTCTTTTCTTCTCCTTGATATTACCTCTTGAAAACATTGTATATTCAGGACTCCAAGTTTGATATATTCCATTTTGAGTTACAGTACACCAAAATGCTTCCTGAAAATCTTTGGAAGTTGGGTAATGATCGTTAGGTAAATTGGGTCCAAAATCTCCATAAATTGGTAATATATTTAATGGTTTTCTCATGACATTATTTGATTCTGTAATTGGTTTATTTATTGCAATGTGAGTTAAGTTGTTTGTTCCAAATAAATCCAATTGGTGTTGTAGTATCAATTGGCAAAGGTCTGTTGGTATATTATTGTTGGTAGTTTCCAAAGTATTTGGGTTATTAAATAACAACATTGGTGGGTATATTGACCATCTTCTCGGTAGATTTAAATTTGAGTTGTGAGTTTTATTATAATCTTCTACTATCGACTCCAATGTGCATTTCTTCTCCTGTTTTTGGTCATCTTCACCGTTATAATAATCGTGTTGAAAAGCTGAAAATTCTGATGGTAACTCTTTTAAAGTTGTATAAACATAGTATTGATCATTTACATTCTCTATTTTTCTTGACCTATTCAACCATTTATTATCTTCTAGTAAAGTTTTAATTCGTTTTATATCTCTTGCCTCTTTTATAACTATTCTAATCATATAGTTTCACAGATCATTATTTTTTTTTTATGTAAGTGAATTTATTTTTTTTCAAAATTTACAAAAAGAGACACTAAGCGGCTGAACACATTTTTTTTTACATTCGCTTGTTTAGACATTACTCAATACAGATCATGCAACCATTAGCGGGATAATTAGAAGGGGTACAAACAAAGAGAAATCAGTAGATTTAAAAAGTTTGAGTCAGCCCAAATTTAAAAAAGGGAGATTGAAATCAGTCCTTATTTGAATGTTTAATTAGATTTGACAGTTTTTGGTTGCAAAATTTTAAGAATTATAGAAAAGACTTTTTGATACATGCAATGGTAGGTTTGAAATTTAGCTTTTTCATTGGAACGCTAACAACATTCTAACAACCCCAGTGAATTTTATAAAAACAACGAAAAGACAGAAATTTTCACTTCACAAAGTTTCGTGTGGACAACTTTTGATACTCGGTGGTATTAAAGAACAATATGAATTGAATTCTGATCAAAAGACTTTAAATTAATTTATCGAGAGAGTTTTTATCATGGAAATTTTACTCAAGAGGTATTGGCAGTAATCGTTGCACGATAACCACCTTGTTGAAACAATATAAGACTTTAGTTTTCGGATATATAAATCAATTGATTCCGCAAATAGTCTTTCATTCAATTCAGTAAGAAATTGAACATTTAGTAAACGTCAAAGTGAAAATTTAAGACGAACTCTTTCCATTAATTCAACCACTATTACTATTGTGACACTTCAAGTCTCTCAAATTTTGTGGACTTCAAGGCAATGATAAATATTTAGTTATTGAATTAATAATAAACAAAAAAAGAAATATAAGACACAAGAAACATAAGACAAAAATCACAAAATAAATTTTTTATTTTTTTTTTTCAACAAAATTTCAACGATTTTTTTTATTATTTTTTTTTAGAGTTAATTTTCAACACCTTTTTAGTTTTTACAATATTGTTTCTTTCATCAATAAGCTTTGATTTCATCAACTTAAATTATAGACTTAAAGAATAGAGCACAATTATATCATCTATATCATAATCAATCATTTGATAATTAATATTCTCGAAAGATCAATAATTAGCTAAAAGTATAAATTTTAATTCATATATCAAATAAATCATACTGAAAAAAAGTATTTGTTACGTTACGATCGATTTTTAAATTTTTTGCATTTCAATTAAGCTACAAAAAAGTATCCATAACTTTATCAATCATTTTTTATAAATTATCTATAACTCGATTCATCAATATTAAATAAAAATGTCAGAAACTAATAGTAATACCACAAATAAACTTGAAGATCAACCGACTCAGTCAACAAATCACATTACTGAACAATCCACCACAACCACTGAATCGCAACCATCACAAGAACAATCACAAGAAGAAGCTCAACAACAAACTCCACAACAACAACCAGAAATTGTAGCTTCTGCTGTTGATGGTGGACGTGAAATGTCAAATAAAATATTATATGTTGGAAATTTACCAAAATCCGCGTCAGAAGATCAGATTAGTGAATTGTTTTCAGTAGCAAAACCCATTAAATCAATTAAATTATTAAATGATAAAAATAATTTGGGTTTTAATTACGCGTTTATTGAATTTGATGAAAATCAAGATGCTGATATGGCATTAAGTACGTTAAATGGTAAATTAATTAATAATAGTGAAATAAAAGTAAATTGGGCTTATCAATCAGCAACAATTACAAATAATAATTCATTAGAAGATCCTTTATATAACATTTTTGTTGGAGATCTAAGTTCAGAAGTAAATGATGAATCATTGAAAAAAGCTTTTGAAAAATTTGGTTCACTAAAACAGGCTCATGTGATGTGGGATATGCAGACTTCAAGATCAAGGGGTTATGGATTTGTATCATTTAATAAAAAAGAAGATGCAGAATTAGCTTTACAAACAATGAATGGAGAATGGTTAGGTGGTAGAGCAATAAGATGTAATTGGGCATCACATAAGCAACAAAATAATAATAATAATAACTTTAGTAATGGTGGAGGATACTCACAAAATAATTATAATAATGGTTATAGAAGTCATAATAATATGAATAATAATCGTCATCAATTTAGAAATAATAATATCAACAATAATAAATATCAAAATCAATATACACAAAATGGTCAATCACCACAGAACTCGGGATTAAATGGTTTGATGTTGCATGATTTAGGATCTAATGGTACTCTTTCACAACAATCTTCACATCAACAATTGAATGGTAATGGTATAGGGTCAAATCAACAACAACAACAACAACAAAACAACAGCAACAACAACAACAACAACAACAATAATAATATAACAGTTATGTCACCTCAATCTTATGATATAGTATTAAGACAAACACCATCATGGCAAACAACAGTTTATTTAGGTAATATTGCTCATTTTACTCAACAACAAGAATTGATTCCATTATTACAAAATTTCGGTTACATAGTAGATTTCAAATTTCATCCAGAAAGAGGTTATGCTTTTGTTAAATATGATTCTCATGAAAGAGCTGCTTTAGCTATAATACAATTAGCTGGTTTTAATTTAAATGGTAGACCTATAAAATGTGGTTGGGGAAAATGATTAATTTTTTAAATATATAAATAAATAAATAAAATTAATTACAAACTTTACTTTATGATCTCTTCAATCTGCTCTTCACTTTTTTATACCATTTGAAGTCAAATTATTCTTGTTTCTTCTTACTTTTTATCTCTCTGTAAACTGATACTAAAAAATAAGCAATTATTATATATGGGGAAAAAAAAGAAATGGCTACAAAAATTTATAACATTAATATCATTATTTTTGTATTAGTTTTATGATCAACTTAGAGAATCAATAATTCAATCAACTAATTATTCATATAGCTCGAATCATATCAAATTCAAAGCAATTGAAGATCATATTTTCATTATATCATCTCAATCAAAGTTTCATTAAGTTAATAATAATAATTTATACATTTTTAGAATTTGAAATATTTTTTTTTTCTTTCTTATTATTATAATATTTTTTTTTCAATTATCATCATTCATCATTACCAAATCAAATTGAATCATTGAATTGTCTTTATACAGATACCTTCTTCTATTTTAGAACTAAATGAAATAGAGAAGTTCAGATTATTATCAATTATTCATTTAAATTAAACTTACATGTTATTTAATATATTTAACAAAAAATTAATTTTATTTTTCATTTTCAATTTTACAACTATTAATTTAATCCTCAAATTGTCTTTATTTAAATCTAATAATAAATTATTATCAACTTTTTCAACTTCGTTTTTAATTGTTATATCACTATATTATTTATCAACTACATCTTATTTCAATAATTTTATAAACAATATAACTAATTTATTTATCAATTCAGAAAATCAAAATCAAGAAAAAATTTCATTTAATATCCCACAAATCTTTAATAAAATTATGAATTCATCAAGATTTGGTAGATCAAATTATAATAGATTTAATTCCAAAAAGACAAAAGAAAAGAGATTTGCTCTGAAAAATGGTGGAGAATTAGGAGGGATAAGTAATGATGGGAATACATGTTTTATGAATTCTGTAATACAATCATTAGCTTCATCAAGAACTTTAATAAAATTTATTGACTCTTATCTTTATTCAGAGATTGAAGTTGATACAAACGCAAATGGTGAAAAAATTACAATGAAATCAAATCAACCAAAACCTGAATTAATTTTTACAAACACTTTTAAAAATCTTTTAGATAATGTTAATGGTAAATATGGTTCAAAAGGTAAAGAATTCAGTACAAAGCAATTATTAAATAAAATGCCAAATGGACCAAAACAAAATTTCTTTAGTGGGTATAGCCAAGAAGATGCACAAGAATTTTATCAACTAATAATGAATATATTGGAAAAAGAATTTAAAAAAATGAGTGTTAGTAGATTACCAACTCCAGAACCAGAAGATGAAAATAACAGCAAGCCAAAAGAAAATAAATTTGTAGATGTTAGAAATATTAAAGACGTTATTTCTGGTTGCAATAGATTAGGTAAATTAGGTACGGTATATGTTCCAGCTGCACAAGTGGATCCAAACATTGTTGATGCGGAATATAAAGTAATGCCCTTAGAATTAATTACACCCGTTGATGGAATTACAACTGAACGAATTGGTTGTTTGACATGTGGTGAAGTCGGAGGTATAAGGTATGCAGTAAATAGTGGATTAAGTTTAAATTTACCACAAAATCAATCATATTATACAAGTACTTTTAATATTACCGATTTATTAAATGAATGGATCAAACCAGAAATCATAGAAGATGTTAATTGTAATAGATGTGGATTATTACAAACTCATGAATTTTTAGGTTCAAAATTAACAACATTATCAAAAGAAGAAAATTCCAAAATTATAGAGCAAATAGAAAGTCGAATGAAAGCAATTGAACTAGAATTACAAAAACGACAAGTTACAGATGAAGCATTTGAAAAATTAACTACAAAGAATCAGATCAAAAAAAGTAGGAAATCAAAGCAAATATTTATAGATAGACCACCACCATTATTATGCATGCATATAAACAGATCACAATTTGATCCAAAAACTTATATGATTTTGAAAAATCCTAGTAATGTTACATTTCCAGCTGTCTTAGATTTAAATCCTTATATTTTGGAACCAAATGATATCAATATGGATGCTAGATTACCTTTTAGAAAACAAGATGAACAAAGATTGAGACAACAACAGCAACAACAACAGCAAGCTCAGCATATGAATGGTGAAGCAAACGGTGAAGCAGACGAAGAAGTTGAAGAAGAAAACCAAGATGAAAACGTGGAATCGTCATCTTCATCCAAGACAGATTCATTCACTGAAAAATTTGAGTCTGTTCAAACACCTGCATCAATTATTGATACCTCATCTTCCGTGTCAAACAATCCGTCATTACTATACAATTTAAAAGCAGTTATAATTCATTATGGTACTCATAATTATGGGCACTATATCTGCTATAGAAAATTGCGTGGAACATGGTGGAGAATAAGTGATGAATCCGTCTATGTTGTAAGTGAAGAAGAAGTTTTGGGTGGTCAAGGTACTTTTATGTTATTTTATGAATATGATGATGGGTTTAAGGAAATTTTACAAGATGTAACTGATGATGAAGAAGAAGTAGAGGAAGAAGAGCAACAACAAGAAGATTCACAAAGAACTCAAACTCAAAGTGATAGTGATGATGAAGATGAAGTAGAATTATCAAATAATAAAGTACAAACAGAATCAAACGAATCTACAAATATAGTGGCCCCGTCGGACGAAAGTGACGTAAATACTCAAAATGGAAGTGTCGAACATTTCGAAAATATAAGAAGTTTAGCATCACACACTCCATCAATTAAGGATGTCGAAATGGGAGATAATGAATTTGTAAATGGAGATGAAGATACTAATTTTAATATTGCGGAAGCTCAAGTTCATTTATGATGAGAAACTAAGTTGTTCTTAAAAAGGAGAAAGTCAAAAAAATTATTACACAGATTATTTAGTTCTATTTATTACGTAGTTTTTAGAATTTATTATTTAAAAAGACTGATTAAATTGTAGACAAATTTACGATGTTTCAAATCTAAAGGCCTCGAACTACTTTTTTCTATACAGTACCAAATTTTTAGAAGATCATCACCAACTAAATCACCATTTACAACAATACTCAATGGCCAGAAAACTAAAAGGTAAAAATGTACAATCAAAAGGTCTTAAAGGAGCATTAGCACGTCACAAAGTACAAGACAAACTAAACGAAAAACTAAAGCAAAACGCAGAAATTCAAAAGAATAATCAACTACTAAAATCAAAATCAATTAAAACATCCAAAAAATTAAAACAAAACAACACAGTTGTGAAAAAGGGGTTCATGCCGCTCAAACCTAACGATACAGTCTTGTTGATTGGAGAAGGTGATTTTTCATTTGCTAAATCATTAATATTACAAAATTTTATAAAAGTTGAAAATTTAATTGCAACTAGTTTTGATTCTTATGATGAATTAATTTTAAAATACCCAAACACAGTAGAGGAGAATTTGAAGTTTTTAGAAGAAAAGGGAGGGCAAGTAAAGTTCAATGTTGATGCTACTAATTTGATACAATCTTTGGACCTAAACCTCAATTCAAAGCAGAAAAAATTGAAACAAAGAGTGAAATTATTTGAGAATGTAAAACCAAATGAAACAGATGAAGATGATTTAGAAGAAGATACTAATAATAACACTGACAAGTACAAAAAACTAGATTATATAATGTTCAATTTTCCACATACAGGAAAAGGAGTAAAAGATCAAGACAGAAACATTCGAGATCATCAAAACTTAATAATCAACTATTTCAAAAATTGTGATCAATTGTTTCAATTAGTAAATCAGAAAGATCAATCGCGTAACGATTTTGCAGGGTACGAAGAAGATTGGACACCAAACGGTAAAATTATTCTAACTGTATTTGAAGGAGAGCCTTATAGTTCATGGGGTATTAAAATTATAGCAAGAGAACAAAATTATAAAGTTGAACAAAGCGGTAGATTTGAATGGGGGATGTTTCCTGAATATCATCATAAACGTACAAATAGTTCCCAAGATACTACTAAACCTGCTAATGAAAGAGATGCAAGATTGTATGTCTTTGAAAAAAGAGTAGAAACTGATGACAAGAATGGGAAAAATAGTAAAAAGAAAGAAGATGATTCTGATTCAGAATAATGATATTTTCATATTTCTTAATATTACCAAATCTATGCTGGAAAAACTCTAAGACAATTATCAATATAAAATATTTCTTTGGTTAAAGGATCTTTAATTTGTCCCTGTCTTAACAATCCATTTCTTTCACTTAAATATTTTTCATTAGGGAATAATAATTTATCAAATGGGTATATATTGCCATTGGGTAATTTGAAAGGATTATTAAAAATATTTGTTATTAATTGTGCAAATGGTAAGTTTCTACTTAATTGAAATAATTCTGGTGAACAAGTTGGACAATTATTTACTTTATTTAATTGTTTGTAATAATGATTTGGTCCTCTATATTTCACATTTGTTAATGATGTTAATTTTGGATCTGTTGATGTGATAGTTGATGTTGAGTTTGTTGTGATTAATGGGGGAGTGGCATCTATTGAAGAAGTCCTGACATAACTAGCTCCATTTGTATTATGAATGTGCTGCTGCTGCTGTTGTGGTTGTTGTGGTTGTCCATTACTACTTATATCATTATTGTTGAATTCAATTATTGACATATCTTCAAACACAGTATTTTCAGTATTATAATAACAAGATTTTGTCTTCAAACTTGATAAACCAGCAGATAAGTAAATAAATAAAGGATAATTCTTAGTTATACCATATAATTTTATAAAATTTTCAATAAAACATAAAGATAAGGATTCCCATCTTTCATTTGATAATAAATTTTGATAATCTTTAAAATGTTGAGATTGGATCATCATATTATTTGAATAATTTGAAAGAGTTGAATTTTTTTCCTGGTTTTTAAAATTACCAAAATTGAACTGATTATTCAAGTTATTTATTGACGTATTTATATTATCCATTGATTTGAAAACTAATAATCCACCTAATCCTTTTAATTTTTCTAAATTTATTACATGATTTTGTACATCATCTTTTGAATAATTTTCTTTATTTCCATAACTTGATAAATTATCTCTTGAAAATTTAATTGCTTCATTGATATCACCTTTCTCAATCAATGTTAAAAATTTACAATAATTAATTTCAAATTCAAGATTTGAATTCAATTTTTTTAATACATTTTTATTTTCATTAAACCATGATATAATTAGTAATAAATCATGTTTGTAAATTATTGATATGAATACTTGATTAAATTCTTGATATAAATCATAATCAATTAATTTTGGTAAATTTGGATTAGTTGAGCTTAATGAATTTAATAAATTTATTCCTATATTTTCTGTTTGAGATGTGTTTGATTTAATTAAGTAATCGACAATTAATAAATTTGCTTGATCTCTACACCATTTTATTAGATTTGGGTTATGTAAATCAAGTACTTTATCATCATTATCTTGGTTTTGAGTATCTGATACTCCATTTATTTCACTTGTGGCGTTTTTCAATTGCAAAGGTATTTCGTTTCCTTTCATTGGGTCTTTGGTTCTAATTTGATTATTACCATTACTAACACACCATTTTCCCAACTCTTGTATATTGCTCAATCTAGCATTTAATCTAGATCTATATTCTTCATCATTTTTAATCAATGTGTTTAGTTTTTTCATAAATGTTTCAAAATTTTTAACCAATTTTTTTATCATTTCTAATTTCATTGAATTTGATATTTTATCATTCTTTTTAATCTTTGAAATTTCTTCATTTGTTAGTTTTTTCTGTTTTTCTATTAGTTTTTGAATTGATTTGAAGTTCTTTTTAATTAGTTCAATAGGGATTCTAAATTGTGCTTGATGTGTTTGAATATGAAAATCTATTGTTGGATCACTCATGATAACAAATTGATCATATGAGTAGTTAATATATTATTCAATGAGATTGACAAAGGATGTAATTACAAATTGAAATGTCAAATGTTAATTGATAATCAATTTTGGATGTGAATTGATATCTTAATAATCAAAATTATGCATATTCTATTAGAATTAGTAAATATATTCTGGAGCGTTTCCATGCTACCAAGCGAGATAAAGTTTTGATAATTTAAATTATGGGGTTCAAATGAAAAGAGATAACTTTCAAGAAGAAAGTCAAAATTTTTACAACATAATGTTTCTAATATTTCCTCACCAAAATGAAGTACATAGTATATAGAAAACTTGACTATACATGTCGAATTAAAAAAAAAAAAAGAGATAACTTAAATGATTAATAATAAATTTTAAAACACAATATTAAATTAAAAAAACCTAAACTACTCAAAAAAGGTCTAAAGCCAAAATCTAAAACTTATTATATTTAAAAAGCAACAACTTCATTAGTATTGGAAGGTTTCCATGAAGCTAATCCAATTTTTTCATTTCCAACTTCATAATCAATAGCTAAATTTATGAAACGTAAAAGTGGTGATCCAATATTATATGCAGTTGTGGAAACAACTGTCAATGCACAATGTTGATCCTGACAATCTGGTTCAATAAAAGCTATTAATGGAATTGTATAGTTTTTACCAAAAAAAGTTATTGTAAATGTTTTATCCTTAATTAAAGAATAATCAATTTTTTTACTTCCTTTAGCGTTGTTTGGATCATCTGGTAAAGCGTTCAAAATCCCAGAATAAACGTCTTTGTGCACTAAAATTAGATCATTTCCTGTATCAAAAGTTGCGTTACTATTTACAGGAATATCCGTGCCATTGATATTAATTGAATCAATATACGCGTGTACATTAGTATCTCTTATTGAATTCCAAGTGAAAGGTTCGATTGTTTGTGCTTTACTGTAGCCTCCCAAAAATAATTGTAAACTTGTACCACTGGAGTTTCTGGAATGTAATGAAGCAATAGGCTTTGAAATTGAACCCGCATTGTATGCTGCCAAAACAACGTTTTGATACTCTGAGCCTTTTGGAGGTTTGGCGAGTCCTAATAAACCAAATGGCCAACCCTTTCCAATGTCATTAACATCGTTGAGCAAAACTTCTGGAATCTTAAAATTTGAATCAAGCCAAATATCATCAATAACACCTTCACCATAATAATAAGCATCCGAGTAAAACTTTATTCTAAAAGGCTCTCCAGTTCTTTCAATAGTAGTAGATTTGCTTGAATTATATAATCCAACTTCACCGTTTGGAAGTAAGCAAGTAGAACAATTAGAACTAACATCCGGTACTTGTACTCCCCAGCTACCAGTGTCCACGACCAATAATACCGGGTCTTTATTTGAACCTACTTGAACAACAGCTTTAGGAAAATTTTTGCCTTTGAGGAAATAATCAGTTTCACCAATTTGCCTTTTTTCTAAATGATCATTAGTTGGCAATACTAAATCTAATGCAATGACACCATCTCTTGGTTGATTGTAAATCAAAGAAGCGTTAGCAACAGCGGCAAATAAAGCACCAATAGTTATAAAATTATTCAACATTTGAGTGTTTGGTTGAAAATTAAAAGCTTTCACATATTTCAAATTTAAGGATCATCGAACAGTTATATAGACTCTGATCGATAGCATCGTGGTTAGCAACTAAGCTGTCTATTGTTTTGTATCATTTATAATACTTTTTGACTCTATTCGTGATTTGTTGAGTATTTGATTACAAACAATAAAAATGGTTCTGAGACCTGAATACGATAAAAAAATCGAAGGTTAGGAAACTCGACACAAAATTGAATTTGCAACAAACCTTCCTTAAACAATTGCTGTAAGTTCCGGTATGGAGTATGGGAACGAGTCTCTTTGTCTATATGAGGTGTAATTCCCATGTGTTGAAGCTTAATCAAGAATACAGTTAGCTCATAATCTTTTTAAGGAAATTTTCTGTGGATTAAAAGCATACTTTACAAAATCATTTAGCAATCATTTAAACTGTAACTGGATAGAAAATTTAGATTATTATAAACTAAAACTATTGAAACTATTCACGACAGAACTAAACAAGTTTTAGCGAGCTTTACGACTCTCTAAAACGAAACAACATTATTAGTGTTTGATGCTTTCCACTGAGCCAAACCGATTTTTTCATTTCCAACTTCATAATCAATAGCTAAATTTAAGAAACGTAAAAGTGCTGATCCAATATTATATGCAGCTGTGGAAAAAACCATCAATCCACAATGTTGATCCTGACAATCTGGTTCAATGAAAGCTATTAATGGAATTGTGTAGTTCTTACCAAACAAAGTCAATGTAAATGTTTTATCTTTGATTAAAGAATAATCAATTTTATTACTTCCTTTAGCGTTGTTTGGATCATCTGGTAAAGCGTTCAAAATCCCAGAATAAACGTCCTTGTGCACAAAAATGCGTGAATTTCCTGTATCAAAAGTTGCGTTACTATTCACAGGAATGTTTTTGCCATTGATACTAAATGAATCAATATACGCGTGTATATTACTATCTCTAATTGAATGCCAACTGAAAGGTTCGATTGTTTGCGCTTTACTATAACCTCCCAAAAATAATTGTAAACTTGTACCACTAGAGTTTCTGGAATGTAATGAAGCAATAGGCTTTGAAATTAAACCCGCCTTGTATGCTGACAAAACAACATTTTCATTCTCCGAGCCTTTAGGAGGTTTAGCGAGTCCTAATAAACCATATGGCCATCCTTTTCCAATATCACTAACATCGTTGAACAAAACTTTTGGAATTTTAAAATTTGAACCAAGCCAAATGTCATCAATAACAGCCTCACCATAATAATAAGCGTTCTGGTCAAACTTTGATTTAAAAGGCTTTCCAGTTCTTTCAATAGTAGTAGATTTGTTTGAGTTAAATAATCCAACTTCACCATTTGGAAGTAAGCAAGCAGAACAATTAGAACTAATATCTGGTACTTGAACTAACCAGCTACCAGTGTCTACAACCAATAATACCGAGTCTTTATTTGAACCTACTTGAACAACAGCTTTAGGCCAATTTGTGCCTTTGAGGAAATAATCAGTCTCACCTATTTGCCTTTTTTCTAAATCCTCATTAGTTGGCAATACCAAATCTAATGTAATGACACCATCTCTTGGTTGATTGTGAATCAAAGAAGCGTTAGCAAAAACGGCAAATAATGCACCAACAGTAATCAAGTTATTCAACATTTGAATGTTTGGTTGAAAATTAAAAACTTTCACATATTTCAAATTTGAAGATCATCGAACATTTATATAGACTCCAAAAGATAGTATCGTAGTTAGCAATTAAGCTGTCTATTGTTTAGCATCATTTATAATAAATTTTTGACTCTATTCATAGAAAATTTTGATTTTAAACAATGTGGTTTTGAGATTTCATTTTGATTACAATAAATATATCAAAGGTTATGAATCTCGACACAAAAATGAGTTTGCAAACCATACATGAACATTCATTTTATGTAAGTCACCGGAAGGAGTAAGAGAGAATGACCACAGCAAGTCTCTCTGCCGATATAGAGTTTATTATACGTGAGTTAAAGCTCAACCAAGAATCTAGTAAGCTTATAATGTATTGAAGGAAAATTTTTGTGGATTAAAAGCGCACTATACAAACTCTTTTACCAGTAATTTTGAATCTGGATAAAGATTTATTCAAATTATTTTGAACTAAAACCATAAAAAAAACTCACGACAGGACTAATCAAGCTCTAGTCTTTCAAATCTCTAAAAAGAAACAACATTATTAGTAGTTGATGATTTCCATGGAGCCAAACCAAAAAGCTCGTTCCCTACTTCAACGCTGATAGCAAGGTTTAAAAATCGTAAAATTGGTGATCCAATGGCAGTATAAGACTCTGGCCAAATTACCGACGAACAATGTTGGCCAGTACAACCCGGTACAATGAAAGCTAATGCTGGGATAGTATATTTTTTGCCAAATATGGTTAAAGTAAATGTTTTATCTTTTAATAAAGATGCATCAAATTTACGAGATCCCTTTTTGTTGTTTGGATCAAATGGTAATGAATTTATTATGACATCATATACTTCTTGACTGACAAAAATATTAGGATTTCCATAGTCAAAAATAGATGATTTATTTACCGCAATTTCAGATCCATTTATATTAAATGAATTAACATATGCGTAAACTTGAGTACCTTGAATTGGATGCCAATCAAAATCCCCATCTAAGTGTGATTCACTATAACCACCTAAGAATAATTGTAAATTCACAGCACTTGAATTTGTGGCTGATATAGAAGTTATTGGTTTTGAAGTAAGTCCTGCTTTATAAGCTGCCCATGCAACATTTTCATTTTCTGATCCTTTTGGTGCAGGAGCTAAACCCAATAGCCCAAATGGCCAAGTACTTCCAATATCACTGACATCATTAAATAAAACATTTGGTATTTTAAAATTTGAGCCAAACCATATATCATCAAGAACACCTTCACCATAATAATAAGCATTTGCATGAAATGTTGACCTAGCTGACTTACCCGTTCTAACTGCAGTTGTAGATTTATTTGAATTATATAATCCAAGTTTACCATTTGGAAGTAAGCACTTAGTACAATTGGTACTTACATCAGGAATTTGGGTTAACCAACTACCAGTATCAATGGTTACTAAAACCTGATCACGATTTGAACCTACTTCAATGATTGTTTTGAAGTACAGGGAAGTAAAAGCATCCGTCTCACCAATTTGTCTTTTTTCCAAATCAGAGGCACCTGATAAACCTAAATCTAAGGTAACAACACCATTTCTTGGCTGATTCTGAATCAAAGTAGCGTTGGCAATAACGGCAAATAATGCACCAACAGTAATCAAGTTATTTAACATTTGAATGCTTGGTTGAAAATTAGTAAAGTCTCACATATTTCAAATTTGAAGATCCTCGAATATTTATATAGACTCTGAATGAAAGTATCGTAGTTAGCAATTAAGCTGTCTATTGTTTAGCATCATTTATAATAAATTTTTGACTCTATTCATAGTATTTGATTACAAACAATGTGGTTTTGAGATTTCATTTTGATTACAATAAATATATCAAAAGTTATGAATCTCGACACAAAAATGAGTTTGCAAACCATACATGAACATTCATTTTATGTAAGTCACCGGAAGGAGTAAGAGAGAATGACCACGGCAAGTCTCTCTGCCCATAAAGAGTTTATTATACGTGAGCTAAAGCTCAACCAAGAATCTAGTAAGCTTATAATGTATTGAAGGAAAATTTTTGTGGATTAAAAGCGTACTATACAAACTCTTTTACCAATCATGTTTGATTCTCGATGAAAATTTATTCCAATTATTAAAAACTAAAACTATAAAAACTACTTACGACAGAAGTAATCAAGTTTTGATTTAACGACTCTCTAAAAGGAAACAACATTATTAGTATTTGATGATTTCCATGAAGCCAAACCGATAAGCTCGTTCCCTACTTCAACGCTAACAGCAAGGTTTAAAAATCGTAAAATCGGTGACCCAATGGCAGTATAGGACTCTGGCCAAATTACCGACGAACAATGTTGGCCAGTACAACCCGGTACAATGAAAGCTAATGCTGGGATAGTATATTTTTTGCCAAATATGGTTAAAGTAAATGTTTTATCTTTTAATAAAGATGCATCAAATTTACGAGATCCCCTTTTGTTGTTTGGATCAAATGGTAATGAATTTATTATGACATCATAAACTTCTTGGCTGACAAAAATATTAGGATTTCCATAGTCAAAAATAGATGATTTATTTACCGCAATGTCAGTTCCATTTATATTAAATGAATTGACATATGCGTTAACTTGAGTACCTTGAATTGGATGCCAATCAAAATCCCCATCTAAGTGTGATTCACTATAACCACCTAAGAATAACTGTAAATTTACAGCACTTGAATTTGTTGCAGATATAGAAGTTATTGGTTTTGAAGTAAGTCCTGCTTTATAAGCTGCCCATGCAACATTTTCATTTTCTGATCCTTTTGGTGGAGGAGCTAAACCCAAAATTCCAAATGGCCAAGTACTTCCAATATCACTGACATCATTAAATAAAACATTTGGTATTTTAAAATTTGAGCCAAACCATATATCATCAAGAACACCTTCACCATAATAATAAGCATTTGCATTAAATGTTGACCTAGCTGACTTACCTGTTCTAACTGCAGTTGTAGATTTATTTGAATTATATAATCCAAGTTTACCATTTGGAAGTAAGCACTTAGTACAATTGGTACTTACATCAGGAATTTGGGTTAACCAACTACCAGTATCAATGAATAATAAAACCTGATCACGATTTGAACCTACTTCAACGATTGTTTTGAAGTACAGAACAGTTGTAACAGCATCCGTTTCACCAATTTGTCTTTTTTCCAAATCAGGGGCACCTGATAAACCTAAATCTAAGGTAACAACACCATTTCTTGGTTGATTCTGAATCAAAGTAGCGTTGGCAATAACGGCAAATAATGCACCAACAGTAAACAAGTTATTCAACATTTGAATGTTTGGTTGAAAATTAAAAACTTTCACATATTTCAAATTTGAAGATCATCGAAAATTTATATAGACTCCTCTGAAAGATAGTATCGTAATTAGCAATTGAGCTGTCTATTGTTATGTATCATTTGTAGTACATTTTTGACTCTATTCATAATTTGTTGAGTATTTGATTTTAAACAATGTGGTTCTGAGATTTCATTTTGATTACAATAAATGCATCGAAGGTTATAAAACTCGACACAAAATTGATTTTGCAACAAACCATACATGAATATTTTCTGTCTGAACCGGTGAGGAGTAAAAGATAATTATACAGCAAGTCTTTCTACCTAAATCATTTATCCATGTGGTGGAACTCAATCAAAAATCCCGTAAACTTAGAATGTAATTAGGAAAAGAATTAAAAGCATACTTTACAACTCTTTGAGCAATAATTCAAATTATATCTGGACAGAAAATTTATTCAAATTATTATAAATTTAAACTATAAAAACTACTTACGACAGAACTAATCAAGTTTCATTTTACAACTCTCTAGAATGAAACAACATTATTAGTATCTGATGATTTCCAATTAGCCAAACCGATAAACTCGTTTCCTATGTCAACGTTAACAGCAAGGTTTAAAAATCGTAAAATTGGTGATCCAATCGAAGTATAAGTCTGTGACCACATTACCAGTGGACAATGTTTGCCAGTACAACCAGGTTTAATGAAAGCAACTAATGGAATAGTATAATTTTTGCCATGTATAGTTAAAGTAAATGATTTATCTTTAAATAAAGAAGCGTCATGTTGACGAGATCCCCTTCTATTGTTTGGATCAAATGGGAATGAATTTGTTATGGCATCATAAACTTCTTGTTTAAAATAAAGAGCAGGATTTCCATAGTCAAAAAGTGGTGTTACATTCACCGGAATGTTAGTTCCATTTATATTAATTGAATTAACCAACGCGCTAACTTGAGTACCTTGAATAGGATACCAATCAAAATCCCCATCTAAATGTGATTCACTATAACCACCTAAGTATAATTGTAAATTCGTAGCACTTGAATTTGTTGCAGATATAGAAGTTATTGGTTTTGAAATAAGTCCTGCTTTATAAGCTGCCCATCCAACGTTTTCGTTTTCTGATCCTTTTGGTGCAGGAGATTAACCCAAAATTCCAAATGGCCAAGTTGGTCCAATTTCACTTACATCATTAAATAAAACTTTTGGAATTTTAAAATTTGAAGCAAACCATACATCATCAAGGACGTATTCACCATAGAAATAAGCAGCACCTTTATAAAATGTTGATCTAGCTGGGTTACCTGTTCTAACTGCAGTTGTAGATTTATTTGAATTAAATAATCCAGGTTTACCATTTGGAAGTAAACATTTAGTACAATTAGTACTTACATCAGGAATTTGGGTTAACCAACTACCAGTATCAAGGAATAATAAGACTGGATCACGATTTGAACCTACTTCAACAATTGATTTGAAGTAAAGATCAGTAAAAGAATCCAATTCCGCAATTTGTCTCTTATCTAAACCAGGAACACTTGCTAATTCAAAATCTAAGGTAACAACACCATTTCTTGGTTGATTTTGAATAAAAATAGCGTTAATAGTAGCAACGAATAAAGTGCTAATTGTAATTAATTGGTGTATCATTCCTTTATTGATCTGAAATTTAAGTTGTTGATTTTGACTTGAAAAAAAATAGTCATTTTTAAGAATTGAAGATATATATAGTACCGATGCAAATATGAAGATGTTATATCTTTATTGTTATGATGGCCGTTGTTGAATTTGTTTTTGTTGGTTATGTGGTTGGGTTATAATACCGTTAATAACATTCTATTGTTCTCAAATTTGATGCACTTTGGTTTGGAGCACCTGAACGTAGTATGACTCCTATTTTTAGGGGAGTTTAGGAAACAAACGTAGATCGATGAACTGTTTCTTCTCTGCAGATGATTGATCTGATGAAATAATTACCTTCAAAAGTGGGGAGTGAAATAGTTGAATCATTTATTGCAAAAACTGAGGATTTAAAGGGCAATAACTTTAATCAACTAAGAAAATTTGCACAAGTTCTGTTCACAAAAAGTAGTTCAACCTGAATTGCTGAAGTTATTGTCTTCATAATTTACTATTAACGGACATGGTTTGAAATCAATCTTATTAAAATACTTCACCAATCTATGCAGGAAGATTTCCAAACAATAGTTAATCATATAGTAATTGTAAATTGTTTTAAATGTCAACCACAAACGTTTCGAGTCGGAGTCAATAAGTTAGAAAATGGTCATGGTTGTAGTGTAGTCTTACTATTGTTCAAAGGTTTGTAGAAGATTTGATAAATTTTGATTTACAATAATAAATAATTGAAGAGTGAAAGAGTAACAATGCAGACTTAACACACGTTCTATCCACAAAATGAAATTCAACTTGAATTGCTAAAGTTATTGTCTTTATAATTTACTATTCACGGACATGGTTTGAAATCAATCAAATAAATACAATTGACCAATCAGAGGATAGTTTTAGACAATAGTATATCATATAATAATTATAGATAATTTCAAATGTTAACCACAAACGTTTTGGGTCGGAGTCAATAACCTAGAATTGTGTCATAACTCTTGTGTAGTTTTGTTGTTCTTTCAAAGTCAATAGAAAAAATTGTTTTGCTATTGTTCCTAGGTCAGTAGATAGAATTGATAAATTTTTTTTATAATAAATAAGTAATGCATGGAAAATTTTAAAAATAAAAACGCAGATCTTTTTCGTATTTACAATAAATTACATCAAATGTTGTAATCTTGCATAAATTAAATTGTATAAATTTAAATACTCTAAAACAATCTCAAACTATTCATATTACCAGATATGATTTTGCAACAAAAAGATTAAACAGCAATAGCTTCAACCCCATCAACAACAGATTCAACATCAACTTGAACATCATCTTTCTTATCCTTCTGATCACTTTTCTCACCTTGATTCTTAGTTTTCAAAGCTTCATCTAAAGATTTAGAACCCAAATTATCAGTAGTGTCATTTATACTAATTTTACCTTCTTTCAATCCATAAAATAATTTCTCTAAATAATCACCACCAATATCAACTTCTTGAACAAATTCACCATCAACATCTAATGGATTATATCTATTGTCAGCAAAATAAGGAACAACACCATCTACAAATTCTTTAGCTGTATGTTGAGTATAATAATGGAAATGTAAAGAATCACCTTTTTGTTTAACTGTTTCAATTTCCCATTGTTTTTGATCAACTTGTGGTGGAAGTTGTTTAGAACCTGACCAAACACCAGCTAATGCAGCTGCACTTGCTTCAATTGTATGGAAATTTAATTGTGATACAGTTATACCTACTGTACCTAATGTTGGATCATTTTGGAAAAAAGTATTATGATAAAGTCCTTCAACTCTTGATAAATTACCTGGATTGATTAATTTTAAATATTCTGAATCTTTACCAAAAAATGGGAAATGATAATGATAACCAGTTGAAAAAATAATTTTATCAAATTTACCACTTGTACCATCTGAGAAATGGAAATTACCAGTTTTAGGATCAATATACTCAATAGTAGGTTTTGAAGTTATACCTTCTGATTTTAAGGCTTCATTAATGTATTTAAAAACTAAATGTTCACCTCTTTTGGAGACAGTAACTGATTTAGCTAAAGGAACTAAGTATTGTACTGCATTTGCAGTTGAGATTGAATTACCAATTACTAAAACATCCTTATCTTTGTAATCATCTAAATTTCTAAAAGATTTAACATGTAATAAACTATCTGGGAAATTTTGATTGAACTCTGCTAATCCTTTAATATGAGGATAATAAGGAACTGTGTAATGACCATTAGAAACTACAACAGCGTCAAATTCTTCCTTATACCATTCATCAGTGCCGTTATCTAATTTATGTCTAACACTAAGTTCCCATTTCCCAGTTTTCTCATTCTTGACAACATTTTCAACAACTGAATTTAATCTAATATGATCTAATAAATTTTCATCTTTAATGAAATTTGAAAAACGTGATGCTAATTCCTTGTTAGTTAAAAATGGATAAATTGTTCTATTTTGAGAATAATATTCTTTTTCATCTGGTAAATAAGAATAACGAGTAAATCTTTGAGGAATATTAGTAAATAAAAATTGAAAAATACCAGATCTATTCCATTCTAATTCATTTTCTAATCCATTTGTTGAATCTTTAACATTTAAAGGATTTTTAACATTAGTTTGTGATAAATCTTTTGGTGATTTTCTACTTGGTCTAATAATTTCAGGATTATTATAATTTTCAGTATTTAAAATATCTTGTGGTGGGACATTTAAATCTGCTTTTTCAGTAGCTGGTGCCCATATCCCACCAGCATGATCTTTAGTTTCAAAAGCAACAATACGAGAAAAAGCAGGGTTTGAAGGTAATTTATTTTCATGGTAAGTGTTTTTGGCATTAGTTAATGTTGATTCACCATCTTTTGTTGTATGTAAGAATTCATATAATGAAGCTAAACCTGCTGGGCCTGCACCAATTATTGCGATTGATTCTATTTGTGGGATTTTTGGTGGGTTTGTTGATTGAGTTGTTGGAGTTGTTGTAGATGTTGTTTCAGTGGTTGTTGACATTTTTATTAAAAATATTAGTTTATCTTAAACCAAAAAGCTAGGATTGACCAAAAGAATAGTCTCAAAAATTTTGAATCAATCCTTTAATCTCTTTATATATTAATTAACTATGGATTCTTTTTATTGCATTGTTTCATATTTAAATTAAGGGAAAGTCTCCAGAAAAAAATGTTAGCCACAGTCTGGCACCTATTTCGGTAGAAAAAATTGACTAGTGAACCGGATAAGAAAAATAATAAGTTATTATTAAACTAATTAAACTAAGATCAAAATTGACATATTATTTATCCACAATAAAAAATTATTACTTCCATTAAACTTTTATTAGCTCATATAGTGGTGGATTTGATCTTGAATTTGTACAATTGTTTATTTATTTGATTTAATTATTGTATTAAAAAAAAAAAATATGTCTATAAAATTTGCAAAACTAAATTGAAACAAAATCAAAAATTAAACCTGAATAAAATAAATCAAAAAATTAACACCTATTGTTTTTCTTTCTTTTTATATCTTTAACATCCACCATTTAATTTATGTTTTGGAAATGTGTAACCAGCATCTTCAAATGAAGTTAAATTCACATTTGAATAAATATCTAAATGTTGTTGAATATAATCATAAGTTGGATAATCTGCAGGATCACAACCAATATTTATTTCATTAGCTGGTTGATAGACTCTAATATAATCAATATGAAAATTTGCTGGGAAACTTATACTATTCCAATCTATATATGCCCAATTATTTGATATACCTAAATTCATTATAACTGACATTGGTTCTTTTGATAATCTTCTCCAACCAATATTACCATCTGGATGTAATGCATTAGAATAAACAGTAAGTGTTGGATCTCTACCAACATACCATCTTAAATAACCATTATCATCATCATTTAAATATTCAAACCCATATCTTTGATAATTATGTTCTAAATCATCACCTCTTTCATACCAAGTTGTATTTAACATAGTGATTGCTGAAAAAGCTTGTTGGAAAGGACCACCTGCATAAGTATTCATTGTTGTAATTGATTTATTATAAATTTCAATAAAATTATAATCTGGCATATACCAGATATCCATTGGAGCTAATTGTAAAGATTGTGAAGCAACACCGTTACCTGCTTTACCTGTTTTAACATCTTCTGTCATAATTTCACCTTCAATAACATCGATTTCTGGTGCTCCTCTTCCTGTACCTCTATTTGGATGTGATTCTCCTGGACAAGTACATGAATTTAATCTCTGGCCTGGTAAATAAGATATTCCATCAGGAGATGATTGATTAGGTGTTATACCTGCATCACAAGTATCATAACTATAAGGCCAAACACCTTCTGTTGATGCTAAATAACCTGGTCTTCCTAAATTTCCCATGGTCCATAAACCTGGCCATAACCCTGTTTTATAACCATAATCTGGCAATCTTGCACTTAACTCAATTCTACCTTGACTGAAACACATCTTGTTCCAACTTTGAACCATACCTGATCTATAAAATAAATCATGATTTTTAAATGCATCCATTCTCAAAACTAAAGTACCATTTGCAGTAGTTACAGCATCCGGATCATACCATTCCAAATCTTTTGTAGCATCATAATGTAAATCTGCAGCTGCAAAAAATTGATCATCACCCTCATAAAATGTACGACCATCTGCATTAAATTCATCACTAAATACTAATTGCCAAGAATCACCGTTTTTCGATTTTAAAGTTAATGCATCTTCTGGAGTATCAGGATCAATTAACGATTGTCTTATAGCACTTAACATTGGATATGAGTAATGAGTTAAAATTTCATAAGTTTGAGGACGATAAGGATTTGTTGCACCTGAATATGTTACTGCAGGTAATACTATAAATATTACTAGTGCTGCTAAACCTAGTATTATTAAACCAATTAAACCACCAGTTGATCTTTTATCCAAATTTTTCAAGTCATGTATAAATCTATTCTTGTCATATTCAGCATCTTTTACTGGATCTGGATTATGTAAATAATCATCTGGTTCTTTATCCTCTATACTTAATGGAAATGATGATGCTGGATATCCACCAAATGGACTGAAATCATTTGGATATGGACTTGATGATTTACTTGAACTTGAATCATCTAATGAATTTGATGAAGGTGAATTAAACATATACAGTTGTTGTTTAGTATTGCTATTGGTTTTTTCTTGATGATTATATAATTGAGATGCTAATGAAGTTGATGATACAACCCTTGAACCAGCCATTGATGGATATCTATCGAATTCAGCAGGACTTGAAGGATTTAATCGATTACTATTATTATAATCTTTATTTAATAGTCTTGTTTCATCAGAACTTGAATTTTCATGTATTAATAAATTTGAACTGCCACCATTTGAGTAATATCCACTATATGCATTAAATGGTTTTCCGTACTCTGAATCTAAATGATGTTGATTATTATTTTGCTGTTGATTCCCAGTAATATTATGATTATTTATTCTTTGGTTTTGTGATGATGATGAAAAAGAACTTATATCACCTTCTTCATCAGCAAAAGGATTTCTAGTATTATTATAATCTGATGAAACATCTTCATTATCATTATTTATTGAAAATTGTGGAGTATTCGAGGTAAGATTTCTATCAGATGCCATTCTAATTATGTGCGTTATTTTTTGTTGAAAATTGGTGACTTGTTGAAATTAATTAAATTATTGATAATTTAAATTCTATATGTTTAAAGTAATATATGATAATGATAATGATAATATGCTAATGAATTAATAAATGCTAATGATTGAATGAAATCTTGATTTAAGTGAAAATAAAAATGTTTTAGAACCCCTAAAGAAAAATTTATTATATCTCCAAGAAATGTGTTTAAATTATATCTGTCAAAATAAATATACGAAAAATTCTTAAAAAATATCAAGAAATATGTGAGTGAATAAATTAACGAAAGTGATGTTTGTAATAATCTTTAGGTGCTTTTGAAGTAAGTATAATGATCAGATAGGTTAGTGTTGATATGATTTATTGAAGTGAATTCTTCTTTTAATATAGTGGAAAAAAAAATAGTTTGGTTGTAAAAAATAAAATTTAATTTTTTCTTTCTCTTTTGGTTGTCAAAGTTTTTTTTTATTTCTTTCTTTTTATTTATTATTATTTTTATTTTTTATTTTATAAAATATTATTTATTTACTTTATTTACTTAATAAACTAATTTAATATACAATAAGTACAAAATTAAGTATGTGAAGTAAAAAATTAATGAAAATAGTAAGATATTATATAATATTTATGGATTTTCAATAATATCAAAAATATCAATCAAACATATATCAAATAAATAAATGACAAGATGGTATAAGTTAATTACAACCAGAGGAAAAATACATTTAAATTTATTGATGAAGTGAAGATAGAACTAAGTTCCTGTCATGTTAGATTTGTTTAATCGTTTGCTCACTTGTAAATATCTTTAATTAATACTTATTAACTACTCATAAAATTGTAACTAGTTAATACGTATTGAATAATATATTTACAATCAATAACAACAACAACAACATATTCAAATTATGTAATTTATTTAATAAATTGTACAAAAGATATTTACATGTAATACATTTGTATTAAATACATAGATATATTAAGTTAAGTTAAACAAAGAATAAAAATTCAGGAGAAAGAGAACAAAAATGAAAGAGCAATAAATTCAATACTATGACCTGTATATAAATTTTAGCTTAATAAAAAATTTAAATAGTACCACGAATTTTTAGTAACTATTTGATTATACTATTTAATTATTCAATATTGACATTATTATTATAAGTATTAAAACTTATAATTCAATTAGTGCTTTTAGTAAATTAAATGTTATCTAATTTTACGGGGTCTGGTATACACTATAGATACTGAAAGTTTTATGATAAGAAAAATCATGATAGTTTGTTGTTAAAATAAAATCCAAAAATATATAGATCTAATAAGTCGAATCAACACTTTATAGCAAAATAATTCAGTAACTTAAAATTTTGAGTTAATTTACGTGAAGAGTATAAAGCATATAAAGTAAAAAAAACATATAAGAAAGATAACGTATATTAAATTTTACCGTATTTCAAATTTTAGTAATTGTTAAACGATTAACCATTAACTCTTGACTTAGCTTGACTCGGCTTGACTTATCTTCGACCGATAAATAAATTTTAATTCACACAGAAAACACGAAATTATTATTATTATACTGCATATAATAAGTAACTTTTAAGTCGAGAATTGTAAAAAACAGTACAAAATCAGAAGATTAATAACTAAAAAAAGAACTCTTAGCCACAAAATCATTATTTAAACAAAAAAATAGACAAATTTAAATACAATAAAAAAGGGTACAAATTTTAATATTTCAATTAAAAGAGGCTGTTAATTTATTTTCTAAATAAGTTATAATTGTATACAAATCTGGATCAATAATTAAATATAATAAATTATTATTGTTTTAAAATATGTCAAAAATAAAATATTATAATTATATTGATTAATTGGACGCATGTGTCCTTGAATAATTAATAATATTTTATTAAGACGCGTACTTAACATTTTCATGTTGAAATTTATAAAGATGCTAGTTCTCAAATTCATTTTAATGCTTTTAAGTAAAGTTGATTCTATTATGAACTGGTATATTTTTTAGTTTATCAATATTTCGCTTGCTATAAATAAATCAATTTAAAAAACTTTAAAATTAAGTAAATAAATAAATTTTTCGAGGCAGTGTTTGAAAAAAAAAAAATTTTCTAAACAAAAATATAAAATAAAATGAATATTCACTGATGAGATCTACTTGCATAAAAATTTACTTAATTTTATTTAGGTCTTTAAATGAAATAATTTAAAGACATTAAAGCTTCAATTAAGGTATTAATAGCTTAAATTTGAAATTTAGTACGAAAAGTAAGCTTTAACTTTCAGAAGACTATATTAGTTGCCTGTTAGTGTATCTGTACTTTGTTTACACTATTATGATCTTACTACACGATTTTTATAAATATTTATAAGCTTTTCGCTACAATTGTATTGCACTTTTTATTAAATCTTGGTCAAGTTTGGACTTTAAAAAATTTATTTGTTTCAAACAAGTTTACACGTTTAATTTTACAAGTACGTGATAAAATTCTCTGTTGGTTATTAACTTATTGATATTTTAAATTTAGCATAGTATTTTGGTTTCGCATTATGTTGCATATTGACTTCAATTGTTAAATTTGAAGACATACTGAAAGTCTAATCTCACAAGAAGTTATAAATTGTACAAGTAATAGATACTTAACTTACCAGCAATCTAATTCTATCATGAATCATTTTATAGACCCAAGAAATATATATTGTCCCAAGAATAATTCGTCTTGTAGCATTTAAGAAAAAAAAAAAGTTGTAGATATAAACAATTTTTAAAAGATCAAGAAAAAAAATAATTTATTTTTTTTTAAAGTTATTCTTATTATTTAAAAAGTAATTAAGAATAAATACAACATTAACTTTGATACTTTATAAAATAAATGTAATATAATGTTTAATTATAATATTTTTATAAATTTTGTTTTTAAATTAAAATATTTGACAGGATTCACCAGATTTGAAGTAAATATTGCTAAGTCAATGATTCATCAATAAATATTTTGTTCAAATCAATCCATTCGTTTCAAATTGTTAGCACAACCCCTTAAACAAATTTATACAAAATCTTTATATCATACCACTTAAAGTTATAATATGAAAAGAAATTTAACTGAGAATCCACCAACTATAAATCTAATAAATTCAGAAGGACAATATGATAATCAAGATTTTGAAGAAAATCATATTTTACCAGATAGATCAACAACACCTATAAATCCTTTTGAAGAATCATCAAATCATAATGTACATTATTCTCCACAACAACTGAGTTCTGATTCAGATTCATATTATAACAGACAGAGATTAGAATCTCAAAGTAATAATCAAACACTAAGCCATAGCAGTTCATTCGTATTCAATGATCAAAATCGAAGTCAATATGTACCATCAACTCAAGATTCACAATCTATGTACTCACATTCACCAGTAATGCCAACAAATCATTCGTTTCAACCACTAATACAAAATGATTATAATAGAGTTAACAATCCAATATATTCACCATCATTAAATCAGCATCATCAACAACAAGGTAAATTTTTAAAACTATCACAACCACATGATTTTGCATCATCATCATCATCATCAACAATCCCACCATTTGATAGATATCCAAAACAATTTTATATTAATTCATCAAATCAACAATCAACATCAAGTTTATTAAATCATGAAAATAATTCTTTTAATTCAAATTCTTCTCCACAAAATACTTCCATATTGAATAATTATGAAGATTTTTCACCTTTTGGTGGGTATCCAGAATCACAATTTCCTTTAAGTATAGATGAAAAAGAACCTGATGATTATTTACATAATCCTGATCCAGTTTTAGATTCTGAATATAATAAAAATAGATTTATTCATGACCTCAAAAATATGGATAGTAGATCATTTAGTGGATTATTAGCTTTTATTGCATTATCCATAACAGCAATGTGTGTATTTATATTATTACCAGTTTTAACATTTACTGGAATGTCAAATACTACTGGACCTCCACAAACATATGAAGTATTAACTGATTATTCATATCCTATGTTAAGTGCAATAAGACAAGATTTAGTTGATCCAGATACTCCTGTAAGTGCACTTACAAATATTGGTCAAGATGGTAAAACTTGGAAATTAGTATTTAGTGATGAGTTTAATGCTGAAGGTAGAACTTTTTATGATGGTGATGATCAATTTTTCACAGCTCCTGATTTTCATTATGCTGCTACACAAGATTTAGAATGGTATGATCCTGATGCTGTAACTACTGCTAATGGTACTTTAGTTTTACAATTGGATACTTTTCAAAATCATGGATTATATTATAGATCTGGGATGGTTCAAAGTTGGAATAAAATGTGTTTTACTCAAGGTAAATTAGAATTTTCGGCAATGTTACCTGGTTATGGAAATATTTCTGGTTTATGGCCTGGTTTATGGTCAATGGGAAATTTAGGTCGTCCTGGATATTTAGCATCAACGGAGGGAGTTTGGCCATATACTTATGATACTTGTGATGCAGGTATTACACCAAATCAATCATCTCCTGATGGAATCTCGTATTTACCAGGTCAAAGATTAAATTCATGTACTTGTCCAGGAGAGTCACATCCAAACCCTGGTGTTGGTAGAGGAGCACCAGAAATTGATGCATTAGAAGGTGAAATTCATGGAGTAGTTGGTAGAGTATCACAATCATTACAAATTGCCCCATATGATATTTGGTATATGCCAGATTATAATTTTATTGAAATTTATAATGCATCAGTCACTTTAATGAATACTTATGCAGGTGGACCTTTTCAACAAGCTGTTTCTGGAGTAACTATGTTAAATCAAACATGGTATCAATTTGGAGATGTTGAACATAATTTTCAAAAATTCGGTTACGAATATTTAAATAATGATGACACTGGATATATAACTTGGTTTGTTGGTGATAATCCAACTTTTACAATGAAATCTCAAACATTACATCCTAATGGTAATATAGGATGGAGACAAATTCCCAAAGAACCAATAAGTATAATTATGAATTTAGGTATATCAAACAGTTGGGCATATATTGATTGGCCATCATTAGTATTTCCAAGTACTATGAGAGTAGATTATGTTCGAGTTTATCAACCTGAAGATGAAATAAATATGAGTTGTGATCCTGATAATTTTCCCACAGCTAATTATATTGAACAACATAAAAATATTTATTATAATATGAATTTAACAACTTTTGAAATGGGTGGTTATACTTTTCCAAAAAATAAATTAACTGGGTGTAAGTAGAGTTCTAATTTATAGAGATTTTTTTTTCAAAAGTACAGTTTTTTAATATTAAGTTTTATTGGTAACTACTCTTTCTAAAATTCATTGTATATTATTGAATGATCTCTATCTGGATAAATTGCATCTAGTTTCTCTGAATTGAACTCACAATTAAAATTACCGGTAGAAATATTAATAAAATTTAATATACCATAGTTATAAATACCAATAATTATTGGGTTAGAACCATATTTGAATCCAGCATCTCTTTGCTTTAAGTATGTATTTCTTAATTGAATCGATTTATCTAATTTTTTATTTCTTTCTTCTGCTTTCTTTGCTCTAATCTCTCTTTTGGACTCTCCCACTTTTGATGACGTTTGGGTCTTGGTTGATTTTTTAGGTTTTGGTTTTTCGGAATCTTTTGGTTTTAATAATTTTGATTGTAGATCTTTGATCTGGTTGAATGTCAAGTAGTCTGGATTTTTTGATGAATCAATCACACATAATTGATAATCTGGTAAATGAGGGTTTTTTTTGGAAAATTGTGGTGTTGGTCTCCATACGTTGTAAGTTATATTTAGTTCATCTTTTGATGGTTTTGGATCGATTTGTTGAATGTTTAATGCAATTGATTTGAAAATATTTGTATAATTAAAGTAGCATTTAGTTTTGAAATGTAATGAATGCAAAGCTGGGTATGGTAAAAGTCCCCATTTTCTCGGTAGTAACCAGAATGAAACATCAAAGATTGAATGTGTAATTTTACCTGTTTGATCTATAGTTGATTCACTCTTTTTGACGTTATCAGAACTAGCTTCTAGTAGTATGTAACCAAGTCTTTTTAAATATGCATAAATTTGATATTTTGCAACATCAATCTTTGTCAAGCAATATAGATATTCTAAATCTAAACTCCACAAACTATCTTCAATATTGTAACTTCTTAAACTTTTTAGATCATTTTTGTTAAGCATTTCCTCTACTTCTTGATTTGATAAATAAAGTATTAGACTACCTCTTTCAACTAAGTAAACAGTCTCAATATCATTCAAGTACATGATTTCATTTTTGACTTTCCCCATATCTTTGAAAAAATTACCTTTCACATTAAGAATAATACATTGATGAATAGAATTGATCCAAATCCCAACTAATCTTTTTGAATAATGATGACCACGATCTTGAGACAAGGCCAAATACATGGCATTTTGAGATTCTTGTAAAGACGTAAGTTGTACTGTTGTTCCATCTGGTTCAAATTCTTTTTCTCCTCTTTTGGGTATTAATGATTTATTATTTGATGTTGTTTTAGTATTTGATGTAAATTGTTTCCAATCTTGTTGTATTTCGTCTTCTAATTCAATTTCATCTTTTAGCTCCTTATTGGACTCTAATTTCTCTGCTGTAGGTATTTCGTCATCTTCTATATTTGACATTGGTCGAAGATACTAAGATTGAAATGATTTTTTAACTGGTTCCAAGATGTAATTCTAAAATATGTAACAGAATTTTTTTTAAACCGCACTAGTTTCCTCTTTAAGTAAATGAAAAGAGATCAATTAATACTGTCAAAAAATATTATGAAGTTCAATTGTATCAAAAATCAATAATTGGTGCTAGAATAATCAGATTATTTTCACTCGCAATTCAACTGACCACCTCAAACATGTCACAATCAGATGTCACCTTTAGTCTACTAGTAAGTATTCAACATAAATGCTAATAAAATGATTACAAAATATATTAACAAACCTTATCAAAAAGTCAGAATCATTATTAAATGACATGATTCAAAACATAATTAAAAATCAAATCTTAAATCAATATTCAAATAATCTAACAATAGAAAAATCAATTACAGAAAATAAAGAAATAGATAATTTAATAAAAAATTATAATTTTCAAACATTGGATATGAATAAAGATATTTTTGGTCAAGATAAAATTAAATTAAAAACTAGTGAAATTTCAAGATATTTTGAATGTGAAAATTGTAATCGTAAAATTGCAGGTGGAAGATTTGCTCAACATATTAATAAATGTTTAGATAGAAAAAGAAAATGATGCTAAAATAACATAAGATTTGGGAGAAGCAAAATCATTGTTGTCGAGTATGTAAAGTCAAAATTAAAAAAATATAAAATCAGGTTCAAGGCTAACGAAAAACACTGCCAAATTATAAAAGTTCCATCACCATTTTGGGGAACTTGATAAAGTAATATGAGGTAATAATTACAACACTTATCTTGAAAACAATCAACTAAATTTTGCACTTGAATTGGTAGTGTAGAAATAATATGGCTCAATTCGCGCTACTACCACAACCACGAATATTGATTCGCTTGTCTCGTAATAATTGGAAACCCAATCGAGCTAAAAATAATCATTTATATCCATGTAATATACTTGACGATATGAGAGGTTTGAAGAATTTCGATATAAAAATAGGGTAACAGTGGAAATTACTGAATGGATAAACGATAATCACTGTAACACAAGATGTTAATCTACCTCATCTATTCAATAGATTTAGTATTATTTATCGGAGTTTTTTTTCTTTTTCTTTTAAAAATTTCTCTTAATATAAAACAAGGTTTTTAAAATGTGGGGAAAAAATTATTAATATATGAAAAATTTAAAATTACAATAAAATATAAAATAAAAAGCGCTAATAAACGGTATTCAAAATTTGTAATAGCTTTTAATATTGTTCTAATAAGTTGAATTAATGGTTTGAATTTATTCTCTTAAACTTCTTCTAGAATTATTTAAGTATCAACCAACCCCTCATTTATAGATCTAAATTTTGACTTAAAAGATATTGAATAATATTACATAAACATTTTAAATTTACTTTAATCACAAGAACTGACTTTTAATTTAAGAAAACAACATCAGTAGCTTTATTATCTATAGTTGTATTTAAAAGTCAACTATCTAAAGAGTGAATGTAAAACTATTTTGAAGTTATCAAATAATTATGTTGATCTTAAAATCTATTTGTTTTGTGTCTATTATTATTATTATTACTATTATTTTATTAACAATGTATGAAGTATAATATTATTGATAACGTTTTTATAGTTTTTTAACCCCAACTTTTTAATATTTAAGACCCAACTTCAAAAAATGTTTTTAAATACGTTTGATCTTTCAGACGGTAAAACAATTTAATAACCGAATCAATTACGGCTATCTATTCTCATATATATTCACTATACTTTCCTTGAAATTATAGGTATTCAATTTTGCAATATCATAGCTTTATATTTCTCCACATTTCATAATTTATTCATAACTTTATACAGCCGACTACTATATCCAGAGTTCATTTAATAATTAAGATGACAACAAATTCATACTTTTCAACCATTGATTGTTCAGTTGAAGATGCATTTAATAAATTACCATTAAATGATGATGTGTTTGAAACCCAACAAATACCAAATACAGCAACAAGCTCACAATTTTCACAAGTTTTCAGAAATAAAGCATCAACTGAAAGATTAATTGATTCAATTCATCCCGAATTAGATACTCATGCAAAATTATTTAATAATGCTGCAAAAAAGTTTTCTTCACGTCTTTGCTTAGGTACAAGAACTTATGATTACAACAATAAATCACTGAATAATAAATATGATTATATTACTTATAAGGAAACTTTTATCAAGAAAAACAATATAGGTGCTGGTATTATTAGATCTTTACAATCAAATAAATTTTTAAATCCAAATAAAATTGAATCTCATCAAAAAATAAAAAATCATTTAAATAATAAATTTGGTATTCCAAATTATTTACGTAATAATCCAGATAATTGTATTGAAAAAGATTGTTCATTTATATTATCATTATTTGCAGTTAATAGAGTTGAATGGATTTTAACTGATTTAGCATGTTCTTCATATTCTATTACTTCAACTGCTTTATATGATACTTTAGGTAGTGATGTTTCACAATATATCTTGGACTTAACTCAAAGTCCAATTGTTGTTTGTACAATGGATAAAGTTGAAGTTTTATTAAATTTAAGACAACAGTATCCAAAAGAAACGGAAGCTTTAATTTCAATTGTTTCAATGGATCCAATTAAATATATTGATAAAAATTTAATCAAATTAGGTCAAGAATTAGGTATTGAAATTCATGATTTACATCAAATTGAAGAAATTGGTAAATCAAATCCAATTGAAGAAATTCCACCAAATCCAGATAGTATATTTACTATTTCATTTACTTCAGGTACTACTGGATCTAAACCAAAGGGAGTTATGGTTCCTCATAGATGTGCTGCTTCATATGTTACAACTTTATTATGCTATGAACCTCAACCAAAAGAAGGTGATATAGCTTATGTCTTTTTACCATTAACTCATATATTAGAAAGACAAACCTCTGCATTTGCATTTAGTACTGGTTATACTTTGGGCTTACCTCAAACCACCGTTGGTAAAAAAGATTTTGTTCCTTTTGATTTAATGCTTGATGATTTAAGAATATTAAAACCAACTTATATGTCAATTGTACCAAGATTATTAACCAAACTAGAAGGTTTAATCAAGCAACAGGTTAAAGAATTACCAAAATCTGATCAGCAAAAAGTCAATGAAATCATACAATATAAGATTCAAGAACAAAGTAAATTTATGGGTTCAAAAGGTATTAACTCAAAATTAGATTCTTTTCCACCATATCTAAACCTACAAAAAATGACTGGATTTGAAAATATGAAATGGGTACAAACTGCATCAGCTCCAGTTGCTGTTTCAACAATCGCTTATTTAAAAGCAAGTTTAAATATGGGATTAATGCAATTTTATGGATTAACTGAATCAGGAGCAGCCATAACTAGTACTTGTATGTATGATTCAAGACCTGGTTCTAGTGGTTCCATATCAACAACTGGTGAATTTAAATTAAGAAGTGTACCAGATATGGGTTATGATATTAAAAACTTACAAGGTGAAGTTATGTTAAGAGGTCCACAAATGTTTAAAGGTTATTATTATAATCAAGAAGAAACAAATAAAGCAGTGACAGAAGATGGTTGGTTTCATTCTGGTGATATTGCAACTGTTGATGAGTTGGGTAGATTAAGTATAATTGACAGAGTTAAAAATTTCTTTAAAATGGCTCAAGGAGAATATGTATCACCTGAAAAAATTGAAAATAAATATCTTTCAGCAAATCTTTTAATAAATCAATTATTTGTTCATGGTAATTCATTAAAATCTTATCTTATTGGTATAGCAGGTATAGATTACGATCAAGGTTTAAAATTTTTAAATGAAGAATTTGGTATAAATAAAATTGGTATGTCACAAGAAGAATTATTAACCATACTAAATGAAAAACCCGTAAAATTAAAAATTTTAAATTTATTAAATTCAAATGTAAGAAATCAATTAAATGGTTTTGAATTATTACATAACATTCATATTGAAATTAACCCCTTAACTGTTGAAAGAGAAGTTGTTACTCCGACTTTTAAATTAAGAAGACCTATTGCTCAAAAGTTTTTTGCTAAGGCATTACATAAGTTATATGAAATTGAACAAAGTTTAATTCATGGTGCTAAACAACAAGTTGCAAAATTATAGATTGTGTTTACCCTGAAATCGAAAAAATTAGATTATTTTATTTATATATTATATAGAGTTTATTGAATGGACTATATTGCCAATTTCTACTTTGTATTTTGGTTCGACTTTATTTTGACAGACAGAGAAATCATTTACGACTGCATGAAAGATGATCATAACGAGTGTTTCGAAGTTTTAAAGTTTAATTTTGTCAAATTTTACTGCAAAAACTCGCTAAAATTTACTACTTTGCGCCAATTGATATTATTTTACTAAATCAAGCTCAGTCTTCACAAAAACAGTAGATAAACTTAATAAAACTTAGAATTTGACCATATGAAGAAATATTGACTAGTACTTAAAATTCTATTGGTGATAGTTATTAATCACAAAAATTATTGCGAAAATAAAATGATACAAATTGAGCTAATTAATGTTTCACCAATTTCTCAGCATACATAATGGATCCGATTTGGAGACTTGGTGGTTAAGGACCTTATAGAACTTGACAAATCATTGGTAGTTCGTTAAAGTGTATAAATTGTAATATAGTGTACGGTTTCTGCGCGGAATTAAGCTTGTGTGTTAAATAAAAGTAGATTAGTGTTTTGACATAAAACGAGTAATATTTTATTATTAATAGAAAATTTAATATGTACAATAATTATATTTCTTACGTCCTAAATTTAGTTTCATATTTTACAACCAAAATTTACAATCATCATAAACGTTAAATAGAAATCAAACATATTCCAAATCTGTATTAATATACAAATCATATAGTCACTGAATAATTCAAATGTTTCAAAATGACAACAAATGATGATAAATCTGATATACCAACACAATTAAGTAGTCCGGAGATTAGCAAAAATGATACAGAAACAGAAGATCGAATTATTAGAAAAAGAAATAGACCAAGTTTAGTTTGTTTCCCATGTCGAAAGAAAAAAATTAAATGTGATAGAAGTAAACCTTGTAATAATTGTATTAAAAATGGTATAATTGATGAATGTACTTATGATGAAAGATTAAATAATCCCAAGAAATCAAGAAAGTCAAAAGGTTCTGAAAAGAAAGTTAAAACTGAAGAAAGACCAAGTTTATCACCACCGAAATCTAAAAATTCAGTTCAATCACCTCAAGCTAATGACGTTTGTGTGATACTACAAAAATCAGATTTGGATGCATTACAAGCTAAAATTAAAAAATATGAATCAATGTTAAATGATAAAATACCGAAAAATCATATAATTATAAATCAAAAGAAAAAAATTGAAAATAAAAATGAAGATGTTGTATTTAATAATAGTGTAGATACTTATAGAAATGTTATTTTTACAACTCATGAAGAATCAAGACCGGGTTATATTCCATTTGAAAATATTACATCAGAAAGAAATTTCATGTATGATCCAAACTTATCAGTTACAAATCAAATACTACTATCAGAACTACCCAAAAGAGAAAATTTTTTGATTGGAATAAATCCATATAATGATCCTGATGATTCTATTAAATCTTATTCACAAACTTATAGAAGTAATGATTTAACCAGAAACAGGAATTTATATCCATTATCTTGGTCATATTCAGTACGAAATTCTCCATCTTATAAAGCATTGAGAAATTTTGCGTTAAGAGAAAAACATCAAATGAATAATTTCAAAGTTGGAATAACGTATGAAAGGTTGAAAAAATTAATGGTACCAAAAGATGATAAAATTAAAAGTACTTTAAATCTAGATGATAAAATTGTTTCATCATTTCAAGAAAAAACTCAAACTGAAGAAAATGAAAAAATAAGTGGTATTAGCATTGATCCAATGTATCATAAGACAATAAATATGTCAACATACTCACTAGGATTAAGCGTATTGGGTGGTGCAAAAGATAGAGAATGTACATTAATAGAACAAATAAAATTGGTGATGCCACAAAAAAGGGTCATTTGGTTATTAATAAAAAGATTTTTTACTATGCTATATCCTTTCATGCCATTTTTGATAGAAGGTGATTTCAGAAAATCAATAGAGAATATAATTGGACCAGAATCATATGAGCAAAAAATACCTCATGTTAAATTTGAAAATAAAGTAGATTTCAGTCATATTGGAATCTTGTTAGCAATTATAAGACTTAGTTATTTGTCATTGTTTCATAATAAAGGATCATATAATGAAAGAATTTTGACTAAATCTAATCCAACATATGAAGAAGATGAGAAAAAATATTTATTATTAAATCCAGTACCAGTTGCTTCCATATGTGTAGCTCAAGCTTGTTTGTTTCATTTAGAAAAATTATGTACAGTTAGTTTACCAATATTACAATGTGCCACCTACATAAGAATGTACAAGATTTATGCACCAGAAGAAGGTGATGGACTTGAAGGTGGTAATAGTCAAATTCAAAATAGTACATTAATCTCAATGAGTTATATGTTAGGATTAAATCGTGAACCAGATAAAACACCTGATTTCAAAGATGAGAAATTAAAAAATTTATATAGAAAAATTTGGTATTTTGTATTACTGATGGATTATCTTCAAGCATATACTTATGGATGTCCTGCACTGATTAGATTGGATTCTTATGATACAAAACGACCATATTTAAGTGATGAAAATTCAAATTTAATAGATAAAGAACAAGATAAAACATCATATTCATTATATGCTTTTATCAGTGCTTTAGTTAAAGGACCTATTTTAGAAATAGTTGATTTATATTCAAAAGTTTCCTCAAAAATTAAACTATATGAATTGACTACTCATTTAAATTGTTTGGAACTTGGTGTTAGGAAAATATTTGGCAAGACTGGAGATTATATTTACCCATTAGAAGAAACAAATAGTAGTTATCACACAAACAAATTAATGAAAGCTTCAATTTTACTCAAGATGTACTCATTTTTAATGTTGAATTATTGCTTCTTATTCCATTATTATGATAGTATCAACAATAAATTATGCTTTTTTTATTTAAAAAAACTATTGGCAATTGGAATGAATGAGGTTTTACCAAGTATATTTGCATTGATTGTAAGAGCACATGAATTATTTGGAGAAGCTGCAGATTTATATATGAATCCTACAATCATACAACTTATAACAAGAATAACAGATATTTGTTTAATTGGAATAATGAGGAGTAATTTTGCATTATTCAAAATGCTGAATGATCCAGAACACAAAAATCTTATAAAAAATGATATAAATTATAAAAAGAAATTTGATTCAACTAATAGATATATCACAATGATGGAAAAAGCATGTAGAGTTTGTTTAACTGCTGTTTCAATATTAAGTAATAGATATTACTTTGCATGGGAAGTTACAAGAAGTCAAAACTACTACTTAAAGTTGGTAACAAGTCATGAATTTTATAAAGAAAATAGTTCAAAATCTTCAGAGTTTTCATTTTCTAGTTCAATTATTGAACATATGAGTGAATTATCAGATGTTGTTGAATCTGGATTAGATGAATTACAAGTAAAAGTTGATAAATATTGTCAAGAAGTTGATATACCTTCATTATTTAAAAAATCAGAGGTTCCAAATAATCATCATTATAATAAACCTGAAAATGAACAAGTTGAAAAGAAACTCAAAACAAACAACAAGAGAAGTTCAACAACAACAACAACAACAACAACAACCACATCTCCTTCAAATAGTATAGCTACTCCAGGTAGTGTAGCTTCGAATGGTCTTTATTTTACTGGATTTGATGATTTAACGTTTGATAATAGTCACGAAATTGATTCTATTTGGTTACAAATGTTATCTTTCAAAAATGATGATAAAGATGGTTATGGTAATACTCAAAAATCTCCACAACAGCAACAGCAACCACAACAGCAGCCATTCATGCAACCACCATTGCAAAATCCATATATACAACAACAACAACAAAATCAACAACAACAACAAAATCAACAACAATATCAAAATCTATATCAACAACGATCTCAACAATCACCACCACCACAGCAACAACAACAACGTCAACAACGTCAATCAATGTCAGATAGAAGAATAATAGATTCAAATACAGCAATCAATCTGGCTTATGATTCATTTGGAAGATTAAATGATCAAATTTCAATTCCTATAAATGAATCAATTCAAAATCAACAAACTAATAATCAAAATCAAAATCAAAATCAAAGCCCAAATCAAAATCAAAATCAAAATTTCAATCAAAATAATATTAACAATATAAATAATATAGATACTATAAATGATCAATATAATGATCCATTATACCAACAAGCTAATTTATTTAATTATTCAGAATTATTTCAAGATTTACCATTAGATAAAATCTTTAATATGTAAAGTGCTGGCACTTTTGTATATCATTTATAGAAAAAACAAATTAGTTATTCATTCTAGATAAAAAAAAATCGTTGCTAATAATTTTCATTAATTGTTCTTAATTCTGAGTCTAATCTAATAAATATACAAAATATAACCTACAAAATTCAAATTCTATTTTTTTTAAACCCATCTCTTTAATTATTTGTCCCATAATTTCTATTATTATTACTATTATCATTACCATTAGTAGTAGTTAATATAGTACTTTCACAACAACTAGTTAAATCATCATCATCATCATCATCTATTTCATAATCATCTTTATTATACAAGAAAAATTGAATAAAGATAGTAAAATCTAAAGCTAAAGTCCCCAAAGAACCAGCTAACCAACTTGAATTAACCCATAAATAATACCAACTCATATCTATTGAAATTATAGAAATAACATAAGTTAAATTTCCTAAACATGCAAATAAAAAAAACATAAATGATATACCATCAGTTGATTTTCTTTTATAATTTAATATAATTTGTGGAATACGTGAACCTAAATATAATATGGCACATAACCAACCAAAAAATTGAGCTAATGGGTCATATATTAAATCTGTAGGATTTTTTGAGTCATGCTTATGTTTATGACCATGACCATTATGTTTTGAATCATTTAAATAACTTATATACCATCCAATAACTCCTGATAATACAACTAATGATACCATTAAAGTATTTAATAAAATTGTAGATATATTTGAATTTGATGATGTTAATGATTCTTTAGTCTTAGTTGTTTGTCCATTTTCTAAATCTTGTGATGATGATGTAGTTGTTGATGGTGATAATACATTTTCTAAAATATCATCATTTATAGGAGTAGTAGGTGATAAATGAGTTAAATCAGTTATTGATTTTTTTTGTTCTCCATCTCCATAAACTAAACATTGCCATAATAATACAATATCAGCAAAAGTATAATAAATAGCTAATATAATCATAGTTGGTAAAAGACCTTGTAATACTGCTCCCAATACATTAAAAATATCACCAGCTAACCATAATATAATAAATGATAAACTTAAACCTTTTGAAGATTTTCTTTTAAAATTTTCATAAATTTGTGGAGCAAATACTATAATCCAACATGATAATGATATAGAACCTGTTATACCACTTATTGCTTGTGCATCTAGTATTACTGGTGGTGGTAACATTTATATATAAATATATGTAACTTGTTTATTTCTCAGTTGTCAATTGTTGCAAAATCAAAAAGTTATAATAAATTTAAGTTAAACTATTTTTTTTAATTAAATCGTTTTTTTTTTTTCATATTTCTTTTTCTCATTCCAAATTTTATTATACGTCAGAGTGGTGAATTAAAAAATGAATAGCGCCGCGCGATTCATATATACAAATTTAATGAGTCAAATTTTTTAATTAATTTATAATACATCAATATATAATTTTATTTGGTTAAAAAGATTAAGTAAACTATCTACTCACTTTATTTGCTTTAAATTTTCATTACATGTTTTAAAATTGTAATAATTTAAAAATGTTATACTCAATAAGTCAAAATAAAATGAACATTTCATCTTAAATGAAACATACTTAATTTTTCTAAAACATGTTTCAAAGCTCATAAAAACCGACAAAGTAAAGATCATGATTAATCAAGGTTTGAAAAATACTCGTTAAATTTGATGATTTTACTTTATTTGAGTTTCTAAACTTCATTTTGATCTAGATTAGAAAAAAACAAATATCTATTATAATTCTTATATTGAATGAATTGATCTCAACTTTATATATAGTATCTTATTTTTGAAAATTAACGCTAAAATAAATAATTATAATTAGATATCGAATATTTCATTTCTACTAAACTATGATAGAATCAAAAGATAATCAGCAACCAAAACGTCAATTTTAGAATAGAGAGTTGAATTTTTAGTATGTGAAGTTGAAATATTAAAAATTCAATATTGATTTTTATTAATTTCTATTTATCAATCGAAAACCAATGAATCTGAAAAAGTTTAAGTATGGCAGAAAATAAAACCAGAAATTCTCAACAGATGGAAGTTTTACTGTTAAAAGCTTTTATGTCAATAAATTGAATTGGATGTATATTTTAAAGACTTTTCAGGTGGAAATAATAATATTGACATATTTAACAATATTTTAATCTTATAAAGTCGTGACGTGATCTAGAGGTTCACGACATACCACATCAAAATTATACTTTGTATTAAATTTCAATTTTAATAAATGTGAAACACTTCTACTAATTCTAATTTTTATTATATGTATATTATCATTTAATGGATAGAAAGAAACTAAATTCTTGGAAAAAAACTAAGTTTAAATATTTGAGAAGATTTATATAATAATTGTACTATAATATAGTATCAGAAAGACTTTGTTCTTCAAAAAAAAACCCTTAATTTATTTCTATTTAAACTTTTTTTTTTCAATACTTTAAACATCATTACTTTTGCCTATATATATAATGATTTGTAATTCATCATCAATTATTAGAATTCTTTACTAAGATTACAATTAATAATATTACAATTAATTTTTTATAAACTTATGATTTATATTGAAAAAAATTAAATTCCGAATTATTATCAGTTTATTCATATCTCCGAGTTTTTGATTCCCTTCTTTGTTTTTGCCGTTCAAACTTTAAATTTTTAAAAAAGTGTAGTAAAATATTATTAGGAGATATTAAAAAAAGATATTAAAAAGAAAAGAGCATTAAAGGATATTATTTTCTAAATTTGAAATCTCATTTTTGAATGAAAGGATTGAATTGATGGTAGTTATATATTGAATAATTTTAAATAAAAGCATTGTTAATTTACAATATTGAAAACTTCTTTTTATCACTCAACTAATTTTTCAAGGTAAATAAAATTATTATTTTAAAATATATTTTAATCTTGCAACCAAATTATTATTTAATACTTTTATAAATAACATCATATAATCAACAATCAAAAATGTCAACCATACCTCAACTAACACCACCACAACCTCAACAACAACAACAGCAGCAATCAGATCAAAAATCAAAACAAACTAATCAACCAAGTAGAAAACGTAATAGACCAAGTCTTGTTTGTACAAATTGTAAGTCAAGAAAAATTAAATGTGATCGTCAATTACCTTGTTCAAATTGTATTAAATCTAGAAAAAAGGTGGTCTGTACTTATGATGATGAATGTCCAAAAACCAATGATCAATCAAACAAAACTCAAAACAATATACAACCATATGAACAAAGTGCAAGGCAACCAATAAAATTTGCAAATCAACAAATAACTCCACCTTACATACAAGGCAATCAAAACTTACAAGAACAAAACAATAATAAACTTATTGGATCCAAAAGAAATTCAAATCTGAGTATTAATAGTAATGAGTCTAAAAAATCAAAAGTATCTTCTTCTTCTTCAACAACTACCGCGAATGAAGATCAAGTAGCATTAGAAGAATTAAAATTTCTAAAGCAAAGAATTGAAAGTATGGAATCAAAATTACATCAATCACAATCAAATTCAAATCAACAAACACCAACTAGTCACAACAATCAAAACTCAAGAAATTTTAATAACATATCTCAACAAACTTTATATTCAGTACCTTCGCCAGTCTTACCACCTCCATCTTCAAATGTCTCTCATTCATGGAGTCCCGGAGCTTCAACACTTGGAAGTACTCAATCTCAACCATCTCAATATACCACATCATATAATTTATCAGATACACGAGTAAGATCTCCACCGGTTCAATTACCCCCTATAACTCTTAAGGAATATTACTCGCCTTATGAATCATCAATAAGTAGTAACTCAAATAAGCCATCTCCATTAAATAATCCACCGATAAATTCAAATTCAAATGATTCTATGGATGGTATTAATCCATATTTAAATGATACTGAAACTATAAATTTTTTTGAAAATTATTCATCAGTGTTTTGTAAAGATTATAAACGTATAAATTATGGACCATTTGCTTGGTCCTCAATGATGAGAAGAGATGAAGTTTTGAGTTTGTTATGGAAACACGTTGGTAAACAGAAAGAAAGTACTCAAGATTTAGCTATATGTCCAGCAAATGCTGAAATAAATCAAGAAAATACAATTATTGTAACTAACGAAAGTGATGAATCTGAAGGTGGTTTTAAAAAACGAATGTTAGAATCAAATGGTTATAGCGATGTTGTACCTTATGATTTATTAAAGGAAAAATTGAAAAAGAAAATAAACAAAGATACATTACCATTAGAAATGTCATTATATGAAGGTCAATTTAGTTGTGAATTTCAATTAATTGATAGAATTCGTCAAGTTTTTCCAGCAAAAAAAGTCATTTGGAAATTAATTGATAGGTTTTTCACTTATTGTTATCCTTTCATGCCATTTTTAGATGAACAAGATTTTTTGGATTCTGTTATTAAAATTATTGGCCCAAGATCATATGAAGAAAAACCTATCGAAAACCTCAAAATTGAAAAAAGATTAGATTTAGCAATTGTTGGAGTGTTATTAATTGTTATGAGAATAACTTATTTATCATTATTTTCAAATAAATTACAAGTGAATGAAGAAAGATTAACTACAAATGATCCATCTGAAAAAGCTCAAGATATTAAATATTTAATGCAAAATCCAATAAGTATAATATCCATAAATCTTGCAACTTTTTGTTTATATCAATTTGATATTTTAAGAAGAACTTCAATGCCAGTATTACAGTTAGCATTTTATATAAGATTTTATTATATGTTTGCACCAGAGGATGGTGATGATGGAGATGGATCAGATACAAATGCATTTTCAGCACTTTTAATTCAAATGGCTTATTCATTAGGTTTAAATAGAGAACCAGAAAAATTTCCAGGAATATTACAAAATCAAAGGATGAATCATTTAGGTAGAAAGATATGGCATGTTTTAGTACTTGGTGATTTACATCAAGCTTATGCATTTGGAAGTCCAATGTTGGTTGATCCTGATAGTTTTGATACAAAAATACCATTTAGTAATAAAGAAAATTCAAATGTTATAGATTACGAATTGGATAAGAAAATAACTGATGTATTTTTCCCAAAGAGTTTAAAGTTATATGAAAAGTTACGAGCTATTTTGAAAAGGGTTTTATGTATCGCAGGATCATCAAAAGTCAGTGAAATTTGTAATTTAATAAGTGAATTTGAAGTTTCAATGGGAGAGAATTTTTCATCTTTAAAAAATTTATTAGTTATAACTCCAGGATCTCATATATTTGAAAGAAATTTTAAAGCAAAATTTTATATATCTTTAAAATCATTTTTTGTTTCAATTTATTTTCATATTTTTTTACATTATGAACATAAAGATGTTGGATTAGCTTTTTTTTATTTGAAAAAAATTTTAAAAATTGCAGCAATCGATTTAATGCCTCATTATTTTGAATTAATGGGTAATTCAGAAGTTATTTGTGATATGTTTATCAACCCTAAATTACAACAAATTATTCATAAATTAAATCAAGTTTATTTTGCATTAATTATTAGAGTTAATTTATCAATTTATGGATTGAAATCAAAACCTGATCATGAAAAAAGATGTTATTCAGATACTCAATATTATGAATATTATAAAGAGTTATGTAAATTTTCAAGTTGTTTAACAAGATGTGCAGAAGTCTCAATTGCGGCCGTTTCAAAATTAAGTTCAAGATATTTTTATGCATGGAAATTAACTAAGTCACATACTTATTTACTAAAAATTATAACAACTATGGATTTTTATAAAGATCAATTTGTTGATAATAAAACAACTTTAAAATTACCAGATTTCTCAACAATTCAAATTGAAGAAATTGTCGTAATGTGTGAAAAGGCATTAAAAATATTAGGTAAAGATGGTCTTTTGGGTAACGAATTTTGTAAAGATGTTACATACAAACAATATAAACATCAAAATAGTGTATCATCAACAGGATCAGGATCCACTACCTCAAATTCATTAAATAAATTAACTCCAAATTCAGATATTTCAATTACTGATGCAAGAACATATACAAATGAATTTGGATTAGATGTTGCAACAAATCAAGAAATTGATAAAATTTGGTTACAAATGTTACAACAACAACAACAACAACAAATCCCACAAAATTCTCAAGAGAACCCAGCAGCTGCAAATTTACAACCTCAACAACCATTATCACAACAACAACAACAACCTCTACAGCAACAGCAACAACAACAGCATCCATCAAATCAATTCCCACAAACTCCTCAATTTAATGACATTTATGGTAGTGGTAGAAACTATTCACCATTTCCAACAAATTGGCAAACTGGTTCAACTCCATATACTTCTTTTGATCAAAGTCAATTTAATGGAAACACTAATGGTGGAATTAATAGTGTAACTAATAGTTTCAATGGTGGTGTAGGATTTACTGCTTTACCTAATGGTGGTTTTGGATTTGAAGAAAATGGATCATTTGATTTTTTTGCTGATTTACCTTTTGATCAAATGTTTAATGTTAAGTAAGATTATATTTGTGAATATTTGTATATACTTGATTTTTTTTTTTTCTATAATATATAAATGAATTTTATTGATTCTTGATTACTATTCTGTATAATTTATACAAAATTTGCAACCAGTTTTTGACAATCATTTTGTGTCATAGTAGTGAAACAATATATAAGTATTACCGCGATTTTGACGCAAATTTGAAAACATCAAGAAAGAGCACTGATGCCTAGAGTTTTTTGAATTACTGATAAGTCGAGACTTTATTCAGTAGTTACTATGAATTAAAAAATGTTCGATATTAATTAATATACAATTATAAGGTTACTAAATTTACTTAATTACCAGTTGAAGAAGCAGCATTAGCAATAGCTTTTTCCTTTTTAGCAATTTTATCATTAGCTTTTGAACCCATAATACCACCACCCCAATGTTTTTTATTTTCTTCATATTTTTCCAAGTAGTTTGCATTTATAGTTGAAATTAATTTAGATAATTCTGATTCATCAGCTGAAGAAACTTCAGTTAAAGCAGCAACAGCAGAAGTTTTTTGATGAACTAAAGTACCTAATCTTGCTTTACCTTTTACTACAGCATATGGTACACCCATTTTTTTACATAAAGCAGGTAAAAAGATAACTAATTCAATTGGATCAACATCATTTGCAATTAAAACTAATTTAGCTTTTTTATTTTCAATTAATGAAACAACATGATTTAAACCATATTTAACAACTAATGGTTTTTCACTAACATCTTTTGCACTTTTACCTTCAGCAATTGCAGATGCTTCTTTAGTTAATCTTTCTTTTTTTTCACTAGTGGTTTCTGGTCTATATTTATTAAATAATTTAAAAGTTTGAGCAGCAGTGTTTTTATCTAAAGTATTATTAAATTGAGCAATTGATGGTGGAACTTTTAATCTCAAAGACAAGATTTTTTTTTGTCTTTGTAATCTAACATATTCTGGCCATTTTACAAATCTTGATAAATTTCTTTTTGGTTGAATTGATTGTCCGATACCAAAATTCTTTGGAGTTGATGCTAATAATGGGTTTTTGTTGGTTTGAAAGGTTTTGGATTTGGAAGCAAATGGAGCTGGTGCTACTTTTTTACCTTTTGGAGCCATTTTTTGGTTATTATTGTAGTCAGTTACTAAGCTTTATTCTCTATGTGAAAAACTGAAAAATTAGTTTTTGATGATATTAAACATTTTGTTAGTGCGTGATATGGTAGCATTACAAGTTTTTTGGTGTGTTTAAAGCCCTAACTATCATGTGACCATTTTTTTTGACGTTGGTTAAAAAAATATTATAAGACAAATGCTTTTCACGACATTAGCTCCAATTTTTCATCAAATGAATTGAGCAAGAGAAAACGAATTTTTGTTTTGTGTTTTTAATGAGATCGAGTACAAATTGAAGATCTCCCTGGTGTAACAACTACACAAAGCAAAAACCGTTGAATAGAAGATAAAACTGCATCATTTAAGAACTTTTAATATTCGATACATTAAGGCAAATGAGAAAGAGGAAGAGAATATCGTTCTTTATTAAAAAATAAATCAATATTAAATTTCTATATAAAAAATAACCTAAAATCTGCCCACTTAAAACATCATAGCAATTAATTAAGTTTTTTGATGTTTTGTAATTATAATAATTAATTTGAACTGAAAAGTTGAGTATATGAATAAATAATAAATAATTGAACCACTGAGTAGTTCTAGTACAGTTTTTATATTTTGAATTTTGTTCCTTTGAATTTTGATTTTTGTGTTTTTATTTTTTAACTACAATCAACCCATCTTGAATTACACCACCCTTTAACAGTATATTGAGTTTTTGTAACTCCAGAATTAGGAGCTTTACCATTAAATTCCCATTTACCACCTTTTAATATACCACAAGGTTTAATACTTGGTTTTAAATCCCATGGTAAATATTTACCTTGTTTTCTTGTTATTGAACGATTTAAAACGCCAGCGTTTTTGTGATTATCTTTAGATGTCAAATTAGAAGTTATGAAAATATAATTTTCTGAGTCAATGAATTCTTGTGGTGAGTCGTCTAATCTTGGTTTTAGAACTACCGAGTTCCATAATTTCTCACGAGATAAATTTGAAATTTTGTAGATGTTATGAATTTGATGAAACTTTTTCAAATTTGGATTTTTTCGTATCATTGAATATAAATCTTCTTGAGTTAGTGAATTTGGTAATGTTCTTGTGTTTATTCTTGAATTATAATCATACGCGTATAATCTTAAAAATTGTGAGTTGATTCTTTGATCTCTATTTTTGAAAATTGTTCTTGTTACTGTGTTATTGTTATTGATGGCGGTGGCATTTTCTGGTAAAATCGTATCATGTTCATGTTCAACTTCACTGAATGTGATTAATTCCTCTGAGGATTGATGTACCGGTTCTTCTATTTCTTTTGATTCCTCCTTTTGTTGTTTATGAAATGGTAATTTATCATCAGTTAATCTTGGTGAATCAGATATAAAACTTATTAATTTATCTTTTGTTGAATTTTTTAAATTTTGAACTGATGTAGTTAAATTTGAAACTAATGATTTTGTAAATTTTGATTTGGTGGTTTCATCTTTAGATTTCGAATTTCTTAGTATACTATATAATGAATCTGTTGATGATGTTAAAGAATTATTTGGTGGTGATGATCTTATTGAAATTTGTGAAGAAACAGTTGATAAAGAAATTGATTGTGATGCAAAACTTGTTAATGATGATCGTGGTAAATTTTTTGTTGAAATTGGAGAAGTACTATATGATGATGGTATTGATGAAGATCTTGTAGAATTATTAATTGAAACTATAGTAGGTGAAGTTGATAAAGAAGATATAGATTCATTAAATGATATAGGAGTTGTAATTAATGATGATATTGATGATGATACAGACATTGATATATTATTTGAATCTTCGAATTCATCACTTTTGTAAATTGAACATGTATAGTTTCTATTATTGTTATTGTAATCTAAGAACGATTGTGAAGATTTTATTGGAGATGAGGAATAAGAATTATATGAAACTTCATCAGATGCTGAAGATTGATCATCTGAATAATTACATTCACAATCACTTGAACAATCATCATCTAATATATCTTCATTTGATTGTATATTATTTTTGGTATTAGTATTATTATTTAATGGATGAGTTTTGGTTTCTTGTAATACAACCAATGATGAAGTTTTTCTTAATTGTTTTCTTGATGGTTTTGAATTTGGGGATATAGGTCTTGGTTCATTTGCTGAATCTTTGGTGAATGAGTGGTTGTCATTATGACCTTTATTATTACTTATTGTAGGTTTAAAATTTTGATAGTGAGTATTATTATTTATATTGTTATTATTATTTGATAATATCATTATAATATTATCTTGATTAAAAGATTGTTCAAATTCCATATTTATAGCCATTTTTGAATATATTAAATTATATTATGATTAATAAGTTATTATATAGACATTATACTGGGAATTTGATAAAATTAATAGGTGATAGTATAAAATACAATTGATATTAATATAGATAATGTAAATAAATGACTTATTGTAAATGCTAATACGTGTTTGTCTTTTTAAACTTTAGCCTTTTTTTGATAAGTAAATTGAAAGTAAACTTTATTGATGAATGTGGTAAAAATATTTTAAAGATAAGAAAAAAAAACGAATATATTGGAAAACGTGATTAAAATCTGATTAGGTTATATCCAAATGACAAATAAATGATGAAAATGAAAATATTCTCTTAGTAATTCTAAAACAAAAAAAAGTAGACGATAATTTGATAAATTGGTTGTAAAAATATATATTTGAATAAAATATATAGATGGAATTTTATTTGATTATTATATATAAATTTCAATATTAAAATATTAAACGATTTCTAATTTTATTTAGTGTAACATTGAAAATATTTTGTGTGATATACATTTAATGTATTTACGCTTAATATTTGATATTGTAGATGTATTACTAAAAATAAAAATAATATAATAATTTATTTTAATTGCCATTTAAATTTATAGATTATTTTAATTAGTATATAACATTAACTAAGGATTAAAGTATAATTTATTATTATAATTATAAAAAAGAGATTTAATCTAGATCAACAATAGTTAGTTTAATTTTCTTAAGTTTATCAACAAATTCAAAAATCCATCATAAAAAAAGTTAAGAAAAATAATAATTAAAGAATGTAATAATCGTCTACAACAAATAAATTAAATTGAATTACTAAAAAATATAACTAATGGAATACAATAACCTTAATAAGTTTCTTTTAAATAGATTGTTGATAAATTTATACATAACCCAATTGTTTAATGTAATATTGAAAAATGTTACCTTCCTTATCAAGAAAATACAATTTGACTTAAACTTCGAAAAGAAACAAATAATATATCTTTTCAATCTATAAACTATAATTGATAAATAATCTTTTTATTACCTGAAAATAGTGTCATGTTTATTTATTATTTTGCTTGAGATGGGATTAATTATATGAGTGAACATAAAAAGATTCTCGCTAAATTCCTTCTTTTAATAAGATTAGCAAGAGAGTTTCACTTAGTTACCATATCATCTTTAATATTACGTTATGTTGTTTTTATTTAATCGAAATTTTTATTCAAAAAAATCAAATTTAACAGGTTAGTATAAATGGTAATATGTGTTTGTTAGTTATTATTAATATGAAAATTAAAAAGAAATAATCTACAAACGTTCGTATTCTAATACTTAATCATTTAATCAATTATACATTTAAAGATATATTTTGACGTATATTACATTATTATTTTATTGTATTAATATTAGTTAATTACTCCATAGATTTATATGGCATTTTTTATTTTTTTTTCTATTGTTTAAATTTGCTTTCTAAATATTATGTTTAATAGATAAGAATTTCAAAACACTGAAAAAATATCAAAACCTCTTGTATACTTATTATTTAATTCGACTAAAATAGTTGAGGATTATGAGAGTATTGTACTGCTACTCGTGCCTTATGGTCAACAGTCGAAAGGAGTAAAAGTCTTTCATTTGACTTTGTTGATATTACTCAACATGTTTTTCCATCCTAACAACTTAACTTAGATTCTATAATACAATTTTGGAATTCCGGAATTGTGCACAGTGATAAAAATAAAAAAATCCGACCTGAAATTTATATTTAAAGTTAAATATTACGATTTGCGACAAACAAACAAATTCTTAATATTTCAACATCCGTTTTAATGGCTCAAAAATTAAAAGTACATTATATTTTGAGCTTTTCGTATTCGTGACATTTTCAGCAAGTGAATCTAGCAATACTCACTGTATACAATTTCTTATCTCTAAAAAGCGTGAGATCCCCCAAATGTATCATCAATCCTTCAAATTTTACACGTAGACAGCAACTGTTTCGAAAGGAAAAATTTGTCCTAATAGACTTAGCGGAACCAACCGAATCAGAAAATCCGTTCGATGATGGAATTCGTACTACGATGCAATAGACATTTCGTAAGAAAAAAAATTTTGAGGTTTAAACGGGTATAATTTCTAAATTTGGTAATATTTGGATCTGTTAAATAATAGAAAAAATTTTTCTTTTTTTATTAAGTGCTAGACAATAGCTCCAGATTATTCAGTTTAATGCAGAAGAAGTTTTGTCTGCGAAGAATTGTTTAGAGCGGATGTGTGCGTACGATGATGAATGATTAAGTACATTTATAAAACATTGTCACGAATTTTTTTTCTGGGATTGTCTTACTATTTAATTGTTAAAAATTAAAAAAAAGCTTCGTGACACTACAATGCTGTTCACGTTTATTGTAATTGATGAACCATTCTAGATTTAGACGTTTGTAGCGTTTACTAAATTAAATAAGATCATCAATTAGTTTTTTACTTGATCCTTGAAATCCCTTTTACCAAAAAATTGCCAAACCAGACAAAAAATAAGGATAAATCGTAATATGAACAAATGCCGAATATATGGAAAAAGTAACTCAAATCGAAAGACTTGTTTTAGGCTAATTCTGGGCTAAAAGTTTTTGATCTAAAAATTAATTATTTGTGAAAAAATGTAATTAGAAGTTTATTTTTAGAAGCAGATGAATTTAGGGTGTAAAAGTACTCTCTTTCCATCATGAGACATTATTAATCATATTCAAATTCATACACTAGCAAACTATTGTCTAATTACGGTTGTATATATTAAAATTTTGAGTACTCAATATCGATTTTGTGTAGAAAATGCTAATATTTTACTTGATTTGGCTGCAAAAAATTATTAATTAGCAAAAAGTCTAGATATTAACTACAACGAGTACAGAACAGCCGATATTTGGCATTAAGTCAAAACATTCAAAGTTTTAATTAAGCTAAAAGTCAAATCATTTTTTATTAAATACCTTTTCTATACGTTATTTATGAAGCCTGCTCATAATCTAAATCATTTAATGCTTGTAATTCAACATCATCACTTCTTATACCATGATGTCTATCTAAAAATAAATCATCTTTACTTTCATGCACTAAATTATCATCACCATCTAATCTATTATATTTTGAATGTAATCTTCTACTTTGTTTATCTTTTATTTTATTTTTCTTATTCTTAGATTTAAATTTCCTTCTTCTTAATAAGATTTTTTTGAAAGATCCCATTGCTCTATTTATAGGATTTATTGAATAAAAATCATTAAAAATTTCATCAATTTGTTCTAATTCTATACCTTTAGTCTCGGGGTAAAATAGTATAACACAAATTACACTAATTATACATGATCCAGCTGGGAATAAATACATTGCCCATTTAATATTTTGTCTCATAATTGGTGCAAATAATCCAACTATAAAATTACTTAACCAATTACATGAAACTGCAAGACTGACACCTTTTGATCTAACTGATAATGGATATGATTCTCCTGATAATAAAAATGGAATTGGTCCAAATCCAAATCCAAATGATGCATTATATATAATAACTAATATTGCAACTAGTATTGGTGTATAACTTTTATTTAAAAGCATGAAAACAGAAACTAAAACTAAACATACCCCCATTGCTAATCCACTTGTAACTAATATTGGTCTCCTACCCCATTTATCAACTAAGAACCAAGGTGGTATAGTAGATAATAAATAAATTATCCCATTAATACCAGTCATTAGTAAAGCACCAGATTGATTAAACCCAGCTTCTAAAAATACCATAGGTGCATAATATGAAATAATATTAATACCATTAAATTGAGCAAAAATTAATGAAGAACAAGCAACAAATATTCTTCTTTTATAATTCATAAATAAATGTTTCCATGTTCTTTCAGATTTGGGGGTTAATTTCCTCTCTTTTAATATAGAATTTTTAATCATAAAAAATTCAATTTTAGGTTTATTTGTAGATTTATGAGAATCATATAATAAACTTAATACATTAAACCCTTGTTGATCCATATCATTATCTAATAACCAACGAGGACTTTCAACAATGAAAAATCCACCAATAAATAAAACAAACGCTAACACAACTTGAATAAATAAAGGTAATCTCCAACTTAAATTAGCTAAAAATGAATGAGGTTTTGATCTAGTATCTTTAATATCTTGAATAAAATAACAAAAATAATCTACCCAAACACTTAAAGCGTATCCACTTATATTACCTGTAAATTCTCCACATACTAATTTCCCTCTTTCTTCACTCGGACTAATTTCACATTGATATGATGGTACAATAGTGGATAAAATCCCAACACCAATACCACTAAATACTCTTCCTATTGCAAATACAAACATATTAGGACAAAAAGATTGTAAAGTTCCACCAATCATAAAAATAAAAGTTCCCAACAAAATAGTTCTTTTTCTTCCAAATCCATCAGATATTTTAGCAACTAAAATTGAACTTATCATTGCACCAATTTCCAATATAGATATAACAACACCAATAGTAGCAGCACTTGGATCATGAAAATATCTATTAAAAGTATCAAATGCTAAAATTCCACTACATACACCTTGTTCATATCCAAATAAACTAACAAATAAACTAACAAAAGCCGATGTAAAATAAACTAATTTATTCCCCTTAAAACTTAGTTGTGAAGTATATTGTTTATTATTAAAATTTAAATTGTAATGATTACCAAAATCATCAGTATCATCATCATAATCATCAGTTGAACTTCTATTAAATTCATCAATATCTTCTTGTTCATTATCTTCTGATTGTTTAAATTGTATTGGATCGAATTCATCATCATCTTCAGATTGTAATTCATTATGTCCATCAGAACTCGAACTACCAGTCTTTCCATTTTTATTACCATTTAAATCAAGTAAATTTTGTGGTGGTGATTCATCATTTGAAGAATTGTGATCAACTATAGTTTCTTCTTCAAATGGATCTCGATGTATTGCAATTGGTTGTTCAATTGTTAGTATATTATCACTGAATGGGTCTTGATTATTATTCAGAAGGGGATTATATGACATTATGTTTATTCATTGGTTATATTTGTATATATATATGTAAATAATTATTATCTTTTAAATGAATATTTTGGAAATTGTAATTTATTCCAAGACTATTTGTACGAAATTTAAAGGAATGTTTTAATGTTTTGGTATATGTAAACTCAATATGACACTTTATAATTTTATGTTGATAATTAATCGAGACAGTGAAATAAATAGTGTCTTAAAATAAATATTCGTATATTAATTCATTATTAAGATTGACAAAGTAAATTAATCTCTTAGTTTGCTTTAAATAGAATTGTATTGTGTAGTAATTTTGTGATTAAAATCTTGGGGTTTATTGTCATATTATTTTAATTCTTGACATATTATGTTTATTTTTGTAGTAGACCCTTCAGATTTAAAATCCAGAGTTAAAAAGAGTTGTCTGTTCAGTATTCAATAATTACTATTATATATATACGTATTAGTCTAAATAAATTTATTGATCTATGCACAAACCTATGAAATTTGCCAATTGCTTCTCTATTTTGTTTTATCATTGTCTACTAAATAAATATCGGTATACTTTCTACCAAGCGTGATATATTTTTGTGATAAATTAACCAGTAAACTTGATACAATTTTTTTGACATGATAATGCTTGTTCTGCAATTGAAGTTTCAATACCCCAGTTTTATTTATTCTTTTTGAAATAACTTTCAATATAAAAAGCACCAAATAATGCAGTTAATGGAGTTAAATAAGCAATATTAATTAAAAGAGGTAAAGCTTGATCAGGAGAACTTATACAATTCATCAATTTTAAATGATCTTTTGAAACAATATGATTAGTATCAACTATCCAAACACAAGCATGTAAGACCGCTATCGACCCACCCACTACAAATTGAGTAATTTGCATTGAAGTTAAAATTTTTTTAAAAACTGTTGGAACTCTTATATGTAAACATGATAAAGTGAAATAAAAATACATTAATGAATGAATAAATGAGTTGAAAACGACGAATATCCAAATTGGTGGTGATTGAAATCTTACACCTGACCACATACACAACATTGCACCTGCATGATGATAACTTTGTAACAATGAAGATGGTCTACCTTTTAATAAAATTATAATAGTATCAATAACTTCATAAAATTTAGAAATATAAAACCAAAATCCCAAAATTTCTAAATTATGTAAACCTTGGGATTTGGTAAAGTATCTTGAAAATAATCCATTTTTGGAATCACAAACAGATTGGAAAAATAATTCAAGATTTTTTAAATTGTAATTTTCTATTTTAGTTGATTTAAAAAATGATGGAATTAATTCAAATTTAAAATTATTCATTATTGAACCTATTGTTGCTGTCATTCCAATAAAAGTCCATATTGAATATACACATAAAAATATATTATGTAAAATAACAAAAACTTTGAAAAGGGAAGTTTTAGAAATTGATGATGGAACAGCTGGTAATCTTTTCGGTATTGGCTTATTATCTTTTTTAGATTCTGATTCCAATTGTAATGATTTTTTAATTTGTTTATTTTTAATAACATTATTAAAATAATGAACCGAAGTGAAATAAATTATTGCAATTGTTAATGGTGTTGAACCATGCATACTAATTTCATATAATTTTGTTAAGAATTCATTTTGAAAAGGACTTGGTGGAAGTGGAGTATCTAATTTTGGCCATGTACTCCAAACATCAACGTTTGGTAAACCAAATTTAATTAACATTTTGATGGAATATTTATGGTATCTTTATGAGTAAATGGAAAATTACTTTCAATTTTTTTGTGATGAATATTTGATTATTTATAAATATAATTTATCTAAAACATTTTGTGTTCTATTAATCGAGTATAGAAAAATGTATAATTATGCTTGCATAAATAATAAGAATTATTTAATTAAAGATGTTTAATTTTATTTTGCAATAACTTGAAAATTTAAGTTTTGATGCATCGCGCTCGGAAATTGCTTTTATGGGTAAATAATGCTACCAAAATTTTAAAATCTTGTTGGGTTTTTTTACGTTTCATATTTATTGTACTATACTAATGATACTTTGAGATCAGCGATAGTGATTGATTACTTGAAAATAGTACTTGAGCCAATTATAGAGCTATGCAAAATTAGATACATTATCTTTCGTGGCTTATACATGCTTTTCTTTCAAGTTCTTTCAGAGAAAATGCAACGATTTAATAACATTATTTCCAAAAATATCCGATTATATTTTGTAACTGCATTTTACCTAAAACTCCGAAAACACAAATTCTATTTTTACAAAGAGAAACATAATTATTTCTTATTTTACAAATCTGCCGAGGAATAAAGTGCTTCTTTTTGAGAATAGAATTATTCAGATCTCAGCTTATTTTATGGAAACATATCTCGAGTTCCAAGATCCGTTTTCAAGCAATTAACAAAAGTCCAAACACAATCTTTCAATTCGAAGCCTGTTAAACTAGAAAATTGTATTGTTACAAGAAACTTTTTTCTTTATTTATAACGATTTTATAACACACATATTTTTAACTTCAAATCTCAACTTTTAACTTCAAATCTCTTAGCCAAAAACGACTCATTTTCAGACAATTTCTAGAAATGCTAGATTAAGTGAGGACTACAAAATTATATTCTATGGGTATAATTCGATATCTCATTAATAAATAGTTAGTAATACTATACAACGTAAAAAATACATAATCTCATTAAACATTATAAACAAAATTATTAACTCCTTGTTGATTATAATCAAAAGGTTTTAATTTAACAGGAGAATTTAAAAATTGTTGTTGGTTTTGGTAATAGTGATGATGATGATATTTTGAAGGTGAATTAAAAAATGACTGATCAACAGTACTTGGTGAAGAAGAATTGTAATAAAATTGTTTTTGTGGGGATGAAGGTTGTGATACATTAGAATAATATGATTGTTGGTAATTTTTAATTGGAGAAGACATCATCAATTGTTGTCTTGATGGTGATACGATATAATGTTTTGTTGCTGAATTTGAACCACAACTTTCTAAATTGACTTGGTTTTTTATAGGAGATCCGTTGTTCAAATTTGTGATTAATTGTAATGGCATTGATTGTTGATTTAAATTTGATGTAAATCTTTGGATTTTAATTGGTGATGATAATGATGTGTTTAAAATTGAATTGAATATGTAGTTTGACATTTCTATTACTGAAAACCCTTTGTTTCTTAACCAATAAGTTAATGATTCAATTGCGTTATTTAATTTTGTGATCGGTTCATTGTCGTAATAGGATAATATAATTTGATGATATGATAAACCACTGTCAATTGGATGTTCATTGACTATTAAATCGTAGCCTAATAATAATTTAAATGGTATTAAAATATGATTTTTAAAATCTTCTTGATTATTAATACCAAATACTTCATTAAATTTGTTGAAACTTGAAGTGAATTTGAATTCATAACATTGTGGTAATAAATCTTGTAATGCTTTTGCACAATTTTTAATTTTCAATTCTGATCCTTTAATGTTGAACTCTAAAACATTTGAATCAAAATTATCAATTGAATTTGGGAAATCTATAAATGAATTATATTCAGATTCTAAATTATTAATTAAATTTAATTTGTTATTGCTAAGTAATGATAAATATTGATTTTTTAAAATTTGAAACTTGATGTTGTAGTATAAAGTAACATTTTGTTGTTGTACCTCGTTAATACAATATTTTGAAACTAAATTATCAATTTCATTTTTGACTAATGGAATATTTGACATATTTTTTCTTGGACATTTTATCAATACATTTGAATTTCTTTGGAAACAAAAATTTAAATTTGATGAAACATCAGCAGTGATTGATGAAAGTTTAATAAATACATTGTATTTTTTCATTATTGATTGAATCATTGAACCTCCATTACCAATTATAGATTTATGGAATACTTCAGGAATGTTAAATTTTAATTCTGATGGTAATTCCAATTCTATTAATTCAATAGCTTGTGGTAAAATATAAGTTGATGAGGTATTTATATCAATATTAAAACTAAATTCATTATAAGGAGTGAAATAAATTGTTGGAATATTATTCAATTGATTTAAAATTTTTATTAATTTACCATTTTTTTTACCACTTATAAATTCTTTTTGATCATTAGTTAATTCTAATTGTATATTTAAATTTGTTGAAAATTGTGCAAGTTTGTTAAGTAATTGTTTAATTTCCTTATTATGACCAATAATTTTGAATGAAGTGTCTTTAGTGGTAACAGTACAGGTTTTAGTATATTGACACATTTGAATAATTTCTTGTTGATGAGTTGTTATTCCAGTGATTGTATAATACTGAGCCGCAATTAAACATAATTCAGTTATACATTCGTCAATTGTTTCAACTTTACTACCTTGAACTATGATAGTTGAGTTATTTGATTCACCTAAACTTGGAAACTGCATGAAAGTACCATGTTTCAACATTAAATTGATAAGTTCTTTTTGATTATTCATTATAATTAAATCAATTTTAGATTGATTCATTGTAATTTTTTTAGTAATTAATGAAACTTTATTGTTATTTAATTTTTCCAATATTGTTTTAGTTAACAGTAAATCAATTAAATTTTTTGAAGTTATCCAAATTGACATATCATAATTATTGGTTAAAATTTCAGAATTATATAAATTTGGTAATAAATCAGGTATATAAATAATTGAATTTGTTTGTTTTGCAATTTTTTTAAAATTATTTAAATTTGTTCCACCAATTAACGGAATTAAACTCAATGGAATTTGAAATGAATCAATGTTGTAGTTAGATAAATACAGATCAATCAATATTTTTAATGATGTTTCAGAAATTGTAACATTATCTTGATTTCCAATCATATGTAATGAATAAGCAATTTCCGATTTAGTTGTGTTATCAAATGATAATTTATCATTATTTAAAATAACTTCAACTTGGTATCTTTCACATAATTTATTCATTTGATTTATAAATTTCTCATTTATTAATAAAAACTCAGAATTATCAATTGTTATTGTTTTGGAAATAATTGAGTTGAAATTGTATAAAATTTGAGATTTGATATCAGTTTGATATTGTGAATCACCATTTATTATAATATTGATCATTTGATTTTGCATCAGTGGATTTATTAATTCAATGTGATTATTTCTATTATTTGATAATTGGTTTAATTGATTACATTTTGCTTGTAAAACAGTTAAATTATCCATTATATTATATGTCTCCCCATTTGTTTCATTAAAATGATTTCTCCATAATCCAATAGAAGTTTCATAATAAGTTTGTACTGAATTTTTAGTTACTTTTGGATCAATTTTAAAAGTATATGGTAGATTTAAGGTAGTTGATATTGACATAATTTAATTATAAATATAGTAGATAATTAATTAATTTGAATGAAAATTAATTATATGGTTTTTCCAAAAAAATTTAAGCCAAAGATATGACAATCTTGAAACAATATATAAGTTACAAGAATTATGAACTTAGTATCATCTATCATCCATCATTAATCATATATTTTATTAATCTTGTTTCAGTATTAAATCATGTATTAAATTTATTATATTTGAAAATTACCTAATTAAGAATATTAATTATTATTTTATGCAGAATAAATTAAATTTTAAACTTTTGATTGTTTTTAATTTAAACTATTTAAGAAATCTCAGTATTATTATTATAATAGAAGGGTGCTACCAAATAGAATACACAAAATCAAAATTATCTTTTTTTAGTAATTATAATAAAATTCTTTAAACATATACGTTTAATTTTATTAAATACAATAGAGGGATCAACAAGATAGAGACGTTTTTGATCAACCTAACTTTAAAAATTTACTATAAATAGTAAACGTTTGATTATATTTGACTGGCTAAACGCACTTCTGAATTTCTTCTCTTTGCTCTTTTCACAAAACTATATTAAAAGTCCGAATAAATCTGTTACTATGATAAGTTTTCTTACTTTTGGAGAGCACCCAAAAAAATATGCAAACCCCATATTTTCAGAATTGAAATTCTCCTTATTCAGATATCGCAAATTTATAATTCTTACTCCATTAAATCTAGTAATACATTCATGCCATTAATGCTAAAAAGAATTCCAACTACTATCTTCTATTAAATTTTTAAAACTGTTATAGTCTTTTTGAATCCCATATATAAACCATTTCATCCCATCCAGTAGTTGCACACCAACCAGGTTCACCCCATAAACTATAATCACAACCAATAACAAATTCTCTATGATCACCAAATATTTTACTTTGACCACCACCTCTACTACTTAAAAATCTTGCTCTTTCATTACTTTCATCTCTCCAAATTCTTGATGTCATATCATAAGAAGTACTCATTAATTCTTTAGAATCATGAGGTGACCATTGAACTTTTCTAACTGCAAATTCATGACCTAAAAATTCATTTAATGGGGAAGGACCAAATTTATGATGTGATGGCATTGGTTTTTGTGGTATTGGTTGATCTAATTTTGATATCATTCTTAAATCCCATATTCTTATTGATTTATCAGTTCCGCCAGAAGCTATTATAGTTGATTTATATTTATTCCAATCTACTGATAACGTTTCTAATCCATTATGTGATACAAAATGTAATTGTAAAGGTTGTGGTGATCGTATATCCCAAATTTGAATTTGTGATGCACCTGTACATGATACAACTGTTGATGGTGAATGTGGTGAAAATTGTGCTGAATATATACAATTTGATGTACTTGTTTGTTGTTGATTTAGTTGATGTTGTTGTTGATGCAGTAATGGAGGTAGTTGTTGTGATGTATTTGGTTGTACTTTCGTAGTATGATCTACTCCACCAGGATTTAAAGTTAACATTGATTCTTGCCTTTGATGTGACCAAATTTTTATAGTACCATCCCAACTTGCAGTTATGAAATTAGTTTTATCAACTAAATTCCAATTTATAGAAAATACTTCTCTTTGATGTTCTTTCCATTGCATTATTGGGAAATTAGGAACCGTTATGTCAAATAATTTTATAGTACCATCACCACTTGCAACAACGCATTGATTCTCATGAATTTCACTCCATGATAAATCAAACAATCCATCTTGAGTTTCCCATGATATTTGATCAATTATAGAACCATTTGGTTCAATATTTAAAATATATAGTCTACCATTTCCAACTAATCCATAATTTGCTGCTGTTGCTACTGCTAATTTATTATCAAAGAAAGGTGAATATTGAATACCATAACCATTATATCCTTTTGTCCTATACGATAGCATCAAGGAGATTTGAAGTTGTGGTTAATAACAATAAATAACTAGTTGTATTTTATGGTTAGTACTTAAATAGAATTTCTTAATTTTTTCACACTCTATTCTTATTTTTCTAATTATACAAAAGCGGCTAAATTATATTAAAATGGAGATCAAAAATATAATTTATTTATTTACTTTATAAATTCATTAAATATATTAACAACACGAGTAATACTTTTATACAACTACCTTCAATTGATTCATTCATTTCCTGAGATCTAATTATTAGTATCAAATACATTCATTTATTTAACCCATTCAAATTGATTATCACAAGTATATTAGCATATTTAATTTATAAATTTTTCCCATTTATAAATTTTTTACCAAGTAATGATTCAATGAATAAATATTTTCAAATATTTGGAATTTACTTACCATTAAAACTAACACGAAATTGGCTATATATAACTACTACTATATTATCTTCCATTTTCATAATTTTACCAATAAGTTTTATTACATATAATAAATATTATAATACTTTAATTCCTATATCAAATTCACCTTTTATTAATTTGAAATTTAATGAAATACATAATAATAATATTTTTGATAATTACAATCAGGAAAATGACAATATTTTAATTTCAAATTTAATAAGTACTTCAAATTTTGAAAATTTTAAATTTGATGATAAATCTCCATATATTTTCAAAATAAAATTGAACTTATACTGTTCAAAAAATTTACAACATACAAAATGTATAAATAAAATAGACTATATTTTCAATTCAACTTTGAAAAATTCATTTATATTAGATTGTGATCCAGTTTCCGTTTATTCAAATAAGAATCAATTTATTCCATATGGTTTTAAAAATTATATACCTTCAAATATAATAAACTTTCAAAAAAATAATGAAATTGAATTAGATATTTTCGAGATAATGGGTGATAAGTTAAATCAAGAAAACAATAAAATTTTAAATCTAGTTGGAACCAGTACGGAATTTGATTACAATAAATTATTATTAAATAATATTCAAAATTATATAATAGATGATAATGAAAGTTTCGCATGGTTTGAAATAAAATGGACTGGATTTAGATATTACTTGGTTAAATATTATTATTTCTTTTACGTGTTAGGAACATTAATATTTTGGATTATAAGTAGTACAACTTCAGTACTCATTGGGTATGCTATGTTATGGAAAACTATTTCAAAGATTCAAAGAAAAAATGAAAAAAGATTACCTAAAATCAAACAAGAACGTATTTAGTTCAATGAAATAATATTAATATTAGAGCTGTTTCTGATTTTGAGCATTTTACAAAGGATTTATGAAACACTCATTTTAATCTACAAATCGAAGTGAACGCTTTTTTGTGAGTGCTTGTTATCAAAGCAATTGATCATTAACACTTTGTTAAACAAGGTCTCGTTAATAAACTCCTATTCTCTTTTATCTAAATACTAAGACCAAATATTAAAATTAAATTTAGTTAAAAGAGAAATTTTAGATTATGTAATTAAAAAAAAAAAAAAAGAGAAAAGAGAAAACCAGAAAACAAAATAAAGAAAAAGGAAACCATTTTAAAATTGATATCAAAATCAATTAATTTATTATTAAAAAGACATCATCAAATTCAAGACTTTATCTCATCAGCAAATATATAAATAGTGGAATTACAAGATGGGTATGTATTGAATTCAATGACATAAGGGGACAATCTTCGTCTGCTTTCTTTTTTTTTGAGATGAATACTAACTTTTAAATAATAGCACCACCTAAGAAGATGAGTTTGCAAGAATTCTTCCAGGACGAATGTATGTAAACATATTTTAATAACCAAACTTTGCTCAATTACTAACGTCAGTTTAGCTTTTGGTGGATCCTGGGCAGATACGGATATAGATATGGCTTCAATTTCAGTACCCATTGAAAAATCATATGGTTATGATGATTCTGTAAGAGGTAGCAATGGACCAAGTGGGAACTTTGGACCTCCATATATTGTAAAATTACTCAATTTACCAATAACGGCAAATGATGCATTTATACAAGATTTATTTCAAAGTAGATTTACAAATTTTATAAAATTTAAAATAGTAACTGATCCATCATCAAATATCTTGGAAACTCATGTTATAAAAAGAGTTGCATTTGTTGAATTAGAATCTCCTCAAGATGTTTCAAAAGTGTTGAAATGGCATGATTTGTACTATAAAGGAAATAGAAGAGTTATTGTTGAAATTGCAGATTTTAATGATTTTCAAAATTGTATACAATTTAATCAAGACCATTATGACGAAATTCAACAAATTCAACATGATTTTATTGCTCAAAAACAACATCAAAAACAACCAAGACATATGGCATTATTAGATGAATTAGATCAAAAATCTGGTTTAAGTCATGGTTATGGAGGGGGGAATTATCATCATCAAAATAGAGGACCACCACCACCAATGAATCAACAATTTGGAGGTCCAAGATCACCAGAAAAATATCATACATCACCTCGTCAAAGAAATAGATCTTTTGATTCATCTTTTCCACCACATAAACAACATTTTCATGGATTACAATCAGCTTCTGGACCTCAACAACAACATCACGAGGAACATCATGAATCAATTTTTCCTACACAGTTAAAATCGAAGTCAAATCCATTTGGAGCAGCAAAACCAGTTGATACATTATCAAAACAACAAGAAATTGAGAAAAGACTTATAAATTTAAATCAAACTACTGTACAAACTTTGGGAGATGATACAAATATTGATATTGAAAACACCATAAAACAATTTCACGAAAGTGGATCACCTCAATATAGAAATCAATCTTTATACACAAGAAGACCATCAACCGAGAAAAAACCATCTATTGCAATATTAAAAAGAACTTCAGTTGATCATCAACATCCTACGCAACTACAACAACCACCACCACCACCACCACCACCACCACCACAGCAACAACAACAACCATCAAATTTTGCACAACCAACTCCAAAGCAATCCCCAGGTTATACGGTAGCTCCACAACCTCAGAATCAATATACATCAAATGGTACTGGGAAATCATTAGCACAATTATTAAGTGAAAGAACAGATTTAGTTTCAAATCCTCCAACTGGTGGGAAAAACACTCCACCAACACCATCTATAAAACCACCAATCATATTAAAAAAGAAGACTGTTGCATCACCACCATCTAAAAATGTAGATTTGACTATAAAAGAAGGTGATTTTATAAAACAAGAACAGGCAAAGAAGAAACTTCAACAACAAGAAACAGAAGAGCAACAACAAACAAATCAATCACAATTTCCAATACAGCTGCCTCAAGAACAATATCAAAATTTGAAAACAAAATCAGAATCTAAACCTCAGTCACAAAGTCAACAACAACAACCGAAAGATGACTTAAATCAAAAAAGACCAGATTTCAAGAAATTATTTGAACACCTTTCTGTAAATAATGATCATACTGATTCAGCTACACCATCATCAACAACAAGAGGACGAGGTAGAGGTAGAGGTACATTCAGGGCTCGAGGAAGAGGAAGAGGAAGAGGTGGGTTTTCATCATATCAATCTGAATCTCATTCTGCAAGTCAGGCAGTTGAAGAACCATCACCAGCACAACAAGATCAATCCCAACAATTAAAAGAATCTACTACTACCCAATCTATTCCAATTTCTTTAAAAGATGACACACAACCATCAAAACCATCAAAACCAGAAGAATCATTTTTGTCCTCAGAATTTGAAGAACAAGTAGAGGAAAGTGATATACCAAGAAAATTCCGTAAACAACAACCACAATCTAAAATCATAAACCAACATTCTCAACTACATCTGGTTTCAACACCATCAATCAATATACAACTTGGTAATAACGAAAATCTCAACAATAATCACAATCAATCAGATTATGAAGAAATTAAAATAAGACCGGTATCTGCAGATGCTACAACCTCTTCAAGAGACAAATTTGAACCTTTTCCAAAACCAACGGTACCATCAGAAATAAAATCGGCATTACCAGATCTGATTATAAATAATGGAGCAACCTCAAAAAATCATCAATTAACAGATCAGAAAAAACCAGATATACCAAAAGAATCAGACTCAAATTTAAATGAACAAACAGACACCACCACTACAACGACAACAACATCAGACAATATTGAAGAACCAGAATCATCAAATGTATCAATTTCATCAAGAGGTAGGGGAAGAGGTAGAGGTAGAGGTACAAGAGGTAATAGAGGATATATAAGAGGATACAGGGGTTCAAGAGGTAGAGGTGGTCGAGGTAATTCTGAATCTGGTGGGTTTGATTCTCGTCATTATCAATATATTCGTCCCAAAACAACAACAACATCAGAATCAACAACAACTTCTACCGAATAAATTCACCATAATTGATGGAAAAACGCTTTAAAGAAAGTTAATAGCTAATTAATGTATATGATATAAATTAATAAATTTAGGAAATATATTTTTTTAATTTATAATCATCCAAACAAACTAAAACGCAATTGATTTTGTAACTTAATCTCAAGCTAAGCGATGGTTTACAAAATTCTAAGATTTTTAAAAGTAAGTTTGTGAATTAACAATTAACTTTAAATTCTCAATATTGATTTCTTGTCTTTTATTTTTGTAGTGGTTCCTGTATATAAATTAAATATTATTGTTTCAGAAACATTAAGCACTAAAAATTTAGCGGAAGGTACCACATATTAAAACAAAAACACGGCATTGATACATTTAAAGACTGGAAATTTTTTAATGATCATGTATATCAACCTGACTAAGTTAACATGGTAACCGTGATAAAAAAAAGAAAAGTAGTTATGTAGCTCACCAAAAATTTATGAAATATTGCTTTTAATTTTACGGACGGTTAAATTTAAATCGCAAGTGAGACAAAATTTAAATTTGTACTAAAATATAAAATCATCGCACGATATTAATTTAATAAACAATAGGAGGAGGGTAGTGTAAGTTTGGTAAAACGGTGAAATTTCATATTTTTCAAAATACGACTTTTTTATGGTTTTGAGCTACTTTTATTTTGATACTAGATATAAACATGTAAGACGATGCTGTCTACGATTACAGCATCACTGTTGAGCGGTAGTTCATTTGGCTACAGTGTTATGACTTATAGCTACAGTATTATCACTTATAAATAAGTAAAAGCAGACTCTTCTCATAAAAAGGGAAATTGAATTTGGTTCTATTCATTTGTAGTTCGATGTCTCGCAATTTCCCGGAGACATTTAACTTCACATCATACTTAGACTAAAGAAGAAGTATGAAGACAAGTTGCAAATTTGAATATGAATAATACATTCCAAGTTATAGATATCAGTCGATGTTAGGTTTTAAATTTTGCGAGTAGTTTAATAAGAAATAGAGTTTTGAGTTCAAAGTTAATATTGATCTTTACATAAAGTATATGTAATACATTTAACATAATGTCTTGTAATGAACTATATAATACTAGGAATTCAAATTAACTTTTTAACAACGACTATTGAGTTTTAATTTCGGCATAATGATAACCATTACTTTAGTGATGAGACTAGAGTTGTTAATTAACAAGGTCGTCAATAGTGGTTGAATTGTATCAATGAGTTTATGTACATTGAACTGTTTTTACAATAAGAATATAATAATTTATTATATTTAAATAAAATATATCTCTATGTACTTTCATAATAATTGTATAATAGTATAATATTAAACTTGAAAATTATGAAATAATTTAGAATAATATAAAATAATTAAATGTCTTTTGTTTCCCTTTTTTTTTTCACAAACTTATAAATACAAAGAAACAATAGAAATATATCATTTATACCTTTTGATTGGAGTTGAAAGAAAGAAAGGAGACTTATTAGAAATATTTAGTTTTCACAAGATCAAGTTAATTATACATAATACTTTTACTACCATTAACAAGAGTAAAACATTCTACAAAACTTTAATATAATTTAATCTCAACTACAACATCATTTTTATATACATTTATATTTTCCAAAACATAAGTAAATTTATACACCCCCATAATCCTTTACTAAACAGTTCATTCAAACAAAAGTTTATTCATAAAATAAGTTCATATTCATATTTATTCATCAACTTATTCACTACATTCAAGGATATACTCTTTATATAAAACATACTATAATAATATAATATTAATAATAAATTACTATTTAAATACTTATTATTATATTATTTAATATTTATATTTACATTAATAAATTTATTTAAGGGAAAAAAATAAAATAAATTTAAATTATATTTAAATATCTAATAATTAATAATACAAAAAATAAATCATTAATAAATATATATATCATATCAACCATATCAAATATTCATCATGTTTAATACCAAAATATTTGATAATAATAATAATCAATCAAATAATATACCAATAGATTCATCAAATTATCAACAAGATAATAATAATATACAGCCGCAACCAATAGATATTACATTCAATCATCGACCTTCAATTTTTAATAATAGTAGGTTTAGAAGAGAATCAGTGGCTCATTCTCAAGGTATGGGTGGTATATCATGGGGTTCTGTTACTATTGGATCATGGTTGAAAGATGAAGTTATGTCTACAACTACAAATAATAATATTAATATTAATAATAATAATAATTTTTTAAATCCTCATCAACCAAATATACAACAACAATTACATCAACATCAAAATTTAATAAATCCAAGGAGAGGTTCATTTAGAAATACAGTACATCCAAGTATGTCACCACAACAACAAACTTCATATTTACCAAATTTAGAAGCTGATTATTGTAAAGATTATAATTGTTGTGGCGAAATATTACCAACTTTACACGATTTATTAAGACATTATGAAGAAAGTCATATTTCTGCTTCTCCTCCTGTTGATACAAGTCAACATTTAATAAATAATAATAGAAATAGAAATAATTATAATAATATTCATAATGTTATGGAAACTGTTTCAACAACTGATGTATTTTTAAATAATAATCATAATAATAATAATAATCATCATAATGAATTCAATATACATAATCAACATAATCAACAACATAATCAACAACATAATCAACATAATCAACAACAACATAACCAGACGCAACAACAACAACTTCAGCAGAACCAACATCATAATAATAATAATCAACAAATACCTCAACAAAACTACAATCAATCAGGATCACCTAATAGAGATATTGAAATGGATACAGGAGAAGATGAAGGATATATAGATGATCCAGCACGTCAATTATATTATCAAGATGATGAACATAAACCTTTCAAATGTAATGTTATTGGATGTGATAAAAGTTATAAAAATCAAAATGGTTTAAAATATCATAGAAGTCATGGTCATCAGGGACAAACTTTAAGAGAAAACCCAGATGGTACAGTTAGTGTTATAGATCCTGATTCAAATAATCCAATGGATAATCCTGCATTAGAAAAAGATAAACCATATAAATGTAATGTTTGTAATAAACGTTATAAAAATTTAAATGGTCTTAAATATCATAGAGGACATACAACTCATTAAAGTAATAAAAAAAATATAAGTATAATAGTAGTAATATTAATGGTCATAAATATTAGCAATAATAATAAATTCTTGTTCATAGTGGTTTACTGGGTATTTTATTCTTTTGATTAATTAATTATTTGGAATTTTTTTTGGTTATATTTCTTGAAGATACTGAAGAAAAAGGATGATAATTGATTTTGTTTTAGATTGTGAATAATTTTATTAATTTGTTTCTTGTAATGTTTTAATTTTGTATAATTTTTAGTTTTTTTATAGGAGTTAAATAGTTCAAATGCATTTGTTTGATTATTTTTTGTAAAGAGATTTAGATTATCTAGGTTTGTTCTAGCAAAGTATTGTATTATTATAATCTATACCATACCTATTGTATCAATATTTAAGTATTTAACTAAATCTATATATTTTGGAGAAATTTCTTTTTTTGTTAATAATCCCAATTGTAAAGCATCACCTAAAAATAAGGAAATTTTCTGATTTGAATATTTTAAATAATCAAAATCATCATCACTGGATGTAATAGCTTCTTCAGTAACAATTTCAATATCATTATTTTCATTTTGTTTAATTTCTCCATTATTTTCATCAAGATTTAAATTTTCAATATCAACTGTAATATTATAAGTTGAATCAACTCCAATTTCACTAGCTGATTTTTGTAATTTTGGTTTTATTGGACCGTTTTGAATTAATCCCCAAAAACACCAATAAATTTGTACTGAACCTCTCCAATATATACATTCATTATACATTTTTTCAATTTCATATTGAATAATATTTAAAGCATCTTGATTTGGATCATTTAATAAATTTATTGAACTTTTTGAACTTTTTAAATTTGATGAAGGTAATTGAAAATCATATTCAATATAAGATTTTAAAAGATTTAATTGTTGTAATCTTGTTGGATATTTTTTTTCATCCAAAAAATATGATCTTACTGGATCATGATAATCTGTCATCCATTCACTAAAATGATTAACTATATCAAATGCTGGGAAATTTGGTCCTGAATATTCAAAATCTATAACTACTAAATTTGAATCCTTTTTATTTGATGTTGATTTTATTGTTATATCATTTACTTTTGTGGTAGTGGTTGGTGAATCAACTATTATATCTTCAGCTTTAAAAGTTTCACATAATAATAAATTCCCATATTGAGTATCATTATGACAAAATTTATAATTTAATGTAAATCCATCATCATCATATTTTGAAAATAACCAATGTTTGTACTTAAATACAATTTCTTTTAAGTCATCAAATTCCATCATGAAAATATCTTTTGGATCAACTCCCGCAGCCAAATATCCAGGTAAATATTCATTTTCAAAAATTTTCATCCATTTTTCAATTAATCTCCAACAAGTAGGCATTGGCCTATAATCCTCTTCATCTAATTCAATTTTATAATGTAAATCTTTCATTCTTCTACCAAACATTTGTGATATAACTTCATCTCTAATTTGTTCTTTATTTAATGTTATAAATCCATCTAAAAATTGTTCAAATCTACCATTTGTAAAAATCCCCAATAATCTTGGACCAATTCTCTTTTGTGATAATTTAATCAAGGTTAATAATTCATGATCTCTATCTATTAATTCATCTACATTTTTCCCATAAACTCGTAATAATAATGAAGGTAATACTATATCTTGTAATACATCATTATATTCTACTTTATATATCGAATTTGTTAATGCACCTGAAATTCTATTTACTTTTAAATATTTTATATCTAAATTTTTTTTATGCCATTTACTTATTCTTAAAGTTTTAGTTAATGCTATTATATCTTGTTTAAAAAAATCAGCAGGTAATGAATTATCTAATATAACTTGTATTGAAGGTATATTTCTATCATGATTAATTTGAGTTGATGTAACTGTTAATTTATTCAATGATGAACTTGATAATGATCTCTTTGTAGATGATAAGCTTGGTCTACGAGTAGCTGAAGTTGATCTTGTGTTTGCTGTTGAATTTCTAGTTCTTGATCTTGATCTTGACCTTGATGAACGATTTGCTGGGGTAATTTCCATGTTTGTGTTTGAACTTTTATTGTGATTTGAAATAATTGCTATCGAGAATAAAGTTGTAGATGAGATATGCTAGTAGATGCTATGGTCGTAAAATGATTCGAAAAAAAACTTTGAAGAATTTGATCTCGTAACAATGATTAAATTCAGTTTGTTGGTAAATCCTAAAATGTTGTAAAAAATAAATTATAACGATAATAATTTGTTATCATGAACATAAAAAAACTCTCTTTAACTTTAATAGTTTTTTTTTCAGCACATTAACTATAAAGTCACATGACTCTCTAATATTTTAACTTTTATTACTTAATGCGGTATTTGGTCTTATGATGCTACAAGATACAAATATATTAATATATTCATAGTATCTAGATGAATATATACTAATTTTTGGTACACACTAAGATGGACAACCTGATTCTAAGTATCTATATAATGTATAACTTTTGAGCATTTACTACAGAAATCCCAATTGTTTGTTTTACTAAACAGATCAGGGGTTTCATTTTTGATACACTTTAATTACTTTCCTTAAGTGATAAGGTAGAAAAAAAACTTTAAAAGAAGAAGTTTTCAAAATAAAAACTACTTGATCATTTACTTCAATTTGAAACCAACTAACAAGTGATTACAAATTGGATGACTAGTTTTTAAAAATTGATGCTGATTATTTAAAAACTGAAAAAACTCGGGCTAAAGAATATAAATTTTTGTGAAAAATCATATTATAGAAGCTTTGTCAGCGAAGTTATGAACTTTTGTCAATTCTAGACTGCATCGATTTATTCCGTGCTTAAGATCTTTTCAAAAATTTCTTTACAATATAGATCGCTACTTTAAGAAGTTTATCTAAAATTATCATTTTCACCATTTCAAAGCCAACATAACATTTAAATTATATACTTATGTGGTATGCCATAGCATTTTACTCTCATTATATTAATACGTTCAAATATTGTGTACTACTTAATGAATGAAGTTATATAGAAGATTTATAAAACTGTATAAAGAAAAAAAAAAAAATTACAGTTCATTTGAAACACAATTTGGTAGCTATAAATTCATTGGTTGGCAATTAGTTTGCTCACATTTGACAGATCTAGCATGACCTATTCAGTTTAACTTATAAAGAAGAGTCTTGATATCTTTGCAAATGCGTACACACAATATATTTTAAAATTTTTGGTGGTTTTTTGGTCATTTCATTAGTGGACTCATATTAAGGAAATTAAGTACAAACATGCATCCAAGGTAAAAAATATTTTTATTTTCATAATTTTCTCAAAATGAGTATCTTATTGGTATATTTGATTAATGGAAATGTGGAACAATCAAGCGGATATGTGAAACCAACCTAAAAAAATGTGAGACACTTTTGCATCCTATTAAGTTATTATTCACTATATGCTTATGACAAAATTATATACAGTCTAGAGTGTCTCACATTTATTTCCTATATAAAACGGATTTCCATTGCATTTAAGGCAGTAAAAAATAATTTTTCAAGACATGAAAATTGCAAAATACAAATTATTTATAAGTCAATCAAATCATGAATTATTCAATGATCATTTTTAAATTTGTATCTTCATTTGCCGTTATTTAACATTTTCAAAATAGATCTAGGATTCATAAATAAAATTCTTATTATTGCTTTAGTTAACTTAACAATTCGAATAATTTAATATTCGAACAAAAGATTTTTTTTACTGTATAATATAATTTAGGAAGAGAATATTGAACCAAATTAAACAATACCACCAGGCCAAATTCAAACATTAATATATGTCAATTTCAATTTACATTGCGTTGATATCGTGTTCAATTACATTCGTACTATACAAGCTATATGAGAGTAAATCAAATGAATTGACTACAACAAAGTCCGAACTAAATAATCAATTGAAAAATCTTAAAAAATCATCAGAAGAGCAACAATCAACATTAAAAAAACAATTTGAATTGTCAAAGAACGAATTGACACAACATCAATCTGATAATCAAAAGCAAAATAAAGAATTACAAGAAAAATTCGATGAATTAAATGAGAATCATCAAAAATTAAAAGATATTGAGTCAATAAATAAACAAAAAATTTCAAAATTGAATAAGCAAATCGAACAAATCACTCCACAAATTGAACGTTTCAAAAAAGATGTCGTAAGATTAGAGACCAAGGAGGTTGAACTTGCCAAAAATTATAAATTTAATTTAAATACAGAAATTGAAAGATTAGTTGTCGAAAAAGATTCAATTATTGCTGATTTACAACAATCATTAGCAGATGTTAAAAAAGAATATTCAAAACAAAAACAATCAACTAATGAATCAGAGAATAAAAAAGACAAAATCATAATAGAGTTAAGACAAATAAACGATGATCAAGTACAACAATATGACGATTTGGAAATAGATCATAAAAAACAAATAACAAGAAACAATAAGAATACTAAAAAATACGATGACTTAAAAGATTCGTATGATAATATGCATACTGACTTAATAAAAGTCACAAATGATTTAGATGATTCAAAACAAGTTATAATTGATGTTGAGAAAATTTGTGAAAATTTAAGAATATCTGAAAATACTTTAAATAATGAATTGAATGATATGAAAAATAAACATGTTGCAGCAATAAGTAAAATTGAGAAATTGGAAAAACATTTAAATATTAAAAAGTCAAGCATTAAACATTTGGAATTAAATTTACTGTTTCAAGAAGGCTTTTACAATCTGATAAGAGAACTAGTGGAAAGTTTGAAGGAAGAGGATAATGACTTTCCAGAAATCGCTTCCATTGATGCACATAAGAATTACGAGCTAATGTCATCAGATGATGATGATAATATTGAAAATGATCGCAGGGCTAGTATAGGTGACAAAGATGGTGAAGCAAATCAAAAACAGTCTGATTCACTAACTAAATCTAAACATTCATCTTCATCAGACCCTCTTTATAATGCAATTAAAGAATACATAGATATTTTGAAATCAAAATTGGCAGATGACAAATTGGATGAAAGTAAGAAGCAAAAAGAAATTGAAGGTCTCAAAAAGCAAGTGGAGGAACTAACTTCAAATCTTCAATCTCAATCAACAAATGAACTTTCGAAAAATTTGCCCGACAATGCACCAAAGACTAAAGGCGAGACATCAATTGAAGCTAACAAGGAAGGAGAATCCAGTAAAGAAGATGAAAATCAAGTCAAGTCGTTGAACGAGACCAATAACAACTCATCAAGTACTACTCAAAATGAATCAAAACTTGAGTCAGTTAATAGCATACCGTCTCAGTCAATAGATGATGTTCAGGAGAAAGATGAAAGTTCCGCAAATGATTCTAAATTAAACAATCAGTCTCAAGATGATTCAGCAAAAGATATCGAAGAAAATGCATCTACACCTGTCTTTAAAAGTATCAAAGAAGATAATCCTCAAGAAAAGGCAGAAGCAAAAGAGGTAACCGAGCCAGGAGATGAACTGAAAGAGAGCTCAAAAGAGGATACAAAAGAAAAGTCTGAAGACAACTTGGATGATGATTATACACCAGAGGAAAGAAGATCTACATTACCAAAAATTGATGAAATTTTACAAAATCAAATTCAAAAAGAGGAAAACCAATCTGCTGATCCTATAGATGATGATGACAAATCTGTTGATAAAGATGAAGAAAAAAATGAAAAGGAGAATGAGGAACCATCCAATACTGAAGAATATACTGAAGCTGAAGCAAATTCAACATTACCAGATATTGATAGGAAATTGAAGGAGGCATCAGAAAAAGAACAAAAGGAAGATCAAAATGATAAATCAAGCGATGGTGATATTAAGGAAGAAGCTGAGTCAATTTCTCCCAGTGAAAAGCAGGAGCAAGGTTTAAATAAAAATTACGATCTAAAAGAAGCTGAGAAAGACGGTGATTTCGATAAAGAAAAAGCAAGTCCAGAAGATGTTGAAGAAAAATCAGAAGATAAACCAAACGATCCTGTGGAAGATGATAAAAAACTAGACAAAAGTAGTCCAACAAGAAGTAGTGGAGTTGATCCATTAGATGTAGATCCAAAAGTCAACGAAAAGAAAATTAATGATGAAGCAGCCAACGACTCAGCCAATGACTCAGCTAATGACTCAGCTAAGGATAATGATAAAGAGAAACCAGTTGAGAAACCAGAATCAAATGTTAATGATCAAAATGATCAAAAAAACAAATTGGACGATATGTATCGTAAAATGTCAATCACAAGAGAACAACAGAAATCAAGAGAATTTGACGGTACAAAAGAAGGATTCAAAAATGACCTTGAGGATGTTGATGAATCTAATGAGAAAGATAGTGTAGATAGTAAGGGGGATTATGTCATAGTAGACAAAAAAGAAGCTCCAAGTCAGGATGAAGAGTCAACGAAAGAAGTTTCAAGTCAGGATGAAGAGTCAATCCAAAAACAACCAAATGAGGAAGATGTTGCTAAAAATGAAACTAAAACCAATGTTGTAAAGGATCCGAAAAGTGATGAAAAAGAGAAGACTTCTGCAAAAACAATGGGTGGCATAGTAAATGAACCAAAAAAATTGGATGAAGACGATGACACCACTACATCGGATAACAAAGCTAAACCCACATCATCATCAACTGAGAAATCTTTAAACAAACCACCAAAAGAAGATGAAGTTGCTAAAGATGAGTCAAAGATTAATAATATAACTGATTTAAAAAATGATGATAAAGAAAAAACGTCAGCAGAAATTATGGGAGGTATCGTTAATGAACCAAAGAAGTTGGATCAACAAGATAATGAATTAAAAGAAGATAAAGAAGGTAAAGAAGATAAAAAAGATAAAAAAGAAGATAGAAAAGAAGATGATGACAATTCAAAAAAACCTAATGAAATTAATCAAGCAAACTTAGATGAGTTTGATAAAACAAATGCAAATATTATGGGAGGGTTAGGAACTAAACCAAAAGAATCAACTGAATCAAAAGAAACAACCGAATCACAAAAGTCAACGGCAAAAGCAATAGGTGGATTTGTAACAGAACCAGAAAAGTCAGAGACAACTAAAAAAAATGAAGAACTTGCTAAATCCAAAAATTTAAATATTGAAGATTTAATGATAAGACCACAGTCAGGATCACAATATGTTAATAATGAAAATAATGATGATGATTTAAATGATAATAATTCCACTGAATCAAAAGCTATTGGTGGAATAGTTACAGAATCTAAAAAATTTAGTATTGGTAGTGATCCAAATTTAAAGAAACCAAGTATTGATTTAACTCCGAAGATTAAAAATGAAGATGGAACTGATAAATTTGCTGGTGGGATGATAAGTAATAATGTTGAAAAAAGTAGAGATGAAGTTCCTAAAGATGAAAGTACGAAATTAAATGAAAACATATTTAATACCGAGTCAACTAAGAAAGATAATGAACAAATTGATGGAAAGGGTCAAACATCAGTCTCTACTACCGACATAGCTGAAAAGGAAGCAAAAGATGATGTAAAAGATGAAGCAAATGATGAAGCAAATGATGAATCAAAAGATGAAGCAAATGATGAATCAAAAGATGAATCAAAAGATGAAGCAAATGATGAATCAAAAGATGAAGCAAACAATAAGTCAAAAGATGAACCAATAAACACTTTAAAAGAAAATCCAGATACTAGTTTGAAAGATGATGCAAAAGACAATTTAAAAGAACAGGTAGAACAAGACAATAAGATAAAGGGAGACAATACAAACGAAGGTAATGACGATAAAGACAATGAAAATCAACAGGATATAGAAGAAGATGATAATGATGAAGATATTGAAGATGATACCACAACATCAACGACAACGAGTAATAATTCATCACCAAAGAAGAATAAAAATAAAAAAAAGAATAAGAAGAAAAGCAAAAGTAAAAAATAATAAAGTCATCTTTGACTTCACAACAATTTTCGTAATATGAACTTTTATAGACAATTTCATTATGTAAAACTTAATAAACAAATTTAATCATAAGGTTATTCAACATTTTAAATATTGCTTATCATTTTTCTAAGTTCTCATAACTTTAAAAAGTGGAGAATTCGTTTTTCAAATAATTGCTTCAACTTTACTTTTTTAAATATTTATGCATGATTTCAAATCAAGTATTTAAAATATCAATTTCATATCCATTAATGTTTAATTAATTGCATAAACAATCAGAAAGATAAAAGTTTAATCAAATTGAAAAGATCAACAATGATTCAGTTCAAAGTGATACAAAAAAAAGCAATTAAAAAAGACAGTGTAATGATTTTATAATTTCGAATTCTTTAATTATAAAGTAATATGATACGAAACATTCGTAATTTAAATTAAAGACATTTTAAGGAGTAAAACGTTGTCAAATAACTTATTAAATTAATTATCCCAATCTTAATTAAGTTTTGCTTTGTGATTTCAGCATTTGTAGTCGGTTTTTCTAATTGTTTAAGAATCATCTGAAATATCTTCAAAAAATAAAGAAGTGTACTGACTATTAGTAAATTGTACTTTATCATATTCATATTCAAATAAGCCAAGATTTAAATAAACGTTCTATTTAATTCATTATATTTTAAAACTTAAATTTGCTTTATTATTTCTTGAATTTATTCTTTTAATTCTTAAGCTAATCTATACATAGAATTTAGAAAATAATTGAAAATAGAATAAATTTTAAAAATCTAAAAATGGTTTAAAATTTTCCAAAACTAGATTAGTAGTAGTAGATTTTAAATTAATATTTTGGCTTAAATTTTATTAAAAATTTAAAAATATATTTTTATTAATTTTTTTATATTTATTTTATTAAGGAGATCTCGGATACTTGTTTTTATTTTTATTTTCTTTAGAATTTGAAATTCATTTTCAATAAACTCATTTTCCAATGGTATTCTCATAAAGACAAAACAATCTAGACTTATTATTGATAAGTTTATAGAAGTACTTGATTTTTTAATCAATACCCTGAGTTTCAATTAAAATTTAAATTTAGTGAGATCTAAATATTTGTTGGGTAACAAAATGGAAATTTATCTATCAATTAAATTTTGATTAGCAAACAATTAAAATAATAAATTATAGATTTGTTCCTGAAATTTATTGATAAAGTAGTAGACAGATAATAATAATAATAATATTTAAGCATTTTGTACGTTATACATTTGATTGTTCTATTCAATGTAAATATTATTTGTAAGTATTTGTAAACTTTCCTCGAATTCATAAAACATTAAAAATATTAATATTATTATAATATTAATTTACTACTAAAAATAAAATTATTGAAAGGGGTTCAATTAAATTAAAGATATGATTATTCAATCTATCATAAGAGCATTCACAAATTGAAGCAATTATGTAAAACCTTGGTCAATTATATATGATAATAATTATAATTGATAAGAATTCATATAATATAATTTAATTTTATCATTAATTTAATCGAGGAAAAAAAACAGTTGTTCTTGAATTAGTAAATTTTGTATATTAACTTAACTCAATAAGATTTTTGTGTAGTTGCAAAATCCTCGAATAAATAAAAATTATATTTGTAGTCTCGGAAAAATAATTGATTATTTATTTGTGTAATTATTATTATTAATATTGACAGATTATTATTTAACATATGATATTATAATTATCTTGAGGATATGTTTAGAATTTCATTGAAATCACATTAAGTTAATTGAATTGATGAATTAATTGTTAAATTTAGATTCAATTAAATGATGATGATTTAAAATATAATTTTAATCTCGAGGTTTAGTTATGATTAAAAATTCTCTCATCGTAAAAAATATTATGAATGAAAAAAAAAATTTATTACACAAAATTATATTTTTTTGTTGTTTACATTTTTTTTATTTTTAAATTTATTTTTTTTTTTTTCTTCTACTTTTTTCAATTCAATTATTGCTGTTAAATATTTATTGATATTTATATATACTAATATAATCTTCTATCAAATTTTTATTTAATCAATCAATTTATCATTACATATAAATAATAAGATATTCAATTTATCATTCATTCAATTGATAGATATTATACAATTCATACTCAACAATAGTTTATTATAAAGTGAAAACAAAATCGTTTAAAAAATAATAATACTTTTATCGTTTCATCATAATATTTATTCTTTTAAATTTTAAATTATAAATATAACTTTATCTACTTAATATTAAATAATAATAAATTAATCACATTCGTTTAATCAATTAACTAAAAATCATTTATATCGAAGATAGATCAGATCTATATATAAATTTAAATAATCAATCAATTCATATAATATCGTATCATTCAACAGATCTTTATTAAATTTAATCCAAATTTTCAAGATCTATTAAAAATAAAATATAACATCCGTAAATCAAACATTAAAAAGGAAATAATAATTAATAATAATTATTAATATATTAAGTATTATTATTATACACACAATTAATTTCAATTAATATTTAAGAATTATTAAAATAATTTGGCAACCAAATTTTGAATTCAATTTTGATTCCACAACAGACAATTTTATATTTTAATATCATTCATTAGTTTTTATTCATTTCTCATTATTTAATTCAATTCATATATATTCGTTATTAATATCATTAAACTATTCAATTTCAGTTATTTACTAATTTATTGTATTAAGAAAGAAAAACACTTTTTTGACACCGGGTTTTATTCAACACCCTTATTTTTTTCAATTTTTTCATGTTATTAAATATTCATTGATTTATCCTAATACAATTAAAACAATAATTCAAAAAACTTATTAAATTCTACTTTATGTCTTATAATTCATATTAATTATTTTATCAATTTTACTACATTTGTTATTTTTATTTCCTCAAGCATTGCATTTTCAATATTACAAATTGCATCTTTGTTTTTTTAAAACGATATTTAAAATATGACCAATGTTCTTGCTAGAGCTGCAAGTATTAGAAGAAAATCATCTTCCTCATCATCATCAAATAACAATGAAAAAGAGAATATAAATCAATCTACAAATGTCAATAATAATAATAACAATTCTAGTTACACTACTCAATCAAGTAAAAAATATTTTAATTATAAAAATTATACTTATAATAATAATAATAATAGTACAAACAAAAATGATAATAATAATAATAACATTACATTAAATCACGATCAAAATCAAAAATCAAATAACAACCAAATTTCATCTAATAATAATTCTAATACTAATCAAAAAACTCCACCATCAAAATTAGTAAAGTCAAAATTTCCACCTCCACCACCAACTCCTATTCTGCCAACTCAACTATTAAGATCATCACCAAGTTTAACAGATTGTTCACCTCCTCCACCATTACCAATATCTCGAACTTCAAGATCTAGTTCGTCTCCTATTTCATTGAATTCAATGAAAAGTTCAACTTCTCTATCTACAATAAATTCAACTAACAATAATAATAATAATGATAAATTAATTAAAACTTTATTGAAAAGATATAAAAAATTGGAATTAGCTTTAAATAAATTTAATTCAAGAAAATATAACCATACATATAATACAAATAATCTGAATAATGGAGCTATATTGAAAGGTAATTTATTAAGAACTTCATTAATTCCATTTTTAAGAAGTACTAATCAATTAGATCAATTTTTCAACAAGGATTCTAAAATATATAAAAGTTTAACTAGTGTAATATTAGCTGTATTAATCAAATGGTGGAATTCATTAATAGGAAATTTAAAATATACTATAAATTCAACTAAACCAAATCCAAATATTATATCTTCAATTAATCATTCAGAATTGATACATTATACAAATATACCAGCAAGTGATAGAAATGCATACTTGGAATGTGTTTCAAGAATAATTTCAAGAGAAGATTGGCATTTATATGATGATCAAAATGATTATCAAACTTTACTTACAACAACATTAGACTATTGCATAGATAAATTGTCGACTTTAAAAACATTGACTGGTTCAATGGCAGCATTTGTTGGGAAAGTCTTTGCATATAGTTTTTTCAAAATTCCAAATGTTTCAAATGCATTATTATTTTTATTAAATGTTAAACAAATTAATTTAGAAAATTCGTTAAAAATATTACCAGATATAAATCAACAAGAAAAAAATGAAAATTTAAATATTGTTAAATCCAAATTTCCCAAACATTTACATCACTTATTGAATTTTAAAGGATTACAAAATTTAACAACAAGAGGTCAAAAATGTTATATGAATTGTACTCCACCACCAAAACATCCAGTTGATGGAATCAAAAATCCAAATGGTGATTGGGTTAGAAGATGGTGTGGATCAGATTCAAATGTTTTTAATTCATTCTTTCGTCATTATGTTGAGATTATAAGAAGAAAATTTATAGATAATGTTGATAACAATCTTTTGTTAATTTGTCCAGGTTTTAGCATTATTTTCAGTCATATCTACCAAATTTTCAAAATAGCTGTTACAAGAATTACTGCAAATATGAAAAATTCAAAAGAAATTATATCATCTTTTAATTTGAACATCAAACAAAGTGATATGTATTATAGTTCCATCATTAAAATTTTTAAAACTATCAGAGATATTACATATGTTGCAACAAGAGATCAAAATTTGGATAATATAAGTGCTAATTTAGTTAAAATAATCGATTTGTGTTTCATATCAATTGCCAAAGAAACAACAATATATGATTTCAACAAGAATGGTATAATTTTGGGAATATTAAATGAATTTGTGAATCATATTGATTTTAATTCTTGTAATAATGAAGTTCAATATTTAATAAATTGGGAGTTTTGGTTAAGTTGTAATTATATGATGATAAACCATTGTGATCATATTCAAAGTTTATTAAAAAATTTTGCATTTTTATTCAACGTATGGGATATGATACCGGATGTTTTGAGTTCATTTATTAGTAATAGTACAAGATCAAATTCTACAAATGCTTCAATTGATGATGTTAATTACAAATGGATTACAAATATTGAAGAATCATTTAAATTAAATTTTATAAATTACTTAATTAGTGATGAACAATTTGAGAAATTTTTCATTCATTGGAACCCATTAGTTAGATCCTACTATATTAAATTATTAATTTGGAGAGTTATCGGAATAAATAACTATCAATCATCATTTTCAATTCAAACTACAAGAAAATTACAATCCAAATTAGATCAATCATTTGAAATTTTACTGAATTATACAATTGCAAATAATGGTAAATTAGAATTAAATTTCAAACCTGATAATCCATTAGTTAATAGGAAATTCAGCATTTTACCAATTAGTGCAAAAGATGATTATTTATCAATAAGTGGTGATGGAATTACTGGAATGAATAGTCAATCCGAAGTTTATTTATCTGCTACATCATTAAAATCCTCAGAATTAAGAAAAACTCATCCATATGAAGTGTTTGATGAAGCTATTTATACGTGTGCAACAGTTCCACCAATTAATGAGACCAACAATAACAACACTAGTAGTGCTCAACCAACTGCGTCTCCACCACCGAAAAATAATTCAATAGTGACTTCAATTGGTAAATTATTAAAAATCTTATCAGATGAAGAAAATAATCAAGATAAATTTCCACAACCACCAATAAAACATTCAGAATCATCAAGTTCATTATCAACATCATCATATAAATCAAGATCATCATCACCAAGTATAATGTCATTCAAATCCACTCCAACGTCAATAACAGAAACGTCATCAGTAAAATCAGAAGATTATGATGAGGCATCATCAATTTTAACTATAGATACATTAAAATTAAAAGATGATAGTGATTTATCATCTCAAAAGAATCAACAACAAAACTATAATATTCAACCACCTGAATTATCAAAATTACCACCAGAAATTATTAGACCTGTTTTTAAATTTGATATTATTGTATGTCATGAATCAATGAATGAAAAATATCAAATTATAAATTATAAAAATTCATTAGTTAATCAAAGTTATTTTAATGGTTTTCATCAACAACAACAACAACAACAACAACACTATCATCATCACTACTATAACAATGTTAATGGTAATAATCCACAGTATCATCATTATAATCAACAACATCAACAAATGTCCACCACCAACTTTCCAAATAATCCACAATTACCATACATGTCATTATTCGTAAATTCAGATATATATGGTCATAAATTTTATTTGAACGAAGAAGATGACGATGGGATTTTTATTGAAGAATTGACTACCCAAGATGAAGAGGAATTAAATAAACAACAACAACGACAACAACAACAGAAAAATTCAATATTCAACACCACAAACGCCAATGATGGTAAAAATTTAATTCAAATGATCAATTTAGGAAAATCAATAAATGAATTAAATTACATAATTCAAGAATTTAAAAATTTCCTAAAGAACAGAATAGAAATAGATAATCAAAAATTTGAAACTTTTTTAACTCAAAAAACCATTTCATCAATGTCAAATTTAAATTTAAATTCTTCAAACAATAGTAAAAGTGGTTCAAGTGGTGATACATTAAAAAATAATTCATTAAATTTTATTGATGATAATTTTAATGAATTCATTTATTTCAAAAGAATTATTCCATTCTTAAGTGTTGATTCATCAAATGAAATGAGATTATTAAATGCTAATTAATTAAACAAACTAATTTATATTTGCTTAAACAAATAACTAATAGAGGAATCATTTTATAGAATATTAATTAAGTGTAAAATTAAAAATACATATACACCTTACTCACGTACTTTTCAAATATCATTACTTTTTTTATTTTCTACAATTTAAGGACATTTCGTGAAATAATTAAACTTTTAATTGTCTTCTAATATATAAAATTTTCTTTTTAGTTTTATAAATCAACATAATCATCATAAGTAGATCTCCAATTTTTGAAAAATCCATTAAAAAATTTAATTCCCAAACCAACATCTTTAGATCCAACAGTAGCTCTTATAGAATGCATAGATAATTGAGGTATACCCAAATCAATAGTTCTTGCACCAGTTTGAGTGGATATTGAAGGACCAATAGTTCCACCAGATGGTGAACCATTTCTAATTTGGAAATATTGAACTTCATCATTATTTTTTTTAGCAGTAGCTTCAATTAATGATAATCCAATAGAATCAGTTGCTAAATTTCCATTAGGATCTAATTCTATAGTTATACCTTTATTTGGTAATGGTTTATGATGATCTAAATAAACTTCTTGAAAATTTGGATTTAATAAATGAGTTACATCTGCTGATAATACTATAGTATTTGCATAAGTTTGTCTTAATTCATCTGATATTGCTAATTGTTCAGGATTAAAATATTCTGTTGATAAAATTCTTTCTATAACTAATTCAAATATACCACCTTTTGCACCTGCTCTTGATAAACTTCCAACTTCTTCATTATCATATAAAGAAACTACTGAAAATGAATCACTTTTCAATGTGTTATCATTTGATGATTCAATTAATGAATGTAATGCAACAAATGAACAAATTCTATCATCTATTCTTGGTGCGAAAATAAAATCTTTATTTAATCCACCTATAGTTCCCTTTTGAACATCATATAATTGTAAATCCCATTGTGATATTTGTTCAACTTTAACATTAGCTAATTTTGCAATATATCTTAATAATTTTAAAGAATGTTTTCCATATAATGGAGCTTTTTTTTCAGATTCAGTTGGTTCAGGTCCTGAATCTTGTGAAAATCCAATTACTGGAACAGCTTGAGTTTCCTTATTAAAATAACCTTGAGCTGGTGTACCAAAATGTGGAGCTAATGTTGGTATATGAGCTATTGGATTAGGAGTTGAATCAACTAAATGTTGAGTAATTTGATTTCTTTCATCTTTAATTAAAATCCTACCACCAATACCTAAATCTCTATCCCACCAAACACTACCTAATGTACCAGCATATGGAGCAACTCCTAATAATTCATATCCATCAACTTTGGCTTTTGTTGAATTTGGTTTTAATACTGTTGTTAATGAATCAATATGTGATCCAATTGCACCAACTCCCTTTGATGGTGTCCAATCTTTCCCAACTACGAAAGCAGAAAGTGATGAACCATTCCTTGTAGTGAAATATTTCCCAGGTTTTATATCGGTCCATGAATCCTTTTCTGAAATATATTTAAACCCATTTTTTTCAAGTTGAGTTTTAAAATAATCAACTACATGATAAATTGTTGGATTTTTATAAGTAAATTCAATATAATCTTCAGCATATTTAATAAAAAATTCTTTAGTATATTTTGAACTTAAATCTGAATTATTAGTAGTATCTTCTGAAGTTTTTGAATCATTTGAAATTTCTTTAAATTTTAAATCTTTTTGTTCTTGTAATTTATTTAATGAATCTGATATACCAGCAAGAATATCATCTATAGTAAAATTAGACATTTTGAATTAATGCAAAAATGACTTGATTGATGATGATTAAAATGAATGAATAAATTTGATAAAAAAGAGTGATTTGCCACAAATATATATACTATAACCAAACAATCGAAACGGCACAACTTTTGGATAAATATAAATTATGGTTTGTTCCAATTTTTGTGTGGTTACCTCAAATTGATAAAAAAATAAATTAAAATGTTTATCGGTTAATAAATCCGATTAAGAAAAAAATGAAACTTAAAGCGGAATAAATTTTTATTATTTAGTACCTTACACAAAAATAGGGTTTAGTTTTACTGGTTACAAATTCATAAACAATCAAATTGATGGACTTGATAGTTCTTTTTCTTTTAGCAAATGCAAGTTTTTTTGACTTCTTTTTGAATAATGATACCTTGTTCATGAAAATTTAGTGGGATTTAAACTAAAACATGAACTGGGTTCAGATTTTCTTAAAACTCTACAGCAACTCAGAGTCTTATAGTATAACCAGGTTATGAATCTCTATATTTACAATGAATTATCTAATTTTTTATTTACAGGTCTTTCACTAGCAAAAGTAGCAGCAACAATTAAAGGAAATACTAAACTAACATCAGCATAAACTTTTACAGATTTAGCATCAGCTTTAATTTTACCCCAACTTATAGCTTCATCAGGTCTTGCACCAGCATCTGATCCATCAAATTCTTGACCAGTATTTATATAAACAGCATAATCAGCTCCATTTCTCATTAAACATGCATTACATATATGATGTTTAATTAATCCACCACCTAATATAATCATACCTGCTTTAAAAGCTGACATTGACATTGAATTTATTTTACGAATATCTTTTACTATATCTAATCGAATTTGTTGTGGTGATGATTTAAAAGTATGGAAAAATAACATATCACCTATTGATCCATCAGTTAATGCAGGACAAAAAATTGGTATTTGATTTTTATGGGCCCAATATAATACAGATGATTCATCATTTATTTCTTTTCCTAATCGATCTATTAATTTTGATGGAGTCCAAATAGCATTTGAATCTGCATCTAGTCCATTGACACCTTCTTTTTCAAATTCTTCTTGTTGTTCTTCTAAAATTTTATCCAAAATAGGTACTATCCATTCTTCAAATTTACAATAATTATCATTGGGTACTAATAAATTCCCAATTCTATTCATACCTTGATCTCTTAACCCTTTTCCTGGTAATGTGAAATCTCCCATATAAGTTGGTGCTAAAACTTTTATTAAATCTTCTTCTATCCCACCTGCTGTTGCAACAATAGCATTAACCATTTTATGTTGTACAAGATATCTTAAAGTATCTCTTAATCCACTAGATATTAAATTTGAAGTATATCCCATGAAAATAGTTGTTTTTTGATATCCATCATCATCAAATTCTCCAGTTTGTTCATGTTCTTCTAATTCTGATTTATGTTTACCTCTCCAACTTCTCATTTGATCTATAATATTACATGCTTGTGATAATGAACTTGCTTGAAACCCCATAGTTGACATGGATGATATTAAATCTTTTGCAGTCATATTATATGCATTATCTTTTGAATAATCTATACCTTTAACTTCTTGAAAATCTTCAGGAACTGGTACGGACTGTTTGAGTACAGCATCAGAAGCTAAATTCGGAAGTTTCCCAGAATCAGCCATTTTTATTCTATTCTGTTGGAGTTGGTTGTAAAATTTTAAGTTGTTCCAAATAATATCAGATATCTGAAAAAAAAAATTTTGTTAAGATAGAGACAAAAATCTGAAACCAATACAAATAAATTTATATGACCTCATTAATTCAATAAAGATCAGTACTAAACATGAGTTCTACATTATTGGCCATGGTAAGCTCCATTTCCGTTTGAATTTAAAAAAAAAAGTTAAACGTCGTTTATTGTTCGTTAATCCATAATCACTATACTCTTTCCTTTACTTCAGGAGTCCAAGCTTCACATTTAGGTTTAGCAGTATTATAACATACATAAGCTCCAGGAGTATTAGTTAAATTAGGTTTATGTCTTGCAGGTAATGGATAAGCTCTAACAGTTTTTTCAGAACCTTGTAAAGTATTTGGAGGAGTATTTGTACCATACCCTAACCAATAATGCCAACCTGGTTCAACTTGAGACATATCTGGATGCCAACTACTATATTCTACCCATCTTGTTCTTAAATGGATTTCTTCTGGTGAATCAGTTTCATAAAATTTATTACCAAAATCATCTGTACCTACTAACCAACCACTTTTTACATCATTATGTACTTGTAATTGCCATGCTGCTCTTTTGAACCCACTTTTATATATGTTTTTCGCGAAACGGAATATAGATGTGGACATTGTTACGAGATATTAATTGAATATGTAGTGATTGATTTAATTGATTGTGCTTTTTTTTATGTTGTTTGTTAGCGTAATACAAAAATATTTTTTGTTTGATTGGTTGCGAAACTATAATATTTTTTTTATCACAATCTTTAGAGTCGAGTTGAAAGCTATCTATTACACAAGAAAAATATATTATATCATTAGTCATGTAATTAATCTATTTAGGTATGATATCAATATTTACAAAGTATTTATGCTTTCCTTTATTAACAACAACTTTATGAATTTTTGAGATTTGGGTCAAATCATCTTTATTTGTAGATAGTATTTTCCCAATTTTACTAACATTTTCACTTAAATCTTTTGAAGTATCAGCTAATTGTTCATACCATTGATGTATTAAAGAACCTTCTATAAAATCTGTGTCTTTTCTTTTGATATAATTCAACAGTTTTTCAATTGTACTTTCTACTTCTTTTAAATCATTCTTAATACTAGTTAAAAATTCAAAACTTTTAATCAAATTAGTATGATTATTTTCGATTGGATTAGTGATGATTAATGCTCTTGAATAATCTTCAAATTTTGGGAATTGTGGGACACCAATTGAAGACCAGGGTTTCATTCTTAAATAATATAAATGCTCCATTGATGTTAAATTATTAATTGGACCTTTTGAAAAATCAAGTAGATTCAATCTTGACAAAACAGTCAAAAATTTAATAAAACAATGTATTAATAATTTTAAATTTTGATAAGATTCCACTAAATATTCTTGATATTGGTATGTCTTGATTATCCCTGGTAAATAAACGTCTCGATTATGTTGAAGTTGTTTTTTCAATGATTCCTTCTTGGGACCTGCTTTAAGCTTTTTGATCTTTTTAGGTAATCTTTCTTCTATGTCATACATTTTTCCCAATATAATTTGTTTAACCCTATTTTGTAAATGATCTAATAAATTACTCAATAATATATCAGAGTACCAATAAATAAGAAATAATTCAAATGATTTATATATATCTAATTCAAATCCTCCTAATAATAATTGAATCATCATTTCAGTCTTTTGGTAATAAATATATGATGTAACACTTAATGCTGGTTCTTCATTACTTAATTGATCACCTACGTTAAAATTTTGAAACATTTGAAGTTCAAAAGTCTCCCATCCAACTTGTAAAGTATCCCATATAATTAATCCTCTTGAAATTAACTGTTGTGATCTACATGGATTAGCTCCATAAATACAAAGATTATTATATATAGCACTTTCTAAATCTAGAATGGAATTTGCTCTCTGAGATAATATTTCTTGTCTTGTTGTTTCTTTGACTTGAGATAATTGTCCTTCAAGCGGACCGAGTAAAATTGAATTTATACCAACAACGTTACCAATAATGTTAAGACATAATCTTGTAAGGTCTATAGTCGGTGATCCAAAAATTGATTTATCATCTCTTATAAAGAACAATTGAAATAATCCTCTAGAAAATACTGAGAACTTTGAGATTGGAAATTTTATATTATATAGTAGGAAATCTTCTAATTGAGTCATGGTTTTTATCTTATTTGCTTGGTTGGTATAATGATAAACTGTTTCAGAAATTCCATTGATATGGTTAAAAGTGGTGGTGGACTCAGTGGATGGTATCTCAGTTGGTATACTATTGTTATCCATATCTGCTTGAATAAATTTTGAAAATACCCCAATCGGTATATCTGATTCATTATAAAGGTGATTTTTTAAATTCTCAATTTCTTCTATGGCGTCATTACAAAAGTTGAATATTGCTGACTCGTCATTGGATTCCTTCATAAAATTTATTTCTTGTGTCGTTATACATGCTTCAAATTGATTCAAATATAATATAATTTTGAGTTGACTTATTAAAATAGATGAGTTTTCAATATCATTACTTACAATCCATTCTATTGCTTGATTGATTCTCTCGATGATGAATTGAGGAGATACGTCAAATAAATAATTCAAATTCATATTTCTGGTCGTTAAATCTTCTTCTTCATATAGAAAAGTTTTTGCAATATTGATAGTAAACCCAATAAATTTGCATAATCCCATGACATAGGTTTTCAATACTTTATGGACTAGCCAATAATTTGTATCTTCTTCATAAGTGGTATTTGATAATTTTGGTTGATCAAATGAACATTGTTCCCATACTGAATTTTTTTTATTTAAATAATTCTCCAATATACATTGAACATATCTACAACTAAGTACAGTTACTGGAAGACTATCACTTTCAAGCCAATTGACCAAAAATTGTAATAATTTATTTTGTATATTTATAATAGTTGATGATGATTGAGGTTTTGAACAATCAAATTCAATTTCTTCTTTCTTTAATTCTATCAATCCAGTATCTAGTTTTGGGTTGAGTACTTCCAAAGCCCTTGTTCCTTCCAATAGTTCAAAAAGTGATGATTTGACAACTTTATTATCATTTATATGTTGTAAAGAATTAAAAACCTCCAGTGTTATATCTACTAAATCTTCATTATTTTCTTCTAGTCGTAATATCCCTGTCAATTCGTTAGTATCCAAATCTTATAATAAATTACAAAGTTCATTACATACCTAGATCTGGAATTGACATAATCTATTTCTGTTGTAAGTTCAATTTGAACCTTATCTTTTACTGAAATCAAGAAAATGAAAAATTTAATAATAACGTGCATTTTGAAAAATTAATTTTTTGCAACACTTTTTTTTATAAATTTATTTTGTTCTTGAAACAATTTATTTGTAACGAAAATATTTGATGAAATCTTGCAGATTGAGATGATTGAAGTCTTACAATAAGTGTACATTAGATTTTTTATGGAATTTTCTCGAGTGCTTGCTTATTTACCTTGATAGTCCCTTCTGATGTTCTAGAAAATAGGTGAGTGGTTGATTAATATATTAGTCAGTGATCTCAATTGAGACAAAATGAATTAATTACGCTTGGTTTGGAAAGATTAACCTCCTTAAAGATGTCGAAAAGGTTGTAAAAAGTGAAGAGTTTTGAATTTTACAAATCAAAAATGTTTTTATTGACATAATGTCATTAATTCAAAATCTATGAAATTGTTTCATGACAAAGTTTCAAAATGAGGGGAAAATTTATAAAAAAAAACAAAAAGCCTTATTATTCAACTCACGTGAAAAAGAAGGTAGTGTATTTTATTATTTCAATAGAATATTATAGAGTACAAATTTTAGATTCAATTAATTAATTTAAGGGTACAAATATACAAATTGTGATTACTAATTAATTTCTTTTTTTTTTGGTTTTAAATTATGAGTTAATAGTTTTTATTATTATACAATAAATTAAATATTAAACAAAAACATCATTTTATTATAATCGATAATTTTAAATTTTAGATTTTAAATTTTATATTAAACTTTTCTTCTTTTCAAGATTCATTAGTTTGATTCATTTACTTAAATCTATTATTAATTTTTATAATCATATATCATATTTAATAACATTCAATTCAAACTGTAATTAATTTAAAGAATAACATATAATTTCAATCAAATAATTAATATCCCGCATTTCGCAAAACTTAAAGATTTAACTCCATATATATTTCAAAATTTTATTATTTCAACAACCACAACCACAATCACCACCACATCAACAACATAACAAAAATGGCTGAAGTTAAACGTAACTATTCGGAGATAATTAACTCTCCACTTGATTCTCCTGATGAAGATTATAATGATCCAAAAAAATTACATACAAAACCTGGTAGAAAACCTTTAGATACTGAACCAAAATCAAAAAGAACTGCTCAAAATAGAGCTGCACAAAGAGCTTATAGAGAAAGAAAAGAACGTAAAATGAAAGATTTAGAAGATAAAGTTAAATCATTAGAAGATGAAAATGTTAAAGCAACAACAGAATCTGATTTTTTAAAAGCTCAAGTTAATATATTAAAAGCTGAATTATCAAAATATAGAGGTTCAACTGATTTTCTGGATTTAAATTTACCAAAAAAAGTTGGTCATTTAAGTAATCCAAACCCTAATACTAATACTAATAGTATAGATTTATCTCCACCAAGTAATGAACGTCATAATACTGATGATTCAAGTTCAAATTCAAATAAAAATTCAATATCAGATAGAGCTTCAACTCGTTCATCAGTATCAGCAAATAATGTATCATTTGGATTACCTTGGTCAAAAGATAATTTAAAATTCATAAGGCAACAAGAACAAAGAAATGATAATAATGGTGATGGTAATGTACCGGATTTAGTTTCTGGTTCATCTTCATCAACAACTCCATTAAATGATAATATATTAGTTTCACCAACATCATCGGATTTACCTACAGCTAAAAATAATTTAGATTTTACTCATACATATGAAGAAGAAATTGATCCATTTTGTAGTAAATTAGGTGAAGCATGTGGAACAAAACAAAATCCAATACCAAAACAACAAAGAAGATCAATAGATGTAAATAAATTCCCATCAACAAATTCATCAAATTATAATTCACCATTTTCAAATATATCACCAAATACTCAAAATAATTATACAATAGATTCAAATTCAAATGAATATAATGATCCATTTTTCAATAATATGGGAGAATTTAATTTCAATTTAATAGATAATAAATATAAAAATGATATGGATGATCCTTTAAGTTTTTTAAATAATGATAATTTTGACGTTTCATTAGCATTTGGTGAAACTAAAGATAACAAAACAAAAGATCCAATAGATTTATTAACAACAGAAGAATCAATATATGATCCAATGATTAAAGAAGAAATAAATACAAATTTTAATTTTAATGATTTTATAAAAAATTCAATACCCGAAAGAAGAGAATCTTCAATAACTAAAGATACCACAAAAGAAGATAATAATAATAATGATGATGATGATGATTTAAATGAAATGGTACCTGCTCCACAATCAACTTTAAAATGTAGTGAAATATGGGATAGAATAACTGCACATCCAAAATATACTGAGTTGGATATTGATGGATTATGTAATGAATTAAAAAATAAAGCAAAATGTTCAGAAAAGGGAGTTGTTATAAATACAAAAGATGTTAATAATTTATTAGAAAGGTATAAATCTTGAGAAGTGATATATAATTTTAGTTCTTTTTTTTTTTTTTTGTTTAATTAAGTGTTAATGTAACGTGAATGTGTTAAGTACTTCTTCTTTTATTTGGTCTTCATCGTCTTTAATTTGATCGTCACCTTCGTCTTTATCGTTATCTTTACTAAATCTTAGATCGAACAAGTTACAAATAGAGATACCAAAAATAGAAATAAATCGTATACAAAGATCGATATTTATTAATCACACAACTTCTTCCTCAACAATTACTTCATCCTCAGTAGTTATACAAGACAAAACATAATCATAAAAATTTTGTAGATTTTTCATAGTTAATGAATCTAATTGATAATTTGAATTATTTTGTAAATCTTGAAATGCATTTTTAATTAAATCTAATAATTTTTTTAAAATATCATTATCCATTTCTTTAGTGATATGAATTTTGGAGATACTATTGATTATTGATTTTTTAAATTCTTTCGTAACTTCTTTGGCATCAAATATCTCCAAGAGATACATTGATTGCCAAACTTGTGACATTTGATGTTTTTGATCTTCTTCTTTTAATTGAACTAAATTTAATGGATTACACCAATCTAATAATTGTGATAAAATTTTTGTTGGTTTGATTGAATTTGATTCAGCAGCTTTTAATATTAAATCTCCCGATATTGTAGCTAAACCTAATTGATGATTTGGATGTGAATAACAATATACGGGTATACAAAATGCTAAAACTTGTTTTAATTCATGATTTGATGCGTTTGTTGTATTGAAATAACTTAATAATAAAGCAATGAATAATTCTTTTTCTGATTCATCAGATTCTGGTTCTTCTTCTTCTTCATCTTCTTCAATTCTTGAATCTTGAGGATTAATATCATTTATAGTTTTAATTTTAAAAATATCTGCTAAAAATAATTTAGAAATACCTTCACCCATAATTGCTTGTAATTTAGGACTTTCATCTAATAATAATTTATAAAATAGTCTTAAAAATCCAAATCTTTTCTCAACTGCAATAATGTTTATACCAAATGTTGAAATTATATCAATTATACCAACTATAGAAACAAATTTAACTTGATCAGCTGATGTTTTAATAGCATTAAAAAACGTAATTAATGCTTCTTTTGCTACTGATTCTTCAATCAAAGCAAATAATCCCAAACAATTCAAAGCAGTAAGAAATATTGAAGCATTATTTGTTTTAGTTACTGCATATTGAACAATACCAGTGTATAATGAATTTAATGATAAATAATGACTCAAATCATCTTCAATTAATTCTAATGTATGTTTTGTAAGTTTAAGACAACGTAATAAAATATCATCATTTGGCATTGATTCTTCAAGTTTTCTTCGTTTATTTAATCCATCATTGTCTTCATCCAGATCCAGATCCAAATTATCGAGTTCTTCATCAATTTCATCCATATCAAGATCACCTTGTCTTATTGGTGGTGGTCTTGTATCATTTTCTGCAAATGAATCTTCAGCAATATTTTCACCATCTTCATTCATATCTCTAATATCTGTAATTATTTCAACAGTCATTGAAACAAAATCTTTTTCATTAATTGAAATTTTTTTCAATACTTTCAAAGCATTAACTATAATTTCATCTTGAAAATTTTCTTCTCGTAATTGAGATCTTATAACATTAAGCATTGCTCTACGACCAACTTCATCACTAAAATCGAAATCAATGCAAATAATTAAAAGTTGGTTTGCAATAAAATTTAAATCTTTCATCGTTTCTGAATATTCTTCATATTTTTCACGATCTGCTGTTGATCCATTTAATTTAACTGCTTTACGTTGATGACATTTTTTGAAAATTTCTTCATTTTCTCTAAATTCTTGTTGTAATGTTTTTATTTCAGCTTTGAGACGCTTTTTATCGGCTTTTTGTTGAGATGTCTTTTTACCTTCTGTATGTTCTATTACTTGTAATTTCTTTTGTGTTCCGTGTAATTTTAAATTTATATTTGTCAATGTATTTTCACAAACAAATAATTCATTTTCGATTTCATTAACTTCTTTTGTATATTTTTCATACATCTCATGAAGATCTTTTTGATTAATTTTAATTTTTTTCTGCATTTGTAAATATTTTTGTAAAGTATCAGATAACTCCAAGGGATCTGGGAAATTAGATTCAATTAGGTCATATAATCTATTGCTGTTACAATGTGTGAAAAAAGTTCTCATTAAAAATGAACTTTCAACAGTTAATGATTTCCAGAATTTAGAATTTATTTCAATGGTTTTTGGTAATTCAGGTTTTGTTTTAAACAATAGTAGCATTGACTTTTCAGCAATATTACTTTTAGTTACATTTAATTGTTCTAAAAATAGTTTGATATCTTCATTACATGATTCAAACCATACTTCACATAGAAGTTTGGTGGCAGCATTCGAGACATTTAAATCTCTATCATTTAATCCATATTGTAGCAAAATTTCTTTTTGTTTGTTTCTTAAATTTCCCATACTCCCCAATTCTGGAATGACTTTTGAATAGACAAGTCTTCGATTAATACTATTCATATCCTTGACTCTTTCTAATAGTAAATTGATGGTGTATTTACTTTTGACGGAGTTCAACATAGCAGTTCTTCTAACTTCTGCACTATCATCTAATTGTAAACAAGTCATCATCCATTCACTTATGGTGTGGTTCGTAATTTTATTTTGTGAATCTTCATTCTCATCTTCTTCAAACTCTATATCATAATGTTGAAAATTTGATAATGCAATTATAGCTTGCATTCTTATGTGTAATTCTCTATCATGTAAACGTTTTGATAACGACATAATTAAAAGTTTGAAAACATTGACATCTATATCACCCATATATTTTATAACCATTGCTAACAATTGGACAACTCGATATCTTACTATTTTATTTGATGCATCTATTCCTCGTAATAAATGATTAATCAAGTATAATGAGAATCCAGAATTTGCTTCTACTTTGGTTGTATCGTCAATTTCCTCCGTGATTGTTGTTTCTTCTTTATCTTCTTCTTTCGATTCAATTCTTGTAACTTCATCTGATAATAATTTAATAAAATGAGCAATAAACTTACAAATTCTATCACCATTATGCTCTCCTTTTTTAATTTTTAATGAATGATTTAGTAGTTGACAAAACCTCAAAGAGAAATAATCTAATTTATTTATTTCAATTGATCTATCAAATAAACTTTTCATTATAACTAGTAATTTTTTATGGCCCGCCATTGAAAATTGACAATCTGTAAATACGTGAGTCATCCCTATATTTATATCCTTTTCATCTGTTGTTTTCTTGATTGATACAAGAGTAGGTTTTGGGGGTCTACTCATCTTGTGGAAGCAATAATATTGATTTTATTTATAGGTACGACACGTCTTGTCCATTTAAAGTAGAAATTAATAATGGGATAAGATGTAATTAATTTTAGTGTTAATTATGTGTCAATGATGAAATTCTGAAATTTGGTTGTAACTGTAGTATTTTGGTATGCTTAAATAAATGTAAACAAACAAAAAAAATAAATTTGATCTACATAATAAATTGTAATTAAGAAATAAATAGTCAAATGGCCCCTAGTAATGAGCCGCACAAAATAATATACTGAAATGAGTATCAAAATGTTAAGTAACCCCTCTTGAAAAGCCGCACGATTTTTCAAATCCCTACCTCATTACTTAACGATAAAGATATAAGATAAATGACAAAGATATGTATCAAATTTCATATTTCCCAGTCTAAAAAGGTTATAATTTGGTGTATTTAAACATAACTTGATTTCTTTGAGTGTTATAACTTCATCTGTTCATTTATACAAAGTAAAATAAAAGTTGTCAGAGACGCTATTCTTCTAACCTATTTTGCAACCAATTTTGGTACAATTTTACCAATTAAGGTTTATGTTTACTTCGTTTATTCTACCTTTTACATTTGGAACCCCAGATTATTCATCACACGATTGTAAATTAATGAAATCCCAAGGGATCTGAACGAACAATAAGAAACAAGAGATTTGTCATTTTTCGTTTTACAGATAAGATCTAGATTTGAATGGTATCGTTTAGATATAAGTATCATAATTGAAATTGAGATCGTTTACAATAGGCAAGAATCTTTCGATTTAATCTTGTGTTTGTTTTTCTTCTCTTTTTAATTTATTGTTTTTCAATAAATTATCATATGAAGTTAAAAATAATTTGAAGTAAAGACCTTTGTACAAAAGATAAATGTGAAGTATAATTAAGTAATATTTAAAAATCAGTTTAATATCTCGTATAAATCTGTTCTGTATATTTTAAATTTTTATACGATGAAAATAAAGACTATAAAAACGATTATTACACAAAAAGTATGTTTTATAGAATAACTTCGTTTAATTAATTTTAATATGATATAATTTTATCATTTAATACGCGCATATGTAAATACTAATTATAATATTTTTCAAATATATTCGAGAAAGTTTATTAAATAATTCAAACTTCAAAAAGTTCTTTTTCAACAATTTATACCTTATTATTAATATATATATATATATAGATAGATAAATAGATAGATTCAATTCTACTCATTTAAATTTAAAAGATTCAACTCATTCAAGTACATATTCAAAACATAAAATGTCACCTGTTCAATTAGCAGAAAAAGATTTCAATAGAGATGAAAAATTTACAAAAGCTTTACATGGTGAATCATATAAAAAAACTGGTTTAGCAGCTTTAATGGCTAAATCAAAAGATGCTTCATCTGTTGCAAATGAAGGTTATTTTAAACATTGGGATGGTGGTGTTACAAAAGATGATGAATCAAAAAGATTAGGTGATTATTCTCAATTAACTCATCATTATTATAATTTAGTTACTGATTTTTATGAATATGGTTGGGGTTCTTCATTTCATTTTTCAAGATATTATAAAGGTGAAGCTTTTAGACAAGCTACTGCAAGACATGAACATTATTTAGCTCATAAAATGAATTTAAATGAAAATATGAAAGTTTTAGATGTTGGTTGTGGTGTTGGTGGACCAGGTAGAGAAATTACAAGATTTACTGATTGTGAAATTGTTGGTTTAAATAATAATGATTATCAAATTGAAAGAGCTAATTTTTATGCAAAAAAATATAAATTAGATCATAAATTATCTTATGTCAAAGGTGATTTTATGCAAATGGATTTTGAACCAGAAACTTTTGATGCAGTTTATGCAATTGAAGCAACTGTTCATGCTCCAGTATTAGAAGGTGTTTATTCTGAGATTTATAAAGTTTTAAAACCAGGTGGAGTATTTGGTGTTTATGAATGGGTTATGACTGATGCTTATGATGAAAATAATGAAGAACATCGTAAAATTGCTTATGGTATTGAAGTTGGTGATGGTATTCCAAAAATGTATAAACGTGAAGTTGCTGAAAAAGCTTTGAAGAACGTTGGTTTTGAAGTTGAATATGAAAAAGATTTAGCTGATGTTGATGATGATATTCCTTGGTATTATCCTTTAGCAGGTGATTTAAAATATTGTCAATCAATTGGTGATTTATATACCGTTTTCAGAACTTCAAGATTAGGTAGATTAATTACAACTGAAGCAGTTGGATTAATGGAAAAATTAGGTGTTGCACCAAAAGGTTCAAAACAAGTTACTTTTGCATTAGAAGATGCTGCTGTTAATTTAGTTGAAGGAGGTCGTAAAAAATTATTTACACCAATGATGTTATACATTGCTAGAAAACCAGAAAACGCTAAATAGATTTATAAAAGGAACATTTAATAATAAGCTTGTATATTTGATTTTAATTCAGTTGATAAAACATTAATATATTAATAGAGATGGAAGTTTAATATCTTAAGATCACATCTAGGAATTGTATTACTTAAGTAACTGTGCCTTTTTTTTGTTAGTAGTTATTTTGTAGATAAGATAATGTCAAGAAAATTATAAAATTAGATACAAGGAATTATATGCAGGCCCGTTTCAAATTGCTGCAAACAAGGAGAACTAACACATGGTAAATTTCATGACAAAGTTTTACGATTGCTACTTTAGTTGTTTCAACTATCAATTGACATATAACGAAATTTGATTCACTTTTGTTTCTTCAATTAATTTCTTTTTCAAACACCACAACCAAAAATGTCATTTCCACCATTACAAAACCCTAATTTGGAAGGGTATCATATCACAAGAGCAATGTGGATGGAATATTATAATCCTCACCAAAAAACTTTTATTGCAAGACAAAAATGTAGTGGATGTTATGATGATTCTAAATTTGTTGTTTGGGCAGTATCTGTAGGCGTTCAAGCCATAGTTGATGCTTCAAGAATTTATCCAGAAATGCAACCATTAATTGCACCAGCAGTTGCCATATTTCAAAAATATAAAAATAACAGTATCAAAGGTTATTCAGCTGCGGAAAATAGTGGAACTGATAAAGACATTTATTATGATGATGATGCACAAGTTGCAAGTGCTATATTAACAGCTTATGAAGTTACTGGTGATAAACAATTTTTAGATTCAGGCAGAGAATTAGTTAGATTTTTAATGGGTGGTTGGAATGATAAACCAAATGCAGTTACAAAAGGTGGTATGCATTGGCACGTATCAAAGACATTATTGAATTCATGTACTACTGCAGAAGTTGCTAAAGCATGTTTACAAATTTCTCAATATATTCCAGATGAAGCACAAATTTATATTGATTTTGCTGCAAAATGTATTGATTGGCAAATTAAAGTATTACAAGATCCTTCAGATAAATTAATTAGAGATGGTGTTGGTGATGATGGTGATAAAGTAGATGATGCGAAATGGTCTTATAATACTGGAACTACATTATCAGCAGCTGCTCATTTATATAAAGTTACAAAAGATAAAAAATGGTTAGATATTGCCAATGATTTAGCAGAAGCAAGTATAAATCATAATTCTTTCTTTTACGATAGAGATTTCCCAGATCAATTGAGGTATTGGAGAGATTCTTCATATTTTGTACAATTATTAATTGAAGGATTAGCTGATTATTTATTATATGTTGGTAATGATGTACCACAAGGATTACCACAAAGAATTTATGAAGAAATAAAAAGACATCTTATAATGTTTTATGAATTTATGAAAGATCCAAAAGATGGAATGTATATTCAAAGTTTTGAACCTCATAACACATACAAACAAGTTTATGATCAAAAATATCATCAATGGTTTGGTGATGGTAAAGGTTGGGGTTTAAAAGGTGAAGATAAAAATGGTGATTCACCACAAAAATGTCTTATGGGTTATGGATCAGCTGCAAGAATCTTTTTTCAAGGTGCTAGAGTAGTTCCAAAAATTGATTAAATATTAATAACTAATATAAAAATTATATTCTATTGATTAAAATAATAATAATTAATATATAAATTATATTCTAATTTTTGATAAATTAAATGCAGGCGTAGTAGGTAATGCAAAATAAGGTCTTTCTATAACTATTAATTCCCCAGAACCGAATGATCCAACTTTCATGATTGGTCTATATTTTTCAGTTATCCAAAATACTTTCTCTTCCGGTTCTTCATTTTCGAGTGTTTGTCTTAATTTATCAATCTCGCTTTGTTTCATACTTATTTCAGCTTGTGATATTTCTTCAGTGTCTATTTCATCAACACTTAATCCATCTCTATTTCTTTTCTTGGTGTTGTTGATATTTTTATAAAGCTTGTTAATTGGTATATTTTTGGTCAAATCAAAGTAACTTAAAAAATTGGTACCATAAATCCATAATTTATTTTCATCAACAAACATGCCCTGTGGTTTATCATCTAAAGCAAGAAATTGGCGTGGTAAAAATTCACTATTACGTTTTGACCAAGGTGTTAATAACTCGTCGCTACTGATATTAAACTCGTGTATTTTATTTTCATCAGTTAAAACTAGTAATTGGTCGTTGTTGTGGCAAGTTATTAAATGTGGGTATGAGGATAATTTTGTTATGATGTGAGATTCTTTTGTAGTGTAGGATTCCACAGATCCGTTGAATCTTGATATTATGATAGTTTTATGATCTGGTGTAAGAATTAAATTGTTAATGTTTGAACTGAAGTCAGTTGAGGTATTTTGTTCAATTAATTCAATTTTATCAATTAATTCAATATGACTATTTTCGGTATCTATTTTGAATTCATAAAGCTCTTCATCTGTTGTTAAAATTAAAATTCTGGTGTCATCAATAAATTTAACTTTTTTAGCTCCTGATATTAGTGAATCAAATTTCTCATCTCTTATTTTGTTGATCATATATTTATGATTCTCTTCATCGACTACGTCTAACTCGTAAAATTTTACTGATGTCATTTTGGCAACTGCTATTAGGTTACCACTAAAATCAACACTAGTTATATTTTCATCATCTGACAAAACTAATTTCGATATTAATTTATGTTTACCACTTTCTAAAATTTTCCATATTTTAATCATTTGATCTTGCCACATTATTACCAATTTTCTTTCTGGTACCAACACAATATTACTCTTTTGTTGATTTATTAATAATTTCTTGTATTTACCATCATGAAATTGTTGTATATTTTGAATAATTATTGCTCTCTCTACTCCACCACTTACCAAGATATTAAAATTTTTTGACTCCATTATAGCCATAGCTCTTATATCATTTGAATGTAATAATCTATTATAACTATGCACCCACTTGGAATTAGTTTTTGTGGTTAATAGATCAAATTGATGAATTTTTCTATCAATACCTGCTGAAAAAAATTTATTTTCTTTTACATCACTGACAATTGTAAGAATATCTGCATCATGTATTTTAAAACTTTGAATTAATGTGTGAAATTTTAAATCCCATATTTTAATATGACCCGTGGAATCTCCACTTATTAATTGGTTCTTATTTTTCAATACATTTAATGACCAAACTAAAGTACTTTCAGTTTTGGATTTATCTACTCTCATAGTACTTAAAATTCTACCTCTAGTTTCTTTGAGATTACTCCATACTCTAATTCTTCCATCTGCACATCCTCCAATAACTTGATCATTTTTGCACCATTTTATACTTAAAACTCTGGCATCTTGTCTTTGACAAATTATATCATATTCCAAGGAGCCAACACCTCCAGAAATGTCAACAAGCACCACTGATCCATCATCACAGCCAACTGCTAATTTATCATTAGATTCATTAACATCTATTGACCAAATAATCCCCGCGTTACAATCATAATTTATTAAAGGTTTTCCTGTTTTTAGGTCCCATTCTGTAATATAAGTTGATCCACCAATGGAAAATAATCTTGATTCTTCTTTGGTACTTATCCAACATAAACCTTCTATAGATCTTCCCTTTGATCCAAATAATGTTAACTCATGTGTCCAATTATATTTAGGGTTCCAAATTTCAATATCACCATTACTTCTTCCAACTGCTAATTTTAAATCCGATGAAATTGGTTTTTCGGGGTTTGAAGGTTGAGAGAACACTAATGATGTGATCGTATGAGGAGTATAATCAACAAATCGACACCTATGTACCTCCATTTTGTTTGATTTTTTGGTTGTAAATTAGAAAAATAATTTATCACTCATCTCTATATAAAATAAATTAGAATACAATTATTATTACACAAAAATAGAAAGCTATATCCTAAGATATATTTTTATTTCTAATTGTCTCTTTTATTAAACAAATCCAACAAAACTATTTATAAAACTTAATAATCTGATAAACCATTTATTTTCATCAGTATTTAAGACCATATTTATAATCAATTCTTTCTTTTGTTTACCATTATTTGTCATTGGTTGTCTAACTAATGTTCTTTTAACAATTACATTTTTTTTAAAAAACCATACTATAAATAATATTGTAAATAAACTAACAGCAAAATTCTTTAAAAATTTTAAAGCGTTGAATCCAATAACTTTTAGGATATGCAAAATTTTTCTTTTCGTTATTTCATATTCATCTAATGGTTCTTCCGATTCATTATCACTATAATATTGATTTTGTTGATCTTTCCTACTATTAACAAATTCTCTTGTTAATCTATTTATGATGGTATTTACTTCACCTTGCCAATTTTTGAAGTCTTCAATTACATTGTTGGTTCTTGGTGGTAATGAATGTAATGAACCTGGACCTCCAAATTCATGTTGTTGTTGTTGTTGTTGTTGTTGTCTTTGTTGTTGTACATAATCATTTAACGATAATGAGGTATTTCTTCTTGAATGTGAATAAATTGTGTTAAGATTCAGTGCAACAGTATGGGTACCACCTCTTATAGTATTTCCTCCACCAATACTTGGAGTTCTATTTGAAAACCTATCTAATTGACTAAACAGTGGAGCACTTGAAGGAAATTGTATATGATGATCATTTTCATCATCGGATATTGGTAAATCTTTAATTTGATCCCAAAGATATTCTAATTCATGTAATAATTCTCTTGCTTCTAATGTTCCACTTGCATATATTTTCATTGTTTCAATTAGGAATGATATATATCTCTTTTTAGCTTCAGTTTTAGGTAATCCTTCTTCACGTTTCCAAGCATCCCATTTCTTTTTAGCACCTTCATCTTCGGCAGAAAATCCAACTGGACGTGGCATTAAACCTTTGACATCTCCCTCCGTTGCTTGTTTATATAATCCATACAATTTTACACGATTTTCTGCTGGTGGTCTTGGTAATGATCCATAATTAGACCTTGATGATAAAGCTCTTATCGTTTCAATCGCCTTAATGAAAACGCGGTCTACGCAAATTGTAAGTTAGTATATAAATTTTAAGAATAGTGTTATTGAATTAAAACACATACCAACACTATCTGACATATCTATTCTATTTTGCTGTTGTTTATTCTATTGTTTACCCTTAATTTGTATTGATTTTGCTTTCAAGTTCAACAGAAAAATTAAATTTAGTGGGGAATTTTTTAGGTTATCATATGCAAACTAAATAATTATTTCTTAGTTGTTATCGATAAACTGATAAAGAGATAGATCAGACTAAGTAGAGTACACTAGTGATTGCATTGATGAATAGAACATTGCATTTGAAGTTTGAAGTTTGAATTTGAATTTTATTTTTTTGTATCTTTAAGATGTCAGCAATTGAAATGGACCTATTATACCTATAGTATTAAAATCTTAAAAAGATACAATGGTGAGTAATGTGCTAGTTTTAATTTAGTTTGCTCCAAAATAGGAACCAAATATGACATAAATGCTTTCAAACAAAATATGATCTGGCACCAGAGTGTTGGCAAACATCTTCTAATTTTCAAATCAAGTTCTCCAAATATGCAATGTTTATAAATCTTACAAAATATTTCTCAAAAAAAAATAACTCTATTTTGAATATCGTTAATTAAACCCTATTAAACACTTTACTAAAAGTTGAACCTCTTTTATCTCCTTAATTTGCTGGTACATCAATTTCTCCTGCATTTATAGCATCGATTATATCATGTGGGTTTTTACCATTAACTCTACATCCAACTGATTGAGCAGTACCTAAAATTTCTTTTGAAACTGAAGCTAAATTTTTACCAAATGATTTATCTTGCATTTTTCTTGCAATTTCAAAAATTTCTTCTAATGGAATATTACCTGAATGTTTAACATTTTTTTCTTTCTTTCTATCTCTTACTGGTTCTTTTAATGCTGTGATGACTAATGATGAAGCAGATGGGACAACTGATGCGGTGGCTTGTCTGTTTTGGATTCTTAATTGAACAGTAACTTTAATACCTTTGAAATCTTTTGTAGCTTTGGCAATATCTTCACCAACTTTTTTTGGTGATAAACCTAATGGACCAATTTTTGGGGCTAAAGCTGATGAAGCACCAACTTCACCACCTACTGCTCTTAAGTATAAAAATTTAACTTCAGATGGATCGAATTTTGGAGGCATTTTGATGTGGTTGTTATGTTACTTTGGTTAAAGGATTTGTTTCAAGTGAGAAGAAATTTGAATATCTACTTTTTTTTCACTAAGTGATTGTAACACAAAAATTTGTAGCACTAAATTGGTAGCACAAGCAGAAGAGCAGAAGGGTTATAACCCTAATACATACCGATTGTCTTATTAACATAATTTTATTACTATTTATCTATAACATTCCACCGGGGATGTCTGAACCTATTCTTGAATCTTCAAATAAACCATCTGAATTCTCTATTGCCGCCGAAGTATCAGCTAATTGTCTTAACATTATAGCTGGATGTTTACCAAGTTCTTGTAATTCTTTAAAAACCACAACCGGCTTTTCAGCTAATTTCAATATTCTTTCTTTATCTCCATAACATATCACTAAAACATATTTAGACCAATCATCTCTTGGTATATGATGTCTCTTCATTGCTTGTTGTAGAATTTTCAAACATGAATCATCAGTCGATGCTCTTAATTGTTTCAATGGTTCATTTGATGAATTTGCAGCTATCGGAGCAGGTTGTTGTAGTGCTTGTCCATATGGACTATGATTCGATCTAGTTGTAGTAGTTCCACTTGATGGATATTCATTTAATTTTGGCCTTACTGGTTCACTATTTGCATTTTTTGATAGATCAACTTTTTGTAATTTAAAATCTGATGAATTCTTACCATCTGAATATTTTGAAACTGATTGGGATATAATTTTACCTGTTCCCATAGATAGTAAACTTCCAGAAGAAAATCTATTTGATGATGGACTTGATACATTGGTTGAAATTCTATTGTTACTGTTATTTCTTTGTAAACTTCCACTTCTTGATATCGCTGGTTCTTCTTCATATAATGGGGAATTATTTAATGGTGAATCAATTGATGATGCTGGTCCTGGATCTAATGTTGGTGTAGGTAGTGGTTTTGTATCTTTCATTAACCTTATCAAGGGAATCAAATCGGTTTTTAATTTTACAAAGTTATCATTTAATTTCTTCATTTCACTTTGGTTTGGTGATAAGGGTGAGTCTATCCCATAAGTTTGATTTTTGAGGTCTTTACTAAACTTTTTAATCAGATCTTGAATTAAAACTGTTGATAAATTTAATGATTCTAATGATATGTGATTATTATTTATATTAATCTGACTTAATGTATATTCTTGATCATTGAATTCATGAGGTTGATATTTCTTGTAATGACTTGCTATCAATTCATTTATTCCCTTTTTAATCTGTAGTCGTATCCTCAACGGTTGTATTCCTATTTCTTTTAAATGTTCAGTTGTAATAAAAGGTAATAATGATCCATCAATATTGTTATCCAAAAAAGTAGATCCAACCAGTCGATCTTTTATTAGTGATGTAATATATGTTGAAACTTGAGCAGGATCCCATTTTAAAAATGAATCATTTGATTTGGGAGTTGTCATCATCTTTAAATCAATTGATGACAAATTTTGAAAATGAGGACTCAAAGGTTTTGAAACATTTAATATATATATCTAAGTCAATTTGAAATCTTTCTAGAATTAATTAGTGGAAATATGAGAAATATAATAAATTATTATAATTCAATGTTTCAAAATATTTTTGCTATTGTTTGTTTCAACATTTTGATTTGAAACAAATTGAACGAGAAATTTAATTTATTAACTGAAGAGAATTAATACTACTGAATTATAATATAGGAGAATTATTATAATAATTTTTTACTTGTTTCAGAATTTTAAATAATAATATTTAAAAGTAAAACAATTGAATCGACTGATATTATAATGTTTCATATTGATATAAATATTTTACATATAATGGAATTACATTAATTCCAAAACATGGAGATTACATTTTTTTTTTTTTCTAAACTGTCAAAATATTAAAAATGATAAATTCAAATTCCCTAAATTTCAATTTTTAAATGTTGAAACTACCGGATTTAACAATTTTTTACATCAAATAGTATTTACAGCGTTATATGAGGATCATGATAAATCAGGTAAAACATAAATAATTGAAAATCGTAGTCGATAAAGGCTATTATACAAATCACAAATAGGTGCAAATGATTTTGAAATCCCAAGTATTGAACAAAATGTAAATATATAAAAGGATTAGAAAATACCACTGTTTAGAATTTATAGGACTTTCTAGTACGATTAATTAAGATTAAATGAGACAAAATAAACTAAATTCAAACGTAGCATATAAGAACATTCTCACGCTCCCTCATTATTAGCTTAACTGAGGAGTTGGAGTACTAATTATCATCCAGTTTCATAGTGTAATTACATTAAAATAAGACGAGGCTGTTTAGACGGAATTAAGCGAGTGCGCGAAGTTCCTATAACGGAATCTGGTAAGTTTTTTGTGGTATCAACTTAAAACTACAAACGTTGGTCTTACTCAATAATTCCGAGATCTACTTTTCATTTCAGATTCATTTCAGATTTATTAACAATATTTAAAGTTTCAATTGTTAATTTTTTTTCGGGTCAAGGTTAAAAATGTTGTGGCTCCTCAATTAAAGTTAACATCCATTGATTTACTTTCAATTGTGCTTGATAAGAACAAGATAAGATATCATTGTGGACCTATTATTTCAACTTACAGCCACAACATTTACAACATTTAAAAGTATATAAATACTTGATAAAATGCTTGAATTTTACCATGTCATTCAACAACCACAACGAAAATGCCTGTTGCTTATAAAAACTTACCTAGTGCTTTAACTGGTGGAAACAATTTCCATGTTGATCCGAAGGGAAAAATCACATTATCTGAATCAACAAAAGCTAAATTAAATGAACAATCAATTCCTTATTTACCAACATGGAATAAAAATGAAAAATATGAACCATACGAATTTGTTGAATACCACGACAAAGCCTTAAAAGCTGATAAAAATTTACCAAATTTATTTCCAAAAGGTTCCAAATACGAGATAGAAAATCTTTCACCTAAATTTGGGAGTGAAATCAAAGGTATTCAATTGAGTGAATTAAATGATGCTGGTAAAGATGAACTTGCTTATCTTGCTTCCCAAAGAGGGGTTTTAGTATTTAGAGATCAAGACTTAATAAGTAAAGGTCCAAAAGAATTTACAGATTATGTTAGATATTATGGTGAACTTCATATTCATCCAGCTTCAGGTGCTCCAAAAGATGTTCCGGATGTTCATAGTGTTCTTACTGGTAACACCACTAATGATCCTTTTGCTAATAGAAATCGTTTAGTTCAAATTCATTCCGATGTTAGTTATGAATTAAATCCAACTGTTGTTTCTTTCTTGGCTGTTACAAATAATCCAAAATCTGGTGGTGGTGATACTTTATTTATTGATAATAGAGAAGCTTATAACCGTTTATCTCCATTGTTTAAAGAAAAATTAAGTGATTTATATGCTGTGCATAGTGCTGTTGATCAAGCTAATCAAGCAATTGTTAAAGGTGGTGTTGTCAGGAGACATCCAGTTGAGAATATTCATCCAGTTGTTAGAACCACCACATCAGGTCAAAAAGTATTATATGTTAATAGTGGGTTCACAAAAAATATCGTGGGACTTAAAGCAGAGGAAAGCGATTTTTTATTAGACTTCCTTCTCCAACATATTAGTAATGGTCACGACTTTCAGATAAAGGCTCTGTACAAACCTGATACAGTGATCGTGTTCAATAACAGTCTTGTATCACACTCAAGTATTTTGGACTTTGAGACTGAAGATCCGCGTTTGATTATTCGTGTTGCTGCTAAAGGTGAACGTCCTGTTCATGATTTAAAAGATTTAAATAAACCTGATCAAAATATTCTTTATGAAGGACCAGAATATTTAGGTCCAAAATTGGAAGATCTTAAATTGAATTAGATTTTTTAGTGATTGTTAGTTAGTATTTATATATTTAGACTAAATAAGTATATTATAAATACGTAACATCCGTTACTCCTCGTAGAAGCTCGAAATTAATCTTATTTAAATCCATCGAGTTATAAAGTAAACGAATATCAAATTTTTAATTTAACCTAATATTTCAATGTCCAATTTTGACTGTCTTTATTTATTTTTGCTAGTGCAAAGTTTTAGTTTCAAAATAATTTTATGCAACAATTTTGTGTTTCAGAATTTTTTTGCTACGAAAATACTTATCAATTTCGATACATTTGTGACTAGTTTGAAAGCATTATATTGACCAAATCACGTTACTACTGAGATGCCCCCAAGTGTGAGAAAGACTGCTCAATAAGTTTTCTTTTTGTAATTTACCTGGTAAATAAATTGGATCTCTATTTTTCATCCTATCAACACCATTCTTGATCAAAGAAGTCCTTATTGTGATGATCAGTGACATTTCCCCTGCACCACAAAAAGACAAATTTTGACGAAAGAATTATGGAGCTCATTGATGGTCATTTACTCTATAATTTAGCTCGAATTGATCATGCAATTGAATTTTTGATTTAACCTGATTAAGCTTTTTTCGAATTTTGTTCATATTCAGCAATTGACTGCTCAACTTCTAAAAATTCAAAGACTTTGCGTGCTTCTACTATTACGTTCCTCAAGAAAGTGGATATGATAAAGATTAAAAGACTAAATTTTTAAGCACGAAAATTAGTTGGATTAAATAAATATTTAGTTGCGAGAAAGTTGAGAATTATTTTTTGCAACAAGAGAAAAATTATTTTGCAACAATACATCGAAAAATAAAGAAAAGATAACTTTCAAAACAAAGACTCAAGCACAACAGACATATACTTAATTCTATTTAATACTATTTTGAGAGTCTATTTGTTTTTTAACTTTGTCTTTTTGAGCAATTTATCAAAATCAAAAGTAACCTCGTGATCAGCACCAGTTACAAATGCACAATTTCCCATATCAAGTTTTACCGGCTCAGCTTCAGGACTAATATCAAAATCAAAGATATCCATTGGAATTCCAAGGGTACAGCAAGCATTAGGTACATCAACAATACTGGCAATATGTGCTTCTAAAGGCGCACTAGATAAAAACATATAAATTTGATAATCATTGTATCCATATTTTCTCAAATATTCAATTGCTTTAATACATGCTTGTTTAAAAGCTGTATTAGCACATAAGTACTTTTGTTCGCCAGTTTCGTCTACTGAAAAACCTTCAAAAGTTAAATATCTGTTCAATGGGTATTCTTTTTGTAATTTACCAGGTAAAAAAATTGGATTTGTAATTTTCATCCTATCAACACCATTCTTGATCAAAGAAGTCCTTATTGTGATGATCAGTGACATCTCCCCTGCACCACAAAAAGAACTTTCACCGTCCAGCATGGAAAAGTGTGCATCTCCTAATGATAATTTAGCTCCAGGGACATTAACTCTCAAATATGTGCGACTTCCAGCAGTGATATTTTTCACGTCACAATTACCGGCGTTCTCTGGACGTCCTGGAATGGTTCTAAGTCCTTCTCTTGCTATCCTTTCAAATAGTTCACCTTTAGCTTGACCTGCATGGGCTCCTTTCACTAATGGACCAATTGCTGAAACATCTTCCGTGTTTTTTGCTGTTCTCTTCAACTCTAACTCTCTTTCATTGATCTCTTTTAATTGTTCAGCAGATGGAGCAACTCCAACAATACCAGGGTGAATAAGTCCGTCAAATTTCACGTGGGGAAGATGTCTTGAAGTAGCAATATTGTTTTCATCAATATCATACACAATTTTAGCAGCTTCTGGATAAAATGACGAGAGAAAACCACCACCATTCTCCTTTGCAAACACCCCAGTGTAACAAAAAGGTTGCCTCTTTAATGGTTGTATATCGATCAACTCCACCACAAGGATATCGTCAACCTCTGCACCTTCAATTTCAAATGGACCCAGAAGATAGTGGATTCGGGATAAATCAACGGTCTTTACATCTTTAGCGTCATCTGTGTTACCAATTTGTCCGCCAGTCCATTCAATTGTCTCTAGGGTATAGACAGATCCGCATTGAATTGTCGCTACGGACGGAATTTCTGGGTGCCACCTGTTATGAAATGGCTGATGTTCAGCTGGTTTATCTAAATCGACTTTGAAGACACAAGGATATTGATCTGTTGACATTGGTGTTGAAGATAAACTCAAAAGTCTAATCAAACAAAGAAATTGTTCATTTTATATCTTTTTGTTTTTTCTCGTTTTGCACCCAATTTTTGTACTGCATATAATGAATAGTTTTTTTTGATAAAGAGATAAAGAATTTCAATTCAAATTGTATCACAAAATCTTATTGATAAGTAATCTTGCAATTAAAAAAAAAAAAAGCAAATTCACCTTCAGATTAAAACCTTGAATTTTCTCAGTCGGTTAAACTGGTTAGCGGCCCGTTTTAGTCTGAAATTGTCAAAGGAATCCTCAAGATTAAAAATAAGGGATCAGAGTTCCGTGTAAACAAAAGTACTTTATTGATTTTACTTAAATTCTTATTTTCTTGAACGAACAAAACTGATAGTTTGTGTTATAATACTGTTATTGTAACTATCCTTCAATATCTGCTACCCTATGTATTTGCAGCATATTGATTATTCATATTTCATTTCTTAAACATGGTTTTACAAAAATGTTGAATTGGCGCCTTTTGATGCAAAATTTCTTAATGATGATGTAAGTTTTCGAGAACAACAAAAATTCGGAAAATTGGAATTTGAATTTATGCGACAAAAGTACAAAGATGACAACAGTAGAGTCGAGGAATCCTACAGTCAAATGAAAGCAACAGTCATCCAGTATATGGCCCTAGTTATATTGTTCTATAAATAAAGTTTATATAAATGACTAAATATTGAATTTCAAAAAACACAAGAACAATGTAATGCCGGTATTTGACAACAATAAGTACATGCGTTTTAGCGATATACCTCTATGTTCCAATCAAGGCTCTTTCCACGAAGAATCAAAGCCGTGATCTAGCAAACTAAGTGGGTCATTTGGACCTTTTGCTCCCATCTTAGTATCACTAGGGCTAAAACAAGTAATTGGTAAAATCATAATATTTTCAATTACGATAGGTTGTTCCATATGAGTGAAAAATTCTATACCAACAACCTCTTCAATTCTATCATTATCCTTCACCTCTTTCAGTTGTAACATCAAATTTAAGTATCGAAATACTAAATCTGTGAATATTCCTGGACCAGTCCAGTTTAATACATCATTTTTATTATTTGTTTTATCAAAAACTTCATTTAATTGACCAGCTAATTCTCTAGCTAATGTTATAGTTGTAATTTTAGCAATTAGTTCTCTTAGCATCGGATGTCCTTTTTTCAGTAGAATTGTCCATTGACAAAATTGAACACGTCTTGCATACCAATCTGCCCAATCTTCTCTATCTGGATCAGCTTCTATACCAACAACTAAACCAGGATTAATTGGTTCCCCTAAATACTCCAGTTGAGAGCTCGGCCAATCCTTAAATGGTTTTAGGGAAACTGTATCCATATCAGAATAGGTCCCACCTTTTGCAAATAATATCAAGTACCGAAAGAAATCAACTTTTAATATAATTTTAGGCATTGCATGATAAGCTTTAATAACATCAGGTATATCTTTGTATAATTCATTCACTAGTTGAGCACACTTTTTATCAGATAAAACATTATATTCATATTCTGGACTCTTTTCTGTCCAAGTTTGATGGTAAATTTTATACTTCTCTGGGAATGATTCATCTTCTAGACCCACTTTCCAAGTTTGCCATAAAATTTTTGGAATTGGTAAATTTTCATCAAAAGGAAATAGTATAGCTAATTGTTCCAGAACTTTATTAGTTGTTTTCACTTGTTGACCAGAATTTGATTGAAAATTTAGTCCTTCAATTTTATAATTCTTATTTAATTCTAATTTTTGTGCTAATTTTATCTTGGGAGGAATATTATAAAAGCTTTTTGAGTACGAAGATACATATAGCACAACTATAGTTGCAAATAGCGAAAGTAGTAGCACTGATAATATTGTAATCCTTGAATGTCGTCTCATATAGCTCTTAAGAGGAAGTTGTCAACATACCACATTTTGGTAAATTTAAAGTAAACGTTTAAAAACTTTATTTTGAAAAATCCACAAAACGTAAACAAACAAAGTTTGATGAAAACAAGAAGTTGACTGTAAATTATTACCTCTTACATGTAAAGTCCTAATCAATCTTTACCGAAAATAAACCCTTCAGTTTAAGAAACATTATCAACACGGCTTTTCAAGAGTTTTTGTTCCAAAATATATAAAGAATAGCGTGGGGCAAGAATTTGTCTATATGCAGAAAAATGTGGTAAAACGTAATAGTCTAGAATTTGCCAAAAAACAACATTGACGACACGAGGGACAATTAAAGAAATGAATGGCTTCTACTTTAAAGAGACTCAATAGTAATAGGTGTCTCAAAAGAGTAAAAGTAGTACTGGAGCATGAATAAATTATTTCTTAAATTATATAAACTTTTTAAAATTAACTATTAACTTCTGATGCTGTTGTTGTAGACACTGAGTTCAGTTGAGAATGATCAGAGTCTTTCCAGCTACCAGAAAAGACGTGTAAAACTAAGCTCATGGGGTCACTGGTACCCTTAGCACCCATTATATAATCAACTGGACTGAAACTAGTGATTGGTAAAATCATAGTATCATCAATTACCACAGGTTGTTCCAATTTCATAAAGAAATTATTATCAATCATTTGTTCAACTTTTTGTTTCTTATTGTTACTTTTCAGTTGTAAAATTATATTAATGTATTGGAAGATATGATCTGTAAAAATTCCTGGACCTGTCCAATTCATAACATCATTACCTTCGTCCTTACCATCTAAAATATCATTTAATGTACCAGTCAGTTCTCTAATCAACGTTATAGTTGTAATCTTTGAAATTAATTCCCTAAGCATTGGATGTCCAACTTTCAGTTTGATTGTCCATTGACAAAATTGAAGTCTTCTTGCATACCAATCTGCCCAATCTTCTCTATCTGGATCAGCTTCGACTCCAACTACTAAACCAGGATTATTTGGTTGACCTAAGTATTCCAGTTGAGAACTTGGCCAATCCTTGACAGATTTTAGTGAAACTGTATCTAAATCTGAATAAATACCACCTTTAGCAAACAAAATTAAGTATCTGAAAAAATCAGCTTTCAAAATGATTTTTGGCATTGTATGATACGCTTTTACAACATCTGGAACATCTTTATATAATTCACTCACTAATTGATCACATTTTTCATCGGTTACTACATTAAATTCATATTCTGAATTTTTCTCAACCCAAGTATCATGATAAACTTTATATTTATATGGAAAATCTTTATCTTCTAATCCAACCTTCCATGTTTGCCATAAAGTTTTTGGATTTTCTGAATTTATATCGTATGGGAAAATTGAAGCTAATTGTTCTGAAACAACTCCTGTTGTATATATGTGGTTATTTGCATTTGATTGGAAATTTAAACCTTCAACTCTATAGTTCTCATGTGTTTTTAATAATTCCAGTAGTTTTGATTTTGGAGGTACGTAATCTATTTCTATTGTGTAAGGTAGTATTGATGAACCATATAGTATGAATAAATAATATGTAGATATTATAAGTAGAACAGCTAGTATGACAAATTTTATATGTTTCCACATAATGAGTGCTGTTCTATACTTTCTAGATCTTGTTTAAAAGGGATTTCTAAATATTTTATACTTATTGTAAGGCTGAATTCAGATTAATTAATATTAATTTATTATACATGTTACGAACAATTGTGATGCAAAAGAAATTAAATTGTAAATAAATAATTACGTAATATAAAACACAGAAATAAAGTGCTAGATAAATGAATTTATGTTAAAAAGTTCTACACTTCATGAAAGATCGTAAAAGCGCCTGAATATTGAAGAACCTTGTAATAACTATTTTTTCCAGATAAGGTATATTGTACTTGTTGGGACGATTTATTTGTAGCAAATGAAAGCCATATATTTTTGATAATTCTTATCTCGAGTAAAATTAAGGTTTAAGTGGCTAAAATTCTGAAACAAATTGAAATTAAGGACTAAAAAATTTAAATTTAAAACCTTATTTAATGAGTTTACGAAACAGAGCTTGATAAAATGATTGATACGAATTATCAAGTTGCAAATCATTTGTTAAGAGCTTTGGGATATATTAGTATCGTTTAAATTGACGCGTCTAGTGGTATCTTTGATAAGTTAGAACAATATAATAACAACTGACCACTTACCCTTGAACGCTGGAATTTTCTCGAATTCAATTTTACAAATGTAACAGATTTAACTACAATCAAGCAACACTTGCGAGTTTAGTTATTCATGCTTTCAAATGATTTTCTTTAATAGATCAAATTGAAGATACGAACTACGATATTCAATGTTAGTTTCGAGGTTTAGGGGTTACTTTTAGCTGCTGTGCATAAATTAATTAATACGAGATAGCCGGATCAATCTTTTTTACCCACATAAAGTAAATACTAGAACAAAAATCTAATCAGTGTGAAGACAATAACTCTTCAACTAATACAACCTTCTAAAGGTCTTGATGCGATTTCTACAAAGTAGAGAACGTTTCAAGGTAAATTGTATTTCACGTAGTAATATTTTCATAATTTTCTCAAGACAACGAAATCAGAGTGCTACAATATCGAAATCATTTTTTTCAATTATTAAATTCATTACAATCTATAAACATCATCAGCCATGACAAATTGACCATTTAAAACTATTGAGTAATTTTTGGATTCTTCCAAACACCAGCGAAAATATGTTTGACCAATGCTAGTGGGTCATTAGAACTCTTAGCACCCATTTGTTCAACATCAGGACTAAAAGAAGTAATTGGTAAAATTAAAACATCATCAATCACAATCGGTTGTTCCATACCAGAAAATAATTTCCAATCAATAATTTGTTCTGTTTTCTTTTTAACAGTATTTTCAGTAGATTGTAAAATTAAATTCATATATTGAAACACAAAATCGGTAAAAATTCCTGGACCTGTCCAATTCATTATATCACCACCTTCATCTTTTCCAAGAGTTTTTGTTAATTGATGTTTGATTTCTCTTGTTAATGTTAATTCTGTTATTCTAGAGATAAGCTCTCTTAACATTGGATGACCCTTTTTCAGTTGAATTGTCCATTGACAAAATTGAATTCTTCGAGCATACCATTCTGCCCAATCTGGCCTATCGGGATCAGCTTCTATTCCCACCACTAATCCAGCAGGATTGAATCTACCCCATATTTCTCGTTGTGCACTTGGCCAAGTATCTATTGGTTTCAAAGAAACAGTATCAATATCAGAATAAACTCCACCTCTTGCAAAAAGAATCAAGTACCTAAAAAAATCAGCTTTTAAAATTGATTTGGGCATAATTTTATATGCTTTTGCAACATCAGGAACCACTTGGTATAATTCATTAATCATTATGTCACATTGTTCATCAGGTAATATATAATGTTTATAATTTGGATTTTTTTCATCCCAAGTTAATTGATAATTTTTATATCTTTTGGGAAATGATTCATCATTTAATCCAACTTTCCAAGTTTGCCATATAATTTTGGGAAAATCTGAATTTATGTCGTAGGGGAAATATATTGATAATTGTTCAGATACTTTATTTGAGGGTACCACTAGATTTTTAGAGTTGGATTGAAAATTTAAACCTTTTGTTTTCCAATTTTTATGTGTTTCTAATTCTCTATATAGTTGTAATTTCGGTGAATTATATTCCGTTTTATAAGATGATGATGATCCATACGATCGCAAAAGGTAGATAAATGATAGTATTAACGACCCCGCTAGTAGTATTACTTTCAAATTTCTTTTCCCCATTGATTTGGTGAATCATAAAAGATAAACGAGATGAAAATTTAAAATTTTAATAATTAATTTATATAATATACACCAAAATAATAACCCAAAAAAATTTAACCCCAAAAAAGACTATTTAACTAAAATATATATACTTTTTATTCTTTATTTTATTTATTCTAATATACAGCAACAAGTAAAATTTGTTTGCATTATTATTTTCCTTTGGTGGAGTTTTACCACCATGAATTTGAAGTTGATGATGGGTTACCATAACTTGAATTATCATTAAAACTTGAACGTGAATTTGAACCAAAATCATTTCCACCATTTGAATAACCATTACTATTTGAATTACCCCATCCACCATTGTTTGAAGAATTACCCCAACCACTTGAAGAATTATTACCCCAATTTGATGCACCACTACTACCACCAGTTCTTCTAAAATCTCTATTGGAACCTCTTGTAGCTAAACCACCAGCTCTTGCACCTCCTCTACTACCTCCAACTTTACCAAATGCACTTTCTCTTGCAACTTTTGTTAAAAAATCTGGAACTTCTTGATTTGCTTCACTTAATAATTCAACTAAACCTTTTACAACATTTTTATTGTTTCTGTTAAAGAATGCAGTTGCAATACCAACGTTACCTGCACGACCAGTACGACCGATTCTATGAACATAATCATCAATATCACTTGGTAAATCATAATTTATAACATGAGAAACATTTGGAATATCTAAACCTCTTGCAGCAACTGCTGTTGCAACTAAAATTGGTGCAGCACCATTTTTAAAAGCAGCTAAAGCTTTTTCTCTTTCATATTGTGATCTATCACCATGAATAGCAGTAGCTGGAAATCCTTGATCATATAAGAAATCAGCTAAATTATCAGCCATTCTTTTAGTTTCAGTGAATACAATGGTTAATCCAGTAGGATCTGCATTTAAAAGGTCCAAAATAACTGATTTTTTCTCATCATCTTCAACATACAAAATTTTTTGAGTAATATTTTCTGAAGTTGAACCAACTCTACCAACACTTAAGAAAATATAATCTTTTAAGAAATCACGAGCTAACATTTGAATATCTCTTGGGAAAGTAGCTGAAAACATAAGTGTTTGTCTATCTTCGACATTTGGCATATCACATTCTTGAACAATATGTCTAATTTGTGGTTCAAAACCCATATCTAACATTCTATCAGCTTCATCAAGGACTAAATATTTAATATTTGCTAAAGAAACTCTTCCTCTTTCCAATAAATCTTTTAATCTACCTGGAGTAGCAACTAATAAATCACAACCTCTATCTAATTGTCTTATTTGATTACCAATATCTGCACCACCATAAACAACACAAGGACGTACCCATGATCTATAAGCAAATTTTTTACTTTCATCATAAATTTGTGAAACTAATTCTCTTGTTGGTGCCATAACTAAAATAGTTGGATATACTTTATGAGATGAAAAAGCACCAGTTGATTCAGGAATTGGAGCTGGTCCATTCATATAAGATTCAGATAATACAGGAAAAAGAAATCCACCAGTTTTACCTGAACCAGTTTGAGCACAAGCCATTAAATCTCTACCTGCAGCAACAATTGGAACTGAATATTTTTGAACTGGAGTTGGTTTTGTAAATCTTGATAATTTAACATTTTCAACTAATAATTCATCTAATGGAGGAGCAGTAAATTGAGTAATTGGTTCTGGTACTCCTTCACCACTTGCTTCAACTGGAATATCATCATAATTATCAAAATTAATACCTGAACTTTGAAAATGTGAATCATCAGCAGTACCAAATAATTCTAATTCTAATCTTTCATTATTTGGAGCAGGTTCATGTTTACCATCAACCCATTTACCAACTCCTGGAGTTGTTCTTTGGAATCTACCACCAGTTGAACCAAAACTACCACCTCTTGATCCACCTCTTGAAAATCCATTACTATTACCTCTATAATTAGGAGATGAATTACCATAATTACCTCTTGAATTTTGGTAGCCGTTTGAATTATTATTATATCCACCTCGACGTGATCCTCCTCCATATTGTACATCATCTTGTTGTTGTGGAGGTGCTGATCTATTTCTTAAATGAGGTGGTACATATTGTCTTCTACCATTTTGTTGTTGTTGTTGTTGTTGATAAGATGGGTTATTATCTTGTACATTTAAATTGTTCATCTGTTGAGTAATGTCTGACATATTTGATAAAAATCTATAAGTAATCTATTAAAAAAAGTTAATGAATATAATGAAATATGATTAATATTAATTTAAAAATACACTAAATCTGAATGTAATTAATCAATTATAATTTGATAAATAAATTTGTTTTAAAAAACTTTGGTTTTAATTTGAAATTTGTATAAAAAAAAAATTTATAAAAAAAAAAAAAATTAATCTTTACTCTAATAAAGTATGTAAAATAATTTTTTATTATTGTTAATTATTAAAGAGAAAGAATTTTTGTGTGTGTGAAAAATTACTTACTTACTCAATAATAATCTCTTCTCTCTGTTTTATTAAAAATCACCTTTAAATTAAACTATGTATGTAGAATATCCTGTATATAATTTACTTACATAATAAAAAAGAAATTAACCAAAAAAAAAGAGTGTGTCATTACTATTTTTAAATTATATACCTTAATTAAATAAATTACTTATAACCATTTAAAGAAATTCTTGCATGAGGATGAGCATAACAACATCTATCATCTGAATGTTGAAATGTTTGAGGAGTTGCAGTACCACCATTTGCTGGTAAATAACATAATTCTTCTGTTTCTTTAGAATCATCTGAATTTGATGATTTTATTTCTATAATATCTTGATCACTATAATTTATATCAAAATCTTCTTCTTCATCATCAACTTTACTTGCTTTAAAATTTGTTCCATTTTCATCTTGATTTTCAACAATCATTTTACGAGTTTCTGGTTTTAAATATGAACTAAATGGTTTTTGTTGTTCTCTTATATTCCAATGTAAATTTCTACTTACTGAATCAATATATTCAGTTTTAGAAGATATAACTGTTGGGAATGGGAATGGTGATGCTTGTACAGTTACATAATAACCTTTTTTTAATTCTGTTCTTACTCTACCATCAAATGAACACCATGCAGTAGATCTACTACTCAGTGGGACTTTAATTTTTAAAAACATTCCATCAGGTAATAATATTGGTCTAAATGATAAAGTATGTGGACAAATTGGTGTAACACTTATCGCACTTACTCCTGGATGAACTAATGAACCACCTGCAGATAAGGAATAAGCAGTTGAACCTGTAGGAGTTGCAATAATTAAACCATCAGCTTGTGCAATAGTTAATAAATTACCATCACCATAAAGTTCTAATTGAGTAACAAATGGAGAAGGACCTCTATCAACAACAACTTCATTTAATACTTGTTGTTCACAAATTAATTTTCCTTCAGCAGTATGAACTCTACAAGTAAATCTCATTCTTAAATTTGCTTTTACACCAGAATCAATACAATGATTCATTCTTGATTTATATTCATCAAATTTAAAATTTGTTAAAAATCCCAAACTTCCCAATGCAAATGATAATACTGGTGGTACAATTCTTTGAAATAAATTAGAAACATATAATACAGTTCCATCACCACCTAAAGTAACTACTAAATCAAATAATTCTGGAGATTTATAAGTTAATTTTTTATTCCAATACTTTAGATGTTTATTAGCTGTTGGATATTCTTCTTTTATAGTTTTTGCATTAAACCTTTTTGAATCTTCTAATTTTGAATCAACATAAACCGTAATACCTTCATGCTTTGTAAATAACCATTCAACAACTTCTCTTGTTAAATAAATTAATGAATTATCACGAGCTTTTGTAACAATCATAACTGCTTTAACATCTAATTGTATAGTAGCTCTTGATAAATTTTTTGCCAACATTCTTACTCCATTAGCAGTTTCTGCCAATTCTGTATGAGTTTTCACAGATCTTAATTCATCTGATGATAATCTCGACAAGACATCTTTTGCGGTTTTGTTGTTCATTCCAACTTCTTCACAATATAATTTTGAATGTATTCTTGGTGGTTCTCTTACAAATATATCTTTAGGTGAACAACAAGTACTATTATCTATTGATCCATTTAGAGGAGTTGAAGTTGGATTTGTTGATATTGAACTTAAACTAAATTGACTTCTATTAAATTTTTGTATTGAATTTTTACGACGAAATGATGAATGTTGAGGTTGAGGTTGTATTAGATTTTGTTGTGATTGTTGTTGTGACGGAATTTGTGGATTCATTACCTCTGTTGCTAATGATGATATTGATGATGATGAACTTGTATGTGATAACCCATTTTGATTTTGATGTGCTTGACGAATTTGCTGTAGATCCATTGGTTCTGATGGTGATACTATTTTTGTTAATGGATGTAGTTCTGGTGGAATATGACGTGGTGAATGTGAATTAGTTTTAATTAGTGTAGGTTCATTGTTAAAAACATCTTGCATTTCATGGGGAGTTTCGTTGATAGAATCTTCAGTATTCATATTTTTCAATTGTGCCGTCAATTGGCTTTGAGTATAATCCGACATGGAATATATGGTCAGTTTTTAAGGCTTTAAGATTATGAACTCTTGACAAAAAGCCAACCAAAATTTGAATGCTAAAAATATTTTTGTACCTTGACTTCCACTAATCCTGTTTTAACTAACTTCAAATAAGTAATTTCTGTAATTAAAACTTGTATAATATAGTTCTTATTTTGAACTTTAAGTAATGTAATCAAGTTTTCTAAAATCTATTGGATCTTATCACGATTCAGGGCAAGTCAAATACTTTTTTTTTTTGCTTTATGAAAAAAATGCGGATCGGAAATATAATAAAATAAATCAAATTTTTATGGAGATAGAACTTTTTTACAACCTAAGAGATTCAATTGATGAGAAATTTATAATTATTAATCTAATAAATCATGGAATAAAATTTATACCAACCAAAGAGATTCGTAAAATAAGAAAATTATTTATTAACCAAGATGTCTATTTTTACTTGTGATTTTAATCTCTACATTTCCATAATGGATTTGTTTTATCTAATAATGGTAATGAAGCACCTAAACACCAACCTAATTCATTATTATCAATCTTTTTAGCAGTTCGTAATTCTCTATTTAAAGGAATGTCATACCCAGTATGTAACATAGCAGTTATAAAACTTAAATCTAAACACCATTGAGGATTTTCATTTAAATTTACCAAATGATCATCTAAAAAGAAATCTTTCCACATTGATTCACCAGAACATACAGATTTTGTTAAATCTCTTAATTCTTCAACTGTAAAACTTGATGGCATACCAATTGGTGTTGTTCTATCATAAAAGAATGAAAAAATGAACATATCTGAATTTTTATTAAATGCATGAGTTAATGATGGTTGATGAACTCCATTGAATGAACAAGGTTTTGAATCACACGATGCTTCTTTATTTAATATTTGTTCTGCTAAAAATCTACATTGTGAACCACCTGAAGCTTGTGATGGACCTTTCATATTAACAACATAAATTTCATCATCTGCTACTTCGACTTGTACATTTTTAGCAATAACTTCAGGAGCAATACAAGGATTTAAAAGATCAGTAGTTGCAACTGCTTCTTTAGCTTCCTTTTTGGATTTATATGAAGTTAAACTATTATCTTTCTTCAAGTGTTTCTCCAATATTAATTTATTAATTTTATTTCTACCTTGCATTAATCCATAACCTAAATGACTAAATTGATATAAAGTAAAATCATGTTCACCAAATGAAAATTTATGCTTAGTTTCTCCTTCTACTGGTATTTGATCTTTATATTCAGGTTCAAAAACAATTTGTGTAGATCCACCACCTAAATCAAATACTGCAGCAGTTGGTAATTTATCTTTATTACCAATGTTTCCCAATAAAAAGTTTGCAGTGACCCATGCATAAACTCCTTCATCTTTACCATCTAAAATGGAAATACCATCACCTGGTACAACTGCAAATGGATAATTTTCCAATAAGTGTCTTTTAACTTCTTGTAATATAGCTTCAGATTTAGCTTCACCTAATAATCTTAAACCTGCAGTTGCTTTCACAGCAATTGGTGTACATTTTTGTTTATTTTTTGGAACTTTTTGTAATGCAACTTCTAATAATGGATCTAATGATTTTGCAGCTCCTACAGTATCAGTATCATAGGAACTTAAACCTGGTTCAAGCATTTTAAACTCTTCAGATAATACTCTTGGAGGTTGTACACATGTATTAAATTCATAAACATGAACTCTTGAACCTGAACTACCTGCATCTATCATTATAACATAATCAACGTCATTACATGCTTCTCCTTTAAAATTTGATTGTTTTGGTGTTGTAATTTTTTGTACATCATTTGATCCTGAAATTTCATTATTACTATTTTCTGGAGTTAATTTTTCTGCTATAATTTTTTTAGGTTTATCATCTTTTTCATATGGAGCTTTTGTACCTACATGAGGTGAACCTTGTAAAGTATTTTTACTTTCATCATCTTCAACATCTTTTTGTGGTGGTGGTTGTATTGGTTCTTGTTGTGATATATCATCAATTATTTCATTGTTATTACTAGAAGACTTTCCTAATTCAATATCACTGTTTGCAGCTGGTTTATTAACTCTTTGAATAGATTCTCCGATTGAATTTCTTGATGTTGCAAAAAATGTTATTATACCAAGTATAGCTAAAACTGCAACTACTAATCTTATATTCCTAGTATTTAGCATATGATGTATTGGTATTTATGGTGCAAACTTAGGGAACTAAATATTAAATAAATGAGATCAAGAACTCTATCTGAGAAATATGAAAATTCTATGTTACTATCTTCCTCGTATTATTATTATTTATTTCTTTTAGTGAGAGAAAAAAAATTTTGATTATTTTTTATACGTGTTTTGTTACTGTTAATTTATCTTATTACTATTATGCGTTTGTATTAGTAAAAGTAACATCAAATTTAAATACAATCGTTAGTGATGTTGTGAATACTTGTGATAAACTCATTTATGATTTATCGTAATATTGAAGCAGTAACGCAGATAAAACATATTTACAACTTAAATGAAATGGACCAAAAGTTCTATGTGTTGAATTATTAATCAGAATTTTAATTACTAAGAAACTTAATCTTAATAAATTTTTGATGTATTATATTTTACTTATATACAGTCCTGATAGCTATAGTGTTTTCAATTCCGTTTTCATACAACAAATCCTAAAACAAAATTACAGAAAACAGATTTCCAATATCATTTTTTGAAGGATTTGAATCTCTAAAGGGGCTGCAACTCTCGATTCCAAGTTATTTCCTTATCTTAATAAGTTCTGACAATTTTTTATTTAATCTTGTACCACAACTGGTTAAAAATCACAAACATCAAAAGATTGATGACATTATTTTTTTAGTAAACTTTTTAAAATAAATTTAAAGCTTCACACTAGATTAACTATTTTTTAGTCCCGAAAATAGACCTTAGATTAAACGTTTATTTATAATGTCTCGGTTAAGATTGAAATTGATAGAGTATTATGATTCAAATTTTTAGTTTGAACCTCACCACGTTTCACAAAAATTGAAACGTGCTATCTTAATGCTACCAAATTTTGTAAGATATGGATTGTATGTGCTAAACAATCAAAATACAATACTAAATGTAAATATATAAAATATATAAGTACGTAAATCTCATGTTTCAAGTCGGTAAAGTTTTGTTTGGTTTCAAATTTAATCTACTTTCCTGAGTTAATTTTGAATTAATGTTTCCTCAATAATAATGATTAAGAGTAAAGTTAAAAAATCGAGATATTCAAAATTCCCATTCTCAACTTGCAATAATGATCATTTAAAAGATACAAATACTTTGATTACTCATGGAGTCAATTTAACTATTCAGTTAGGTACTTTAAACCTACATGATTTTGAAATAGAAGATAGTAGAAATTTAAACTCAACAAGTCACATCTCCCGAAATGATATCAACAATAGCAAAGATAACTACAATAACAAACACCAATTTGAAGATGATGATGAAGACGATTATGAGTCAGATAGTGAAGAAAGTCTTATGGACTACGAACATGAACCACCAAGTCCTATTTTAATACCCACTGACCTACCAAAATCATCATTAAGAAGAGGAAGTTTAACAAGAAGATTATCAGACGATGTAAGCTACTGTATGTCCTTACATTTGTGTCATAATAAAATTGAGAATATGATCAATGAATATTTCCCAAAAGATTTAATAAATGATGACAAAACATATATTGAAATCAGAAATTATATAGTTAATTCAATAATTCAAAATGAAAATAATATTGAAAAATTCTTAAACAAAATAATAAATCATAAATTCAAAAACGAATTATCAGATATAATACGATCAATATTTATAGAAAAATTTGTTGAATTGAGACTAGAAAATTTAATTGATTACTTCCACAATTTTTTAAATCAAAATCAAAATATCTTCAAGAAATCAAGTTTATTAGATAATCCATTGTTTTATGAAAAATATTATAAAATTTGGAAATTAGATATAAATGATTATAAATTTTATGAGGAAGAATATTTCTTAGATTATTTTAATAACGCAGGAAAGTCCTCAGCATCAGTTGAGCATATAATGTTACAAAATGGATTTTTAATAAATTATAGAAGATTTGTATCGTATTTTACAAAAGATGTTTCAAATTACTATGATGATGATGATGATGATGATGATGATGATGATGAAGAAAAAAAAGAAGATGAAGAAGACTTGAGCACCCCTTACTCACAATTATCAGCTTATGATGACAATTCAAGAAATAATAGCATAGATTCAAATTTACTGTTAGACTCATTAACTCATACGCCGAAATGTTTGAGATTTAATGAAGACATTAATATTATAAAAATCAATAGGTACTTACCTGTAGATCATATTTTATATGAAAAATTTTTAAAAAGTTGCAATTAGGATAATTAATTATAGATATTTAGTTCTTAAGTAATATACGTGCTGGCATTATATTAGAGTTTACATTTTTATAATTTTTGCAGCTATTGAAAGCCACTTACGAGATCTGTTGGTAGCATATATATTACACAAATTTGTACTCCGAATTATATTGAACATAGATGTAATTTAAACGTTTTGTATTGAATAAACATAACTCAAGGAACTTTCAAAGCTTAGATCTCATATTTTGATTTATCTGAAGGTTATTTCAACGTATAGATTCTCAAATAAGGTCAATTGTAGAGTTTTGAATTTTTCCGGTCTCCTTTTCTTGTTATCATTAAGAAAAAAATCGTTACTGGATCTAAAAAAATAATTTTGTAGTAAAAGGGTTTTGAGACTAAAAATATTATTATATATTATCATTTAAATTGGTTGTCAATTATTTTTACCCCATTCCACTTTACAGCTAACATTAATGTTTCTGACACCAACAAGTTCAGATCAATCAAATGGCTCTAAAAATACTAATAACAACGGCCCGGATCTAAATCAAGAACAGAAACCAATAAAGAAAAAGAAAAGATCATTAGGAACATTTCCTTGTCAACATTGTGATAAAGTTTTCAGTAGGTCAGATCATTTAGCGAGGCATAATTTAAATCATGAACCTAAGGAAGTTTATGTTTGTGATTTCCAAGTAACAACAAATGGTGAATCAACAAAATGTGGTAAAACTTTTGTAAGAAAAGACTTGAAAGAAAGACACATCAAAAGACATTATGAACTCATGGAGTCTGACTCAAATGGAGTTATCAAAAACAATATTATTACCAACAAAAGGAAAAGAAAACAGTCTTTAGTAAGCAACGACTCAAGCTCGGAAAATAACAATCACTCACGTTTACCACCACAACAACAACAACCACTTTATAACAATAATATACAATATCCACCAGTATCATATCCAAATCAACCACAATTATCGCCATACAATAATTTAAATTTACCAATCCCACCGCAAAATCAAAATTCTCAAAATTACGGCTCAAGTTCTTCAGTTGGATCTTCACCAAGGTACCCAATGGCAACTCATAACGGTTCCTTAACAAACCAGGCAGATTTGTCATCTTTATTCAAAACTTATGGAACAACAATACCTCAAAACGATATAATATCATGGCTTTTCAATGACAACCAACCAAATCAAAATTCACAATCAAAACATCAACAATACGATAATTTTAGATCGCCACCTAACAATCAACTAGAAAATTTGATACCTGGAGTACCCAATTTTCAACAAATGCCCCAAATTCCATCACCTTATGGAGGCTCTGACTTTTCGCCCTCATATCATCAAACTTATAACACCAACCTAAATTCTAATGTAAAACAAAATTTAATTCATGATCATATTGGAGTCTCGAATAGTAACGGACTTGATACGAATGTTTTCCTGCAAGAGGTTAATCCGTTAGATGATTTATTTTTTACAAACTATCAAGCTTTTACAAATAATAGACGACAATTACAACCAACAAATGAAGAAAATGTAGCGAGTCATCCATATTTAGCATTTAATACTACTACTTCAAACTCACCTACGACAACTATGGAATCTAGTGGTGAGAACAACGCCATTGTTTCAGATACAATTTCATCAGAAGAAAACAAATTTTTACATCATTCTGAAAACTTCAACAAGGAGAAAAACCCTAATTTTTTTGTGGACTCTGCCTTAATTGATGATATATTAATGCAAATTAATATTTCAAGATTGAGCTTACCAGATAATGGTCGAGATCTAGAAAACAAATTCTCGTATTACTTAAATCTGTATTGGAGACATTTCCATCCAGAATTTCCTATATTGCATAAACCTTCATTTAATTCTAAAACAGCAAATCCATTATTATTGATATCAATGATCATTGTGGGTGCTCAATATAGTTTTCCAGAAACTGCCAAACAAAGAGCTTATAAGCATCAAAAATCTTATGAATTTAATTTAAGTTTACAGTTGGCTAAACCTTTAAGATTTGCTTTATTTATGCATGATGATTTCAAATCACCAGTCAAAGTTTGGATTTTACAATCATTGAATATGTTGGAATGGGTTGAGAAAAATTTCTTGTCTCGAAGAATGCATGAAAGAGCTCATTTACATCATGGAACAACAGTACAATTGTTAAGAAGAAGTCCTATCATGGGAGGAAATCCAGCAACAATGCAGAAAAAAGGTGCAAGTATTTCATCAAGCGGTGGAGAAGATAGTGATGTTAATGAATTAGATGAAGTTAAAAGTACTTCATCTGAAGAACTTGATCATGAATTATTCAATCAATGGCTAGAATCAGAGTCTATGAAGAGAGCTACTTTTATGACTTTCTACTTAGATATAATTGACTATGTCAAATTTAGACATAATCCTCAAATTTTGTTTTATCAATTACAATTATTAAATTTACCATGTAATGATGAACATCTTTGGGAATCAAAAGATATTAATGGATCCTTTAAAAGACTTGTAAAGAAGCAAAGAAAAATTCAAGACAATGCAAGTCGTAAAAAATCTAAAACTGAAAGTTTTTTAACTTCACTTAAAAGATTAATAAAACAAGATAAAACTCAAGATTTGAAGTCTACTTCTCCTTTCATACAAAAAATTATGTTGGCTGGTCTAACATCATTAATGCATCAAATGCAACAAGTTGAAATTCAAAATAATTCTTCATTAATTGCAACCACTACAAACTCATCAAATAATAAAATTTGGAAAGATATTTTAATTAGAGCTTTTGATCATTGGAATTTTGAAGTTATGCAAGGAAAAGATCAAAATCATCATATAAATGACAAAATTTCAACATATAGTATATCTCACAACAAAGTTCCATTACCAATTTTTTACTTAACTCAAATTATCGGGTTATCAGAAATCAATCATTATGATATTGCTATATTTGGAGGATCACCAGCAAATCAAAGTGTAAGTGCAACAATGAAAGATCATTATATAGTTCAACAAAAAATGAATAAATTATGGTCATCAAACAAAAATAATAAGGAAAATTTTAGAGGTATTATTTACTGTTATATATTCTTATGGCAATTATTATTAGATGAAAATGGTGATGCATTAGAATGGGAACCAAATAAAGATTATTATGATAGTTCAGCTGCTGTAAGTATCGCTGTTCTAATACTATGGAGTTATTGTTTTATAACTTGTGGTTTAGAAAGTTCAAGACATCAAGAAATTGAAAATGAAAAACCTACCACGTATGAAAAATTAGTTCAATTAAGTGCAGAGGATGGTCATCAATATTTGAATCGGATCAAACAAGAATTTTTGACAAATTTGAGAAAGTTAAATTTACACAAAGAATTTAATATTAACTTGTATCAAGGTACAAAACATCATGAAATTATAAACAAGTATTGTGAGCTTTTACCGTCAATTTCAAATAAACAAAATATATCTGGACTTTGTTTTCTAATCGGTACAAGACTAATGACGAGTCAATGGGAAGTTATTAGAGAAAATGCCAAACTAATTTTAAATTGTGGTCTTAGATCAATTGGTAAAAAGACAATTTTATGTCTAGACTTATTTGAAAATGATTTTACGTAAATTTATAAAAAAAAATATTATCAAAATTTATTAGATCCTTTATCGAACTGAATTATTCAAACTATACCAATAATACCGCATTCACACAACCATCTCTATCTGGTTCATTTGTTATTTGTGCATATTTACCCCAAACAACTTTACCACCAGCTGTTACCAAACCTAATTCAGAAACATTTACTTCTATTATGGTACCTTTTGTTAATACACCTAATTGAGTATACATTGGTGATTGAGGATTTTTCTTGACTCCCAATATTGGTAAAAATACAGTAACTCCTAATTCTGGATGTGTTACATTTGCCTTTTTCTGTCTTAATGCTGCAGGACGTATAATTCTTTCCATTTTAACGGGTCTACGAGTAAAACCTTCTCCAACAAATGTATGTTTTGTTATCATTCTTTTCCAACTCTTGTTCTTTTGTTTACCTGTCTTTATAACTTTGAACATTTCTTCTTCTGATATACCTCTTACCTTGGGTAATGGGACTGAGAATTTATCAGCTTTTTCTAATCTTTTTTGTTTAATACTTGATGATAATGCCTTTGCTGTATTGTTTGTTTGACGATCTAAAAGATATGTTGGTAATGCTTCACCATCATCTTCTTTTGGAGTTGATGGACCTTTAACTTTACTTTCTTGATGAGCTTTAATTTTCTTTTTCATAGATACTTTTTCACTATATCTCTTTTTAGCAAATTGTTTAGCCTTCCAACCTTTCAAATTTTGAGCATCTTTTGCGACTTTATGACCTTCTCTTGCTATTCTTTTTCTTTTTCTTTCTTCATGATCAAACCTTCTACCATGTTGTTTTATATGCTGCTCTATATATTCGTTTTGAGGCATCTTGTATGTTTGAATTTGTTGATTAGTTAAAAAAAAGGTTGATTACTTCTTTGACTTATTAAATAATCATTTTCTCACTTAATCTCATCTTAATAATATAAAAATCCAGTAACACAAAAAAGAATCTATACCGTATCTGATTTATTATAGAAGAATCAAAAAAAATATATATATATAATTACCACCAATAGCTTTATCAACTAAAATTATTTCATAAATGTCAAATATAGATAGTATATTAAACTCTATCATAACGTCAACAAGATCAGCCAATCTTGCAGTTCAAGATTTAATCAATTCAGAATCAAATGTTGAAACTCCAGAACTTATAAAAAATTTACAACAAAAGTCAAACCAATCAGAACTTGAAGGCATCTCCTTACTCTCATTAAAAAACCAATCATTAACTTCATATATAAACAATTTAGCTTTAATAGTGCTAGGTCAATTAGATAGACTAGAAAATGACGACTCCGAAAATATAAGATCAGATGCAATAACTCGTTCCATAGTTCAAAGAGTAACCTTGGAGAAAGGTGTAAAACCGTTAGAGAAAAAACTTAATTATCAGATAGAAAATTTGCTCAAAGCTTATAATAAAGAAAACGACTCATACCAAAGAAAACAAAATGAAAACGAGGAAGAGATAGAAGAAAATGAAAAGGGTGAAGAACAAATAGATTCTGAAGATGAGGATGATGAGTTAGCATTTAGACCAGATGCGTCAGCATTAGCAAAATTAGCACCAAAATCAGATTTAAAAGATTCCAAATCAGATTCAAATGAAAAATATAAACCTCCAAAAATTTCAGCTATTGCACCACCATCATCATTCAAAGATTCAACTGAAAAACCTGAAAAAAATCAAAAATTACAAAGTATGGAGGAGTATTTACAGGAACAAAGTGATTTACCTACTGCTGAAGCAAGTATTGGTTCAACTATTGTGGGTCATGGAAGAGGTGGAGTTAAAACTTCTCATGATCGTAAAAAGGACCAAGAAATTCAAAATTATGAAGAAAGTAATTTCACAAGATTACCAACAACTCAAACTAAAAAATCTTTTAAACAAAAGCAAAGAGATATGGCTAATCAATTTGCCGGTGAAGATTGGAGCATGTTTAATGGCAATAACGATAAGAATTTAAGTTCTGGTACTTCAAGGAAAAGAAAAGCGACAACATCATGGGATAGAGCTAAGAAAAAGCGTCAATAATTGTATACCAAATTTATAGAAACAAATACATAATGTTGCTGATCACCATGGTAACGAAAATTGAACAACATAATGTTTTGTATCGCCCCTAGTTAATCTAGAACATGTCATTTCTATCAATTCCTATAAAATGAATTAATCGTTCAAATTTAAGTTATGTCACATATAATTATTCAATTTGTTGTGAAATTTGATGTTTATAATTAGGAAAAACATTACTCCAAGCGCCTGCAGATTTTGAATTAATATTAGTTATTTGTTACAAAAAATAGATGGAGTGAGCATTTTTTTTTTTATTTGCAACAAATGAAGTCTTTGATTGCGCTGTAAAAGGTTCGGTAAATCATTGATCATATAATCAATTATGATGAGGAATTTCAACATTTGAAATTTTTTATATTGAATTATGATCTTAAATTAGTTCAATTTTTAGATCAAATCGACCAGGGCTACTATCCAGTGAAAAGATTGATCAAATTTGGCAAATTTAAAAGGTAGTCAATTAATGACCAGACAAAGTAATTGAGCGATAAGTTTTTCGAAAATATTTCGGAGGTCAAAAATGTTTATAGCAGTAAATTGTAATTTTTGTAACTGAATAATTTTGTAATTAATGTACAAAGTTATAAAAATTTGAATTAATTAATTTAAACAAAATATACTATCAGAACTTTATTGATACCTATCAAAAATTTATACATGTTGCAGGTTTGTTACGATTTTAATTGCTACAAATTTCTTGCGATCAAAATATCAAATGATTCAACTTTGAGAGTATAGAAAAATTGACTTTACACATAGATTCTTTTGAAGCGTAGATCAATTTTTTTCGTAAATACATCTCTAAAAAATTATAATTCAATAGAAAACTTTCTCGTAAATTTTAATTTAGTTTTAATTATGCGCATAAATTTGTTTGTAGTAACAATAGAAAAACAATCAAAGAAAAAGAAATGTACGGCATTGAAACAATAAGGTATTGATCTAAAAACTTAATCATATACTAGAATTTAATGGTTTTTATAATGAAAGGGAGTTTCTTTGATCAATTGTATTTGTGAATTTAACTCAACAGATGAAAAGTACATGCCCAAAATTTTACAAAATTAGCATAATTAACAGGAGTGTTTTGGCAAAAGTTAAAGCTCACCCCAAAATTAGATAGCATGAATCAATTACTTGAGTCTTTTTTTAATTGGTGGAAACTCAACAGTTCTGTGATCTATAAAATAGCACTTATTACCTCATTATACCTAGGTATTAATTGACAACGTCTTTGAATGTGGAATAACAATGGGAAGTTGATTGAACAACTTATAGATTCCCTATTCTTGTTTGCAAATAAGTGAAATAGCTAGTTTCGATGAGAAATGGCAATCTTGGAATTCTCAAATATAAATAGCCACTAAAATTCTTTTGATTGAAAAGTAAAACCTTTCCATCTATCAGTCCAAACTACTAAATCTACAAAATCAGAATAAAATACAAAAAGATGAAATTCTCCTCCGCTGTTATAGCTGCTGCTGCTTTTGCTTTGATTGATGCTGCTCCTTTTTGGTTTAGAAGAGATTACAATGACACTTTACCAGCAAATACTATTTCTGAAGCTTCAACACCACTTCCTTCTCCATCAACATCTATTAAATTCGAAACACAATCAACCACAGAAGATTCAAATAATGCTATCACTCCTGCCCCAACAGACACTGCCACCGAATTAATTACAGAAAGTGAGACTACGGCTGAAATTATAACTGATAGATCAAGTTATTGTGAAAATAGACAAACTGTACCACGAACTAATTGGTACCTTTGCGATCCGTACTGGACACCAAATACCGTGACTGACGAACCATCAACATCATTCGACTGGGGTACCGCTGTTGTAGGATGCCTTCTTGATGGTCCAGATGGAACTGTTGCAACCACATTTGATTGGATGAAACCTAGTCACCGAATGCCAATGTACGGTTGCTGGATAACCCGTCTTGGACAAAATGCTGATGACGATCTTTGGCTCCTTAATGATTGGGCTCTGTTTGGACGTATGAGTAGAGATGATAAGGAAGAAGATTTACCTGAGTGGGTAGAAGCTATTCCAACAACCGTGGTGAGTACTCACTAGCTTTCTTGTAAATCCCTTACTAGCTTTTGTTTAATTAATTAATTTAGTTTTATTTTTTTACCAGTTCAATTAACAACAAATAAATTTTAAATTTATGTCTTGAAGATTTTGCAGCCAAATTACTTTAATAATCTCTCGCTAATTAATCATGAACAATATGCACTACTTTTGTGAAACAATCTTCTGTTTTGAGAATTTGGAGCGGCTTTTGAACCTTCCACATTAATTTTTCAACATTGACTAAAGAATGCGAGCTTAAACACATTATTTTCACACCTGAATTTTGGTCCAATTATTCGTACATTTACTTGAATCAATCAGAATTTAAAGAAGTATTGACAGTTGAATCGATTATAAATGATGAAACTTATCACCTCCGTAGTCTTACTTTTATCAGTAATTTTTTATTTCATTGGTCAAACCAAAGCTGCCAAAGATTTACCAGAACTTCCAGAAATTACAAAAGAAATTTATTTTGATATTGAAGAAGATGGAGAGTCAATCGGTCGTATTACCATTGGATTATTTGGTGATGTAGTTCCAAAAACTGTTGAAAATTTTAGAGCTTTAGCTACTGGTGAAAAAGGATTTGGTTATCAAGGTTCAATTTTCCATAGGGTCATTCCAAATTTTATGTTACAAGGTGGTGATTTTACTCATGGTACCGGAGTTGGAGGCAAATCAGTATGTTTTTTTGATCTAGCAATAATCAGATCACTTTATTGGTATACTAACAAAAAATTTTAGATCTATGGAAACAAATTTGATGATGAGAATTTTGAAGTAAAACATGATCGTCCAGGTTTATTATCAATGGCCAATGCTGGTCGTAACACGAATGGCTCACAATTCTTTATTACTACCGTCCCAACTTCTTGGTTAGATGGAAAACACGTTGTTTTTGGTGTAGTTACTGAAGGTATGGATGTTGTTAAAAAGATTGAAGGTGTTAAAACAGGACGTGCTGATCGTCCTACAAAAGAAATCAAGATTTTAAGAAGTGGGGAAAATAAACTTGAAGTTGAAAAAGATGAACTTTAAATAGGTTTACTATCAAAATTTTATTGCTCAGTATACAAGTGAATGTTTCTCATTATTTTTCATTAAAATCCTCTACTAAATTAAATTTATACATTAGTTTTCAAATTCAACAACTCTATCGTACTACCCTTACCATATAATGGTATATCATCCAAATAAATCTCATTGCTGGCTTCATTCGTAACTTCATTCAATAACAAATCGAAGGCTGCACTAGATATAGTATTTGTTGTTAATTGGGGGGTATTTGAAGTTACACTTGGTGGTTGTCCAATTGTAGGGCTATCAGTCATTGAAATTGGAGTATCAGTAGTAATAGGTAAAGTATCAGATAAAGTAGTCACCTGTTTCATTGCTTGAGGTTGATTTTTTGTATTATTTTTTTCATGTAATGAGTTGTTGAATGAATGACCACCATCTGATATATGATAGCTTGTCATTTGATTTAGTGTATCTATCGATTGTCTTAACGATAAAACATTAGCTAGTAGTCTTCCAGATAAAACGTCATAAATCTTAGGAGCTTGATAAACATTTGCACCAATTATATAATAATCTTGTATAGTAAAAGTATGTTGTTGATTAAATCTTTTTTGTTTTCTTATTATCCAAAAATCAGGCTCTTTAACAAATGCAATAACAAATTCAATCCCAGTCATTTCAGATAATCTTGATTGAAAATATTGATAAAAATTCATGTTATTAGGTAATTGAATTTGTTGATATTGAAATTGCATCATTAATACTTGATTATTTGAAGTACGATCATAAAATGGTGAAAGTGCAAAATATTCTAAAACATTACTTGTATTTAATCCTCTCTCCTGAATAAATTCAGGCGATTTCCATTGTATTTCGTCTAATGCTTCCATAAGTTAATCGAATTAGAATGTTTTCTATTCCCCAAACTTGGATCTTTGGATTTTTATTTTTTAATTAAAATGAATTTATTTAAAAATTAAACAGCTGAAGAATTGAATAAAACAATTATATTTTATATGACTTTTAGGATCTGTTAAGAATGTAGTCAATGCAATAATGTTTATTATGATTGATTTTGAAGTTGAAATGTTTGTCAAAAAATAGTATTATATGTCCGAGACATCTTTAGAAAAGTTGATTCTGAAAACATATAGCAAACAGAGATAGAAAATCATAAAACTAACAATCAATTGTACAAATGCCAGGTAAAGATATATATTTTTTCAAATTCATAGTCAATAATCAAGTATTTTATAAATCAAAATTTTCATACGCATTAGTTAACCTTAAACCACTAGTCCCTGGTCATGTTTTAGTTGTACCATTAAGAACTTCAGTATTAAGATTTGCTGATTTAACTCCAGATGAATCAATTGATTATATGAATACATTACAATTAGTTCATAAATTTATATCAAAAATATATAAAGCTGATTCATTAAATATAGCAATACAAGATGGACCTGAATCTGGTCAACTGATACCACATTTACATACGCATATAATACCGAGATATAAAACTGATGGATTTGGAGATTCAATATATAATAAATTAGAAGTTGATGATTTAGATGCACATTATAAACAATTCGAAGAAAGAAAACTGAAATTTATAAATATAACTGAAAATTCTAAAAGTGAATTAGATCAAAATGATGATGCAAGAAAAAATCGAACTAATGAAGAAATGGAAAAAGAAGCTAAACATTTAAATGAAGAGATTGAGAAGTTTATAATAGACTCTAAATTGTAATATAATACATAGATCAGCATATTCCCTTCAAGATAAGTTGATACAGTAACGTTCTTCTAATCAACCTAAAATTGATTAAATGGGTTACAACTTACATCAATCAAATCATTCTATTCACTTCTACCTTATCTATTAATGCGAGTTTATAAAGTTGATGAAACAGATATACGTAAATGTGTAGTTACGTTTATAGAATTATATTTTAAATTTTAAGAAATTTGAAACATATATATCCCCTCGGCTGTTATAAAAAGTATAAATAATTATTAGAAATATAATAAAAAGCCATAATTAAATTACATTAAAATGTAAACTTTACAAAATTAATTTTAGAACCACTATAACTTTTATTAATAGGATAAGAATTTATAAATTAGATAATATATATTAGTAATATTAAATTTTCAGTATCATATTTTGAACCACCCCTAGAATTAAATTTTTCTCACTGGAACTGCTATTAAATTTTTTTATATTAATAATGATCTGATAAATCGAGATTCATATGATTATACAAAATTGAAAGAAAAAAAATTAATGTTAATAAAACTTCATATTTTAAAGAATACTTTATTCAGTTCCATTTAAATGGACCCAAAACTCTATCCTTAAAAGCTACTTCGTCACCAATTACATATAACTCATATGTTTTATCATCCTATCTTCTATGAACTTAAGCATTTTTATTTTCTTGAGTTAAGAAAACACGTCTATTTGATAAACTATAGAAATAACGACATTTTGATACCATCAAATGGTAGCTGTAATGTTCTATACATACTAATTTAATTAATAATAATGGAACATATTATAATGTAATAAATAAATAATTATTTTAATAATTCAAAAATATAAAAGGGACTTAATCTGCCCACCCCTCCAAATTTTTCTATCTGTGAAATTTTCTTTTAGTACTTCTTTTCCATTATTTTTTAAGTCAATTGATCAATTTTCTTTTACTTATTCAGATTATTCATATAAAATGGCTCCACAAATTCAAAAACCAGCTCCTTCATTTACAAAAACTGCTGTCGTTGATGGTGTTTTTGAAGAAGTTTCATTAGAACAATACAAAGGTAAATGGGTACTTTTAGCATTTTTCCCATTAGCTTGGACTTTTGTTTGTCCAACTGAAATTATTGCTTATTCAGATGCTTTCAAAAAATTTGCTGATAAAGATACCGAAGTTTTATTTGCTTCAACTGATTCAGAATATACTTTATTAGCTTGGAATAATGCTGCCAGAAAAGATGGTGGTTTAGGAAAATTAAATATTCCATTAGTTGCTGATACTAATCATTCATTAGCAAAAGATTATGGTGTTTTACTTGAAGATGAAGGTGTTGCTTTAAGAGGTATCTTTTTAATTGATCCAAAAGGTATTTTAAGACAAATTACTATTAATGATTTACCAGTTGGTAGATCAGTTGATGAATCATTAAGATTAGTCGAAGCTTTCCAATTTACTGAAAAATACGGTGAAGTTTGTCCAGCAAACTGGCAACCAGGTTCAGAAACAATCAAAGCCACTCCAAATGACTCAAAAGAATATTTCTCAAAAGTTAATAAATAATTGGGATGTATAGGCATTAAATTTTGTATGTAACGATTACTTTTTTTTCAATAATAAAACAATTGATTTATTAAATTGATTTGGAGATTTGTAGATGTCAGTTCAAACACGATACGACGAACGAAATTAAAGTTTTTTCTAAATCGTTAAAAGCTAAGATAAGAACGTTTGTGGCACAAGTACGTCAAATGGAATTTTATTCAGAATCAATAATTGATTATATATATGAGTTTGGCTCAAGCCTTAGCAAAAGTTCGCGTTTAAGATATTAAGAAGGGTCTTTGGCCAAATTAACAATTGTAAGATATAATAGATTTGATTTATGTTGTCAAAACTGTGATTAGTTTTAATATGAAACATGTTGAACCAATCATAAAAATTAAAAAATCTGAAAAAAAAAAAGAAGGAAAAAAAAACTAAATTCGGAGCGGACACCGCTGATTTTTTTTTTTTAATCTTTTGGCCACAGTTTTTTCTTTGGATCTGAGACATTTGAGACATTTGATTAATTTGAGACATTTTGATTACAAACTGGTCTATTGATTCCAGAATTAGTGGTTCATTATTTACTACAGAATTGATGGGTATTGAAAACCTGAATTTGCTTTAAAGATTCGGGTTAAAGGTAGTGATATTTTAAAGTATTATAGTAGTGAACAAAACTAACGGCAGCAATGGATAATATACCTTGAAGAACTGAAGAATTCGATAGTATTAGCAATACTTTTGGTGAATTTGAATAAATGTGTGTGTTATTAGAGTCAGAAATTTTTGTAAACTGACACGACACAGAAATAATTTATATTGCCGCTAGATTTATATGTGTAAAATATAAGATAGTCAATCAAGAAAGTTCGTAAAGTTGGTTCATTCAACACCCTCTAGATCCATGACCTCTAATCAAATAATTAGTCACCTGTTATAGCGTAAAAAAAAGCGTATGGAAAGCTATTATCCTTTTTCGTGCTTTAACTGTCAATTTATTATCTATTGATAAGCTAAATACAAACATATTTTATTCGATAATTTGGAGCTGATTTAAACGAATACAGGTGGGTTTGAATTTAAATATTAACATAAGTCAGTAACTTATTATATTCTGGACTCTAATGTATAGAATGTAATTATATACAGGTCTTGTAGGTTTTTACATTTTTCTTACTAAAACAAAATGTACGAAACATTAATTTTTAATCTCACTAGAAAATGGAGTGGAAACTTAAAACTAAAAAAACTAGACTTATTTTTTCTTGAAAAATTATCCGAAAATATATCAAATGATAATGTGAAATCATACATAGTTTAAATTTGTTGCAAGCTTAAAGTATTTAGTCTTGATTATATTTATCCAAGCATCATGATTACGATATCAAAACACAATTCCAATAAACTTCACAATAGGGGTCGTTCGAGTTTCTGATCCTAATTACATCATCTCTATTGTATAATGCACTTTGATTTTTATAGGGGAAATTCGAAGAACTTAATATTAAAATTTCAGGTTACAAACTAAGAATTTGTTGTTTAAACCGTTATGAACTTTGAATAGATATTCTCTTTTGTTTCATTTTCCAAGCAAAAAATTGAACTAAGTAACAATACATTTCAAAACAAAAAGAATTGTTAATAAATTTTCCTTTAGCTGTTAATTTATAGCATGATTATCCAAAATTTTGGAGGCAGTCGAATTATGGAGAGTTGGAGAGACTCGTATTGTTTCATTGAGCCGTTCATACATGTTTTTGGAATTGAAAAATTAATAAACCAAAAACACTATTTCCGTTGATTGTTAGTTCGTTCCGACTAACTTGATCAGATTGAAGGTTTGAGAAATAAATTAAATGAAATACGAGAGGGGGTTTCCTCGAACTGATTGTTCCGTGGTTTCTCCAACCATGGATTTGTTTACAACCAGCATTTCAGCTTTTCTTCTCAAATTAAAGAGTATCAACTTTAGTGAAGTATAACAGTTTATGCATCATATATTTATTCGAAATAGAAGCCTTGGACTAAGTTTACCTTCAAATCAAGTATTATCTTTTTCAATTGTATGGCTAAAATTTTAAATTTGTACTTGTATTGTATTAGCAGATCTACATAAGTCCAAATTTTAAATACATGGAATTATCATATTTAGACTTGCAGAAATTTTAAAATATTTTATTAAATACAAAGTTTTGTTCATAACCTGGTTTTCTAATCCCAGATTTTGAAATTGTCAACGTTTTCAGATTTTAAAAATAAAAGTCGTTTAGACCCCTTTCAATTCATTGTGAGCCCGTCAGTGGTATTTTTAATAAAATTAGATTGGTATGAGATCTCAATTATTATCATCGACATAAGAACATTCATTTAAGAGATATTATATATATCTATATTAGTGTAAAGACCTCAATTCTTTTAATTGATAAAACAATTTGTCATCTTATTAATCTTTCAATATTAAATTCTACTATTTGTTAAATTTGGTCTCTTTAAACTTACAAATAAAGTATTGAAAAAAAAAAGAAATAGTAATTTTGGTTACAAGTTTTTCCAGAAAATTGCCCAACCTTAATAGGACAAAGAATTCCTGCATAAATTTGTTCGTAAATTTTTCGTAATCTGAAAAAAAATAGCTTCTTTTCTACTTTCAACCAAAAACGGAAAAGTTATAATAATTTTTATAGCTTATATATAAACAAAAATTCTATTAGTTCATATCAAGTTAATAAATAGTTTACAGTCTTTTTTGGTTTTTGATGCAATTTTTAAAGATATTAGAGATTACAAATGTGACGAAAAAATATCTATATTAATAACCGAAAGTAATAAAAATAACATACGTAAAAGAAATAAATGAGTAAAAATATACAAAAGCTGATGTGTAATTTCTGAAAAACGAAAAATGATATACTCAATACTCTTTACCTCTATTCATATTTCTCTATAATTATGGAGTATTGAGTATAACCAAATTCACTTTAATTTAAGCAAGACTGAAATGCTGCTAAATAATAACGAAGAAAAGCAAATTTATACAATCTGATTTAATTTTGATTCATTAAAAGAAAATTGATAAAATGGTGAATATTCCGACAATGAATGGTGAGATTCTTGAAATTGATCCTGAACCTTCATATGTTGTGACACTTGGAGAACCTTGTCCTGGAGATAATGTATTTGAAATCAGTGAGATAGTTGAAGTTGCGTGAGCTAAAGTTGTAGTGGATGCTTGAGCTGCTACTGATGTAAGAACTGAATTGGTTGAGCCTTGACCATTGTTAGATCCTTGACCATTATTAGATCCTTGACCATTATTAGATCCTTGACCAGTGTTAGATCCTTGACCATTATTAGAGCCTTGGCCGTTATTGGATCCTTGACCATTATTAGATCCTTGACCATTATTAGATCCTTGACCATTGTTTGAACCTTGACCATTATTAGATCCTTGACCATTGTTAGATCCTTGACCATTATTAGAGCCTTGGCCGTTATTGGATCCTTGACCATTATTAGATCCTTGACCATTATTAGATCCTTGACCATTATTAGATCCTTGACCATTATTAGAGCCTTGGCCGTTATTGGATCCTTGACCATTATTAGATCCTTGACCATTATTAGATCCTTGACCATTATTAGAGCCTTGGCCGTTATTGGATCCTTGACCATTATTAGATCCTTGACCATTATTGGATCCTTGACCATTATTAGAGCCTTGACCATTGTTTGAACCTTGACCGTAATTAGATCCTTGACCATTGTTAGATCCTTGACCATTGTTTGAACCTTGGCCATTATTAGATCCTTGACCATTATTAGATCCTTGACCATTATTGGATCCTTGACCATTATTAGAGCCTTGACCATTGTTTGAACCTTGACCGTTATTAGATCCTTGACCATTATTAGATCCTTGACCATTGTTTGAACCTTGGCCATTATTAGATCCTTGACCATTATTAGATCCTTGACCATTATTAGATCCTTGACCATTATTGGATCCTTGACCATTGTTTGAACCTTGGCCATTATTAGATCCTTGACCATTGTTTGAACCTTGACCATTATTAGATCCTTGACCATTGTTTGAACCTTGACCATTATCAGATCCTTGACCACTTGATTGAGATGTTGATTGAGACGTTGTTGTAGAATAGCTATCATTTGATCCGTTGCTGACACCAGTAGGCGTTATAGTATTATAAACACTGCTGTTTGCTCCATTCGTTATTGTTGCATAAACTGGAGTTGAAGTGAGGCCGTTAGATCCTAATTGAGGTTTTGACTGACTTGCTACACTTGAAGTTGGTAAGCCAATCGATGATTGATGTGGGAAAGTGGTGATGGTGGTAAAGTATGAGTTTGATTCTGAAACTATTCCAGATTCGGTTTCAACTAAGCCATCTGAGTTGGTTGTAGTCCAAGTAGTTGTGAATTCAGTAGTAAATGGTGCTGATGATGAGCCAATTAATGATGAAACTTCAGATGATGAGCTAATTAATGATGAAACTTCAGATGATGAACTAGTCAATGATGAAACTTTAGATGATGATGATTGATGTGGGAAAGTGGTGATGGTGGTGAAGTATGAGTTTGATTCTGAAACTATTCCAGATTCGGTTTCAACTAAGCCATCTGAGTTGGTTGTAGTCCAAGTAGTTGTGAATTCAGTAGTAAATGGTGCTGATGATGAGCCAATTAATGATGAAACTTCAGATGATGAGCTAATTAATGATGAAACTTCAGATGATGAGCTAATTAATGATGAAACTTTAGATGATGATGATTGATGTGGGAAAGTGGTGATGGTGGTAAAGTATGAGTTTGATTCTGAAACTATTCCGGATTCGGTTTCAAATGAGCCATCTGAGTTGGTTGTAGTCCAAGTAGTAGTGAATTCAGTAGTAAATGGTGCTGATGATGAGCTAATTAATGATGAAACTTCAGATGATGGGCTAATTAATGATGAAACTTCAGATGATGAGCTAATTAATGATGAAACTTCAGATGATGATGATCGATGTGGGAAAGTGGTGATGGTGGTAAAGTATGAGTTTGATTCTGAAACTATTCCGGATTCGGTTTCAAATGAGCCATCTGAGTTGGTTGTAGTCCAAGTAGTAGTGAATTCAGTAGTAAATGGTGCTGATGATGAGCTAATTAATGATGAAACTTCAGATGATGAGCTAATTAATGATGAAACTTTAGATGATGATGATTGATGTGGGAAAGTGGTGATGGTGGTGAAGTATGAGTTTGATTCTGAAACTATTCCAGATTCTGTTTCAACTGAGCCATCTGAGTTGGTTGTAGTCCAAGTAGTTGTGAATTCAGTAGTAAACGGTGTTGATGATGAGCTAATTAATGATGAAACTTCAGATGATGAGCTAATCAAAGATGAAACCTCAGATGATGAGCTAATTAATGGTGAAACTTCAAATGATGAGCTAATTAATGATGAAACTTTAGATGATGAGCTAATTAATGATGAAACTTCAGATGATGAGCTAATCAATGATGAAACTTCAGATGATGAGCTAATCAATGATGAAACCTCAGATAATGAGCTAATTAATGATGAAACTTCAGATGATGAGCTAATTAATGATGAAACTTCAGATGATGAGCTAATTAATGATGAAACCTCAGATGATGAGCTAATTAATGATGGAACTTCAGATGATGAGCTAATTAATGATGAAACTTCAGATGATGATGATCGATGTGGGAAAGTGGTGATGGTGGTGAAGTATGAATTCGATTCTGAAACTATTCCAGATTCGGTTTCAACTGAGCCATCTGAGTTGGTTGTAGTCCAAGTAGTTGTGAACTCAGTAGTGAATGGTGCTGATGATAAAGCACTAGATGAAAACATAGTGGAATTTTGATAAGGACCTGTTAAAGAAGGTACAATTGGTTTACTGGAACCACTTTCACTTTGACAATCAAAATCCCCTCTTTTACAAACAATAGGACCCGACGTAACTGGTGGAAAGGTTGTTACGGTAGTTGATGAGCTTCCTGATTGACTTACTACTCCAGAATCGGTTTCTTTACTTCCATCAGATTTTGTAGTTGTCCAAGTAGTGGTGAATTCAGTAGTAAATGGTGCTGATGATGAACTAGTCAATGATGAAGCTTCAAATGATGATGATTGATGTGGGAAAGTGGTAATGGTAGTAAAGTATGAGTTTGATTCTGAAACTATTCCGGATTCGGTTTCAACTGAGCCATCTGAGTTGGTTGTAGTCCAAGTAGTAGTGAATTCAGTAGTAAATGGTGTTGATGATGAGCTAATTAATGATGAAACTTCAGATGATGGGCTAATTAATGATGAAACTTCAGATGATGAGCTAATTAATGATGAAACTTCAGATGATGATGAATGATGTGGGAAAGTAGTGATGGTTGTTAATGAACTACCTGATTGACTTACTATACCTGAATCGGTTTCTGTACTTCCATCTGATTTTGTAGTTGTCCAAGTAGTAGTATATTCAGTTGTGAATGGTGGTGGGAAAGTAGTGACGGTAGTTAATGAACTACCTGATTGACTTACTATACCTGAATCGGTCTCTTTTGAACCATCGGATTTTGTAGTTGTCCAAGTAGTTGTATATTCAGTAGTAAATGGTGGTGGGAAAGTAGTGATGGTTGTTAACGAACTACCTGATTGTGAAACAATACCTGAATCGGTTTCTTTTGAACCATCGGATTTTGTAGTTGTCCAAGTAGTTGTATATTCAGTAGTAAATGGTGGTGGGAAAGTAGTGATGGTAGTTAATGAACTACCTGATTGTGAAACAATACCTGAATCGGTTTCTTTTGAACCATCTGATTTTGTAGTTGTCCAAGTAGTAGTATATTCAGTCGTGAATGGTGGTGGGAAAGTACTGATGGTAGTTATTGAACTACCTGATTGTGAAACAATACCTGAATCGGTTTCTGTACTTCCATCTGATTTTGTAGTTGTCCAAGTTGTAGTATATTCAGTTGTGAATGGTGGTGGGAAAGTAGTGATGGTTGTTAATGAACTACCTGATTGTGAAACAATACCTGAATCGGTTTCTTTTGAACCATCGGATTTTGTAGTTGTCCAAGTAGTAGTATATTCAGTTGTGAATGGTGGTGGGAAAGTAGTGATGGTTGTTAATGAACTACCTGATTGACTTACTATACCTGAATCGGTCTCTTTTGAACCATCGGATTTTGTAGTTGTCCAAGTAGTAGTATATTCAGTTGTGAATGGTGGTGGGAAAGTAGTGATGGTTGTTAATGAACTACCTGATTGACTTACTATACCTGAATCGGTCTCTTTTGAACCATCGGATTTTGTAGTTGTCCAAGTAGTAGTATATTCAGTAGTAAATGGTGGTGGGAAAGTAGTGATGGTAGTTAATGAACTACCTGATTGTGAAACAATACCTGAATCGGTTTCTGTACTTCCATCTGATTTTGTAGTTGTCCAAGTTGTAGTATATTCAGTTGTGAATGGTGGTGGGAAAGTAGTTATGGTTGTTAATGAACTACCTGATTGTGAAACAATACCTGAATCGGTCTCTTTTGAACCATCTGATTTGGTTGTAGTCCATGTTGAAGTGAACTCGGTTTGGATTGGAGGTGGAAAAGTTGTAATTGTTGTTAAAGAACTTGCTGATTGACTAACAATACCTGAATCTGTCTCTTTTGAGCCATCTGATTTTGTAGTAGTCCAAGTTGTAGTATATTCAGTGGTAAATGGAGGTGGGAAAGTAGAAATTGTATTTAAAGAACTACCAATTTGTGTAACGACACCTGAGTCAGTTAAAGTTGAACCTGCAGAATTTGTTGTTGTCCATGTAGTTGTATATTGTGAAGTTAACGGAACAATAACTTCAACAGTTTTTGTACTTTGGGTATTTGAATCAAAAGGTAATGTTGTAACTTTAGTTGTAGTTTCTAACCAAGTTGAAGTAGTAAGGAAAACTTCTTGACCATTTGAACCAGCATCATTATTTGAATAAGAGCCCCAAGTAACACTATAAGAATTACGTCTTTGAACAAAATCACCAGAACAATAATAATTATTTGTATATGAAGTGGAAGGAGAACTACCAACTGAAACACTCATTAAAACATCAAGATATGGTCTATAACCAGCTGGAATGTTATTATAACTAATTTGATATGATGATCCACTACAACTTTGAGTATATGAAAAACTTGATGCAGTTTCAGGACGGAACCAAGCATTCAACTGATTTGTAATAGCCGCATGAATTGATGAACAATCAAGTTGAGCGTTATTCACAGATATACCCAAAGTACCACTTGAATAACCATTCGGACAATTACCGGCCAATAAATAGTTTTGTTGTTTATTTAATGTTGGAATAACACGGTTACCAAAAACAATATCATCAGTGCTTTTTCCTTGCTGAATATTAGCACTTGAACCTCCTTGAAAAGTGGCAGTAGTTGATAACTTAGTATTTCCATCAGTAAAAGTAACGGTATTTGTACCAGCTGTATAACAAGTTGAATCTTGTAAATCAACACTATTTGCTGAACCACCAATGTTAAATGTAATAGGAAATGAAACTGTACCATATGCATCTCTACCAGCTTGAACACTATTACTAGCAGTACATTGTAATTCAGAGTAAGTAACAACTAAATCACCAGGAGCAAATTGACATGTGGCATAAGTTGTACCACCAGCTACTAAATTAACTGAGTTTTGACTAGTTGTAAATTTAAATACGCAAGGCATATGTAAAGTAAAAGTGTCACCTGGTTTAACATTTGCTCCTTTAATACTCCATCCTAGAGTGGCTATCCAACTAGGGTTATTAGGGGCTTGAACTGGATAATTAGCTGCATTTTGCCATACTAAACTATTAAAACTTGTGAAAATATTTGAAACTTGAGCAGATTGACATAATGTCAAAAATGAAATAATCGCGAAAAAAATGTGTGGTAGCATTTTTTAAAGCGTTTTGATTTTTGATGTAAATAGTTGTAAATGAATTAGATGAAACAGAGTAAATTAGAAAATTTTAAATCAACTATAAAGGGTTCAATTAATTTGAAAATATCTCTTTATATATATTTGTCATCTATTATTTCTATTTATTTGATTGATAATTTATTAATTGTATATTAAAAATAGGGACTTTTAAAAAAAAAATGAAAAAAAGGGTTTTTTTATCAGAAAATATAAAAAAGGTTGCAAAAGTTTCACAAAACAATTAAGTTTTGACGTTTAATTTATTAAATTTTCTTAAGATTCTGCTACAATACTAAATATTCTTCGATTATGTAAAGCACTTCGACTAAGCAAGTCATCTTAAATTGAGCTAAAAAAAATTTTTGGGATTTTCCAATGAAATATCGAAAGAATATGTCGTTTTCACTTGAACTTAAATGAAAAATAGTATTTACATTTGTTAAGTAATAGAACATTCCATATGTAAAAGTCTAAAGAAATCAAAGTTTAAATTCAGAAATAGAGTTGCGTTTTTCGTTTTTGACTGAGCCTAAAATACAGCAATATACAAACATTGGCATGCTACGGCATTTTGGAATCAATCTGATCACAAACTTTTGATTTTTCGATTAATGAAAAAAAAGTTGTGATTCAATATCTATGACAAACCGATTTCAACGTTTAAGAAAGAAACGCATTTCTCATAATCAGTTTCAGCTGTAAAATTTCTTAATACGAAATCACCTCTAGTGAATTTTGAATTGAAATCCATGAGGAAAGCACTTGACATTTCCGTGGCTCGAAAACTTAACATCTCTGTTTAAGAATATGATACAAAGTTGCAATTTTGTTGCTCTAAAAATGGATTATTTCGAAGATCATGTCAATCGAAGAATTCACAAATAAAAAACAATTAGTTAGAAACTCACTGATTTGCGAAGTCTGTTTTTACGTGAAGGATTTGCAATAAAGGATAATAATATAAAAAAACTACATAATAAAACCAAGAATATATTGAGCAGCAATAACAAATTTTTCATTACGCAATAATAGTAATATCTTTCAATCACAAAATACTGTGCAAAATTGATTTCATCGGAAAAAAGATTAAAAAGATCAAAAAGATCAAAACCGTAAAGATTTGAACTAAAAAGTTTAGACTTTCTTTTTATATTCTAAAATGTAGTACAAAAGCATGAAAGGGTAATTTATTTTTTAATTCAGGGTTCAAAATGTAACGACATTATCGAAAATTAAAATATAAACTTTAAATCATTGAAAAAAAGTTTGAAGAATTTGTTACAGTTCTATTGGAATCTTGGACTTTGAACTTTTATTCATAGAAAACAAAACGATCAACTATGTACAAATTATATACATAGCAACAGCAAAATACGAAATTAAGTTGAAAAAACGGAATAAAGTCAATTGATGCAATTGAATAATTTGACTAGCAAAAATTTTTGAATTCAATTCACAAGAAAAAGATACGAATTTTTGGCTTTGGAAAAAAAATTATTGCTTATAACAAAACTATGTACTAAATAAGGGCAAATCTGAGTTTAAATATTCAATTTGCTCAAAATTGAAAGAACACGCATGTCAAACGGAGCCTGAAAATTACCGAAAAATATTTTATGAGGATAAAAAAGTCTTTTACATTGTTGTATTCCACAAACAATCAATTCTGATTTTCAATATTCGTATTTGAATTGATTTACAATTATTATAAAATAAACAATTTATTACTGTAGTAAGTTAAAGAGCTGAAGCGAACAAATAATAAAAGTTTGGTGCTCATGACCATAATTTATTCTATATGGTGTACATATTAAACTTTCTTAGATATTAATATAGGCTTTATTGTATGATAATATATATTACAATTGTTAATTTAAACCTGAAGTTTTTGTTACTATGTATTTAAATATAACTTTTAGCTCAATATAAATCTGATTATTAATAATCTTATAAGTTTCTAAGTATTATATCATTTTATTGTATTTTTGTGTAATTAAATTGAATCATATTATTTATGAACAATATGATTTTTTAAGCGAAAGAAAAAAAGTTTTTTATTTTATTTTATTAATAAGATAAATTAATCTATATGATACTCTTTTCAGGGATTGAAAAATACAATTCAAGAAATATGTCAAATATCAATTGGCAAATCAATTAAGTCAACAGAAGCTAATTGTAGGTTAGCCAATCCGAGAGCAGAAGGATCTTGGAAAAATTTGATTGGTTTGCATAATCACCAATTGATGTCCAGTAAAAAAAGATTTAAAATAATAATTTATATTCTGTTTCATGTATTGGTTTTTTCGTAAATTTTATTAATTTCGATTTTTTAAAATTATTTTCTTGATGCCGTTTAAAATTATGGTTATATTTTTATTTAACTAATTAACGGTAAAAATAGTTCACATTCAGTTATTTTCATACTATCATGCTTTAATCTTCAAGTTATAGCAGAGCGGATCTATTGGTGGTCTTGTTTTAGTATTAACATTTGTGTTAAAATGTATCATAGCTAATTTTTTAGTAGTAGTTTGTTTTTATTAGTAATGCCTTTTTTTTCCTTCTCTGCAAAAAGACTTAAACTCATACTCTACCACTGATAATAAAATATTTTCAAATATATTCTAAAGTTCATGTAATAAAACACCTAATTTGAGTACATGTAGCGATTATAATCCAATTACGTTAAGGTTTACTCATCATTACGCCTCTATTAAATCTCAAGATTATTTTGTTTAAATCTGCACTAGAAATAACTTAAATAATTTTTTTGATTAATTTTATGTGAGCAAACGTCAATCAAAATCTAAAATCAACTTATTCTCAGTTCTTCATTAAAATCGTGTAGTAATCTCCCCTCTTTATAAATCTTCATTACTTTTAAAAACTCCGTTAATTTTGAGTTAGCAACCAATACCCGCGGAAAAATTGCTTATTTAGTTTAACACTGTAATGATTAATTTACTTTTAAATCAGAACTAAAAAAAATTAAACTTTCATTCTAAATACTTATTACCAAGAACTAATTTTCAATTCGTTTGAGGTCAAGTACAGACACTTAATAAATCATACGATTATTGGAACACAGCAATAAAAACTTACGCCTTTCTGATTGCAATTTCATATGATGTTTTCTTATAAATCCCTAAATTGTGAAAAGTGTGCTGAGGCCAAAGAAATTGAAATTTCATGTTGAAATTACACAAAATACCAGTAATGAGCTTGTAATATATATTAAAATGTCGTTAAATAAAATTAATAGCAGAAGAAAGGGTTCTCTTTAATTTTTAATTGTTTTTGTTCATGCAAAGCTCATAACTGTTTCGATATTGTAATACAAAGAAGAATTGTTATTTTATTTTCGCTTATTTTTTTAAAACGTACTTATTTTTATAGCATACATAGCATTTTCTTAATTTAAAGTTAAAGCTAGCGGTTCGAAGGTCAGATTTGTAAATTTCATGTAAACGCATATGAAGTTGATTTAAATAGACGAAGTTAACATTGACTCTCAAAATTGTAGATTAAGCATAAGTTTATTTCCGGATTTTATTTTAAAAAAAAAATGTGCAAAAGAAAATATTTTTCTAATATCTAAAAATAGATATTACCTACTATGAATTAATTCTTCCTATTTTCAGAATAAGTTGTATTTGTCAAAGGATGATCTTCTTACTTTTATTATAATAAATTTGAATGTTAATGGCAACGCATTACCTTTGAGTCAAATTAATTCTGTGTAAACTATCTGATGTGTGACCGTAAACGTAATACTTTTTTTGACTAACTTTTTGAATTCTCTGCTGCATATTTTGTGCTGAGTAAAAAATTGATCAAAAATAGACACAAATACGTTCCAAGAAATATTCTCCATGACTTCCCGATTTCAAAATTTTGAATCTGAATTTCATGAGTGCTTCAACTCCGAATTAAAGCTTGGAGAAGAAGTGGATTTGGGGCGAGGTAATTTTTTTAAAAAGAATTTTTACAAAATATATTGCAAAATGAAAATAAAAGGTAATGATGCATACAAACGGATATGTGAGTGAAGAATTTATGGAAATTTAATTTTGAGTATACTTTAATTTTGCTTATATCTAGTAACAGATAAATCTAACTTATCTATATCTAAAATATAAATTCACATAAGATTATGCTCTAGCAACTCTCTTATAAATCGAGAATAAAGTTTTATACGATTGACAAAAATTTAATTTTTGCAAAATTGATTAAAAACTTAACACAGATACGTTCCAGAATATATCTTCCATTTTCCAGATCTCAATTTTCGAATCTGAAATTCATGGGCGCTTCAATTGCAAATTAAGGTTTGAAGAAGAATCAAATTTGCGGCAAATTATTTATTTCAAAAGAATTTTACAAACTTTATTGCAAAAAGAAAATAAAAGATCATGGTAATGCATACAAACGGATATGAGAGAGAAGAATTCATGGAAATCTAATTTTAAGTATACTTTAAATCTGCTTGTATTTAGCAACAGATAATTCCAACCTATTTATATTTTATATACAAATTCACATAAATTTATTCTCTAGCAATTCTCTTATAGATAGAAATATCAATACCCAAAATTTTATATAATTGATACACATTTAACTTTCTTAATTCACCTTTATTTAATCTTTCTTCAAAAAGTAAAAAATCTTCGTAAATAAAATTATAAAATATTTTTAATTTCTTTTTGGCTTCATAAGATTTAAATCTTGCCTTTTGATTAATTTCATTATCATAATCATGAATATCATTTGTGTCATTGTTGTCGTTCCCATTTTGATTCAATTCTAATTCTTCTTGTGATGGTTGTAAAAATGATTTATATTGAAAATATAAATTTGATAATTCAGGATTTAAGATAATAAATTTCTTCATATTATTCCCAATATTAAATAAATGGTTTTTAACTAAATCTAATTCAAACCCAGATTCACTTGAACATTTTGAGTTGATAAATTCGATTGATTTGATAAATTCATTTTTGATGAAAATAAAATCTCTATTCTTATTGAATAATATTAAATCTTTTAAATTATAATCAGCAGTTTCAAAATAATTGATAAAGTAAGCTGTTGTTTGATTTAAAAACTTAATTATGATTTCATCTAATTCTTTTTCAACTTGACAGTTCTTTTTCTTAAATTGTTGATAATTGGTGGTATTAATACTGAAACAACGTAATAATTCTTTAATATATCCCTTAGCAGTTAATCTATTGAAGTCTTTTGGAATACTAACAGCAGCTAACTTCTCCAACGCGTCATTATCCAATTCAGTGATTGGAATCATCTCCGATGGTTTTTTAAAAGTTGTTGCAATCATTTGAATATTTATAGGTTGTAAAATTTTGAAAGTTTTGAAAAGTGGTTGCTTAAATTTGAAATATTTAGGTGTATGAAAATTATTGTTGAAAGGGGGGGATTTCAAGGGTATTTATATAAATTAAATTTTGTTCATAGATTAAAAAGTTTAATTAATATACTATATATAATTTATCTATAATTGAAATTATAATTAATTAATTAGGTGTTTCAGATTTTTAAATAATAAGAAAAACGTATATATTAATTTTACACATGCAATTATACACAAAAAAAAACAAATTTTCAGACTTCGACCCATGTATATATACACATTTTGAGTTTAAAGTAATATTACGATAGCTTGACTATTTCAACACTATTGTATCGTTAATTCATGAAGTTTAATTAATTTGAACTAGCAGTAAATCTAAAATTTAGCTTCTTAGAGTTCTTTAAACAAATTTATCAAAAAAATTGGTCTTACGAGCAAATAATACTTAATTACTTTTATACACACCTCTCGCAGATCTAAATAATAATTTGATCTGAAACACAACAAAAAACAAAGAAATTAGTTTTGTGATAAAAAAGTTAGACGAAGATCAATCAAGAATTTTTAAAATAAAGGTTCACAAATTCTCAAATATACTTAAAAAACTTGAAGTAATACGTAAATTGATTATGGATTAATGCGGGAACAAAAAAGTTGTTGCTTAAATGACGTTTTCAAGAACATTTATAATAAATTAGATCAGAATCTCTAATTTTTCTAGATACATTTTCAATTTTTCAATTCTCATGGATGATTAATTCATCCCAGTGGGTAAGTACATATAGTTTGATATTGATTCACGAACTTAGGTGAAGGTTGGAACGTCAGTCGGCAGTGGGATTTTGAAGGTAAATCTGGGGAATTAAAGATTTTATAAATTGTGGATTTCAGTCGGTTTTCTCAATATGAATTTCAATCTGGTTTCACTTCTCTGTAAACAAACAATGAGTTATGCATAAATGTTGGTGCTGATTTTTAAGGTCTATGGGGTACTCAAGATTTTTCGATACGGGGTCAAGTGCCCCTATAATGCCTTTTACAAGTAGGATGAACGCTGTTGTGATAGGACTGGTACGAATTATTGATGCTTATAGGTTTCTTCGATCATCTCCTCATGGTGTGCGCATATTTGCTGCTACTTCAAAACGAAACCTTTGTGATAATAAACCAAAGGGGAGAGTAGCTTGTAGAGTATGACTTATTCCGAAGATCTGTGTAAGCTAAGATATTATTCATTAAACCTTAATTGGATTATGTAACTATATCCAACTGGTCATTGCTATTTTTTTCCATCCTGGAAAAGGCTTTGACTCTAGCTTTCATTAATTTGTCAACAGTAAAACTATTAGAATTTAAAGGTTGATCACAACCAGATATAGGACAAATAAAAGATTGATTTCTATTTTCCATTAATTGTCTTTGAATACTTTGTTTTTCAAAAGTATGATGACATATAGAAATAACTGGATCTTTAAAAATATTTAATGTAATTGGATCTTTTAAAGATACTTTACCACCACTTACTCCTAATGAATCATCTTCTTCATCTTCTTCATCTGGTATTGGATCTTCCGGTTTTTTCATAACAAAAGTTAAACCTCTCAAAAGTTTATAAAATTCATCGTTTTCAAAAAATTTAATTGTTCTAACTTTTGAATATAAAATTTCTCTCTTCTTTGCATTGATATAATCTTCAACATCTGGAATAATTGATTCATGATATTGTGAAATTGTTGATAAATTCAATTCCTTTTCTGGTGATATATACATTTTTAAAACATCATCATTCTTTAATTCATCGATCTTTGATATTTTTCTATTTGATAAAACTAAATTTGTATAAGTGTTTAAAAAATTAAATAAAGTATCTTCATTAAATTCTAGTAACTCTTGTGATAAAATATAATCAATATATTTAAAAGCTATTTGTTTATGTTGTCTTATTGATTGTTCAGTTAGATCATTATTTGAAATAGAAGTGTTCCTAAATACTCTATTAAAATCATGTTCTAATGAACGATGTAATGGAATATATGACGGTAATGATAGGTTTGAAGGTAGATATTGATCCGATATTTCAACACCTCCGACAGGTTCTGTTGATTGTGACATAATTGATGGTGATAATTTATAGTAGTTTAATTTGAAGACGCGTATACAAATATTGAATTCTAGAAAAAAAAAAAAATTTTGATAAATCCTAATATATCTGAGAATTTTAAACCTCTTAATGAAAGTTTCGTATAGGAGGAAATCCCACAGTATGATTCTATTTAGCTACGTTATTGTCATGAGATGCTAAAAAATTAAATTGATGGTCGAGTCATAGAGTTGTTTTCTAAAAACTTTAAAATAAAAAAAAAAGATCAGATATACTCCAAGACTGAAGAGTACGAGATTCGAACTCGCGCGGTAGACATACCAACAGATTACTAAGTCTTTATCGAAGGGTTTGAACCTTCTTTACTTAAGTCTGTCACCTTAACCAACTCGGTCAACTCTCCAATTCTGGTTTTTGTTACTATATAGTACTTATATAGTCAGCTCTATTGTGTATTATTTTTCGACATAAAATTTAACTTTTGGCCGAGAAGATTAAGTCAAATTAAGTTTCATTTTACTCATAAATTACAAAATACAATTTTTTGCAACTAAAATTTCTCTCCAACAGTTCATTTAAGTGATAAAATCTAGTTTTAGAAGTAGTAGTAACTATAGTTTTATGACTTGTAAAACTAGACTTTTTAATATAAAATATAATGTGAAAAACAATTGATTAAAAAACTATATAAACTATTTACTTTTTAGATGAAATTACTAGGTCTTTATATAATGTAATTTCATCAGATCTATTTACAATTATGAGATGACCATCTCATCATTATATTTCTATCAGCTTCTAATGACTATGATTATTTGTATGTGCAAACTCTCGGTAGAATAACTCCGACATTTGCCACTCGGTTAATTATAGTGATTTATATGTAAGAGTCGAATGATGATGATTCATATCGACAATAGTAACCTACTAAAGGACTTCCGAGTACAAAAAAATTGAAACAGAATTTTATAATTTTTGCATCAAATTGTTATGAGAAGGTGAACTTAAAAATATTATTATCATATAAATTTTGTGCAAAATAGATATTATTTATCCAAATTGATTTAAGTAGCCCGTAGGTTTCACTCAATGGAAGTATCAAAATTCTGGGTTAGTGTCGAACTTTTCATCTTTGAGGTATAATAATGTCTCACTCAAATTCCCAGAATTATGTAATAATTAAAAAAATTACCGAGATTGTTTCAGATATTTTATAATATAATATTAAGAAAAAAATAATTTATTTTTTATCGATTTCTTGTCTCAACAAAGTTTCTAAAGATCTCGTAAATACGAATATAATAATATCAGGGGTTCAAAGATATTTTTCTCTCGTTTATCTTACATTGGTTCTCAAAGACTGACTTATAAATATAATTGAAAGTTGAGTAAATATATAATTTCTATATTCCACACAGCCTTTCCTATATAATTTAAAAGGAGTTTCCATCAAATTAGCTACAAAATAATCTTAATGATTTTGTTATGCAGGGGAAAATATAATACAAAAAAAAAAAAAGAAAAGCTTCATAAAATTTTCCGTAGCAATGTAAAGAGAGAAGTAAAATAATAATATATTATATCTCGAATAGTCCGAAGTCAATATAGTACATCAAATCATCAAAGTTTTTAACTATCTCCCAAAACCTTGAACTTGATTTTATCTTCAACTAAACCATAGCCACTGTCATTTACTTTGTTTATTATGTATTTTTTTTTTACATTTATACACTAAAATATAATTTAAAATTTTAAAGTTCGTAAATTTTAAACTATATTATTTACTTAGTAATTTCTTATAATTTAAATTTTTCAACAATACAAAAAAAGTAAAAATAATTGAATTTCATAATTGGTCAACAATAATTATTGAACAAATACTTGAATTAATTTCATTATTAATTAAATATCCCCAATTAAACCTCGAGAAGTATTTATTACCTTCGAGTAATTCTATTAATTAATTCTATTCAATCTACATCTCCCCACATTAAAATATATTATGTGTTATTATAATATTATTGTTTATTCTAATTTTGTACTAAATTAATATTTGTGTTACTATTTATATTTACTATATACTTATTTATAATATTAAATATAGTACAGTAAGTAATATACATAGTAATTTAATATATATAAATATTTTCTACTACTCTATTTACAAAAATTTATATTCTTCTTTAATTCTATTTAGCAACCAATTCTTTTTTATAAAATCAATTATTGAATCTATTAGAAGTTTTTTATTTCAATTATACATCAAATCTTTTAAATTGTTTATTATTTATTAATACTACAGATAATATTCAATACAGATTATCTTTATTCCATCATTTCCATAATAAGTTGCTAGAAGTTTACTTTATACATCCTTTTTACAATTTAATATTTTGAATTTTATATATCATAAGATACATATATATATAAATAGATATCAATAAACCATCACCAAGCTTCACACTATAACCACCGATTAATCCACAACATAAAAAATGTCACATAATCGATCTAGAGATTTAACTTCAAAAACTAATACAAATAAATATTATAATTCAGATCAAAATGATTCGAATGAAAATTCAATTATAGATCCATTTACTGAACAACTGAATTTACAATCTGATCATAATATAAATCATAGTTCAAGTTCAAATAGTATACTTGAATATCCATCATCGACCTCTTCAAATTATAATTATAATCAAAATAATCATTCTTCAAATAATCAATATGGAAAACCTTATACCGAATTTTCTTCAAGTGATAGTAATTTAAATTTATTAAATTCAGAATCATCATCTTCAAATTTTACACCACCAATTGGAACTAGATCTTCATCAACTAATAAATATAACAAATTCAATTCTTCAAACATAAATTATCAAAAATATCAAAATAACCCAGTTAGAAATGACAACTTAAAGATCAACAAACCACCTGCTTATGATAGATATCCGATTATCCAAGATTCATTAAACAATTCGTCAACCTCATTAACTGAAGAAGAAGAAAAGAGAAATTCACCATTTGCAAATGTAATTTATCCATCAACTATTCCTCAACAAAAATCAGAAATACCGAAAAAAAATAATTATGATTCAAATTATACTGATTTTAGTCCATTTGGAGGATATCCGGCATCTTCATTCCCATTAAATATAGATGAAAAAGAACCTGATGATGATTTACATAATCCAGATCCAATCCGTGATATTATATATGATAAAAATAGATTTTGGTATGATTTGAAAAATGGTGATAGTAGATCTTATTTAGGAATACTAAGTTTTTTACTATTGATAATTGCTGCAGTTGCTGTATTTGTTATACTTCCAGCTTTAACTTTCACTGGAGTTACTGATCATAAATATGTTCCAGAAACTTATGAAATATTAACTCATTATTCATATCCAATGTTGAGTGCTATACGGACAACTTTAATTGATCCAGATACCCCTGAAGGGGCATTAACTATAGATTCAAAAAACGGTGATAAATGGCAATTGGTATTTAGTGATGAATTCAATGCAGAAGGTAGAACTTTTTATGATGGTGATGATCAATTTTTCACTGCTCCAGATTTACATTACGATGCTACAAAAGATTTAGAATGGTACGATCCAGATGCTGTCACAACTGCAAATGGTACTTTAGTATTAAGAATGGATGCTTTTAAGAATCATAATTTATTTTATAGATCTGGTATGGTACAAAGTTGGAATAAAATGTGTTTTACTCAAGGTAGAATTGAAATTTCGGCAAGATTACCAAATTATGGGACAGTTTCAGGTTTATGGCCTGGTTTATGGACAATGGGAAATTTAGGAAGACCTGGTTATTTAGCAACAACAGAAGGTGTTTGGCCATATAGTTATGATTCATGTGATGCAGGTATAACACCAAATCAATCATCACCAGATGGAATATCTTATTTACCAGGTCAAAGATTAAATTCATGCACTTGTCAAGGAGAATCTCATCCAAATAGAGGTGTCGGTAGAGGAGCTCCAGAAATTGATGTAATTGAAGCTGAAATAATGACTGATGCAACAAAAGCTAAAGAAAATAATGGAGTTGCTTCACAATCTTTACAAATTGCACCTATGGATATTTGGTACATGCCAGATTATAATTTTATTGAGATTTATAATGCATCAGTCACAACAATGAATACTTATGCAGGTGGACCTTTTCAACAAGCTATTAGTGGTACAACAACATTAAATCAAACGTGGTATCAATTAAACAGACTTGAGAATCAAGAACATAATTTTCAATCATATGGCTTTGAATATTTAAATGGGGACCTGGATGGTTATTTAAGATGGTTTGTTGGTAAAAATCCAACTTTAACAGCATATGCTCAAGCATTACATCCTAATGGTAATATAGGTTGGAGATATTTATCAAAAGAACCAATGTCAATAATTATGAATTTAGGTGTATCAAATAATTGGGCATATATTGATTGGGCATCGTTGAGTTTTCCTGCAATTTTTAATATTGATTATGTTCGAGTTTATCAACCTTCAAATAATATTAATGTTGGTTGTGATCCTGTTGAGTATCCAACTGCTGATTATATTGAACAACATTTAAATATTTATTCAAATGTTAATTTGACTTCTTTTGAAGACGGTGGTTATACCTTTCCTAAGCATCAACTAAATGGGTGTTAACCTTATTTACCCTAAGCTCAAGGTTCTTTTTTTGCTATTTTGCTATTTTTCAAAATCGTTATTTGTTTTTTTTTACAATCATCTGGTTTTATGTTGATCATTAGACTAGATACCTTTTATATTAGAGTGTGCTATTTATTTATTTATTTCATTTCATGACTTTCATTTCTTTTAGGATATTTTGCTACATATATATGTATAACTATTTGAATTTTATAGACCTGGCTAAATTTATGTTTGATATTTTTATTTTTAAACAGAACTTTTTAATTATCATCAATCAGTTTTATCATATTCTCCTATCCTACCTAGAATTTCAGCAAAATCTTTTATTGTAACACTAGCTCCTCTTTTTTCAAATGAAAAATTTATTAAATTTCCACGAGGATCCTCTTGACAACATCCTAACATATCTATCAAGAATAAATCATTGAGAGGTGCTTTAGTTTGTGGATCATTATCTAGGTTTAAATTTGTCTTTACTTGTTTTAGTTCTGGTAATGTGAGAACGAACTTATCTGGGTTTTTATTGAATGAATCTGAGAATAATTTCCAGCTTGCTCTGATATGTGATTCGTTATTTCTAAACTTGATTAATTTGTTTAAATTTATAATGAGTTTATCTAGATCTATCATATCTAGTAGTTCGTTAGATGATGTTATTGATGATGAAGTGATTGTGTATGATTTTAGTAAACTTATTGTTATATTTTGTTTGGAATTTAATGAATTTATTTGAACATTTTTACCATTTAGAAATTGATAAAAGTACTCAATCGCTGTTGTAATATCTTGTGTGAATATTGATGGTATTTTTAAATTTTCAAGTAGTGTTGGTAAATCACTTAGCAATAAATCAGTAGATTCTTCACCCAAATAATCGGTGTATGCTTCTATAATCTCATCTTCAATATCTGGATCTATAGTGTCAAATTCTTTTGATGGTTCAAACCCGACTTTTTTCTTCTTTGGTGGCATTATTTATATTTAATGATTACTCCAGGTTTAAGTAAAAGATCTTTCTAGTTAAGTATTATATTTGCGATATTAGATAACGGAGTTTAGGTGCGGAATCAAATATCTTGAATTTGTAATCAATATGAAATTTCCAGTTTCAACTTCGTAAAAATGCATCAATGATTTATCAACTATTAAATTCAAGCTCAAATTATTACTCAAAGAGTAAATATAATCAATGACGACCGCCACTACCAATCTACCATCTGTAAAAACTACTTTAGTAGAAGTTACAGACAAATTATCAAATCCACCATGTAGAATATTTTTCAAAAATGAATATTTACAACCATCAGGTTCTTTCAAATTAAGGGGGATAGGGTACATGTTACAGAAAAAAATTGAAGAAGCTAAAAAACTAGGTAAATCAAAAGTCATTGTTTTTTCATCATCAGGTGGTAATGCAGGTTTAGCAGCTGCTTATGCTGCAAAATATTATAATGTTGAATGTACTGTAGTATTACCTAAAACTTCAACAGATATAGTTATTGAAAAATTGAAAAAATTAGGAGCTAATGTTATAGTACATGGTGATCATTGGGGTGAAGCTGATAAATATTTAACTGAAGTTGTAATGAAATCAATCAATGAAGATGAATTACCAGTATATTGTCATCCATTCGAACATGAATTAATTTGGAAAGGTCATTCTAAAATAATTGATGAAATTATAGAAGAAGGTCAATTACCTAATTTAAATAATGTTAAAGGAATTGTTTGTTCAGCTGGTGGAGGAGGACTTTATAATGGTATAGTTGAAGGGTTGAAAAATCAAAAACAAGATATTCCAGTTTTAGTTATAGAAACAGAACAAGCTCCTACTTTCCATGAAACAGTCAAACAAGATAAATCAATTACTCTAAGTTCTATCAAAACATTAGCATCATCATTAGGTTCACCATACTTATCACCAAAAGCATTTGAAAATTATAAAAATCACCCAACAAAATTAGGATTAATTGATGATTTAGATGCGTTAAAGGGTAGTATTGATCTTTATGATAAGTTTGGAATAATAACTGAGCCAGCTTGCGGAGCTTCTGTTTCTACTATATTTGATAAACAAGAGTTATTGATTGAAAATTTTAAAAATTTGCAGAAAGATGATATCATTATTATTATTGTTTGTGGTGGATCTAGTGCAAATGAAGAGACTTTAGAATTTTATAGAAAATTGATTAAAGATAGTAAGTAAATATAGAAAGATAATAGATTATAGATTTTATTTTAGTTAAGTTTATGAAAAATTTAATATTTTGTTTCACATGTCATATTATAAATAAATTTCTTAATGTATGTAGAAGAAGAATAATATTTTTTCTGTTGTGTTTTAAAATTAATTTTTGCTGGGGTAATTAATGTATTATTATTATTGTTATTTACTTAATTTAGTTACTTAATTAAACATACGTATTAAACAATTTAATTTATTAGCAATATAGATCATTCATTAATATATTCATCAAGATAAGATTAATAATACATCATTACCACTATTACGAGTTAATTAGACATCCCTCCGTATCAAATTACCATTAAGACCAATCATAACCAGATTTTAATCCGGAATTAGTTTATATTAAAAGAAGCATTTCATAATATGTCATCTACTTCCAACACATGGTTTAATTTTTGGAATAATAATAACAACAATATTGAAGCTGATGGTAATATTAAGGATAATGCAGTTAATGATAATGCTACGACAAAACAACCAGAGCAAGTAGTAACGAAACCACCATCCATAAAAACACCTCCAATGCAGGCAAAAGAATTTTTGAACGCCTCTCCAACTAAAAGAAGAAATTCAAATAATACAGCTAATCCAAAACTGTCAAGACTAGGACATAGAACTTCAACAACATCATTAGCATCAATGACTTCAGGTAATTGGCTTAATTGGAAGAAAGATACTGTTAATTCAAGTTTGAAAGATCAACAAGAACATATAGATGAAGATGATGAAAGAAGAGATGAAAATGATGAAGATATAGAAACAAATGAAGATGATATAGTACCCGATGATAATGGGGATGAAGTTGATGATCATGTAAGAGGAGATGGAGATACAAGTGCAAAGAAGGGAATAAGTTGGCTTTGGAATGGAAATACTAGTACTAAAGCAAACTCAAATTCTGGAAATGAGAGTAATGATGAGTCAAGTCAAAGTCAAAATCAAAATAAAAATGGTGGCAAAGAGAATAAAATTGTTAATGCACCAAATACTATATTAAATTCCACTCCATCAATACCGACAAAAGAAGAGTTGGGTAACTTTTCTAAAAAAGTTCCTGATGAAGTACAACACGATGATGCAGTTTTATATAAACCTCATGATAAAGCTGCTCAATTTAATCAAATAAATACTCATAAAAATGAAAATTTAAGAGAAAATGTAATTGTACCTGATTGGAAGACTTGTTTACCATTGGCTAATGAAGGTCATAACCTTTTCCATTCTTCTTCAACATCAAATCTGAATAACTCAAACCAAACTATAAGGACAGATTTGAAAAACTGGAAGCAATTTTTGAATCAGATTTCCAGTAAATTTGGATTCTCAGCAGGTCCAATTTCAGATTCAGAGACTTCCGGTCAAAGTGATAACGATAAAGCTGAACAAGATTTTGGGTTACTTTATGAAAGATCATATAAATTATATGGAAAATCATTAGCATTGTTACCAGAAGATAAAAGAGCATGTTTACCAAATTACAATAAATACTATCGTGACATAGATTCACCAATAAGAACTGATTTACCGTCACAATATGAAGAAGATCAAAATGATCCAAATTCTATTTCAATTACAAATGATGCAATGGGCAATTTGTTAATAAACAGTTCAAATCAAAGACGAAAACCTTTACATGAATCAATCAACACCGAAATTGTCAATTATAAATCAGGTCCATTAAAAAGAATCAAAAATGTTTTAATTATCGGAGTTCATGGATTTTTCCCAACAAGAATGATACGTCCAATTATTGGAGCACCAAAAGGTACATCTTTAAAATTTGCGAATGAAGCAGAAAAAGCAGTTATACGATATTGTGTTGAGAACAATTTAATAAATGAAGATCAATCAGATGTTAGTATACAGAAAATTGCATTGGAAAAAGAAGGTAAAATTTTTGATAGAGTACATTTTTTCACTGAAATACTACAAAAATGGGAATCTGAATTAAATAATGCAGATTTTATTTTCATTGCTTCTCATTCTCAAGGTTGTGTTGTATCAATAATTTTATTAGCAAGATTAATTAGAATAGGGATATTAAAAGATCCGATACATAAAAGGATAGGTTTGTTGGGAATGGCTGGTATCAATAATGGACCATTCTATGGTGTTGATAAATCATTTTTCATGAAGGCTTATTCTGCTATTGAACATGATTCTTTGAATGAGTTGTTTGAATTAACCAAATTTGATTCACCTCAATCAGTAGTTTATAAGGAATCTATAAGGACAATAATAAATGTCAATGTCAAAATTTGTTTCATTGGGTCTATTAATGATCAATTGGTACCATTATATTCAGCATTAGCATCACATATTTTCCATCCAAATATTTATAGAGCATGTTATATAGATTATGCATCAGCAACCCCAACATTTATCGAGAAGCTAGTTTCATTATGTTCACAAATTTTGAATTTGGGATTTTTTGATAATAATGTTATAAAAGAATTAAGTACATCATTAGCAGGTCCATTAACTGGTGGTGGACATTCCAAAATTTATAATGATGGTAAAGTTTATGATTTAGGTATTAAATTTGTATTGGATACTGATGATTTAGTTATCCCACATGATGGTAAAATTGACTATGATGATTTTGATAATAGTGAATTACCAGTTTCAAATCAAGTATATATTAAAGAATATAATGTTGGTAAAATCGGTACAAATCCATTTATATTACCTTGGTGTTTGAGGGGGTTATTATTCAATATTGAAAAAAATTGGCCAAATAGAAATTATAATGAAAAGAAAAATGAAAGAGGTATTAATAATGGCTTTACTGAAATTCATGAATTGTATGAAATTTTTGAAAACTGGAAACCAGATACAAAAATTTATAAAGACTTAAAATTTAGATTAAATGGGTTTAGGGCGAGTAAGTTATGACAATAAGCTGGATTAAGCGTATAATATATAACGTTAATATAAAAAATCGTAGACTTAATGTATTCTAATGATATTTATTCGTTTCCAACGCTACCAAACACTTGTAAAACACATTACACAAAATTTTCAAAATTTAAAACTGAAATATCTCAAGATGATGATTTGAATAATCTATTGAATTAATCCAATATCAATTATGTCAGATTATGAAGATAATGCATTTAATGAAGTAGCAGAAAACTATGAAGATTTTGATGCACCAGATCATTTTTCAGATAATGAAATAGATGAACCAAATGGAGGTGATGTACAATTAAAAGCAGATGATGGTAGAACAATAATAAATGGAGGATTAGGACCAGATGATGCACAACATCAACAACAACAACAACAATCACGTAAAAAAACTGTAAAAGAATTAGCTATACCAAAAGATAAAAGAACAACAACACCATATATGACGAAATATGAAAGAGCAAGAATATTGGGGACAAGAGCTTTACAAATTTCTTTAAATGCTCCTGTTTTGGTGGATATTGAAGGTGAAACTGATCCTTTACAAATTGCAATGAAAGAATTAGCTCAAAGAAAAATTCCATTGGTTATAAGGAGATATTTACCTGATGGATCTTACGAAGATTGGGGCTGTGATGAATTAATTGTTGAAAATTAATCAATCCATTTCCCCTCTTTCTGCTACTGCATTTGATCAAGACAAAAGCTGCGTATCGATTGAATTCAATACTTTTTTCCAGTTTCATCAATTACGTTTGCATGTCTTTAAATTCCTAGGCAATTTAGTTTGATTGTTTAGCTCACAATCTATTTGTATATTATAATAAAATTCAAAACTTACCCATGAACATGCTATTTGACAGTTTCAATATGTCACTCTCGGAGTTACTCTTCAACTTCTAGGTTTTTATATATTCTCCGGAGTCAATCCCTCACCTCTCTACTATTTTTCTGGATTAGAAGTAAGATATATAATTAGTTTAAAATTTATAATTGTCGACTCTGGAAATATTATCAAAAACTTCGAAAGTGGATCAAACTAATTAAAGTTATTGACGCAATTTAAAAGTAAGATAAGGGTAAGTAAAAAGTTTCCCATTCACTTAATGTGACCAATTGATCTCGAAAGCATACTTCAGTATAACTTGACTTGAAACGTTAATGTCGTCATGTTCATTTTTCCGACAATCCTCAAAATATGAAAATTTTAATTTAAAACTTAAACTTCAAGTTTGATTAACTAGCTTACGTTTTGATGCTATTTAATTGTTCTTGATATAAGCAACTTAATTTTCACGTCAATAAATTTGCAGGCATTTGGTGATATTGTTGTTGGTCAACAGAGTTATTAAAAAACTCAATTTAATAATTTCGAGTTTGCAGAGTTATATGAAAGTGGTATGAGTCAAAACGTTTGATATTTAAAAAAAGTATATACCAATACCTAAAACTTACTAGAATCGAATAACACTAAACTATTCGACCACCAAATAAATTTAATACAATATTTCATTTCACTTTAAATAAATTATTATGAAATATTTATAAATAATTTGGTAGCAACAAAAATTGAAACGCGTTAGTATATAGAATTATTTGTTAATATAATAGAATTTGAGTACAAAATCATATTATTAAATAACATAATATTGAATAATAATAATATATTATGAAATAAAAATAATTAAATAGATTTTAAAATTTACAACCAAATAGAATAAACAAGTTTCAAATTAAACCAATTTTTTTTTATTTGAAGTCATAAGGAAAAAACTATTAAGTCATATGAGTTATTAACATTAAATTTTCATTTACTTAAGTCAAACGTTCACAAAATCCACATCATTAAGTCAGCTTTCAATATTTAAAATCAAAACAATTTTGAAACTATTTCTACAAAATAATAATATAATCTTAAACTTCATTAAATAGTCATAAAAATTAAAATGCTACTAAATTCTGACAATGGATTATCTCAGAAACCACAAACCTCAAAACTCAACGGCTCAACAACGAAAAACAAGAAGATTTTACCATTTGAACAATTATTAAAAGAAAATAAATATTTACGTTCAAAGTATGAAGAATGTTTTCTTCATGATTTAACAGCTGAAAATTTAAATTATTATTTTCCAGATTATAATATTGAAGATATATATGAGTATATTAAAAAACAACCTGAATTCATTCCACTTGCTAAAACAATAACAAGAGGTGAAAAAAGTTTAATTAAAGAATTAATTCTGGAAAAGAAATCATTTGAAGAAATACTTCCATTATTTCCCTTAAGAGATGAGCAGACTATTAGAACCAACTATAACGCCTTAGTTTATGCAAGTGGTAGAACTCCTAGATTTAAAAATTCATTAGAAAGATTAATTTATGAACAAGGTATGGCTGTACAAGTTGATTCTTCAAGAAAAAGAAGTTCAAGAAGGAGCACTCAAAGTGATTTTAAAATTGAAGAATTAGATGATATTCAAGGAGAAGCAAGAAAACTAGATAGATATTTATATAAGACTAAAACAACAGAAGATGTTGATCCTGTTAGAAGAGAATTAACAAGAAAAGCTTATCAGATAAAACTTAAAAAAAAACAGGATAGAATACAAAAATCTAAAGATGCATGGGCAAGAGGTAGAGTTCCAGGAGGTGGTGCTAGACCCATTACTTTACACAGTGAACTTCGTGATTTAAATGCAGGTTTAGAACATTTTCAAACAGTTGTTGGTGATAGACAAAAAATTGAAGAAGGATCTAAGAGAAAACGTACTCAAGCTGTATTTTTTGAACCACTGACAGAACCACTATTTAAAAGAAGTAAGATTCGACAAAATTTAAAAGCACAAGCAAGATTACGAATAAGAAAAGAAGCATTATTAAAAGAGAGAAATAAAAAAAGGAAACAATCTAGGAAGAGAAAGAGTAAATCTAAATTTACATTGGAAGATGAAGAGACCCCAGAACCACGTGATGATGATTTATTAGAAACACTTGGAGAAGAAGAAGAAGAAATTTATATTAGTAAATTTGATCCACCAGATTTAAATTCAGATACATTAGTTCCATTATATGATCGTCAATTATTTACTGAATCCATATACGGAGAAACTCCACAACTACCGGCTTTAAATTTCAGAAGCCTAGAGGCAAATGAAACTATTAAAGATGCAATGACTTCGGAAGATGATTCAATTTTATATGACGATGAATTAGCTGCACAAGTTGTTGGAACACATATAAAATGTTATAGAGATTTACCAATATCATTTCCGACTCATTTTAATAAAAAGACAATTGATGTTAATTATGAACAAAGTGTTAAAGTTCGTTTTTTATTATATCCAGAACATTGCGAACTGTATGTTTTAGCTGAACCAAAAGATAATGAGTTAGATCCAGTTCATGAAATTATGAAACTATTTATGATTCATTATGCATTATATTTTTCACATTCAGAAGTATTAAAAGATAAGATAAATGAATATTGTCATCAACTAGAATCATCAATTGAAAATAGTGATTTTACTGAATTTTTATATGTCATTGATAAATGGAATTTATTAATGTTATATCTAACACCAAATGAATCATCAGCTTCCAAAATTCTAAAAGAAAATAAAGATTTAAATCATGGAGCTAGGGAAATTTTGGACAATACTGAAATCAGAGTACCTAAAAAGGAGGATTTAGACTTGGAGATATATTATAATGAAATTTGTTATGAACTGAATAGTCCAATTTTTGAACCAGTTATTAAAACAGAAATAACAGATGAAGAATTAATTGAACCAAAATTAGATATTTCCATGAAAAATTTAGAATTACCTGAAATCAAAGTTGGACCAATTAATGTTGAAAAAGTTTATGCTAAACCATCAAAATTTAATTCAGATTTTTTTAAAAGATTAACTACAAAGGAATCAATATCAAGATATACAATGCAACAATTATTATTAAGGGTTTATGCAAGAGTTGTGTCAACAGATTCAAGAAAATTAAGATCATATAAAGCATTTACTGCGGAAGTTTATGGAGAATTATTACCATCATTTACAAGTGAAGTTTTAGAGAAAGTTGAATTAAAACCACAACAAAAATTTTATGATTTAGGTTCAGGTGTAGGAAATACAACTTTACAAGCAGCATTAGAATTTGGAGCTTGTATTTCTGGTGGTTGTGAACTAATGGAACATGCTTCTTATTTAACCAATTTACAAGAAAATTTAATTCAAAAACATTTAGCCGTATTGGGACTTAAAAAATTGAATTTAAAATTTGCATTAAAACAATCATTTGTAAATAATTTAACAGTGCAACAAGATTGTTTAGATTCTGATATTTTAATTATAAATAATTATTTATTTGATGGTGAATTAAATGCTTCAGTTGGTAGATTATTAAAAGATTTAAAACCAGGAACTAAAATTATAAGTTTAAGAAATTTTATATCTCCAAGGTATAAAGCAACTTTTGATACTGTATTTGATAGATTAAGTGTTGAAAAACATGAAATGAGTGATTTAATGTCTGTTAGTTGGACTGCTAATAAAGTTCCTTATTATATTTCCACGGTGGAAGAAGAGATTAGACCTGAATATTATAAGTTTGGTGGTGAATTACAATCAGGTTCTACAACTCCATCAACTATTCAAAATCTGACACCTTCAACTATTGATGATATGGATATTGATGATCATAAAAGATTTAATGCTTTTCATGATGATTTTGATGATGAAAGTTTAAGAGGTGGCGAATCTACTCCACCAACTGATCAACATTCAGATAATGACAATAAATAAGTAGAAACTTTGAAAATTGTATCACTATTAAAAAAATAAAAAAAATTATAATGTATTACTAATTAGTTTATATAAAATATAAGATAAAATTGTTTTTAAATTATTTACCATTACCATTACCATTACTGTTTGGCTCTACTGAACCAATTCTTGAACTATTATTTGAACTTAAATTATTATTTAATTTTCTCTTTTTTGAAACTGGACCTTCAATTTCTCTTGATATTGCTAATAATAAAGTATTAATTCTTCTACTTATTTCTTGAGTTGTTCTTGACTGTATATACCAATCAAATTTGAAAATATCAGAATTTAAAATTTCTTGTTTTATTTTTTCATATAATTTTTCATCATTAAGACCAAATTTATAAACACAATTTAATAAAAATTTATCTTCAATTTTAGAATAAACTCTTTTTGAATTATTTGGAGGATATTGAATTATTAAATCTTCTATTGGATCTTTTAATGATTCAATTTTATTTGATAAAAATTTTTGTTGATTTAATAATTTTTCTCTTTTTTTTTCCATTATATCGATTTGATTTAAATATTTTTCATAACCTTCTATTAATTTATAATTTTCCCAAAATTTTTTAGAATATTTTGAAACTTCCTTTTTAGTCTTATTACCTAATGCTTTTGATATTTTATTATATGAATCTCTACCATATTTTGCAGTTGCATGAATAAAATTTGTAAAATCACGTCTTGACCATGAAAAAAAACTTTCTTTAAATAATTTATTTTTATATTCAATTTCTTCTTCTGTTAATGGTTTAACATTTTTAATTTTATCTTGTTCAATTTTTAATTTTTCTTCTCTACTTAATTCATCTTTATCTTCTTCCATTAAAAATTCTTCATCTGAATCCCCAAAATCATCTATTGAATATTGGAACTTTATTTCCTTTTTAAAAGCTAATTGTTCTCTTTCTAATAATTTTTCCAATTCTTTTGATATAAATTGATGATCTTGTGCTTGATATAATTTTGGTTGTTTTGGTTTTATTACAACTTGTTTGGGGGCTTTTTCTTTAACAACAACATTTGGTTTTGATAAAACATCCTTGTAGTAATTATCAACTGAATAAGTTTGTTCTTTTCTAACTCTTTTTGATGGGTTTATCCAACTGAAATTATTATTATTATTATCCTTTTTAGCAAAATCTTGTCCATTCCATTGATATGCACTACCATCAGATGTAAAATTTTGTAAATCTTCTAAACCTAATTTATTAAATTTCTCATTCATTTTTTGAGTTTTTTCTGCTCCCTTTTGTAAAATTGATTCAATATCATCATCAAGATTATTTTTTTGTTTTTGACTTTCAAATACATTTTTAGCTCCATGTTGAATCATTTCAATTAAATCATCTTTTGAATTACCAACGTTATTATTGGCATTAGTTTGTCTACCTTGTTGTATAACTAATTGATCTAATCTTAATTTTTGTGCTGCTCTTTCCAATACTTTTTCTTCAATTGCATTCTCAGTAACAAATCTAAATACTTTAACTTGTTTCTTTTGTCCAATTCTATGAGCTCTATCCATTGCTTGTAAATCAGCTTGTGGATTCCAATCTGAATCATATAATACAACTATATCTGCTGAAGTTAAATTTATACCTAATCCACCAGCTCTTGTTGTTAATAAAAATAAAAACTTGGATGAATTTGGGTCATTATAATCATCAATTGCTTCAATACGATCTTCATGTGAAGTTGAACCATCTATTCTACAATATTCATACTCCCTGAAAAAGCAATAATCTTCTAAAATATCTAAAACTCTTGACATTTGTGAGAAAATCAATACTCTTGAACCTTCACTTTTAAATTTTTTTAACATTTTATCCAATATAACCATTTTACCAGAATTAAATATTAAATGTTCATCAGTTGTATAAGGAGGACCTGGTTCTGCTCCATCAAATAAATAAGGATGGTTACAACATTTCCTTAATTGCATAACTATATTTAATAATCTTGTTTTACCTTCTCTTTTACCAACAACTCCATTAACTGCATCAATATCTTTTTCTAATAATTTTTTATACCATTCATATTGCATATCTGTCATACCAGTATAAATATTTGTTTCAATTTTAGGTAAAAGAGATTTTTCAACATCTGCTTTAACACGTCTTAACAAGAAAGGTGATAATAATTGATGTAATTCTTGTATAACTTTATCTTGTTGTTCTTGTTTTTGTTTTTCACTTAATTCCGAGTTATTATTTTGTTGTTGATCAAAAGTTTCATCAAATTGTTCTGAATCTCCAAATACATCAGGTAATAAAAAATTTAATAAAGCCCATAATTCATGTAAATTATTTTGTAAAGGAGTACCAGTAATTAATAATCTATTTCTTGAATAAAATAATCTTATAATTTGTGATAAAGAACTTTGTTCATTTTTTATACGATGAGCTTCATCAACTATTATATATTCCCATTTAAATTTTTTTAATGAAGATTTTTCTCTTAATACCATTTCAAAAGAAGTAATTAAAACATCAAATTTTGCAGTATATAATCTATTTTTTATAATATCATTTCTTTGATCTTTATCACCTTGTAATACAACAACATTTACATCAGGTGTCCATTTTGCAAATTCTCTTCTCCAATTATCTAAAGTTGATTTAGGTACAATTATAATAAATGGTCCATCAATATTTTTAATATATCTTAAATAACCTAAAAATGATATAGTTTGTAAAGTTTTACCTAAACCCATTTCATCAGCTAATATTCCACTTAATCTATTTTCATATAATGATATTAACCAATTTAATCCTTGAATTTGATATTCTCTTAATTTTCCTTCTTGAATATAACTAGGTGATTCAGTTATAATAGTATGTTGATTTTCTTCATCATCTTGATGTTCTTCATCTTGTAATAATTCTGCATCTTCTTCTTTTTCAGTTTTTCTTCTTCTACTACTATTTTGTTTCTTTTTTTTAGTATTATTTTCTTTAAATGATCTTTGATTATCAATTTCTCTAACTCTTCTTTTAAATTCAGGATCTTTTGATGCATTTAAATCAATAAATTTTCTAAAAACAGAACTTAAACCTAATAAATATTGAAATCTTTTTGTTGCATCATCTTTATCATTTTTATATTCATGTTTTGCATCAATTTTTAATAAAAATTTATTTTGCCTTTCTTTTAATGATTCTTTAGGAAGTGATGAATCAGTATCTATATTATCATCATTTAATTTTGTCATTTAATTGTTATTCGTGAGTATATTTATGTAATTAATGAAAATGAATGTGAAAAATGATTTGAAATTATACTACTGAAATAATGTTTTAAAGTTGAAAATGAAATTTAAAATTGAAATTGAAATTGAAAATAATTGTAATGAAATGGTTGTAAATAATTATAATAAATTTGTTGAAGAAAAAAAGGGGATATATAAATGATAGAAATAAAAATAAATTAAAAAGTAAGATCAAAAAAATTTAAATTAAATTTTGAAATTTGTTGTTTTTTTTTTTTTGATTAAAATTAAATTAATTATTTTTATTATTTTTTATATGTATTATATTAGTACTTCTAGTAGTTGCAAAACAATATTTAAAAAGCTTAAAGATTGAATGATAGGTTTTTTAAAGTAAATAATACAATAAATCTATGTACTACTTGATCAAAGAGAAATAAAAAAACGTGAAGAAAGATGAAATTTATTAATATATTATTTAAACATTTTAATTTTTTATATAAATTTTATATAGATTTAAAATCAATTATTAATATCGTATTATAAATAAAATCTTTAAAAAACTATATGGTAGCTCATTTTTTTACAAAAACAATTATTACACAAAAATATATTACTATTACGAAACAATAATAATAGTAATAACTAAAGATTTAGAAATATCTCTCTTTCTCTCTCAAATTTATTAAATTTTTATATTAATTTTAACATCATTTATAAACAATAAATGTAGTTGATATAACCACTCAAATTAATCATAAATTCAAGATCTATTCAAACAAGCAGTACAAGATTTTCAAGGAAGTACTGCAATAAATATACAATATAAAAATAAACATTAATAAATGGATTAATATGTATAAGTACAAGTTTAAAACATTTCTTTATGAAATACCCCCTTAAGATTAATATTCAAGATTTTCTGATATAATAATGATTTACAAACTATGACACAATAGGGTTGCCATATATATCCAGGGATTGTGGTATAAGTATGAATTGAACTTTAAAATAAAAACAGGATAAAATGAGAATGGACAATCTAAAACATACAAAGTATATTAAAACTTTTGTAATTTTTTGAGACTTTAATTGAGAAAATCAAATTTTTTGATAAAACAAAAACTTTTTATCTTACTATCTTATTAAATTTAGCTATAATTATAGTATATAGTTTATGAAACATTAAGAAGTGGAAAAATTAAAATATCAATAACATTTGAATTTTTCAATTATGATCATTATTATTTTCATTATTAGTAACTTGTTGAATAATTTGAAATTGACGACTTAATAATCTTTCATTTCTTTCTTGAAGAATATTTAATTTTTTATTATAATTATTTAATTTTTTTTTAATTTTATTAATTTTATTATTATTATCATCAATTAAAATATGTGTATTTGATAAATCATTTAATAAACTTTTGGATTTTTTCAATTGTAAAACTTCATTAAAAGGTAATGTTACATTAAGTGGTTGTGAACTATGGTTTTGATTTGAGCTTTGATCATTTACATCATATTGACCTGAAGGATTAAGGGGTAAAACTCGAGATTTATAATGATTTATATTATTTTGATGTTGGTTTTGATTTTTATATTAATAATAATTTTGTTCTGATATAGGAACTGTATTTCTCAATTCATTATGAGCGGTATCATCAGTATATTCAGCATTGTCGGCATCATCATCCATTCTTTTAGCTACACCGTTAGCACGATTATGATTTGACATTTTGATATAATATTCTCGAAATAGAAAAAAGTGGTTGTAAAAACTTTAAATTATTTCTTTTGTGATATTTTTTTATGATATTAATAAATTACTCAATTTATATGACAAGTTTACTAATATATTATATATACTTAAGGTTTAAAAGATATTCTCTAGAATTCGTTAGAAATTTTATACAATGATACCAAACCTGTATTACATACTAAATTATTTTACTTCTATCATAAAACATTCCAATCTATTTCTGTTTTACCATTTTCAACTAGCCATTGATTACATTTTTTAAATACATTCAGTTCGAAAAATCCTCGTCTAGCACTTAATGGGGATGGATGAACAGTACGTAAAATTAAAAATTTATTTTGATTTTGATCTAATAATTTTTTAAATGGTTCTATACTTTTTTGAGCTGGTGATCCCCAAGCCATTATAACAAATCCTTGATTTTGTTCAATATAATATTTAATTAATAATTCAATACATTTTTCAGTAAATATTTCCCAACCTTTTTTTTTATGACTATTTGCTTTATGAGATTCAACAGTTAGTATAGTATTTAATAATAGTACACCTTGTTTGGACCAATTTGTTAAATTCCCACCACCTGGTTTACCTTGTTCCAGTAGCGCTTTAAAATTAGGGACTTTATAATCTGGATAATCTATCTTTAAGGTTTTATATATATTAATTAATGAAGGTGGTGGTCTATTTGGTTCTAATACTGAAAATGCTAATCCATGAGCTTGATTATGATTATGATATGGATCTTGACCTAATATTAGACATTTTACTTTATTTACAGGTGTTAAGTTTGACCAAGAATAAATATCTTCTTGTTTGGGAAATATGGTCTTTTTGGATGATTCAACATTTAAAAATTGTTTTAATTTTTGAAAATATGGTTTTGTTAATTCTTTATGTATTAGTGCTAACCATGTTATATTTAATGTATTTATTTCCAAATTTAATAAAAGTTTTTGTTCTACAGTTAAGGTATTAATCCAATTTTCTTTATCAAAGTTTAAGTTCTTGCAAAATTTAAGTTCCTCTAGTGTAATCTCAACAGGTTTATTATCTTTCAAAATTCTTAACTTATTATCTTGATCTGATTTTTCTATTAATAAATCAGTATCACCTTCACTATCTTCCTTCGTCCGTATCTTCTGTTTCTTTGCATTATTCTCACTTGAAGTTCCAAAGTAGGAAGTTATCGGTGGTCGTTTCGTCATTTGTTTGATTATAGTGTTTCTTAATATCATTATCAGATCTAATAATATTTTGATATTTGCATATGACGCGTTTGGTTAATTTTGTGTAATAAGTATACCGAAAGCTGCAAATTTTGAAAAATGAAATTTACGAAAATGTTTTGGAGGATTTACATAATAATCTTACAACTACGTTTTAAAATTCACTATTGATCATATTTATTCATTATTTTAAAATAGCACTGTAAATGCATAAGGATAATTCCCATCTTTTCTCAATATGATACTAGTTAAACAACTTATCAATATATAAATAATTAAAGAATTTAAAATAATGAACCAAATCCTTAATTTTTCATTTTTGATCATGGAAGTATCAGTAATTTTGTAATCTCCTAATTTAATTAAACTGATAAAAAATATAAATAAACTTAAATAATTTAAACTTACTATAGCAATTTCTACAGCGTATTGATAATGAGTTCCACCACTAATGAAGATTAATGAGTTATCATCTTTGTTCTTAGTTAATAATGGAACTTTATTTTGTAATGTGAATTGATAACCTGATGTACATAAAATCACAAATAGTATTGATATTATGGAAATAACGGTTTTCTTTTTAGTTGATGTTAAAAATGAAGGACCTTTCTTTTTAATAAGTACTATAACTGAAAAAGTAATCAAAAAAGTTTTGAAAAATGTACTAAAAGCTTGATCACCACTTGAACTTTGAGGTAATTTAATTTGTTTTGATAATTGTTCATTTAAGAATTCATTTAATGCAAGTATTTGTTTATCTTCAGAAAGTGGTGGTGGATTCAATTGATAATGAGTATCATCCAATATTGAAGTTGAAGATTCATTAAATTGTGGAGGTATTAGCCAAATATGAGGTATTGTAGTTAATTTTAAATGATTGAATATTTTAGCATTTGAAAAATCTTTTAAATTTGCTTCAACAAACACTAGGTCTTTATTATATATATAATTTTCTTTGTACCATACTTGAGATAACTTGTGGATCATTGGACCTAATACCGCACACAATTGACATTCATGTTTTGGATTTGATGATGTTAGGTATAATAATGTATAAAATGGTCTTGGTTTAAATGAATCTATAATTGATAAATCACCATTATGAATTTGTATTATATTGTTTTCTGAAATTGATATTGTTTCATCTAATTGATCGTAATTGTTAGCTAATGAATGTGTTAGACTAAAAAGTAGTAGTGTTACTACTGATATTATTTTCATTTATTTGGTACTTTTTATTCGTATTAGATCTCGATTTTTTTCAAACTGGTTTATAATATGCGACTTATCTAATGGTTTGTCACAGAACCAAAATTTTTCTTAGTTATCAATGCCTAAAAAAAATTATACAATAAATATATCTATTAAATTATTCATCTACTACAAAATCTTCTTCTTCATCTTTATTAATTATTAAAAATCCAGTTGTAACAATTACTGCACCAAATATATATAACAAATTCAAATTAAACCCTTTTATAACCCAATCTCCAATCATTGCTAATGGGATAGTCATTGATAATCCAACAGTAACAGTTAAAGGTGAAGTTAACAATACTGCATTACACCAACAAAAATCACTTACAAATGTTATAGCTGCATTTAATATTAAAAAAATTGTCATTAATCTTTGTGAAGGTAACTCAAATTTTTCAACATTTGTAAAATGTAAAATTAATAAAATTGGCCAAAAACCAACTAAACATATTAAACCAACAAATCCAAAAAATAAATGAGTATTTAAATTTTTTTCCTTCTTAGAATTTGGTATTGATATTTTAAATTTTAATAAAATTGTATATATTCCATATATTAATGCTCCAGATAATGCTAACAAATTTCCCCATAGAATTAGCAATGGTGAAAAATGTTTACCTCCATTATTTGGATTTGAATCAGATGTGTCAGCTTTTGTAACAATTAATACACCTGAAAAACTTAATAAAATTCCCATTATTTTATTTTGATTAATTTTTTCAACTGATACCAAGTAACCAATTATTAATGTAAAAAATGAAGATGTAGAAGACAATATAGTTTGTGATGCAACTGATGTATATGATAATGAAGCATTTGTTACTAAATTTGCCAGAAACCACAATATTATAAATTGTATTGATAATTGGAAAGTTTCATAAATATTTATATCTAAGGAATTATTTTGTGATTCATCATTCGTTATAATAGTATTATTTTCTTCAATTGATGTCATTGTTGAAGATAAATTATCATCAGACCCATAATGTCTAATTAATCCTTCTTCATCTTTTTGAGGTAATTTACTATATTCATAATCATTTTTGAAATTTGTAATAAAACTTGAAATATTTAATTTTTTCAATCTTAAATAAGGTATTATATAAAATGTAAAACAACTTGTATTTATCCAAGTTATAAAAAATGGTTTTCTATATGAATTATCTTCTACCATTTCATTGACTAAAAAACTTGAAGTGACCCATAGTATAACAACTGCTGATAAATTTATTAATCCTAAAAACCATTTTTGACGAGAATGTAATGATATATCTGGTATGAAAAATGCTGATATATATCGAAGTATACTGAGTCTTGTGTTTGTGATAGTTGACATTTCAGGTTCTGATATGTGTGTGGGTTAGTCAAAGATGCGTTATAGAAATTGATAAGTAATTCATATATTGTCAATGTGGTTTATAATCAGTTATCTTTATCTAATAGAACTGTGATTTTTTTAAAGATTTCGTTTTATGTCAGAAACTTTAATGTTGCGTAATGAAATTTTTTTTGACTTTTATTTCTTTTTTACCACAATTTGATTTAATGCAAGATATATTGAGGACGTGTTTCAGAATATTTGGACCATAATATAATGCCACCAAAAGTGTATGTTATCAACTTATAAGGTTGAAGTACTGATGCAATTCAAGAATACTAATTTAGTTTAGCAAAGCTCCAAAAGTTAAGGTAGAAAAACCATTTAAATATGAGAGAAACCTAGCTACTCAATACAAATTTGGAGCTCATGTTGGTATGTCAGGAGGGATTTATAAGTCAGTCACAAATGCAATGAATATAGGAGCTAATTCTTTTGCATTATTTTTAAAATCACCAAGAAAATGGGTATCACCAGATTTAAAACCTGATGATATAAAAAAATTCCATGATTTATGTACATTACATGGATATAATTCAAGAACAGATATTTTACCACATGGATCATATTTTATAAATTTAGGTAATCCAGATCCAGAAAAAGAAGCAAAAGCTTATGATTCATTTTTAGATGATTTAAAAAGATGTGAATTATTAAATATTGGATTATATAATTTTCATCCTGGTTCAAGTTTAGATGGTGATCATAAAGAATCTTTGAAAAGATTAGCTAATAATATAAATAAAGCAATTGATGCAACTGAATTTGTTAAAATTGTTATTGAAAATATGGCAGGTCATGGAAACCTTATAGGTTCTGACTTAAATGATATAAAAGAAGTAATAGCAATGGTTGAAAATAAGTCAAGAGTTGGTGTTTGTTTAGATACTTGCCATTCATTTGCAGCTGGTTATGATATTACAGATGAAACAAAGCTCTTGGAGTTTTTAAAAACTTTTGATGAATTAATTGGTCCAGAGTATTTAAGTGCTATACATTTAAATGATTCAAAAGCTCCATTAGGTGCAAATAGAGATTTACATCAAAAATTAGGTTATGGGTTTTTGGGTCTAGACGTATTCAGAGCAATTGCAAATTGTGAAAGATTGAAAGGCATACCCATTGTTTTAGAAACACCTGTAAAAGATGACGACGATGACATATATGGAGAAGAAATTAATTTACTAGAATGGCTAGAAGGTAGATCAATAGAAGATTCGGAGTATATAGTGAAAAGAGAAGAATTATCAAAATTAGGTGAAAAAGAAAGAGCTGAACATTTGAAAAAATTTGAAACAAAGAATAATAAAAAGAAAGCCAAAGAGGATAAACAACAAGGAGACATTACAAAATTGGTTAAAAAGAGAAAAGTTGCCTCTAAGTGATCTTGATATAGAGTTGATCGTTTATGAAATGTAAATATTTAAGGACTTAACATTATTTTATAAAGTCACTACCAATTGACAACTAATATTTTTTTCCCTTTTTTATATATGATTTCTATCAAAAAAAAACAAAGTAATATTCATTTTGACAACTATATCATTTTGTAAACTACTCCTTTACCACATAATCATTCTTTTAGAATTAATCAATTGTAATGTTTGGTGGTTCTTCCTCAGCATTTGGTGGTTTTGGTAGTAATACTTCAAACAATTCACCGTTTGGCGGTGGTGCAAATACAAATACAAATACTACCAATGCATCACCTTTTGGATCAAGTAATACAAATACAGGAGGAGGTTTATTTGGTGGTAATAACACTACAACTAATCCAACATCAACTTTTGGTTCGAATAATGTTTTTGGAGGTGGAAATAATACAACTACACTGGCTTTTGGAAGTAATAATAATACTACAGGAAGTGGAGGATTATTTGGATCAAATAATGCAACAACAACATCAGCTTCACCATTTGGTCAACCAGCACAGCAACAACAACAAGGGACATCACTTTTTGGAGGAGCAAGCAATACCAACACGGGATTTGGCTCATCATCATCTGGAGGAATATTTGGTGCAAAACCCGCCACTTCAACTGGGTTTGGATTTGGATCTCCAGCTCAAAATAACACAACTTCATCACCATTTGGCTCATCAACAACAAATGCATTTGGTACAACCTCAACAGACTCCAAGGTTAATGAAGGTACAGCTGTTAAACCATTCACACCATTCTCAGAAAAGGATTCAGCAAATATAAGTAATGTTTTCCAAAATATATGTTGTATGCCAGAATATCAAAATTTCTCATTTGAAGAATTAAGATTAAAAGATTATGAACAAGGTAGAAGATTTCCGCCAGCAGGTGGTGCAACTGGAACTGGATTTGGAACATCCGGAGGATTTGGTTTTGGATCAAATCAACAACAACCACAACAACAACAACAATCAGGTGGGTTATTTGGATCTCAAAATAATACTTCACCATTTGGAAGTTCAACTGCTAATGCTGGCTCAGCATTTGGTTCAAGTTTCAATAAACCTGCATCACCATTTGGTTCAACTAATCAAACTTCAACAGGATTTGGATCAACTCAACAACAACAATCTTCACCATTTGGTGCAAGTACAAGTAATGTTTTTGGTGCTAATAAACCTGCTACAAATGCATTTGGTTCAAATACTACTAGTGGTGGAGGATTATTTGGTTCATCAAACACAAGTAATGCATTTGGTCAACAAAAACCAGGAGGTTTTGGTACTGGTACCGCAGGAGGATTTGGTTCATCTACTACTGGTGGATTCGGTCAAACAGGATCATCACCATTTGGTCAAAACAATAGTCAACAACAGCAACCAGGTGGTGGCTTATTTGGCTCTTCAAATACAAATAATGCTTTTGGTGGTAATACAAGTGGAGGTTTTGGACAATCAAATACAGGAACTGGGGCATTTGGTTCAGGTAATACAGGAGGTGGATTATTTGGTGGAGGTCAACAACAACAAAATACAGGATTCGGGGCTAAACCATCTACAGGATTCGGTTCAACTTCTGGAGGTGGATTATTTGGACAACAAAATCAAAATCAAAATCAAAATCAATCAAGTGGTGGTGGATTATTTGGAAATAATAATCAAAATCAGCAATCAGGAGGATTATTTGGTTCAAAACCAGCAGCTCCAAGTGGTGGTGGCTTATTTGGTAATACTCAACAATCCAATACAGGTGGAGGTTTATTTGGAAATAATAACCAACAATCTAGTACAAGTGGAGGATTATTTGGATCTAAGCCAGCTGCTCCAAGTGGTGGTGGATTATTTGGCAATAATAACAATCAACAATCGAGCACTGGTGGTTTATTTGGTTCAAAACCTGCAGCTCCAAGTGGTGGAGGATTATTCGGTGCTAACAATCAGCAATCTAATACAGGAGGTGGATTATTTGGTGGTTCAAATCAACAACAACAAGGTACAAATGCATTTGGTGGTGGATCTACTACTGGAGGATTATTCGGATCAAAACCAGCAACAACATCTGGTGGTTTATTTGGTGGTGGTAATCAACAAAACACTCAAACATCAGGAGGATTGTTTGGTAATAATACTAATCAACAACAAAATAATAGTGGAGGTTTATTTGGTAATAATCAATCATCAAGTGGTGGATTATTTGGGAACTCACAACAAAATCAACAATTTCAACAAAATCAAAATTCATCACAACCACTGTTTTTGCAAAAGACTCAACAACAACAAACTCAATCATTAGCTAATATAAACTCACAAGATCCATATGGAAGTAATCCATTATTTCAATCAATTACGAGTAACCCTCAACAACAACAACAACAATCAAATGGTTTTAATAAACCACAAGCTACTTTATTAAATAAATCTAAAGCCAATAAAAAACCAGTTACATTAGGTAGTACATCACAAAGAATTACACCATTATTTAAAATAACTGTATTACCTTCAAAAAAACCAATTGAAGAAATTCAAGATGAAATTTTTAAAACAAAATCAAATAAATTATTTTCATCAATAACTGATTCAGCAATAATTACATCAGATATTTTTAAACCAAATAATAATTTTAAAAAATTAGTAATGTCAAAAAATAATGATAATAATTCAACAACAAAACTTTTAGGTGATTCAAAAGACAACGAAACTAAGCAAGTATCATTCAATTTAAATAAAACAATAGATGATAAAGATAAAGAAATTGATGAAATTAAAGAAACTGTAGAAGTCAAAGATAAAAATGGAAAATCAACTTCCATAATTACAAAAGAAGAAGAAATAATAAATGAAGAAAATGATAATGAAGATGGTTATTATACTATTCCATCAATAAAAGAATTAGAAAAAAAATCATTAATAGAATTAAAATCAATTTCTAATTTCAAAATTGGTCGTAAAAATTATGGAGAAATTGAATTTTTAGAACCAATAGATTTATCAACATATTTAAATTTAAAAGAATTATTTAATTTAGTAATATTTGATATAAAATCATGTATAGTTTATCCAGATGATGATTTAAAACCTCAATTAGGTGAAGGATTAAATTTACCTGCAAAAATTACATTAGATAATTGTTGGCCATTAAATCAACAAGATAAATTACCAATATTAGATTCAAAAAACACTAAATTAATTCAAAAACATGTTGAAAATTTAAAAAATTTACCAGATATGGAATTTATTAGTTATAATTCTGAGAATGGTAAATGGACTTTTAAAGTAAAAGAGATGTAATAATTAAATCGATATATATAGATATATATATGTTATATAGTAGATGTATCAATGATCTCATTAAACAACTTATCATTGTATAATCTAATAGACTAAACAAATTATAGTAAAATGAAGAGATTTTTATTTTTTCTTAAAATAATTCACGTGAACCACCCCTAACTACCCCATAAACCTTAATTTAATTTAAAAAAAATAAATTATTATATAAAAGGAGGGGGAAATCAATTCACTAATTTTTTAATGACATAAGTTGACAATAAAAATTTAGTAGATAAGTTAATCTTATAGTCGTAATGTAACAAACCTCAAAGTAGTTGGGTAGATTAATTTTGCAAACTCTTTGAAAAATTTGGTAATGACTCTATTGTTTTTTGACATTTAAAGTAATTAAAAAATTGGTCATTTAATTTATATATATTTTGATAGTTGGTAGTTAGGCTTAGTTAGGCTGTACTACTTACTAAAATTTTTAAATTTTTAGTTAGATTATTTAATTCTTTTAGTTAGATTTATAATTATAGGAGTAAGAAAAATAATACGTATACACTTCTTGGTATCATATTATTGCATCAATAAGGAAGTATCAATGTACCACCTTTGACAGGTTGATATTTCTTCTAATTATTGAAGTTATCAATGATTCTTAAATTCTTGATAATATTTTGTCATTACCCTGTTATCTACGTACTATATATATAAACGCAATTGTCAATTTATAATAAATAATTTTTTAAAGAAAGTGACAACGAAAATTAAAAAATAAATACAAACAATTATAACTTAATTTAGAAACAAATTAATTATAATAATAATACTACAAAAACTTGAATAACAGTTGACTTTTTTGAATACATTATTCATTTGCAATATTAAATTAAATTATATTTAAAAACCACACAACAAATAATACAATACTTTTAATTAAAAGCAATCATAAGAGAAATATACGAGAACAAATCCGATTAAGAATTGTAAGACACACAAACAAAAAAAAGGTCAAAGTAAGTTCGAGAAAAATAAAGAAATAACTAAAATAGTTAATAATTTCTTATTCATTTATCCTTATACACACTGGTTATTATTATTAAATTAGTCATTTAATTTTATTTAGTAGTAAAGGTAAATTTTAATTTTGTTAGAAAGAACACAAGGTTTAAAATAATTATAATTATATCAATAAATTTAGCTTAATTGAATTTCCTTAAGGTGTCCAATATTATTTAATTATTTACTTCAATTGAATTGAAATTAAACTATTTTCTTTAATTTATCTTATCAAAATTTATTTATTTATTCACTTTTTTCAAATATTTAGATTCACAAAATCATAGTCATATTTTTAAAATTAATCTTGTACTCAAAAATTAATTGAGAACTTTTTACATTAAAGAATATCAAACACAATTATAAATATAGAATTAATTAGAATTTTATGTAATTTATTAATTGATTTTAATTAATTTATAACATCTATTCATTATTGTTGGTATTATTTTAATAATTACTCAATCTTTTCAACTGAAATTTATTTATTTATTAATAAGAATAAATTTAAAATAAAAGTCAAATAATTTTTCAAATTTTTCAACAGAAAAAATAAAAAATAAAAAAATAAAAAAAATAAAATTAAATTTAAAAATTAAATTAAAAAAAAATAATACAATTTATAAACACACAACAAATTAATTTAATTTAAAATATTTATAAACATATTAAATTACGTTTTGATTTTTTAAAATTTCATTTCAAAATATCAATGTATAAAATGTCATCTAATTCTCCAACTTCATTATCAAATATTATTAATCAAGTAATTGATACTAATACTAATACAATTAATAATAATAATAATAATAAATTTCAAAATAGTAATAATAGTAATAATAGTCATAACACAACTAATAATTTTTCAAACCCCACTAATCAACAACAACAACAACAAATTTTACAACAATCTCATATTAATAAAATGCCATCTATAAATTATATTAATAATACTGACAATGTATCTTCAAATGGTTATAATAATATTCCAAGTAATAATAATAATAATCATATACTTCATAGTATTAATAAAAATACCCCACAATTACCATTTAATCCACACAATTTACAACAACAACAACAACAACAACAACAATATAATCAATTACCACCAATTAAATCTGAATTACTAAATAATCCAAGCATCACTAAAGCAAATCATTTACAAAATCAAACAAATTTATCTCCACCACTTTCTTCTTTAATATCAGAAAATGATGAGAATATAAATGGAATAGACGGGAATGTTGATAATACAAATAATAAAAAATCTATTTTATCAACAAGTTCTCCTGAAGGTATTCAAGTTGCATCTAAAATAACTCCAACAAGATTAGCTAATTTATTAATTAGAAAAGGTCCTTTACCAATAAGACATATAACTTCACAATTATCATTAGAAGTATCATCATTTGAATTATTAAGTTTAAGTAAACAAAGAAGATTAATTATGGCAGCAATGGAACAAACTGATCCAATAAATAATGTTGTATTTGAAAAAATTGGTTGGGGTCAATGGGCAGTTCGAAAAGTTGATAGTGATTATATAGTAACTGAAGGTACAGAACAACAAGAGACATCAAATCAATTAAAATCTGAAAATCCGTTACAACAATTATTAAATCCAGAAAATAATCAAAAGAAAACCAAGAAATCTCATTCACATTCTTTTGGAGAAGGAGATAAAAAAATGATAAATATAAATGATCTAAGAAATCAAACAAATTTGAAATTAGGTTGGTCAAAAAAGAAAAATAGTAATACTACTACACCTACAAATAATAATCTAGATAAATTTAGAAGAGAATCAATAACAAATCAAGTTAAAAATCTACATAATTTGAAATTACCAAACGAAAGCATTGATAATGCAATAGCTTCAGATAGTGATGAAGATTCAGATGAAGAAGATGAGAATTTATTGGGTGATGAAAGACAAAGATTAAGTGAACAAATGGATCAAGATGAAAGATTAAGTTATTCAGATGATGATGATGATGAAGAAGACGAAGAAGAGGAAGAGGATGATAATGCATTACTTGAAGAAAATGAAGATGAAGAAATGTTTACATTTGATGAATCAATACGATCTACTCAATTAGGTGCAAATCAAAGAAGATCCAATAAATCATCACCACCTATAAAATTTGCCAAAAGAGTACCAACTAAATTAAGTCCGCCACCGATATCAGCATCGGGAGCATCATCATATGATTCAAAATCTTCAAGAAGAAGAAAATCAAGTTCTTCAGTTCCATCAAATTCAATATCAAAACCTTCTACATTAAGAAATTATCATTATCATCATCATCCATCACTGCAACATATATTAAATCAAACAAGATCAAGATTGAATTCAATAGAAAATCTAGATAATTACCTTGCTTCATCAACTAGAAATTCAACTGTATCAATAAATTCACCACCACCAGCAATTAGTTTTAGTTATTCAAAAGATGATATAGGAAGAAATTCATCAAATCCTGCATTAAGTAGTTCACCAATAAATTCATTAGGAAATAATAATAGTCTAAATCATCAATCATCACAAAATTCAAATTATATACACAATGAAGATATTGCAAAAGCAAATAGAAATAGAAGAAAATCATCATTTAATGAATCACATGTTAGATCAACTTTAAATCAAGAAAAAATTATAAATGGTCAATCAAATAAATCTGTTATTGAAGATAGTGATACTGATGAAGAAGATTGGCAAAGTATTGGACCAGAATTTTTAAGACAACAAAGATTAACAAAATCTATAAATAAAAGTAATATCAATAATGTTGTCAATAATAATAATAATAATAATAAATCTAATAGATCAAATGATGATGTAAATGAAGAAGAAAAATCTGCTGCTTTTGCATTAGTCAATTTAATGTCAGTTTAATTTTGTATAAGTTATGTATAATAAATTGTATAAGTTTGTTTTAATGCAATTAATTTTTTTAAGTCTTATTTTAATCTTCATAACTTGATTAAACTATACAAACTTCTAATTGTATATTCTCAGTAAATTAATTAATTTTCCTATTTAAGTTTAATTATTAATTGCGTAAATTAAATTTAAAAAACACGCGTCGCGTACTTTGAAGTTTTAAAGATTTTTGTTAATATTAGATATTATTTTTTTTTTACAACCAGAAATTTATTTAATTTACTTTAATCATCAATTCATTAATCTTAAAAACTTTCTTATACATTCGTTTAACTAATATCACTAATCATCAGCAATGGCAACATTAACAACTACAGCTGCTGTATTACCATCAATTCAATTAAAAGTAAATTATAAAGATTGTAAAGAAATTATACGAGATTTTATTCAAAATTATAAAAGTTTATCAACAACAGATATTGAAGAAATACAAGAAAATGAAGATGGTGATATAAATATAGAAGAAGAAGAAATTAATAATTTACATCAAGGTAAATATATGAAAATTTTACAAAAAATTGCAAATAGAGATGAAACAAAATTAAATATTGATTTAGAAGATTTTAAAAAATTTTTAATAAATTATGATGCTGAATCAACTTCATTATATCAAGAACTGAGAAGTTTATTTCAAACTGTAATGGAAAATACTCATAGATTTATTGAAGTATTTAGTGATGTTATTGATAAATTAATACCAAAACCAACGAAAGATATAAGTTATCATGATGACGTATTAGATGTTATATTAAATCAAAGAAAATTAAGAAACCAAAGAATTCAACAAGAATCAAATGAAGAATTTAATATGTTAAGAGATGGATTATCTCAACCAATTGATGGATATGTTGATATGGAAGATCCATCAGATTTACATTTATTTCCTGCAAAATTAACAAGAAGATATTGTTTATATTTTAAGCCACCAGTATCAGAATATGATAAATCTTTATCAGTTAGACAAACAAAGGGGAAATTTGTTGGGCATTACATTACTGTAAGAGGTATAGTTACAAGAGTAAGTGATGTTAAACCAAGTGTTTTAGTTATTGCATATACTTGTGATAAATGTGGTTATGAAATTTTTCAAGAAGTTAATTCAAAAGTTTTCACTCCTTTAACTGTATGTAATTCACCAGTTTGTTCAGCAGATAATAATAAAGGTCAATTATTTATGTCAACAAGAGCTTCAAAATTTTCAAGTTTTCAAGAAGTTAAAATTCAAGAAATGTCAAATCAAGTTCCTGTGGGACATATTCCAAGAAGTTTAACTATTCATGTAAATGGAGATTTAGTTAGATCAATGAATCCTGGTGATACTGTTGATGTAAGTGGTATATTTATGCCATCTCCATATACTGGGTATAGAGCTTTAAAAGCTGGTTTATTAACTGAAACATATTTAGAAGCTCAATATGTTAAACAACATAAGAAACAATATGAATTAATGGATTTATCAGGTAATGTAGATTCTCATATTATGGAATTAAGATATGGAAATGTCGATATATATAATCAATTAGCAAAATCAATAGCTCCAGAAATTTATGGACATTTAGATGTTAAAAAAATCTTATTGTTGTTACTTTGTGGTGGTGTTACAAAAGAAATTGGTGATGGATTAAAAATTAGAGGTGATATAAATGTTTGTCTTATGGGAGATCCAGGTGTAGCTAAATCACAATTATTAAAAGCAATAAATAAAATTGCACCGAGATCTGTTTATACTACTGGTAGAGGTTCTTCAGGAGTTGGTTTAACTGCTGCAGTAATGAGAGATCCAATAACTGATGAAATGATTTTAGAAGGTGGTGCATTGGTTTTAGCAGATAATGGTATATGTTGTATTGATGAGTTTGATAAAATGGAAGAAAATGATCGTACTGCCATTCATGAAGTTATGGAACAACAAACTATTTCAATTTCAAAAGCTGGAATTACAACTACTTTAAATGCAAGAACTTCAATATTAGCAGCAGCAAATCCATTATATGGTAGATATAATACAAAATTATCACCACATGAAAATATTAATTTACCAGCAGCATTATTATCAAGATTTGATATAATGTTTTTAATATTAGATCAACCGAATAGAGAAAATGATGAAATGTTAGCAAGACATGTCACATATGTTCATATGCATAATAAACAACCAAATTTTATAAATAATGAAGATGGAGAAGAAGATTTTGAACCAATTGATTCAAAAACTATAAGAGAATATATATCAAAAGCAAGAACTTATAGACCAATAGTTCCTAAAGAAGTCGGAGATTATGTTGTACAATCATATATAAATATGAGAAAAGAATCTCATAGAAATGAAGGTTCAATTAAAAAATTCAGTCATATTACACCAAGAACTTTATTAGGTATATTAAGATTATCACAAGCATCAGCAAGATTAAAATTTTCAAATATAGTAACAATGGAAGATGTTGATGAAAGTTTAAGGTTAATTGAAGTTTCCAAATCTTCATTATTTTCAGATCAAGAAGAAATTAGAGATGATGAATCAACCACTTCAAAAATTTTCCAAATTATTAGAAATTTATCAATAGATGATTCAACAGGAAATTTGAAAAAACATTTATCTATGCAATTAATCAAAGATAGAGTTATTGCTAAAGGTTTTACACAACAACAATTAGATGATTGTATGTTTGAATATGATGGGGTTGGATTATGGCAAATTATTGATAATGGAGAAACTTTAATGTTTACAAACACTGGTGATGAAAATAATGATGATGATGATGCAATGGAAGATTAATTTTAAATAGATATGTAACTGTAATTTCTAAAATAAATGTATTATTAAACTTTTTAATATAAAATTGTTTAGATTTGATAAAAGTAAAAGAATGTAACATTAATAAATTGAAATACCTCTTAACATTATCTGCAAAAAAAATTATTTTTATTTCAAACGTTATCAAGCAATTAGTAAAAGCCATTTTAAACATTTTAAACTATATATATACAACCTTCACCTAAGCAATGCCACTGATATAACAAAAAACTAAATATGGAATCAAAAGAAAACAACATAAACCAAGAGGAAAAACTACCTCAACCTCAACACTTAAAACCAGAATCACATCAAAAACTAAAAACACCATCAACATTAACTAAAGATTTATTTAAATGGGAAATAATTATAGAAAACAAAGGATCAGTAGCAAGAGACCATTTAGCTAATGAAAGAACATTATTAGCATGGATAAGAACATCATTAATTTTTATAACTTTTGGTATAGGTTTTTTACAATTTTTTAGATTAGAAGAAAAATCAAATTGTTCAAATATCTCGAGTCCATTACCTACAAGTTTAACTAATGAACAAAATTCAATGTCATCATTATATGATAAAGATACTGTTGATTTAATAACAAGGTTAGGTAAACCATTAGCTCCTATGTGTATTATAATGGGTGTTTTAACTTTTGTTATGGGATTCTATAGGTATTTACAAGTTCAAATTTTTTTAATGAATGATGTATTTCCTGCTACTAGGTTTTTTCTTATTGGGTTGATTATTGTGAATCTTGGGATGTTGATATTATTATTGGTTATTAATTTTAAAATTGTTTTGTAGTAGGTAATTAAAATTTTTATGTGGATTTATAAAGAACGAGTAGCTATCCTTCAGAACAAATTGATAAGCTTTTTGGAAATTGGTGAGTATGATTAGTTTGGTTTTGTTCACACTTCCTAAGCTTTTATTACATATGATCACTGAACCTTGAGGGAGAAGATTAAACTTTAATTTAATTTAAAGTCAATCTCATGAAGCTAAACTCATCTTCAAATTTTTTAGCAAATGCGGGTACAATTGATTTTATTTCTAATTGAGAATAATGACTTACGAGAATCTGCAAGGACATTGAAGTACCATTTATAGGTCAATATTCGCTGTCCTAGCTCAAAATATTTGGTTCTTCGATACGTGTGATCACATTTCGCGTGGCTGAAACATATTCCATGTCAAAGCAACAAATGCATGAACTTGCTTCGCTAAACTTTGATATATTAAAGATATTTAACCAATTCAATATACATTGACTTCAATTGGAATTTATGTTTCCTTGTAGTTCTTTTGAGTATCAAGGTTTACACATTTCTTCATCTTATCGTTGTGATAAATATAAACACGAACTTAAATATTACACAAAATTTATTAAATTACGAAAGAAAAAAAAAAAATTAATTTCAACGTAGAAATATCATAAACATGAAATAAAATTAAAGTTTTCTAGCTTTTATATAAAAATAAATTAATCAATACTTTCAAACATGTCGGATTATTCATCACAAACAGTAGCTCAATTAAAAGAAATATTAAAAGAAAGAGGATTAAGTACTGAGGGGAAAAAAGCAGATTTAGTTTCAAGATTAATAGAGTCAGATAATTCAACAACAACAACAACCTCTGAACAACCAAAAGTAGAAGAATCAATCACCACAACAACTGAACAACCAGAACAAACAACAACATCAAGTGAAAATAAAGAAGAAGAGTCAACATTATCAGAAAATCAATCACAACGAAATGAAGAATCAGAAGAGAAACCAAAAGAAGAACCAAAAGTATTAACAGCAGAAGAAAGAAAACAATTAGCAATTGAATTATTACAAAAAAAAATCTCAAGAGCTGAAAAATTTGGTGATGATTCAGGTGTAGAACAAGCTAAAAAGGATTTAAAAAGAGTTGAAAAATTTGGAGTTGAATTAGGTACTTCATTAGCAAGAGAAATTGGATTAGTTGATAATTCTTTAAAAGATAGAAAATTTAATAATAATAATCATAGAGGTGGATTTAAAGGTAGATTTAATAAGAATCGTGGGTTCAAAAACAGAAGATGATTTGAAGGGGATGACTCAATAATTCTCTTGTTTGAGCTTTTGAATGATAAAAAAATTTGATGATTTGAACTATAAATTATTGAATAGTTTTGTATTTGTATATTGTATAGGTCTATTATTTTTGTAGGTAATAACAATGTAAAACATCTCTATACTTAGATCGACCTAATAAACATAAAAATTTTGATATTTCATCGTTTGAGTTGATATTTTTTAATGGACTTCTGCAAGTAGTGCTTAAAAATTATCAGCTAAAAGGTTAGGTGGACAAATAACGATCATTATAATTCGAGAAATATAAGTCTTACATAATATGAAATTTGGAAAATAATAATCGTTGACCAATTTCCTATCTTAAGTTTTCCAATTTAACAATTTTAATTGATCATTGTTAAAACATCGCTCGTAGCATTGTGGATAGTTTTAGGTTCGATACAAGTATCAAGCTTAAAAATTTGATTGGCTTCTTGTTCCTGAAGGCTCATATTGTTTTCTTGCAAAATTTTGCAATAACTTAAAATTTAAATCTCAAGAAAGAGATTGATTCGTTTAAATTTGCAGTAATAAATTTCAATGCTCGTGAATTGTAAATAGCTTCTTCCAAAAGTTTAACAATACCACATCCACATATCTACAAGAAGAATAGTAGCAGTCACTAAAACTTAGATTCCGAATGATTTGATTATTCGTTTTCATTGAATTTACAACCGAAATATTATGATCATACAATTTCTCTAAAATACCGTGAATTTTGTGAATTTTCTAATCTGAAACACAGTAAAATATGAATTGTAAACACAACAAAAACTTAGTTTACGTTTTTGACAGAACGATTTGTCGTAACAATTAATTATTGCATAAAATACGAAGTTAATTGTTTACAGATTTAATTCGAATGAGTAAATATTTGGTTAAGCAATTGGTCAAAATTTGAAATCTAATTGAAAACAACTAAAATAAAGACAATTATAATACGATTTAGTAGACGAAAAGAACGATTCTCTTTTGCTATCTTAAATTCGTTTGTCATAGTTTTGTTTATACTCATTTAATGAAAATGTCATTTCATATACAAACGGTTAACGGCTAAATTTAAAGTTTTAACATTTATAAAAGAAGTTGGCTTAATCGAAGAAATAGAATTAGAAAAACAATTGTATCAAATTTTGTGTCACAAGATTCACGACTAGCTAAATTTTTTTTATTAATAAAATGTCAGGGCTCAATTGTAAACCAGCAATATTGTACTACTTTGAAGACATAATAATGAAGATAAAAATCAATAGCTAAATAAATCGATTATACTATATCCTTGATAATTATAATTCAATTTTTTTGGTCTCAAATAAACTAAATTACTTGGTCTTGACTATTTTAAGTTAATGTACTTTAAAAATTTGACAGATTATACTATAAATTTTAAAGCAATTAATTAAAGTGCTAATTGTTAAAAATTTACTTTGCATACGTAATTTTGCGGTTTTGAGGTTTTGAAAAATAGGAGAAAATCATTCATTAATTAAACAAGTAAAGCGATTAAATAATCGAAATATTAATCGTAAATATATTACATTTTAGATTATGCAAATTACTGACTCTCGATTAACAATTGATTGTTTGAAATTTCATATTGTTCTCTTTGATAAACCTTAATCTTGCTCTCACTGGTAAGGAAAACTCACATTATAGGATACATTAAGTAAGTTTGGATCAAGTTTCTTATCAGGTCAAGATTTAATTCTTGTTTAGACCACAATGAATAAACTGGCAGATTTCCATTACAGATAAAATTAATTTTCGGGGCTGTAAATAAAACATTTTAATGGTTTTGAGGGTCAAAGTTTACAAACCAAAATATTTATTATCGTTAGATCTAACAAAAGATTTAATTTCTTTTTAGATCGACACAGCCCTCGCTTTATATCTTGCTTATGTTTCTTATAATTTTACTTGTTAATTCAATAAGAAGATAAAAAACTAAATCTTTTTTAGTTATCAGCAAGATATTTGCTCTCTTACTTAAATATCAAAAAGAATAATGTATTTATTAATCATGTATGACGGGAACAATTTATTTAATCCTTGATAAAACAAATTTAAGAAATTGACATATTAAATTAAATTAAATTAAATTTAATTAATTACGTTTCGAATATTTCTTAATAAATCAAGGCAATGTAGTTCGATAATGAATTAAAACTTCAAAAAATTATTTTCCCCAGTTTCAAAGTAGGAACAGATTTTAAAAAATGTTTGATTTTTCAAAACAGGTTTTAGAAAATATGTGATTTTTCATAAACAAGGCTTATATATCCTTGTTTTATCGGTGATAAATTATTTTCAAATGTTGAAAAGTAGTAATAGTAACCGGTCAAAATTTTCTTATTTCTATCTATATGAAAAAAAATCATGAATTCATACTAGATTCACTTAATTTTGTTGGTTGTCTGGTTGCCTGATGGAATTGTACATGATAAAATTAATTCACAATCGTTTCAAATTAATNAAAAAAAAAAAAAAAAAAAAAAAAAAAAAAAAAAAAAAAAAAAAAAAAAAAAAAAAAAAAAAAAAAAAAAAAAAAAAATAGGGGAAGATTTGCTATTCTTAAATAATTTAATAAATCAATTGGTATAAACACTACGTTTATATTATACAAGGTAAGTAAGTTAATATAACTTTATAATATATAAATATACTAACATCAAAATTAAAATATCAGTAATGATAATGAATAAATTCAATAAATATTTCTTAGCTTTACAGGATCATTTAAAACGTGCTTTTAATATCTTCAAAAATATATAGTTTATAGATAATGTCATCTTTAATTATTGCTCTATAAAGGCTGTCAATTTCATATTTCTTCTCATCTAAATCTTTTACTTTATTTCTTTTTTAAATAATAAATAATAAATATTTATTATTTTAATACAAATTGCATCAAAAATCATTTAAAAATCAAATAATAATATTTTCAACACAAAGACACCCTTAAGTTAAAAACATCTTAAGAGTTATAAATATAAAATTGAATAATTCAAATAATCAAAGTAAACAAATACACAAATTAGTATTTTTTGTTCATATTTATTCATTTACAATTGATTTATATAATTACTTTCATATTTGCAATTAGTTGATTTTTACAAAACATATTTATAAACAGGTAAGAAAGGAATCATTCATATAATATTAATTATAATATTCAAGTTTATTAAATTAAATTTCAAATATAATAATAATTATATTTATTTCTCAACAGAATTTTCAATAACTTAAAATTTTAAAATTGGATATTTATCATCATTTAATATTAAGTTCAACAAGATCAATATAGTTCAATAAATATCATAAGATAATTGTATATATATTATTATTATCAGCATTACATTTCTTAATTACAACATCAAATCAATTTTCAACTTCATATTCAGTATAAAATTATTTTATTGAATAATCTTATCCATTTGGTATTAAAATTTTTTTTTATTTTCACAATACAAAATAAACAATTTTTTTTTTTTAATTAAAGACAATATTAATTAAATTATTTATATATCAATTTTTATTTACAACCAAATTTTATAAAATTTAATTTATTTGACAACCAAATCATCATTATCAATTAATCAATTAATAATTTTCAATTTTTAATATCAAATCTATATATCATTTAACTACATCAATCGATCCTTTAATCAAAATACATTATAATCTAATCAATAATATAAACATTACTTTTTTTTTATTTTTTTCAATTTGCATTCAACAAACTATTTCATCTCAATTCAATAATTGATATCTGTTTAATAATTATAATATATGAAAACAATATAATCAATTCATTAATATTAAATTTTTTTGCATATAATATAAATCTTCACATTTAATAATTTACAAAATTATACAACTTAATATAATACAATAATCATAATAATAATTTGAATATTATGAGAAAAGAATTAAAATATATAATATGGGCTCATGTAGCTTTGGTGGTTTATCTTGTATATTTATCATTTGATTTAATAACTTTATTACATGATGATACATTTGCTGATGCATTTTTAGATTTTGAATTAAAACCATCAGATAATAAACAATTAGATAAACCAATAATAATACCTAAAATTATTCATCAAACTTATAAATCAGAAAATATACCTGATATATGGAAAGCAGGACAAGAAGCTTGTATAAATTTACATGAAGATTATCAATATATTTTATGGACTGATGAAATGGCAAGAGAATTTATAAGTGAAGAATTTCCATGGTTTTTAAAAACTTGGGATAATTATAATTATAATATTCAAAGAGCTGATGCTATTAGATATTTTGCTTTATATCATTATGGTGGAGTTTATATTGATTTAGATGATGGATGTGAAAGAAAATTAGATCCCCTTTTGACAGTACCTGCATTTGTACGTAAAACTATTCCAACTGGTATTTCAAATGATGTTATGGGAGGTGTACCAAATCATCCATTCTTTTTAAAAGCTATAGAATCATTGGAAAATTATCAAAGAAATTGGTTAGTACCTTATATTACTATTATGATATCAACAGGTCCATTATTTTTATCAGTTATATGGAAACAATATAAAAGATGGGGAGTACCAGAAGCAGGTAAAGTAAGAATATTAATGCCAGAAAATTATAAAGGTTATAAAAATTCATTTTTTGCAATTGCACCTGGATCATCTTGGCATATGAGTGATGCAACTTTTATAAAAAGTTTAGCAAATCATTTAGTTTTGGCTGTAATTGGTGGATTTTGTATTGCAATGACCATTTTAGCTATTGAATATTTATTTTATTCATTTATAATATCAAATTTTTTTAAAAAATGTACTGGGAAAATAGGAGGATTTTTCATGTGGATTTTAACTGGAATATTAAGGTTTTTCAATTTAGATAAATTTATTGATTCATGGAAATATAAATCAGTTGATTCTGGTGATAGTGATGAAAAATCAAATGGAAATAAGAAAATTAATTTACTTAAATTTTTGAAAAATTCAAATATTAAAAGAAGGTCAAGAAAAGATTCAAATATTCCTATAGAAATTGATTTATTAAATAAATTAAGTAATGATGGAATTATAATAACGGATGATGATAATAGTAATAAAATAGAGAATTTAATACTAAAGAAAGATGATCAAAATCTTTCATCTTCTTCAGATGAAGATGAATATTTAGATAATGACTTAGAAAAACAACCAAACGATAATGATAATAATGATAGTAATGATAAGGAAAGTGGGTATAAATATAATGATAATATTGTATAAATAATAATTATAGCAATTAATGTATATTTTTTTTTACTTATCTTGATGCACTTGATTCTAATAATTTAAAATTTTCATTTTTATACCTTTGTTCTTCATTTTCTTTTATCTTAGTTTTAATCAATTCAGTTAAATAATCTATTTGATTCATACTTTGAAAACATAAATCTAATAATTTTTCTGCATTTATTGGTAATCCACCATTTTTACTTAATTGTAAAATTTCTCTATTTTTATTTAATGTTATAGTTAATGACCCATCTCTTAACATTTCTTCTTGTCCATCTGCATCTAATATACATATTTCTTCTTCATTTTGCTCTTCTTCAATATTATTTGTATTGGTTATTTCTTCACCTTTAATATTCATTTCTTTTGAATTTAAATTAAAAAATGAATAAGTTAAACATATAGGATTATGTAATATACTCAACGAAATAGGTTGTCTTTCATTTAAATCATGTATAATAATTTGATCTTGATTTATAGTAATATCAGGTTTTTTAAAATGATTTAAAGCTAACATTGTTGCAAAACAACCTAAATCAATAAAATTTCCATCATAATTCCAATAATTTAAATCAACTGTAATTTCCCAAACTTTTTCACCTGCTATAATACAAAGATTTTCTAAATCTATACTATTTGATTTCCTTATTGATTTTTCAATTATTCTTGATATTAAAATTTCATCTTGTTGAGTTTTTTGAGTTGTATCGAATCTTAAAGAAGCTTGTGGACTAATTTCATTATTTATATTGAATATCCCTTCAAATGGTCTATCTTCATATGGTTTTACAATTTTAGCACTTACTTTTACTGATATTTTGGATTTTCCCCAACTTACTTCAACATATCCATATTCAGTTGGTGATAAATATATTTCAATATCTCTTAATTGATTGAATTTTCTTGATGATAGTCTGATCCCATTCTTGAGGGCTGTATGTAGAAAATTCTTTTCATTTGAAGTTATTTCTATTGATCTTGACATTTTTAGTTGTAAGATGATCTTCTTTTGATACTTGTGCTGCTAATTTTTTGATTTTTCAATAATAGCGGTTTTGTGTTTGAAATTTAGTTCCATAGCGAAATTTAGTTTTTGCAAAAAAAATTGGTGGCCAAATCTACTTTCTTTACCTTTACAACCATCATGTTATCTAAGTCGGTTCAAAATTCAATGAAGCCTTCATTAAGGCATTTACGTACTTTTTCCACATTCTCACAATTATCTGCACCGGGCCAACAATCACTTAATTTTTTTCAAAGTAAAACATTACCTACAAACACTATTATTAAATTTGTACCTCAACAACAAGCATGGATTATAGAAAGAATGGGTAAATTCAATAGAATCTTACCACCTGGATTATCTTTTTTGATACCAATTATTGACAAAATAACTTATGTACAATCCCTCAAGGAATCTGCAATTGAAATTCCAACACAAAGTGCGATAACATCAGATAATGTTTCTTTAGAACTTGATGGTGTATTATATGTTAAAGTAATTGATCCTTACAAAGCAAGTTATGGAGTTGAAGATTTTCAATTTGCTATAAGTCAATTAGCTCAAACAACAATGAGATCAGAAATTGGTAATATGACATTAGATTCAGTATTAAAAGAAAGACAAACTTTAAATAATAATATAAATAGAGTTATAAATGAAGCAGCAAATGAAAATTGGGGAGTTGAATGTTTAAGATATGAAATTAGAGATATTCATCCCCCCAAAAATGTTGTTGAAGCAATGCATAGACAAGTTAGTGCAGAAAGATCTAAAAGAGCTGAAATTTTAGAATCTGAAGGTAATAGACAAAGTAAAATAAATATAAGTGAAGGTGAAAAACAAAGTATTATATTACAATCAGAAGCAAATAAACAAGAACAAATTAATTTAGCTGAAGGTGAAGCAACAAAAATTAAATTAAAAGCTGATGCAATAGCTCAAGGTTTAAGATCCGTTGCTGATGCTATAAAAAATACTCCTGGTGGTGAAGATGCAGTAAATTTACAAGTTGCTCAAGAATATATTAAAGAATTTGGTAAATTAGCTCAAAAATCAAATACTGTAATTATACCTTCTAATGTTGGAGATATTTCAAGTTTTATGGCTCAAGGATTATCAATTTATAAAAATTTAAATAATCAGAATAAAGAAATTAAATAAGTTTAGGTGGTTCATGTAAATACAATTAATATATATATTATTTAAGCTTTTTTGAGAAAACCATCTAATGCTCCTTTACCTATTGCTACTTTTTTAACTTGTTTCTTTGGTGGTTGTTTCTTCTTCTTATTTGCAGCATTAGCATTAGCAGTTATCATATTTATTTCATTCATATTTGATTCTATAACTTCTAAATTTTTTTGCTTTTGTTTGAGTTCTGATAAATGTGTTTCCATTTTGAAGAAATTGTAATTGTAATGTGATATTATTTGTTGTTTCAATTGTGGTAAATATGAATCACATATATAATCAATTGAATATAATAATGACATTTCATTTATTAAATTTTCATCAATTATATAATTAATTTGAGTAGAATCATTTAACTCAGATTTAATTTTTGATAAAATTGAATTATTATTAGATGATTGTATATATTTTTGTAAATTTAAAATCTTTGAATTAATCCATTCAATACATTTCTCATTAGAATATTTGAAAAATTTAGTTTCATTTTCTTCAATTTCATCACATATAGCACTCAAGCTATTTGTGAATACTTCTGAATTAATATCATAAATCCAATCGTTTTCTAAACTCACCAACGAGTCTCTAATATCTTCAACTGTTTTAAATACGTTGATTTGTTTATAATGTTTCTCAAATAATGAAATTAATAAATATGTGAAATTAAATGGAGATCCAATTAAAATATTAGCTGATTGTAATACTCCACCATTTCCGGTTGTTGATTCTATTATTATTGATTTGACTGCATCTCCATTTTTAAGTGTGACTGATGAATTATCTCCCTTTATTATATTAAGTTCATATATTTTGTTATCATTTTCGTATATTAGGTATGATTTAAGTTTGGTAAGATCTGATGGTAATGGCAAGTTTATAATTTTATAAAATTGATGTCCTTTTTCGGTTTTAGGTAGTATAATAACTCTTGTATCTTTATCCACATTCATTTTTTGACAATTGATTTGTTGTAGTTCTAAGAAAAATTGAAAAAATAAATTGTGAAACAAAACTAATTTTTTGGTTGATCTATCAGACGCGTCAATAGTACAAATTTTTTGCAGCCATTTTTAATAGAGAGTTACAAATTCATCAAATTCATCAACACTGTAGTTTAATAGTGTCTGTTATTCTATATAATTCTCTTAATGCTAGAATTGTCTATTTAATTAACCCATGAGTTTATTAATTCTCTTACTGCACCAACCGCAGCCATTATAATCATAATTGCACCAAATATACAAAAACTTAATGAACTTATAGAAGCAGCTCTTGGATCAACAGTTAATAAATGAGCAGTACTTATTGCTCCCCCATTTATCCCTAAAGTTGCTCCTCTTGTCAAATAATCATTCTGAGAAACTCTAAGTAACTTAAAAATTGGTTCATTTAATAAAACTCCTATAATTCCCGATAATATTGTACTAACCAGCATTAATGGAATTGAACCACCTAACATTTGCATTAATGGTGTACCTAAAGCTAATGTAACAGATCTACCTATGAATCCAATAGAATAAGGTGGCGCTAAATGTATACCTTTACCAACTAATGGATAAACAAAAAATGTTAATGCAACTGAAACTAAAAGAGTTGGAATTAAAATTGGTGAATTTTTAATAAAGTCACGACGATGAGTATAGCATGGTAAAGATAATGAAACAATTGAAACATCCATTAGTGAAGATAAGAAATCACCACAACCTGGCCATTGAGGAGTTGAAGTAAAATCATCACTTGGCATTGTTGTTGATTTTGAATTATCATTCATTGCCTTACCATTAAACAAGTTGATATAATTTTTACCAGTCTTGTAATATTTTAAATCTTCTAAAAAACCTTTTGGGTTGTGATGGTAAATTAACGATCCAATAAAACAAATAAATAATATTTCACCAGTTGAAACCAAGATTGGATGAGCAAATTTTTTAGTTTGTGGCCATTTTTGTGGTATTAGTAATGCTATATAGTATGCTAAAATTGTTATACCCATATGATATGGTAATAATGTATGAATTGATTTTATATAATACAAAGGTAATGATACAATAAATAATGTACCATACAAAATCCAATCAATATAATTTGTTACAAATAAAGTGAGCTTTGACACTTTGGTGGGTGGTGTATCAAATTGTTCATAATGTTTTGATTTTAGTTCTGGTGACGTGTTGACTTGTTGTAAAGGATACGTTTCACCAACATGATGTGTCTTGGGGTATATTGGTTCTGGTTCTACTATCTTCAGTGATTCATCAAATGGATTTTCATTAATTGGTATTGCTGCCGGTGCTGTTTGAACTATATTTACAGGTTTAAGACTATGCAAATCAATTGTAGTTATATCATCTCTCATACTACTAAACACATTTGTTTTACCAACATCATTTTCAATATCACTACTACTATAACTTTCATCCTTATCGTGAACTTCTTTTTCTTCTATAAATATTCCAGTTTTAGCTAACACTAATTTCAAAAATTCTATAAAATAAACATCCACCACAATTAATGCAATTAATCCAACAACGAAAACTCCAGCAATTTTTAATACTTCAATAATTGTTATGGGATCTGATAATGGTAATATTATAAATGAAGGTATAAAAAATACATTTATCCATTTTAATGTAAAATTCATTGAAGGTTTTATTAATCTTAAATAATTTGTTAAAATCCAAGTAGATCCAGATCTTATTCTGGTTCTAGTTTTGGATTCATCAGGAAATTCTTTTAAATCAGTTAATATAGTTAATAAACATAACCAAATTAAATTTATTAATAACCCCAAAACTGATCCTGGAAATTTAACTTTTGCTATATCAGTCAAAAGATAATTAAAACCATAAAGAATCATTAATATAATTATTATACCAAATGGAATTATAACATAACTAAATATTAAATGTTTTCTGGAGTACCAAATACCCAAACATATCAGTCGTATAAATTTTGAAAATCCGCTTGTGTTTTTGGTAGTAGTTGATTGAATTTTCTCATTATAAAAACTTGTTTGATCTAAACTTTTAATTGACATAGATCTAATAAAGAATTTATGAATAGAATTATTTTGTAGAACTTCTTTTCTAAATTTAATTTTTTTTCTGGGGAAATTTCTGTCATATTATACATGTGAGATATTAAGATAAGAGATTTGACAAATGTTTAGATCTCACTTAGTTTAATTTAGAGGAAACAATACCATAATCTTAATAAATCGAATGATTCAAAATCGAACAGAGAAGGACATTTAAACATTTAAAATGCAGAATGATTTTCTCTCCCCTCATTCCATATTCATGTAATCTCAACGCAGTTCCATTCAAAGTTGTCGTTTAAAGGCTTGATTTTGCAACCACTTTGAATCAAAGGGTACAGCTTACATCAATCAAATTTTTGTACCATTCAACGCTCACAGCATATAAATAATTGATCTTAAATCTACATTGTAAGTTTAAAATGCAAATAAAGAGAACAAATACAATTGAGTTTAAATTTCTTTATGTCATTAATATTTCTTATTTTGCTTCACCAGCTTCAATTATTTCCTTAAATTCTTCTTTTGCATATCTTAAACCACAATATCCACAAGTTGATGCTTTTGGTTGATCCAAATTAATAAATACTTTTGGATGACCTTGTAAAGTATCTCCTCTATTTCCATCACAAACAGCAATATTTCCTTCTTCATAACTTAAATATTTTATTGGTTCTTTTGCAATTAAATCAATAGCTGCATATGGTCTTGGTTGTTGTGCTAAATCTCTTTGAGTGAATCTATATGGGAATTTTGATATAACTTCTATTCTTGGTTCTTGACTTTGTGACCATGTTACGTCTCTATTTGGAGCTTGTTGTGCAAATTCATTATTTTTTAAATCTTTTTCATTTAATTGTGATGCTTCTGGTCTAGCTATTGAAGCTTTTGATAAAGATGCAGTTATGGATGTAGATGGAGTTGATGAATTGTGACGTATTAATTTGATTGATTTGTGGGAACTTCTTAAAATTATTTTGAACATTTTTGGATATCAGTAAATGTATAGGTTGATTAAATATGATGAAGCTTATTATGATCTTGAAGTTGTTAGCTTCTTTTCGTAATATCTTTTAGTCTATTTTTTTTCACTCATAATCAATTTTTCTCACTCTATCATTGGTTTATGTAATGATTGGTAGCGTTGTCCAGGCAATAAGAAAATAAACTTCACTTCAAATTAAGGTCCACTTTTTTGCAGCTCATATCATCATGACTGCTGAAAAAGAATTACAACTAAGATTTTGAGCAATATCTTTTCCAAAAACTAATTTGGATTAATAAATTCGTTAAAAAAAAATTGCAGCCTAAAAAGTGGGTGTAGAGCGAAAATAAGTAGTGAAACTAAGTGTACTTGAATGTAGCACAAGTTCTTTACATATGGCCTTTCGTAGATAAGAGGAAGTGGCTCTGCATATTAAGGCTAATTTATCAAAGATCATAGCAATAGCAAGAGATTGACGTTTGCAATGCATCCCGTCAATAATTATGATAAGCATTTTCAGCAAACTCTCGAATGCCTTTTAAAACAAAATAAATCTCAAGTTATATGCTCAAATATTTAATGAAAATTAATGAACTCATTTCTAACTGAAGTGATTTTGAGACGGCTTTGTCTGCTCAAAGTCTTCGGCTTTTGATTGAGAGAATAACTTCAAAATCGGTATATGACCAGATATCGCTGAAATTGAAATTTAGAGTTCAACGGTTCAATTTTCGAAAGATATTAATCTCAGTTCCTAAAGTATATGGTTTGTGTCACGTGGCAGTTTCAGAACTTTTTTCAATTTAATCACAATTTAGCAATAAAGTATCAAACGTATTTGTTAAATTTTAAAAATTATGGGGTAAATAGAAGAACGTTTCACTTTCTTGTTTCAGATTTAGTGAAAATATGGTAAATAAATTTTTCTTGTCGATTTAAAAATACTAAACAAAAAGTGTACCTTAAATTCAGTTTTAAAATATTTGTAGGTTATGGTTGCTAGAATGACAATTTTAACAGAATCCTGAAGTTGCAGGTTTTAATAAATATAAATCCGATCTCAAACATGAAAACATGAAAACATTTCTTCACCGTCAAACCGTTTATGTACCCTTCATGGGTAATAAGCCGGTATATTGCTATCCGCATCGTTGATTACGTGTTGGAAATTTCTCATTTCTCATAATCATTTTGTCCAAAAGTTGTATCGTAAGTTTTAGAGAATTTAATTGCTGATAATCATATACAGGAACCGATAGGTAAATAGCGGTTTTTGACGCTAAATTTCAAAACTTTTCAAAAAAATCTAGATTAATTTTAAGCGTTGGACTTAAATAATTATTTAATTAAGTATTCATACAATTAAGAGCAAACTAAAATTAACTCAATAGATATGTATTCTGTTAATTTGTTATAAATCATTCCGAACTGCCCTTAAAAAGCTTGATGACAAAGGGGTGAAATGTTAGCCAATTTGAATATAAATGAAATGAATTGTCCATTTTGAAATTGAAAAATTTGAGTATCATTAGGTTAATACCACTGCAAAGTATACAGAAAAATGTCACTTACCAAAGAAAATGATTCAACAACTCCTGAAGATGAACAGCGTTTAGTCAACATTAAAAATAAACCAGATCTTTCACAAATGTATAATTTATATGATTTTGAATATGTTGCAAGAAATACTATACCTAGTACTGCTTGGAATTTTTATAGTACAGGTGCTGATGATGAAATAACATTAAGAGAAAATCATGCAAGTTATCATCGTTTATTTTTTAAACCTAGAGTTATGCGTGATGTTTCAAAAATTGAAACTTGGACAACTTTATTAGGTAAAAGAACTTCAGCTCCATTTTATATTAGTGCAACTGGGTTTGGAAAGTTAGGTCATCCAGATGGTGAATTGAATTTAACAAGAGCTGCCGGTAAAGAAGATGTTGTTCAAATGGTTGGTACTTTAGCAAGTATTCCATTCGATGATTTAGCAGATGCTCGAATTGATGGACAAACTCAATGGTATCAATTATATGTTAATTCAGATAGGGAATTAACTAAAAGAACGATTGAAAATGTTGAGAAAAGAGGATGTAAAGGTATATTCATTACAGTTGATGCACCACAAGCAGGTAATCGTGAAAAAGATATGAGATCAAAAACTATTGATCAAGATGTTAAAGTTGCAGGTGGAGAACATAATGATCGTTCACATGGTGTGTCAGTAGCAGTTACTTCATATATTGATCCAACTTTAAATTGGGAGGATTTAGTTTGGATTAAAACAATTACAAAATTACCAATTTTATTGAAAGGTATACAAACAGCAGAAGATGCAGTCTTAGCAGCACAATATGGATGTCATGGTATTGTTTTAACAAATCATGGTGGTAGACAATTAGATTTTTCAAGAGCTCCACTTGAAGTTTTAATGGAAGTCATGCCAGCATTAAAAGAAAAAAATTTAGATAAAAATTTTGAAGTTTTTATTGATGGTGGTGTAAGAAGAGGTACTGATATTTTAAAAGCACTTTGTCTTGGTGCAAAAGGTGTTGGAATTGGTAGACCATTTTTATATGCTATGTCAACTTATGGAGTTGAAGGGGTTCAAAAAGCCATTCAACTTTTAAAAAGTGAATTAGTATCAAGTATGAGATTATTAGGAGTTACTTCAATAGATCAATTAGGTCCACAATATATTGATCATAATTCATTTTTCAGTAGATCTGTTCCAGCTGATAAATTATTTGATAAAGTTTATCAACCATTGGCTAATCCTCCATTTAAATCAGAAGCTAGATTATAAGTAGAGTATAAATACATTTAAGAATTAAGTTAAGTATGTCAGCCTCTCAAGCTTTTTTAGATCATCCACTGATGAGAAAACGAAGAAAAAAAAGATGAAACTAAAGATAATCCAAAAGGATTTACCTCTAGTATATATATCCCAGTAAATAATTAGTATTGAGATTATATATTTATAAATCAACTTCTTTTTAGCGTTGTTTAAATTTTGTGTATTTTATGCTCACTATATAACATTACCTAAAACAAAGTGGTACTCAAACTTTTGAATGATCTTGATCATTTTCTACAATATCATTTTCCCATAAAGAATCTTTTATACTTGAGCTACGTTAACAAGCAAAATCTTGCATGATTATGTACTAAAAGAAAGTAGATTAAAAATTTGTTCAAAATATCGCATGAACTTACTTTTTTGAATTTATGAGTTACAATTATCACCTAGTGTGTTTCAGATTTCCTGAATTTGATAATTATTATTACGTAATCAATTGTAGATCATAACTCTCTCTCCTGCTAATTGAGTGATAGTAACTACAAATGATAAAATCAATCTCATAAAGATTAAATCATACTACACAACTGGAGTTTTTGATAATATAGTTCCACTTAATTATAAATACATAATATAATCACAATAGAACGAAAGCTTTTCCTTGACCATAAAACAATACTTTAACGCGTTCTAAAATTGTACATACTCAACCAGAATCTGAAACAATATCACGGCAACGCGCTACCATATATAGATCTACACTACCATATGTATATTACGCGTAAATTATATTATCACCAAAATTATCTATAATTTTTTATAACTTTTAATACACTAATCCACCATATTCACAACCCAACAACGAAACATGGAGGTCTTAAACCATCAATATCATAAGTTGTGACGCTCTAACAATGTATAAAGGTCTTGTACCATCAGGAGAAGTAGGCCCCACTTCAATTTATTTCAATATAAAAGATTTTATACTTATATACTATTCATAACCAATTTGGCAACCAATTTTCAAAAAACCTTTTAAGGTTGTAATAAAAGAGCTTTATAGAGAATATCACTTCCTCAATACACAGTATTCACAACCTGATTATAAAACTTATCGTATCTACATAACTAATTGTATTATCATAACTTATCGTATCATCATAACTTATTGTAATTATCTGGTATCTATATACACTTTACGAAATTTACATTTAGTCTTTAATTTACCCACCGTTCATTGTAATATACTTATAATCTCTATAATTGAATACTCTTCTTAATTATCTAAAATAGAAAACATCAAAATTTCTAGAAACTGTTGATAAAAATTTTGAGCATTTTATTCAAAAAAAAATTAATTATACATCTCACATTAAATTCATACTTTCATCACCACCACCTTTGAAACCATTTATTGATTCAACCTCCATCCAAACAACCAATTCAAGTATACTGATTTATCAAATTAATGTTTTTCAATTGAATTTAAAATGATTGTGTTGAAAGGTATATTAAATCATCAATCATCAGATATTGAATTTAGCACCAAAAACATCCATAAAACCACCAGCAGAGATAAAATTGCAGCATTTCTCAAGACGGATATTGCCTCATTAACAGAATTAAATCTCACAGATGGGGTAAATTCATCATTACCAGTAATTAAACTGGTTCAAAATAGATTGGTCTTGGGTGAAAATAAAACCATATTGTCAATCACCACATCAACAACTAAACCAATTAAAACACTTAAAGACTTGAATCATTATAAAATACCACCACCAGTTAATAAAAAATCAAAAATTGATGTTGTGAAAGATACAACCGTCATTGACAATTTAAAAAATGATTTAACTAACTACAAAGATTTTATTGAACGAATCTCAGCAGCAATAATTGAAATCAATGGAGTTGAATTATTAATTGTCAGTGTATATGCTCCATGTTCGAGTACACACTCAAACGATAATTTTAAATTTTTTTTTGATTTATTCAAATTTATCAGTGAGTTTCCAAACGAGTGTATCATCATGGGTGACTATAACGTCACCCAGTTTCAATATCACCAAAAATTATTCAGCTTCCCATTAAGTCCAAATGAATTATTATCAAATGAAGCTTTAGAAAAAATTTATATGAATAAAAATTTGGTTTTTGCTTCATTGTTCATATGTCCATCAGCAATTTTTATAACTAATCATGGGCATCAAAACTGTGCAACTATTGATGGTTTCTCATTAGATAAAGAACGTGCTTATCATATAACAAAATTAACCAAATCCAGGGAAATTAAGAATGGAACACATGAGTTCCTAATTATGTCAGTGAACTTTGAAACCAATTCCCCAGGTCATAAAGAAGATAAATTAAAAATTATATGTCAAGATAATAAACAAACTGTACTAAACACATATTTGGAAGTTGACCCCCATTGCCTTTGCGGCAAGATGGAAGGTCGGAAAATAGCAGAAGTTTCAAATGAAATTATCAACATCAATCGAGGTAAGTTTGATGAAAAAATCAACATTGAAAAACCACAAATAATGAATCAACTGATTAAACCAACAGCAGTAGAAAAATCATTAAGGAGAAACGAAACCTTTTTTAAATATACTGTTTTTGTAAAACCAGTTTCCCCAAGAAATTCATTAACAAACCATGACATAGTAAATATATTATTAAATTCATCAAATGAATCAACAACAACATCAAATGAATCAACAACAAAAGTAGAAGTTGTAAATAAAAATTCATCAAAAAATTCAAATGATATAATCAATGCATTAATTAAAAGTGGATGTAAAAAATTAATACCAGATGCCTCAGCAAATAATACAATTGTTAGTGCATCAAGCAAATCCAATGTTTCAAATAATGGTATGAAAATCCTTTCAAATGAATCATCAATTAATGTTAAAACTGCTCCATCAAATAATACAAATAATAATAATGCATTATCTCCATCAAATGTATCATCAACAAATAATGGTTTGAAATCACCTTCAAATGAATCATCAACTAATGTTAAAACTGCTCCATCAAATAATACAAATAATAATAATGCATTATCTCCATCAAATGTATCATCAACAAATAATGGTTTGAAATTACCTTCAAATGGTTCATTAACTAATGTTAAAACTGCTCTATCAAATAATACAAATAATAATAATGAATTAGCTCCATCAAATGTATCATCAACAATTCAAGCATCAAATGAAAATTATAAATCCTTCACCATATATAAAAATAGTTTGGGTCATATCAATGTAAATACATTATTAAAAATTGTTTATGAGGATCGTGATGAAATGTGTAACTTTATTCGCACGATTAAAAAAAGGTCTTATATTGGTGATGGTGAACAGCAATTCAATGGGACATATGTTCCACCACAAACAGCATTAATCATTTTGAGGTTTTTTGGAATTAAAGGTGCTGATATAATTTTATCACAGCCACTTATTAATGAAGATGATCCACAAACACAAATAAATCCCATTGGTACTTCAACTAGTCCAACAGAAGCAGATACACCAGCAACAGCGATCTTAGAATATAATGAATCTAAAAATTTGTTGAGTTTTTTTTTCACTAAAGGATTTGGAAAGCCAGACTTTCAAGTAAAATTCAACCAGGATGCTGTTGACTTCACTGGATTTGTTAAGGCATTGAATATCCCATATTCCTTATACAGGAATTGGGAAAAACCCAAAAATCATAGTATTTGCAGGATCTTTAAAAGTGAAGGAAATTTACTTATCCCATTAGATTATATAGGAAATATAGCTGAGGTTCCCAATGGTAGATCAGATGTTGTGGTTGCTGCTGCTAGAGCTAAGTGTTATCCGGTTTTCGAACCGGATTTGAAAAATTTTGCTATTGCTATAATTGATGGTTATGGTGAAGATTTTGCTAATTTTGATCCAATCAAAAGAAGATTTGCTTATGTTAGACTGCAAGGTTGTATTTACCATAAAGTGGGTGATAAATTGTATGTTGCTAGAACCAGTCAAAATGAGGTATGCTTGAGATCGTTGATTAGATGTGCTGGTGATGAATATGATAAATCAACTTTATTCAAATCAAGAAAGAAAGATTATGAAAAATCTGATATTAAAAATTTTTACGACTTTTCATTGAAAAAAATGACTAAGCTTGAAACCATATTCATTGATTTGAGAACTGCAAAATCCATAGCATATAGATTTGGATTTATTAATGACGTAGCACCAATTTTAAAAAATGATTTGTTAAATATGGAATTTATCAAAAATTTAATGAAATGAAGCTGATTTAGTTGAGGTTTCTAGAATTGTTTAGTAGAAAAAAAAAAAAAAAAATATTATTATTATTCTTATTAATTAATATTGCTTTTTTCGAGACAGGTTTGTAATTTTTGTGTTATTTCTCTTATTTTCTATTTCGTATAAAATTTAATAGAATCTATTTAAATATACTAATGATAAATATTTATGATCTAGATTATTTTATATGTTTAATTATATGAGAAACTTGGTGTTAACACAATGTGCAATGTTCTGTTCATCATCTTTTTTACAACTCTTATTCCAGATTATGGATTCTTTTAATTCATTAGCTGACTTAATAAATAATTAAAAAATGTGAAATCAAATAGCTTGCTCTAATTGTAATATACGGCGCTACCAAATAATATACAGACTGCTACATGATTGGTCATCATGTACTTAGATGAGAAGTTATTTATATAGTAGTAGAGTATATTAGTATTATTATGTTGAGATAGTTGACAACTATCAAATACCCTTCTTTTTCTGGAGATTTGAACTCGTATAACGACTACGAAGAAGTCATATGCAACCATTACTTATCTTTAGTATATGTCTATTTATATTACTTGCTGCTACAGCTAAAAGTACACAGTTAATAATTTGCAGCGAAGTTATATAGAAATATATAGAAAGTTCAACGTCAGCAATAGCCATTAAAACTTCTGAATAACCAGCATTAGGTCCAACACTTCTGTTGTAGCATGTAATAAGGCACTTACCGGAGTGGGACATATCCATTATTCTTTTTAATAAAGATTATTTATCTTAGGAAGAAGAATAAATAATTAGACATTTCGTTAAAAAGTCTATTTAGTTAACGGCAAAAATATGAATGCCTAAATAATGGTCTTTTCGTCCTGAATTCTTCACAATAAATTTTAGAAGTTAGAGTAAGAGCAAATTACTTACAAGTTCTACTTTCTGAAGCTTAACTTATACTTGATTCAAACTTTTGTAATTCTGATTTGACCTTTATTGGACAGCACCTAAAATATTAAAGACTTGTATCTCATCAGATCTTGTTTCAGATACTTCTTGTCGTGGTTTTAGAGTTAAATAATAACTGGTATTCCTCACTGGATTGATAAACTCATATATCTATTAATAGATAATGGGTAAATGTGTAATTCTATGGTCTCTACACAAATTCTATAATTGAGGGAACAGAATGATCAAGGCATGATTATAAAGTCTTCACGGAAAAAAAGTAATGGTGAATAGCAAGTTTTTTGTAAGTTTCGAATTGTTTCAGATTGTTTTTTTCTTAAAAACCAAAAAAAATTAATGTATCAACCACCACTCAAGCTGGTTGCTTCGAAACTTTGAAACTGGTGCGACTCGAGCATGCAATCCATTGATGGTTCGACCTACATTGAGGCTCGTATAGTACTAAATGCAATGTAATTAGCAAGTTTTTTGTAAGTTTCGAATTGTTTCAGATTGTTTTTTTTTAAAAATCAAAAAAAAAATAAGATACAAACCACCACTCGGGCTGGTTCTCTAAAAATTTGAAACTGACAAGACTCGAACTTGCCGATCAGAATGATCAAGACGTGTTTAGTAAAGTCCTCACGGAAAAAAGTAATGGTGAATAGCAAGTTTTTTGTAAATTTCGAATTGTTTCAGGTTAGTTTTTTTTTAAAAATCAAAAAAAAAAATAAGATACAAACCACCACTCGGGCTGGTTCTCTAAAAATTTGAAACTGACAAGACTCGAACTTGCGATCCTTTGATCGTTCGACCTATTTCAAGGCGAATTGGAATCAAATGCTTTACCAACTAAGCCACAGCTCCTGTGTTGACAACTAGACTATTTCCTAATTGTTGAAAACAAATTTTTATTAATTTTATAATAAAAATTTTAACGCGAGCATTTCCTCAGTGCACTGAATGTAATGGTCTGTAAGCCAGAAGTGTTTGGACAGTTTTAAGTTGTACAGAATTTTAAAGGATTTTGATGCAAATTTATATAAAATTTGCTTTTCTTACTTTTAATAGCCATGCAACTTAAATACATTGTATTGTTGAGCTATGAGTCATGTCTCTGCAGCTCAAGTTAGTTGTATAAAGCGCTTCAATAGCCCTTGATCTAATCCGAACTACTAACAGAGATCAAAATGCGATTGCTTTCTAAAATGATCATGTTTTTGGCCCATTTTTTTTTTCAATACATTGTATGTTTAATAAATTTTGTTTAAATTAGAAAGAGCTAAATTCTTTCTAGACCAACAAGAAATTGTTCTTCTATGATGATGCATCAAAGCATCATATAATCTACTGTTCATGAAAATTTTTTTGTTCATGAAAAAATTGTGTCAACGAGGCGGCTTTTAATAAATTCCCGCCATAAATTTTTTGCAATGATTGCTATTGTTGAAAATAATTTACGAGATCAGAATTTAGACATCGCTCCAAGATTTGAAAAGACCAAAAAAGTCTTAAGATGATATATTATTTCTTATATTGCAACATGTTTTTAGTATAATTAAAAAAATTTAGCGAATAATTCTTGAGTATTATTATAATTTTAGTCTTAGTGTAGTTAAATAATAAAACAATTTTTAACAAAAATGTAAAAGAAATTTGAAAATTTAAATTTTGTTTATCTTTTCAAATTATATTTTTTTTTTTAAGATTAAAGCAAAATGAAAATAAAATATTGATTATTTTTAAATGTTGCAATTTTTTAATAGATAAAATATAACTAGACAAAGAACTATATATAACTAGTCAAAGTCTTTCCACCAAAACGATTCAACTCAATTACTACCTCAACAATGGCGGCCAGAGCGACAATTAAATCAGGAAGTATAAATATTTTAAATACCATAATTGGTGCAGGAATATTGGCTATGCCTTATGGATTAAGGGCAAATGGATTATTATTTGGATCAATATTAATAGTATGGTCTGCATGTACTTCAGCATTTGGTCTATATTTACAAAATAAAGTTGCAAGATATACAAAACAAAGAGGATCAGTATCATATTTTAGTTTAGCCCAAGTGACTTATCCAAATTTATCAATTGTATTTGATTCAGCTATATCTATAAAATGTTTTGGTGTTGGAATTTCTTATTTGGTTGTTATTGGAGATTTAATGCCTAAAATTATGGAAACATTAGAAGTTAAAAATGATTCAATTTTCATGAGTAGAAATTTTTGGATTACTATATTTATGGTATTTATTGTTGCACCATTATCATTTTTAAAAAAATTAAGTAGCTTGAAATATACTAGTATATTAGCATTATTTTCAGTTGCATATTTAATTTGTTTAGTCATTGAAAGTTATATTGAAATTGGGTTGGGAATTGAAAAAGGTGAAAGTTTTTTAGCTACTGAATTCAATCCAGTACCTGCTAAACATATTGATTGGTTTGGTCCACTTGATTGGAAACAAACTTTAAGTTCTTTTCCCATGTTTGTTTTTGCATATACATGTCATCAAAACATGTTTGCAATAATTAATGAATTAAGACCAGATGAAAAAGATGGATCACAAACTAGACAATCAAACCTTATTATACGTAATGCTATTGTTACTGCATTATTTGCTTATTTGATAGTGGCCATTTTTGGTTACTTAACCTATGGTAATGAAGTTAATGCCAATATTATTTCAATGTATCCTCGTGATTCAATAAGTACATTAATTGGAAGATTATGTATCGTGATAATGGTCAGTTTATCATTTCCATTACAATGTCACCCATGTAGAGGATCAGTGAATCATGTTATACATTTTTTAACCAATGGTGCTGAATCTTCAAAATTTAGACATGGTAAAAAATTTAGTAGGTTATTAGAAAATCCAGGTATTGAATCAGGATATTCTTCAATGAATTCAGATATTGAAAGTTTAAGTTCCATAAATGAAAATAGTTTAATGGAAGCATCATTTATTTCAACAACTCCAATGGAAGGTGCGCACGATACAGATGGTCATGATCCAATAATTGTTCCATTAACAAATACTAAATTTTATATAATTACAACAGTTATAGTTGTTTTAAGTTATACAGTTGCATTATCAGTTACATCATTAGCAAAAGTTTTGGCGTTAGTAGGAAGTACGGGCTCAACATCTATTTCATTTATTTTACCAGGTTTATTTGGTTATTTATTAATGAAACCTTTGGATAATAATAGAACTCAACTTAATAATTTAGAAAAATTTTGTAAATATGGTGGATTATTCTTGGTGATTTGGGGTTTTGCAGTAATGATAACTTGTTTAGGTGCAACTCTTTTTATAACTGTTGAAAATTGAAATAATTTATAGACAAACGAAAGAAATCTCTCGCTATAATCAAAACTGATACAAAAAAAAAATAAATACTACCAATACATGAATAGCACACAACCACAATATAATGTCATTTCTTGGGAGCTCGTCATCAACGGTGAGTACGTCAAGTGCGGCAACAGGACAAGAATTACTCAATGACATAACAATAAATAATCCACCCGAAGATTCAATTGAAGATTTATCATTTTCACCACAACAAGATCTATTAGCAGTTGCAAGTTGGGATAAAAAAGTAAGAATATATGAAATAGACCCTAACACAGGAAACAATCAAGGAAAAGCACTTTATGAACATAATGCACCAGTTTTTTCAGCACGCTGGTCAACAGATGGAACAAAAGTTATATCTGGTGGTGCTGATAATCAAGTAAAAATATTTGATCTTGCATCACAACAACAACAACAAATAGGTCAACATGATGCACCTGTAAGAGCAGTAAGATATGTTGAGTGTGGTCCAACAAACACCCCAGTAGTTGCAAGTGGATCATGGGATAAAACATTAAAATATTGGGATATGAGAACTCCTAATCCAATAAGTACCATAAATTTACCAGAAAGATGTTATTGTATGGATTCATCACAAAAATTATTAGTTGTTGGATGTGCAGATAGACATATAAGTATAATTGATCTAAATAATCCTCAACAAGTTTTTAAAACAAGTCAATCACCATTAAAATGGCAAACAAGAACAATAGCATGTTATCCACAAGCAAATGGATTTGCAATTGGATCAATAGAAGGAAGATGTGCTATACAATATATAACGGAAACAGAACAAAAAAAATTTGGATTTTCTTTTAAATGTCATAGAAAATCAGGACCAACTACAAATTCAAGAACAACTTCAAATTCAGGTGAATCACAAGCATACCCAGTAAATGCTATTTCATTTCATCCAATATTTGGAACTTTTAGTACTGCAGGTTCAGATGGTACTTTTTGTTTTTGGGATAAAGATGCAAAACAAAGATTAAAATCATTTCCAGAATTACCAGGTACTATATCTGCTACTGCTTTTAATAAAAATGGATCTATTTTTGCTTATGCTGTAAGTTATGATTGGTCTTTAGGTTATATGGGAAATAGACCAGATTATCCAAATTTTATAAAACTACATGCTATAAAAGAAGCAGAAATTAAACAAAAAAATAAAAGGTAAATAATGTGGAAGTAGAGTAATTAATGATTATATAGTATTACTTTCCTGAAGTAATTATTTCAGTTGATTTGGTAAAGCCTCTTTTTTTCCTGCCTTTGGGCTCGACTTCCAAACTAAATAGTACGATTCTGAAACGCAAGAAATCCAATTAAAGAGAGCCCAACTTTTGAAAGTATTTGTCAAAAATTTACATGAAAATCTTCACGAGTGACGGTAATGAAAATCAAATGTATAATATAAATGCTACGTGACAGGTTAATTAGACCCAGCAAACTTGACATCTCACAGTAAAGTATTACTTTTGTGGGACTTGTTACAGTTTTAGATTCGGAATGGTACTACAAATTTTAAAAATTTAAAATCCACTTAATAAAAACTGATCAACTATCGCAAAAACGCATTTTTTCCAATCTCTCTCCACAATTCATTTTTATTCTAAAGCTCAAGCTTATTTTAAATTTGCACGAGGTTCAGGTAGTGAATAAATGAAGAATATCTCAGAGTTAAAATTCTACAAATTTTCAAATTTTTATTTATTATCACGATTGTGTATTAATTATGGAATGTATGTATATTAATGCTTACCTCTATATTAATAAATTATGCAAATTAAAAAAAAAAATATTTGATGTTTGTAATTTCCTGATTGAACCAACACCAAATAAATTTATGATCAAGAACTGAAGTATGATTTCGTTAAAGCATCAATAACATCAATGAAAATGAATTAAAACAATTACACAGTAGAATTGAAAATTGTAAAAATCAAAAAATTGAAATTTTCTGAATTTGAACAAGTATAACCGCAAGGATAAATATTTAATGTTTAGTAATATGTAAAAATTTTTTAATTTCTTCATCAGTTTCGACTTTTATAAACAATAATGAATATTCTTGAACTTCATTAGATTGATTTTGTTGATTTTGTTGATCTGATTGTTTTGGATCATTTGGTAAATTAGTTTTGAAATTGCACATAAAAACTGTAGTATTAGTGAAGTTTGACATATTAAAATAATTTATTATTTGAGAAGGTTTTGTATTATAATTATAATTAATGATTATTGAATATTAAGTAATGATTGAATTAAAAAATAATTGAATTTGGAATTGATAACAAATTGAAGAGTATTTATAATCTTTCATTATATATTTGAATTACAAAACATCAACTATAAAACTTTAACAAACTATTACAATTCTATAAATTAATTCACTTTATTAAATTGATTTTCTTTTTAACAGTAAGATCGCTTATTCTTAATTGAAAAAAATTAAAGTTGATTTTTCCCTCAATAATTTTTTATTTACTTTGTGTTCCAATTAATAAGAAGTAATAATAAACTAATAATAAATAATATGGAAATTAGCATGTTTTTTTTTTTTTTTTTTTTTTTTTTTTGAAAAAAAATGTGTACAAAAATATCTATAGATTGGATCACAGAAACGGATATGTCGAGATAAATAATTAAGGGTGTTGTTTTAAATAAGACCAATATTAAATTTGGAGGACTTGTTTCTTTCATATTTGAGGTATATCAGTTGCCATGGTTAACTTCATATTCCAAATACTAATTATTAATACTATAATTATCTCATTGTTAGTTTCATTTTGATAAAAACTATAAATGAAAAAGTTTAATTTAATAAAGTTAAGGTTTCCGCACTATTTTTTCAGTTACAAAAAAATGTTCTATTTTAAAACGAATTCCGCGTGAAAATTTACTTTTTTACTTCCTTCTCTCTTACACAATAAAGAAAATCTAATACTAAAGACTTGCTAGAAAAAGAATAACCGGAAATATATCATATATGGATTAATGAATGTATATTTACACCACAAAATGTCAAATTTGACAATAGATAAGGTTACAAAGTTTCAAAATTGGCATATACTTCCAAAAATCTACAAATTACACGTTTCCAGTATTATATATCCTTATGTTTGAGAAATTAGGCATCCACCAGTAACCTTATCTTAATATTATTGAGCCATTAATAGAAGTCCAAAATTAATAAATATTTGAAACAAATTTGTGAAATCCAGATTTGTATTTTTCGAAACGTACTAATTAAGATTTGTATCTCGTAATTAATTAATGATGAAAGTAAACTTTAATTATTATAATAACTCTGGTCAATTATAATACATCTTAATCTTCTTTACAAAAAAGACAAATAATTATCTTAATTAATATCATTTTGTCAATTCAAGGTTATGAACCACTCTATAAATTTTTTTTTTTCGTTCATAATATAAATAGCACAAAATATCGTAAAGGGGATTTTTCTTTTTTCCAAAATTATTTTAAAATCTCTCTCTTCGGCCCCTTAATTTTAATTTTGCAACCATTTTGATTCTAGCTCGTTGCAAATGACAACCAGATCTAAGCGAGTTTAAGGTACGTTTATCACTTTACAACCAACAAAAATTACTTAAAACAATAGAGCTCAATTATGTTTCACCACAAAGGGTAGCTTACGTCAAGAACTTAGCAAAAAATCATCTGATTTTTTCAACAAATTGTGAAACATTAATTGTTATCTATTAATAGTTCTATTGTTGTTCATAACTTTCATAGTTAACGCCTTAGTATTTGTATGGTACGTTTTGCTAGGCAACAAAACTAATTCCGATAGCTTTCTGGTATATTAGGGGTTAATCTCATATTATAATATTAGACAACTAAAACTTTACACATTTTACATTTATAACAATAACAATTGTAAACTTACGGGGGTAAAATCTACAGATTTTGATTATGGATGCAATGCAGATCTGGTATAATTTCATTTTCGGTATAATTTAATAAAGTTTTTACTATGAAGTTTAGCGAATTCTTTATTATAATTGTACTAAAATTCGGGGGTAATTTATTTTTAAAATTATCTTAATTTATGTAAAATTTACTAAAATTAAATCTTTTCCTTTTTCATATAATCTAAACCATAATTTTGATTATATTAATTGCTAAATTACTTGCATATTTAGTTGAATTACACGATAAATTATCATAACGCCGGCATAATAGACTAAAATAATCAGGATATATCTTTACTCCCTAAAATTGTAAATTTTTTAATTACATTATAAATTCCTATTATTTAAAGTTAATTTGCTTTATGTTTCTAGAACTTTTCACCCTTTATTTTCAAGATTTAAAAGGTTTTAAAACAATGTATCTAAATTTAACAATTAATCTATACTAAAACTTTATTATATTTCGATTTTGATGGGTGATTTTTTAGATTTTTTTCTAAATCTAATCTAATTAATTGCACAAAGGATTTAATTTAAAAGTTATTTAAGTTACTTCACTTTTTAATATTAGCCTAATTAAACAGGTTTAATTAATGTAAAAATCTAAAGCTTTGATCGCCTTATCTGTGTTGTGCACTTGCAACTAACTTGCAATTTGAGTTTGCAAGAAACATATATTTGATTTTATTTTAGGGGTAATAATTAGCCTACAGTTTTGTGTTCCAAATCTTAGTAAATACATTCAATTTAAAACAAAGTAAGTCATAATTGAGAGTAATTGGAAAAGAACTAAGGTAAAGTACATAAATTCAAACGTACCAGCTATGCTGCAAACTAATTATTGATTCTCAAAATTGTTTTTACAAATCTAGAAGGTTGTTTAAAATCACAAGGCGCTGATTTTGTTCTCTCCAGCAATAATAAAAGCAAAAGACTTACTTGCAAATTATTACCAGCACATATTTCTTATTGGTTTATTAATTGAAGCTCAGAAGTAAACAGATTATTTCAATGTTCTAGATTATAGCAAATAAAAATCAGATTGCTGTAAGACCTAAAGTATTATAATTTCAACATTGTTGTTCATTCAACAACTATACAAATCCTATACATAAACTCCACAATTTTGGAATGAGACCAAAGCAAATCGAAGTGGGAAAAGATACCTGGTAAGCTGGATAATCAAATAAGGTTAATTAGAGCATAATGTACTAATTGACAAAATTATTGGGCAAAAATCAGATCTTCCAACAAGAATTTAGCATTTAACCAGCCAATAAAATGTCAAACAGATTAGCCATATTTTCATCAATAAAAACCAAATTAATCAGCCCAGTATAACTCTATTTTGTGTGATAAATTTAAAAACTATTTCAACAACCTCAAAAAATTTCCGTTGAAAACAACTTCCGTACGTTCATAATAATAAAAATGAAACATTAAATGTTTTACATTTTTTGCATTTAAAAAATTACCCCCCAAATTTATTACAGGAAAAAAATTTACGACAAATTAGTAATATAACCTTAATAATTTATTTGTTATAAAATCAACCTAAAAAGATAATAGTTGGACAAAATCAAATTAAAAACAAAAACAAAATGTAACTATTTATAGAAAATAATTTACATCATTAAGTAACTTTGCTAGGTTTCAATTGACAACCAACACAATAAAACATTGTAAAAACCAAAAAAAAAGCTGATTAGTAAAAAGTTGATAAGTCGTATTATTACAATTTTAGCAAGAGGCACAAAATACAGGGTTTTATAATTTCTTTTTTTTGTCTTTTATTGTTGATGAGCGAGATAACAGACAAAGTTCAATTGATGTACAAGTGATACAATAATTGATAAATTATTTAACAAAAAAAATTATTAACATTATAATTGAATAAACATTTAGCCGCCTAACATAAAAAAATAACACTCTAATTATAAACATTAAAATTGTTGACATGAGGAAATCCTCAAAAACATTGATCATTTTTAGATATTTATAGTTTTTACCCTATTAAGGAATGTATAGTCGAGATGAAATGGACGACAATTTTAAATTCAAAATAAAGAGTTGAGATATGTATTCACATTTATAGTGAACCTAACTAGATCTAAGCTTTATGCAAGAGACTCATGCACTCACGAAAATGTAGAAACGTTTTTTTCAGTAGCCAATTGTTTAAGGTCCTTATATCGTAAAAGATAGGAGTTTAGTATCAAATTGGCAAAATTTAATTGAGCTTTATTGCAAGCAGGGCCTAGTCGGATATCTTTTTTTATCTTTTGTTGTTTTGGGATAAAAATGATCAAAATTTGAACTTTATATATTTGTAAATTATTTTTGTCCCAAAAAAGAATGTCGACACAAATTTTATCTGCAAAAGCTGTAAAAACGGTATCTGGTGGCCAAACTTAAAAAACATAAAATGCAGTTTCCCAATTCTGTTTTTTGAACAAACCAACTTCCAAAATTTAACTTTATTGAAATTGAGTCTATTGAAATATCCAGAAAAGTATAGAATGATACTTTATTTGATAACAAAGTGATTATTTTGTGACACGTACTTGTTTCAAAACTGAATGCAAACACAAAATCCTCAGTCAGGCGACTTTAATCAAAAGCAGCAAATACAGTATTATCTCTTTCTGTTTCAAGAAGAACAAAAGTTAAATTCACACCTAACTCGATATGGCAATTCAACTAACTTTTAAGCTCACTTGTGGGAGTTCTCTTAAAACTGAAAAACGCAGAGAGCTAAAGAAGTTGGGGCAACTTTTTGCATTTTTAGGTGTAAATTCTAAAGCACTTAGTACCTAATTAAACGAGCTTGTTGAAAGGAAGTTTTATGGCCCTAGGTTTTTTTGGAGAGAACAGAATCACAATCCAATTTTATAAATTAAAATCTCAGCTGCGAATAGCTATATCCTACATAGGGCCCTGTGTTTTGATTGTAAACTACAGAAACGAGCCACTTGAGATTGCATTTCTTACACAATCAAAAGTTTGAACCTTACACAAATCTCGTAAATCTGTCCAGAATTGTAACAAACTTCAACCAATGTAAATTTACACTCTCTTTTGTGCTTTTGCTAATCTGAATTAATTTGAATCAAAAATCCAGCCTCAATTCTTTTCTCAAATAGTTCAACTATGAGCACTATAAATTTTAGACTTTTTTAGTGTCATACATAGATAAAATTTTTAGATTTCGGAGAAATTAATTTATTGACACAAATATACTTGAAGTATTCAAACCTTTTTGCATATTATCAATCGCAGTCATTGAAACACTAAGTATACCCACCTGTTACACATAAAAAAGTACATTGGTGTATTACAGCCATATATGGCTATCTGGACAAAATTAAAAGGCAATAAAATAAAACCTTAATGCTTATAGATTTGACTTGTTATGCAACTTACATCCTTACAAAACGTACATCTCCGTTGCACCAATTTACTAGGGGAACCCTTGGAAGTTGAAATTTTAAAAAATGATTTAGATGTTGTATCAAAAAATTGCTAAAATCTTCAGAACTTGACATCGTTTTCAACTCGCCTTATTTAAATGACCGCAATCATTTAATCTTGCAACCACTATAGCTTATAATATTAGAAAACCACTATAAAAATAAGCAGTAGAAAAAAATTAATGCATTATTGAGAAATAGCCACAAGCTTTTAAAATGAATCATTCAAATCATCGGTAATTATTCTTCAATCCTTATTTAATTTTCTCAGCTCGTAACTAAGTATTCGGTTATGGTTTAAATTGACTTAAGAATATAAGCTATCACATGATTTGCCTATCCTTAAAAATGACCTGAGACGTTTATAAGTTGATTGCTTATCAATAGATAAGAAATTAAGCCATCAGTCAATCACTTACTTTAAAGATTGTACTTAAAAGTGGAGCTTTTCAAAGTTGTGAGATACAAGTAGATTCAAGCGATGCAAACACAACAAAATAAGAGCTTTTACTTCCTATTGTATGAATTGACCAACATGTGATTAATTTACAATTAACACCAATAGGAGCAAAAGACCAAGGAAGTAAATCTATTAATCATCTATGCTTAGATTGATAAGATTGAAGATTAATTAATAAGTAAACGGATTTAAAATAAATTCTTGTACTAATGTACTAAAACATATTTAATTAATGTAATTTGTAAAATGGTTTGAAGTCGAAAAGAAACGCTTTCAAGGTGTTTAATTAATAGATAACTATTTTTCTCCTAAGTTAGAATATTATAGTTTTGTGTTTTAGGTTGTATGAAAAATTATACATGATCCTGATTGTAAAATAATTCTCATAACAGGATCATTTTTTTTTTCGAGATCTCTTCAATGTGAAACCTCTTAATGAATAACAAAGTAAAGGCATTCTACAGTATTCTAGACACAACTCCGTTAGATCTAATCCATCTAATTAAGGTTCCATACTAAAATTATATTTTGGCATAAATGCATTAGTCGCATAAAACATCCAATTCAAATATAAGATTCGTCTAATAAGAAATTGACTAGTTGAGTCGATAAAACGTTCAAAAAATAATATGTTTTTTCTTTTTCTATTAGGATCATTTGCTCTTTACTTTAATTCATTTTGAAATTTTTAATGGTTTTGACTTCTAATTTTAGCCGTTCATAAGCTGTAGACTAAGTTACAAAAGCTTGTAATAATTTAAAGTTTCGAGAAATTCATTTTACATATTCGTTATATTCATAAAAAAATCTAGGCTTTTTTTGTGATTTATTCCATGGTATGAAAATTTTAGTTTTATATATTCTACTTGTTTTGAATTTGTACATAAATTAATTTTTAAAGTAATAATTCTAATTCTAAACTTATTGTAAATTATTTTTGTAACTTATATTCATTGCGCTTAAAGTTTGAATATTATTAATAATATTATTAAATTATTTTATTGATTTAAAATCAAAGATTTTTTAATAAAATTAAAAAAAACATTTAAGATTAATTAAGATTTCAATTATTGTAAATCATTTTATGTTTTAGTTATTAATAAATTATTAATAGAATATCCTTTATGTAAATTGTAATTAAACATATAATTTTAATTTTATCAAATTCATTCATAAAGAAGTATTTTGAGATTATAAATAATCCATTAATTTACCAAATTTTATTCAAAGATCTCAAAATTTTTGAAACTCCATATTCAGCATTCACTTCAAATCACAATTAGCATTCAATCCACTAAAATAAAAAAAGATCTCAGTTCAGTTCGATTTTCAATTTATCATTCCTCAAGTCATTCATAATTATACCTTTGACATCTTAAACATTTACTCAAAAGTTAAAAGTTAAGGCGTTATTGATATATCTGTTATTCATTATAATTAAAAAAAGATTTAATAATACTATTAATACGTTATTAAATCTAACTTGAACAAAATATAAGTCTAAATATTATTATTAATATTGGTACATTTTACATAATATTTTTAGTATTAGATTTAAATTTTATTAATAGAAAATTTTTGACATTAAATTTTTTTTTTTTTTTTTACTACCGAATTTTAGATTATTTTTTTTAAGTCCGTCATCATACTTTTTAAAACAATTTAAACAAAAAAAATTAAATAAAAAAAAATATAGAAAAATATAAAACAATTAAATTATTTCAGAATTTTTTTTATATCTTCATTTTTATATTTAAACTAACCATTTATTATTTACATATTCACCTATTCATTACTAATTAACTATTCATTATCGATCATTACTATTTATTTTTATTCACTTTCATTTATTATTTAAGTTATCTATTCACTCAACTATAAGAGAAAACCCCCCAAAAATTTTATTTCATTATTACAAATCAAGATATTTTGCATCCGGAATCAAATACCCGTGAAAACTTTAAATCATTAATTTTACCTTAATCATTTAATTTCATTATGCAATCAGAGGAGCATTGCCATACTAATTCGTCAAATTGTTCTTCAACATCTAATACCTCAATAACTACTACCAATCACATAAAAAAGAAAAGGGTCGTTAGAGCTTGTTCATCATGTAGAATTAAAAAAACCAAATGTGATGGTAAAAAACCATGTAATCGTTGTTTAATTGATAATAAAATTTGTGTATTCACTGAAAAGAAAAAAATTAAAGAAAAAAATCATCCTCAAGGTTATATTGAATTATTAGAAACAAGACTAGATATTTTAAGTAAACTGTTTGAAAATTTAATTGAATTATCAAGACCTTATTTACCAGTTATTGATAATATAATTAAAGATCAAACAATCCCTTATGAAGAAAATGAAGATTCATCTAGTGAAGATGATATAAAAGATTATGATGTTATTCCTATAAATAAAGTTGTTAATTATCTTATTGAAGAAAAAGGTCTTTTAAACAATTTACCAATCGAATGGGAAGAAGGTGCAAATATTGCAGCAAAATTTAACAATAAAAATAAATCAAGTTCTTCGAAATTATTTGCTGATCATAAAACTGAAAATTTAGCAAATGATTCAAATAATTCACCAAATTTAAAACCAACTTCTTCCAATACCAAGAGAAACAAGAAAATAAAAGAAGAATCAACTTCACCAATTTTTGATCAATCAAGTTTTTCAAATAATTTTAATAATTATTTACAAAATTCAAATGGTAAATATTCAATATGTTCGAATGATCCTACATTATCTGATGTTGAAAGTGATAGTCCAAATAGAAATCCGGAATCAATTTCACCACCTTTTATACTTGATTCTCAACAAGGATATCATTATCATGGCTCATTAAATAATGTTCCAACGGCTGCTTCATTATTTTCAAATAATGGAAGTACTTCAATAAGTAAAAATTCATCGATGACTTCATTAAGTAATAAATATGAAAATCATTCAATTTCAGTATCAACAAATTCTACTTCAATATCACAACCAAATTCAGCTAATTCAGCAAATTCTCCTCCACAATCAATATTTACATATAATCCAAAATCAATACCAACAATTCGTAGATCTTCATCAACTTCGTTATCACAAAATCAAATGAAAGGTACAAAGAGTGTAAGTAATAATAATCACGTTCATAAACCTATTCATGCAAATCATAATAGAATGAATTCAATAGAGTTGAAGAAAAGACATAATAGTAATGAAGAATTAATATCACCAGAAAACTCAACATCTAATACTATATTAAATCAACCAAATTCTTCATCTTCAATTATAACTACAAATATACCAAATAATGATTTTAATGGATTTAATCAATTCGATAATGATGATCAAAATATTTTGTTGAATAATGGACTTATAAATCAATTTGATGTGAATAATAACAGTAACACTTTGATTAAATCAGAATTTAATAATGGGGGTTATAATTTAGGTAATGCAAATAATTTTGATGTTTTAATTGGTAATTATGATCCATTTATGAATAGTAATAGTCCATTTTTAGAGAGATTTTAGGACACTTTTTTTTTATTATGTTGCTTGAATTTACTGGTTCAAACTTTGCTTTATTGTTTTTTAATAATTTTTTTCAATTCTTGATAGTGTTCTTTCAATGTGGACGTTTAATTCAAATTTAATGAGTGTGTATATCTTTTTTTTTTAATATGTGTATGTTTTATATGAATAGATTTTAATAGAATTTACAAATCTAAAAAAAGGGCTTAAATGGTTCAAACATACCATTATGTATAATCAACTTGATAGTGAGGTCATTTATTCTGTAAAAGCAATTGTTCTTGAGCACTGATACTTTTTAGTAGTTTTGGTGAGAATTCAATCATGAGAAATCCATAAGTTTTGATAAATATTCTGAAACGGCTATAAAATTTTATTTTTTTAGCCGTGATCAAATTGATAACAAAAAAAAGAAAATTTAAAAAAGCCTAGACTTTAACTTTGGTTAAATTTAAAACTAAAACTAAACCATAACCATAAGCCAAGCAAATTAGTATGAGCCATAAAAAGATGTATTAATTAACTCCCATCGAGTTTATTGCTTATCTATATTCTTCAAATTCAAATATAGAATGATGTATGAGAGATTACAACTTTTATGAGGGGCTAAAAAAAAAACTCCAGTAGATACACAAAATTCAAATTTGCGTAGTATGTGCGTTAGAATATGATAACATTGCGTACAGTTAGCGTTTTGTACATCAATAAAAAAAATCTATTGGACATGTGCCAAATCTTTTTGTGGACACCAATTCGTGCTTTATAACACAAATTGTAATGAAAAACTGATTATCACATTCAAGTAGGTTCGAATTTGCAACCATGTTTGGACGCCTATTTTTATGTGCAAATTATTAAAACGTTCATATCAGTTTCAATTGATTCTCCAATTTTATGATGTAGCAAAATTTGAAAATTAATTTTAAATGGTTAGATAATCCAAGTATTTGTAGATCTTTTGATGAAGAGCGCATTCATGGAATTCAGAGGCAACAACAATGTCAATTACAATATTACGCCAAAATCTTTAAATTAGCAGTATCTGAAAGAAAAAGAGAGTCTACTCTAGTCACAATTTGGAATTACTTTCGCAGTCTTGATTACATCGAGAATTTCTGGTTGCAAAATTTCATTCAAATCTATATAGTTTACAAGTCAATAATGGTAGATTTCATAGAGATATAAATTACTAAAAATAAAGTTGTAGACGTAACCTGAAACCTATTTTGAGGCGGTTTTCTTCATCCATTTCTTTGTTGAGTTTGTTTACTTTTATAAAATTTCATGCGTACCTTGCCTTTCCCATTATTCAATTAATTAATTTTGGTCTCTCGATGAAAATAGTTGATTGTTTAACCCCTTTTGCATTATACTCGATGATAAAAAAATTAGAAAATTTTGATTATTGTATTTAGCAATTATTGCTTTAATATATTTATATTACTGCGCAAGCAATTTTAACCTTGAAATTGTTAAGATATCTAAAGAATCAATACTATGACTTTCTCAAAACTATGGATTTCGGACTAATTATTCAGTAAAAAACCTAGGACCATAGAATTAGGGACTTCGGACTATTTATTTAGTAAAGTATCGATTTTTGATTTTAGTATTATTAAAGTTTATCAGAACGTTTTATGTTTAGTCAAAGTTTATTCTCTCATTAAAATTTAAATTCGTTCATGAAATTTCAGTATTTTGATAAACTATTTTTGAAATATTGAACAATTTGGTTCCTATTCTACAGCCGTTTCCTCAGTAAAAGTGGAGTTTTCATTTGTTACTTTATCACAATTTATTTCATTCTTCTTTGTTTCTACCCTTCTTATACGAGAAATTTGATTGTTTTGTTATACCACTCGTATTTACTAACTTTTTCAGACGTTTTATTGTTAGTTTTGTTTTGTGTAACGCATTTTGATACGCATAAACTTTTTTGGTTTGGTTTTTTTTTTTCAACAATTTGCTATTTCATTTGTAACTCAAAAACTAGAATTGTCAACAAGAAAATCTATCCTGCTAAGAGAGAGTGAAAATCATAGTGGTTTTCACTCAATTTTAAACTTGTGTTTTAAACTATATTTGAAATCAGTTACACAATCATCTTTGAGTCTTTTCGATTGATGTTACTTCAAGTTTTAAATTTTTTATACTGATTCAAAAGAGCTTGTGTTTAATATGAATTAAAGATCGGTTATACAATTAGCCAAGCATTTCCTTAAAATTAATAAAGAAAAAAGTGATAGTAACCTTGAATTTGAACAAGAAAATTCCAATAATCTCTTGTATGTAAGTTTTGTGAATTATTCACCCTGCGAAACCTTATGGTTTTCAGCTATGATTCTATTTTTTCAAGTTTCTAATCCTACAAAGCACAAGAATTAATCAGTTTATAGCCGCATAAATTTCTTGATTTCATTTTGTGTCAATGTAGCTTCGAGAAGCTATACATTGCTCTATCACCTCTACATTTTTACAACCGATCTTGGCTGCTCATCAAACAGTCGAGAGGTTAAGTGAAGAACCACTCAAATATTAAAACGAACTTAAGTTACTTTTCTTAAACCAAATTGCTAGGTTGGTTGAGATTTGTTGCAACATCGATTTGCATATAATTTGCACCCTTATCAGATACAACAATAGAATTCAAAATAAAGAAATTTACGAATTTTTATAGCTTAAATGATCTATTGTATTAAGATTATAAATTCGGATTAATTTCAACAATAAGGTTTGTTTTAATGTTTAAACGACTAATGGCATGATTATCTTTAGTTTGAATTTTAGTCAACAACAAAATAGATTATCTCTTGGCACAAGTTGAATATTATGGCTCTGATCTGGTGCTTATTTTAATCATAGATACTTTACAATTCTTTATGCAAAATGTTTTTAGTATACACTCCGGATTACAATCTGGCCACCTTGAAGTTCCAGCTGCTTCTTATCTTGTTTGTAGGCAAAAGAAGAAGGTAATGATCGAAAAGACTCAGTTCAGGACAGCAATTTCAAAAATTCAGCCGTTATGTATATTTAACAATATTTTCTACATTTCTATAATTAACTTTGTGCAAGCAAATCATTTCAAATTTGCAATTAGTGACAGGTGTTCAGGGTTTAAGCAGCATCAAAACATTCCCAATCTGTTGGATCATGAACATCTGGCTGACTAATTACTTCCATTTCGTGTGAAGTCAATTCGAAGTCATTAACATCGAAATTTTCTTTTAATCTTGAAGGAGTTGAAGTTTTTGGTAAAGGTATATAACCTTTTTGTAATGACCATTTTATTAAAATTTGAGCAGCACTTTTATTATATTTTTTCATAATTGAAGCAAATTCAGGTTCTTGTTTTTGTAATTGATATCCATGAGTTAATGGAGCATATGCTTCAACTTGAATATCTTTGGATAAGCACCAATCAGCTATTTCATCTCTCATACACCAAGGACTTATTTCAATTTGATTTACAGCAGGTTTTATTTTCAATTCTGACCAATTTAATAATTCTTCAATATGCTTTGGAGCATAATTTGATACACCAATGTTTTTTATTTTACCTGAAGCAACTGCATCTTGCATTACTTTCCAAGCTTCTAATCTTTTTTGTTTTCCAGGTAAGGGGGAATGAATTAATAACATATCTATATATTCCAAATCCCCAATTTGTTCCATCATTGTATTGATTGCTTTAGCGGTTTCATGTTTTCCAACTTGATTATTCCATAATTTTGTTGTATAAAATACATCTGATCTTTTGACTTTTGGATTTTCTTTAAGGTATTTAGATATACCTGCTATAACTTCTTCTTCGTTTCCATAAAGTACTGCAGTATCAAATGATCTATAACCTACTTTTAATCCTTCATATACAATAGATGTAGTTTTTGATCTTGGGATATTGTAAGTACCAAGTCCAATGCTTGGAATTTCATTACCTGAATTTAGGGTAATTAATCTATATGACATTGTTAATGAAGAATTGATGAATAGAAAGATAGTTGAGAAATTGCTAACTTACTTATATGTCATAAAATATTAGTGTTAAAATCAATTTCTTATCTTTGCTCCGCATTTAAGTACAGCAATTTAATTAACATATATCAAAGGCTTAAAAACGGATTTATTCAGTGAGGTTTTACTACCGATAAGTCGATTTGAAAAGAAGTAGATTTGAGATTATACAATTTATAATATTTGCACTAGCCATATTTGCAATGTAAATAAGATTATATCCATCTATATAAATTTTTCTTACAATCCTGCATGAAGTACTAAATTTTTAAAACGCTAACAAATTGAAAACATGAATAGATCATATGACACAAATTGGTTTGTCAAGAGTATTATTAATTCCATATGAGCGGTAACAACATGAAATCTGATTAAAACAGTTCAATTGAGTATTTACTCGATCAATTGACTTACATAAGTAAAAAGATTTGAAGAAGACATTCTATTGAGCAAAATTCTGAAACGTGCACTTAAAATCTGAAACTTGCTAATATAGAACGGAAATAATGGACTATAAAATACCGTTGGAAATAGTAGAAATAGATTTGTATAATAATAATAAATAAATGAGCAATTGAGTTTCAGTAAGAAAGCGTGGTATGATTCAAACATAATTGTAGTGTGAGGAGAAATACTAACGGATAAGAACTTAAGTATTTGCCAGATACTCTTTTTACAGAACTGCTGACATTACTAAAATAAATTTAATCATTCATAAATCTAATTTAAAATGGATGGTATTGACCCGGAGGTAATTAATTAACGTTTTATAATTTTATAAGTAAAGGAGTGTATATAATACAAAAAGCAAACCAATGAAAAGATGTAAAATGTTTCACCTGGTAGCTTTTTTACATATGATTAATAGTTATTAAGTAACTGTTTTAAATTAATATTATTAATAACTACCAAAAATTTATTACGTAAATAAAAATATATCAACAATTTCATTATTTTAATTTTTATATTTAAACTCCTTATTTTGTCAACAATTACTTTTTTTGCTTTGCAATTGAAATTTTTTGTTGAAATTTTTAATTTTTTACTCAATTGATTCAAATTAAATTAATTTATTCAAATTAAATATATTATAATAATTTAAAATGGCTATTAAAATTGGTATTAACGGTTTCGGTAGAATTGGACGTTTAGTCTTAAGAGTTGCATTACAAAGAAAAGATATTGATGTAGTTGCTATTAATGATCCATTTATTGCTCCAGATTATGCTGCTTATATGTTTAAATATGATTCAACTCATGGTGCTTATCAAGGTGAAGTTAAAGCTGAAGGTGATAATTTAATTATTGATGGTCATAAAATTAAAGTTTTCCAATATAAAGATCCTGCAGAAATTCCATGGGGTAAAAATGGTGTTGAATATGTAATTGAATCAACTGGTGTTTTCACTACTATTGAAGGTGCTAAAAAACATATTGAAGGTGGTGCTAAAAAAGTTATTATTACTGCTCCATCATCAGATGCTCCAATGTTTGTTGTTGGTGTTAATGAAGATAAATATACTCCAGATTTAGATATTATTTCAAATGCTTCATGTACTACTAATTGTTTAGCTCCATTAGCTAAAATTGTTAATGATAATTTTGGAATTGAAGAAGGTTTAATGACTACTGTTCATTCAATGACTGCTACTCAAAAAACTGTTGATGGTCCATCACATAAAGATTGGAGAGGTGGTAGAACTGCTTCAGGTAACATTATTCCATCATCAACTGGTGCTGCTAAAGCTGTTGGTAAAGTTATTCCAGAATTAAATGGTAAATTAACTGGTATGTCATTAAGAGTTCCAACTGTTGATGTTTCAGTTGTTGATTTAACTGTTAGATTAAAAAAACCAACTTCATATGAAGAAATTTCAAAAGCTATTAAAAAAGCTTCAGAAGGTGAATTAAAAGGAATTGTTGGTTATACTGAAGATGCTGTTGTTTCAACTGATTTCTTAGGTTCATCATATTCATCAATTTTTGATCAAAAAGCTGGTATTTTATTATCACCAACTTTTGTTAAATTAGTTTCATGGTATGATAATGAATTTGGTTATTCAACAAGAGTTGTTGATTTATTAGAACACGTTGCTAAAGTTTCAAAATAACTAGCTAATAAATTGTGAGATTTCTTACTATTAGTTACTAGTTTCTACTAATAGGAAAAATAATAATATAGCGTTTTTCTTTATAGGTTATCAATATCAATATATTTAAATAAAATAAAAAAGTATCAAAAAAAATTAAAAAATTGATTGTAGTATTATAAGACCCTAATGTATTAATTTCAAGTTCAGTTAGAGTGACCTGCTCTACTTTAGAACACCTACCTAAAAAAGCACACCTTGATTTTTGAAAAAATTTTACGCACAGATGTACTTTTGTGTAACAAGAGTACACACGTTATATACTGCGTTACGGATGTATATAGTATTTTTTCTTTGGCAACTTCATTTTTAAAAAGTTTGAACTTAAACTAGAGGTAAAGACACAACCACTGGTTCAATTGACCTCAAATAACCAATATTAGATTAATTTTAGAGCAAGAAAACCTCATTCAAATTTTGAGCAATTTAGCTTCAAAATTGAGTACTTAAAGACGAAAGTTAACAAACATTAAAAAGATTGCGCTAAATTAGCTGCAAAAAATTTGAAACATCAATGATTCAACTATTTCAAAATTTCCAAATTTTATTTTGAGTAGTCTGGCAGTTTTAGTACTTGATTTTAGATATAATATCAAATTTTGAGTTTGATCGTAGCTGTTTTGGGTGGATTGGAGGGATAAAAAAATATCTCTCAAAAAAGTAATTTTTTTGAATCCGATTTTGAGCACATCATAATTGGTCTTCACCACCAAACTTTATGAAAAGATAAAAGAATAGTATCCCTAACTGCCAGGTTCAAGATTGAAGCTTCAAAATTAAATCTTGTTTGGTCAGGTGTGCTCAAGTACTGAAAATGTCCCAACTTTTTTTAGGGATTTTGGATTTGACCATAAGTGACTCAATTTTGAGGTCTTACCCATCACCAAATATTTACAGCTTATCCAGAGAGTGTTGAAATGGACGGGGCACGCTACGGTGGTTCGTACAGCATCACAACATAGTTATAGGCTGTTCTAGTTTGTATGGTATAGCTTAAACTCTCATACAAAATGCAATTAAATTACACAAAAATCAAGGAGTGCTTTTTTGGGTAGGTGTTCTAAAGTAGAGCAGGTCACTCTAATAAACCCTTTTTACGAGAAATAAAAAAAATTAGATCGATCGACCGTCACGGTGATCTAAAAGCTACCAAGTAGTACTAAAATCTCGGCCTATTCTATTGTTATTTGAAGAACTTTGAAACTCACTAAAATAAAAATGAAAAATCTTTAATATAGTTCATGGATAGTGATCAAATTCAATTTTAATAAATTGATTTCATGATCAAAGGAATTAAATAAGTTTTAATGCATTACATGATAGTTGGTTAGAATTACCTATTAATAAGTAAAATTTGAAAGTAATAATCTACTAATAATAATTAATTCTATTGAATAATATTGACGTGTCTGATATTTTTTTTATTTTTATTTTTATTTTTGTTTGTATAAAGAATAATTTTTCAATTGAACGATTTTAATTTTCTTTAGATTTATTAACTAATTTTAAATCTAATTCAACCAACCAACTATCTCTAAAATAATGTCATCTTCAGCTCAACTTCATGAGACTGATGTCAAATTGAAGGTTAAACACAAAAAATCATCATCACCAACAACAATTGAATCAAAATATCAACCAGAAGAAGATGAAAATGATTTAGATGATTTAAAAAGAAGACAATTTGAAGAAAATCAAGAAACAATTGAATCATGGAAAAAATTAGAATCTATATTAGCTCCTATATTATTTACTTTATTATCATTTTTTGTAAGATTTTATCGTATATCAATAAATAATAATGTTGTTTGGGATGAAGCGCATTTTGGAAAATTTGGATCATATTATTTAAGACATGAATTTTATCATGATGTTCATCCTCCTTTAGGTAAAATGTTAGTTGGATTATCTGGTTATATTGCTGGATATAATGGTTCATGGGATTTTCCAAGTGGTGAACAATTTCCTGATTATATTGATTATACAAAAATGAGATTATTTAATGCTACTTTTTCAGCATTATGTGTTCCGTTTGCTTATTATACTATGAAAGAAATTGGATTTAGTATTTGGACAACTTGGTTATTTACTTTAATGGTTACATTAGAAAGTTCTTATGTTACTTTAGGTAAATTTATTTTATTAGATTCAATGTTATTATTTTTCACAGTTACTACAGTATTTTGTTTTGCAAGATTTAACAATTTTAATGTTAGAGAACAAGAATTTGGTAGAAAATGGTGGAAATGGTTATTATTAACTGGAGTTTCTATTGGATGTGTATGTTCAGTTAAAATGGTTGGATTATTTGTAACTACATTAATTGGTATTTATACAGTTGTTGATTTATGGAATAAACTTGCTGATAAATCTACTTCCTGGACTAGATATGGATATCATTGGATTGCAAGAATTTTTGGATTAATTATCATACCAATTACTATTTTTATGCTTTGTTTTAAAATTCATTTTGATTTATTATATAAATCAGGTACAGGAGATGCCAATATGTCATCATTGTTCCAAGCTAATTTAATGGGATCAGATGTTGGTGGAGGTCCAAGAGAAGTTTCAATTGTTCATTCAGTTGTAACTTTGAAAAATCAAGGATTAACTGGTGGTCTTTTACATTCTCACGTTCAACAATTCCCAGAAGGTTCAAAACAACAACAAGTTACAACATATGGTCATAAAGATTCAAATAATAATTGGATTTTCCAAAGAGCAAGAGGTCAACCTTATTATGACCCATCAGGAAATACAACTGATGTTGAATATATTTTTGATGGTATGCATGTAAGATTAATGCATCCACAAACTGGTAGAAATTTACACACTCATGAAGTTCAAGCGCCAGTAACCAAGAATGAATTGGAAGTTGCTTGTTATGGAAATTTAACTATTGGAGATGCAAAAGATAATTGGATTATTGAATTTGTTGAACAAGCAAGTAAAGAAGATAAAATGAGATTACATCCATTAACTACTTCATTTAGATTGAAAAATGAAGTTATGAATTGTTATTTAGGTGTAAGTGGGGCTACATTACCACAATGGGGTTTCAGACAAGGTGAAGTTGCATGTTTTAAAAATCCTTTTAAAAAGGATAAAAGAACTTGGTGGAACTTAGAAAATAATAGAAATGAAATTTTACCACCAGCACCAGAAGATTTTAAATTACCAAAAACCAAATTCTTGAGAGATTTCATTCAATTAAATTTAGCAATGATGGCTACAAATAATGCATTGTTACCAGATCCAGATAAACAAGATGATTTAGCTTCATCTTTTTGGCAATGGCCTACATTAAATGTTGGTATTAGAATGTGTGGATGGGGTCCAGATAAACCAAAATATTTTATGATTGGTTCACCAGCAACTACATGGACTTCAACATTTGGAGTTATATTATTTGCATTTATTACATTGTATTATATCATTAGGTGGCAAAGACAATATGTTGATTTCCCATCTACAAATAAATTAAAATTAAAACAATTCATAATGGGAGGAATATATCCAATGTTTGGATGGGGATTACATTTTATGCCATTTGTTATAATGGGTAGAGTTACATATGTACATCATTATGTACCTGCATTATATTTTGCAATGATTGTATTTTGTTATGAAGTTGAATCATTTACTTCATTCTTGAACAAAAAAAATTCATCATCAACAAGTAAAATCTTATATTTTTTAATATATTTATCATTATACATATTTGTTGGTGGAACATTTTATTATTTAAGATATTTTTCATGGGGTATGGAAGGTGCAAAAGAAAATTGGAAACATTTAAAATTATTAGAAAGTTGGAGAGTTAGTGATGATAATTATCAATAATCTCTAATTTATATAGTTTTATATAGTTTATATAGTTAATATATATTTGATTATTGTATTGTAAAGAAATTATTTTATAGTAAAAAGAATAGAAATTGGAAAAGTTTTCGACTAAAAATCCATATTTAATAGATTGAGTATTAAAAAATTTTGCGCGCGTAGTTTTGAGACACTCTTTATAACTTGAGGATCAAAAATGTTTGATAACCGTTTTTAAAATATATTAATAGTTAGTAAGCAAACTTTCATCAATGATTTCAAGATACTCAAAAATACCAAGTAGATATATAAGAATACTACCTAGAGTCTCCTCAACTTGTCTAATAACTCATCCAATCAGGTACAATTCATCAACCACTACCACAAAAACATTAAAGCCTTCAACTTTTGCATCATTCCCAGAACCAGATTTACCAACTTCACAAAATATAGATGATTTTAAATCAACTAAACTAGTATATGGATCAACTAAAAAGACAATAGCAATAACAGATAGAGCAAGTTCAAAATTAAATTCAATCAAATCACAAAACCCACAAGATTCTGCATTACAAATTCAAGTAGAAAGTGGTGGATGTCATGGATTTCAATATAATTTAAATTTAATTAATTTACAAAATTATTTAAATGAAAATAAAACGAAGGATGATATTTTTGTATTTGAAAAAAATGGTGGGAATATAATATTAGATGATTCAAGTTTAACAATTTTACAAGATTCAAAATTAGATTATACAAAAGAACTTATTGGTTCACAATTTAAAATTATTGATAGTCCATATACTTCAACTGCTTGTGGATGTGGTGCATCTTTCGATTTTGATTTTGAAAAATTAGAACAAAAGGAAAAAGAAAGAGAAAATTAGTTAAATACATTACAGATTAATTTATTTATTTTATTTTTTTAAAATTATTTTATGCTATAATTTCATTAATACCTTGAATACTCTTTGATGAATAAAATCTAACATCAATATCATCATCACTTTCTAATCTTTCTAAATTTGATAAAATTTGTAAATTTACTAATTTTTTCAATTCTTCTTCATTATTTATTTGATTTTTATGATTTATTAATGATTCAACTAATGTTAAATAAGATTTTGCAACATTAAATCTTATATTTGGTACTGAATCTGTAATTAAACTATTCATAAATGGTAATACTTTATCAACTAATTGTGAATAATCTATAACTGGTATTAAACTTGTTATTGCAAATAAACATGTAATTCTTATAATAAAATTTGAATAATCAATCTTATCGTCTTCATCAATTTTATCATCTTGATTTAATAATCTAACAAGTATTTCTCTTGTTGCCCAATTGGACCCAAATATTATTGTTAAATTCTTTAGATTTTGTACTGCTGCTTCTCTAATGGCAAATACTGGATCCCATAACCATGACATACATAATGATAATAATTCATTATTGAAAAAGGATTCACCCAATTGATCAGCTAATTTAGGGATATATTCAATTATAGCTAATCTAACTCTCCATTTATGATCTTGAGCTAATTCAGTTATAGCAGGTAATAAATTGGTAGATAATAAATTAATACCTATAGTTTCATTTACAACTGATAAATTTGAAATTATATTTAATCTAACATCTGGGAATTCATCTTTTAACATAACCAAAAAAATAGGTAATAATTTATCAATTGTAGCTTGTTTTTCCAAAATTGGTGATAATTCTGTTATTGTTGAAGCTAATGAACTTCTTACACTTTCTTGAGGATCTTGACTTAATTCATTAACCACTGGGATTATCTTATTTAAAATTGTTGCTTTTGTCAGTGGGAATTTATTTAATAATTTACAAAAAACAGGTAATTGTTTAGCAATTGCTTTTCTAACTTCACCTTCATGATCTTTCATTAATGAAATAAAAGGATCAATTAATTGAAATAAGTCCAGCTCATTATGAATGAAATTACAAGCAATTTTACTAAATCTATCAGCTGCTGTATATCTAACTCTCCAACTATCATCTTTAATTAATTTTAATGCACTTGATAAAAAATCTGAATTAAAACTATATTCATGAATTTTTTGAAAAAATTCCAATATTGATATTAATACATCAACACTTAAAAATTTTACAGAATCTTGATCATCATTAATTAAATGTTGAAACATTTTGGATATAATTTCCCAATCTTCATTATTTATTTTATTTACATCATTTGGTGAAGATTCAGTAAATTCAGTTAATAAATCAATAATGTGGGGTAAATTTGTTGCAGCTGCTCTTCTAACCATTGGATAATCATCAGTGACTAGTTTTAAATACATTCTTAATAAATCTTTTCTAGTTGTTGAATCAACTCTTATTATAACAGCTTGATATAAACCACATGATGCTATCTTTTTCAGAAACCAATTTCCTTGAGTTAAACTTGTAATTAATTGTAAAAATATTTTATTTATTTCTTCTTGAGTTAATTCTTTACTTATTTTATTTAATGATTCAATTGCTTTATCTCTAACTAATGGTTCTTCCATTGATGCTAATATTGTTAATATATTAATTAAAGGTTCACAATATTCATGACCACCAATTAATGGAACAAAATCACCTAATTTTGTACCTAATACAGCAAATACTTCTTCTTCATCATCTTGAGCAACATCATTTAAAAATGGTAATAATTCTTTACGAGTTCTTTCTGGTCCTAATGCTATAGCAATTGTATCTAATTTTTGCATAGCTTCAACTCTATTTGATACATCATCATGTTTTAACTCATCCATTAATAGAGCAAGTGGATATAAATCGTCCATTTTAAAAAATTGTGAATATATTTATTTAAATTATTATTTGTGAATGTTAAAAATTATATATGAATAAATTGATAAAAGTGATAAAACAGGGTTTTTTAAATGAACAAAAAAATTGATAGTCTAATTTGAAATTTTTAGTAAATTATGAAAAAACTCAAGTAGTAATGTAAGTCTGTAGATGATTGATTAATTGAGTTATAAAAATTGAAATAAATTTTGATTGAGTATCAAAAACTTAATCTTTGAATATTCGTTTTTTGTTGTCAAAAAATTGCAGAGAGAGAGAGAGAGAGAGAGAATGGAAAATTTATATTTTTATTTTTTATATTTTTTTTTATTGTTGTATATACAAATTTAATGTCATAAATTAGAGATATATTAGTTATCCACAATTAGTACTGGTCATAACATTGAAATCGATAGCATTATTCTATGACTTATTTCAATTAGTTTTGAGAAATAACAATAGCTGGAATCTCTTTTGATCGTAAAGAGTTAGAATTGGTTCTATTTTAATTGTTAGATATAAATAACTAGTGTCGCAATTTTTATGTTGCAATTTTTAAAATTCTTTGGTGTATGACATCAAAGTTTAGTTACCATCGTTTTTATCATAAGTTATAGGTGAGAATAGATTATTCAAATCTAAAACATGCATAAATTTTTTATTAAATACCATAATATATATAAATATAATCTAATTTACATCTAAATTTCAATAAAGTGATAATTATTGAAAGAACTAAACCCATTAATTTTTTTTTTATTTCACCTCCAACCTTTAAATTATTATTTTATTCATTTATTCAACCTTTATGTTCATAAGCTGAAAGATTTCTATATTTTCTTCTATTTGAACCAAAACATCCACAACAATAACCCAATAAACTGAAAATTACAACAATTAAAGTAGCAACAGCAGCTGACCAAATAAAAGCATAAAAATTTATAGATAAATAAGATTTTATACCATAATCACCAATTTCATCATTAACTTTTCTTCTTACAAACATAAATACTCCAGTAGCCAATCCAGCACTTAATAAAGCTATAATAAATATTATTAATTGAAAAATAAAATTTAAAACTGATAAACAACAATTATTTGGTGAACAACAACAAGCCATTAATTGTATAACAATAGATAAAAATGATAAACAAATAGTTACAATTAATAAAGCAAATGATGCTTTTGTTAAATTATTTAATAAAGTTAAATTATTTTGTAAATCTCCAGGTAAATTTAATTTATCAATTGATAAATTATTAATAAGTATTTGAATTTCATTTTTATAAGTTTGTGATAAATTATTTACAATAGTTGATTGAGTATCAATTGAAAAATCATTTACTGTATTGTTTAATTCATTTTGCATAATTTTAACTGGATCAAAGAAATATCCCGGTGTTGGTGGAGAACACCAAGTCCAATTAACATTTGAATTATCAAAATTTTCATCAATAAATCTACCTAACGAATTATCAAATACTTGTTGTGCTTCTGTTCCATTACTTTTAAAAAATCCACGACAATAACCCCAATAACTTGTTGAATAAACATCTGCTATACCTAAATCTTGTGGTGTAACATTATTTAATAAATCTGCTATAGCTGCTTGAATAGTATTACTTATTTGATCTGTTGGTATACTACTTGGTAAACTAGATGGAATAGATATACCTAAAGATGAAGTTACAGAATTAACTTGTGATATAACATTTGGATCATTAACTAAACTTGAAGCAGCATTTATCCATTGTTGAGCATTTGTTGGAATAGGACTATTTGTAGTTGTTGTTGTTGCAGTAGTAGCTACTTCATCAGCTCTTTTAATTTTTAATTCATTACCAATTGTTGAACTTATAATTTGTCTTAAATCTAATTTATTTAAATGAAAACTTATTAAATAAGTACCTGTTAAATGACTTTCATTTTTATATGATCCAGTTAATGCAAAACATGATAATACTATACATGCAATTGAGAAAAATATTAAAAATACTCTAAAACAATTAAACATCATTTTTTGAAATAGCTATATTGTGTAGTATGAAATGAAATTTAGCTTAGCGTGTGTATAAAACGCGATATAAAACTTAGGTTCTTGAATAAATAATAGATTTTGGATTAGATTTATATATGCTTGTTTAATTATAAAGAAATTGAAAGATAATAAATGAATGTTGATTATAAGAGATGGAATAGTATAAATTAAAATTTTGAGTTAAATGATTCAATGATTCATTTATATAAAATCATTTAATTATTTATAAATCATGTATAATTAAAATTAATTGCAAGCCTTTTTTTATTTTTCTTATTTTTTCTTTTTTTGTGATTTAATGATTTTGTGTAATTTTTAATATAGCCCACTACCAACTTTTATTTATAACCTTAATTTTATATTTACACAAAAACATTTTATCTATTTTTAGCATCAATTTACAACTTGAAATATAATACAGATCTATCCAATAACTTCGCCAATTGTAACTTCAAATATCATTTTAGTTAAAAATCCAGATTCCATTATTAAAAACTTCATGATTTTTTGTCATTGGAATAAATATTAAATATTTCGTAATATGCGAAGAAATATAATTTGAGCAACCTAATATATATGTATAATCTAATCTACAACAATCTAATTTTTAACAATTCACACATTATGATTTATCTTTAATTTACTAGCACTTCTTAATCATACACTTGAATTATTTTGATTTAATTGATTTGATAGATTTATCGGTTCCTTCTTTTCACCTTTATGATCATACGCGGCATCATTTTAAGTTTCTTTCTATTTAAAAATCATCCACAACAATAACCGATAGCATTTACTATTACTACTAATGTAGTAACTATAGCAGCTAATCATATAAAAGCATAAAAATAATCGATAAAAGAGCTTTTATACCAAAATCAACTACAACTTTTTTGTTTTTTTAGCAAACGCTATATTCACCTGCAACTGATGCAGCACTAATTAATGCAATTATAAAATTTTATAGTTGGAAGGTAAATTCAATACTGATATATTGACAACAATTACCTTCAGTCCTAAAATCATTTAAGTCTTACAAAAGCAATAGATATCAACGCAGAACAAAATTATCTATAGCTAATGTGTCGAAGAATAACTTTCGCATAATTCAAAAACAAAATGTAAAACGCTTTTAAGTATAATTGAATAAAATGATTAGAAGTTTTTTGCAATTTTCATAAACAATGGGATTTCGAATTGTCTATTAAGTTTGATTGAATACAAAACTTTTTGTTAATGACAGAAATGATCTTCTCATGCGAAGCTTTTTTTCTGGATATTTTATTTATGTTTGTAGTTAAACTTTTTAAGTCTACTTTTTAGCTCAAATTTAATTTTGATTTTGTGCTCTTATTTGAAACAGACAATTTTGATTTTTTGATTGATGCACCCTTTTCTTTAATGAGTTTATTTATTTAGCTTCAATTTTTGTAATTTAAAAAATTTTTGAGACTTTGTATGTATCATGTATAAAATTTTAAATGATACAATGATTTTGATGTTTAAAGAGACAGACAGAGAAAGGTAATTATAGATTTAAGTAACATAAAAGAGAAATTATGTTAGAACTGTTGCACCAATTTGCCATCTTATAAATTTTAAACTCATATCTACGTTATTCTGGAAATGAAAAAGAACAAATTAGTTTACGATATATTAGTTTCGTTTGCTGATCCTTTAGTCTATTGTCTTTTACAATGCCTCAAAGTGCTTCTTCTTTTATTGTAATTAAATTTGTGAAAATTTATGCTTAACTTACACTAACATTCTTAAAAAATGAGAATTAAATCGAATATTAATACATTAGTTCATTATATAGCTATATATCATTACAATATTCATTAATTAAAATTATTCATCATCTAAATCATCAAATCCATTAAGTAATTCTTTTTCCAAATCATCAGCATCCAAATTTAATTGCTGGTCCTCATCATCTTCATCTTTGCTTGTTTTTCGTTTTTTATCATTATATCTTTCTTCTTCTACGTCTTCGTCCTCTTCCTCGTCTTCATCTACTTCTAGTTTTCTTTTCTTTTTATACATATCTTTAATAAATGAGTCATGACCATTACTTTTAGTTTCGTTTTCCTCATCATCTTCATCCTCATCTTCTTCATTTTCGTTATCATTTTCATCTTCATCTCCATCTTCTTCATCACTTAAACCAGCTAAGAAATCATCAACTTCTTGATTAGCTTCATCTAAATCATAATCTTCAAATATTTCTATTGAGTTTGATCTAACACCCATCGAATCTTGATCATCACCTTCAATTAAATTCTTTTTCATTTCTTCATTTTTTCTTTGATGTTCTTCTAATTTTTTAAGGTATTTATCAATTTCCAGCTGTTTAATATTCCATAATTTTGAATCATTTTTGGATATTAGATATTCATCTTCTTTAACTTTTGACCATGAACTTAAACATGAAAATAACCAATCTGGATTTACAATTTTTAATTTATCACCATATAATTTATTAGCAACTCTTACTTTAAATGTTGGACCTGAATTTTCAGTTATGTCTTTACATATAACATGAGTAACTTCTGGAAATACTTCATTTACAACTTTTACTCCAAATTGTTTACACCAAATTACAATATCTGCTGAGTTTAAATTTATACCTAATGGTATAATACCTGAAAATAGTATTGTTATACCTTTTAAACATTGACTCTTCATGTAGGGTATTATATTAGTTAAGTCTGGTTTATTTGTTTTTGTGTACTCCTTATAATATTCTGTATGAATATTATTTAATACTTTATTCAACGAATTTAACTCAGTATCATCATCAAATAATAAATTATCTTCTTCTTCTCCTTCTTCATATTCTGATTCTTCATTTTCAGTGGTTGAGGTTTTATTGTTTAAATCCAGTTTATGTTCATGTAATTGTTCTAAATCATGTTGTAATTTAGCTAAAGGACGATCATGTTGTTGTTGTTCAATTGATTGGTTTCTTGTAATTGATTGTTCTAACAACAAATCAGTATTACCTTCTCCTCCTCCAAGTTCTAGTATTCTTTCTACTGGATTTGAAGTTACTTCTTTTGGATCTTCTTGAGTCGGTATTTGTGATTGAGTATTTTGTGATTTTTTCTGTTGTGATTCTTCTCCATCTTCGTCGTTTTCTTGTTGTTGTTGTTGTAGTTTTGAATTTTCTGCTGCTGCTTCTAATTTAGCTATTGATTTTCTCTTTTTTATCGGACCAATTAATTGACCATTCTTTTTAGGTAAAAAACTTGAATTAATATCACCAATCCCAACGAAGAAATCGTATGGAACAACTTTTATCAAATTATTCTCCCATTGCCATACATCACCTCTATCATCAATTATTACAACCATTGATTGATCAACTGGAAATAATCTTTTCAAATTTTTATGAGTTAATGAACCACTTTCATCTCTACTTAATATACGATCACCAAAATATTTACCATCAGGGTCTATAATTTTCGCTATAGCTAATGCATAATTTCTTGTTGCCATTGTATATATATGCATTTCATATTTATCATCCATATTTTTCAAAAATTCAGATAATCCAGGACGTACTTTTACATAATACCAACATTTTGTAGGAGGTAATTTTGGACCAGTCCAACCTGGTGGTACTATTGGATCTTCTTCGAGACAAAAAGTTTTAACATCTTTAACAGCAGGGTAATTTGGATTTGATGGGTCCAGTTGCCATTCTCCAACAGTTGGATCAACAGTTGCATGTATAACAGTTTGATCTAAATCAACTACTAATATTAACTTTTTTTCTTCATTTAATCTATCAGTTGTACTCAATTCAATTTTTGCTGCTTCATCAAAACTTATCTTTAAACCAGTATTATCATGAGACATTGATATAGTTGCTCTATCTTCATAATCATAACCTGAATAATCTTTTTCTTCTTCTAATGATTTCCCACATAATGCACATAATCCTCCATATTGAACCGTATGAGTACATGCTTCTTTTATATGTAATATTTCAATGTCATTATGTAAAATTTCTTCATTATTAAATACATTAATATCATCAATTACCCCTTCAATTGGACTTTCAAATGTACCAATTCTCTCAACTCTTACTTTTTTTGGTGGATCTTCTTTTGAATTTGGATCATCTTGATATACCCAATATTTATATTTGAAAATTTCTTTATGTTTAGGTATTGAATCACCTTTTGAACATAATATAGATGATATTATAACAGGAAATGGTAATGATGATGGTAATTTTATTGGTGTCAGTTCAGACATCTTGAAAACTTATGGGTAGACAAAAGATTTTATTGGTAAGTGACTTGATCTTGATATTTAGACTCTATAAGTATATGTATAATGAACTAAGATATTATTATATAGTTAACAATTGTATATATATTAATTGATTGAATTGATATTTTTGCTTGAATTAAAAATCTGGTTATTGCATTTACTTTTGTTTATTTGTTTGTTTGTTTGTTTGTTTGTATTTTTACATTTCGGAAAAAAAAAAAAAAAAAAATTAAAATCGGAAAATTTATTTTAAAGTCCTAATAAATTTAACTTAAAGTATAAAGAATAGAATAGGATAATACAAATCACGAAATGCAAAATTTATCAAAATTTACTTTTACGAAAGGTTAATAAAGTTTTAAATCTACTGCCACTCAATGTTGGATCAATAATCATGATAAGATGTAACAGAAACAATTTATTTTGTAAGGTCAATGAAACAAATTTACTTCGTTGACTTGTAAGAGCAACTTAGTCGATAAAATCTTTTTCTATCCCCATTGATATTATAAAGTTTCTTTTTATACTGCAGGTTTCAAAAGCCCCAGATTAATGCAAGCTAGTTAGGTCTCTCGCTACAAAACAAAAAACTAATAAAACAGCATATAAGGTAAAACAGAGTTTCTTTGATGAGTCAAGGTCAACTCCACCTTGAATGAGCGAAAGTATCTCTCTATTGTAGGATTGTACGAGCACTTCTTGAGACGGGAGACCAAACATATTCAATGTAGAATACTTTATGTGAGTTACTACCTGAATAAATTAGTCTTTAAAAAGGTAAGAGCGGCAATGTTATTGAAAAACACTGATCTTGTTGGACGCTGTTTGAACTTTCAAGAGCATAGAATATAAAATTAAGGGGTTTGCAAGGTTAAATCAAATAATACCCCCTAAAATAAAAGATCTAATTAAAACCAAAATATTATAGCAAAACTAAAATATATAACTTGAATACTATATTTTTCACGAATAAAAGATAAATGCAAAAACAAAAACTAGATGAACCAGTAATAAACTTATCAGACAATCATTGTCATTTCCACCCAGAAGCTACAATTGAACAAACTTTGAAATTTTCAAATGCATTAAATAATTGTAAATATGAAATTCCTGAGAAATTCTTTCATGTAATGACTACTCAACATATAGATTTAGAATGTATGAATGTACTATTAGAGCATTTACAAGATAAAAATATTATAGTACCTTATTTCGGAGTACATCCTTGGTTTAGTCATTTATTCTATATGGGAGATGTGAAACCTAATAAAATTGATCATTATACTCAAATTTTAAAACCTGGTCCAAGTGATGAACTTTTACAATATCTACCTGATCCAATGAGTATGAAGAAACATACTGCTAAAGTAATGGGGCTTATAGAGAAATATAACTTGAAAGTTTTTGGAATTGGAGAGATAGGTCTAGATAAATTATTCAGAGTTCCAAATGCTGGATTTTTAAGTAATCCTAAATATACAGACATTAATGAGACAGATAAACTTTCGAATTCAAGAGTTAAAATTGAACATCAAATGTCGATTTTCAGGTATCAACTAGAGCTTGCTAACCATCTAAAAAAGCAAGTATCAATTCATTGTGTGAAAGCCCATGGGATACTATACGATGAAGTAATGAATTATTCAGATATTATAGTTGTGCTACATTCATATACCGGATCCATTGATCAAGCTCAAAGGTGGTTAAAAACAAAGAAGAAAAATCTTTACTTTTCATTATCAAATTGGATAAATGGTGAAAAACAAGAATTATTGGAATTACTAGCGAAAAACGTTAATGATAGTCAAATTTTAACAGAAAGTGATATTTACATTGATAGATATTTCATATATCATAAAGAAGAAGAATATTTCAATCATTTAATTGGAATTTTTACAAAATTAAATTCTTATAAACCTATAAATTCATTACAACTTAAAACTAATATGTTAAATAGTCTTTCTATAATAGAATAAATAATATAAACAATATTTTTTCTCTTTAGATTTATAATCTTGATTTAATAATACTAACAAATTCTGGTTTTAATGAAGCACCACCAACTAAGAAACCATCAATATTCTTTTTATCTTTAAATTCTGGTGCATTTTTACCATTAACTGATCCACCATATAAAATTTGAATTTTTTCAGCTTGATCTTCACCAATAGTTTTAGCTAAATGTTCTCTAATTTGTTTATGAGTTTCTTCAGCATCTTCAGGAGTAGCAGCTAAACCAGTACCAATAGCCCAAACTGGTTCATAAGCAACAACGATTTTTGACCAATCTTTTATAATTTTTGAAACAGCATCTAATTGTCTTGCACAAACTTCTAATGTAATACCTGATTTTCTTTCATCTAAAGTTTCACCAATACATAAAATAACTTTTAATCCTTTATCTAAAGCATATTTAGTTTTTTCAGCAATAAAATCATCACTTTCTTTAATTATAGTTCTTCTTTCTGAATGACCAGTTAATGTCCATTTAGCACCTAAATCAACAACTTGTTCAGCAATATTTTCACCAGTGAAAGCACCACATGCTTTATCAAAAACATTTTGTGCTCCAACTTCAACAGTTGGTTGTTTATTTAAATCAACAGTTAAACCTAAATATAAAGCTGGTGGACATATAACAACTTCAACATCTTTTGGTAATTCTTCTGAATTTAAATTTTCAACAATTGATTTTACTGATTGTTTTGTACCATTAGCTTTGAAATTACCTCCAACGAAAAATTGACGGGCCATTGTGATTATGTATGTATATGTTTAATTGATATAGAATAAATTGAGTATATCTAAGATATTAAAAGATCGAATCAATTGAGTTGTAGAAAGCAAAGAATATATAATTTTAAATATGTTATGAATCGAATTGAAAAATGGAGAGAGGGTGTATGAAAAGTAGTGTATATTACAACAGGTGGTTTTTACGCATTATAATTGTCCGGGGATTTTATTTGTACGGAAAATTATTATACATGTGAATAATTAGCAGGTCTTATATAATGCGAATCTTTTTTCACGCAGACTTAACAAGATTGAAGCATCACTTGAGACGAAAGTTATAAATCTTTATTCTCTATAAATACATATATCCACTTCTACTTAATTCACTATTGATTGATGATGTATGTAACTCCGAATATCTTCGATGACTAAATTGAATGATTTAGAAAGTTGTCAATTGAGCAGTAAAGTAATAAAGTAGGTAAATGAAAGAACTTGGATGTTACTTGAATATCTAAAAATTCTTATCTCTATTCTGCGAAGCCATTAATATTATCAACACTTTTATATCCTATTTCGGCAACCAAAGGGATATGATCAGAAGGAAATTGTTCATTAGGAAATCCAATATCATTAGTATCCATATAATCAGGATCAACTTCCCCCAATATTTTATTTACTTTAATATCATCAGTTATGAAAATATGATCAACAACATCAGCAAATTTTGTAACACAAGTAGTGAAATGTAATTTTGAATTTTCAAATAATTCTTGATATACATTTCTTAATTTTATTGGATTTTCTATTATTCCATCACTATTTATTAACGCATTATTTATTCCATATTCATGATTTAGAAATTCTTTTGATTTAGATATATCTAATTTTCTTTCTTGAATTAATTTTATAACATCTGAATTAAAATTTGAATTTAAATCTCCTAAAAATAATACTGATGAATCCATTTCTTTTCTACATGAATTTAATTTGTTTAACAATAGTTTAGTTTGTATAATTTTAACATCATTATACTCGGGACTCCAATATAAATGAGTATTTGTAACATATAAAATCTTGTTAAATCTTTTATCATGTAATTTCAATATTATCCCCACAGTATTTCTAGGTATTACTCTTTTCAATAAATCATTAGTTAAATCATAATTTTTTTCATGTTTTAGTATTTCTTCTCCATAATTTATCCTATGTTCTTCAATTACATCAAATCTTTCAGTATTTATAAATATTGCAACTCCATCAGTATTTTCATTCGAATTATATTCAGGTGATGATTTTTGCATATAAAAACTTTTAAAATTTTCATTAGGGAAATTTTTACTCCAATGTCTTTTATATACATAATATTCCATTTCTTGAAAACACATTATATCACAATTGAATTGTCGTATTGTTTGATTTATCAAAGGAAATCTATGTTTTGTCCAATCTAAATCATCGGGATTATTTTGTTCATATACATCTCTCCATATATAATGTCTTGATAATAAATTAAAAGTCATTATTGAAAATTTATTGTCTTTATTTATAGATGATAATTGATTTAAATGAACCCATTTTCGATACTTTAAAGCATCGTATTTTTCTTGCACCATTGAAAATAGATATTTTGTATTTGTTTGTAAGAATTTAATGATTCTCAAAAAGTAAATTATTTAATAGAAGATATTCAATTGGATAATTATCAATTTTTTGGTGTAAATAACACCTGATGAAAACCTATAATTAAATGTATTAATTAATTGATAAATCTGATATCTTAAGAATATTTTTTGCTCCGACTTATTAATATTATAAATTTGAAAGTTTTTGTACCATTTAAGCGGTAATAACAGGTAACTATTTAATTCAATTTCATTTTATAATATTTCCGGATTACGAAACGATTATGAATTTATCCGATTTCAGTTACCTGATAATCATCGTAGCATTCTGAATGTGACATGCAATGAGCTATTTGATCTCTTGCCTCATATATATTCAAAAAGAAAAGAAAGAGAAAGGCTGGATTATGATATAGTTTTATACTTTTATTGTTTAATCTATATTATTTTCTCTTTATAACCGATCCGTAATAAAAAAGAAATGTAGAAGAAATGGTTTATTGAGTTTTGCAATTAATTGTACACTTTCAATGAGGTATACAAACTTAAGTTCAATCGGAATAAAGCTATCGCTATGCTTATTCATTCAAACTTTACTTCAGAAATTAATAAACAAGTAAAAAATGAGTGCTCGTTTGATATTAAAAAATACCTTAACAGAAAAAATTTCAGATTGTTTCACAAAATTAAATTAATCTAAAATGAATTAAATTTATCCTTCTAACCGAGATAATTTATATATTGATCTTTTGGATAACGTTTTAAAAATAATCAACTATTGTATTTAGATTATTAAGAACCTCCAGGATTCAACACAACACTATTTTATGTAGATGTTTTAGAACTAGTTGAATATCAAGCTAAGAGTACATTACCTGTAACATCTACAACAATGACTTGTCAAACGTGCTTTTTATATTAATTGATTTAAAATATTAAATATTAACCTATGTATAAATTAATTTGCTTAATTTTTTGGAATATATTCAATAAATCTATCAATTTCACCTTCTGAACCTAACCAAATACCCGATTTATCATGAATTCCCTTTGGTAAAATTTCCAAAATTCTTTCACCTTTATCATTAATAGCTTTACCACCAGCTTGTTCCAATAACATTGCCATTGGGAAACATTCATATAAAATTCTTAATTTACCATTTTTTGATTTTGTATCAGCTGGATAACTGAAAATACCACCATATAATAATGTTCTATGAATATCAGCAACCATTGAACCAATGTATCTTGCACTATATGGTTTACCTTTTAAATTATCTTGAGGTTTTTTCAAATCTTCAACATATTTTTTAACATATTCTGGCCAATAATAAGAATTACCTTCATTAACTGAATAAATAGCTCTTTGTTTTGGAATTTTTAAATTTGGTTGAGTTAAAATAAATTCACCTAATTGAGTATCTAATGTAAATCCATTAACTCCATTACCTGTTGTTAACATTAAATGAGCTGATGCACCATACATTGTATAACCTGCAGCAACCATTTCTGTACCTTTTCTTAATACATCATTTATTGAACCTTTTGAATCGTCTTTTAATCTATAAATACCAAATATAGTACCAACTGAAACACCTGCATCAATATTTGAACTACCATCAATTGGATCAGTACAAACAGCATATCTACCACCACCTTCAAAAATAATTAAATCTTCTTGTTCTTCACTAACTAATACTTTAACATTATTTGAAGATTTCATTGCATTAATAAAAATTTCATCACCAATAACATCTAATTTTTTTTGAACATCACCAGTACTATTTGCAGTACCTGAAACACCAATAAGATTAACTAATTCAGCTCTTCTAATATTATGAGCAATAAATTTAAAAGCAAATTGCAAAGAATTTAATAATAATGATAATTCTCCTGTAGCATTTGGTGCTAATTTTTGTTGTTCTTGTAATATAAATCTTGTTAATGTTATTATATCAGTTTCAACATCCATTTGTTTTGAAACAGTATCATGTGCTTCACTCATTATGTATTAATTTTTATGTATTGATTGAGATATATTGAATTAAGATAAAATTTATCAATTGAAATTGAAATTGAAATTGAAATTGAATAAATCAAAAAGAAAAAAGTTGTTGATAAAAAGATAAATAAAAAATTCGATAAACTATAAATTTATTTAAAATATATCTACCCCATATTAAAATTTAATTAAATGGTTGAAAAAAAAAATCACTAGATTTATTTAAGCTTGACAATTTTAATATGAGAAAAACAAATAAAAATTAACGAACGAACTTCGAACTAAAAAAATGATTTAATTATACATGTGCTTTTATTTAGTCTTTGCCCTAACATACCGGGGCCATAGGTTTGTGGAAGTATAATTTCTCAATACTAAAATTATATCTTACCATTAATATTGGATAGCAATTTGCCGTTAAATTTGTGTCTCAAGTATATTTTGTTTTATGATGTAAGTCGAGATAATATTCCCGGGACTGATTAATAAAATACAAAAACAAAATTATAAAATTTAATTGTTGTACCTATTACGTAATTTATTACTTAATGAAACATTTAATTTTGATTTTTCATAAACTTAGTAAAGAATATACGGAGGATAATTACCGTCAATTAGAAAACAAAAGTTTGTATTTTAGTCAAGACAGAGTCTAGAGGAAGATCGCGACTTCAATGTAATTTTAATTTTTTATTGAATGCTATTAATGATTCAAAAAATGATATATAATAGAGCTGACATTATTAAATACTAGCGGTGCTTTCAAATTCCTTCATTTATTCCGTCGACTAATTTGCAATATGTATCAGTAACAAATTATGTTTTATTTGAACTTTGTTGTTGTTGCCTTTGTTGATAAATTGATCTATTTATTTCAAATAATAGATCAACTGTATTATGCAGACCATTAGTACTGTTGTTCGTATTGTTATTATTATTGTTGTTAGGGGAATGACTGTTTTTCCCATTATCTGCATTACTATTGTGTTTATTATTTCTTAATACATTTTTAGGTTGAAATCCTTTATTTGAATTTGATTTAGTTGTCCATTGATTTGTATTTTCTAATGATTTATAAATTTTATAATTCTCTTCATCTTTATCATTTTTAGCTGATTTTAAATATGATTGATAATTCGACTGTAAATAATTTATAATTTCTTTTGAATTGAAATTGGTCGTATCTGATTGTGATTGAATTTGTAATTGTGGTGATGCATGTGAGGATTTATCATGAGACTGCTGTTGTTGTTGTGCTGGTGGCGTCGATTGCTTTTGCTGTTTTTTGTCCGTCGATGGTGTATTAGATGAATTCTGTTGATGCTGTGATGTAGTAGGTGGCGGCGATTGTGAATGTGCTTGAGTATGTGATTGAGATGATTTCTTCTTAGATTTCTTTTCGGATGATTTTGGTGTTTGATGTGATGGTGAGTTTGATGGTGGTGGAGCTACATTTGCTAGTTTAGCGGCCCAATCTGATGCCATTTTTTGTTCTATGATATTCAAGCTTAAACTAATTTGCTTAGTAGACCAATTTGGTAACAATACAATAATATAATTTGTGATGTTAGATAATTTTTCAAACAGAACTGCATATAAATCCCTAAAAAAGTGGAAAGAGGGTTTCAGTTAATTACTTAGTCGCGTGTATTACCATAGCTTACTTAATTAGGAAGTCAACGATATCTCACACTATGTTGACGTGTTACAATATTTTTTTCAAGTTTTTCAGGTTTCAATTTATTTTTTTTTTCACGAACATTATATAGGAATTTAAAATTGATCTGACGACCAAAATTATTTAACTTTTTATTTTATTTTAAAGTTAAGAATTATACAGTCAAAAAATCAATACAATTTTATAATTTTTCACTCAAACTCATCATATAATATTAAGTTCAAATAATCAATCACATATACATCAATAATTAATATGAGTGGGTTTCGTGTATTAGATTTGGTAAAACCGTTTAGTCCATATTTACCAGAAGTTATTGCTCCTGAACGTAAAGTTCCATTTCAACAAAGAGTAATGTGGACCATAATAACATTAATGATTTTCTTGGTGATGTCAGAAATTCCATTATATGGTATAGCATCAACAGATTCAAGTGATCCATTATTTTGGTTAAGAATGATGTTAGCATCAAATAGAGGTACATTAATGGAATTAGGTATATCACCAATTGTTTCTTCAGGAATGTTATTTCAATTATTACAAGGTACAAAATTAATTCATGTTGATATGCAAAATAAAAATGATCGTGAAACATTTCAAGTTGCTCAAAAATTATTGGCAATTTTATTAGCAATTGGTCAAGCTACTGTTTATGTATTGACTGGAATGTATGGTCCTCCAAAAGATTTAGGAATTGGTGTTTGTTTATTATTAATTTTACAATTAGTATTTGCAAGTATTATTGTTATTTTATTAGATGAATTGTTACAAAAAGGTTATGGTTTAGGTAGTGGTGTATCATTATTTACTGCTACAAATACATGTGAACAAGTATTTTGGAAAGCTTTTGCACCAACTACAAGTTCTTCAGCTAGAGGTACTGAATTTGATGGTGCAGTTGTATCAATGTTTCATTTATTAGGATCAAGAAAAGATAAAAAAAGAGCATTGATTGAATCATTTTACAGACCGAATTTACCAAATATGTTTCAATTAATTGCTACAATTTTAGTTTTTTTCATAGTTGTTTATTTACAAGGTTTTAGAATTGAATTACCAATGAAATCAACTAGACAAAGAGGACCATATGGATTATACCCAATTAGATTATTTTATACTTCAAATATTCCAATTATGTTGGAAAGTGCTTTAGCTTCGAATATTTTTATTATGTCACAATTATTATTTGTTAGATGGCCAAATAATTTCTTTATCAAATTATTAGGTACTTGGGATGCAAGACCTGGTTCAGCTCAATTATATGCTAATGGAGGATTAGCTTATTATATTCAACCACCATTTAGTTTTACCGAAGCTCTCTTAGATCCAATTAAAACTACCATCTACATAGCTTTTGTTTTAGGAAGTTGTGCTTTATTTTCAACTACATGGATTGAGATTAGTGGTACATCACCAAGAGATATTGCAAAACAATTTAAAGAACAAGGATTAGTTATTGCAGGTCATAGAGAAACTTCAGCATACAAAGAATTGAAAAAAATCATTCCAATTGCTGCTGCTTTTGGTGGTGCTACAATTGGTGCATTATCAGTTGTTTGTGATTTAATGGGAACTTTAGGTAGTGGTACTTCAATTTTGTTGGCTGTTACAACTATTTATGGATATTATGAATTAGCAGTTAAAGAAGGTGGATTTAATAAAGCTTTAGTAAGTGGCTATTCTGATGGTATTTAAAGTGAAATAACATTTGATGAAGTAAATATTAAATAAAAGGAAGTGTATAAATTTTAAAAAATAAAAATTCCAATTTTTTTGTACAGTGAAACTTGAATTTTGTAAGTGTTTTAAATTTTTCAATTTTGTAACCACTTTTTTCTTCTGCTACACTTTAAAAGTCATCTCCTAATAAAACAAACTCAAGGGTTTAGTAAACATATCAATACAACATAATGGCCAAATCACAACATAAGCAACAAGAGCCAACAATAGCTGAAAGTTCAGAGACAGAATCATATACATCATCAAATAAATTTCCTGCACAACATAAAAATCCAAATGATGATAAGTCACTAAATGAATTATTCAATGATTTACAAGAAGAATTAAATAAAACATCCACCAAACCAACCCAATCCTTAGCAACAAATACCTTAGATTCAAACGATGATTATACGTCCATAAATTACGATTTTAAAAATTTAGAAAAAAAAATAAATAATCTACCTAAAATTCAATCAAATTTCGAATCATCATCACAACATCAAAACCCAATAAAAAAATCATCATCAATACGAATCCATGATCCAGTAGTATCAACAACAAAGGACAAATCATCGAAAAAAGCAGACGCTGGATCAAAATGGTTCAATATGTCACAACCAGAATTAACTCCTAAATTAAAACAAGATTTACAAATTATAAAACAAAGACAAGCATTAGATCCAAAAAGACACTACAAGAAGCAAAAATGGGAAATTCCACAATTTTTCCAAATGGGTACAATAATAGAAGGTAATACTACTTATTATAATAAATTACAAAGAAAACAAAGAGGTAATAATTTAGTTGAAGAAATTTTGAATGATGATAATACTAAAAAATATTTTAAACGTAAATATCATGAAATTCAACAAGATAAAATGAGTGGTAAAAAGAATCATTATAAAAAGGTTAAAAATGATAGAAAGAAATTTTGAAAAATCCAAATGATAATAGATTTCATAGTTTCGTAGAGAATTTCAGTTTTTATAGATAAATTTAATCCAAGATTCAGCTAATTTTTCAAATACATTTTATATTTTGTGTATATTACTCTAATATTATTCAAGACCAGCTCTTTTAAAAACATCAGATCTAACTTGTTCCCATAATAATTTTTTATCATCTTTAGATAATTTTATCTTTTTACCATTATTATTACTAGTAACGTAATTTTTTTGTTTAAATTCATCTAATTTAAATTTATATTCTTGAGCAGTTGTAGCAGCAGCAGCTAAATTTATTAAGTAATTTCTTATTGCAATTTCTTTAAATTTAAATTTTAAAAATCCTGATTGTGAACTTAATAATGAATTATTATTATCTTGTGGTGATCTACTATTAATTTGTAATAATCTTGATTGTTTTACTGATATTTCAGCTACTGATTTTTTAAAATTAATATCTAAATTATGTTCTTGATATAAATTTGATTGAATTAAAGTAAAAATTAATTCAGAATCTGTTAAATGTGGTTGTATTATTATTATATTACATTTTGATGCTAAATCTCCAATCAATTGTGGTAATATGGTTTGATTATATGATATTGTATCTGATGTTGATGAAACGAGTGGTAATTGAGTTAAAATTAATTTACATCTTGTTACATTTAAATTCCAGTCTATTAAATAATTTTCATTGTCGTTTTGATACGATAAGTTGGAGCCTAATGATATTTTGTAATATTCTTCTGGATCTTGTTTTGATGAATTTATTGATGTGATTGATGATGATGAGGAGGATGGGTTAAGTAATAATGATGATTCATTGCTATTTTGTAGAGAATTTAGTTGTTGTTGTTGCTGCTGCTGCTGTTTGTAATTGAATTCTTGTGAAAAATGTTGTTCATGTAATACAATATCATTAACTAATTGTTCAACCGTAGTAGTCATTTGTTCCAGATCTTCAGGAATTGTACCTGTTGAACTTGAATATATAGAAGGAGCGCTTCGTACTGATCTTTTACCAGTTGAAGTTAATGATGAGAAAATTGAAGATGATGAAGAAGATGATCTATGCAGTGATTGATAAGACTTATATGAATTTTTTAAAAATTGTGAAGGTGCAGATCTTATAGATAAAGATGATGATGGTTGTTGCTGTTGTTGTTGAAGTTGTATATTTTGACTTATTGATGGTAATTGATTATAAATTGCATTTCTTGCATTTTCTTTGAATTGTGATGGTGCTTGTTGTTTTTGATGTAGACTATTTGTAAATGGTGATCCGTACATTGTGTATTGTTTATGATTTAAAATTCAATGTGGAAAGTAGTGTCAACTTATTAAGTTAAATAAGATAAAGTAATTATTTAACTCGATGCAAGTATAATTTTATGTGAAAAATTAATAAAGGGTTTGAATTCTTATATTGTTGTATATTTGAATAATTTGAGTTTTGAAATGTAAGATTGATTTATTATATCCTGCGACATGCAACATAAAACGACTATTATTATATTTCCAAACAATTGATGAAGTTAAGTGAATAAAAGAACGAAAAAAAATTAGTGTAATTGAATTGTTGATGTAGTCTGAAATAAAAAATTTAATTCTTAAAGTATTTGTATAATTTGATTTGTTATTTGACGTTGATATTATTATTTTTATATTTCCACTATCTTCTTATTAATCTTTTGTTATAATATATTATTACAAAATCCTAAATCAAAAAATTTAATAGAACTAATATTATAATTGAAGTGGTGGGGTATAAAATTTTCCCAATAACACAAAAGAAATTTTTTTTTGTTGATAATTAAATAAATTCTTTAGATTTCCCAAATAATTGACTGTTGAATGTTGATGTAATAATGGAATGGTTATATCAATACATTAAATATTCATCAAATTCAAACGTTATGAAGAAAGAAAAAGTAACGTTAATAAATATAATTTGGTTTGTAGAATTGAAATCGAAAATGAGGATTTATTTAAATTGTTTTTTATTATTTTTTATTAGTTAAATTGAAGGAACAATAGAAAAATGAAAAAAATAAAAAATAAAAAATAATAAAAAAAAAAAAAAACAATTAAAATTTTTTAAAAAACTTAAACTTAAACAAAAAAGGATCATTCAGATTTTAATTCTTCCGATAATAATATATAATATATTAGAAGGACTTAAAATGAATTTAATATTCTGTAACCGTTTTATTACAAGATGAAGATATAAGTCATTATTCATTCTACGAATGAATTATTTAAAGCATAAATATATGAAAATGTCCAAGAAATGAGGTTGAATAAATATTTGATCTTTTGAAAAGATTTTGGTTATTTTTTACTTTTCTCCTATTCTAATTTTTGATTTTAATCTCTCTCTTTTTTTGTCGGATTTTTTTTTTTTTTACTACTTTTCAGCTAGTTAAACAAATTTATTAATAAACGTAAAATTTAAATATTAATCAAAAAGATGTTTTGTTCCATCACTAACATATGATTTCATAATATTATATCAATTATTACTACTATTAATTGTTCTTTTTCTTTCCGATCGATATTCCCCCACATCTCTCCAGTTTTTTAAAGCTCCAGATTTTTAGTTAAATAATTAAAATGTTTGTTTTTTCTATTGTTTTATTTTTGTACATAAACATAGCACATAAATTGTTCGTAACAACTTTCATAATGTAACGAGAAAAAAAGGCAAAAATATTTATCAGTTTTTTCTGCATACATAAAACGTTTGTGGTTTACAATTTATTATTTTATACTCAATTAAAAGAAAGTCGAGAATTGTTTTTCAGAACTACAATACAATAGGAAGAACGAATTTGGTAATTATTGTGTAGAATTTTGTTTTCTGATCACCTTGAAAGCAAGACTCAATAGCAAACTACAAGATTCATAAGTCTTATTGTTGTTGATTAACAATAGATTGATTACGTATAATTATTTCTTATTATATTTTGTTAAATCAATTAAAATATTATTATTACAAAAATATATTTATCTCTCTTGTAATTTGTGTTTGTCGGATTAATTATTTTTTTGCATTTTGTGTAATTATTTATATCGTTTGCGTACAAGATTTGAAAAATAAAAAATTTTGATATGTCAAACCATTTCTAAACTTCTTAATATATTATACTATTTTATGCGAATTTACTTATTCTGAATCCCCCAATTCTTTTCTCTGCTTCGTAATTTTCTTATTTACTCCATAAATAAGTTAAATCTGCAGTCCCCAGTTCTGCCATCTCTCTCGGAGAATTAATATTATTTAGTTTTTCCGAGATGATAGTACTCTTAATATAATTTATCAAGTGTTGTTATTCCTGATTAGTTATTAATGCATAGTGAAATTTCACTAATTTAATTTGTATGGAGTTTTCATACTATTTTCCAAATCTTTCATTCTTTTTACACTAGAGCTTGTAAGGTAGGAATATTCTCAGATTCTCATGATTATCTACTCCTTTAGTACAATTGACAGTTTTGTAATGTGTGCACGCTTTTCTGATCTATTAACATAGTAGAGAGAAAAAACGATATTTTGTAGTATTAGCTCATTTATCTACTATATAAGATTCTTATAGTTGTCTTCTTGAAAAATTTCTATGTTTATCTAATGTCCATCTATATTGCAAATATAACAAAATAAATTAAATTTAAGAGGGAGAAAAGTTACTTATGTACTCCACTTAAATTTTCATAGCTGTTTATAACAAAAACCCAATTTTAATATAATTTTGTTTTTGTTCGGTTTGTTGTTCTTTTTTGTTATTGAAGGATGATCATCATTTATATTGTTCAATTCAGCTCAAATTAGGTGTAGTAGTTACAGGTCTAGCTCTTGGTGGCATTCTATCTTTTATTAACTATGTAATCATTAATTCTTTTTAAATCGTTATCTCAAAACATAAACTTCAATTTGATAGTACAAAGACTTGATTAAGAATGCAAAAACGCTAAGTACATAAAGAGATCAAAATTTAGGTAAAAGATTATGCACCAACCTTACAAACAACAAAATAAAGTATTTCATTCTTTCAAACCACAGGCTCTCATCCTCACATCGAGTTACGATGAAATATAAGCTAGACCTATTCTTCTCTTTGTTTATATGTCCTTTGAATAGCAAACCAAAAATTTGAACCCGTAATCATGCGCTAACTAATGATTCTTTGATACATATATCCTTTTGATTTCTGTCAAGAAAAGGATATCAACTCTAGTTTTACAAAAATTACGAGGTTTTTAGAATACATTTTATACTTATTTTTTTTCTTTGATCTTGTTGCAAATTTGAAAGCTACACAAAAAGCCAAAAGGCTTGAAAAATTTAAGAATAACAAAAGATTAAAATTATTATTATATAATATTTAAACAAAGTATCAAAAAATATCAATATTGATTATAGTTCAATCATTATACTGAACCAGATCATAGAAGAAATAACGCTAAAAGAAATAACGCTAAATGGAGAAGACTATAAAATTATAATATCATACAATCACAAGATAAAACAAAAAGCTCCTCCGGTAATTTCTGGTTTGACCGAAAAAAGTCTCATAACTAAGTAATTTTGAAGTATCACAAACTACAAAATCAGATAGAAAAGAAAGTAAATTTGACATGAAGCTATTACTATCCCATAGATCAACTTCGAAAATGTTCAATCAGCTAAGACCAAGTTCTATTTAAAAGATTCACTCATCGGCAATTAAATGGAAACTCACAGATTCAATAAAAGAACTCAAATATGATATTGGATGTACTTTCTGTCAACCTAAGCTACCACTGGAAAAATAAATCAACTTTGATGAGCCATTAAACAAGAGTTCAGCTATTCCAGAGAGACACATTATGGCACCAACTATTGACAACCATAAAATGAATCAGTTTGATTTCAAGATTGTAAATATGCCAGGTACATTAGCTCATAAGATTCATGAATTGAAAAGTAAGTTAGTCATGAAACCTGGCGTATCTGTGTCTAGTATCATTTTAAAGAAACATGATAGTGTTTTAAAGAGTTTTGGTGTTAATTCAAGTGGTGGGACCAATGAATAGTTGGTATTTATCTATCCCGATATGAAAGCTATAAAATCTGACTTGGATCATACTGATCAGTTTTTGAAAAAATATAATTAGCTTGAAACAGACCAGCAAAAAGTGTATAATCCTTTCTTAACTTCCGAACAAAAATAGGAACTACAAAAGAAGAACAATGAAAATGACATTACGGTAGATGACTCAAATTTTGAGGAAATTCCAATATGCAAAGATTTAATTGTAACATGTGGATATGCAAAAAGAGACATAAGATCTGGTGAACTAGGTCCATTCATTACAAAAGAGTTTGATCAAGTATTAAAATCAAAAGGGCTAGCTGATGAAACACATCTAGGTGAGATAACTCATGTCGGGGGTCACGCACTCGCTGGTAATGTCTTATATTACTGCAAACAATCTAACTCAAGTCGAGGCTTTATATGGTATGGACGTGTATTTCCTCAAATGGTTCAATCTTTTGATGATACTATTATCAATAAATCAAATGTAAAAGAATTATTTAGAGGTAATGTATCCAAATATGAATAAACTCAAAAAAATTGTATATATTTATAGATTTATGGAACTTTTATAAAAACTTTTATTTATTCGAAAGTTCAGTTATATCAAAACCAGAAATCGACAACATTTGAGGCAGTAGCATAATTGGCTTGAGCTAATCCAATTTTCAAAGTATCTAAATTATAAGCGACATAAGCATTTTGTAAAAAAGTGTCACCAAAAAAGTTACCTGAATTATCATTATCTTCCAAAAAAATTCTTGATCGACACATATTGTAACCTTGATCAGTGAACAACAAAGTATATGGAATTTTAATACTAACTCCATCAAAGTTGAAAGTTAAATGATCGTCGAAATTTACAGAATCACAATATGTATATCCAGAGTCATCAACTCCTAATGCATCCAAGATTGGCCTACCAACTGAAGGAATCAATCCAATGTAGGTAGTACCTGAATCTAAAGCTGCATTTATTTGCAACTCATGAGTAGTTCCATCTGGTAAAGTGTAAGATTGAACTTGAACTCCAACCCATGGATAATTTGCAACATCCAAAATAGTTAAATCACCATCATATTTTGCTGTATCAACACCACCAAATAAAATATTTCCTGATTGAGCATCTGGTTTATTTAAATATAATGAATATGCTGCATGATCAATTATTCCAGCATTTTTCAAAGCAAATGGGAAATTTGGATATTTTTGAGGAGTGTCTTCTTGTTTTTCTAATCCTATTCCCAAAAGACCACTGTATTTTCCATCTTGTGTAATTAAACCAAATTGTAAATTTGGTAATTTTGTACCATCAGCAAAATAATAATCATCAGTTGCATAATATCCAAATGCATTACTTCCGTCAACATAATTGGCATAAATTGGAATTGATAAATTTTTGTAAGTTGTTGAAGTTTTTTCATTAAATGTTCCATAACTTTTACATGACACTCCGTTTTCACATGTAACGTGTGTACTTGGGAACCATAAATTACTCAGACCTGTATCAAGAGCAACATAAAGTGATTGTTTGTTTGAACCCATAGTGATTTGAGTTTTATATTGTAAATCCCTATATTGAATTTGTATTGTTTCATCTCGTGATTGTACTGGAACACCTGTATCGTTATTATTGGTGAGAACAACATCAAATGATAAGTTCAAAGTTTTTGGAGCTCTTTTCTCTAATGGAGCAGCTAAAGCAACAGAAGCAACAACTGTTTGAACAAGTAAATTTATTACAGAATATTTCATTATATTTGGTATTATTTGACTAATTCATATCTGACAATTCAAGTTGTTGGATTTTATCCCTTATTTATAAAAACCTTTAATCATTGTCTTGTTATGACTAATTTTTTTAAATTCAAAGTACATAATACAGAACACGCTTCATATTATTATTAGATTATGTCGGTTTGTAGCATTTTGCAATAATTCGAAATTGGAAAAAATTTTGAACAATAGTAAATATTTTCAAATAGCTACAAACCGTAGGCATTTTGTTGGGCTTGAGATAAGGAAAAAACTAGCATTTTTCTTCAACACGGAAGCATTAATATAAGGTATACTTTTTAAAAATTTTCACTTAACAAGGCATCAAATAAAAATTGACTTCGCTTTAAATGCATCAGGTATAAACCTTTGCATGATCTGTAAGCAGTTCGTACTTTCACTCTAACCTCGACTTATGATTAATGAAATACTCGTTATAACCTTTATTAGTAAATAGAGTAATACAAAATCCCTGTCCAGTATATTCCATTTGTTTGGAAAATCAGATTTCTATTTTCAGGTTGCAAAATCAAAATTGTTGCAAAAGTCAACAGCAAATTTCGCTCAAACGTTTTTATCAACAATTCTCAAAATACATAACCATGAGAAAGTATAAGTTTTTGATTGCTAGCCAAAAGATTTTGATATAGGCACTTGGTTGCTGATGAAAAATTTTTTAGAAACAAGTTTACGTAAGATCTGCAATCAACGGTTTTATGCAAGGTACAAAAGTGATGTAGTGAAGGACTAAATTTGGATAAATTTAAACCCGTTGATAAATTGACACACTTTGAGGCCGTACAATTATAATTTTATCAATACTTATCTATCTTTCAAGTTTAAATGTTTCAAAACATGAAATTTTTGATTGTACAAAAAAATACACTAACCATAATTTATTCTTATCCTTCCGATTGGATTTTGTGACTTGAAAAAAAAAAAAATTAGAACAATAGACTACGGATGATAGGTGATATCTCGAATGTTAACTGAAGACGACTGCTTACATAAAATTTTCTTTTGAATGGGGATAAATGGGTATTTTGTAAATTCAAACTTTAAAGTTCCGGATCGCTAGTAAGATTTACGAAATTTGAAGTGAGGCCAATTTTTTTTTCAAAAGTGTCACGTAAATCTACAATAGCTATAACGCTTTACGTGAAATTGAAAGTAGTGACATGACACAACATTGATAAATAATTAGTAACATATGACACAACATTAATAAATACCTACTGACAATTTGTTAGACTTCTATGATATTAATTTTGACAAGATCTTATAAAGCTAATAGAAATATGAATATGTTATTCATATTTCATGGGTATAACTGAACATTGAGTTTTATGTATTTTGGGGAAGATGGGTGAAATGATTGAAGACTGCATATTGTATGATTTTTGCTATAAAACATTAGTAATTTGTGTCAAATTAAAAACAAACAAAATATGATGAAGTAATCGGAAATTAAGGTCCGAAAAGGAAAGGAATAAAAAATATGGAAAATTTTTTACGAAGAAAGTAAAGAAAAAGAAGGAGCAAGGGACCAGAAAAATAGATCCATAGAACCACATAGTGTATTAAGAGTCTTGTAACCTGTATTTGTATATTGAAACTAGATAATCATTTGACGTCATATCTTCTTCGTCTACAAGAATTCATCAAAATATAATCTTTTTTCAAAAAAAAAAATTCAAATGATTATGTGATAATCTTACTCAATAAATAGATTATCAAAACATACAATACAAACATAACAATCAATAAATATATAACTAGTAATTAACAAGCAATTACCTAATATGAATAATAATATTTTAATTCGACTCATAGTTTGTTGTCTCTTAATCATACATAAAGTAATATCAATAATCTAAATATATATATATTGGTCAATGTCAAGAATTTCAATATCACAGTTCAATAATTCGGACAATACATAATATGTAAACCTGCATTACTTAGATTAATATCAACAACTATGGGCTTGTATGCATTATTCTAAGTACCACTTTTTTAATTCTTCATCAGAAAGTTTTCGCTTTCCGGCCTCGATCGTCGATAGGCAAATACTTTGAGTAAACTTTTTCAGGTACTTGTTTGATTGAATCATTTGTTTTGGTGTTAGTTCGGAGTTGCATATTAAATGGTTCAATTTAAGTCGAAGTTCTCTTGCCCCCTGCTATCAGCCAAATTCAATTTCATTCGATTTTTTGAAAAATGTTCCCCATTGTTCTTCTTTGTTTTGTAATTCTCCACTCCGTTCATTTGGTATGAGGCATGATCTACTTGTAAATTGATACAAAAGATCACAATAATCAAGAATCTTTTATAACAGTCAGATTAAGTACCTATTGATAATTGAATAATTTTTATATTCTCGATCTTCAACTTGGTACGAATTTAACTAACTTATACCTTCTTCAAATTATGATTACAAATTAATCTCCGAATAAAAAGAAAAAATGAGATCAGACTATTTAACTCGGAGATTGGTCCAGATTTGGTGAAGTTTGAGGAACAGGATCGGATCTCGTAATTACTAATTCTGTTCAGTTTACGGGATAAAGATAGTAAAATATATAATTGTTGTCTTCGGTTAAAATTAAATGGCGGAACTTAACCCATCGGATAATACGTTTTTTTCAGCCTCTACGATGAATTGACAATAGATCCAGTGTCTCACTTGTTTGTTTGTGTTTTTGACCAATTTTAATAGCCATAATGTGATTCAATTCTCGACAATAATAGAACAAATTCTGATTTAGCTTGTGCATGAATTCACAACGCTCTTTAACTGTAATAAGCTACTTTATCAAGAAGAAATATTTATATGACTACTGGAAATATTCTGTGAGTTTACCCATAAAAAAACAAACATAGCTCGTCAAATTAAGGTTTTATAAGGCTAAAAGTACAACAAGTTAGTTTTTCTGTTTACTCAGCCGTGACTTTTTAAAAATTAAAGATGGTTTTCTGTATTTACTACGTTAATTCAGCTTCATAAAACTAAGTGAACGACTTTTTTAATCGAGGTACTAATTTAAGCTGTCAACGATTACACTTTGTTACAATTGTTGTCAGATCCGACCTGGACATTTTCAATTTTTTTAATGAAAATAAATATTACGAAAATTTGTTTTGAAGTTTGTTCGGAAAGTTTTAGTTTAATTTTTTTCTGAAATTAAGATTAATTACACAAACTTAGATCTATTAGTTTAAAAGAAAATTCGGATATTTTTTAATCTTTGACAAAGTTGTAAAATTTAGTGTGAAACATGTTTAAGAGTTTGACAATCCAGGCTCGCTATAGAAGAAGACACTTAAGTACAATCATCATCCTTTTAACGGTAATAATTGAATCTTTAGCCTCAAAATCTAAATTCATACACACCCTTATTGATGAAATCATGTGGAACAATTGGAGCGTTCGAATCCTTTCTGAGAAAAGGTTGAAACAAACGGAGTTTTTCAATATTTATTGAATTTGATTCAAGATTTTGTAGATCTATCTTCTCATTGACGATGGTCCTTAATATTCAAACTTCAAAGCAAGATCGTATATTATATCGTATTGAAACCTTAAATTCGCAATAAAAAGAAAGAAACCTGTGTCTCAGCTACTTTTCTTAAGTTTCTTAGTAAGTTTACCAAGCCGTCTTCTGAGCACAATTACTAACTTGTCGGCGATAAAACGTTAATTTCTCTAATGTTATAAAAACAACGTTGAGATCAATCTTCAAAACTTGTACAAAAAAATATTGCAGAATTAAAAAAAATTAAAAGTTTTTTCGGATAATTTGTTTTTCTTCTTCTTTTTTCTTTTTCAGATTTCATCAAAATAAACTTTAAAATTAAATATAGCAACTAATAAATGAATGTATATATTCCAAAATATAAGAAAAAAACTTGTTTTATTAGAATTATGACCTTATATTTGTATATTTAAAACGAATCTATGACATAAAGCTATCACGTTGCCAAAATAGATTTTTTTCAGTATATTCATTCAAGTTAAGACTATATTTATTAACAAAAAAATATATAAATCCGGTTAATATCAACCTATGAAACTCTTGATAAAAAAAAATCGGATAATTAACAAACACAATTGCAATAATAAAACCAAACATTTCATACATAAAGTACTATGTCAATCATAAAGTCAATGTCGATTTAGCTATGAATGGCTTTTTTATTTATGTATTTTTTAAGTGGCTTTACATTTTGTTAAATTGTTGTTAATAATAATATAATAAACTAATTTGTGTGATAATATGATAAATCCGTAGTATAATATTTTTTATTTTTAGTAAATCTCTCTCAGCCTTAACCAAAAAAATTCTTTAAATTTATAAATATTCAATTCAATTTGCACCCTAATCAAATTTTCTAAAATGTATAACGAAAATCTTATAATCTAGTTGATCATTTGAGAAAGATATGAGATGAGATGAGATCTTATTTTCAGCTTTATAGTGAAGATGTGAAACTCAAGTAAGATCAATTATAATAAATTTAGATCTAGAGTAATTCGGTTGCGGTTTTAACAATTATTTGTCTGAGCGACACAATAATATAATTATAGAAATTTTTAAATCAAATAAAGGAAATCAATTTAAAAATAATCTAGAAATATATTTTGTTTGTTTTTTTTTTATTTTGCTTCTTGACTAAATTGAATTTATTCTTTATTGTATATCTTTACAATAAATTAAAATTAAATTTAGTATTATGTCCTAATTTTTTTCGCTTTAAATTAATTTATTTATCAACCCCAATTACCCTTTAATGTCAAACATTTATCCGTCATCCGTAATTTTTTCTTTTTCAGGAATTCATATATATTAAATAAACAATTCTTAACAAAATTTCATCTCTTAATTTTCTTTAATGTTCTAGTTTCAATTATCATTTATCGTTTATCATTAATTATTATATATTTATTTTCTAATTTAATTTTATACTCAGTTCTTTTT